ATCATTTCCAGGACTATCGCAATATTGAGTATCGCGTTCTGGACATCAGCCAGAGTCCAGCCGAGCAAGGATTCGAAGAGGACAAATTTGACCTCGTTATTGCCACCAATGTCCTTCACGCCACAAAGAGTCTAAATGAGACTCTGAGAAACGTGCGCCAATTGCTCTCTCCTGGCGGCAGACTTCTTCTCCATGAGCTTGACTCTGCCTCCAAATGGCCTAACTTCATTTTCGGTACTCTACCAGGTTGGTGGTATGGTGGACCAGACGGTCGCCCAGATCAACCCTATGTGACCCCAGCTCGATGGGAGTCAGAGCTCAGAGATGCCGGTTTTAATGGCCTGGATGCAGTCGTACATGATGCTGAAGAAGGATATCAGCTGAATGCTATCATGGTCGCAAGCCCACAAACAGAGAGAAATCCTGTTAACAAGACAATCTCCATTCTAAGTGATGAGGTCTGCCCCCATCTGACCCCTTTGTCCAGAGTTCTGGAGGGCCGAGGCTTCATGGTCCAACCATATCGACTTGGTCAGGAGCTACCGGCAGGGCAGGACATCATTTCGCTCCTTGATTCCACACAGCCCTTCTTCAAAGATATTGATGAATCTCGCTTCCTATCCTTCCAACGGGTATTGAACAACCTTGGGCAGTCCGCGCTGTTTTGGGTGACACAGCCATGTCAAATTCAGTGTCGTGACCCCAACTATGCCCAGGTTATTGGCACCGCTCGTACCATCCGTACTGAGATGCTTTTGGACTTCGCCACGTGCGAAGTGGATCACCTTGGCTCTTCCTTGGAGAAGGTGGTCGATGTGTTTTCAAAGTTCCAAACAAGAGTGGAGGATGAGACTTTCAAGCCTGAATACGAGTACTCCATTTGCAATGGCACCGTCAACGTCGGCAGAATCTATCCCTTCTCTCTGACTGATGAACTTTCGTCAACTGCCATTTCAGAAGAACGCATTGGCCTCGACATGGGTAAGCCAGGGCGTCTCAATACTCTGAGATGGGCTCCGCGTGAGAAAAAGATCCTCCTGAGTGACGACGTAGAGGTGCAACTCCACGCGGCGGGGCTAAACTTCAAGGTAAGCCCCTTCTACCGTTCATCTTGAACAAATAGCTAATATGTTATGGTTAGGATGTCTTGGGCTCATTGGCAGTAGTTCCCTATCCGGAGGATGGTCTCGGGATCGAGTCCAGTGGTGTTGTCTGCCGTGTTGGTCCCGATGTTACGGACCTTCGCATTGGCGATCGGGTCATGCTCTTAGGCGATGGCTCCTTTGGGTCACACGTGGTTACCCCAGAGAGGCTTTGCGTAAAGATTCCCGCCAGCCTCAGCTTCGAAGATGCTGCGAGTATGCCGGCAGTCTTTGCCACTGCAGTTTGCTCGCTGTTTCATATTGGCAAGTTGCAGAAGGGACAAGTAAGCTGCCTCCACTTAATCAAACTCTCACCTTGAACCGGTACTGACAACCTTTAGTCCGTGCTTATACACAGTGCCTGTGGCGGTGTTGGTCTAGCTGCTATCCAACTTGCTCTCATGGTAGGCGCTAATATTTACGCAACCGTCGGAAGCGAAGAGAAGATCAATCACCTTGTCGAAACCTTTGGACTTCCAAAGAACCAAATTTTCCACTCCAGGGACACCAGCTTTGTGGAAGGGATCATGCGTGAAACAGACGGACAAGGCGTGGATGTCGCCTTGAACTCTTTATCTGGAGAGCTTTTACATGCCACTTGGCGTTGTGTAGCAGAGTTTGGTACCCTGGTCGAGATCGGAAAGCGTGACTTCCTCGGTGCCGGCAAGCTCGATATGGATGTTTTCCTCGGCAGCCGGACCTATTCCTGCTTTTACCTTGATGCACTCATGGCAAGAAAACAGTCAAAGGTCAAGGAGCTTCTCAGGGAAGTTGTATGGTACTTGCAGAGTGGCCAGATCAATCCCGTCAGGCCTCAGAAAGCTTTCAATGCCTCGGAGATTGAAGAGGCATTCCGCTATATGCAACAAGGCCAGCATCTGGGCAAGATTATTATCTCAATCAGGAACACTGATGGTAATCTAAAACTTGATACTGCATCCGTCAAGGCACCGAAGGAACTGAACCTGGACAGTGAGGCATCTTATCTCCTCGTTGGTGGCCTGGGTGGCCTTGGGCGAGCAGTGGCAAGGCACTTGGCTGAGCGAAACGCACGCCGTATTGTATTCCTCTCCAGAAGCGCTGGAAATGGCCCTGATGATCCCGACACTATCAAAGAGCTCGAAAGCATGGGATGTGAGATACGTCTCGTCAAAGGAAGTGTTTTGCAGCAAGAGGATGTGACTCGGGCTTTGGAGCAAGCTCCAAATCTGAAGGGCATTATCCAATGTTCTATGGTTCTTCGTGACGAGAACTTCGGGCGCATGAGCATAGACGAGTGGAGAACTGCGGTGGCTCCTAAGGTCCAAGGGACCTGGAATCTCCACCATGCTACTCTCGCCGCTGGGATCGAACTTGACTTCTTTATTTTGTTCTCTTCCATGTCTGGAGTCACTGGACAAGCCGGTCAGGCAAACTACGCCGGAGCGAACACTTTCCTGGATTCCTTTGTGCAGTACAGAACAAGCCTTGGTCTCGCGGCATCTTCCCTGGATATTGGAGCAGTGCAAGATGTTGGTTATGTTTCGCAAGACGATGCTCTTCTGAAGAGGATGAAGCTCGCAAGTGCACATGGAATCACGGAGCCTGAACTCATGGAAGCTGTCAGCGCAGCTGCTCTGTCCCTTACAACATCTCCGGCTAGCTGCGATACCCTCGCTGAGCCATTTGTGGACAAGAACACCATTGCACTGGGTCTATCGACAGCAATTCCCTTGAGCAGCTCCGAAAGCCGTGCGTTTTGGAGAAAGGACGTGCGAATGGCCGCCTACCACAACTCTTCCAAGATCAGTGCGGGAACCTCTGGCTCGAACAGTGATAATCTAAAGTCGTTCATGGCGCGAGCCAAGGAAGATGCGAGCATTCTCAGCAGCGAGGAGTCGACAACATTCCTTGCTCAAGAAATAGGCAAGAAGCTATTTATGTTCCTTCTGAAGTCGCCGGAGGACCTGGATACGTCTGTGTCACTTGCCCAGCTGGGAATGGATTCTTTGGTTGGCGTCGAGATGCGCAGTTGGTGGAGGCAGGCATTTGGGTTTGATATCAGCGTCCTTGAATTGCTGGGAATGGGAAACCTGGACGGACTGGGTAGGCATGCGGCGGAAGGAGTTCTGAAGACACTGAGTGAAGAACATGCATAGACTATTGCAATGTGGTCGTCTATACTCACGAAATCCTAAGATCTTTTTGGTTGGTTTTGTTGAGACCAACCATGTTGGCGCCTAGAAAGTCAGACATTCATTCCCCATTTAGTTAGCTAGTTGGTTACTAGTGAGAGGGGTCTTCTTTCTTTCCTTTTACACCAATCCGCTATCTTTCCAGTATCTCACTTCTTGTCTATCCAACATCTTTCTACTCAAAAAGGTCGCAAATCCCGACCTCCATCAACTCCCACAAATCGCCCATCGGGAAGTCGTAGCCCACTGAGCCCTGTGTTACCACAATCACTTTCAGCGTTGGAGCGGTCTTCACCCCCGAAGGCAAGTCACTACGCTTGATTAACGGTATCACTTTCTCTAATTAAACTAGGAAAAGGGGAACTACACTCTTTTGGGGATAACAGACGAAGAATCATGGGCCTAGATTATATAAGTTCCCGCATCTTTCGTTGGAAAGCTTAGGAGTTCTAGGACTCGGATGACCCGTCACAATTGCCTATGCCGTAAAAGCTACCGTTTATGAGAAGAGGACAGGGCGGTGTCAATTCTGCGAAAATGGCCTCCCTTGTCGGATACTATCCATTCTTACTCGCATCGGTTTGCTATATTTAATGACATGAATCCTCCCGGGCTTGCCGCCACGCCGTCAACCACCCCAGGATGGTGAGCCTGAGGCAGGGGGTTGATCTGCTTCAACCCATTTTTGCAATCGCCACAGCATTGCCTGCACAGATCGATACTCTTCGAATGGCGTCCATGTTCTGGCCGCAGGAAATACAGACCCACACATAATTGTAATCAATCTTGTAGGTGTGTTTTGTTTTTACATTAATCCGACCACCATATAGATGGTGTTCTTCCACGGCCTCGGCACACTTCTGGCCCCAGTATTTAAAACTAGCACCCTGTGGTTTGTCGCGCACGTTGGAGATCATGTAGTTGGCTGGATGGCAGTACTCGTGTGTGATGGTATTGATGAGGCGGTACTCATCGTCGATGATTCGCTCGGCAAGTTCGATCTTGGCATAGTGTGGAATCGGCGTAAGGTCCAATAACTGACCGTATGCTCCGGTACATTGGTACCTTTATATGGCTACGTCATGCAAAAGGTACATCTCATGTTCCGGGATTCTCTCCGAGAGAATCCATGGAACTATTGAGTTGAAATTTGTTTTTTATTTAATTTCTGTACAATGTATGTAGAGAGTTAGGTGTATTCAATATTGTATGTAATCTCTGGATTGTCATTCAAACAATAGCTATCACTGCAAAGTAAGGCCAAGCCTTATACCCTCGGCAATAAGTAAACTCTATGTCAAACTGGTCTAGCAAATCAGAAGCGGCCAAACGTTGGGATATTTCCATAGCTTCACACTTTAATCAGAAGCTCCATTGATTTAGTACTGTTTGAGCCTAGTCAAGGAAAAATTAACATGTCACCTGCCAAATTTACAGAGCTACAAAGTCGCACAGAACGTTTCGTAGCTACATATCTACATAAGTAGGTGGCAATTAATTCGAGTATCTCAATTATCTCAATCATCTCAATTATAGAATATAGTAGAGATTGGAGCCTGGCGGATTTCACATGATAATCAATAAAGACTGCAGCCCCTAGCACAAAAGAGTCGAGACTCAGAGCGGAAAAAACAGGTCACGATAAGATCTTCCCCTCCAGGAAAATTTCTTCCATCAACACATAATGTCCTTGGTACAGCATGTCTCTGCTATCGACGGTATTGATCGTGAACCAGACGCAGAGGAAGCCGAAGACTTCCTCTCCATCCGTCGGAAAATAAGCTACGATGTCCTACAACCCCCAAATGAGAGTATCCCGGTCGCAGAACTGCGCCCAGGAACACCAGCCTACGAGCACTCCCCAACAAAAAGAATAAGTACGAGACCATCCCACCCCACAAAATCAATCTAATACCCCCGCAGTTCAAGTCATCGTAACCGTTCTCGCGTGCTGGAGCGCGTCAGGAATCGTGTTCGGCTTCGCGGCTCTGAAACCCGTCCTCGTGGAAGAGGGTGTTTATCACGAGCGATGCACCCCCGCAGAGATCGCCGAAAGCGTGGAATTATGTTCGCAGCAGGATCTCAGGTAGATAATCTCCTCACCATCCCAACCCCAATCCCAATCCCAATCCAAACCCGCGACTCCGCTAACATTGCCAGACTGAACTTGTTTTTCACAATCGCGTCTATCACCGCGAATGTCTCGGCGCTACCAGTCGGGACAATTCTCGACCGCTGTGGTTCGCGCGTCTGCTGGCTCATTGGCGCGTTTTTGCTCGCTGTCGGTGGGGTCATCATGTCTTTCGCGTTTCACATCCCGGAATTTGACGGGTACATCCCAGGGAATTTCTTCCTAGCGCTTGCCGGCACGTTTCTGTTCGTTCCATCGTTCCAGATTGCGAATGCCTTCCCCAAATATGCGGGGACGATTGTTGCTCTTGTGACTGGCGCGTTTGATGCCTCTGCTGCGGTGTTTCTGTTCTATCGACTTGTGTACGAGGCATCCGGGAGGTTGTTCACGCCGGATAAGTTTTTCCTGGGATACCTCGTTGTTCCGATGATGATTCTCATTGCGCTGGGGACTGTGATGCCGGCGCGCGACTATGTCTCGACGTTGCAGTTGGAGAATCGGATTGAGCGCGCCGAAGACCCGACGTATGATGTTCACGACTCGGACGATGAGATCGAGAGTCGGTCGGAGTTGACGCGAATTCGGAAGAAGCGTGCTGAATTGCGGAGGAAGAATCTCCGTCAGATTGATGCTGTCCTTGGTGATAAGGATGAGAGGCAGATGCGTGCGGAGCGGGAGGAGGATCGTCAGCAGACGAGTTGGGTCTGGGGTGTTTTGCATGGATTGCCTGCTCATAAGCAGATGGCTACACCTTGGTTCATCCTCATCACAATGATGACGGTATTGCAGATGATTCGGATGAACTATTTCATTGCGACGATTCGGTCGCAGTATGAATTCATGCTTGGGTCTATCACTGAGGCTGATAAGATCGGTGCTTTCTTTGACGTTGCGCTACCGGTCGGGGGTGTTCTCTTCACTCCTGCTATTGGATACCTGCTTGATCGTCTTAGTGTGCCGACGATGCTAGGATTGATTGTGCTGTGTACCACCGTGATTGGTGTGCTAAATTCCATCCCAGCTGTTTGGGCTGGATACATGACCGTTGTGCTCTTCGTTCTGCTACGACCACTTTACTACTCGGCTATGTCGTAAGTTTTTTCCAACCTCGGCATCTTATATGCCGTGTACTGATATTAATTCTTTGCAGGGATTATACAACCAAGGTCTTTGGATTCGCCACGTTTGGTCGCGTCTACGGAGCCATCATCTGCCTATCGGGAATCGCCAACTTCTCGCAGTACGGTCTGGACGCATTGACGCACCGCACATTTGATGGAAATCCAATTCCCATCAATGCCGCTTTGGCAGTCGCGGGATTCATTGTCGGAATGCTACTCGTGATCTTTGTTTTTGTGTCGGTCAGGAAACTCCGCGAGCAGGGTCAGGCAGATGATGACGAGCGGGAGAGACTTCTTTTGGAAGAGGACGAATACGAGGATGAATCCGATGAGGATACTTATCGTTAATCTCAGCCGAGGCCGTAAAAAGCGATGTAGTTCAGTGCCGAAGCCAAGATACATATTCATATTAAGTATCTGTTCGTGGTTCCTGTATGGAGTACAGTCTCCAATATGTCAAGCCACAGTCATTGTTGTCACATGCTCGGTGCGGCAAGCGATTTTGACTTTTTCCACACTCGGAGGATATGCTTCTTTGGTGGGAACGTCTTCCAGATAGTGTTTTTAAGGATTAGAATAATATAACCATAATTTAGTTCGCATGTAGCCTATATCCCTACCTAAGTAGATATGTACTGCATGATGATATCACCACTAGCAATATATTCGACGGCCGAGACCAGGATGAACCCAGACAGGCCACTGAGATGTCAAAGAAGCTGTGCGGAGATAGCCAAATATACTTTCAGCATATCATATCAGAGTTTACATTTCGACGTATCAAAGAACAGCATCGCAATGCTAGAACATCCTTTGCTCGTATCAACCCCAAGCTGAGTTGTTGGCTCGGATCTGGACTCAGTTGATGAGATATATCCCAACTGGATATAGATCACATCTGCTTGACTTGTACAAAGTGATTAGAGATTGCAAAGTGATGTAAGGAGAAATTCCCGGGGTATCTCTTGTTCAATAGGAGCAAAATGTAACCAACCCAAAGCCCCTTACTCCGTACTTAAGTATAAGATTCCTGGATACAAACCCTAATAACAACCTCACCTCGTGGCAGATCTGGGGAAGACAAACAAGTTCCACGAGAAAAACAGCGACCACTTGAACAAAGACCAAGAACTCAATTCACGCCAAGAAACCCAACTCGTAGCAAAGCCAGGCTCCCGCCAAGCTGCCAAGTGAAAGCTCCCCCGCATCCAACCCTCTCGCCCCCGGATTATCACCACAAAGCGCCGCCACCACGACTCACCAGCGCACATTCCAACAGCTGACTCGCAGACTCCCAGCCCAAGTGGAGTCCCACCCCTCCTTTGTTTCGGACAATCTTGCTCAATTACGCACGAAACCAGTCTCGTCCTCTCATTGTCCCGAGGCACTTGCTGAATTCCTGCCGGCTATTGCTTTCGCGGTGTCTTCGAGGGCTGCGGAATTTCTGGGCATTGAAAAGTGGGTGGGAATAGGCGAGCTGGGCGTGTTGCAGGAATGTGTGTGGAACATATATCAATATGTATATATATATATATATCTTTTGACATCCCTGTTTGAGATGTTAGTAGACAGGGGGTTGTTTATGTTACCCACGGATTCTATCTGATCTTTATTCTTCCGAGTATTATTACCCACGAGGGATTTCTGGACTTTCGTGAACATGGCCTCCATGGCTGTCATCGATGAGAAACTGCCTGCGGACCACCGCATCGAGGATATCGCGGGCAAGTCTCCCAGCGAGGACGAGGATGAATTCACGGCAGAGGAGAAGAAGAAGATTATTCGGCGGGTTGATCTACGTCTCGTCACGATGACAGGGCTCGCGTATTGTATTTCGCTGATGGACCGCACGAACCTCAGCATGGCGGCTGTCGCAGGGTAATGACCCGCGCGCGAATACGTCTCCAGCAATCGCTGACTTTGGAGCAGTCTGAAAGAAGAATTGCGATTGGATATCGGACAGCGCTACGTATGTTAAATGAATGAGTCGTGTTCTACACGAATTGTTGGTACTAATGGTGATTGTAAAGTCTATTATTGTCCTGATGTTCTTCGTGCCCTATATCATCTTCCAGCCGCCCATGACGATTGTCATCCGCAAGTTCGGACCTACGATATTCTTGTCGTCGATTATTATATGCTGGGCGGCAATTATGATTGTGAGTCCTAACGCTTTCAATCGCATGCAGCTTCGCTAACCAGCGCAGGGAATGGGATTCGTCAAAGACTGGGGTCAGCTAGTTGTCACTCGTGTCCTCCTGGGTATCTTGGAAGCAGGCTATTTCCCTGGCTGCGTCTACCTGCTTTCATGCTGGTACACACGATGTACGTATATCAATTTCAACTTTTGACACTCAGCTAACTCATTCTAGATGATGTCCAAAAACGATTCTCCATTTTCTACCTCATCGGCTGTGTCGCTTCTGCACTCGCAGGAATCCTCGCATTCGGTTTGATGCAATTGAATGGAAAGCATGGACTGACAGGCTGGCGATGGATTTTCATCCTCGAAGGCGTGGTATGCACCAAGCCCTTGTTTGCAACAGAATATAAAAGCTAACAATTTAGATCACTGGCTTCATTGGAATTCTCTGTTTCTTCTTCCTCGTCGACTTCCCCGATCGCGCGCATAAATCATGGCGCTTCCTCAACGAGCGCGAATGCGCATTCGTCATCCGCCGCATCAACGAGGACCGAAACGACGGCAACATGGAAGCATTCTCACTCAAGAAGTTCCTCAAGCCAGCAGCCGATCCCAAGATCTGGGGCTTCGCTATGATCTTCTTGTATGTTTCACAGCAATTCACTTGAATCCGGACTAATGGTACCGCAGCTGTTTGACAACAGTCACCTACGCAATTGCCTATTTCCTCCCCATCATCCTGCGCCTGGGAATGGGATACGGCGTCGGTGAATCGCAGTGTCTCGTCGCACCTCCATACGGATTTGCCGGAATCGTGATGTACGCGACAGCGTGGGCGGGCGATAAATACCGGATGCGCGCACCAATCCTGATATTCAATGCCTTGCTCGCCATTATCGGGCTTCCTATGATGGGATTCGCGAAGAGCGATGCCGTTCGCTACGTCGGGGTTTTCTTCACGGTTGCTGGAGCCAATGCTAATATTCCGGCATGTATGGCGTACCAAGCGAATAATGTGCGTGGGCAATGGACGCGTGCGTTCTCCAGTGCCACGCTTGTGGGCTTTGGTGGGCTGGGCGGTATTGTCAGTAGTTTGGTTTTCCGGGAGCAAGATGCGCCCGGTTATCGGCCCGGCATGTATGCTGCTATCGCGTATGTTTTCTTAATCTCTTTTCTTTTGTTGTGTCTCGGATTTTGGGATATTTTGAATTTGTGTTCGCTGACTGTTTCACTAGATGTAACATCCTTATCATTATCCTTGTTTTGGCGCTCAGTCTTTGGTTCAGGATCTGTAATAAACAGGCGGATCGGGGAAAGCGGGTCATTGAGGGTGATGTCGCTTTCCGATATACTATTTAGTCAACCGCAACATAGTTAGTTAGTCAGTCAGACTTTAATCCATGGATGTATTTGACATAGTGCAGCAACTCTCCAGGGCTTTATGCTCTTTCTGTACTATGCACGTTCGCCAATGCTCCCCGAACCATAGATAAGCCCACATGCAGCTGCAGCTTTTTCACCCTCAGGAATCGGTTGCTATTCCGGTGAAATTCCAATGACTCAATAATGATTGCGACCGAAGCTCAAAGAAATTGTCTCGGAGCTCTCCACTTGATTGTAGAGGGGTTAAAATGGAGCAGATGGAGCAAATGGAGCAAAGTATGGAGAAGGCTACAACAGAAGTAAAGTGTTTTCCGACGGGAAACCGGGAGTTGCCTCCGCAATTTTGGTTTTGGCGGGGGCATCGGTGAACGGCGGCAATTTCCATTGGTTGGATAAGCATTAGATAAGTTCTTATCTTATCAGGAGGGGAGTTTCCCGTGACTCTTTTCCGTCCGGCTTCGGGCAGCTTGTGAAAGCGAGGGAAAAAGAACATTACATATTAATTTCGTTCGTCCTGGCACTTTTGTTCTTCTTCATACCTTCTCTATAATATTGAATTTGAAATTGACTAGAATTTGGGTGTGTGTTGCTCTATACAAACAACACCCTCGTCTAGTTCAGTATGGCGGCATCCCTGTTTGCTCTCCGCGGCGGGCGCCAGCTTGCGCTCCGCTCGCGTCTCCGTGTACCTATCCCACGAGCTTCAGTCCTGCCATTGAATGCTCGTAGGACTCTTCACACTTCCCAGCCAGCCACCCGTCGCAGTGTATATACCAGCTCTCTCGCCGATCATGGCGATCCCCACCCCCAGGACATTTTCCAACCCCTCGATACCTTTCCCCGTCGTCACATTGGTCCTTCCCCTGACGCCGCCGCAGAGATGCTTGCTGTGCTTGACCCGCCAGTGAAGACTCTGGACGATTTTGTTAAGGAGGTGCTTCCCAAGGATATCCTTTCCAAGAAGAACCTCCACGTCACGGAACCTAATGCCGATATCAACCTGTATCGCTCCAGTGTGCAGGGTGGTCTCGGTGAAACCGATATGCTCAAGCTTTTGGATACATACCGCAAAGATATTGATATCTCTGGCAAGACTTATATTGGAACTGGTTATTACCCTACCATTGTTCCCCCCGTCATTCAGCGCAATGTGCTCGAGAACCCCGCCTGGTATACCAGCTACACCCCCTACCAGCCGGAGATCAGTCAAGGTCGTCTTGAGTCTCTGCTGAACTTCCAGACCCTCACAGCTGATCTCACCGGTCTCCCCTTCGCCAATGCCTCCGTTCTGGATGAGGCAACCGCCGCCGCCGAGGCCATGACCATGTCCTTCGCCACAATGCCCGCCTCCAAGCAGAAGAAGGTCGAAAAGTCCTTCGTCGTATCTCACCTCTGCCACCCCCAGACTATCGCCGTGATGCAGTCCCGTGCCGAAGGATTCGGAATAAACCTCGTCATTGGAGACATCTTGGCTGATGACTTCAAGATTGTCAAGGACCAGAAGGACCACCTGATTGGTGTTCTCGCTCAGTACCCTGATACCGAGGGTGGCATCTTCGACTTCCAGTCTCTCAGTGACTCTATCCACAGCCAGGGTGGTACTTTCAGTGTGGCCACTGATCTGCTTGCCCTGACCGTGCTGAAGGCACCTGGCGAGTTTGGTGCTGACATTGCCTTCGGTACTGCTCAGCGTCTGGGTGTGCCCATGGGCTTCGGTGGTCCCCACGCTGCATTCTTCGCCTGTGCTGACAAGTACAAGCGCAAGGTGCCTGGCCGTGTCGTTGGAGTCTCCAAGGACCGTCTCGGTAACCGCGCTCTTCGTCTGGCTTTGCAGACTCGTGAGCAGCACATTCGCCGCGAGAAGGCTACTAGCAACATTTGTACTGCTCAGGCTTTGCTTGCGAACATGACTGCCATGTACGCCATCTACCACGGCCCTGTCGGCCTAAAGTCCATCGCCCAGCGCATCATGTCTATGACCTCGCTCCTGCGCGAGAAACTGATCGGCCTTGGCTATGAGGTTCCTCTCCGCACCAACTCCGCTGATGGTGGTGCCGTCTTCGACACTCTCACCGTTGAGCTGCCTACCGCCGCTGAGGCCGATTCCCTCATTTCCGAGGCCCGTGCTGCCTCTGTCTTCCTCCGCCGCCTGGGTGGAAGCAAGGTCGGTCTTTCTTTGGATGAGACCGTTGGCCGCGATGAGGTCAAGGGCATTTTGGATGTATTTGCGTCTCACAAGTCCGTCTCCTCCGTCGAGGTTGACGGCACTCTGGGTGTCACTTCTGTCCCCGCTAGCCTCGAACGTACCTCCGCCTACTTGACCCACCCAGTCTTCAACACCTACCACTCCGAGACTGAGATGCTCCGTTACATCCACCACCTCGAGTCCAAGGATTTATCCCTCGCACACTCCATGATTCCCCTCGGATCTTGCACCATGAAGCTCAACGCTACCACCGAGATGATTCCCGTTTCTTGGCCCGAGTTCTCCCAGATCCACCCCTTCATGCCCGCCGAACAGGCCAAGGGTTACACTCGCATGATCGATGATCTCGAGCAACAACTGGCTGACATCACCGGCATGGCCGAGGTCACTGTGCAGCCCAACTCCGGTGCCCAGGGTGAGTTTGCCGGTCTCCGTGTCATCAAGAAGTACTTTGAGGGCAAGGGCGATGCTAAGCGCAACCTGTGCTTGATTCCCGTCTCTGCCCACGGTACCAACCCCGCCAGTGCTGCCATGGCTGGTATGCGCGTTGTTACTGTCAAGTGTGACACCAAGACCGGTAATCTGGACTTGGAGGACCTCAAGGCCAAGTGCGAGAAGCACAAGGACGAGCTTGCCGCCTTCATGATCACCTACCCTAGCACCTTCGGAGTCTTCGAGCCCGGTGCCAAGGCAGCCTGCGACCTGGTCCACGAACACGGCGGTCAAGTCTACATGGACGGAGCTAACATGAACGCCCAAATCGGCCTTTGCTCCCCTGGTGAGATCGGCGCTGACGTCTGCCACCTGAACCTGCACAAGACCTTCTGTATTCCTCACGGCGGTGGTGGTCCAGGTGTCGGCCCTATTGGCGTGGCCTCCCACTTGGCTCCCTACCTTCCTTCCCACCCGACCAGCGAATACCTCCAGGCTAAGCGCGGCAACTCCGCCTCGCCCCCCATCAGTGCAGCCCCCTGGGGTAGTGCCAGCATTCTTCCCATCACATTCAACTACATTAACATGATGGGCGACCGTGGCCTCACCCACGCCACAAAGATCACCTTGCTCAACGCAAATTACATCCTCTCCCGCCTCAAGCCTCACTACGAGATCTTGTACACCAACGAGCACGGTCGTTGCGCACACGAGTTCATCCTTGACGTCCGCGGCTTCAAGGAGACCTGCGGTGTTGAAGCGATCGACATCGCCAAGCGTCTCCAGGACTACGGCTTCCACGCCCCAACCATGTCCTGGCCCGTCTCCAACACTCTCATGATCGAGCCCACCGAGTCAGAGAGCAAGGCCGAGCTCGATCGCTTCTGCGACGCCTTGATCTCCATCCGCCAGGAAATCGCCCAGATCGAGTCCGGCGCCCAGCCCCGCGAGGGCAACGTCCTCAAGATGTCCCCTCACACCCAGCGCGACCTTCTCACTTCCGAATGGGACCGTCCCTATACCCGTGAACAAGCGGCGTATCCGATCCCCCTGCTTTTGGAGAAGAAGTTCTGGCCCACTGTCACGCGTGTTGATGATGCATTCGGTGACCAGAACCTCTTCTGTACTTGTGGACCAGTTGAGGACTCCGAGTAAGATTCGATGGCTATGATACCCATGTTTAATTTTGCGTTTGCGTTTGGCTTTGAGCTCGCTTGTTGGTGCGAGTTTCTTGTGTATACATTCAACATTTCAACAGTTCTTATGATTATGTTTAGATATGCCGAATTGGTTCAACATGATCTTTCGGCTAGATAATTATGAAATAAAAGTTATTCTAGACTTTAAACCCACATCCCTGATGGTTCCTTGATAATGATTGGACTGGGAGTAAAAACAACCAAAGCGTAGCTTAAGCCTACAATGAACTTGTAACTCTCTCATAGAGTTACTCTATCAGACTTATAATATCGTTTCTGTTAGATTGACCGACTTCGGAAGAATCGCTATTTCAAGAGGAACTGCCTCCTGGAGCTCTGAAGTGGGTTGTAGAAGCAAAACTGAAGGAACCCTTACACCTCGGACAATATGTGTGTTATTTGCCTTTGAGTCGGTCGGTGATGACCACCGAGGCACTGTTAATCACCCGGCGATTGAAGATTGACTTGGATTTAGTTTATCGGCTTATATCTAAGCCAGGCTAAGATATAGTGTGTAGAAAAAATAAGTAGAAAATAAACCAAACTCCCAATGTAATTAATTGTATACATGTAAAAGGTTGAATGGTACAGTCGTCTGATACGGCTTTCTGAATATATTACAAAAGGTATTGAAATTTCATCATCACCAGCCTTTGTAGCTCAGTGGTAGAGCGTTTGACTTGTATGCATTAGCAAATACTTGCTATCAAAAGGTCCGCGGTTCAATCCCGCGCTGAGGCTCTTTCCTTTTTTATTTTTTCTATCTTATAGTCTTCTGCGCTTAGCTATCTATATGCCGAAAAAAAAATGTTGTTGTTTTGTTGTTAACTCTTTCTTTCTAAGATCTCGTTATAGGATATGAATCATTTTTAGTGATTAGTACTCTTCATTATTTTCCTATAATGTTGTATTTGGCTGGCAAAGCCACCAACTTTATCCGATGCCTCTCCGAGAGCGATAGTATACCTAGTAGTACGAGCTGATGGGTGAAACTGAAAGCAAAACAAGCCCATCTTCGATTTTTTGTATGTTTCCGACAAAGTCGCCCGACATTTTCGGCTCACTAACTACCTAGGTAGCCTAGGACTGACTTTTGCTTATCCTAAGAAAGCTCGGCGAGAAACTGAGAAACACTAGCTAAGATTATCCTATACATCCATATGGCCATTTCTTATGTTACTATACTCTCAATATCATAGATAGATGTTCTCATCTCGCTTTTGTCGTGATATAGTCCTATATACTACTGTAGAACTTTGATCATTCCACTGACTATTAGTTGTGACAAATATAGCAACCTCTATCGCCATGTTGATTGGCTAGCTGTCGTTTCATATAGATTGCGGGGATCCGCCCACTTGACTTGGTCGAAAGCCCTTGTATGATCGCATTAATATCACTTTCATCATGCTTTTCTGGCCGGCCAGTTCGACTGATCTTAATCATATGGTACTATCAATTTCAGGAACATAAAAATCTAACTTACAGCTTCCATGGATCATGAATAGCTACCCAGGTACGATACCATACAGGACACGGTCATATCCAGGATCGACCATACTACGTTCTGAATAGCCCAAAAATAATATTAACTCCCAAAAAAGGCGTACGAAGGTGGCGATGAATGGTATTTGAAATGTTGAAGTCCTGTGATAATTTATGTCTAAATCGCTGCGACCAGACCCGCACTATGACTTGGGGTTATATTGTTTTTCAAAGTGAATGCCACGTTACTTATTCCTTCTCTCCACGTGGAATTCTACTTAATATAATAATGGCATGTTCCGTGGCTGGTGGCCGAAATGACGTTGTGGGGGAACAGGCGCGACGCCAATGACGTAGACCCGTTATATGTCAACTGTGTGACTACTCCAATTTCTTGTTCTACATTGATTTTTCCTTCTTTTTTGCTCCTAGCATTGCCTTTGACAAATTTAATTTGCTTCGTATTCTGGAATTTAACCAGAGGTGCAATCTGGCGCAATAGTCCACAACAGCTGAGGAGTACACGCGTTCAACAATCACCACGAAAAGAACGAACACAATGGCCAGCATATCGATTAGCGCTCCAGGTTTGAGCAGCGGTGGATTTCTCTATAATAATGGCAATAACAATGCGCGACTATGCATTACAGCTGAGTCCGACGATTTTGACATGGAGATCATCAAGAGCTGGCAAGACGAAGGCTTCGATGTCGTCTATCTTCCCTACAATGGCGGTGGGAAGGACTACGGGAGAAGGCTTCTTTCTGTAAAGGAGGGACTCGGTGTAGGCGAAAATTACGGCGTGATTGGTATGCTTGGACCCCTCTTAGCCCTATTGTTACATATTACTAAACCCTTCAGCTTTCGGTGATGCCGCAAATTACTGCCTCGATTTTTATATCAACTCCATAAATGCCAGCCGCCTCTGTGCCCTGGTGGCTTATTACCCGACCCTGATTCCAGATACCAGATCGCGATTCCCTCTCTCGCTCCAAGTCCTCGTCCATTTGGCCGGCGAAACGGTCGATGTCATGGTCCAGCCAGTAGCGCTCGGTATACAGGGAAAGAAGCGCCGCCAGTCGCGGCCGATAAACGCCGGTGTTGGAACTGGCGAGCGTTTAGACCTGGCATATCCCGCGTTCACGTATGATAATGCCGTACCTGGATTCGCAGAGTCTGATGTGGATGAATACGATCATCTCTCCGCGGATCTGGCGTGGACGCGGACATTGAAAGTGCTCCGGAAGGGGTACTCGCGCGATCCAGATCTAGAACGGCGATTGGAGGATCATGTGGAAGGTGAGCTTTTTTGAAACTGGCTTGTGCGGTCGAGAGTCACTAATCCTGTGCTCTTTAGCCAAGTTCTTCTCCTCGGATGTCAAAAAGACAATGGACGGATATGTCCGAGATAAAACACCAGGTGTCACATATACACCAACAATCAGTGGTGGAGTCGGCAAAAAGGCTCTGCGTCATTTCTACGAAAACTTCTTCATTGGCAAACTCCCCGCATCAATGCGACTCCGTCTTCTCTCTCGCACCACAGGCCCAGACCGCATCGTGGACGAGCTTTATGTAAGCTTCGAACATACCCAAGAAGTCCCATGGATTCTCCCAGGTGTGCCACCAACAAACAAGCGCGTCGAGATTATCCTTGTGAGTATCGTCAGCATGCGCGGTGGTCGCCTCTACTCCGAGCACGTATACTGGGATCAAGCCAGCGTTCTTGTGCAAGTCGGACTCATAGATCCGAAACTCCTCCCTCATGGAGTTCAAGGCGTTGACCGACTCCCTGTTGTCGGCCGCGAAGCCGCACGCCGAATCCTCCATGAGGATACGGAGCTTGAGCAGGAAGATTATCACAACAAGATGATTAAGCGGGCTCGCGCGCGTGCGCGCAGAAATCAGAACTTGAGTTCGCGTGCTTCGCAGGCTGCTGAAGATTCTGGGACAGAGTTCCAGAGCGAGGCTGGACGGTCTTTGCCTGATAGAAGTCGGAATAAGGGGAAGAGTGTTCAGCAGCCCAGTCAGGCGGACCAGGAGGATGAGGGTGCTGAGACGGAGACGGAGTCGAATGTGGCAGCTAGGTCGGAGGCGGGCGAGAATGGGAAGCATTAGTGACTGCACACTTCCTGCCTTTGTCGTGATGACTATCAAGATATTGCGGTGCCTCGTTTTGGTTTGAGGGTAATGATTCATCGTTGACAAGGCACAAGCACGGCTCGAATTTTGAGCGCGTTTCAGTTCTTTGGGGCTTTTCTTGAAAATCATTGGTGTTCTTCCTATTTGTATTTTCTGTCTAGCGTTGGTAATAATCATGAATCTGGCTTTTCTTCCTTCCTTCTTTTCCTCTTCTTCTCAAATATCCTTTATGGTATTTCAAGATGAAGTTACACTTTGTGATCCCACCGCATACGATCTGTTCGTGCTCCCTATCAATAGCTTGGCGAGATATATTAACTTGCTTAGTCTGTCCAAATTGCTCGAATGCTTTGGGCTTCGAGAGAGTCGATCCAAACAACGCAGCTGATTTTGCTGACTTTCCGGAGCGCCTGAAGGTTGTATGTCATACATGCCCTTTTACGTGCAACATCCAAGAAGTTGCTATCCCATACATCGACTCGGATGACGAAGAGGAACATAACACAGAGAAAAGGGACACAAGGAAAGAAAACACAGAAAAATGACAAGGAGACCGATGCCAACTAGACAGTCCGATTCGAACAGTGAGTTCGGATGATACACTTGCCGCTCAAATTAAACCAGCGGGTTGGAAGGTCGCCAGATTCCCTCTTTCTCAGTCAGCTCTTTCCTAGCCAGGTCACCCATATTTCTCAAACCGTGACTACCACCCTCAGAAAGCCGCCTCTGCAGCGTTCTGCCTGACATCTTATTACTACTACGAGGACCATTGATGGCCAAAGCAAGCGACCCCAAGAGCCTTTAAGTGCGCCAGGGATCGAGGGCACTCTCTGCAATGCTTTAACACTTGCCTTAAAAGCGTGCGGAAATCAATGATGAAAAGAGTGCAGCATTTATGCGCTGAGAGCCAGATTATTCCTAGCTGAGACCAGATACCTTTCATTTTCATGCTCTTTCCTCTTCTCTTCTCTTCTCCCTGGTTTCTTGTTTCAATACAGCATGTATAGCTGTCTACCTTCCGCCCACACTGTATCAAGTGACTTTATAACACTCACATGGCTTAGTGGTACATTTTCGACCTCGTACATACTCTCACAGTATTTTCCAACTTTACCATGAACAGAGAACTAACCAAGGTCGGAGATAAAAATCCTCGTCGGTTCCGGGTGTGGACGTATCTTGATTTTTTATTTTCCAATTTCCCGCTCGCCGAGCTAGTTATAGGTATTAAAGAACAGAGGATCAGGGTTTCAAGAAGGAGATGGAGTGAAGGAAGAGTCGTATGTCTTGGGTACGGACTTGTTACGTTTTAGGTTTAGACCCATGGCGCCTTGATGCTTCCGCATTGGTTTCCCGACGTCATGCAATGAACTTCGTGCTTACCCCCAATCAACAACAATCAAGTACTGGACTTTCTCTATTGTAAATAACCAGATGTATACATCAAAAATATAAATTGTCCCTGGGATCTCACTCTAGCAATCTAGAGTCTACGACATACTGCAATCGCGTCACCGCAGCCACATCCTAAATGGCGCGTCATTCCCATTTCCAGCAACAGCGTGAACCTTTCAAGTCTCATCCCAGCTTCAAATTGAGAGAGGACCATGTAACAGGTCCATTCTCCTTTCTCAACCCAACAACGGCACGTTACTCGCCAACCAGCCACCCATATTCAGCATCCCTAGATTCAGAAGGCACTCGTTCCCAACCAAACGTCGAGCGTCTATGGCGCTCGCGTGACAACAGAAAAGGTCGCCATGCCCTCCGTATCAACGACCAGGTCTCACCACAAGAACGGACTTTCACAACTCCACAACTAACCCGCTCCGTTCCGGCGATATGCAAAGGAATTCTTCGCATGTTCAGCTACGCGCCTTACTGGGACGTATCATATTTGGTAGCCACTACTTTCACACTGGGATCGGTGATTTGGATCATCAATGCATTCTTCGTGTGGCTACCGCTTGTGAGCCCGAAAACCGAGTTCTCGGGAGAGTCCTTGGTTGGAGGTGGCGTGACGGCATTTATCGGTGCCACCATTTTCGAGATCGGGAGTGTGCTGCTTCTTCTCGAGGCTGTGAATGCGAATCAAACGGATTGTTTTGGCTGGGCGCTTGAGACTGTTCTCTCGAAAACGGGGGATGATGGCGGTCATGAACGTGCGCGGACGGAGATCCGCCCCAGTACGCAGGAGTGTCGACATCATCATGCGAATCGGAGATCGTTCTTGCGGGGAAAGCATTTGCGGGCTGGTGACGAGGATGCTACTTCAGATGATCTTGGTTATGTTACCTCTTCCTCGGATGGGAGGACTTTTCGGTGGATTCCTTCTGCTGAGGAGTTACGCACGCATTATTTCCACGAGTTGGGCTTTCTAGCTTCGCTGGTTCAGTTTCTCAGCGCGACTATTTTCTGGATTGCTGGGCTTACGGGTCTTCCTGGTATTTATGGTAACATGAGTCAGGGCGTTATGGACGGAGTCTACTGGGTTCCGCAGATGGTTGGTGGAGCGGGGTTCATTTTGAGTGGACTTTTGTTTACCCTTGAGACTCAACCCAAGTGGTACATTCCTGCCTGGCATGTCCTGGGCTGGCATATTGGCGTCTGGAACTTTATTGGTGGAATTGGTTTCACCCTTTGTGGTGCTTTGGGTCCGGCGAGCTCTCATTCCGGTGTTGAGTATCAAGCCACGCTTGCTACCTTCTGGGGTTCTTGGGCTTTCATGATCGGCTCTACTGTGCAGTGGTATGAAAGTTTGCAGAAACATCCGGTTGAGAAAAGGAAGTGAATATTGGTTTGCAACAAATACAGGTTTATGATACCGCGGTCACCTGTACCTTTTTTATGATCGGGTGCGTGAAAGCTGTCTTGTTTTTGAAACACTGTGCTCAGCAAAGGGGAGTATATACATATGTGCTCAGACCCCCGATTTCAATCCTTTCCGCCATTCATTTCTCTGATTCATTCAAGGCCCCATCACTGCTGTACAAATTGCGTGGCATGTTTCTTGTATAAAGTACTAGAATCCAAAACCTCCCCAGTGGAAGACCTCAAAAAGTCAACTTGCAAGTTTTGTGCGTCCAAGAACTTTAGCGTACTATAGCTATAGTCATCGGCATACGCAAACTCCGTATAAGAAGGCTTAGAGCCAACGTCGCTCAATCCCTCAATATTGCCAGCCCCACCAGCAACGATGTACATCGGCGCCTTGGGGTTGTTCATCCCATTAGGATCAGCGGTGCCATTGACCACAGGCAGGAAACGCTGCGAGTTGTGCACATGACCAAAGACGCCGAGATCAACGCCGTACTGATAGAACAAGCCTTCGAAAGCCTCCTGGCACGAATCACAAACGTTCGAAGAACCAGTCGAGTACCAAGGCCGGTGTCCAGCGACAATCAACCACGGCGTAATTGTGCGATCGACGGATGCGAGATCAGCCTTCAAGAACTCGATTTGCTGATTCGTCGAGCCAAACGGTCCACCATTCAACTTGGCCGAACCATCTTTTCCGTCTGGTGCATTGGGGAAGTCGGTTTCCGTGTTTATCATCACGACGTGCGCCATGCCGTACTCGAACGAGTACCAGAACGGCGGGTTAGACAGGCTGCGCGCCTTTCTCGCCAAGGCTTGTGCGGTGGTATTTGATGACAAGGAGGCGAATGAGCGGGGCATGGTATTCTCGAAACGGTGCAGGAAATCCGTGAAGTTATTCTGTCCTTTTGGGCAGAGGTTGTTCAGGTACGGGATCTCGCTGCAGTCGGCTTCGTGGTTCCCCGGGCTGGCCATGTATAGCTTGCGGCCGGCAATGGGGGCGAGTTGGTCGTAGAATTGTTCGAGGATGGCCTCGTAGGCTTCTTTGCCGTCGAGAATGTTCGAAAACTTGAGGTACCAATCATCGGCGTAGGCGAAGTCACCTGGGTGGATGACGAGCTCGTAATCATCTACTGTTTCGGCGAGGCGGCCGATTGTAGTGTGGTTAAGCTCTGGTTCGATGACGGGGATGGTATCCTTTTTCCTGCTTGAGGTTGTGAAGCCGTCTTTTCCGTAAACGCCTAGGTCGATCACGACGTCCATGTTAAAGGCTGTCTTATCACCTGGTGTGCGAGGACTGAGGAAGTGGTCTACGGTCGAATTGGTCGACTCGATCTTGTAATAGTATGTTGTCGCAGGAGTCAGGCCTGTTAAGATGGCCACATTCGACCATGTCCGGGAGGTTGAATATGTAGTTGACGAGGATGAACAGGCTTTGATGTTCAGGTTGTCTGCTGACAAGCCATATTGTACACATGTTTGGTTCAGCTGCTCATATGTGTTCCAGCCAACGGACACCGCTAGAGAAAACACGTCAATGGGGTTGATCTGGGCTTTGTTGCATTTGATGTTGTATTCTTACCGTTGGGGCCATAGACTGCGAGTCGCTGTTGGAATGGGGTGGTCAAATCCTTCGGGATTGAAGGATAATTGACACTGGCATAGGCACAGCCGGCCAGAACTGGCACAGTCTTCAAAAACGAAATCCCGACCATCGTGAAAGGTTGACCGACAATGTCTGAGCTGTCAATACTTTACAAGATAGACCGCCATACCAAGCTCTATATGTAGTTCTATCTTTCGGCACAGGCGCCCTAAGCAGCACATGCTTCCATACTTCAAGATGAAGTTAGGGCCAATCATGTTTGCAAACCAACCCACGGCTTTCGGCGTGCAGATCGTTTTCTTGTTATGCATTGTCACCCAGACCCACCACATTCATCAGGCACGGTCGATTGTAATACTTTAGGCTTAGTGCAGGAACAATGTATACAAATTTCGGAGATAGTTAAGCTTTCGGTAACGGGTAATCTGGACATCGGAAGTTATGTATTGGCCGAGCCGGTTTAGGGCCCACGTGTAGAAAGTTCACGGATCGGTTGGTTTTCAGAGAAATTTAATTTGATTGCACGTTTTTATTAATTTTATCTAGTCCCAGACCTCGGGAGAATTTTAATGAAGAAATGAGGCAAGCTACTGCGAGGATTGCATAATGGCATTAATGCCGATATAAGCACATAGTACGACGAGTAGACAGGATATGCATATATGCATAAGGAATTAGGCCGCATTCAACAGGAAACTTCTAGGAAACTTTCTAATACTACATCTTATTATGCTACGGCTTATCTAGATATATCTCTCTCACATCCTATATAAACTTCTTCACGATGATCATGACTTGGCCAGGTTTCCTTGACATTCCAGTTCAATTACCCAAGATGCACATAAACTCCAACAACAACGCCGAGACTCTATCCACACGACGTAATAATTGATCACTCTTATTCAGCCTGTGTGCCACTCCCTCCTCCTGGCTTTCACAGTTATAATGGGTCGTTTCCCGTGCAGATCACGAGGCTCTTCCAGATCTATGGAATATGAACTATGTGTGGTCCTGTGAGCAGGCTCGGGTACAACTCGCTCTGCGATATCAAAGCAGTGCTTGTCTGGTTTTAAATATGCACTTCAAGTGATTTTTTCAGTTGCCAAATGTGTTCTTTTAGGCTTCAATTAACTCATAAACATGGTTTCTGTTAAGGGCGAAGTTGAGTGTTGTCTGGTTTTGCAACGCGTATCCGAATCGTTGCAGGGGGGCCAACGTGGATTTCAAGTAGTTACATCACTCTGTAAACCTTTTCGTTCGGCCCCCAAAATAAATGAGACTTTCCCCGCACACGAAACCTTGGTGATTAGTTCATTCATTCGTGCTCAAAGATTTTGCATATAGAAATCCTTCCAGTCACACTTTCAAGAAGGTAACAGGTCGTTCAACCCGGTACGTTTCAAAACCTACGTAATTAGTGGAGTTATATTCTTTTCAGGCCACTCATACCTCCTAGACCAAAACCTTGATCACTCGTTCGTTGTCAATTTTCTGATCACGCTTACCCGGAAGATATCCATTTGTGCAGCCATGGGGTGGTTGAGCAGCTTGTTCACGAGTTCTGCGAAGTCAGCAAAACAAAAAGGAAAAAGCCAAGAGAGTAAAGAACACAGTCGAAGAGTTCGTGCGCGAGAGAAGGAGCTCCGTCGTGCGAAAGAGAATAGTGAAGGTAAACAAGGGACCTTTTTCTGGGGATCGCCAGGTCAAACATACGAGAGTAATGTTCGTGGTCCGGGCGAAGGAGTTTGAATCATGACGATCGGTGGACATTTCCCTGGACCGATTTGATTGTAAAGGCTCATCAACCAATATGTCAAGCATTGAGACCAAGATGACAAGGAAGCGTCCAATTCGCGATTGTATGAGTTGTCTAATAAACAGCTGTTGTTGTGTTGGTTCTGCTTGGATCAGACCTAGATACGTCTGATCAATTTGTGTGTGGTTTAAAATCTACGCAGGCTATAAGGTCACCGCTTTCAAATCACAATGGATTGCTAAGATGGTGCTAGAGCCTTATAGTAGAGAGAAGAGATTCGATAAAAGACTGTGCCTTACGAGGACTATATATATACGAACAGGAATTAGCGAGAGGAAATCCACATGGTCTATAAGCCGAACTACTTTATGAGCTTTATCAAGCGCCACTATACGACCAGCATCTGTGTTTTGTTCCAAGGAACAAAAATGTTATGAATATATATTAAAAAGGGAGGGGGTAAAGCCGCATTAGAAGATATACACCAATCTAGGCTTAGTGTAGGAGCAACACACTTCGACAGTGCAGATCCTGGACGCTGTTAAGCTGATATGTTGGATATTGACCCGGTTTATCCGCAGGGACTTTGCAGATCGGTCATCTCTTGAGTGCGGTACCTAGGGATGCTTATCGATAAAATCACTGCTACTAGGGAGGCACTTTGAATTCTCGAGTTGGCCAAATTAATCCTTGGATTCATCCCGGGATATAGCTCTTAGAAGCTTCAGCCATTCATTCATTCGTCAGATTATCGATCGATGAGCTTGATATCCTCCATCTCATGGAACCCATCCAACCTGTTGCATTGGCCACTGCAGCCAACAACGATGCTCCTCGTCCAGAGAATAATATATGCCACTGATTGTATGGACACTAAAGCCCTGCATCCACCAAGCCCATTCCATTTCCTTCATAACGACACAAAAATATGCAAAAATAACCAACGACTCAGGTGTCCGCCGTCGAAAGTACTCGAAATATTCATCCGAAACCCGCAGCATCCAGATGAAAATATCAGCCGTCTCACAATTATGCGATCCAAGTTCTGCCACCGTGGCAAACGATTTTGCCATATCATCAATTGATTCATGATAACAATGCAGCTCACTCGGATCCAGAACAGAGTCTTCCAAGATCTGTTTCAGGGTGACTAAAAAGTGAGGTGTACCCGTGGCGGATCTGGCGTCTCGAGCCAGCTTTCTCCGATGACCCATAGCAAACATTGGTGCCAACGGACCTGTCTTCAGAGATTCGCCTGCCGAAGCAATGATTGAAGTTGTGCCACGGAAAAGGGTTAACCACTCTATATCTCTGTCGTTGTTTGACCAGAAATCATCTCTGAGACGCGGCTTCGCGCAGGAGATAAGACAGGTCAGGATGGAGAAGATATAAATACTCTGACTGTTCTCTTGGGTCACATTTGGCAGGATGGAAGAGACCATTTGCAAGGCTGTGTTATGATGCATTTCCGCTTGTTCTGTATAATGATCGTGAAACTCCGGTTTTAGATGTGCCAGATGCAGTGCGGAGAGAGCGAGAATGCCTCGGAACACGAATGGTGATGAGAAGCTAGCCTGTGGAATCCTAATTTGCCATACTGTTTGCAAAATTGGATTTCGCGATATCGTATAACAGGTTGATGTAGAGAAGTGATGCAGCAGGGCCATCTCTGCCATGCCCAAGCTATGTGAAGACGACTCGCCTGGCCCCACTGGTGAGATGGGGAGTGAGACAGGGCTGGTGATGTTCAGGGTACTACTAAAAGTAGCCGGATTAGGAGATGCAGACTGTATTCTTTGGCTGGAGCCTGCAGATTCCGGAAGTTCGCTGCCATATACACAATCAACCCCATGTTTGACGCAGTTGTTACAGTGCGGTCTGGTTTCATCGCACTATTGTTTGGGATACTAGCATAAGTATAAATTCCGTTCTCCTGTTCTCCTGTGAATTAACGTACCTTGACCTTGCGTGCTTTACACCACCGACATCCATTTCTAGACTTTTTGTGGGCGCGTCGAGGTCCCATTTCTTTACTGACTTGATGGGGATGCACGAAGTACCAATATCTTAAAGATAAGCAGAAAATGAGAGATATCAAAATATATGAAGAAAGAACAGTTTTTCTATAGAACGAGAAATGTAAAATGGAAAAAAAGAAAGAAAAGAAGTAAAAATGCGCAAGTTCCAATGCCAAGAAAACAAAATCGCCCCAAACCACAAAAGACCCGAAGGGTAAGCCGAAAAGAACCAATCGAACACCAATCCAATGGTACAAATCAGATGGATCATATAGATCATATAAATTATAAAAATGATTTGCCCGTTCCACATTCCTCATCGTTGTCCGTCATTTTTGCCAGTTCTGATCGTTTAGCATGTCGATCGGCTGCTGGAAAACAAGTTCTTGCTAGCCTTTTCAACGTCGCGTGGACTTGATCGGGGAGTCACCAAAGACTTGGGAGAGAAGATGTTGAAAGTGACCATGGTCAGGAACATCAAGGCAGCATCGAAAACATAGAGGTAAACCTCGGTGGACATCAGAGGACCATCGGTACCAGTGATGTACTCAATGGCACGGAAGATAGAGCGAATCATGATGAAAACACTGGCAATGTACAAGACATAGAGGCACTTCTTCCAGGGCACAGTAATGGCAGATCTGGTATCGCAATCACGAGACTTATAGAGGCGGTAATGGAAGACACCAGCGGTGATGACAAAGAATCCAAAGAAGGCAATCTGGATGAACAAACCGGCGATAATGATGTTTTGGCCGAGATTGACCTTAGACTGGGTTTTGGCTGAAGAGATAAAGCCGCCTCCTGCACACTGGGCAAGAAAAGAGATCACATCGCCGCAGACAAAGATCTTAGTGAGCCACTTGACAGGGATGATAGAGAGCGAGTCGTGCCCAGTGGAAACCATTGAGCGACCGAGGATCATGTAAATAGATGCAGCAAACAAAGCTGGCGCAAGAAGGAGCAGCAATGATTGCATGGCGTATGGAATGGTCTTCCAGTTGGGACTTTCTTGGGAATTGAGATAGCGAGCGACATATCCTGCGATTTCGACTGAGGACAGGTTAGCTTTGCATATTGTTAATTGATATCGAGTATGAACTTACAAAATCCACCAACGATGAAAGCAGTGAAGAACCACGATCGGTTCCTGATCATTTGGACAAGGTGGACCGTAGTGGTCAGCCCAAACAGCACGATGAAGATGATCGCCGCAACCGCAGAAGGGTTGTAGTGGTAAAGGATGTAGGTGGAGTCGTTGGCCATAGCTGCGGTAGTTTAAATATACTTAAAGTAGAATAAGAAAGGTATGTGCCAATTGTTGGATAGAGAGAGAAGAGTGGAATAGATGTGTGTGAATCATAGTTCTACTGGAGGTTGAAGGCATATTTATATTAGCAGGATTACTGCTTTGCCGTATATTCCCTGCATCTCTTTCAGGTAGTTTACTGGAAAAAAGCTGTTTTGGTGAGCTTTCACGTACTCGGATTGGAATCCGAAAGGATCTAGCTTGCTTGCTTCTAGAAGGTTATTTTAGGGGATTAAGACCGGGGCTGGGGAAGATAGCTGCCAGACAATTTAGGCTACCAAATAAAGTATCAAACAAGCCAACTACTATTGACCTCGCTATTGAATATATTGAATAAAACCTCACGTTTTGCAGACCCATCAAACCCTAGATCGTACGGAGTAAATGTTTGAAGATCATTGATCCGAACCCGAGATAAAGCGAATGAGAGTGGATAAAATGAAGGTGAAGTTCTCTGATTGGTCACTGTGTTCGGGTTCGCAAACATTAAAACTTTAGTGTTCTTCGTATTCGGATTCGGCATTCGTAAAGTCTACTCCGTACACATCTATCTAAAGAGTGACGTCCCCACCCACGACCACGAAATGCAAGTTTCCTGATGCTTTTTACAACTCTTGATTCTATGCTGCCTAAATGCTTCCAACGAGTCAATTGTTCTGCCTGAAACCTCAGCCCTAAATCACGCGGTAGAATAATAATCTGAAATATTGGACCGAACCCGAGACTCCACTACGATCACCATGGAGAATACTCAAACCATACTTAGTTTCAACGTGGTTGAGAGTGGAAATCTCTTTGAGCACGGCTACCATGAAAAACAGGAGGTGCAAGATTTATAGCTATCTTTAAATTGCGATCATCCCCTGCGGTTATTTGAGAATTATCAACTACAGATTCGAATCAAAATCAATCTGTGCCACTCTCAAAATGCAGCTTCTTCTTCCCTTTGCTGGATTGTCCCTTTCGGGCCTGGCATATGCTAGCTCAAGCAGCGCCAGCGCCTCTGCAACTCTAACCGGCTCTCTCGTCACTTCATCGGGTACTCTTCAGGTTCCCAAGGGAGCTTCGTGTGCTTGTGCCAAGCTTTCTCGCTCAATTCCCGGAAGCGTTATCCTCCCTGGATCGACAAACTATACAACTCAGACCGTCGATAATTACTGGGATATTCGTGCGGACCTTTCTCCTGCGTGTGTTTTGGTGCCCAGTTCTGCTTCTGAGGTCTCCCAAGCACTCAAGATCATCACTTCCTGCGATTCGCAGTTTGCCGTTCGTGGTGGAGGCCACATGAACGTGAGTGACAATGTGTTGAGGCTTGAGAATAACTAAAAGCTGATAATTCAATAGTACCCCGGAGCCAACAACATCGATGCCGGAGTTCTAATTGCTATGTCCAAATTGAATGCCGTCAATGTTAAGAATGATACTGTGGAGGTTGGCCCTGGTCTCAACTGGTACCAGGTGTACTCTGCTCTTGAGCCTCATGGCCGCGTTGCCATCGGTGGCCGTATGAAGACCATTGGTGTCCCCGGTCTTACCCTGATTGGTGGTTTCCATTACTTCAACAACAAGTACGGATACGCCATGGACAATGTGGTCAACTACGAAGTCGTTCTTGGCAACGGTACTCAGATTACCGTCAACAAGAACTCGCACTCCGACCTCTTCTGGGCTTTGAAGGGTGGTGCCAACAACTTTGGAATCGTTACCAAGTTCGAACTGAAGACTTATGCCGTTCCCAAAGTCAGCACTACTATCCAGGCGTACAACGAGACCCACATCCCCCAGTATCTGTCTGCTGTTTGCGAGGCCGCCAAACTGAACGACATGGACCCCATCGCTGCAGGCATGATCGCAACAATCACCTACAACGCGACTACCAAGATCGCACAGGGCTCTGTGCTGGGTGTGCAAGAGGGTGTTAGCAACCCCCCTTCTCAATTCGCCAACTTTACCAAGATTCCTGCCGTTCAGAGAATCAACAATGTCACCACCATGAAGCCTTGGGCCAACGCACTTGATTCCCCCAAGCAGATGTTCCGCGTTCAATTCTCCCACAAGACCATGAAGCCCGATGCCAAGGTTCTCTTCTCCATCTACACCGCGTGGAAGGCTGCCGTTGACAAGATCGCTGATGTCCAGGGTCTTTACCCCACATTTGTCACCAACGTCATTTCTCCTACTTCAATCCGCGTGGCCAAGACCAACGGTGTCGGCAACGTATGGGGTCTCGAGGAGGAGCCTCTGATCATCTGGCAACTCAGCACCGGCTGGGACTTGGCCCAGGATGATCTTCGCATGCAAGCTTGGTCTCAGCAATTGTCTGAGCACCTCCACGGTCTCGTTAAGGATTTGGGTCTTGCCTCTGAGTTCGTCTACATGGGTGATGCTGGCGAATGGCAGGATCCCTACGCTGGTTTCCCTGCTGAGAACGTGGCTCGCATGAGAAAGATCAGATCCGCTTACGACCCTGCTGGAGTTTTCACCACTCTTAGCTGGGGTGGTTTCAAGCTAGGCATGTAAAAAGCTTTATTTGATGTCCAATGAGCTGTGAAACTCCCAGTGAACCGAGCAATGGGTGCTTTCAGTATTCATTTGTATAAATGTTGTGTATAAGCTTTTCTGTATAGAATTGAATCCATTTTCGTCATACTAGGAAGGTTAAGATGTTGGTCAAATTAGAGTCCCATTACATGAAGAAACCAAGATAATCACTTGGGATCATTTCACTTCATCCACTAGTCGATAGAGTTTTTAAGAGCCACCAATAGCAATGCTCCAGGAATGGCAATTCGCCAGCCTCACACAAATTATGTTTGACCTGCCTTTTCGCCAGAGATGAATAACCAATAGAATTGCTGCATCTCCTGACGGTCAAGCATATTCAAGCCTTCTTAGAGGCGAATAAACGTTCTTCGGAATGTGGGAGCAAGCCTACATACCAGGTACGATCCCCGATCGACGCTATATAACCCTTTTGGGATTGGAATGTACAATGAACAAATTTTTGAAAGCACACTCGAGTTTAATGACATTTGCCAGCCCCTGAGTATGACGTTAGCCTTTGGAAGCGGTCCATATCCAGCATCATATTCATTCCAGTCAATTTTCCCCCGCCATCTCAAAAAGGTGTGCCAATGATGGAACATCGATGTTGGTGGATATATAAGACCGATGGACCTCGATCAGAGCATTTCATATATCCTTAAACAAGTTCATCTCACTATCCAGGTAACACTTATCAGTGTTTGGATAACTAAACGCTATCATGCACTCTCTCACCACCTCATTCCTCTCTCTTTCCTTGCTATCAAGCACAATCTCCGCTCAAACCACCGCAAGAGTGTGGACACACTTCTACCCCAACTGCCCAGGCGAACCCTTCTCCAAACTCGACACCTACGAGAACTATGAAGAAAATGCTCCGTCGCAAGATATCACCATCAATAGCTGCAAAAACATTGCAGTCCCCTCATACGAGCGCAGCATTGTCAGCGCAATCTCCGTCGATGCAGAGCTTCTCTCCCACAACCACGACCTTCCCTTCCTAGAAGGCGGCAGTGGATGCAATGTCACCATCCACGAGGTCCCAGAATGCATCGACCCACCCCTGATCAGCCAAGAAATCCGCAACGGCGTAGAAATCAGCCAATGCGAGCAGCGCCAATTCGCAGCTTATAGTCAAGTTTGGATAAATCTTGTCTGCGACGAAGATAGTCCGCTCCACGACACCAATGTTCCAACGCCAAGCAATGCAGAGAAAAAGCAAGCAGATGTTCAGCAGGGCGTGCCTACCAACCAGCCTGATGCCCCTGTTCGCGTTGAAAAACAGACGTCCGTTGAAGATATCAATAACATCCAGACGCCGGGCTCAAATTCGGATTCTTGGCATTTGTCCCAGATCTCGAACAACCAGCGTGAGCCGTTGCAGGAGAGTCGTGTTAACAATGCTGGTCATGCGGAGAGCCAGCATATTGTTCATGAGATGATGGAGCTGCTGAAGAATAAGACTTCCAAGATCATCTCTGGGAAACACAATGCCACTCATCATCACTCGAACCTTGCTTTGCATCACAATGGTACTGCAGCAGGTAATCACACTGTGATGTCTCGTCGGCGTTTGTCTGTTCTGCGGAGCCGTGTGGCTCGCTTCATTTAAGGGAAGGACTCAGAGATGTGGGATTTCTAAGCGTTTGACTTAATATGGTTTATGAATTTGTGAAACAAAATGTGTATACTAGATATCAATCAAAAGCCACTGTGATATGTCAAGAAGTTTGGTTCCACGTAGACTAGTTAAGCAAATTTTAGAGCGGGTGTGAATTATCTCTCGGATTCAGACAAAGCTGTAATTACCAGAAGTATTTTCCACATTAGCCTACCCACTTTTTCTACAGCCAACTTTGAGGTGCTGGGTTCTATCTACTACAAGACTAAGTGAAAGAGGCGAGCACAAAAACGGAAAAATAAAGGTTCCAAAGACCAGGCACCATTCGGCACGTATGCTTGTCAAATGAACGATCAATCGGTCGATAAATTATGATGTATCATCCTAGAAAATAGTACATTGTGAGAGAACACAAATAATTATCTAACCTAGAACCCAAAGCTGTCCAGCAACGAATTGGCATCTGGCTCATGGAACATTGTAGGAGGCGGTTTGGGCTTCGACTTTTCTTCTTTCTTCGCATGGTCCGTAGTTATCTCGGTGGTCACAGGTTTATGTACTGTATCTGCCAATCGCACGGGCATATCAGCAACAACAAGGCTGCTCCGCCGACGAAGCAATTTCCGATAATCGACGCCATTCTCATTCATCTCAAGAGATGTGTTGGGCTTCATGGAATCCTGGGTGGGTAGTCCGCCAAGGAACTCCCAATGTCGAACCAAATCTAGAGCGAGGAGATCGCAGCCCATACGGTCGTAGAGTCTGGCATTGCGAAGAACGAATTCCCACTCTTCTCTTGGACGCACTTTGGAAGCACCTTTAAGAGTTTGGAGCGTCTTCTCGCGGAGTTGATGGTATAGAACCACCAAGGCAGGATCATTGGAAAGATATGATTTTGATTGGAGGGTCACACAACCTGGGCTTCCAGGAGTGGCGGGAGTCGCCGTTGATAGGAGGGTCTCGACAGGTGACTAAAGTTTATTAGCTCGATATTGATGATTGTGTAAAGTTTGCACTCACGATCAGTGCCCGCACTGCCATATCTCGCCGTCCAAGCATCCAGAAAGCCCAAGAAGCCATCCAGCGATTTCCTCCGGAAGCGGCCTCAGGCAGGAGTTTCTCTTCTAGAATCTCTCGAAGAACCGGTCCGTTGTCTCCTTCATAGGCTCGAGTGATCGCGATCGCGAGCTGAATATCACCCATTTGGTTAATGATGACGTTTGCAGCGTCTCGCAGGTGGTCCGCAAGAAGAAAGAAAGATGCAGCATATTCTATAAATGATTAGCTGGTGGTCTTCATTCGTAGATGATAGGAAATTCGGGTTATATTAGCTTACCAAATCGTCGCCTTCCGAGCAATGCATAAGCATTCTTGAGCGCAGCCGTCTTCCACCGTGGTTCTTTGAAGTCATTTGCGAGTAGACGCTGAGTAGCTCCTTGTTCACGGTTCCAGTGTGCGATACGCCATAGCCCTTGGAGAACATTCTTCTTCCCAAGGGCGAGGTAATAGAGAGTGCAGTCAATGGGGTTCCTCTCCTCCGTCTTGGTATATTCGGACCGAGCAAGGATTTCAAGTTGGGTTCTCTACTCTAGCAGTTAGGTTGCATTCGAATCCGCGAAAGGGAGAGAATAGGTACGTACCACGGCGATGGGGTCGGATAGCCACATAAACAGACCACTTTCCCTAGCTGCCTTCCATGTTAATTTTCCATTGAATTGCCGAGATACAAGATCTGTTAGGATATCTTGGCTACTACTGTAGAAAGCCCATACAATCTCTCGCCACGAGACAGTGTCTTTATTTGCTACTCCTTGACTTCTTCGTAGCATGTGTTGTCGGAAAAACAGGAGATAGCGTGCCGCATTATCATCCATTGAGCGCCGGTGCTTCTCGACCATGGCAACACATTCAATGGTATCGGCCAGGCGGAATTGTTCATGGCTTGACAACTGAGGCAGAGCGATGCGTGCTAGACACTCATTGAGTGCAGCTGCGGCCTTCTCATCGATGACAGATGAGAATTCTTCTTCGGTGGAATCAAGATAGGAAGAGCGCATTTCTTTGGACACCGCTTGTTGGGCACCCTGGATTTGTTAGCATTGAAAAGAAATGTTACATTATTGGTACTTACATCTTCCTCGTAAAAGCAATCAACGGGCATTTCAAGGAAGCCATCCAATTCATCACCCTCGGTGTAGAACTTCAGCTTCCGATGCAAATTCAGCAATATTGAGTGTACCAAGCTAGTCTTTCCGGCCAAAATACACTGTGCCAAATATTGTGGATGGAAAACAGGCAATGGACCGTTGAGTCGACTGACAACATCGAAGAGATCCACAGACGCAAGCCCTCGAGAGGGCATTCGAAGTTCAGATACCAAACGGTCGCCGACATCGATGTTCTTATCGTAAACAAACAACTGGTTTCCAGCTCCGATGACCAAATTTCCATTGTTCAGCCAACAGGAATCGCCTATGGGATGAGGCGTGAGATCGCGGATCCAAATCTCCCGAACTTGAGTCCATGAGGGCCTGGAATCTAGGTAGTCATAGCGAAGCTGCGACAGAAGAACAACCTTATGTGGAAATCCTACAGCTAAGATCGACTGCTTGTCAGGTGTTGACGTCCAGTCGAGATCCCGAATGCTATCATGTGAAGCAAAATGTTCCTCAAACTCCAGCTGGGCATTATTAGTGTCCCAGATCGTGAGATGAGTCCGGTCCTCGTCAACTAGAGCTGCCTTGCGAATAGAGCTACCGCTAGCCAAACTTGGATTAGTGATGCCTGTATCAACGGTAGATTGGAGGAGCCAGTTAATCTTCTCGTTGGTTGGATCAACCTTTGCTGTCCATGTCCGCACGACTCCACTGTGGGTATAGGAGAGAGCAATATCGGTAGAAAAGGAGTCAAAAAACCTGGAACTTTCGGTTTTGGGACCAGCAGGGTCCACTGGCAGAATGTATGCGATATCTTCTTTCAGGCCCATGTCAAATGTGCAAAATTCTCGTAAAGTATGGTTTTGGACATTTCCAGACTTTGCTTTCCGGTCGTCAAGACTAGGCGACCGTACTTCCCATACGATGCCATGCATGTCTGCCCATATTGTTGCTATGTAGGCAACACCTGTTTTCGTTTCAATACTTGGAATTGGCAGCACACATAGTGGTTTTGTAGGCACAGTAAAAGGTAAAGAAGCCACTTTCTTGGAATGATTCGCACTGAAATCCCAAAGCGAAATCCCATTGTGATGGAGATTGACGAGGAGATTGGCATTCTCAATCACACACGTCCGGTGGATATGTTCATCGGAAAATAGAACGCTCTTGTATGCTAAAATTGACCCGCCATCCTGGCGCCGCTGTCTCCATACCGTAGCTTTATTTTCATTGGTACGCGACACCAATGTATCACCAGTCGCATTGCGAACAATCTTCTTCACAGGAGCAGTGTGGCCAGACCAAGAGGCAGTTTGGCTGATTCGTTTCGTACGAGGTGCAGGATCAAACAGAACATCCACTTGCGAGTCATACCATTCGATCCGACCGTCAAAATGATGTACTAAGATGCTCAACTTGTCATCAGATGGAGTACTCTGGAACGCACGGATTTGAGCATAGTCCTCCAGTGGTGAGCGATCAAACGCAAATCCGAACCCCAAGCCCTCGACATGCAAGATGTTGAATACACTCAATTTGGTCTTCGCTTTGGAGCCGATATCTTCCAATGCCCACGCAGACATATGCCCCTGGCCATCAGTGACAACGCAGATCTCCGGTGCTTTGCTCGCAACCTCGATGATATGTTCCAATGCATGATTTTCTTTATTCCCAGTTGTTCGCTGAATAGCACGTTCAGTTGCGACGCAGAAATCGCGGCCATCCAAGATAAAGCCATATCGCCGTTGCGGGTCTTGGTGCTCATCCGATGCATCTCTAGGCTGGACCGACTCTCCCATGTCAATTTCTGTCCATAACTGTAATGCAGAAAGCGCATGGTGATCCGTAACGGCCCATACGCGAATCTTGTTGTCGGCGCAAAATGTATATAGAACATTGTCCATAGATTGCTCGGGGTGCCGAGGTAAACGCCAGTGTATCCCGGTTACGACATTCGGATGAGATAGATATGAGACCTCGAATCGGACCTCATCTGCGCCAAAGGCAAGTCGTCTCCACACCTTCGCCAAGCGATCATATCGTCCTACTGTAACAATCAAAGATGAATCGGGCGAGAGTTGCGCGAATTTCACCGGTGTCGCAAGCTTCCGTTTCCAAACTAGACGTGGTTCATCATTCATAAACCACAGGGCGAGGCGGGAGTTGCCCACCAGAAGCTCGTTCGGGGAACCCCACGAAAGTGTATAGATCGGTTCATCGTCATCGGGGGCGCGGAATGTATAAAGAAGAGACCACTAGATCAATCAATGAGTCAATATCAATTGAGATTCTCTGCATGCTTCTCTGTCCTTATAGGCCAGGCTCGGGGAGGTGGGTTGTATGCGCACCTTCAGTGTTTCACCCTGGATGCCGTATGGCTGATAAACGAACACATCAGAGCCACCACAAACGGCGATTCTCCCCGAAGTCTCGTCGATCGCTATGGCTTCAAGAACATCGGTATCGTCGACGTAGATCGTTTGGAGGAGTGTCTGCGGACCGCCGAGGATGACCAGCGCGTGGCCGGAGATGTATGCCTGTTAAGTGCGCGGGCAAGGGTCAGCGACAAGGAACTTTGGACTAGCGATGGAGCTGTAGGCCCAAGTTATGAATATCTAGGGATACCTACAACAACGCGGAGATCATCCCAGAACGTGGTGGTGAACGACTGAAGCTTGGCTGGGGGTCTGCCCGGCAGTACCGCTCGCATTGAGGCGGTTGGTTCGGAGGTGGGACGCTCGTTGCGCTCAGAGCCACGTTACTCCATTGCCAGTTCCAAGATGATATGTTGTCTATGAGTGACTCGAGCTGTAGAGGGAACGAAGGAGATAAGTTGAGTGTGTGGGGAGAGCGTTGTCAGGATAACACGCAGGGGACAGTGGCGGAGATCGATTACGCTGCCGCTCCACTCAGCTCTGGAGTGTGACGAGTCTCTCGAAGCCACATACAGCTTGGATTTTACCTAGGTAATCATGTATTTAATTTGAAAATTTCTGTTGGTTTGAATTAGATGTTAGTATGGGATAGCTACGCTAAATTAATTGTCGCATAGCTACCTGGGTACAGAGCTTAACGATAAGCATCTAATCAGCTCTCCAAGGCTGCGGTATATATTTGACCCCAGAATTGACCAAACCTGTAGATTTCAACTACGCTTTCCGACCCTAGGTTTACTCCCAGACAGGCAACGAACCAATGAAATGTGCATAGAACTCAGTCTTATGTCAAAATTTTGAAAGAGGCCACTAGTGTTCAAGCGTGATCGTCACATTCAATCATGGAAAAAGTACAAAATAGTATACCCAAGTCCCAAAATCGCTTCAACTCGCTATATATTGCGCCGGATGATGCATGGAATGAAACACGACCGCGCCTATCGACAGATAATGAGAGGAAACCTATAATCATCATGTACATGAAACTAAAGCCAATCGCAAGGTCGTAGCCCGAACAAAAACAAACATCAAGGTCGCCGATTCGCCGATCTGCGACCATCGGTCGGAGACTCGGGGGGTTCTTCGTCCACAAATCGGACACTAGTTCCTACCGAGCTTCGCCGACCAGTCCGTGGCCGTTTGGAAGATGTATTTAGAGCAGTGGTGGTCCCGGCGCGAAGGAGGCGACTTGCGAATGGTGTACGCAAAGGTGTAGCGGGGGTGGTGGACATTTGGGCGAGGGCTCGCGCTCGGGCTGCTCGTTTGGAGGGGGAGGTCGTAAAATTGGGTGTTCCTAAGGGGCTTGCAGAGATTGGATCATAAGAGGTGGCTTGGGAAGTGGCCGTGAAGTCGCTGAGTTTGAAAGGGGTTTCGGCCGGATCTTGAGACCACGGATCGAAGATCGCTGATCCGGCGCCATCGCCGTTGGCATTTCGGTAAGTTGAAATTGGACCTGGTGTCATGGATGGACCAGCAGAATCCCGAGCCTCAAGTTTCATGCGGGCATTGTCCACCCAGTCGCGGAGCATGTTTCTCGAGTGTTTCCGTAGATTTCTCTCACGCATGGCTTCAGCAGTTTCGACGTGGTTGCTGATCTGGAAGATGCGCAGGCTGAGCTTTCGAAGAGAACCAGACGCCAGTCGCAGGACGTGTAAACGGTATACATTATCTGCTTGGTCTTCCATCTCTCGGCGAATGATGAAGGTTTCGGACATTTGCATCAGCTGGTCAAATGCAACTTGTCGGAAATAGTTATCATCGACATCCCGGACTTCTTGAATCCTTTTGGTAGTTTTGTCGTGCCATTGAGTGAAAATATCAGAAGTGTCGACCAGCAACTTGTCGCGATCAATATCAGCAGCTTGTTGCTCCATATCAACAATTACTCGAGTTTTTGAGACCCAAGCAGACAATGCCTTGGATGCGATGTTGATTTTGACCATCCGTCGAACTTTTGCGTACGACTCTTGTCGACGCCGTTTACCAGAATCCACTTTGGCCTGGCGCCATTGGTTCATTGATCTCTTCATTAAGAAATAGGAACGAGCATCATGGGCCCAACTTTCCATCTTGACTGTTTGCTGATGCTTACTCCGCCAAATTGTAAGGGACTCAGCTGCCAACCGTGGAGCATAGAACTCTGACGCAATATACTCACGTTCACGCTGAAGATGCAATTGATCACGCCAAATCGCAAATTTGGACCGAATCAAAGACTCGGTCTGACGCTCCTCATGAGCTTCTGCATGGAACAGCAGCCGAGTGTACGTGTCCCGAGTGTTTGTCACGAATCGCGAGAACACTTCTCTTTTAATGCGTTGTTCGCGTATCCTTCGCATCAGTTCATACCGTTCCATCAAGATCCACTTGTACATAGCTTCCATTTTGAGACGCTCATCAATACGAGCACGGAGGGCCAAGCAGCGAAGGGTATCATTCCAGCAAATCCACGCATTGCGCTGGATCCGATAATGATCTACCTCTTCTGCTTCTTGGATCATCCGGGCCTTGTCGACCCACTGCGAGAGGGCAGTCCGCAAAATCCTAGTATCGACCATCACAGATACTTGAGAAGCAGCTGGGGCCAGCCGAGACTGTATTCTCCATTCATCAAAAGCTTTTCTCAGTTCATGTTGACGCCTAGAATTCTGAACAGCTTGCTCTGCTGTAATAATGGTTCTCGAGTGTTCAGACCATACCTGAAGTACCGACATCAGAGATGACCGTTTATTACGAAGATCTATCTCATGATCACGTTCTCGGATGGTTCGGAAATTTCGAAGCCAGGAAAGGAGTGAGCGCCTCTTTAGTCGGTAGTCGGACACTTCGAGAACACGTCGATCACAGAAACACCACCACCAGTGCCAAAACGACGACTTTTGGATTTGGGTATTGCGGACAGTGATTGCTTGGATTTCTGCGTCTTTGAGATCATGAACCTTTTTCCGCCACGCATTGAAGGGCCTTTTGAGTGCAAATCGTTGAGCCTTCAACTCATTAACAGCAGTGATTTCGCGCCATGCTTTGAAATATTTGACACCAAGGACATGCTTTCGCGCAGCAGATGTCCGAGCCACTTCCTCTGAGGTAAGCTGAGCCCAGTGACTGAAAGCTTTGGTCATCAGATATAAGTCTCGTGCACGACTGGCACGCGTCTCAAGGTGCTTGAAAAAACGATCTGTCCGAGCCGAGTGGCGTTTGTCTTGAATCACTCCTCGCCATGGATCGAAGGCTTGGCGGAGAAGGAGGCCTCGGTCATAATTGACAGCCAATGTTTCTCTGTTTTGACGAACTTGGCGAGCTTGAAAGGCCTTTTTCAACCAAAGAGTTAGAATTCGACGGCAGATCGATCGCTGTCGGTACATGTTGAACGTCGATGCATCCCGAAGTAAATCTGATAGTTGTGGACGATAAAGAAACTCAGGTGGTACCTCTTCTTTATCGAAAGAGTCATGTTCTGCGCTCTGCGACATAATCGACTCGACTCCTTGGGACTGTGAGCTGTCTGTGGATTCAATCGAGGGCGAGCGATGAGGACGCGAAGATTCAGCCGCTCTCTTTGAGCGATCGCGAGCAACAGCCGATCTCGCGATTACTCCATTAGTCAATGGAGATTCTTCCAAGACCTTGTGCTTGTTTTCCGAACCGTCAAATCTACTCAACAACCGCCGACCGACATCCAAAAATTGGCTAATCAACTGTGTTCGATCTGGTGATTTGGTCGGCCCTGGATCATGCTTGTGCGTAGGTGACAGTTTCGGCTTGGAAAAGTCGGGTTTTCCAACCTCAAGTCGGGACATTGAGGAGCGAGAGCTGGGTCGATTGGCAAAGCTTCTCTGTGTAGCATCTTCGCCAATATCATATGTAGTGTTGAACGATGCGCGCCGTTTGGGGGTTGGTGGTACTCCGCTCGGAATGAGAGAATTTTCGTGGTGGCGGTCGTGGTCATAGTCAATAGTCTGGCTATGGGTGACCTCCGCTGTATATTGGCCGTAGTCTTGTGTCTCATTGAGATTTGTTGATCCTTCCTCACCAATCTCAATCACGATCCCCATCTGTTGGAGCGCATTCTCGAATTTATCAAAGAGTGTCTCACCGTGCACACCTTTGCTTCCCATCTTGAACAAGAAGCGCAAGCACGCATGGCCCGGATCCGCGTTGACGCCATGATCGCCAATGGCTTCGTCGTATGCTTCGAAGAGCGCCCGGAATGGGAGTCGATCGGCTTCGGGTTTTGTCTCAGCGCCGGAGACAACCTGGTAGAGAAAACCGACATCTACAAACAAGTCAGGCTTTGGTCAAGAGCAATGTAGTTCCCATGGTGATTTACCATCGTCTGATAGAGATGAACTCTCTTCGGTCACGGCTCGGCGCTGTGAGGATATCGGAGGCATCGAAAATTCGCGATCTTAAGGCGCGCTGGTCGCATCTGGGTCATAGAGCTGTAGGACCAAATAAATCATCGCGAAAGCGGGGAGCGCCGAGGATAAGAGACATGCGCCAACAGGAACACGCTGCGATCAGCAGATTGAGAAAAAGAAACAACAGAGTAAAGCATGCATTAAAGCATTGAATCGGGTTGTTTTGGTTGGCGCGACACAAACATGCAGACTGATCACGTGGTATTATGTAACATTCCTGGATTTCTACACCAGCTTCACTTCAGTATCTCGCATTCCCAACTGAGCTATATTCTCTCAAATTATCCTCACAAAATGCCTGCGAGAACTCGGCCCATCGAGAAGATTGCTAAAGCCTCAGCCCAATGTTCTACAGAGGTTTGTGATTTTGTTGTTCTACTCTCAGATTGCATGACTGACTGGCTTGATAGGTAGCAGCATACGGAAAATGTGTTGTTACAGATTATAACTCGGTCCACAAAGATATGTGTGCCAAAGAGTTTATGAGACTCAAGAATTGCTACCTTGTGAGCCATGAGCCAGTCTATGAATGCGTTGCAATGCGATGGGCTAATCAATTCAATCTAGGCGGCATCCAAGAAGGGTTAAGCAAAAAGCCTGTGCCACACAGTATTTTGGCTTGGAAGCATTGGAAATATTTAACGATCTCAATTTGGGTACAACGGCGCAAGCGGGAGCTCTTGTAAAATATTGATATTAGATTTGGCCACCACATATTAGATAATGTGAATCATCAATGGAACTTCATAAAAATGGTTTCATTGAAAAGTAAAGAAATTTAAATCGTAGACTGCTATCTACAAATGCCCGCTTTAACAATTCTCTACAGCTTGAGCAGGCGCAACAAGAAGGTGGCGTTTTGCACCTCCATTTCTTTTTGGGAGATGGTACCCTCTTCATCACCGGTAGGAAGCTTATCGGCACCGAACGCACTCTCTTCAACGGGCCGGCGCAGAACCTTCTCGATCTCAGGAGCCTGGGACTTGAAAGCCTCGCTGATACCAATGTTGTCAGGGTCTGAGATAACGGTATATTCCATCTTCACGTCATCGGTAGCAACCAGACCAGCCTCCTTGCGAAGACGCTGGACACGGTTGATAATTTCACGACCCAGACCTTGTTCAGCCAGCTCCGGGTGAATGTTGGCATCAAGGATGGTCAACACGTCAGAGTCAGTGTTGGTCTCCATTCCCTTGGAGTTCTCATCCTCCTTGATTCCACGCTTCACAACGAGGTCGCCCTCGACGAGTTCAATGCCATCGACAAGGATCTTCTTGTTAAGAAGGAATCCCTTCACGTCATCACTGGAAAGTAGAGGCAGAGCCTTCTTGACCTTCTGGACATCCTTCTTCAGCTTCTTACCCAAAGTGGGCCAGTCGGCCATGACACTGTAGTTGACGCCGTACTTGGCCTCGTCGGACGACAGCTCAAGGTCGAGCACGTTCAATTCAGAGCAAATGTAGCTCTCAAGAGACCTCACATCTTCAAGGTATACGGGATCATTGTGGATGACGACAAGGGACTTAAGGGGTGTCTTCAGACCAATAGCGCGGCGCTCACGGCTCACACGACCCAGCTCAATAACCTTCTGCATGCGCGAGACACGTCTTTCCACAGTAGAATCGAAAAGCTCTTCACGCACTTCAGGGAAAGGAAGGAAGTGAACACAGCGGGCGTCGACGCCGCGAAGAGCCTCAGGAATGTGAGGGAGAAGGCGCTGGTAGATGTTGTCGGTAATGAAAGGAGTGAAAGGAGCAAGACCTCGGACTAGGGTGTAGAGAACCTCAAATAGAGTATTCAGGGCGTGCAATGTGTCATCGACGCCGTTCTCACCCTTGAGGCGCTTGCGGTTGAAGCGAATGTACCAGTTAGTGGTGTTATCAATCAATTCGAGCAGACGAGGGACAACAGTGTAGAGCCTGTAAGCAGCCATCTCCTGGTTAACCCACTTGAGCAGACTTTGAGTGCTTGCCAGGATCCAACGATCAAACACGTTCTTGTTGGTGCGCTCTGCAGAAGGATCAAAGACAAAATCAATATCTTTAGCCTTCTTCAAGAGAGCGACCTGGCCCTCGAAGAACTTGTAGCTGTTCCACAAGGGAAGAAGAACCTTGCTGACAATCTCCTTGACTCCAGACTCCTTGAATCTCAGAGGCTCAGCACGAACAACGGGAGAGTTGATCATGTATAGACGAAGAGCATCGGAACTATAAATAAAAAATGTTAACAATGGCCCAAAAGACCGAGATGGACATCAGACTCACCCGTAAGAGTTCATCACAAGCGATGGGTCGGGGTAGTTTTGCAGACTGTGAAAATCATTAGACTATGTTGTTACGAATAGATGGGGGGTTGAACTCACCGTTTTGACATCTTGCGGCCGTCCTCAGCGAGGACGATACCGTTGACAACCACATTCTTGTATGGCAGCTTTCCACGCAAGTGAACACCGATGACCGAGAGGACATAGAACCAACCGCGAGTTTGACTAATGAAATAATCAGCATTTGACCTTGCATGAATGCAAAAGAAAGAACTGAGGGACGATTAAAGGTATTACGTACTCAAGACCCTCGGCAATGAAGTCGGCGGGGAAGCTCTGTTCGAACTGTTCCTGGTTTTCGAATGGGTAATGCTGGCTGGCGTACGGCATAGCACCACTCTCGAACCAGCAATCAAAGACCTCAGAAACTCGGCGAAGGACACCCTTGCCCTGCTTGCTGGGAATGGTAATATGATCGACCTTGTCACGATGAATATCATGAAGTTCGCCTTCGTAGCCGCTCAGCTCCCGGAGTTGCTCAATGCTGCCGACAGCAACGACCTCCTTGAAATCGTCGCTAACCCACAATGGCAGTGGTGTTCCCCAGAAACGGTTACGAGAAACATTCCAGTCATGAGCGTTACGAATCCAACTAGCGAATCTGCGCTCTTTGACGTTGGAAGGGACCCAGTGGGACTTCTCAATGCCCTCGAGGATATCAGGGATGATAGGCTTAACCTTCACAAACCACGATGGAACAGCACGGTAGATCAGAGGTGTATCAGACCGCCAACAGAAAGGATAACTGTGAGTAATCTGGCTGTCAACAAGGACACGTCCATTTTGCTTGAGGTGCTTGATGATGCCCTTGTCAGCGGCCTTGACATTCTGGCCCACGAAGTCCCGAACTTCGGCGGTGAAGCAGCCTTGAGGATCGACAGGGTTAGGGGGAGGCGGGTCTCGGTAATGATGCCGTTGTTCATAGCGACCTGATAATCCTCCTCACCAAATGCTGGGGCCTGGTGGACGATACCAACACCATCTTCAGCAGTGACATATGTGTCATTCACCACACGGAAACCATCGTTCTTGAATTCCTCGTAGAAATAATCGAAGAGAGGTTCGTACTTCCATCCCTTCATGTCGGAACCCTTGATGCGGTCGACGATCTGGAACTTGGCCTTCTTGGGGTCCTTGTAGATGGTCTTGAGGAGAGCCTCAAGGAGGATGTAGTTCTTCTTGGTAGCCTCGTCGTAGATCTTGACATACTCGAAGTCAGGGTGAGCACAAAGAGCGACGTGCGAAGGAAGTGTCCACGGGGTGGTAGTCCATGCAAGCAAGCAAGTGTTCTCTTGGTGCAGCAGCGGGAATGTCACGACAACAGCGGGATCCTGCACGTCCTTGTAGTTCTGTTGCGCTTCGAAGTTGCTGAGGGGGGTGTTGAGGGCAGTCGAGTAGGGCATGACACGGTATCCACGGTAGACAAGACCCTTATCGAAGAGTTCCTTGAATACCCACCAGACAGATTCCATGAATGTGGGGTTCATGGTCTGAACAGTAATTGGTGTCAGCATAAGCAAGGAAAAGCTCAAATATGGGCGTGTTTACCTTGTAGTCATTGTCGAAATCGATCCAGCGTCCCAAACGTTCAATGGTTTGGCGCCATTCCGTAGAGTATCTCATAACAATAGCACGGCACTCCTCGTTGTACTTTTCAATGCCGATTTCCTGGACCGCCTGCAGACCGGACATACCCAGCTTCTTGTCGATTTCATACTAAAAAAACCCGTTAGTCGATAATCAGGTTACTAGGCGCGAAATTTTGGCCAATTTTGTCGTCCAAATTCGGACCGAAGCCCGCCTCGGGCTCATTCAAACACCCAAACCTGCAATCATTGTATTTTGAACTAACCTCGATCGGTACGCCGTGCGTATCCCATCCAAAACGGCGCTCAACATGGTAGCCCTTCATGGACCAGTATCTGGGGATAACATCCTTGATAGTCTATGGGAGAAACGTTAGATGATTGGTTCAATGTCGCGTTTTCGAGGTCTATATCGTCATTCACAAACAAAGGAATGGCTTTAGACGTGGAGGGGGAACCGTACGGAAGCGAGCAAATGTCTACAAGATTATTGTCAGTAAATTATGTGCGGGCCATAATGATTCAAATCTCCAATTCAAAGGAAGTCTTACCCATAATCTGTGGTTTAAGCGGTTGTGTGTTAGTTACTGATTCGCCTGACATATTCTCATTTACCATCCCCTTGATCGTATGACTTACGAGGTAAACCAGTCGCGAATGGAGGTCCTGGGTAACGTCAGCAAATAACACAGCAGGAACAGAGAGAGAACAGCGGACCATCCATGAAACTGTATCGCGTCTTGTCTTTGTTCAGTTCGACCTGACGCTCGAACGCCTTGATCTCCCTCCATCGAGAGAGCACGAGCTCTTCTTCCGCAGGGAAATCAATCGACATTGCGAAGTTTTATTGCGGGTTAGAGTGAATTGAAGAGAGAATTGCAATTCAATAATTGAAAAAGCCCCAGTGACTCACCCCACCTTAATTTTTTGCCCGCGTTACGCCTTTCACCCCTCTATATAATATACCGCCTTCCACAAATGGACGACTTTTGTACAGGTATCAACGCACCTAACTATGTATGTAAATATAAGGATCTGATTATAACAATCTAATTAGAAGAATCTAGTTATAAGGATCTAATTGTAGGGATCCGATAATAAGTCTGGGATATGTAGAAGATCATACAGGAGGAAGATCAGTTTTATTCATATTCCATCAGCCCCGGATACTGTTGTTATTGTGGTCCTATAGCTCAACTGGTAGAGCATCGATCTTATGCCAATTGCCCTAACAAGGAATCGACATACTTTATCATCGAAGGTCCGCAGTTCGATCCTGCGTGGGACCATGAAAAAAATTCTTCATTGAAAGAATTTTTTTATATACCTTTGCACATATTTCCAGCTTCCGGATAGCTCACATATAATAAATACAGCACACAGCACAACTACTTTCTATAATTTATCCGGCCCCTTCGACCGAGCTAATACCTATATATGTAATTAAGTATTTGACTATCTACATACCTACTTGTAAGTATCTAATTGTAAAATAGGTATCGTAGATAACTCTACAAGGGGAATCAATAGTTGCAAAAAAAAAATTCAATAAAATTCATTTTACATCCGCCCCAACTCCATTCTTCCAAGACCGTCATGCACAGTTCCCAGTATCAACAGATAGTATAACAACCGTAGTGAAAAATCGAGAGGAATAGTCACAAAGAGAGGAAAAGAGAAAGGTAGTTCATCATTTCACCTTCTAGTACCGATTGTACCCACCTCCACCTTGGTTTTGGTAGTTACCACGACCTCTGCCCCCACGATTACTACCGCCTCGGCCTCCGCGATAATCTTGGGAGCCGTAGCCTCCTTGTTGATAGCCGTTGCCGTTGTTGTACTGACCGCCTTGGTTGTACTGGTTTTGAGGGTTATAGTAGCCACCAGGTTGCTGTTGCTGATAGCCTTGCTGAGGTGGGTATTGATTGGCCATTCCACCACGTGGAGGAGGTGGTGGTCCTCTGGAGTAACCTCCGTATCCTTGATTGGGTGGAACCCATCCAGGCGGCACCATGTGGGCACCACTGGGACCACCGGGTGGACCAGGGGCGAAGTTTGGGTCAAGATGTCCAGCGAAGGGGTTGGGGCGATCACTTTGGTAGTTCATTCGGCCACCTCGGCCTCTGCCCTGGAAAGGTGCCCCGCCGAATGATCGGCCCGAGTTCTGAGCGCGACCCTGGGTGGCTCTGATGTCATTTGAGTCCAGCATTGGGGTCGGTAGCTTGACACCGCGGAGAAGCATGGACTTGTGAACATGAGAAGACTTAGGGATTGTGTACAAGACCGTGAGAGAACGATCGTCATCAAGTCCCGGCATGCCGTGAGCCTCTAGCGGCGAGACCAATGAGCTATGGGGAATGTAGGTCTCGCTACGCTCGACAATGCCGGCCAGGCCGGCACTGAGGTCCTGCTTGATCGGGTACTGTGCCGGGCCGGGCTTCTTGGAGTAGAAGTTCGCAACAAGGTCCTGGTAAAGCGGGTTTCGGTCAGACAACAGAAGGACTTCCTGGCCATGAGTGTTACGAGCTTTCTCTTCCTCGGTGAGAAGAGGATAGACAGTTCCCATGGCGTCGAGCAGACGACGTTCATCGATGAAGGGGAGGAGAATCACACCCTGCCAGGCAAACTTCTTGCCGTTCAGGTCGAGTGGGAAATCTTCAGGATAGAAATCGATGATAGGAGAATCCGCGTTTTCCATCAGAGGATGGAAGACTTGGGGCAGCGCGTGATTAGATGACGCGGGAAGCACACCCATCAGCTGTTCAAAGGGTTTAAATGGCTTGCCCTTATCGAATTCCACTGGCATATCGGCAATATCAACGAAATCAGCGGCAAAAGGCGCATAGTGGTGAGGATAGTACCAATTCCAGCTAGGACATCCTTGGAAATAGTAGCGGAGGACCCAGCATAACCCAAGGGCATAGTCGCGAGCGACCTGATGGCGGAATTCAAGGTTCTTAGGGTCGACGTTGAATTTTTGCTCGTAGTATCTATCGGCATACCCTGGCTCCCACAATTTGACGGTGTCCTCGGCGGGTTCGTCTGACTTGGGATTCTCAACAGCTGGAGGTGGGGGAGAGTGTCTGCCTGGTGTTCCTGCCTCAGCCTCCTCTTCTTGTTCAGTGGCATCGACCTTCCGCTTTCCGAGCACACTAGGAGAGGTTGGCTCTGCGGCTTCATTTGTTGCTTCCTCGCCCTCTGTAGCAGCCGGGGCTTGGGGCTCATCCTGTTTACCCCTCATGAGCTTACTCTTAAGCACAGCAGCAGCACTCTTGTTCTCCATATTGGCACGATACACAGCGCCACGGTTGGTGACCATGTTGTGAGTCAGTTCTCTGGTCTCCTTGGCCAAATGACCACGACCAGGAGTGATCAACTCCATAGGGGGAGCTGGCTCACCACCGGCTCCGCCAGGGCGGCCGCCAGGTCCAGCATCGTACTGGGGGGAGCTGCGCCTCCGCTTTTGAGAACGCTCTGCATTGCGAGCTTCATCTTGCTCCTTCCGTCGCTTCTCATTTGCCTGCTTTCTCTCCTCTGCCTGTCTCCGGCGACGGAAGATAGCATCTTCCTGTTTAGCCAGTCCTTGCAAGATGATTTGAGCGTTTTTCAGCTCAACACTTCCATCTTTGGTGAGATAACTTCCCATGGCAGGGAGATTGTCACGCCAAATTGCGATAAGGGTGTCAATTCCGTTTTCACGGATATCCAAAGAGGGCAAATGAGGAAGGAAATCATTTCCGACAAAGAAACACATGAACACCCAATCATCAAGTGCACGTTCCAGGTCGAATGGGAAGGGCTGCTGAGGGACACGAAGCTCCACAGCAAGATATTCTCTGAGGACTGCAACATGCAGCCAAATGAAAGGCTTCAAAGGGGCAGCGTTCTGCTTCTCATCAAATTCTCCGGTCTTTTCCTTGGGGCGGCCTAGGCACTCCTCGGCCTTATGTCCAGTCTGTCCGCACAGTCTGCACCCTCGAGGTCTTGAGTCCTGAGCGAAAACGTCTTCACGCAGGACTCGGAAATACGGCTCGTGCGTGCCAAGACCCAACATGATCAAGTCAGCATCCTAGTAGAATTAGCACACTGGAAATGTTGAATTAAAAAATATCAGGACAACCTTACCAGACCATAGATGACATGACGAGTGTTAGGATCATGATCGGGCGAAGCTCGTTGCGATCGCACAAAATTCATGATCTTATGCTCTCCTTCTCCTGGAACTGTGGCATCCGAAATGATGATTTTCAACTATAAACGTCAGAACGCGCATCGCGAAAAGGACATGAGGCCAACACATACATTTTCCCAGCCCGGGTCAGTGTTGAGCTTGTAAGCAATCCAGTACCGGAGAGAGGCGGCAAGGATGTCCATGAAGGGTGTTCCTGGCGTGATGACGTTGCTATCCCAAGTTTTATGGACAACCTCCTCCCGGATGTACTCCTCGCCGGTCTTCGCAGTATGTTGCTTGGCGAGCATTTTTTGAAGTTCCTCCTTCTTCTCATCGTTCTCTCTGGCTTCTTGCGCAGAGCGGAATCGACGCGCACGCTGCTGGTTCATTTTGGCTCTCGGGGCGACACCATCTGCACGTAGAAATAAAGTTAGTTGAGAGCGCAATTTCGGAGGATGTCATGGAAATTATGATAAAAGTTTTGGTATACACATACCAATAGCGATCATGAGAAGCTTTCTGGGGCGGACCATGTTGACAACACGATCAGTGTACTTGTAGATCTCTAGCATCATCTCCTGCTCATCCGCAGGTGGTGGCTTTCCCTCGGGGTGGGTACACGGATGGACAATTCCATTCATGTCCAGATAAAGGTTGTCCTGCTCCTCGCCATTAGGGTTGGGACCGGTGATGTCGAGCGGAATTTCTTCCCCATCCACTTGTTGAGCCTGCTCCTCAATAACCGGAGAAATAATCTTCGGGTACTTGTTGGAAAGCCATCGGAAAAGCGCGGGAACACCCATGTTGGCGATGCGACACTTGCAATATCAATATTCAAGAAGGACTGGGGGCGTGTTGTCGCAATCAATTAACGGCGATTGTATAGGCGCAGGCGCGGGCGCGATCTCTCTCTTCGTGAATGAGATGCAAGTGAACAAGTACCGATGGAACTAAACCTCCCCCTAAACAAAGATAATATTTAAACAGGTGCAACCGCAGAAATGATCGCGGTGCAAGATGTAGGAAGTGAAAGACAGCTTCCCGGTTGACGAAAAGATAAATTCCGGGCGGTAGGCGATTCTGCGGTTCAGGCCAAGATCGGCGGTAGCCCCCTTTGGGAGTAGGACAGCTCTGCAATCAGCGAAATATCCAACCTCGTCCTTTTACGCTTTTCTGTTTTTATTCATTAGATGACTATCAATTCCTACGCCCTTGGCCGGCGGTGACCATGATATTGCAGAACCACTACGATGTTCCGAATCCTCGAATCACAAGCTCCGGCCAAACAAACGGCAACGGACACAATCGATGTATTGAGCAGTAGACTGCAAAGTGCTACATTGTTGGAAGATCGTCGAGCAGCTATTCAAGGACTCAGAAGCTTTGCAAAGCTATACCCCGCTTCGGTGGCCTCTGGTGGTCTGCGATCATTGATCAGCAGTTTACAGAATGACGCCGAGGATGTGGACACTATCAAAGTAGTCCTCGAGACGCTTTTGATGCTTTTTACACCCGACGAGTCCAGTGTAGGTTTTTTCCACTGTGGAGTCTCGGCGACGGAATTGCTCATTTACAATTATAGCCTGAAGCATCAGACGAAATAGCTTTGTGGTTAGCAGATTCATTTACTCAGGTACACATGATTATCCCAGTCTCACGACGATGGACTAACAGTTTGAAAGCGACAAGATAATATAACGACCTTACTTGACCTGCTCGAAGCCCGCGAATTCTATTCCCGTCTCTATTCTCTTCAATTGATTTCCCACATTTGCAGCGCACGACCGGAACGAACACAAGAATGCATTTTCACAGCACCATTGGGTATTTCCAAATTGGTCAACGTTCTCACTGATGCAAGAGAACCAGTACGGAATGGTATGTGTCGCAAGAGTCTGCATTTACCATGACATGAACCCTCCAGACTAACGAATCACTTTTCTTCGTTCACAGAGGCTCTCGTCTTGTTAATCGCCCTCACGCCTACCTCGGAAGAACTCCAAAAACTCGTAGCTTTTGAAAATGCGTTTGAAATAATTCTCGATATTATCAACAAGGAAGGATCTTTGACACTTGGGACCGAGATCGTTGAGGATTGTCTCTCCTTGTTGGCCAACCTGCTGAGGTTTAATGTCTCCAACCAATCCTCTTTCCGTGAGACCGGTTGTGTGAAAAAAGTGACCCATCTTCTGCACGAATGCCAACAAGAGCCTGAAGGTGACGAGCCACTACCACAATGGACTTTGATCCAACGAGACAAGAATGTTTGGGGCCTTTTGGCTATCATTCAATTGTTTTTGATCCGTGGTGGCATGAGCACACCTATCAACCAAACTGCCTTCTGGCAAAATGGTGTCACAGAACAAGTTTTGAGCATTGCGTTCGGTCAAAGATTCAGTGTTGGCGTAACATCAACGGTGAGATTTTGCCTTTGCTCTGATGTTTGTGTTTGTGGATTTAAAACTAATAGCTTCAGGCATTGTCAACATGTGCTGATCTCATCCGTGGAAACTCGCCCTTGCAAGAGAGATTCGGTGATATCGAAGTCTCGTGGGGATCTTATACCCGTGGAGATACGGCTGTGAATGGTGATGCAAAAGAACCCTTGCGGATCAATGTTATTGAGGCGTTTCTGAAACTCAGCCTCGAACCTGCCCCCAATAACCTTCTGGATGCACGCCTTGCTGCCTGCGAATGTATGAAGGCATTCTTTGCCCATCACCCTGGAATTCGCATGCATGTGCTCAGGCGTGCCATCGAAGGACATACCAGCGGACAAGATCGCATCCCAAATATTCTCTCTGTATTGCTCACTGCACCAGAAGCGCGAGGAAACGCAGACCCATACCAAGTGTGGATGGCGTGCGTTTTGATGTTCCACTTAATATTTGACGATGGAGAGGCCAAGGTAACCGCCATGGAAGTGACCGAAGGTGATGCTGAAAGTGGAGAAGAAGTTGTTACCAGTGTTCAGACTGTGGTTGGAAATCTGATTACTGGGCTGCAGCGCGGCGATGATGAAAGAATCACTGTCGGGTACCTCATGTTGCTTTGTGGTTGGCTGTTTGAAGACCCGGATGTTGTGAATGATCTTTTAGGAGAGGGAAGCAGCATCCAGACCTTGCTGCAGGAGATCAAGCACCAACGGGCCCCCAGTAAATTAGTACCTGGCCTTTGCACTGTGCTGTTGGGTATTATCTATGAGTTCTCCACCAAAGATTCTCCGATTCCCCGTCTCACGCTTCACAAGCTCCTCATCGAGCAGCTTGGAAGAGAACAGTACATTGACAAAATCACAAGACTTCGAGAGTGTCCACTAGTCCGTGACTTTGAAGTTCTTCCCCAAACTGCTGGTTCACAGCTTGAGGGTGGTCTGCCGGAGGTGTTTTTTGACCGCGCATTCGTGGAATTTCTCAAAGACAACTTCAGCCGTTTGTTGCGCGCCATTGACCGTGAGCCCGGGTTCGAGATTTCAATTCTTGCCAATGGCGTCGAAAAGGGAGTCTCGCGGGAACTTGTGGATTCCTTGCGTGCAGAAATCGACGATCAGACCCAGACACTTCAAAAGTTGGAGTCTGATCTCGTAAGCATCCAACGGAAACTCGATCAAGAGCAAGCGGATCACCGAAAGACCAAGGAATCCAGTACTGTCGAATTGTCTAAATTCGAACAGTCTAGCCAATCTCTACAACAAAGCCACGCACAGGAGCTATCTCAGCAACTCGCAAAGCTGGAAGACCAACATAGCCGTTCCAGAAACGAGCTACTCCAGCAGCATAGTAGCCAGCTCCTTGCCATCGATCGTCAACTCAAGCAGGCTTCGGCAGAAGCCGAAAGCCATAGTAACACGGTGAAACAAGCGAGAGCGAACCATGAGAGAGAAGTTGCTGGTCTGCAGCAGAAGATCCGTGGTATGGAAGCAGAGCTTGCTCGTATCCGTGAGCAACATTCGGGAGAGGTTGCCGATTTCAAGAAGAAAGTCCAAGAATTGAAGAACACCATAAGCCAGTCCAAGGCTACGCACGATGGGCAGGTGATCAATTTTGAGAAGAAAATTCAAATTCTCGAGAGTTCCAAGACAACCAACGATGCTCAAGTTGCTGGTCTCAACAAAAAGATTGAAGAATTGCAAGACACACTCAGTCAATCCAAGAGCTCCCACAGCGAACAGGTCGCTGGTCTTGAGAAGAAGATCCAAGAGCTCGAGGCAATCAAAAAGTCTCACGTTGGACAAGTGGCCGATCTGAAGAAGAAAATCTCGGAATTTGAGAGCACCAAGGGCACCCACGATAGCCAGGTTGTTGAGCTCACTCAGAAGTTGAGCACTCTCGAATCCACATTGGCCACAACTAAGCAACAACACGAAACAGAGGTCGGTGAGCACAAGAGCAAGCTTGCCGCATTGGGATCAAGCCTCTCTACAGCGAAGCAGGAACAGGAAACTGCAGCTACTGGCCATAAAGATAAGGTTAAAACCCTGGAGGCAAGTCTCGCGACAGCCAAAAAGGCCCATGAAACCGAAATCGCAACGTTGAAAAAGTCGATTACAAGCCTCGAATCAGACCTTGCCAAGGCCCAAACCTCTAGCAAGGATCTCAAGACAGCTCAAGAAGGTAATGCATCTCAGACCTCTGAATTGGAAGCACGTGTCAAGGAGGCAGAGCAAAAGGCAACGGAAGCCGAGGCACACGCTCGCACTGCGGCTGAAGCTCTCAAGAATATTCAAGAACAGCTCGACAAGGCTAAAAATGACGCCAAAGAAAAGGAAGAAAAGTTCAACAAGGCTGTTGATGAAGCCAAGGAAAAGGAAGAGGCTCGTCAATCGGCACAGTCTGAACTGGAGGACCTTCTCATTGTCTTCGGGGACCTGGAGGCTAAGAGAAATGAAGACAAGGTATGTTTGCTAGCTTGATATGTTGGGATCTTGCTAACTAAATTCTTAGGCACGGCTCAAGGCTCTTGGTGAAGAAGTTTCCGAGGCTGAGGATGATGATGAGGACGACGATGAGGAAGATGAATGAGAACATTGTGCCTATTCAGTATATAGCAAGGCAATTGAGTTTCATATCCATGCCCATAGCGCCATGAAGATCCATCCTTCTGCTAGACATTATTTTAACTCCCCTCAGGTTTCGCAGGACTACATCCATGTCATGTCCATGACTAATGTTCCTAGTTTTGGCAGCGCCAACAGTTCCGCTGAATGCTGACCTTCTACACATAAACTTTTGAACAAAGTTCCTGAGTATCATCATCGTGCTCCCTCGCAGGGCAGTATTGTTAGCTTACCCATCAACGACAGTAAGATCAACACACGTGAGTTGTTGCTATATAAGTTAACCAAAAAGATTTGTGAGCAGTTTCAGCAAAAAGTCAGGATCTCAGTTGAACCGATCAACTCCGAGAAAGACAACGGCAATGCATTAATCTCTCGCGTTGATGGATTAGTCGACAAATATATGGTGTACCCAGGCAATGAAGCGAACTAGCGGAGAATCCATACAAATCCATCAATCCGGTGTACTTGGAGAGCTCGCCAATCATGGTAGTCGAATGGGTCGCCTGCGCCAAGTGGAGAAAAGCATTGGTGAGATCGATCGTGGAGAGATAACTCCCCATGGAAACAGGTAATTCCAGCCTCTTAAGGTCCCCATGTGACAAAACAAACCCAGATGCGGAGTACAATGAGTGGCATTATCAATGACAGAGCTGGAGCTGCCCTAAGAGGCCAGAATGGAAATGGCACGAGAGAAATTCGTAAGATAAAAGGAAGGCCCCCGGGGAATATGAGAGATCGGCAGGTGCCCACTCAGACACGGCAAACCGGACAAATTCGGCCATCATGATTGATTTGACCAAGGATTAGGGTTCTGAGATTAGTTAGAGAGACAATTTCAGGAGCTGAAAAGAGCTGAATGAGGTGGAGAATAAAAAAATTGTGGATAGTTCAAAGGGGGTAACCATTGTCGGCTTCGCTTTTGTTGGGATAATTTGTTTTGCTTCAGAAATGGAAAGGATTGTCAAATTATTGAATTGAATGTACATATGAGGAGTAAGATATTATAGAATATAAATCTGATATATTCTATATCAAGTACGGAACATGTATAGTTACGATGTGAGTTGTATAAAAGTCACAATCCACTTCTTAACTCCGTGCGGGTAACAGATTTCGATGCAAGAATCACCAAGGCGGTGTGGGAAACTGCCCTGCGACACCGGAGCACAACTTGTGTTTTTTTCTCTTGGTGAGGTGACCTTCAATTCTTCTTCTTTTATTTGACATATCTGATTAGAAGTCTTTGATACAGAGGTATGTCAATTTATTTCATCTATTCTATCTATTTCATCCCTATGATTTTATCCCTTCAGGGGATATCTTTTAGTGAATCTACACTATCGCTTGCATACTGCTAGCTTTCATTGTGGGGTCCAAGCCTAAAAGTTATTATGGTTTTTATGAGTCAGGGTGGGACTAACAAATATTCACAAGAACATGAATTGTCGCTGAATCTTCTTGACATCACCCCAGTCTCCCCTATCATCCATTATGTCTGATCCCACTAAGATCAGTATCTTGGGCCGGGAGAGCATTGTCGCTGATTTCGGTCTTTGGCGCAATTATGTCGCAAAGGACCTAATCAATGAATTGCCCTCCACCACCTACGTCCTCATCACAGATACCAACCTTGGATCCCTCTATACCCCTACCTTCCAAAAGACCTTTGAGGCTGCCACCGCCTCTATCACTCCCGCTCCCCGACTCCTCGTCCACCATGCCGCCCCAGGAGAAAGCTCCAAGTCTCGTCAGACAAAAGCTGACATCGAAGATTGGATGTTGAGCCAGAACCCACCATGTGGCAGAGATACAGTAGTCATTGCATTGGGTGGTGGTGTAATTGGTGATTTGACTGGCTTCGTCGCCGCAACCTACATGCGTGGTGTGCGCTATGTGCAGGTCCCGACTACCCTCCTCGCCATGGTGGACTCCTCAATCGGAGGAAAGACTGCCATCGACACCCCGCTTGGCAAGAACCTCATTGGATCCATCTGGCAGCCATCGAAAATCTACATTGACTTGGAGTTCCTCGAAACCCTCCCCGTCCGGGAGTTCATCAACGGTATGGCCGAGGTTATCAAGACCGCTGCCATTTCCAGTGAGGAGGAATTCACTGCTCTGGAGGATAATGCCGAGTTGATCTTGGCTGCTGTGCGCAGCGAGGCCAAGCCCGGCCAGGGTCGCTTCGATGGAATTCGGGATATCTTGAAGGCCAGAATCCTGGCATCCGCCCGTCACAAGGCCTTTGTTGTCTCCGCCGATGAGCGTGAGGGTGGTCTTCGCAACCTGCTCAACTGGGGACACTCCATTGGACACGCCATTGAGGCTATTCTTACCCCCCAGATCCTTCACGGCGAGTGTGTCGCTATTGGTATGGTGAAGGAGGCCGAGCTCGCCAGACACCTCGGTATTCTCAAGGGTGTTGCGGTCGCTCGCGTCGTCAAGTGTATTTCCGCTTACGGCTTGCCTACTTCCATGAAAGATTCCCGTGTTCGCAAGCTGACTGCCGGTAAGCACTGCTCTGTGGACCAGCTATTGTTCAATATGGCGCTGGACAAGAAGAATGACGGCCCCAAGAAGAAGGTCGTTCTATTGTCGGCAATTGGTCGTACCCACGAGCCCAAGGCCAGCGTTGTCTCCAACGCTGACATTGGTGTTGTCCTCGCTCCTAGTGTCGAGGTGCACCCCGGAGTTCCCGAGACCCTTAATGTCACTTGCGCACCTCCCGGATCAAAGAGTATCTCCAACCGTGCCCTTGTGCTTGCTGCCCTTGGCTCTGGAACCTGTCGCATCAAGAACCTCCTCCACTCCGATGACACTGAAGTTATGTTGAATGCCTTGGAGCGCCTCGGTGCTGCCACTTTCTCCTGGGAAGAGGAAGGTGAGGTCCTTGTTGTGAACGGCAAGGGTGGAAACATTGTCGCTAGCCCTTCACCTTTGTACTTGGGTAACGCTGGAACCGCTTCTCGCTTCCTCACCACCGTGGCCACACTTGCTACCCCTAGCAGCGTTGATCACAGCATCTTGACCGGTAACAACCGCATGAAGCAAAGACCCATTGGCGATCTTGTCGACGCTCTTACCGTTAACGGAGCCGGCGTTGAGTACGTGGAAAGCAAGGGCAGTCTTCCTCTGAAGATTGCCGCTTCTGGCGGTTTCGCCGGAGGCAAGATCAACCTAGCTGCCAAGGTTTCCTCACAGTACGTTTCTTCGCTGCTCATGTGCGCCCCTTACGCCAAGGAGCCCGTGACGCTGAAGCTGGTCGGTGGCAAGCCCATCTCCCAGCCTTACATTGACATGACCACTGCCATGATGCGATCTTTCGGCATTGACGTGAAGAAGTCTGAGACCGAGGAGCACACTTACCACATTCCTCAGGCCAACTACGTGAACCCTCCTGAGTATGTTGTGGAGAGCGACGCCAGCTCTGCAACCTATCCTCTGGCCATTGCTGCTGTTACCGGTACTACCTGCACCGTCCCCAACATTGGCTCCAAGTCCTTGCAGGGTGATGCTCGCTTCGCAGTCGACGTCCTGCGCCCCATGGGCTGCGATGTCATTCAGACCGATACTTCCACCACTGTCACCGGACCCGCTGATGGCGTCCTGCGGCCGCTGCCCAATGTGGACATGGAGCCTATGACTGATGCTTTCCTCACTGCTTCCGTCCTTGCGGCTGTTGCCCGTGGTAAGGACTCTAACCACACAACCCGTATCTACGGTATCGCAAACCAGCGTGTCAAGGAGTGCAACCGCATCAAGGCCATGAAGGATGAGCTTGCCAAGTTCGGAGTTGTTTGCCGTGAGCATGATGACGGTCTTGAGATCGATGGTATCGACCGCTCTACCCTCCGCCAGCCCGCCGGCGGTGTCTTCTGTTACGATGATCACCGTGTTGCTTTCAGTTTCAGTGTTCTCTCTCTCGTCGCTCCTCGCTCTACCCTCATTCTCGAGAAGGAATGTGTGGGTAAGACCTGGCCTGGCTGGTGGGACGCCCTGAAGCAGATGTTCGGTGTTAACCTTGATGGTAAGGAGCTGAAGGAAGAGGAGATTGCTTCCTCAACACACGCCGAGCGGAGCAGCGCCTCAGTCTTCATCATTGGCATGCGTGGTGCTGGAAAGACCACCACCGGCAACTGGGTTGCCAAGGCTTTGGATCGTAAGTTTGTCGACCTTGACACAGAGCTCGAGACAAGCGAGGGAATGACTATACCCGATATGATCAAGACCCGTGGCTGGGAAGGATTCCGTGACGCCGAATTGGCCGTCCTCAAGCGTTGCATGAAGGATCGCCCTACCGGCTATGTTTTCGCTTGTGGCGGAGGTGTCGTTGAAATGCCGGAGGCACGCAAGTTGCTCTCCGACTACCACAAGAACAAGGGCAATGTCCTCCTCATCATGCGTGACATCAAGCTGGTGATGGAATTCCTTAACATTGATAAGACCCGTCCTGCCTACGTCGAAGACATGATGGGCGTGTGGCTGCGCCGTAAGCCTTGGTTCCAGGAGTGCAGTAACATTCAATACTACAGCCAGCACTCAAGCTCAACAGAGCTCGCCCTTGCTTCCGAAGACTTCAACCGCTTCGTCAAGATGGTGTCTGGCCAGGTAGACAGCCTTAACGCTATTAAGAAGAAGAAGCACAGCTTCTTCGTCTCATTGACCTTGCCTGACCTCCGTCCGGCAAGTGAAATTATTACTGAGGCCTGTGTTGGTTCTGATGCCGTGGAACTGCGCGTTGACCTCCTCAAGGACCCGGCTGTGGACGGTGACATTCCCACGGTGGACTACGTCGCCGAGCAACTGTCTATCCTTCGCCGCAGCACTTCCTTGCCCATTATTTTCACTATACGCACTAAGAGCCAAGGCGGTCTCTTCCCTGACACTGCCCACGACGAGGCTTTGGCGCTGTACCGACTGGCATTCCGTTCTGGTTGCGAATTCGTTGATCTTGAAATTGCGTTCCCCGACCAGCTCCTCCGTACTGTTACTGAGATGAAGGGTCACTCCAAGATCATTGCCTCGCACCACGATCCCAAGGGAACCCTTTCTTGGTCCAACATGTCCTGGATGCAGTCTTACAACCGTGCTCTGGAGTACGGTGATGTGATCAAGCTCGTCGGCGTTGCCAAGACCCTCGATGACAACACCGCTTTGCGCAAGTTCAAGACCTGGGCTGAGCAGGCCCACGAGACGCCTTTGATTGCCATCAACATGGGTGACACTGGCCAGCTCAGTCGCATCTTGAACGGCTTCATGACCCCCGTGTCGCACCCCAGCCTCCCCTTCAAGGCAGCCCCCGGTCAGCTCTCTGCCACCGAGATCCGCCGCGGTCTCTCCTTGATGGGTGAGATCAAGCCCAAGAAGTTCGCCATCTTCGGCTCTCCCGTCTCCGCCTCGCGCTCCCCCGCCCTCCACAACACTCTCTTCAACACAATGGGTCTCCCACATGAGTACACCCGCCTGGAGACCTCCAACGTCGAAGACGTCAAGGACTTTATCCACGCGCCCGACTTCGGCGGAGCCTCAGTGACCATCCCCCTCAAGCTAGACATCATGCCCCTGCTCGACGAAGTCGCCCAAGAAGCCGAGATCATCGGCGCCGTGAACACCATCGTCCCCGTCCCCACCGCCAACAGCGACAAGCCCCGCCTCATCGGCTACAACACCGACTGGCAAGGCATGATCCGCTGCCTGCGTAACGGCGGCATCTACGGCTCAACCGGCAACGAGAGCGCCGTCGTCATCGGCGGCGGTGGCACCGCCCGTGCCGCCATCTTCGCCCTCCACAACATGGGCTTCTCGCCAATCTACGTGGTCGGACGCTCCGCCGCCAAGCTCGAAGGCATGGTCTCCACCTTCCCGACTAACTACAATATCCGCGTCGTGGACAATCAAAGCCAGCTCGACTCCGTTCCCCGCGTTGCTATCGGCACCATCCCCGCTGACCAGCCTATTGATGCGGGTATGCGCGAGACTCTCTGCCACATGTTCGAGCGCGCCCAGCAGATCGACGGTACACAGGATGGCCAGATTACTGATGCTGCGCCCCGTGTCCTCTTGGAGATGGCTTACAAGCCTTCCGTAACTGCCTTGATGCAGCTTGCCTCTGATGCGGGATGGAGCACCATTCCTGGATTGGAGGCTCTGGTTGGTCAGGGTGTGCACCAGTTCGTTCACTGGACTGGTATCTCCCCCTTGTACCATGAGGCAAGAGTAAGCAACCTAACCAACCCCCTTTGAAATACATTTTTGATCGATTAAAAGCTAACATGTTTTCAGAACGCTGTTATGGGAACTGAGTCTTCATAAGCACACTTGTTTGTGTTATTTTCCCTTCCTTTCATGCTTCAAGCCATACCATGTTTCAGCGGCGGGTGAGCGGGTTATCAACATGATTCAAAAGTTGACTTGGTCCGCTTTGTATTTTCCTGTCCGTTGGATGTGATCCTTTATTTATATATATTTCGGTCAATGATATTAGAGTATCTACCATTTGTGTTTGCCATTACTTTTTTCGACATGTGTCTACTTTAGCAGTATAGTAGTCGCTCCTGTCCAGGTCTTTCGGATGTGCCGTGTTCGCTCAATTTGCTTCCTCGGCAGTCCTTGATATTGGTCTAGGAGTCTGAGGATTGTGACATACAATGTCATATCCAACGAGATATTAACAAGAACTCTCCATCGCCGACCCTTATTCAGCCTTTACCTCTGCCCGGGGAGAGATGGTGAGCCACACATCTCTCCAGTATCCAACACCACCCTTAATGATAAACTTAGGCTCAGGCTTACCGGGCACAGTTTCGGGTTTGTATTGACGGAAAAACTAGGCGCGCATTAGCAAACATGCCTCAACTCCCACCAAGCCTTATATCCCAGTCAGAGAATCTCACCTGCAAAGGTCCCTTGAACAACTCCATCATAGCAATATCTCTACCCAAGCAAACCCGCGAGCCATACCCGAACGCAAAGTTATACTTATTGTACAACTTAGCCTTCTCAACATCTAGCCATCTTTCAGGTTTGAACTCCTCCGCATCTGGCCCATAAAGCTTCGGGTCCCGATGCACAAGATACGGGTTACAGCTGATCTCGGTACCGGCGGGCGCAAACTTGCCGTAGAGATCGATACCAGGCTCGGAGACATATCTAGGGAAGATATTTGGCGCCGACGGGCAAAGACGCATAGTTTCCTTCACACAGCTAACATAGAAAGGCAAGTGCTCAATCACCTCACTATACTGTGGCATATCCGAGATCAGACCCTTCCTGGAAGCGCCATCGATCTCCGCCATCATGCGCTCATAAGCCTTCGGGTGCGCCATGAGATAGTGGATCATAGCCTGGAACGCGGTGCCGGTGGTATCAGCGCCAGCAAGAAGAACGAGCAGGACCTCTGCACGGATGTACTCCAGATCGAGTGGCTTGCCGTCCTCAGTGCGAGCCTCGAGGAAAGTCTGGAGCAGATCCGTGCGATCTATTTTCTTTCCGTTTTTGATGTCAGTGATGCGCTGGTCGATGAGGCGGTCGCGGAAGCGCATCAAGACGCCGATTCCAGAGTTGTCTTCTGGCTTGGCGACGAGGTATTTCTTCAGGAAGGTCGTTTTGACCCATGAGGTGAAGGGGTGCAGGCGGGCGAGGAGACCGAAGGCTGGGAGGCCGTCGTGGAATCCTTGGATGAGACCGCCGATGTCTTCGCCTTTTTCGATGAAGCCGAAAGGCTCGCCGAAACCGATCTCACTGATGATGTCGTAGGCCATGTAGCTGTTTTTGTGTTAGTGGGATTGTTTTCTTTGCTTTTTGCTGTAGGTATGCGATGCTTACACGGCCCACCAGGCGAAGTCGAAGGCTTCGCCGCTCTTGCAGAACTTGTCGTTGAGCTTTGTGGTCCATTCTTTGATGCTGAGGTCAACAAGCGGCTCCATCTTCTTGATGTTCGAGAAACTGTACTGCATTGGTTGTCAATACCCGGGGAAATATCTGTGTGAAGAATATGTCATACAGGTCCAGCAACGTGCTTTCTAAACACAGCATGGGTCTTGTGGGACCTCATGTTGAACAGCGACTCGGTCTCGCCGAAGCTTCCAGTGATATAATGTCCGGTTTTGTCCACATTTCGGTGGTAAACCTCGGGGAGTTTTTCATGATCGCTGACCAGCAGCAATGTCGGGGTGATGCGAACAACAGGGCCTGCAAGACATAACCGATAAGCAACGTGGTTATAATATCCAAAACCCAAACATGACTGACCATATTCTTGAGCAAGCGCATAAACAGTTGGCACTTCCGTTTCCTGTAGATTGTGCTTTGCGATCCAAAGACGAGTGACGGAAGCCCAGAAAGGACCGGGGAATTTCGCAAGCGGATGAAAGAAGCGATAGTAAACAATCTGCCAGCCAAACTTAAGCGCGACATAAGCAATTAAGCCCAATAATAAATTTGTCACTGTCAAATGTGACAGGACATTTCCTGCAAGGCTCATATTGACGTAGAAGATGCAGGTGTAGCATATATGAAACCCTTTTTTGTCAATGAGGGAGGAAATAGCCCCTCCAAATAGACGGATCACAAATCCTTAATTCTTATTTAATATTCCTTGTCTTGTAGTAAGGGGCAAAACATCATTGGCTCATTGGCTTGAAGGCTATACAGGCTAAGATGTCTACTCCACGACTGAATCATGCATGTTTGCCTAGACCCGACTTTCAAGGTCTACTCGGGATTGAACGGCATCGAAGAACCATAGTTCCTCGCGCTATGTGTTAGTTCAAACGGTGTGGGTGTGAGATTGCGACTCCGCTTGCTCATTCGGTATTGGGGCTTCATGGATGGCTCCCCGTTGCGTACTGTACAACACACCCAAGCCAATTCTCAATCCCATTGTGATGGAACTTCCCAAAGCGGCAGGGATAGTCAGTCTATGGAGAAAGGGCTGGAGCAGGAGGCTGTCGTGGCTCACTCCACTGTGGAATTGGCAGATTCTCACTGGGCCGGGGAATATCCCCTACAGCGCGCCAGGGCGGCCCGCGCGCGCCCTGCCTCGTGCAAAGGGTGTTAAATTGTGCTGGGCGTAAGCGTGACGAACACGTTCTCTCGATATGAGTATAGATATGAAATTAGTCGAGTCTTTACATGATTGTAGACATTAGGGATGTTTGATTCAAAGATTTTACCCTACAACGTTCATAGGTGTCAATTTTCGATCACGCGTTTTCTCGTGAAACAAGTTAGTCTCCGACTTCTGTGATAGTGGAGATTTCAAGGAATGTGCTCCACTACCTAGGTAGTATCGCATTGTCGGGATAAGAGAAAGCACAAGGAAAATAATGATACACGGTGTCCAAGCTCCAGATGATCATTTGGATATGATTCTGGCTCGTGTGTGAATTTTTAATAGTATTCTCCCATATATATACAATATCCATTGGGAATCTCTGGGTGCCAGAATAAATAAACGTCTGATTTTAGAGATATGACGGCGGCAATCTTAATGGCCAATTACGGGAAAGGCTTTTCGGGCCTATCTATGTCCAGACCTCCGGAGTGGTTCACCTAGGTAAAGCGCTAAAAAAGGTGTCAGGGATAGCCACGGCCGGGGAAATATATCCGCCTTAGCCCTGCAAGTCCTACGGCGTATAAGCGAACTTCTTTCTCATTAATGGACAATGAGTCTCATTTGCTTGACTCGCAGGATTCCATGCATCTCATATCATAATTAAATCAAAAATCCGATCTCATCTTAAATCGCATAGTTATGACTGACTCGTGATGTACAATATATGATGGGTGATAAAATAATGATTTCACATGGGTACCCTCGGCTATTAATTAGAATTGATAACCCTGTTCGAGTCAAATTTTTAGTGCAACGTTTTCTTGCAGCGCCGAGTACAATAAAGCGATTAGTAGCAACGCAGCCAATTTCGCTTAACCAAGCGCGACTCACAATGGACGAGTGGGCGACCCGCTCTCCACTAGTACTCTGGACGGGTCGGACGGGAAATGGGGTCGTGCAGATCGGAAGAGTTAGCTCCTCCAAAGATTGCTAGCGTCCAATCTGCTTTGAGAGGTTGGTGGTGTCGTTGAGTCGGCTCATTGCGAAAGGCAAAATCGTACGCTTGAAACGCTCGTCTATGCAGATCATCTCAGCCATTTCAGCCACTCATTAACATTTACAATCTTGATGGAAGGTTGAGCGAAGATTCGGAGGCAAAAAAAAGCTTTAGGCACTGTTCTGACGAGTTTTCTAGTCGCTCCAGTAAACAGGTTAAGGTCTTTGACTTTTTGCGGCGTCCTATCAGTTGGATTTAGTTCAATCTTCAATGCGCACGCGCAAAAGGGCCTGTCCTTTCCATATCGTTATTATTGAATATTGTATACATTATAGCTACCTGGCCCAAACACGATCAGTAGAAATTAAGATCACCATCGGAACCATCTCGATAACTCATCGTGATTAAGGATGAAATATATAAAAATAAACCAGATCGGAGAGATCACTCGGCCGACTTCCGCCATTGTTGGGGAACTTCCGAGGACCCACGAACTGATCTTTTATTGATTCCAATTGCTCTAAAATGTATCATGTCTCCTTTATTTTTTCCCCTTATATCATAATAATTTTCATGATATAGCTTAAAATTGAGTAGTACTTTCTGTAGGCCTGTCGTTAGTTCCAAAATGATCGTCTCTGAGACGTTGAATATGTCGACCCACGACAAGTAATCATCCCTGTTCGAGCCAATCCGAACCCGGTTTCTAGGTGGATAACTATTGAGCTGCTAAGGTACAATGACCCCAACTCCCCGGAACTGGGATTAGAACTGGGTCTTTGTTCCTTCGCTCTCTTGAAGGAGTGGATATATCCGATAGATTCTTCGCTCTCGGCGAACAATAGTGAACTATGTATGACAAACCATGTGAAATATGCGTCTGACCAACAAATCATAACGCTTCGAAACTCAACCCAAGATTAATAGCTTAGTCTTTTAGATTCACTTGGATTTTAAAACTTGGCCGCTCTCCGAAAGTGGTAGGCGTATGTCAGTACGAAACGATCAGCGAAGGCCTCGAGTGGGCGGTGGAGATCGTCGCTTCTGACAGTCTCGTGTCCCGGATCCTTCTTAGAAGGTAAAAAAAAGCCCATGTCAATCCTTACTTCCTCTTTGGTTACGGGCTTTTAAACGGGGGAGAGTGGATCTTCGGAGGGTACTAGGACCATGCATGCATGCACCATGGGCACATCTGGTGTGTACACTCGGTCTTTTTGTTCGTGCTAGTTCCAGGGGCGTCGGCTTAATATCTTTATAAATGAATAATGGGGTACCGCAAATCATCTACCTCATTTTTTTTGGTGATACTTGCAGTCTTTTTTCATGATCCTGTTCTCCGTGAGAAAGGAACGTGAAACAACTGTTTGCCACATTCGTTAATCTCTAAACTCCCTCTTGAACATTTCACTCTTTACTGATAGCTTTTCCCCTTCCTTTTCATTCGTTCTCTTTATACTGCCTCATCATGGCCGGTGACAATGGTTCCCAAGGCTCTAAAGTCGTGGGTATCTCTGTGGCGTTTGCCGTCTTGACATTCATTGTCTTAGCGCTTCGCCTATTTTCACGCATTTATGTCTTGCATAAGATGGGTCTCGATGATTGTATGTGATTCATGTCTAACATTCGCTTGCCAACAATGTATTGACATCCTCTCAGATCTTATAATTGGCGCTTGTGTAAGACAGATCAACTCTATCATCATCAGGACTATAACTAATAGAAACAGCTCCTGTCATGGGCATTTATTGCTGTCACAATCATTGGTATGTCCTAAATCTACTACCAAATGCCGGTCCCTTTGAATCTAATCCATTCTAGCCGTCCAAAATGGACTCGGAAAACACTACGTGGATGTCGACCCAACCAAGATGGTCGACTATGCATTTGTAAGAATGCGGTTTTCATTTCGCAGATATGCAACTCTAACATCTATCTAGGCTGTCTGGTTGAGCTCAATGTTCTATCTTGCAACTCTTGGATTCGTCAAAACATCCGTTCTGTGGTTCTATACTCGACTTGGAGATCGCCACCTCACTCGCCTTTCCTGGATCATGATGGGAGTCATCACAACGCAAGCACTTTCCTTCGTTCTTGTTGCTGCATTCCAATGTCAGACGATTAGCAAAGCCTGGACTAGTACAGGACCTGGAAAATGCATCAACATCAACGTCTTTTACCTCTGCAACGCCGCTCTGAACATCTTCACAGATATCTTGACATATACCCTGCCCATCAAGGTCATCTTCAACCTCCAAATGCCCCAGAAGCAAAAGATTGTTTTGGCAATCATCCTTTGTCTTGGACTCTTGTAAGTAGACTCCAGGTGATCGGAAGGAGCAATTGCTAACCTGCTGTCTCTACAGCGCTTGCATCTCTTCTATCATCCGAATCACCTACATCCCTCCTATGCTCAGCGGAAACGATCCAACCTACGCTATCAGTGGTGCTATGTACTGGTCGGTAATCGAAACCAATGTTGGCATCTTCGCCGCCTCGATCCCGTCATTTAAAGCGATTTTCTCCCGCTTCCTTCCTCGCTTCATCGGCGAATACAGCAGTGGAAAGAAGTATGGACCCTGGTCGGGCAACACTACCGCTTTACGGTATGGATCTGGCTTTGCCAAAGTTTCAGACCCCACCAGCAACACCTTGGGGACGGTTAACGGCAAGGATGATATGCCGATGGGTACCAACATTGGCGCAGCCAGCAACTCAAGTGAGGAGAGAATCATCCCTCATGGGAAGATCTTCACACAAACGGAAATTGAAACCACAGTGGAAACAAATAATAACTATGGAGGCTACACTTCATCATCGTTCGAGCGGGCTCGTCGATGAAATCAGGTTTACAATTGGCGGGTGTATAAAAAGCTTTAATATTTGCACAAATTTATTTCGGTTCGGTAATCGTGTATAACACACTTTCGATGGACAATGTCAATTTCTCTTTCTAATGCGCTGCGTAAATAGTGTCATCTACATCAATTGTTCACCATGAGTCTTCAAGTCACGCCCATGGGAATCAATAGCATCCAAGGTATGCAAGTCGCTGGAGCGTGGAAATATCTGACAACACAAGGCTACAAAAGCGCATTGACTCACCAAACCCATCGAACAAAATCAAACACGATTGTTCCAAATACAAAAACGCTATGCAATCGTCTCACAGTCACCTCCACATGCGAAAAGCCGCAATCCCAGCCCCGACTGCCGCAAAGATGAATGCCCAGCGTGTAAGGCCCCTCCGAAAATGATGCTGAATAGTGCATTCAATAGCATCTGAGTCATTTATGCGGGGAAACGGTACATCCACCGGAGCCTCCAACCCCAGAGCCTCACACAGCGGCCCCCACCCATCCTTAACGTCAAAGAAAACCAATCTATCTTCAGGCACAACCTCCTTTAACCACTCAATATGCTTAGCATAAGATTCCCGGCCATGCATACCCATAACGCGCCCATAGAGCTTCTCCCACTGAGCAGCAAGCAAATACCCATACGGAATAAAATGCCTCATTCCCTCCAGCGGCAACAGCACAGCACGAGCAAACCAAACGCCCGTCAACGTCTGCACGTGGTACATGCTTGTCTCCCACGAGACAGGATCGCGCGTTGTGCATATGACCTTGGCGTCTGGGTAGAGTTCCATGAGTTCCGGGACGAACTCGCAGCCTGGAGAGTCGGTGATGGCGACGTAGCCGGCCAATCGGGCACGCAGGAGCGACAGCATCGACGACCGGGTTTCTGCGTCGTCTTGTTTAAACCATTTTTGCAGAATCGGCATCCATGATTTTATCTCATTCGGTGGGCCGCGCGATATTTGCGTTCCGCAGTGGTACACTGGGCCGTTTAGGAGGATTTCTAACGCTTGGCTGAATGATGATGTTCCTGTGCGCGGTAGCCCGGCACCGATGACTGCTATTGAGGCGCCTGGTTGGGGTTTTGAGGCTGTTTGGCCCATTTTTGTATACTCTTTTAAGTGGTGGTTTGGGTTTGGATGATTGTTGCTTGACCTGTTTCAAAGTTCAAGGTCGGCTGAAGGGGCCTTTTTGCCCTTTTTCTGAGATGCCTAAATACACGCTTGCGAGATGATCTATTTCATGGCGTTTGAGGCTAACCAGGAACAGGAAAAGAACGGATTTGCGGCTGGTCGTAAACGCCAGATAGGATAGGAGTCCGGCTGTTTGGGGATTTCCGCCCCCACATCGGAGTTCCCCTCTTAATTTCTCGATCTGCGCATCCAGGATCTGTTTGATATTGATAATCCTTAACGCACGAATTAAGGCCTTGGATCTTGAGCGAATTATCTATTTGTCTGGATACCTCAATCCACCCCGAGACTGATTCTCTAGTAAACTGTAGTTTTTGTTGGCCGCGCACTTTGTAACTACCTAACCATCCTGCTGGGCACTGAATTTCGGGCGCAAACTCCTTTGGGGCATTGTAATCCTTCGTTGATGTGAGGAGTGAGTTCTTCCGAAATATAGCCTCTCTTTCCTATTAAGGCATTAATGCTTCCTTGCAGCCCAGCCTCCTGAGGTCATTGTTGCTTGCATGTTATTTGATCAGCATTGTTCAAATTCCACAACGGCCAATCGCACTAGCTATTATAAGGCTTTCCGCCGCCTAATCTTCGGAGAGGCTTTTCTAGTGCGCCATAGTATAGATCCTTCAAGCCTCGTCTCCTTTCTAAATCCAGTATGAAGAGGTATAGGTACGATCCTACCGCATTTTTTTCTAGCACAACAACGAAACTTGGAGTACATGTTTTCCGTTTTAGCCGCCGCATGGAGTCCCGGTCGGATGTTACGCGGAGGATTTCGATGCAACCATGATCTTGTTCTGTGACCACCCTAACGGTTACAGGATGGTCTAGGTCTATTTTCACACGATGATTGGTTTATCGATAGACTAGGAGCTACCAAGTTGATCATATCTAGTAAGATAATTTTAACAGAGATCCTAAGGGATTTCTACGAGGGCCACAATCAAAAGATTTTGTTCATAAACTTGAGACTTAGTTCTATATTTAATGGTTGGGCTCAAGTTGAAGCTCCCGGCATCTAGTTTGGTACACGATACGTATCAGAGAATACTACTGAAACAAATGTCTCTTTTCGTCCACAGTACACATCAAAGACATGCGGTATTCCAGGATGTAGGAACTGATCTTGCCTGGCTTCCAGAATAATACCTATGCATAGATAGGCAACCAAGTAAATCATCCCTTGTTGTCTGCTGTCACTGCGATGAACTGCATAGCCACATTATCCTGTCAACACAACTCCTAGTAACCTCCTTCCTAACTTTATGCTAGAAAAACTATTTCTGACTTTAGATGACGAGGCATAGACGACGCATAGTGTACACCTACGTAACCTGACTCGAAAATTCCAAGACAGACACGTAGCAAATCTTTTTTGAAGGGCAGTGAGTCAGATTCCGATCATCATTCAGTCAATGCTGATAAATCGGTCGAAAATTTCAAGCCACGATCAGATATGCAAAGCTAAAAAATCTCTTCGTCAACAAGGAGTATGATCTTGCGACTCAATCGGCGATACCCGGAAGCCGACATTCCGCTCCGAAAATAGAAAGATTCCAGAATAATGCAAACGAACACGCTATGCCAAATCTAGCACTAGCTGCATGTGCAAGCCACGAATTTTCTTCTGGAACACACCAGAAATACCGAAATACCAATACTTGCAGACCGTGGCTGTCGAGCTACTGTACGGTAACAGGTTAAACCGGCAACTCGAACGACGTACGGCCGTTACCGGTATGTGGCTGTGCAGCCCTGCGACCCATAGGCCAATCATTTACATTGAAAAATCTGCCATCTTGCATTAGACTGTTACTAAACGATGATTCCCGCATGACAATCTGGCAGGGCTGCTCGCCGAGAACCCGGATTTAAGGTGCTGACAATTGTGTTGTCGGGACTGAATGCCGGTGAAAATTTTTCATTCTGTTTCTGAGTGCTGCATGGGCCGCTCCTTTCGTAATGGCTGACAGTCGAAGTCTACTGCCCAATTAAGAAGGTGAATCGACCATGTACTGTACATATGTACATGATCGCGTCCGGTAGGTCTATCAGATTATTATTGGTGAAGGACCTTAGATCTACATATGGTTTCCGTGTGGTTCTTAGTGGGCCATCTCTATCTAGACACTCGGATCAGCTGGTGCTGGTTTGCCACTTCCCCGGACTCTGTAGGGCCACATTTTGGTATTTCCTCGCGGCCGTGCCAAGATGGATTCGGGATCTATAGAGGAATGGGAGATCTGAGGTTAAAATTCGGCCAGACGGGTCGGTAGACACGGACTGTACCCCCGGGCCCGTTTCGGCGTGTCCAGACCGATAATGCAGCGATCCGAGTCCATCCCGGTCGAATTCATGTTTGAACGCACTAGTTAGTAATATCAAAGAATCGCAAAGAATCGCTTTTGTGGTCACATGCGACAGTGTGTTTATTGCTTCTGCCTTGGACTTAAAGAAATGGATGAGAGGAAAAATAAGATCTATCGGGATTTGCCACCCTCGATACGCGATCTTAATATTTTAGCAGTCAGTGCACGGCCAATGGGTGACAGCGCTAAGAAAATTTCGAGTGTAAACCGCAGTACATGCGTCTTACTTCTGCGTGTTATGCCGCTAATAAATTAGGTGCCCAATCAATCTACATCCTACAGAACTAGAAAAAATTCCAAACTCGTAATATAAATCAAAATCCGAGGCAATTAAAAAAAATAATACAGATCTAATACCATAATTGTACATTTTGTGAGTCAAAAGAGAAACATATGATTCATATGAACAATGCAGACCAGAAAAATCAGGCAATCAGCACATGTGATCAACAGTGGGTTGGTGTAGCCTAACAATGAAGCCAAATTAGGCATTTCCCGCCGATAGAGCTAGAAATAAGCGCTTACGGGGTACACTTAGAATGTAAGACATGGGAAGCGAAGAACCTCGCTTCTACATAATACGGATATGTATTGACTAGGGTGACTCAAGATCAAGGTCAGCTGGTCAAAACTCAACAGATCCATGGACCCGTGTCCAACTCCATATCATGCCATTAGCCTTGAGACGCATATATGGTCAGCTGACTATCGCGGTTGTCTGCGGCCGAGAGGTATGGTATGTCTGGAGCGGAAACCGCCGATTGGCGGGGACACGCATCGCAAGACAATCGCGAGACACTTTGTTGTACACAGCCACAATCCCGAGTATATCGAGGGTGAAATCACAAAGAAAGTGCCAGCTTGTACCAACTCGTGCTGGATAATGCAAGCTGCAAGCCTTCCCCCAGGAGAATAAAATAACGTTGGGGCGGCGGTCCCGAGCGAGTGGACACTAGCCACATGGCTGAACCCTCGATGTGGCTAGTGTCGATTGGAAAAAGCGAATACGAAGTTCACTACTCGGTACTATACACGGAGTAACGGAGGGTACTATGCTACACCTCGGCTGAATAATAGGAGGACATCTCTCCGGAATATCCACAATTTCTGGTTCCTGGTTGCTGTATTGCTAATCATAGTCCAATTATTTGATCATTCTAGCGAGTTCCGTTTGACTCACCGGGGATAGTCAATAGGGCCGTTCACTAGCCGCGTGCTAAAACCGAGAATGTCCCAAAAAACGAAACTAAGGTGTGGCTCAGCCCTATTTTCTCCTCGGCCGACTCCACCCCCATTCTTTCTGCTAATTTTGGCTCTGGTCACCCGAGTATAATCGGAGCTAAAGTTCTAGACTATGCAGGAGAAATTTCTCTCTTTGCTTCTCTAAGCGACAATACTTGCCCATGTGTAATCCTTGGCAAAATCTTTGAAATCTTCAAGTTCTTACCAAGAAAAGAAAAAATTGCGAACAGAAATATAATTAGATTTTAATTTGAATTACAATCTACGATTGACGCCCAAGAGCCCAATCACATAGAATATGGGTAGGTGGATACTTGTGGCTTTTTCTTAATGTAAGCCACAACTTCATAGGTAAGGGATAAACGGAAAAGAAGAGAAGATCCCCAGACAAAGTAGATCAGTGGGACTGGGATAAGTCGAGGGTTTAGAATACAAAGGGTAACAAATTGGAATACAAAATTGATACAAATAAAATACCCATCAAATACGTATTGTATCCCGATTCAGCTTAGTGTAGAATGGATAATCAAAAAAAAGAAAAAAAGATTAATTACTACCAATGTATGATTACTGGTAAAATACGGTAATCAATGTTCGGTGATCCCGGTCCAGGTGAGGTCATATAATTACTATAAGGGATCTCTCGCTGCTGGCTTTATTAAATATCCCCAACATCTTCTGTCAACCTCTATTACTCATACTCAATAAACTCTGACTCTTGAAATCATCATATCAGGTAAGATTTCTGGTTTCCTCCGGTCGAGTCATTGCCCAGAACCAAACTTACTCATCGCATTCACCAGATCTGATCATACTTCCAACCCTCTTATAATCATCTATCAACCTCTCGACGTTTCCAGACTCTTCGCTACCTGAAACTTTGAACCAAAGTTTTGATTCCCAGACTTTACAAAGCACGGCCACAATTGACCAGGAAATCTTAATCGGACCTTACGCCCTCGGGTTCTATAAAAGCTCGCCTTCCCCCGGTGGCGAACCTTACCCACTTTCTCTGACGTCCCCAACCCGTGATAGCATTATGCTTATGTACCCACGTAAGGGTCTCATCACCGATCCATACAACTCAGAGGACATCATCATACAAGACGACCAGTATCCACCTGGCTTTTACTCCGAGAACACCTACAACTGCGCTCAGGACCGTCTGCAATCGCCTTTCCAGTGTCACCCAAGTGTACAGCTCTCTCCGCCATCTTCCGCGCCTTCATCGCCCTCCTTCTCCTCGCCTACCTTCTCCATCTCCTACCCGCAAACGTCTGACTCGCAGTCTTTCGGGGCCCCCTCGATGACCCCCGCCTCTTCCTACAACCCGTCGTACGACATCCAGGGTTCCACTTCACCTTCTCACTACTTGCCTCAATACCCACAGCAATATTATACCCCAATGTTGGCGCAACAGCCTCTTCCAAATCAGGCCTGGGACGGCAATTTGCAGTTGCTGAGCCCCGCGCGCATTCCTTATTCGGGTGTGCAAAAGAGATCCTCACCCTCGGCGACATCAAACTCGCTTCCCTCCGCTGTGCAGGCTCAATACCATCGCCGCTCCAACAGCGCCAACAAGCCATTGCCAACACCGGTGCAAACTCCTTTGCAGAACTCTTTCCTTGCGACTCCCTTCCAGAGCTTCGACCCCTCATCACAGGATGGTCACAACGCCGAGGCCGAAACAGCTATGAGACGGGCGATCATGGACCAACAGAAGCAGTCCCCCCGCAGCAATTTCACAGCGACTACTCTCTGGCCCCCTCAGTGTCAACTATGAGCCACAATTCACCAGTGACCCCGCAAACTAGCCTCGATGAGCTCGATGACGCATCGAAGTCCATGAACAATGGTGAGATTCGAAATCTTGAGATTGACCAGTGGATGGCACAATACTTACATTTCGATTCAGAATATAACAATGGCATGCCAATGGGAATTCCCAAGCTGGATAGAACCATCTCCGACATCTACCAAGATGAACTCTACAACCCCTCCATCATGGCTGCCCCCCAGGTGTCCAAGCCAATGACGCAGAGCCACCTCAACCCGCGCAACTTCATTGCCGACCGCCTGAACGCTGCCAACCAGGGACATATGTCTGCTCGATCTCAATCGCCTGCCAACAGACGGGACCGTTCGCCTTTCCGTCCCTCTTCTCCATTTGCCGGGGATATGGGCAATGAGGCTCTCCAGCAGCCCCAGATGGCTACCAGCGTCCCCATGGGTCAGAATGGAATGAGCATGAACATGAACATGAATCAGTCCAACACTGGGGACATCAAAACCATGTCTCCCAAGGATGCAGTTTTGGATTTCCAGGATGGAGAGGACTCCATGCCACCTCTGTTCCCCTCCTCCCAAGCTGACTTCAACTTGGGCGATGCTCTCAGCTTGCGGCGCGATAGTGGTCCAATGCGACCGATGGAAGCATTCCCTCAGTACACTGCGCCTCCTATGTCTCAACCCCAGTTCGCATTTTCTCAACAACAGACGCGCCCTCAGAGCAATCTGTTGCAACAGGCCCCCGAGTTCCCATCGCTTCCTGCTGTGGAATCGACCGAGACACCGCAGAGTCAAGTCAACATACCTATCACAGAGGGCATCTCCCGACCTAGCAACACCACCTCGGATGCGGGTACCTACACTTGTACCTACCACAACTGCACCCACCGCTTCGATTCCCCCTCTAGATTGCAGCGACACAAGCGCGAGGCCCACCGGCAAACAACACCGGGCGGGCACTTGATTAGCCGCGATACTTCTCTACGCAACTCCCAGGCTGGCCCACACAAGTGTGAACGCATCAACCCGTCTACAGGAAAAGCATGCAATTCTATCTTCTCTCGACCGTACGATCTTACTCGACACGAGCACACCATTCACACTGCCGGCAAGCAGAAAGTGCGCTGTCACATCTGTAACGAGGACAAGACCTTCAGCCGAAACGATGCTCTAACAAGGCGTAAGTTTACCCATACCCTATTCAGGTTGATCATACACTAATTACATTACAGATATGCGAGTGGTACATCCCGAAATTGACTGGCCAGGCAAGCAACGCAGGAGGAGAGACTGAGTGCGCCCTCTACGTCATGGTCCACCGGATCGGCATGCCGAACGTCATTTGGATCCACCTCGGACCCACCCAAAATCCGGGGCTTCGTCATCATGACGATGTATACACTGATTCCCTTCATGAACTTCCTTCTGTACCACCATTATTTTTTATTTATGTGTACGATTTTACGTGATGATGTTTTTGTTTTTTGCATGCGGACCCTTTTGCATTGGCTGGTGTGTTTTACGCTTTCGCTTATTTTCTTTTCTCGCTTTTTTTGCTTTTGAGCTACGGGAAACAAACGGTTTCGGTGTTGTACATTGTTGTACATGGTGTTGCTGCATTTATGATTTCGAAAGTACAGTGTGTGCTTGTACAATACATTCCTCCAAAAAAATGTACATTAGCTCTTTTTTGGATATGAGATCGATCAGGAAATATTATGGAAATACATTACAATTATTTACCCACACCCCGAACGTGTACACTATCTGTATAATGTAGTTCTCCGTGTGTCTCCACCATAGCTTATGAGCAACAATAAAATATTAATCGTCCTGAAACATTCCACTACAATGAGGGTCCAACGGCTTTAAAATCCTCGAATCATCAATCTCATTTTTATCACCTACCCTCCTTCGTATCAGCCACATTGACACCCACGCCGATCTGTATGTATATCGACATTCTATGTAGGTATAAAAGATCAAATGTATCGAGTAGATAAATTAGAGTTAGGACCCTTCAAATTTCAATTGTGTAGTGCAAAGCCCACTAAGTAACAATAAAGTAAATTAACTAATACAGTATCTTCACAGACGTATCGCAATTGGCGGTACCAAGACACGCATGCAAATCACATCCCCTAAATTAGTCTCAGACACGTCCATATCAAATGCACCGTCCCATGAGCATCGCGCATGATGTGCCAAAGGTATGATCCCACGATTGCGTAGACACCCCAGCAAACCCTGGAACGAACCCGCTCAAATTCCGGGCTGATAAGCAATTCTACCAGCATCCCGGTACTGGCACTGGAATCGTGTGGGTGGGTTGGGGTTTCTCCAGTCGACGTAAGTATCGTCATTCTATTCTAAGTTTGACAACGGGGGTTATCTGTCGTTCCCCGCGTTAGTACAACCTTCAAAATACCTCGATATTTGATTGTCGTCATTGAATCTAAATCCATTTTTTCGAAGTTGGAATTGGAATTGAATGGTATTTACCGATTATCTTTTTTAAAAATAAATACCCTATCAAGTATATGCGCATACACAATGGATACAACATTGCAATTATTTCCAGTGATATTCATATATTGCACACTGATAGGCACGATAGACAGCTAGAGTGGATATGTGGCTTTATGGGTTGTGGGTCGTGGGTCGTACGGTTCAATTACCCGTGAATTGGCAACCTTTTGCGGTGGAGTAAGGAGTCGGAAGGTAGAGGGTGTGGATTATGTGTGGGTGTTGTGGCTTTAGACGAACTGCTGTCATTTGCGAATCTGCTGTAGTGCTTACGAAACCGTGATTATGGGGCTTTGGATTTGAAGCTGTTGATGGATACAATGCAAAGGCCTGTGTGTGATAGAGATCGCGCGTTAAGTGGCTGATTTTCGTTGGCTGGGAGCTTCTGGGTGTCACTTCCAAGACGAGGCTTCGTAATTTAACAGGGCCCTTTTTGTTGTGCGATCAGTTCTATGATCATACCTTTCGTTTTTGGGTCAATCAACTGACCATCCAATATTGTGCGTTATATTATGGTGGGCGGATAAGTATGTAATCCTTGTATACAGTATGAGTGGCTGTGTTGAGGCCAAAGAATTGTGCATTTTGTGTGTAGTTTACTTGCACAATTGAAAGCACTGAAAAGTGCCATTGGAATAACAGAGCAGTCGGAGTTGAGATGCAGGATGAACCCCAGAGTATAGATAACTAGAGCTATGATATACCAAGAGAAAGAAATAGTAAGAGGGTATTTGTATTCCAGGCAATCTCCTAACTACCATCTCTTTTTATTTTTGCATCCTTCTTTTATTTTGGTTTTGATGTGTACTTCCACTTGGAATATTTCTGTCGAGATCGTTGGAAATAATGTTCTGATTTTTGTGCCTTTTGTACAGTTTAGCTCTCATTGTCCGTTGATGCGATGTACAAGGGGTCATTCATGCCCAATAAAGGAAGCTAAATCGGGTTTGGGGTCAGGTTCTCGGTTCTAAATGACTGATGGACCTGGAGAAATGGATCCTGATCGCGGCTGAAAGCCATGGATATCCACCGGACGAATGTAGCTTATATTCTAAATAACGATTGACTCTCGTTATGAGCTTCTGCACACCTGAGACTTCAATTCTGAAGGGAAAGTGTGCGGCATCCGTATTCCCGCCGGATACACTTACACATTTGAAGAGAAACCGATTTTTGGTGCCTTGCTTCAGTCGAATTAGTATATATTTCAACTAATTCGTTCCTTTGTTTTATTGAATTTTCTATCGTGAGTCACTTCGAATTGTTTGCTTAGCGTGCCGACCCGCAGAAGCGAATGATTGGCTAGTTCGTGTCATTTCGCTCACGCGATAGCCCGGATAGGAAAAGCCCCCATCACTATGCAGAACGTGGTTAGAGCTGCTGAGATAGGGTTCTTTAGGGGTCCTGACCTCGCCGCGAGGTTACATGGATAAAAAAACTCTCCTTTTCCTCAAGAAACTCGTACGACCGTGAACAATCCGTCAAAATGCAGAGCAAATTCGCTGTAGTTTTGTTTGCGCAGCTGAGCTGCTTGACTTGCGCGCTTGCCGAGTCTGCGATTGTGAGTTGAAAGATTTGATCGTGTGTCGATCTCCGCTGACCGACAGACGATCCCATGGGTTGGATACTCATACTCCGGGAACTATTTCGCCGGCTACGAAGGAAAGATCGTAGGCACTGTAGGTTTTCCATCCTCTATGATTGATTGCTTTTGCTGACCAGTCAAAAAGGATGGCGACAAGACAACCTACGAGATCAACTGCCCGGCAGACATAACCAGCTGCATTCCATTAGACTCCCCTATGACTTTTATTGCTGGGTCCAATAGTCAGTGTACCACACATCTGTCAGATATGCGTGAACTAATACAGACCAGCCTACGATATGATTTTGAGCGACCCACTCGAATACACTAGCTCAGGATGCACATTCGCAGGTGCTCCAACACCTACAACAGCCACATGTTCATATACTCAAACCCTCCGACTCGGCACCTACTCAACGTCTCGCACAAACACATACAATGTTCCGGACAGCACCGTTGCTCGGGAAATCTACTCGGCAACCTTAGCGATTGCCGGATCTACTTCCTTGGCTAGCACGGCCACGAAGACAGCGACGGAAGCCTCCGTGACGCATGCATCCACTACAGGTTCTTCGTCAAATGCAGCCTCGTCTGACACCGAGGCTACAGGTGCTGCTACCAATATTGCGACAACCACAACCGCGAGTGGTAATGGTGCATACAAAACCTCTGTGCCTATGATGCTAATGGGTGGCTTGATTGCAGGTGTTGCTTTGAATCTGTGACTCCAACATTTGTACTATATAGATACTGTCATACTCATATAGGATAGCACCCTTTTTCCAATCAATTTGATACACCAATACAAACAAATTTATCATCCTGCCGAGAAAATCATTCCACGAACTGTGATGCCGAGGCCATATTGGTTTGTAAGGCTGTTTTTCCATTTTGTTGATATAGTTCGCATCACTCTATGGTTCCACTATTCGAAGAAGAAAACCAACGAAGGAAATGCCTCGTCTAGAACTCCCAATAAACTTGGTAGATAGTCAGCAGTGCGCGAATTCTTGAAAAGCGAATATAATTAGGACAAGCATCATGCAACTCTATCGCGACTGAACCCGAACCGAAAGGCAATCAATACAGCCAAGGGTAAAAAGAAGAGCGCCATTAATCGTAACAAATACCCAATTAACACTATTCATTATCGTTTTGCAAAAGGATGAAACTCTCCGGGTAGTTCCGAGGGCAACTGCCCACCCTCCATCTCATGCAATGGCGTACTCGCGAGCTGATGACTCTGTGCCTGATGGTTCCGGGCAGGCGACACAGGTAAGACCCCGGTTTCGGAATCAGAGTGCACATATGTAGCAGAAGACGGCACAATGCTTGAGTTTCTGGTGGTTGCTAGTTCCGCGGCGCGCCCACGATTGCGGAAAAGAGCTCCACCAAATCTTGCGGGTTTGCCATCGGATGGGGCTTCAACAAGAACGGGTGACATATCTTGTTCTTTGGTGGTGTGTTGATTTTTACGTCTGCGGAAGAGGAAGATAGCCAGTATGATAATTAGGGCTGCACCGACCACAGAACCAATCACCGCGCCGGCTATCGCGCCGCCGCTTATATGGCCGCTCTTCTGTTTGGCGGATGTCGCACTAGATGTTGTTGTATTGCTGCTGCTGCTCCCGGGCTGATTGAAGAAAGTTGCGATCTGGTTGGTGCTGAATCCAGCCGAAGGCGTGGAGTTGGCGCCTCCCGTTGAGCTTGGAAAATGTTAGAATATCGTTTCATCACAATGGCGATATAAGACAGAAGAAGTGATGAAAGCTCACCTGCCGCCAATCACACTATAAATCTGTGATGGAACCTGATAATTGCCCGCATATGCGTTGTACACACTACCCCATTCAAAGGTGCTCATGTCCATGATAGCAAGACCTTTTAGCTCCCAATCACATCCGGTGACCAAGTCCCAAGATGCATCTCCGCCTACTGTTACCATCTGTTTCTGGCCAACAACATGGCATGTATGTCCGTAGCGAGGGGATTTACCCTCGGCCACTTTCATCCATGTGAAAGAGGGAATAGATAGAACATAGATCTGGTCATAGAGGTCGTTGGCTCCCCTGCCACCATAAAGATAGATATTGTGGCTGGAGTTGTCTGGTGCCGAGGCTGCAACTATGCAGAAATCGGTTCTTGGATCCGGGATCTCTCCAGTAGCTGTCTGGCTATACCATGTGCCGTCGGACTTGCCGTTTTTGGTGGATGCGATGTCAAGGAAATCGATTTTGCTAAAGCTGACCTGTGGGGGATACGTCGTGTTAGATAAGTCAACAATATAATCAGTGTTTGAGATCACCCACGTATGTCCCTTCATTCGACCCACTGCTGTCACTTGTCGGTTTTGTAACTCCACCCATAGAAACCAAAGCTCCCTTGGTGCCGACATTGGGGAGGTAGACAAGGCCGCTTTTGGCACGGGGCGTGTTTTCCAGCGATGAAGTGGACAAATTCTTGACTTGCTGAGTGGTGGTGTCGATGACAATAAGGCCATCTAAATATCTCATGAGGTTATATTCATGCTCAAGTCCACTCGATGTTCCATTGTCTATAAACCCGTTCATATAGAACGCTAGACCCTGATCTGTTGCGTCCGCATACGCTCCTCCGGCCGGCCGATAAGGAGCACTGACTGACAGGTCGTACTGCCCCCAAGATTTGTCCAATGTCCCGTATGACCACAATGCATACTGCGAAGAGTCTGGCCATTGGAAGCCTGGGAAACTCGTGTTTACGTACGATGTAGTGCCGCCATACAAGTAGACATTGGGGTCATCTTCTGAGCCGGCGTATAAAGCACCACGAACTAAAGTTGGTGGCAGGGTGCCGGTATTCGGGTTTTCCGTCTTATTCTTAGCAATCATCGATATGTTTGTCTTCCAGTTCCACGACGAGGTCATATCAACTGTGATCAGGTACTCATCTAGGGATCCGTCAATCAGAGAGGTTCCGGAATGCTAGATGCGTTCGACAAGCACATACTGTAACCCAGGACTTGATCACCTTTTGGCGATCCATTGTTATTCTCCCCAACAAATACCTCAAAGCCACCGTCAATATAGAGAGTGCCGTTTTTAATCACCGCTGTGATTGTCAGTCTCCATTGAGGTCGATGGTTTCGAGATGCAAGGAAAATGCTCACACTGATGGCTCAGTCTCTTGCAAAAGTTGTTAATCGGGTCAATATCGGAGGAATTTGCAGATCCAAATACCCCCAGACTGAGGGACAGTGAAGTTGCAACTACTGATTTAAGCATTGTTGCATGCTGTTGCAAAATGGAACCTGTCGGGATCACCACACGCAAGAGGAAAGATGTGAATTATTTGAGAGAATTTAGGACAGGGTCGGTAGATAATAAGCAAGTATTAAAGGATTTTCCGAGACACCAGATCATAACCACCACCATGACCAGTGGCTGCTCTAGCAAGCTGTGCATGGTACTATCATTTCTCGCTCGCTTTCTCCTGCATAGGGTTAGCGTGGTATCCACTTTCCCGCACCCTGTGCGGCCTTGCCATGGAACCTTGATAGTTTATTTTATGTCAATGCGACGGCATTGTGCTGTTTGTTTAAAAAAAGACAGCAAGGGGTATTTGGATATAAAGTTGTGTCAACTGTTTCATTCTGCTAACAATGTCGTATATCCTTTGATGTTAAACGCACTCCAATAAGTGCTGACTGCATTTTGATCTGCGTTAGCCCCATTCCCATGATTGGCTGATTGTTGAGTTTGATAAACACTGGAGACCATATCCCTGATGAGGGAGTAAGCATGTCGATCGACTCATATTATTCTCTTTTTTGGATGGGGGCCATTTTTCACGAGTCAGTTCGGTTCCTGGTCAGCGACCGGGTCTGCACAAATATTTTGGCAATGATCAACGACGGAAATTGGATTTCAGCGCGAGGGCGAGGTTCTTCAGTGTTGTGGACCCTGTCCAGTTTGCAGCCTCCATTTCTGTTTGACGGCCGGTAGGTATATTGTGCTGGATCAGTCTGTGTTAACATATGAAGAAATCGGTTGCCAGAAGACCCACATACTTAATATCAACGATGTCCTTTAGGTACAGTCTTCAGGGTGCAAGCGTTATAGCTCCCACCATGGTGCCTATTGCCACAGCCTTTGAGGACCAAGAGATTCTGATTTTGAGGTCGCCGCTTCCAGTACGGAGTTTTGTTTTTCTAGGTAGATCAACACTAGCAAATACCTCTCCGGCAAGCAAACAAGTGTTACTCGCGATATCCTCATGCTAGAGGCATCGGGCCTCAAGAGGCGGCACACATTTGTAAACAAGACTTCTAGTGTCACTCCAGGCTGTTGGCATTCAATGGAATTACACCCAAAACTCCCATCTCTCTTCATTGCTTTTCTATTTTGGATCTCCCTTCTTAGTTCTCTAGCGATATAGCCATCGCAACGAGCGCTGCCTGAGGACATGATCGCATAGCCTTCAGTCTGAGCACACGCAGACAAGATCCCACATGAGCCAGCTTAGCTACTATGAGCTTCAAATATGGTTCATGATCCTCCAGTCAGAACCGGAATTGGGCCAAAGGTCTTCCCCATGGTGGTACCACGGCCAAATACTGGGTACGTTCCCGGATACCAGCATTCATTTGAAGTCGAATGGTTATAAAAGTGCATCTGTGCATTATAATTCTCATATGGAGGCAATTATCTTGCTTTGAGGGCTCATCGGGATGAAGATCTCAGGAGTGAATGACTGCTACTGTCACTGCTTCTCCTAATGTGTACAAAAGCTTTTAGCACCAGCTAGCTCCTGCCCAAAGTAACCGTTCTCTCCAATCTTCAAGAGAATATTTGTAATATAAAGAGGCAAAAGGAACTTGTTGGTCACTGGATAAAAGTCGAAAGTTGATGTAGTCCATGTTCACCGCTTTTGGCAGATTATCATCATCTTTCTCCAGTTGCCGTAGCTTGTACACTCCTCCATTTTCTCTTGATTAAATCTACAAGACCTTGAAAATGGCGAATGATCCTACTGCGGCGGCAATTCAGGACAATGATGAGGAAGCTTATAATTCTGCCGAAGATGAAGATTTCGAGCTAGACGCGGCACCAGACGACTCCGATTTATCCTCCGATGCCGACGAGGCCGCAGAACCCGCAAAGAAGAAGCGAAAGACAACGACTCAATCACACAAACAAGAAGACAATGATCTTGACTCTGGAGATGAAGCCACAATCCGAAAAGCGAGGGAGAAGAAGGAGAAGAAGCGCAAAGGAAAGAAGTCCAAAGGCAAACGCGCGCGCGATAGCGATGACGATGAGGACATTGACATGGATGACGACGATGAGGGAGGAGCCGGAGGATTCGTGCGAACACGCGCAATGAAACAGCACATGTAAGCTCGTTCTTCTACTACTGACTTGTAACCGGGTGTTAATGCGTGCGCGTTCCTTGACAGACGAGAAGAACAAGCAGAGCGCAAACCGTTAGCCAAAATCGATGGCGCGACCGTGGATGTAGATGCCCTATGGGAGCAGATGAACTCCCCTCAATTCCAATACGGCCACAAACCACAAGCCCCCAAGGCTAAGATCGCCCCCGAACCCGAGACTATCGCACAGGCGAAAGCGCAAGACAAACCCGCCATAGACACGATGAATAAACCGGCCAATGCGCACGAGGATCAAATGATCAAGATCAAGCGCACATATAAATTCGCAGGAGAGTGGATAACCGAGGAGAAGGTGGTGCCCAAACACTCGGCGGAGGCTAAAGCGTTTTTATCAAGTGGAGAGAATGTCGAATACACCGATGAGGATGTTGCGGCCGCAAGTGCCACTCTTAATATTCGTCGGCCCCTTCGCAAGATCTCGCGATTCGACCCAAATCCGACTGGCACAATCAAGAAAAGCTGGGAGAAGCAGATGGTTTCCGAGGACAAAGATGCACAAGGACCCAAGATCAACACTGTGGAAAAATCACGGCTCGACTGGGCTTCGTACGTCGATAAAGCCGGTATCAAGGACGAACTTGTCACGCACAGCAAAGCCAAGGAGGGTTACATGGGTCGTATGGACTTCTTGGGTCGCATGGAAGACAAGAGGGAGGACGAAAGGCGGGCTGCACGACTCAAGGGCATGTGAATTCAGCCCTGTGCTATTTACCCATGTCTCTACTTCTACTTCTGTCATCAGATGCACCTCTATTGCCGCGTGCTGAAGAACAGATATTTGCCATGGGCTGATTGCAGGAATGCCAGCGAGCTTTGCGCCAAATCCTCAGTTCCCTGTCTCGATGGGAAACTCTACTTGGAGGAACAACCCGCTCAGTTCTCATCAAAATCAAGAACTACTCGGCTTCAAGTCCTACAACTTCAGCAATCCAGCTTGCGCCGTTGTCCATGGATACTACAAAGCAATAATAACGACTGAAGAGCGCTCATCAGCGATGGCGATTAGTCCCAATCCTACCAGTCTCCCACAAGCAGGTGGACTGCCGCCCTACTGAATTACTCATTGATGAAGCTTCAGTGCTAGTGAATGCGGCAATAATATCGATTGTGCATTAACCATCTCTGTCATACCTACATGTACTATAGCAACAAACTTAAATTTATTTAGCGATACATTCAGTGCGCACTCCAACAACGAATTTCCAGCCACTATAACCAGATTCATCAACCTCGGCCGTTTACTTGGGCACATACTTGATACCAGTGCTAGGGCAGCTAGAGGTAGTAACTAACGGAACAAATCAGTCAGCAAAGTACCAATTATGCAGCCGAGATCAACTTACGCGTCTTGACAGCCTTGTAAGTTCCGTCAATAGCATTGCCCTGAACATTATAGAAATACCAAACTTGGTTCAACTTGCCACTCGAGCAACCAAGGTAAACCGACGCGCCATGCAGCTTGGTAAGGGCAGCCTGGATCGCACTCAGGGTATACGTCTTGGAGGTGCTCGGGGTGATGCCAGCAGCGGCGAGGGCCTGTCAAAAAGAACCAAACGTCAGAATGACCCCAATCTAACACCAGAACACGTATCTCGTACCTTGTAAGTATCCAAACCCTTAAACAAATCAACAACCTTCTCAAAGAAATCTCCAACCTCCTCCTGGGCAGTATACCCCTCGTAGCAGTCGGGATCAATGGTATTAATGCAAGTACCATGCTTGCCCCACTCATGCGCCCAGAAGGACTCGTTGTCCCCGTCGATATCAACCCAGTACTCATCCATGTAGGTGAGGAGGTCGTCGCGGCCCTGCGACTGCAGGATATCCGTGATATTGGTGTAAGCGCGGGTCGAGTCACAGCTTGCCTCGTAGGTGCCGTCGCAGTTGTCGGGCCTGGGTTTGTCAATATGGATATTCATGAATATGGTGCATGGCCTCTCCCTTGTGTGACTTACCACAGACCGTGGACGGTCCACGAGGTTGAGGGGCCTGTTGATGGGCTAGTATCCCAGAATTGGGTCTGCAAAAGGGCACCGCCTGGATAGTTGAAGCAGCATGTTGGGGTTGTTGAGGAGCTTGCGCAGCTGTAACCTGTGTTGCTGGAACAGGTCTCGAGGCTGGCGGTCGTACCTGCGATGATGTTCATCGCTGCTAGGGCAAGCATGCCCTTTGATTGGAACATTTTGATCGTGAAGTATGTGAAGTATTTAGGTGGAGATTGAAGAAATTGAAGAGTAATGGAAGGATCATCCAGTGTTTATATAGTTCAGTTCCAAGGTTCTTCTTCAAAAGTATACATACAGAAGTAAATTCATCAGGTACCACATGCACCGATAACAAGCAGTTGATTTGCTATCTGCGGATCGGATATCTCCGTTATTCATTGCAAGGAACATTGTTTACAGTGTTGCAACTAAGTGGAGATAGTCGCGACGATCTCCGACCGGGGCAGCGCCAAGTGGTTTCAATTTCCCCCAATCAACATGCAGAAATGCACAACGCAGTCGACGCTAAGCGAGAGGCCGACGGTTTTCGTCTGAAGAGTGAGGAGAAACGTGGCAGTTGCTGAGGTTGCACCGGCTCTCCTACGGATCTCCGTCAATTCAGCAGATGACCGATCGCCCAGTCCTGACAAACCAAAATGCTTAATATGAATCTAGCAGGTTGACTCTTGTTTCATCTTGAAAGCAGCCTTGCTTCGCTTTGGATAACTTTGAAGAGGAATTTGAATAGACTCGCGATGACTTGGACATGCCCGACAGGGGTTCTTTCCTGCATCGCTAATGTTGATTCTCCACACCGAGAACCCCGTGGAGAATTGCTTGGTCGTGAACAATTGGAATCCAATACATGGTCTAGGATAATAACGCCTCCTGCTCCTCATTATTTCCACGCAAAGGCTCTAGCTTTATATTCCAAACGACCGCAACAGCAATAACGAAAAAGAGTGCAGCCAGTAGGAAAGGCAGTCCTAGCCAAGCATTGCCAAGATGCATACCCAGCCGAAAGAGATTGGCGAATAATGGACCTGAGATGAGTACTCCTAGCCCTTGGACAATGGCAATTGCCGAATACAGAGTACCGACATGGTCGGGGAGTACGAGCGAAGTCGCCAGACTGCGCATAGTAACCGCGAATGCTGTGCCGATGGATAGAATGACCTGGCCGGCGATCAAGATGGCGGGAGTTGGGGCGATGGAGACGGCAATGAATCCGATAACCGAAAGGATACCGCTGCCTTTGCTCATTACGTGGTCGCTTCGTTTGCCGTGTATGTTGAAGTATTTGGCGGCTATGAAGGATACCGATGGCATGAGTACTAGGTAGGTTACTAGGGAGAATATCCCGCGCAGGGATATGAGGAGACTGGACTATTCCTTGTGTTAGTTGAGTGGCTTGATAGATCGGACGTGGTACATACGCGACTAATGCTCCAGTCGAATTTCGTCGATACGTATTGTAGGAGGATATTTGTACACTGTCGGCTCATTACAGTGACAAATAGTACCACGATCACCATGCAAATGTTCAAATCGGACCAGATGAACCGTGTTGAGCTGGCGAATTCATGAACTTGTCGGGTAAGCTCTTGGAGCATCGTTCTTTTGCCAGAGTGCAAGTTCTCGGGTTCGGTTTGTGGCTCTGCTTGGTTTACTTGCTTTGCCTTTGCATCTTCGAGGGTCTCGGGAAGGAATAAGGCCAGGAGGCTTCCTACAATCACGATCCCGATAGATAGAATATAAGGATACATTGGACCAAATGTCATCAAGTAAGCACTTAGCGGAGTCGCCAGGATCTCTGCTATTATGACGCAGGATTGGAGCCGGAACAGAATCGTCGACCTAGCGATGTGTCAAACTCCACTGCAAACGCATTCTCAAGTCAAGACATACCTTTCATCTTCAGAGAAGACATCGGCTACCATGACTAATGCAACGGAAGTCATGACCTGCTCGCCGCCCCCAATTGTCCTGAAAAGCGCTGATAGCCAGACCATCCGGAGAGGAATGACATTGGCCCACAGGCCTGGTAGGTCATCTTAGCTAGACAAAACACCAAAATATCAATGTCAGACTTACAAACGACCCTTACCCAGAGTTCACCAAGAACAATGCCCAAAATTCCAAGGCACAGGATAGGCTTGCGTCCGTAGCGATCCGAAAGAACACCATAAGGAAGCGCGAGCACAAGACCTGTGAAGCGTTAACGGCCATCAATCTTAATCTTAATTGCCAATCACAAAGTAGATACCAGGCAGAGCTTCAAGTGTCTCTTTGTATCCAATCACAAGAGCCAATTCTCCCTGCACGGCCTCAGATTTACAGGGGTTCAAGTCCGACGGGGAACCCGGTGCCAGCACATCGCCAGCGCGATGAAGAGTTGCTTTGTAGTTTCGACAGATGATATCCTGAAAAACTGCCAGCTGCGGCGCATTTGACATGTAAAATCCGAAGTCGGATGATAGAATGAATATGCCGCACACTATGAAGATCAATAGTTTCTTTGATTTCAGTCGATCGGTCGCGTGCGCCAGTAGCGGCTCTGTTTCGGCGCTCGAATGCATTTCATTCGTTGTCATATCTGGGTGAGGTGTATGTAGCTTTAAAAATACATATGTTGAAACTGGATTGATGTACAAGTATCTGGAAGAGCCCCTTAAGGGTCAAGAGTGCCCCTGGGGAAGGAATGGGATGCGAACAAGTGAAAACTAGGCGGCACCATTAATTACAGGGCTCACCTATATATAAGTAGGTAGTATTGCTTATCGAAAGCCGTTGAGACGCGATCTGCAAGTCGATTGGCTTGAATTTGTCGTGTTGGCATCTCAATTCATTCCCAGCTTACTCACTTCCATCGTCAACCCCCACTTCACCTTTCTTTGTTTGAGAACAATATCAACTTCCACACATTGTTCTTGGATATTAATGTCGGATATATTAGCTTTTCTCTCGAAGAAGAGTCGCTTCCGCCATCTCTTTTGTCTAAAATTGTGCATAAAAATGCCTCTTCTGAAGCGATCTCCTGAAGCGAGTCATGATCGGAGCTCGGAGCTCGGAGCTAACTAGTATTCCGATGATATCCTCTCGGCTCTCTCTCTCTCTCTCTCTGATACCAATTGTGCAATGCGAATGTTTTTTTGTCTCAGAATCCCATGTTGCCTTGGAGTACAAGAGCGTCCGAGACTCCCCGAATCAACTCACTCGTCTGCCACAATATCCACACGTGCAAGAGTACTTGCATCTTTGTGCAACATTTCAACCCTATCAGAATAACAACCGTCAGACGCAGAACAACGTGGCATAATAACCGAATATCACCGATACCGCCGCCCGATCTCGTCTCATCAGGCGCAGTTTGAACATCTTCCCAGCTAAATCAACTCCATTTTAGGTCTCCACCATAGCCCAGGACCAAACGCTCTAGTCAGTGGAATGCTCAACGCCACTCGAGGGCCCAAGACAAACGCTCCAGAGAGGAAAGATACCCGACCTCGACTCAAAGCCTTGATAATGAATACAGCAAACCGATAGCAGCCGCGTATAACTTGCATAACCCTGCACGTTCCCGGGTCTTTTCACAGCTTGAACCTGCATGCGCCCGACGCTTTGCCTTGGGATGTCAAACGCAACCGCCTGATCCGGGATCCATCCAGCCACAATCAAAATATGGAGATCCGCACATCCGCCGGGGGTTTTTTTCGGAGGATTAAGTGAGTGTGGGATTTTCTTTGCTTTTTTCTTCTTCTGCGGCTTTCCGTTGCATGAGCGCATGTCGGGTGGCGTCCACGTCTTGGGTGCGACGCGTTCGGTGGCATTGCAGATGTTGTCGGAGATGACATTGGCATCTGTCCTGGTGGCTAGTGGTTCTGGTATGTTTGGACTAGGACTAAAAGTTTGAATGAACTCAGGGGTTGGTGTTACCAGTTCGTGTTGGTTGGTTTACTTCTAAGACGGCGTCAGGCACATGTGCTTACTTAGATTGCTTCCTGGCAAGGCTAATCATTGAACGAGGGCTTGAGAGACGAACATTGCTTGTGGCATTTGACGGACAGACTTGTTCGCTCGGATCAACCGCTAAATTATCTATATCTTGATACTCTGATACACAACTTCGGTTTATATACACATGCCATATAACGAGACGGCCCCGTCAAGCTGCGCTTGCTGGGCAGTGGTATCCACCTGCCGACAAGGAAGTGGATGCTCGGTGCTGACTACTTCTAGTTGAGACCTGTCAGAAGTGTGCTGGACTTCGTCAGTTGTGCATGGCTCAGATGTTTGAATTCTGCCCTGCCGTCGGTTTCCCTCGTGGGTGGAGCGCTGACCAGCTGTATCTGTCTCGCAGATTGCGATGTGGGCTTACTTATTTCAGAATGCGTTGGTGTGCTTTATGGTATCAACTTCTGGACAGGACAAACAGACAGGAAATATGGCCAGACATAATGCATTCGCGCTGCATGTCATCATGTTCATAGTCGGTTGAGGCAGGGTTGATGCCTCGGCCTCATCACTTTTGCTCTTCGGACAGTTGACATCTTCCCTACAATAGACGTATGATTAAAACATACCAGTACTGCTCAGATCTCATAAGACGGGCCCGTTGTTGTGATGGGTTACGTCAGGGAAAATTGATGCCCATCCGATCCTGAATAGTTAGGACCTCAAACCTGTCGATGATGAGTGGGGCTTACTTTGTATCAAACATTTACCCACAGCGTAGTCGATAAGAATCGCTCTTTTATTGCGTATCTTTAGGTCTTTGTGCCAGTCTTGGTTAACTACAACATAGCTAGCGTTCATTCCTATAGGAGACTTATGGTAGTTACTACTGTTTATCTGCTCGTTGTTGTATCAAATTTTAGAGAATATCTTCATTATTCTTTTTATAAATCTTTGTGTTCAATGATTAAATTCTTTATTCAAGTCTTGTGGTATCTGAATGTTTAGGGTTGTTGAATAAAAAGTGGTGATCACTGCGTCATGCGAACATCCAACTACAAGAAAATATATTTCCCCTAGTCCTGAAATTATACTTGCAAATGCTAGCGCATGTACTTCCGAGCTGCTTAGCAATATCCTTCGGGCTAAGTACGTTTGTTAGAAGAATTTGAGCCCAGGTTTCGTCTTGTTTACTCCCGAGCATGCTCATATATATTTGGCTGTCAACCGACAAAGTGCACACCAATATCAGCAAAGCACGCCAAATTTACATTTTGATATCATAAAATCACACAAGGATTACATCTAAATGTCTATTTAATCTTCCAATCAGTTTACCAGTTGATTTGCTGTGTGTTTATGGCTTAATTGGGTGTTCACCATAGCAACACCGCACTATGTACACACCCAGACAACAACATTAAACCCAAAGGCCTGAGTCATGCAATTGACATTGCTGCAGAGTCACATCACGTCTACGAATATGCACCGATCCCATTGAATTTGGTAGATGTTCGATAGCGTATTCCTAAGTAAAGTTTCACGCTAGATCCTTCTCAACTCTACATTCTGCCCAGAAACCCACACGCCCCAAGCTTACGACTACAACAAATCCTATCAACTGAAGGAGCCTGTGCTCAGAGCTGCACAAAGTATAATCACAACGGGCAGCAAATAACTCGCGGATGACAGATAGCAGATTTCATGATTCGCGTCGCAGGAGTTTATCCCCGGGACACGCAGGTTCAATGTCTCTTCCTAGATGAACCAACCAACGCGACACCATGATTGCAACGTACTGTAAGAATACTCGACACGACCCATGAGCTTACGCAAAGCGGCGGCCCTGCGGTCATATGTAGGAACTGAAACCAACACCAAATAACAGCATGTAGGTCTCCCGAGTAGGACAGAAAAGCACCAGGTAGGCGCAAGGGCCCCAATAATATGAGATCATCAAGATTCCCATCAGTGATTGACCTCAATTATCCAATCACGCTGATCCCATTCCCCCACTTCATAGGATAGACATGGTTCGTGCGTGTTGAACTCCACCTGCAAATCAACCGTGTCTGACATTCTCCAGAAAATTGGATACCTAATGTTGATCCAATCCGTCTTGGGGAATCGATATCTGGGCTTGGCCTATGCTTAGGTAGCTGGGTCATGGCCCGAGGGCCACTAGCATGTTTACCTAATATTTATTTTGCTTTGCATAGTCTCTCGATTCAAAATTGGAATTAAATGGTCAATGTGGTTGCGTTGGTATGTGATACAGGCATCATTATTGCAACGCTGCATCTCTGGAACAACTGTAAGGTTTGATTATGATCGTGGATCATGAAAATCAAGTAATTTGACATTGTGTCTAGAGCTAGACGCGAATTACATAGAACGCGAATCACTGGTATTGTACAGAATCAGAATATCGTGAAGTATGTATTCTCCTTCTTCGCGACTCACATCACGCTCCTGTAGCCAGGTATACAGTTCCACAGGGCCACACGAGGATCAATTCTGGGGAACCCCTGAAGGGAAAATACAGGCTGAATAGAAGATCTCACAGGGCTCCCCCCTTAGGGCGTTAATTGCACATAACTAAAGTTTTCGCCACCAAGTTGGTTCCTGGAAGCCGGGAACAATCAATGCAAGGCTATGCAATGCAAGTCAACTTGGAATAAGAATTAATATTATGAACCAAGCAAATAAAAGCAAATATTCAAGCTAAAATACCATTGTCTCGAAGCTAGAGAAGAACCAACCGTTGTGTGAAGAAAAAAAAGAAAAAGAAGGCCAAGCAAGGGGGTAGAAACTGGGGGATCCAAGTTGCTCAGGTACCAGCACACCAAGGGGACACCGAGAAGAGACCAAAGAGCCAGGTACCTTTTGGGCGTGGTGCATTGGACGCAAAGTACTTTCCGAAATGCACACTATTGATCGATTTTGCAGCCTCGATCTCTGAGGCTTAACTCCTATAGGCTGATCAGCACCATCCCTGCATCTTCAGCCCAGATACCTAAGCTTCCTCACAAATCATGGTCTGTAGCTTGCCAATTCCATAACGCTTATCCACCCTACCACTTTATTCCTCTTATCGGATTTCTCCGTCTAGACGAGCCGGTCGGCTACCCGATTCAGGATCAACATCAGCTTTCGATCGCGATATCCGATCACTAGGAACCTTAGAAATTTTATCCTGAGACCATCAATCTCTGTGCTTATCTCGGGCCCGAACATAGTACTCAAGCGCTTTGTCCTCAAGAACTGATAACCTTTATTAAGAAAATGTATCAAACCTAAATGGAAGTATTGGAAGAGCCACCAAATCACAATCGATAAGCGACGAAATCCAAGCAACAGGCGTCGAATCCCGTGAAATGAACATTCGCGGTCACGTCAGTGGCTCTCGAAAACGCACCTGCAGCTCCAATCCAATAAACATGAGAACATGGGCTTGGCTGCAGGCTCGGGGGGGAAAAGTAAGTACATACCGAGGAATGTTACTATCAGTGCGCACCAGGCGGTATGGCCGGCCATTGGTATTTTTTATTTTTTTACACAGGAAGGTATGCTATTATGCTATGATGGTGGACAATCTAGTGGTATTGTTGCATGGGGGACCACTCTAGAAGCACTCCGCAAAAAAGCAAAGTGGAGGGGAACACCACCATGGCGTTCGGTGGTTGCCTATCTTGATGATGATTCGATTATCTGCACTAGCTATCTGAGCTGATTAGACTGCATAGCTAATTCTGAACTCAGTTGCGGACCTCTTCGGCCTTCGAGGTCGGACCGTGATCTCAGAATGTTGCTCAGTTGATAGCTCCATTTGAGCGCCCCGGGTACCTGGTACCTGAAAGTGGGATGGTCGTGCTAATGCAACCATACTCATGACTCTAGATAAGGTTTGCTAACTCGGGGTTTGAGTTGGACTGATCTGTCAAGTATTGTCTTTCTTTTGTTGGGGATGCCAATAGGTGGGGTATTTGGTCTAGCCTGAAATTGTCTATTCTTGGTATCTATACACAATGCACAGGATCCGATACTACCTCAAGAAGGCGAAGATAGGATACGCGTTTCAGTCGCCACATCTGTTACTCGCCTGAAACTAAGTAATGCGATCAACAGATGATCAAACATTTCCGAGAGCCTAATGAGGCACCGTGGTCTAGGAGATGTATGGGGCTCAGCAAAATCACAAGATTGAAGGACTTCAAGGCAAAGGTCACACAACGTAGTGATATTTGGTGGCGAGCCGGATTTGTAGATCCTCTGCACAGACAAGGGAGGCATGTACGAAATGGTGCATGCCGGATGATCACTTCTAACAAGCCACAGCTCCATCCACGACGCCACTAGCTGGTGAGAGTGGCACGGCCAAAATCATGATCTCTGATTTGGAAGGTAATGGTATGGCAGAATGCAACAAAAACCTGGTTTGCGAAAACACTATCGAACTTTCCGATGCGGTCGATCACGGGAATTACATGCAGCAGATGGACTTAGCAGAGTCTGAGCTTCTGAGATCAGAGACATTGATATTCGATGGCCTGATTTGATATCGATCGCAATCCCAATCGCAATCCCAATCGCAGGTGTAGCCAGTTAATATTGGTCTCTAGTCTCTACGAGTACATACAATATAGACAGGCTTAGGCCTAGCTTTGCAGGTTCGTGGTCCATAGGAGCCACATACGTATATGGAGGGCATCCCTTCAGACGCAGGGGCCTTTCTTAAGGACTGAGGAGGGCTTTTTCAACATTCGGGATTCGCCCTTGCTGTACTCTGGTCTGTGCTTAGAGAAAGCAAGCGAGAGGCTCAGATACAGAAGTCAGGAAGATTCGGGTAACTGATGAGACCCTTCAATAAAGCGTAGTGACTATCTACATCACCAGAGGAGCAAATTTAATCGGACTAGAATTTCCCGGGTAAGGTGGTAGGTGGAAGTTGATGAAGTAATGGTGTAGTATAGAATGTGAGCAATGAGTGGAAAGATCAAACGCCGGGCGGGGTCTTGGCGAAATCTCCGTTTTCCTAGTGTCCGGGTTTCTGGAACGAATCAAACTGCAATAATGAAAAATTCTAGAGAGTGATACATCTTTTCACTAGCTAACGGTGAAGAAGCATGTCAAACCGGTTTTCTAGCTCATGGGATACGGTGAGATGCACGTATATCAATAGAAGCGTGGTAGGGGAATGGGGAGAGAAATAGTGTAGATGCAAGAAATCCAAGGGTTGAATAATCAGTTGAATAATGTGGGGGGCCCTTGCAAAGGGTCGATCTGACATGAGTAGAGAGATCGACAATAGTACGGCGGGGCCGACCCAAAGGCCGAACCATCAAAGCTCATATGAAAAAAGCAATTCTGGGGACTTTAGACTCGGGTGGTCCAACTGAAACCTAATCGTGATAAGAGAATTAGCTGGTTCTCATCTATTGACTTTCTCCAATGAGGAGTGACTCGGTCGGCAACAACTTGGAGCTGTCAGAAATCAAGCGCTACTTAGCCCTAGGGCCCAATTCAAACGCTCGTCTATCTAACCAACTAACGCTAGTTGGCCCTGTTTCATCATGACTCATGACCCACTTGACGGGCGATGCAAGTGCAATGTGATACACAGACGAACAGTCTAGCCATAGTTGTGATGGAATACCATATGAGCCTATCAACATATGAAGACATTGAGATAAGAATATAGTTCATTGAGTATTATAGTACCCATGATGATATTACAAAACAATTGGTAATAAACATCGCGATCCTGCAGCGGGGACAAACATTCGAGGCCGATCACTATTTGGGCGGGCCTTGAAACCAAGACTGGCCACGACATGGAACGAACATTCAGAGAAGAATGCGAAACTTTACTGATGAACAGTCGCCACGCAGGTCTAGAGCGAAACAATCATCATAATGCTCCAGCCATAGCCGAGTTCCTTCATTCGGGTCTCGACTGACGCGTGATGGATCAGACGCAGGTGTAGGTTAGACCGACACTATCCGAACCGTTGGGGCGGATTGGGGTCGACATATTTGTGAGACCCAGTGGGATGGATGTTAGTTGTTCCCGGGCGTTCTTCGATTCGTTTTCCTTTTTCTTTTTCTTACTCACATTCCAATGTGAAGTCCAATGACGAGGTGGATTTGTCGCTGCAGAAGGATAAGGGACTAGACTCGAAGAGCGAAATATAAGAATAGAATTTACATAATTCAATTATAGTATAATATGAAGGAAAGACACAATAAGACAATAGATGCGTAAGGCGATTTATGATCATCATCTTAGTTAAATAACGCGGAGAAATAGAGGAATGTTGGAATCTGAGATTGCTACTCTCCGGGAACCTATGCAGTGTCAACCGGGTTAGCACAGACCAGTTTGAGTCGAGGTGGAGAGTGATCAACGTCTGACCTGTCGCAAAAGTACATGCGATCGATCCAAGCCTCTACTGCACGTCCGAGCGAGGTCATATTTTCGAATCATTTTATTAAAAAAAGAAGTGGTACCTTCATTTTGGTTTCCCAATAGTAGAACTATATTTTCAGATATCAAAAAACACAAAAGTATTAATTCAACCCATAGTAAAATTATAATTCAAATCAATAATGATCTGAGACTTAGGAGTGGAGAACAAGATCAGGGTCTCAGGTTTGATCGACACGGCTAGGAAAGTCCGGGGACGCGATCTACCTGCATGTTCAAATAGACTCTGCTCACATTGCGCGGAAGTGAAGAGGTACAGCCTAGACATTCCAATGCAGTGGTATGATTTTCAAGATTGGATTGGCTCTACGGTGTGGTGGAGAGGGTTCGAGATGCATAAATAAAGATTAAAACAATTAAAACAATTTAAAACAATTGAGAAAAAAGAGCAAAAACAGAAAAAAGAGAGTGAGGTTAGAAATTAAAAATAAAAAATTAGTTACTAAATACTAAATGAGATCTCATAGGACCTCTACCGCTAATCATACAGAGTTAAATCTAAAACTAGTATTAAATCATGAATAATGCTGATATAGTATATCCATGAAAAATCCAAGAATTTCCCACGATTTAAAAAAAAGAATTAAAGATTTAATCAGCAACAAGAAAAAAAGAAATTATTCAAAAAAACAAAATCCAAAAAAAGAAAAGAAAAGAAAAAGAAAAAGGTGAGGGATGGCAATCAATGCGCCGATCCAAGTCACTTTCCTTCCATCTAGTACCGTAAGCCCTACCATTCAGCCCAAAAAGGTACCAGGAACAAGCTTCCCCCGTGGATCATTGCTTTTCAGCGCTTTTCATTGCTTCCTATAAACTCTTTAAGACATCCCTCCCCAACCCTCCATTTCCTAATCTACATCTCCTTACTGTGCCCTGTTCATATAATCTCCCCTCCCCCTGCCGTCTAATCTCAATCAATCTGAGACCAGCCCCTTCTACGCCAACCATCTATTTCGCGTTAAAGGGTTGCTGACACCAATATCGACCAATATCGCCTAACTTGTCTCTGGTGGTCCACCCCAGCCGATTCTTTTCGTCTCTATTTGGCAAGACGGGTCCATATTAACGCGAAACATCGCGGTTTAAACCCACAGCCCTCGAGGAACTCCAGCCGATCCCAGCCCAGATCCAGCCGTTGCATCCTTTGCCGCGGTAACGGAGGATCTCATAGTCTGCATTCCTAGCCTTGCTTTGTACCTGAGGCACGCGACGCGCCGCTAATCCAATCCTCATCTGAGCTTAGACCATGGCGTATAGCTGTAAGTTCTATCTCCACTCGGGATTCTATGCTCGACCAATTTGTTTATTTCTGCCCGTTTGTCCTCCATTCCCTTCAACTTTTTATTGTCACATTCTTTCCTTTCCCTCTACTCTGGGACCTAATACACATTCTCTTGTCTTCTTTCGCTTTCGCTCTCTCTATCTCCTTTCGTTATCCCTTTCCTTTTGACATCATTTCCTTCTCTTGATCTCTTGACCTCATCGACTCTCGCTATAACTTGTCAACTACTTGACTTCGCCTTCGTTCCAATATATACAACAATTTACTAAAAACAATTGCCCTGAGCAGGTGCTACTATCGACTCAGTCACATCGCGATCTTTAAAAACCGAGGACCTCGACGATATGAGATCTCACGGACAACAAATTTCGGATCGTTTGACTGTTGAAGTTGACTGCCACTCTCTCGGCCCCAGTGAATGCCCCTCGATGACCTCGAGCTTTTCTCCTTTGGACTCTCCAACTCCCACGCCTACCAGTCTCTACAGCCAAGGCTCAATGGCCTCACCAGGATGGCACGATCCATCCCACTACCACCACACCATGCCAATGGAGCGCCGAAGCTCTCAAACACCACTGCGCAGCGCATTTAGAATGGCCGACCTTGCCTCAAATGAAGGCATGATGAACATGCCCTGTGGTAACATGGATCGACCTGAACAAATGCCACTTCCTGAGTACCTTCCTGGATACGACGACAACGTCGACCAGCTTTGGCTTCCTCAGGATATGCCCAAGACCTTCCAGGAATCTCAGTTTCCTTACCAGGCGCAGATGCCTCAGTACAACCAAATGGCTCGCAACTATTACCACCGTCCCCAGCAGGCTGGATACCTGCCGGAATCAGCTTCCAACCCTTGTCTCTCTCGTCCTATCTTCAACCAGCCCGCTGAGCGGATGCCTAACTCTGCCTCCATGACCAACATGCTCCATTGGATGCCCTCACAGGAGTCGTTGGCACCGCAAACCATCACTCCTTCCCAGGCTTTTCCCGCTGGCCCTGTGACGCCTCCCTCTTCCTCATACTCTGAATTCCCTACCCACATCCCTACTTTCAAGACCCACACCCCTTCAACCCCTCACCGCTCTGTCTCCATGGGCACCCCCTCTGGGTCAGACACTCCCATCAGCCGCATGTCTGGCCATGGTGATTACCAGGAAGAGTTCCAGCTCTCTCCTGTCTACCGCGATGGTCTAATTCAGCGTCACCGCCAGCCATCACGCAAACCATCTAAGAAACAGCTACTCCGATCAAACTTGAGTCTCGAAAACCTGCCCTCGATCATCAAGCAGGTGCAGTTCAAGTGCAAGGAGCCCGGCTGCAAGGGCCGTTTCAAGCGCCAGGAGCACCTTAAGCGCCATATGAAGAGCCACTCCAAAGAGAAGCCTCATGTATGCTGGGTACCTGGCTGCCACCGTGCATTTTCTCGCAGTGACAACCTCAATGCGCACTACACCAAGACCCACAGCAAGCGGGGTGGCCGCAATCGTTACGTTGCCACTCTCGATGAGACCAGTCAAGATTTCGATCCCGATTTCCGCGGCCAACTCACACCTGATGGTCGCCCTATCTACGGAAGCAAGCTCGAAGAGTCTATTCCCGATTGCGGTGAGCTCAGCGTTGATGGCTGGGATGACTAGTCGCACTATCCATGCTAAAAAAAGCAAATCACAAAAATTGACATCACAAACAAAAAAATACCAAAAAAAGCAAATTCCACCACGCGATTTCCAAAAGAAAATATGGAATTATAGAAACCCATTGCAGAAACGTGGCCTTTATTGGCCCTGGATTTGATACCCCGTCTCTGGAGGATCGAGTATATGAAATGGCAAACGCACCACGGAGTAAGGCCAGATTGATCTCTGGATGTCCTGGCGTTTTACATTGTCTCTAAAGGATCTTCGGAGACATTGATTTATTTACGTCTTTTCTATGTTTTTTTTTCTTTTTCTCTTTTTTCTTTTCTCTTGCATAATTTGTCCGGAGCCAACGGAAGGGAGGTTTATTTTGAACGACCATGGGATTTATCCGGCGTTGCATATGTTTTCTGGTTTGGAGATCGCCAATGGGATAATCATTTGGGAAGAACACCCCCAGGGGTCGGCGATCGTGTACAATCTGTTACAACGTGTTGTTGTCTTTTTTTTTATATCTTTTTTACTATCTGTTTGTACTACCATCCATTAACACACAAAATGTGGCATAATATATCAAAAAATCAAAGATCTACATTTCATGTCGCATGTACTTTTGATGCATCTATAATTTGAGAAGTTAATTCAAGTACACAGTACTTAAGTCCATTCATGTCACACAGGAATTTAACTTCGTTCTTTACCACGGTTCCTGGGTCTTTAATGTTACACATCACACCACTCAGCCATGGATCCGCTTTAGATTAGTTCCTGGATCTCTCCAAACCGATCTATCTGGTCGGTTTCAAGTGGATCGACACGAATCGGGCCTCTTGCAGATGCCCATGAACTATCTGCGCCTTTTACCCGTCTTTGTCATTCAAATCTTTTCACATTCTTATGGACTGCTGCATTATCCTCCCACATCCGCGTCTCCCGTTTCAGATAAGTCATGTCATCATCTCTTCACCGCGGCTCTCTGGCTCTTTTAGGCAGTCAAAAGGTACATGCAAAGACGTACCTTTGAAAGCATGTGGAAGATAGCGCCCCGAGCACGCACTGCAACACTACTGTGAATGAAGCTCCAACCATGCTCCACTCCACAACCCGCGCCACATTCAACAGCACCATTGTTCTATCTATCAGACATGTGGATACTACTCCCCTATTGCGCGACTAGGACTTGTTCAAAAACTGGGAAGTCGAAGTCAGTGCAACGCCTAGTTCTAAGTATAGCGCCACAAAACACGCAGGCCAAAGCGAGAATCAGCCGAGAATGATGAAAAGCAAGAAGAATTCAGCCAGCTGCATAGATAAACATTATGAAGCCAAGAGCCGCACTGTCTAGGCCTTCGCCACTATGTCGGGTTGGTCCTGCGTCATTCTCATATCTTTTTACCCAACCCCCAACCCGTGGGGTCCGTCGTTGCCGTCAAAAGTACCCAGCACGATCGCTTCATGACAAACACCCCCCACTCTGTGCTACTCCATCTTTATTATTTTCCTGATCAATGATCTTCGCGCTTATAACATCGTATCCCAACCCAAGTCCTCAATGTAGTTTAGGTTTGGGTGGCACCCGTTCTGCACATCAGGCCTGGTCCAGCACCGAGCACGTTCATTCTTCTGCAAAGTACAACTGTACAGCAGTACCAATTCTCATTCCTGTTCCTTAATATCCAATAGTTTCTCAGTCTAATATTAGTCCTTCTACTCCGTATACCCATTCACATCGAATTCAACCGGTCCCACTTCCCCAGATTCCAAATCCCCATTCCAAATACTTGGTTCCACCGCTACACCGGTGTTTGCAGTCGCAGTAGCACATTGTGCGGTGTGCTCGTCGTTGAATTAGTCCGGCCATGCCATGTTGTACCCTGCAGCTTGTTACACAGACGCTATGTATATGCCATGCAGTACTAATCGGGAACGGGAACCGGGCCTCCCAGCCGTACGGTTGTGGGAATGGTACCCAAGCGATTTGTCTTTTTCATTTTTCATACCTCTTTTGGCTCGTTGATAATGGTCCTGCATAAAAATAAACCAAATGAATTATTTGCACCTGTGGCATTGGGTTTTTCGATTGACGTTCGATGCGTGGCTTAGATCCCGAGTTTGTTGGGTCCTGCGCACAGCTTTCTCTGCAGGTAGACCATCCATTATGGGTTATTCTGGGTTTTTTGACATGAAGAATCTCGAAGGGGATTTGTTCTTTGCTTTACTGCCTGCCTATTCCAGCATCAAGATAAGAGCAATAATAAGCCATGGATGCAACATGTACAGTCTATGCGCTCATGACATTCCAGGGAGAAGATCTCCTCGCCAGTTGGAAGGCTGCCATTAGTGCATCGGCATGTCTGTGCGCAGGAACTCGCTGTCCTGTAGGCTTCCGCGGAGATCTGGGCACAGTGTCTTGAGAAATTATTGAGAGTTTGAAGCGACATGACTCCAAACTTTCAATTATCCAAGTCAATGTGTGTCTCAGGGCAGTTCTTGCCTAGCAAGGATTCTGTAAGCGAGTAGAGTTAGTGAGTCTACTATGCACACCGTAACCTCTCCCGTCCTCTACCTTGTATCTGCTAACTACGTTATACACTACTGTGCGGGAGCTACATGCATTGGAATGTGATATTGGACAATCAAGTTCTAGACTCTTGCATCATGTCCTACTGAAAAGTGCGAGTTAGTTTTCGGCTTACTTCTTTCTCTCACACTTCCATGCAATGCAATGTATATTTTAATAAAACTCAACCATCTGGATTTTGGATATTGTGTTGTACAACCGAGGATCTGAGTTGATCTGCTCGCTTTACTCGGTTCTCGGGTGATGCGCGGCGATCTTTATCCCTAGCTTCGGGTTGAGGGGAGATTGGACGATGTGCCGCCCTTCCGACGCTATATAATTGGCTCTGCGTCTTTTTTCCTACCTTGCCTTTACAGTATTAAAATCTCTCTCTATTCCCGTTGGTGACTCGAGTGGATTCCATTGTACATTAACTCAGATCACGACAATCCTGAAAGATGTTTTCGAAGCACACCTTTCGAGGTATCATTGAACATCGAAAACCACTCACCGCACTTTAAGGTGACATTGAGGTTTGCTTTTGCAACCTTTGGCCCCCAGGTCATGGTTGCAACCTTTTCTGGTCGATTGATGGTGTGCTAGCACCATTCGAGTTTGGGTTTCACTTGGACCTCGCGACACATGAAATTTTACTTCTGAGCTTGTCGCCTCTCTAAGTGAGTTTGTATATCTTGTCTAATTTGTATATCTTGTCTTGAAGGCTTGTTATGGCAAGCCAAATGTCTGGCCCATCTCAGTATTGCTTTTTTCTGAACTGAACCCTCCAACTCACGAGTGAGACATGCAGCTAACGGCGGCCCACACAGTGCAATATTAATCCTCCCAATTTTTGCTTTGTTCATGATGACCTGCAAGCACTGGATTGCTCAATTTAATCATATCAAACCCAACAAGACAATGTTACTAGGGCATTAATCAACATCGTGACTAGTATCCATACTGGGCTGTTGACGCTTTTCCCAATTAGGTACATTAGTCATTGACGGGTTGGGCGCTGACAAATTCATTAAGTAATCACACCATATAAAAAATTCAACGCACCGGTTTTTCAGAGCTTCCCAACATATAATCTGACATTTTTCTGTCCATCAAACGACCATGCTTAGGTTCCCTGTGCAGAGCCATTGCTCAAGAGATTAATGTCTTCTCTTGACAATGAGCTTAAGCATTGACTCTTTGCACCCATCTCGCAAGACAACTCTGGTCTTTTCTTACTATGATGATCACCATTTCTATTTGACATGAATTTCTCCATGAGTGTTCAAAAATATCAAGCTCAACAGTCTGAGTAACGAATGACCAGAGGATTGCCTCAAGACCTCATGTCTGGCCTAAGCGGTCTCGGTTTGATATATGCTCACGTCGTCGACGACTTTTCTCTAGCTTCACTCGATACCTTTCCTCTCAAATATAATACAATACTTACTTTGATTACTGTTTCCCTTTTCTTTTTCCACAGATAGCACGGATGTCAAATTGCGATCCGGCCCTTTCATGGCCGCGGTCGCGCCGAAGAAGTGCTTATATCGAAATGGAGATACGTCTCCCTAGCCAGTGAGTACTAGATTTTTGTCCTACGGTTCGCCCGAGGTGGCAAACATCCATTGAAGATCTGGAACATCCCGTATTCGTAGACTATTCTTGTTGTTAGTACCATGAATTTTATTTTATTTTACTCTTGCTTGATTGTCCTCAATCTGTTTTTGCTTGTCTAAATGGCCTTAAACCTATGGCCACTGCCTGACCTAGGCTTGCCTTCTCCATATCTCAATGAACCAAAGCATGGTGATGAACAGAGTGTTGGTACTCCTCGGACCAAGTCGACGCAATCCAGAATCACAATGGATCTGAGAGGCACAGCCAACGCCTATCATCCCTCGATCCTCTCTTTTGATCATGGCAACATACCTTGCCTGGCAACACATCCCTCAAAGCTATAGTATACGCTGGAGAACAACCAGGCAGACAACTCTCTTGTCAACCCTAGAAACTTGAAGACTATGGCATTGGTTTTCGCAGCCGTGTAGACCGCGATGGAATTAGGTGGTATTCCCTATCCTCTGCCTCCTAATCAACCAATGAACCTATTTGGAAGCTGCCAATGCAGTCTGGGGGTCAGACCGGTTCAATATGAAGGGACTTGGCGCCAAATTGAAGTTCTTCATTCCATCAGCCCACAACAAACCAAACCATACACCAACCTAGAAAACACACCAAATGAGATAAAACGATATTAACAAAAACAACAAATAGAAACCAGTTCTTTCATTTTGTGATATCAAATTCCAAAGTATTTCACAATTCCAAAATCAACCCAAACCCCAACCGCGTAGATTAGAAAACTCCTGTACAGAATGGTATCGAGTCTGACAAATCCCAGGATTCCCACCGAAAGCCGTGCCCAGATAGTACAGTGAAAACGAGACGAAGAAAAATATAAAAATAAACCGCGAGGGAAAAACCATGGCAAAATAATAACGCCGACCTGTCCGATCTCCACAATGCCTGGTCCCTGTACAGATTCCCGGGATTCAGAAAGAACGTAAATAGAAAATGAATAAGTAAGCGCAAGAAGGGAAATGAAGGAATCAGTCAGATGAGACAACGGCATGCTACTAGTCAATCAACTGCCAGATTGTCCATAGATGGTCATAAATCTCACACCAGATTTAAACTTGTTAAATAGTATATGTGAAACAACATCTGCGCTTTCGAGATATCATCAATGTCGTTTGTTGATGCGTTGCATCAGCTCAGGCGAGCGAATTCAGTTGTTCATGCCGCCCATACTGTGCATCGAGCCCTGTGCTTGCATTTGCTGGGCTTGCAAAGCAGCAGCACGCTGTTGCTGTTGCTGCTGGCTATTCTCCCGCTCGCGACGCATGAGTTCGTGAACCCAGGCTTTGGCTGTCTTTTCCAGACCGGGACCATACTGCTGCGCAATACTGGGCGGGTACTGGTTCGGCGGGCCGTACTGTGCCATATACCGCTGGGACATGTCGTGTCGCATCCGGAGTAGCCTTTGTTGATATAGAACGGTATATCTTTGTGCCGGGTTGACAGGCTGTCCATTTTGGCCCATTTGACCACCGTTGGCCTGGGCAGCCGCTGCCATCAGCATCTGTTGTTGTTGCTGTTGTTGCTGTTGTGGCGTCATCTGTTGGTTACCCTGGTGTTGCTGATTTTGTTGGCCCTGCATTTGTGGATGCTGCCCGCCTGATTGCTGCTTGACAATTTGCATCTGAGCATATTGGGCACGCATGAGTTGAGCTTGGTAGGCCTGTTGACTGTGCTGGGGGACCTTCTGAACAGGCTGGTTGTTTTGCTGCTGTTGTTGCTGCTGCTGTTGGGCTTGGAGCAATTGTTGTTGTTGATGATTTTGGATGTTCTGCTGGGCATGTGCATTGGCTTGCAATTGAGCGATTTGTTGAGGCGTGAATTGGTTATGCGGCATATGTCCTTGTTGCGCTGCAAGAAGTTGCTGCTGTCGGTGCTGCAGCATCATCTGCTGCTGCTGGGGGGTGAAAGGCATACCATTCATTTGTGTAGTAGCACTCATGCCCTGGTTCATCACTGGAGTCTGGCCCATTGGGTTGTTCGGGCTACCATGCCCCATACGCTGGGTGGGTGTGACATTGCGCATAATCGGCGTGGCGTGCGACATAGCCGGCGTGCCTTGGGTCATCTGTGGAGTACCGTGTCGGCTTGGTCCTTGTTGACTCCTTGAGGGCGCCATCGGGTGGCTCATGACATTGGGATGCGCATGCTGTAGGGCAGAGGGAGGTCGTGGAGGACTACCAGATCCAGATGCAGACATGGTCATTGGAACCGCCTGTGTGTGCATATTGTTACCAACCAGTGGCGATGAAGCTGTGTGTGGAGTCTGGTTACGTACAACAGGTGAGGACTGTTGTCCTTGGCTGACACCATTCGGTTGAGCCATAGGGTGACGGTTTTGTTGTTGCGCGGCAAGTTGAGCCTGTGCTTGTTGAGCTGCTATTTGCTGTCTCCGTGTTTCCTCCTTCGCGTGGTCCTCGGCTTGTCGCTGCTCAATTGCACGGCGTCGCTCTTTCTCCTGTTCCTGCTGTTGCCTCTTGGCCAGCTCCTGCTTCAGCTTCATTTCATGCTCACGCTTAGCTTTCTCCTCGTGTTGCATGCGAATCGTTTCGAGCGTCTTGAATCGGGAGAACCGAGGCTCGAATGGCACCACACCGCCCGTGTCATCCACAGCAGCAGCCTTCGCTGCGCCACCAGGACCGGAAGCAGTGGGCTCTAGACGCTCATCCATGATGAGCATGAACCTCTCCTCCTCAGCGGCCAAAGCTTCGTCCGCGGCAAGTTCGGCAACCGTTCGCTTTCGGCGTTTGGGTGAAGGGGGCGGGTCGCAGTGGAGTGGACTTGCCATATGTTTCAAAAGCTCTTGCGCAGCGTCGAAACTATACACAGGGTCCAAGAAGAGAGGAGGGGCTAAGGCTTGGATCAACTTAGATTCAAACTCCACAAGTTGATCTGGTTCGATGATCATTTTCTGTCTCTTTGCGACGTGTCCACGGTCTGCCTGGTTGCCCGCCGGGGTAGTGGATGCAGCGAAGTTTGATTGAGCCGGTGGTTTATTGGCTTTGGGATCAGGGGTGGTGACAAGCAATGTCAATTCTGCTTGCAAGCTTCGAGCTGTGGGATGGAGCACGGTAGTGAAGACTCGGGGCTTGACAGGAACGTTCTTTTCAGCTACAGAGCTGGCTTGTCCTTCTGCCTGCTCAATAGATGTCTGTCCATCCGATGGCTGATTCGGATTCGGAGTTCCTTCGCTCTTCGTGCCTTGTGTGGCTGACGTGAGTTGATTCTGTTTCGGGTACGGAACGTAGGCTGATGGTGTCACATGTTCGTTGTAGTTATGTAGAGAGAATGGTGTGTTGTTCTCGTTGGGCGATGCCGTAGATGTCTTTCTTGCTTGTGCCGAGGCAGATTTATGATCGATAACGCGGACGATGAGGCAACCTAGCAATGATTAGCAAGTGCGCATTTTACAGCCCGAGTGATGGGAACTACCTTCGAAGAACCGTACATCCCCTCGCAGAAGCTCCTCGATCAAATCATGCGGAACAGTCCCGGCGCGAATATGCTCGATAATAACTTTCATCTCGGAATTGTAAGGGAAGCTGCCATCTTGCTGCTCAAATCGAAAATGTGTAGGATGTAGATGAACAATAAGAGATGGTGGACATTTTGCGTATTTCTTGAGGATATAGGAAGTTGTTTTGACTGTTATGGCGCGCAAAGGAACAAAGTCAATGACCGCACCTTAGCGTTGGGAGCTCCCCGGGACTGCTTACCATATGGCTCAGACGCCTTTTTCCCAACCCTATGTGCGTTTTCTGATGCAGCAGTCCTCGTTACTGGCCGGCCAGATTTTGAGGACTGGTCAATGGGTCGTTGCGCTTGGTTCCTTGTCCGATTAAGGGAGCCTTTAGCGGTGGAATTGCCCACCTGACCCACGCCGTTTGTAAAATGAGAACCTGTGTGGGACATAGCATTTGTTGGGGAACGTCTTGCCGCAGATGTGGGTGAAGATGAGAGGTGTTGGCCCTTGACCCCGTTGACCGCGGCCTGGCCGAAAGGCGGGGGCGGCCGCTTCATCTTCTGGGTATGGGGCGTCGGTTTAGAGATTGCGGTCGCCATTATATCTGCGCCGGTCGCGCAACCTCAAGGTGGCCAGTTTAATAAGAATGCGACTTATCGGGATGCCGGTTTGATAATGTTGAATGAAAGCCGTGCTCGGGAAATGAATGGGATGGCCGATGCGCGAGACATGTGGGGATGGGGAGAGCGGCACCGGTCCCCAGCACAGCTGGAATCAATGCGAGAAACTAGCCAAGGTTAACCAGATGGCTTAAGATAACGAAGGAGAGAAAGCGCCAGTCCAATAATGCTGCTAGGAAGGGGTGAATCGGGATACACGCTGGGCGATTCTTGCAGAGGGAGTTGACGATGCCAAGCCGCCCGCGAGACGTGAGGTGGTCAGCTGACCATTGCCGGATTGGGCTAGTTGGATTATGTAATGTGTTCAGGATCACCACCTGACCCTGGTGCTTTGTGTATGGTATCTACTTCGTGACTACTATTTACACTTCTCGTCTACCAACCTATTTACAAGGTCAAGATGTTCAAGAGGTCAAAAGTAAGGAAGAAGAAAGTAAGCTGATGTTGAAAGGGCTGTGTATGGTGACATGGTGCCAATTTGGGACCCCAAAAGAGGCATTATGTTGTCAAGGATAAAATTGTAATAAGTATTCAAAGTAAAAACATCAATTAAACAGGGGAATAGGGTCAATCAATCATAAAGGGGATAACAAAACAGGTATAGACAAAGATAATCAAGTATCCACATCAGAATCATAGAGCGAAGTCTGGATCTGACCTAGTCCAAACCACGCACCCGTCGTCGCCAGTCATCTCCAACCCGGACAACGTCAACCACATCAATGCGCTTCCCAATTCCTGTGATCCCTTCTTTTTGCCACCATTTATCGTCCTTCTCGCCGAGTGCGGACTCGTCATCACTGTCGATGAGTCCACCACGACCACCCTCGTCTCCAACAACGACAATGACCTGGCGAACCCAACCAGCGATATGCTGGACAGCTTCCCCCCTTGTCACCAGCTAAGGACTCTTGGACATATACGAGATCTGGGGAAAGGTGGCGGACGAGATGCACAAAGCCGCCGGCAGTGCTGAAGGGCATGATCATACTATCCTTGTCGACTAGGGTTTGAGCTTGTGTGTACAACGTTCTGAAGAAGCGAGATGTGCCTGCCATTTCGTCCTCCTGGCGGGGTTCTACTGAGGTCAGGTTCCCAGTTGTCAGGTCCTCGGAAGATGCTGCTTCTTCGGTGGCAATGTTCGAGTACGACGAGGCGATGGAGACAGTGGGTCGGGATGAGCCACCTTTGGTGATGGCATGTTTCAAGTCCGGCGCATAAATCAATACAAAGATTTTGGAGTCCTCCAGATCAACGTGCTCGGGGAGATGGGATAGAATAGACTGTAATTGTCAGAAAAGCTTTCGTGGAAAAAAGGAGTGTATCCTTACCGCATGCTCAGAAGCATATTCATCCGAGTCAGCTGACGAAATCGACGAGACAACAATCACGACCGTTTTCTTCTTCTTGTCAGGATGGTTCACTGCACGGCCTGGTAATCCACCGCTCATTGTTGGCGCAACTGCTCCTTGTTGACTTCGCTCGTGAGCTCTAGCTCGGGCCTCCTCCGACCACCTAGAGTGGTCCTCGAAGTCACCTTCGCCTTTATTATCCTCACGAATAGAAGTGAGGGCGCCGCCCACAAACGCACCAGCGGCGGTGACACCGGCTACAACCCTCTTGCTAGCGCCATCGAATATCTGTTGAGGGCTAGGCGTGCGGCGTAAAGCGCCCTGCATGCGGGCCATCATACCATGATCGTATGAAGTGTCTCCAGGAGTTGCTTCTGGAGCTGTGCTCCGGGCATAATCTCCGGTAGCGTATGAAGGCGGGGGTGGTCACTTCCCGGGGCCTGGGGCGGGTAGACACCCTCTCCGTCGTGGGGGCGGTCGTCGTCTTCGTCGTCTTCGTCGTTTCTTTCACTCCACATCCAGGCTGCAATGCTAACTGTTGCAATTCCAGCTGTCAGGGCTAGGGGGAGCCAATACCCCATGGCAGTTCGTGCACCTGTTGAGCTGAAACCAGTGCCGGCTCCGCCGCGGCGGCGCCGGTCATTAGGAAAAGACATTGCGATCGCGGTTCGATTACGGGTGACGCATTAATCAATTATCAGACGCGGTCGCAATGACTCGCAGGTCGCATATCACTTGGCAAGTTGGAAAAGAAGAGGGTGGGGAAAGAGGAATGGAGAAAGGGAGAAACGACTCTCTGTCCTCGGATCATAGAAACATGTGGCTGGGCCACTTTGATTGCCGCGGTGTTTACATACGTTTGACCTGTTTGCATCTTAAATCTGGAGGCGGGTCGGTACTAGCATCACCTAGGTAGCTGCACGTGATATATAATATTATGTAATGTGATTATGTAATAATGACTCGGAACTAAATCTTATCGGCCTTTTTGTATCACCCCTCCAGGCGTGACTCGTCGCATTGCCATTTCGTCGCGTTTATTATAACACTCCACGGGTGTAAATAATAGGCAGAAGTATGCCGCATTCCGTACCTGTTCCCCCAACGGGCTTTCAAAGTATTGTACTTTGGTGAGTGTCTATTCATTTCCAAGAAAATAAGGCCAGAACTAACCTTTAACAGTGGCCCTGGTGTCTCGCTCAATACATTTACTTCCAACCCTGAAGAATACCCAAAATGTCTTCTCCCGATCGCCAATCGGCCTATGATCTACTATGCCCTAGATTTCTGTAGAAGAATGGGCATCACTGGTAAGAGACATCAATGCTTTTACCACACTGAACATTGAACGAAAATTAACCAGATCAGATGTCACACTGGTCACTCCTCCTTGCTCTCTCGCTCCGCTTCAAGCAGCTCTCCGTCAAAACCCTCACCTCACCTCACTTCCCACGCCATCCGTCATCGCACCAAAGGAACTTGAAATGACCACCGGTACAGCAGAGCTCCTCCGTCTCCCTGAGGTGCAAAACTGTATCAAGTCCGACTTCCTCCTCCTTCCATGTGATCTGGTTTGCGATCTCCCGGGCGAGTCTCTTCTCGAGGCATGGATGGTTTCTGGGGGTGAAAAGGGTCGCCGAAATGGCCTCAGCATGTATTACCAGACACAGGGTCGGGAGGAGAGCGTTAAGGGCGAAACCGCCGACTTCGTGGCCGTTGCACCACTTGAACAATCCGAGGCCCCTACTGTGTCTCTTTCCGAGCTTCGCGCCCACCTTTCCAAGCTCGTTCTCTCCATGTCCATGGACACCTTGAAGGAGAAGCTAGAAAATGATAAGGGCTTCCTTATGCGTCACACCCTAGTGGACAAGCATGCGCAAGTCAAAATGTTGACCAGCTTCCGCGATGCACACATTTATATTCTACCCCACTGGGTCAAAGATATGGCCCGTTTGAATGAACAGTTTCAGTCAGTTAGCGAAGACTTGATTGGCTGGTGGGCCAAGTCCGAATGGCAACGAGGCCTCAGCGAAAAGCTGAAGATCAACGAAATCTTCCAAAGCAAACCTCGCGGCCATTCTATTGACGAGGATGATAGCCACGACGGTGAATCCTTCGACGGCGAGGGCGCTCTAGAAGAGGAGATCAATCTCCAAGGTATGAGCACCACCAAAGCCACCTCGGCTCCTAAGTCCCAAGTCGAGGAGTCCGCAGAAGCCTCCCACCTACCACCCATGCTCGCCTATGTCCAGAGGAGCAAATCGCCATTCACCAGACGAGTCGATTCCTCGGCTCTGCTTCTATCTACCTCCCTCCGTCTCGCCAAACTGGAATCCATTGAAGAGGTCGGTCGTGTTGCTGCGTCTTCATTCGCCCATTCCACCAAAATCGCCTACCCGCAGGGTATCGCGCAGCGGTGCACCGTGACGAAGGCCGACTGTCTCTTAGACATCAACACGACTGTTGAGGAAAAGTGTGTCATTAAGGAGAGCTGTATTGGCGCCAACGTCCAAATTGCCAGCGGTGCGCGGTTGACTCGTTGCTTGATCATGGATGGCGCGGTTATTGGCTCAAGGGCACAATTGACTGGATGCATTGTGGGACGCCGGAGTAAGATCGGTCGTGAATCTGTGCTGAAAGATTGCGAAGTTCAGGATGGGAACGTTGTTCCTGATGAAACAGATGCTAAGAATGAGAAGTTTATGGTCTTCGGGGGTCTTGATGATCATGACATGGATGATTCGGATGGTTCTGAGCTCTGAGATATATATATCCTTGCTATGGTTTATGAGCTAGGATATCAAGATAAAAAATTAGAATTATATACCCAGTTGTTCGTGGATTGAAGTATAATGTTGTAGTGTATATTTGCTGGGACACAACCCCACAGGCTAGTTACCCAGACGAATATTCATTCAGACGAATAAGTACTGTTGCTTGGAGGGATAGCAATATGTTCTTGAATTACGGTGTGGTGTGCCTATCAATACAATGCTGTGAAGAAGTCCTTAAAAATCGGAGAACCCCCGGGAATATTTTCAATAGATGCTACACTGCTTATATGTATATCACCGTTGTGAGCGGCAAGCCTCACAAAAACGTAAGCATCGACAAGTCTGCCAATAAAGCATCTAACATCTAAAATCAAACTACCTAGGTATAATATTATGGTTATATGATCAAGGCATGTAGATGGGGTGCATACAGCATACGAACACGATAGTATACGACAGTCACACCAAGGCAGCTCCACATCGTGCTTCCCCGGACGTACGACTAAAACCTAGTGCTGAAACCAATGCAAGTACTTCTGCCCGGGAAACATTCCTGCCACTTGGCAAATGGCTCGACATTGCATGAACTATACTCCGCACGAATGAGGATGCAGTAAAGCTTGACCACCATAGTACTATCACCCCGTTATCAGACCACAATATTGTAGGCATATGGAGCCCGGGATTTGCAACGCCGCAAAAGGCAGTCAAACCCGTAGAACTAGCGCAATGATTAACCAGACTCCACGAGTGGGCACAACGCATTCTCTCCGCATTTTGCCTTGGAATTGAACTTTCTTTCAACCCCTGATCAGCCACCGTGCATAAAGGATTGACAGGGAATATATAGTAGGATGAGGAAAGGGGGAAGCTAAGGGTTCAAGGAGATTAGAAATTGAAATTGCATTGAGATTGCATTGCTCTGTGCGCAATGGGGTAAATTGCATGCTGAATGGATTTGCGACAAGCCCCTCATATGCAATCTAATTTGCGCGCTAGTTCGCCGCCGGAATGGTCGGACTGCATGGAGCAGGAGTCGGTTGTTCTCCACCGAAAGTTTCCATATGGGACTGGTTAGTGCGGTCCAGTGGACAATGTCAAGTGCCTCTGTATTGAATTTGTTCTATACTATATACAGTGGGCAATGTAGACTCTTGAAATGCGTGCGCTGAACGGGTTTGGCGGTTGTCGATCACGCGGGAACTTTTCTTTTGTGACGGTGGATCGACACTTTGCCCGAAGTGGAGAGCGGGATAGAGGATATTCGAGATAAGGATGATGTACGAAGTATGTATATTGAACTTCGAATGGTGTTGATGGTGATTTTCTAGGGTTGTAAGGACATGACTCGTGAATGTAGCCTTAAAGATGTGGCGCTGATAAGAGTTAGCGCATAACAACGAACTCTCACGTCAAGAAAAATGGGCAAATTTTAGCGAATGGTTCGTCATCAGGGAATTGAATATGGGAACTGGGGGTTTTTATAACTCACAAGATATTTTGATAACCGGCGTCTATAGCCTTGTAATTTAGCTCGATTTCTATATGGGCCAATAAATACCTTGGTAAACAAGTCGGGATTTAAATTTTCGATTCATTATCTCGATCGAAGGAAAAAAACAACATGACCCGTGTACCAATCAATGTCTTAGATCTGCGGGTATCTGTATCAGTCTGTGACATTGACAATAAAAAATTGTAGCGATACCCGACATAATAATATATACTGTGCCCAGGTATGTATGTACGACCTTAAGCGATTATACGAATAGATTAAGTTAAGGTGGAACTGGTTAACCATGGAACCATCACGGAGTGCCAGACTTCGGTTTCGAGCTGTTTCCAACGGAGTGATTCTCCACACAATACATACATTACAGTGATTACATATATTAGTACCTGGGCATACAAAGCTCAGTATACAAATTTAAAATAATGATAATAGTAACCTTGACACTGGAAGTACATTGGACAAATTATCATCATAACTATGTAAAGGTAAAAAGTACTTTATCATATGAATACTCAGTACTTTCTGTTTCGAATTGTGGATTCGTGGAGAAAAAGATAGCGTTGCACCTAAGTGACCGTGCAGCGGGACGCAGTGCCAGGCCGATCGGATAGCTCGCTAACTGATTCCTTCGCCCACGTTCTCTGCAGTTGCCTTGACAGGGGACATTCTTGAGGCAAGGTACCAGGTGACATCTTTGGACGTACAATATTGTACAATTACACAGGCCCTAAATATTATAACCTTATATTTACATATATCCATTACCTATATCTAGGTGCCTAACCAGAGAAAATAATTATACCTCGGACCTAGATAAGTAAGAGGATTTTCCAAGTCTTAGAATTATGTGAGAGCGTTGGAATGGGACGAATAGAAAGATTTAAATAGTTATGGAGATGTCTAAGAATATCAGCATTAAGGGGCCCGCAGTTGTGATTGGCACGTAAATTCGGTGGTCGGGCCCCTTTTATGCCTCAGGAGACCGATTGAGAAAAGTTCAAGGTATAATAAATTCTAGGTCAATGACAATGAACATTCACAATATATAAAAGGGTTCAAATTGATCGTGACCTATATACCGTGTAGGGAAGTATATACGTAACGACGTATGTAGCAGTTAAGAAGTACGTATTGAGGGCATGTGTACGTACTGAATGCTATCCACCTGCAATGTGTCCGCATAAGCATGATATTCAGGAGACAAAAGTGCATTTTCTTCATATTTTTATATTTCTATTTCCTATTTTCATTTCTATTTTCATTTCATTTAAAAAATATCCAGTTTTATTATATGTGTTTTATGTATTTTATTTTCATAAACCAACATAGTGAACATAGTGCCATCCGGATATCCCCTAATCTACGAGACTGTGAACGCCTTTGGGAAAACCCCTCCTATTTTCCCCTTCTCCACCCCCTTCTTCCTCTTCTCTTCCACTCCCCTTCTCTTGACACTTCTTTTTTTCTCTTGTGTCTGAAGGTTTCTTGGGGTTTCTGTTTTCTAGTTTTACTCTCTCTATCTCTCTCTTTTTTTCTTGTACATGGCTGTCTTACTCTAGAGACATCGCATCATCCATCGCTTTTCTCCGTCTCACCTTCGTTTTTTCTAACTCGCCTGGTTTCGAGTTTCTCATTCTTCACAGCGTCCTCTTTTTCCCCTTTTTAATTGTTGTTGTACCACTATAGTTTATGTCCACGTTATTAGCAGGTATGATCACCCCCTAGCTGACGCGGTCTCTTATCGATTCAACGTGCAGAAAACAAAAAAAAGCACAACCCCTTTCCCTGTCAAACTGCCACCCTGCGTTAATTGCGATCTTCTTTTGGATATGTATGGGGACTGATAGTTTCTTGGTCACAGCATCCTGTCTCGTTCTTTGGATCCTCATTTGACACGAACAACTCGGGCTTCCGGTCTTTCCTTTTGCGAGCGATCACGACCCCGGACATTCGTGATTCCCTTCCATTTCTTTTTTTGCAGGAGAGAACAATATGGCTGCGTTGGTCCAAACAATTCCGCAACAGAGTGGCACGGTACCTGTTCTTCAGACACGTCCTTCTTCATCATCAGGCACCTTCTCTTCTCCACAAAACCAGGCTTCTCGCATCCAGACTATGTCTTGGGCATCTTTCAACGGTGGTAACTCCGGGACCTATCGAGCAGGTCAACCGGCTGTGGCTCCCTATGCCTACAACCCCAACGCTCAAAATCATCAATCTTGGTCACCCCATCTCCGGCCAGAGCATCGCACATTTTCCGCACCCACCCCCCAAGGACCGGTGAATCCGATATATAACGGTGCCAGCCCCCGAACCCCCCATCTTGCAGCTGGTTCTGTATCAAATTCCTCATCAAACTCTTCATTCCGTTCCCATGGTTCCAAGGACGACAGCGCTCTCCCATCACGGCAACCCAGGACCGATCAGCCACTCCGCCCCCTGTCTACAGCCAATCTTCCTTCCCCCGTTATGAACGTCTCATCTCCAAAGCCATCTCCAAATCGGTATCGCCGCAGCAATCAACGCGCGGAGTCCGCTACTACATCATCTGCCCAGGCTCCAGTTCCCGTTCCGACCGTGGTCGTCGATGACATGAGCAGTCCCCGACCTGTTCGCCCGACCCTTCATAATCGGGTTTCAAGTGTGGATGATTCATCGCATGGGGAGAGAGCACAGCCTGAGCGATATAGGCGACGAAGCCTGGGCAACATAGACGTTTCGGCATATCCCAATCTACAACTGGATCTTCCGACGTCGTCTTCTTCCCAGCCCGGGTCCTACGACTTCATTTCATTTGATCAAAACCAACGACCGAGCTCATCTCACTCTCAGCGGAACAGCGTGGGCAGTGTCAACTCAGCACACTCGTCTGCTTCCTCGGTAGGAAAACCTGCCCATATGTATACAAATGACGAGCTAACGAGATTTTATCTACAGGCACGAGAAGGGACGCCAGATTCCACTGCCAGCAAGAGCAAGCCCGAGGAAAAACGTACGACCAAGCCATCTCCATTATCACAGCCGGCATCCACCGAACCCGAAGCTCCCAAATCCACTCCCAAATCCACTCCCCAAGCCACTCCCCAAGCCACTCCCCAAGCCACTCCCCGTAAAGCGACGCCGCCCCCGCTGGAATCCCCCGCCGCTAAGCGTCTCACCGATTTGAAGAATGACACCAAGCGCCCCGGAAAGTCACGCCTGCGGCGGGCATTCTCGTTCGGCAGTGCTTCCGAGCTCCTGAAGACATCTGCACAGAGCAATGCTGCCAAGCGAGAGGCATATGCCGTGGAACAGGCGCGACGTGAAGCCCTTCGAGAGCAATTGGGCCCTGAGCAGGCTGCAATTGCCGAGCAACAGGAGCTGAGTGGTCTGGGCGAGAACATTTACTCTGGCCAAGGCCACTTCTTTACTGGATCAAACGATAACCTATCAGTATCATCGACCGCCTCTTCAGCCTCAATGATGCTTCGAAAGATGGGCAAGGGTATGAAGAGATCCACTCGATCCTTGGTCGGCATGTTCCGACCCAAATCGGTGGCCAGCATCAGCTCCATTGACGGTGCAGCTCATGACGCTCCACCCCCGCAGATCACCGTGGTAAACGTCGAAGCTGAGCGGGAGAGCGTCGCTGTCAACCCAGACCCTGCAGATCTACCCCGCGGGGCTACAGTCTTCCCCAAGGTGGAAGGCAGTGCTGCCGAGGTCCGACGATCAGCCTCAATTCGTGAACGGGCCGCATCGGAGAACTCCCAATCGCGTAAAAGCATTGTAGGAGGAGACCGAGAGCGGGCAGATATTTTGGCTGGAATCCGAAAGGGAATCTTGAAGAGTATGTTCACTCCAAAACATCTACATATTTTTTGCAATACTAACACACCTCAGAAACCCATGTTGACTTTGGCATCTCCTCACCTACATACGCACTGGCCGGTGGTGACTCGCCGCACTCGAGTGCTCCCCCGACTCCCGATGAATCATCGCGGTCCCCCGCCCAAAATGACGCCGTGAAGATCGCCGGCGAGGATTACTTCCTCTCAAACGCAGGACGTTTCAACTCAGAGTCAAAGAGTGCCCCTTTGACACCGCAAGCCGTTGGCGGTAGAAATATCGTCTTCAGCCCTCGTATCCAGTTCCACGAAACCTGGCCTAGCGGCGAGTACGATCGTCGTGGTGAGATCGCTACCTGCAACCGTCTCACTCCCTTGCTTGCTCAGCAGATTCGGGAAGAGATCAACAACTTCAAAATGGTGAGTAGAATTTCTCTGCAGTATCTGACACTAGTACTGACAATCTCACAGGAGATGGAAGTACACGAAAATTCCAAGATCTACACACACTTCATTTAAGTTTTGGGCGGAAAGCTCTCGCGCTAGTGAATTGGCATCAGGTCAATTCACTCAGCTGCATTCTCGTCTTTAGACATGCATCCCTGGCGAAATATGGCGTTTGATGAAATTCAGTCGCAGTCGACAAATCGCAGATCTCGACAATCCGATACAAACCATCGATGGCCCGAAACGGCCCCGAAAAATTCCGGTGCTCTCGCACCAACAAAACCTGACTCGTTCCTCGATCTCTTCGATTTCGCGGACGTATCTGCAATCTAATGAATGTCCTCCATCCACTTGGACCCCTGTTCCTCACTGCTTTTCCTGTTTCGAACTTTTCCTCTCTTCCTGCATCGTGCATCTGAATCATTGTCATTGAGTATTGGGAGCGTGGATTACTGGACTTTTCTTCTTCTTTTTCTCTTGTCTTCTAGCACACGTCTTCTAGCACATTCATGGTCGTTCTGGGCCCTTTCATATCTGAGAATCCATTTGAGCCTTGGGCTTTTGTACTTGTTTTTAATGGTGGCTTAGTGCGTGAATTAATGGATGTCTTGAGCCCGTGTATCATCATGACTTGTAGTGCGTAGCTCGTGCTCTTCAAGGCTTGAATTCATTCCGATATAGTTACCATCTGTGGATGTAGATAATGTGTATGTGGGAAAACTAGCTGTATCCATGATTCCGTGAGATTTTTGACAAATGTTAGATCTTGCCCAACAAGCACAATGAAGGGCCGGCGCTAGGTTCGAAACATTGCTTCTTTAGCTATTCATTGGGCAACACAGTTTTTGATAAAGCCGAATGTTAAACCAGTCATAGATGATTGTGACCAAGGTGAGAGGGAAAAGTTGGTGTGTCTTGTTATCAGTGCCTAGGTGAATGGCATCAAGTTTAGGGCAATATTTTCTTGCTTTTCATAAACAGCTATGAACGTTAAGTATGCGGCACGGACATTATCCACACGGAAAAGCTCGTCATACATCTCAATCTTCTTTGATGCACGCTTCTGCAATCATGTGTACATTGTTTGAGCTTGAATGACGTTATAACCGGCACACTCACCCCGAGACATCGAAGCACCTAGGTATGCACGAAGGGACCGAACGGGATGAAGGGATCGGGAAACCGAGAGCATCGGCACCGGAGTTGACCTTGCATAATTAATATTTAGTTCTAATTTGAACGAGATGAGCATGGATAGTTACACCAGAATGCGAGGGGGCCTCGAGTCGTAAGGGAGTGAGCAAACTCTTGATAATTGTTGAATCTCGATTTGGGTTCCGTGAGATAGATGTCTCATATTAGTTCCCTTTTAATTAAGTGTCTGCAATCTACCATCGTATAATCATTGGGCTCAGGTCGATTATTCTTGTTCTGAATGGGGTTGTTACAAAACTTGATATGGCATCACTTCTACCTCATAATGCCCTAACTTGACTAGGTTTAACGGGTAAAGCCATGACAAATACGAATGAAGCTCCGCGTACATGTACCTAGGCATTGAATTTTTCGGTCCGGTTCTTGAACTTCGCATTTATACTTTAGAACGCCATATACCACTAGTGGAATCCAGCCTTTGATATTGATTTCTGTCGGTTCGAATTACCATTTAGTCCTATCAATGGCCAACCTTCGGAGCATCCAGCCCCCACGCTTGGTACCCCGGTTAGGTTAAGCCTTAAATAGGCTTGTATACCAAGTGATCTGTGTAACGCACCCCCACGCGGGATGATCTTTCTGGCAATGCAACCCAATGTCGGTTTCCTTTTACACTCTTCCATAGGCCTCCCCGCATGATGTGAAAGGGTCAAACTCGGGGTAAGTCCGGGGTCTAGCACTTCCCCGTCTTTATGTCCCCACTGAGTCCCGGGGCTTTCATACTATTGGCCTTGTATATCCCAGCCGTCTCCATTGGACTGGCTTTCCGAGTTATTTGCGGGGGAAGACACTGATTCGTTTGCTCTTGGCAGCATTGGGAATTGTTGGGGGTTGTAATGGTATCCCTACCCCGTTCTCGAGCATCTCAACCGCATAGCTACGGCTCTCAGGCCATTGGCTATCAACGCCACATGTCTTGATTCCGAAGGTTACAACTCGCCCCGAATTGCTGCCGAATGTCTCTTTCCACGTGGTACGTGTTTTTCTTTGTCTTTCTCCCCCTTATTATGCCCCTTACTTGCCCCGGAATCTTCTTATCAACCTTAGTCCATATTCATAGACCGAGACAAGCCGAGTGGCTTTGCTACTTAACTCAATTATTTCCCTTCGTTTCTGATACCTTTTGCTATTCCCCCAGGCGAGCGCAAGAATAGCCCATCATGTCTCCCAGAAATTCGGATATAGAAGTGGGGGATGTTGACAAGGCAGGCAGTCAAAATGTCGAAATCGTCGCCAACGCCGACAAGCCGAATCCCCAAAAGGAAGCACCTGCCTACGTCGCCAACCTAACGGCCGAAGAGCGCACGAAAGCCGAAAGGGCTTTGGTGCGCAAGATCGACATGCGACTGCTACCCATGATCATCATCATGTACATCCTGAATTACCTCGACCGAAACAATATTGCCTCAGCTCGATTGGCGGGCTTGGAAGAAGACCTAGGCCTAGTAGGTAACCAATTCGCAACCTGCGTCAGCATCTTGTTTGTTGGTTACCTGCTAATGCAGATCCCGTCCAACCTGATGCTAAACAAATTCGGCAAGCCGGCCCTATACCTCCCGATTGCGATGGTACTATGGGGTATCATATCTACTGCAACAGCTGCCGCTAAAAGCTATGCCGGTCTTGTGGTAATTCGATTCTTCCTTGGTTTCGTGGAGGCAGCCTACTTCCCAGGCTGTTTGTACTTCCTGAGCGCTTGGTATACCCGCAAGGAGCTGGGATTCCGTACTGCGGCGCTGTACTCGGGATCCTTGCTATCTGGCGCTTTCTCCGGCTTGATTGCGGCTGGAATTACAAGTAACATGGACCATGTCCTCGGACTACGTGCTTGGAGATGGCTGTTCATCATCGAAGGTGCTGTCACTATTGTGGTTGCTTTTGCTGCCATTTGGGTCCTGCCAAACTTTCCGCGTACCACTAGCTGGCTGTCAGAAGAAGAGAAAGAACTTGCGATTTGGCGCCTGGAAGAGGATATCGGCGAAGACGACTGGGTTGACAGCGAGCATCAAACCTTCCTCCACGGCGCCAAGCTCGCCTTCACTGATATCAAGACTTGGATTCTGATGCTCATGATCTTGTGTATCGTCTCTTCCGCTTCCGTGACCAACTTCTTCCCCACAGTTGTCAAAACCCTCAACTTCGGCAACATCGAGACTCTTCTACTTACCGCACCACCCTACTGCTTGGCAGTCATCTGTGCTTTCGCCAACGCATGGCACGCAGATCGGACGGGTGAAAGATACTTTCACGTCACGGCACCATTATACATCTCCGTCGTGGCGTTTATCATCGCAGCTACAACAACAGGCACGGCACCCCGCTATGTGGCAATGATGCTGATGGTGCCGTCTTTCTACGCGGGCTATGTCGTTGCCCTGGGCTGGATCTCGAACACTCTGCCCCGTCCTGCATCGAAGCGTGCTGCTGCACTCGCAGCTATCAATTGCGTTAGTAATGCTAGCAGTATCTACGCTAGCTACATGTACCCCAATAGCGATGCCCCACGCTTTGGTATGTATTCATCCCCTTCATCAATCATCCGAGCCATGAGTAATTGAGAACTAATTCTGGACCAGTGCCTGCTATGTCGGTCAATTGCGCAACGGCATTTATCGCTATTGTATCAGCAACCGTTCTCCGCTTCATGCTAGTCCGACTCAACAAGCAGCTTGACCGTGGCGAGGAGGTTGAGGGTGCTGTTCCTGGTGAGGGAAGCCGCCGTGGATTCCGGTTCTTGGTTTAAAAAGATATCATTCATTTTCAAGTCTTCTTATGTGCGCCATTGAAATAACTTTAGAGGGGTACAATTCAAATAACGACAGCTTTTGCTCCTTACGCAATATGTAGTTTCCACTCGATACATATACAAACTTCAACCCACTATAAATCCCCAACTAAGCGAATTTCACCCTCTCTTCAGTCCACTCAGGTCTCAAATCCTTAGTGTCCAAGGAAGCGACATCCAAGGAACTATCGGCAACATAGTTGACCCTCCAGTCAACACCAATACTAGCCCCCTCCTCAGTCTGTGCCCAAACAGCAACAGAAACCGTATTAGTACCCGCATAATCCAAAATACCCACAGGAACAGGATAAACAACCTGGTTCCCGATGAAGGGATTATAGCGACCATACTGATACCCATTGACAAACAATTGCGCACGATACTTATCCGTACCGGAGGGCGTAGAAAGAACAAACGAAATTGAAATGTCAGTGCCAGCAGGCAGATCGAGATCAATAGTGGTGCGGAAGAAGCGGACAGTAGCGCCCGTGAAGCTGAGAACAGAGCCAGTACTAGTTTCCTTCCAGGCCGAGTCATCATAGCCGGGAAGATGCCAGCCAACGCGTTCAGCGAAGAGGCCGTCTTCGTTATACACGCCGCGGACGGGGTCGAGATTTGATTCGCCGCCTGCGGTGCCGGCCAGACGCCAGTGTGTGAAGCCAGTTTCAGAGCCGAGGAGGTTGGCATCGAGGATTCCACGGGGGTTGAGGGCGCCGGTCGTTTCATCGTGGCCTGTGTCGTCGTGGACGATTAGGAGGACGTTAGGAGTTGTCGTGCTTAGCGTTGCGTTGGCGAAGGATAGGGTTAGATTTGCTTGAGAGATGGTGGCGTCGCCGAGATAGGAGTCGAGGAATTCGCCGTTGAGCCAGGCGGACCAGCCGCTGGTTGGTGTTAGTATCATTAATATAGAATTTTATGAGGACTTGTTCTTACAAGGCACTTCCTCCCTGCACGTTGATGAAGGCTCCGGTCGCCGTGCCGTTGAAGTATCCACGCCAGAGACGGACGCCGTTGTGGAAACCGTATTCGTCTGCGTAGAGAACAGGCAGGCTGGTTGGGGTTCGGGGATTCAGTGTCGTCATGTGGTCCGCATCTATGTGGATATTAGCCATCTGATATCATGGGCTGTGTTGTTCAGAGCCAAACCTACCAACCCAAGCAACGCCAGAGTCATCATATGCCGTAAATCGCTCTGGAAGACTGTCGTTCGACTTCCATGAAGAGAAAGCCGGCAGTTTCACAGATTTAGGGGCCTTGAGAGAAGCTTTCAGACTTCCATACTCAGTCGATTGAGTCGAGACCTTCTTTCCATTCCAAGTGACGGACTTCACACTCTTAGGAGCGAACACCTCCAGCGAAGTCGCGTTGACGACATCACCGGTGATAGCAAGCTTAGAACCCGAGAGCTTAGCACCTCGGACAAGGTATGGGCCAAGAACGAGAACTGAGAAAAAGTCAGCGTTTGGGCTTTTGAGGATAGCAAGTAAACATACCACTTTCCGTCTCCGGAACGAATGGATCTTCCGTGAGAGCTGGAGCCCAGAATTCGTACGCTGAGGTCCTATCAAGCACAACGACTCGGACGCCATCGTCAAATTCCAATACAGTGATGCCATTGGACTGTGTGAAAGACGTCGTCAAGCCGCCGTGCTCTTTCACGAATTTCACCTTCGAACAGCCCTGGCACTTCTCGATAGAACCCTTCTTCGCGCCCTTGATGTTGAACTCACCCGACTCGCCCGTCGGAACCCAGAGCACAAGGGTAGGCTTCTTGTCAAAGACAGCATAGGTAAGAACCTCGGCAGTGGAGTACAGCAATGTCTTTCCACCGAACGTGAAATCCGTCACAATAATCTTCGACTGATGTCCATTCAATCGAATAGAACTAGCATGTTTGGGAACATTCAACGAGCCGACAGAAGTGTTAACCTTCAGATGGAAAGCCTCATTAGTCGAAATCGAAGTATTAGTATGGAAAGTCGCATAGAACGCCGCATTAGTCTCTGGATTCCTGAGCTCAAAGGCCTTCACGGCGGCGTTGTCCGTATACTGCGTTCCATTACCAATCAACTCAGTCATCGTAAGATCCGCCGCAGAGCGAGTAAACAGCGCCAGCAATTTTGTCTCGTGATACTTCGACCAGATAGAGCGATCCTCGGAGATAGGCGCCGAGTAATCGTAGCTCGTGGCCGTGACGGGCGCAGCCATCGCGCCGTGGTTCTGCCCACCAAACATCATGTACAGAGACATGGCGGTGACGCGCTGTCCGATGTTCCAGCGGTAGAAGAGATTGGCGAAGTCATCGCCGATGTCGCCGGGACAGCCGCCTTCAGGTCCGCCCCAGGGGTTGTAGGAACCGCCTTGGAACTCGGGCATAAAGCTTGGCATGTTGGGCTGGGATTCTTGGAAGTAACTGTAATAGTCCATGACTTGGAAGGGGACGTAGGCGCCGTTGGTGGAGGTGCATTGGCTCAAATCGCAGGTCCAGCACTTGAGAATGTTAGCTTTTCTTTTCTTTTCTTTTCTTTCCTGTATCCTGGGAACAGATACTCACCGAAGGGTACGAATCCACGCCGGCGACATCGACATTTCCACCTTCGTTGGACCAATCCTTGCCCCAAGAGTGGGAGTTCATGTTGGGATCATTAGCTGTCAAGGGAACAGTGATGCCATTCTTCCTGGCATTGGCCTCAAGCAACTCCATATAATTGATAGCGGTATCATTGGGCACGCGCAGCGAAGCATCAGACAGCCATTGATTGCCATACTCATTCTCAATCTGATAACAAATCGAATTATGACCATCAGTAACCTGATATTTCGAAGTGATGGTAGACATCTCAGTGAAATACGGGGTCCACGCCTTCGTATACCGAGTATCATTGTTCCTCAGCGTGCCATATTCACCCGTAGTAAGCCAAAGCGGGAAGCCACCAGCATTGGCTTCGGCATTGACATACGGTCCTGGACGAACGATGATATATAGGCCGAGCTCCTTGGCAAGCTCGAAGATGGGAACGATGTCGTGGGCGCCGGTGGTGAAGTCGATCGTGCTATTGTTCGGGGCGTGGTAGGCCCAGCTGGAGTAGAAGGCGAAAGCCGTGAAGCCGGCTGCTTTGATTTTCTCGAGAATATCGCGCCATAGTGCTGGGACGGGGATGCGCCAGTAGTGGAATTCTCCGCTGAAGATGAAGATTCGCTGGTCATTGATCTGGAAGCTGTAGTGGTCCCATTGGACGACGGTGTTAAGGCCATTGTCTTGGAGAGGCCATTGGGTTTGGTCTTCTGCCTGTATTGAGACTCCGAGACAGGCGAAGAGCAAGAGCAGGCAATTGAAGAGGCGCGCCATCTTGGACTTCGAGCCGCGGAATTGCGCTTTGGGATATCCTTTGCGGCGATCATGGTTAATTTATACTGTCCCCGTGTATTTTTTGCTCTCATTATTTTGCCTCATCCTATATTGAGCGAGGGGTATTCCATGCACAAATCAGCCACATCGATATTAGAGTACAGGCACCGGTGTTTTGCCGTAGTTTAAGCGAGACAATGTCGTCGGTTTTCCCTCTCTCGCGCGCTGCATTTGTCGAATTTCCGGCGTTTGCTCTAGGTTTTTCCGCCATTCACGATGCGAATTGGCAGCTTTAGCGTGGATGTTACTCCGAAGTGGAGTGTTGTGGATCGTGGAGAAGGGAGTGTAATCTTGTAAAACATACGTATTTTGAGAAGACGAAGAGAAGGCAATCAAGATAACTACTTTTGTGCTAAAATACAAACCGGGAATTCGTGATAACCCGGCGACAATGTAAAAAAATAATAAAAAAGTAATAACAAAAAGCTCGAAAAACATCAGACGCTGTAAAAGCAATCAAAATCCACTCTAGTTCCAAGACGAACGGGAATAGTCTTAATGCAGGAAAAGCCGTTGGCCCCGTAGGCCCCGTGATCCGATACATAAAGCCATTACAACCGATCAATTCGATATTTTTATTCCAAACTCCGAAGTCATGCGGTACGGCACTATAGGCATTCAAGCATTGTTATCAAGGACACCGAAAGGGTTCTCGACATCGACTTTAGTAGTGGGAGAGGAACCCTTCTCAGCCTTGCTTTTCTTGGCCCCCTTCTTCGAAGGCACGGTAGCGAAGCCCTCTTCAGACTCCGACCGACTAGCGGAAGCCGAAGCCTTCTTGGAAGCAGCCGAGCGCGTGCGGACAGGCGAGTCGGGGACCGAAGCATCGGCGATCTTCTGCACACGAGCCTTCATCACCTCGTCATCGGTGGTGAACTCGCTGTTCTCGCCCTCAATGGCAGCCTTGCGGATCTCCCGGCTGAGACTCTTCAATGCGTCCATACCGGCCTTCTCGGCGGCCTCCATGTGGGTGGGCTGCTTGATGCCTGTGTCCTTGCGGTTCAAGTAGGAACGCACGAAGAAACGCGCGAACAGGTAGGTCAGAGGGAGGAGGTAAGAGACGTTCAGCCAGATGGCAAAGGCCTGCCCGGTTGTATCCATGCAGGTCACCATCTGCTGGGAGTAGCCGGATTGCTGCACTGGGGCGGCGTGGAAAGTGCCGACGTTCTCGGCGATACCCTCTGCACCTGCGGCGCGGAAGGCAAGCTTCTTCAACCAGGGGATTGTGCCGGTTTCGATAGAGGCTGCGGCAGAGGCAGCTGCGGAGAGCTGGTTCAGAACTGCGCTGCCAGATGGGTAGGGAATTGTGTAGTGGACGAAGAGGTAGGCGGCGGCCATGTTGGTTCCAAAAACGAATTGGGTAATTTGCATAGTGGTCAAGCTACGCTTGATGGGGTTGGGGACGCGGATGCGGAGGGCTGTGAGGGTATAGTATGTGTACTAGAAGGAAGGGAGAGTTAGCATATGGGTTCGGCGGAGGATTGCGCGTGTTCGACTTACCATCATGGCGTGAATAGCGGAGTTCACCAGACAGAAGATCCAGATAGGAGGAGCCATGTAGCGGATACCAGCCCACATACACATCATAGCTCCAGCATGGTGGTAGGTCTGCAGGGTTGAGCTCTTCTTGCCCTTAGCCAAGATAATTGCGGTATCAACGACCTCATAGAACTTGGAAAGGTAGAAGAGCCAGCCGAAGTATGCCAGACCCTGGTTCCAGAGACGACCGACATCTGTGGGGTCAGGCGTACCGTTCGTCAGGTGGAAGGAAGAGTTGGGAATGGACCATTGGTTGGTAATGGGGCTGTAGGTAGCAGCGTTGCCGTACCCACGAGGCCCGTTGATTTTACACAGGGAATCCACAACACCAACCAAGCCATGGGCATCATCGCGGTCCGGGAAAGAGCTGCGGAAGGCCTGGAACATGCCGACGAAAGTCCACGCAGAGTACACAGCCAGGAAGACATTGTGAAGAACCACGAACAGCTTGAACAGGCGCGTGTTGCTGAACGCGTAGGGCTTATACCCCCGACTCTTATTGATGCGATTGATCAACACTACGGTGATCGCATAGACACTAGCAATTGTAATTGGGACGCGCACATCGAGGAGCTGGTTATAGAGGTCATTCGGAATGTTGAATGGTTGCTTCCATGTTGCAGTGTCGACGTGAGGAGCGGGAATGGTCACTGGGAGCTCATTGGGAGGGAAGCTCAGAAGGGAAGCAGGTGGCAGACCAATGCGGACAGTGGCCTGGCCAAATTCGGTGGGCACATTGAAGTCGTACATGGTCCCTATAGTAAGAACAATATGCGTCAATATAGCGCACGTTGTAGCAAGGGAGGATCAAAAGAATAATCTAGAGAAAAGGAAAAAAAAAGAAGTAGAGCTCCACAGATAAAGTGCCATGTTTAAATTCTCAACAAGGCAATCCGCGATCGATGATCCTTCTATAGTGGGGCTCAACGTTTGTTGGGAAACTTGGCTTCAGCCGAGGTTGAATACTCGCCACTCTGTAATGATTCATTCTTGAGTCTTCGAATTGCATAGAAATACTCAAGTGAACAGAGTCAGAAGAAGTGAGTTCAAAATTGATTTCGAGCCCTTATTTCATAGAATATTCGACTATCCCTTTCAATCGGACAAGATGGACTTGAGAGATTCAAGCAAGAAAAAGGTGCCAAGTTGGTAAACTGAGACAATTGATCAAAATTGTTGCACTAGAAAAAAAAACACTCTAGGCAACCTTCCACCAATCCCTTAGATATTGACAGGTTGAGGTGACACAACATCTAACTTGGCACCTGCATCTTCAAGAAATGTTCCGGGGGCTTCCAAGGAGAATAGATGACTAAGCACATTAGCGACAAACAGAGGTCTCAAGGTCAATGCGATTGCATATTCAGACGATCTTTTGGGATCAGCTGCTTGTTGGGGATGTTATAAACCACTCTGGTTGTCCCAACATACCAAGAATGTGCAATCAGATATACCCTACAAGAATCAGACGGCCAACCGGATCGTCACATGCGGCCTCGGTCATATCGAGGAGATAGGGTGAAAGGGACTATAGTACAGCCTATGAGAGATCTACAAAGCTCGTCATACTATCAAATTCGTTCGATATCGTCTATAACGCCCTAACTCCCGAAATGTCCTGTGCTATTTACAGCTAAAAGTACACATCAGCGGGGCCTGGTATCGTGGGGAATCGGCGGAGGCGCAGGGGATGAGGGCGCATCCACAGCGGGCGCACGAAACTCCGCTCGCTTGGGCGGAGGTGGGGGAGGGGCTTTCTTGCGCTGTGCTTGACTCTGGAGATCTTCAGCAGGCGACGCAGGAGCACTAGGTTGCGCGATGGAACTAGGGCGAGCAGGTGGACGTGGAATCCGCTTGTTGGCGTCGTTGGAGAACTTGCGATCTTCCACAAAGGTGTTGAAGCGCGATGTGACGCCGCCCCATTTCTCTTTGCCCATTTCGATCTTGTCTGCATGACGCTCGCGGAAGTCTTGGACCGAGGAAGAGCCACGGGCGGGCTCTGCTGGTTCTAGATTCATGCTTGATGTGCTGGACGCGGGCCGGGCCGGCGGGGTAGGCGCTGGGGAGCCCGTGAGACGAGACTTGTAGCCGTTTAGCTTGTTCTTGCCTGCATCGATAGAATCTGCATGACGCTCGCGGAAATCGCTATACTTCTGTTTGCCGGAGTCGATGGTGTCTGCGTGGCGTTCACGGAAGTCACCGTACTTCTGTTTTCCCGAGTCGATTGTGTCGGCATGGCGCTCGCGGAAATCTCCAGCCTTCTGTTTACCAGAATCAATCGTATCCGCGTGGCGTTCACGGAAATCACTGTACTTCTGCTTTCCAGCATCAATCTTGTCCCCATGACGCTCACGGAAGTTTTGTAGCGAGTCTGTGGTCGAGGACCGGGCGGGTGGGGCAGGTGCCGAGGGAGACCTTGAGCCAGTGCTCATCTGCGAGAATCGAGACTGCAACTCATTTACGGGCGCGTTTGCAGGCGATTGGCGACCCTTTCCCCCAATCCCAAATCCGGGGACCGAAACGCCAGCGTTTGCGAGGCGGGACGAGGCGTCTTGATTGATATAATCATGGGAGACCACTGGTGCGGAGTAAGCGGGGGGCGGGTCGGAGCTGGGAGAGCCACTGCGGGCTGGAAGTCGAGGTGGAGGTTTTGGCGGCTGAGGTTTTGAGACTGAGCTCGTTGAAGCGGGACTCGCAGAGTTTATCCGGCGGGGTGGCGGAGGGAGGTTGTCTGTAGATAGACCGGTCGTGTCCACGCGATAGGGGACCGGAGGCGGAGGAGGTCTCTGGGATTCTTCTTCTTCCTCGGCAGCCGCTTGCTGGCGATGCACCTCCTGGGTCTCGATCTGATCCTGGGACAACGGGGCTCCTAGGCCCCGCCGGTCGGGGGTTGTCTGATTTGGCACCGCAGCTGCTCCGTGGTAATTGATATGCTTGGGAGGGGGACCGAAAGAAGAAGGGTCTTTTAGGGAGGAGATTGGTTGGGAGACATGCTCAGATTTGTCGTCTTTGTCAGAGTCCCTGGGGCCTTTCCCCATCCATCCAGCCTAGCCAGTAGAGGTCGATGTTAATGACTGAATTGTAAGTCTGCGAGGGGTGACCTTACCACTTGATCGATTCCTTTGAAATCACCGCGCCAGCTTTCCTTTTTACCATCCTTGCCCTTGGGATGCCAGCCACCTTTCATAACATCGCGTAACCCACTCATTATGTATGTTGCAGAGTGTGGGGATGACAGTCTTCAAGTGGTTGACTGACGACGATATCCCCACTCGATCACGTGAGATCCCAATCAAGCATTTGATCAGCGAACAGAAGTTTATTCCCCGCAGTACTTAACTATGTATGGTATGTACTATAGAGCTTAATTAGGGCTAAACGAAGTGGTATAGTGATCCATTGATGCATTGATATAGTTCTGAGAAATTTGGTTGTATAGTCTCAATAGGCCATTTCCTTTTGTTCTTGTTTCGTTTCTGGAAATAAGGTGTATCTTACACTATGTAGTACAATACACAAAAAGCAATTCCCACTCTACATCCGATAAGATGGACAACATCAAGTCTAGTGCAAGAATATCTAACTATAGTGAGAATTTAGAGAGGAATTGACCTGTGATTACGGAGTAAAGAAGGAAGAAGCGGAGGGACAAGCAATAACAGACAGACTACTACTCCATACTCCGCACTAGCCACTTGACTCACGTCCCGATCGATTCACCCGGATTTACTCCGCAAACTAATTTGCATCGTGGAAATTTCGACCGATCGATATATATTACCTATCTACACGAATCAGGATGTAAGGATAATACTGGCTCTGTATCCAAGACAGTCCCCTCCTAGCGCCATGCAGCTGGGCGCCTAGTTTGGGGGCTAAAACTGTTGCCCTTCTTGAAATCTCACCATGTTCCGCTTTGAAAGGGATGAAACCCCTTCCCAGAAGACAGTTTGAAAAATCCTATCATTATCCAAAATGGCAGATATTTCCATTCTCCTCGATACCCTCCGGGTCCTTGACACGACAATTAATGTCGAGACAATCATTACTGAGTTTCATGCCCTAAGCGAAGCTGACAAGGATGATCGCCGCCTATCGACAGCCAAGAAGATCTTCCCTCTTATCTTTGGCGATAATGCCAGTGTACAGGGTGATATCGATTTCTCCGAGCGGACCAAAACCACCTGGTAAATAATTCCCGTGTCGTCTACCTATACTAAACTGACTAAACTTAAATACAAGGTCAACAAGCTGCGAACTATCCCCAGGCATTTTCATCTCACCAGAAACCCCGCAGGATGTAGGCAGGATCCTTGCCCTCTGTCAATTCCTCGGGCTCAAGTTCTCCGTCCGTGGTGGTGGCCATCTGCACAACCCTGGTTTCTCAAGTAACGATGGCGGGGTAGTTATATCTATGAAGAATCTCAACGCCGTTACAGTCTCTGAGGACAAATTGACAGTCGATATTGGCGTGGGCCTTGTCTGGATTGACGTCTACAAGGCCCTTGAGGAACATGATATCGCAGTCATTGGGGGTCGTCAGCCTGCGATAGGTGTGGCGGGATTCCTTCTGGGAGGAGGCCTTTCATTTCAAAATAGTGAGCGTGGATTAAGTTGCCACGGGGTTGTTGAGTTCGAGGTAAGATCCGCATCTTATCGACTTTGCCCGTCTAGACCCAGCAGACTCACTGACTTCAAAAAGATTGTTTTAGCAGACTCGACTGTTGCAAAGGTTAATGCTACTAACAACAAGGAACTCTTCTGGGCTCTGAAAGGCGGAGGCTCTAATTTCGGTAAGACAAGTAGTCAAATCCGGTAATATGATAGTTCATTCTAATCCGTGTTTTGAAAGGTATTGTGACAAAGGTCACTATGTCGGCAATCTCCAACAAAGTGTGGTGTGAAGGTCGAGTTTACGCGCCCAAAGAAAACAAGAAGATTTGCGAAGCTATCATGGAGTACCACAAGGCAAGCGAAAAGGACTCAAAAGCAACTCTCATCTGGCACACGGTCGAGGAAGCCACCACGCTGATTCTGGTCTATGCCGACCCTGTCGAGGAGCAACCCGCTATTTTCAATGTCTTTGATGAAATTGAGCCTTTGGTCAGCATGGTTCCTCCTAAAATCTACAGTATTCTCGAGATTGTCTCAATCTTCGACGAACTCACTGTAACCGAACCAAAGAGGTATGTTCCCGGTGTGCTGCTATTGACTCACCTCCTAATGTGTCCCGAACAGCCATGACATACGAATTATGACAAGTATGCCCGATCTGGAATTGTACAATGCTGTGGAAGAATGCCGTCTACAGCAAATAGATGCCCTTAAAGATGTTCCCGGGGCGCGTGTCACTCTGACCATACAGCCGATGTCACCCAGCGCTTTCACAGCCGGCGTTAACCAGGGAGGTGATCCTCTTGGTCTCACAGCCCAGTCACAACAATGTATGTGGCTCATTGCATTTTAATGATTCTTTTACAATGTACTGATTTGAATAGGGCTCGTGGTCCTGATGGACTGGTCAAATCCAGAGGATGACGCCGTTGTGCTAGAAGCCAGCCGCAAGATCGTGGATCTTGCCGAGAGCGTGGCACGGAAGAACGGAACCTATCTTGATTTCAAGTATTCGAACTATTGCTCGCGGGACCAGGATCCACTCGCTTCTTATGGCGCTGAGAACGTGAGAAAGCTAAGATCTATCGCCGATGCGGTTGACCCACGGGGTGTATTCCAAAAGCTGCAAAACGATGGATGGCTGCTATCGAAGACGGTCTAATAATGTGTACATAGCTCTATATTGTGAAGGCAAAACATGATTGAGGAGTGATATGTTTCTAGTCGAGACCCTCCTGCAGTAGTCGTCGACTGAGATCATTCTCGATCCACTGCTCGATCAGTGCAATACTTTCTCCAACGAGGTGGTCATAATTTGCACCCTGTGGGATAAACATGGACTGATGCGCTTCGACTTCGTCCATGTTCTCCATTAATATCGGCACCCATTGCGAATTATCATTGTATTTCCAGTGATGTGAGGGTAGCAGGATGAACTTGCGAAGTTGCTGCTTAGAGGGATCTGAAGACTCCGAAGGTGCGAAGGAGGCACTTTCTGTGATTGAGACACTTTCGGAGATGGATTGTGTGTCTTTATGGTCGCTTGAGACGGAGGAGGTGATACTTATCTCATCTACTCGTGGAAATTTCTCATCATTGGCCTTTTCGGTTTCCAAAGAAGAATGAGATAAGGTTGGCTCGAGGGGTTGTTCTTGGAGTGATAGTTCGTCCAAGGCCGGTAGGTGATTATCTTTGGGGGAGTCGCTTGACATCTCTGATTCCTGCGACGGAGGTTCCGTTGTATTCTTAATGTGACCGCTATCTTCGGCATCCACAGTGGGATCTTCGAGGTGGTTGATATCTCCGGCTTCTTTGGAAGTTTTCGACTTCTTGGACTTTTTCTTTTCTTTGGGTTCCTTAGGAGCCTTGGGAGGCTTTGGAGGCTTTGGAGGCTTTTGTTTCTTTTCCTTCTTCGGGCGGCCAGTACTCGCAGTGTAATAATTGACAAAACGTACCCTCATAGGACTAGACTCGGCAGCCTCCAGGTCCATAAGGTGTCGGTATCGACGACGAAGCTCAGAGTAATTATTAACGCAGCCCGCGAATTTCAAAGGCGACACAACCCGGTCAATGATTGATCGTGTGAGGTTGTTCTCATTCTTGTTGACAAAGTGCATGATCCCTTTGAAGAAACCACGGTCAACCAATCGTACATCATTCATAAATGGAGGATCAAAGTTGGGATTTGACGATGCGGGTTTAAAAGGCGTTTCCAGGCCTAATGATTCTTGTGCTCCAGCCAATTTGTCTTCGGCTGCTGGTCCTTTCTTGGGCATCGAGCCGCTGGTTCCAGTGGGAACCACACGTGGATGTATCCCGAGGAAGGGAACGTCAAAACCTACAACTCCTAGGATGCGATGCTTCGGTTGCCCATTCACTTCTAGACGTGCGACATCCGCGGCGAGAATTCCACCGAGACTGTGTCCCAACAGGATAACATCTAGGTCATCCGCCTCATGCGGTGATATCCTGTATTATTGTTAATCATTAGTTCATGTACCTGACTGGCATCGTGCTGAAGGAACATAGTGCTTTATGATGCAATCACATACCAGGCGCTAAAATGCTGTACTGCTGTTTGAATCTCACCTTGAGACTTGTATCGAGGGTACATGCGGGTGTAAACCACATGAGACTCAGCCAGAGAAGCGGTCAACATATCATGCACATGTGCAGGGAGGTCATGAAAGCTAGCCTCTGAGCCCATAAAGCCATGGATATAGATCAGTAGTAGCCTGCGCCTTGGGTCCTCATTCTGAGGCACTCCATGCCGAGACAGCGACAGGCTGGACTGGGAATGGTCGGCGCAATCACGAATGTTTCCCTCCATCACGACCAAGAATCGCAAGAGCAGGCAACAGAAATGAGCGAAATGCTTCCATGGATAACAACAGACTTCCGTTCTGGGGTGAACACAAATGCGGGGGAACCCGAGGTCGCCACTGTGAGCTTAGTAAGCCAATCAAATTGCAGTCATAGGTAGAACGAATAGATAACCTTGAAAATGACCTAAGAATAATAGTATTTGCAATCTGCTTACAACGTAGGTACAGTATAGTGCTTTCTGTTTGATGGTTTCGCTTCTTTTGCCGACCTCGGAAATCCCTTGACCTATTTGGGAAGCATCGTGCAGTCTAAGCCACTTGGGATATTTTTAGCAACTTCACCGCTGCCTACCTAAATATTTAGTGCATTTGACTGAGTGTTATAGAATAATACTCGAGAGGACAACATATTGACGAGAAACAACCTTTTCCCGGGTATGACTTTAGTTTGACCAAGGCTACTGGCTTGATAGCCCTTGCTCGAGAGGTATCCATGGATGGCTCTATTTCATACATAACTTTTAGATAAGACCACAGGTGCATAAGTCTATGGCATTGGCTACTTCCAGAAAAGGTATTTCCCTTTTTGATATTTCGAACAAAGCCCAAAATGGCTAGTGGTCATTCGTATACCATGAGCGTTTCAAAGCGACAAGGGATAATAAAGGTGAAATCCCCCATATAAGCCTGCGCATTCAACGACTAAGCACAAAGCAGTTTGGGGTTTGTGCTGATAATACGTGGCCCCCATATATTTGAACTTAACAAAAATAGCAACTCTTGAGCCTCATGGAATGCATTTGATCGATTTGGCCAAGTATTTTCTTCCGTGTTCGAGTCTGGTTTGAAGACAATCGATGTTTACTTTGTGGAAGATTAGAAAGGTAAAAATCCACAAGACGCCGAAAGAGTATGTATGCATACGCGCCGAGTTTAGCGCTGCGTTAAGTCGCTTCTTTGTCGGACCCCAAAGGCAGTGCTTCACACCCCACCTTGGGGCCGTTGGGCTGTACACTTGTACTTCGTGATTCCTGCATATCTTCTGTATTTCCTTTTTTTTTTTTTGGTATACTCTTGTTATCCCTTTCTTACTCATATTGTAAAGTCCACGATTCTACATACTATATGTTGAAGGGAGTCGGGGATCACTCAAACCAACTGAATGGAACTATATTAGCCACTCAGTGTCAGTGGGCGTTTAGTATCTCGCGACAGATATTTATCTTTGTTTATCTTTGTTCTGAAAATATCACATAAGACCAAGGTCTCCCGAGACACTATCTTTCGGCTCTTTTCGACTCTGTGTGATATGGTCGTATACACACCCGTTATCAATATGGACATTGGCATGCAATGGGTTGATTCTGGGAGTCCCAAAGGATCAGAATCCAGCGATGCATCAGCTGCATCCACAGAATCAGCGGCCAATTTGGCCTTGACCTCAAATGCAGACACAAAAGTTAGAGATTACAACCCAGAGCCATCAGTAGCTCCAGATCCAACGCAATCCACCGACCAATTTCTACCTGGCAGCATCCCAGCAACAAGCATGGATACCGAGTTAACCATTACTGGGTTGACATATATTCCAAGCGATACTTCAAGTTCAACTTCCGAGACCTGGAATCCATCAACCAGCACAGGGAATTCAACAACCTTCTCACAACTATTCTCAACCACATCAACTACAACCAGCCCGATACCAACCTCAACTGCATCCCAAGTGACAACAACCTCCACAACCACAACCGCAACCCACGACCCAACAAGCGACACCAGCGATCCAGGCACCTTCTCAGGCGGCCCATCAAACAAAACCAAAATCGCCATCGCGGTCCCAGTCTCAATAATCGGCCTCGCGCTCCTCCTAGCCCTCATCTTCTTCCTAATTCGCCGCAGGCGCAGAACCAAGGACCGTAACTCCCTCCCACCACCCTACCACATCGCAGCAGGACAAATGACGGCCGTATCAACCCAGCAATTGATGAATCCAACCGAGCCAAGGTCAACGACAGCACTGTCCCTGCCGATCCCGCTAATCAGCGTGTCCCCCTCGACAGAGAGTCGAGGACGTAGCCCTAGCCAGTCGTTCATGCGCTATTCGCACTCGCCAGGTTCTGGGGCTTCGCAGGCTGAGTTGGGTGTTGCGGTAGCTGTTCCTGTTGATCATAGGCTGAGTGCTACAGAGAAGCAGTTGGGGAGGGCATCGAGGCACTTGGCGCGGATGCCTTTTGAGGATTTTGAGGATGATGAGGTTGGGGTTGGGCCTGTAGCAAGGGGTGTCGATGATGATGCTGTTTCGGATGTTTCGGATGGGGAGAGACGTGGGAGGAGGCGCGAGTTTGATGAGGTTTCGGATGTGTCGTCCTTTAATGATGAGTTGTCGCCGGTTTCGCCGAGATCGCTGGAGGAAAGGCGGTTTCGGTGATTTTGAATTGAAGACGATTATATGATACGGAGTTGAGATCGATGGGACCTTCTGATGTTTATGTTAAATGGGCGTTTTGGGGTTCATCTGGAAAGTGTTTGGGGAATATACTGATAAGCTGCCTGGTGTATGCTTAGCTACTTGAATATGACTATAAAATCCTGGCCATAATGGTGTTCATAGTTTGGGCCTTTGAAGTCTTTGTACAGTACAGATATGTGCAGCCGTTTCGTAGCTTAGCGGCCGCCACCAAAGTCAGCCTTGTGGGCCACTGCTTTGCCCTTGGTCAATTCCCGAAGAGCCATGGTTGCGTACTGGCTGGAGCCCAACTGGAACTTCAAGATAACGGCGATCTTATCACCAGTGTTCTCTGTCGTGGCAGGCTGCACGTCTTGCTTCTGCTTCATGATGTCCAAATCGGTCGGCACAAACTGCTCATCGTCCTGAGAATAGAGCTTCACATCGAACGAGTAGTTGTTGCCCATCATACGGCTGAAGACTTTGCGGTAGCTGCCGCTGAGGCTGATGTCCTTCCATTGACGGCGCATCTTTGACACGTCCAAGCCACCACCCTGCTCGCTGGCCATGAAGCGGCGGTAAAAGTCCTTCATCTCATTTTCGGGGTAAATGATGTCATACCCAGGTTGGGGAAGCACAATATCAAACAAGTTGTATTTACCGCTGGCTGCCTCTTCGGCAGTGAGTGCGCGTGCGCGAGTGAACATGTCCTCGGCTGCAACCGCGCTGTCTTCGCCCTGGGGAACAATAATAATTTCACCATCCTCATCAATAGTCTCAGCGGCAGTCTCAGGAGCGGTCTCTTCCTTCTCGCGGTGCTCTTGAACAATTACAAGGTCACCCTCCACCACCTTGTCGCCGTAAAGACGCCAGCGCTCGCTGGCAGCATAGTTCCAGACGAGCGACTGGTATGCGTGCACATACATCAACCGCAGGTTCCTGGGAATTGTTTGCAAGGCACCCAAGTAATCGCTTCGGGATCTGCCAAGGTGACGGATGAGATTTTGCTCAGCAGAAAACTTGCGAGGAAGCTTCTCCAGAGCGTCGTTCATGCCACCGTGGCCGCCAGTCTGGAACATGTTGATAGCCATAGCGCGAGCTTTATCGTCATTGCTGATGTTCGCTGTGAAAGCATCGCCTTTCATCGCCGCCTCCAAAGATTCAGCGCCATAGTGCAAGATGGCCTCGCATGCACCCTTGTAATCCTCCTGCAGCATCTTGACGCCGACGGTATCAGTTCGGGTTGCGAATGTTCCGAATCGCTGGAGTCCGTAGTAGTTGAAGTATCCGCGCTCGTAGAGGTTCTTCAAGGCAGTGCTAACAGCCTCAGAGGTCTTGGCAACCGCAGCCTGGGGATCTTTCAAATCCACACCGGGAACCTCCACCTCACGCAGAGTAATCACAAACTCGTTGCCAATCAGATCTCCCAGCTCCAATCCTTGTTTCCGATATTCGAAGTCACCGACTTGGGCATTGCGAAGAGTAGGGTTCAACCGCGCAAGACGATCAGCAAGGACACGAGTAGCGCAGGCGCGCTGAGCGGTCACACCGCGCCTGTCCTTGGTTCCAGCGAATTGGAAAGACTTGGCGTTCATCTTCAACGAGCGAGCGATGTATGACACAACTTCCATGGTATCCTTATTCTCCTTGAAAATGGTGAAATGAAGGTATGGCCCGCCAAGCTCAGCCCAGTTAGTTCGATTGTTGTTAGATCGGCCATTGCCACGGCCTGCTCCCGCTCCCGCATCGCGCTTGAAACGATTGCTCGCTGCAAGAACTCCCATCATGCCCTCTGAATCGGTCGTAGACTCAAGTTGCGAGTTGAAGATGCGACGAATGGCTTGGTGGATCTTGGTGCGCAGGTCACGATCGGCGACGGGGAAAGTGATCTTGCCGAATTCGCTTGGTCGGGACTTTGGCTTGGACATGGCCTTTTTGTGAAGCGCAATGATATCAGTGGCATTTTGAGCACCAAAGTATTCGACTAAAAGAGCGTGATCCTCTTCTGACACCTTGAATTCCGCGGGCTGCTCCTCAGCCTTTGCCGGGGTAGCTTCGGTCTCGGGGGCTTTGGGCGCAGCAACAGGCGCAGGCTCAGGCTTGCTGGAAGTGTTGGGCGCATTGGTGTTTCGGAGGTGAACAACTTCGCCGGTAGTTGTGATCTCATTGACCGCAAAATCGGTGTATCTACAGAAAATACTCAGCAAAGACCTCAATCCAGTGGAGTTTGACAACTTACCTCTTTTTTAAAACACCGAAGAATCCTTCAGTATCGTTGCTCACGAACTCTGTGATTCCGACCTCAACCTCCTTCAGAGCCTGAGCATCGAAGACTGCGGTGCTGGTCGGGGCGTCCGCTGCACCGTCGCCACCGGCGGCAATCGCAATTGATCCTGCATCGTCGGTCTTCTGACGCTTACGAGGAGACTCCGCGATATCAGGCTTCTCCATTTTGTAAACTGTTTGTAATGGTGGGGTTGGATGTAGGAACAGGAATGCGCTCCGCGAACTTTTCTTTTACCATTCGGGTTAGCGCGATAAGATCAAAGTGGGCCTCTGTCTAGACCCCATTTGGACGGTTTTCTATACAATTTCAATCTTCATACAGAGTATATGTTCTGCTTTACTACAATTCATTGCATTATGTGATCTCTTGTGTATTCAAACTTACCTGGAATAAATGGTCTTTTTATTTTGAACCCAGTTGAATTCCCCGTCAGCTTGAATTTGTGGACTAGTACACTACATAGATGTTAATGAGTCTTTACCCACACATAGCAAAAAGTGCCGATTTCAACTCAATTTTTCTCCACGAATGTATAGTAATAATTTCTAAGACATATTGATATCAGGCCAACGATATGACTCCTTTTGACTGATCTAAAATGTGTGGTCGTTGAGTAGTAACCGATTGAAATCAAAATGTCAAAGTGAATCTCAGTTATATATCTCGGCCCTGGAGTCTGTATTACGCACTACTTCCAACGTGACCTCGGAAGTCCATAAGAATGACACATAGTTTCATGTAAGACCAAGCAATTGGTCAATATTCCAAGGCTAGAAAAGTTTCTTTATGTTCACCATTAGATCAACAAGTTCAAGCAAAAAGTTGAAAGCGAATCTGTGGTTTAAGCATCAAAAAGTTCCTTATTTGCTTCCACCCAGTCTTCAAACTTCGTGGAAGGCTTCCCAGTGTACAGCTCCACATTGTCAACCCCAACTTGGTAGTGTGCACGCTCCGTAACCTCATTCGACGTACTTGCAAACGTTTGGATCATATATTCTGCTAATGGCTTCGGGAATCCGTGTGCAAGAGATTGCTCCAAGGCTTCCTCCTCATCGATAATAGTGAGCTTGACGTCTTTGCCGACAAGCTTTCCAATGGTCACAATGGCGTCTCCTTGAGGGATGAGTCGTGGACCATACAGGTACACCTTCTTTTGTCCATTCTTCGGTCCCTGCACCAAGATGGTGCCACCCACGCGGCCCATGTCGCCTGGTGTAATACAATCAAATTGGAAATCGGGTGCCCAGATTCTCACCTCGCCAGCTGCGATACCCTTCTTGTATCGCAACAAGTTCGTGGCAAAGCCACCCGGCCTCAGAGCAACATAGTTCTCGTCCCCAAAGACCTCGTCGAGAACGATCTCAGCCTGCGCGTGGAGGTAAGCAATGAGCTCAGCAGGAGTAACATCCTTTGGGTCTCCAGCGATGGTGTAACTGCTGAGGAAGACAACGAATTCAATGCCGGCTGATTTCATTGCTGTGAAAGTGGCCCTCATGTGGTCAGGGGCCCCAAAAGCAAGATATGTGAATGCGCGCTTTGCCCCCGATGCTTTGACGGCTGCAGCGACGGAGTCTGGGTTGGCCAGATCCGCTTGAATTCTTTCAAACCCGCCTTGCTGTTCCAGCTCTGTACTCAACCCAGGAATTTGCTTCTGGGTGTCTCGCATAGCCAGGAAAACCTTGGCTCCATGCTCTCGGGCAGTGAGCGCTGCAACTGAAGCGACACCACCGGTGGGGCCAAAGACAATCACAGAAGACATTGAGAGGAAAGAAAGGGGTTTTTGGTCTGTGATACAGGAGAAAGATTGATGAGAGAATTTTTATGGAAAGGGGGGTTTAATTGAACATTTATAAGGATAATGAGGTCACCCACCGTCCTTTCGGGCTTTAGATATTATCTCCGCAGAACCATAGACTTTCAGGGTTCGCGTCGGCCTAACAATGGGGGTGATATAACCGAGTACAATATGGTATTCAACCTCATGTATGGAGTTTAGGAGTGGAAAGGCGAACGCCGATGAATATACACTAGATACTAACTACATATGTAAATATTTTATACTGACTACTGCGCATTCACATTACTGCTGAGAATCCTTCAACTTGTAATTAGATCCCACAACGGAACAGCTAAAATAGCCACATGTTTTTTTAAAAGAAATAATTGCCTTGGTACTTCTACAAATTGTTTCAGTAATTACGAGTACACACTTCGACTTGAAACTCCTGTTGTCCGTCGTCCGTCGTCCGTCGTCCGTGAAAGTCGGCCTTTCGGCGACTTTATTCCCGGGTTTAACTCCATGCGGCATTGAGCTATACCACGTCAATCCTCTCTCCCATTTTGACATTGCCTATCTCAATTCTGCAGCCATTCGTACGTGAGAAAAATCGAGTTTATGAGCTAAGTATGTACAAGGGATGAGGAGAATGCTCTAAGGTATACAGAATGCATACATCGACTTCCAATTAGTGAGACCCGTGGACAGGTGGGGAGCAGGCTTGCACCCGCGGACCGTGGTGGTGCTCACTTGCCTTGCTGTGGTAAACCGGAAAGAAGGAGGAAAGGTGCCCAGGTGATGTTTATGGCTGAATCGAAGCGTATCTTTATGGGAAATCGAAGTGATAGTCAACAGAAAGCTACCGAAAAGAATATTTCACATACCCAGGCGTAGAGAAAGAGAGAGAGACGTATTTAATTGAACGCAAAGATATGTTTAATAATAGGCTCGACCATCGCTTCCCTCAATGTTCGTGTATGGCAACAGTGTAACAATCACGAAAATTATATTGAGGTACTTTGCGTATTCGTCTCTCGGATTTTAGGTCATCCCGGCGGTAGCGTTGCCTGAAGTAGCCAAATATGGAATTTCAGTCAATCAGGTTCTATCACTCAGTTGGTTATATTCAAAGTCGAGGTCGATCCCTTTGGAAGCACTTTTTTTTGTCATTCCTAGGCCTTAATCGTGAATTGCTTGATAGACGCCAAGTGTCACAAAATTTTCATACAGTTGGGTTCAGTAACCCAGTTGGTTAAGGGTTCCATAACTCAGTTGGTTAGAGTGTGGTGCTAATAACGCCAAAGTCGAGGGTTCGACCCCCTCTGGAACCACTTTCTTTTTTGTCTTTTCTTTTTATATGGATGTTTACCTGATAAATGATTCTTTACCCGCTCTCACCTGGCTTCTCACCCTATCTATTACATACTTACCTACACGAACAATGTCTGCGTGGCATTGCCCGCGTCCAGTACACTTCTTTAGAAGGCAGATACAAAGGTGCAAGGAAACCGAAAGCCTAATTAGTTTTCTCGGTTGGGAAGAACACTACAACCGCTGTAATCATGGCAGAATTCTGGAGAGAAGGAAAATAATGAAAAAGAGAAAAAATTGGCTGCAAGCCTTCGAAGAACAAAAACAAGCATCAAAAAGATCTCAATCTAGAGCCAGAAAACGGAACATGTGCTTGGTTTGGTGTCTTGACAGCTCAACACCGAACGGCAAAGCCTTCTGCAGAGAAGCGGATAGTTGGTTGCATGTCTGTGGTGAAGCTGACTAGGGATAGCTTCTTATGCAATTTCTATCACACTGAGCAAGTCTTAGACGCTTAGATTCTAGTCAGCATGCATAATTCCGTGGTTGAAACAATGTCTCGGTCTCCTAGGTGAATGAGCAACCAGAGTCAATCATGTCAATCACCGATGGCCGCCAAGTTCGAAACACATGATATTGAGCCGTGGTCTGTACAAATCCATTTGAGAGTGATGCCAATCGAACACCACAACAAAACTTACTTGTTAATAGAATGCGGGGAACGATTTCAATACAATCTAGAGGCCGAAGACAAAAGGCCATGCCTCAATTGATCAAACTGCGTGAGCTTACCTCAGATCGACAGTCTTCTTTGCAATATGGCTGGACTAGTTGGAAAGTGAGGATGCTTGAGCTTCTTACCCCCACAGAGAATCAAGTTGATATATCAAAGCTCTAAGCACAATACGAACTACATTGTCACAAGAAAGCTAAAAGCGACTTGAAACACATATGTGCAATATATTTCAAGTTTTCACAGGGACCAGACACACATGCAAGAAAATTAGCTGGCAAGCTTCCTAACTACCAAAACTAGACCATCCGCAAATTCAAAATCAGGCGCTTCGCAGGGCAGAAGACTGGAAGTACGCATGAAACATGCAACATGCATCTCGACTGAAGTGCTCTCAATCTCCGAGCCGAGCCCAGTATGCTGAATTGGCCAGACTTGAACTTGGAAGGCAATTGATGCCGAAAGGCGAAGTATAAAAGGAAGCTGGTTGCCGACGATTCTGGAGACCAGTTCTTTGAATCATCACATTCCATCTTTCCAAGCCATCCAAAGTCATTCGGTAATGTTTACCTTTGGGTATTTTGTATGAGCTGGGCTAACAGTGGAACGCGATTTGTAGTTCAATCAGCAAATATGAAGACCAACTTCATTCTCGCTCTCCTCAGCGTGGCCCTTGTCGCCGTTGCTGTCCCCACTGGTAAGAACTCCAAAATTCATTCAGATCCCATCGGCAAGATGAAGGGGCCTTCTCTGACTATGTCACAATCACAGGCAAACATGAAGGTGGTGGTAAGGGTGGTGGTAAGGGTAGCGGCCTTGGAGCCGGTGGCGGCGGTGGTTCGGGTGCTTCTTTGAGCGGCGGCGGTGGTGGCGGCGGCTCTATCGGCGGAGGCTTCGGGGGTGGCTTCGGAGGGGGTTACGGTCAGGGTTCTGGAAGTGGAGCCGGGGCTGGTCTTGGCGCCGGAGAGGGTGAGGGCAAAGGCATTGACAAGTAAGGCTTGATCTGAAAGCGTCTTTCAATTTGGGCTGCGTCCGAGCTTCCAACCCTGTTGCTAGCATGTTTTGGTTTCATGAAAAGAGTCTCTAGTCTGGCCCGTTGGTCAGTACGCATTAGTTTGTTCATGAACCTCTCTGCTACAATGTACCCCGAATATTGTAGTTTGTTGTTGAGAGACTGAGCTATCTTCTACAGTATCGTACAAGTTTGAACAATTACCAGAGATTGCTAAATTAGGAATCGACTATGAAAATCCTGATATAGTTTCCATCCACAGGTCCCAACCTTCATCTTTCACCTTTCATTCCCAATCCAACTCCCGTTCATATACCGAGGAAACAATTCCTGCTATTTTCCACACCAAACATTTGATGAAAAGTTCGGCGTCAAAATTGACGTCGGAAGAAAACCTACATTTGAAGATGGCGAGGCTTGTAAGGATAGCCCTCAATGCATCGCGGAACCCAGAGTGCAGAGTATATTTGGCATATTGTGATTGGGAATGGTGGTAATTCTAGAACAAAACTGTTTGAAAAGTAAAGAGCGGGAATGTCTATGGCATACCTGCGGAAAAGAACATTTACTGGAAGCTCATTGATGAAGATGGCTGGGAGCTGGCGTTGGCCATCGAATATATTGGCTTGGACCTGCGCCAATGCTCAACAAACCTGTGCTCAACTTACTCAATCACCTCATCGTGATTCCTCTCGCATGCTACTGGCTATTAAACGCCAGCAACGAGCCACGCTCTATACTGTCCAAGTCAATCATCTGGCATTGAGAGTGGAGTAGCTCCGGACGGGCTCGGTCGTCGGACGCCGAGCCAAAAACCGAGCACCGATGGTTTCTATAAACCCAGTTGGACTTATATAAATGAGGTTCAGATACTGGACTTTGCATACCAAGTGCCTGTTCCATCACCTGGGCAACGATTATGACCAGTCAAAACTGATCCTCCATCAATTCATCTTCTGGGTCCATTCAACAGCCCTGGCTCATTGATACTCGAAAATACACCTCAAGTCATACTATTGTCACCAATCTCACCCGATTGTGAGCTCATGATGGCCACCCAACGGAATGTGATAATTTTTGGTGCAACTGGTGATGTTGGTTCGGCCGCAGCACTTCAAGCCTACCAAGAAGGAGCCAAGGTCTCTCTCGCCGTCCGGGACCCCAAAAAGCCCATTCCCAGATTGAGTGGCATCCAGTTCGACAAAGTCCCAGCAGATCTTACCAAGCCCGAGACAGTTGAAGCTGCCGTGCGGCAGACTGGTGCGACTGTGGCCTTCATCTATGTTGTCGGAGATGGTAACATGCGGCCGAGTCTCCAAGCCCTCAAAGCAGGCGGAATCAAATCTATTGTTTTCTTGAGCAGTTTCACTATCGAGGATGATATTCGTGCTGTTCCGTCTACCGACTTCATTGCTTTCCGGCACGCGCAAGTTGAGATCGCGCTAGAGGAGGTATTCGGGAATGAGAACTTCGTTGCGATCCGTCCGGCTTACTTCTCGAGCAACTCGTTGAATTTCAAGGAGGGCATTCTCCGTGGAGAAACCGAGTTGCCAAATCCAGTTGCTGAGTTTGACTGGATTTCTCCAGCTGACGTCGGACGAGTGTCTGGCATGATTCTCGCTCATGGTAGTAAAGAAAACGTCATTGGACTTGTTGGACCAGAGAAATTGGCACTCAAAGATGCGATGAGTGTGATTGGTGATGTTCTAGGGAAATCCATAAACGTCATCAAGATTGGTGAAGCCAAGGCTTTGAAGCAGATGAGCGATGCGGGAATCCCGTTGCCAGTGGCTAATTGGATGCTGGACAATGCTATACGGAACCCAGGCGCATCTTTCCGCGCGCCTGGGTACTTGGAAGCTCTGGGAAATGTCCATAAGTACACTGGAAAGGCTCCGGCGAATTTTAGGCAGTGGATGGAGGAGAATAGAGATCGGTTCAAAGCTTGAATTGTTTTCCTTGGACTGGAGCGTTTGTGGATGAGAGAGTGCATATTAAGTTGGAGATTGCCTCGATTCATTGGGAACCAGTGGGCATCATGTCTCATGCGGTAATAGAGAATTTATGCTTTAGATAATAGATCATCTTTGGTCTTTTTTGGGCCCCAACATATGCCGAACGCTCAGCCAACTCTGTGCCAGTCCCAGACGCCTCGATCAAGGTGATATCAACTCTGTGTAGCACCATTGTACTAGAATTAAAGACGATGACAACCCTAAGGTTCCTGCAAAGGCACCTGCAAGGGTGGGATGGGCTCGGGGCTTGGTTAACAGTGTCTATTGGATCGTTAATGATGTGATAAAGATCCTCGATTGAGAGAATTGAGACAGAAAGCTCATTTCCCAACATTGATACAATTGAAAAAAAAAGAAACAAGAAGTAAAACTACTAACGCTAAGCCCAAACTCCATTGTGGTTCTTTTTCTATCTTCCAGGATGTAGTGTGCATGATACATGGGTTGCGTTAGATGCTCTGTACGAAATCGCAAACAGATGCAAAAACAAGAACAGCATTATTTTACAACTCGTCTTTGGGAAGGTCCTCCTTCTCCTTCTTCTGCTCCTTGCCCTTCTTCTTCTCATCGGGCTTCTTATCCTTGGAGCTCTTTTTGCTGTTGCTGTTGCTGTTGCTCTTCTTCTGTCCAGCGGCATTTGTCATCCGTTCATACATGCGGTTGAGGATGCGCTCAAAGTCGCGCAGCCGGGAGTCGACTTCCAAGACGGTAAGCGCGGGCTCATCCGACTCAGTCAGCTTCTCTTGCAGACTGAGTTGGGTTTCCAGCCAGGGGCCGGTGGACTCGAACGCTTGCGTGATGGCAGTCAGATCGGCGGGCGTGAAAAGGGTGTACTTGGGGCCTGTGGGTTTGGCTGGGGCGGCACTCTTGGTGGAGGTTGTGGAAGAGGAGCCGGAGTAGGCGTCTTCTTCGAGATCATCGAGACCTTCGTCGGAAGCTGGGGTAGGGGTTGGGGCCTCGGTCTCGGTAGAGGTGGCGGAGGCAGAAATAGAGGATGAGTAGAGTTGCTCATCGTTTTCGATCTGGTTTTTGATCAATTCCTTCATGGACTCGGCATTCTTGAGCATGTCCTTGAGCAGCTGAACGCGGGCAGGACGAGTAGAGCTCTCCTTCATGCGCTTCAGGGCGGGGTTGACAATGGCCTTCAGGTCCTTGAGCTTTGACTGGAAATCGGCAGTCTTGGCGTTATCGCTCTCCTCGTAGAGCCAGTCGCTGGCCTTGGAAGCTCGCTCGGAGAGGAGAGTCAGTTGATCAGCCTTGACAGCCTTGATGAACTCCTCGTTGTCAACGAGGTCGCGGCTGCGGTAGATAAATGACTCCAATTCATTGAGAGCCTCCTCGCGCAGAATGCGGTCACGATCCGAGGTATCAAAGGCGGCGAGACGGGTGTTGATGCGGACAAGCTCTTCGGCCGACGGGGCAGGGGTTCCAAGCGCCACCGACTTCAAGCTAATTGGAATGACCTCCAGCTTGGTCTGAGGGGTGGGCTTCGCGTCCTTGGTAGATGTGGTGGTACTCTTAGAGCTGGCGGAGGATGTAGGCGAGGCCTCGGTCTCGGGCTCGAGGGTGATCGATTCACGGGGCTCGCCATCTTCGCCAAGGGCCTCTTGCTCGTCCTTCTTGCCAAGTCCGAAGAATCCCTTGACATCTTCCACAATTCCCTTCTTCTCAGATTCAACTTCGCAGCTGACGGTACCAGCAATAACCTCAGGAAGGCCGTCCACAGGGCTAAGGCGGATCGTGAACTTGGTGGTAATATTTGCAGTGGTACAGCCAAAGGAATCCTTGAGCTTGGCAACAGATGCGGTGAGATTTTGGGTCTGGACACTGAGAATGGGCTGCTCTTCATCCTGAGCAACAAGCTGAGCGAAGCTGAATTCGAAGTCTTCCAGGTTCTTCACAGTGACCTGCTTCTCGGGGCCGACTTGGGAGGTAGCAGTGAAGAGCTTCTGGTTTCTTTGCTTGCCATCCGAGTTCCACTTCAAAGAGATAGGGTATGAAGCAGCATCACCGGTGCGAATATCCTTGACACGGAAGCTGGGGCTCAGAGCAGCACCCTTGAACGCCGCACCAAAGACAGCCGCCTCATCGGCGTTGACATTGGTTCGGATCTTCTTAGAAGAGCCAGCGAAGTTCTCCAATTGCTTCTGGACAAACGGAGTACGGATAGCTCCACCGTGCAGGATAACAGAGTCGACGTCGTTCAATTGGAGGCCGGCAGCTGCCAAAGCCTGCTCGACGGGCGTTCCGATGCGGGCAACATAGTCGGCTGCCATCTTCTCGAAGTTGGCCCGGCTGAGCTTGTACTTGAAGTTGACATTCTCGTCATAGAGGCCCTCAAAGCTGGTCGAAGTCTCGGTGTTGGCGCTCAGAACCTGTCGGAGCTTCTCAGCATCCTTCCAAAGTCTTGCCATGGTCTTTCCGTGCGCCTTGATCTCAGCGATGGTAACCTTGTCCTTCAGCTTCTTTTCCTCGGCCAATTTGGTGACCATGTCGTTGACAATGAGATCGTTTAGGGAGTCGCCTCCAAGTGACTTGTCCCAGCCAGATCCAACAACATGAACTTCCTGAATAGTCTTGTTGAACTTGCCAATGTCCTTAACTTTGCGGCTCTGGAACCGCAACACGCTGGCGGTGGTGGATCCAGCACCCATATCGTACACAATGTGGTATTCGGGCTTCTCGCCATCGGAAACGCTAGGGAATGTACGGCTAGTGGCGTAGTTCAACCCAACAGCAAGTCCGTCACTGACAAGAGCTTGGATCTTCAGACCCGCCAATTCAGCCGCCAACTCTAGACTGCGCTTTTCCTCCGCAGTGTAGAACGTAGGGTAGGTAATGACCACATCGCGGACATCGGATCCTTTGCCAGCCAATGTATCAGCATTCGCCTTGATCTGCTTCAACTGCATGGCCAAAATCTCCTCGACCAGGAAGGCCTCCTTCTTCTGCTCTTCTCCCAGTCGGTTGCTGCGGAGAGCAACAGATCCACGACCATCGGGGGCAGCCTCCAACTTCAGAGCGGGGAACCGGTTCCAGTAGCTCTTGACAATATCATCTGCGCCATCGTTGAACTGCAGACCCAAAAGTGTTTTCAGGTTGATGTAAATATCGTCCGGGTAGCGAGCGGTCAAAGCAAGCGCATCACCGCCATAGAATCGCTCGGGGAATGGTGCATCGCTCTCTCGGGTAGGCTTAAATGCGATCGCAGAGGACTCTTTGCGCTTCGAATCTTTGGTGAGGACAATCTCGAGTGGAATACCAGGTTTCACTAGCGCGGCCTTGAAGTATTCTGTGCCGATGTCAATTCCAAGCACGGCCGATCCGGCGGCAGAAGCTGGCCCAGCAAAGCTGAGAAGAAAGACGAGGAAGGGAAGGACGACCAATGAAAGCATTGGTGAGCTGGATAGTTGTCGGCGATTTGAGAACGCCATGATCTATGTTTATGCTCCGGCTGCGGGAGTCAGTTAAGTTGCGGTCGGGGTGTTTGCGGATTCAGCTCGACAAACACTCTCAAACATATATAGGCAAACAAACAGTTGAATTATCTAAACTATCCACCGGTTTACCAGATAGTGTGTCTGGAATCGGGTGGAACGCTGGCTTCGCGCCAGATGCAATCGAATGGAGCCTTGGGATAGCTCAAATTTGGTGTCGGGGAGAGAGGGTTGGTGGTTTGGAAGGTTGTATAAGGGGGATTCAAAGTATGACTCAAAAATTAGGCCATTTGGGAGCAAAGGGATACTGTGGCCACTTGGCGGTTGCTTGAAGCCTGAATGAGCTCTGTTCGGATGAGGACACGGGTCATCATGCAAACACACCAAACTTCTTATCTGTTATCGCATTATGTCAGAGCCCTAACCTCGGACGGACCCTCCAGGAACAGGGCTGAAGTATACGGGGGCCATTCGAGTTGCACCAGAAAATGAAAATTTTCTTTTCACTATTATTGTCCTGCTGTGGTTATTATGACTCGACTTACTCTAGCTTCGTGTCATATTCAACAGGTTCTTTTCAAGGATTAATCTGTTGACAATTTATCCTTACAGCGAAGAATATTCTTGTATCAAAATAAGTTTCAATTCGTAAACTAATTTATATCACTAGAATTAGGGTTCCATATTCATGGATAAGGAGCGTCAGTCGTGAAGAAAACCCATTAATAGCCATCTCAGAGTTCCGGTGTAAATTATAACAAAACCCAGTCATCCTCCAGAAACGGGAACCGAATACAATTTTTTTCAAATTTTTGTGTTTCTTTTTTCAATTGGATATCCACAAAGCTGTGCAAGCCGGCGTCATGCATCCGGAATATTAATTTACGGAAAGATTAAAGCAGAGAAAACAGAAGGGCCAAGCCGGGGATGAATGCGGCGATGCTCTTCTGGAACTGAGCGGGAGCACTGTTGAAAGCAGGCGAGGAGGAGGCGGGAGGAGCTGTGGTGGAGGATGAAGAAGTGACGGCGGTTGTGGGTTGCGCAGGGGACACCGGGGAGGTAGATGCTGCAGGGGCAGTGGGCTCCGTGGCGGGAGGGGGAACCTCGACGGAAGTAGTCTGCGCTGGGGGAGGGACCACGACAGAAGTAGTCTGCACCGGGGGAGGGACCACGACGGAAGTAGTCTGCGCCGGGGGAGGGACCACGACGGAAGTAGTCTGCACCGGGGGAGGGACCACAACAACTGGGGTGGTGGGCTGGGTGCAACCCTCAGTGCAGGTGAAGATAGAAGTCACGGTGAGTGTGCTAGTCTGGGTCACTGGGTGGGTGTAGGTTGTCGTGCCGCTTGAGACAGTGCTCCAGGTCACTGTAAATTGTTAGTAACGGCACTTGATCGATTTGTGGGCTTTACATACCAGGGCAGGTGGTGGTGGTCCAGGTAGTGGTCACAATAACTGGAGGGGGAGTGCTAGTCTCGGTCTCACAGGGGGTGGTGGAGGCCGAGGGAGGGACTGTGGGAGTTTCAGTCTCGCAGGGAGTAGTGCTAGCTGGAGGAGGCGAGGTCGGGGTGTCGGTCTCACAGGGAGTGGTAGAAGCAGGAGGAGAAGTGGGAGACACCGGGGTAGAAGTAGGAGTATCAGTCTCACAAGGAGTCGACGACGCCGGGGGAGCAGTAGGCGTATCAGTCTCACAAGGAGTAGACGACGCCGGGGGAGCAGTAGGCGTGTCAGTCTCACAAGGAGTAGACGACGCCGGGGGAGGAGTAGGCGTGTCAGTCTCACAAGGAGTGGAGCTTGCGGGAGGAGGAGTAGGAGTGTCCGTCTCGCAAGGAGTGGAAGAAGCAGGAGGAGAAGTGGGAGACACAGGGGTAGACGTAGGAGTATCAGTCTCACAAGGAGTCGACGACGCCGGGGGAGCAGTAGGCGTATCAGTCTCACAAGGAGTAGACGACGCCGGGGGAGCAGTAGGCGTGTCAGTCTCACATGGAGTAGAAGACGCCGGGGGAGGGGGTGGGCGTGTCAGTCTCACAAGGCGTGGAGCTTGCGGGAGGAGGAGTAGGAGTGTCAGTCTCGCATGGAGTAGACGACGCCGGGGGAGGAGTGGGCGTGTCAGTCTCGCATGGAGTAGATGTCTCGACCGGTGGCGGGGTCGGGGTGTCAGTCTCGCAAGGAGTTGAGGTAGGCGTCACAACTGGAGGCGGAGTGGGAGTATCAGTCTCACAGGGAGTCGAGGTAGGGGTCACCACCGGCGGAGGAGTGGGCGTATCCGTCTCGCACGGAGTAGAGGTCTCAACGGGAGGAGGAGTCTCGGTCTCGCAAGGAGTAGAGGTCTCAACAGGAGGAGGAGTCTCAGTCTCGCAAGGAGTAGTCTCCGCTGGGGGACCGCCATGGCCACCGTCGTGATCACCGTGGTCCCACCAGTCACCGCCGCCATTGTTGTCATCACCGCCGCCGCGGACGGCAATGTGAGCCTCAGCAGCATGTCTGGGGTTCATGACCATGCCGGACGCCAAGGTCGCGGCGTAGAGCAGAACGATTGGAGAGCCTCGCATCTTGACAAACGATTGGTTGATTTATATACTAAAGTTCGTTTGTGAAAAGGGCTGATATTATATTCGAAACGAAGGACTGTAGGAACCGTAGCGAGAGAGTTCCTAAACGGGCAATATAGACAATCGAAATCGTTCCTGAAAGCAAGGCTGGAAGATGGAGGGAGAGGGTAGACTAATATATGCACCAAAGAGCCCAGCTAGATGATCAATTCTTGTTTACCTGACATTGATAGTTCCACTCTTCTCGGTACTACATTGGGCATTAAAGGCAAATTAAAGTCAAAAAAAAAAAGTGGCGCTCATCTCTGGAAAGCCAAGTAGACCCGGCATGAAAGATCAATACAACCACCTTGGCCCGCGTATTTCGAAGAGGCTGGTCATGATGTAGGGTATGCCGAATCCCACATGCAGAGACCAAAGTTAGGTGCACACGGGCCCGGTTGACTAGACGACAGGTACTGGGGTGCAGCCAATGATGGACGGACCAGGTTCTCAGAGTTGACGTCTGGTTCGCTGACCTGGACCGGGGTCAAAATAGGCCAAACCGGAAAGGTTCAGAGACCGAGACTTAAGCGGATCGACCAATTGGCTCTGGCAATGCAGGTCGTGTCTTGGCATGCGATGCGGGAGATAGCTCTTGGACTGACCGTCATGGTACCCATGTTCGGTTAGGCTTTAATTGCGGGTCTCTATTTTTGTCTCGTTAATTTTATTTAGAGACAACGCAACGTCCGATCACCCTCTCATTTCTGTTCCCACGTCATGAGACAAAGTGGCTATGAACAACATGGTTGAAGCTCGGCCCTATCCGGACAAGACAGAAGTTTGTGGGGAAACTTCACGAATGAAAACCTCCGAGGAAATGGGAACCGGGAATGTACCAAGGGACCCAAGTATACCAAGGGACCCAAGTATACGCCTGATTTGAAGCGAAATTTGGGTCAAGTAATAATAATAGACTCTTGGTAAGGCAAAGTCAAGAGACACTTTAGCGATACCCGAGTACCCGAGCATTATCATTGTTCTGGACTTGAGGGTCTAATTAGTAGTGGAGCAACGGTTGACCGATCGTAATCACTGATCGGGTTGGATTCACTTATGGTGGGTCATTTGTTGTTGTAGACAGGTCTTTCTGAGGTTTTGAAGGACGTGCCCCTGGAGTTGCCCTGAAGGCCAAGTATCTCATGCAGGTGACGTTACATGCTCCCCCCAACAGTTGGAAGTCTGATGGGCCCATGTTGAACCGCGAGATTTTCTCCGTGGACAAGACCTTAGCACTAAGGCATGGTGATTGCAGGGAAGTTCCCGCCAAGTAGTAACGATCATTGGAGCAACGACTCCCTTCTTCGTGATGTCAATGGCGGTGTCCTTCTTTTCTTGGTGCTTTGTTTTTTTTTCCCCTCACGTTTTCTTGTTTCTATATTTTTCTACCACTAACTATACTAGGATATTGGCATGCTTTTTTTGTTACATTGTGTTAATTTTATTCAATCATCTCTTTTAAAGAACGACAATCATTTCTTTGTTAGATTCTAATTTCCCCTATCTTGTATTCTGTCCAAAAAATGTCTCGGAACTCGTGAGACTGCCCTGATCGATACCTTCGATATTCTCCCAGTCCAATTTAATGGAATTGGCAATTGAACTGATGACGCACTATATTGGTTTTTTCCAAAAAAAAAAAAAAAAAAAAAGAGACAGAAAAACGGAATGGCGGGGTAACGTGGAAAGCCTCCACGAAGTAAACCCCTGCTTCGGAGTACATTTGTGCGCTGTATGTAAGTACTTGCATTATTGCCCGGGAAGCACAGATGTAGCCTCATTATTTTGGGTTGCCAGCCCCCTGAAAAATAAGATGGAAATTGCTGTTAGACTGAAAACCAAATGCCGGAAATGCGGGTGCGTAACTTCCATGGAAACGTTTCTTCTGTCTTACACTGTGAGTGACACTTTTAGAGTATATGTCTCAAACTCTAGAGCCACATGGGGTAGTAAAAAAGCATGACTTCTCCAGGAAGTCCCTAGCATTAAGATTGTGACGGGGAAAACAAATAGAAGCCCGGGAGTCTGGTCCGGTGCGATGTATGCCGTGATAAGTCCAGCCACTGTATGGGGTATTTCACTTAAGTCCTCACTAAGATGGTGACTAAATTTGGAATGCATCCATCTCAATATAGTGGGCCTCAAGCCACAAAATCCTTTCGAGGGACTAGTGCATACATAAAACATAATACATACTAGTCGGCCGACACCGGCCAATGCCTTGGCACCGTTTAATTGCGATGATATCAAGACTAGTCATTACCATAGTATCTAATTATTCATCCTCATCGTCCGAGCCACTACTCCACCCAGTTTCGTAGAATTCTCGAATCTCACCTAGTCCGTTGACGATCGCCTCACGCTCATCAACTGAGACCAAGCGTGCGGCAGTTGCCGAAATAGCCTTGATTTTTTGGGCCGTCCGTGTTGACGCGGTCAATGCGGTAAACACATTCAGACTGCCTGTGTTGGAAGTGGGGAACATGGTGTGCGGGAAGCTGTCAAGAATAGGCATGCCAAGTGACGTGTGGAAACTGTGTGGATAGCAAAGAATATGAGTCTTTGACTGAGACAGTGGGAGTAAATGCGCAAAAAAAATAAAATAATTAGAAAACTTACCTCTGGAGCATAGCCTTAGAGTTGTGAAGTCTGAGTCTGCGAAGGTGTCCAATGTCCCTCGGGTCCGCGGACTCGGAGGCACTTTCCGCTTCGTCTCCACGGGAGACTTGGACTTGGTTGAAGATATGGGCGCCCTTGTATTCGCCGTCATAGGTGAAGTCAATGTCAAATTCAATTTCAGGTTCAGCTGCATCCTCTTCATTGGAGGGTTCCTTAGTATGGCCGTCATTGACTTTGTTGATAGAAGACTGTAACTCAAAGATGGTGTGTGTACCATCCTCCCCAGCCAGAGAGGCCTCGAAATGTTGATACGGCTTCAATCGAGAAGGCAGGGTGACTGTTTCAATAGCAGAGGCTATCAAGGCGGTCTTCTGCCATTCGGATTGGCGATCAACTTCCAAGTAGCCAGGAAGCTTATGTGGGAGGTCAATGATTGGAACGTAGAGCGATGCCTGCGGTGAGATCGAATAGAGTGACCTCGCTTTGTTCGTATCTTTCTTGAACTGGTGATGCTGTGAAATTCAAAACTTAGCCAATCCAGTACTTCACTCTTCAAAATACTGATGTGCTACTTACCCGTTGTGTCCTGGCGCCATCTTCAATAGCCCAGACCCAAATACTCTTCTTTCCAAATTCATCTCTCAGCCTCTCCATATACTGGGCTGTGAATCCGCCCCAGGCGTCATCTGACCCAGAGAACAGTTGCAGTGCTCGTAAGTGGTCGCATTCTTCAATGAGTGGCCTCAGATCACGGTCTAACAGGTCATGTTCCTTGTCCAGGTTATGGAAAAGCTCTTCTCCAACATTCCAGTCCTCGAAGGGCATGGTCTGCGAGTTGAGCTCATACTCGTTCAGCTGCACAATGGACTTGGGATGGTAGAAAACTCGATTGTAGTCTGACCAGTAGCGGACAGACCCGGAGGTCAGACGAGGAGCTGGAGTGCCCAGGTCCAAGCTCTTCTGATATTCACTTTGCGTAATTGGGGCCTGTGTTTGAACAATTTCTTTGCCATCCCTGTCAGATATCAGTTTTGGTGACCATCAAAAAAACTAATTGGACCGCATACCATAAGCCCTGGCCGGCTGTAGAGTCTTCACTAAGTTCATAGAGTGCATTATATCTGCGCAAAGTTCCAAATCCGCCTTTCAGATCATAGATCAATGTTCGTGGTGTATAAGTCTCAGAGCCATCTGCTCCTACACCCGCACGGAAATGAACATCGTGATCCACAGGAGACTGTTCTGTTCCATCGTAAGTGAAGTATGATTCCTGTATATATTAGACAGGTCCGACAACGCAACCGGGCGTTACTTTACCTGCAAGTTCCAAAAATGAGTCGCCAGATAGTTGGCCCTCTGGCCCATCTGGAGAGTAACAATTTCATGCATTTTTATGCAAGCAATAGCCGCTTTTAGTGTAAGGCCCTCAGTGAATTTTGATATCGACAACTGCGAGTTGATGCACAGACACTCTGGAAGAAAATGCGCTAAGCCTGATGTGGGTGACTTATTAAGAGCCGAAAATCTTGGTTGCCCTATCTCTTAACTAGGCACTGTGCAACTGAGATTACGTGATCAATATTTTGGCTCCGCCGCCCAGTCAATCCTCTGCAGACGACGCTCACGAGTTTCGACAACGACAACTCTAAACACCCCCTAGGTCGGGTAATCAAGAGGAATACATATAGCACGTAGACCTTAAAAACAAATCTCTCACTAGATATCTTGCCACCAGAGATTGAATGCATGGAGGAACTCGGACCGATTAAGAAAGGATTGCCCGTCGGCATACATAGGCTCATCAACAACTTTCGAATCAATCTGACAAAAATTACTTATGGGGGTGATTCGGCAGCAAGGCTTGCGGTGGTAAGAACACTCCGTCCCTTCTTCCAAGGCTGGTTTGATCTTCCCTGTTTGTCGTGTCCGCTGCCTTCCCCGCAAGAGTAAATACGCTCAGTATGTCTGTGCTGGTGCCCCCGTTCACCTTACCGACCTCGCCGCTGTTCTCGGGTGCTCCGCCGCCGTTCGTGGCAACAAGGAGACCTGTATCAACCCACATCCCCTCCAGCTCGCCGTTCGCAATGATGGGGAGTTGAACAAGCTCCTGGGTCACAACACCATTTTGGTGTTTCCCCCAATATTCACAAGATTCATCACAGTTATTGCTATTGTCTAGAACTGGGAAGCAAGGACGGGCGAAAGCGCCCTAAGCGCAGGTTTTGGGGTCCCCAAGAGCCGAGAATCCTCTGTTTGGTCTTAAAAAACGGACGGTGATTGAAGTAATGATGTAAACATTGGAATCAATTTTAAGGCATTAAAGAAGGAAGGAACGGCCTTGAGGGCGAGGGCACACAAAACACGACTCTCCACTACAACATCATTTCATCAACAACGATGTCACTCACAGGTTCAATGATGATGCGGCTATGCAAAGCTCTTGTTGTCTTCCTTGTAAGTGAAATTGATACCTTGAATTTGGGTTACACCCACATGTACGCGGGGTCAAGATCGAACATCCCACCCATTTGGATCCCACCTGGACACTTATTCAACCGGTATCGCGTGCCCTATTGACCGTTTGCGAAAGCAGGAAAGCCCAGAGAAAAGCACAACATGGATTTGAAACGCATTTCTCAACAACAACACTATCACGGTCGAGAGTTAGATGGCCTCCGAGGTGAACGCTAGGTTTACAGAGAATGCAGCCGTGCTGCCTAAAGATGATATAAAGAGTCCCGAACAAAAACCCGTTGGCTGCCTTCGAGGAAACTTTCAAGGGAATTGGATGGATTATTGCCACAAGCAAGTTGGTTGATGGCCTTTGGACCTCTTGCCTGAGGCTTTATACCAGATAAGATCAAAAACTGGTGGACAGGACGCCACAAAAAGATCAAAAGCAGATCAAGAGAACAATCAACCAAAAGAGGAATCTCAAAAGCTTGCGGAGCTAAAAAGGAGATGGATATTCTGAAAAATCTGTTGACAGCACTGACGACCACGGTGACGCTTTTAGCTGAGTCGGAACGCCGAGGGAGGTCGAATGACTCTCGGCAATCCAATGATCAGGCCTTCATCGCTAATATCGAACTGAGGCACTAATCACCACAGAACAAACCCACCCGTATATTATTGAGGGTACACGGCAAACATGGCTCGTCTTTTACACGACTAAGACCCGGGTGGAGATGAGAATTCAACACCACAATCCGGCGGCTATTTTACGTTCCAGTTCCGTTGATAAGCTAGAGAACGAGTGACCGAAGTCGTGAATCGAGACTTGATCACTATAAGTGAAGAAAACACCACTGATCGCGCGAAAATCCAAGAGAGTTCAGGAGGGACAAATATTGTGAAAACGCTCCGGAAAGTAAAAACATAAAAAACCATGTATGCTATATATTCTGAAGATCGATTCAATTCAATCCTGGAAGTGATCTGTGTGGAATTAGGGTATTTTTGGGGTGCAAAAAAGGTGCTTTTTCAGTACGATCATTCATAATTTGCCTGGAAAGTAAGGCATTAGCGTTTCCAGCTCTCACCATGGCAACGGTCACATGATCCTTCCAAAGAGGGCAATAAACATGTTTGTGTGGGTGCGTCACTTATCGACTCCACAACGGTGATTTTCCCTGAGATCTCCTTTTCATCATTCCTGTGATGCTTCTGTGACCCTGTGATCTTCATCGCCTGGATCTAAAATTTTCAGCAGCTGCGATGGAGTCTCCAACGCGTCTCCTCCCGAGTCCCTCGAAAGCGTTGAATCCGGTGTCGCCGGAACGGATGAATCAACAAACCATACCCGCATCACCCTCACTACCTGCCGACCTCCTTACACTACACCATAAAAACTACCGAGGCGTCTCAGAAGTTCAAGCCAAAGTCGCATTTCTCAACGGCCTGTCTCGAGGAGGCAGCCCCGCCAATGGGTCGGGCAACAATGCAGCTGTACTGAGGGCTAACCTCGGTCGTGAAGAGGCCGAGTCTGCTCTGGCTACGGCACAAGAAGATTTGGCTGAAGCACAAGACCGTGAACGTCGGATCAGCGAGCGACTCGAATCATTGCTGGAAGAATTACATGGGACGAAAGAACGGCAAGGCCACGAACGATCAATTTTCGAAAAAGAAATTCGAAAGGCGCGCAAAGAGGCTTTCCGCGCTGCTTCGACTTTGGTGAAACTTCAGGAAGAATTGAAACACGCAAAGTCAGAAGCCAAGGCACTGAAAGATGAAGTGGCCGCAGAACGCGAGTCAAAGAACAAGGCCAAACAAGAGGCGTTTGAACGCGCCTATGCTCTTGCTGGCCTCACAGAAGAACTCGAAGTCTTGAAAGAGAAATTCCGCGCCCTGGAAACAGAAAACCACTCCAGCACCCTCGAAGTCCGCGCTCATGAAATTCGGAGAGAGGACTTCGGCAGACTCTCATTGGCAGAGGGTGACCTCGCCTTTTTGAACACCCCGCGGAGGCCAAAACGAGCTGCCGCTGGATCCATCCGATCACCTGCACCGGAACGCGAGGAAGATATCGCGGAAGCGACCCCCCCAAGCGCCCACGACTGTCGGAGTGTGGACCAATTGCCCAAAGCGAGCAGCCTCCTACACCCGAAGTCGCACCTGTTAAGGTGGATGAGGGCTTGCTGGATGAGATGAAGGAAGAGCTTGTTTTCGAGCGTCGACGCAGAGTTGCTGCTGAAGAAATGGTGCATTTCTTGAACATCGAATGTCAATTCGAACGTTGTTCTTGCCGAATTGCCGAGAGCCAGGGTCGTCGCTACATCTACGACGCTGACTACTATAATACCTTCCAAAAGCCTCAAATCGAGGCAGAGGAGAAAGAGCGTGCTCACCAGGCAAGCATCCAGCAAGCTATTGAGAAAGATCCCAGCCCTCAACCAGCTAGCACATCGGAGGCCAGCCCACTGCCACCTACACCCCCTGCTCACCGGTCTCCCATCCACAAGTCTCCCGTTCATCGATCCCCTGTTCAACAGACCACCACTCCTCGAGTCGCCACTCCTCAACGCAGCCACCATGAGGAACCAGAGGCGAGTCGAACTCCCTCGGCTGCACCACCCGTTCCTGTACACGAGAACCTTCCGCGTGCCGTAAAGGCCGAACTTATAGATGCACCAAAGATCGAGATGCCAGTCGAGCCCCTGGTGACATTCTCCCCGGAGACTGGAACATTCATGACTTTCCCCTCACCCCTTCGCGATAACGTCAGACCTTTACGATTGGTTCAATTTGACACACCCAACCTCCCTGAGCCTCAGCCAGACTTCCTCGTAAGTCATAGGGATGCTTCTGCATCACCAGACCAGCATGTTCAGTCGTTCACTCCATCTGGCGACCCAGTGCTAGTTCAAGAGCCGGTTGAAGAGCCAGTTGAAGAGCCAGTTCAGGAACGGATTGTGGCCCATGCTCCAGCCCCAACTGTTAGATCTCGTCCGAATCCAACAGATGGTGCCAGCGATCAATCTGCCAGGGCACGATTGTCTCAGGAAGCCCGGCCACCTAGCCGCGTCGGAAGAGATGCCCATGGATATCGCCAGCCTCTACACGCCCCAAAGAGAGACCCACAGGGATACCAGCCCATCAAAAGCACAAAGAGGGTCCCTCTCCGAAATGATGCCCAGTCCCAACGCACATCGCACCCCGGCGTGCCGGACACGCCCATCGACCGCGAACAAGCCCTTGCACAGATCAGAGCTCGGCGAGGTCGCGCCCACAGCAAGCAGCGCTCAGCTAGTGCGAACGAAGCCGGCCGCGCAGCGCATGCCTCCGCTGGATTAAGTGCGACCACGGCACGGGGCCCTCGCCGCGTTCCAAACCCCAACCTCCGACCCGATTCCAGAAGCGAGAATGATCTCGGCGAACGCCGTGATTTGAGTGCTCCCGTTCGCATGTTCCGTCGGTAGTTAATGTGCTCTCTTGGGACTCGGTTTTTAGGATGTATTATGTCTTTCTTTTGCATAGTTCACTGGTGCTTGTCGATTCATCTAATACCCCCCCGGCGCTGCATCAATTTGTCTTTTGTTCATTTGCATGGCGATTGGAAGCTATTTGTTTGTTTTGTTTTGTTAGCTTTGATGTTACGACTCCATACACTTGGATCATCTTTCCAATATGCCCATCCCTCGATAAAATCTCGGTTTATGTCCCCCCCATCTCTCACTTACATTTCCTATGTCTTTTCCTTTCTCTGTTCATATTTCTCAACTCTCAGAGTATTACGATGTTTATTTTAAAACAATACATAGCTAGTCCAAGTTACTTGTTCGCCAATCATATCGACCCAAACTCACGTGAAAAGAAGTAGGTCTATTGACGTACCATGTGTACATGCGTAACTAGAACATCCTACAAGTATACATCTACAAAACCGAAATCCCACAACACCTAATCCTAGCACAATCAACCCTCGCCTCCCTCCCCCACCACAGCGCGACCAACTCCTCCACAAATACCCGATCAGTAGCACTCCAAACATCAAGCCCCATCTCCGCCATATCCGCCACGGAAATCGTCACAGCCTCACACGCATTCTCGCGCATTGAACCTCCTTGCGAACTCGCCCCAGACCGCTGCCTCAGCAAAGGCGACTCATCACCGATAGACCGCGACATGGAAACTGACGCATCGTCATCATCAACGTACGGCTCATGACAACCGCTCTCGTCGCCTTCATCGCTGCGCGCAATGACCCCAGCCAACGTCCCGAAGATCTGAGACGTCAGCCGGCGGAAGTATGCCACGATAGCGATCTCGGGAGGCTGGTCGTTTCGGCCCGGGTGCGAGAGACTCTCAACGCTGGCCAGCAGGCGCGAGTCTTGCTCTATTTGGGCTTCTTCTTCCTCTTCCGAGAGGCCGTCGCGATTTTCGCCGGCTGACGCCCACCAGATGAATGATGTGTAGGCGAGACGGGTCCAGGAGAGGGGTTCGACGACCGGGCTGGAGGAGTATGTTGAGGCTGTGTCCTCGTCTGTGTCTGTGAATTGGCGGAGGCCGCGGCGGAGCATTGTGTAGCGGCGGGCGTCGCGCTGCGTTGCTTTCAGGTTTATTTGTTGTTGAGGGGTGGTGCTGTGGTTGACGAGGGAGAGCTTGGGGAATGTGTGCCCTGCTGTTTGTTGGGTGTGGGTTGGTGGGAGGGTGATGAGGATGTCGAAGAGGTCCGGTTTCATTGTCAGGACTGTGTCTGTTGAGCAGGCGATCCAGCTTGGGTCTGCTTCTAGGTCTTGGATGCTGCGGGAGGGGTCGAAGGTTGATAGGTAGGGGATGTCGTGGATACCGACGTTGAAGAGCGGGCGTGGGCGAAGGGGTGGTGTCCGGTCTGTGGGGAGAAGGTGGAGGAGGGAGTTTGGTAGTGATGCGAGGAGAGAGAGGTCATATACTGTTTAGAGTTAGTAGAGATATGGTAAGGGGTGTCAGGGAGCGTACCGTAGTTGCAAGCTCCGTGCACGGGAGCCTCGCCCATGAAGAGGATGCGCTTGCGCAGCAGAGCTGCCCTGTACAATGGAAATATCAAGGGTCCAAAGGAGTCCATAAATTCAGGAAGAGATGAGGCGGGGTGGAAAGGCGTCAGGGCCGGCCTGAACGTGTCTAAAACCAGTGCATCGCTGAAGGCACGATTACGACTCTGATCTGGTCGCTCGCCAGGTCGGAATCGAAGACTCAATGGTGAGTCGATTGGAGAATCGGGTGACGAGGTGTCGGTTCCTCCTATCCGGTATGCGTCCCAGTATTCCGATAGAGACTGCATGTCCGACATGTTCTCGGCGTACTTCCTATAGGCCACATGTGTCAGTTGGCACGTTGAGCGCGGGGCTTGGCTATACTTACTGTGTCAACTCCTTCAATCTGGGAGCATGGCGCCAGCTCTTGCCGAGTCTGCCAGTACTGAGAGGAACGAGCACTCCGATCGCGAACATCTTCGCATTGCGCTCGGATTCCGCGGCGGGATGGTTGAGGAACGCGCTGATACCGGCATATTGTTCGTGGACGAAGTAACTAGACAAGCGCGTCTGTCAGAGGTTGCGAAAATATGCAGAGGAGATCAAACAAACATCAAGTCTTCGGTCACATTGTGCAAACCCGAGGGCAGCGATTTGTATTCCACGACGCCTTCAACGTCAACTATTTCCGGGGTCAGTATCGTGTCGAAGGATATATACTCGGCTATATCGTTGCTTGCTCACCTCCCGGTGCATTGCGCTTCCATGAGACTATATATCTGTTGTCGCAGTAGGTCAGCGATGAGCTCTTGAGCTATACAACCAGCGTGAGGAGTTACCCGGTCCTGATGTCGAAGCTGATAACGAACAGCGCGGCGATACCCGGGGGTGCTTCCATTGAGGAACGAGGGACATCAATGCCCAAGGGTTTAGGTGAATCGTCTGCCATTGCTAAGGAGTGTCTGGGAGATCTGAGCCATTCGAGCAGTTTAGGAGATCGGGGAATCACGGTTGAGGTGTGGCCTCAGGAGGGACCTTGGCTATGCGGAGTTTACGCCTGAGGCAGCAATCCTGGATATAACTAACTAATTATACTCCATTACATTTTGTCCCTTAAATAATGGTGTGTCCAAAATGGTTGTTTAGTAAATGTCGACCCCTCAAATCCTACTCATAACGCTATCTAACTACTGTAATTTATGTATTTTATGACTTCATTGCCCATGCACTCGGGACGGTATATAACTACGTATATGTATAATTAGTAGCTACGGAGTAGATGATTCGAGTTCGATAAAGCTCAGCAACAACATGTCGCACAAATTCAGTCTAGTTGTCTAAGAGTACTTGGCCCGGAATAGGTAGGATACAAACAAAATTCTCAGTCAGTACTAGCACGTAGTTACTCTTTCACTCAAATAATACAATTGTATTTCAAAGCTTCACACCACCGTCCATCTCCATTTCTGCTGGCATGGATAGTCTCAATCATTCAATTACATGCATTCATATCAGTTCAGTGTCTTCCATGACAAATCATGATTCACGCCATGAAGCTCATCCGACTATCCACCGGATGAACCCATCCTTGAGCGAATCATACAGCAAAGTGCATAGGTAAACTGGAAGTCTGCAACACACTTTTTAGACCATGAATCCTTTAAACTTGAAAGACAACTATGGATCAAGGTTATTTATCCCCCTCTGAGTCAACACTTCCGACGAAGACTGGACTAGAGCCATTAAGAAGCTCGACCAACCAACCCTGTTTAACTGATCCGGCATCTTCCAAGTAAGCGAGACTGTCACAGTCCGGGAAAGGTCATATCCACAGGATCTAAGAAGATTACCGAAATTTCATTTTTGCTTACCTTGGTACTAGGTAAAGGCATCGAAAGCCACGATTCCGGCATATACAACAGGTCGAAGGCCATGGTCTCTGCGTAGGTGGTCCCGCTCTTCGCTTCAAGTACTGTCCTCCAACTGTTCAATGATCGCTATATGCGGTCGATCTTAACTAGCGTAGACCCTAGAGAGTCACCTGCTCGGCACCCTCCAATGCAATGGTTGCGTTACTCATATGAGTCGGGAGATAATGAGCAGAACCCTAAGCGCCCTCATAAAGCAAAAACCCCAGCCAAACATCTAGCACATGCACATATAACCTCAAAAAGCTTTCAGAGCTTATAATCTCTAAATGTTTACACATTAGTTTCATAGTACATAAGCACAATGTATACAATTGGTATAGAACAAGAGCTTAAGTGTTTTAAGGTCTTAAGCTTGTTATTGGTCGTGCTCTCAAACCCACCCGAGCCAAGCAAAACATTCCGACTTGACCATTTTACTGTACTATGCTTCTCTTATTCAACAACCTCTTACTCTAGATTCGACAGACCTTAATCATGCCTAATCCTCATCCTTACTACCCCCTGGATGCCAATGTTGTTGGTTATGAGCCCAACCAAAGTTCAGTTTTGGAACTTCTCACCTCCGCAGGTGGAGCCTGCACTGTTCTTCTCGGTGTGACTTTCGCGTTGGCTAGCTATGTACGACCGACACTGCGCCTGGCGGATCGAATCGCCATTCTGTGGTTTGTGCTCTGTAAGACACCCTCGAAAATCTTCATGTTCGAATGCTGACAATAGTGGGTAGCCGGCAGTCTGCACTGTCTCTTCGAGGGATATTTCATGATCCACCATAACCACATGGCATCTGCCCAAGACCTCTTCGGGCAACTATGGAAAGAATATGCACTATCGGATTCCCGATACATGACCTCAGATACATTGGTGCTATGTATGGAGACCATGACCGTGGTGAGTCCCACAATGTACCCACCGGATACCCTGGGTATAGGTATAAGCCCAAAGATTCACCGCTGATTTCCTTAGCTTCTGTGGGGACCACTCTGCTTCGTTGTTGCATACTTGACCGCAACCAGGCATTCCCTGCGCCATCCAATCCAAATGATTGTGTGCATGAGCCATCTTTATGGCGACACGCTGTACTATGCGACTAGTCTGTTTGACGAGTATGTCCACGGACGCCCGTATTCCCGACCGGAGCCGTACTATTTCTGGCTGTACTATTTCTTCATGAATTTTATCTGGATTGTTGTTCCAGCCTGTATGTGAAATCCCCGTTTTGGCCGTTGAATGTGAAGAGAGGCTGACATGCTGACCGGTAATAAGATTACCTGTATAAAAGCATCACGACGATTTCAGCTGCATTGAAGCGCCAGGAACATCCCGAAAAGAAGACTCACTAGTACCACTTCCGTCATAGCCGTAGTGGAGCGTTGGGCCAGAAATTAAAAATTAATTTGTTCGTCGCCTTGGTCGGGATTGAGATTAATAGCGAGAGATTGGGTATTTTGTATTAGGGTTAGGAGACTGGGGAGATCCAACGGCGCGACAAGTAGTATATAGATAGTATACGATCAAAAGGTCTAGCTAATTGACATGAGGCTACAAATGACTATTTCGGGTTCAAACAATCTATCATCCTGCAGAGCTCCAGACCTATGACGCTGATATGCACAAGGACCACCTGACGCGCAATCCGGCAATAATAACTGCCCTGATCCCAGATTTCATTTCGCAGATCTCCTTATGATCAAAGGGCTCACCCGATCGAATCACAAGCATAATATACATCAGCTGCGCCTCTGCATGGAATAAAAGATAGAGCTATATTATTGACTGTGTAGTGGTGTCTAGGCCTAGGCATTACATTAGGATTGGTGAGTCGTCGATCGGCATACAGCCTGGTCTCCCGGCAACCGCTTAGTGCGGGCGAGGGGCTTATCGAAATCCAGGACACTTGACGCATTGTTTATGATCCCTGAAACATTTTTTTGATCTATGCGATCATCAAATAAATGCCCGAATATTGTTAGGTGACTGCGGGACAGGTGTTGGTGAGTGACGTCGAAATTTCCTTACAATAAACAATATTGTACTCTTAGAACTGTCAACAAATCGAGTTTCGAGTACCTGCTGGGACAACAAAACTCGAAAACCCTCCAACTAAACAATGTTTCTATCCTAGATATACCGATGCCATCTCCTGCGACCCCACGTTCCTCCAACCGCGGAGCAACCGCGAAGTCGACCCCGAAGCTGGACATCGGAGAGCCGCTCGGGGCACACGACACAAACACGGTTCGCTCCATAGTGCGGAAATGGCAACAACAAGGCGGCGGTGTGGTGACCATCGATGATCCTTATGCCGATGATGACGACGAAAATAATGCGAAACCAAACCCAAAGCCGATCAAAGCCAAGGCAGAGAAGCTGGAAACCAAAGAGACCAAACCTCCGCAGGTGAGAAAGCGCAGCCACAGCACACCCCGAAAACGCGTGGTGAGCGATGAGCATTGGAAACGAACGCGGAATCGAGCCTCAACCCAATCCGCCTCGCGCAACTTGCCCGCCCCCAAACGCATCTCTGTATACACCATTAACGAACGACAAACGCGATCGTCGCGGGGAAGGGGTGACGATAGCGAGGATGAATCGGAGAAAGGTCGTGATTTGCCTCGATCCCACGCGAAAAGAGGGGCTGGTCCCAGATCTCCTGTTCGAGAGTCCAGATCTGCTCGAAGGTATAACGACACAATCACCGAGAGCGACTATGAAACGGACAATGGGAGAACAGTGGAACCTTCAGTGATATCGGAACGGCTCAGAACGAAATCCCCTCCCCCAGAAGATGCATGGGCATCGAGCGAGGCAGACTTCTCCGAGCTGTCGAGGAGAAGAGCTCGCGGCGCACCAAAGCCGCCAAAGGGTGGTATATTCGCCCATATGATCGATGAATCGAAGAAGATATTCGCGAAACCGGAGCCTGAACAGACAAGGCCCACGCCTACGCCCACTACAGGCCGTGGGGCCAAGATTGAGGCATGGCTCTCTGATACACCCGACCCATTCATGGACGAGAGCAAGAGTGATATGCCAGCCCCTCTCGATCTTAAATCTGGGCGAGCAAGGCGATCTCAAAAGCTCGCAGATGGAGAGCCACAGACACAGTCTGAGCCGTCAATTATCAGTGAACGTCCCAAAAGCTCTGATTCTCGCCCGAAAAGCGCTGTGAGCAGGCACTCCAGAGGCAAATCATCGATTTCTTCGGCCGACAAGCCGAAGGCGCACGACCGCGAGACGGTAGAACCAAAACGCGCAGTCACAGACCGGATCCCCAAGGTATCCGTGAAGAGCAAGGAAGAGCCTCTTATTCCACAGAGGCCATATGAAGATAGTCTCGCGCCCTCGGAATCCGAATTACAGCCGTTCTCCGACACCGGCTCCGAGGTTTCCAACAATAATGCACCCGTACCCCTTGGTCTCAAGAGGCCATTCCCGGCCACGGGCTATCATCGACTATCAACAATTGCCTCTGCAGAAACATTAAGCACCACACTCTCAGACACGACTGAGCCCATGCAAAAATCTGCGCACACCGACAAACACAAATCAGCTCTGGTGGAGGAGGCCGAAGAAGCCGAAGAAGCAGAAAAAGAAGATCAGTTCGATCCTGACTCTCTTCCCGTGGTTTCTTCACAACTCAAGAGACGATTGACAACCCACAATGATCTTATGTCGGTGCTATCAGTATCGGCTTCCCGAAGCAGAAGCATACGGTCTAACCGGAGTATTCGGACCAACAAGAGCCGCCTTGCTCACGCAACAGTCGAAGATCTGCTCTATGAGCTATCAAGCGATGAATCAAAGTATATGCGCGAGTTGAAGACACTGGTCGGGGGTGTGATCCCAGTTCTTTTGACTTGCGTGCTCTCCCGCTCTGATTCGGCCATTGCAGCAGGCCTGTTCCGGCCCTCTCTAGATCCTCAGGATGATGTGAACTTCTCAAAGCCAATTGTCAACATGGGAGTGGCCATTGAGCGCCTGAAGAATCTGCACAAACGGATTCCACAGGATAACGCGGATGCGTTACTTACTTGGGCCCAAGGTGCTCAAAGAGTGTATCGCGAGTACCTCAAGGCATGGAGACTCGGATTCAAGGACGTGATTGTTAACCTAGCTCCTCTCGAAGAAGATGACCAGATCAATGCCGACACAAAGAGTCTGGATGAGGGTTTGGAGCGGGATGAAAATGGTGACATTGTCGACGCAGACGGAGGGAAGGTAGATGTCGCCTATCTACTCAAGCGGCCGCTGGTTCGGCTCAAGTATTTGGCAAAGAGCTTCAAGGGAATCAATATGCTACAGCCGTCCGCAAAAGCGGAGGAAACTGCTGCCGCCTATCAGAATCTGGTCATCGATGCCCGGAAACGTGTCCGGGACGAGAGAGCTAGATTGGAAGATGATTCGGCTGCTAGTATTGACCCAACCCGCACGAGAGACCCGATGACCTTAGGCGTTCTCCACGGAATCGCCATCGACCAGACTCGCCGAGTCCGTGCCCGCGATTTCTTCAACTTGTCATTATACCACTCAAGTGGACAGCTTGTGGATTGCCGTGCTGAGTTGTTGTACCGAGACAACACCTCGAGCAAAGGCCCAGGAGGTGATCTCCTCATTTGCGAGATTGACCACGCCGATCGCTGGCTTCTCTTCCCTCCGATGGACCTTCGATGCGTTTCGGCTCGTAGAGGTGAATCCAAGAATGAGATCGTTATGATGCTGCGCAGCGCTCCTGACGATCCTACCAAATACTGGCAAGAGTTGATCTCTCTCCGCATTGACGAAGAGGAAGTTGGAACCGAATGGATTTCACTGCTGGGATCAGATCCTATCCCGCCATCGATTTGTCGAAGCCAAAGCTTCATCAGCCGGGCCAAGCAGAACCGGGCTCGTAAGCCCACTACCGATGGCTCCCCGCCCAGACCAAACCCAAGCGACGTTGATGTTCCCATCGGCGAGAAGGTCCGCAGACGACGCTCGTCGGCGGCAAAGGAACTCTTCTCTGAGCCAAGTACAGTCAGCTCTGCTACCGACCCAAGGAGCTCGCTGTACTCAATCAACACTCGTGAGACTGAATATACTACCGGGGGGTCTGAGTTGTCTGGGAAAGCTGTCCGCCCTGATCTACCTCTTCTTCCCTCAACGGACGCTCGGAACTCGCCATCTAGCCCAGAGAAGACTCCTACGGGATTGAAGCGGTCAAAGGCCAAGCGATTCTCACGATATGGGGACACACCAAGTGAACCTGCCTCTCCGCAAACTGCCGCGTCTGAGAAATCACCCGAAAAAGCGCCTGAAGAGATCGCTACTGCATTCCCACAGCCCAGTACACCAACAGGTGGCAGATATTATGGAGGCGAGAAAGACGAGTCATCAAGCAAAGCGTCCCCAAGAGAAAAGTCGCGCTCAAGGATACCCCAACCGCAAAAGACACCTGTTAGGGAACCCGAGCCGGAATCTCCCAGGGTCTCATCTGTGCCATCAGCTACCCTTCCGTTGATCCCCAAGATCCGGACCCCAAGCAGCCAAACTCACTTGTCTACTCCAACAGAACTCGGCCCTGACGAAGAGGAAGACTATCCTCCCCTTGAATCCTTGCCCAAGCAAGAAGAAGTTCCGGAAACACCGACGAGAACGAGAAGAAAGAAATCTCGCAGACGTCCCAAGGATGATGACAGCCCTCCCCCTCCTCCACCTCATCGGTCACCTAGCCCTGCCAACAATAAGCGCTCCAGCGCCCCAATTCTCACCTCTAGCCTTGGCGGACTGAAGAGACGTGGTTCTTCGCCACTGAAGCACGAATATGAGCCGTCAACGGCTTCAGATTACTCTGAAACCGACTCGGATGCGTCGACCGTGCGCCACTATTCTTACTCCTCATCCGAGTATTCAAGATCTGCTAGCTTTTCTGATTCTGAGGATGACTATTCTTCCGTGTCCGAAGACGATGATGACTATAACGAGACCCCCAAGCCAAGAATACCCGATGTAGCCACCGAAGCCAGCTCTCTCTCACCTTCTAACTCTGCATCCCAGAGTGGCTACCGTGCTGTGCCTTTGCAGCCCACCAAAACTACCAAAGCAATTGCATCCGTCTTTGCCTGGTCCGACAAAGGCAGCTGGGAAACTTTGGTTCCAGACGAGTGCAGTATCGTTGTCAGTCCTGGCCTGATCGAGGCTTTTGCACTGGGAACCGAGCCTAACGCCAATTCGGACTCGAAATCATCAAGACCACTCATCTCTCTCGAGCTCACACCCCTTGTTCCTATTCGCCGTGGAACCGCCATCGATATTAGCATTCGCTCCCCACCAACCGAGAGATCCAAGATAACCTCCAGCAACAACATCATGTTCCGATCACGCAACCCAGATGAGTGCGATTCTCTCTACGGCCTAATCAACCAATCGCGAATCAACAACCCAACATACATCGCCCTTCAGAACGCCCGCGGCCCCTATAACGACAACGCACCAACCTTCGAACCCGCCACAAAGCCCGGCGGTATATTCGGCTGGCCCCGCCGGCGCAAGAGCTACCGCGCGTCCAGCTCCCCACGCTCCCTGGCTGAAGGCTCTGAAAGCAGCGTGGGGACAATGAGCAGCGCCTTCTCAGCCCTCAAACGCTTCGGCACCGCAAACAAAATGTTCAACATCTCCCGCTCAACGATCGAATCCCGCCGCGAAGGATCAATCTACTCATCCGACTCTAACAACCCAAACACCGGCATCGGCCGCATAGCAGCAGCAATCAAAGGCGCCGACGGAATCGGTCTCTCTAATGCCAAGATCCGCCTCTACGCCCGCGAATCAGCGTCCAAATGGCGCGATCTCGGCGCCGCTCGCATGACCATCATGCCCGCGCCACCGAAGAACCCATCCCGTCCCAGCACTAGCAGGAGCGACTCAAGTATTCAACCTGATGATCCTTCGCCCCCTGCTTCTGGGGCTGCGTCTCCGCGCCGTGCAATGGAGGCCGAGAAGAGAATTGTTATTCGAGGCAAGACGCGCGGGGAGACACTGCTGGATGTTTGTCTTGGGGAGAATGCGTTCGAGCGCATTGCTCGTACCGGTATTGCGGTTTCTATTCGGGAGGAGGATGACGATGCCGCTGTTGCGCAGAAGGGTGGTGTTGCTACGGGGTCTGGCAAGATCTTTATGATTCAGATGAAGAGTGAGGCTGAGGCCGCTTATACCTTTGGACTGGTTGGGAAGTTGAGGTATTGATTTGTGAAATGATGTCGAATCATGGAAGACTGGTATCGGGTTTGGGTTTGGGTTGGGGCTTTGGATTCGGTGTATGTGGATATGGTATGAAATCACGGATATGGACATAGGTATGGGTGCATTGTTGGCTTTCTATCTTTCTACTTTTATTTTCTCCTTCTTTTTAAATATCGTCTGCCTGCGGCTTTTCTTTTGTATAGATGCTGTGGGAATAATATCCTGGCACTGAATAATTGATCATATTGTTACTTATTTACATCTTCATGTTGTAGTTCGGTCTGTGAAGTGCCGTTTTGTAACCTCCTCGCCCTCTTGCCCCGACATAAAAGACCCGCCCTCCCCCTTCTGACCCAATCGTCTTTACTTGTGACGAGACCTGCATGCACTCAGCGCTGAAACCTACATTAAGTGGGGGAAACATATCTCTCACCCAATAATGAGACATGTTTCGACGTGATTGTACGGTCTAACCAATAGGAGTCACAGGTAAATACGATCTGGTTCGAGGCGGTGTTCAATACTTGGCCGGATCATCAGGATGCGCCGTGTCCTTCGACCGCACCGGGCTCATCAAAAGCGAATACTCAAACCTTCGATCGACGAACCTCAGGAGCTCGGGATTGACATTGTTTGTGTTGAGCCCCATTTGATATTCCCCTCCGTCAGTAGGCGGAGGTCGAAGGGGCCACCAATAGCATCTATCGTACACAACATCAGTCTTCGATAGAATGGAGAAGAAATCGCTTGACTTACACGCAGCCGCAGTTATCGCAGAAGTTAAAAGACAGGCCTCGATCGCCCCAGACATACTGCTTGGTCACTGCATTCGGCTTCGTCTCGATCTTTACTTCGTCGGGATGGTAGTAGCCCCAAGCGGCGCCGTAGCGTCTACAAATCGTGCATTGGCATACGTTGACGAACTCGGGAAGTCGGGGAACTGTGACTGTGATGGCGCCGCAGTGGCAGCTGGAGCGAATCGAGGTGTCTGTCGCCGCCATGTTGTCTCGTAATGTTCAAGCTAGAGTATGTCAGATGGAGTCTGGCAGTGTGTGAACGTCGGCTAGTTCTTATTGATTTAAGCCCAATCTTTTTTCCAAACGTTTTCCAAACGGCCGATCGAGTGACAAGGAAGTTTTGGGAAGATCAGGTTTATGTATGATTTGTCTGTCAAATCAACACACTTGATTAACGCCATTGGCCTTAGCGCAAGGCAGCCACAAGGCCGAGCGACTACCGGCCTTGGACACCGTATGCAAAGGGCGCGTCGAGGGCGCGTGTACCTCGCGAATATCTAGGTCCATGTATTCTAGTTATAATTTTTTATATACCAACCTCGTGCCCTACATGCTATATATAGCTTCACAGGCAGAGCACGGTTCATGATGGTGATGGGTACAATGAGTTATATGTCTTTCTATTCAATCACGTATTTTATGTCTTACAGTCCAAGTGAATCTATCTAACACCAAACCCCGAGACCGAAGCCAGCCAAGGCCTATCCATATATCTCTAACTTCCCATCTCCGCACCATTGGTCTTCTTAAATACATACCCTATCATGTTACATTCATCTTTGAGCATAGAAAGCAGCACATCGTCATCGATAGCAGCTTCAAGCTCCTCGTCCTCGCCACCCCCAGCTTCAGGGTTCAGCAGGGCAGGGTCAATATGTGCATACTGAGCCAAAGACTGATGCATCTTATCTTTCTGGGTCTTATCCGTGTCCTGCTTGCCTTTCTTCCCCTTCATCTTAGCACGAAGCGTGCCGTCCCGGATCTCGCGCTCTTGTTTCTCCATATCAACCTCCGACGCACGAAGAAGAGCCTGAGGCTCAATCAAAGACTCGTCAGAATCCCAGTCATCCCCGGACGGAGGATCCGACAAATCGTCTTCAGAGCCAGCAGCTGCAGGCGTCGCAGACCCGGAAGCAAGATCAGATGTCTCAGCGACGCCTCTCCCACCACACTGGCACCCCAACAGCTCATGTGTCTGGCAAGCACGCTCCTCATCAAGACGGAACAAATCTTTCAACTCGGTAGCACTGAACTGCGCCCCGCCATTACTCTGCTGCATGACACTATCGGCAAGTCCAAGCTTGGTAACCTGTCTCTGCCAGATCCTCTCCTCGAGACTGCCTTTCAGCAGCACGCGATATATGCGACAAGGCCGTTTCTGGCCATCGCGGTGAATGCGCGCCATGGCTTGGATATCTGTAGCGGGATTCCAGTCGACGTCAAAAAGAATGAGTCTGCTTGCGCCGATCAAGTTGAGGCCTGTTCCTCCTGCTTTGGCGGAGAGGAGGAAGGCGAAGCACTGCGATGCGGGGAGTCGGTTGAAGTCGTCGACTAGGCCTTGGCGCTTTTGGGCTGGGGTGCTGCCATCTAGACGGAGGTAGGGGAGACCTAGGGAAGAGAGGAGGGTTTGGAGCAATGTGAGGGTTGAAGTGTAGTTTGAGACGAGGACCACTTTCTCATCTGTTTTGTTGCGCATTGTGTCCAGGAGCTGGTCGAGAACACGGATCTTGGCGCTTGACGAAGGAGAAAGACGGCGGTGGAGGGATTGAGGGATTGAGGAGAGGAGAGAGGCCATCGTTTCGTTTGGCGAGTTGTCGTTGTTTTTGGCAGATAAAAGAGATGGACTGTTGCTGAGCTTTTTGAGGATTGTTATTAATTGTAGGGCACTTTCAGTGTTGCCCATTGCATATTGGAAGACTGGAGATGCGAGAACAGCTTTGTAGATGTTTGCTTGCGGGCGGGTTGGTTTGCAGAATAGCACGTATTCTGATTTCGGGGGGAGGTATTTGGCTAGGATGTCTGCTGTTCGACGGAGCATAAATTTCGAGGTGAGTTCTCGGAGCTCTTCAGCTCGAGACTCGCCTTTCTTGATGTCCTTGCTTGTTGCTTCGGGTTGTCTGCTGCGAACAATTGGGGTCTCGAATTCCCGGATGAATGATTTGAAATTGCCCAGAATTCCTGGATTGACGAGATCCACGGCTGCAAAGAACTCCTTCAAATCATTCTGAATAGGCGTTCCCGAAAGAATGACTCTCTTAGTCGCACTGAGAGACTGAATCGCCTGACCACTCTTGTTCTGCAAAGTCTTGAGTCTGTGACCTTCATCCGCAACGATAATATCAACACCGGAGCTGTTGGCCAAAGCCTCTGAGACGGTCCTCAGCTTCTCATAACCAACGATCATGATACTGTAAGCCTTTCCCTTGGTGAAATCAGTCAAACGTTTGCTCTTGTCATCAAAAACGAAGACACCAATGCGCTCATTACCAAGCCACTTGCGGAACTCCTTCCGCCAATTATTAATAAGAGTCACAGGACAGACGATTAGAGCCTTCTTGATAACAGGTGGATCCTCGAAAATTGGATTCTGTTTGAGCAGAGTCCAAAGAAGCGTGATGGTCTGCAAAGTCTTGCCCAAGCCCATATCATCAGCAAGAATGGCACCTTCGCCGTTGAAGTCGCGCATGCCCATCACACACTCGTAGAGGAATTTGACACCTTCACGCTGATGCGGCCGCAGGTTCTTACTCAACAACGGGTCAACAACAACATCAACCACCCGTCTGCCCTTCGGCACAGACTTGGGCCGCGGCATCACCAACGCATCAGTTGCCTTAGGATCATGACGTGGAACCACTTTCCCAGGAGCTTTGGGCACAACTGTATTCTCAAGCAGTGGCTTCTTGAAAGCTACAAACGCACCCGGTGCGGTACCAGGGTTTGCAATTGGATTGGTAACCAGAGCCAATGAGCGCTTCAGAGACGCAGTTCGCTCAGCAGCAGTTGGTTTGGGTGCTTCTCCTTTCTTGCGAGCTGGTAACTCTTTCTTCGTGGGTGCTGGATCCGGTGTGGGTGCTTTTGAGTCTTGCAAGAATTTTCTGTCAGAGAAGTATTCTTTGCGGGATATCTCGGAGTCTATTTCGACTTCTTTGCCGGAGATTGAGAAGGTTGATCCAGGCTCAAGGAGGCCCTCATGCACTTTCCGTCCCATCTCCTTGCCTGCGGTGTCTCGTAGATATACATTTCCTTTCCGAACGGAGAGAATACCATCTCCATCCCATGTTTTGTGTTTTTTGGCGGTTGGTTTGCGCCTGTTTGTGTTAGCTGGGCTCGTAGGTTTGATGTCCTCGATTTTGAGGGATAGGTCGGGACCATCGTTGGAGCATACCAAAGGACATTGAAGTATCTCTCGTCAGATGTGTCGCCTTTGGATGGCCCGTCTAATTCCTGTTTGATGGTCTCTGCTCCTCGATTGCTAACTTGGAGGAGTGGTTTTCGGCTCGCTAGCGGTGTCGGTTGCGCGTCGGCTGACGGTTCATCATCGAGGCGGGGCTTTTTGGCGGGACGGCTTGGCTCATCGGTGATCTCTATTGGGTTTGATGCATTATTCCTGATCAAAGGAGACTTGAAGGGCTTGAAGACCATGGCTGTGCTGGTCTATTTCCTTTCTCAGTAAGATTGAGTGATGTCGGGTACGCGATTTGGCGCGGGACGCGTGATCACGTGTCAATCTCATAGATCGTTTACTGCGAGGACTTTCACGGTCTAGAACTAGAGACTGATTGATAAAAATCATGATAAAAGTTGTTATTTAAGCATTTGATCTACTTGATGGATCTTGGCGAAGTGTATGTAGATAATGGAGTGAAAGTGGTATAATTCATATAGGAAAATTATGCTTTTGAGCAGATATGCAAAGGGTCGTAAAACCCAAACACAATTAGAAATGTACAAGAGGGTGTATATAATGTAAATGTCGTATAAAGGAGCATCCGATAATCATGGACAGATCATAGCGAAGAAAAAAAACCATGCCAAATGCAAGTCATCTCAGTCCAAACACAGAACTACTGCGCATCCTCAGCCAAAGCCTTGTCAGTCAAGGGGACGTGCTTCGGGCCTTCGTAAGAGCCCTGGTGGATAAACCACCAGACGGTGACAAAGATGGACAGACCACCGGTCATCAAACTGGCGTAGTTCATCGTCCCGGCCGAAACAGGCAAGTAGTAAGGGAAGCAGAAGATGATAGCAAAGGCGATGATGTAGATGCAAGACAGAGAGTTGACAATATATCCGACCGTATTGTTCATGAAGAACCACCCGGGGACGAAGGAGGAACGACGGGTCAAGATGTGTGGGAAGATGGCCATGAAGTAGGACAGACTGGACAGCTGAACGAAACATCCGACAAAGGCACTGAAAGCGGTTGTTGAACCGAGGTAAATGCAAGCCAAGACGGTATTGCAGGCACCACATACAAGGGTGGCGTTAAATGGATTCTGGTATTTGGGGCTGATCTTTCCGAGCCAGCCGGCGAATGGGGTGGCGCGGTCACGGGAGATTGTCCAGAGTGTGCGACCGGCGGTGATATAGCAGCCAGTGGCAGTGATTAGAGTGGGGAAGAAAGCGACAAGCAATAGACCAAGGGAACCGCCGCGGGAGCCAGTAGCCTGACGATAGATCTCGGCCAAAGGGAAAAGATTAAGCTCAGACACTGCACTAGACACTGCGGCAACATCATTGATAGCATAGAAGATGGCAACCATGTAACAGATACCGGTGACGAAACCAACACCCATCTGTGCAAGGACAGCCTTGGGGATGTTACGACTGGGTCTGTAGGTTCAGTTAGCATTAGAACAGGGGATATAAATGGAAGGGCACTGACTTGGGGATCTCCTCAGCCAGGTGAGACGAGCAGTCAGGAGTGCCGACACTGTAAGCACCGTTAAGCATACCGGCGACGAACACAAAGCCGGTTTGAGTGTATCCGGTTTGGTTGTCGAAGGTAGCCCAGATTTGCTTATTGCTGGCATAACCCGTTCCATTGACGGAAGGCATCACGGCACACACAACGATGGTGATGAAGACGCCAGCGAGAATGAAGAACATGCCGAGGTTTCCGATGTAAGGCAAGAAGCGGTTCATGAAGCAAACGATCAAACAGCAAGTCCAGGTGCAGAGGAGCATGCTGAGGAAAATGTTCCAGGTGGAAGGAATAAAGCCAGGATGCATCAAAGCATACATAGATACAGTCTGTTGGCCGAGGATAAAAGACATCGATGCGGCACCGAGAATCCATGCCAAACAATTCCACCATCCAGCGTAGAAACCACACACGCGACCGTACTTGGGTCCCGCGGTGATACTTGCCCAGTGGTAGACACCACTAGCGGAGGGCATTCCGGAGGCCAGTTCGGCCAGTGATGCGGCCACCAGCCAGTAGCAGAAAGATACTGCGATACTGTGTCATAGTTAGCTATTCTGTATATCAATAATCGGCAAGGGGCTCAATACAATTCATAGAGAGTTCCAGTAAGGCCACCGTTAGCCAAGGCAGTAACCACACTTCCACCTTGGGCGATCCAGGTGTTTCCAGTAGTCACCGCGACAGCACAAATACTGATAAGGCTGAAGTTCCGCTCAAGTTCCTGACGATGGCCTGAGGCGTTGATCACCTCTCCATCCAACGGGCCATCGGCGGCATGATCCTGCGAGGGCGCCACCTCCTTCTCGGGGGCATAGTAGCCAGTCGACTTCTCAGGTATTTCGGTCGACATGATTCACTTTAGAGATTTGTTCTTTTTTGTTGTCCTCCACGATATGGCAATATCACAACGTCCCTTATTCCGACAAACTAACACAAGAGTTGTAGTTGACAGCTGACAATACACCGAGGGGCTGGATTCCGGAGGATCTCGAATCTCCTTCCCAGGCGTAATCAAGGAATGGAATGGGAATTCTGAAGTCGGGAAGAGAAAAAGAACACGGCAAGCCTATATTACTTATGTTCATGGACCGAATGTATCGGCTTGTTCAGGAGAGTCCCACCTCCCTAATTCCTCAATCTACAACCAATCACCTTTACCCCCGAACATCATTCAGTGGCCAACTCAAGCCAAGTGGAACCGCCCCAAAGTTGCAATTGGGCGGAATCGGAGGCGAGTAACCCATTCAAGACCAGAGAACGGAAACTCTGATTTAACGCGGAGTTGCTTGCATTCGCGCCTTACCTAGAAGGGGAGCTTGAGCAGAAAGAATTTTCCCATTCTAGAGTCTACCCCCTAGCACCTTGGTTTCAACAACCTCATCTCTCCATCCTACCTTTTACGGCCTCGGGAGATTGACAAACCTCTGGGGCTTTCTGATTCCTGGGGTAGTGCTTATCATGCGCATTTCCATGATCCATATTCACCCCAGAGTCCCATACCTAACACCCGTCCGCGATCTATGGGTTCTACTTTAAATAGATGTCCACTGGGAACTTGTATGCAATGCATTAATATAATAGTGCATACACGTAAAACATCTTCGAAACTTCTCGGAAATATTTGCATTCCCACATGTCATCCACCTGGTCAATTAGTACACACTAACCATCTATATTCTGAGAAACAAGAGAAACAAGTGAGACACTAACAAACAAAGAATATTCGAGTCACTAGTTGTAACCCTGGTAAACTAAAGGTGGACTTCTCAGGGAGAATTCTCTACTGGCCCCGACAGGCATATGGTCGCACCATGAGATTCCACCTTCCTAATACTAACGATCCAAGTAACAATTCGTACTAAAAGTGGGAACAATAATATACATTTGGTAGACTAATGCGACCGGAGGGTACGTAGTACGACAGCATATAGGCATGGGGGCGGTTTTAGGTAGTAGCGTCGCCACATAAGGACTGAAGGGAAGTCACAATGTAAGGATCATACGAAGAATTTTCGAGATTTCATCAATGAGAAACAATCGAGACTCCCAAAGATCTCTTAGCCTTAAAGCCAGGGTTACTCTCGGATATATGCTATATACATAGTTAGTCCAGCTGAATGTGGATAATCCTTTGGATATTTTAGCCTCAGATCTTAGGATCTAGACTGAAACTTATGATTTTCATCTTAAAATACATTAAGTAATAAGTAGAAATAGATGAAAAGAAATAATCAACCTATAGTGTCGTAAGAGCTAAAAAGGGCTAAGAAGGGCTGTGACGAAACTAACAAAGTTTGAATGTCCAAAGGATCACTAAAAGATCACTAAAGGACCACCCGGTTCGGTGATGCCGCCACCCAATAGACATGAAGAGTGGTGAAGTGAGCAGTGATTGTATCATTGGATACCTCAAAATTAGAGATCGGAGCTCAATTTGCAGTTCATGCAAAGTGTACAACGCACATAGATTGTTGTATACGTGTACAATGTTGTTCCCCCGACTCTCACCTCCGCCAATTCTCCATAAAAATTAACGGAGCCCCTACGTACGAAGTAAAGATCCCCCAAGAATTCCACTTTCAAAATCCCTCAAAAAGACAAGACCTGGACCAACCAGCGGCCGATGTCGTCAGTCTCCACTTTATGCGCTTGTCATTAGTGGCAAACTCTGTCTTGCATCTTGGAGTTGATATTTTAGGCATATTTTACCTTAGAGCCAAGACTAAGTGGTACGGAGGATGACCGCAAATTCGCAAGGGGAATATGATATGATATTATCAGAATATGCCCCTATAATTCCAGATATCAGATGATATTATGGACTGTTAAAACAACACATTAGAAGCCAGTCTTTGACAAATCTCCACTGTGGGCCTTGCCTCCCGATCCTCAGATAGAAAGAGCTATGCCTATCTTCCAACTTGAGTGCCTCCTTGAACATTGAGTTTCAAGTTCGCCTAAGCGGCTATGATAGTTTATGTTTAGAGTCAACCTGCATCGCTCTTTTGCCTAGTATAGTAGGTAGGTAAAAATAATAAGTTCTTAGTTAACACGCCAAGTCGTCTGGTAAACTCTCATTCCCGGTGCTCTGTACTTCTTTAGGAGAAGACCGGTACCTAAATTTGCCCAGCTGAACCTACTCGGGAAAGGATACTCCGGAGTTGGAAGGCGTTCATCGAAAAGGCAAATAGTAGTAAGGTGGATCGTTCATCTGCAAAAATGCTGCCAGGTACAAATCAAAATACAGCAATCAATCAATTTCCCAACCAATTCCGATCCAAGGAACCGAGGGCCCAATGGCCATGGAACCATCTTCCCCAAAGTTAATGGGTGCTCTGTCATCGGAGGTCCTATCTCTCTGTCCATGATAAGCCTTTATCCTCCACAATCCTTCACCTTGCGTTGGACGCTCCAATAGTGCACATATCACGCTTTTCGGGCTTACATACCCTTGTCGTGATCTTCGATGCAGGGCCTATCGGAATCCTTATACGTAGTACCTCAGATCCCCGGCTAAATCTATAAAATGTGAGTGCGCCTCATAACTCTCATTCTTTCGCCTTTGGAACCCCTCCCCCTTGTTAACCTCCACTCTATCAGGTTCAAGCGGGCTGCAATGTCTGGTTTAGGAGGCGACTTCGCTGCCCAATTTTCCCGTGAAACATGGGCTCTATACGCTGTCGGCGTACTGGGCGCCGTTTTGCGATTGTGAGTACATATGAATGGAGCAACATTCAAAGGCCTATCACTAATCGAACTACTTCAACAGCACGGCCCGTATTCGACGCCTTGGAATCCGGAATCTTCAATCCGATGATTATCTCATGTTTTTTGCGGTGATCTGGTATACACTGTTATGCGTCGCTCTAAACCAGGTCGCTTCTGGTGGAGGGTCCAATCTCATGACCCCCGAGGATGAAGAGAACTTGACCCCCAAAACTTACAACGAGCGAGTCAGGGGCAGCAAATGGGTCTTTGTGTCAGAACATTCATTCGTTCTCTGTATCTGGGCTCTGAAAGCATGCATGCTAGTGATCTATGCCCGCATCACGTATGTCGAACTTGAACTCATGATATTGCTTGATCAACCACTAACACCATTGCTAGCGAGGGACTCAAGCAGAGACGCTGGATTAACTATATTGCCATTTACGTTGCTCTTGGCTTTGTCGCAACAGAGCTATCACTTTTCCTCATCTGTCGCCCATTGACAAACTATTGGGCTGTCCCAACACCAAACACTCAATGCTCGTCTTACCAGTACTACGAAATCGTTCAAGGCTGCATCTCCATATCCGCCGATATCTTCATGCTTCTCATCGCCATCCCACTCCTAGTGCAAGTCCGTGTCCCGCTCAAGCAAAAGATGATCCTGCTACTGCTCTTCGGCATGGGAATCTTCGTCATTGTTGCCGCTGTCCTGAACAAGGTGTACTGTCTCGTCCCTTCCTTGATTTCCTACGTGTACATGAACTGGTACTTCCGCGAAGCAACCGTCGCAATCCTGGTTACCAACCTTCCACTCATCTGGTCTCTACTCCGCGATGTCTTCCCCGCCCTCAAGAGCTGGACCGGCGGCTCCAAGCGCGGAACCGACCGCTACAAGTCCGGTCCCTGGACCAGCAAAGGTGGCTCCAATCTCCCGCCTTACGGCCCATCCAGCCATCTGCGCTCAGGCGACTTCAGCATGCAGGACTTCCAGCGCTCCGCCACCATTACCCCGCAGAAGGCGACGGTATCGGATGTCAGCCTGCCGCCCAGCGAAGAACGCGCTCCCAGCAGCGACGATGGATCCGCGCGCGCCCTCCGCATTCGCCAAGATATCACCGTCACGGTGGAACATGATCAGCGACCAGATAACTATGAGTCGCATTCCACGCATGTTCGCCCGCGCGAGGATGTCTAAATTATACGCTATACAAGCACCAAAATTTCTTATCTGTTTTTGTTTACGAATCCACGAAGTCTCGATGGACTTGATACCCTGTCATGTTGAAAATTGTCTGTACATATTCACTTCTAGACCCTACTTTCCGTATAAGGTGTATCGGATATAACTGTACCCACTGGACGAATACCGGAGTTATTTAGACTTAAAGAGTTTTCCTTCTTTCAATATGTTCGGGCTCATATTCACGCTACTATGTACTAAAAAGATACTACAAACACTCAACCATGAATACTTCTCTCGACACATCAACAAACTCAAAGTTGAGTCTGCAACAGGCAACCCATAACCGAATCCCAGCCATGGTTACTTAGGATGCGACCCGCTGATCTCCCGCCTCCTTGAGCCCCGAGATAAAAAAGGCATTGGCTATGGAACAGGCAAGGTCCTGAATTGGCTTGGCGCGGTGGAACCGTTCCAGAGAATCTCCAACCGGTTTCTCACATCTGATTCAGCGGTGGCTGCATACACCATATGCAGGCCATTGGCGAGCCCAACACTATTGATCCTGTGTTCCTTCGACTTTTGAGCCATTTACAATTTCGGGAAATGACCTATGTTACAGCTTGAGTAGCCTTAATCTTAAATTATCATTATAATTAAAGCCAAGCATATACGGAGTACAAAGTACGTTGTATGTACTAAGTTTCAACAACTACCCCAGAGCACCAGTGCCCGAAATCGGCGATCTTGAATTTACCAAACTACAGAGAAATTGCAAGAAAAATAAAAGGTTAAGCTGAAAAATCCACCAAGGTCCTGACTCCACCCTTTGGATTTACATATCAACCATGGAACACTTAGTGAAGCTGTCAATCGATATCCAGCCATCCACGGATACTCGACCGACATTTCGTACTTGTACCATGGATATATTTTGTGTGGATTTGGGGACGGCTGGATTTTTGATCTGCGTGGAGAAACACTTGACGTGATGATGTGGAAATTAATTAATTGAGAGAGATATTATCAATTTCCTTCGGTCATATCTTATGATTCGGCATATCCGACGTTCATCTAGAACATTGAATAATATACGGAATACTCCGTACCCCATAGTTAATCATATGTTGTTTATTGCAATTTGCTGTTTATTTGAAAGTTGTAAAGCAAATTAAAAATAGTAATAGAAAATTAGGACATTAAGACATTAAGACATTATACGTAGCGCAATGCGCTAAATCAGAGTTTGAATATATTGTAGGCATTCGGTACCGAGCTTCCAGAATATTGTAATCGAGTCCATCAGGAACATCCCAATCCTACCTAGGTAAATCTGTAGAAGCCCATGTGTTTTTGTTCTTTCTCATTTTTGCGACGCATCGGTATTCTCGGATAGGGCAGAACGACGATCCTCCAATTCCAGTCATCACTCTCTACGGGTGATCCTCGGCTTTCCAAATGACCAAAAAATGAATCACTGCTTTATGCATTGCACATTAGTTACTTGTATCAAGTGTACATCATTGTAAGCATCTACTCCGTACATAAAGCCCGATAAAGTGGATCCTCAAGCCACTGATTCAGTGTACCTGACCGCAAACGCTTTGTTCATCCTTTCCCGATAAGGAGGGTGGTATGGTCTCTTGGATCTTGCGCTTCAATAATAATTGTCAGTCCAACTCTACTGTACAATTTCTCTCGCCTCGGCCGAAGAGACGATCCTTCCCCCCACCGCCAACTCCGACCTTGGGGGCTCCTCGATCGCAATGATACCCGTGCACTCGGTCCTTACTATACCCACCAACGCATTCGCTCGGACCTATGCTTGTCTCTGCCCGGAATGACTTCCCGAGTACGAGATTCCTCTAGTCCGGCTTCATTCCACGGCAGGAGTCCGATGAAACCCCTTATGTAGGGTCAAAGGATTCAGGTACCAAAGCCCTGCAATTCGGGCATGTTTTCTTTTTTGGGAGTTCGGTGGCTTTGTTTAGATTTAGCTTCATGTGGCCTTGAGACAAGGCTGGAATTTGAGTTGGCTTAGGTACATTCTGCATGCGTGTCGGCAGGGGATTCTGGATTTCTGAATTTTATGACTTGCAGCCTGCAGACTAGCTGGTTGAGAGAGCCGGGTTCGCCGCTCTAGCTGTATCTCGTAGGTGCGCCGGCCGCCACGAGGCAGCCGCATGAGTATAATATATTGTGGTAGACTCGGCATGCTCTTTAATTTGCTGTTGCAGTCAAGGTAAGACATTCGAGAAGCCCTTTTCTTCATGCACCTCAATTAGGTAGGTTGTATCGTGTCAAGCGACCGGTAGTGGAAAACCAAGATGTGCGTCACTTGTCAATAACACGTGCATTGAAAACATCCCTCAAAGATGATACCAGAATGCATTCATTTTAGCTGTCTTGTTGTTGCAACCAAAATTACATACACCCTAATGTGTGACCCAACAACAGAAGATGTACCACTCAACAACTTTATGTTCATGGGCAATGCTGACACGCTCAAACTATTGAATCTTAATCTGGATGCCGTGCGAAGTCGAAACCCAATCTCATGTTTACGCGGCTCTGATGAAACATCCTGTTCTGCTTACATCTCGACCATAGAACAAATTAGCACTATTGAAGTTTCATTCATCTTTAATCCACAGTGTGTTGTCCAAAGCGCCGATGAGGATCGGGATCTGGCAGGCGTAGAGGTCCACCTCGGGCTTTGAACCTAATTGCTTGCTGAACTCTTTTCTGGTTCCAAGGTTACGGTAGTAAGGGAGCTGAGTTCGATTTAGAACAACATCTTTGGTCAGGGGAAAGAATGTATTCCGTAGATGTATGAATATAGTGGCGTTTAAGGGCGGAAGATAATATGCTGCGAATAGGGGTATCCCTCGGCTGTAAAAACCCCGGGGCCAGCGCCTAGATGCAAGATACTTCCCGGCGAAGGGATGATTATCGTGGTAATCGTCAATCTGTCAATATATATCGCCATGCAGGGTAAAAAATAGACTTGTTAGCATGAACACAAAAGGAGACGATTCATCAATATGAATACTATCTCCCAACCATATCGAGAGATACAGGTAGTATTTATCTCTCTCTGAAGACTAGAACCGTCTATTCTTGACGTCTGCTCCATGATCAGCGGCCGCTGAACAAACATGACCAGTATCCAATTCTCCCCCGTTTGATAGTAGCTTACCTTTTCATAGATAGGGGCTTCATGTGAAGAGCCAGGTAATAGTAAATCAAGAGAGATGGCCACTATCGTAAAAGAATGCACCTCGTTATTCTGCCGCGGCAGTGGGGTGCGTTCCAGTCTCCCAATTACGGTGGACTGCAGATATTGATGTCATTTCAGGTGATTTCATACCTTCTTACGGAGGTTGAACGGACTCTAGTGGTCGATCCTAGAAATACCTAGTGAAGAAGAGAACGCTTCAGGCCACTTATGAGTGTGCACACCAATTACCTCCTTGAGAAATCTCACCACCTTCTTCTCACTTTTCACCCTTCACCCACGTCATCTCTCACGCCGCGCAAACATAAAAAGAGACAAAAGAGACAAAAAAAACATACAACAGTGAGGATTCGCTGGTGGTCACCCACCCAACTACTAACTCACCGGCGTGTGGCTTAAGTACGGCTGAGCGGACGGGAAGCCCTGTTTTCCACACCCTATGGTCGTATGTGCTTGGTTCTCACCTAGATGAAATCATGTAGATACCCTACCCAACAAAAATGGCAATCGTGTTGGGCTAAAGGACGAAGTCAGCTAGTTAGCCACGCTTTTCACCACCAGCCCTAGAGGTCAGCATGAGTTGGTTATGTCTACCTCTGACACTGCTATATCTTTAAGGCATCAATATGTTCGGCCATATCCTTTTCTGCAGCACTAGGTTAAAATTAGTTACATAGGAAGAAATGAAAACGAGAGCGTTGAACGGCTAGCCCTGTAACAATGCCTGGATGACGATGGTCGGTCAACTCATCTAAAATGGAATCAGTCTAATAATCATATATATAGATAGGCGTTGGCCCTGACGACGTTTTCAAAGCTGGAAGCTGCACACTTGACATCGTCTGCCCTTTCTTTCTCTCTTCCTTTCCTCACTCTTTTGACCAAAATTCCACCTGCCGATACTCACTATGGTTCTCTGACCCTGCCTCACATATCTATCCAAGGCTCGTAGCCATTTTTTTGAGATCCTCCATATCAGAACACTCGCTAGACTCCTCCCGGAGCCCTTATCATCAACATCCGACTTTCGTTCACTTGTTGATCTAACTTGCCATTCTCTTTGCAACAATAGGATCCTCGAGATTTCTATAAACTGCCTGGAAGCCCATAAAGGTAGGAATGTGGCCCGTTGATCTTTCGCCTTTTTGCGTTGAATATGGCCGATTTATCGCCATCTAAACGGACGAACCCGAGTGAGAAAGCATTGGCTGTCAATAATGATCAGAGAGGAGGAATGGATCGTAGACTAAGCGAAGAAAGAAAGATTGAACCTATATGGCGATCCCTGAAGAAGAGATGGTGGATGCCTATATAGCAAACTAGGGGTGTAAAAGGAACACATATCCAAAGGGGGTCTGAAAAGAGTAATAACAATACCTTCAACCCTATCTACGCAAAACAACTAATTCTTATCTATTCTAGTGTTGCCATAGTACTGCTTTGAGCGCTTATACTATACTTTCGGAGCCCATCATGACGAGGTCGCGGTTTATGCTGGTAGCTATATGTAGCGAACAACAAGCACAAGGAAACAATTCTTATTATGTATAAACTATTTCCAACACAGTGCTTCGACTCTCCCAGCTCGGACCAATTTAACCCATATCAACAGCAGTCATCAAAAAATGACAGAACTAATAGAATATGTTTCTACCTATGCAAGGGGGCACTCAACAATGTAACTACCATAGCTCTTGTCTCCAGCAAGACAAGTCTTGACATCAACGTCATGGCGGTTCAGGTGACAGGTAACATCATTGTACACGGCCACTGGAGATTCGTTAGCGCTTGAAATTGTATATAGAAGGCGCATAAAAAGCGACTAGGAACCAACTTACGAGTGCAGCCTTCGACGTAATTGGCCTCAAAGCTCACAGATCGGACTGTATCGCTGCCAAAAGTCTGGCACGAGTTGACCTTGTCGCCATAGACTCCGAGCTCGCCGAGGTTTAGGGCTGAGCAACCGGGTTCCCCGTAGAGACGCAGTTGGACGTAGCGAGAGTTGATGGGAGAGGCGGGGATTGCGGAAACTCCGAGAGTTAGGGTGATTGTGGAGATGAAGACAGTGCTGAAGAACATCTTGAAGGGTTTGATGATTGTTCTTGGAGATAGGTATGGTTTGGTTTGGTTTGGTGGTTTGGATGTTGGTTAGTGTGTTGGTTGCTTTGTTGTTGTTGTTGGATACAAGTCTCTGCGGGGATCAAGGTCTTCTTAAATAGCTTTGGGATGAATCGGATTCAAATCTATCTATAGTCAGAGGGATTTGAGACGGTGAGATGTTGCATCTTAGGCACATGTCATCCAACGTGGCGAACGAACAGGGCGAAGCGTGAGCATTCGTTTCTCGATACGTTGTCGATCACTGTCTGCGGGGAACGTCTGGCTCACAGCATATCACGAGATCGCAGTCTGAAAACATGTTTCACTTACTACGTTGCCTGTCTCAGCCTTTTAAACTGTGCTGACTTGATCTACCATGACACAAATATTGTGATATTACATGTACATTGAGAAAGTCACTTTTTTTGAACAGTGAATGGATGAGAGCTCTTCTTTGCACAAACATAGATATATATACCACCCTGACCCAAATAGATCAGATAAACTGATCTATACTTGCACGACTCACATAGAGTGTTCACACTGGGTGTTGATGTGCAGTCAGCTCATGGATGAACTAACTATAAGATTGTCCAAAATAGGGAATTGCTTCAGATGTAATAGCGGTCGCAGATAACTATATCAGGCAACCAATATCAGTCGATCATGCCTAAATGCTATGCTTATGTGTACATCCTGGGCTTTAAATAGAAGGGTGTACAGGACGCCTGATCGCTCCGATTTCTTGGCTTACTTCCCCGCATTTGGCAAGGCTAACGGAAGTATAGCGACAATATATAATGAGGTAGTTTTTACTTAGATCTTTTACAGGTAACAAGTGTGCATAACTACAGGATCTACGAACCGGTCTTGGTAAATGGAGATAATTGTGAAATTGTCTTTAGTTATAAAAGCACAATTGTACAAGAACAAGTATGAACAAGTATGTATTCAAACAATCTAAACATAGGTTGATTGCCATGTGTATTACAATGCAACAGGAAAAATGACATATGATTATGTAAATCAGAGTAACTGCAATAGATGATAAGCCCGGTATTCATGTGTCCACCGGGTGCAAAATTGTAAAAGAAGTAAAAAGGCAGCATTGCCAACGCCACGCGAAAAGAAAAGCTAAAAATCCAAACTCAGAAATCGTGGATCGTCTCATAATCGCTCAATATTTCATAATTTTTTTTGATTTCAAACGTGGATGACCGTTTGTGATCCTTTACTCGTCGTAAAGGTCTGGAGTGCTGACACCCTCCATCTCATCAACAAGTTCATCCTCATCCATCAGGTCATCATCACTATCACTGCTATCACCAACTTCATGGTTAGGCAGGACATCAATGCGACCCTCGCGCATGACAACACGAGCGACCTCTCCATCTTGGATACTGCCCCGGAGAATAAGAACAGCGAGACGATTGAGGACCTCGCGCTCGATAAGGCGGCCAAGGGGACGGGCACCGTAGGCGGGCGAGTATCCCGCTGAACCGAGATAGTCCTTAACTTCCTCAGTGCACTTGATGGTGACATGACGGCCATTGTGTTCGAGCCGCTTCTGTACCTCTTCGAGGCGAAGATCGACGATCTTGCGGATCTCGCGCCTCGTGAGACGGTTAAAGATGACCGTGCTGGAGATACGGTTGAGGAACTCAGGGAGGAAGTAGTCACGCAGGGCGCCCATGACAAGCTCGCGGGTTTGTGGGTCGATGCGGCCGTCTTTGGTTGTTGGGCGGGCGAGGAACTCGGCGCCAAGGTTGGAGGTCATGACGACAATGCAGTTCTTTGCATCGACGATACGGCCTTGGCCATCGGTAATGCGACCGTCGTCCATGAGTTGGAGGAGGACGGTCAGGACTTCCTTGGCAGCCTTTTCAACTTCGTCAAAGAGGAGGATGGAGAATGGGCGGCGACGGAGACTTTCAGTAAGTTGACCGCCAGCATCGTGACCGACATAGCCCGGCGGCGCACCGATCATACGGCTCAGGGAGTGTCGCTCTTGGTACTCAGACATGTCGAATCGGATCATTGCCTTGGGGTCGTCGAAGAGGAACTCGGCAAGTGCTTTGGTCAGGAGTGTCTTACCGGTACCAGAGGGACCGCAGAACAAGAAGCTAGGAGGCGAGTTGGGGTTGCTGAGACCTGACCGCTGCAGACGAATGGCATTAGAGACCGAAACCACAGCTTCCTTCTGGCCAACGACAAGGTTGCCCAGATACTTCTCCATCTTCAGCAGCTTGTCTTTTTCGGTAGTCTTGAGCCTGGTAACAGGGATACCGGTCCACCGACCGACGATCTCGTTGATTTGATCGGGTCCGACAGCATCGGCAAGCAGGGCCTCGCCCTCATCGCCAGCGTTGGCACGACGCTCGGCATCTGCCGTGGCTCGGTCCTTCTCAAGACGCTCGATTAAGGCCTTGGTCTCTGGAATGGCGTAGTATTCGAGATCAGCAGCTGTCTGGGTATCACCGGAACGTTCAGCTTCGTCACGCTTGACTTTGAGAGAGTCGAGCTTGATCTTGGCTTCCTGAACTTCACGGCTGCGCTGCTTCTCGGTCTCATACTTCTCACGCATTGGCCGAAGCTCCTCCTCGACATTTGCGGCTTCTTGTTTGGCAGCCTCAAGACGAGCCTTGGACGCATCGTCCTTTTCGCGCTCAAGTGCGTTGATTTCAATTTGGAGTTGACGGGCCTTCCGCTCAAGTGTGTCGAGAGCCTCTGGTTCGGACTCTCGAGTGACTCTGACCGCAGCTGCGGCTTCGTCAATGAGATCGACAGCAGAATCAGGGAGTCGTCGGGCTGTGAGATATCGCGATGCAAGAGTGGCGGCAGTAACAATGGCACCATCGAGAATATTGACACCGTGGTGGACTTCGTATTTTTCCTTCAGACCACGAAGAATAGAGATAGTCTCCGGGACAGAGGGCTCTTTGACCAGGACCTGCTGGAATCGTCGTTCAAAGGCCTGGTCTTTTTCAATATACTTGCGATACTCGTTGAGAGTGGTGGCACCAATGCAGTGCAGTTGACCACGAGCAAGCATAGGCTTGAGAAGGTTGGCAGCATCCATACCGCCCTCGCCGCTGGTACCAGCGCCCATGAGCAAGTGGATCTCATCGACAAAGAGAACAATGGTATCCTTGGAATCTTCGATTTCCTTCAGAACACCCTTCATACGTTCTTCGAACTCACCACGGTACTTGCTGCCCGCAACGAGGGAACCGACGTCAAGAGAGAGAAGGCGACATTGCGCCAAGTTGGCGGGAATATCGGCATTGACAATGCGGCGGGCTAGACCCTCAACAATGGTGGTCTTACCCACACCGGGCTCACCGATAAGCACAGGGTTATTCTTCGTTCGTCGACTGAGAATCCGAATGACACGACGGATTTCTTCCTCCCGGCCAATGACCGGATCGATCTTACCCTCACGAGCCAAAGAAGTCATATCAATGGTAAACTTCTTCAGATTTTCATTCTCGCCCTCCGCGTCGGCGGTCTTGGAGTCGACCCGCCGTGTGCCACGAATCTGTTGGATGGCACTGTCAATCAACTTGAGATTGGGAATGTTGGCATCGCCCAACGCGCGCTGAACCTGCGAGTCCTGGCAGACGGACTGGATCAGGTGATCGACCGCAACAAAGCTGTCCTTTTGTGTCTTTGACAAATCCGTGGCCGATTTGATGACCTTGGCGAGTTGAGGGGAGACGCTCGGGTTCTCTGGTGGAGGGTCTTGGCTTGGAAGGCGGACTAGTAGCTTCATAAGTGCTCGGTCGAGGAGTTGGTAGTCGCCATGGGCTCGCTCCACGACTTGACGGAAGAGGGGTGCGGTTGACGCATCGTGTGAGGCATGAGCACCAGATGGTGTTTGTTGATCTTGGGACTCATCTGGGAGAGGATTGAGGAGTGCGACCGCCAGATGAAGTGGCATTATTTGAGAGTGGGCATATTGCTCGCACAAGGCACTGGAATCAAGTAGGGACTTGTTGGCCCGATCAGTAAATTGGACGCCGTTCATTGTGAACGGGATAGTGGGGTGATCTCAGTAAAAGTGTAGATATTAATTGGAGGATTGGGAAAGTGGTAGTAATTGAGAACAGTGTGATATTCGAGAACTTTTCGAGAGGTTTTCAAGAGGATGAAAAATGAAAATGGGGATGATGCAGTCTGTAACACGATGATGCAAGTTCATATACTCCAGGCTCATGAGCTGCCCGAAACTGCTCCAACAGTCATGTCGTCACTACTAGCTTCCGCCGCCTTCCAGAAGATGCCTGACAGCCTGACAGCCTGATAGCCTGACAGCCTGATAGCCTGACCTTGGCCAGATCGTCCCATCACATGACCTGTCAGAGATACCAGGGTCACATGATGCTACCACGTGATGCTGACATAATATATGACATAATAGCTTTACCACCCTAGCTGAGTCATCTCGAATTAAATCACGCAATGATTCGATGTTGATTATTGGCGGATTCTACTTTGAGCTTGCGTGCCTTGCAGTGGAGCATTGAAACAATGCCCACTCTCAAATCAAGGTGAATGCGATATACCTACGTAGTAAATAAAATGATAGTTAGGTTGTACGTTCGCATTGACATTGATTACATGTATGCATTTACTTCCATGTACCGTGTATAGTATATTCAAATGAATTCAACGACTCTCCCATGCAACATATATGACCGTCTGCCACGATAGCCGACAAAAAAAATGCCAGCCAGTCAATGACGTCAGGCGGGACATATCCAGATCAATTTGAACTTTACTGACGATCAGACCCCTGCTAATTTGGCCGACGGGGATTGCAACCTACTGTATATCCTTCAATGCTGAACTTTCACCGAAGAGGAGAAAACTGTCAGATTTAGTGAGTTGTTAGCGAGGTCAGACAGCAGGCTGTGAAGAAGTGGACACTGTGTTCCGGGTGGCATCCAGATTTGGAGATCAATCCTACCGAATGTCCACAACCTTATTCTTCATTGGCTTCTTCGTCAGTTTTCTCGACTCCTCTTTTTCATTTGTTTCGTATCTTGTAGGGGCGAAAAGAAAAAAATAGAAACAGACCGAGGTCACTGCGGGGCAGAGAGAGGGGCAAATAGCTTTACGTCGTTTGTGATTTGCTTCTTTGATCCAGGGCTTCATGAAGCTAAATACAAGGCAGCTAAGGCACCGGGTTCGAGGCTTTTCGACTTTCACTATATGCGCCACTGTACTCCGTAGCGACATACTAATTGAGTAACTGAATTGACTAGTATCTATACTTGTTACCCTGTTTCTATGCCCCATGCGCAACATCCGGCTTTCGAGGGGGGGCCCAGTAGATCTCAACCTGAGTTGGTCTACTCGCAAAAAAGAAACGATAAATTCAAATATCCATAATTAATACCCATCCATGGTAATCAATAACAGGTAACTGTGGTAGCTCTCCGCCTTCCCGAGGCTCCAGAAAAAAAAGGGAAACGAGAAAAAGCCGGGAATTACCTAGAGCCGTCCTCTTCATATAAAAACTTTTAGCTCTCCCCCAAAATCCACTTGATTAAATCTCACGCCATAGTTCACCTATCTGAGACCATCAAGAGACCTTCACATTCGTCGGTCGAGGGCAGTCTGTCAAGGCTCGACCCGCTAGAAATTTCTGTCGCACCACCTTAACAGAGCTTAGCTGCTTTGATTCGCCTCTGCCTTGATTGATCAGAGATTTAATCCACCGCAAGTCTAATTACAATTACCTTTTCTCCCCTGACCCAGGATCAGCCTGCAGACTGTGCATATTACACTTATCTACAAATATGACGAAGCCGATCTTTGTCGCTACGCATCCGCGAGCATGCTCAACAGCGTTTGAGCGGGTAAGTGCATATCGGAGAAATACGTGGTGACATATCTGACAAGTACTAGGTCTTCATGACCCAACGTGACACAATTCAATGTGTCCACGAGCCATTCGGCGACGCATTCTACTACGGCCCGGAGCGCCTCTCCGGCCGATTCGCAGACGATGAACAAGCCCGTCTGGATAGTGGATTCGCCAACTCGACATATAGTACCGTGATGGATAGGCTCGAGAGAGAAGCTACTCAGGTCCGATCTCTCTTTTTGCGAACTTTCTCGCGTTCTTGCTTATCCCCGTAATGCTCCTCATGTTCTCCTTCGTTGGATTGAATATGAGGGAAGATACCCTTGCCCTCTGTCTACATTGCCCTTTTTGTCATTCCTACCACTCAGATGAGCCTACAGGCAATCTTTCACCCTCTACACTGTAAAACGGACATGTTCCGAATACCTAGATGGTTACGGAGATCCGCAATGCGGAATGAAATCGCTCTTACTCGAGGGGATGCTTACCTTGCAACAGGGAAAGAGAATTTTCATCAAGGACATTGACCACTACTTGCTTCCGCCAAATGGCAAGCCGGCCAGTCCTGCTCCATCGCTCCTCCGTCTGAAGCGCGGTGTAGGCACCAACGGCGACCACGCAAACGGAGTGAATGGTGTGAGTGCGAACGGCACCCACACCAACGGCCACGCAAACGGTCACACCAACGGGGTCAACGGAACCTCTAACGGAGTGAACGGTGCTAGCCACACCAACGGCGTCAACGGTCACGAGGCCAACGGTCACACCAACGGGGTGAACGGTACTACCAATGGAGCCCACAAGGAGCCCTATCCGTACAACACGCCCACAGAACCGGGTAACCCCACTGTGATGCCCCGGGAATTGCAAGAGAAATTCCACTGGGCGTTCCTCATCCGCGACCCGCACTTCAGCGTGCCGTCGTACCTGCGTTGCACCATTCCCCCGCTGGACGAGGTGACCGGGTTTCACAACTACGACCCTCTGGAGGCCGGGTACGATGAGCTGCGTCGGCACTTCGACTATCTGCGCGAGACAGGCCTGGTCGGGCCCCGCGTGGCGACTCGTCCGGAGCTGAGCGGTGATGCGAAGAGTGATTCGGGCGTCGAGATCTGCGTCATTGATGCCGATGATATGCTTGATGAGCCGGCCAAGACCTTGGAGGCGTTCTGTAAGAGTGTTGGTCTGCCGTATAACCCCGAGATGCTCCTTTGGGACACCGAGGAGGATCATGCTGTTGCCCGTAATGCGTTTGAGAAGTGGCGTGGGTTCCATAATGATGCTATTGAGTCGAAGGCTCTGGAGCAGAGAGTTCATGTAAGTTTGCTTTCAAGTCAAACGTTAGGAATTGACTAACAGTTCGCAGAAACGCCCGGTCAAGACTGAAGAGGAGTTTGATGCTGAGTGGAAGAAGAAGTACGGCGATGAGCATGCTGCTCTCATCCGTAAGACTGTTGATGACAACATGGAGGACTATTTGTACCTCAAGTCTTTTGCAGTCAAGGTGTAAGGGATAATAGCCCAGAAGAGAGAAAGAGGAAGAAGAGGAAATGAAGAGGAAATGGGGAAAGCACTACCCCATATGTCTGACCGCTCCTATGAGAACGATTTAGTTCGGATGGCGCCATCTCCACTAGATCTGATGAAAGCGGATCTTTGCGGGGATTGGCTGATGACTGACGATCTTGCATCTTTATTTCATTGTTAACATGTTTTGTCATGCTACTCGTTATATTTAGGAGACTATCAGTTTCAAGAGATTCAACACCAATTTTGCTTTTGTCGATCAAGCAGATGATGTAGCATAGTGAAGAAAATAACGTAAGCTTTCACAAATCACAGCAAGGCCTCTCGACATAAAAGTTGGAGTGGAGGCAATATAGGAGAGTCTATCGGCAGCTAAGCAAAAAGTGCGCTCCTTACTAGTCCCAGTCATCGATTTCACGGTTAATCTCGTGGCAGCGGAAGCATTGAACACTTCACAAAGCTTCCAGTGGGGGTCTGACCAATTCCGATCGACAGAAGGGATTGTAGGATGCTTGTTCATTGTCCCTCGCTTCTTCGAAAGAGAATCGGGCCAATGTTGGGCCGCGAAACATAATAAACATGATTTCATATGCGAGAGGTCATTCGGCTTCAAATAGATAATAACATTAGCTATCTCCGTGGATTACCGTGCCTCTGTAAATGACAATTGGCTTGACTGGAGGCTAGGAGATAATTTCTGAAGAGGAAATATAAGGACTCTGCGAGGAGAAACCGTTAATCTCGTAGTTTTTAAGATATATGTGCAGACACACCTGTTTCCCAGTAATATACGAAGTGAGATTGTACAAAATGGGCGACGAGTGTTTCAAAGAACGTTTTGGCACAAAAGCCTGAACGGTTCTTTAACTGAGATTGTTACATGCTTGACTTCACTACATCCATGTATCTAGTCTGTCTTGCGCCATGCCATGAACCAATCTGAAAATCGCGGGTAGCCATGATCTTGAAGGTTCATCATGCGTCGCCGCCTTCATTCGGTTTCAGGAATTCCTGGAATCGTTCCTAGAATTATAAGGGGCATAGCATGTCCTTACAAATGTACGTGACACCGCTACTTCGGACGTTTATACAGGCTGGATGTAGGGTTCAGAGGAGCTAAGACCAGTTAGGACTAAATGGAATGCTAACTGAAACACTAAACAGAACATTTACCAAGAGAGCAGACAGATATTTTAGTCATATATAGAGACTATGCAATTGTTCGTGGATTGTGGGCAGATAGAGATTTAGTAAGAAAATTTCATTTGCTAGATTAACCTGCAAATTGCGACCTGAGCCACGAGATCATCAATCGTTGCTTCAGTTGATCGTGACAAAAGAAACTTGAGACAACGGAAATATTGAATTATCACGAAGGTGCCGACGAATGCGAGAAAATAACTATCAAGACATATATCAATGTGATGCTCACGCATAAGTTTGAATATCATGTCATACCTTGATTTTCACTCTTCAGCCAGATTTTATGAAGAACTGAGGTCCGTAGGATAGGGCCGTTCAACGAGAATTGAAGTGTCATTCTCTTGGCCTTTGCCCGGAACTTAAGAAGACGAGGCTAGGCTCTGGGCATCGGACAGCTGGCTCGAGTCCCCAGCAGCACCGTCATCCTCATTGTCGAGACGATCCTCGTCTTCTTCAACAGTGGTTTTGGCCTTGACGTATTCATCAGATGAGGAAGAACGCCCCTGGTTCTTTCCATTGCTTTCGTGAAGTCCCAACTTTGCCAATTTATCCTTGGTACGCTTGTAACGCATCCGGGCTGCATCCTTGGTGATGTTGCGAGATTCCGCGATGACATTGAAAGGAATCTGTTTTAGGTCAAGGTCAGCATGGGTCCAAATGGAGAGTAATGAAATCACCAAGAGTGACCAATGGCCTCAGCAGCCATCATAGAAGTGGGGAAGGGGTAGCAGGTGATGGGTAACTGACCGGGCTCTCTGTGGCTTCAATTGTCTTTTCTAAACAGTCAACAAGGAACTGGACATCATCTGCTCCAAGTTCCTTATTGAGAGTTCTCTGCGAAGTGTCTTTGCGTGGAGTGGCTTTCTGCGCGGTGGTCTTTTTGCTCACGCCCGCGCTTGTGGAGTCGAGCTTGCTCTCCTTCTTGCGAGCCATTTTGAAATAGTGCTTTGTAGATTTGGTAGCGTGATGACGTTCTTAGAAGCGCGTTGTGTGCGCAAGAAAATGTGTCAGTGGTTGTGGCAACAGGCAATTGCGTGGGAAGAAGAGAAGAAAAAAGGATGGGGAGGTTGGGTGAAATGTTAGATGCTCTCTTCGTCCTCAAGGGTAAATTCCAAGACAGGCGCCCCCACGAGATCCATATTGTTTATCTCCCCGGTGCCTCTTCTCCTCGGCTTATAAGCAGCAATATCGGATCAGCTACACACACTAAGCGAAACCATAGGATGATATCAGGGGGCTACTAATTGAAAAGAACAGATTGAGAAAAATAGCATGAATTCTTTATCTACGTAATCCTGGAATTTAGGAGATATCTATGCCCTTATTCTCAATCCATGGTTCTATAGAGAATGGCATAGAATCCTGAAAGTTTTCACTGCAGTTCGGTTCGAAGAACAAAATGAGTCTGAATTTCAATATTTAGGGCTGAGACCAATTGAGCATCGAGCGAGGGGTGTAAAATTGTGGGCATCTATGAGATGTGCGTGGACGGACTATATGTATTTGAATTGATAGAGAACGCTGTTCACCAAGGTTCCTCGGCATAGAAGTCGGCAATTGTCAGGTTCAGTGGCATGCGTTGTCAGGGTTATGCTAAGAGACGACCTAAGCTCTAAGTACGGTGGGTCCCGATGTTATAATGGCCAAAGTACTGTTAGATTCATTCGATTCCCGCATCCGTTCGATTACTGGAACACTCGATTTATTCGATTCCTAGATTACTATAATTGCTGAATCTATTCCAAGGTTCCATTCCTAGATTACTAGATTTTTTTTAAACCTTTTATCTATTCGATAACTAGATTAATTCGATTCTTGGAACACTAGATTTATTCGGTTCCTGAATCTGTTCGTTTCATGAATTTATTCGATTTTTGGGAAATGAAATCGATTCGCTTCCCAAATCTATTCGACCCTAGACTACTATGTTCATTCAACTCTGCATCAGGTGCCCGTTTCTTTGAACCTTTCTCCCGACGATGTGCGATTCGAACATCGATGCGGTTCTCATACGGGTCATTGTGGAAAAAGAAGTGCAGAACGACGGCTGGGGCCTCTTCGTTGTTATCGCAATCTCCAACCGCATTGCCCTCTCTGTCCAGGAGTACAACTCGAGCTTTTATATCGATTTTTTCACCTTTGGCTCGGTTCTCTGTGTCGATGGGGTTTGCGAAAGGGTCGTCGGTCTCGTGAGAATTCATTTTTGTGACTGATGATGCTGTGAGAGGTTAGCAAAACTCAAGATGAAGTGATCAAGTGACGAATCTGAAGAGGGTGTGGGTGTGGTGATGGTGAGAGGTGGTAATGGGTGATTTTTTTTTTTTTTTTTTTTTGATAAAGAATATTGACCATAGAAATTTCTAAACTATCGTTGTCCGGCAGAATTGATTAGGGTGAAGAGAAAAGAAGAGAGTTCGAGATGAGGATTTAATTTGCGTTTATATCTCTTCCTCCACCGTTTTCCTCGTTTGCTCGACTTCCTACGCAGTTTGTAGCGTTTGCTTGATTTCCTTTGCTTGTTTCGACTCCTCTATTATGATGATCTGACTCCTGGATTCTCCTTATTCTCCTGCTATTCTCAATGAGCGGGTCTATTCAGGAATTGATGTGGTCATTGAGTGCGTGAATGGATCTCTGTTCCTATTGTAACTGCCTAGCGACATTATTGATCTGAAGTCCACTAGTCCGTAGTTTCCTACTGCTTGCTCCTAAATAGCTAGATGATGGTAAAAGCACAATGACCACATAACAATCACAGGCTTGTTCACAGTCAAAAGTCTATAATCACCAAACATCGTGATATAGAGAATCAAGTACTAGAGCTAGCTGTGTGGATGAGAGATACAGGTAGATCAAGGACCGTTCATCGTACTACATGTTTATAGTTTAGTAATTATACAGATGAGCGTCGGTTCCCGTGATACTTGGATAGGCACATTCTACCTGGTTGGTAAGGTGGCCCGCACCTGTCTCGTCCTCGGCTCTAACCGATTGGTCAATGTGCCCCACAGCCGGTAACCTTAATTGAAAATCCATCGATATTCTCCTTGGTATTGTCCTTGGTGTCAATTTCAGCATCAATGCGACCTACTACAGCACATGGTTCAATGACAATGGGGTATCTAGGTAGGTATGACATGACTGGTCAATGGGGATGATGCTCGGCTATTAGGTTCCAAGGTTCTTCCCGGGCTCCCATCAAATGTACTCCTCCACCTGATGCCTAATGTTCACTCTTATCGGACCTGGCTCGTGGAAAGACACTCAAGATTGTCTATACCAAGGGCGGTTAGATGGGAAGCAGGCACCCCGCTAGCACACCTGTACGCAAGTCCTCCGGCGGTTGAACCAGCAGTGACGTCCCCAGCTCTGTCATCGGAAGCCTTCGATTCAAGGAGCCTTTACTATGAAGGTCTACGAATACGAGAGCCAATGCTGCCTCGGGATGCAGCGAACCGCGCGAAGCTAGCCATCGACGGGCAGGTAATTTGAGATCCTACAGCTCAACTTTACTACGTTTACCTCCAACTCTCCAGTCGGGTCCTGCCTGGCAATGGTTCTTCTTTAAGTGGCTCCCCCGCGCGATCTCGGCATACATAACTTCAATTCGACCCTCGATCAGCTCCAACGGGTTAGACAGTCCGACCCTCGACGGCTCTGCTGGACGTACGACAGCTCCACTGGATATAAAACAAACCGAATAACACGCAGGAGACGAAGACAGACCATCGGCAGCTCACTGGATGCACGATAGCCTGAACAATACTCAGGAGACTGAAAAAAACCCTCGATCAGCAGGAAACTTCGGATACTCTCCCAACGTATACCGCGACGTTCGAACGTGTGCTCTACGAAGTCAAAGTACAAGGTTTAGCCTGAAATCACGAAAATCTCCGCTTTCCACAAAGGTATCAATGATCCCCTCCGCACTCGTCTCAACCAGCAATTGAGTTCTCCACGCACGTATCTTGAATTCATCAGTCCAACAGCTCTCAGGTTATTTCGTCGCTGCCTCTACTCCATCCACTGGTAATTCAACAAGTGCACGCCCTACGGATAGCGGTGGACCTGGATATAGAAATGACAGGATGAAAATTGGTGCTATGTGATGCACATTACGCCGTCGGGTGCGCAGTGGAGGAAACAATTAATATTTATACGTTTGAACCATAGGACTGGAGTCCAAAGACTAGCCTGGCTTTCAATTAGCATTGTGATGACCATGGGCCCGTATTTGATCGACAGTAAAATGATAGGAAAAGAAAGGATAGCTACCTAGGTAGAGATGTTGCTTCGTGCGTCCACGTTTTCCTGTCACCATCCAAATGCTATAAAAGGGTCTTTCTTCTCTTCATCTCTTTCGTCTCTCCATCTCTCTCTCCTCTCCATCTTTTTCTCCTAATCCTCTCACTTTACTTTCCTTCTTTCCCACAAACTAAGGGTCAAAGACATCTTCCGGCCGACAGGCTTGTTTCACAATTTGATCTCGGATACCGACAGAATCACAATAACATCAGCTCCGCACACGAAAATTCCATCCTTCAGATCATTGACCGCCCGTCATTCTGCCTCGTCCGTGTGTATGATTGAAAACTTCTTCCAAGCATTCCTTCCCAGAAATTTTGACTTCAGTTGGCACGAGAGACAAAAATTTCTGGTCAAATTCCTCAGTCTTGTTATCACTGTTCATCCAGACCATCCTCGAAGTGTCCGTGTGCAGAATTTTCCAATTCGAAGGCACCAGCTGATAGAGCGGTCGGTGGGCCCCGATATTGAGTGGGGAGGGGCGCCCGGTTGATCCCGCTGCAGAAACGTTTTCGATCCACAACCAAATCAGATATCATTCGTCCACATGCAGAGCTCGGGCTACAAACGTCGCAAGACAGCGGGGTTCGCATACCCTGCCATCCCAGCCAGGGACCAAGACATTCCTCCCTATAGTCCCGCAAGCAAGTTAAATTCATTCCGAATTCGACATGTATATGGTATGTCGGCGCCTTTCCTGTTGCGAGGTTCGTCTTTCCAGCGCTGACCAAGTTTTTTTCTATCAGTCTCCTCTGGAGATAGCTCACCAGTAGAGGCTCTTCGCGCGGAATCAATAACTCGCATCAATAGAGAGAATGAGCAGTTTGTCAGAACCCACCATTCAAGTCTGTCTTCGCAAATATATGTGTGTGTCTCGGAGTCTGAGTTCGGACAGCCTGTTTGGCTTGTCAGCTCTCCTCTCGCCGCGTCCCAAAGTGTGTATGCTGGCGGTCGACCTATCCATTACTACCCCGGAGATTATAAGCAAGAGAAACCTTATAGTCCACTCACCCCCCGATCGCCTGAAAAATACAACCAGCACTTTGACCGATACATCAACCCGAGGCGATTCCTCACACCAGCTGATCTCGACAGCCTTCGAGAATTGTTTCCAGAGGCGATTGGTGTCCACCTACTTATCGCAGGCTTCTTGGTCATCCTTTTTGGAGAAGAACGACACGTACTTGATGCGTACGATAACGTGTCGCCTCTCGAGCTTGCCGGTCTTCGAGTCTGTTTTCAACTTACCCACTATAACTTCACCACAGCACCTGTCGAGTCCGGAATTACTCTTAAAGAAACTTCCAAAAAAGAAAACAATGCTTTCGCTGGATGTCTCGGACTAAAGCTCGAATTGCAGGATGGTTCTACGGCAATCACAACTGTGACTCATGGTTTCGTCCGTAACCCGTCCCCCTCGAGGTTTGACAAAGGACTGCGAGTGTTTGAGATGATAGTCGATCAAATGAAACAGAACATGCGACGGTTTCTACCATTCAAAGCAGGAGGATATGACCGTGCCTTGGTCGTGGCGAAGGAAACCCTAACCGACAATGACCCGGTTGGTAAGCAAGTATCGCTTGCCGTGTCTAACAGAACGGCATGATCCCTAAGTCAATTTTACTCTTATGTCCTAGTTCTAACTCCACTAGATCGGAACTATAACCCACACGTACGATAACCCAAGCAACGACAAACCATACCCTGCCGGTTACAATCACGACCTATGTTTAATTTCAGGTCGTTCTCTTCCTGATGTGGTCAGCCCTCCTGGCTATCCCTCGGTGACAGGGTGGGCGAGCTATTCGAAAGCCTTGGATGGACAAGAATGTTATGTCGTTGCTCAAAACGCGAGCACTGGGGTCATCCGGGAGGTTCAAGGTGTCATTAACTCGAATTTGTTCCGCAGGGCAGCCGTGATGGGGACAGGTTACTCCTGGGACAAAATCCGAAAACAAAGTAACGCGTTTCTGCTATGGCATACAGATCAATATCAAGGGGATCATTTGGCCCCAGCGGATGGAACTTCGGGCCCCCCCCTCTGTTTAGGCCGCCCATCGGATAAGGCCGCCCTGGCAGTGGTGTTTCAGAACTTCCAGCAGCCCTGTAGCCTTGTCCTTCCGGTTGGGAAAAGGCATGAACATCTCAAAATTCTAGTTAAAGCAGGGTTTATTCTCCCACAGGAAATCAGGGATTCGACAATTCTTAGCGGCGAAACACCAACCGGTACCACACCATTCAATACCATACCGGCAGGGAACCGAGCATCAATAGAACACGAGCATCAAAGATGTGTTCTTTCGTCGTCTGATTGATTAGTCTTAACTAGCACCCCGTTCTTCACAACTTTTACCGTTTGCTATCGAGGGACGAGAGAGAGAGCTTTAAGCGCGTATTTGACTTTAATGAAATCAATATTATTACTATGAGCTTCAAATTGCTGCGCGATCATACTTTATATATTATCTATAGGGCCTCCGCAATGGGCCGGGTTGGGCCCAAACTTCCAGCCCACGGCCCAACCAGCAATGGGCTATGTGTTACGCACAGCTCACTGGTCACATTTATGTTAGATAGAATTGGGAGATACTTCTCTGATTTCCTGTAGACTTCTAACCTCAACGATCTGTCTCTCAACCTTACCGTTGCCTAACAGGCCTTACTGCGGGATGAGTCCTTTCGAGGGGATCGAGGAACTCTGCCAGGTAGTGCGCCGAATAGATCTATACCGGAGTATTGGTCTATTCGTAGTGTGTGTCAAGTTATAATCTTCTTGTGACTGATGATGTTCTGCGAGGTTAGCAAAACTCAAGATGAAGTGATCAAGTGACGAACCTGAAGAAGATGATTCCTACTCTCGTGATGATGTGATTGTAGTGAGGTGGTGAGATAAACTGAAAGTGCCAAGTGAGGTCAGCAGAGTTCAGACTGAATTGATCAAGTGACGAACATGAAGAGGGTGTGGCGATGGTGAGAGGTGGTAATTCATCATCCAAATGCTATAAAAGGTTCTTTCTCCTCTCCATCATTCTCTTTCTCCTCATCCTCTCACTTCACTTTCCTTCTTTCCCACACATTATGAGTTGAGGACATCTTCCGGCCGGCAAGGCTTGTTTCACAATTTGATCTCGAACATCACCTGCTATCAGCAACCTAGGTATGACAAAACAAAGTCTCGAGGCGTATGACTCATACTTGAGTATTTGCTTATCACAAGAAACATTGGCCGATGTGCTTGCTAGAGCTTCTTCGCCTCTGGGACTCTATCCTCACGCGCAAGCTCCCAAGATGAAGAGAGATAAATGTACCATTCATGGTAGTACGGGCTTCTAGGCTTTTAAGAAGCTTTGGATACTTTTCGAAAGATCGATTTATATCATTTGAAGTACAAAAAGACCACGAGTTCCAGCTAGATGAAAACTAAGTACATAGACATTCGATATCGCAAAACATCATCACATTACCATCATCTAAAAACGATCTTCAGGGTCCCGTTTTGAGACCTTCGCTTTCCCAAGCTTGCTGTTTGGCACGTACATAGGCATGGAGTCCTCCCAGATAGAGTCGGTAAGAACTTGCTTATTGGATCCATCAGCGTCCATAACGATAACCTGTCCATACGGCTGGAAAGTCTGATCGTAAAGTGCACACTCATACTGGAAACCGAACATGCCAGAAGAGTAAGCAATACGGCCGTCCCAAGTCCAAACGGCATGGGCATCGTTCGCACCACTGCTGGTGAGGACCTTCAGATCCGTTCCATCAGGGCGCATTGTGCAGACATCGTAATTGTAGTCGCTGACCTTGCGGGTGAAGACGATTCTCTCGCCATCGGGCGAGAAGAAAGGAAGATTATCCCATTCATTGGTGAGGACGGAGATCTTGCGAGTCTCCAGATCAAGAAGACGGAGACCGAGCTGGGACCTGTCTCCCAAAGTAGAGTTGGTTCCCCAGACACGGAAGACAATCTTCTTGCCATCGTGTGAGTAGCTGGGGAATCCAGAGTTGATAACGCTGCTGTTGCTCTCGAGGGTGACTTGACTGTTGGTCAGAACTTCGGAGTATGAACCATTAGCGGTGGCGCGAACCAGCCATCCGCCACCTGTTGCACGACCTTGGAACCAGAAGCCTACGCCGAAGGTAACCCAATTTCCGTCGGGTGACCAGGCCGGGTTGAAGGCTCCGGCTGTACCCATAGCGACGGATGATGCATCCAGGAAGTCGGACTTCATGTCGTCATAGATGAGCTGCTCATTTGTGCCATTGGCATTGAGCGAGACGATGGAGGAGTTTCCAAGCTGCTTCTCGGTCAAGGCGATCGTGTTGGTGTTGGACAACTGAGGAAAGACGTCGGTGAAGCGGTACTCCCACTCTTTATCCCAGCTGTACAACTTCTTGTCCATGGGGCGGACGACGTCCCAGCTTGTCTTCTCATACACGACCTTCTTGCCATCCGGAGACCAGGCTGGGGAGCGTACGGTCGAGCTGGAAGTGTTGACAAATCCACCAGCGGTTGTGTAGAGGCCCTCCTTGCCGGAACCCTTGGCGAAGTAGGCGATGGTGCTGTCGGAGATGTATTGAGGGAAAATCTTGACACCAGAAGTTCCCACTTCTACGCGGCGACCAGCACCGGTAGCGAAGTCAACTGATACAATAGTGGAGTTGGAAGAGTCAATCGACTCGGGACGGTGAGAGTTCCAGGTGTTCTCCCGGGTCATCTCGTAGTAGATGATACGCTTGCCGCTAGGCGACCACTTAGGCGAACCGAGGCAGTAGCCAGACTTCGATGCAACACGGCGGAAGTCAGATCCATTGGGGCGGATAGCATAGATTGACAGCTCTTGTGTGTGCTCCCAACCCGACACACCCATGAAGACCGGGTCGCCGTGTCCGTACCAGCCCGTGTTACGGTCCGACGAGAAAGCAATCCATTGGCCGTCGGGAGACCACGAAGGACGGAAGTAACCGTCCGGAAGAGAAGCATTGGCAGTGGTGGAGGCGGTATCTGTAAGGTTCCACTTCTTGCCGCTGTCCAGATCCATGACCCAAATGTTGGCCTTGTAGCCATTGGCAGTAGACACATAGGCAACCTGCTTTCCATTTGGAGACAAGACAGCTCCATCTTCCACCGAGGAAGTCGCTGCCAGCTCCTCAAGGTCAGAGCCATTAGTCCGCACGCGGTAGATATCTGAGTTTCCGTCGCCGTTACGCTCTCCAGTGAAAGTAACCCACTCTCCATCGGGGGAGAAGGCTGCATGGTATTCGTAGATGGGATCGGAGAGCAGAGCGCGTTCATTTGTGCCGTCAGCATCAGCAATGTAAAGCTCTGATGTACCGGGTGCAATGCGGTTCATATAGAAGATGCCCTTCTTGTCGGACGAGGACGGCGCAGCGCGCGGTGTGTGTGGATGAGGAGGCGCACTCTTCTTCTCAAGCGCCATTTTCTCTGCATATGGACAAAGAGCCCATGTGAATGGCACAGCCAGCCCTAACAGGGCAATTGATGCAGAAAGGCGCATGATGACTATAAAATTGAATGAGTAGACCACCACAACTCAATAACCGGAGCTCGGTGGTTGTCGCTGGCACCGCCATACTTATATGGAATGAATTACTGCAGTAAAAATCCTGAATGATCGATCATTTCCTTCCAGGGTTGTAGCGTGGTCCTTAGCTCCGACACCAAATCCACCCTTGCGTAATAAAGTCCGCATTATTAGCGAGGTGCCGGCAGAGTTGTGGAATAGTGCCAAGCCCTTCATCTTATCTGATGAAGCGAGCTAGCGGTTAGGTGCGTCACTGGGAGAATATTCTGCATTAGTTCCATCCATTCAACAAAGTCGTTTCTCTTGCAGGAGATTAAGCCTTTGCTTGATTGGTCATGTCAAATTGTACCGACTTGCAAGACTCGAGGCAAGTAGGCAAAGATCGTCCTTGTTTGAGACTAGACGGACAAAATCTCTCCCGCTTGTTTCCGGTAGTATGTAGGTATCAAGTTATGGTACCTGGTTCAGTCCCCTGATTACATCCCAGCTAGACAAGGACCATACATGTAGCTAGCGCTTATATTGACATGCAGCAACCCTGAACCAAGTATGTAGGGCGTAAACAGTTCGGACAGCGCAGCATTCACAAACATACACACGCAGTTCTGAAGAAAGCAAATTGTACTCGGATATCGGCTCATGCGTCTGAATGCCAAGTAAACCGGTGCCGAGGATGCCACTGGGCTTGCGCAATATCTTGCTGACCAGGGAACTCGAGCCATCTCGTTTGTCAATGCAGGACACCGAAATTGACACGGAACGCAACCAAAGACTTGGCAATAATCACCAGTGGAGTGACACAGAGTAGTTTGCCCCTGCATCTAAGTCCTGAACCCGTTGGGAAATTATCGGAGTCCGAGATTCGGTCGGGAATGCCGCATCGAGGGTGTAAGGCGGCGATCAAGGGTGGAGTGGTCTTCAAGAAAGTTCTTGGCATAATTGAACCAGACTTGGGCTTCCATTTTGCCAAGTGTTTTAGGTGTTCGGTTGAAAGTACTGGATATTGGCAATGTTCAACTCAAAAACTCATGGCATTCAACTATCTCAAACCAACAATACTTGTACATTTGGACCAAAGTGGAACCATTTATGAAGTCATCTTGCGTATCGTATCTAACACCCCTGGCATTGCAGTGGCAGTTTGCACTCCATGAATGATCCTCGTGATCTGTTGTTCATCCACTTCGTCACCACCAACCTCATTCCTCAATCCCCTCACCATCTTCAAACTCCTCGGCTTCTTCAATCTCGTCACCTTTCTCAATCCCCTCAAGCTCTTCAACATCTTCAAGCTCCTCACTCTTCACACCAGATGTTGAATGTTGCCTCTTTGGGTGCTGGCGGCGCACTGTAGAACGGAGCTTGTACCCCGGATAGTGCCGATTGATATAGTGTGGCACCATCTGCGGGTCAAGCGAATAAATCTGCAAAGCAGGCAATCGGAATTCCCCTGTCGCGGGATCCACCTCGTCCAGCAGATATCTAAACTCCGGCTTGAGATATCCATCGCGAAGTCGGAAATACTTCCCAAAGAGTCCACGTACACTTGGTCCGAAATCAAGCATATCGTGCAGCTCCTTGTCATTCAGAATCACTTGGTTTGGCTTGGTACACTGAAGATGGTCTGGCAATTCACTTTGGACTTTAAATTGTCCGTATTTCTTGGGGATACCGACTGGCATGCTGTCGATTTCCTCATGCCACTTGCGGATCGGGTCATTTGCTAGTCGTGGATCGTTCAAAGCTGCCAAACACTTACGGCTTATTTTGAGACTTCCCCCGGATGGAGCACTCTCTGCCTCTCCTGCTGAAGCACCACCTGTTGCGCCTTGGATGAGTGAAGAATTTGTGGGTGACGACTGCATATTTGCCAATGAACTCAAATTCTGCCAAGGCTCGGATTGAGACGAGATAGGTTCAAAGAGGGGATCGACCAAAGCGTCCATCGGTTTTGCTGACCGGAGCCACGGGGGAAGCTTCGGGAGGGAGGAAGTCGATGCGTTCAGGGCAAGGTTCTCATCCGACTGAGAGGAGCGTAGTTCGCGAAAAAGTTGGGTATCAACCTCGAACTGATCATCTAGCGGTGGGTATTCTGGCAGTCCCGCGATCCGATTCATGTCGTGGCCATGGAGCGGCTCACGCGCGTGTGTCAATGTAAATGGATTCTCAATGTTTGCATTGTCGCGGCAAGTTGAAGACGCTACAGACGGTGGGGCATTTGGGATCAAATAGGGTGCAAACTGGCCATAGCTGTGGAGTTTGATTTTTGTCAGATCATCTTCCGATGACAACGAACTCAAAACTTGAGAGCGTGCCTCCTCAGGAATGCAGCGGCTGACTTGTTCGAAGTGAGCATTTCCCTCATCCGCCAGTCGACCGAAGTTTCCGCTCCGCTTCCTCTGCCGGGTTTGCAATTGTTCATCATAAACCCAATCTCCCTGATATGGGTCTGCCATGGCATTTGACTGGTGACTAGCCAAGTGTAATCTTTCAAGCTCTGGGTTCAGATTCAAAACCCCCCTCGAGCCCGGCACATAGCTAGACATAAAGTCACCTCCTTGACCAAAGGCCACCTCAGAACTTCGTTTATTGGGGGTGATCCCAGATAATTCAGTGAAGTCATCGCTTGGGTTTGCGAGGTCTCCCATGCTGAAATAGCGCCGAGGCTCCGCTTGTTCAAACACCGAGGTCGACCTCCATTTCTCATCCCGCAGCCAGTTGATCTCAGTTTGCAAATGCCAATTGTCGTACCGCAACTGCATGAGTTCCCTGTGAAGCTCAAGTGATCTCGGATCATCTCGAATCTCATAGGGGCTGACAGCGAGATAATGATAGTTGCCGTTCCCAATTGGAGATCCGCGATCTCTGCGCTGTTCCACGGAATCCGATTGCTCTTGTTTGTAAGGGCTCTCCATGATTTGAGTTGATTGCGAGACGAGAGGGCTTTCCTCGGTAGGATTCAAAACCAACTCCCACTCCGGGAACAAGGCTTTCAAACGCTCCTCCGTGACCGGCAGCCCACCCTCCTCATCTCGACGAAGATATATCCAAGCATATTCCGTCTTCGTTTCAAAAGCATATGTGCCAGTCGTGATGAAAAGCTCGCCGCATTCCCTCATGACACTTCGGTCTCCTTCCTGCGCAATGGCGTAGATTTCGGGCAAAGTCAATGAAGTCTTCGGCTTGGTTGGATCAGCCGGGAGGGGTCTTCCTTCATCGTCCACTTCGCCGGTTGCCGAAATTAACTTTGCTCTTTTGTTGAGGGCCATTCTGTATTTCCGTCCGGATCCGCTCATCACCAAGGCTCTCTGACTTGCGGTCAAATCAGGCTCTCGCGAGACACCACCGGAAATGCTGGGTGTGGCCCACTGAGATGTGGCAGAATGTGGGATGGCATCTCGGGTCAGAGACTGAAACGGAGTCCTCAAAATCGGAGTTGCAGGAGAACTTCGGATAACCTCTTGAGTCCAGGAACGTGAAGATCTTCGAAGAGCCGAGTCTGGAATTTCCATTTTGCCTTTACAGCTTGCCCGAGAAAGAAATCACGAGACGATGCATGTAAGCGAAGTGGAGCTGATGAAGGTGGTTCGTCAACTAGGAAACCGAATCTTCGAATGTGAAACTTACTTTCGAAAGGCCAAGATTGAGATGAAATAACAAGTCAAGAAAGTAATGAAAAGAAGCGTCGAGCTAGTAATGAAATCGAAAACGATGTCGATGTGTGAAGAAAAACGAAGAAAAGAAGTGAAGACGTGAAGGCTTGAAGTTGGCAAACAGTTCCAGGAAACAGAGTGAGGAGTAGAGATCGAAAATAATTTGCACAACACGTCTTAAGGTCTTGCCCCGTCACCTCAAAGTTGTTTGTCTCGCACGTCTATGAACGGTAGAAGCCCTAATAGATATTCGTCACGGCAACCCATATGCTTTGACAGCCACCTTATCACCCCACCATATACATCTATGTACCTATATATGTAGGTAGATATACTCAAGGTACGCATGATCAGTGTTGATTCTTTAATTGCACCAAGAAAACCCAACGTGGTGTAAGCCCCTAAGGATCTTTTTATGTTCCCTACATCCAGAAGCTCCGGGCCATACAGGCTTTTGGGTCACAGCATTCCATACTTAGGTATATAGAGGGGCTTACATTTAGATACTTTCTTCTCTGACTAGTAATCCTCGTGTTGGAGTTGACTCTGGTTTTATTCTTCCAACCTGGCCTTGCTGGAATTCATTCGGGTCACATCTTAGTGTTGGTCCTTGACATCACACAGGGAGAAGGATCATTGCGCCCATCATATACACTGATATATGCCCAGTCTATGTATATTGAAAAGATGCAATTAGCTAGCTGCCTGTACATGTAGGTAATTATCACGCCCACGGGCACAAACAGCGATGAGTATCTGCAGGCAGAAACCTTAATAGTGATAACCTTTGACTCTCAAGGGCTCTCCGAGGCCATTCGAGCCGTCGAGTTTCCATGAGTGGATAAATATATAGCTTGCCTTCTAGAGCCCGCTCTGATTTTATAATTACATACTAATGTTGTCATTCCCTGAGACCATGAGGTAACTGATATATAGCCATGGGTCATACGAAAGAAAAAGGCCAGGTATGATCCAGGAGTCTCCCCAACAAGTCAGTTCGATTGGATAGACAGAAAAAAAAATGGTAATTGAAGGACCTATATCATCCATAATAGCCAAGCATATAAATCCAATCTCATCTAGCGCCATACAACTGCATCGAAACACTTGCAGAAACCTGCAAGACCCAGAAACCACGGCTGCAGCAACCAGGCAAAAAAAAAGAAGAACTGTATCTCCCAAAAGTACAAAGCATATAAGAATCCTATATCCCGGTTCCTTCATACCGCACTGTATCCGCCACGCGAGCCTGCTCCTTGCAGTGTGTTGATCACACGGCGGAGCCAGTCCTGGAAGATGTAGGGGACATCGCGAATAGTGTCACCGTGGGGAAGGAGATCCCAGCCGCGGGCGCCGTAGCGGTTGTAGTTGAGCCATGAGCCGAAGATGAGGTAGGCGGCGATGCAGAGGAAGGCGCTGCAATGAAGTTAGCAATGAACAGCACACTCACAGGAGCATAGACTTACATGATGATCAACCAGGTGAAGAAGCCCCAGCTCTTAGAGGCACCTTCACCCTTCTCGTCCTCGTAGTTGTCACAGGCATACTTTGTACGCCAATCCAGTCGCAGAATATATGTATCGTCATCCGAGAGCCCGAAACTCTTAAATTGAAGACTGCTGGTGTTCCCCTTTGGCGCCTCCTCCTCCGCCCTGCGACGCCGCTCCTTCGTCTCCAGGTCCTCGGCAAGAGTGTGCAACCCTTCAAGCCCAGATCGCTCGTGGTCACACTGGAATTCAATGATAGCGCCGGCCTTCTTAGCCTTCTGGTCATTTCCATCACCCTTGTATGAGCCGCCCTCGAGCTTAACGCGCAGACCTTCAGTCTCGGGATCGATGTCCTTCAATCGCTTCAATTCGGGATCCTTCGAGCCTTGGCCTACGTGGTCCAAGCCGACGATCGGGAAGCCGAATGTTGATCCGCCGTTTCCGTCTTTCGCGGCACGGTGTACAAAGCCGCAGACTGCATGAAATCAGTTACATGTGTTTTACCGGCGGTTGCTTGTGTGTGATCGCGGGTTGGCAAAACCTACCGTTCCTGCTACTTTCGCATGTCGCATCGCCGAAGCGGGCATTTTTTCCGAGAATATTGCAGATGTTCAGTCGGTAAGTCGTGTTTGTCTCGTAGTCGTCCGTCGTTACGGAATGGGTTATCTCGTGCACGCCTTTGAGGGGGCTGAGGTCATATTTGTAATTGTCAAGCTTAATGTGGGCGCAGTCGAAGCCGGAGGCTGACGCCAGGCTCGGTAGGAGGGCAGGGAGGAGGTATGAGGCGGATTGTAATCGCATAGTGATCGGTATCGACGCGAAGTCCAAGTGAAGGGTCGAAGGGCCGAAAGCTAGGATGAGGCTTCCGTGGGAGCTCAAGAGCTCAGGTGAAAATGGTCACGGGGGCAATAAATGTGACCTGTGCACAGATGCAAATGCGTTAGTTAAAAGGTGACCTCAGGAGTCTCCAGGTCTCTAGTTTGTGTTTGTGTGCAAGGTAAAAGTTGAGGGATGACGATGACGGGCGTGCCTGCGGAGGTGTTTCGTTTCTCCGGCGGCGGGTTTGTCAGGTCAACGCTAACAGTGATGCCTACAACGTACGTGGGCGACTCAGTACAAAACGAGGATGCCCCAAGTTACTGCTGTGTTTTCATGAATTTCTTCTGCTTACAATCGAAGCAAGACGAAATACTCAGGTACCTAAATGTGTGGCTATAATGATGTCACCTTGTAGAGTGCCTAATGGCCCAACTCAACCTGTCCCTCTCAGTATGAGATTCATGAAGGAGTCAAGCAGATAGATCAAAATCCGCCTATCAACCCTTCTTAACAGATTATTTCGTTTTGTTTTGACGTAGAAATCGTGCTATAGAGTCCTAATTCACTAGCTAGTTCACATGTATTGAAACCTTGGGAAATTTATTTTGAGGAGATGACCTAACATTGAAACAGTAAGAGAGCCTTGCAATATTGAGAAAGACATAATAACTGTAGCAATATTTGAAGACATAACCTCAACTCGTAGACATAACATGGTTGTAAACACCAAAAGCCACTCATCGCCAAACACGCACGGACCACCCCACTCAAACCCGATATCAAACACTCGAACCCAACCCGCAACTTGACAACTCACTAGCAATTGTCCACAACACAGTGTCATCACATATCATACATTCAAAATGGTCCAACCACGCATGGTAAGAACCCCCGCCAAGCGAGATACCAATCAAAAGCTAAAAGTGACCAGCTCGAAAAGGCCGACGAGGGCTCAGCCAATGATGAGAATGAGGTCCGTCGCGAAGACCAAGAAAAGATCAACCGCTTCAGTCGGTTGCATCAGCGCGAGACTACTCTCGAGGAGCAGCTGAAGGGCAAGCAGGTATGTATTTTTGATAATGGAATGCCTCGAGGCACCATTGAAGAATGATTTGTTAATTGGTTTAATAGAAAGATAAGGAAGATCTTGAGGAGGTCTCCATGGAATTGGAACTTGCTGATGAGGATGAGCTTGTCCCGTAAGAACTGTCCCTTCTTATACTGGTCTTTTTATTTGCAAATACGAATGTTTATCTAACATGTTCACAGCTACAAAATCGGCGACTCATTCTTCCAGCTACCGCTATCAGATGCGCAGAGCATGCTCTCGACGTCAACAGAGAAGATTGATGCCGACATCACCAAGCTTGATGAGTCTCTCGGTGAGCTGCGGGAAGAGATGCAGCAGCTGAAGGTTGCTCTGTATGCCCGGTTTGGCCGCAGCATTAATTTGGAAACTTAAAGTCAGTATGGTGGGGTGTATTTTCTTATTTTTGTTTCAAGTATATTTTCGTGAGAAGCATGAATCTCATGACAATGTAGGGTTGATTGACCTTATGCTATGTTTCGATAAAATCAATGAACAGGATCAGAGATGATAGGTGGCATGTGCTACTGGTACATATACAGATTCAGAAAGTGCAGTGGAGTAAATGTAACTCATCAATATCATTCAAACAAAACATGGTAGTCAGAGGTATCTAGGGGCCAGAAGAAGAAAAAAAGAAAGAAGAGAAGAAGAAGAAAAAAACCGCCAAACATGTAGACCGAAAGATCCATCAACTGTGGCAAATATTTAGGAACGGCACAGGAATTTGAAAGCACCAGGTAGCATAACGCCTATTCGCCGGCAGTGCTGTCGTGTCCGGGTTAGGACCTCGTGAAGCCAACCCGGACTGACATTAGAGAAGGGAAATCAATTAAACAAAACTCCAAATCATGGCCATACTTCTGTTCACCGTCATGGCCGACGGAGGTATGTATATACGTCGTGCGTATTGGGATTTTATGTCCGTTTTGCCAATGGTGAATCACCTGAACTTGGCACGGCAGCGGCCCATAATTTCGTTCTGGCATACTAGCTCGGCACTAAACTCACTGCCGTCTAGCGTGAGGTAGATATCGAAGTAGACTCGGTAGAAAATTCCTTGGGGTGTGTCCATGCGCTCGAAATCGGTCTCTAGGTTCTTTCGCGAGAGGTCGGATGTCAAGGTGACAACTTCCTTGATGCCTGAGTGGGGTTAATTGGTGGACTTTCAGATAGAGGGGTTTGTTTGGACTTACGAGGATCCTTGGTGTATTCAGGGCAGACATCCTCATCACAGGCGTATAGCACATCCTCGTACATGAGTGTGGCGCCAGGTGCGACCTGACGGAAGAAGCTGACCTTGACTGGCTCGCCAATCCTGACACGCTCTCCTTTTTGGACGAATATTTGACGTGTGTATTTGCATCGGTCGCGACCATCCAGACTTGGAACACGGTACTGCTCTGGGTGGTATCCCTCCTTGAACGGCTGGAGAGTGGCCATCAGGTAGTGGCGACGCGCGACACGGTGGGTGATGACTCGCTCGGTGATACCTGCGGTAACCGCACCCTTGACGATTGCGGCGACGGAGTCCATGGGGCGCACTACCTTGGTCTGATACTGAGGTGGCACGTGAAGCTTGATCTGCTGGAAGAGGTATTCTGAAGCACCGAATCCTCCGACAACCAGAACGTTCTGTGGATATTTGTTAGTTCATATTTGCAGAATATGAAAGAAAGCATCTTACCTGGAGTGCACGATTCTGCGCTTGAATAGCGATGATCTGGTTGCGGACCAATTCGAGAATGCGGTTCACAACTGGCTCGAAGCACTGGAGAATCTCCTCGTTCATAAAGGTCATATAGCCCTCCTCGATACCAGCATCGGGGAAGTCGGCCTCAATGCCCACGTCCACAGCCCATTTTTGTCCATTGTTGCGGAAGTCTGCCTTGATACGATTCTCAAAGTCCATGATACACTTCGCGTAGACCTTGCCCGCAGTCCGCGAACCATCTGGCAGCTTCATCTTGCGGATCTTGGCTCGCAAGATATTGCTGAAGTTGCGGTTCAATGCCGTAGAGCCGCAGGAGTCACCAGAGCCAGCCGTGCACTCCATAACACTGAAAGGCGATTCTTCTTCGACTTCGTATGCGATTAAATCCACGGTACCACCACCGCAATCCACGATCAAGATCGCATCCCCAACCTTGAGGTTGAGCAAACCGCTCTTGGCACAAAATAGCGCAGCTGCTTCGGGCTCGGAGACTAATGTGAGACGGTTGTCGTTCTCATCGCGCAAGAACCCAGCCTGGATAGCTGCAGTTCGCGTCGCGGCCTTTCCTGCATCGTTCCAGATAGCTGGTACCGTCAGGTAGTACCGGATGTTGCGCTCCTCGCGGGTGAACACCTCTCCTAGAGTCTTGAGCAGCTGGGCGCGCATGGCCTGTCGCAATTTGAAGAGGTAATCGGCCGCGACGTCGATTTCGGACTTGCCCGGGGGCAGAGGGGGAAGGTTGATGGGATCGATATATGTGTTTCCGGAGAGCATTAACTGCAGCTTGAACCACTCAACCTTTTGAACTAAGGGCTTGGGGTATCCGGTCGGCGCGAGCGCGTCGGCGATATCGGGACCCCATCCTACCACCTTTTGGTATTGATCGTAGTAAAGAACGGTGGGAATCTATCAAAAAAAACAAGTCAGATCAATGCGTAGTACAGGTAAGTTTCAATCGTGCTCACCTTCTGTTTTGTGTGTGTTCCGGCACCTGGCCATTCTGTAATGATGTCCTCTCTTGCCTCGTTGTTTGTCGCGAACGCGTATGCGACACCCGAGAACGTGGTACCGAAATCAATGCCGACGATCAACTGGGCCTTGCTACGGCCAGCGCCCTCAACCTCGACCGCGGGGTTGCGCCCCGGGTAGGTAGCATTCGACAAACTTGTCGGGATGCTGGGTGCCATCTGTTGCTGCTGCATAGGGTAGCCTGGCGGGCCGTTCAGAGGAACACCGGGCTGGTTGTATGGAGGGTTTGTCATAATGGGAGGAGGTTGACCACCATGTTGCACCATTGGGCTGGTTGGGCGATAACTTGGCGGTCGGCCCATCTGCTGCTGGGGTTGGTTCGGGTTGTTCATTGGTAGACTTGTTGTTGATGAACTGTGGCCGGAAGGCGGGGAGCTTGCAGAAGTACTCGGGGGAGCAACAATGGTCGGAGTTGGAGGATTTGGCGTTGGCTTGTGTTTGTTTTTATTAAAGCCAAAAGACCTGAAGCGAGAACTCATGAGGTCCATGTGCGGCGACAAGAAAAGAAAAAGGGAAGAAGGGATGAAAGGAAAGAGGGGGGGGAGAGTGAGGCTGAGGTTAGGGTAATTGGTGGAGTTCAAAGAGACTTGAAAGAATCGGAAACCTGACAAGTAGTTTTGACAAAAAGAGAATAAAACAAACGGCGCGGTAAATACAAGGGAGAAGAGAGAAAATTATCGAGGCAGACGAAATTCCTCAGGCTGATCGAAGTTATACTTAGCACATTTAGCACCACTTCGTTAGTACAAATATAGTACGTTGTTTAGAGGATCTCTCGTATCTTGATTCGGAAAAGACTTCATATAAATGACTTAGTGTTTTCATGATACTAACTGATACATTAGAATACTTGAATTATTAGCTCGGATACCTAACTGCTTACAATTCTATCTCACCGTTTCTTTCGCGACGCACAGGTCTCCTGCGGGGTACATTTTACTCTTTGAGTGAGTCCATACATACACATGTAACTATAGATCTCTACGATGGCGTATAAATTATACACAAAACAACTGCAATATACATATATTCTAGATAGGCTTCTAGTCTTCCTGTGATCGATCCACGGATTCCGACGATTTCTTCCTTTGTACGTTTTGGCCCCCAAATGAATATGGAAAAAGATAGGCGGACACAGCCTTGTCAATGGCCGAGTCGTGTAATTACAGGGTTTCCCACTTTCTGGCCCCTCACACCACAGGCAATTTTCGCGCCACCCAGTGCGATGGCTGGTAAAGATTCTGAAGCATGCTGTTAGGGTCCTGAATATAGCCACAAGCCCGCCGATCGCCATTTTTCTCAATGCGGAATCCCATGCGCTCGACAAGGCTCAGCACTTCTTCTTCGCTCAACTCCACATTCCCAGGCTCTCCAATCCCTGACTCGTGTCCGACATCGTTTGTTTTGCGGGAATGACCGTCATCAAAATGCCACAGTAGGGGGCCAACATTGATCCAGATTCCATTAGGTTTGAGGCTGTGTCGGATCGCCTCGATGTAGCGAATAAGGTTTGGAGCCGTGTCAATGAAGAACACTGTAGCCACCGCGTCAAATGATTCTTTATTATCCGGCTGAGCGTACAATACCGTAAAATCAGCGGCAGACATCGACATTGTTCCCAAGCGCCGACCAGACCCAATCGCCTCTTGCATTGCAGCCCCGGGATGGACGTCAGGGATCTGGACTTTCTGTAGCTGCTGGGTGCGGGATTGGAGGTTCGAGAAATGCAGTGCAAATGGATGGAGCGCATGCTTTGATGGCCCCTTGGTATGGTTCAGAACCCAGTTACTAGCCATCAGTTGGTGGTAAGAGATTTCATTTCCTTCAGCATCGTATCCAGCCATGCAGATATCGAAGACTAGCCGGCCCAGGCCAGCGCCGGGTACCAAAACGCGGATGTCTTCTCCACTGTCGCGCCGCGTCTGGAACTCATGATGGAGATCCTGGAGGACTGGATCGTAGCAGACTTCTCTTTCAGCTTGCCCTTCGAGGCTCCAATCCCGATAAAATTGACGTATCGTGGAGTGAGCTTTGTTGACATCTGAAGACGTGGCTGTGTCATGCCAATTTTGAGTAGGATCGTTTTTGTCAGGAGCTATAGAAAGACCGAATGATTGCAGACCAATTTCAAGAATAGCATCAGCCATTTCAGCGTTGGTGTCGATGGCATCATCCACTTTGTTGAAATTGTCCAAAATTGAAAATGGGGGCTCTGAGAGCATCTGCCAGTGCGCTGATGGCAGAGCGTAGAACGCTTGTCGGCGACGATGAGTGGTATTCATGTGAGCATTCCGCCGATATTGTCTGTGAAAGGTCAGTAATGCAATTGCGAACAGCCCTGGAGGTTTCAATATGCTTGGTTTACGTCCGAACCCAATGCCAAAGTCATTCGCCAATACATATTACGGAGATGTTTATCCACATACCTGAAAGAGTCAAAAGCGGCAAACAAAACTCTACGCTCCTCGGGATCAGCAAAAGGATCGAAATCCCCTTCCCAGCTATTCTCCCCTTCCCCATTATGGGGATGTTGATGCTCAGATGCCATGCGAAGGTCGTGTGACTGGACCTGATTATTTAATCAAAAACCAAAAAAGTCAGCACCAGCCTTAGAAGCTGGCACTTGTAGACCAATCTCGTGAAAATACAGAAAAGCAGAGAGATAGAAAGTAGTAAACGAGTATATGGAGGGGGAGTCGAAAATAAGTGGGCAAAATATTCCTGAGGCATCCGCACTGCCATTGGTGGGAGCCGTGAGGGCGGGGATTTCGATATTCAACGTTCCTCCCCCGAGCCTTGCAACCCATTCCATCGACATTCGTCAACTAAGCATCTAACCCTCTGTTTATTTGCAAAGCAAATTATCAATGGCGACCGAGGCCGCAATTCTTCAACCGGAGGTGACGGCTCCGAGTGTCAAACCCCAAGAGATTTCATTCACGTTGCCCAAAGCTTTGCATACAACAGCCCATGTCCACCTAAACTTCCTGGGTCATTGTGCTATGGTATTTCTGGCTACTTCAAGTCCTGTCGACTCTGGCGGTTCAATTAAGCCGATGGGGAGTTTCGTCTATGCGATGCCCGATGTAAGTATATGACATATCAACTCTATCATTTCCCCGAGTATCAATTGCATTGTTTCTCCTAAAAAGCAGCCCGTGGACATATAATCCGCTTTATCTGCCGCTGAAGTCTCACTTTGATGTTCCAAGCGCGGGTCAAGTGGAATATGCTCCAATATACTGTGCACAACCCATCCTTGATTTCGAATCGAAAGCCATGATACATTCACAATATACCTTCTATTTTATCTTTAATCTTGTTGTATTTCTGTTAAATCTAAAGCTAACATCCATCCAGCGCACATCATCCAAATCAACAATAGCAACAACACTTTACACATCAGCGCCTAGCATCGAGTACACATCCCGCATAGCCAAAATTCTGGCCAGGCGGTTCTCCATCCCTGTCTATGTTGGGTGCAGTATCGACCCACATGGTCTGGGCCTGGAGGTGGCAGAGGAAATGGAGGGGCTGACCAAAATCATCAACGTCATCATGGAGAAATGGGAAGAGCACAAGAAGGAGAAGCCTACTGAATAGAAAGCCTTGATCAGGCCGTTGTTTGGTTTACGACAAGTTGTCAAATTTCGTCTTCGTCGTCCATTCTGGTCAGAATCATACCCAATGGAACATCACAGATCTCAATATACCCAGGCTTGATCTTTTGATTTCTTTCGCCTGCATGCACTTTAGTTCTTCCCTGTCCACCAAGCTCAAGTGCTGCCTAAAAGGATTCCGACCTACGTGGTAATTCTGATACCAGGCCTCAATCTACAGCGTATACTCACGAATGTCACGATCCTGGCCAGTCATCCTCTTTCAAGCTCTAAGATTGTTGTTTCGGTCGAACGGAGCTTGTCAACTTCTTTCATCTCAGTGCAATGGCTTACAGAGATTGGATCAAGTTCGACACAGACAAGGTGGTTGGCCCACAGTGCCTCCATCCTGCTCAGGAGCCAAACAGCTTCCAAAACATAGTCCCTTGGAGACGCTGGAATATAAATACCTGAAGTGCCCTCTCCAAAAATGTCGTTTACTTATCCAAAGATTGTCCTCTCGGCCTCCAGACCGTGATTATGGCTCCTTTCAATATTGGCATCAAAGCCATCGAGATATACTTCCCCAGCAGAGTAAGCATCATATTACCTTGAAGGATTTGACGCCTAATTATTGAATGCCAGTATGTCTCTCAATCTGAGCTCGAACAATTCCTCGGCGCCAGCAAAGGAAAATACACAGTTGGACTGGGGCAAACAAAGATGAGTTTCTGCGACGACCGCGAAGGCAAGAGAATCCCCGAGCCACACAGCCACCAAGGCTTCCTATCTCTCAAAGTTTATGGCTAACGTATTCCAGACACAAGCTCCCTAGCCTTGACGACGGTTTCAAACCTACTCTCCAAAAACAACATAGATGCAAGTACAATCGGCCGCCTAGAAGTCGGCACCGAAACCCCCCTGGACAAAGCAAAATCTACCAAGACAGTATTGATGCAACTGTTCACTCCAAACGGCGATATTGAGGGGGTGGATACCTACAACGCCTGCTACGGTGGCACAGCCGCACTTCTGAACGCAGTGCACTGGATCGAATCCTCTGCATGGGATGGGCGCGATGCGATCGTCGTGGCCGTTGACATCGCCTTGTATAACACCGTTGCTGCGCGGCCGACTGGCGGCGCGGGATGCGTTGCGATGCTGGTTGGTGCAGACGCAAAGCTTGTTGTCGAGCCGCTGAGGGCTTCCTTTATGCGCCATGAGTATGACTTCTACAAGCCTGATTTTGGTAGTGAGTATCCGCTCGTTGACAAGAACTCGTCGAGCCGGTATATTGAGGCTCTGGATATGTGCTATCGCGGGTATCGGCAGAAGAAGAATGGGATTATGGGAATGGATGGCCATGAAGGTGGAATGGGCTTGAAGAGTTCTGGCTTGGATGGACGCTCGACCGAAGTCTGGGCTCCACTTGGTGAGTTCGATTTCTTTGTTTTCCACGCGCCAAACTGCAAGCTTGTGAGCAAGGCTTATGCCCGACTGCTATGGAACGACTTCGTCGCGTGTCCGGACAATGCGCTGTTTACTCCGGATGATATTCCTCCTACGATTAGAGAGCTGGACTATGAAGATTCGTTGCAGGACAAGAGTCTAGAAAAGCTGTTCATGGGGCTGTCGCGAGAGCGATTCTCACAGCGCGTGCAGCCCAGTCTGACTTGCCCGACGATGTGCGGAAACATGTACACTGCGAGCTTATATTCCGGGTTGGTCAGTCTGCTAAGCAATGTACCAAACGAGGAGCTTTTAGGCAAACGAATTGGCATGTTCAGCTTCGGAAGTGGAATGGCTAGCACACTATTCAGTCTGCGTGTTGTTGGCGATGTGCTCCGCTTAGCGCAGAAAATTGACTTGCATGCTCGCTTAGCTAGGAGAGAGAAAATGGCCCCCGAATTTTACGATGCGGTGAGTGATTTTCGTCCCAAGATTGAAGATGGAACTAACGATCGCAATAGATGTGCAGAGTTCGCGAGAAAGCCTATCAACAGAAGGGTTACACGCCTATTGGAAACATCGATGCGCTTGCGCCGGGGACATACTACCTTGCTCATGTGGACGAGGAATTCCGACGGACATATTCGGTGAAAAGCTAAGCGACCATTAAGTTCAAGGCACCAAGATAGTTAAGCTTTGCTCGCGCTGTGAAACATTTCACATGCTTTAATTTATATTACACGAGCATACCACCTTAATCCATAACTATAGCAGGGTTGCATCAATGGACTCGGAAAAAACTTGCGTTCAATCACACATGAACCTACAAAAGCGATGTCAGTAAATAACTGGACAAATATTGCGAAGCCCAAAAAAGAGACCACTCGGCACACGCACCGAGTTTCAGATCCATACGTCAGAGCCAAAACCCTCCCCCGTTTGATCTGAGACATACCCGCGGACTAGCAGGCGGAAAGACATCGGGAGTCTCAAGTTAAATACTGTGACAGCTGTGAAACCAGAACAAATCGGAAGAGCTCGGTTAACGGGAGTTTGTTTCATCAGATCGTTGTCCCGCTGTGGGGCAACTCCGGGTGTGTTTTTCTCTCACTGACATGCCTAATTATGTGTCAGGTACAAGGTGGAGGTGGTCTTAATTTTGGGATTGAAGGAAAATTGATGAATCTACACATTGAGTCTGTTTGAACGTCAGCTTGACCTAACAGAAGCACTGTGAGAGACAAGCTGGCCATTTTGTTCTTGGCAGTGGGGGTGGGCGGCTATGCAATCAGTACTTTTACTTCGGAGGCGGCCGAACTGCGCAAAGCCCATGCGCATTGTACCAAGTCGGAACTGATAATGGCTAACTGCCGTGAAATGATAGGCACTCCCATATGTAAGTCGACGCGCGGACCCCAAACAATCAATATTAGCGTATGGCATATGCAGACTATCTCCTGAGCACCTAGTGGCAAAATTGCCTCAGTCAAGAAATCCAGGGTCCTCGCTACCAGCCTCTCGCTAAAAACCAACCGCTCGGTGCTGGTATATTTCTGTGCACATAATTGGATGTCATAAGACAAGGTCAATGCTCTAAACGTGCCGTTGCGCTGAGCCTCTGCGTATGGAGAATAATTCCGACGGCACGAACGGTAAACTTATTTGGCTCAGCGTTAAGCTCGTGCAGCAATGCGCCCAAGGAATGCATGATCGGGAGACGATAAACAAAGTACCTTTTTTTAAAAAAAAATGACAGCAGCTAGTTAAGTTGAGGCGCCGCCACGCTCTCTATATAACCAATGCGAAGGAAGTCGGAACAAGTCCAGATGCCCTAAGCGTCTAACCGAGAGCGGGGAAGCCGATCGCGACATACAATAATCTCAAGGTTGAACTTCCCAGACTGCAAGGGCCAATACAAAGCGATACGACCCGGGCTCTCTTCGCTTGACGAGCCGACCGGAGTAGTTCCGGGAATCAGTGCTGATTGACGGGAAACTAACCAACAATGGGAGGGGCGGAGCGGCTGAGGCTGTCTGTGCTCGTTTTAATTAATTTCTTTTTCAGACCAAAGTTGTTGTAAGTAGCTTTTCCTGTTCAGTCCTGCATAGCATTGGCATTGTTGGAAATGTCCAACGCATCAGGTTGGTGAGATTAATATGGCCAAGACGTTGGTGCTTAGGGTCCTGGAGAAATTCTCCGTTCGCGGCACCAGACCTATTCGGGTTGGAGCACCGGCGTTGGCATGTCAATCATGTCAAAGACGGCACAGACTGCACTATCTGACAACGAACCTGCCTTTTTGACGTTAGTAGATCAATCACCGAATTAGTTATTTTCGGAAGAGCGGATATCTAGAGACTCCTCACATCAAACGTTTCGGACAAAGCTCGGGCACTGTAAGTGAATACCAGTCTGATAAATCGACCAATGCTCGGCAGCCAGTCATCGCTCGAGTAGGAAAGATTGGCCCATTCCCAGGTTTGCCACTGGGTCCCGGGTCAACCATCCGGCCTGTTCCATGTGGTCCGGTGCATGACTTCCGAAGTCGATCATCAGGGCTTGTGCAGAAGTCGAGTTGAAGCGACGACCACCGAGATCCAACAGGTCTATCTAGATGCGATCGTTTAGTTTTCCTTTACTAGTGGCACACCAGATGGGGTTTCATTAACTATTTCTACAGGCGGATTTTCATCTGCTAGGTTTTGATTTTCGGTCTATGCAACGTATAAAAGTATAAATCTCACACATAACTCGGGCTCCAATTCATCTAGAGCCCGAGACCTTAATTTTGACTAAATTCTTTCTTAATGATCATCATACCTAGCCTATCTGTCAACAATTAGGTGGACACCGCCAAGGGCATACCGGATGACCTTACACTGGATTGAGTTCCAATGAACCAACCAGACAAAGTTCACCGGTGGACCATGAGTTTCTTTGAATTCCACTTCTGGTAGCCATCGACACTGCCACTGCCGATCTCGGGGTGTGCATGGTGAAAATGGGTGTAATAGGTATTTCTGGTGATAGGCAAGATACATTGAAGATGATTCTCTAGTCTGACTACCCACATATCGACTGAGAGATGCCCACAGGTGTACATACGTATGTAGGTATAGCGATAGGTAATACCTGGGTATACATATGTAGGTAGATATAATTTAATATCTATCGGCTCGGCTAGATCTGTCATTTTTCGGCTGAAGATTCCTTAAAATTTTAATTTCTTAATTTTTCTTAAAACTGTTTGAAATATTCTCCGCGATCTGAAGTTTGATTTGAATACGGGACCCTGATGGAGCTTTGTTAATGGTGATCGTAATACTGTTCTCGTCGATCTGGTTCGCTTTTTCTCGCTTTTCCTCGCTTTTTTCTTTCCTTTTTTTTCCCTTTCTTTTCTCTTTCCCTTTTTTCTCTCTTTCTTCAACCGATTTGAAACATTCTCCGATCTCCCCTTTTCTTCACATTCTTTGATCGCCCCAACCTCGGCATTTGCATACTCCGCGCAACCCGATTGTCTGGAGACAGGCGCCATTTCGCCTTTGCTGTTTTTTACTTGCACTCGCATTTGGCCTAATTTCTGATTTCATTTTCATTTCCTTATCCCCAATTTCGACAATGGCCTTGCAATCTTGCTCTCACGATTAACACACGTTTTGAAATTTGAGGGGGGAAAGAACATATAAAAAAAAAGAAAAGAACAGAAAAAAGAAAAGAGAAATAAGTCGGCAAAATCATCATTATTTCTTAAATTTCCCCTCATCTCTGCTTTCTCACAATGCAGCCTCACTATCGCGGAAATAACCCGGGCTACGAACTCCCACCGGTGCAGTCAGTGACGTCGGGCGCATTCCCGGCTCCTGCGGCCCTGCTTTCCGCTCCGCCGAGCAGACCAAACAGTGGTATGCAAATGGCTCATCTATTACAACCTATGCAGCAACTAGCTGCACCAGCAACATCACCCTACCAGCGCTTCTATGACTCTGCTTCAGGTTCTCCCGCCGAGAGTGGTGCGCTCCCCGATCCGCCGCCAATGGGTTCAGCTCCTCTCTACCAAACCAGCCCCGTCGGCCATGGCCAACCGACCCCCGCGCAATTACAGCAAAAGCGCGCATATCGCCAGCGTAGAAAAGATCCTAGCTGCGATGCCTGTCGCGAACGCAAGGTTAAATGTGACGCTTCCGAATCATCCAGTTGCACCGAATGTAACAATCGCAGGGTCCGCTGTCAATTTACCAAGGAGACCAACCGTCGCATGTCGTCTATCAAGCAAGTTCAGGATTTAGAGAAACAGCTGCAAAACACCAAGCAGCAATTACAGCATCTACAGACTGGAATGATGCGACCGGATCGCATGGTTGATGTCGATGAAGGCGTGCCGCAGCCGATGATCAAGTTGCCTGAGATCGAGTACCGCCCTGTGCGTCGGTCAAAGGCGCCTATTGCTCAGGATTTTTCTGACGTGCGCTCTAATCTCCGCCACTATGGACGTGGCATTTTCAAAGTGCCGACCCCTTACCGCGCGCAGGGTGCGGAGTCACTGGTAACGGGTAATGCGCCGGATCTGCCGCCAAAGAACTTGGCAGACCACCTGTTGGCGCAATACTTTAATTGTGTTCACTCGGTGTTGCCAGTGCTTCACTGGCCCACCTTCACTGCGGAGTATGACAAAGTCTATCGGTCGGGCTCATTACTAGGAGTCTCGAATGTATGGGCGGCTGTTCTGTTTGGTGTATTTGCCTGTGGTGCTATCCATACAACAGAGCCAAACCGCGAAGAGGAAGGCAAGAAATACATTCGCACATCATGTGGAATTATCGATGTCTGGCATGATAGCTTTAACTTGGATCGGGTTCGGGCTGCTTTGCTGTCAAGCATCTTTTTGTATGAGGTCAATTCAAAGTCGGCCAGCTGGGTGTGGATTGGTTCCGCCACACGTGTGGCCCAAGAGATTGGGTTGCACATCGACTCCGGACCATGGCCTGCCGTCGAAGGCGAGATGCGGAAACGCGTTTGGTGGGGGGTATACGCCTGGGATAGACTACTCGCGCTCGAGATGGGAAAGCCGGTACTGATCAATGACCAAGACTGCGATATCGATCTACCATGTCCGGTGGACGAACAATACATCACAGAAGGAGGCAAGACCCCGGACAACCAACAAACCACACCATTACTAGCAACTATTCACGTCGTCCGCTCAATCGGCCAACTCACCCGCACCCTTCGCTCAGCAACCATCAGCTCAGCGACCCTCGAAACCTTCGAACTCCATTTCAACACCTGCCTCGCAACCTTCCCATCTCAATTCCACCCCAAAACCGACCAAGACCTCGACCCCCGCTCCCTCGCCCCGGTTATCTACCTCCAAAACGCCCGCCTCCTCCTCCACCGCCACAACATCTCCCCCTTCTGCCCAGATATCGTCCGTGCCTCTGCAATGGACTACTGCGTCTCTACAGCCCTCGACACAGCCAATATTCTCGCCCGCTGTACACGCAATTACCCAACTCACCCCACCCCCGGCAACGACCCACGTGCCCTCTTCGCCTCCTGTGCCGGCTCCATCCTCTGCACCCACATCTGGCGCTGCAGCCTGCTCCTTCTGTTCCGCGCCGAATACGCTGGCGCCCTCGCTTGCGTGCAAGCCCTCGTCTCCATCGGCGACACGCGCACCGCGAACGCCGCCTGCGGCCGCTACCTCGCCTTCTTCTTGCGGCGTCTGCTCTCCCGCATCCGCGCCGAGGGCCACATCCCGGATCTTGACCGCGACGAAGAAATGTTGGCCTACGTTTCGGGCGATATGCAAGGCACCAGCGATGGCAGCTGGGTCTGGCACGGCTCCGAGACGGGCTCGCAGCTCGAGGGCATGGGGCACAGGACGACGCCGAATCCCGCCGGCAGGCCGGAGACGGACACGGATGAGGAGTGGGAGGGGTGGGAGTGGATTGAGAAAGTTGTTCACGATATGTTCTCCGAGCAGCATCGGCTGGAGTATCCGGTCCCTGTTCAGGCGAAGCAGGATGTCTCTGCCTCTGCTCTTGCGCCGGAACCGGCGTCTACGGATAGGCGGTCGAGTTCCGCGCATTCACGCATGACGATTGCTAGCATTATTTAAAGCGGGTGCCTTTTTCATCTTTTCATTTTTGTTTCTTTGGCTTCGGGGTTCAGCATGCTCTTGTCGAATCTATCAGCGATGTGTTTTTTTTTGCCGTCCTTTCACACTTTGGTGTCGCACAGTCCACCCGCATCATATGCTTCATCGGATTCATCTGGATCCAGAACTGGTTTGGAGTTTTGCGAATACTCATAGGCAGTCGTTGCGGCTTGGTTGCCTTTATATCTCCCTCGCCGAGATTGCATTGCCGATACCCTTGCCCGTCCTTGTTCATAGCTCTGGCTTTTTTTCTGTATATATTGACAAGTATAAGTATTGAAACATGAAGATTTTTCAAACTATCGATTGGTGTAACGTGAAATTGATGTTTAGCCAGATGTCGAGCGTAGTGAGGAAAAGAAAAAGTAAAAGAGAGAGAAGTCAAAGACAAGGGGGGGAGCGATTTTACTCGGACAGTTCGCACCTTTCTCAATATGTACCCATATGCCCAAGAGCCTCTTGATGGCACCTTCCCAGAAGGGATGCGACTCGAGGCCCTCGGTTCTCTGGATATGTTCCTCGGCCCTTTAGGTGATTGGCAAAGCGGTTTTAATTTGACATTGACTTTTATTGATTGATCCCATAATATGCTAAAGCAACTATATCTCAATCAAACATTAGCAATACACCAGTTCCTTGAGCTCACTCCATCTCTCCAACCACAACACTCAACACCTCCAACATCTCAACCGATCTCATCCAAGGCAAGGACTTAAATCAAGGTCTGCTCAACGGGGAACAGAGTACCATTCTGGATAGAACCAGCGTGGTGGCGCGCAACAAGACCGTAAGCGAACTGGTACTTGTCAAGGAAAGGCAGAACCTCATTGAGACCGGGGGTCTTGCGCCAGTCGCGCATCAAGTCGCAGACGATACCGAACAGGCCCATGAGAGTGACGCCAGCCTTCTCCATGCGGCGGTTCGCATCCTCCGCAAGGCGGATGTCGAAGGTACCGCTGGCATCGGTGTTGGCGAACACTTCGTAGCCAGCGTCGACGAGGGAAAGAGCCAGGAAAGAGGTGCCTGCGTTGTCAATAATTGTCTAATTATACAAATGAGAGTTTCTCGGGACGAGCGAACTTACAAACTTCAGTCACAATACCAGCGATAATCAGCTGCTTCTTGCCGGTGGCCTTGACGGCGGCGCGGAAATCGGCGTTGTCCCAGGCGTTAACTTCACCCTGGCGGCGGACGAAGGTGGCATTGGGGTGCATGTCGATGATCTCCTTCAGCATCAGGCCGTTGGGGCCCTGGTCCGAAGAGCTAGTCAGGACAGTGGGCAGGTTGAAAACGTTGCCCAGAGCTGAGTGGCCGAGGATGTTGTTGCGGAAGTCGTTGGTGTTGTAGTCACGGACGACCTGGGCGAGACCGACCTGGTGGTCGATGATGAGGAGGGCCTGGGATAGTTAGATTCCGGGTCGGATGGGGACTTGCAGGACTGAAACTCACGGCGTTGTCCTTGTTGAGTCTGTTCCAGGCCAGGGCGGGAACAGTTGCTGCGAGCAGCAGGGCGGCCTTGATACCAGCGGAGATGAACATGTTGACAGAGAGAGTTTGGAAGCTGTGAAAGGAGCTGAGGATGTCTGGATGATCTGATCTGGATATACCTCAATGCCTGGGGATGAGGTCGCTTTTATACCCGTCGAGGCCAGCTCGTGATGAGACTCCGAGACCAACCGCTCGTCTTGATCGGATAATCATGACCAAATATTTTCTAAGACAGACCTCGCTTACTGCGTTGCTTATCGCGAAATTATCGTGCCGTCGGTGTTGGTGTTGTTTGCTGCCAGTGCGTAATGTCAGTGCTGGACGTATACAGGTTGGGTTTACCGCAATGTCTTGGCTTGCATCAACAGCCACATGGATCCCAGGGGAACGGTCATATTACAGTATAGAGTGACATTACGAGATCGTTACGGAAGTATTATCAACCATTGGAGTATCCATTTTCCACTTTGATCCCGATCATGGATATAGCGTGCAGTAGCTTATTTCCAGATGAATGGCATAGATTGATTACACTTATTGCAGGGTCCCGGCCTTCTAACGAAAATTTGAAGGCCGGTATAGTTTTCTCCAATTTGTCTTTACATTTTCTAGTTCCGGTATAGACATTTTGTTTACTCTTGAGATGATCAAGTTGAAGTTAAAAGTTGACTTAGCGAGAAGTACTGGGATGGAACGCAATTTCCTAAAAAGGCATAGCTCTGCTGACCGTTATTCGCTAAGCAATGAGAAAGCAATAACAGCCTCGAGTAACTTGGGAAATCAGGTCTCAAATTAGATTCATTCCGCAATTGAGCCAGCGTTCACATCATCAAGGCGTTCACGGTTTTTTTTTTCCAAGATAAGCGACAAGGTCAATCTTCTAACGCTGAGTCCGGATATATCTGGGATTCCGACAGATACCACCTACAGGATGCCACTGCAATATGAAGGCGATACGAAAATCACTTCAATCTTGGCACTTCTTGCATGAACTACAAGGTGGTGGATCATATTAGAGCCTCTACTGTGGCAACGTATATCCTGGCAACATAAGAGATTTTGACCATCTGATAAAAATAAATGCTCCATTTCAAAGAACCCACAAAAGTGTTCGGGTTCCGGTCATTTCGGTGAATTGGTTCTTTAGACTAGTGGTCGGGGTTCTCAAGGGGGTGTCCCGAAACCCCATTACAAGCGCACTAAAGAGTACCGGGGCATGTGGTGCATTTCCGGTAGAAAATGTCGCTGAGTGGAGATGAAGCAAGCCACAACGTTCAATTGATGCCTGGTGGTTGTTTTGATTAAAGTACGGAGTATAGATTCTCGAGATTGGCTATTGTGGGTCTGGATTTGAGACAATGAATCAAAAGACGGAACTGCAAAGGTCAACTTGATGTTGTGAACATGCTACGAAATACTTTATACTTGAGGGAAGTGCATGTAAAGTACTAAAAGGTGTGTTTGGTGCATGTATTTTTTGCATCGATTTACCTTGTAATTTGAACCACGATAGCACCTTGAGGGACACTATGTCAAGTCTGACATCAGCCGCCATATTTGAATGGCTTAGATTAAGGTTCATAGCCTTTCCATATCTACAGCACTGTTAGATGGCATAAATCAATGTACTAGAGTGTAGCTTTGGAAAATTGGGGACTAGTATAAACACGTTTATATGACCCATCAGACCGAGTCCACTATCCCCTTCTGGCTGGAATCCAAACCCGCCGGAAATTAGGCCAATTGAACTTCAACCTATCGGCTCGGCAGACCCCAACCAGTCGTCCAACCTGCAGGGCTCACTTTAGCGTTATTTAGCGTCTTACAAATAGACTATAATCTGCTTGTCAGCATACCCGAACCTTGAGCTAAAGCTGCAATTCCCGTTGGGGTCTAGTCGGTACGTTTTTCCGGGAATCAATTCACTCGGCTCAAGCCCCAGAGCCCTGATTGAACAGCCCCGTCGCCAATATAGCTGCCAAGTCATGCAGATGTCGTCCATACACCACACTTGTAATCTATCTCTCCACACATCTCTCTCCCGCCCTTTGCCAAGTATTAGCATAGCCACTGCGGAGAATTCGTGCCTGGTCGCTACGTCTGATGAGATGCTACCATTGTGTGATTGTTGTCACCAGAGATCTCGTATAACTTGGATCCTCTGTTGTCATGTCTGCTTATAGACTGCCCTTGAAAAATAATATGGTAGCGAAGAAGCTATCACATGCTGAAGCTAGTCAGGTTTGTGTTGTCGAACTATTTAGGAAGGTGGGTTCTTCATTTCACACGAATCAGGCGCCCGCAATATAAGATAGTTATTACTCGGCCTTCCCGTGTTTAGTGTGGTGCCTACGAATTCCCTTCGAAGACACTTGCCAAAGGGCCTCTTCGTTCCCTAGAGGGTGATATTTCAGTCAATTTTGCCAAGACGGCAAGCGTAACATCTCGGATCCGAACCCGGAAAAGTACTCCAATGCTTCCCACCCATTCATTTTTCACTTCCTTACGCAAAGCAAAACTCAGAACCACTCCCAGTCCTCTCAACAGGTAGGTCCAACAGATCGCTGCGAGGAGTTTCGACTAGACCGATAACCGGAATTTTCAGTGGAAAACTTTCAACTAGAAAGCTGTTTCAGAAAGCTGTTTCAGAAATTCTTTTTTCCTCTGTACTTCACAGTTCCCTGTCCATTTTTCCCGCACCACTTCGGTAAAATCTCGAGTAAAATTCTAGTTAAAACTACTTTTCTCACACCGGAAATTCTCGAACTTGACGTTCTGATAAAATCGGAAGCTGAAGATGAAGATTGATTGATTGAGGAACTGCAACAACTGCAACAACGTGGACAAAATGCACATATTATCACCGAAGGTCCCATTCGATCTAAGTTCCTAGTCAGATCACGGCCAAACTGAGAGCAGGTACCCTTGCGGCTAGCCATAATATCGCCCTCATCGAATTGGGCCAAAGACGACTTTGAGATCATCCGGAAGTTGCATCCTAATACTCATCAGTATCTAATGCCCAGACTCTGTATCCCAGCAAGGTTTTGATCGTGTGTTTTTGTTGAGGCAATAGCCAGTATGCAGCTTGTTGATGACTGGGTTGTTGATAAATTCGCTGCCCAGGTGGAGAAGCAGCGTTTACGAGCTTGCAAATTTTGTCATATGGTGCCATGGCTATAGCTCTGAGGATCAAAGCCTACTGCCTCTGAAGATCATCGATGGGAGATGCAGGAGATAGATGATTTATATTGAATTAAAGCATGCTTGCTGTTTTATTCAATTCTCAACTATGAGATCACAGCATCTACGGTTGATGATCACAATATATTCCAACATGATGATCTCAACTTTTGTTGTCAAAATAAGCCTAGAGGCTGGACACATGGCATTAAGCATTGTGCTTGCGCCTCGCCCGAGTTACCGGGTTTTACTTGTCCACAATCAGAGTAGAAAAAAGAATATATGGTGAGATTCTCTATCACTTTGGAAGCAGTGATACATATAATCAGAAGTTATGGCCCTAGACAAGGTTTTTTGGCATATCGAAAAATTCCAATTTATTCACCATTTCGGTTTTTCCAGCCAGTAATGCCAGCCCTAAGGTGCTCTACGGTGTTCATATAGTAGAATAGAAACGTGAGGATGAGACTATGACATACTGCACTCTAGCTGTTGCTGAACAGATCAAATGGTCAATCCCGTGGAGCCCACAATTGTTAACATCGTTGTAAGATATATATCTTGTTTCCTCTCTGATCAAATCGGAATGCTTCTTTACATGGTTCGTACTTTTGTGTTTCGTTTTTCTAGTAGTACATTAACTGTGATGATGTAGATCAAGTTCAAGGAATCTACTACCGTAGCCGACCGAAGCGAGTATGTCAATCAGTTTCTTTCTTGCGACAGGACTTGCTAATCAGTATGTGCGTAGATTCATGTCGGAGATCAAAGAGCACAGAGGCATGATAGTGAGGAAATATTGAATACAAGGGGGATATCTACAAGTGATTATGTCTAAATATATAACGTTGACTATACTAATTAGGTTTGATATTCTGGGCATGAACTGTCTTGAGTATTCAGAGAGGCGATTCCAGCAATATCTTGAAGATTTGGTCCCCTTAGAATAAGAGCGAGGAGAAAATAGTCATAAATACTGTTTCATAAAGTGTACTTGTTTGGTTTTGTTGAAGTCTATAAGCGAAAAATGACGATCTCATCTCAAAAATTGACTGCCAATAAATGCAACGATCAAGGACATAAGACCGTCAAATAAGATAAACAACCAAGGTCTGCATCTTCTAGCCAAATCATAAGTGTTCTTTATTATTAGAAATAAATGAGCTGAACTGTTCTACAAAAGACCGTCAACAGCGAGACTTCCATAGTCAGCACACATCCACAACTTAGTGTTATTCGAGAACCGAGGAGGTGGCTCTTGTGTTCTGCCTAATTCAATGTCAAGGTAGCATTCTTCGGACCATCCCTTGGAGGGCATCGACGGAGACCACAATAAGGCGGGATGTCAGGCGCCCTAGCCCAGCGACCAATACATACCGATTAGAAGACGAACAGCCCTCCCGAGTCACGCTGTAGGGGTGAATTTGGGGTCAGAGAGTACCCGTTGAAAAGTAAACACTAGGTACACCAAGCTGAGACTGTTGCCTTGAAGTCCATATCCGTGCAGAGGTCGCATGTTTTTCAAGTGCAGTACTGTTGTCCGGAGTGAGGAGCAACGAAAATCAAATAAAGTTCGGCGAATATATTGAAAAACCGATTAGCTTTCAGATAACTAGCCAGAAGTCCGCATATTCTTATACTCATTGGCAAATCACTTTCTCATTCAAAAGATTGGAGTGCGAGATCGGCGCGAGACTAGTCCTGCAGACTAGTTCTGCAGGTTTGCCTAGAGCTTCGAAGAGGGGTTGGGGACCTTAGCCCAGTTCTGAATCCAACTTCTTCGCTTTAATTTCGGTTTCTTCAAAGTGTATTTAACTTCTTCACACTCGTTTTTGTCCTGCTAATTACTTGCTTCTTCCGAACTTGATCCTGCATATCTTTCGTCACCCTTGATCATCGCTTTGACCTCCTTGGTCAAGAAGATATGCCTAATCACCATTACGAGTCGGTCTATACTACGACTGGCGAGGTGTCATCGCTAAGAGATGTTTCTTCGAGATGGAAAGTGGCAGCGGCCTGTTTTGGTGCTTTACAGCTGTTGGGGTCAGTTGAACGTCCCAATTCCAATGAGATCCATGATAAGAGGTCCAGACCGCTGACTGTAGCTGATTACCATTAGATATATGATGCTGGCCATCGTGATCGGTTACCCTCCTCAGGAACTACAACTCAACACCGCGGTGTCGACGTATTGCGCATTCTTCTTGATCGGAGGGTCGTGCTGCGGATTGGTATGGATTGCTTGTGTTCAAAGGAAGCACAAACGCTTCATAAACCATGCCCTGCTCATGTGAGTTAGAATGATATGCCGGATTTCTTCTGTTGGCTTTGGATCTAACGACGACAGTCCATATGCCACCTTCAACACCCTCGCACTCATCAATATCTTACTGCACATCCTAGCACACGATCTCCACTTGAACACCCTGCGACTTGTAGGAATCTGCCTACCAACTGCCTTCTCCGTGTGTTATACTATTGTTGCTTTGTTGATATACCGCGACTATCACCGCGAAGCGGAGAGCAGCAGGCCGCTCCTCAGTGACGAGGAGCTGCAACGACTACAGCTGCTTCGTCTGTTGAAGAAACAAAGTTCAAGTGCTCCATCTGCTGATCTTGTGCGGAATACCTACCGATTTGACCTGCCTGATGATGATGATGGAGAAACGCGTAATCCTGGAAATGGAACCCACTGACCTTCCCAGCAAGTTGTAGCGAATGGGATTGTATGTATGATATGAACATGACTGTGCTTCGGACGATGTGAAGATGAATAAATTAATGCATAATATTTGACTTGACCCTTGTGGTATTGTACATGTGTTGATGAGAAATCCCGAAATCCGAAAGCACAGCGCGTCATTTTGGACCTCGGCTGCTCCCGCGAACGACGACCGAATTCAAAACCCCAGGAACTCGCCGTCATCCGTCTCAGCAATTTTGATTTAACCTGCAGTCGTTTTTGTTTCTCACAAAACTTGACAGCCGCAAAATGTCTAAGCGTGTGACGATTTTCGATCCCCCTGCGCAGGATCATTCTAAAGCGCTGATCGAAAATGTGCTCGATCTAACTCCGGTGATAGACCTCGGTCCCGTATGAATATCCTCCCAGCACCGCACTCCTCACATTCTAATGAGTATATCTCTGTCTAGGACGTCTTCACAAACACACGCCCGCTATGGCATCCCCCCGGAGCTCGAGGCATTTACGGCGGTGCCGCGATCGCGCAGTCTCTATCAGCCGCCATGCGAACCGTCCCCGCCGATTACGCCGTCCACAGCATGCACTGCTACTTCGTGCTAGCCGGTGACTCCGAAATCCCGATCCTATACCACGTGGAGCGAGTCCGTGATGGAAGGAGCTTCGTGACTCGAACCGTGCAGGCGCGGCAACGGGGTCGCCCGATTTTCACCACCACACTGAGCTTCAGCCGTGTAGGCAGTGGCGGCCAAAAGACCATCCACCACCAGGCAACCAAGCCGGATGTGAACCTACCAGAAGAAGCCGAGCCAGGCAGTCTCAAGGCTCTCAGTAACGCGGGCAGTGGCCCCTTTGAGTCAAGGAAGGCAGGCATTGTGAACCGTAGGTCCCTGACCAGAAGCTGCACGTTATGCCAATTGTACTAATCGGTTTATCAAATCTACAGGTACCTCCGCAAACCCCGAAGAGAAGAAAGTCCGACGATACATCCGCGCCCGCGGCCACATCTCCGAGGAAGGCGGCTACCAAGCCCATCTATCAGCCCTCGCCTACGTGACCGACAGCTTCTTCATTGGCTCCGTTGCAATTGTCCACGATATTCCCCGATTCTCGTCTCCAGCCGAACTAGAGAAGCTATTGAGCGCCCTCAAGAACCCATCTGACCTCGACGACGAAGATATCACGCGGGCCCTGAAGGAGTTGAAAGAAGAGGAGGCCGCAGACCTCCGCCGCCGCATCGAAGGGGCTTTAGATAAGGCGACTGGCGCAAAGGATGCTGAACATAAGGAGGTTGGCATGATGGTCAGCCTTGACCATTCGATTTACTTCCATAACCCACTTGCGTTCCGCGCTGATGAGTGGATGTTGACCGAGATGGAGAGTCCTTGGGCTGGCGAGGGCCGTGGCTTGGCTATTCAGAAGATTTGGTCCAAGGACGGTGTTCTCATTGCTACTTGCACACAAGAGGTAAGTTCCTTTTGCTATTCCAAGCTAATTTGTAAGTACGGCGACATAAGCTGACTTGATCGCAGGGTGTCGTGCGCTTAAAGCAAGATAAACCACCATTGGCGAAGATCTAGAAACTCCTGCTATGGCATTTCTTTTACCCTAGCAGGCATGATCTTTCCCCTATATTTCTCCCTTCGCTTCTTTCACATTACTTCCTTCATAGACTTTGGCATTGTCCTCCTGAAATATCTGTCATTTTCATTTTTGCTACATAAATATTGTTCAGTCCATAGCTTTAAAACAATAGCATTTCCTAATTCAATTGAATAATGAGAACGTTTCAATATGGCCTACCTATGTAGGTAAAGCATTAACATGATATTTTATGTTTCTCAAAAGAAGGAAAGAACACAACTTTTGCTTGTTGAATCAAAAAGCCGCTGACCCATTTTAATGTTCCCAAGACAAAAATGCGAATACAACAAATCAAAGGTATAAAACCAGAAAGGCCACTCAGACCTCAACTTTTTGATCTTCCTTTTCATCCAAGTTTCCACCTTGCTCCCGATAATATTCTAACACTTTTGCTCCCCACACGTCTCTTCCCTTATACTTGCCAACATTGGTCGGCCAACTCTTCATTTCCTTGGCCAAGTTTTCCAGCTCCCTCATGGGGAGTTCATCGAGAGGCGTGAGATAGGTCTTGACACCGAACACGAGGGATCTTGTCTTTGGTAAACGACGGAATGTCTGCCTTTCACGGCGGATCAAAATTTCTGATGGTAAAGGGTTCTTCAATTCTGTGTTACAGAGATAACCGGGTCGATAGAGAATCTCCACAAGGCTCTCTTTGGGGTCTTTGACTTCTATGAAGTAGTTCGAGCGTTCCATTGGGGCATTAGGTGTTAGGCGAGCTAAGAATCTTGCGATTTGGTTAGTATTTTCTTTCTCTCAGTGAATTTCGTTGGATGTTGGTTGAGCTGACTTACTTGCTGACGGAGTTTGCAGCTTGTTGGTGCCATAAAGGAACCGGTCCATGCAGTTGGGAGATTGTCCATCCAATTCTCTGATCCACAGTCCATCCCACGGGGAACAAACTGGCACTTGCCGCTCTAAAACGAGGTCAGTTTCGGTTGCAAATGCATTTCCACGGACCCGAACTCACAGGTAATGTTCTCCTTCCTCGTTCAGCATCAGAATACTGAGATCTTCCATCGTGAGACGAACAGCAGCCTCCAGTGCCTCGGTCAATCCCTCGTTGGGGTCCCGACCACTGACGGCAAATTTATCCCCAGTCATGCAATTTTCAATAACTTTTTGATTGTCATGGGTTGAAATTTTGAACGCAGTAGGAAATCTTTCACAAAGGAAGTCTGAAACCTCTTCTAATGTTTCCTGGCAAGCCTCAAGTGACTCCGGTAGGCATTGTATGACTTGCCCCTTTCTTTCCTCAAGCAATTGGGTCCGTACCCGGTGCTCATCCATATAGTTCTTGTCGAGTGTGAGCCAATTTCGGGCGTCGAGTTTGCGGATATCCATCATGACACGGTATCGCTCTCTGCCTTTGATGGGCTGCGCTGGGTATGGTGCCATACGCTTAAAATCAGATAAAATTGATATATATGACCCATTCGTGACCTTTTGCAATAACCATTGCAATCGTTCTTTATAATGTCTAACGACGAAAAGAAGGACGACGATCGGAATCGCTACTAGTGAAAAGGTTGTCATACTTCTTCCGTTCGATGTCTTCACACAAAAAAGCCGTTGAAACTTTCTTTTTTTTTTGACTAAAGTCGACTAATCAAGTGCCACAAACTTCAAAGAAAGGAAAAAGAAAAGAAAAAAGGCTGAACATCATAAAGTATGACCTGGGACTGAGGATATAAATACCGGTGTTTTAACATGGGCTGTCAACTCACTCCTAAGGTTAGCCTGGAACCACGCTAAAAATAAAAATAAAAATAAAACGGATCGTCACCAGATAAGTCCAGTCAGCTTCATTAATTTTGGTAAAGAACAAAATCTAAAAAAAAATAAAATGAAATGAGTAGCTCTATGGCAGCTGCCTCCACATTCCAGCTCCAGCCTTGTGCCTGCGGAACAGCTGTGATACGCCCAGAGATTGATTCCCCGCAAAAGTAAAAGATCAGGCAGTGTTAGCTGCCGTGTAGTATTACTGGCAGCCACATGATATCAGACTTTGAATTTTTTTAGTATTTTCGCAAGAATTTAGCGGAAGATAAAATTTTACAGGGCTGTGCAAACAACACCAGATCGACGACTTGTGTAAGAGAGTGGAGTTGCTGATACTCAAAACCCCCAGTCTCTAACTGGTTGTTGGCTACTCTTACTAGTCCGATGTGAGCGGTTGATCCCATTGCGGTGAACCAACAATCCCAGCAAAGACCCCACGATCTAGGCACGGATGCCGTGCTTAGCTTCAAGCAGCCCTCGAGCCAGCGTTCCAGGTCCATGCGCGGGAACCGCCAGGGCCCAGCAATTCGGAAAACTCTCGCCCGAACAATATTACCTTTGCATTCCGGACATCTTCGGACAAGGCAATAACTGGGAGTTGATTCGAGTCGCGTAGGGCGCCTACCAACAATAGCCCAAGTACCGAAGTACCCGAACACCGAAGAGACCGACTTGTTTGGTTTGAGTCACGCAGGTCCAGATTTCAGCTGTCGACGGCCCGCACCACTTGCGGTTGGTTTATATTGCTTTTGACTGGCTCGGAGTCAGATCTAGCCCATCCGTCCATCACATCTCACTGAGCTAGAAAGATGGGGCGCATAAAATGATCTGACATATTACCCTATGTGGTGGCGCTAATTGCTTTTTATTGTTTTTAATATGATTTAGCACTTAACATCCGCCTCAATTGAATATCCTAGGATTAACAAGAGTGTATTAATGTTTTACCGGGGTATACTGTGCAATTACGTAGGGTCGACGCGTCTACAACAAGATTAAACAGCAACTACGTATATAGGTTTGGAAAGCAAGAGAAGAGCAAAACAGACCAAATGGAATGTACAAACTTGTACAATGTAATATGCAGCCAAAAAAACTAAAAATCGTCTTACGTCAAAGTGATCAGCAGGTCCCGAAATGCCCAAAATACCCTTTGTAGAGGCTCCACAAACTCCACACAACTCCATATGGGGTTCCCGCTGTTATCGCAATCCCTTTCGCGCAAAGCGCGTTTGCCGCTATTAGTTATTTTATTCCGGGCCAAACGTCTTCTCTTTCTACTTTCCTGGTTGGTGCAGGCGAGGAGGTCTAATTTGAAACTTTTATCTTCCTACGTACTTGTTTTGCCTCTCAAAAATACCTTGCAGTTCCACACAGACCACCTCCAGGATTGACTTGAATCGATCTACATAGCATACCTATATTTGCCACCGCTAATTAGGATCGTCAAGATTTTGTTTGCGCATTTCATTCGTAACCAGACGAGAGGGAAATCGGTAAGTTGTTCTTTTGTTCTCGTTCCTAGCTAGGTAAATGACCAGTTGACTAGTCTCTAACCCAAAACACCATCTCGACCAATCAGCGTCGATTCTTTACTTCCTCCAAGACATTCGCAAAGCCTGGACCTCAAGTACTCGAAGTACTTTTTAATCCCGGACCTCGATCGCACTAAAAATTAGAGTGGAGACCAATGCAAGTCAATCCCTTGTACGGAGTAGTTTTGACAATAATCCTTCCGTCAGGTCCGTAAACCCTAACAATCCTTTCTTACTTTTTGTCGCCATTCTCTTGCGCACAGACGTTTCGATCAGCTGCCTGCAGGCAACCAGCTCACGGATCAAAGTGACTAGTCGAAGGTAATTTGGTCCGAGATGGTGTCTTGCAGCAATTGTTCGCAATCCTTGCCGGTTACTTTGTGACGTTTGATGTTCTCACGCTCAGATCGCAGTCTAGACTTTGGCTGATTCTTTGCATTAGTATTGCTTCAACCGTAAGTAGCGTTGAGCCAGAGAGCGAGTTAAACTTTGCTCATAAGGCCAACAGAATCCACCAACCCTGGAGATCGTCGGTGCCAAACCCTGCCCTGGGTCGTGTTGGTCCACAAGAGACAAGGCGAGATATGTGTCAGGATCGCATTTTATGGCCTGGCGCGTCGCGGTTTACCCCTAAATTAGAAACCAGTCTTCTTTGGCCGCTTGGAATCGAGGACTGTGTAATTTAAGGCAGGATGACATAGAAACGTGGCAAATTTCCAATGTAGTATACTACCGTTTAAGAAACACGTTGTCCAATTTATGCTCATCTGCAAGTAACAACGACTAATAGCATCCAATGAGTGAGTGACAGGCTCATAGTTCGAACGTTTGCCCCAGAAGATGTTCGCCCAAATGCCACAGTTTCTCCGCATTCTCTGCCCCATAGGCATGATCCGCCTGCCGCTTCAACTGTCCATCACTAAGATAGGAGCCTGAATATTCTAAAATATGACAGGATAGTCAGAAAATCGGTCAAACTTGAATTAACTTGGGGACTCACTCTCTAGGCTAGGGTCCAGAGCTGCGATCAAAGTAGTAGCGCTGCCTTGTTCGAGAGACTTTCTCTTCGTGGCCTCATAGTCAACAACTACGGAGTGAGAGAATTAGCTGGAGCAATATGTTTGGGAAAGGAAACTAAGGTATAAATAGACTCACTGTTCTGGGACTTGATTCTGGCATCCGATATTGACTCAGAATCCACATGGCGTTGTAGGTTAGATGCAATGCCTAGTGAAATTGATTAGGCAATTGGTAAATAGAAACGAGGTGTAACTAAACGGACTTCCTGGGTGCACAGAGAATGCAGATATCTCATTGTTGGGAACCTTTTCCGCAATGTAAATAGCCATCAAGATCAGTGCAGTTTTTGATTGACCATATGCTTTCCAGGTATCATAAAGTTTTCCACTCTGTTGAGACGGGCAATCTTCACATCAGCAAAACTCACAAGGGGAACGGTTGTCCCCGCTACATACCTTGAAATCAATATCATCGAATCGAATACCTTCAAATCGATGCGCGGAGCTGCTCACGTTCACAATTCGCGCCCCAGCTGCAGCAGCACGGAGCTTAGGAAATAAGAGGCCAGTAAAAAGAAACGGACCGAGGAAGTTTGTAGCAAACTGTACCTCTAAGTTATCTTTTGTCGTGCTATATGGGCACGCCATTATTGCGGCATTATTGATGAGAACATCGATATGGTCAACCTGTTTGCTAATTTCTGTTGCAGCATCTCGTACCGAAGCTTGGTCGCTGAGATCCAGAGCCACAAAAATCGCATTGGTTCTAGGGCTGATGAGAGAGATTCTGTCGATGACAGGTTGGATCTTGGCGCGGTCCCGGCCGGCAAGAACAATAGTCGACGGTTGACCAGATGCTAGACAAAGTGCAGTTTCTGCTCCAATTCCACCGTCGCTTGGACCAGTGATCAAAACTGGTCTTTCTTAGCAGTGAAAGTAGATTGGAATTAGAGGTTTGCCTTACAGGTGCGTCCTGAGATATTCTCACCATACTCATCCGCGACTTCGACGCCCGTTGATGACCATGACCAGTTGATTGTCATCTTGACAGAATTTAGATTCAAAAGATACTGGTTAAGAAATATCGAATGTTGGAAGTGAAACGATTATTGCCATGGATTATATAGGTACTGGACAATGCTGACTTAACCCCGCGGTTTAATCCCCGTGTTCGCAATCTCATATCTCCTAACTCCGTAAAGAGAATATATTCAGCAATGCACACTTTCATTGAAATTATAATAAATTCGATGATAATGAAGTGAAGTATACGACTGCTCATCGCTATATAGATGTTTGTATGTTTTAGGAAGTTTGCCCTGGGCCAGAACTACATTACCTAGGGAGGTACCTTTGGAGTTAGCCTTTCCCTGACTGCTTTTTTCTCCGTGAACTTGTTCTGTAGACCAAAAGGTCCGAAGTAGAGCATGATAGAATTTCATGATATACCAGTTCTTGCCAACCAGCCAATCACATATGAATTATACAGCAAGCCGCTAAAACCTGCCGTTGAGGTGCACCCCGGATTTGTTGTCACCACAGGGCGTAACTGACTAATAGCTCCACTTTTGTTGACCATTATTATCTTTAAGAGTAAAAGATCACGATGCTTCCTTTTTTACCTCTCGAGATCTGACACTAGAGGTAATATCTTTCCCTTTGTTATCACGTCAACCCAGGGTTTGATTCGTAAAATGACAACGTCTCACACAGTCGTGCACACCCAAGCGGGCACATCCGATCTTGATTTAGATGACTCGATCCAAGTATCAATGTTGAATTCCCAGCTCCATAACTCCCTCGAAGCATCGCTGACCCACCAATCATCTGATGCACAACCATCCATGGAAAATGCTTACGACATTCGATCTGTGAATCTTTCTCGCAGCAGCGCAGTCATTTTGATTACTACCCTTAGCGGTATCACTTTTGTTGGTAGTATGAGTAGTGGATTACTCACTGTTGGATTGCCTACTATCGCAAAGGATTTGAATTTACCCAACAATCTATTGCTCTGGTGAGTGAAAATCTTCCATTTCTTTTGACAATATTTAATCGAGGTAATATGACTGACAATGTCAGGCCTGCTTCGGTATATTCGTGAGTTGACACTACGATTATGCCATTGGAATATTTGCTAAAATGTTACAGCCTCGCAAATGGATGTTGTCTTCTCCTGGCTGGTTCAATGGCCGACTTCATGGGGAACAGAATGATCAACCTCACCGGATGTTTTCTACTCGGCGCATTCATTCTTGCTTGTGGGGTAGCTCAGACCGGTATCCAAATGATTCTCTTCCGCACATTTCAAGGCATCGCAACCTCCATGTGTCTCCCCACGGCATTCAGTATTCTGACTGATGCCATGCCAGCCGGCAAGAGAAGGAATATTGGGTTTGCTTGCCTTGGGCTAGGACAGCCGTTGGGGTTTTCGATGGGACTCGTACTTGGTGGTCTCTTCCAAGGCTCATCACTTGGATGGAGATTCGGATATTACCTCTGTGCAGGAATATCTATGGTCCTTGCAGTTGTCAATTTATTCAAGTTACCAAAGGATGCAGAACGAGAGCCGGTCTCCTGGCGCCGACTCCGATCGGAAATTGATTGGGTCGGGATCCTGCTGTCAAGTTCTTGCCTAGGGATTATTTCCTATGTGTTCGCGTGTGTATTACCTTCAGAAAAAGTGAGTATATATACCCACAAACAGCTAACAGAAGTTGCAGTACCATCACAGATAGCCCATGGAACATTCGCCGAGCGGAAAATATTGTCTTGCTATGTGCAGCTGCGGTCATGATTCCTGCATTCTTGGGCTGGATGAACTGGCGTGAGAAGAAGGGCAAGTCTGCTTTAATTCCGAACTCTCTGTGGAAAAACACGGCATTTGCGTCAGTTTGCTTCATGGTGCTCCTTTCTTGGGCTGTACTCAACGGAATGGAAACGATTCTCAGTCTCTTGTAAGTGCTTGCAAAGGGAACGTTCAAAGAAAGATGCTTACATATCTCCCAGCTTCCAAGAAGTCCAAGATCTATCTGCTTTCCAGGCCGCCCTTCGCTTCTTACCGAATGTGGTTATTGGCATGGTTCTTAATCTTGGAACGGGACTGCTTGTTCATCGTCTCCATGCGGATCATCTGGTGCTTGTCACCACATTCCTCAGTGCTGGATCCCCATTGCTGATGGCAATTATCGATCCCAACTGGTCCTGGTGGTACTGTGCGTTTTGGGCTGTACTCTTGGGTCCCCTTTCAGCGGATGGTAAGCTGCATTCTCAGTCTCCACTTGCCTTGCCTATGATCACGAATCCTCCCTGAGAAGATTTATTAACAAAGTTTTTGAATAGTTATCTTCACAATCGCAAACCTCATCATCACCGACGCCTTTACACCAAAAACACAGGGCCTCGCAGGCGCCGTCTTCAACACTATCGCGCAATTCGGAACCTCGATTGGATTGACTATCTTCGCCATCATCTCCGCCGGTGTCACTCAAGGATCACCATATTCCAACAAAGGTTCACCAGAAGCACTAATGATTGGGTATAGAGCTGTCTTCTGGACTTGTTTCGGACTGATGCTCGCAGCTTGTGGTGTTGGTGCTCTGGGATTACGCAAGGTCGGAAAGGTTGGCTTGAAGCGTGATTAAGACCGCGGGAAAGGAATGTTTGTCTCAAGACTAGAATAAAAAGTGTTTAAATTATTTTAGGGCCTAAAATTCAAGATCAATTTGAATAGTACGTAACGCTCGCCCGATGCAAATTCGTATCATTGTCCGAGGTATAGCGACACGCCCCAAATGATGTAGAACAACAAGCAAGAAATGAGGTTCAAAGAATAAACGCATGATCCGGGGCATATGTTGCTCTCTCGCCCCAGATTGTCTTTGGTGCGCCTGGCAGGGTAGATGTTTGAAAATTAGACAATAAGTAACGTGTGGACTATTTAAGTGGTTATGTCAGTCGCCTCATAAAATGGAAATCATAACTTTTGGACCGCTGCAAAAATAAAGAATGAAAAAGTAAAGAGAGGTAGAGAAATGCGTTCCCTCATTGCCGCTGAAAAGATAACTTCATGATAAGTAGACCGGATTCGGAGAGGCGTAAGATTCCATCCATGTCAAGTGAAAGACATCCTAACAGATAATCGATGCCTTATCTGTGCGAGCGGTATCGATTCGTGCCATAGAAATTCCAGTGTTGCAAGATGGGATAGGCTCAAGGGTATTATCACCATTAGCAAGGCGCTCCTCGCGCTCCAACTCCAACCGCTCAGCTTCCTTGATGCGCTTCAGCTCCTGGCAGAATTTGCTATTCTTTCTGATACGGTCACCGTAGCGAATGAAACCGAACGGAATGATAGAAACAACCAAGCTGATGAACGCAATGAGACTGCAAGCCCACGGGACTCCAAGCTGGTTGAACATCGGCTTTGCTGCGAGTGGAAGAACGGCACCAAAGATACTCCGAGTGCAGCTCGCAGCGGACTGTGCGCTAGCGGAGTATGTCTCGTAGGCGTCAGTCAGATAGTTCAACATGGCCATGAAGATCAGTAGATAGCCCATTCCGAAAGGGATACCAGAAAGGAATGGAACCACCCAGTGGATGTTCGGTGAAGCTGTCCATCCGACCCAAAACAGGGAGATGACGTATAAAGGCCCGCCAATGCAGGCGAGAGGGAGTCTTCGGTATTCTTCCACAAAAGCCCAGCTGGCGTTGCGGGCTTTGGCTCGGGCTAGGTAGCCATCATACCACAGGAAGATGAAGCAGGCGAGAACAGCACCGATTCCGACTGTTGTGTATTAGAATCTCTGTTTTAAATTTTGAGAATCGAGATAACTTACTCGGCAAAAACATAAGCCCAGATACTCCGGGGCTCATTTTGTAGATACCTAGAGTATACAAGTCAGTTTGTGTTTCTCCAACAAGAACTCGAAAGTGGAATGGATCACAAACCTTGGAAGATGATCGGATATGCCTCGAAGTAGAGATAGAAAATGGCATATGCTAGAGCAAGGTACAAGGAAGTCAAAGAAACGATTGACTCATGAATAATCATGCGGAAGGGTCGTGAGATCGTTAAAAGTGCCATTTCTCGTATGTTGCGACTCTGAACATCCAGTGGCGAAACGATGCTGGAATTCCCAGTTTCTTTGCGAAGCTTATGCGCACGGCGCTTTAAAATGACGGGTGCATAGGTCTCCGGCATGAAGAGAACTAATGGCAGACTTGCCCCTGACAAAATGAGTCCGATCCAGAAGCACCAACGCCAGCTAACAACTGCTACAAAGCCAGAGACCCACGGCCCGATGATGGGTCCAAAGGTTGTGCACTGCACATTGTTTAGTTTCAAACTGAGCATCAGTGTCGAATAGAGCAATCACTACTTACAGCCATGAAGTATGCCATAAGTCGACCTCGTAGTGTGGGATCATCGTGCACATCGGCAAACAATCCACCCACAGTTGCAATAGGCGCCGATGCAACCATGCCGTTGAACAACCGGAAAACAAGCAATGAAGCATATGAGTCTGCGACAGCGCACGCCAGCGTAAATACCATGAACAGAACGTAAGCGATGAGCAAAGGGGGCTTTCGCCCGAAATACTCGGAGCTAGGGCCCCATAGCAAAGGTCCTAAGATGTAGCCGATGAGAAAAATGGATATCGGTAAGACGAGCAGTGTTTCGTCGGTGATGTTGAACTCTTCGGCGATCTCTGGGATAGCGTTACTGCAAATCGAAGAGCCGATGGTGCTGTTCATGACCTGCATGACACCTGATGCGAGAACCAAGAACTTCCTTCTCTGATAGAGTTATCAGCAAACAGTCTTCCATTAATCAACCTCATTTCTTTTTAAACAAGACATACATTTCTCCAATTGATGGGGTTCTCCGGGTCATTAGCTCCAAATGATACGATTGTTTTTGAAGCCACTTGACGGAATCGAGAGAACGAAGGTTTGCCATAACGTTCTTGAATTGGCTCATGGCCAACTTCTGAGTCTTGATCTTCAGAGTCGTGGGAGCTGTGCTGTGATTCCCGAGATGATCCCACTACGTCCTCTGTGCGGCAATCTCAGTATTGTGAACTAAAATATGAAAGCGGGAAAAAAATTTTATGCAACTAACCTGAAGTTGACATAACCTTCTGGATATTTTCCTCGGCATGAAAATGGTCCGACATTATGACTAGGTTCAGTCACCCATAAGTCTAGCAGTCTGGATGCTAAGTGAAGATACAGACGGGACACCTGAGTTATAAAGGGACCAACATCGAAAATGCAGACCTCCACAAGGTCCCACCTTTGAGTCAGACAAATAAACGACAAGCTTAAGGTGGATTCGGCTCCACATCCGACAAGCAGTTTCTGATTCTACGCCCTAAGTTTGACAAATGAAGTCTGTGTGCGACGCCATTATGGTGACTACGGCGAGAAAAGATTGGCTTTCCCTGTCAAATTAGGCATTTGGGGGTGCTGATCAATTATTGAATATACTTGGCCCGGTTAGGACGGCTATTTCCCCAACTTTTGGGTGGAAAACAAGAGCCAAGATCCTGCGGATTGCTAAAGTGGCAACCCAAAATGTGACCCTTTGAATATCACATGGGATCTCACAATGGAAATCGATTGTCAACTCCCTTAATATTTGGGCATGTGTCGCTTGCGAAAACTACGTGGACGAATTGGTTTTGTCCATAACTGCGAAGAATTCGATATGAGTACCTCGACCGCAAGCATCAGGCTACTTGAATATCGAATTCTTCAATTGAAAATTGGGGACAAAAACCCTGTAGATCAATCGGTTGGGCTTGCATGAATGGCAGCGCCAGTTAGCTCTTCATCACGTCAACCGGGCTAATTATGCAAGCCTTTGTGGGATGGTAAGCATTTGTTCCCATGATATGTGCGGGGGAATTGTTAACCAGATCGAGCCATGGCTGGTTCTTGGTATGAGGAAGCTCCCTGTAGCGGGGACGCCAATGCTGGGGATGCTCGCCGGGAACGGGGTATTCCGCTGAGCATGGGCTTGACTCATTTTGTGCTCGGACGAGTATCTCGAAAACGACCCCACCCTTATCAACAGTCAGCAGCATAAGTGAACTTCACGAGCTCTGAAGCCTGCATTTGTTGATATCACTTTTCCTACCCGTATGCGAGTTTCAGGTAAGTCATCCCGGAGTTGGGCTGGCGTCGGCCAAGTTGAAATTTCCCGACTCCGGTGCCGGATCGGTGCCGGTTGCGCGTCCCGCTGACGGGTTCGGAGATTTGGCCGATCTGCCCTGACCAGTCATGAGAATATGAACACAACGTGTAGAGCTTGCTGTATTCAAAATAAATTAATGGAAAGTTAGCAATTGTTATATGAGGAGGTAAACTCTGAGTGTTATGCGGGTTCGAGTATCTGTCAACAAGGGGCAAGGATTCCGACTTTGGAGCCTTGTAAGTTAGGCACCAAGCCATGTTTCAGGCACACGTGCGAAGTTCTAATTAGTTACACTCCGGGGAATGTTCAACGTGCAGAGGATCGAAGCTTCAAAAGTTCAAGTGAACGAATTTGCTATGATATACTTTTCAAGCTATGCTGGGCTTGCTATGTCCATGAGTTTCAATCGGAGGGCCAGACAGGTAGTTAATAGCAATATCGATGGTCACGTTTCTATTGAGTAACGAGAATAATGTTTCATGTAATCTTAGCGCGTGTATATATCTTCATTACTAGAAAGGTACAGATAGTCAGTAGGTCATCGAGATCTTCGAGTGATGAGACCCGAGTTGCACTTACAATGGGCGATTTAGATCATGTCTCCCGGTTGCTAGGGAGTTGACCCAGACACTGACACTCATAGCATCGACGGGGAAAATGCCGTAGCCGCAGCTATTTATGACTACTGTCTCACACCGCCACTCCATTATATCTGTCCAAAGCTCCCCGGTATGCTTACTACCAACATACATTCGTTTGTAAGATGAGCCACCATTGCTCATGATACAAGCAAGACCGAAAGGGTGTTGATAATTGCCATATCGTACGAATCCTGTGGAGTGAATTAGACCGGTGACTATAACAGTCGACATTACCCAATACTCACCGATGCAGTTGCGTCTATTGAAATAGTCTCGCTGTTCACCGTGAGCAAACAGCTTCCGCGCACGGGTGAGGATGTGAAGCTTCCTGTTGCAGGACGAACCAGCCTGGGGCTCCGGTCCACCTCTGATTCCATAGAGATCTCCATAGAAGATGCATGGATGACCTTGACTTCGAAGCAAAATCAATGAATATGCGAGAGGCTTGAAGAAAGGGGCGATCACAGTCTGTACAAATTGCACATTGTCAATGCCAAGATCTTGAACCATGTAATGTATCTCACCTCTAATGACTGTCCGATTTGCTATACATTGTGAGTTAATGGAAGCCCATTTGGATTAAGATGACTTACTGTATCATGGTTTCCAACAAAAGTCTGGCAGTCAAAGTCAGGCTCGGTATTTCACTCCTCGAATGTCAATTGAAACTTACTACTGCGTGGTTTGGCATCTTTTCTACCAATGTGCCTCTAAATATCTTCCGTAAATCACCACCTGCCATCCTTGAGATAGCCGCAAAGCGACCCAAAAGTGGAACATCGAATAGCGATATTTCATAATCCATCATTTTGAGATACTTCAGAAGTAGGTTGACCTCTCCCCTCCAATACTCTCCAACCAGATAATAATCGGCCCCGACAGTGTTGCGGAGATGTGCGACAAAATCTTTCTGAAACGAAGCTGAATAGTGCTTCGCTGCGTCAATTCGCATGCCTCTGATGGGTATTTCCGTGCCAATCCACTCTCCCCATTTGAATATATCAGCCCGAACTTCTGGGTGGGAATGATCGATGTTAGCAAACATCAAGTAGTCATAGTTTCCACGCTCATCGCTGACGTCCTTTGCCCAATCTTTATTATGTCCACTTGTCTTGTATATCGCATAGCTCTGCTTTGATTCGTCCCAGTCCACGCCGGTGAAATGTTGCCAATGATATTTCATCTTGCTGTACTTCTCACCACGACCCGGAAAGTCAAACGCGACCCACCCGGCAATCATCTCCGGTGGAGATAATTCGGTATTTCGATCTATAGGCTGGTTAGATCTTACAGTATAGATTTGAGCTTCGGGTACAGAAACCTTCTGGGTCCACCCTAACAGCCATGAAATTCTCAGTTGAATCCGCCCCCGCCTTTTGGTTCAAAACTGTGTCCCAATAAATTCCGATATTCACATCTTCCGCAGCGCGTACTAGTTCTTGCAGATCCTTCTTCGATCCCCAACGTGTGGCTATTGTTCCCTTTTGGTCGAATTCTCCGAGATCATATAGATCATAGATATCATACCCGATACCACAAGGATCCATGCCTTTGCACCCAGGAGGAATCCATATATTGTCTACTCCGATATCCTTGAGATCTGGGATCGATTTTCGCAAGCGCCGCCAATGGCCCTGATCAGCTGGTACGTGCCATTCGAAGCCTTGCATCATGAGTGAGTTTTCTGGAGAAGGCCATGGAGCTTGTTTCTCGAAAACTTCAACTGCATCTAATCGAACATGGAGTAGTCAGTAATGTAAATACGATGATTGAAAGAAGAGATAATGAAACCTTCGAGCTCTCGCCACTTCTTGGATCTTCTCCGCATCTTAAGGCAAAAGCTCAGAAACGATCGCATTGGGTTGACTATGTCTGGTTATAGGAGAAGGAAAAAAAGCCACGCCTGAGGATTGCAAAATCTAGGAATGTAAATGAAAGAAAACAATATACTTTGTCAGTCTGGTGTAAATCAAGCTGTGCAAGGATCAGGGCCATGCGGAACTGGTTGGTGACACAGCCATACTACACTGTACCCTGCTGTGCAATATAGATTTGAAAGCAGATATCTACTGTGTGTTTACCGAATTGATAAAAACGGCAAAATGTGCAGTCAGAAATTTTGATTTTTGTTCTCACAAAATCTAGATTGAAAACAGGAGCTTGTTCAACGAACATCATAAGATTTGCATTTGTACTGTCTCAAGAGATGTCGTGATCTCTTACCCAATTATGTAACAAATAGTCAAAGCGATGAATCAGTGTTACAAGTGTTTGACGCGTGGATTTTTAACTAGAATAGAAAAGACGCGAGGTCTGTACTATATAAGTACAAACAGCTCGGATCGTGGGAATTGAGAGCTTATCTGGCCAATCAGACTACAGCCAGAGAGACCACATTGTGTTCTGATTACATGATTCGTGGTACTTCCTGGCCAGGTTTTGGGGGCTAAAATGATCATTGAAATGAACAAATGGTATTGGTATTAGCGACCGTGCAAAGCAATAATTTATGCGGGCTATGACTGTCACACCTAGGTAGATTTCTTGCATATGTTTAGTTCTTGACATTCTTATTCCCTGGGTAGGTACGATTCTGTCAATTTTTTTTTCATCTCAAGTCTTTCTCTATTTTATTGGATCTTCCCTTCGACCTTCTCTCAGTCGTGAATAGATCCGTTTTAGCAAATTTTATCGATACAGGCTGTTTCCAAACTTTCTATTCGCCTCATCAACATTATGCTTAAATACTCGACAGAAACAGCCGATATCTCTGTAATTAGGTTCACAGGCGAGCCGAGGGGCTGGTGAATGGCTGAGCTTTCTTTGACGCGCAAAGTTCGAACGCCAACTTACACTAGTCTGTATTTACTAACTTTTTATATCTATCCGCTAATACAATCTCGGTAATAGATGCTAAGTTCGACCCACATCTACCTTAGGGCTGGAATTAAGCTCTGAGATTGGCTGTTCACCATCGATCAGCGTGCACAGCCCAAGGATGCACTAGTCTTGTTTGGTGGATCTGAGATGCTCTGCCAATTACGATGTCCATAGGAGTTTGATCTACATTAATTTTGACGAGGCTGTATTGCCGCTAAGGCAGATAGTTATCTTTAGAAAATTGAAGCATATTGTCTTTGGAACATGAGAACATAAAAGGTGGTAAAGTTCCCATCTTGGCAGGGGCACTCAAGTCTTGGTATCCCCGTTTCATAACTACCATCTTTATCATACTACCATCTCTACCATACTACCATCCCTATTACCCGACCACCACCATGGGTTCTGTGACCTATCGCGATGGTATTGCCATCCTCCAACTTGCCATCTTTCCTGTCTTTCTCGTACTTGCGCTTTTCATCTGGAAGCGGACTGGCTGGAGGGCTGGTCGCAAGACTTGGCGATTTATCATAACGCTCTCTCTTCTTCGAATCATCGGTGGAATATGTACGCTATTGACGATTACCGACTACGATGAGAAGATCTATATTGCTGAAGCAGTATGCGAGTTGATTGGAATTGCGCCTCTGATCCTTACTTATATTGGACTGTTGGGACAAATGTGAGTTTATTTGAGTGCACTCCGAGACACAAATGTTTACTAACAAAAACAGAGATATCCAACAACGAATGCATCCCAAATATCTCAAAATTGTGACCATCGTTTGCATCGTTGGTCTCATTCTTGGAATCGCGGGAATTAGTATGGTCCCCGACAACACAACCACCTTCCATCCAAACGGTGTTGTCAAGGGTGCGATGGCAATTTTCATCGTGGTGTTTGTTGTCCTTATCTCGACAACTGTCTGGCTATACATCCAGCTCCGATCCACGGCCAGTGTGTGGCAGCGCAAGTTCTTCCTTGCCATTGCGCTTTCTTCACCTTTCCTGTTGGTCAGGTTGGTTTACTCGGCGATCGGTGATTTCACTACCGATTCCCGCTTCACGATCTTGTCGGGTGATGCCACTATCTATCTCTGCATGAGTGTCCTGCAGGAAATTGTTGCTTTGGGGATTGCCGTTGGCATTGGAATGATAGTTGTGCCAGAGAAACAACAAAAGCACTTTGCTTATAAGGAGGTCACCCCTTCTTTGGAGAACGATAGGGTATAACTTAGTATTTTGTCATTTCAGCTTCTTTTGCATTGATCTTTTAGCATTTTCCGGCGCTTGCTTTTGTGTTTTTGTGAAACTATTATTCTGCTCAAGTCCTCCACATCTCAATTTATCAATACAAAGCGATACAAAACACCGGTATATGCCATTTCTTCCATTAAACATCGGATAGATGACATTAGAGCCTATAATACCACCTGACCGATGTAGTGCCATGGTTCTGATATAGACACCTAACGAGCTGCGGCTACAAGTTCACGTCGCATGAAATCAAGCTCAAATTCAAAGCTAAAGTCACCTCTTTGGCCTCGTACCAGTAAGAAGTAATTCGGATTTTTAAGCAACTCCGTTCGAACCTTGAGACGCCTGTTGTGCTCGAATACTGTCTCATTTGCTGAAATATGCCAATGATTAATCCCAAAGCATCAATTTTGATCCCACGTGCAAAGTTCAATTCATCGTCGTTATGAAACATCACTGAGGGACCGAACAAGACGCGATTGGATCACACACCCGAGGCACTTGGAGATCCTGACCTGCTTCCACTCGACTCCCAAAGCTGTAGAAGAGTTCAATTTATACGTGGAGGAAGAAGGGGCCTTGCTACTCAGTTATCAAAGTACCCGTGGACTCTTCAGAGCTAATAAAAAGGTTTTGATAAATAATTTGTCTTACACTATATAGGTAGTGTCCCAATTTTCAAATTCAAACTTTTAGCGGTTAGATGTTTTCCACAGTTTCAACAGTATGGTAGGGCTTATATGAAGCTATTAAATCCACATGGCCGCAAAAACTGTCCACCATATCCACTGTGACGTAAGGGAGGCATTCTGACGTGGGTCGCAGTTTAAACTATTTGACTTGTTTTTTCATTGCAGATCATTGATCTATTGATACCATGTCTGATCGCATATATTGTCTATGTCAGTTTGTACCTGCTATATACTTGCATATGGATCAACATATTATATGTGGGTTTGGAGATGTACATATAGTTATAGTTGGCCGGGCGATCGGAGGTTTGGTGTTCTATAGCTTGTGCCGAGCTCCCGCCCGCGAAAAGTTTTCGGGCTGAGCGGCAAATCCCTTTCTTCTCCTCTTTTCTGTACTCCACTCCAATTGAGCATCAATACAACTTTTTACTTTTTATTCCTCTCCTCTCTTAACGGGTTCCCTTTATTTTGCTTTCAAATCTACCACGATGGCCGCTCCCACAGCTTCCAAGGATGCTCCTCAGATGAGCCCTCTCAACCTGTATGCTTTGAAATGTTTGTTTCGCAATGACCCGTCACTGACTCTTTGTCCCAGGTATTCGCGATTTGCGTTTGCAGGTGCGGTTTGCTGCGCCGTCACACACGGTGCTGCCACACCTCTCGATGTGTAAGTTTTCGAAGTGTGAACATGTTTAGTGATATGCGCTGACGCCACGTCGCCGACAGTGTCAAGACCCGTATCCAACTTGACCCCGTCACCTACAACCGTGGTATGCTCGGTGGCTTCCGCCAGGTTATCCAGAATGAGGGTGCTGGTGCTCTCTTGACCGGTTTCGGACCTACTGCCGCCGGATACTTCCTCCAGGGCGCTTTCAAGTTTGGAGGATACGAGTTCTTTAAGCAGCAATCTATCAACGCTGTCGGCTACGAGACCGCGAAGAACAACCGTACCGCCGTCTACCTCGCTTCGGCTGGTGCCGCCGAATTCTTTGCTGATATCGCTCTCTGCCCGCTCGAGGCCACCCGTATCCGTCTTGTTTCCCAGCCTACCTTCGCTAACGGTCTGCTTCCTGCCATGGGCCGCATTCTGAAGGAGGAGGGCATTGGCGCTTTCTACTCTGGATTCGGGCCCATCCTATTCAAGCAGTGAGTTATATTGAATGGATTTTAATCCGCGCGCTTCCCGCTAACTCCGTTCTACAGGGTCCCCTACACTATGGCCAAGTTCGTCGTGTTCGAGAAGGTCTCCGAGTCCATCCTTGCGACCGTCAACAAGGACACCCTTTCCGATGGTGCTAAGACCGGTATCAACCTCGGCTCCGGTCTGATCGCTGGTCTCGCCGCTGCTGTCATCTCCCAGCCTGCCGACACTATGCTCTCAAAAATCAACAAGACTCAGGGTGCTCCTGGTGAGGGCACCGTCACCCGTCTTATCAAGATCGCAAAAGAACTCGGTATTCGTGGCTCCTACGGTGGTATTGGTGCCCGTCTTTTCATGGTCGGCTCCATCACTGCCGGTCAGTTCGCTATCTATGGTGACATCAAGCGTATGCTCGGTGCCACTGGTGGTGTTGAGATCTCTAAATAGAGGTCCGACCCCGATCTTATGTGCTCGGAAGGATCATAGAAGCCTTGTCTAGATCACCTCATGTCTTATGCCTATGTACTGCCTCATACATGATGTACAATATTATCTTGTTTGAAATAACTTTCAAAAGCACTTTCTTTTTCACATGGTCAAGTTATAGTGCTCCAAGAAAAGCAGAAGAAACGGGAGCTGCTTTTTTAAAGTACTAAAATAAGCTGGGAAAATTAATCATGAATATGTCGTTGTAAGCTGGCTGCCAAACAATTTCAGTGATTCAACAACAAATCCGAGATCCTGCTTATATCGAGTAGAATAAGCTAGTATGTTATTGGAAATGATCGGCAACAGCCTCAAATCGGTTTAGAATACGGAGCAAGTCTGGGTAACGATGAGGAGGACACGATTGTGCGTGGCCTTTGGGTCACCAAGCCGTGCTGTTTTCAAGCGCGTGTGTCTATGCTTTTCACGATCCCTGATTGGGCATAGTGTCAAATGTTACTCCCAATACACCGAACCAAACAGCATTGGAATATAAGCATAGCGCTTACATTGGGAATCGGGGACATAAAGGGCCAGTTTTTCCTCTTTGCTTCCCTTCTGTAGATCTTAGTCTCTTATCGGAAATAATTTCACCCTAGACTTGACTAATCGGTTTCTTCGATTTCCTAGTATGCCTGTCAGGACCACAGTACTGAGCAGGTCTAGTGATATGTGCCTCGCATGTCTACGCAGACTGCGAGGATGGGCCACGCAGTCCTTGTGGGACTGCGATCTACATGAAAGATTCCTACAACAATAACTTCTGCATTAATTCTCTATGGTTTCCAGGGTATCCATAACATACGTTTACAAATAAGCCAGGTATAAAGTAAGGACGATGTTGTGTTCCAACATTATTCTGTTACTTTTTGATGAGATCTTAGAGATAAGATTTCGCTTTTGAAGAGGGAAAGATCGGCCAAATGACATCTTGAATAGACAACTGCACCTGCAAAAGGTACATAAAAGAGAATTGTCATTTCACAGTTGCTGCCCGCCAAATGAACTGCGCTGCCTCGGTTAATTTGCCTTGGCTGATATAGAGATTCCCAAGATTGTTGACAGTGCGAAGGGTTGAAGTGTGTTTCGGTCCTAACGCTTTCTCGTACCCAATAAGCGCCCGCATGTACATCTGCTCGGAAGCAGCAACCTTGCCTTGGTTGCTATACAAAAGCCCGAGATTGTTAAGGGTGAGAAGGGTTGAAGTATGTTCTGGCCCCAGCGCTTTCTCGTACCCAGTGAGCGCCCGCGTATACATCTGCTCGGCAGCAGTAAGCTTACCTTGGTTGCTATATAAATTGCCGAGATTACCAATGGCGTTAAGGGTTGAAGTGTGATTCGGTCCCAGCGCTTTCTCGTACCCAGTAAGTGCCCGTATGTACATCTGCTCGGCAGCAGCAAGCTTGCCTTGGTAGCTGTACAAAAGTCCGAGATTATTAACGGTGAGAAGGGTTGAAGTATGTTCTGGCCCTAGTGCTTTCTCGTACCCAGTGAGCGCCCGCGTGCACATCTGCTCGGCCTGATCTAGCTTATCTTGGTCGGTGTACAAAAGCCCGAGATTATTAACAGTGCGAAGGGTTGAAGTGTGTTCCGGTCCTAGCGCTTTCTCGTACCCATTGAGCGCCCGCATGTACATCTTCTCGGCCTGATCTAGCTTGCCTTGGTCGCTATACAGATTGCCGAGATTGCCAATAGCGTTAAGGGTGGAAGTGTGTTCCGGTCCTAGCACTTTCTCGTACCCAATAAGCGCCCGCGTGTACATCTGGTGGGCCTGATGTAGCTTGCCTTGGTCGCTATATAGATTGCCGAGATTATTAAGGGTGCGAAGGGTTGAAATATGTTCCGGTCCTAGCGCTTTCTCGTACCCAGTGAGCGCCCGCGTATACATCTGCTCGGCCTGTTCTAGCTTGCCTTGATCGCTATACAGATTACCGAGGTTATTAACAGTGCGAAGGGTTGAAGTGTGTTCCGATCCCAGCGCTTTCTCGTACCCAGTGAGCGCCCGCGTGTACATCTGCTCGGCAGCAGCAAGCTTGCCTTGGTTGCTATACACAAGCCCGAGATTATTAAGGGTGAGAAGGGTTGAAGTGTGTTCCGAGCCCAGCGCTTTCTCGTACCTAGTGAGCGCCCGCGTGTACATCTGCTCGGCCTGACCTAGCTTGCCTTGGTTGCTATACAGATTGCCGAGATTACCAATAGCGTTAAAGGTTGAAGTGTGATTCGGTCCCAGCGCTTTCTCGCACCCAGTAAGCGCCCGCGTGTACATTTTCTCGGCAGCAGCAAGCTGAATTTGGGCTTCAAGTAATGCACAAACACGTGATAACTCTTCGAGTTGATCGATGGAACAATCATCAGTAACGTCCATTTCCATGAAGCGCTGGTGTGATAGCCGTGTTGCATGAGTAGCCAAGCGGGAGAATTTGAGATGACCAAGATAATCCCTTTCAACCCCCCTAATCGTAGCATGAACGCAACCAAAAGCATACCAGTAATACCTAACATCAACATCTTTGTTGAGTTCGGCCAATATCCAGTCGTGCATACAGTTATGCATGCTCCATGTTTTTGACGCCACGTGGAATTCGAGGAAGTAGTACACGGTCAGAGTTCTCATCACATCACTAAATACAGAATTGTCTGTAGCTAGTTTACGAAGCCAAGCGGGAGACCCTTCGGTAAGCCCGCCGTGGAAAAGATCGTACCAAAGGCTCTGGTTTCCGAAATAAGCCAACAATTTGAGAAGTTTTGCCGCGTCCGGGTCGTCGATTTCTAGGCGAGCGTATGACAGATCCCAGGTCGTGTAAAGTGTACGTTCACGATACTCTTGCAGGTTGATGGGGCGACGACCATCAACCTTCCAGCGTTTCTCGTATTCTTCAAGGTAAACTTTGAAACTAAGATCACTTTGGCGAAGATAGGTCCCAGCAGTTGCCAAAGCAAGCGGGAGACCACCAAGTCGCTTTGCGAGACGTTTAGCGTGAGGATCTAACGGCTTTCATTAGTTGGTCCTAGGTGTATTAATAAATCCCATACCTGATTGGACATTCTCTCTTTTTGATCGGGTCTGTAAGACTTCTAGGCTATCTTCGATCTCCTGCAACTCCTTTATATGCAAGATTTTTCCGCCAATGCGATCCGGGCACCTAGTGGTAATGAGGATAGTCCCATGACTTGTAGTGTGTGGGTAATAATCGCTGATCTCAAATTGTTCGGGGTCGTCATAGTTGTCAAAGAGTAATAGCCAATTGGTATTCTCGGAATGAGTCAGCCACTGATGTACACGTCCAATGATATGTTTACTCTCCAAGAGCCGAGGGTCTCGAAGGTCAAAGATAAGACTAGCGATAAACTGAAAGCTTTCTTTCAGTGCAACCTCGGACGCTGCATTCAGCCAAAATACCGAGCTATAAGATCCACGTCGAGACTGTGCATAAGCGATGGCAAGCCGTGTCTTGCCGATACCACCCATTCCACCGAGGGCTAGACGTTGTTGCATCTGCGGTCCGTGGACAGGGTGTAACATTTCTGCAATTCTATCTAGCTCGATGTCGCGGCCGACGAAGAGTTCTGGAGCGATATAAGGCGCTCGGCTGAGACAAATACCAACGGGTTTATGAAAACTAAAGTCTTCTTTCTCTTCGATGACTACGTGTAAACATTAGCGGAGGTCTTCATTGCCAATGAAAAATAAAATTCAACATAGGTCAAGCAATAAGAAGTCAAACTGAGTAACTATGATTGGGACGAATGGCAACATAGAACGCAAATCCCTTTGTCCGCAGAAGTAGCCGTAAAAATTTCCCTTATATCATTCTGCCGGCACACAGGAACGACCAAAAAAACTAATCCTTACCGAAATTTTGGATTTGACCAAAATACTGCCTTCCATCACCATTGACTGTATACGAATTCCCACTGCTGCGTTGGACATTATTTGTCTGTGCTCCATTTCCAGTATTGACATTCATTGTGGAGATCTCGTCGTCTGATCTAGAAATGAAAGACTTCATCTCATTCCTGATACCTTCAAGATCAGCATTTTGGGCCTGATTGGCAGACTTGACCGCATCGTGATTGATTACGAGCTGAACTTCTTCAGCAAGGCCCAACATGAGCTCTTCGACTTTGTTCCCTTTGCCAAGTCTACGGAGGACTTTCAAACATCGCTGTTCTCCTGTATCGCTTTCACCGGGTACGATTTTCTGAAAGATTTTCTCCAAGTCCTTTGCTCTTGTTCGGCAAATGACAAGAGTCGCATTCAAAGCTTCACAAACGTTTCTGGGAATCGAGTGTTTTCGCGGTTCGAGATTGTTTTGGCATATAGCAAGGGTGTTGAGAATGATAGGCAGCCGTCGTCTAACCGTTTCGAACATTTCAGGTAATTTGGCATCCTTCTTAGCACTATCATAGGCTTTGATGGAAGCTTCAATGACCGAAATGACCGCAGAGATGGTGCCGATCACTTCAGCCATTCTTAATGGTTTTAGCGACAGAGAATCGTAGTTGTGCGAGTGTCTTGGACGTTCAGAAGCGGTATCCTTGGTAGCGTAAGGATAGTTGATAGAGAAGAGCGGGCGAAGGTTCCTGAACAAGAATGATGTGGCTTCTTATTGACGGGTTGATCGCCCCCATGTAAGTAATTTCATCTCGGGCGCTTCAACGGGCACACGTGTGGATGCACGATTCCTTGGGTGTGATCACTTGTGCATTAGTCCGTGGCCAAGAGCGCTGCTAGCGTCAATCAAATCGCCGGTGATAAGACAAGGTAGATAGAAAGATTTTTCCAAAAGACTGTTCCGCTTTCATCGGCTGTAGCCATCTAGGACGTTGTCAGTGATTTGTATGAGTCTCGCATCGCAAATTATATCACGTCTCAAAGGAGAGTATCTTGTAGCAAGCTGCAAACGATCGATTGGGGCATCACGGTGCTGATAGTACAAATTGCTTACGGTAGCAGGCGGTGATTAGTATTGAAGTTATGAGTTTTGTCTGTATGGCTGTTACATCTAATTTACGCAGTGAGTCATTGTGATAAGCCCTTACAATACATTTCATATATCCGAAACACGCTAGAGCGAATGTGGATTAATGTTTTTCGAGTTAGCGCTCAAGATTCTAAGAACGTAAAGTGGTGAAACTGATTTCGATCCATGCTGTATGAACAAAAGGTAACCATTGGAGCCAACGACGCGACTGCACGGAGGATTGCGAACCGAACGGCAAGGAACGAACAAAATACGATGATCGCGACTGAAAATTGTTGAGAAGTGTACTAAGAGGGAACTAACGACGGACCGATGGCGGAATTACCGGTTGGGGGACCCACTGGAAGGGGGCGCTGCTTCGCCGTGAAAGGCGCCGCGCTGCCCGCTCGATTAGAGGACCAATGCTGTTGGGGATGTCAGGTGACATCCCACATTGGGATAGTCTCCCATGGAGTAGATAGATAGATATCTCTCGCTCTCTCTCTCTTTCTCCTTCTCTCCTCCGTCCGCAATACAATATTCACATCTTCCTATTCTATTGCCCTTGTATGATCTCCATGAAATGCTGACATGAGAGGAGGCCTTTTATTTCATGATAAGCACTCAATCAGTTACATATCACTATAATACAGGGCTATCACAGGAAAATACTGCAATTTGCGTACAGATGGTGTCTCCAAGATGATATTCAGATTAAATCGGTAATCAAACGTACATTCATCCCAATGTAAGCTATACAGCAATTCATATGATGAAAAACCGAACTGGCGTGCCAACAACGTTTATCGGTATGCTGTTGACTCGCTTGGCAAGGTTCGTTGCGGTGCTTGGCGAACTCGATTGATCATGTGAAATGTATCCCGGATATCCCTGACATATTCTATCGGATTACAAAGCATCATCCAAGCCCCAGCTCCAAAAAGGCCCCCGTGGTATCCCTGCTGAAGCTTGGCTCCATTGCTATCAACCGTAGAATAATCATGCCTGTCGCTGGAAGAGGTGGAGGATCGTGATAGACTGTATGGTCCGATCCCATATGCATAATAGAAGAAGCAAGCGATAGGTACCATCTGGATACAAATGATCATAGTTTGGATTCCCATGTGAACATCTGCGTACGTCAATTTCGCCGTAGGTGAAAGTGCGGATGTAGAACGGAGGATTGTGAAGACGATCTAGGCTAGGTTAATGCTAGGGACTTGATTATTCAGACCCTTTTGACTTACATTTTCGAAGAATACTAGTCCAACAATGAGTTTGAATGCAATCAGCTTCACGAGTGGGTGGTGGTGTGAAATATGAGGTTTCAAAGCGATGTAGAATTTGATAACCGCCATTACTGCGATAACCACAGACAAAATGCGAATGATGTTAAGCTGTAGTTTTCACGCCACTAGTTAGTATTGACTCGATTTGGTATTCACGGCATATAATCCACTAACCCAAAGATGTCCAAAATATGCTTTGTTACTCTCAAGACAGTAGACATCGGCGGACTGAGTGATACAACTTGCCACCGCAACAAAGAGAGCCACGACTGGGTATTGCAGTATGGAGAGCCATTTTCTCTAGAACAGGCTCATTCGTCAGAGAAATTCGAGCATTGATCGAATCTGGACAAACCTGAAACCACATGAGTCCGTTCATGTTCTTTGAGCTCATTTTGCCCTTTTTGGGCCGATAGCTTGCAAGAAACATGCACCGTGCATCTTCGTCCGGGTTGAGAAAGTTACAAAGCAGGAAAAAGAAGCCGCACAAGGCAATCGACTGGAACAGGTCTAGCCATGCTACCAGGTATACGTATGCGTTGGGAAAACAAACTGCAAGGAATGAGAAGATCGAATAGGCCGGAAGAAGGGCGCAGATCCTCATGATTCTAGAATGAATTTAGCGAATGCCTTGAGATTTAGAGCCCAATATTCTTTCACTCACCTTGTCTGTCTGTATGGATTGCTGAAGTGGGTTGCGTGCAGTGTCATCAAAGTAAAGATAGCGAGGCAAGTGAATGCCGCGCAGGCACCGGAGAGGATCATGTTGAAGGTATGAAAATCTATGTCGTGCACAAATGGCTGGGATGATTCTGTCGCAACAATCAGTTCCTGGGTTCACTGAAATTTCTGCGTGCGAAGGATCAAATACCCCCTGAAAGATCCCGAGGCATAGGGCAGGTATGGTTTGTGCTCCCACTGCTATGATGAAATAATCCCATTTTGAATATTAATCTCTTGATTGTTTGGACTCTGACCCAAGAATGATGTGTTTGATAAAGGACAATGAACAGAAAAGATGTAAATGTAGATGGTGTTGATCTTTTTGTTCTGTGAGCATTCGGACAGGAAGTTCCTTGCTTTTATATCTCGTCTTTGGGGCATTGCAAGGCTGCGCCTCGATGGAGATACACAATTTTCCATCGGAATTATTGCTCTAACCTCGAGAAAAGACCGAATCTGATGCCAAACAAGCATGAGCTAGTCCTGATTAGGTATAGATGTTGATGATCGATGAGGCAAAAGAGAAGATGATTGGTGGATGTGGTGGGGCCACACTAGGCAATTTGTGGCAATTCTGGCGATTGGGATTTCGGGGCTGTAAGCTGACAACGTTGTCTTTACATCATCAATCTTCAGCAGCGTTCTAGACTCTCGGAAACTAACAGTCAGAATTCGCATTACGAATAATCTTTCAGCCCCAAGAGGACGGCTCGGACTTCATGGGCACCAAAGGACCGAGCAATGGTTGCAACAGCTGCAGAAACCAGAAAATTAAGGTTGTACGATTCTTGGCCCGCATGAGCGCATATGCTGATCTCCAACAAGTGCAATGAGATAAGACCAACATGTTCGCGATGTGAGCGAAGTGGTCGAGATTGTGTCTATCGTGATGGGTTCGAATCGGCGCACAGAGATCAGCGAACTATCGCAAAGACGTGTGCTGAGAAGAAGTGGAGACAGCGAGCCAGCGAGCCGCCTATTATGGGCGAAAATTCAACCGTGAACAAGGGCTTGGCTTCCAATCAGCATCTTGGTACCCCATATGCAAGGCTTCACGAACCACTCCACCAACTTGCATACCAGCGGTTTCGATATGACTTTGTCATGGCTTCGGGGAAGAACTCGCCGGCGGAAGGAACGTTCTCAAGACTTGATTTTCTGTATCCGATGGCACCTGAAGATTCCTGCCTCTTTAGTGCTGTGACTGCAGTCTCGTGCGCAAACCTCCACGGCAGGCTCAAGTCGGAAGAAGCTCAACGCGCCAGTGGCTTGTACTACGGCAAAGCTCTACAGAGGTTAGCTGCGCTGATGGCAATGAGTCCATCAACTGTCAATAGCGACGAGATTTTGGTAGTGATTTTGGTGCTGGGTCTATATGAGGTGGGGTTATCAAGCCCGGGAAACTTCTAATTTATATGCTGATACCAGTGTGGGCGCTTAGACATTAACGTCGGCAAGCCGTGATGGATCTTGGATGACACATATGCGTGGTACTCAATCCGTCATTGCGAACAGGGAAACTATCTCCAACGAGGGCAACCATATAGTCGCTGCTCTGTGTTTGCATCTAGTAAGTGCTCTCTGTACCTTAGAAAGAATCTGCTCAGATCGCTTTGTGAACCTCGGGTTACAACCAAAATTCAGTCAGACTGACTAGTCGATATTTTCCAGCTTGTCTACTATATTAGCGAAAGGATTGCTCCACCACCCTATTTTCATGGATGGCTCGCACAAATTCCGATCTCCTTTGGCCGCAAAGTGCAGTTATCTGGCTTCATGGCCGAGACAGCCACATTATGCTCAAAATTGAAATCAAAGTTTGCTCCACATGAGCCCTTCTCAGGTTATGCGGAGCTTCTCAATGCAGCCCTTCTGCTTGATTCCCATCTCGAATCATGGACTTCCCAGCTGCCCGGGGACCGAAGGTATACGATACAGAAAATTAAATCCACAAATCATTCTCCATGGGCTACTACGTTACTATCATTGCAGGGTGCACCTAGACTTATGGAAGTCTATTCGAACCCCTTGGCTGCCACTGACTGGAACATGTATCGGGCTACCCGTATCCAGCTCAATCTCTCCATCTGGGATTTCCTGGGAGACTCGCCAGAGCTAAATGACATAGTCGGTGGATCTGGGCTCAAACACCGGGTTTTAGAGAATATAAAGAATCTTGCCGGTCAGATTGCATGCTCAGTTCCATACTCTCTTCTGATCACGCCTGAGGGTGGCTCTTCTGAACCTGCATCTACAAATGAGATCCATGGATTATGGGGATATATGCTTATGTGGCCGGTTTCAATTGCATTGTCTTGTTACAAGACTGATCAACTCACGGATACCGATTCAATCGAACAGTGGCTCAGAACGGTGCTGGTATTTATTCGAGACAGTTTGGGCATAGCTAAAGCCGATGTGTGTATAATAAGATGAAAACATACAGCGAGGCATAAAAACACCATTAAACATTTGCTCGAACTGTATCTCAAAGAACATATCTGAATCTCGGGTTCTGTCGACTGGTCAGCGAGAAAATCATACAAGGAAATGGTTGACTTGTAGCAACTAACCTCGAAATCAGTCAAGTCAGCCATAGCGCTTTCATCGAGAGATGACTCGACATGGCCAACAGCAGCAGCGGCAGCATCTCTCCGTTTATTTCTCCGAGCCAAGATGAAACGCAACAAAATGGCCAGAGCTGCCTGCGCCGATGAGCATGCGAGAATGAGTTTGACTCCGGTCTGATAAATGGGTGCTTCTTTCGCAAGGAATGCGTGGGGTCCAATGATATTGCCGGCACAGTACGCCAAGAATACTAAAGCAACACTGGTGGTCCGTTTAGTATAACCACCTAGGTTTGTTGCTGGCATCTGCAGAGCTAGCACCAAAGAGCAGACGTAGGCTCCAATAATATAATAGCCAAACAGCACTCCGACTTTGTATGTTTGATGATCCAGCTTCCACAGGAGACTAGCACCAAGAATAGTGGGCATCAAGTAAATAAACATAACGACAGTCCGGAAGTTCTTGATTCGAGATGCGAGATATGTTCCTCCCAGTACGTAGAAGATCTGGAATCCTCCAAAAGGAATACCCAAAGCGACAGCAGTTGCCGAGTCATCAGTCAATCCTTTGATAATCAGTTTACCAAAGCTCGCAATTCCACCATTAACAACCTCATTCAAAAGTGTAAAAAAGAACAAGAGCCAGACTTGCGGGTCTATTAAAGCCTCGCGGATCTGATACCATTTGATTTGGTGGTTGATGATACCGGTTTGACCAAGTCGACCACGGCCAATTAAGAGGGCCTTTTCATCTAGAGTGAACCGCTTCGCCGAGATCACATCATCTGGAAGAAATAGAAGCATCACAACTCCCCAGACGAGAGTAATGCCACCCAGAATAAGATAGATCGCTCTCCATACGGCAATGGTGTGGATTTGTCCTATACCGTATGTAAGGATGCCACCAACCATTGCACCTAGGCCGTTGCAGCTGTAGAAGACACCAGCGCGGAAAGGTTGCTGGGCACGTGTGTACCACATTCCGATCATCATCATGAAGCAAGGAGTAATAGGAGCTTCGAAAACTCCAAGAAGAAAGCGGCAGATCGCCATCCCGATGAAAGACGAGCAGGTGGCGGTAATCATGAGCATCGCGCCCCAGGCAATAATGTTTCCTGAAACCACCTTGGCGAGCTTTGTTTTCTGGGCGAGGATATTCCAAGGGTATTCAGCGACGAGATAAGCAATATAGAATATACTGGCCAGCCAGCTGTATTGGTTGCTAGACATATGTGTGGAGGAGAGAAGATCAAATACCGCAGAGTAGGCGAGGGCTGATTTGTCGATATATTGGAGCATGTATGTCCCGGCAAGCAAAGGCAACAATACAAGATCTACCTTGCGGACCATTGCCTTGTTGCGCGGCTCGTCGTCCAGGAGTGTTTGTATAGCCTCTTGGTTGTACCCATGTTGGCGGAGGAAGACTTCGCCTTCGTCAAGATCCGTTATAGTGCCGATTTGCACATCCTTCTCGTTGATGGCATCGTCCACAGGTGATTTTTTGTCAATTTCCATAGTCACAATTCAATAAGTAATAGTAAACAGAAATGACAAGGATGGAAGTGACCCCATATAGGATGCCAGGCACCCCTCTGAGCCTTTTAAGCCGGTCATTTTCCCGTTATCTTTAGAGTTCACATAAGACCCATTGATATCATCAGATGCGGAGTGATCACTCATTTCGGGGTCTGTCCGAACACTATCGCGGTGATAACAGCGACTGATACGAAGCCAAGAGGATTTAAGTGTAGAATCTAGTCCTAGTGAGGGTTAGTGGCAGATAAACAGTGACTCCACCAAGATAGTCCCCCGCACGGTAGAACTTCGGCGCTACATCTGACGCCCGGAGAGATAGCGACGCCCACGGTGCTATATCTTGCCCCCGACCCCCAACTCTTGTCGCTCTTGATTTCTCTTCATTGGCTTGCCATTGACCTGTGATACACAATGACCGTTGATACCAAGCCTCCTTCCGTTACTCTGGCGCAAGGCCAAGTGGTGGGAACCCAGCTCAGAGATTCTTTTCCCCAAACCGTAGACGCCTTCTTGGGAGTGCCGTATGCTCTCCCACCTGTTGGAGATCGCCGGTTCAGACCAGCACTCAAAGTTTCGCATTCATTAGATATCATTGACGCGTCCAAGTATGGCCACGCTGCTCCTGGGAAGGCACTTCTCTCTGGAGGGCCAAAATTGGTGCAGAGCGAGGACTGCTTAACGGCAAATATCTTTCGACCAGCTGGGAACAATAATGCTGGGAAACTTCCCGTTGCGGTCTATTTTCACGGCGGTGCTTTCAATCGCGGATCCGCGGCTATGCACCACTCCGCATCCATGGTGGCATGGTCAGAGAAGCCCTTCGTAGCCGTGAGCTTTGGTTATCGTATTGGAGCTCTTGGATTCCTGCCCTCAACTTTGTCGCAGAAGGAAGGGTTGTTAAATCTTGGATTGCGTGATCAGGTGCATTTATTGCAATGGGTCAAAGAGAATATTGCCGAATTCGGCGGCGATCCTGACAAAGTGACTTTGTTTGGTCTCTCTGCTGGAGCTCATTCGGTAAGTCTGGCATTGTCTGGTTTGCCAAATAGTCCGTTCTGACCCAACACCAGATTGGCCACCACATCCTCAACTACGACGAGCACAAATCGCCATTGTTCCACCGTGCCATCATCGAGTCAGGAGCACCTACCTCCCGCGCCGTTCGTCCATATAACGCCAAGGTTCACGAAGACCAATTTGCAGACTTCCTTCAAGAAGTTGGGTGTCCAGCCGATCTACCCGAAGCGGAAATATTCCCATTCCTGCGTTCCCTCCCCAGTCTGACAGTCACAAATGCCCAAACAGCTGTCTTTGACAAATACAACCCGTCACTTAGATGGGCCTTCCAGCCAGTGATTGATGGAGACATTATCTCTCGCAAGCCTCTGGAGGCATGGGAATCAAAGCTCTGGAACAAAGTGCCCATCATGACCGGATTCAATGGCAACGAGGGAACAATGTATGTCGACAAGCAGATGTCCCACGCCTCCCAGTTCCGCGAGTTCTGGCAAAATCTTCTTCCTGAGCTCTCTTCATCAGATCTCGACACAATCGAGAACCTGTACCCCGACCCTGCTGTTTATTTCTCATCGCCATATGTCGAAACTAGAGAGGGCGAAGCTCTAGGACTGCAATATAAACGCATCGAAGCCGCCTACGGACACTATGCCTACGTAGCCCCGGTTCGACAAACAGCACAATTTGCGTCCTCTCAGGGAGCTCCAGTTTATCTGTACAACTGGGCGCTACCTAGAACAGTCGTCGGTCGGGCAAACCATGGTGACAATATGTACTATGAGACATACAACAGCGATATCACAGGGATTTCAGAATCCCAAAAGGAGCTGTCTGGCACTCTTCATGCCTACCTGACTAGCTTCATTACAACCGGCGATCCCAATGCTGTATCTGGTCGATACGGGCAAAGGCCAAAGTGGGAATCCTTCCAGCCCTTGGATCCAAAGATTATGATATTTGGGGAAGGAAATAATGAATTGATTGGTGGTGATATTGCTCCTCCTGCGAAATGTGTTGCCGACAATTGGGCAAGAAAAGAGACCCAATTTTGGTGGTCCAAGGTTCCAATCTCTCAGCTTGCTTGAATGATATAGAAGCGATACACTCCATGAAATAGAACTCAGCCGCAAAGCTCATTAAATTTCATCATTATCTTTCCTTCTCTTTTTTGGTCTTCCAAGCACCTAATTCCCCGGTTGCAACTGAATTTGGGGTCTAGTCCAATATGTCTTGCTGCGGGTCCTCATATTGAGCCCCGATGACCAAGATATCATTTTTCGTCTTGTCCATTCGGGTGCGTAAGGCTTTCAACTCATCAAGAATTCGCTCAGACAGTCCACAATTGGAGCGCTTTTGCGGAGCGCTGTCGGTCCCGGCAGAAGAGGTATCGCTTCTGTCAAAACATAACGAACACAGTTCATCCCCTCCTACTACGCCAATTTGATCCTGGTGGGTTTTGGAAAGGGCATGACTTCATTTTCTGCCTGCACTTGACTATTTTCCGGCTGCATTTCTGCTGCTTTCTGCTCCGCCTCGGACTCTGTCGCACAATGAGCTTCGTCGCTGCGGACTTCGAACCCCCATTTTGGGTTTTCCATTGCAAATTCAACGAGTTTGTTGAAGGAGCCATCCACCAAAAACCCCACGAAGCGTCTCTGGTGACGTCGGATGTCGGTGAGGTTCTCCTTCCGTCTCAGTCTGTGTTCGTCTGCGTCTGAGAGAATGACTGTAGGGAGAGCGTTGATCAGAAATCTGGCCAAGGATGCCACGAGTCTCTCTCCATTTTTTGTATACGTCTCGGCATCTGCGCAGACGGTGAGTATCTCCCATGAGGCGAAGTAGGCAACGCCTTGTTGCCATTTCTCGAGATGTCGAGCACATACGACCATAGGGTGTGGAAAACAGGGCTTCCCGTCCGCTCAGCCGTACTTAAGCCACACGCCGGTGAGTTAGTAGTTGGGTGGGTGACCACCAGCGAATCCTCACTGTTGTATGTTTTTTTCATTTTTTTTAAAAAAAATCTCATTTGCTTAGAGTATGCTAGTTAATACTGCTGTTCCTGCTAGTGGCTCAGCCTCATGGTGCCTCTTCTGGCATTGTCTTATTGACCGTCTTTTCATCATTCGGAGGCCATGATCTATCATCAACTGAGCTGTAGACAAACGATCCTCGTTGAGGATTGACGAATAGGTAAACATTGGCACGAAATTTGGCAAGCCCATGCATGAACTTTGACTTTCAATGTCTTAGATCTCCTCACAAATTTGACCCGGGAGTTTTTCTGTTCGGATCGGGACCACCCATAACTTCAACTTCAGAGACAGCGGCAAGAAAGTCGTATAAGATGGCAGAGTTAGAAAGCTTTTACTCGCACGGAAAGGATCTTTTATTTGCATCCTCAATATGTCTTAATATTTCCTCATACACGTCATTAATACTATTTGAGGATGATGACGGTTTACAAAAGTGGACCTTTCCTGGTTAAAACATATTCGGAGGCTCTTGATTCGCGTTGCGTGTCACTGTGAGTTGGCAGTATTTGCACCTATTTTCTTTTGTAAGTGCTCTGTCGGAAGGCATCTAGATGGGGTTCGCTTGAGTCGGAGGGTCCAGAACAAGGTGATTTGGAGTATGAGTGTGAAAGAATAAATATGAATGTCACAAGGAACTCAGCAAACTGTCTGATGCCTGTAGGCCACTCGTTTTCTTTGGAGGGATATATGATGATCGGTGGATGTCGGAGTTGTTGATGAGATGATATCGAGAGACAAAAATTGATTTGATCTTCGGTGCACAAAAGACTTAGATGGTACCTAGGTAAGCTTCAACAATTATGCATTTTTAGGTTCTTGATTCACTCACATGAGATGTGCTGATGTTTTGGGCACAGGACAAAAGATGCACCTAGCTGAAACAGCAGTCAGGGGATAAAGGATGAGGGTCAATTGTGCTTGTTCATCTACGTTATATCTGAAAGGTCTGGAGACACTATCAGAGACCACTTAGTTGTAATGTTTTTGCATTCGATATCATTTGTTTTCCACGTCTTTCGAATGCCAAATATCTACCAAATGAGCACCCAAATCGACTCAGTAACTCGAACATCGTTGCAGCGGAAGACGCTAATCAAAACTGTTTTTGGATTTCGGAGTCATCACAAATCTGAATACAGTGAAAGGATTGATGTTAGCCATAAGTAGAGCTTTCCGTTGGTATTAGCTTGAAAGGGACCTGAGAAATTGAAGAGAAGAATACAGAATTTCCGTTTTGACGCGATGATCCTATGTTGGGAAGGTACAAACATGGCAGGTGCGGTCTGGACAGAGGCTGGGTTACTACATCGTCTCAATGAAAACTTGGGAACTCAGCGAATCTCGAAATATGTATCTCTACAATAGCTGATCATTATAGGGCATAAAGACGCTGCCAAAGGTAAATTTTCGAACGCCTCGTGCCCTTCCTCTGCTCAGGCTTCTCATTTAAAACCTAAAGAAAACTTCTTTTATTCGCTCCCATTAATTTTTTACAACTATAATCCCAATCTTCGTGGTCCGCTTGCTCTGGAGGCATTGAAATAGACCTTAAATTCCACGAGAAGCTGCTCGGTATCATATATTAGGAGGTGGTCAAGATTGAATATCGGACGGTGATTATGGCCATCAACATCATGGTCAGCTTTTGATCGGCAAAATTCCGAAATTTTACAAGATACGGTACGGATTAACGTATGGTTCTATGGATGAAATATCATTAAAGCATACTAGTTCACAATTTCAGCCTCGTCGTCGTGAAAGATAACAGTTCCCCAATTAGGCCGATTGAACCGCTTCCCACCCAGAGTTTCCACCAGTCTATCAATTTGCGCAATTTCCTCCTCACTCATGTCAAAACACTTTTGTAAATTCTCTGCAATCCGTACGGGATTCACGCTCTTTGGGATCACACTCCATCCCTTCTTCACTCCCCAGCTCAGCAACACATTTCCAGAACTGCATCCTCTCCTCTCCGCAATCTCATTCACGCTGGGGTCTTCATGTAAGGTACTTCCACTTCCACCAAGAGGCCCAAATGCAGTCTGGTGTACCCCTCGCTCTGTGCAAAGTGCATTCAATTTCTTCTGGGGCAACAAGGGCTGAATCTCGGTCTGATTGACAGCCGGCACAATCTTGCAGCTTTGGAGTAATTTTTCGAGATTCACAGTTGAAAAGTTTGCCACGCCAATTGCTCGTACTTTTCCTATGTCCAAGAGTTTCTCCATCTCGCGCCATGTGTCGGTGAAATCCCACTCTGGGTCATGTGCCGTTCGGTCCTCCTTTCCATAAGACTCTGGGGATGTGCTAGGGAGGGTGACGGGCCAGTGCATCAAGTAGAGATCTACATAGTCTAGGTTGAGGTCATCCAAGGACTTTTGGAGAGCTGAAGAGATTCGACGGTGATCGGAGGACCAACTAAAATTTCAAAGATCTGTATGTCAGCTTTTCTCACAATATAGCAAGCTTGAAATTTGACTGACAGCTTTGTAGTCACGAAATAATCTTCTCTGGGGACATCAATGGTTTTGAAGATTTGTCCAATCTCGGCTTCGTTTCCATCTATATATTTGAATTAATTTGGCGCCCAATGCTTTCATTCCATGAATATATAACGAGACTTACAGAGTGGAGCACAATCCTGATCATGATAAAGTTAGCTTGTGGGTTTCTCAGAACATAGGTTAACGTTGACACATACAAAGTGTCTGTAGCCAGCTTTGAATGTAGCTTCAACGGCTGCTGCTGCTTCACCCGGACCGGCTTTCCATGTCCCAAATCCAATTGCAGGAATTTTTGCGCCTGTATTCAGCGTGAATGTTTTATCTTGCAATTCAGCCATCTTTAAAAAATACAGAGTTATTCTCCGTATTATTCAATACTAATTTTGAGAGTTGTGCCACCTTTATCAATCACCTGCGGGGTGTCTCCTCATCCTGATGCTAGAGCTCCCGCCAAATTCAAAAGCCGGGGAGAAAACCGCAACTGGAGGGATTATCCCCCGAGAGATCGGTATTTCTCCGCGATGGTCAAGATCTACTAGGCTAAATATTGTGGATGATCTTTTGCCAAACTGTCATTTCCCGTATAAGCTTACTACAAATCCCATGTCCTACCTGGTCTAGGCGGTTTCAACATGCTCTACACGCTGTGCCTTTCCGTCATCCTCTAGTGCCTGGACTTTACCGGCGACTATGTTTTCCCGGACATCACGCCTAACCTTCTCCTCTTCAGTGGGGTAGGCATGTTTCCACATGGTCCACAGTGGTCGCTCGAATAGATCATCCATACTTTCCATCGATCGGCCTTTCATCTCGGGCAAACAGAAATAGATGAAGATGACTCCCAAGTATGTCAGCATGGCGTAAAGTAAGAACGTCCCCCAGCCCATTTCAGTGATCATGTTAGGTGTAGCACGTGTGATGCCATAATCGACGATCCAGTTAATGAAGAAGCATATAGCCATGCAGAAAGATCGCTAAATGCGGTCAGTAACGGACGTTCAGGGTCGTTTTCAGGGTCGGTCTACTCACAATTCTGGTCGGAAATACCTCAGCCGCCACAACGTAACAAGCGACTGAATGTCCGAATGACCATCCAAAGGCATAGATATAGATGAAGATGATTCCAACAATCCCCCCTGCAGGAGTACCACCAACGGCATTATTAGTGGTGCCAGCGAAGCGAAGATACAGTGCCAGATAAAGCATGGAAGTTGCTTGTAAGGTAGCTCCAACAAGAAGGGGAAGCCGACGGCCGATGCGGTCAACCAGATATCCGACGTATAGGATGGAAACAACGGTCTTCACCACACCATAAACACCAGTAGTAAGTAGACTGGTAGAGTCTCCTTTCACACCAATCATCTCAAATATCTCAGGAGCATAGTACTGTGGTTCGATTAGCAATCTCTCATTTTCGAGAATAGGGCTGATAGAAAACTAACGTTCAATGAGTCTGTGCCCGTAAATTTATGGAACAAAAAGAGCATCACCGCCAGGAAGAAGCGCTGGAAGTTGCTCCTCGACGAAAAAACATCTTTAAGCACGACCCAATAGCTATGTCCGGCAAAGCATTCTTGTTCATGTCGCACCTGGGCTAGAATCTCACGGTATTCGGTCTGGACGTACTCATGATCTGCGGGTAACTTTCGCAACCGGCAAATGTTTTTGAGTCCTTCCTCATTCTTTCCATGATTGATCAAGTACCGGGGTGTTTCGGGCACAAATGGAACCATCATACACAACAAAGCACCAGGAATGATCTGGATACCCATTGCTGTTCTCCACTGCGTGTCATCGTGTTCAACCCCGGGAAACGACCACTTTGCAACCCCATAATTGACCCAGAAAGCTAACATCAGGGAGGTCACAATCATCAAGTTATATGTCGCTGTCATCGACCCGCGAACGGATTTCGGGGAATTTTCGGCAAGGAACTGGGGTGTGAGCATTGACGATGCACCTACCCCCATGCCGGCGACGAAGCGACCGGCCAAAAGAACGTCGTAGTCGGCGACCATCTGCATTGCAGCTCCAATGACAAAGACGAGACCCCAGCCAAATACTGACCATTTTCTACCAAAGAAGTCTGATGTGGGAGCGGCTAGTAATGCACCAGCTGATCCACCGGCCGCAAGCATGGAGGCGATGGTGCCCTAAAACGGTCAACTAGTTGTTCGAGGTCCCTCTGGAGATGAACAATCACCTACCTTTCTGTTGTCTTGTTCGGCTTGGGATACATTGGTGAGCCCAAAGGCATTTTTGAAGGACGGCAGTGTGAGAATTCCGCCAATGTTTCCCGTGTCGAATCCATAGAATGATCCTCCCCAGGCAACCGCAACGAGGAGGTACAAAAGTCGTAGATTGAAGATCTCCCTAGGGTCCGTCTTTGCCTCACTGCTGACCCAAATGCTAGTACCGCCCGCCATGATGATATTCGTGCAAAATACAGTGATGAGTTTGAACCAAATACTCTCAGGTTAGTCAGAGAGCCCAGTGGTGTTTATAAACATCAAGGGTGTGAGTGGCTCGGTAGAGACAAGACGCAATATATAGACCCCGCCAAAGTGTAACTGAGTATGCACCTATTATCTGCACATACTGTCCAAAACTAAGATGCATGCCCAGACCAGTATCTGCAAAACCCCATGGGGAAGTGGGGACATGGAGCGGGTACGAGGATCGTACAGTCGGGCTGCCCTCCGGGGTTTGGTTTAGATTTGTTGTACCCCGGTGAGAAAACCGCTGAATGACACAAGCTTGGTTCGGGATCGAAACGAACATAGATAAGATAAGGGTCATGGAAGTGAACAGCTTGTGGTGCTGATCCATTGCTCTTTCGACATCAACTTTGTGATCACGGAAACGATGGCAACTACAACTACCACCGTCCTCGAACCACCAGAATTTGATTCATCACTTCGTGCTTCTGCGAGCAGATCGTATAGCTACGCAGAGGCTTTTATTCCAGCCCTCACCACACAATGCCATGCTTCAAACCTTCTTCTCCTCCCCAGCGGCGATCTCCTCTGTGCCTGGTTCGGCGGAAGCATTGAAGGCAGGCCCGATATCTGCATTTACCTGTCGCGTCTCCCAGCTGGGCAGAAGGTCTGGACGGAAGCAAAAAAGATGACGCATGACCACACCCGAAGCGAACAAAACCCTCTCCTCTTTCGCAATCCCTCGAACGGAGAAGTCCGCCTTCTGTACACTTCGCAAGATGCCGGAAATCAAGACTCCGCCATTGTCAAACAGCTCATTGCAGATAAAAATGGCGTCAACTGGTCTGATCCGACTGTTCTTTTCAGCGATCCAGGTACCTTCATTCGCCAGCCCATTGTCGTCCTACCAAATCGTGCTTGGGTCGTACCTATCTTCAAATGCCGTGCCGAGCCTGGTACGCGATGGCTAGGAAGCGATGATATTTCATGCATCCGTATATCCAAAGACGAAGGCAAAACCTGGAGCGAGAGGGAGATTCCGAATAGCTACGGGTGTGTGCACATGAACATTCAACGACTGAAAGATGGGACATACCTTGGACTTTACCGAAGCCGATGGGCTGACCGCGTCTATTTGTCAACTTCCCCTGACGGTTTGGACTGGACTGAACCCAAGACGACTGTTTTGCCGAATCCGAATGCGGGTATCTGCTTTGACGTTCTACCATCTGGGCGGGTGGTTTTAGTGTACAATCATTCTTCGAAAAAAGATGCTCTTGGTCGCCGGGATGGTCTGTATGATGATATCAGTGATGGTAGCGATACAAGGGCCAACCAAGCCACCAAGCATGAGAAAGAAGCCTTCTGGGGTGCGCCTAGGGCTCCATTATGTGTTGCTTGGAGTGATGATGGAGGTCTCACTTGGGATCGGAAGACTTTGGAGGATGGGGATGGATATTGCCTAACAAATAATAGCGAGAAGAAGCTCAATAGGGAACTTTCCTACCCTAGCATTCTGGTGGAGGATAATGGTACCATCCACGTCGCATTCACTTTTTGGAGACAGAGAATCAAGTACATGCAGTTAAAAGAGGACTTCTTTGAACATTAATTAGAAATGAAACAAGCTTGTGGCTCTTTGTTGGCGATTGACAAATATTAACATTGCTCCGAGACCACTGTACTATATTCCTGCTATCCTAGGCGTTTGAAGCAATTGCTAGATTGCTAGTCAAATCTCAAGTTTGCTCGTTTATGTTCTGGTGTCAGTTTGACAATTCAGAAGTGATCAGCCGCAAGGAAGCCCGCCCGATAGCGTATCATTACGAGTGATGCGTACGGTTCTTGCATTAAACAACTCTTTATATTTGACATTCGAGTAAAGAAGCGCAAATCAATATAATACATTCTAGACAATCTAAACTGCGTCAGGTAAGCTCTGCTCTAGCTTCTCCAGATGTTGCATGACGCTGACTACCCAAGTTGACTTTTCCTGTCCACATGGCGCATAAGGCTTGCGAGGCCAGAAGGCCTTTGCATCGGTGACACCAGCAGCGGGACCAGAAAAATGAGCAGCACCAAACTTGGTGGGTGCTATACCTTCCTTACAGGCTTTCTCTGCCTGAGCTACTAGACCCTGTAATTCCCTAGCCTCTTTGGTTTTTCCTTGATTCCACAGCTCATAAAGCTGTACGACACATTTGGGAAATACATTGGCAATTCCAGTAACGCAACCTCCACCACCGCCAGCAAGACAGGGAATAAGCCAGTCGGAGGACCCAGCATAGACTGCGAATTGTTTATGGGTATACTCCTCGGTGAGTCGGGTCACTTTTCCAGCATTGCCGCAAGTTAACTTGACTCCAACTATATTAGGATGTTTTGCTAGCTCGGACATTGTGTCGGAGTTCATGTCGATGCCATTGCACATAGCGGGGAACTATGATGGGCGTTAGTTGCTTTTTCATTGTGTTCAGAGGGACGATACATCGTCCACAAGCAGAAATACTTACACTGTAGATAACGATAGGTAGTGGAGTGGAATCAGCGACGTCTCGGTAGAATCCCAAGATAGCATCCTTGGTAACAGCCTTGGCCCAATAACTTGGTGGTAGCAACAGGCCAAAGCTTGCGCCCGCAGCCAAGGCATCTTCTGCCAGTCTAATTGATTCATTGGTTGATTGTCCGCTGATTCCAGCAACAATAGGAAATTGTGGGCGGCCAAGGTCAACAGCTGCTTTCCTGGCAACTTTTACCAATTCCTTTCGCTCTTCGGCAGACAACAAAACAGCTTCTGCAGTAGTTCCTGCAAGAACAAGCCCATCGACACCACCGCGAATCAGATACGAAAAGAACTTGTAGGAGGCATTGTAATCAACATCTTGTCGGAGTGTCGGCTTATACAGAGAGATCACCGGGCAGTAGATTCCCGGCGGGATGGGTGATGATTTAACTGCGATGGAAGATGACATTATGTTAATGGAAATTGCAGTAGATCTGAACACGTACACCCTGTGCCATTTACTTTTGCCTTATACCTCAAGGCAAATATCGCGACCGGAGGAGCCCCTCTTGGTAGCTCGGCGAGTGTCCGAGCTTCGCAAGGTTTCCGCGCCGGAGTATTTTTCACCGATGGAGAGGGGCTTGGAGTGGCCCCAATGCAGCTCATGGTGGTGGGGAAGAGTCCAGACAATGGACTGATCAGCACTTGCCGACCACATGGACAAGGAGAGAGTCAACGGCGAATAAGATGGATGGTATTTGGTTAGACTGGGGTAAAGCGTTCCCCCGCTTCTCCATAGATAACCTCGGGGTGCTCCCCGGTGTCAGTTCAGTTACTATTACACCTCAATTCTTTGACTTGTTGCCAATATTGACATGATGGCAAAGCGCAAGCGGAATTGGACCGACGAGGGATCGGAAACCTTGCCGTCTTCCAACGTTTCAGACCCTGCAAAAGAGCTGGCTGTCCTGGATGTTTTGCCGGGGATTACCCGGAAGATCACAGCCTGCGGTGCTTGCAGGAAACAGAAGGTGTGTAATTGAATTGCAAGCAATGTGGTTGGATCAAAGTTGACGGGGACAGATTAAATGTGATATGAGCAATGGTCCACCATGTACTCGGTGTCGTCGTCGCGATTTATCTTGTGTTTTAAATAAGAGTCTACAGTCATTGGTGGAGGAAGTAAAGTGAGTAAGAGTTTTTTTTTATCCCAAGTCCTTTAACTGACCAGTTCATAGGAACACTGAAGTCTTGCAAAGTGATGTGTCCGGCCTACATGAAACCCTAGACAGCATCTGCCAGCACCTCAATCTACCTCGACCGAAGGCTCTCTTGTCCACCGGGGAAATAACCGAAACAGATAACAAAAGGATCGAACATTATGATCGAGAAAGGGATAACGATAATGAGGATCTAGATGGGTGTGAAGTCTCCCCACCGGATACCCCATCTGCGGTCCAAGCTCCGATCGATACATACCTCGACATTGCCAAATTGGGGAGTCCAGGGTCATCTGAGAATACTCCCCCAAGTACAACAAGGCAAAAACAGCACTCAGCGCCTCAAGATCTTGTCAGCAAAGGGGTAATAAGCTCTACGGTCGCTGAGACATTGGTGAAAAGATACTTCGCACAGCTGGATTCATACCTATACGGAATATGTAGTGGATATCGGAGCATGCAACAGATTCGGACCACCTCTCCTGTACTGTTTGCTGCCATATGCACAGTATCAGCACTACAAGATCCCCAAGGTCAGCGCATATATGAAGCTTGTAATCGCGAGTTCCGACGTCTTGTTTCCCGATCTCTGTTCGAGAAGCACGACATAGAACATATTCGCGCGCTGTGCATTAGCTCTTTCTGGCTTTCTGATGCTTCCAGAATTTTGTCCAGTGATGCTATCCGCCGTGCAGCAGACATGCGTCTACATCGCAGCTTCGAACATCTATGCGTTCCCACCGATCCCCGTCTGATAGCAGGAACCAACGCCGCTCTCCAACCTCTTCACGATACCTCGGCACTGCAAGATCGTGTAAGGTTGTGGTATCTGACTTTCATATCAGACCAACACCTTTCCATTTTACACAATCGGGATCCACTCCTGCGTGGTGATAAAGAGATTGCTCTAAGCTGGGAGACGCTCCTGACTCGCGACGATATAACAGACTGCGACGTCCGCATTATATCTCAAGTCGCCCTACTTGTTATAATGAGTCAAATGCGAGACCTCCTTGGTTCTGATCAAGAGACTCGCGTCCCGCAGTCTCTATCAAATCAAATCATCCACTATTCTCGTCAGTTGGACCGATGGTTTACGAAGTTCTCGGCTCTCTTCAAGCCAGATCCCTACATTGGCGACTTCCCTAAACGTGGCTTGCAGCTACATTATCACTTTGGAAAACTGTATCTGGGCCACCAGGTGTTCAAGGGCTTAAAAGGCGAGACTATACCGCCTCATTTCTTGACTGCAGCCAGCATGGCTCACGAAGCAGCCATGGCGATTTTTGAAATGATTCTCCATGAAAATCTACAACAGAGTCTCATCGGCATGCCGCATTATTTCCACATTATGATTGCTTTTGCTGGGCACTTCTTATTGGAAGTGACACAGAATTATCACGCCCAATTGTCTATTGCTCCCAGCCAGAATTTCGAATTGATCCGAAAAGTTTTGGAGCTGTTCCAAGATATTCCAGCCGTTCAACAACATCCTATTTGCAGAATGACCCCTGGGCTGACAAGAAAGCTGCGGGAATGTGTTGGTATATTGCAAGGAGATAGCGGGCACTTACTTCAGTCGCTAGGGCCGTCGGACGGGTCTATGGATTATACCGAAAGCGCTCTCCACATGCATCCACCGGCGGGCTCATTTTTGTTTTCTGGAGAGTCACTCGTGACACCTGTAGATGACTTTTTGCTGGCCGATTTTGGGGAGTTCACCTTTCCTGGGATGATGTCAAACGGAATGACTTAGTTTAGCCTCTTAAGATGAGACAAATTCAATTTATCTGCAAGTGGTATGAATTCATTGCGTTGGATGGTAGTTTCGATGAAAAATTCGAGATTCAATAGGCCCTATCTTGTAACTGAACCTATAAATTTGAGCAATATTCTAGTGGTATCTTGCCTGTGTCTTGTTATGGAGTGCACGACTCTCACCAAAACTTAGCCCGGAGAGCTCCCCGAGAGGACGGCACTCGTCGGCGGGGCGATTGTAGTTTGGAAATATAAGATGATATTCCAACGACAAAAGCTCTGCATTTAAAGGAAACCATACCCTGTTTAATACCATGCAAGCAAATAGTCTGCATCAGACAGCTGGCCAGTCGGCTCCACGAAAAATGGAATACCAACGCCTCGGCAACAGTGGACTTAAGATCTCCCGAATCATCCTGGGCTGCATGACATACGGCAACCCAAACTGGGAAGGGTCACCGTGGGTATTGAGCGAAGAACAATCCCTTCCCCTCATCAAAAAGGCCTACGATGTAGGAATCAACACCTTCGACACTGCAAACACATACTCTAACGGAGCGTCCGAATCAATCCTCGGCAAAGCTCTCAAGAGATACTCAATCCCTCGCAGCCGAGTGGTGATCATGACAAAACTCTACTATCCGGTCCTCGAGGACGACCCAAATGCCCGACCAAGTCCAGCAACTAACGACGGGCCGCTCGTGAACCAGATGGGACTCAGTCGAAAGCATATTTTCGATGCCGTGGAGGGGTCCCTGCGCCGCCTAGACACAGATCATATCGATGTGCTTCAAATCCATCGGCTGGATTCTGAGACATCCCCTGAGGAGATCATGCGCGCTCTGCATGATCTGGTGCAAATGGGGAAAGTGCGGTACTTGGGGGCATCGAGTATGCACTGCTGGGAGTTTGCTCGGCTGCAGTATATTTCGAAGATGAACCGGTGGACGCCGTTTGTTAGTATGCAGGGGCTGTATAATTTGCTTTATCGGGAGGAGGAGAGGGAAATGAACCCTTTCTGTGAAGCCGAGGGTGTGGGGTTGATTCCGTGGAGTCCTTTGGCAAGGGGATTACTAGCACGGCCTTGGAAGGAGAAGTCGGCGCGTGCTGATCAGGATCAGAAGACTAAGAAGTGGTTTGTGGGGGACCAGAATGAGGAGATTGTTAGGAGGATTCAGGAGATGGCTCGTATGAAACGTTGTGAGATGGGTGCTATTGCAATGGCTTGGTTGTTTAGCAAAGGTGCATGTCCTATCGTTGGGTTGAACAGTGAAGCGAGAATCGAAGAGGCACTAGGAGCTTTCGGTGTGACGCTGTCGAAAGAGGAAGTGAGGATTTTAGAGGAGCCATATGGACCACTGGCTGTTCAAGCTATTTGATTTCTAGGACTCACTAGAGAATTTCAAACGCCTTGGCTGCACTGTTCAATTTTGAAGGGAAAAGGGAGAAGATATATATGGATCATGTGTAACCCGCGTAGCGCGAGACACATCCTTGCATTGGACTATCTCAACTATCTGAAAGAAACCGTATGGTTACCTACAGCATGGCCGAAAAGCCTACTGTTGTACCGAAAGCTACTACACCAATGAGATATGCAACATAGAGTATCCGACCTCGGGAATATGCACCGTAATAGCTGGGCCAGGTAAAGTGCCAAAAAGACAAGGAAAAGGAAAGGAAAGGTGTCTAATCTAGCTGCTGGAAAAGCAACGCAAAAGACAAGGAGAAGAACGAACCAACCTTTTGCTCCGAGAGCAGGGAACGTTCACTGTAGAAACATGGAAATCGAAGCTTCAGCAGCGAGGAGTTAGATGTTTCGTTCGTCCTTGGGGTAGAAACTGTAATATTACAGGTGAGAGTCCACGGGTATCTTCGGGACATTGAGACGTATTTCTGTTATCAATTTGATGTTGGGGACCAGCCCCGGCGGGATGGAGCGAAGGGAGGAGCGAGCGGGTCGTTCAGGCGGGGGTAGCAGAGGTCACTTGGCGTTTCGCAGCTCCTTCGGTTGAACCCTGGGAGTGGAAATTGGTATTAGTAATTCTTACTTGCCGACATCCTGGGTTTCATCTTGCAGGGCGATCGATTGCGGGGTCCAGGGTCGACGTCGTGGCAAACTAAGCCGATCTCGATCTCTTCGGTAAACTTACGTCCAACTCGCCGATGCTGCGTTTCTGGCCAGCCGTTTCTGATCTCTTGACAACCTTCTTCTTGGGCCGAGATGGTCTGCTCTCACCAGGTTGGAAGACATCCTCCGGCAAATCGAAACTGCATGGAGTTAACACGCCTGTCCGTGTGGACATGCCGTAGGGAAATTAAGAACATACTTGCGAACGTGGGTTACAGCTAATTCCATGACGTCTTCCTGGAACCCTGTCCATGACGTACATGTCGACTTGAAGATCTGCGAGTCGGTCGAGATATCCAGAGATCGCGATTGACCTTGAACAAAGGTTAGAATATGGATAAACTTGGCGTGGGGTTAATTACCTGGCTCCAAGGGTTTCAACTCTAGGCCGATGTAATACGTTGTTGTATAGACGGTCAGACCGTCATTTTCAACAATCTTGGTCTGAGCCGGCTCCGGAACCTCCGCATTTTCAAGAGTGTTCTGAATTGCAGCTTGGTGGGCGGCATCTTTGGTTTCATCGGTCATCTCAGTTTTTGTGCCTTTAGCCACATGCTGGGTAGAACCATTCTTGACTGCTTCCATTTCTTGTTCATTGGTGACAAAATGAGTTCGTTCAAATCCCTTCGGGAAAGGATGGGCGATTGCAACAATTGCTTTGCGGTCCAGTGCGCCGACGAGATGACGGAGCTTGGACTCGACAAGACCCGACCAAACACCCTCAGCCTCCTTGGTTTTGCTAGAGGCGGTGATACTGAGGTAGTATTTGTAGTCGTTTGTGAAGAATGTGTGCCGAGCAAACAGGTCCTCCCACGACAGCTGCTTCAAGAAGATCTTGTCTACCATGTCACCTCCGCGTTGTAGTTCCCGAAGAATAACAGCCTTGGTGGACAGACTTATGTTGTGAGTCGCACACATCGATGGGTATGCAGGGGTGATGATGGGCATGAGGTGGAATCGATCGCCATGGTAAATCTGACTAAGATTAGCTAAAATACTGTAGAAAGCGTTGAGTCATGCTTACCTTTGGATTCCACACTTTCATTTGGAGGGGACCGTCTTCGATCTGTTTCAGTAAAACAGGCTGGGGCCAGTTCCACTTGTTCATGATCCTGAAGAACTTTCCCACGATGACAGAGCCAGTTGCTTGCGGATACAACTGACAGACCCGAGCCACCAGCATCGCCCATGCAACACCACCTGGGAAACCAACAATATTTGAGTATATTGCTCGTCCTAGAGATCCAATTGTCAGATTATATGAAGGCCAAGTCAAGTCTAAATCACTCACGCTGAGCCCAAAGCTTGATTGCACGCAACGCGAGACGGAACGTCTTTTGCTGGGGAACAAGCTCCAATATTTCATCTGTAACACGAGTTCCATTCAGCGACCGCACCTCTCGTTCATCCAATCCTCTGAGATAATCATTGTTTTTCAAATCCAGATTCATCGGGATTGCAGGAATAACAAGGCGAGCAAAGATCAGATCGATACTGATTCCACACAGTTCAAGCTTGATAATTGGAACGAACGCGTCGGGCACAGGTGTCATTTTTTCAATTGCTCCTTCCGAAGCCATTCTTTCCAGAATTATAGGGAAGTCGGAAAAGAAATCATCAATCAGAACATGCTTTGGTGCAACGACCAAGGTATCGATATCGGATCCTGCCAGCAACTATTGTCAGAATAAGTTTTCTTTTGGTCAATAGACAATAACTTACCAGGTCCATAAACACCAAGTCTGTAACTTCCATATGTGAAAATTTTACCACCAGAAGCTTCAACCGCAGCCGCAGACATTCCCTTCTTGCGACTCACGTTTTGAACAAATTCAACTGTGACGCGCTGGAGCAGCTGCAAGACTTGTTGCCTATGTCGCAATAATCAGTATCAGAGCTCTGATTCCGTCTTCCGTCTCGTGGACACACCTTCGCTCTGTTTCAGTCGGTTGCTCAAAGTTGTTTTGAGCCTTGAGTTCGGCAATAAGATCGTCGTTTGCCGCAATCTCATCTTTAGTCGGCAGGACGGTCGAGATCGGGGGTGTGACCCCCCACTGTCGGACAGGCGGCGTAGCCATTGCAAGAAAATATCAAGATGATGAAAATTGAAGGCGTATCTCACAGATCGTGTGAAGATCGACTAGGGATTAGATAACGAGAGAATAGTTGCCGATGAGGCTCCGAGGCAAGCTCCGAATCAAGGTATGAAGATTGGAAAGTTATTAAGAACAGAAGATAGAAGGAAAATAATACACGGTGCACACGAACGAAAGCCGCGAGCGACCTTGGGAATAAGGAAAAAGTGATTAAGGAAAGGAATTGGAGAAGGGAGCGCTGCGCAAGGTTCATCGGTGCGGCGCTTCTTGGAGCCTGGCCGATAAACGCTTACTCATGCCGTCACATGATCATAGTTTACGACAACGAGGCTTTCATTCCTTATTTAACTATCTCAAGTACAAACTAATTTCATTTATGAAAGAAATCACAACAGTGTTTCATCTCTTCAATTCAAGTGACTACCCAGTTTAGAGTGCGTTCTGGACCTGTTCTGTTAGAGAATTCACCTCATCACCTCTGTTGTCTTCAAAGAACTGGGTGAGCTTGTTATCAAGCCACTCAACATCCTCTTTACTATCACCCGGGCCACCCGCCCAGTCTGTTTTTTATTAGCTCCATTGCAAGCTCTTGTCTGACACAAGAAATACTTACGACCCCAAATCGAAGGAAATATATCCAGTGTTCCTACACCTGGCTTCATGCAAGAAACCTCGTATTCCGAGTCCTCCGGTCTAATATGATTTAGGTATCAGTTCATCTCATTTCAACACGAGTCAAATGAAGAGACCCACGGGAAGTAAAGATCGGTCTTTGCTGGCAGGATAAGCGCTTTGGCTTTGATGGATGCCATCGCCTTCTCAAAGTCCCCATTGTACGGCTCTTGTTGGGAGACATCTCCATTCTGCCAAGTTTGCAGCAGAACCAGCAGGTTTTCAGGCTCTTTGTGGCACTGTCAGGGCCCACATATAAGTTTCACATTGGGAATCGAAACTTACCTTTAGAGCAAGCCCATTTCTCCCAGAAGTTCACCATGAAGTCTTCGAGTCCCTTGAACCCCAGCACAGTTTCATACAACTTGTGTCGATAGAATGCCTGGCTGAAACCCCTATTTTCAATGTGTCAGACAATCGCTCAAAGCAGTATGTAAAACCCCTTACCATCCAGCATATACCCGACCCAATGCCTTCAGACCGACATCCTTCTCTTCGGCACTCCAGGTGTGAGCTTCCACCGTTTTTCTGTCCAAGCTGATCTCCCCTGACCCTGAAGATCGGCTTTTCTTCACTGCGATGAGAGCACTTTTGACACCCTCCAGGAACACCTGATTGTGCAGTGAAGTCTTCGCCGATGTACAGAAAGGCACCACAATATCCATGAAATCGGGATACTGCGTTGCCCATTGATAGGACTGAGCTCCTCCCATGGACCAACCGACGACCGCTCGCAAATGCGTGATCCCCATGTGTTTGGTAACGAGTTCATGCTGTGCCCTCACATTGTCATAGAAGGAGACCTTGGGAAATGGCCCGGGGCTTGGCTGGTTCGAAGGGGAAGATGACTGACCATTTCCGAACAAGGCTGTGACTATGATGTAGAACTTCTTTGGGTTAAGAAGCTTGTCTTCTCCGATTAGCCAGAAGTTATCGGAGATTGCTAAAGAATATGTGGTGTGAGATTCGGAGACATATATATTTCGTTTGGGGACCTTTCAAAGGGGGCTTAATTACCTCCCGAGAACCAAGTCGGATAGACGATTGCTGGAGTGTTGGGATCACCAAATGTCTTGTATGCGATATAGGCATTGTTGATGTTCTCGCCGCTCTGTAGCTTCCAGTCTCCAAGCTGGAAGGTCTCGTATTCTTGGGACATGATGGCACTCTTTCGCGTCCAAATATCTTGGGAATGAATAAAGACTGCACTAGGATTTGTTCTGTTTAACATCGGGTCCCGCCGATGGACTGCCATTATATAGTTTCACAGTTCAGCGATAAGAACCCCGCTTTGCCCGCACGCGTAGAGTCGGAGCTGCCTGAACCTCCGCACATTTGTCACCAAAACTTTATCACCTGTGTGGGTGGTGTACATGTATTGTCTGCAGAGATATAACTGTAGTACATCTTGCGGGTGAGTTCAAGCTTACATACCTTTGGTATTGCCATCGCATTTACAATTGGAAATCTATATACAGCTACTCTACTTGGTGTATTTGACAAAACCCTAGGAGAAACGAGCCTCTAGAACTGCGGTCGAGGAATCTCAATAGCATCAGTGGTCCGACCATAAGAAATACCTCCCAGGCGACTGATAGGCTTCAAAACCTTCAGATCGATGACGCTCCTTTCCTCATTGATAGCATCATCTCGTACCCAGAACCGAACACCCTCGATAATAGCAAGCACACCAGTCTTCTTACCCGGCGTCTGTCGGCTTTCAAATTCCTTGACCTCGACAAGCTTCCCCTCAATCGAGAGAATGGACTCCTTAACACGAGCAGGCTTCACAACAGAGGTTGGCGCCTGGTGCAAGCCAGAAATCTCCCACTCGGACACGCCATAAGGGGCATTAATGGCGGTGGAATTGGCAGCCTCCACGAAATGCTCAGAAATAATGTTGATCACACACTCTTTCGTTTCGTTCAGATTCCTCATTGTATCCTTGGCCTTCTCCAAAGACCCGACAAAGCCGACCGTGAACAGGGGCGGGTCGTGGTTGATGAGCTGTGCATAGCTGAATGGAGCGAGGTTGGTGGTTTTGCCGTCTGCAGATTGGGTGCTGATGAGTGCAATCGGTCGTGGGACCATGCCTGAAATCAAGAGCTTATAGTTCGAGGCCACTGGGCGGCCCTCTTCATTCGGATCGATCTCGACATGGTCTCTCTTCAGGCTCTCGCCGCCATCGTTGGCTCCGTCGCCTTCTTTCCATGTTGGGTTTGGGGGCTTGGAGAATGTGACCTCGGCGTCGCGGCGGAAGTCTGGCCGTGATGCCTGGAGTTTCTCGAATCCGGAATCGACTTTGAACATTGTGGAGGTTTTGCTAAAAGACCGGTTTGTGCAATTGGAATTGAATTGGAGGTGACGTGCTGTAAGACTAAAATTGAGATTATAGATCAGCGGTGTCCACCTTCTATTTGGGTTGCCCCGCGGAGCTGCAGCTTGGAGTGAAAAGATGTTCCCAATCCTCGAAAGGGGTTGGTAGTAAGGCGATAAAGGCAATACCCACGAGGATTGAGGTAGATTTAGTCGCTGAGAGCTTCGGAATGCAGTTCTCAGTAGATGCATGAAGGCAATGGTTGGTGTTGAGTTTCTAGGGTCGAGTCTGAGTTCCTTATCAGGTTTATCTCCAATTCAAGCTCTTATGTCACCACGGACAATATATTATGCCCACGGTCGATTTCCGTATTGCGGAGGAAGGTGCGTGGGCATACCGCTGCCGAGTGTCGGGCCGAGTCTCGTTATTAAACGGCAACGTGACCTAGGTACACTTGTCGATTTGAATATATGGTGTACCACAGATAGACACATCATTGGCATAGGCACCCATATATCCTGAAAACTCCGCATGCTCTATATTTCATAAGTTGAGTATGAAAAAAGTGACAAAAAAAAACTTCATAAACAACATATGTAACTATCGCCGAAGTGCGTGGTAAATTGTACAATATTGTATACCAAAAATGGACCTTCCAATGCTGAGTTCAGAATATAACTGTCTTATTATCGTACTGTACATATTGTATCTTACCAAACGTGGAGTGAACCCACAGACCAATGACCCCGGTAAATCAAAGCTCCATGCCCCCGGGAATTTGGTCTGGGCTGTGGATAGCTCGGAGTTGATGCGATGTATATATCATTGTAATTCCAATGGAAGCCGCGGAAATTTAAAGTGCATGACTAGGAAGTTTTATGTGTTCTTATTTACTTCTCTATGATCCCATCAAAGATAATTAACATCATCTTGAAATCACATCCAGTATGAAATTCATTGGAGGCGAAGCACAAGCATCGACCCACCAGGGCGCATCCCATGATCAGATCTGTTGTTCCTGAAAGGCCCAAACGGAAAGTGGCGTGTTCTGTTTTCTGTAGCGGTCAAGAATATCAGAAATGCCATTACCCAAACCATTATTACTGTTATGAGCCAGGTACAGAATAATGATTAATACATCGTGAGATCTCGTCTAAACTAAATTATGTATTTTGGCTGGAGTGGCGTAGTACACATTACCCAGGCAATCACGAGGGCTTACAATATTTGCACTCCCCTCTTTCTTCCCCAACTTTTCTCTTTTTACCTTCCTCTTATTGGCCTCAACTTCTATTAAAAATTCACGTCACCTAATGAAGATTGCGCTCGAATCTATCGGTCCTTTACACTACCTTCCCCACCTTCGCATTTATCCGATCACCCTTCTTGGGCCATATAGTCCGAGCTCCGCGCATCGAGAAACCGATCCCCCTGCCAAAGGGAATGTACAGGTATCCAATGGGTCTTGATCACGGATAAACATCTGCTCGCCATGAGCGACCCTTCTCCCAAGAAGAAGAACGGCGGAAATCCTCCTGCTCCGAGGCAGATCCGATTTGTCGCAACGGACGGCCAACCACAAACCAAGCGGCGCCGCGTTAATGCCGCGTACGTGAACTAGTCGCGATCTACTCAGATGATTCCCAAACTGACATCATTTTGGATTTTGTAGCTGTTTAACATGTCGCCGGCGCAAGATTCGATGTTCAGGTGAACAACCGGGTAGGACGCGCCAATGACTCTTTTCCGGGTAGATTTGCTGATAAACGCGAGAAGTGTGCAAGACGTGTTCTGATTACAAGCATGTATGCTTGGGATATACCGACTCAACGGCGCACCTGCGAACACAGTCCGATTCCACGTCTCGGCCGCCGCCGCGCATCTCCGATTCGAATGGATCGACAAGCAACCATGCTTCACGCGCTATCGAAAGTAGCTCCCCCGAGCTAGCTCCAACTAGGATAACAAACCCTGCTGTGGATAGGTCTCCCGACACAAAGGCGCCCGAGTTCAAAGATGTATCTTCATTGGATATGTTTTCAGGGAACAAAGAGTTGGAAGCGCACACTACCGAGGACAGCCCGAGAAGCAGCCGTGCCTCTGTGAGCTCAAGTAGTCGCACACATGTGCCGTATTTCCGCTACTTTGGCCCTACCGCCATCGTCCCTGGCTTTAAACAAATGGTTGTGCAAGTTCGAGGTTCTCGCAAGAGTAACCCTTCCATGTCCTCGGACTCTCCCTCTCCCCTTCGGAGCCCCAGACCGTCCGACAGGCCTGCGGATAATCTCGCCAGACCCCCAGCTACGTCGGAGAATCGCGACAATCGCGACGCCAATATCCCATTCTACGACCAGGAAGATACGATTCCAGTTTCGAACCTTGTGTCGCATTTATGTGATCTTTTCTTCGCCCACCTCGGATGTAACTTCCCTTTTCTTCAACGAGATAGATTCTTCCAAGATCTCAAGGATAAAAAGGTTGACACGATGCTGGTAGATGCTATGTGTTCATTAGCTGCAAGGTTCTCACCACATCCATTGCTCGGGCCTCCACAGGCGCAATTCATTGAAGCCTCGCATCCGCCAACCGAGGATAAAAAGTGGGATCGAGGCCTACCATTTGGCCATCGCGCAATGAGCGCCCTCGTAGATTCATTGCCATGTCCAACTCTTTCTGCCGTTCAAGCCTGTTTATTACTTGCTTATGAGCAATTTGGATCAAACCACGATAGCGGACTTTGGATGTACCTTGGAATTTCAATTCGCATGGCGCAAGATCTTGGGTTGCAAAAATTCCAAGGTCTCAAACACAATTATGGCCAGCGCGGTGTGACTCCAAGCGAAGTTATGACAGGACACGCTGGGAAACTGAGAGAAGACCAGTATGATGATCTTGATGTTCATCATACCTCCAAGATAACTCCTATACCGTTGATTGGAGAGCGTGCCCGGGAGCGTGAACGAGTAGACTCTTTTTGGAGCATCTTCTTTTTGGACAGAGTCATTTCCTCGGGTACAGGGCGTCCAGTGACACTGCGCGATGAAGATATTGAGCTTTGTTTCCCCCTCCAGTCTGAATCCCAGCTCCCCAATGGGTGGCCTTCGCCTTTTCCACCACTTATTCGAATCATCCATCTCTATGGCCGAGTTACTGATCTTATCAATGGTATTCAAGATGTCAAGCACGTCACGTCAGACACGTTGAAAATGTTGGCTGGCATGGAGAGCGATCTGACCGGTATCTACCAACGCCTATCTCCAAAGCTTCATTTCAATGCAGCCAATTTCCAGGCATATGTCAAAGCTAAAGAGGGAACCAACTTCATTCTTCTTCACTTTTGGTTTCATACTCTCATCGTGCTACTCCATCAGCCAACGTTGTTGAACTCCTTTGGTGGAACAATTCAACACCTCTATCCGAACAGCCGAGAGCTTTCGATGTCATCTGCCAAAACAATTGCCGATATCCTATCCTTCTCTGAGCTCGTTGACGGAAAGAGCTTCATCGGTAATCCTTTCACCAGTCAACCGATGTACATCGCAGCCTGCGCTTTCCTGATGGAAAGTGCTCACTATAAGATTCCATCCTTGAGCGCGGCCTCGCCTTCGCCTCTTTTAGCGAATCAATCTAGTGGCTTCGTGATGCCTACCATGGAGTCTTCCAGTGGAACAGAACGAAAGTCCACCGCAAAACACATCCTGCTCGCTTCTGCCGCTAAAGAGAATTACCAGCGGTGTTACAAAGCTTTGCAAGCCCTTAATACGTACTGGGAAGGCACTGGATATATCCTGACAGTATTGGACCAGAAGGCTAAGGGGATTGTAGATCCTCTTCTCTATACTGTGGAGGACATGGAAAACACGGACGGGATTGCACTAGGACAACCTCTTGGGTCAGGACCTTGGCGTGCAGGCAAAGCACCGGCTGATGGGTTTGAACCAGAAAGACCGGCCGGGGTCGCCGATATCCCATCAAATGGGAAATGGTCACCGAACATCGATCCAAGCCAAGCCATTGGATGGGCACTCACGGGTGCTACGAATTCCTCACAGCCAAATTTGAGTCTACTCTACCAAATGCCTACCACCGAGACTGAGAGTTCATCACACCGGCAAACATACTCGTCGCAGTACAGCCACAGCTATCCGGTCCTACCAAATGCCGGCGAGGGCCCAAGTTCATCATTCGCCCAACATCTCCCATCAGGAAGGCCTCATGAGGATAGAACATCCTCGCTTGCGGCAGCAAATGCTAAATATTCTGCAATTCCACCCGCGACCATGAATGCCGATTCCTCCTATTACATGGGCCTCAACTCACCCTATCCAGATTCCAGCACTCGAACTACCCGCCCGCTACAACCAATCCAGCCCACCTTCTCTGGCCTCCCTTCCTCACAGCTAGAAACCCAACCTTCCGCCTTTGCCTATTCAATACCCCCAACTCCCGATCATTCCAACAGACACCAGATGGGCTCGGTCGGCCCTGGCACCGATCTCCATTCCATGAACGCCGATAGGAATGGGATGATGATCGGTAGCCACGAGGTGGATATGAACTCCCTCAATCATCAGGAATCCTTCCCCTTTGCCAACGGCGAGATACTGCCTTGGCTAGAGTATCTACCGCAAGATGTTCTCAGCTTCTTTGGCGATCATCAAAATTATCCACTTATGAGTCCTGATGATGTGTCACGGCCTGAATAATGTTTCATGATTTTCTTTTGTTTTTCGCTTCTCGTATATATGTATATCACTTCGGGAGATTCGCATTTGTCTCTTTCAGCGTGGTTCTTTTTCCCAAGCGGGTTCATTGTTGGTCTGGGTGGTAGTGACTTTTCGGCGTCTAGTGGGATAATATCCTTGGGTTGTACTAGATCGTCTGGATTTGTGTGATTTACCGTTTGAACCAGCATCGAAATATTGGGTTGGACCTTTGGGAATCTATGATAACCGGTTTATTCTAGATATATCATTCCTACGGGCGTGTTGTCCCATAGGCCCTGGATGAATCATAGGCTCACATGTACAGTTATGCGGTTCAAATTTTCTGATCATGTTGAAAATTTAAGCACAGCCCGAATGCATGGATACATAACAGACGAGACATTTCAAAGGAAGAAGACGCAATGAAACAAAAATTAGTACGATGTGTGAGTCGACGCAATGATCGACGCCTGACAGGTCGATCCGTTGCCCGGCACAACGGGCGGTGAGCGCATTGTCAACACGCACGTTTAATGGTCTCGGATTCCACGTTGACAGAGATGAAGTGAAATCCAATTTCACCGAGTCCTTCAAGTTATTCCATTTCCATCTGGTCTGAGAACTCTCCGTCAGTGAGACAGACTCATGGCGCGGTTGAATGACGACCAAGACGCAGCCGTCGACTCCACAGAGATCCTGAGTCCACAACCTTTCATCCTCCAAAACAAAGGCTTTCTCGTTTCGTCTCTCGAGCCCGCTAGCGAGTCCTACCAAGCGGATAATGCCCAAATGTCCACCCAGGATTATGAATACAACTCATCCTCATCCTCCGCGCGACACTCAACAAGCGACGTGTTCGGCCAGGAAATGGACGACGAACTAGAACAACTAAAGTCCAGAGCCTCCAGTCGCTCCTCACTATCTTCCGTTCCGGCCTCCGTCCTTGTCCACCCAGTCGACAAAGTGAAACAAATGCCCGATATGGACATCCACGAGAAAATCGCCGGCTACAGAATTGAACAGTCCGAAGCTGGCTTCGGTGACTTCGACGAAGTCCCCACTGCTATTCGAACAATCCGCCAGCGTGAGGCTGTATTTCGGAAGCCCAGCTCCGTCAGAGCCATGCAGATGCACACAGAAGACGAAGCAGACGACGACGATTATCTGACTCCTCCGCGCCGACGCGGCGGTATGCGCTCGCCCGGCTCATCGCCGCTCAAACATTCACCGTACTACTCGCCCAATGCCCCGAAACCGCCCAAGCAGAAGAAGGAGGCGCCGCTCGTCCTGCTTCACTGCACGCTTCTCCCGCCCTCCATCGCCGTGCCGGGCGCCGCTGACCCCCGGAACCAGGACATCCTCGAAGATGAGCTACCGGTGGAATACTGGAAGCGCTGGCGGCGTCTGCAAGACCGTGTTGGATCAGGTGTCGTGCGCGACCGGGGAGTGTTGATCTCTCATCCGGAGGATCTGTACGACATGCTCGAAGAGCGACTTCTGGAAAGTCTAGAGCTGCAGCGCCCACGTCTCCAGAACGGGCATTTCGTTGGACGCGACGATAATGCGACCTCTGACGACGAATTGTCCGATTTCGAGGAGAGCGAGACAGATGGCGAGCAAGGCGATGAGTGTCCCGATTGTGGCGGCCACGTGCGACACGGCGACAGCAATCGCAAATGGGAGATCCGGGTGTTTGCCGCCAATGGGCTGATGCGCGCTGGGGCGTGGGCGGCTGCATGGCGGGATATGGAGAAGGTGGACGTCGAGGTTGGGCTTTGGCTACCTTCTGACGTGCGGCGGGGATTAGAGAGGAGGCTTGCGGAGGAGCAGATGGCTGTTGTTGAGCGAGATCAGGCTCAGTCGCCGCAAATGCAGATGATGCATATTTCGTCGCTGGTCGATGCCGAGAATCAGGTTTTGCCGGAGATTCTACAGTCGCCTAGGCAGGCCCATGCGAGGATGATTAGTGGTGTTGGATCTTTCCGGTCTGAGGGGATGTCGCGGCAGAGCTTCTCAGAGCCTCCTATTCAGCGTGATCATCATGTTCCCGATGTTGAACAGAAGAGAGAGCATGAAGTTGCGCTCTCGACACTCTTCGCCAATTATCTTCGTGTTCTGGCGGCTGATAGGCGCAATATCGCACTCGTTCTTCTGAGTGTCCTTGCTGCGTTCCTCGCTATTGGATCTCGCCAGCAGCTGTCGCTTTCCTCTGATATACATTCTTTCCACGGCACCTCATATGACACGACGGGGCCCTTGGAAGCGTCAAGTATGACTGTTGCTTCGTCCCCACCTTCCTCTCTCTCTATGCCGATCCTTGAATATTTAACGGCGACTGAAAAAGTCCAGGCCCCACTGGCCTCTTCAGTAGCAGAAGTTGCCTCGTCTAATGACCTAAATGATATAGAGGCTATGTCTACTGACTCTGCGCAGTTTACAGAACCTACCATTCAGGCGGACATACTGGATACTGTTCATCAAGAAGCGTCAGAGGCCCCCTCTAGGTTTGTTGATATCGACATTGCCTCTCAACTTGCCGAAGAACCCGAAGAATCCGAAGAACTTGAACAATCTGAGGAGTCTAAACAATTCGAACAGCTCGAAGACCCTCTGGAAGTTCAAGAACCTTTTGACTCTACCGCAGGGTTTCAGCCTCAGCTCGACGACGTAGCTGAGCCTTCTGAATCTGTGGATCATTTCAAGTCTCCCGACCTGTCCGCAGACTCCACAGGAACCACATCATCTTTGGAAATGGAAGAAACTGTCGAACCTCAACTCACAGGTTTTGAACAAGAACAGGACAGAGAGGAGGATAAGGAAAAGGAATCAATTTGAGTGGAGGCCATCTCTACTCACCTCATGACCATGACTGCAACGATATGAGGCGAAATGTTTGGGATATGTTTTGCAAATATTTCCATGTCTTTTTATTATAGTTCTAACGATATTAGCGAGTGCTTTTGAATTAAATGCCAAGCCCCTAGAATTTGATGTCTCCACTTTGTCCCCAGGTCCACCGACACTCGCTTAATGATCGGCCGCAGTTTAGATATCAGATAATCATTATCTGATCTATGGTATGGATATACAGGTCAAACATGTTACCAGAGAATGGTTGGTAGAGTACAGTGACAGTCTACATCTTACAGTGCACAGGGATTGCTTCAAAGAAATAGTATATTGCATGCACGCACAATGTAGACCAGAAGGACAACCAGGCTCGATTATGATTATCGATTAGAGGTAAGTTTGATGGAACGGATTCGATTTTGTAATTGGAATAGGTTCAAGTGAATAATCTCACCGACCCGAAATTGTCAACCCATATGTCACAACCATGGAATAGTGTAAACCACCTCCAGACCTTTATGACTTCTCCGTATCGTTCGTGAGATTCAGGCACTTTAGTAACCACCCTGGTTACCGCCGTAGCCACCCTGGCCGCCGCCGTAGCCGCCCTGGTTACCACCGTCCTGACCGCCGTAGCGCTGACCGCCGTAACCGCCCTGGCCGCCACCATAGCCGCCACCGCCGTAGCCCTGGCCACCGCCGTAGCCACCGCCACCGTAACCACCACGGCCGCCGCCGAAGCCACCACGGCCACCACCGGAACCACGCTCACGCTCAGTAGCCTTGTCAACACGGATTGTGCGGCCGTCGAACCTGGAAGAATGTGTTAGCGCGAGTCTTCCCAGCGCCGACCTCACATAGACACATTCTCATTGAAGTGCGACTGCGAAGATCGAGATGAAAACAAGTTGCGATGTTACTACTTACTCTTGCTCGTTCATGGCTTCCTGGGCGGCAGTAGCCTCCTCATCGGTGGAGAAGCGGACGAAACCGAAACCGCGGCTGCGGCCAGTGTCACGGTCCTTGACAACAGTCTGTGAAAAAAAGAATCATATTGTCAGCCATTTTGATACTCATTCAAAGTGTTCAAACGCGACTCACAGCTTCCTCAACGTGGCCGAATTGCTCGAATCCGTGGCGCAGGCTGTCGTCGGTTGTGTTCCAGGACAGACCGCTATCACATAATTAGCAGGCGCACTTGAATATCGCTATAGTCCACATACCCAATGAAAAGCTTCGACATTTTGATGGAAAAGGATTGAAAAAGGGGTGGGAAAGTTGAGGGGTGTAGGTGCGAAGAGGGGCATAGCCGAGCCTGATCTTAAATACGGCACAGCGATCTGCCTCCGGAGCGGAACAACATGCTGCCACTGACTCCTCGTTTTTCAGGCGACTGTTTTTTATAGTTTTTTTTCTTATGGTTTTGTTGATGGCTGAATTTGTATCTTGGGCTTTTGATCCAGGCTTTAAGGAGTTCTGTTGTTGTTGTGTTGTGAAGATCTCCATTTACCTGTTTTGGTAGTTCACCTATTTCGATGGATGTGGAGCATCCCCGTCGATGATCTACACAAGTATCATGAGCTTCACATTGCTATCAATCAAGTAGACTCGATGCTGTGAAACAATACTCCATCCAAACATGACCGCATCCTAGCCCCAGACAATATGATTAATTATTATTTTTTGGATGTACAAGCTGGAGATCAAACAACGCTAGATGTCACCGTCATCATCCGTCTTTCCGATCTAACATCACCCCACCTCCCATCACTATAAAATCCCCCCCGATTCTCACCCCTCCTCTACTTTCCACCAACGTCTTCCTCCTTTTCCCAACTCAAGAACAAACCCAATATTTTCTCTCCACTCCATTATACGTTTACATCAATCAATCAACAATATGCCTGTCATTGAAATCACCAGGTACGCAAAGTGATACGCTTTTTCGACAATTCATCCACCACCATTATTCCAAACAACAGACTAACACCCCAAAAGCAGAGCTGAGTTCTATGAGAAGATCCTTGAATCAAAGGATGCTGCGATCCTCGACTGCTATGCCCAATGGTGTCCTCCTTGTAAGGCCATTGCGCCCAAGCTCGAAGAGTGGAGCGAGCACTACACCGATGTCAAGTTCTACAAGGTTGACGTCGAAGCGGTCCCGGACGTCGCACAGGAGCTTAATGTGACAGCTATGCCTACTTTCATGCTTTTCAAGGGCGGTGAGAAAGTCACTGAAGTTGTTGGCGCTCAGGCGGGCGTCATTGAAAATGGCATCAAGACCCTGCTTCTTGGAAAGGAGTGAAGAGAACAAGTCGGCATTATATTTTTTCTTAATCATTTTATTGAGGGTTCTTCCTTCTTCCCAGCTGATGAAATACATCAAATTCGTTATTCGATTTCTAGAAGTTGTGATGTGGTGATATCATCGTGATACCAAATCTTACCTAACATAACTCCAAATCTAATGTAAATGTTACTGTTAAAGTTGCAGGTTCTGATCGTCCTTGATAATAATATTATGGCTGATTGGCAATCTCCCGTAAACAACATATCACCTTCAAGCTATAAATAGTAACAAATCAATGCAAATATCGAACCATCGCAAATTCAGCTGACTATGTACTTCCGACACTTGCCCCTATACCAAATCCTCATTGGCCAAGTGAAACCCCTTTCAGATATATACTGCTCTCATCAACTGTACTTTAGAATCCAGAATCATTTAAATATCTCGGTGGAATGGTCGGCCAAGCATCAACTCCATCCAATATAGCCAAGACCATACCACCACTCTGGTGAACCTGAATATGGCAATGCATCAAGAAAGCGCCTGGATTGACAACTTGATACCGGAGAGCCATCCAAGTGGGCCCCGTGATTGGCGCCAGAGTAACAGACGTATCTCGAATCTGCGGTGTCGCCAAATTGAAACTACCAGGAGACTCCTGTACAGCCTGAGCAACAGAAGTCCAATTGAACACCCCGTTACCTTGACCGATCAGGAAATGCTTATTTGAATGCTTGTGGATCGGGTGTGGGGGCTGTAGAACGGTAGTCACCTGAATGATCAGGTCCACCCAGGTGTTATTATTTGTCCTGATGATCAAGTCGCTGGGAATGGCGGTTTGATTGAACAGCAGCGGTTGCGACTCTTCGAGTTCGAGACCGAAGCTTGTGTTGCCGAGTCTCCAGCGGTAGGCGAAGCCCACTTGGTCGACGTTGAGGAAGAAAGTTTGGGCGACGTTGTTGGATGGTACGACCACCGGGAATGGGGTGACCAGGGATTCGTTAAGGAATACTGTGTTTGCCGTTGCGTTTAAATTGTTGATCATTATCCATGGATTGGAGGGTCGGAAGAGTTGTTGAGAGCCTGTGTACTGCCATGTCGCGGTGGTATTGAGGATTTGCTGTATACCTGCACTGACCATACGCACTGTATACAGTCCTCTAGGTTGAGTGAGTGGCACAAGTACCGAGTATCGATTTGCGTTCGAGATGGTAAGTGCGTTGACTCGTATGGGTTGGATGTACCGCCCGTCAATGGCATATACCCACATGTAATGCTCGTCGATTGAAAACGTCAGTTGTAGAAGACCAGCTGCGCTGATCAAGTCCAGGCTCACGAATTGCTGAGCCGCATTGACAAAAAAGTGCTCTTGGGGACCTTGTGATGGTACGCAGCCCGAGAACATGGTCGGGAGGACAGCACTATAATTATGTGGGAAATTGAATACATTCTCTTCGACCGTTGGAGGCCAACACCTAGTCGGCTCATCAGTATTTTTGTATTAGTCCACAGGAATTCTACTTACGCCATATCTGTGAGATTGCGATTGGGCCCTAGTATTGATCTCTGAGCAGGCGTCGTCAAGGCATTAATTTGATCCTGGGGCAAACAGGTAACGGAACCTTTCCCGTTGATCAGCAAGGCGTTGGCACACCATGCGTCGGTGCCAGATGCGATCTCGGCAGCCCAGATTTGCTCTGATGTGAGGGAACGCCAATCTGAAAGTATGACCTGGCTGGTCGTACTCTCAGCGTTAATCATAGCATTCAATTGAGCTGAACCGTTTGCGATAAGACCGAAAGGCTTCTGCACTGTAGGAGCTGGAGTGATGTATATTGGGCCAAAGAGTCCGTCCTCAAGAGAGCCACGGTGGTGCGCATGATACCAATAGGCCCCGTATTCGGTTGCTTTCCACCGATAGAGGAAGGAGCTATTAGGCACGATCGATCGCTGGGAGACACCGGGAACACCGTCAGACCAAGGTGTCCCTAGCTGTTCAATCCCTATAATGGTTTAGTATATATATCAACACGGACTCCTATCCAGAGACATACCATGGAAATGAACAGTAGCATTGAACGGGCATCTATTGTCCACCAGGAACTGAACATTATCGCCCTGGTTGAGGTACAGCGGAGGCCCGGGAAACTGGCCATTCATTGAAATCACTGGCCTGGTGACTCCGGCAACCGTTCTGTTCGACCATGTCAAGGTAATTGGGAAGAAAACCGTTGCCGCAGACGACCATTGGGCCAGGCATATAAGCCAAATAGAGACGCTTGCAAGAGAGAAGATCATTGCTAAAGATCCAAGCTAGACCAGTGAGATGAATGTCGAACTGGACGAACAACTGTGCATGAATCATATCACGGAATTTGCATCCTTTTATATTGGCAGACACGGGTATACACAAGGCAGATCGTGTGAATACGCATCTCGATTTGGTCTAAAAATCTTCCATGTGGTTTATCACATCAGATGCAGGGTTTCCGTGGGAGCCGCCTCCTTGCGACCTCGTAAAGCTGCAAGCCACATAGCCTTTGATTTCATATTTATTTGCCGTGAACCAGTCTCATATCGCGACCAACCCTCCTCAAGAGGAATATAGCGGGGAAGTTCATCCGAGGATCAATATATTGATCAGAGATCTTGGATCTTGCCTTACAACCAAGCCAATCAGGGAAGAAAATCACATTCTGGCTGCATCTTAGGACCCTTTCATTTGCAGCAACAAACCTGATTGGCGACTCGACGAATCTGGTAAATTAAGGACTAGAAACTCAAGGCCTCCATACATATTTCGGGGAGACAGTAATCCCGAACCATGGCTTGGCGGTACTTGAATAGTCAGCCCGCGAATGATAGAGGCTGGGCGCCGTAGAATCATGGCTGTGCGTGGTTTCATAGCTGTAGGCCAGATCCAAAACAGGAACGCCTTGGGCCTCGGCAATGTGCTGAAGTGGTGTATCTGGGACGAATTCAGCACGGTGGGCTCAAAGCTTCCACATCCATGGAAGCATCTGACTCAAGTGAGAATTTCGGCACTCTGCATGTCAGACAAACGTAAACCAATACTGTGGGTTTGCGAAAAGGAGTGCTAGAACTGGGTTTTGGAGATTGTGAGTCAACCAGTCACAAGTGGTCCAGTCGAAGGGCTTTCGGTGGGTGCTTCAACTTTGGGATTAGCATGAACGCCACGTGCTGAGAAGTGGATCAAGATACGCAATTCTCAGGATGAACCAGAAGCATGAGGTGAGGTGGTAGTGTACAAGGAACCTGAGAGGAGTTGGGTTCCAAATTGAACTGCTCTCCACGAGGATGAGATGTGGATGCATGACTGGAGCCAGAACCGGAAATGGTAGAAAACATGAAATATCCATTGATTTGTGTTTATCTTAGCCAGCATAATTAACATTCAAATTATATGCTATGGAAACATGAAAGACTCAATTTCGTATAGATTAACTTTTGCTTGCCATGCATGACCCTGTACGCACCATGTAATAGCCATCACAAACATCAAAAGTTGCCAGGATTGTTAAAGAATCTAGGCATTTCATGTTGGGCAGCGTCTGATGCAGGAGGGTGGCCATCTTTGGAACTGAAGATGGAAACTGGATCTGAAGCAGGAACTTCACTCACAAAATGCTGAGGAACGGGCTGACCAAATAAGCTCGGGCTTGGCCATCCTTGCACTTCAACACCTTTTTGTGGATCGGCACCATCTTTATGCAAGCCTTCAAGACTATCGGGGTCGATTTTATCATAACTATCATTCAATTGTTGGAGAAATTCAGGGTCAAAGCCCATTTGCACGAGAGGGTCAGCTGGCCTCTCCCCGGGCGCAGACACAGTGGTTGGAAGGCTACTAGCCCAATCAGGGAAGAAGGATGGATCTGCACCAGCTGAGATCATCCCTGCACTGCCAGCATAACTTCCCGAAAGACTCCCCGGTCGGCTGGGCCCCGCAGATGAAAAGCCCGTTCCAGGGAAAGCGGAGCTTCGTAGACTAGGGCTAGAGATGGCAGGACTGTGGAGGGGGGCGCCGTGGCAAACTGCCCGCGCCAGGACATTGATTTCCCGGGGTGCAGCCCGCAGGCCGCCATTTACAGCGAATGGTGGCTGCATGCCCAAATCGTCAAATTGAATATTGTCGTTGTTCACAGTTGTCTGCAATCCGCAGTCACGCTTCAGGACACCCAGCCAGATGATGTTATCTGCACAAGTTTGGTTCCATGGGTCGTCACATCCATAGATGACACGGCGAGCCTCGGCCTGTATCATGGAATCTGATGGGACAACACCTTGTGCCTTTTGGTTGTGGATGTATGTGGTGAGTTCTCGAGAAAGCCGGTGGTAGCAATTAATATCAGTGGGAACAGGAAGGCTAAGTGAAGTCCCGTCTCCTTTAGCTTGTTCGGTGGCCCAAGGGTCAGGAGACCGCCATTCATAATCAATCATGTACGGTGGAATGGCATTCTCGACACGAGCTTGAATCAACGGATCAAAGCCCCAATCCCCTTGCCATTGGGCCATGCTTGCCCCATTTTTGAAATGGCCAGCAAGGTGGTCCACTCGGTCTTTCCAGGTCTGGAAGTTGGAACCACAGAAGCCACAGCGGGATTTGATATCTGTGATGCTACTTTGCCATTGCTCCATGCAGGGTTGGAATTTGGCATTGTGCATCAAGCGAAGGTGTTGATTGAGATGATCCTTCCGGTAGAATGTCCTCTCTTGTACTGTCTTCTCCTGGCAGCTGATGAAGTTATGTGTTTCTAGGTGAACATCGTCCGGATTAGCTGCCAAGCAGAAGACACAAAGAGGTATACCATTCTGTTCAATTGTGCCGCCGTGGGGTGAACAGGTCCATTTATCCAAAATCAGGTGCATGGACTTTTCATGTCGTTGCCAGTCATACTTAGCAGGGAATGAGTCGGTACAGAATGTGCATTGAAAGGGGCGAGCAGTCTTGGCTTTGGAATGAGCCAATGTATTGGCAGGCACCGAAACCTTACGGCGACGGCGACGTTCTTTGCGATCCATTGAGCCAAATGAATGAGAGGATCGATGAGAGAATGCAGAAGCAAAAGAGAGTTCAGAAAGAGATGACCGACTAGTATCCAAACTACTGGCCGAGGCAGTATGCAGTTTATGTTCGGAGCTAGCATGGCTTGACTCATTGGTACTGGACCCAGGGCGACGGGGCCTCACGTGACCCGATGGGGCTCGGCGTGGACGCGAGGGATCGAATGGGGGATTGGCCAAAGCACGGGTAATATCGCTAATCGTAGCCGGTTCGTTCTCCGGAGGGGAGTACTTCCAACGTTCTAGAGGAGTCATGAGAGATACGTCGACGGATTGCTTCTTGGGGATGTCCACAGCTGCCGTGGCTCCCGTCCCAGGGGAGCTGCTGTCGGACGAGGAACGAGATTTTCCGCGACGCCTAGCGTTGGCAAACCAATTTGAAATTTGCGTTTGAGTTAGACCTGTATTCTGTTTTAGGTCATCTCTTTCCTGCTCCGTGGGATACGGGTTCTCGTTGTGTTCTCGCAGCCAGCCCTTCAGGATGCTGATCGCCTTGCGCGAAAGTCGAGCACCACTTTTCCGAGAGCGTGAATCGGAATCATCGGGGTATGTGTTGTATGAAACAGACTTGAGGGCTTTCTTTCCCGTCAGACTACCTGTTGGAACATAGGCATTCTCTGACACGCTGTGTAAAGTTTGAAGGAACTTTCCAGTAGGCTTGGCATGAGTGAAACTGCATTCGCGGTAGAGAGAGATGCAGCAAGTACAGCCGTAGTTCAATATACCGCGCTTTGCGAGGAAGCAGTCCAATCCCATGCGACGACAAAAGTCGCACGGTTCCTGGGCCCGGAACATGGGGTAACCTCCATCGGGGTCAACGGCCTCTCCGACCTGCATTTCGGACTGCTCCGGTACCGGATCCGTTGGAAAATTCAATGGCTGATCTTTAGCCAATGCGTTGAAATTTGCTGCGTGCTCTTCGGCTTCTTCAAGTTCAATATCAACCGAAGCGACATCGTCCTCTTGTTGGACAGAGCCATGGGCAGAGGAGGCACCTTCAAAATCAAAATACTCCATCTTGAAACGAACAACTCCAGAAGATGCCGTCCAGAGAAATATAGCGTTTGACAGTCGACACGAGTTGAAAGATGGACACGGGAGAGAGTTTGGAAAGAGTCGGTCAGATGAAAACTGGCCGAAAACTGCACCCTTGGTCCGGGGTAGAGTGTGTAATCAGTTCAGGTGGAGTCGCTGCTTAGAACCATTCAACACGCTAAATGTTAGGTCTAAATCCGGTAACTCGGCATGGTCCGCTCAAATGATTGCTCGTGTGTGGCTTGTCACACCGATAAGCATTAATCACCTTGCATAGTCATAGGGAATGAGGAGTCCGAAGAGCACATGCATCTATCGTATATCAGGACATAAATTGAATTTCGGCATATCCGTACCAATGTGATTCGACATTGAAGAGAAGTCCACACACAAAATCGGAGAAGAGCACCAGGTCCGAGTGGATGATCAGAAATGGAAAAAATGGATCACATCTGCGCGCCCTTCGAATGACATGGTCTAAGCCTATTTGGGGTCGTGGGTGGTCAATGCGGGGCACATGCCAAGACCATCTCAATGAGGCAAGAAAGAATGATTCATCGCGATATCGGCCCTGTGTTTTTTCCTTTCTTCACTTTTCTCGACAACTATTATATCAACTCTTTGAATCCTATTTATGCTTATATTGTATTCGTTAGGTTTAGTGGATTTTGTTCCATGTAAACTTATATCAAAAAACATTAACCCTATTAATCCCTCCACGATATATATATTCCTAGGTTAGGATTTATCCTTCGTACGATATATTCTTTAATAGGTTCAGCACTTCCCTTTCTTTGTCCAGCGCTGAAATGAATAATACGAGATCACACGACTAGACACGTTATTAGCTTGGCATCTTGGGGTCGGAACTCGCCGTATAAGGGGCCATCATCCGTAAACCTTAGTATGAACCTTAGAGTAGTTCGTCCACTTAGCATAATATCATGAACCAATTACCACTGCTATGCTACATAGTTCGTGAATATGGTGAGGTTACAGATAATAGTTTATTCCTAATTCTGATCTATGGCAAGTTATAGTTTGGCCCCACACTGGACAATCGAAACTGCATGAACGTAGATTTACAGATATTGATACCGTCTTTCTTGTCCAATAGTGAACTCGAACAACAAAACGTTTATGCAGCAGACCAAAATAGCCTAAATTGGCACTGAATTTACCGGTTAAATGAAGTCGCGTGGAACAGACACAGAATCTCTGGAATAGCAAAAGCCATAGCTAGTGAGCCACCTCCTGCAAGCTAATCGGCATTCCAGACTCCGAATGTAGAGCCACTTTAACGAAAAAACATCCTCTTTTCCTTTCCTAGTTCCAACAGTTTACATCTTCGGCGGTTGCAACTTTGCCTGCTCTTTAATAGACTGGGTTTTCGCCCACCTCGTTTTCCTAATATTTGCTCCTAAGGTCATTGTCTCCTTATTTGATGTTATGTAGAATTTCCGTAAACAAAAACTAGCTTGAAATAGTGTATTATAGTGGGAAAAAAAAGCGAACTCATAACCTAGCATTAATCGACTAATCTTATTAAATTCCTCACCCTTTCTCCCTTGTCTTATCGAATTTATTGTCTAGTTTCCTCTCTCCTTCTATGATCTGTTCCTAGTTCTAGCAGCTCTAATCCTCAGAACTCTCTATAGCTATAGCATATATTTCTGCATCTATTAAATCTTTTATTACTCTATTAATCTTTCCGTACTAAACGTAAGAAATCTTAGAGTACTTTATATAGATAGATAAAACGAGACGTAATATCCGAACCCCGCGAAGCTTTCGATATACTAGGCGTAGGGTAAGCACGAACCTTCATCGCATGCTAAGTCTGCTAGATAGTTACTAAGAATCGCTCTCAATTAATTTACCGAGTAAATACCTCCCTATCTGTATATTTCGTTTAGTAGTACTCGTGCGGGACTAGCTATTTTTAGTAGAGAGGCTTAAGATAAGGTCCTCATTATCGTTGTTAGAATCGCTATCGTACTCTGTTTCTGTGAATTCGGTCTCCTCAAGATCCGTATACGAGGCATCATCATCTCTAGCTAATTCTTCTAGAGTATGAAACCATATAGAGTATAAAGATCTTCTAGGACAGTTCTCAAATCACTGCCGGTAGTTGTCCCTTCATTAGATTGCTCTTCTGCCAGAGACTAGGGCTTTGTAGAGGGCCCTCCAAATAATTGAGCCTTTGCTTAGCGCCGGAAGTTTAAATCGTCATGAAAGCCTGGCGTTTTGCGCGTGCTTTTAACTTACGGCAAGCCACATAAAACTGCTCTATAACGGACGCGGTACTAGCACGCGTTCCGTCTACCTCTCGGTTTATATATCTACGGGAGGCACTGTGCACTATAGGATTACTCCACACGGCTAATTTTAAGAACATCGTTAATCTCTTAGCTTACTTCTCGACTTCTTGACAACTCCACTCAGAAGGCCATCCAGCTAGATACCGCACTAGCAGACTTAGCCGTCCTCCGAGCCTACCATATCAATAAGTTCCTTAATGATAAACTCTTCAATAAAAATTACCTCCGGCGTCTCATAGACGGCGCAAGAAGGCTTAATCTCGTGACAAATGTACGGGTCAGAAAAGGGATTCCGCGCGAGGCTATCACGAAACTATTAACAGGCCTAGCTACACTCCCGTTGTAGCGCTCAGAAATGACTACGGACCTCCTAGACAATCTAAGCTTCGCAACCGCCTGCCGAGTTACATTGCTAGGTTCCTTCGGCTCGGAGAATTTACCTATAAAACACACAATCTAGGCATACGTTCTATCATTTTAGCAAAAAAGCTCACGCACTCCGACGTCAAATTGTCGTCTTCGTTAGACTATGCGCAACTAAAACTTAAACGGAGTAAGACGGACTGCCGCCACGAGAGGCTTTAGATTATTTTTGTAAAGATAGCAGACGGAGTATAATCGGTCAACGCACTTCAGAAGCTGCTACTTCTCGACCTAAAAGGGGCCCGAGGCCCTGTTGTTCTCATTCTATAGAAAGTCATTCAGTCGCAACAATTCTCTATCTATCCTATCTACTAAGCAAAACACTCATCCTATAGGCGGGCCAATACTTTTAGTTCCGCCACCGTCTCCTCCACTAATCTTGTTTAGCCCGGGTCATTTGGGCCCTATCTGACTCTACAGTCTGATGCATTTTCGTATAAGACCGCTGCGACAGGTGGCACTTTGATGCCTAACTACACATTCCTTGCTACTCTAGACAGTGTATGGTCACTAATAAACCAAATTTTATTAATTTTGACCCTTATATATAAGAAATGGACTGATAGATGAATGCAGGGCGAGAAAGAGAAAGGAAATCACCAGCTCAATAACGCTAAAGAGCCCTACTGCTGACTTCGAAGTTCTGAAAAATGAGATACAAGATATTAAAAAGATGCTCGTCTCTTCGAATTTCCTGCCGATTAAACTTTACCAGGAAAAGCACATCTCTTTCTCAGACCATGTCAGCTAAATAACCCAAAAACACCTAGAGGGCCTTCGAAAAGTTTTTCTTCAGATGTCATGCATCGGCGATGATTCAACTAGTGTTTGCTAAGGTAAATCATATACGTGTTTCTTTAGTCTAGGGATTTTCTTACAATCTGCGTTAGTCTGCACAAGGACAGCTATCAGTATCCGACTCTGAGCACTACAACGAAAAGGGAACGCTAAGAAGTGGCAGAGGAAATCCAAGTACGTAGGTATTCTCCCGGAAGACAGTAAAGTAAATGGAGATAGAGTGCGTATTAAACAAATCGAGAAGTAGTGGTCGACATTCGTGACACGCCAGATGACGTTCCCGTCGGAGCCCGCGCAGCCCGCGGAGCCCGGGCATTCCGCCCTCCGTAGCCTCGGAAGCATCGTAAGGCAGACTAATTGACATAATCAAATAGTTGAAAGGGCAGCCCAGACAGAAGTGAGTCGGCAAGCTCTTCGCAGCCAATGGAATTGCTTCATTGTTTTGAGGAAAAGCTTAAACCCATCCAGTCAGTAGCAGTTGACTCCACATCGTACTTTTTAGCTTCTCTTTGTTTTCATCTTTTTCGTTCCATTTTTAAAAACTAGTCAGACTTTGAAGTGGGATAGTTTAAAAACTGGAATCTAAAATCATTGGCACGCAATATGCTCATGTGAATATGAAGATTATCTAGACACTAGTGGTCATCGGCCAACATTAAACGACATACGGATGGTGCTCAAGACCAGTTAGTGTTTGGCTTAATTATTCATAGACGTTAAGATAGGTAAATTTGCATAACGAAATTGGAACAGGTTCCTTCTTGGAGGCTCACAAATTGCGTCTCAGCTCGTATCCGAAACCATGTTGGGAAAGAAGCCCTGCTTAGCCGTGTAAAGTACTAGAAAACTTTCATCCTCCAACCAACATTCACACCCCTGGATAGGATAAAAAAGACACATGCACAAAAATAGACGAGCCCACAAAGAATGATCAGACCAGTATAGTCATCCTGGCCCATTGTGGATGTCTGGATATTCAAAACCTCACCGGCAATTGGAATGGCGACGAGTGTACCTATACTGACAAAGAAATAGGTTATACCATAGCGCTTTCCAAAATCTTCTGTTTTGGAGATTTGTGCTATGCAAACAGGGGAGAGGCTGATTGCAGTGCCGCTCGAGAATCCAAAAAGCACGGCGAATGCCACAATAGCCGCCTGATTCGACTGAGATGGAAGCCATAAGGCGAAGATAAACACTGAACAGATGAAAGTTGTGATGATCATCACATTAAATCGTCCAAATTGGTCCGCAAAATATCCAGGGACGATTCGCCCAACGATGGACGCAGCATTCAAGATAGACGATAGGTTGTATGAAAGAGAATCTTTCAGGCCACGAGATTGAGCATAGGATGGCAAATAAGTCAATGGAATCAAAAGGGCGAAATCGATCAAAACAATGGCCGCCGTCAACAACGAGAAACGTAGATCTTTCAAAGTTTTGATGTCAATAGTTCCTTTTTGTGCCGAGTTAAAGGGTATCCTGGTTCTCAAAAGCGCGACACTCAGGAAGCAAAATGCGGCACTTATAAATCCAATGATTCGTATAGCCCAAGGGAAGCCTAGATTGTCCGCGAGGTTGGAGATCAAGACAGGAAAAATAATCCCCCCAATGCCCCCAGCAGTCGCGGCTATGCCGGTGGCCAGGGCGCGACGTCTGAGAAACCAATGGGATATGCAAGCCACGCTAGGGGTAAAAACCATCGATGAGGAGATACCGCCAAGAACACTGAACCCTAGCATAAATTGGTAATATTCTATGCGAATAATCATAATCAGTTTTGGCGGATTCAGCTCGGTTATTAAAAGACCTCGTACCTTCTGCAACGCTGAAGATCATCAGTGATGCGACGAGCCCAACGCATCCTGGGATCAACAAAGGTGCAAGACCATGCGCATCAAACAGAGGTCCTTTCAGATATTAGTCGCCCTGCGTACCTCATAAAATAGATTGCATGAGCTTCATACCAACTTGTATGCTTCCAAAATAAAGGAAAAACGTGTATAGACTGAATATCCAACCGATAGAAGCTTTTGAATAGTCTCTCAACTGATGATCCGCCAACCAAGCCTCGAACACGCCAATTGTATTCATCAGTCCAAATGAGGGCACCATCGCGCACCAAGAGCCAAGAACGACGCTCCACGCGCGCCAACCACCGTCTGGAAACTCCAGGTCGCTGTCTTGCTCCATTTCATTCAAAGAATCGCTCGAATATTCACGCTCGGTGCTCGTAATTTGTGATACACGCAAACTGAATGTTGCAAATGTTAAGTTTCATACTGGCCCCACGCACAGAAAAAGGGAGAAATCTGCAAAATCATGTCTACTCTAAGACTGCCTTTCGCCCCCTTCATACTGATCTAGAAGCTAAGCCTTGATGGGACGCCGAGGATGCTCGACCCTTTTGGGACGCCAACTTGGGTCGAATCCACTTTGGACGGGGCTAGGTGTCCACCCATGGACTCTACCCAAAGCCGCCCCAAAACCGCATGGATTTTCCGCATAACCCGATGATTCAGCAAAATAAAAAATTTCATTTGCACTAGTTTCACTTATTACAATTACTTTTTGTGGCAGCTGGTCTGAGCTCATCTAATATCGTAAATTCTTATGTATTTTCATCTGAGGACATGAAACACTTCGCCTCTTGTTTGTGACTATCTGATATATGCGTGTTGTGCGACAAGTTTTCTTGGGTATTGATTTTGCTGTGTTGAATTCTATGAATTCCCATGCATTCTGTCAATTTTAGAACAGCACTAGCACCCTTCAGGACAAGAGTTTCATTGCCTATTTGATATGTATGATTATCCCATGAAATTATATCTTAGTTCTACAACCAGACATCAATCAACCATCCTTGATACTGACACATACGAGTATTCCAAAACCTAACAATACCATCTCGGTTTCATACTTTAATGAAGCTAACCCATCTCTGAAACCTGCCGGTGGTTCTTCGCATAACTATCAGAGCGGCTGTACTTGGCCTTCGCCAATATACCCCATAATGGAACTGCACAGAAATTTGGGCCAAAACATGGACCTTGTTTTCTTGCTTCTGGTAGATAGAAAAGTCAACCTAAAAGTACTAAACAGTCCATACATTCAGCCAGAGCTGGTTTCATTCTGAAGTATCAAAGTTTCACTGTAGAAATTCAACATATTTCACTCTTGATGTTTGTACGTGGCAGATTTGAGTTATGTATCCCGCCATAAGAAAATAAGAAAAAAGCCATTTAAATAGCTTGTCGTTTAACTGAATATTTGAAACAAAAGTCCACAGTTGTCTGTCCTGCGGAACTGTCACCGGCGTCCAAGAAAGTATGTGAGACAAGTCGGCGCCACCCGAATGTGAAGCAAACCGTCCTTCCCGTCTGAGTCAATTGCTTTTATCCTGTTTTCGCCTTTTTCTAAGAGAACTGTGGACCTACATGTCAGTCCCACTTCGAGTCGAAAGGGGGACATATGTTGCGAGGTCAGGTTACATCAGAATCGCGTGGGACTGTTATAAATATTTGTCAGCCTAGACGTAGAAAATGATATAAGAACCAGTACCCTTCCACCATGCTGGTATTCTTAAGTAATCGATCTACGACACATCATCCCTTTCATCGTGATTATGAAGTTGAGTGCGGAAATTTGTCTCCTCGCTGGGGGCCTGTTGTCCATCGTCGACTCTGTTGAAGCCAGGGGTTTCAATCAATCCATATCGCAATGGCTCTATACGAGTGAGATTAACGACAAAGCCATTTCCCTTCTAAAGCGCCCTGAAATCCACGGTATCCAGAGCTTATATACTTGGAAATCCCTTGAGCCAGCACAAGACCAGTACGACTTTTCCGCCATTGCAAACGACCTCAACAAAACAAAATCTCACGGCAAGCATTTATGGGTTCAAATTCAAGATCGCAGCTTCGACATTGCCTATAACCCTGTTCCAAAATATCTGCAGGTTGAATTTTACAACAACGGCAGTGTTCCACAATGTGACTCGAATGATTGCGATAAACACTTCGTTGCCGGCGGTTGGGCCACAGCTCAGTGGAATCCCCATGTTCGAGAGAGATTCCAGCGCTTGCTGAAGAAACTTGCTGCCAGTTTTGATGGCAAGGTGTACGGTTTCAACCTCGCAGAAACTGCCATTGAAATACAAGCCAACAATGATACCGGTTATACCTGCCAAGGCTATTTCGAAGGAACCCTCGACAATGCACGTTACGCAGCTAGTATTTTCAACCAGTCTTACGTTGTTCAATATGTCAATTTCTGGCCGTGTGGCTGGGCCAATGAACACAACTATCTTTCCGATTCATTCCAGTTCTTTGCCGACAATGGCGTGGGCCTTGGTGGACCGGACAATATCCCTCACAGTCCAAACATGGAGATCAATGCCTACCGATACATGTCGAGATACCGTGATAAGGTTCCCATTAGTGTGATTGCGGTACAAGAGCCTGATTTGGCCGCCAACAATACGAAGACAGGCAAGCCATTCACCAAAGATGAGTTTCTCTCCTTCGCGGAGAAGGACCTGGGCTCCAATATTCTGTTCTGGGCTCTGTCAGCACCGTGGCTACAGCAGTAGCTCGACATCCTTTCCTATCTACGTGGTTTGCTCTATAGACTACGGAAATAGACAATTACTCTACTCCCCACTTGTTGGAACATCTACAATAACCACGTGTCGGCCATTCACTGTTTAGCCTTGTGGTATATATACCTCAGCTAAGCGATATCAGACTTTAAATGAATAGCGCCATAGCAGGTCGGATAATATTTTGCCCATTGTCCCACTTGAGCAAGTATATGCGTAATTTTCGGCGGCAATGGGGTCACCTTTCTATCAATTGAGAGGGATATACCGTGGATTCTCTACACCAACAAGCTATATCGCAATCATTCGCCTTAATGCGTATGCAAAATGGAGCTGTGTCAGATGATCAACGAAGAGTGGGGGCTACAGGATATATAGAAGCCGAAGAAATTCTAGAAGTACAGGTTATTCGAGATCTATAGCAGAAGGCAATCCTGCTCTGTAAGGACTCTTGCTATATCTCATCTCTGGTAGATCTATACTACCCTCATACAAACACGGGCAGGTGATCATAGTACAGAGGAGTTAATTCTTGTCTTACATTGAAGGGAATGCTAGAGTCTAAATAAGAATGTAATTTTCAAATTATTTAGAATTATCCCTATGTCTATTTTGTTATTTAATTCCCGAATTGCATCCCTAAAGCCCTTGATTCTGGTCTAATTGTTGTCTCACATGGATAAATTGATAGGAAGCGATATACGTATTGCTAGCAACTGGGGTACATAATGCATCACAATGGACAACCCATTTTACTGTGGCCGAAATTGCCGACACCTTTTAGATAAGCTAAGTATCAATGGGTATTTGTATTTCATGCAATCCTCATTGTCACTTTATAAATAATACCTTCCCGTTGACGAAATTGCCTGCACATTTCGCGTCGAAGTTGCCAATGCAATACAACCAATTTCAGCCCCAGGTTCAATGTCCCCAAGATAAATTTTAGTGTCGCTCAAATTTCTGGCCCACTCATCAGAAGACCACGTCGAAGATCCGACAACTCCGGTTGTTTTGTTATGCAAAAAGACAGCAGTGATCGGGCTTAGGATGTCAGGAGCTAGCGTAATAATACGCAGAGTAGCGCCGATCAGCGCACAGATGAAGATAGTTAGTGATGAAACGATGAGCACACCAAGCCAAGGCCGGCTACACCTGACGACTTGATACTGGTGGCTGTTAATGGCAGTGAAGTTGAAAGCATGCTCATTCGTCACTATATGGGACAAATCCCAAGACCCCGTGAATACGGTGGGATCGATTCCTATATAGAGAATCGAATTCAGAAGCTGTGCTAGACGGGTCTGGAATACCCGGCGGCCAATAGCGTAGGTTTTCATGGTCTCCTGAGATTCACCTAGTCCTACGGCGTGATAAGGGTTGATGAGATAGGCGAGGACGGGCTCTATGCCAGCTGTGGGTAGTAGACGAGGATATAGGCCAGTGAGGATGCTCAAAACACCATCGGCATCAGAATTCGGGCCTGAGAAGTTGTAATTTCCATTACCGATTATATCAAAAACAGTCCAATTGGTATGAAACTGGTAATTGGGCGAGCGGCGAGCAGCGGATAGTTTGCAGGTGCTCAATAATGAACTCCCGGATGAGCTCCCAGTGCATGTCATATTGGCATCAACGTAAGTTGTAGTGAGATCGCACGCAGCCCATGTCCAGTCGGTGTTGTTATTGAACGTGGATGACTCCCAAATAAGCTTTCGGGCATTATGAGTCGTGGTGTTCATTCTGCTGCCAGTACATTGCCGAGAAATGGCGATCTTGAACTGTTCGTTGGATGTCTTTGAGCTCGCCCAATCGCAGTGGTTTCCGTTTGGAGGAGTCCTGCTTATCCAGTTGAAAAATTCAGAAGTCTGTGAGGTACCGAAGTCTGGACAAGAGATGGAAAGATAAGAACCGGGGAGGGTAAAAGATATGTTGCCTGAGCTAGGCAATGTACCCACTGGTGTACCTACAAGGGAGGAATATGTCAAATTGCTGGTATGAGGCAAATCAACCCATTCATCACTGCTAGTCTCAAGATTCTCCATCATAGGAAAGCGAATGTTCCCCCAAAGGTCTTGATTACGGGATCCAAGAAGCGAGGCCGCTGATATTGCAGCAGCAACGGGGCTTGATATCCTTGTTCCTGCTTCTCCAACCCCTTCAGAGTAACCGTATTGATACTCAGAAAAGGTATTCACTGTGCTCATGTTCATGGGGACTTCTAAGTAATCATCCACGATAGATATCACTCTGAGAGATGCTTGGCTTCCCAACGGAGATAGGCACCACAAAATCACAGAGAATATAGCGAAAGTATTAATAGCTCTCAATCGTACTTGTGTAAGGAAGGCACTTGAGATGGTCTGGCTGCCGAGACACTGCTGCACCAGCCCGATGGTTGCACCTTGGCGTGTCTGGACGCGCCACAACGCAATGCTCTTCATACTGCTACCGGCGATGGCAGCGAATAGAACTGGGAAGATGGTTGGCGCCTTTGAGTTTGGCATGGTGTTAGTTACAGTGATTACAGAGAAGACAGAGAGATAGTGTGAAACATAAGAATCTAGAATTAGGGGAACTGACATATTGTGAGGCTTCAAAGAGTTTGGAGCCTGTTGTCCCTGGACCGGCGGGTGTACCATCCATGCGATACACCCAAATGCCGAAAATCGTAAAGAACAGGGCACTGATTGCCACAATTAGATCGAACCCCAGACGCAAAGTCTTATCAAGCCAAGAGGTACCGAGAGGCTGCGGCTCGATTTTGTCCTGCTCTTCCTGATTAATTGTTGAATATGTGACTTTTTGGTGATCATGGTGGCCGTATGACGATTCCTCTACTGGAGTGTCCTCGACTGAGGACGAATTGGATTGCTGTTCATCAGCTGGCACAGACCCATAGGGGTGTTGGGTCCTTTCCTTCATCTCGTGGGGTTTCACAAAGTCGGTATGCATCATAAGACGTAGAGAAGCCGGATGGTGAAGAAAATGAAGCGTATGAGTAAAGGGCCTCATTCGGCTGAACATGGTTGGAGGTAACTATATATAACAAAACCACAAATATATTCGAGCTGCATTGAATTGAAGGTTCATATCAGATACTGAATCAATGAACACGAGTTTCGGGGCGTTAGACGATTTTCAGATGAACCCCGATGCACCCCTACGAGGCGTCGCATGAATACGAGGCTCTCATGCAGCGCTGCCACTCCGCCCGTTCCTCCCCGGCATTTACGGGTAGCTTATTGGTTTTCAAAAATAGAGACACATTACCCGCGCTTCCCTCTGAATTATTCATTCACAAGCCGACAACCCTCACTTCGCTCGGGCTTGTTAGCAAGGTTTAAACTCAGTTATAGGCCAATTGCAATACACGGTTGCGGACCGGACCGCCTTTGAGTCGAATCCACACGCGCCAGCATTATATGAAGACGTCGGATTCTCAAAGCAGCAACCCACATTCATAGTCCACCTCGCCATACTACACCTGCATTCGCACCCACCATAGAAAGGAAGTGGGTGTCCTGATAGCATCTAGCTTGACGCGGCCGTTATTATAGCATATTATAAAGCGAGGGTTCTCCTCCGAGACATTGGCTTCGTGCTCTGCAAACTAGCGGAACACATAGCAGTGGGAGCCAGGGTGCTCAATGTGGCCTAGGCCCTGTCTTCCCACGACCATAGGCCGATACTGGCATCGGAAAGCAGCTGATTTCCGCGTATTCTGCCGAGGACGATCTCTAAGGGCCAGATGGATATAATTAGACTGGATTGTTCATAACCACAGTAGGTGAGCTCTACCAAAGAGGGTCCACTGTAGGAACACCTGAGGCTTCATAGTGGGGGGGTAATCGCGGCTTCGTTCAGAGCGGAAATTCAGACCAAACAAGGCAGCAAAACTGTGTTAGTAGTCTTTCATCCTTGAAGTCCTCAAGACAGGACCACAAAGGAATATATACATCTTCTGATATTGATCAGACAACACCGAAATGTAACACCCACTTAAAAGCATGACAAAAATTAAATACCAGGATTACACTAGATAGATCATCGGTTTGTTTATGATTATATACAAATTTGAGTATTTGGGATTGCCGACAGATACCCGCCAAGTGCCCATGGACGGGTTTATGAAGGCCAAAACTCGCGTGAGGTTCCCATAGGCGGGTAACCCGGTGAAAGATAGTCCCACTCGGGTTTAACGTGATAGTATATGTGGCCTAAGGCCAAGTATTAGGTGCTCCCTTTCGTCTCTGCTGTGTTGAGAGTCGACGTTAAGGTAGTTCTTGCCCAACACTATCTTGGGCACCCAAGAACTGTTCTATCCGCCATCGACTGTGGTCTTCGAGGCGAAGTTTGCCAGTCTAGTCAGTGAGCTTGCCTTGAACTATTTGGCATCTCATATGAATTGATAGGAGCTAGTTATTTCTCCTTCTCTTCCCCTTCAAGTTCGAATGGCCCCTCTCTATCCGTGGGCAACTCTGGCACGATCCTATCCTGATCCAGTTCATGCACAATTTGTTGATCATGAAGCTCTGCGCGTTGAGCCTGCCTGGCCTTGGCTGGAGCGGCTTCAAAAGCCCTTGGTCGATGTGCCTTCCCTCTCTTCCTCATGAATATGAACAGTGCCCCTATGAGGAGCGCCATACCAGCAACCACACCAATGACAATGCCCGCTATGCCTCCTCCAGAAAGTGTAGACCTAGAAGAATCCCCAACTGAAGATGTGGCTGTAGCGCTGGACATATTATTGTTCGTGGAAGTGGAAGGCGCCACACTCCGAACATAGTTGACATTCCATCCTGTGATAGCAATCGCACCGACGGTCGAGCCGACTGTCAACGTGGTCGTGAAGGTGCCGAAGTTTGAGCCTGATGTTGGAGAAGCATACGTGAGAGTTTCGCCAGAGTAGACACCCATCACACAGTTTCCGGAGATTAAAGAGAACGAGCTGCGTTAAAAACAGGATTAGCTAGGTATATTCAATTTCGGAGGTATGAATATATGCTCACGGGGGGCAACACTCGGCCCGTGTACTGGACGAGTCTACAATTTTGTTTGCGAGTGTACTCCAGCCCGACGGACATATGAAGGGACCCATGCTGATACCCGTTTTGCCTGGTGCGATAGTACCACTCGTGACCTGCGTGAACCATTCTGATACGACGGATGGGTTGCAGCTATAGAGTGGATCGATGCTTCCATACGCCGGGTCATAACCCATCAAACCGTGACCATTTGGACCAAATTTCACGAACACCTTACTGCAGATTGAGTCGGCCGTAAATGTTGTCGTGAGAGGAACAAACGATGTGACAGCCCCTCTTGTGCCCGTTCGCGGAGGAATCGTGGTGGCTGCAATCGTCGTGGAGACGGCCGACATAGTGTAGCCAGGAGGGGGATTGGTAAAGTCAGACGTTGTATCGGCAGTCAGCAAGTCCTTAAAACCCTCGTCTGGTACAGCCTCACTTTTGACTTTTGTCTCTTTCTTGATGGGGAAAGTCGCATAGCTGAATTTTACTTTGGCTAGTACAGCTCAGGTAATTTTTGCTATTGAGGCCGCCGGTGACTAGGCCGAGATAAGGGGTGATCAGCGGTGTGCCTTGCCCAAGCTTTTCTTATACGAGGAGTATTGACTATGGAAAATCCTTGTCTCTTTGGCTCCGGACATTCGCAAACTCAATCTACCGCTATACAGTAAAAATGAAACCCATTTATTACTATAGAAATCAAACCAATTATAACCTAAATCGCTCCTAAGTATCCTATATAGATGACAAATGCCAATACAAAGTTGGCTGTGCATTAAGACCCGAGGTGAGCCTTGAATATAAATACCAGAAGACGAGTCTTATAACCGACAAAACTCCCTGCCAAGCTGCTCGAAAAAGTCCCTCAAGGCAATCACGGCAAATTTTGGAATTGTAGTAGGAGATGATTCCACAATGTACACCGTAAGTCACACCACTCTTGGTTTTCCTGCATAATAAAACGCACGGGGGCTGTGAAGGGCTTAGTCTAGTTGAGATGCCAACTGGAGAGGGCAATTGCAATTTACTGAAAGCGTCGAGAGAGGAACTATTAAGGGTGCGAGGTTGATAAACAATGGCCATGGTTCACGTGGGCGCAAGTGATTAAACAGCGGCCCTGGCCCATTACAGGGCCAAAGGGGGTAGCTAGTTTTCTGAGGCCGGAGCTATTGATCAATGCATGGTAGGTGGAAATATGCTTAAACGGCAGTCGCCGGTAAGAAGATTCAGCAGTGCTGGTGAATCCTAGCACATAGTATAGGTATAAGGACTACTGAAGAAGCCTGCTTTAGAGGGAAGAGGAGGGAATATTAGTAATTATAGAGAACAACACCCCTTTCCTCTTTAATGTGAGAACCCACTATTTCCGGTTTCCAGTAATCCGAAGTAAAACGACATTCGAGAGTATAAGAATTCCTTAGCCGTTAGACCTTCTCTCTCTATAAGAGATGTTATATAAATATAGCAGGTAGCCATGGAATTAAATTATTCCTTCGAACTAGTAGAGCGTAAGGAGGGGTAGTGGGGGCAGATTTAGGGAATAGTGGCCTTTAAATTGAGCCACAATGCCCCTATGTGACAACAAATTCCACTCCACTAGCGCTAGCGCTAGGTATGGAGCCAACTAACGAGTTACAGCTACGCTGGCTGAGCAATATTAGATTTAAACTGAAATGAGCTCAAATGGCAGGAAGGAAAGTCTTCCGGTTGGGAAACGACGGTAGATTGAATGCATCTTCCTGAGGCTGTTCCAGCTAAACTGGGAAGTTCCAGCAGCACATTGCTCTCAAAACTGGGCCCGTGCGGACGTAACAGGCTCACTTTCATTCGCGCCCTGTGGAAAGACCAGCCCGCATTGGCCTCCTCGAAGCGGGAGCCTTCCCGCTGTCAAGCAAGAATTGAATCCCTTGGATCTCATAATATTTCCTCAGTATCCATGCAGGGCTTGGGGGTTTTTTAAACCGCTCCGACTGCCGTAGAATGACCGTATTAGGGTAGCTATCGTTTTCGAAAACATGCTACTTATGACGGTATGCTTCGCTCAACGGTAGCTACTATAGTGCTGAATGCTTGCTTAGGTCATATAGGTCGGCATGCCGTACTGTGGTACACACTGTTGTCACGGTATCGCCAGAGTACCCTGCTGTCAGGTGGCCCAACAAGGCAATTCAAAAGGAGCTGCCGTCTTGATCTCATACTCTTGATCTACCCGGGGTGGCAGACTTGACGCCCCTTTTCTGTTTCTTATCATGATTGGTGGGTACCATGCAAGCATAGCCTATGTTCCTTTCCCCTACCCCAGTGAAAAGGGAGTCTCTCAATATCAGTTCTGCAGGACCTCGAGATGTATAGTACCAATCGTGTTATGATTTCAACCCACAGATCATATGTCATGTGATATTAATTTACAATGCATTTCCAAATCAGAAATAGGCTAAATCAAATACAGATTAATGAGTTTCAAGAGAAAGTTTGGGAAAAATTAAAAGGCGAAACTAATTTCGAGCGCGTCTGTACCGCGTGCTGCGCTAATCTAGATATTCTGGCTCAGGTCGATCCGATTCTGGGGAAGGCGCCAATCCCACCCCACACAGGACCAAGGTTGTCGTTACCAAGCGAGCCTCTCCTCATTTATACCTCGATAGCTGGGCAAGGTTGAACCCATTTGTGCTTTCGGAAATGGAGGGTGTTAACAAAATGGAACGGGGGCCGTGAGATATTATGGCGTTGAATCATGGCATTGGACTGATGTTTTCCTTTTACCCTTCTTTCGTAAGTTGGTATGGAACCTTGGAAGCAGGAGGAGTGACACTGTCCATGAATGATGGCCTATGAATATTGTGCTGGGAGCGTGATTAGTCTCTTGTCTTGGAGTTGTAAGCTTGTTTGATCTTTACATTGAATTTGACATGGAGCTGCTATTTACTTACTAGACATAAATTCTGAACAAATACTTGAAGTTATCTTGCGATTCTCTCCACTTCGTCTTGGTATTCTATTTTCTCTGTTCAGATAGTACTCCGATCATTGGCAAAATACTTTGATTGGGATATATATGATAGCAAATCATCCAGCCGGACTGACTTCCAGGCTCAAAAGCAGCGATTAAGCATGTTTTCGAGGTACCTGTTCATCGAACTACCATAAACTGACTGATCTAGTTCCCAAAGTCCTCCATCTAAGGACTAGCCATGGACATCAAGGAGGAAATTGGGTACAAATTTTGATCATAGACAATGTCTCTCCACCAACCCTATAGCAAGCAAGCTCTGATATTCAGCAAGTGCCGCCATGGATGTTCACACAGCCAAATCGATCCCAACCCGTTGGGAGTGTCACACACTGATCGGTGTTTTTGGAAATACGGACGCCCACGCAGTTTCCTTTACTATCGGGTTTTTCCTTATAGAAAGAGGCTGTTGCTTTTTGGAAGTCAAGTCTAAGGCTTTTGACCTTGTAGTTCTGTGACAGCCCCGTGCTTCCACAGGCGCTCACCGAGCCCACATATTCCCCATTGCAAGAGGTGCCTTCGTATGCCTTGACAACTGTGGCATTTGCAGAGGTAAGGAGAGAGACCAGAAGAGTGGCGATCATAAGAAGCTTCATGGTGGAATTGGATTTCAGATTATTCAGATGAGGGTTTGTCCAGAAATGAGCCGAGAAGGCGACAAGGCCCGGCTTTATATGTTTGCAGATGCCCTCAGCTGACGCGTTGTTTGCTCCTTGGATATCTGATACGAAGTATCGAAGAAGTTCTATCCAATAAAAAATCAAATAGTAAAGGCCCCGCCAAGTGGTGTATGAACGATCGCTCGTATTGATGTGTGCCAAGTAGACTAAGAAGTAAATACGAAAAATGGACTCAGTTACCCCGGTCACACCTGATGCGATGTAACCTCTGTCGGTGTTGAGTCCCGAATGGGGTCAGGCCTCAGAGCCACACAAATTTCGCTCAATGTGATCAATTATCCAAGTTGATACCTGGTGGAGATCGTGAATTTCCCGGTCTGAGGGGAAATTCAAGGACAAAGAGAAGGAGTGTGTATTTTCCAGTACAAAATGGATCGAACTCAGATTCACCATCTACACGAAGAAATTCTTTCTCGAACCCCCTTTCGAAACACCGCTAAACGCCTCCGAACCCCCTTCTTGGCAGCATTCTATTACATAACCAACAGCATAAAATAGCTTTATCTGGCCAGTATGGCCTCTAGAGCTTCTAGAAAGTTGTTCCTGCAAACAAGCCACACTGATTGGTGTCCGTTCTGCTAGATTTGAGATGTTGCACTTTCCTTGAATCGTGCTCAATGAGTGGATCAGGCTGCGTAAGTCATAACTCTCCCTCAATCCATCACTCTCCATATAAGTACTTCTTTTGCTCCTCGTTTTGCAAGCGCTGACGTACTGACATGTTGGAACGCTAAAACTCACTAGGCAAACCCAAGTCAAAAATGCAATTCAAATGTGCTTTGTTTACAGTATCCATTATTGGTCGGAATCAATGAGGTTGCCATAATCTTTTAATGCGCTTGTCGAAAATCCAGAGTTACGGATTGCGATGAGAACAGCAGTCGTCGAGTATAAATTGCATAGCAAAAAGAGCTCCTACCAGATTTGAAAATAGGACGGTGAACACATGAAGGGACTGTAGGAGTTACCATGACAAGTTGCTGAGCTGTGACCTGAATTCAGGGCCAGCGGAAATATATCACATTCTGGGCGATGGATTCAGCGCGCTAACATACATCATTTTAATGGTGGTATTGTGTCTCAAACCGAACCGCAAGAGCCCGTGACTCTTTCAATATGTATTGAAGAGGCCTCGTCTGATCTAACACAATGTCTATATGTTTAGCAATCCGAAGGTCAGGCGAGACCAAGAAAAATTGACAAATAGAATGGAGATGGATTCACTATGGAGCAAATAGCCTGTAGGCCATGCCAATACATATATCAAGCAGACACAATGAAGCACCACAGCTATTCACTGTGCGAGGCTTACCTCTGACCGAGGAATTCTTCCATTGGTCCAGAAGAGCCCCTCCAACTTCAGATTCAAGCATAGTCTGAACAGAAGTCCAAAAGATTTCCTTGCGTGATTTACCTCCAACCATATGGCAAGTTTCCCTTTCAACCCCGTAAAACTCGCCCTCGGCCGTATCTTTCTCATCAACGATTTTGTGTTTGTAACTGAAAGTTCCGTCCTTAACATTTTGCTTCGCATGACTCCACCGGGACTTCTCTTTTTAGCCTTTGGTCGCTATGCATGTTTTTGTTTTCCCGCGTTAGTGAGGTGGGCCCATCAAATTTTCAGCCAAATTAGGGTCAACCACTACGCCACCAATAATGGCTCGATCGACTTTAAATTTTCACAGCTTATAGAAAAAGAAGTATTTAAATAGAACTTCCTAAAGTTTGAAGTCGATCGAACCAAAATTGCGACCGCTGACCCAGGACCTTTTGTTCAACTGGACGGGTCCTGGGTACAGCGACCCGCTTTTACCCAGATTTTGGACCAACCACCAGCCTTTAAATCCGGGTCCTACACAGGGCCCGTCACTGGAATAGAGTTAGGAGGACGCCGTCGGCGATCGGCAATCGGAGGACCGGAGTTGCCTAATGCAAGTCAGACTTTCTTTGTCATCAGCGCCAATCTTGTCTTCGAATATCTTCCCGTCATCTCCGACGCGTGTTAACACTCCTTCCTTCACTGGCACTAATGAAAGGTCTAGCGAGAAATCCCCCGGGCAGCTCGATATTTCCGAAATATTCATTTCCCCTCTGCCCGGGCCCCAATGGAGAAGACTGGCCAGGGAGATTGTCCAAACGCCGAAGGCAATAGGCCCGGCCCCACTCCCACTCCAACTAACTCAGCCTTCACAACATGGAATAGCAAGTCAACATCCACTCGGGTTTACAAGCGTCGGCCTCGGCAGCCCATAAATTGTGTCCCATGCCGGCAATCAAAAGTGAAGTGCGACCGGCAACAGCCTTGCGGGTCGTGTAGGCGACGGGACTGTATTGACAACTGCACATACGCACCTCGAAGCGGGCAACCCAGCACTCCACGCAACCCCCCCAGATCTTCAGATAATGATTCTATCACAAGATCATCTCCGCCAAGACAAGACTCAGTTCAAACAGTGCTCCCAGAGTCATCCCCGCAAAACCTTCAACAATGCATTCCAAATCTCGTTCAACCAAGCACCACTTGCGAGGTGCAGCAACAGCAGGATGAGTCCCACATACAATGGGATGCTCTCCTTCAACGTCCCCTTGATCACATGGGCCAGCCGGAGATAAATAAGGAAGACCCATTTACTTTCCCGGGAAATTTTTGTTTTCCTTTCCCTTTCGGCCCGAATATCTCCCAAAAAGAACTGCTTGCCATTCTGCCACCAACAAACTGTTGCGACTACCTCATCACGGAATACTTCATGCGGTTGTCGCCGCTTTTCCACATTCTTCATGGCCCCACGTTTCAAAAACAATACAATGCTTTCCGAAACTGTCCTTCCAAAGCCGATCTCTCTTGGTTGGCTTTATTATTTGCCGTCTGTTCGGCAACTATAAATACCTTGGAACCGGCCGACGGCATTCATGGTGAAATCTTAAACTGCATATCTGGGCCCCACAATGTTAAAAAACTGGCCTATCATTACCGAACTGCTGCTATGATCTGCCTTTCCCAAGATCATTTTTTGATACGACATAGTCTGAGCACCCTTGAAGCCCTGCTTCTGCTTATATACACAGTCAGCAATAATGAAGGAGCCGAGCGTGCTTGGACATTACTTGGTTAGCAACTCGCCAATTTCTCGAAAGAAACCTATCTACTGATACAGTTATTAGGCATGGCTTTAAATATAGGCATCGCATTAAGATGTAATGTTGAGCAAGATATTCAGCAGCTTGACTGTATAACCACACAGCGGCGGCGCAGATGCTGGGCTGGTATTCTGCTCCTTCACACCTATCAAGCCACATTATTTAGGGATATTGACATGTCGGCCTTGCTGAATCTTGATGCGATCATGCCAGCTGATGTCAATGACAACGATATCAAATGTGACACTATTCTAGCTCCCTCCAGTCAGCCAACCCAGATGTCTTTGATGAAATTCAAAATCCAGATGTTCCAGCTCTCCACCAAAATTTGCCGTCATCTAGCAAGTCAGTCCAAGGAAGACGAAGCCACTCTCAGCATTTTCGACCGTCAGGTTGCAGGGGAGCAAAGTCAATGGGATGCTATTTATCTTCTGGATGGATCTCCAAATCTCTTAGATTCATCGGGGTATGCACACTGGTGCATTTTGCAGCTGTACGCCCACCATTTATATTTACTTCTTCACCGCCCATTCTGCAAACCACGCAGTTCACAGTTTCGGTCGGCTTCTAGAGCAAAGTGTATCGTCTCAGGTAAAGCTCTACTTGATGTGCATCATCAGTTTTGTGACCTCCCGCGTTTGCGACACTACCGATGGCTAGTAGCGGGATTGACGAGTTTTTATGCTATTCACGGAGCCATGGCAATAGCATCGTGTCTGCTAGACGAGGCAGAAAATCTTGAACTTTCTCCCTACCGTGCTGAGTTTGACGCAGCGGTTGAGCGCATTGACAAGCTTCGGGGGAGCAGCCAAATCTGTGCCCAAGCATATCCCATCCTCAATCATCTTCAGTAGGTCTTATTTTCCCCATGATTTTGACTTTTTCAAACCAGCTTTGTTCATTAAAATTACGCAGATCAATGCTCTCGTCTCAACAGAATCGGCTTGCTTCATTACCAGAGGCCTTAGAATTCGGTGCTACATTTGACAACTGGATTGATGATATACAGTGGCTCAATCCAGAGTCTATCGACTGGGTAAGTGAAGTATCCCATGTCAATTGTCATGTCTTTTAACATTTTTGACAGAACTTCTGGGATAATTTTCTCAATATTGAAACGGTCCCAGAAGAAGTCTAAAAGCGACTTCTTTCTCGCAACAAGTATGCAAATCCTTTCTGTACACGAATTCTCTACACTGTATCGATACTATCTTCCATATTCTAATTATCTTCCATGTCCGGAGAAGAGGATCCCCCGCATAGTCCCGGGGATAGAATATATATTCACGCGGAGAAAATCGAGTCTAAAGTATCATTTCCGTAAACAGTAACTCTTCATCTCCGTCTCAGCTTCCGGGGCTTAATCAGGGTTCTAGCTTGCCCGAACCGTGAGGTGAGCTTGCCATATTTAAACCCCTCCGAAGGGTTTGTCAGTTGCCCAGTGCAAAACGACCTGACACCTGGAAAACTTTTACAATCATTCTTTCACCATGTCGACTCCTCCCTTGACAAACTACGTTGCTTATGTGGACCCCGAGCTTCATTTGCCTCGAGTTGGGCATCTGAATTGGGAAAATCAAACCATTCAACCTCTTTCATTTTCTTCCGGGGCACCACTTGAGAGCCTGTATTAAGTTATTGTCGCGGGCCAACAACAAACGAAACCTTCCGGAGACCTCATCGCACTTCACTCGGTGAAACTGCGACCGCCTTTCGCGGGCAGGGATATTCTTGCAGTTGGGAAGAATTATGCCGAACATGCGATCGAGTTCAACAAGTCTGGATATGACAGTTCCGATAAAGCTGATCAGCCTACCCACCCTGTCTTGTTCTCAAAACGTGCAACATCCATCGTGCCACACGGTACTCCAATTGCTCTGAATGAATCTTTTACCCAAACACTGGACTACGAGGGTGAGATCGGTGTAATTATTGGAAAGGGTGGCCTTGGCATCAAGAAGAAAAATGCTTTGAAACATGTGTGGGGATACACAATTATCAATGATGTTACTGCTAGAGAGCGTCAGCGTGATCACAAGCAATTCTTCATCGGAAAATCTGGTGATACCTATTGCCCAATAGTATGTAAATTTGACTGTTCGTTCATAGATTTTTACTCAATGTATGTTTTTTAGGGCCCAGTCGCTGTACCAGCACACGACCTGCCTAGCATCATCCAGAGAAAAACCTTTATCAACGGCCAAGAGCGACAGAGAGCCACAACACAGGATTTGATCTTCTCGATCCCTACTTTGATTGAAACCCTTTCAGTGGGAATCACTCTTCAGCCAGGGGATGTGATTGCAACTGGAACTGTGAGATCCCGTCCTCCAAAAAGTTTCAAACGTTTCTAATACCATAAAAAGCCTGCTGGCGTGGGATTTGGTCAGGGTCCGCCCGTATGGCTCAAGCCAGGTGACGAGGTTAAAGTTTCTGTTACTGGTTTAGGGTCATTGATCAATACAGGGGGTGAACCAAGCCCGCATGCTTCTGTTGTGCCTGCGCCAGATGACTTGAATCTGGCAGACACCAATGCTTCCAAAAACCATCACAGGGGACTGCCTCACTGAGATAAATGGGAAGCGAGTTTACTACAAGAAACAAGACACTGGAAACAAACCAATTGTCTACGTACATGGTCTTGGAAGTTCCAACGAATTCTTCACACCACTGATCAACACTCTTGACCTGAACATGTCGCATCAGTTGTATCTCATCGACCTAGAGGGCCTTGGGCTATCACCTACATCACCACTGTCTACTATTACGATTGAATCCCTGGCAAAGGACATGAATGGCCTTTTTGAGAAGGAAGGACTTTCCGCAGCTTCTCAAGCTACTGTGGTGGCACATTCAATGGGATGTCTTGTCGCTCTCTGCTTTGCGATCAAGTACCCGGAGAAGGCCAAAAAGCTCGTTCTTCTCGGTCCGCCCCGGAATCCTTTGCCGGCTTCTGCTGTGAACACATTCAACGAGCGTGCTTCTCTTGTTAGGAGAAAGGGAATGCTTGCGATTGCTGATACAGTCTCCATCGCAGGTACCTCGCAGCGTACAAAGGCCTCACTTGGCTTCACGGCCGTAAAGCTTTCTCTACTTGGAACCGAACCTGAGTCATATGCCAAGACATGTACTGCACTCGCTGGGTGCAAAGCACTGCCTTTTCAGTGCATCCAGGCAAAAACCTTGATTGTGACAGGCGATGAAGACAAGGTCAGCTCGCCTGAATTGTGTACTGCTTACGCGCAGAGAATTCCTGACGCATTACCCCCTGTCATCCCGAGCAAAGTCGGCCACTGGCATATGTTTGAAGACTTCCGTGGAGTGGCAACAGCAATCAGCGGCTTTATTTGATTTCGATTTCGTTTTTTATTTTTTTTGGCAGAAATAGTGTTCAATTAGATGGCTCGAAATTTTCAATTAAAATTATATAGATACCAAGAGCACTTCTGAGACAATATAGGCGTTGCTTTTATTGTAACTCAGGACTCCTAATTTCCTATCCGTCAAAGGTCATCAAAAAATGAATTTTTAACCAATTAATTCTATGGGATGTTGTGGATTATACGAAAAATTCTTTTAAGGGACTAGGTAAGATAAGATCTTGTTGCCTGTGAAAAGCACACGACGCCACCCGCTAATCGGCTACGTCATCTCCGGGTAGTCTCCGAAAGTCATCTCCGCGAGCCATCTGCTGAAAAAGGGCGGGAATATATTGTTAAACTCCGAAAGTCTGTTAAGATCCGCCAATTCTTCATCAGAGTGGATCAAAATCAACTCTAAACTTTTCTTCGAGGAAGGCCAAGTCTCCGAGACAATTTCCATATTCGACAGAGAAAAGAAAGCCTCCCTGTGTGGGCCAAATTGCAGAGGAAGCCTTTTAGCATGTTCTATGGTTCGATCCGATCGCCATGCCGATTCAATATTATTAGCATTGAGTATTTCACTGGGGGGCCTTGGGCATTTTTTGAATATTTGGCCAATACTAAAGAACGAAAAACTACCAATTTCCCTCGACCTCCTCCTATCTTCAATTTTATTTCCTATATTCGGATAAATTTCGTCCTTTCTCTCAAATTCTTCACCTAAACTCAACCCGATCATGGTGGCCAGAGATGTTAGACCACCGTCTGATCGAGAATGCCCAGACTATGCGCGGAAGCGTGTGTGCAAGGCTTGCGATCGCTGTCGTCTGAAGAAGTCAAAAGTGCGTCCGAAAAGAGTAAATGATGACTGACTGTTAGAACCAAGCTAACTCTTTTTTCAAAGTGCAATGGCGTCAGCCCTTGTTCACGCTGTTGTTCTGATAACATGATTTGTGTATATGGTGAGCAGAAGCGAAGATTCTCTGATAAAAGATATCCAAAAGGGTAAGCAGAGTACACGGGGAAATGGACCATGAACCTCTGCTGACCACCTCCGTCGCCATACACTAGATATGTTGAACTACTTGAACAGCAACAGACATGGCTAGTTCAAGGTCTTCAGCAGCTCTACCACTGCACTATCAATGCTGAAGTTGAGCTTTTGGGCGAGTTGAAGCCAGATTTCCATGGCCGCCAGCCCATAAATGATTTGCTTGCTCTCCTGGGTATCGTCGATCAGTCCAAAGGGGAGCATTTTGAAGAGAGCACAGGTACTCTTCAAGGCAGCTTGTGGGCCCAAGAATCTAAGCCCCAGTGCTTCGAGGCAAGCCGCAAGGACGCCCACTCGCTGGTCTCCAGTCCACTTTCCTCCCAAAGTTTCTCCTCCATGTGCCCCAGCGATGCGAGCAGCTCCATTCAACGAATTTTCAATATGGAATCCAACATGGCCCCAACAGCTACGTCTGATAAAATGCTGCATCATCAATCTCAGAATACCTTGTCCATGCAGGATACTTTCAATCCGTTTGATGTGCTAGGTGCTACCCAAGAAAGGTGTGCAACGGATGACCTTTGGCAACCCGACGAGATTGATTTATGTCTGGCAAACTGGAGTGCCTCATCAATTCTCGCTTGGCCCACGTCGACAACATATTCTCAGTCATGTGACGATGATCAAGCCTTCAACCAATTTATCTATCCAGATGCGATAGATGGCTTTTTGAATGAGGACTATATCAGTTGATCTGGGTCCTGGTTTTTAGACGTCTAAGTGAAATTATGAACACTGTATTATTAATGTATTTTTTCAATTCTTGGTTTCTTCAACCAATACTTTTTTTTTTTTCGCTGTTCATGATCTGTTGATCTCTTTGAGTCTCCATCCTTTGAGTTTAGAGAAAATGAAAACAAGACATTCAAAAGAGACTCGGAGAAAGTGGTGGCTTACGGATAATTCAGAATGATTTTTTCCCGAAGGTGTCTCCGATCCGGAGGCAAATCTTAGCTTCATTCACTCACGCTCAATATCGGAAATATCGTTTGGCTGAACCGGGAAGCGGGGCAGCACTATTGGATCTTCATGAACAATTCTTGGAACTGCCTCGGCTTCGCCAATACCGTTGGTATGTATTCGGTATGACCAGCCTAACCGCTATGCATGGTGCTATGGCTCTAGCCTCTTGTTTACTTGAAGGGGTGAATATCGACCTTGATTTAAACCGTATCACGCTCTTTTCGACGCTGCGGTTTTGAGGATTCAATCACTTCGTGACCAAAGTCCCATATGTTTGAAGTCAATACCTATTTTGCTCCATCTACTGTGAGTCAGTTCTGAAGTGCAAACTTTGAATTCTTTTTCGGCTGACTGGTCGATGTAGCTAGGTCAAGATTGTCGCGGGGTCGCACCCCTGCGAAAGAGAAAGAAGATCATGAATTTGGAACCATCTTAGACAATTGGATTAATAGAGTTCATCGGCTCAATCCAGAACTGGCTGACTGGGTAAGCTACATGCACGCAATTCAAATTGGAAGTCCTGTGCTGATGGAAAAAATCTCAGGAATTCTGGAATGAGATATTACATGTCTCAAAGTATGAAACGTCTGAAAGTTTATAGCCAGTAATCATGTTCTAATTACTTCGGAGACTAAAGTTACTTTACATCTGTTGATATTTTTTCGTGTTTATAAACTTTTCTCTCCGAGCTGCAACGTTCCTGGTCGTTGATTCCTGCAATCCTACCAGAAGGAAAAAAACGACGTTTTTTTCCCCGTACCACACTTTAGCAGTATGTTACTACACAGGCATATAGAAGTCAGAAGTTCAGCGTGAAAAATCGAACACGGAGAGGGGCAGAATGGAAGAGAGAATGTAAGAGGTGAAGATATAGGGTGTGGTGGAAGATTCCGCTTGGTGCCTGGAGTATTCTTTACCCAAGATGCTCTACAGCAAGCCCTGTCAGCTTCAAATTTGAGTATTCTTGCGTTAAAGAGAGATCCATGATTGCAGTGTCTAGTGAACGATCCGTTAGATACATCCATGAAGCATCTCAACCAATGCCGTGTAAATAAGATTAATTGGCTGCTGAAAAGAAAATGAATCCGCCATCCGCCATCATTTAAGACCAGTATAAGTTTGATGTAACTCTGAGCAAAATCCTCTTTTTTTTCCCTTAATTGATCTCCCGTGTGTAGCAAGCATGATTGACTAAAAAAGCCCTAAGTTAAATCATAGTGAAGATCTGGGCTAATTGAATTAGAGTATACTTTTGAATGAAGCTTTTGAGACTTGGACCAATTGTAATAAATATTTCTATATTCTAACAAATGAAATGACAAATCTTGAGAGAAGCAGAATAGAAAGCAATGAATGACAAGATATACAACAAGAAATATGAAAAACAAATTAGGACAGGAATTAGAAAGTGAAATGAGAGAAAAGATGGGGAACAAAATAAAAAACGAAATATGAACTGAATAAAAAGAGAATGAAGGCAGTAAACCCCTCACATCCTCCATCCACATATCATGGAGAGACTCTCCCCAGGCAAATACCTCCCCAAGATACCATACCATCCCTCTGAGCATAGTATGAGACCTTATCGAGGGCTAAATTGAATCTCACTTGCGGAGTTTGACCCGATAAAGCCACGTGAAGAACCAAATGGCAAGCATGTTAACAAGACACCATCCTAGAAGAACTGCCCAATCTCTCCAGCGGTCTTTGTGGTAGTAATCCAGTGTGGCCGCATAATCATCACCGTAGCTAAATTTGCAATAACCACAGGAACTCGTGGCATTGGGGTTCGAGAGGTAGCCGGTGCTTTCCGAGAGAAAACTTGCGGCATACTCGTAGCAAGTAGAACTGGCAGGTGGATTGAAGATTGTGAGATCCGATTCCTTGCAATGGGCCTTGACTCCATGGAGCACATTTGAGACCGTTCCCCCGAGGAAGTAGCGCAGCGGATCCACCCAGAAGATCCAAGGTCGATAAAATGAGTTCATGGCGCTGTGAGGAACCAGTGTACCTGAGAAGACCGTCAGAGCCACCCAGAAAAGAGAATTGGCGTAGCCAGCAAGTGTTGGATTGGGAAACATCGCGGCCATGAGATGGCAGAAGCTGGTCGCAAAGAGAGACAGGATTAGGAACATGAAGTAGACATATCCGGCGATACTCGTAATATTAGGATATCCAACAGTCCAGTAGATGCAGAAGTAGACCAGAGTATATCCAACTGCTTGCCATGGGATCTCAACAAGTGTTATAGCGGCAAGCAAAGCCTTGTAGTCATATATTCCGTTGCGCTCGCGCGCTTCAAAAACATCCCATTTCCCAAACCAAACGTTTTGAATATCGGCTGCTGTAGCGGGAATAATCCAAATAATGATGAGTAGAGCCAACATGTAGTTTTGTAGTCCTTGTATGTCGGGGCCAGCATTGAAGTATGAAAAAGCGATGAAAAGCTCGCAAAAAATGCACTTGAACAGCTTGCTGAAGTTGTAAGGCCCGTTTCTCCAAACAACAATCCATTGCCGCTTGGTCAACTCCAGAATTTGATCCCGCAAAGGAAGTGCGTATCTTGCTATTTCGGTGTGCGAAGACGATTCAACCTTGGAGCTAAGCTGGGGATGAGATTCCAATGTGGCAATCTTGCGTTGTAGATTAGAACATTCTTTAGAGTCATTCCAAATCTGAGGCCAGTCTTGGGCAGATTGCTCCTTGTTGGTTACGGTTGAAATAATGAACTCTGCGGGGTTCTCAGAGGCCCCCATAATGGCTCCGTTTCGCGCGAAGTAATCTATCGCGTGCTTCGACTGTGGTCCAGTCTCACCGAAATAGACGGTCCGGCCCCCAGGAGCGAGAAGGAGGACATGGTCGAACATTTGGAAGAGGATAGCTGATGGCTGATGAATTGTGCAGACAATGGGCACGCCTTGTTCAGCGATCTTCTTCAAGAATGAAACAATTGAAAATGCGGCTTGGCTATCAAGACCTGACGTTGGCTGGAAAATGAAAAAGATAATCAGTCTCCGAAGAAACATAACGATAGGAAGATGAATGTACGATGGGGAAAGAAGCAAACAGGACTTACCTCGTCTAAAAATAAAAGGGCGGACGGCTTAGCAGCTAGTTCAACGCCAATTGTGACACGCTTGCGCTGTTGTAAGGAAAAATGAAATCAGTATCTGCTGGAATTCTAGTGGTAGTCTGACAGGGCGTTAACTTACCTCTTCAATGTTTAGACCACCATCTCCCGGCTCACCGATAAGTGCATCGGCGATAGGCTCAAGCTCCAGAAGAGAGATAATATTGTCCACGTATTTGAGCTTCTCCGACGTCGGAACTTCTTTAGGCTGGCGAAGCTTTGCGGAGAATTCAAGAGCCTCGCGTACAGTAGCCAACGGCTCATGGACATCTTGCTGCATGCAGAAGCCACATGATCGGGAGAATGCGCCTCCAAGTGGCCTACCACCCATTAACATCTGCCCTTCCACGCGTCCAGTTGACTTTCTTTGCGAGATGGTATCCAGCAAGGTAGTTTTCCCAGCTCCGGACGCTCCCATCAACGCGGTAAGCTGTCCAGGCTTAACATACCCACTGACACCATTGAGCAGCTGCTTCTCATCTCCATCAACCTGAACGTAGTAGGACACATCCTTGAATGAAAATGTGCGCTGGGTCATAGTATCTCCCAAATCCTCCTTCGTAGAGACATTTTGCACATCTCCTTTTTCGGCCCTGGTGGCAGACGAACTCGACGAAATGGGCTCTAATGATTCAGCGCATGCTGCATTTTGCTCCATATCATCCTTGGACTTTCCAGATACCGGGTCGCTGGTATCAACTACAGCTCCACGCTTGAAGACCGGACCACCGGTTAAGCCACTTTCGCCAGTCATGATCGTCAGACCAATTGCTGTGAGCACAACATAAAGGAACCACATGACAACAATGATTCCCCAGTTTCGCCAGAGGTGCGACCGGGAGTACTCGTAGACAAGACTGAGATAGGTTGAGCCAGAGACCGTGTCGGATCCTGGAGTACTACCCGCTAATGAGCACCCTTGATACCGCATATCATCATATCCAGGGCCATGGGGGATCATTTGGTCGGCAGTGCATTGCAATGCGATATCGGCAAACTCGTTTCCCATGAGAGCCTCCAATGCCCAGGGAGATGGAGAGATTCTTCTGATCCACGATCCCCACCTGTGCATGGTTGGTACTGGAGGGCCATACCCAGCGTACGTGAGACAGATTGGCATAGCAGTTCCAGCCATAAAGAACGCAATGTTTAGAGATGGGGCCCAGGCTCCAAGCATGCGAAAGAGACTTGAGACTGCAGAGTAGTGGGTGAACAAAACAAGTTCAAAGGTCCAAAAGTCTGACGCGGTTCTGTGCAAACCCAACATGAAGTAATAACAGCACGAGAAGACAACAGATTGAAAGATCGCGACCGGTATATCTGCAATAGTCTGTGCAACCACAAATGCAACAGGATGGATGATGCCAAGTTTGTGTTGTTTTACCAGAATCAATCGTGCGTTAATCGTCGAGGAAACTTCGGCCAACGCATTGAGGAAAAAATAGATTAGCGAGAAGAAAAGGGCGCCGCCTTTTTCGAACGAGCCGGTGGCGGTCTTTGGAGCCATGAAATAGGCCGATCCATTGATGACCGCGTTGACGGCATTCAAGAAGAGAACAATGTAAAGATCTCTCTGGTTCTTCCAAAGCAGCTGGTAATAGCGTCTTGCGGCTACCAAGCTTTGGCTCCATATCGGCATTGGCTGAAGCGAACCATGATAGGTAGCAGAGGATTTCACTCGATGAACTTCGTCTTGGAATGCGGCAAGATCCGTGGTATCGGAAAGAACTCCCTGGCGATAGGTATGTATATCTACTTGGAGCTTTTCATAATACACGCTATTGTGGAAGGCATCAACGAACTGGTCGGGAGTGCTCGGGACAGACCCTTTATGGCCGCGACGGACTACTCGCTCTGAAGGCGCTGTGACTGCGGTCAGGAAGTCGGGGGTGGTCTGTCTGTCCCACATATGAAATCCAAGGTCGAGAAAATGATCCTTCGCATCTTCAGCTTTGCCCGAAAAGATCATCCTGCCTTCATACATCACCAATACTCGATCAAAGCACTGATTATACATAGACTCTGAGGCTTGGTACAGAGTCACAATGTTGGACATCCGGGTCTGGGTAGAAATCTCTTTCAACAACCGCAGGAATTGCAAGGCGGACGAACTATCAAGTCCGCGGATGGGATTGTCCCAGCAGGCAACAGCTGGATTGGTGGCCATTACTTCGGCAAGTGAGACGCGCTTTCTTTCACCACCAGAGACTCCACGGACGAACGAGTTTCCCACAATGGTGTCCTTGGTGTGCATCATACCCAGGCTTCCGAGAAGTCGATCCGTCATTTCGTTCGAGAAGGCCGCATTTTTCTGGTCGATTTGCTTGGCTGGTCTGCGAAGCCGAAGGGCAAAGTCCAGAGTGTGCTTGACTTTGAGGTTTGGATAATGTATGTCGTCTTCAGCGTTGTAGATAACCTCCGATCCGTACTTTCGGGCCATGGTAGGAGCCGATATCGAAGCGTACGATACATCCCCATCAACTTTGACGTAGGAACCCCTTTCATTGGCAATAATCTTGAGGACTGTAGAGCAACCAGAGCCAGGTTGACCCAGAACCAAAAGCGTCTCTCCGGGGAAGACCACACCCGAGACGTCGTGGACAATGGTCTTTGTCGAGAGTCTGTTTCCCGCGAAACGACGGACGAGATCCACTGGCAGGTTGAGAACACTCTCGAAAATGGCAGGCAAATCAAGAACTTGTCTAATTCCTCCTCCTTTGCCGTGTGCGGTGATCTTCTCGAAAACAACTCCTAGGCCGCGGCCTTCGAGTCGATACACAGGTAGATTCTCAATGCCCATCTTGACCATCAATGCCTGAATGGGCAACTTCAGAGACTTGGGACAAGATGAGCTTAGTGATTGATTTGACTTAGTCTTGAGCTTCGAGGGTCAAATCAATATACTCGAGATTGGATGAAAGTGATAGATTGAAAATTGTTCAGCTTCAAGACTATATAGTCTTATGTGCTCGGTGCTGTTAACTAAGGTTCTCTGCTTAGAAGGCGATCTCCGACGAGGTGTGGATCAAAGATGCTCCACACATCTTACCAACTTCAGTAACTCCTTCTGCCATGATCCGAATTTTCTATAAGCCTCAGATACGGTACAGCTGAGAGTTTTACAAATCGCCAGCCCCACTGAGAGACTTCCCAATCCAGTATCTCCGATAGACCCACTTTGCGTTATCAACATCTCCGGTGGCTTTCGGAGACGTGTGTGAACCACGAAGCAGATCCATGTCGACGCAACCCACTTGAAAAGGGAAAAGAAAAAGAAATCTTGCGAGCTCACGGATATGCGGCAAACTTGGTTTTCTGCTTATTTCCATTTTTTTATGTGGCAAGTCGGACAAAAGACCAATGCCAATAGCGCAAAATGCATTTTGCATGGATGGACCTTTGGGGCATAGTACGATAATTACAGGCATAGAAAGATCTCTATCTGTTTAAGAACAACACAATGTTATCTCAATGCATGATTCTAATTGCTCTTGAATACTATCCCTATGAAGATTATCAAAGTTGAGGAGACAAGCTTTCTTATTTTGCAAAGCGGCTCCATTGAGCTCTCGCTTATCACCAAAGAATAATACAAACAAGCAAGACGGAGAGCTGAACAGAGCTCAACACAATATTCAGTCTTTCCCAATCCATGTTTTATGTCCCTACCAGCAAGTTATAATGAGTATATAATCGCAAAGGATATCCAAGAACACCCTCGTAGTACTTACCAGTGCCATCCGGATTAGACCATAGGTACAAGCTAAAATCACTGTCAGCAGAATTTTTCGTGGCAATGTTCGCGTGGCACCAACCCGCAGTGAGAGCATAGGTCGAGATCAAATAGGGCCACATAAGCCAGCCACTTCTGTCGGTCTGTTGTTGAAGAATTGACCATGAGTAAATGCTCTATACCCAAAAGGGACAGAATTTTTCGGGGTTTTTGCCCAAATACTGACTTTCCACCACATACGCTTGCTATCATTTGTTTGGAAGAGCTTCTGGTAATAGGGGACTCGATTATCCCGATAGATAAATCGGAATCTGTGAAGTAAGCATTGTTTACCGCTGCAGGAGACAAGAGAGGAGCAAGAGTCGACTACAAACCTACCTGGAAAGTTGAGGAAGCGTCCGGGTAAACATTGTAGCTCTGGATCCTGATGTGAAAAATTGAAAGGAGGATGAGCAGATAGCTTGGGAGCCTTGAGATGTCCGTTCTGGCATGTTAAATGTCCCTCGGAGACATGCTTGCTTTGGGGGCCTGAGGAAGTCTGCCTAAGTCCGATTTCCCGAGACCGCTTTCTTAAACTCACCAGCAAGGCGTTGAGCCTTCTGTACTTCGTACTTTTAAACCCCTGTGAAAATGATTCAAATGTGATGCACGGTCGAATTGATAAAAATTCATACTCATGTTTTGTTTACCAAAGTCTATGATACAAGGTCCGTCTCGGTGCGAGTCTCCAGCAATGACATACGATGTTCTCATTTTGGGTGGCTCCTACGGTGGCATGTCAGCGCTTTTGACTTTGTTAAGTCTTAAGGATGGCCAAAACATACCGTTGACATCCTACGGCGATTTTTCACATCTGAAGGATGCTCCTCGAATTTCAACTTTGAGATTTACTCTACTTGACAAAAGGGACGGTTTCTGTAGGTTGCATTAGCTCGATCTCACATTTTCCGGATTAAGTTTTACTCATCTGCAGGAACGAATAACTCAGTTCATACCGTCGGTATACCCTTAGCCTGCATTTCTTCCAGGCATGCGAACCAGATGTGGATACGATATTCAGAATTCTCCAGATTGAAAAGGCAGGATGTCAAAATTGTTCAGGGTGCCGCGTTGAAAATAAATACAGACTGCCGGGAAGTGCTCTATACAAACAACGAGGTGACGCAACAGGCATTACGCTTTGACTACCTAATCCTCGCAACGGGTATCTGTCCACAGTGGCCAGTCTCATCGGATACGACCGAGAAAATATCATTTGTTGACGATGTATCGAAATATGCTGAAGACATTCGTGCTGCTCGAGAACGGGGGGTGGCGGTAATTGGAGGTGGTATGTTTTCACTTTGGTGGCTGCCCGTTCTTTAAGACTTTACTAACGACATTTTTGATCCCGCCTTTAGGTGCGGTAGGAGTTGAATTCTCAGGCAAGATAAAGGCGCTCTACCCCGAAGCTCAAGTGACTCTCATTCATTCAGGAGAAGCGCTCCTTTCAAAAGAACCTCTCCCAGAAAGGTTCAAGAGTCGCGTATTTGAGTTACTTCAAGAACAAGGTGTTGATGTTCTACTTTGTGAGCGTCCAACTGTAACTGCCGTTGGAGAAAGAGCATTTCTTGTGAAGCTCAATTCTGGTAGATGCATGTCTGTAGGATCTGTCGTCTGGGCTGCTCTTAAAAGATCCCTCTCAACAGGCTTTGTGCCTCAATCACTTCTCAATGACGATGGAAGTATTAAAATTGATGCTCAGTGGGTTTATCTCCCGACTAAACCCTTTTTTCTGTTGCTCTAGCTGATCTCGGCTCATTCTATGCTTTAGGCAAAGGGTACTGGGTAATCCCAGGGTGTTCAATCGTATATTTGCTGCAGGCGATGTCACTGAAAGGCAGGAAATCAAATTAGCCGGAAGTGCTATGGTTATGGGAGCCGTTGCCGGTGCTAATGCCTACTCCATACTAGTTGCGGAAGAGCAAGGAATAAATGAGCCGATACTAGAAAGCTGCGATAGTTTTTATCTTCAGCCAAGAATGGCTTTGGCTGTGGGAAAGAACATTGTTTGTTATGGAGGCGGAGAAAGTCCTATCTGCGACGGAGAAGAGCTCGCTGAGACATGTTTCGGGCAGGATTTGGGCTGGCAAAGTAAGTTTTGCTGACAATAAATTGATCAGGGCATGGCTTGCTGACTATTCTCGTTGCTCAATTTGAAAGAAGTTTTAACTTCCCTCGGCCTTATTAGGTCCAGTGGAGAAAATGGCTCACTAAGTTGTGTAAACATATAATTTTGAGATACATCAGCATGAACGAGCACACTATATCCCTTTACTCGTTTATTTGTGTCGCTTTTATTCTACTCACTATGCACGTTTACGGCTCAAGCCGGTATATTATAGTAGGGGTATAGTGTTACAAGCCAAGTCTTGATGAAAAAGAGTGCATTCAACTAGAATACTAAACATGGGAAAGAAAGAAAGAAGAAGAAAGAAACAACACGCTGAAACAATTAAGGTAGTGATGCCTGAGGCCTCCAATCAAACAATGTAAAACACGAACTACGAAAGGCGGTGGAACACGGCAGAATCGGTTCAGGATCATTGATCTTTAATTAGACTAAGGACTAGCGTAATATATATCGAGCTTAATTCTAAGATACTCTTTTCCTTTGCTAATAACGTTAAGCTACTAGTTAAGGCCTACTAGTCTCCTCTCTTAGATTAAGACTAAGTATAGTTCTTTATAATCTAATCTACTTCTGTAACGGCGTGGCTGACCCACGGGTTCAATGTGCGTACTGAGTAGTATATGCATCGGTCCCAGGCATGTCAGCCGACGGCTGACATGGTGGTCTTTTTGGCCTAGTTGGTAGACGTGTGTTGCCTGGGCGCATGCCTTCACAACTTCGCCTAAAGAAACCTAAAGCGAAGCCGATTAGGGATAAGATAACCTAGTATCTCAATAGTAATAAGTTATATTCTTATCGTCTTATTTCAATAATCATCTATTACTAATTTTATATAGATATCGTTTATTTTAAGCCGCTACTATTCTAGCGAGAGAATTATAGCCGTTTTCCTATGATTACTTCGCTTACGCGGGATATTCTTATAATTCTAGTAACTAGTATAGGTATAGAACGATTATTTGAAACTACTCGCGATATTTACTATTATCGCCGCGGTCGTATAAAGGCTAAGACTATTAAAGAGTTAACACTATTCCTTTATATATTAAGATTTAATCTTAAATTAGTAAGAATAATCTTAAATTAGTAAGAATGCAGAATTAGAAGAAGAGAACAGAACCGTCTTCAAGGGTTATACTCCGAGCTCTCTGGGTCATCTCATGCTGATTTATTGTCATCTATATCACCATTTGTGCCACTTTGGGATGGTATCTTGCCGGAAAGCATGATTGACGATCTGGGATGGTTCTATCCTGGGGTCCGAGACGCAGGCATGGCCAATTGCCATCAATCTGTAGATATGAACAATGCCGGGAACCAGGATTTCCCTCGCTTCCCTCACTGCAGCCAACCAAATCAGTAGGAGCCAAAACCGATCATTTCAGTATGGATTGCTGGTTGGGAAGCATTACAAATAAATTGCCGAGAGCCCCACCTGACTTCCTATCCTTCTTAATGTCAGTTATAGTGCATAAAGGTCATATTCACTCAATGTATCAAGCCGGGATCCCTTTAAGAAACAAAAGGTTATTCTGCATCAGACTCCTGATTAGCATACAAGCTCAAGAGGTAAAGGAACATATGTCGGTTTGATGATATCCGTATTGTGCCATCAGAGGTCTCTGCTGCCAAGTAAAGTCCAAATTGAGCCCAAAGAGGTGAATTGGCTTTTTTCAAGCGCCTGACCTTTCCATCGGACAGGGACAGCAAGCCAGAGGTAGGAATATGAAAACGAGTGGACTTTCGGTCGAACACGGGCATGTTTGACGACATAGGATGGAACGTGGGCCGGGGAATGCTCTCGCGGTAGACTTGCAGACCTTGTTTATCGTCATCTTGCCACATGACTTTAGACGTACTCGAAAGAGAAAGCCTTTATGGTCTGATTATCCTTATAAAGGGACCCTTACTGAAGGAGAATGGAAAAAGGCAAAGGGGGAAAAAGAAATCCAGGCTTCTTGTAGATTCAAGGAAATAACTTCAACAAATTTCATTGAATTAGTAATCTATCAGGCGAATGATCAAGAATCTTGCACGGTTGTGAAGGTGCATAACGGCGAAAGGCTAAATGCCTGAGTTCATAGTATTGGGGCCTGAAGATGCCTAGAGATGCCTTGTTCCAGACCGCTTTTTAGGTCATCGCAAACGTACCTAGGAGAGTATTTTAGATCGCTAGACCCACATTCTCTATTACAAGAAAAGACTATACATATATTCTCTTTCGGCTCCAATCAGTTCAAAAGTGCCCAAATCCACTTTCAAGCTCTCACCTCGGAGTTCTCTTAGCGAGATAATCTAGAACAGTGTTCAAAATGCCAGAGAAATCAAAAAAGGTAGTCACTTGGGAACAAGCAGGAGCTAGCTCCAACGATGATATATCGCTAGGTGATCGGGTAGCTCGCTGGAGTTCTTTCCTCGGAGAGATAAAATGGTTCAATTTTACCATGTTGGTTTTGATTCCCTTCTGGGCCTTTCTGCAAGTCCAGAGCGTCATCTTTTACCCCAAGACAATGGCACTTTGTTGCTTTTATTATTTTATTACCTTGTGTTCAATTACAGCAGGTAAGTCGTTCTTCAAATTACAGGATCCTTATAACCTTGAAACTAATTGAGGCTCGTAGGATACCATAGACTATGGGCGCATCGTTCATACTCCGCTTCTCCGCTTCTCAAATACCTGCTAGCGGCATTCGGAGCCGGTGCAGTACAAGGATCCATTAAATTTTGGGTCCGAGAACACCGCGCTCATCACCGCTATACGGACACGGATAGAGATCCTTATAACATTCAGAAGGGTTTCTGGCACGCCCATATCTTGTGGGTGCTTGTGAAGCAGCCAAAAAAGAATAATCGCGTGGATATCTCAGACATTATGCATGATCGTATCGTTGTCTGGCAACACAAATACTATTTCATAGCAGCTTTAATCATGGGTTGGGCTCTTCCAGCCCTGGTAGCCGGTCTAGGGTGGAATGATTGGTATGGTGGTTTTCTATATGCTGGCATTCTTCGGTCATTCTTTGTCAACCAGGCTACATTTTGCGTCAATTCCCTCGCTCACTATCTGGGTGAGCAGCCATTTGATGATCGGCGCTCACCTAGAGATCATATCTTGACAGCGATAATCACCATGGGGGAGGGGTATCACAACTACCACCATTCGTTCCCATCAGATTACAGGAATGGAATTGAGTGGTACCATCTCGATCCAACAAAATGGATGATATCTGCCTTAGACTGGGCAGGGCTTGCCTATGATCTTAAACGCTTTCGACAAAACGAGATTGATGTAGGCCGAATTCAGCAGAGCTACAAGAAATTGGAGAAAAAAGGTCGAGACCTAAACTGGGGAACGCCAATTGAGCAGCTTCCTACGATGATATGGAGCGAATATCAGAAACGAGTGGGCGCTGGGGAGTCACTGGTGGTGATCGAGGGTATCGTTCACGATGTCTCAAGCTTTCGCCAGGAACATCCCGGAGGAGAGATAATGATTCGGTCTGCTCTGGGTTCCGATGCGACTGGGCTCTTCAATGGTGCAGTCTATGATCATTCAAGTGCGGCTCGTAACATGTTGGCTACTCTTCGTGTCGCAATTCTGCTAGGTGGCGGCGAGGTAGAGGCCCTCAAATCTCCCCAGATTTCTCCGTCTACTTGATTAGACTTTATAAATCCCAATTCAATTTCTACTTGGGATATTTATGTTCTGTTTGTACCAAGGGAGGCAAATAGGACCAATTTAGTCTCCCACAGGAGGGACCACCTTTACTACTGTGGTAATGGAGCTTTGTTCAGGTAGCTGTCTCCATGAAGTCCAATTGAAGGCTGGAAAAGATGTAATTCCTATCCCACGGGGATGGTTGCCTTGGGCCTGAAGGCTTGTAGGGTCTGACAGTTGGGTATACCCGTGACCAGCAATTTATGAAACCTGTAGAAACTTTTGGCACACTTTCCATGATGTGAATGGCAGCACCGCATGCCATAACACTTCCCCTTCATATTTCACCGTCTATGGAACATCCTGGGATGATTGCATGTTGGCAAGCGCAAAAATTTTCATTTCACAAAGGATAAAAGCAAAGAAGAATACGAAACTGAAGTAATCATGTGGCGATCTGACTAAGAATAATCGCAACACTCATTTCTGACGTTTTTCGAAAGATCAATGAGAAATTTTGACATCACGGAAAGTCATGTACCGAGATCCAGATTCGCCCTCACTCGATTCACTTCATGTATGTTCTTCCCCAAGTCTACCCACATAGCACGATGATCCGGTCCGAAATCCTGTCCTCATAAACTCAAGTTCTCATCACACGCCTGTTCCTTCGATAGATTTTGGCCGACCTTTCTTTTAGGTTAGTAGACTGAACATAGGCCTCGAGGCATTATCAAAGGTACCGGTGGTGTGTCCATTGCTATAATTTCGATCTAATAGCGAAGCGGACAGTACGGAGTCACCTATAAGAGCTTGCGGTGGAACGGTTTCTGTCAGGTACAAAGTTTCTCACAGAATCGCTTGATTCGATGTGGATTCATTAAACCTTGGAAACCGAATCCAAGAGCCAGGTACATTCCGTGGTTCGTGTTATGGGTCGGGAGGGATTGACCCACTTGCGGGCTGTGCCGTAGAAATGTATACTCATGCCCCGCACTTGTCACCGTGGCAGGAAATAATTTTCTAGAGTAAAGGTAGACTGATGTACTGATTTGGCCTCAATGGGACTCAGAGAATTGATACAAATGTCCTATGTTTCTTGGTGAGAGGCTGTCAATTGCCAAGTGCTGTATCCAGACGGTGTGCATAACTCTCAGCTGCCTTTCTAAGAGCTAAGCCGCCATAAGGAGAACCTCTGTTTGAACTGATTAGACCGCCGGTCACTAAGATATACAGATATAGTTATGACTAGATTCATTGATATCAAAATTTATCTTATTTTGGTGTCATTTCAATTCAATCACAGTTGCTTTCAAACAGACATACTGCAATCAAGCTCTATATGAAATCAAGTCTTCCTAATTACTCTGTGATCATTCTTCAGACGACTTGCTGAATGCGTAATGAGCCACCTCAACGCCGGTGTGGTTGTTCTCCATCAACCAGTGGATATTTTCTGGGAATAGTGGGGTGGACTTAAAGTCATTGTGCGCTTTGACACTTTTCCATCCAATGAAGGCGGTAAAGCGTCGACTGGGCACCCCGTCATGGTCGAATTCGATTTGTCCCCAACCAGCAACGAGATCTCCGTCGGCTTCGGGGGCCTGATTGCTGATAGATTTGCGAACCTGTGAGAAGCCATACTCCACCTTGTCCATCTTTTCTTTGTTTATTTGGCTGGTTGGGTGAATCCAAGATACAAGTTCAACCACATTGGCACCCAGCGCCGCGTCGACGACCTCCGAAAAAAGGACAATGTCTTCGTATAGCGGCCCGGCGGCAATTGATTTGATTTTGCTCATCCATGCTGTGCTTTCTGTCGATGCTGCCCACTTTTTCTGCGCATCATATGACTTCCAAGCTATATCCATATTTTCCTACGGTTAGTCGCGCACATATTGCAACGCACGGGATTGTCACCATCCGCAGCAAAAGATAGCTATTACTCACTGATAGCTAGACCTTGAGTATTTTCGTCTTCGTGTTGTGGAGCCCATAGCACCTTCGTGGTACCATTGACAGCTTGGATGTTGGCGACCAAGCTCGTCCAAGATGGCTGGATGCTGTCGAGGCGGCCACCTAATGGAACTTGCAGTAGTTGAATGCAGTGCATATTGAATAGATAAAGACGCCAAAAATTGATATTAATGAGAGATGAACGATACTTTGTTGGTTTAACAGAATAAGAAGGAATCGGTTTTATGTCATTTGCCTGGGATGTAACCCTACCCCTGTAACTGAATTTGTGTGTGGACATTGAGGTCAGCCCCTCTCTCCTTTCAGCAATTTTAGTCACATTTATTGGAGTAGTTTGGCATTTGTTTTGCCTTCCCATGTAGCTGTCATCTTATTTTGCCAGTTTTATCTTACCTAAGCAAAATGTAGCTTGAACCCTTTGCCAAACCCAAAACCAGGCCATCATATTCCATGAAAGTATTATCAAGCATTTATTAGGCCCGGACTTTAATTCGAATACAAGTTCATGTAGCCGTACCAGGCTCACTAGGCCTTATTAATAAGCAATGAACCTCCCCGAGGTCGCGTTTTCGCGATTTTTCACAATAAAGACATCATGTTGCCCGTGCCACACAAATTACCATACAAATTATAACCAAACGCAATATGCCCACTACCCATCCTCAAAGACCTACCAATAGCTATAATTATGGTTTAGGGTCTAACAATGGTTTGGCCCCTACCCCTGACCCCTAACCCTGGCCATGTTCATTCTCTCCCTAGAGCCCTAGGGCTGCCTGTGGCGATGCACCTGTTACCCCTCCCCCGCCCCGCAGGTCTGGCACTTTAAAGAAGAAGACGACATTTTGGTGCTAGAAATTGCATGCTATTATAAAGTTCGATTCGGAGATCTCTCCAGCAACCTGCATTATATACTAAAATCACGGAAGAGCGGAAACGGCACACCAATCGCCCAATTCACCATTCAAACTGTTTTTGAATATATTGAAGCCTGACATCAATGATGTAAAGCGATAGTAGCGACACCAGAGACTAAGAGGGTGAAACAATCCGTTATCGAAGATGCTATATTCTATGCCTGCGAAGTTATATATGAAGGTTGTCAAGCACATGAAGCGGAGAATGCTATTACAGAGGCATATTATAGCCCGACATAGACCGGCAGTTAGCTCCGAAGCAGTTCGCTCCGAAGTATTGCGTTGGTAAGGGCTGAAACGAGCTCGAAACATCGAGCCAAATGCTAATAATCCCGATGACGAAAATGGTTCGTTAACCCCCTTTTTCGCTAGTATTACTAGTAACTCGCTCATATTCGTATAGAAATTCTCTCCCCTGCCAAACGACTATAATTAATCTCAGTCTTATCTCCAAATTCAGGTTCTACCTCCCCGTTTTCCAACCAAATGCCATTTCCACCTATGCATATGCAGCTAGAGATTTTATCTATTCTTCGAGAAATAGATAGCAAGATCTATGGCCCTGCCCTTGCCCATGGCCATGCTCATGGGTTAGGAACTGCCAATGGTTCTTTTTTTGACGGCTATATATGGGCCGTACTTGTAGTGGTTGCTATCTATCTGCCCCAAAACGAGCCATATCAGCTACATAAGACTATGTACTACGCTTCATTGGCGACGGAGAAAAGAAAGTTCGCATGAAACATATCCGAAATTGCAAGTTGTACATAGCTGTCAGGTGAACAGTATGAACATTGTCACTTGGGCACCAGCACGTTTCAAGAAGCCTCTCGCACGGGCCTGGTTTTGATGAAGCTATCAGCGACAATAGGAAGCACCACGAATGTGATCTTCATTGGACACATGTTCCTAGGAAAGCGAGTGTACGAGCTTGTAAATAGTAAGCGGTTAATTGCTCTAGAACCGCACCTTATCTGTCAGGATGTTATCACGAGAAATTAAGAGTTGCAGAAATATATAATCAAAGTTGGTGATTCAGCCCACTTTGGTAGATGCTTTTATTCGGACAAACTAAAGCTTGATAAGCTAATAATTCAGTGAGTTTTGATAATTACTTTGAGTCTATTAAGTAATGTTTAGTAGGAGTATTAGCGTGTCAGAAAGATGCGGCATTAACATCTACTCGGCCATTGATATTCATTTTTGATTGGCTTTTTCTATTTCATCACCTTCTACTATTATGCCCAATGTGCAAAAAATCATCAAGCGATTGATAAATAACTACTCGGTTGATCTTATTTTAGAGCTAACTCGAGCAGAGTACTCATTATTAGCCTCGGCCTTCCAAGGCTCAACCAGACTCCCTAGATCAGATATTAGTTTCATGTTAGCCAGAAGAAATGCGGTAGACCAGAAGAAGATTATATTAGACAGCTTTAGTTCCCCCTCGCTTTGATAGCTATCTAGGCTCGTCTCTCACGTCTAATTGTACAGTTTTCATGATTCGTAGCCCTTGCATACCCTCCGATGATTCGATAATGGGGTCTTCTTCTCGTTCCCAGCCCTTTACTCCTCGCTCTGTTCTCACACCACGAGAGACTTTGCGAGAATGTGTTTGCGACTGAGAATCATTCGGCGCAGAACTTCTTGACCGGGAATCAGTTTTTGACGGCCCCCGATATGTGTATGTTAACCCCATATCATCTTCGTAGACTGCAATGAAGGACTTGAGGAAGGCCGTCAAGTGGCAGCTGGCACTTAGCCCTATGTATATCTCCGTTGAGACCGTGGCGTAGGACCCGATGAGAGTTGGATCGTTTGAGGAGAGTTGTACCAGGATGAAGTGTAGACGAACTGCCGCGAGGGGAATGAGCCTAATCAATGATGATGTCAATAAAAGAGTTCCTAAACCACTCATTTAGTAAATGGACGTACAGCATCCGACTCTCGAGAGCGCAAAACACGATGATCTTTTTCTTTGTCGAGATCCTGACTTGATGGATTGCAAGTGCCGCATACACAAGAAGTGAAATCTCAGTAGCAATGTCGAGGGCAGTAATGACTTCCCAGCGGGGAGCCTGTAGCCTGGTTAGTGTTTAAACTCATATGCGATAGGGGCAAGCCATACCAATCCACTGCACTTGGCGGCACTGATGTCGAACCAGGGATTAGAAGAACACCGAATTCCTAACAGCAATGCGCATAGTATGGTCCACGCGACCATTACCCGGAGAATGATGTAGGAAATTCGCCGGTGTGTGTGGGAGAATAGGCCCTCATAGAAAAAGCAGGTTGTTATCTTTGAAAGGCCGAGCACAACAATGGTAAAGATATCGGCAGCATAACCTATCTTCGTAATGTTCAATATCCTACAATATTTAATTTCTTGCACAATGCCTTACCTTTAACATTTGCAATTTGCTCGTGGTGTCGATGCCATCGATAGGAGTTCCCCACCCATAGTGGACCTGGCAAAACACGATTATAATCTGGATGATTGCTGCAAGCTACTTAATTTGTCAGTCCAGAGGCAAGAAGCACAAGCGTTGTCATTTCATAATGGGGGTGGATAGTACTGTACCACGAGAGCCCAATATGTGTAATCATCTCGCTGCAGTCTATTCTTACTGAACGAAGAGAAGGTGCGTGCAGCGAGAGAAAGTAGAACCAGACACAAGTTGATCGCGGTGATCACCACAACCAGCCCACTATGGTTATGGTCATTATCTGTCGTATAAGGAGCGCTCACGCCCGTAGGCCATGTTGTCAAAACAGTCGACATGGCAAGCTAGGCGCCGAGTAAGAATCAACGGAAATGAATAACTGTGACCAGAAATTCTTTTCACATTTGCATCATGAGAGAGAGGATTGAAGGCATTTTCAATTATTGAATCGGGACCGAAACATAAAACATCAAATTGGAACGTTATAGGGGCCGAATGAGCTTGGGGCCGACAGATTAAAAAAATTTCTCAGGCGATCGACCCTTATTCGCCATAGTTAGCTGCAGGATTGATTAAGTTGACGCGATGACGACTCTTAGTGTGCTGCAGGAGCACCGAGCTTGACTAGGGTGTTCATGCGGGATCCTCGAATGGGTAGACATTTGGGCCGAATAGTCGAAAGGAGTCCTACGGCGACCAATTCCTATTTGCCACTCGGTATGAATGCAGAATTATTAGGTCGACGATAGGAGGCGTTCTAGAGCGCCACAGTAGTACCGAACGTGGCCGGGCGTTGATGGGAAACAACCGACTTGATCGGGTTTGCAGGGATTGTCTTGCCGAGCCATACATATTAACACTCTGAGTAGAGCAAAAAGGAGTAAATGCCGTCAATTAGTTAGGATTTAACTTCCTCATTTAAAAGAGGCGTCGCTTCCAATTCCTTCAAAAAATCCATGCAGCTTCTAAATTGGCTTTGACTTGTTTGCCGACCCGTGCCACTTTTTGTGATGAACTACAACACATAGATTTACTCCGTACGAACGATGAAAATTAAGCCGAAAAAATGTTTTTAGATGCACGGAGCCATAAGTACACCCCGAGTGAAACTAAGCATGCGGCCCCCTGCGGAGAACATCATATGAGATTCGGCAAGGCCCATATTAAGATCTTGGCGGACATTGGTTACCTTTTACTTTTTACTGTCTTTATGTGACAACCAATAGTATCATTGTTACTTTGTGGCCATATATTCCCCACTTAGTAAAGACACGAAGGATTTTGATCCTTGTAGTTCTCGCCTAGTGCCGCACGAACTGCTTTCTTTGAAACGAAAGCCGCTCTAGGCCCGCGATAACGATTACCAAACTAAGTTACAATATTTTACAATTTATGATTTTCAAAGTGAAACATGCACACTAATTAGCCAAAACGGAAGTCCTAAAAGTCTTGGAATGCTTCGCGTCGCTTCGCGTGCTTTTCCCGTTCCCCTCGGTGGGGCTACACTGGCACGGGCCACGAGAAAATACATTGTGACAATATATGAAGGGATCCATTCCTTTTACGGGTATTCTGGCCCTACATCGAGGGAGATTTGTTTTAATACTTTACTCCCTCGGCCCCTTAACCCCTGTAAAACCCAATTCTACCTCTGTCATTTTTCTTCATCTCGATTGGTGTTCATCCGATCATGGAAACCTCAATCAAAGCGACCGCGTTGGAGACGCTGGACATGGGTGTAGATCATAAGGATACAAGGGCCTCTCAGCAAGGCGGGACAGCACAGGATGAGAATGAGATGCAGCGCATGGGGAAAATCCAAGAGTTCAAGGTTTGCTTTTACTCCCTTTTGCAGGCATCCAGTCACGTCGATAGCTAATGTGTGCGACGTCAATTAGAGAAACATGCGACCTCTTGCGGCATTGAGCTTTGCATCAGTCTTGCAAGCCACGTGGGAATATCTGATCATGTGAGTCGATCAGAATATCTCTTCTCTAAGCAACAGGGATACAGGACAAACAAGCTAACTCCTTCCAGTTCAGACTACCAGGGATTGGAGAACGGTGGCCTAGCAGGCATGTTCTGGTCATATATTTGGACCTTTATCGGATTCGGATTCATCATTGCCTCGTTGTCGGAAATGGCTTCGATTGCGCCTACCGATGGAGGCCAATACCACTGGGTATCGGAGTTTGCTTCGCCTCGATACCAGAAATTCCTCAGCTACATCACTGGCTGGATGTCCGTGCTGGCATGGCAAGCTGGAACAGCTTCTGGATCCTTCCTCACCGGTACCATCATACAGGGATTGATCAGTGTTCGGAATCCGGATTACGATCCTAAAGGCTGGCAAGGCACTCTACTTGTGTTCTCAATGGTTCTGGTGTCATACGTTTTCAATGTCTATGCGGCAGACCTGATGCCAATCTTGAGTAACATCTTGATGATTCTTCACGTTCTCTGCTGGGCAGTGATTTTGATCGTCCTGTGGGCTATGTCTCCTCACCGAACTGCGGAAGCTGTTTTCGTCACGGATTGGCAAAATCTAGGAGGGTTACCTACAATGGGATTGAGTGTGATGGTTGGACAAATCTCAGCTATCTACGGCTGTCTTAGTAAGTCTTACTTATCTTCCAAGGATATCTATACAGAGAGAAGTCTGTGGAAAAGAGACTAACTAGCCCTCAGGTTCCGATGCTTGTGCGCATATGTCGGAAGAAATTAAAGACGCCGGCCGGAACGTACCACGGGCTATGGCTTGGGGATATTTTATCAACGGAATTATGGCTGCAATCTTGCTCATTGCCTACCTCTTCGCCACCCCATCCGTCGAGGATTCTCTTAACGACCCTACCGGGTTCCCATTCCTCTACGTGTTCAAGCAGGCCACCAACACGGCAGGCGTTAACGGATTAACAGCTATCATCTTGTTGCCTGTTATTTTCAGCAACATCATGTTCAATGCCTCCACCTCTCGCCAAACTTGGGCTTTTGCTCGTGACAAGGGTCTTCCCTGCTCGCGTTGGATTTCAAAAATTGACCCCAAGCGCAAGATTCCGGTCAATGCTATCGCCCTCTCCTGCATAATCAGTTGCGTGCTTTCTCTGATCAACATCGGCTCTGACACTGCGTTCAACGCTATCATCTCTCTCAACACTGCTGCATTGATGTACACATACGTGATCTCCATGACCTGTATGATCTGGCGAAAGATCTGGCATCCTGATACCCTGCCTACTCGTCGGTGGAATATGAGCCGGAACTGGGGTTTGGCTGTGAACATAATTGGTCTATTGTACTCCGTTTTCGCGATGTTTTGGTCATTCTGGCCCGGTGAGCTGCCGGTAACCGCTGAAAATTTCAACTGGAGTGTCGTGATCTTTGGGGCGGTTTTTATTATCAGTCTCATCATGTATGTCGTCAAGGGACGGAAAGAGTATTCTGGCCCCGCTGTGGATGTCAAGCATGAGGACTAGCTTGGTGTATAGCTGACCCATCTTATGACCTGGGTCCTGTTTTTTTAGAAAATATTCCTAGTTACTTTTACCTATGTACCTACCACAAATTTTAATGGCCGTAAGATCGCCACATTCGGTGTTCGTGAGGCATGCCTTGATTATTCTGAGTATAGTAGTTTGTACCATTATACATGCATGGGACATATTACGGTGTGAAACAGATACCCATAACTATATAACTTACCTACCTGTACTATCTAAGAATTCTTAGAAAGCGTATAAAATGTCTTCTTTGCCTTTACAAGGTGTACACTATGTCAGTTACGTGACCACTTGAGCTCATATTGAAAACCTTGGAACATCTTGTTAGGAGAAACACAAAGCGCCCCAATGGCAAAGTGCTTGTAGGGAACCCTCAAGCTTTCTACGGCACTACGGAGGCCCATAAAGTGCTCTTGCAGAACGTCCCCATCGCATCCTCTCAAGAGAGCCCTTGGCTCGTCCCCGTGTCCTGATTCTTGGCCAGAACACAAGCCCTTTCTTCAATTCTTCACGGTTAAAGTCCCTGGTATGCATAAGCCTCTCTTGATAATATTGAAAATGCGAAAAAGATATCTCACGCGGTGGCGGATCGCTGTCCCAAATTGGGTACAAATTCACTATCTCATCGTCTTTCGCTCAATCCCCTCTTCCTCCTGTGCTTCTTTTTTCAAATTGAGACCTGCAGCTTTGCCTGCATGGTTTAAATCCGGGTTGTATTTTCCATACAAGTTTGAGAGGCTGAGATTCTCCAGCCTTGGTAATTGCTCTATTCGAGAAAATATCGGTGTCCACGACCCGGTGGTCAAAGTGTACTGATGTAACGTGAAAGAGCGAAGGCCAGGATGCTTCTGAAGAAAGAGGACAATCGGCTCCCCTTTCGCCATAAACCCAGAAAGTGCACATGTTTCCAGTGCCGGGAAGTGGGTTTCATAGGCGAGACTTTCAATGATCCGCTCGTAGTTATCCAACTCGCCTTTTGCTTGGGTCGTGCGGAAAGATAAATGTAGGTCTCGAAGAGCGGGCGCAGACTTGAGCAAGGACGTAATTCCCGGTGTGCTTTGAGCCAGCACTTCACGAGGATCCTCACATGATGAACGCTCCTCCGGTATTGCTTTGCACTCACTTTCCGAGTCTTCAATTGATTCGGCAATGTCCAGCTCGTTCTGTATCTCCCCTGACATACTCAGCTCAAATGATTCTAGGCTCTTGCCTAGTCTGCTTAGTTGTTCTGGGCTAAGAGCCGATGCATGGGTGGTGATATGACTGGATGGAATACAACATCTAGGAGTAGTGCGATACACATCGAGTTTCCTCACCGAGGCTTCGCTCTGCGCAATCGCTGTGATAATCAAAGAAAATACGTGTGAGGCTCGCATCCAGAGCGGGTGCCACGCCCCTTTCCCGTCCCGAGTTGATTCTCTGTGGGTACTCGTGAGAGCACCATCTAAGCGGATAGAACACAAGTGATCAAATCATCTGAGCGAAAGTTGGAGGAGTTCTAGTAATACGCTCGACGACTCTATGACTCTTGCTCTTTGCTGTTCTCTCAAGAGCTCTAGATTGGACTTTGCATTCAAAAGCTCCTCGGGGGAATAAGGAACCGTCGTCTTTACAAACATAGGCCCATTGGATTCCACCACAGTGCGATGTTCAGATTCCACATTTTCCTCTAATTCGGAAGAATCTAGACTTGTGGCAAGGAAGGTTATTGAATAGATTGTCTTGCTGAGGGCAGGATTGCAAGACAAGGCACAAAGAGAACGAAGATTCTGTGACGATACATCGCAAATGGGTTGCTGAATGAAGCACAAAAAGCGGGGTCCGATGCAACTTCAAGCGAGCTTTCGGTCCGTTAAAAGAAGAGACTCGATAGTGTTGATATCCAATTGTGTAAGGACTATTTCGAAGATTTCCGGAGGCAGTGTAGTCCAGTCCATGATGGTCGAGTTTCGATCTGTGTTGAATTTTCCCATGGGCAGGAAGGGTAAGCTGGGTTAGCTGTATTAGCTTTGGAGGTCAGCTTTGGGGCCAGCAAGCTAATAAGCGAGTGTGTCTCAAATGTTTGCCTAGCGGGAAACCTGATTTCGGACATGTTCTAAGGATCATTGTAAATGACTGTACATTTCTGCAAAAGAAGGATGAAACCTTTGAAATCCCAATGTTTGCATTGTTTATGACCCAGCCTTAATGGGTTTGATCCTGACTAAATCCAAATCGGACTAAGGACGGTTTCGTTGATTAATCTATAATCTAGTAGAGGATCATGTGATACCTGTAAGATACAGGGTGTTACAAGCAGCTAGCTTCTCTAATTTTCTCGTCCTTGTCTTTTCCCCATGCGCGTTTGTCGATAGCTTGATACCATGCTAGATCCCTCAAACTCTTATCATTCCCTGCTTGCAGCTATCTCATGAGTATGCAATCCGATAATCCCGCCCAATCGCCTGCCCTCGCGATCCCAGAGATCGTGAATTCAATCCTGCACCAAATGGACATGCGCACACTGATCACCGCCAAAGCATCTTCTGTACATGGAACAACCTAATCTGCAACACGTAGTGGTTGCAGGAGGCTCTCTTTTTTCAACCAATCAGTCATGGCCTCAACACGCACACTCGAGTTCACAACCCGCTGCTATCAGAAGTTTTTCCATCTAGCTTTCCTTCGAGAGACCCTAAATATGCAGATGCTACCAGCCAGGTCAGTCACAGAAAAGAGATCTGCCTCACCAATCTTGCCTGGGAAAAGAGCTCGGCTGTTCGAGAGATATTCATTCACCCTGAGGCCAGCTGGCGTCGCATGCTCACGCATCAAACGGCCTTTCACCGGGTTGGGAACCCATTTGCAGCGGCTCGCCTTATGGCTTTAGCTGGAGTCTGCTAAAATAACCCAGAAATACGGACTTCATATGGCGCCTCTGTTTGAATGGCTTATTGGCCGTATCTCGTCACACTGAACTCACAGAACCTTGATCTCATTTTTTTTCCGGCATATTTGCTCATCAGTGCTGTTAATCAGCCTGGGTCCGGGCTTGGGGGACGACGTAGTCTGGCTCGGAGACAAATGATAGGAGAGTTTGGTCTTTCGCTAGATATTTTTGCCAGAGATAGACTCGAGTTCGAACTGGGCAGACGAGGATGATGATGAGGAGAAGAAGAAGGGCGATGAAATTCCGGTACTAATCTAACTGTCTGGAAAAAGATTTGTCAGTGTTATCATGAGTTGGAGTTGACGATGGATGGATTACAGATGGTGAAGTATAACGAGAAGCGAGCGTAGTAATAGCGATAAATCGTGATATGATTTTGCAACAAGTGTCAATATGTACCTTTCTTGATAGCCTAAAAGCTTGTCATATGGTATCTGGCCACTATCTAGAGTTTAGGGGGATTTGATGAACAGGTGACTAGGATACATGTATGTATGTATATCTATTACCGAGGTGAGCAATGTATTTTTTTGATACCATGACAATATACGATTTCAATTGATGATTGTGGTGTTACATCTCGAGAATAAAACCTTGAATCAAAACGCAGGGAAAACAAAAAATTGTCCATATTCAGATGACACCAGACACCGGGGTATCTTCCTTGTCCCGAAAAGCAACCGCCCATGCAGAATGAAAGAAAAATCGTGCGAGAAATTCAGATAGATAAACTCATGTCATTGTCACATCCTCAGCCGGGGTGGCGGCAGTAGAGGGCACAGCAGATGCGTCAGCATCAGCATCAGCCATAGCATTGTCGCCATCTGCATCATTCATAGGAGTGTCGTGATTTCCATGCGACTCGGGGGTAGGGGTAGAATCATCGTTTTCCTCAGTGGAGTTTTCGTCTACCTCCTCCCACAGGCGAACGGTCTTATCATCCCCGCAGCTCACTACCAAGCGCTTTCCATTCAATTTACCCGTATGAACAGATAGCACAGTATTCTCATGACCTTCGAGGCGTTGCAGGATCTTTTTGCTCACAATGTCCCAGAACACGATGGCTCCATCCTCACTGCCACTCACGGCAAAACACGGAGGTGTGCCATAGTTCGTATCCGGGGACCCATAAAGACCAAATGATCCAGACAAGCTGTATTTGGTATTGACATGGCCCTGGAAGGTTTTGAGAACGCGGCTCTCGACGTAATTCCACATCCGAATACAGCCATCCAGGGTCCAAGCCAAGACATATTTGCCGTTAGGGGAGAACTTCACACAAGTCGCTGGCGGGTTGTCTTCCATGACCAGGGTGCGTAAACACTGGCCGCTGTGGGTGTCCCAGATACGGATTAGGCCATCCAAGGCGCATGATGCAATAAGAGTTCCGTCATGCACAACATCAATACCGGCGACTGGATCAGAATGAGCTGGTAGGGAACGCATCACGCGGGCTCTGCGCACATCCCACATGAACACGGCCTCATCGTAGGAACCACTAACAAGGATGTTACCCTTCGGTGCAAAGGCGATTTGGTAGACGTAGTTGTGGTGGCCATCGAAGATCTTGGGGTGTGCTTTAAGCTGCAAGGTGGTGTAAGCAGGATATTCTGGACAGGAAGCGGACAGAGACTCTTACAGTGTTCACATTCCAAAAACGAATAGTCTTATCGTCAGAACCCGTGGCAATCCATTCGCCTCCAGGTGCCCAAGCAAGAGTCGAGATACCAGCAAGATGTCCCTCGAAAGTATGAATGAGTCTGCCGCTGGCAGTGTCCCAAACCTTTATTGCCGCATCAGCACCTGTTTATTATTGTCAGTGATCCTTTTATTCAATTGCTTGGAAGTTTGAGCATGGAACATACCAGCACTGGCTATCATAGTACAGTCCGGTGAGAATTGAACTTGAGACACACTGCGCAGATGCCCATGCAGGACAAACTTTTGCTTATAATTTAGATGGTCGGGCGGAGGAGGCGGCGGTGGAGGAAGGGGAGTAGAGGAGCGAGCGGACCAATCGTCGGCATCGCAAGCCTGATCGCGTGGACCCGAACTATCACGGATAGTGCCATCTGACCCGCATTGGGAACCGTCACGACTGCTGGTGCGGATTATGGGTGAAGGGCTTCGATGACGGTTGTGTTTGCGCGAGGAACGCCAATATTCGCCAGCATCAACAGCTAGTTCATCGGGGCTCTCGGAATCGCTATAGTGACGGCCGGATTTTTTTGGTCGTTGAGGAGTGAAGCCCTTCTGCAAAGTCCAGCTAGCTCGGCGGCGTTCAGCTTCATCGTGCTCGGAGCCTGCGGCGAGCTCATCGGAAGACGACTCAACGGGGGATAGGTCGCGAGGCTCCCGCCGGCGAGGCTGGGAGTTGGAATGACTCATTCGATTAAGCAACGCACAGAAGCATCCAAACAAATGGTTGCCAATGCGCCGAGATTGTGTTGACAAGTTATTTCTATCGATGCGACGGGAAAATCAGTGAACGCGTCGGGCGGTGTGTCAAGGCGGTGAGATAGGCTGCGTCATCTCTGTAGCAGTCAAATTTTGTAAATATTTTATACAAACATGGATTATCTAAATTTGGAAATTTGAATTGTGAAAATGGTATGAAGCTCTCATTGAAAACCTTAGACACGATGTACAAATAAGACTGGATATGCCTTGCTCAGCCTGATCTATAGCTGATAGCTTTCTTGAACGGTATTCAAGTGTTTGTACAATCGAGGAACATAGACTATTTCAAAACAAGTTCAGAGCCGAGGAACTCCAAGCTGAGACTTCACCTAACTAAAAAAGAAAAGAGACTCATAGGCTTGTACTTGAAATGTGCTAAAAATCAGAACAATATTTCGATATATACACAGCATCACATGACCGTCACGTATGGACCAAAAAATTACATCATGTCTGTCCGATCAACAACTCTACACATTACACTTGGGACCGCCAGTGAAGCCAATTTCAATCAAAATTTGGCCCTATGGCCTCTTCAATTCCCACCGAAGCTCCGACCGATATCCGCATCCTCGCACTCAACTGCTGGGGTCTGAAATACATCGCCAAGTACCGCCATGAACGCATGTCGGAGATCGGGCGTCAGCTGGCATTAGCCAACCCGTCGCCAGAGATAGTGGGACTACAAGAATGCTGGACACAAAAGGACTACGAAAGCATCCGTGACCAAACCCGACACATACTACCATATGGAAAGTTCTATTATGGAGGAATATTTGGCGCAGGATTGGCGATTCTGTCAAAATGGCCGATTGAGGAGAGCAGCATGTTCGGATACCCGTTGAACGGCCGGCCGACAGCGTTCTTCCGAGGAGACTGGTTCGTGGGCAAAGGTGTTGCCAGCGCAAGGGTCAGATTTGGCCCTGGTTCTGCAGATGTGGCAGAGGTGTTCTGTACACATTTACACGCCCCGTATGAGCGCGAACCAAACGACTCCTATATCTGCCACCGAACCGCGCAGGCATGGGAGATCTCCAAGTTAATGCGCGGCGCTGCTGAGCGCGGCCATCTAGTCATAGGCCTTGGCGATTTCAATATGCTGCCTTCTTCATTCGCCCACCGGCTGATCACAGCCCAGAGCCCTGTCCGCGACGCCTGGCGCGAGCTGCACCCCGACTCTTCACTCGCGGCAGCAATCGACCCGGTTGAACAGGCTCGGAACCGGCCTATTCCCACGGCGGAGTTCAATCTTTCCGAGAACGGAGCTACCTGTGACGGGTCATTCAACACATGGCGCTGGTCTGAGAATATGCGCAAGCGTCTAGAGAAGGGCGAGGACATCGTCATCGAAAACGACACCCCAGATCCCCGTGGTAAACGTCTGGACTATATCTTCGTCGGCGATGGTGGCTACCCGCCTGCCTTCCCACCGTCTCGTTGGTCAGTCGAGTCTGTCCAAGTTTCTATGACACAACGCCACCCCACTCTCCTTTGTTCTTTGAGCGATCACTTTGCCGTCGAAGCTGTCATTACCCGATCCCCTGCGAGGTCGACATACCCTCCTTCCCACCCTGACTCTGCCCCAGCTTCTCCCGACTGCCCCACTCTTCATACAACAACTTCAAAGCAAGTCTCCCCCAACGCGGCCTTGTCTCCCGAAACATACGACCACATAATTGAGATGACTCACAAGTACGTATACCGTGAGCGCTCTCAGCGCCGCTGGCGTCTTGCGCATTTCATAGCGTCTATTGTGATTTCAATTGGTTGCATGGTCGGCGTGTGGTGGATTGGTAACCGTACCTACATCGGGTTCTTGCTTATCCTGATCAGCACTCTGAACTTTGCTGCTGGAGTCTTGGACGGTCTGATCGGTGGATTATTCATGTCTAGTGAGCTGCGTGCTTTGAAAGAGTTCGAGTGGGAGGTGAGAAACGCACGAAGTTTGGTGGTTGCTGCTGAGAGCGGTGCTGGTGCTGTTTCAAAAGAAACGGAGAGAGATGACAAGGATTGTTGATCTGGATTCGCTTGGCGAAAGCCCGAACTAAGTGACACACTAAGATTTGTTGTTCGCTGTTACTATTTTGATTAAGAAGTGTAATATAACCATAATTATGTCCTATAATAATATATTCCAACTAGTTTTACGATTAGCACTTGAGAACAAACTTATAATCAATGTCTACAGGTACGTATCAAACGTCTACAAATTGCACGGTAGAAAAGAAGTGCACAAAACGAGGGTAGTGCATTTAGTAAACAATCATCATCATAAGAGCCGAGTCAACTTTCACTAATTTCGTGGCGGTCAACAAAAAACGAGTAAGTGAATAAGACAAACTGGTTGAACACGAGAGAGTACGAAGTTACTCAGCACACTCGCGCTTGCGGGTCTCATAGACACGCAAAGTCTCCTCAGCCGCCTTGACACCACTCATAACCATAGCGCCAAAGGTAGGGCCCATACGGTTGAAGCCGTCAATCTCAGACAGCTCCATACCACCGATGATGAGACCCTTGGCAACCTCACGAGTGTTCTTAACAATGGCATCCTCGGCAGCGTTCATGTCAAGACCGCGCATACCACCAAGCTTCTCAATGGCGCTCATAGAGACAAGACGCTTGGCGCAGAAGGCACCGAATGGCCCGTCATGGCCAGTGGTGCTGACAATGATGGGGGCATTGATAGTGTTGGGGTCCATGCAGGAGTGATCGTCGTGGTGGAGGGTGACGAGAGTCCAGTTGACGACAACACCGGCGAGACGGACGCTGTCGCCGTCCGGGCGGGTGATGAGGTCCTCGACACAGGTTGCGTTGAAGAGCTTCACGTTGGGGAAGGCGAGGACCTTCGACAAGAGAGTCGAAGTGAACTGTGCGGCGTGCTTGACCACGACGAAGTTCGGGTTCGAGGGCTCCTCCTCGAAGGGAACGCCGAGCTCAGTCAGGAAGGCGTCCGCAGGGCGGCGGAGGACCATTGCGCTGAAGAGCTGGCCACCGAGCCAAGCACCACCTCCTATTGGGTTTGTTAGTGGATGTCCGAGATGATTATCTACAGGTCTGCTCCCACAGGGAACACTAACCGGGTGACACGGAGGCCTCCAGGATGGCAATCTTCAGGTCCGGGCGGGCCTTGGCCAGCACATAGGCAGTGCTCAGACCACAGGAGCCGGCGCCGACGATGACAACATCGCTCTCGGCGTAGGTGTCCAGGTCCTGGAAGTACCGACGGGTCATGGCGCGAGAGACCTGGCTCTCGCGGATGGGGGCGAACTTGAACTCATCCCATTTGCCACCGAACTGCTCCAAAAGCTTGGACTGGCCCTGGCCGGTCAGGGTGGTGGTCACAGACTCAGGGACGATGACCTTGCCTTTGATGCCGGTAGGGGCAACAGTAGCAGACTCAAACATGGCAGCAGGAGGAGACATAATGGGTTAGGGATCAAGTTGATAGGTTGACTTCAGTTTCTTGGTTAGTTTGGCAACTCGACATTTGGAAAGGAGTAGGGGAGGGCATGATCCTTTCGCTGGTATTATCCAGATCAAGTTGAAAGCCGTATAATCTCAGAATGAACTCGCATCAATGATGAAGCTGTTGTTTTAGATGAGGACATCCAGACAATAGAGACACCACCAATATGAGAACAAACACCGGCTCACACCCAGAAGTTACCTGAGATACCTTGATCCCTGAGGGATAATATGCCCAGCCAAAGAGAATCCATGGCTCCCAAAGGAGGGGCAGTATTTACTTGTCCGTTTGGGATCTAGATGATGGTCAGCCCTGCAGTAAGTAGTAGGTAAATGATGGCAAATAGTTACTGTTGTAGTAAATTATTCAATTGAGATATGAAGAGAAGAAAAGAAAAAGAAACCAAAGTACGAGGGGTTGTTCAACCTTATATATGCAGATTGATGTCAATTAGACCCCGCCATCCCAACTTCGATGTCATACTTTTCCCGACTCTCTCCGGTTTCCGGTGAACTCATTTGCCCGGTGAGAGCTACGTTGTACGAATCAAAATGCAGATCACACACACATCAAATATGAAAGTGACGTTCTAGCTTTTCTGGTTGTGGTTTACCTTCGCCATTAGTGGCCCGGAGCCTTCTGCCCCGATTTCTTACTTGGCCCCACGCTTAGGTTTCCCGTCAAGAAAAAGATATATTGTAGATCTAGTAACTAATATAGTTAGGCAGGAAACAATCAACTGATCATTTACTGTAGTTGTACAGATGAGATCGCCGCTGTCAAGCTTGCTACGACGCACAGATCGAATGTTGTCATTGCGCTTATTGACGGGCCGTGAATATCGGAGCGAAAAGGGTTGTACAGAAGTCAATGGGAGCAATTGGCTGGAATAATCTAGTTAGGTCCATTTAGATGTTAATATCTGGTGTATGTTTTGATCATTGGGAATCTATTATGTATTCTATGCAGTTGGCTTTCTCTCAAAACCCCAGTGAGCTCCCGTCCTGACATCATAACAGTCGTCAACACTTAACTTAACCCCCAAGTCGCAAATACATAAGCCCAGGAAGTAGATAAATGGAAACCAAGCATTGCAAATTCACAACACATAACGGAAATTAGCACCGTAATTGTCCTCGGCCACCGGGGCATCAGCAGATTTCGCTGGGTCTTCAATCCGGGGCCCATATTTCTTGTCAAGCCTCCGGTTCTCAAAGATAAGAAGCACACGCAGAGATAAAGCGAGGAAGGCAGTGAAGAACATGAAGGCTGCGCAAATGGTCATACCCTTCACGTACCGTGGAGCTTCAGCATCGGGAAAGACATTGGTACCCAGGAAAGGGCCACATTGGCCGATAATATTGAGCAAAACAATACCCCCACCACGGCGGGTATCGGAGCCCTGGTTGTCTGGAGCAGATGCAATTAGTAAAAAGTTGCTCGTGAAAAACCTTAAAGAAAGATGACTCACTCAGAACCCACGGCAGGATGTTGGCGATCGAGGGGAAGACCCCACAAGCCGCCAAGAAGACTCCAAAATATCGAACACCCACTGATGTGCAAGTCGCGCAGAGGATATACCCCACGCCACCAACCACTGATAAACCAACGATCGTCAATCCACGTTGCTGAGTGCGATCCGCCACCCAAGTGGTCGCGATCGTCGCCAAAAATGAGGCAAAGAATGGAGGAGCAGTAAGACCTTGGGCGTTAATGGCCGTGAATCCCATTTCCTTGAGAATTGTGGGCAGGAACACGGGAAGCGAAGAGAAACTAACGTTACAGCTGAAGTACATAAACTTACCACGAAATTGAGATCAGCCAGCGTGCTCTCGGTAAGAGATGGGGAGGGGCTCTTCCACTCACTGCTGTAAGCCACGCTTTCGCATCGAGAAGCGTCTCACCCAATTCCTTCCATTGTATCCTCCCAGCCCGCTCCGTCTCCCCAGACTGCTGCAACAAACGTGCGCGCGCAATATCTTTTTCCTCTTCCGTGAGGAATTTAGCTTCCTGCGGACTGTCCGGCACAAAGAACCAGGCCAGTATAGCTGCTGCGCAGACGGGAAGACCCTCGACCAGGAACAGCAATCGCCAGTTTGCAATTGAAGCATGTCCCGAGGTAATACCATAGGCCAGGGCACCGGCGAATGTATTCGCCAATGGCGCAGCGCCGGCATACATACCGCATCGAAGACCCAACTCATGGCGGCGATAGAAAAAGGACATCAGATAAACCACACCGGGACCAAAGGCGGCCTCAAAAGCACCCATCAAAAAGCGGAGCGCCATCATGCCTTGCCAATTAGTGGTCGCTGCCTGGCATGTTGCAACCAAACCCCTGCCAGTCGTCAGTTCATGGTCCCATATGCACTGCCCATCCTTGCTGATCAATTGCGTTGCGCGTGAAATACATACCATGAAAACACGGTAAAGGCAGCCCATTGGTGTGGCTTGACGACCTTCCACATCAACCCAAAGACTTCGAAGACCGTATATGAAATGTAAAATATCGTTAACAGCCAGGCGTAGCTCTTCGAATTGAGGCCGAGATCCTCTTCCATACCGGCGATTTTAGCATTGCTGTATCAATCAGAGTCAGCTGTTATGGACTATTACGGCATGTAGGCTTGATTTAGGTATTGTAAACGGACCCGATGTTACTTCGGTCAAGGGCAGCGAGGAGATCTAGCAGAAATCAAATTGTCAGCGCAAAATCTCACATCAATTGCAGTTATTTCGCACTTCAAGACATACAGAAAAAGGCCATCAAAGTCGGGAGATGCCAATCCAATTTCCTCACAACTTGGCGCTCCAGGTCGGGGTCTATTGTCGCCATTGTCGCGCTTGGTGGTTTCTCCTGATGTGCGGGCGCGGTAACTTTCTGAACATCTTCATCTGGAGCTGGCTGTATTACATCCTCCGGTGGCTCGTTTTTTCCGAAGTAGCCCATGCTGGTGATTTAGGGGAGTGAAGGGAATTGAAGGGGGATTGGAAGAAAGAAAATGTGTTTCATTGTGTTTAGGCTTAGAGAGCTGGAAACAAGCTATGATCGACAAAACTAAGTGCATTGAGCAGCTGACGACCAGCTCGGCTCAAGCTGCATCGCAGCGATTGGCGGTAGAATTGACTATTGATATCCATAATTGGTCGCCTCCACAGACGGAGTTGGTGACGATTCTCCGATTTTCAGGTGGAGAGAATGGAGAGAAGAGAGACGAATGGGAAGAGTTGGGGTGTTGTGGAGGGTTTGGCAAAAGCTTGGGTGGAGCCACGATCTTTGGACAGGGATAATCTCCAATGATATACTATACTGCAATTGTAACGATATGTGAGGCAGATTGAGGATTATAAGCATATATAGATAAGTTTGTAAGGTTTTATATTACATAGTTATATCGTTTCCGTTTAAATGTACAATACTGCATACGACTTATAGTGCAGTATCTACATGCATTGAGGTTATGGATGTATGTATACATACGTACTCGCATGTATTAATATGATTGAGTTAGACAAAGCAAAGCCGAATATATAAAATATCAAAGTAGTCATTTAGTGCCTCATCTGCTTCTTAAAAGATCAGAAGCTTGGAAGAAGATTTGGATGCCCGAAGATGAAGGTGTCTTGCATCTCAGGCTCCTATTACCTACCGTATCAAAAATCTCCCGCGTCGTTAGTGTCGCGTTCAGCTAAACTCCCCATCATCGTTGCGCCCGCCCCGTCCATCTTCTCCCATCCCAATTGACTTCCGTGCTTTGCTCCTGACTTTTTTCTTTCCTTCTTATAGTTGATTGCACTTGGCAATCAGGCGCCCAATATGGACGATCCAGCTTCTCGCATCCCGCAGCAACTGGTAGGAGACCCAGCACTTGCTATCGCATTGTTGTATTTGTGACCCCGACTGACCTTTTCGCAATATTGCAGCTGCCCCATATGCATCTGGTGTCGCGCAATCGCTATCCAAGCATGCACATGATGCCCACTGAGACTGCCGTTGAATACTTGACCAGCGCTCCCCGGATTTGCCAAACTCAACCAATGCACTGGACCTTCCTTGACGGCCCTCCTGATGGAACAGTCATGCTCACTTGGCAGCCGTTGAACCACCTGGGTAACAACTTTGCTAGCGATGGATATGTTTGGGCAGACCAAGAGCAGGTCTTTACCTTTGAAGCTCGCGGATACGTATGCTTTCCCTCCAAGTCAAAATTCAGGTTGATTGTCTTCTAACACACAAGAAAATAGTCTGTTGAGATGTACCTTCACCGCAGTGGCTTCCACCCTCCCAATGAACCCGTTGCGACTCATTGTCGCAAACGCTATCGTATCACTTCCTGCAAAGTTCCCAATGCTCCTCAGCCAGACCCCTCCCTCTGGATCGTCCACTACTCGCGCGCAGCTCCCCAGGACCATGCACCAGCAAACCGAATTCCTGCCACCCCCCAGATCCAAGGAATGATGGGTCAGCGTCGTTTCCTTCAGAGCCAAGGACAACTGGCTCGCAAGGACTTTTTGCTTCACGACCGAAACAATTGGCCAGTCATCAACTATCCACAGATGGCTCCTCAAAATTTTGGACAACCCGGTGCTTTCCCAAATGCCCAGCCACGTGGGCCGGGTTTCTACCCTCCCCAGGGCCACCCAAGTGCTGCAGTTCCACCCAGTGTGGCCGCAGCTAAAGGCCCGCGCGGCCACCGTGCACCCTCATCTGCTCTTGCTTCCGCTACTGCCGATTTCGCCGTTGAAGACGAGGATGTGTCTGGCGGCGACACAATGGATCTCCTGACGCCCCGCGATGTTAGCAAAATGCGGTATCAACAGCACCACGAGTGGATGGAGGAAATATTCTCATCACCATACAGCATTACGCAAATCACGCCAGTCTCTCTGGGTCTGGGCCGAAAGGGCGAACTTGAATCACTGACTGCGGGCTTCTTTGATGCTCCTGTCGGAACCTCAGGGGGGGGAAGGCGAGGAGGCAGGTGATGCTCCCCAGGCCACCAAGATGGAATCAGCCAAGGCAGAGGAATTCGCAGAACGTGTTTCCAAGAAAGTCGCAGACATGACCGCTGAAATTGAAAACTTGAAGAAGCAGCACGCACGCCGGATGCAGCGTTTCAATCGCACCTCCTTGCTCAAAGATGCCGAGTTACGTCTCCGAGAGGCTGCTGCCGACCCAACTGATAAGGGCCCCGAGATTTGGAGACTGGAAGGCCGTGTCGTCGTGCCTACAGAGGAAGAGACACCACAACTGGATTACATTGAAGATAAGGCCAAGTACAGGGTCGATGATATTGTCAGGGAAGTGGAGGGCGTATGGAAGAAACAAATTGTAGCTGAGCCCAAGGTATCATGTGTCGAAAAAGGTGGACTCTTGGAGAAGATCGAGCCCGAGCACAAAGATGAGCCTGACCCGTTCACCAACGACCTGGTAATGGAACACGACGAGTCCCACCTCCTCAATCAGTTCGGCAGTCCAGGCGTTGGCGGTGGCGTGCCTTCGGGCGTCTCTGTCAACGGACAACCAGTCCCCGGCGCTGATCTTTCGGGAGACGTCGACATGGATATGGGTGACCAGCTCCATGGCGGTCCCAATGGCCAGCCCAGCGATTGGGTCATGGTCAACAACGAGAGCAAGGATCATGGCGCTGTGGGCGGAGAATTCGACTTCACCAACATTGACAGTGCTGGAGATGCGTTGGCAGCTTACAGCGAGCAACACGATGGGCTCGATTTGCCGGATCTGGAGAACTCGGCGTTTGGCGATGCTTTCCATGCTTCGGACAATGAGCACTCGCACCACCCCGATGCCGATGATATTTCCTAGATCATTTCCAGAATTCTTACTACGAAGGCGCGTTTTTTTAATGAATGATAGCGGACGATTTCTTGCTCTGCCTTGGGCGTTTGGTTTGTTGTTGTGCTCCAGGGACCTGGATTCTATGCAATTTGCTTTAGTTGGGATGTACAATAAGCTTGGCCACAGGGGGAAATTATTTTCTTTTGATGGTCTTTGAGTTTTCTATTTTTTTTTTCTCTCGACTTGTGAGGATTGAGGGGATCTATGATCACACTCAATCCGTATTCTTCCTATTTTTCCACTGATATTGTGAACGTAAATACTGGGGACAAAAAAGTCTTCCTATTGTACTAGGCAAGGTATCCGAATTAAAATAGGCCCTAGTACAGTGTCCACGGGTGTAAACAAGCCTTGAGTTTCTCATGTATATGTTCTTCATGGCCACAGCTTCCTGGGGGTACAGTACTGAATCTGTAAGTTTAGTCATTTACCTAGGTATGGAGTTTCTATAGTAGTACGTATGGGTCGTTATCCTCAAATGCCGGGAAGCTGGTGGAGAATGACGATCAGCCGCCCTATATAAAGATCATGGTGAACCAAACTTGAAAAGACCATCACCACTCATAGTTCAAGCTAAACCTTAAAAAAAAAGAGTGAAAAAAGAGAGACGGAATTGGAAGTGGAATCAACTCCATGATCTCAGCTTCTTGTCATGACGTCAGACAGCCACCGGGTTACGGTTCCTTAGAGAAAAAAAAAGACTTAATAGACTTTGGAATCGTCATCTATAGGAAGGTGCTTATCACACACTTGTTCCCCTCTTTGACACTTTTGACTATTCTATTAATTCTATCACTCCTATACCTCCGATAAAACCTACAACTCCTATCCAAATTCTACATTTTGTATCATCATATCTACATAATGTTTGAAACCCCCAACTGCTGGATGCCTCAGCCATCACTAACCAAGCTCCAGGAACCGCAACCTTTCATTCCGATCGCGCAAAGAGCCGCCTGCCAACCGGCATCGGTTCAGCATCTCCACTTTCCGCGGGATGCAAGCGCCCGAGCTCAGCAAAAAGATGACCAAGCTGATCAAGAGTGAGAATTCCGCCATCGGAGCCCATGAAGCAGCCGGACGTGAGCGTACCTCGATCGCCGCCCAGCTCTCCGAGTGGGGAGAGGCAACCGATGACGACAATGTCTCCGACATCTCCGACAAGCTCGGCGTCATGCTCGCCGAGATGGGAGAGCAGGAAGATGTCTTTGCGCAGAACCTGGAGGATTACCGCGGCATCCTGAAGCAGATTCGCAACATGGAAGCCTCGGTTCAACCGTCGCGCGACCAACGCCAGAAGGTCACCGATGAGATTGCCAAGCTCAAGTACAAGGATCCTCAGAGTCCGCGCCTTGTCACTCTGGAGCATGAGCTGGTCAGGGCCGAAGCTCAAAACTTGGTTGCTGAGGCACAACTGTCTAATATCGTATGTTTGAATTCCTTTGTGTTTCATTTTATTTTAAGACATGACCCAAAGAAAAGCTCCATACAGACTTGCTAATCATCTGTTTCACCTGCAGACGCGCCAAAAGCTGAAGGAGGCCTATGATATCCACCTGGCCGCTGTGATCGAGCGCGCCGAGAAACAGACCATCTTGGCCCGCCATGCTCGTCGTCTCCTCAACTACATTGATGACAGCCCCGTTGTTCCCGGTGATGCCCGTCAAGCATACGACCATGAACTCGATGCTCGCCAGATCCTCGAAGACGCCGAGAATGACCTCCGCGGATGGGAGCCCTCTGTCGAGCCCATTACCTCAGCTGCCGGCCGAGAGTCTCCCTCTCACATTAACGGTATCAGCCATTCTGGTCATGTCAATGGACTGGATAACGTGGAAGAGCAAGAATCGGACGTTTTGGATGATGCCTCTGCGGTCGAGACCACCAATGTTACTGCACCGGTGGAGAGTGGTGCGCCACCAGCAAAGATGCTGGTTGAGCCCGCTGCATGATCGTCCAGATCCAGCGGTCCCCTATGGTTCTTAAGAACATAATCTAGCTGTTTCTTGTTAATTCGACTCTTCACGCGTCAGATTGGGCACCACTTGGTGTATTCGACTTTGGGAATGGCGTTTGTACTGGATAGGCGACGGGGTTTATACTCGGGAAATATGCAAATTGTGTATTATAAATGGTTTAGTTCGTTAATCGTTGTATTATTCTCTTTTCAGTTGAATTGGTCTGAAATGGTCCCTGAATCTCGTTTAGAATGTCCGGCAAATTTTTATATTCGGGTATGCTCTTCCAGACGTTTTTAGATGCCATGTAGGTCTTTCTGGTGGATGTGCTGAGAGGATGAATTGCGGAGTTCAAAAGACGTGGAACTGGTGAAGCAACACGTGACCGCAGGCGCCAGAGTGACGCGGAAACCTGAGCTCCAGCGGAGCTTCACCCATCACTTGTCTATCTTGCCACAATCCCTTTTCCGTCTCCAGCATCTTTTCTCTACCCCACCTTGCTATATCTCCGTTTAGAACATCATGGATAAGCTCGTCGCCCAATATTCGCGCCCTCCCCATCAGAATGAGATGTACTCGGAGCAAGCGCAGCAGGACCTCACTGCGAGCGTTCCTCCGCTCTCACTGAAATTCAGTCTTCCTCCTGTTGACAACGTGAGTACTGCGTGGAAATTATGGCAGATTCTCTTTGAATTGGATGGCGATTTGCTTGGGAAGTTGTATCTTGTATCTATCTTGACGTCAACCCAACTTGCGCCGTCATCACAGCTACGTTCGAGAGCATCGCTTGCCAGAAGCTTTCTTCCTAGTGTCAAGAAAACAATAGACTAATGCTGGTTCTCTACTTTTAGCACTCCGCTTTCCTGCGTGCCATGACCGATGACCATTCCAATCCCAGCTGTCCTATCAAGCTCGCCCACGGCACAACTACCCTGGCCTTCCGTTTCCAGGGCGGTATCGTACGCCCACCTCCCCGTTGCGCCCGGAAATTGATATTATGGAGTAAGCTGGATGTTTGCTGATATCGGATTAGATTGTGTGTACCGATTCACGAGCAACAGCAGGCAACTGGATTGCCAGTCAAACAGTCAAGAAGGTCATTCCTGTATCGCGGTTGAGTCGGGGTGAGGACAAGAAGTCGGATCTACCTACGCCAGGTCTTTTGGGAACAATGGCCGGTGGTGCAGCTGTAAGTTTGGAATTAGTTTGGGCCGAAGCAGTGGAGATCCGTTGCTGATGATGGGATTCTAGGACTGTCAATATTGGTTGCGTTATCTGAGTCAGCAGTGCACTCTGCATGGTAAGATTTCTGAAGTTGCAGAACTCATATAGAAGGGTATAGCTGATCATTTCTCTCTAGAAATCCGACACAAGCGCCGTATCACTGTTGCGGCTGCTTCGAAGATTCTTGCCAACCTTACCTACGCCTACAAGGGCTACGGACTTAGCATGGGAACTATGTTAGCAGGAGTATGTTTTAAATATTATGTGACCGTGAACTATGGAGACTGACAATGTTTCTAGATGACGCCTCAAGAAGGACCTGCCCTCTACTACATCGATTCCGACGGCACCCGTCTCCCCGGTAACCTGTTCTGTGTTGGATCTGGTCAGACTTTCGCTTATGGTGTGCTGGACGCTGAGTACAAGTACGACTTGACAGAGGAGGAGGCATTGAACCTCGGACGCCGGGCTATTCTGGCTGCCATGCACCGTGATGCTTACTCCGGTGGTTTCATTAACCTGTACCACGTCAAGGAAGAAGGATGGGTGCACCACGGCTTTGATGACATGAACCCTATCTTCTGGAAGACTAAGCTCGAGAAGGGCGAATTCTCCAACGTGACGTCTACCCTCTAAATGGGTCTAGGCGAATGAAAGTGTAATATTGATATGTCTGATTGTGCTTAGGTTTCCAACATGGAATTCAACCTTATATGGTGTTCAGTAGGAGTGTTCAGTAGGATGGAATGGAGCCGATAAAACTTTCTTGCAGGTTCTCCATCTCCTATAGCAGTAACTCCATATTATTCTATCTTCTTCCCTTCTGAGCATGTTTCATAACATGTCCAAAAGCCCCAAACCCAACCTTAGACAGCCAACTGCCTAGCAACTTCAATATGGGGGAATCTTCCCTGAATCAGCCGGAACTTATCCAGCAGGATATTCTTCGACATCACCTGCAAATTATGAAATGAGAACACAACATCCTGCATAACAACAATATCCTCAATCCTCTCCGTCGTCTCCTCCCTCGTGGCTTGCGGTACATGAATCACCACATCAGCAATAGTATTAATAATCTCCAGCAGCTTGCTAACCATCGACGACCCATGCACACGAATAGTATTCTGCTCGATCTTAGTCAAAAATTGCCTGAGCTGACTCGACAATCTCAAGGGCATCTCCAACTCCAACGAAGGACACGATGCATGCGAGCTCAGCAAACAATTCGACATCGCCATCTGCCACAACAAGGTCCTCATCCACTGCCGCGTAATGACCAAATCCGCCTGCTGCAACTCCGACAACACAGCCACCTCAACCTCCCACAACTCATCGTCCAATTCGCGATGTTTCCCCTCAACCCACGACGCCGTCACCCCCGACCGATCCCCAATCCAATGACTAATAAAGCTCGCATCAAGCATGCAAAAGGTCTTAATCACCTGCGTCCACCCCGCCTGGATCCCCATCGACACAGACGCCGTCGTCGTGTCTTCCTCCGGGTACTGTGCTGGCGGCAGCGTGACCGGCGAGAAATACACGATCGACATGAACCGCTCGTGGATGAAACACTGCCAGTAGAGGCGTTGGCGGCGGGCTCGTTCGGCGCCGCTGAGGCCCGCTAAGACGGTTTTGTCGCTTATGCGCAGAATCTGGATCATGCTTATTGCTTCGCGCAGGTAGAAGAAGCCTAGGTCGTAGTGGCCCAGGCTCATGGCGCACATCTGGATGAAGATGCTTGTCATGGCGCGGAGGATGGAGGGCCGGAAGCCGATTACCAGTGGTTGTTGGGCTTCGACGGATTGGCGCATTAGGTCTGTTATTTGGGAGGTTGAGGGTGGTGTTGAGCTAGTTTGTGAGGCGCGGGTTAGGTCGAGGGTAACCGCTGTGAAGGCGTAGACGAACGAAGCGTGTTCTCTTTCCGTGTCCATTTTTGTGATTGAGTTGAGGATTTCGGTGTCCGTGATTATGGGGCTGAATGGATATACGTAGGACATGTAATCCGGGAGAAGACTCTCGAAGTATGAGGGTGGGAGTTTGGTTGTCAGGGGAGAGAGACGCGGCATCAAGGCTGTGGTTTTTGATGTGGCACCGCTTTTATATTTTGAGATGACTGCACCACGATGCAGTGAGTGCTTTCTTGATCGTGCTGAGCGATTCTCTGTGTAGGTACAGAGAAGATCCAGGTGCTCGCATTGTTGGCATCTCTGCTGACCGTTGCAGCGGACTTTACGTCGATTACAAGGGTCGCATGCTTTGGGGACTCGCGACACTGATCTTGGGCTCGCCATTTGTGCTGGACTGTTTGAAACCAACTGTAAACATTTTCTTGTAAACATTTACAGGTGAGATGATCGCCTTTAGCTCTCCCCCGCGTTTGATGTTAAATGTCTTGGCAGTCAATACTCTTTCAGCGTAGCGGCACGGGACTGATCTCCGCATGCGCGTCTTCTTTTCTTCGAGGCGAATTATCAAATAAGATTTGAACTTATTAAAGGCTTGGCTGGGTTAGTGCAAATACCTCGGCATTCCCATGTCAAGACATTATAGGTGCAAAATTAGGCGAGGAATGATCTTGGCCAACGAATAGTTATTTTACGGGCAAAAAAGGGTTGATAAATATAGCATGCCATTTCAATTTGAAGCTATATTCTAATCAACATCGTAATATGAGTACCGAAAGCTAGATATAATGGCCGCAGCATATGTCCTAAACCAAATAGACCCGTCCCTCAAACGCCTGTAGTTCCTCCTGGGGATCCTCTATGTTGCTAGCTAGTAGTTTCCAATCACTCTGCGCAGTATCCAATTTTTCGAATTTCTGCGCTTTATCTGAGAAGTTGAGAGCAACAAACAACGTGTAGTCCTGGCTTTTCTTAGTATATGTGAAAACACTTTGATTCGGTTCGTCGAGAATCTCAAACAAGCCGAACACCATGAGATCGGCATACTGCTTACGCAGTGCATTCATCTGTTTCCAGAACGAAAGTACGGAAGAGTTGTCTTTCTCCTGCAGTTTTACGTTGATCTCAGGGTAGTTGTCATGTGGGCGCATCCATGGTTTTGCCGACGAAGACGAGAAGCCTGCGTTGGCTTCGGCATTCCATTGCATGGGAAGCCTGGAATGATCTCTAGCGAGGTGCTGCAGAGAAGTCATGGCTTTTTCAAGCTCCACTGGATCGTTGTTGGTGACTTTACTTGTCATTTGATAGTAGTTGATGCTGTCGATGTCTTTGTACTCGTCAATGGTCCACTCCTTCGGTGCGTTCACCATTCCAATTTCTTGGCCCTGGTAGATAAACTGCGTTCCTGACAGTGTGCTTTGCATCATGGCTAGCATCTTTGCAGAGCGGACCCTCAGTTCGGGTGTCTTGTCTGAGCCAAATCGGCTCACGGAGCGGCCCTGGTCGTGGTTTTCCATGAACACCGTCGTCCAGGCATCTGTGCCATTGATGATATCCTGTGTGCTCTTCACGGCAGCTTTGAGATCCCGCAGAGTCCAGCCTGGGAGTGTGGTCAAGTATTTATAATCCTTCCCCTGGCCGAGGTCCACGAGGTCGAATTGGAACACCATGCTCAGTTGCTTCTCTGCTGCTGAGACATACCGGAGAACACCTTCCAATGTATGTGTATTGGGCAATTCTCCAACAGTCATGGCGTCGTATTTAGACAGCACATTGTTCATCTCGCTCAAGTATTCGTGGATGCGAGGACCATTGCAGAACAATGAGAAAGCAGGCTGGGTGTCGGATTTGGGGTCCAAGATTGGCGCATTGGCATAGTCGGGATGCTTGCTGTACATGTTCACCGTATCGACACGGAATCCATCAACACCTTTCTGCAACCAGAATTCCATAGCAGACTCGTAGACTGCCTTGCGGGTTTCGGCATTCTCCCAGTTTACGTCGGGCTGCTCGACACAGAAAAGATGGAGATAGTATTCTTCTGTCTTCTCATCCCATTCCCAAGCACTGCCCCCGAAAACGCTACGCCAATTATTTGGTGGCTGGCGATTCCCATTGGCGTCATATTTCGCCGGCTTCCAGATGTACCAGTCCCGCTTGGGACTTGTCTTGGAAGAACGGGACTCCTGGAACCATTTGTGTTGGTCCGAGGTGTGATTCACCACCAAGTCCAGAATAATGCGCAGTCCTCGCTTGTGGCATTCATCGATGAGAGTCTCCATATCCTGGATGGTTCCGTATGGGGCATACACATTTTCGTAATCGGCGACATCGTATCCCATATCAATTTGAGGGCTGTCGTACATGGGGCATAACCAGATCACATCCACGCCAAGGCTTGTGATGTAGTCCAGCGAGGAAAGGATTCCTGGGATATCGCCGATACCATCGCCATTGGAGTCTTTGAAGCTTGCGGGGTAAATTTGATAGATAATCGAGTTTTTCCACCACTTTTCGCCGACTAGAGCGGGAGACATAGTATAAATGGATTGGAAGAGCAAGACAATGCAATAGAAGATGAGAAATATGGATGGGAGGTAGGGAAAGGTGAGTACAATATATAATAGTCCAATGTGACACGTTTTAGATAGTCCATGCACTATATCTTGACAATCGAGTCCAGATTCCTGCGCGATTCATAGTGTACGAAGGGCTGACGTTGTGATTGACTCGATGTCGGCCCGAGAGAGTGTCTGTCATACCTTCACTTATTGGCATGCGGGGTTATTATGTTATGACAAGGTAGGTGACAAGGTACGGAGTAGTTGAGTTATGAATTATTGTATTTTTTGGAAGAAAAAACACATGCGAATTCACCACTTTGTAACTAAAATGAAACATACAAAAGCAGTATAAAATGAGGGGAAATGAGAATTGCAAGGATGTCGGGCCGACTTAACACCAATCAACTCGCACATTCTCCCTAGTCGTTTCTAACCGAAATAGGAGAAGCCAGAGCCCTAAAAAAGCTAAACCAACACAAACACAACATGAGGCGATGGGAGTTAATATAGCACATGCTGCAGGCTAAGCCTTTTTCATCATGACCCGACATCAGTCGAATCAGCAGTCTCCCTGAAACCCCGGGATCATGTGGGCTGATCAACACAACAAAATCCGGGGAAACTATCCACACGCCACCGGTCCTCGCTTCTTGAAAAGGGATACGGGCCGCGGGCGAGCCGTCCAATGACACCCCAGCCCGTCCTCGCTCATAATAGACTCCCTTCTCATGCCATTGACCACAAAACTGTATATAATCACCCATCTACACCCGCATGATGAACATTGGTTTTTCTATCCAGTCCTGTTCAAACTGGACGGCCTGAAGATCCCCCAGTATCACCATCCTAAACCCAGCAATGGCTTCAGAGAAACTAGCCATGGCCGAGCATGTCGAAAAACACGACTCAATTACCCCAGAGGCAGAAGGCCATGCCCTGCCCGGGCACTCAGACCTAAAGACCAGCACCGAAGCCCACGCTGCCATCGAAAATGAACACAACATGACCCCCTGGCAAGCGCTGAAACTCTACCCCAAAGCGGTAGGCTGGTCCCTGCTCCTTTCATGCGCAATCATCATGGAAGGCTACGACGTCGTCCTCATTGGCTCGTTCTTCGGCTTCCCAGCCTTCAACGAGAAATACGGAGGCCTAATGTCCGACGGAAGCTACGGCCTAGCCGCCAAATGGCAAGCAGCTCTCACGAACTCAATGTCCTGCGGCCAGATCATTGGTCTGTTCATCAACGGCATCGTTTCCGAGCGCTACGGTTACCGCAAAACCCTAATGGCCTGTCTCGCCTCAACAGTCGCCTTCATCTTCATCCTCTTCTTCGCCCCAAATGTCCAAACCCTCGTCGTCGGCGAACTGCTCATGGGCATCCCACTCGGCGTCTACCAGACCCTCACCGTAACTTACGCCTCAGAAGTCTGTCCCGTCGCACTGCGCGCCTATTTAACCACCTACGTGAACCTATGCTGGGTCTTTGGACAGCTGATCGCCTCAGGCGTCCTGAAAGGTCTCGCCGACCGAACAGACGAATGGGCCTACCGCATTCCCTTCTCCATCCAGTGGGTCTGGCCCATCCCCATCTTTATCGGCGTGTACCTCGCGCCCGAGAGCCCGTGGTGGCTTGTTCGTCAGGATCGCCGCGAAGACGCCGTCAAGGCTGTTAGGCGGCTCACCCGCGCCGACATCCAGGGCTTTAACCCCGAGGAAACGGTGTCCATGATTATATACACGAATGCGCTGGAGAAGCGCGTTCAGACCGGTTCTTCGTACCTCGATTGCTTTAAGGGAACGGACCTGCGCCGCACGGAAATCGCTTGTTGTGTCTGGGCTGTGCAGAGTCTCTGTGGCGCTGGGCTAATGGGCTACTCGACGGTCTTTTATCAGCGTGCTGGGCTGGCGATCTCCCAGTCTTTCACTATGTCATTGGCGCAGTATGCGATTGGCGTCGTGGGGACGGTCAGTTCGTGGGTCATGATGACTTACTTTGGGCGGCGCACGCTGTATGTGAGTGGACTAGTTATGTTGGCTGTTGTACTGTTCGTTATTGGATTTGTGTCGATTGCGCCGGCGACCTCGGCGATATCTTGGGCTACGGGGTCGATGCTACTTGTTTATACGTTTGTTTACGACTCGACCATTGGGCCGGTATGTTTCTCACTGGTTTCTGAGATGCCATCTTCGAGACTTCGAATCAAGACCGTTGTCTTGGCGCGAAATTTGTATAATGTGCTCAATCTGGTGACGGGCATTATCATTCCTTACATGCTGAATGTGGATGCTTGGAATTGGAGGGGCAAGTCTGGGTTCTTTTGGGGTGCGCTTTGCGTTTCATGTCTTGTTTGGTCTTTCTTTAGGCTTCCTGAACCCAAGGGTCGGTCTTATGCTGAGTTGGATGTCTTGTTTGAGAACAAGGTGCGCACTAGGCACTTCCCAGCTGCGAAGACAGGCTTGGTTCAGGATGAGCTCAAGGGCGAGGGGTCTGCTTAATACCAGAAGGCATTATAAATATAGCGAGCTTGATTGATAATGCCATCGCCTACATATCAATCGACGTTTGATTGAATAAAATCTACCTTAGGTAACTTTCCACACAAAGAAATTTTGTTCAACACTGCTATTCTGCTGTAAGTGAATGATGTTCGTACAAGAAAGAATATTTGCAATAGTAATCTAGAAAACAGATGAGTTCAATCATTAAACCAGTATACGCCACCTATGACATTGGAACAACAAAAACAATTTTTCAACCAGCCAGACAATGGCATCAGTTATCCACCCAGAACTTCATGCGGATACCCATAGCAGCCAACTCAACATCGAGGTAGCGAAGGACACCAGGCACAGCAACGATGGTAACATCGTCACCACCAACATAGCGCTGTCCATTTCCATCCTCCCAAACCTCAGCACGGGAGTCCTCGAAGACAGCCTCACGAGCACAGCGGCGGCAACGCACAATACCATTCACACCGCCCAGAGCACCAACCGCACCAGAAGCATGGGCATTGTTGCTCTGCTGGTTCGGGGCAGCCTTAGCAGCAGCAGCAACAGCACCGGGGTTGATAGCAGTGCGGGAACGGGAAGAGCCCGAAACCGCAACCTGCGTGGACAAGAACGAGCCACAGCAGCGACAGATCCAGGTGTGCTGGGCGTCGGAGCAGTTCATGAGACGATCTTGCAAGAGGAATGCTGCACCGTGGGCAATCAGGGAGTCACGCTCCATCTCTCCGACACGGATACCACCACCCTTGGCACGACCCTTTACGGGCTGTCCGGTCAATGCGTTGACGGGACCCGTTGTACGCACCTGGAACTTGTCGTTCACCATGTGACGGAGACGCTGGTAGTAAACCAGACCCATGTAGATGTCGGCGGAGAATTCACGACCCGTAATACCAGAGTACAGGGGCTCGTTACCGTAGTAGTTGTAGCCTGCCTTCTTGAGCTGCTCACCGAAGTAGTCGGTGGCGGTGTTTTCCTCGGAGAATTGGAAGGGCGTGCAGTCTTGGGGAAGACCGTGCATGGCACCTGCTTTGCCGGCCATGGACTCGATCATCTGGGCGATGGTCATACCTGGGGAAAGTCAGTGGTGTCTGATTCAGTGAAGAGCGGGAAAACTTACGAGAGGGGAAAGCGTGAGGGTTGATGATCAGATCGGGCTGCATGCCACTCTCGGAGAAAGGCATGTCGGTCGCAGGCCAGAGCTGCGACAAGACACCCTTCTGACCGTGACGAGAAGAGAACTTGTCACCGATGACGGGCTTTCGGGGAATTCGGAACTTGACACTGAGAGATTGAGCAGGTTCATTGCCAGACTCAGAACCCATGATGCGGATGCTCTCGATATAGCCTTCTTCGGAATCCTTGTACTTCATGTAGTGGGTGATGCCGTCGACGTTGACGTACGAGTCGGAGGCAGGATCGAAGCGGACGTTGTGCCAAGCGGCGATCTTGTCACCCTCCTTGACGCGAGCACCAATGTGCGGCATTCCATCCTCGTCAATAACGGTGCGTACCTGGTCCTTGACCTCGTCGCCGGGTGCAAATCCGAACAGCTTGGTGACCTCGCGCTTGGACTTGTTGCGGCGGGAGTCATTGTCGGCCAGAGTGAGAACCTTGGTCTTGTAGACTGTACCGTGACCGAATCCACGTTCGTGGGAGGACTTGTTGATAATCATAGCGTCGTCCATATCGTAACCGGTGTAGGAGATGATGGCCACCACTGCGTTCATACCGTTGGGGAAGTTGTCCAGACCATAGGCATTGTAGAGCGGTGGGCGAACAATTGGCGTTTGACCGGTTTGAATACGGTACAACTTGTTATCTGTACGGTACGCGATTGATGTACCCGGTGTACCCATGGTTTGTTTGCTCATCTGGCACTGGTACATGTTACGCGGAGATTGGTTGTAATCGGAGAAGGGGGTCATGTTGGCGACGATGGAAAGGATGTTCGTGGGGGTGAACTCAATGTGTGTCGAGAGACCAGGAATCAGGTCAGACTCCACGCAAGCAATCTCCATGAAGGGCTGCTCGAAGGGTCCCACGTAATCGAGCTTATCAGATGGCAAATACTTGACAGGGCGGTACATTCTCGCTGATTGAGAGAACATGTAGATACCGGGGTATTGACCGCCACTGGAGTTAGGAATATATCCGATTTCCAACTCGCGAGGAATATTGTTCTTGCCCTCGACCTTCCAGAAACGAATGGTATCGGCGATTCTTTGCGCCTGCTTGGGCGAGCAGTAACCGACAATTCTACCATCAAGTTGGACGACAACGCTCTCGTCAATCGCCACAGAGGACTCGGACCGAACACCAAGTTGGACCAAAATCCGAGGGAGGTGGGAAACATCCAGGTTATCCGTAGAGATCAAACACTTGTGTGACAAGTGATTGAGCAGACCGCAAGGCGATCCATCAGGAGTGTGCACAGGGCAAAGGAATCCCCAACTTTCTGGAAGCAGCTTACGAACAGTGGTAGTCTTCAATTGGGCGAAGAAACTACCACGGTGAATCATGCGGAAGTGACTGATGAATCGGTAGAAGTTGATCTTTTCAGCGATGACGGTGTAACCGGAAGTTTGTTGCAAATCAAGACCCGTAGGACTGACCAGGTTACCAGTGGAGAGGAAGTATTCAAGGGCATTACCGATGTTCTCGTTCGACCTTTTGACGATCTTGGACAAGAAGTCCCGATCAAATGACTCGTCGGTAAACTTGGCGCCATTGTTGCGAATGGACCAGTCCCGGGCAATGGGGCCAAATGATCGAAGCCATTCCTCAATACGTTCCTTGAGGATCATTCCGTATAGGAAGCCACCAAGCAGAATTTCCTGATTGGAGACGGCATCTGGGTTGTCAGGAGCACAATCTCCTGCGACGGTGGAATACAACTTCCGGATCATGAAAGTGATCATCTTGAACTTGTCCCAATCTTGAGACTCGGTGACATTCTCGTTTCCAAGATGAGGGAGAACGACCTTACGGAGGAACTCAGTGCCAACTTCCTCATCGGGCATGTCAGCGGGGACACCGAGCACGGGTCGGAAAGCCTTGCCCAGGTGGGCTCGGCAATCGTGCTGACTGTGCTTCTGGTAGGCCTGGTAGGTTCTCAACAGGAGCTCAACACGGTCTGTGACGAAGGTGTTGTCCAGACCTTTGGAAGCGACACCACCAACAATCGACTCGAAGATTTCACGGTCGTTGGTCTCAGCAAGAGCCTTGAGGATCATCATCACGGGGATAAGGTATTCATTCTTGCGCCATGAGAAACGGAAGGTGACGTTTCCATCAGAGAGATAATGCAGCACGTTGGTCTGCGATGTTTGATCAGGACGGACTGAGCGAATCTGAACACCGAACTTGGTGTAAGTCTGGCCACGCTTTACGAAGGAACCACGAATGATTGACATGGGGTAATTGCGCTTGCCGACGATCAGCATACGAATCAGCTTCTCGTTACCGTTCACGATGTAGAAACCACCCAGCTCCTCGGACTCTTCCTTGTGTCGCACGAGCTCGTCGGGAGACGCGTTCTCAAGGTGACACCGGTTGGTGCGCACCATGATAGGGACGTTACCGAGCTCGCGGACAGACTCCTGCCAGTCTCCGTTGTTGACCTGGTACTCGAGACGAGCGCGAAGCTTGCCACGGTATGTCGCATGGCGCTCTCTGCATTCTGAGGGGTAGATTTCACGGTTGCGGGTTGTGTACTTGTTGGTTGGTGGCAGAGTGGGCTTGTCGAGGAAGATTTCACGGACGCGGACGTTCAAGCGATTCCGCTTGGGTGGGCGAAGGCCCTCGGCTTCGCGAGCCTTCTTCTGCTCATAGGTCTCAAGCTCTCCATCGAGGAATGTCTTGATACCGATGTCTCTCAATCCTGCGTCTAAGATCTTGCTATCCTCAAAGAGAGCATTGAAAGAATCGATATGCGGCCGGATAGACTCGGCCAACGAAGGGTAGGCTGTGTGATCTGCAGGGGGATTCTTGAAAAGATTCTCCCGTCGCAGGGTGTCATAGTCGACCGACCACTGTGTATCGGTGGCTGCGGGCGCCATGGTGGATATTCGCAGCTCTAGAAGACTGGCTGATGCGGTATAGGGAAAAAACTTGCGATGATGAATAATACAGTAGGTGTGACCGTCAATGTATAAAATATAGGGTCAGAGTTGCAGCAGGCCAATTCCTCAGCCTTCCCAGTATTATATCAGCCACGAAACCCAGGGTATTGAACCGACAATGGCAGCTGCCAGACGAGAATGAGTAGCAACTGTTCTTCTTGGGGAAATTTTTCGAGAGTGGAGCCTGGCCGGTTATCCTCACGTGGTGATATGAATTTTGTCGCCTGAGGCGCTAATTCGATGTTCATATCATGGATGTTCCTTGCACTAATGTTAGTTCCTACATATGTGCGGAGAACATGTTCTCATGTTCTCATGAACTTCTTGGAGCTCAATGGGTGGTTAGCACTTCTCTAAGCCACATTGTTGCCTAGCTCCTCCCAAAAAAACAAGATGTCAATGTACACCTTTCTCCTAATCCAACCAACACAATGCGGAAAACGGAATACGCCACACGGCTGAGCGGATATACTACACAATGGCACAGTCACAAACACCCCTCTTGTAAGACCAATGGAGCCTAAGCGCCTCGAGTCATGTGCACCTGTAGATCTTTAAAGAAAACCTACAAAGTAGATATATCTCCTTGTATCGATGTTTGTCGGTTCCGTTAAACGCCTTTAATAATTAGTTTAAGGCATTCCTTCATTTTGAAATTCGAATCAGAAAAAACAGGTTCTTCATATTTCTCTACCTCCCCCCTCTTTACGGTGTGACAATATTGCTTTTTTTTATTTATTTTTTGTTTTTATATTTTTGGCCTTTTTCTCTTCACCTTGAAACAACATTTGAATAAAAATTATCAGTTTAAAGGTGTTGAAGCGTACTTGCTCAAAATCGACCCCACCTGGCGCACCCTGGCTTTTGTCATCCTGAACATTTTCCAACGGCACACAACCAAATCTTCTTCTTAGCCTCAGGCCTCTCCGCTGCTGGCAGCTGGGTTCCGTCTATTTACCTGTGTTTACCTCGTTTTATTCTATTCTTGCCATCTTTCTATCTTTTCTGCTTTCTGTCTTTCTGCCTGTCATCATGGCTGGCATCTTTCGCACTATCTATGACTGGCTCTTAAGGATGTTCTGGTAAGTGGGCCGTGATAGATGCAGTTCGTGGTTCTCGGGAGACCACGGCCCGTCCCCGCAGATGAAGCTCTGCTAATGCTATATGCAGGGCCACTGAGATGGATGTCACTATGATCGGCCTTCAGAATGCCGGCAAGTCATCTTTGCTTCGTGTGCTAGCGGTAAGTTTCCATCTCTATATCCAATATAGGAACATTTGTTGACGTTGAATAGGGTGGAGAGTTCACTATCGAGTAAGTTGTAGAGGACTTCATCTCCTAACATATCGACACTGTTCTGACCATGCGCAGCTCCATTCCGACAATCGGGTTCAACACCAAACGAGTGCAGAAAGGCCATGTGACTTTGAAATGGTTTGTTTTGTTCCTCTTTCCCAGACGAGCACAATGTCGCTAACATATCCAAGCTGGGACTTGGGTGGCCAGCCTCGGTTTCGGCCGATGTGGGAACGGTATTGTCGAGGTGTCAACGCGATCGTGTAAGACATTTCTGGTTTTGACGTCTTCATCCGGCATGCTGATATGGTAGATAGATACATCGTGGATGCAGCAGACCGTGATGCACTCCCAGTGGCGGCAGAAGAACTTCATGATCTGATGAAGAAGCCCACGCTGGCCACCATCCCCCTTCTGGTCTTGGGTAACAAGTCTGATCTTCCGGGCAAACTGTCTGTTGATGAAATCATCGACGCCATGAATCTGAAGTCCGTCACCCAACGCGAGGTGAGCTGCTATGGTATAAGCGCCAAAGAAGAAACCAACCTTGACGCCGTTCTCCGCTGGCTCATTGCTCGAGCCAGTCGGTGAAGAGCCTATCACCTATTGTCAACTTTGACCGACCCACGATATCCCTCGTTTTGATGCCTTTGGTCTCGCATTTTGATTTGTTCATATCCTGTAGACTCTAGCGTTTTTGGCTCGCAGCCTCGGATGTAACGACGTTGACGATGTAGTCTTTCATTTTCTTGTTCATGGATCTCGAGGTTCATACTGACGATGTATGTTAATGATCATGTGCGCTTCATTTGATATTCAATATTTCTCCCTTGGTCTTTTTGCCCTTGGTACTTTGGTTTTGAATTGTTCAACTTGGATTTAATACTGCAGTGTTCTGGCAATGATAATGGGGAGTTGAGATTTCGCTCAAAAGTCCACCTGAGCAGGGTTGGCCAACATAAATAAGTGAAACACGGACCACCTCGGGGCTGCACTGGTGTGTTGGCTGCCAACGCATCAGCGCAGACTAAGTAAGAATCCCCCACCAATAATTGCGCTCATTAATACCCCGTCCAGTGCATGGGTATACGCTGAAAGCCGGAAAAGGAAATCCGGCCGTATATATGGCAAAGCTTATCAACGTTATCAATTTCCATGGATTGTCTTTGCATATGTATATGAAGATCTTAGGTCTACGTCACCCGGCGCTTCCATATCTTGTATAAAATTCTCAAAGGCATCGAGAAATCAAGTGGCATTAGTCGTACACAAAATATCTAAGATCAGTTTTGTAGGTCCTTCCTTGCAGACAGGCCAGATCTGGAGTTGTTCAAAAGACCCCTTCAAGCGCCCAAGGTAGCGCAATAACGCCCTTAAAACATCAAATAAATCCAAATAACACAATCGAGATGCAACAACAAATGAATCATTTGCAGCGCTTTTCCACAATGTTCGGCCCGTGCTCTTCATACTCCTTCTTGGAGATCCACATTTGGTGGAAAGTTCCCAAACTGGCCAGGATACTTCCTCCAATCCAGGAGCCGAAACGCCGCTCCGAGGTGTTGCCAGGGGCGGTGACACGCACCCTCGGACCGGGGAACATCTGCATCAACTCGTGGTTCAAGCGTTCGGTGAAACCGTAGAGCAAGCTGGATCCACCCGTCACGACAACGTTGGCCAACAGGTGGGGGCGGAGGTCGACATCAATACCAGCCAAAGAGGCCTTGACAAGCTCTGGGATGGTCTGAGCGGGTGTTGGAGGAGGGAAAGACGAGTCAGGGTCTGGGATAGCGGCCTTGGCATCGAACAGAGATTCGACAACACGGTAGCGGTCGACACCAAACACCTGGTTGTATCCATCGGGGAACTCGAAGGGGCGACCGGGGTAGGTGCGGGCCATATCCTCGTTGGAGACGCCGTTGGAACCGGGGGCAGAGAGCCTGGTCGGTCCGGGCCAAACCTGCACGACACATTCCTTGAACTCGGCCAGTGTACGCTCCTCGAGGAGGGCACGGTATGACGCATCGGGCGCCTTGTCAGCGGGGAAGGTCTTATATTTCGCTTGGGGCGGCTGGCCGGCTTCAACGGCGGTCTTTGAACTGATAAGGTAGTGCGGAGTGATTGTGATCGGTTGCGGGGAGTTAGCTTTGAACAATGCGCTGATTTGCGACGAAATGTAATCACCGCCTAGCGGGGAGTGTTGCACGCCTCGCTTCAAGATCATGCCATCGTGGATTGGGGTGACAGAAATGTTTGAGGCTCCAATGTCGATAACAAGGGAGGAGGCCTTGCCGGAAGCAAAACTATAGTTGAATGGGGTTAGCGAAACCATTGACAAACGTAATGGGCTTGGTACATACGAAGCAAGAACGCCAGTGCGCGCGAGGTAAAATGCCGGGGTATCCCATTTCTCCATTGCAATTTCGATGGTCTTCTCGCGTGCCTTTGCTGGGTTCCATCCGGGCTCTGTCATCAACAATGGGCTGTCCGACAGAGGCTTCTCATCTGACTCCACCTCCATTTCGGTGGGGAGTTCGTCGTTCGCAACATCGTTCAATCCGTTCTGGAAAGGGTTGCCCGCTTTCGTGCCAGTGAGCCGGGACATAAATGAGTGCTCCCATACCCTCTCTGCCATATCCCAATCCTCGACGATTCCATCCTTGTTAAGTGGGTTGTGGACGGACAGGCCCGGTCGCGGGGTAACAAACACATCATCGCCAAAGACTAGCTTCTCTTGGCCATCGGCGTTGTATTTTCCATAGTAGGTCGGGATCAGCGACTTGGGAGCATCTTCACCGGCAAAACCCGCGCGTGTGGTTGAATAACCCGGGTCCAGGACAATGGCGGACACCTCATCTATGGAAGTGAAATAATCAGCATTTCGCACAATTACAAGAGGCCAAGCGAGGCTTCAGGTCGCAGCATTGAGCCATTTAGAGTGGTATTCCTGGGTGACATACCTCCACCGTACTCGGCAGCTTGTGGTGGATTGGAAGGGTTCATCGCGAAAATTGCGCCGTAATGTTTAAAGAGGTGGGGCAAGTAGGGGTATCATGCGACGCGATCAAAAGATATTGAGATGAATCAGAACGGGACCATACGGTTCCGACAGACAATCAAAGAGGCTGGTTGGAGACAAGAAGAAGGGCGGGTCTTTTTGGTGCAGTAGAGCTTTGGCCTTTCAAAATGATGACTAATACTATATGGGCTGGCTGTTCAACCTTCGAAGGTTGGATACTGAGATAGGTACATATGTACAGATATGTAATTTCCGATATTCTTATAGTTGGAACTTATTGTTTCTAGGCTTAAGATGGGTGAGGAGGAAATCAATGAAATCTCTTCTCTATAGTTTCTCTATAGTTGACGAGAAAACAAGCTGCGGGGCCATAACATATCTACGGACATCAAGCAGCACCGGGATGTATATATATCTCAGCGTTTTTTTGTTTCACACGTAAGCCAGCTGCATTTATTTAATTTCTTACTGCTAACAGCGTTTTCGAGTGAGATTAGAACAGGAATTTGATCTCGGTTTTGACTGTATGATTGATCGAATCCAGTAGATTTGCAGTGGCATATTTTATAATATCATTAAGGTATCTTATGCAATGTCAAATGAGAACCAAAGAAAAAAAAAAACAATGCCGTAAAATCATTCGAAGAAATACAACAACACTAAGGCAAAGCAAACCCAAGTGCTTATTTCTTTCCTGTTTGTGTTTCCCGCATTGCAGCTCTCGCACTGCGGCTGCCCCCCAGCTTGGGACCTTTGGGCCCTTCATCCTTGGCCACTGGCTTTGTGGTCCGAAGCCGACGACGAGATTGCATCGCATCCATGAAGTCTCGTCGAAATTGCTCAGCCACCCGGTCATCAGCAGCCTGTGCGTCGTCCATGTGTGCTTCATCTTCATACTCGTCATAGACATCCACTGAACAAACCAGTGTTAGCAAGTGCCCTGCAAAGTTTAATTCTCAACACCACTCACGTTTGCTCTCTCGTAGTACCTCCTCTACAAGACGGTCTCTCTCAACATCTGCGTTCGTTCTTTGGTTATGATTGCGCCTTGACTTGCCGGCTGGGGCAGAGCGACCACCCTCCGAGAAGGTGTTCTCCTCTGATGGAGGCAAATTGTCATCGCCAGCCAACCTGCGAGTCGCGGCTTCCGTACGCGCAATGTTTCGCAAAGTTGCCTCCTGGCCGAGATCGATTTCATGGAGTTTTCCTAGAGAAGCAGGTTCACGTTGTTGCTGCCCGTGGAACGAAAGCCCCGCGGCGACCTCCTCTTGGGTTGCTTGTTTTGAACTTGGATTCGTCGTTTTTTGATTGGAATGGAAGCGCTTAGCCATTTCGGAATCTATGTATGCCATCCTTATCTTGTTAGTCCATACCGAAAAAGCCTGGCAACCAGTTTTGGGAAAAGATTCGTACATGTGGCGGTCAACGTCATCTGATTGACCAGTATAACCTGTGAAACGCTCATTCATAGCGCGTATCTTATCTTCCTCCGATTCTCCAGCTGGTGGTGCTAGCACTAGTTGCTGGCCATGATCGTTTCCCAGTCTCGATTTAGTAGAGAACCCAATTCCACCTTTTCGAATCGCACGCGGACGGCGGATTTGATTGCTTCCTGGTGTTGTTTGTGCAGGGCCAACATTGTCATTCTGGTTATTGGCGATCAGGGCTGGATTGGTATCTGCAGTGTCTTCGGCCTCATGATCAAGACGTCGTCGCGCAAACTTGCGCTTCTTTGCTGGGCGGAAAAGAGATTCGGTCGGAACAGCATCGACTTCCGGATCCATCGTGATCTGCGACAATGAAGTCTAGGCAAGGTGAGGTTGATTGTCAAGGTGAGGTCATTTCACAAGCACATATAAAACTTACTACGATTCGTCCATACATAGACCGCTTTCTTATTCTGCCTAGACTATTCAATCTAGGCGGTCGAATGTCGAACCATATTGTGGAGCCCGCGCTCCACTTGGCTTCTGTACTTGCATAGTCTTTAGGAATGGCTTTCATACATGACAAGAACCTGGCTGATCATCTCTATTGACAATATAAAACTATTTTGATGGTTCTATTGTCTTAAAATGGTGGTATCCGCAGCCTGCATTCTAGACATGAGGGTCTCGGTAGCTATAAGACTCGTTGAATACCACACTGGGAGAATGTTGTTGCAGCTGCAGAAATTCAGGGGCTACCCAATTCGCGGACATATAGGCTAAAAAAGCAGTCATTACAATTGGCATTCCCACATTCCAACTGTCGTGTGCGGATCACGTTGCGAAAGACGCTGATGAACTGAAGCCCTTTCCATTCCAATTCGTTTGATATCTGGTCGCAAGGAGATCTATACGTGTCTGCTTTTAAAGTTAGAGTATCTCTAACCCCCGGCTGGGAATCTTAAACAAGTACTAGGTGCAGCTTTGATTGATCTGTTGTTCATATAGTATCATTATTCGAGTCAATCGCGACATACAGCTTGGAAGTAGTATCAGTGCCAAACCATTATCTAGCCACGACTTTGGGTTCTATTCGAACAAAACGAGCTTTCAAAAGTAGAATACCCTTGGTAACAACAGCAGTGTTCGCGGATTATAACAACTTAGAAGGGGACAATTTGACGCCGCCAAGGATCTGATTAACAGTGAGCAATGATCTCAAGGACAGGAGAAATCATTGCTTCTGAATCCAGCATGTCTTGATCCGCCTCAGGTTCTGTACAGCTGAGATGAAATGTTTATTTGACTCAGCCATCGTACATCGAAATCACTCTACAAGGTCCAAATCTCACATTAGACACGAGAAGGGACGACATCGGAGCCACCATCTTTTGTTTTCCGTGGTTCTGGTTGGACCATCATCTAGAGCTGAAAAAAAAACAAACCTTTCGGCAATACTAACGTGCCCGGTTCCTTCCGCAAAACCAGACCCTTCCCTAGAGGGAGAGGAATGAGGAAAAGGCAAATGATACACTTCGAGACACAGGGTTCACCCATTGTAACTCAGGTATCGGCCAGTAATCAAAGTCAAAACGATTTGCAACATTGATAGGCATGCAAGCACCGAGAAGGACCAATGTACCACGAGGCTTGTTTTAGACTTTACCATGCCCAATATCCACTACCAAACACAAGAGGCGGGCAATGTCCGAAGCTTTATAATATGCACCGTGTACCTAGGTAGACCATAATGGCCGCACTAACCACAGAAAGAAACAACCTATGAGCCAGTCCACTCAGCTTTGAATGATAAAATCTTGAGCCAATTAGAAGAAAACATCAAACCACTTTCATTATCCGAAGGATCAAGCTCGAGGGTTGGCATTGAATGCCAAGAGACCTGGTAAACCTGGCGTCGTCGTCTAGTTCATTTGGAATCAGTGACAGAAAGTTGGGAAAGTGGTATATCCCAAGCCCCTGAAACCAGGAACACGAAATCCGAATATAGGCTTTGGTATTTTGCAGGTGACATAGTACACAGCAGGGTAACTGCCGAAGATCAAACCCCGTGGGGGAACATACGGAACATATCGGGATCTGCTCCCTGGCTCAGTGCGCGAGCCATATAATGCGGAGAATACCTGGGAATCTGCATATGTTCCATATAAACTATATCAGCTCGGTCTTAACGACCATACATAGGGCTGGTCGAACTCTCTATAAACTTGGCACTCAGAAACTCATATATATCAACCAAGTCCCGTAGCCAATCGGAGCAGATAATAGTCACAGGCACCAAGCATGCCGCTTTGACAAGACTGGACCAACCTCTCCACAAAAGCTTTTGAGATCCTAGCAAACGCCAAGTCTGGCAAATTGACCGGCATCTTACCTTACCTCGCTATCGCCGTTCGGACACCAAAATCCGTGTTGTGAGGTCATTTCGGAGGTTGATTGTGCGGAATTAGCCCTAGACATGACAAAAAGGTTGGCATTAGCAAAGTGAAATTAAAACTGGAGCCGAAATCGTGGGCTCATCTGAACACAAGACCGTGGGGGCCAGAATTGCCTTATGGGCGATAGTTAGACTTGCATAAGGAAAATTATGTTGACATAAGGAATTTGCTCAAAGCTGCCGGATCAGTCGGTTGCAGTACAAAATTCGAGAAAGTTTGTAAAAAATCATAGTTCCAAGCATATTCGAATTCGTGCTCTTACTCTCTAGCGTACACCATGTTTTTGGGATAGTAGATGATACACTAGTTTAAGTGCAGAGAATTTTCATACAAACTAGTATATACGACAAGCAGAAAGTCAAAGGAAAAAACCCCCCCATCAATGTGTGCAGTTCAATATTCAAGTGTTTCTAACTAGAGAAAGTATTTAGGAACTGTATATCGTATACCCCTTTGATTGTCAGGCACCAAAAGGTCCGGTAGAACTCCAAAGAGTACCTGCTGACAGCATTATTCACCAAATCTTTATTGGCCATAATATTATTATCTGCTAGCCCCCGCAAATGTTGAAATCTCTGCATCTCGGGTGAGCCGAATAGGTGAAAATTGTCCACCGGGGGAAGAGGGGCACCTCAAGACAAGATCAAGCCATCATCTCAACAAATCGGGGTTCCCTCGGAGTTAAAAGTCAAAATACGGCAAGCCTCCACCATCGACAAGATGAAGTCGGTGGCTGCTCATTAACGACGAGACGGCAAAGACTGTTCCTTTTCTTTTTCGTGATATTTTGATTAGCCAATCTCATTCTATTTACGGCTCCGGGGCCCCGCGGCCCTTTACCAAGAGATCTGGTTGTGAGACGTATTGTCGCCCCCAATATGGGAGATTGCGGAAGATGACCGAGATGGTGGGGTGCATGGGACACAATGGAAGCAATCTCACGACTCACGGTCCACTTTCCTGCCCCCCGGACAGACCCCGGATTGGGTTCTATAACGTGGTCGGCCTTGGCGGACACTTGGCGGTCGACAAGCCTTATGAGCCTCTATATGTACGGCCCGAAAGGGCAATGAGTGGCCGAGCACACCACACGCGTCCTGCAATCTAGTTTGAATTTTTTGTCTTGACACCGGCATTGTCGGAGAATTACGAACACCCTCTCCTTTTTTCAAATCTTCCCATAATCCGCTCAAACGATTTGTATCGGCTGAAAATTGATACTTTCTTGGTGTCAATCATGGAGTGTCGGAGCGCATGCGCCCTGAGCGCCGAATCCTCCGATACTTCCTGGCCGGCATTTCTTCCAATCAGATCAGATCAGTGCGGTCCTAACCCGTGGATCCAAGCTGATTCGGGAGTGGCGAAAGCGCGGGATCTCTTGCTTATTTACCCGGCAAGGTAAACCCTACCGCGTGGAGTCGGCGGTGTGGCCGAGTCACAATCAATGTTTCAAAAATTGACCATGAGGGTGGATGATTGTTACCCACTGTGGAATTGACCTACCCACAGAAGTAAATTGCCATTATGTGATGCGGGGTCTCCACGACACCAATAAGAGGACCAATGGTATAAACCAAGAGGGAGCCCTGCCTTCTCTTCTTGCTTTCCTCACGCCTCCCGGAGTGACTTTTCTTCAACTGTCCTCTTCACTCCGTCACAATGTTTCGAGGAAAAGCCTTGCGCGTAGCGCAGGCATTGCTCATCGTTGCACCGGCCTTCATTGTTTTTGGTTACAATCAGTCAGGCTTGGGCCCTCTGGCTACTCTAGAAAGCTGGGTGAAGGTCTTCCCTGAAATCGATACTATCGACACAGAAGGCGCTCAACGCGCTCACAACTCCACAGGAAAGGGTACCGTCATTGGATCCTTCCAACTTGGTGCTCTAGTTGGAGCGTTATCATGCACATACTTCGGTGAATGGCTTGGTCGCCGGAAGACAATCTTCTTGGGTGCTATTCTGACCATCATTGGATCGGTACTGCAGACCGCGGCCTATGGCTTGCCTCAATTCGTCGTTGGCCGTGTTATCCTTGGATTGGGTGTTGGGCAGTTCAGTGTTGCTGTTCCTGTGTGGCAGTCAGAGTCTACGTCAGCCAAACACCGCGGACAGCATGTCGTCGTGGACGGTATCTGTATCTGTTTGGGTTATGCACTATGTAATTGGATCGATTTCGGATTGAGCAAGGTTGGTGGCTCATTGCAGTGGCGTATCCCACTGGCCATCTCCCTCTTCTTCTCTGTCGTTGTCTTAATTTCGGTCTTCTTCCTCCCCGAGTCCCCTCGTTGGCTCGTCCGAGTTGGACGCATTGAAGATGCCACCAAAAGTCTAGCTGCCTTCAAGGGCGTGTCCGACGACGACGAGTCGGTCCGCGTCGAGATCGCTGGTATCGAGACCTCCCTCGAGGCTTCGGTTGCTAACACCTCGCTCATGGATATTTTCAGCATCAACAAACCCGACGACGAGCGCCTCCTATACCGTTTTTGTCTTTGTGTTGCTCTGCAATTCTTCCAGCAGATGTGTGGTGGAAACCTGATCTCGACATACGTCTCAACAATCTTCGAAGAGAACCTCCACATGGACAGCGACCTGGCACGCATTTTGTCTTCGTGCGCCATGACCTGGAAGTTCCTCTGCAGTTTCATTGCCTTCTTCGCCATCGACCGCCTCGGCCGCCGCAAGATCTTCATGATCAGTGGAACCGGTATGGCTGTCTGCATGATGGTTCTCGCCATCACCAACAGCTTCGGCGAGAATCACACAGCTTCCATTATCTCAGCCGTGTTCATCTTCCTGTTCAACTCCTTCTACCCCGTCGGATTCCTGGGTGGTAACTTCCTCTACTGTACCGAAGTCGCTCCCATGCGTCTTCGTGTCGCCATGTCCGCCGTCTCGACAGCAAACCACTGGCTGTGGAACTTTGTCGTTGTCATGATCACTCCTGTCGCGCTCGACACCATCGGTTATAAATACTATATTGTGTACACCGTTATCTCGGCCTGTATTCCCATTTCGGTTTACTTCTTCTACCCAGAGACAATGAATCGAAATCTCGAGGCCCTGAACCACGTATTCCGCGATGCGCCGACTACTTGGGATATTGTGTCCATGGCTCGCAACCTGCCCCAGGGCGAGGCTGCCGAGGTGGATGTCTGGATGCGGACCGAGGAGAAGGGGGCTGTTGATCAGAAGGAGAACGCCTAGATTATAGGCATAATTTGCTTGAGATGCTGACTATTGTATATATCCCTTATGATGACCATGGAACAGGATTCCTCCAATCACGATAGATGAGACCATTAGTATGAGCCCATCAAAAATTTCAGGTATTTTTTCAATACATTCTCTTTTTCTAAGTAACTCCATAGATTTGTCCAGGTACCTAGGTGCCTTCTAAAGTTCTTGTATGAGCCCAGGGAGCCCAGTTACCCGTTGTTCTCTGCTTCAATCGGGTGTCGCAAAGCGAAATGTAGTTCACCGGAATTGGGGTAAATTTTCAGCATGGTGGCATAAACAACAGCGTCAAAAGTGCATAGAAGGATACAAGGCCCTATCGTATGTTTGCTCAGGTGCTATGTGTGGTGATATAATCGTGTTGTATCTATGAGTCTCTCAATATTTTATACTTCGATACTTTGAGCCCAGAAACGAACGAAATGAAACAAGGACCTAGAGAAAACGACCGCTCTTCAAAGCACCCGGAAAGTCGTCTTTCAACGTCTCCCAAATTGGCTTACCTCCCATCTGAAGATCCTGGAATGCCGGGTAAGTAAGGTTCAGCAAAGGCTCCGAGAGCATATTTGTGACGAATTTCAACGGCTCGGCTAGAGTCGAATACAACTTAGACGACTTGTAAGTTTCAGGTAATCTAGAACTATGAGAATCCTCGTCCATACTTTCTAGCCCACGGCAATACATGTTAAGCCATTGCTTTAGAAATAAGAGATCCAGAACGTGGTTAGAACGTGAAGCGTGCGCGCACACGAGAGCAGCATAAAAACTCAGCTTGACCGTGATCGACAGGTTGTCACCCGGCGTCACCATTTCTCGGCCCCTTGGAAACGAGATAGAACCTTTCACGTCCATCCTACGGAAGTAGAACTGCGGCCGATAGTGGTTGGGGAAGGGTATGGCGCGACCGCCCTCCTCCATGTCCAGCACGTACACTTCCGCTGTGAACTCTGCCCACATCATGGCCGTACCCGGCATGGCCAGCACATAACCGCTCCCTACGTCCTCACGCCTGAGGCCACGTAGCAGGATACCCACGTTTTCCCCTGCCTGGCCAACGTCCAGCGGCTTCTTGAACATCTCAACGCCCGCACAAACCGTCCCGACCGTGACGCCGATGCCCAGGACCGCGACTTTGTCGCCGAAGCGGATCATGCCGCGCTCTACACGACCTGTGGCCACCATGCTACGACTAGGACAAAAGGAAGACGTCACACTAGAGGCAGGTGCGGAGCAGCTTTCTCTATTTTTATTTACTTTATGTGGGGGAAGGTTGTTTTGAAGGTGGGGTAGGAGAGTTCCAGACGATCATTCCAGATCGACAATAAGCTACTCGCTCAAGACTCTACATTCCATAGAATATTACAGTATTATTACCTTGACCCATCTGTTGGTGTAAGTACGTTACTCTTGAGGTTCTGTCGAAATTGTAGAGCGGTGAACTATCAGCCCTCCCTTGATCATACAGATCGATATCTCTGCTTTTGCTAAGCTTACCGATATAAAAGCAGACAGTTCCCGCATACTCTTCTCTTGCTACCTCTGTCATTATCGGCAAGAAGTCATCTTTTCTCTTGATCATCTCCGATTTGAGTGAAGATATTGAAAGTATGCGTAACTATCTCTCAGAAGGACAAGCGAATAACGAATAGACCAAAAAGTGAAGGAAAAACTATATATCTATAAATCCTAAGCACCCTATATTACAGCATCTTGCTAAAAAAATTGAGATAGAATTCTAATAACCGAAGCCCCGAAGAGGAGAATGAAAAGTATGAGAAACACATGGAACACTGGAAGAATATTAGTCAAGTAGCGGTACAATCTCAAACCGAATCTGCACATCATACACATCGGCCCAAGTGACAATCCGTCTAATCATCATTGAGCCCCTAGGAAATGAAGATATGACAAGAGAGGCCGCCGCCTTGCCCAACTGTGTTCCGAGGATTTCATGGTATGAATCGGTACCGCGCTCAAACTTCTTGCATGGGTTATCTCTCGCATTCTCCCATAGCATATTATGTCGGGGGTAGAGTGTATACTTTATATAGGGCCCCGTCTCTTCATTCACGACATTACAGAACGCGATATGTCTGAGGGTGGAGATTGGAAAGTCAATCTCGTATAGGGCCGTAGCGACTTCATTCCAAAAAGGTCCATTCTCCCGGCTGATATTATTGCCAAGAATAATACCAAGACCATTTATGTGGCTGTAGAAGTTGTACTCTAGTACCGAGGTGTCCCACTGCGAGGCAGTCACAGACCGGTAATTTGAGGACTGAAGGTCCATGGAATCAGGGTCTGCATTGTCCAATATCGTGGGACGTTCTGTATATTGCCACTCATCGCGATCCCATGGTTGTGGTACTTCGAACAATTGGGCTGCGGTTAATTTTGCAGGTTGAATTCTACACCCTAGTGCGCTGGCATCCTCAATCCACTCCTGGTAACGCACACCTAACTCTCTGTACCGAGCTATTTGTTCATCACTAGGTGCTCTATTTTCCTCCAATTCAGAACTCGTGGAACTTTCCCCACTAATTCGTGATCTCTTGCTCGCCCGTTCACTGGGCTCATTAGTTTCCCAGGAGTAGTTGCTGTTCTCTTCGTGTACTTTGGCCCTCCTGCGCTTTGCGCTGCTGGACGCAATTGAATGCTGATTTTGGCTTGCATCTTGTGTGGAAACCTTCTCCACTCCTTCATTAGCATTTTCAGACTGGCTTTGGCTGGAATTATTAGCTCTATAATCAACTTGATTATTGGAATCATATTCACCTGTGGGAGGAGCCATTTTTGTAATAGAGTTTCTTGTTGATTCGAGTGAAGCAATTTCATAGTCGGACAAAGATCGATCACCGGCACTAGCATCGCTTACTCTGGTCGTATAGCCTGTGTGGGACTCATTCCCCGAGGGGGGAAGTGGAGGATAATCATTATAGGGTTGAGTCTCGTATGGGATGTTGGATACACTGTGAGACATGGCTTGTTGTCGAAGCCGGCGATGGGCTTCGATTTGTGGATTAAGTTCAATTGGCCTGTCAGCAAGGGGACCCTGAGATTCGCCGGTATCATCATGCTCGTGTTCATCTTTACAACTGCATAATAGTCCGAGGCACTTGGCCTTGCTACACATCTTTTTAAACATTTTCGTGAATATCTATCGATGGGCTTCAATAAAAGAATAAGAAAAAAGATGATTTGAGATAACAATTTTCTTGCTCGCTGTGTGATAAATTTAAATGGAGACGAGTCAGTCCACAGCGCATTTATTATATAGTAATTTCGGTGTCACGATTACTCTTTGTTCGAGAGATCTCCCTTTGTTCACGAGGTCTGGAACTCGAAATAACACGTAAACCAAAGGGGAACAAGGAACTAGGAACCAAGGACATATGAATCTAACAAAGACATTTGAAAAATGCCCAAAGAGAGTATATTAAAACAAAGAAGGGCAAGGATAACAAGGGCGAGGAAACTATTCATCATGACATTCTTTCTTGGAACTAAGATAGGGCGTAGAATTCAACAGAATACTCGAGGATCGCGCAAGGGCGATACACAGGAGGACAAAAAACTCGCCAAAGGCCCTTGAAATTTAGACCTTTGTTAAAATTCAAATGCAATCAATGAAGTAAATTTTAGTGTAGATTTTTCATAATGTACCTCGTCCATGAAACTTGATAAGTTCAAGGGGTGGCCTATACTGATATGGAACCTGATAGTTCCATGTCAAGGCCTAGTATGAAGGTGCGCAGCGGCCAGGGGTGGGAAATGAATTATTCCTAGGATTGCTGCCAGAATGTGTGCCTGAAATTGACCACCTTTGTCACCGCTCCATCACTACTTATGGTTTCCTGTTACCAATTCTCTTTTTCACCTCCTTTTATATCCCTTCATAATCCTTTTTACTATGGTCTCCATTCTAGTAATTCAAGCGTTTCAATTTTCTGCCAGACTTAAGTCAGGCATTTGCAGGCAGCGATTCCAGAAATAATTCATTTCTGATCTCTGGCCGCTATGCATTTTCGCAAGGCCTAGTATATTAGCAATGTCCTTCCTCAATCTATTTGGCAAAATAAGTCACTTGTGCATCCCATATGATTCTGCCTCAAAAGGTTTGTACACGAGGCTAATAAAATGGAGAATTCAGATTGGGAATCTCCTTTAAGGGGTGTATAAAGATGTCTCAAGATGGAAGGCGACAATTTGTTTGTGGCTTTCCTTTGGCATGCTGGGATAACACAACTACAAATACTCTTGCGGGAGGCATTGGTTATTAAAATTTGAGCGCGTCCAAAATAAATTGAACTCTTTTTACTTACTCCTTTGTCTTTCAATATGCGTTGGTTGTGGTCACTGTTGTTATTAGGCGTCTCAGCCAACGCCCACAAATTAATAGACTGTCCGCTCCTTGGGCCTGCATTCCCCGCGCCTACAGCTTTATCAAAAGATCCTCTTTTTCTGAGAGTATCAGAGCAGTTGACTCTGCGACTCAATGAGGCAATTGAGAATGGAACTCTACCCTCCATCTCATTCGCAGTACAAGTTTTCAGCGCCCAAGAAGATGAGTCGGCATTCGGCTTCTACCACACAGATGACCCAATTACAGTTGGAACTGTGGGTGTCAATGAGATAAATGAAGATACTGTCTTCCGAATCGGTAGCATATCAAAGCTGTGGACTATGTTCCTCTACATGACTATTGGTGGAACACGATACTTCCAAGAGCCTGTCTCGAAATATGTTCCCGAGCTGCGCACAAGTTACAATCTGACACAAGCAACAAACACACTTGGTCATGTGCAGTGGAGTGATGTGACTATTGGTGAATTGGCGAGCCACCAGGCTGGCATCTTGAGAGATTGTACGGTGATGATGATATTATCGTCCGATTGTGCTAAATTACTGTTGTACTGACCTGGAAATACAGATGGACCTACAGATTTGGGGTTCCAGTGGACCACTCTACAAAACCAGGGCTTCCCCGCACTATCAAAGCTCGAGCAATTGACTTGTGGTAATGATTACCCGTGTGCCAGAAAAGGTTGGTAGACTGCACTTATCCGTATTTTTTTTTCCGTTCTTCGGCTGATGGATTTGATATCTTCAGAGTTCTTTGATGGGGTGTTTAAAGCGCGTAAGTATGCTGTGCTTTCTAATTGGATATATCTGAACGTCTGTACACAGATCCCATGCTTTCGACTTCCTATACCCCCACATATTCTAACGCAGGTTACCAAATACTTGGATACGCGTTGGAGTCAGTTCTAAACTCTAAGTATGCGGACATATTAGCGGATCGACTCATCAAGCCACTCAACTTAACCCGGTCTTCCCTTCACGCTCCTGATTCCCGTCTGGCTGTGATACCTCACAATGAGACTTCAAGCATGTTCAACTATTTACTAGGTGACGAAGATCCGTAAGTTGCGACAGGATGGCCTGGATCAAGATAGCTTGCTTACACATTTCTAGTGCCGGAGCAATATTCTCATCCCCAAAAGATATGGCTTCCTTCGGCCGTGCGATTCTTTCAAATGCCCTTGTTGACCCTGTCATCACAAGGAGATGGCTAAAGCCAGCAACACATACCTCCTCTTTGCGTTTCTCCGTCGGGGCGCCGTGGGAGATATATAGTTTCTCGACACCTCGTCGAATTGACCTATACACGAAGGCCGGGGATATTGGCATGTATTCTAGCTTCCTAGGTCTATCTCCGGACCACGATGCAGGCTTTACAGTTTTGGTTGCCGGCGAAAATTCGCACCAGATGACGTCTACAATCTCAGAGCTGGTTGCAGATATTTTACTACCGTCACTTGACAATGTCGCGAAAAACCAAGCACTTGAACGATTTGTGGGCACTTATGCGCTGACAGGCGATACCTTTAATTCTTCGATCACCATTACTGCAGATGATGGCCCTGGCTTGAGAGTGGAGGAATGGATCAGCAACTCGGTCGATATGTACGAGACTTTGATGACACTGCAACATGTGACAGATCGCTCCGCGATAAGCATTCGACTACAACCCAACGGTCTCCAAACTTCAGATCGAGTTGGATTTTCAGGCGTTATATATGCGCTGCCTATTCCGCCAAATACCGGACCTATTCTTGGGTCGTGCATTTCGTGGATCGCACTTGAGTCGCTCATATATGCAAACATTGGTCTGTCGGAGTTTGAGTTCGGATTGGACGACCGTGGAGATGCTATGAGTATATCCCCGCGGGCGTTACGCGTGACCCTCCCCAGACTTTGATCAGCTATCCTTTGACAAAGGCTCGTCATTCGAGCCTGAGCCAACCTTGGCTTATAATATTATTCTATCTCATTCATTCAGTGTATCTAGGTAAACTAGTCGCCGAGCGTAGATTTAGCAAATTATTATTCGGCTGCGGCAAGAAAGAGCCGCTCTTAGCCCTAGCTGTTCGGTTCGGGTTAGCCAAAACAGTAGGGATCGGGGACCGGGTTATCTTTTGCCCCAAGGGTCTATTTTATGAAAGAATAACCTACAATACAATGATATTTGCAACCGAGGTCCCGACGGGCTGGCTGGTGCTATGTGGGGCCATAGTGGAGCAAAGGAAGCCAGAAGGGCCTGAAATGACGTTGTAGGTGAAATTTTTTTTAACGCTGTGAGTTAACTCTAGACCCTGCATACGATTCGCCATGTTAGGGAGCCCGCTGCCTTCGGGCGACTGGAGTCCATATGTTTCATTCGCGATGGTTTAGCGATATTACTTCCTAAACGAGGAGTTCTAGCGAACCATGGTGCTGGAGAAGTTCTCTTCGGACTTGTACGTCTGTATAGGTAGTGATAGTTAGTCAAAAACATACCGGTACTACCATCGCGACAACGCATGTACATTATTGTACAATGAACGTGTGATATTGGTGAAATATGGTCTACATTATGGTCATGAAATGTAGCACTCGGGCTTCGGCCGGCCGTACGTAGCAATAGTTGACTATACCGGAGAGAACGCGTGAGTTGAACAGAGGATGTCAAACCAAGGAAAGGTCTTTGACCGGTTTATTTTAAGTTGGCTTGGCTTTCTGGGCGCATGTGGCGCTGGAATTGGCATCTTCGAGACGGTTTTCTTTTACCTTGCGTGTCGAACATTTGAAGAATGGATTTGCACAACGTATATCATGGGGAAATCTGGAGGGATTTGAAATGCCGGGGTATGGGGTATACAGCGTGCTTTGTTCCTCGATGCCTTAGTTGTAAGGATTTTCTGATGTAATTTTGGACTCGGTTACGTAGATAGATATCGGCATTTTGTTAATTCAATTTGAACGACATAATGAAACATTGGGACGATAAGGCGGCATTATCGGATGGGTGATGTCATCCGCATAAGCACCCGAGGACCTACTCAGGTACAAAATAGTACAATGTACAGAGTACATATGTACATATAAAAATGGTCCACTAATGAACGAACGCAATTTACACTCTTTGTGCGGAGATCTCCCGTCACTTTGGTGGACATAACCTAATTGGCCGAGGAGAAACCGAAAAATCCTTTAGCTCTTTATTGTAACTTTTGTTATATGTAGCCTCCTACCGGTATGCAGGGATGACTTCATTCTTTGTTTTCGTGTCTGGAGTACTCGAACTTCTGAACATAACTAGTAGAAGAACTACCCCATTATAATTTATATGACCAAAGAGAAAGAGAGACGAAAGAGGAAAGTATGCCATCTCTATATTGTATTTAGCTAGCCGATCAAGCACCGAAAACCTGATAAAAAACTCAGATCTATCTGCGCCCTGAGCGGGAGCAGGAAGGAACCGATAATCCGAGATGCCAGTGCGGCCGACTGACGTCAGATGCGTTTGGTGGAGACACGCCAAGGTAGGGTTAGCAGATCATATGAAAATTTCTGACATTCCTTCGATAGTATACATTTCAGTCTGATTGATTGTGATCATAATACTTGTTTTAAGGAAAAAAATCAAAGTAATTAAAGCAGAGCAACATCTGATTTTCCATTGCACCTGACATTTAATTCTTTTGTAATAAAACAGCTGAGTTGTATTCAACTCTCGAATTTATGCATAGCTACGCCAGTCTCCACTCCCCTATGCAGCCATGAGATCCACTATAAATCCGGTTTGAAAATGCAAAAAAAAAGAGAAAGAAAGCCGAAACCAAAATTTGAGTTGTATGTATGTTCCTCGAGAGATATAACAATTGGGGAAGGTCCACATATTTTTTTTTTCCTTCCTCAAGCCCTTGTCTGCTCCCCCGCATGCCATGTCTCCCCCAGAGCAACATGAAGCTCAAGCTGTCCACAGCGAGAGCAAGCCGTCATCTTTAAATGACGGCACAGACAGCAGCGATCCTAACGAGCCTGTCAACATTGGCGATGCGATTAGTGAAAAGAAAAGCGAGCGCTCAGACGGAAAGCGCGAGCTAAAGGAAGGAGATTGTTATGAAATCTTGGGCTACTCGTGGCCACGATGGAAGAAATGGACCTATCTCGCCGCGGTCGCGTTCGTTCAAGTCTCTATGAACTTCAATACCTCTGTGTATCCCGCTGCTGTTAAACCTTTGGCTGAGCACTTCCACATCAGCGAGCAACATGCTCGGACAGGTCAGATGGCTTACCTGGTGACATACTCCATTGGTTGTGAATTGTGGGCTCCTTGGTCTGAGGAGTTTGGCCGCTGGCCAATTCTCCAGCTCTCTATGTTCTTGATCAACATCTGGCAACTCCCTGCTGCCCTTGCTCCTAATTGGGGCTCGCTTGTTGTTGCTCGTGCATTGGTATGTCTATATCTCCGCTTGCGCGAAACATAAAACTAACATAGCATAGGGTGGTTTATCTACTGCTGGTGGAAGTGTCACTCTCGGTTTGATTGCCGATATCTACGAACCCGAGACGCAGCAGTTCCCTCTTGCATTCATCGTTCTGTCCTCTTGTATCGGTACTAGTATTGGTGGAGTTATTGGTGGACCAATCGCACGTTGTAAGTGACTTATCCTGCGGCAATTCACACGACTTCTTGCTAATGGGTTAATAATCTAGTCCTTTCGTGGGAATGGTTCTTCTGGATTCAACTCATCTTCGGTGGTGTTACCCAGATCATCATTTTCTTCATGCCTGAAAGTCGTTCGACCATCATCATGGACAAGGAAGCCAAGCGCCGCCGCAAGACTGGAGAAGACCCAAACATCTACGGACCCAATGAGTTGAAGACCCCCCGTATCTCTCTCAAAGAAGCCGGCAAGATTTGGGCGCGACCATTCTACATGCTTCTGCGTGAGCCCATCGTGTTATGTTTGTCTCTTCTGTCCGGTTTCTCCGATGCTTTGATCTTCACCTTCTTGGAGAGCTTCGCCATCGTGTACGAGCAAGGATGGGGCTTCGGAACCCTTGGCCAGGCTTGGGCAATTATTCCCATCAATGCCGCCTATTTCATCGCTTACTTCAGCTACTTCCCGTGGTTTTTCAGAGACCAAAAGCTTCGCCTCAGACACGGCGACGCAGCTATTCCACCAGAGCGTCGCCTCAAGTGGCTGTTGTTCCTTGCGCCCCTCGAACCAATCGGTCTGTTCGGCTTTGCTTGGACATCGTTCGGTAATTCGCGCAACGTTCACTGGATTGGATCAATGATTTTCTCCGGTTGTGTCGGTATTGCCAACTACGCGATCTACCTCTCCTCGGTTGACTACATGGTCGCATCGTATGGTGTTTACTCCGCTTCTGCGACTGGTGGTAACGCATTCGCTCGTGATCTTCTTGCCGGTATTTCGGCCATGTATGCCACCCCCATGTACACGAATATTGGCAACAAGTGGCATGTTGAGTATGCAAGCACTATTTTGGCTTGTCTCTCCTGCCTTGTTGTAACTCCTATCTACGTCTTCTACTGGAAGGGACCTCAGCTCCGTGCGAAAAGCAAATTCGCTGCTACCCTGGCTGCCGACAGAGAGCAAAACAATGGCCGTCGTGTCAGCAAGATCAGCATCGAGCCCTGATCTGATATTATGCAGATGCACTCGGAGCTTACGTGAATTTATGTATATCTGTCTCCATATCTGTATATATGACTCGCGATGAGTTGATGGAGAATTATCTGATAGAATTGTTTTGGCTATCATGACAACGAATCTTAATTATGTTCAAAATATTATTCTTGTTCCCTGGTGGATTTAGATACGTGTACATACGATAAGACAAGGTCGTTTGTCTCTGAGAAGTATTCTTGACATGTATTTCAGGCACGTAACGGTTAAGAGGTCGATACAGGATCCCCCGCGTTTCACTTATACCTAGGTAATACCAACATTATGTACAGGAGTTTGTTTTACCTAGGAACATCGCTACGGCGTCATCGATATACGTGGAAGGGATCCATTGCCTCCTTTGGCATCCCGATGCAATATCATGAATTTGGCTAGGAAGAGGCATGTTGATTTGGGAATTGAAGGTATTAGATTGTTTCCCGAGCAGTCAAGTCTCATAAGCAAAGAACACAGGTCATCTAGAAGGTCCAGTTGGAAGTCTCAGGTCTGTGGCGCTATTCATGCCAGTCGATTTTTTTGGGTGGCTTGCTCAGGCCCCACAAGTAGAACTTTCTCTCACGCCAGGGTAATCGCTTGGTCTCAGTAGGCTGACGGAAGCCTACCACAAAATTATAGCCATAAACTAGCCAATCTCTCTTAAGAGTATTCTGCAGCTGCGAAGGAGTTCTTACGGGTTATCAGAGACCGAATCCCAGAGCAAATTCGACGGACCAGCGAACAGAAGGCGAGGGCCAACAGCTTCGAGCTCACTAAAGGGGGCAGATGTTAGCATACATAGAAGATAGGTGAATTAGGGATGGAGGCAGTGGCCCACCGAATTGGCTTGCTCTCAAAGGCTTCCCGAATTATGTGATGTTGTTCATCATCCATATTCCAGAAGACCTTTCGGCCAACATTGTCCCCTATTTGAACACCGGGCACTTGGTCCCGCACAAACAATATCAGAAAGCGACCGAGAACAAGAGCGGAGCTCTCCTGCTCTTCTTCCTAATATCCTAGGAGGCGTGGGGTAACCTTAGACTGCTTGTCGGTGAAGTTCTTGTGTGCCAGGCCTGTCTTTGGAACCATGCTATGACGCCTGAGCAGGAAGACCACATCCTGTCAATTCCATGTTCAAAAATGGCAGCCCATGGACCACAAGAACTTCTGAGGTTGCCCATCATTGTATCTTGAGGCGGAAAAATACTGTCTTCGTCTATCAGGAAACTAGATACCAAACACTACGAGAATGGACATCCCCGATGGTGATGAATCGCTCACTATACATTGTACGGGCGTTGCGCAGCAGAGGGCTGTATTGGGACTCCCATCGAAGTTAAGAAAATAAGCACTGTGATCAAAGGATTCGTACAAACCGCAAGGAGCGTTTGATCTGCAGCCCAAAGTGGAGCGAGCTATGATCGAAGTAGTAACGATGTGCATAGCCTAATTTCCACGCACGCTTCTTGTGCTCCCATCAATAATATCTCCTTTTTCACTCCAATCTTCTCTACTACACACCACCGACAGAATGATCACGAGCACTATTGAGATTGCCGCGCCGCCCGCTAAAGTGCGAGAAATAGTACGTACTGAAACTGCTGGAGATCACAGCGGAGCGGGCACACTAACGCAATTCCGGCCGCAGTTGCTCAACTTTTCGGCATACCCTGAATGGCACACGGAATGGCTGAAGGAGATTAAGCCGACGGATGGTAAGAGGCCACAAGATCTTGCATCGGGAGACAAGATCGATGTGAACATCGAGAACTTCAAGTTCGTCGCAGAAGTAAAGGTGAGACACCCCTGCCTGCACGAAGGAAACAAATGCTTATCAGCAAACAAAGGAAAACAACGAGAGCTTGTTCTCTTGGCAAGGCCCGCCCGTGTTTACCATTGCTGGTCTGCATAAATTTCATATCGAGCCGGCTAATGATGGCGCATCTACTATTTTTACGCAGACTGAGGATCTCAAGGGTCTCCTTGCGTTCATTATGAGTCCTTCGCTGCTTGGAAAGAAGATGCGTGCTCATTTCGATATTTTCCACCAGGACCTTAAGGCCCGGGCTGAACAGGCTTAATTTTGGGGCCAAAATTGTTGGGGCACGCACTGTTGGTTATTTATGCACGCACTTTGGTTTTGTTGTTCGAGTCAGAGCGGTGCATAATGATACATCTTGAATATTTCCCTTTGAGGCCATTAGATATGGTGATAAATCTTTGAAATATACCCTTGAAATTGACATGAAGATATAGACGCTTCCAAGGAGCCTTGCAATATACACAGATTACGAGCTAGGCTGGACACTCCCGGAGCCACCTAGGTAGCATTGGAGGGGCCTCGAGCGCTGCTCGAGGTCGAAACTAGCTCTTCCCAGTAGAATCAATCTATACGAAAGGCATGTGTATCGTGAAGAACGTGTGAAGATGAGCCGGATATACTCAACGTGTTCCACAGTGATCATGGTGGGGTTGGATCGAACGTCTGCTCCAGATCAGACCCACCATAGGTTTTTTTTGTGGACTGATGGACTAGCTCACATCTCAAGCCAGTTTCTAAAACCCCGTTAAAAGGTTGTGTGGTTTGGATATAGGCATTCACCATACCCAGCCACATGTGACTGATATGGAAGAAGTTCTGACCAATCAGATCGTGAGCACCTCGACCCATCACCAGTAGAAACATGGTGAATTCTTCATTCCTCTGGCATAGAGAAATTAGAGGGAAGTTTCCTCGGTCGATGTTGTCAGGCGTCATTAACAGTCGAGAGTGCAGCCCATTTGGAATGCTGTCAAAATTGATATCCCATAGTGGCCGATCGTTTTCGCAAACCAATACCGGTCTTCATGTATGAACTGATAGGCGAGAGTGGGGTATGAGCATTCATATAAATGTTGTTCCGGTGATGTTTGGTGAGGTACAGAGCGTGAGGTATGACGATTCTGTTTGATTCGCAACATCGAATACGGCATCCCAGTGAGGCCGAAACACATCTTCGCCTTGAGATGTCGCTAACCATAGGACAGTTTTGATGTGAAGTAGAGCGTCTTGGAAATTTTCCAGTTGTAGTGAAGCTGCGATGACGCGTGCTCTTTGCATAAACATCTGATGATGGGCTGCTCCCGTTGAAGCAGCCATTCCAATCGTTACAAGCCAAACATCAAGGGAATCCAGGACACGAGTATCCGTTGCAAGATACTTGAGGTGCTCAATAAGTCGAATGACGATCGTGTTTAGTATAACTGCATGCGAGTAATATGTGGGTCCCTGAACAATGAACATATAAAGTATGATTGCGCAGCGGATGCATTCTGTCATGGGCGACATTTGGGGCGTGATTGCGTCGGAAGCGGGGAGTAGAAGTCTGTGCACCACAAAGCATGTAAGGTCATGGATCTGGGTTGTCGAGAAAGGTATCTGTTGTGCCCGCTGGAAAACGTTGCGGAGACGGATGAAAACATTCAAGACTGCATGATCGATTTCAATATTGCTGAGATCAAAGTTGTCTTCCCATATGGCGGTCGATTCTAACTGCCACTCTGGAATCGGCGGTATACCATCTCCAATACCAAAATCATCCTGGGTCTCGAACTGAGGGTGGCCCATGATGAGCATTGATACCCTTTGTTTTGAACTTTGTGAGTATCATAGAGTCAACTGAAACATCGCGTCACTTACCAGCTAACCATTCTAGCAGTAAGTGGACTGGTCTGCCGTACTGAATTGATGCCACCTCTCATGTCGACTAGCTTCTTGACTCCGTCAACATGCATTTGGCTAACCTTGATATTACCCTTGCCGAACTAAAATGTTTGGATTGTTAGCTTGAAGCTGAAATCATAAAAAGAGGAAGGCAAAGCCAAGATGGAACTCACTTCAATAGTTGCTAGCGTGATGACGGAGTTCATGGTTCCATCCTGAACTGCCAGCGACACATCTTCAACTTTTCGTCGGAGCAAAGCTACCGAATCAGCCATGAGAATTTCGGATGATTGAAAGCCCTTTTGGGCAAGGAGCTCCTCATCAAGGCATGCTGTCTGTAGAGATACGTGAAACAATGCCGGATCGCCTAACGCAAGTGGCCACCATGATATGAGAAAAGGATTTGAAGTCACACTTAGGTCAAGCGGATAATATTGGAAAGCGATCTTGTGAAGAACTGAACCTGCGAGTTAGGTTTGTTTGGCTATGTCAACCCCGAATATACGTACAGCCATGGATGAGACGTTGGACGTGCTCTCTAGGGAATCTCGTCGGCGGGTAGGAATCGAAAGGATCAACAGATGCAAATCTGTAGCTATTCAAGGCATCATATCCGCCAAAAGGCCCTAAGGATCCGCCCTTCGGTTGACCGGAAGTTACCGGCGCTGCCGCAGGCTCGTTTGCATAGGCACAGTCGACCTTTCGCCGGATGCAACGAGAGCAACGTGGAGTTCCAAGGTCACAACTGGATTTGGATTTGGCACAGGCAGCACACGAACGGCGAAGAGTTTGGCGCATTGCGGGGAGCTTGAGCATCAAAAGACAGATGGTGTCAGCCTCAGGACAAACTATTGCTTACGTACTCCACACCACCTGCTTCGATATTATATGCGATACAGATGATTGGAACACTGTTAACACAGACTGTCAAAAGAAATTGGAGTGGAGCGTGAACTTCCAGAAATGAGCTCATCAGAAATCATTCTCTACGAAAATACGTGGACTTCAGATGATGCCCCGAGCCCTAGACAAAAGGGGGCTAGTCCCCGTTGTTTGCGATTCGGTCTTGGCATCGGAGTCTAGTCCTAATTAGGAAAGATGTATAAGTACAGCCATATATCATGCCATTGCTTGTTAGCATAATGATTAAAACAAGGGGGAAATATTTGATACTTATATTGAATAAAAATGTACTTTTTTCGTCGCAACTCAGGGTTGAGAAGCTGATTTCCAAATCTTACCGTCAACTTCTTCACTATGGCTGCTGAGATAGCGAACATCTCGATAGCTCAGTATGAGTTGCGTCAAACATGGGCTTCTGATCCTTCTCAGTCCCAGGGCACTATTTTTGAATCTCTGAGAGGATGGTCGACCTGGCAATATATCGTCACATTTTTGTTCGCTGTGGTGCTTTATGACCAAGGTAGCCAATAATTTTTAGGTCCCAGGTTTCATCTAACTGACACTGCTTTATAGTCATGTACATCAAACGGAAGGGCTCAATTGCTGGACCTCCACTGAAGATTCCGCTCATGGGACCATTTCTTCAAGCCTTGGATCCGAAGTTTGAAGGATACCTTGCACAATGGGCAAGCGGACCCCTCAGCTGCGTTTCCGTCTTTCACAAGTACGAGCTCATAATCATCATTGTTTCGCAGCAGCTGAACAGCATTTGAAACACTCTTTACTAAAACACATGTATGACAGATTTGTTGTTCTCGCCTCCGACCGAGACCTAGCACACAAAGTATTCAAATCACCTTCATACGCTGAACCATGCATAGTGCCGATTGCGAAAGACATTCTTGGTCACAAGGCATGGGTTTTCCTTCAAGGTAGGGATCATGCTGAGTACCGAAGGGGCTTGACACCTTTATTCACAAACAGGGCCATGGCTACCTATCTCCCTGTTCAGGAGAGGGTTTTGGCCGACTACTTCAAAAAGTTTGTCGCTGCAAGCAGGACGAACAAGGGAAAGCCCAAGGAGTTCATGACTATATTCCGTGAGATTAATTGTGCGCTCTCCTGTCGAACATTCTTCGGTGATTATATTTCTCAGGCTGCGGTTAAGAAGATCGCCGATGACTTCTACCTAGCCACAGCTGCCCTCGAGCTGGTCAATGTGCCTCTGTCAATGTACATCCCCTTTACTAAACCATGGCTTGGAAAGCGAACTGCCGATGCTGTCCATGTTGAGTTTGCAAAATGCGCAGCTGCATGCAAGGCGAATATGGCGACCGGCGCAAGGCCCACGTGCATCGTAGATCATTGGGTGCTTCACATGATGGAGTCCAAGAGATACCACGAGAAAGTTGCCGCAGGGGAGACAGACGCGGAGAAGCCAACCAACATGATCCGCGAGTTTACAAATGAGGAGATTGGAGAGACGTTGTTCACGTTTCTGTTTGCTTCCCAAGATGCGTCCAGCAGTGCAACAACCTGGCTGTTCCAGATTCTCGCTCAGCGGCCCGATGTCCTTGACAAACTGCGAGAAGAAAACCTCGCTGCCCGCGGTGGTGACAAAAATAAGACCTTCGACCTCCCTATGTTAGAGTCACTTACATATACCAATGCTGTTATCAAGGAGCTGCTGCGCCATCGGCCACCGGTTATCATGGTGCCGTACCTTGCGACCAGGGATTTCCCCGTCACACCAACCTACACTGTACCGAAAGGCGCGATGATTATTCCATCGTGCTACCCAGCTCTACACGATCCAAATGTGTATCCCAACCCCGATACCTTTGATCCTGATCGGTGGATATCTGGGGATGCTGAGTCTAAGACAAAGAACTGGCTTGTCTTTGGTGCAGGGCCACACGACTGTCTTGCAAGAAGATACGTACCGCTGTCTATGGCAGCGATGATTGGAAAGGCGGCGTTGGAACTTGATTGGAAGCATCATGCCACAGAACAGTCGGAGGAGATTCGGGTGTTTGCCACATTGTTTCCGATGGTTAGTTTTTGGTTGATCCGTTCTCTTTCGAACGGTTTCGTATCGGCTCTTACTAAAAATGCAAATAGGATGGCTGTCCGTTAGTTTTCACGGACCGTTCTTAGTGTATGTTGTTGCTGGTGAACCTTTAGCAAGTTTGATCCTTGGCCTAAGGCACCATTCTCGAAATTGTTCGAAATTGTTTTTTTGTTTGTACATGTAGAAAAATCAAGCGCAGATCATCAGACTCAGTCATGTTCTTCAATATCGCAATAGCAATGTCAGTATGTTCTATCATAGTTAATCGTACAAATAAACCTCCAACTGCAACCCACCCGGTTGCAAGATGACCATTGTTAACTGCCTACATCATCATGACTCGGCCTTTGGAATCATATGAATGATCTTGTCAACAAGCTGCTGGGTCCCGTAAGGCTTGTGGATGATATCATCCATTCCAGCACTGATCATTTCATCTTGTTGAGCATCCATGACATCTGCAGTCACTCCCAGAATGGGAACATGGGCACCGGTCTCTTTCTCAGCGCTGCGAATTTCTCTTGTTGCGCTGTTTCCATCCATTACAGGCATTTGTTGGTCCATGAGAATGCAGTCAAATGAACTTTCATGGTTGGCATCGACGGCTTCTTGGCCATTGCTGACTTGTGAAATATCGAATCCAAGCGCATCCAATTTGCGGGAAATTATTCGTCGATTGATGGAATTGTCCTCAACCACCAGAACACGCTGACCACTTCCAGTCTGCTTCTTGTTGGGGTGCCGAGGTAAGTCTTTGTTGGAACGCTTGATTTGATCGTCCGACACTTCACGTGCTATGTTGCTAGTGCGCATCGTTTTTGCATCCTTTGGGGCATCTGGCTCTATTTCCGAAAAGTTACCCTCGGGTGGGTTTTCCGAGATCTTCGGTTCCTCTGTCACGTCGTTGACTCCACGGATTTCATTTCCAAGGGCTTGAATATCATAAGTAAGTTGATCAACTCCGGAAACATGCAGGTCACCCCGCCCTTCTTGACTCGCATCATTTGATCGGCGGACTTTAAAGAAGAAACCAAAAGTGCTTCCCTGGCTTTCCTTGGAGCTCACGCCAATTTCGCCTCCATGAAGATGGCACAGGCTCCTGCACACATTTAGGCCAAGTCCAGAGCCGCCATATAAGCTTTCTGTTTTAGAGGTTGCCTGGTTGAAGCGCTCGAAAAGTCGTTGTTGGGCCTGATCGGTGATCCCGATCCCAGAGTCCTTGACAGCGACCATAATGTATGCAATATCGCCATCTCCCCATTCGGGAGCGTTAGTTGCATCTTTGTCAAGCGCTGATTCTCCTGAATCGAAGAACACGATATTTGGTGGGTAAGAGGTTGGCCGATCTATCGCGGCACCCATTGAGACTCGAATGAATCGCTCGGTCTCCGATTTAGCGGTAAACTTGATAGCGTTTGAGAGAATATTGATGAGGACTTGGCTCATTCGATCTAGATCTGCCATGACCCAATCAATCCCGTATGAACTATAGGATACATCCACTTTGTATTCAAATTGTATCTTCAACTTTCGAAGTTCAGGTCGAAATATGGTAAGTGGCGTCGTAAGATGCCGTTTGGGCTGGAACTTTCGTGGTGATAGGGACAGCATCGATGCGTCAAGTTTCGAGAAGGTAAGGACATCGTTGACGATTTTCTTTTGGTGGTTGATGCAAAGGCTGATTGTCTCAGCTGCCTCGCTGATGTCTATAATCGAGATCTCTTCAGGCTTTTTATTGCAAATTGCCTCCTGGATATCTTCGGTACAATGTAAGATCGCAGAGAGAGGGTTCCGAATTTCGTGACTGATCATATCAATAAATCGTTCTTGGTGCTTAATGCGCTCCCGTGCCTCCTGGGCAGCCCGCATTTGTACAAGTTCTGCCTTTTTCTCTGGGGTGATATCCGAGATGGTGCATATATGCAACCCACCATCCTTGAGTCCGAAGAAGTTTACATTCTTGTCCTCTAACTTATCCAAAGTCATCACACACCATATCGAGTCCGGGTCACGGGTTTGGTATTCTATTCGCAGTGATTGTTTGAAACTTGCGGTCTCGCGGTACCCGGTGGCTACTCGGTCATAGTCATCTTTGTGGACCGAGTTCAACCAGCAATCGGGAAACTTGGAAGTATGACATGGTATAAGTTCTCGAAATCGGCGGTTCATGGAGATCAGTTCATATTGGTCGTTTAGAATGGCCACGCCGTTCGGGAGGAGGTCGGCCAGCTGTTGAGCTGAGACATTTTGGTTGAAAGCAAAAGTCATCTAATTTCCCCGGTTTCTCGGATCTTCCTTCTTCTACTATCAGCGAAAGAACTGTGCTAGATGTTAGAGGATGTTTGGTATTCTTACAGTTAGAATACCAGCGAGGCAATTGGCTCGCGTGGCATTTAGTCAAATCCTTTGGGCAAGCTTTTGATGTATATCTGATCTCATTCGGGATTTCAGGTGAATCAAGCGATTTCGATGATAATCTACACAACAGCTTGATCACGATTTGTAAGAAAGTGAAAAATAAAATGATGAAAATGCTCGTGAGGGATATACTCATCGTAACTTCTGTCTTGTACGTCATTATTGTGGAGCGAAGTATCTATTTCTTCGATTTACTTCCAAATTGTCTTGGGTAACAATCTCCGCACAATATGATTGGTTACGGAAAAATAGTCAGACCCTGTATGCCATATAATTCAGGCCCAAGTTATTGACATCATCAAAACTGTTTATTTGTGGTGCCTGAGGCGAAAAATGACAGTCATCTCGAGCATTTCCCGCGGTCGGAATGTAGATACTGTCGTAGCCCTTGTAGATTCTATGCACCTTCCGAGTCACCCGGATGTATTTTAATTTATGTCAACCGAGATTCGAGATCCGAAATTTGTAATTAGTTAGCTTGGAGATGCGGAAGTAAAAGAGAATAAATAATAGGTGTCTCGGTGACTTTAGGTGTATGATATGTAAATAAACTTGCTAAACAGCGAGGTTTTCTTTTTGTAATTTGTAGTGCACTGTATGAAGCACCAGGATAGTAACTTGTTCCAAATTAGCTCGATCTCTAGGGTGAGGGGTCCCGCACATTCAATAATAGCCGTCGTTAGAAAACTACCCTACTTAGCATAGCATGAGGTGACAAGGGTGAGTGCGCTATAGACAGGGTGAGAACCAGGGTGAGATTCACCTAGTCCAAATATCGGCCCGAGTTGAACAAGTGCATGTGATTCGGTCCGAATTTAGACAAAGCCTGGTTTGCTTAACTTCTTACCTGGTGCCATTTCTCAATGAGACTGCCAGCATCTGTGATCAGAGTAGCTAACGCTTCGGCCCGAAATCTCAGTTCCAGATTGCCTCGAATCCACGCGACATGCTCCATGCAAAGAAAGATACAATGCAGACCGCTAGTACCCAAGAAAAGAGTGGGAGAGATACTCGCGCTATATCGCGCTTATCGATCACAGCGTGTTTGCGGTGTCGCGATCAGAAGGTAACCGCATCTTCAGCTACCAACTAGGTTCGTTTACTGAAAGCAAGCCCTCTTTAGCTGAAGTGTGGCCGTGAACATCCTATATGCGCTCGGTGCGACCGACTCAACGCAACTTGTGTCTACCCCGAACCTCCAGATCGCCGGGGCCCACGAAGCAAGCGCAGGCAGAAACTGCTGCACAAGACAGCTGAACGCACTCATAACGGTATTAATTCTGAGCATACTGCCATTAAGCCTCCTTTCAATGAGCCTATATCACAAGAGGCATCACCCATTAGCGAACAAAGGTCAAGCTCTCATCCTGTTTCTCGAACTCTTGTTTCGACCCCAATTGGTCCCAGTCATTTCTTTGAAGAAAATGCAGCCTCTCCAAGTCATGCTGGGATAGGCGTCGCGTCCAATAGTCTGGTCACAGGAACTCCTGTGCTATTTGATGTAGGCTCTAAGACAAGAAGCTGCCATGGTTAAGAGAGTTCTCATGTATTGACCAATCGTATTATAGTCCTATCCAACTCAGCTGCGCAGTATGAAATCGGTCGCAACAGAGTCAACATCCGATTTAGAGCAACCACCGCTGCCACCGGCTGCCCTTGGTCTTTCTCTACTGGAGATATACTTTGCGCGCATATACAATGCGTCTCTTTTATTCCATAAACCCGTTCTCTTTCAGCAATATCTCGAAGGCAGAATACATGGGGCTCTCCTCAGAGCATTGTTTGCTTTAGCAACTTTGTATGTCACGCCTTATGCCATGGGCAAATTCTCCTCAATTACGCAGCTGACAAAGTTTATCAGGTTTCTCCATCCAAGAGATGATGAACCAAAGTCTGCCGAAGATGGAAATACTGAGCTCAAGGTCCTGAGTGTATATCACTCATGTGGACTCCCGTGGGCAAAAGCTGCCTTGAGAGAAGCCATGCCGTTGGCTATGGAATCCCCGTCTCTTATGATAGTTCAAGCATTAGAGTGCATTCAGCTGTATTGGTTTGGCAACGGTCAGCCTCATTCGGGAAACCTTTGCCTTGGTAAGCTGTTGTCCATGTGAAAAGCGATCTCTTACTACCAGGGATTTTGTTGGGCACTCAAAATGACGAATCTATAGCAATTGCCTATCGATCATGCCAAATGCTTGGATTTAACAGGAAGCTTGCCAATGAGAATGTGGGTTCGGTCGAATCTGAACTCGAACGACGATGCTTCTGGGCTTGCTGGACATCGACATGCATTGTCATGGAGCCGGAACCATATATCGAGTCAGCCTGGAAGGAAGTAGCCATGCTCCCACTCCCATGCTCAATTTCTTCTACATTATCAGGCTGCGAAGTATCCTTTAATCAGATGATGGATGGAGATTGGCACTCAATTTCCGTGCGATCCTCCACAAGAGATTCTCACCCACCCATCACCGTGGGGTTGTTGATCAAAATGATTGGTGTTTGGTAAGAGAGATTTTCCACTATGAACTGACGTGACTATGGAAATTAGCTGATGCCTTAATTCTTCCAGGGCGAAAGTCCAGCTCCTGTGCAAGGACCACTCCTCATCTGCAATTTCTAGGAACCTCAACTCGGCGCAGCATTTATCCCGCTTGGCAGCATCGCTGTTTGATGAAGCTTCTGCTGTGAGGGTCTCTGTCCGTCAAGACGATAAAACACCCGAAGTCCAGATTCTATCACTTCTTCATGATGCTGTTTATCATCAGTGTCAGATCGTTCTACACTCCATGATTGTTCCTCTATTTTCGGGCATCCCCACTGATCCAAAAATTGATCCTGAGACACAAAGAAAAGCCGCAGAGACTGTCACTCATCATGCAGACTTGTTTGAGCGCTTATTGGCACCTTACCTTTATGGCCAACGTGATGTGTCACGACTGCCTCCTATTGTTGGCTATGGTGCTTTTGTAGTGGGCATAGTTCTCCTGTCTACAGAAGTTTCTCGCCGTAACAAATCAGTGAGTGAATTACCCGTGAACGCAGGTAAAAAGGACCACAGGCTGGTGGCTGTAGAAGCAATATTACACCTGCTTGACACTCTGAGGGTCTATTGGAGAGCTTTGCAGCGTCCTGTGAGTTTTCTACCTTCTCTTAATGCCTCTGGATATTTCCTGTGGCGTGGTTAACACTATAAATGTAGTGGGAAATTTTGCATTCTGCCTTGCAGGCCGGCCTTTCAGCGCCCAGGAAGCCATCCAGACTAGTTAAATTACGAGGTAGTATGTAGGCCCCTAGTCCCTTCCTGTATATGAATGTCCTTTTGAAAACTAAAGTATGTTCAGATCAACAATCGGTGTATTCTAATGACCACCGCCCGTCTCAGCCCATGGACTTCGAAAGTGGGCATCCACAACCCATTGCCACGGGTGGGAATGCGAGAGAATATATTGAAGTAACACAAGCCTCACCTACGAGTCGGGATTATGGTAGTTCTGAATTAGATGATCTAGTTGACATGGTACCAAACGACTCGTCGATGAGCCAATTCAATCTGTTGCCCGAATGTGAATGGTATGGTTTGTCTTTCGCAGAAGCTGGAGTTGAGCAGTTTTGTGGACTTGAACCGTCCATTCTCTTTCAACAGGGTTGGAGGGCTTTTAGTTAGTTTACCACTGTCCAAGCTACCATGAGCAGACTACTGGGCCATCTTCCATTCGCCATGCTGTTTTTCAATTGAAATAATTAGAACAGGCATTTTATCTCTGGTTCGAACCGAATCGAGCCGATAACTCGCATAGCCGAGGTGTACTGCGTCTGATGCATTGTTCGCCTCAATCTCTCGATTCTACACCGAAATATTGTTTGCTACTCAGGAACTTCCTTATAAGTCCCTGGGCACCGGGAATTGCTAGGCTTGATCTGCAAATCAAACCCATCTCGGTCAGCGAAACAGCAATAAATATCCAACATGTCAGCCCAACATCGCAATATTCTAACCGTCCACTCGGAAAGCTACTCCTAAATCTTTGAGAACAATGTCTCAGTGCCCTTAGACAACGGAGGGGTGATCCGCTGCAATGTATACAAGCCCAAGGCAGCTTCAGCGGGAACCAAGTCCCCCGTACTTATGACTTGTAGACCGTGCGGCAAAGACGTTCCCTGTAAAGCTCAAGTGACAAAAGCTTCCCGAAAAATATATGACAATATTAATTCCATTGAAAAAAAATAGTCTCAACCCAAAAAGCTTTTCTGAAGTGCAACCCTACGCACCAAACGGAGCACTCCGCATGGGAGACTCCAACGTCACAGTCTTGGACCATCAATAATGGCTACATTGTCATTCGAGCGGATAAAATTGGAATTGGACAATCTCCTGGTGTATTGCAAGTAAAATCTTCGGCTTCAATCGAGGGTTTCCGCGATGTCATCGACTGGGCTGCTGAGCAAGAATGGTGTTCGGGGAAAGTAGGCCTCCTTGGTGTCAGCTATTATGCTGCGGTTCAATGGCAGGTTGCGAGCTTGCAGCCCAAAGGTCTAGGAGCCATTGTGCTATGGGAGGGATCTTCGGATCTATACAGCGAATCCTTACGGCACGGGGGAATTCTCTTGAACAAGTTTTACTCCATGTGGTATTCTCGTCAGGTCGCGCCTAACCTGGACGAGCAGCGCGCAACTAGGGTCCCGATACGGATGAAGGCAATCTCAGCCCCAAGGAATTGAATGCAAATCGATACGAAGCCGTGCTCATGAGCAGAGATACCGAGATGACAAAAGTTTATCGTTCCTCATTTTCAATCTCGAGGATGTGACAGTCCCCGTCTTGAACGTGGCCAACCTGGGCGGGAGCTTACTGCGTCTGCGAGGCAACGTGCTCGGATATCTCTGGGCAGGATCAGACTTCAAATATCTTCGATTTATCGCAACACAGCACGATCTACCCTTCTACTATCCGGAAGAAGTGGAGGTTCAAAAAGCTTCCTCGATGCTTGGCTTAAAGGGGATGATCGAGAAGGGTGGACCGAGAAGGAGGCTGTTCCGGTAATTGACCTGGTTCTTCGGCAGGAAAATGTTGGATATAATAATCCACAGGCGGAGAAAACATTCCTTCGTCGAAAGGAGAATGAATGGCCACTTGCCAGGACAATATACACGCCATTTTATCTGACAGCAAAGAGCACACTCCAATGCGATCGACTGGAACAGCAGCAACTCCCCACCAAATTAACTTACCGAGCACTTGGTAAGGGAAGACCTGGAGATATATTGACATTTATGTCAGCGTCATTTGGCTCGCACACCGAGGTCACCGGGCATATTACGGCTCACCTCAATGTCTCCATTAGCAGAGGTCGATGGGGAGATTCTCCATCTGATTTGAATTTATTCCTCACGCTGTATCATCTGTCACCATCCGGCGAGGAAATCTTTTACACCTACACCGATTCCGCTGGGGAGCCCGTTTCTGTGATCAAGGGCTGGCTTCGAGTTTCTCTCCGCAAACCCAATCCTCAGCACCCCCATCATCGTGCTTGGCTACCGTATCGCGACTTCTATTTTACGGATGTTCTTCCTGTAGTTTCAAGCGACGTTTACCCCGTTGAAGTGGAACTTTGGCTGACAAATGTGGTTGTTGAGTCAGGAGGACGGCTGGCATTGGAAGTGAGCTCAGGAGACACTTCAGGTACTGGATTCTGGGGCCATGATGGCCCTTTTGATAGGTATTTTTCTAGAATGGCAATGAAACTTCTTCCAAACCCAACATACTTGTCTTTTTTAAATCTTTCTACAGATCGGATGATATCTTCAAAGGCCAGAATCACATTCACTTTGGTCCCCACTATGTCATTTACATCACTTTGCCTATCATTCCTGCGAGATAGATTAGTCCTAGCCGAATTATTATCTATTTATTCTGTTTCACAGATATTGGTCATAGCTCGTATCCGGGCACAGTGCTAGGGGAAAAAGGGCTCGGCCAGACGTGAGGGTCAGCCAGAGATATTCGCCAATTGGAAGTCTGATATGTCATCATTGTTACAGACCCTTCTGCAATCGATATAAATTTGATACATGAAATAATGACAAAAGCTGGTATATGGTATTCAGACCGCTGATTCGTGAAAGCCATTCATTCGGACCGATAGTTTACTGCCGCCAAGTTCGGTGGTGGGGGCGCCTCGGATATCGAGATGTCGGCATCTGCCAGTCTGCGCCTGTGATCATATCCAGAACTTTATCAAGACTGTCATACGTTCAGGACTGCTCCTTTGTAAATTTTCTTCTTTCCGAAAACTATTCTATCTTGCAGGCCTCTAATGGTTATCGATCACTTTTTCAAGTCGAACGAGTGCTTCAGCTATGAAGCGCTTCGCGCGGCAGGTTACAGCAATTATGGTGGTGCAGATCTTGCTGAAGTGATAGCTATCTGCTCCAAAATTCGACCTGGCAATGAAGATGACTGGATGCACGAATGGCAAAAGGCTGCGGAACGCGCAGTCTCACACGCAGTGGAGTCAAAATCCGTGAAAAACTACGAGAGCGCCTATCAGGGATACCTTCGTGCATCGAATTACTTCCGCACTGCTGAGTTTTTCCGTCGAGAAAATGTCGAAGAAGACAACATATCGCAGTTTCTTTATAAAAGCTCGGAGAAATCGTTTATAGAGGCCATGGGAGTGTCTTCGTTCACTTACGAATCCATCACCATTCCCTATGAAGGGACAACGCTTCCAGGATATCTTGTCAGCCTTGACAGAACAAAAAAGCCACGTCGCACGATCATTTTCAATGGTGGTTATGACTCGACTATGAGCGAAGGGTGGTTTGCAATTGGAGCGGCAGCTCTAGCAAGGGGTTATAATTTCCTCGCCTTCGATGGCCCGGGACAAGGGGCGGCTGTCCGGAGGCAGCGCCTGTATTTCCGACACGATTGGGAACATGTACTTACTCCTGTTGTCGACTATGCTTTAACTCGGGCAGAAATTGACGCCAATGCTATAGCCATCTTTGGGTGGAGCATGGGTGGATATTTAGTGGCACGAGCAGCTACGCAAGAACATCGAGCCCGAGCCATTATCCTGGATGATGGAGTCTACGATTTTGGATCCGCGTTCCGAGCCCAACAACCTGCCCTTGTTCAAAAACTGGTTGAGCTCGAATATGACTCAACTTGTAACTGGATCTTTGGCTGTGTGCAATCCTTTTCGACAGGTATTCGCTGGGGTCTGCGGAATGGAAAATGGACTTTTGGGGTGCGCTCCGTCTCGGAATTTATGCGCGCTGTTAATAAGTACACCTTGGAGGGGTTGAGTCAGAATATTGTGACGCCCTGTTTGGTACTTGATGCGGAGAGTGACCATTTCCTGAAAGGCCAGCCAGAGGTTCTTTGCAAAAATTTGCAATGTGAGCACGAATTCGTCAGCCTGCGAGCAGACGAAGGCGGCGACACACATTGTCATCAAGGTGCTTTTTCTCGGTTGCATCAAGTCATCTTCGATTACCTGGAAACGCGCCTTGTGTTGGAAGAGGAATGATGTCAGTTTGCGGGCTGTATCTTCTACAAATAGGGCTAGCTGTATTGTATATGCTCTTTGAAAAATGCACAGATTTCACTTTGTCCCAGAATGAGGCCTCCCTAAGACATAGTTGTTAATGACATAGAAGTCACAATCTACCGATAGTCGCAAATTGCGTGACTGCCGCAGGACTAGGATATCATCTAACATCCAGGCGCTGAAAAGGCAAACGCTGACAGCGCAGAAGCCAATGGCTTAAATAATCATACATAACAACGTCTCGCAGCTTGAAACAAGAGATGAATTTCCATTCTTTATATTACATCTTATCACATTTTCATATTGCCCTTCTGACATCAAATTTACAGTTGAAACCCCATGTGATCCTATTTCATTTGTAAGTAGACATTCATATCACGAATAGTCACTCGAGTATCTTTGTACCGGTCATTCGGCCGCGCTGTTTTGCAGGAGAGAGCTCTGACTACACTAAATGGTCAGAGACTGGAACACTGATTCAACATCTCTCGACAGAGTTCAATGAGTTTCATTACCATATATGCAAGTATTTGTCACCTGCATCATGCCAGCTCTTACTCCACTAAGGAATCGACCCACCAGGATCATCAAAATCTGAACTGCGGCACCTTAGATGATAGCAGAAATGATGCAGATGACGCATATAAGCTGAATATATTCGAATCGGCCGAATTTGTTGAGAAAAAAAGTTCACAGTGAGAGAGCCGATAATGCCACCCCCATACAAAAGACCATTCGCCGCTATTTTCTTGTTAGCTTCGATGAGTTGTCTTTTATGAGCAATATTTGATAAGGAAATACAGTACTACCGATAATATCGTTTGCTTCTGTCGCCTTTGGCCCAGTCAAGGAAAGATTAAAGTATTCAAAAACGATGGAAGACCGAAGACAGATGCAATTATAGATGAGCTATGGCCATAGGTGAATTATCCAAGTGAGGCAAATAAAACGACGGTCAAGTTATAAGTACTTGCTTTCATTGTAACGGTCACCTCATCTTGCTGGCCTGCCGAGTGTTTACTGAAAATCATGGTTCACAACACAATGCATTCAATTAATTTGTCTGCTAGAATAACGGACCATGGGAAAAAGCCCCCCTGGTTTCATAGTTCCCAAAGCCGCTAGTATTGTTTGGGGAAGAGTCAAGAAGTCATTGAGAGCGGAGTTTCTGAGATAGACTATCGCTTCCAGTGACCATACAACCCAGTGGTGTGTTCGCTGACGGTCAGATGGAAGCTGTAAAGAAGTGCGGGGAAAACCTCGGAATATTCAGGGGGACATACGAACACTAAGCAGCCATGACATTGTTGACTTGAGTTAAAAGCACTTCAATTTTCGTGGGCTGAACATTATCGGGCCGAATCATATGTTCAAATGCGGGTATTTCTTAGGTTTGCTTCGTTTGATATTATTGCTGGGAACTACTACATAGGGGACAGATTGCCAAGGAAGGCTAATATTCTGAACGTTCACATCATCTACTCCGGGTCGGACCGAGTCGGACCGAATCCCTGCGCATTCTGGAGAAATGTCTGTGTGCGAAGTATCGTGAGGTTGCGATTACGCTGTTGTTTTCGAAACCTTGACGGAACAGCGACGCAACAGAAAGACCCAAGACGTTGATAGTCCTTGATTCGGTCGTCAATTATGTGGCATTGAGAAGAGGCTGCCATGCCGACTGAAGAAGTATTAAAGGAGACCCAAAGTGTTCTTAATTTCCATCAGCGATCGCTTGCCCTACTGTACTTCAAAGATCAAATCAGCTGATATTTCCTCACTCAACGTTTCTCATCCATCATGCAACTGAATGTTAAATTTTCAAGCGATGGGGAAACCATCGCCGGTATCCTCTTCCGTCCAGACGGCGCCCAGGGAAAGCTTCCCACGGTAATTTGCGCCGGAGGATGGTGCTATACAAAAGAAATTGTCCTCCCGCACATCGCGCGCATTGTGAATGACGGAGCGGTGCAAGTTCTTGCCTTCGATTATGTTGGGTTTGGGGAAAGCTCAGGCGCCCGCCGTCAACATCTGGACCCTTGGCAGCAGATCTCAGATTATCGCAACGCGCTGACTTACGCGGAAAGTCGAGACGACGTCGATCCTTCGCGACTAGGCTGTTTGGGAATCTCATACAGCGGCGGTCATGTTCTGATTTTGGCTGCTATCGACCCACGTATCAAGTCTATTGTCAGTATCGTGCCGGTTGTAGATGGTTACAACAATTTGCGCCGCGTACATGGTGAACGTCGGTTCGCTGATCTCGAAGCGGCCATTCTCCAGGACCGGAGAGTCCGCGCCGCTGGTGGCGAAGAAAATAAAATTGCTATGGCCTCCAGTCGGCCGTATGAGGAGCTATCTGTCTGGCCCTTCCCTCAGGTCAACGAGGTCTTCTTACAAGTCAAACAGACCGAGGCCCCCTTGCATGAGCATTGGAGCACCATGGAATCAGCAGAACTGTTGCTGAACTATTCAGTTGCGCCTTTCGTCCCACGTGTGATCAGCACTAGCGTTCTGATGATTGTTGCTGAGCGAGATACCATCACGGCTTGGGACTTAGAAGTGGAAGCCTTCAACAACATCCCATCTTCCGGAAAACGTGTTGAGATTTTGCCCGGCATAAGTCACATGAGTTTGTACTCAGATCGTGCGGATACCAACATTGCAGCTGTGCACGCCAGAGATTGGTTCTCTAAGACACTTTAAGGGACGGTTTGGCGGCTTTTGATTGGCGGCATTTCAAATTAGACAGGCGGAAGAAGAGAGCGGAAGAAGAGAGCGGAAGTACGAGAGTTTGGTCGCTAAAATTGCCAGATAGGACTGATAAGGCTTGGCATTTCCATCACGGTCTATACGAGAAGTATCTACGCTCGGGTAGTTCTCTCTTTCCATCTGTCACATTCGAATTTGTTATCTTGATTTAATGACCCAATTCTATTATCAGTCCCCCTGACCCTCAAATGGGATACGTAAAACCACCTAACTAGCAGTATGAACTGAATCCAACTCCTCAAGGCGTTTTCCCACGCATAGGGATCTATGCTCGACACAAAGACCTCGTAAGGGAAAGAGCGATTCATTAAGTGCGCATCTTTCAATTATTTGATTATATAGGGGGTTTGATCTGGTCTTTGGGAAGTCTGATAAATTGGGTTGAATTCCCTCTAAGTCACGTCAGATTCTTCTACGGTCACTTGAACCGTTCGAGGTTTTCAGTTTCACATCAACAACGATCATATGACTCAGGAGCATGGTCATCATCCTGAGTAGGTCAAGAGGTTCAGCTTCTTGATCTCGGCGAAAGTTTTATCCCGAGAGAAGAGCCTCGCTCAGCCGAGTTCTCTACAGGTACCAGAGATGATTTTTCTCAGTTCCTTTGATTACCGCGGCGATTGATGGCGTGCAGGTTGTATGGTACGTGAATATAAACAATTTTCTTTGTCCACAAAAGTGCTTATGAATATGTGATCCAGATTTATTCTTTCATATTTACGACATCCATTCTCGTACTTCGATAGAAATTCTTGGCTAGTTGCCCAAATGATAGGCTTCGTGGAGAGCCTACCAACCGAGTGGCAGGCTAAATGGGAATCAATGTAAATGGAAGAAGATCATAATGTGATAGTGGAAGAAGGTAAGCGGCGCGGGGCTGAGATATTTTGACAATAATTAGCTAACCCCGCCCTAAGATTCCGAAATGTCGAAGATTGAACGGAAATTTATGCACAAAAGGAATGACCCAGCATTCAACTCTTTTCTTCTGGTAATTCAAAAATTAATGAGATATCTACCCTCGAACCGCATATCTGCTGACCAAGCACTTGGCCTGTTACCAAAGCTCCATGATGCTACTTCAGTAGCGAGTCGATAGCAAGTGCCATCTGAAAAACTTGATTGGCTATCGTAAGTGGTCTTTTGCGTAGTGGGCTCTCCGGAAGAGCTTTCTTGTAGAAAATTAAGTCCAGAGCCTTAGCTTCCTTACAATATTATAGTAAGATAGTTCTTTACTCCGTTGATTTTTTTGATTAGTTATAGCAGGCCACTTACCTTGTTTTGTATAAGCGAGGTATTGTAGTTCTTAGGAAAACTATCTTAAGTCGGACCTAGGGCTGACAGAGGTCTGTGTCGGAAAATTTATCGTAAAAATTAGTGTGGCAAAATGTGTTGCATCTACAATGCCAAGAAAAGTGGTGCAGCTAGAAGTATAAGATTGAAAGAGGATATAGAGCTATAAAATCAAATTGAATAAATTCCGTGAAAGTATTTACGCCTATTTGCATAAATTCTATATGCTTTTCTAAAAGTAAGAGAGAAACTTTCAGAAATAGGTATGCCATGTTTGCAATATAGTAACTAGTAATTTTTTCCGATGTGCGGCTAAATTAGCCCTACCGCCGGGATCCCGCAATATTGGGCGTTAGCACGCTCGGGCCGATACTCGGGTGCCGTTGAGGTTTTCTAGCCTGAAAGACAATCCAAGATAGCAATTTTTTAGTCTTCCCTTGTTTAATCCGTCAAAATATTGAGCAATTGAGAGAGCAAATAAATGAGTCACACCACATGAATTGCGTTATCAAAGACCGCATAGTGTTCAGACTGATAATGCGATGCCTTTATCTTGCATGTGCAACGACAGATGGCCAGTGGATTCACCACTCCACTCCTCGTGGGTCGTTTAATACCCAAAGTAGTAATCCGAGAGAACATGCTCCAGTTTAAGATCTTGCTTGAAAAGGTAATCCGAAAGGTATCACTCCACTTTTTAAACTGGAGCAATTGAAGATTTTGATTTTTTCGACAGGAGTAAATCTTATATCAGTATACTATAAAGCAGAAACCGCCATGTGTTACCCTGGCTATCCGTTTTCATCTTCATTCTATTTTCGCAATTACAATGGGCATCGTCGACTATTTCAGTCGACCGCGTGGCTTCCAGGCACATGGCGGTGCTGATACGCCCACCATGGACGCCCCCAAAACCATTGAGCCTACTATCATCTCGAGTCCGGAGTCTTCGGGCGCAGTGACGCCTGCACATATGCTACCCTCTCCCGCTGGCAGTGAAGAGCCGTTCATTTTCGAAAAGATCCCACACCAATTTGGTCGCCTGGGCTCTTGGAGAGGAAGTTTGATCTTGCTCGTCACTTCTGGCTCTCAGTTCCTTGACAACGTTTTTATGACCAGTGCCAATATTGCTTTGTCGTCCATTCAAAAAGATTTCGATGTCTCGAGCACTGACTTGCAATGGATGATCTCGGCATACACCTTGTCATTCGGTGGTTTTCTTTTACTAGCTGGTGCTTTATCTGATCGGTATGACTTTCGTCCTTGTTGCCATCCTAATTTGGCTTTGGGGGAAATTCCAAACTAACTTTTGCAGTTATGGACGAAAGAAGATCCTCTGTCTAGGTCTTGCGTGGCTTTCTGTCTGGACTCTGGCTATTGGATTTGGCCAATCGTTTATTCAGCTTACGGTATTCCGTGGCATTCAGGGAATCGGAGCTGCACTGACTGTACCATCCGCTATTGGAATTATCAGCTCTTATTTCAGTGGTGTTGACCGCACCCGTGCTCTGTCAATCTATGGAGCCTCCGGTACCCTTGGATTCTGTACAGGTCTCATCTTTGGTGGTTTCCTAACCTCCTCGTTGGGCTGGAGATACATCTTCTACCTGATCGTCATCATCACTGGCTCATTAGGGATCTTGGGCTACATTGTCCTTCCTGCCGATGTGCCGTCAAAGAAGAAGCACGAGCGAATGGACTACATTGGAGCAGTGATGTCTACAGCTGGTTTGATTCTGCTCCAATTCGTACTCTCCAGTGGAGGAACTTACGGTTGGGACCAGCCTTTCATCATTGTTCTATTAATCCTGGCCGTTGGTCTTCTCGTTGGATTCACTATCCTTGAGAAGTACATCAGCAACCCAATCATGCCACTGTCATTGTGGAAGATTCGTAACTTTGCCGGTCTCTGGGTTATTGGTTTCAGTAAGTCATTTCCAGAGTGAATGCGTTTCTGGCAAGTCGCTAACGATAAATAGCTGGATATGGAACATATCAGAACGTCATATACTACATCGTGCTGATTGCACAGGAAGTAGATCAGCTCAACGCAGGAGATACCGCGCTCCGCTTCTTGCCCATGGGTGCCATTGGGTTCATCGTCTCCCTTGGAACCGGAAAGCTTCTCGAATATATGAACGGAAAGCACCTCCTTATCGCTGGACTGGTTCTAGCAGTTGTTGCTCCCATTTCGAGTTGCTTGACCTTGAGCCCTGAACACAGTTTGTATGTATACCTACCCCATTTGAGAAATATTGATACTAATCGTCAAAGCTGGCTCAATGTCCTTCCCACCTCTCTGATCAGCATCTCATCCGTGTCATTCATCTTTGTCACGACCAGCACCGTGGTTCTGACAAGTGTGCCAGTCGAGGTTAAGAGTTTGGCTGGAGGAATGGTTAGTTCTTCTTTACTCCTGCCATAATTTCCATGTACTAATATGTTCCTCAGCTCAACACTGCATTCCAAATTGGCTCTGGCGTCGCATTGGCTATCTCGGCCGCTGTCACCGATGCTGTTGACATCCAAAAAGGACATGGTCTCGCAGAACAGTATGCGACCGGCCTCTGGTGCTCTGTTGGACTTGCCGGGCTTGGCCTAATTATTGGTCTCATCGCAGTTCGGGAGAAGGGTATCGGTCCTAAAGATAGACTCGGGGCTGGCCCAGTTGCTATCTAAATTCCGCGCTATCTCTGGATTCTTTTGTTTTCTCGCAAATAGACAATAGATGTTCTTTGTTCTGGAAAACGGTTTTTCAACTTTGAGTTTTAGCGTGTGTTGCGGGGAAATGGGCTGGATACCTATATACATACAGATTAGATATATATAGCGTTTAAGAAAATATTTTTCGCACCATAATTCGAGTTTGAAGTCCCAAAAGAACCCGATGAATGGATTGGGTTTGACGCCTTAAAATCAAGGCGACGAACACCTCTGTCGATCAACAGTCACGTGTATTTATTTTTAGTCACTTAGTCAGCAGCCCCGGTCGCGGGCGCAACTCACTTGGACAGCGCGATGCATTCAGACAAGCTGCTTCCGGCACTGTGAGGAATGTCGAAAGGAACAATCATGACTATAGGGACTTTCAAGATGGCACAGCTTCTAAATCTCCAATTCAACCCTTCAGAGGTGATGTGGATGACTCGATGCTCATCAATCTACATTGTCCACGCTGCCTGCCCACCATGATAGCCAGAGGCAAGATCCTTCAGATGGCCATAGCAGCTTTCGCTGCTTATGCTTTCTTTACCTTGCTCGTCAGATTCATAGGAGATGAGGCGTGGCCAAACTCCCTGTCTCACTCTCCTCGGAACTTCATACACGACAGTACCTTCGAGCACATCCAGAACCGCACTCTTGGGGTTAGCCTTCAACTTAAATTCTCATCTGTCAGTTTGGTTGCTAACTTTCGTGTTTGAAATTCAGTTTGAGCATATATATGCAATCAGTATGAAGGAACGGACCGACAAACGCGATTTTTTGACACTGGCTGCCACGGTATCGGGATTCAAAGTTGAATGGCTCGATGGAGTTCGTCCAGATGATCTGCACCCCAAGGCCATGCCCGATGTGCGCTCCTCCATATATATATAATCGACCAAGAACAACGTCTGACGATCATAGGGAGCGGACACTTCACTCATGAAGCCAACCGTTATTGCGTGTTGGCGTGCTCATATGAACGCATTGCTCAAGTACGACCGCCCTATTGTTTTGCCCACTGGATACATGTCATGCTGACTTCTTTGATAAACCTTTAGCGTGATAACAAATGACTATTCCACTGCTCTGGTGTTGGAAGACGATGCAGACTGGGACGTAAGCCTCAAATCCCAGTTGCGCGAGTTCGCCCGGGGGCTGCACACACTCAAAGGAAACGACCATGTCTCGAAAGAGGCCCCGTATGGAACTGATTGGGATCTACTTTGGATTGGCGGATGTGCTTCTGGCCCGAACGCGAACGAAACCAGTTTCTATGCTATCCCTATGGACCCCACGGTTCCCAGGGTCCACCACCGCTCCACTTGGGGCGGACCCACTGATGAGTGGAGAGAGAAATACCCCGAGCTTGCCGAAGACTCCACACGCTTCATTTATCGAGCTGAGATGGGCTGCTGCATGTTTGGCTATGCAGTGACAAACCGAGGCGCGAGAAATATCCTTTCGGCTCTTTCGGTCGATCGCTTGGACAAGCCAGTAGATAATGCTTTGGGTGATTTGTGTGCTGGATCGTACGGCCGCCGACAAATCGAATGCTGGGCTCCTTTTCCCAATTTGATTGGTACGCATAGACGAGCCGGTTCAGCTTCCCGGGACTCAGATATTGAGAAGAACAACATTGCTGAATTCCACGAAGAACAAGCCTGGAACATGGTGTACAGCACCAGGCGCAATATACAACAACTGATTGCTGGCGAGGATACTGTTTATTCCCAATGGAAGGATGAAGATGTGCCGTGGTCCAGCAAAGAAATTAGGCACAAGGAGTTCATCTATCCTGGAGGGTATCTTGTTAACTAACCCTGACCATGTTCAAGAGCTTTGTTGAAATTTCACATAGCCTGTCTGTACCGTTATCAATTTCCGTTCAAGTTATATTATAGAAGAATCCAAGCAGCAACTTTCAGAGTCACCTGGGCAAGTCTTTTCGGATCTTTTCAAAATGAAATGCTCAGCAACCAGGCCGGCCCAACCTTTGCCACTTGTCAACCCTTATCTTCCCACGTTATCACCAGTCCCCTTGCTCTACACAGGAGTTCATCTCGGTCAAAATATTTCAGTTATGTGCCAAACAAGTGGCAACATGGGACAACACAGGAACACTGCCACCTTATTGTACAGTCTCATTCCAACTTAAATTCCCAGCCCCTTGACATCCATCTGCAGCCAATCAGCACACAATCGGGGATAAATTCAGTGGCTAAAGCTCTATTATTCCAGGTAGGGCTCAGCTCATTTGATTAATTAGGGTCGGCCCGGGTAGGTTTTGCCGATTGAGCTCTCAAGCTGATGTTACATTTGTTGTATCTTTCTATCTACATTCCATGCTGAATAGGTTGTTGATTTACTCACTAATATGTACTGCTATGGATATCGATGTTCCTAGTATCAGGATTACCTCGAGGTCCTGAATACGCTTCCAGTCCCTACTTTGAGCAAGCAAACAAACAATTCACTAGGTGAATACGGCCACGACAGGTGTCTAGACCTCCGAGCTTCTGGTGGGAGTTTGTTTTTGAGCCCTAGTTCCCCCTTGCGTCGGCTCTTGAATGCCGGTCAACTCCGCACTTTCGGGTTTCTTTTCTGCAACACTCGGCCTAGGCCTTAGCGCCTCTTTTGTCGATTGAGCGCTTTTGCTTCTCCATGCATTCCTGGGTCCCACCACAGGGGCTCCTCCTATGTGGGGTCCCTCCTTCCCTCAGATATGTTTGTGACAGGAAACCAGCGGCTCTAGATCAAGTCTACAAGAATGATTCCAGGGGCCTTGCATGTGCTATTATTGAACATGTGGCTCCAGCTTCCTATCATGCGCCCATAGCGAGGAGACCATGTTGTGAGAAAGAATGCAAAGCCCAAAGCCTCATGGGAATCAGTCGAGCTGGCCAAGCCTCAGCTATTCTCAATTCCTTTAAAGGTCGGGGATCTCATTTCATTAACATGGCGTTAGTAGCTTAATTCCCACAGCCAGCTTCTCTTCATTGTGCGGATCGTCGTCGATCACGCCGATCTTTTATTATTATATCCCCACACACAGATCTACTTTGGTAGATCTTCACCCAGGCCTATACATGACTCGCTTTTTTGGTCTTCGAGGCAACAGCCTCAATATAGCAGCCATTCTGGGTGTCCTCATGCCTGGTATCCTCACAACCGGCTACAACGCATCATCACTGGGAGGTGTGTTGGACCTCAAAAACTTTGAAGAGCAATTCCCCGAAATCGACCTCGATACCTCCGCCAATAGGTCATATGCGTCCACTATTCAAGGCATTGTTGTGGCAGCATATCCAATTGGTGTGTTCTTTGGGACACTCTCTTGCATCTGGCTAGGCGACAGATTTGGTCGCCGACGTACTATCATGGCGGGATCGGTTATCCAAGCCATAGGTTCTGTGTTGATGGCAAGCGCATGCTTCCTCAGCATGTTGATCGCCTCTCGGATAGTTCTGGGCTTTGGCACTGGCGTGCTTCTAGCCACCATTCCCCTTTGGCAGTCTGAGATTTCGCCCGCTAACAAGCGTGGAGCCCATGTTGGCATGAAGGGAATCTTCAGCGGCCTCGGCTGTGCGCTATCGCTTTTCCTCGACTATGGAATGTCCTTCACGCGAGGCAGTGTTTCCTGGAGATTTCCATTTGCCTTTGTTGTGCTACTCTCCCTCGCTGTTCTGGTGTTCATAATCTTCCTACCGGAATCTCCCCGCTGGCTGATCAGACAAGGGCGGATTGCCGAGGCTAGCGAAGTTCTAGCTGCTCTTGAGGACACCTCTGTCGACGATGAGTCCGTCCAGTCGCAAGTCAGAGACGTTCAAACGTCATTGGATCTGGCTGGAAAAAAGTCTCTCGGGCAAATTTTCCACATGGGTCCTCAGAAGACCTTTCACCGAGCCATGCTAGCTGTTGCAGCTATGCTATTTTTACAGCTCACTGGATCCACAGTCATCACCTTCTACAGTATGTACCTCTATTCAGCTTCCTGTTGTTTGCATCTTAGTCTGACCGTTTTTTTCGCATTTAGCAACCGCGATCTTTGAGAAGAACCTTCATCTCGGGAACTCAACCTCTACAGTCCTCGCAGCCGTCTACCAACTGGTCGGTCCTATTGGTGGTGTCTTCTGCGTTCTCAAAATAGAAGGCCTCGGCAGGCGAGTATTGCTTCTAGGCAGTGCGATTGGCAACGCAGTCTGCCTCGCATTAGTTGCTGCGCTGGGAACTCAATCGGACAACCCAATGGCCATGCGTGGTGCTGTGTTTTTCATCTTCTTGTTCCACTTTAGCTATATCATCGGCTTTGGTGCGATCCCATACCTCTACGCTACGGAGATTTCGCCCCTGCACCTACGAACGACTATCAACAGCTTCAGCATCAGCAGTTCCTGGGCTGTCAGCATCTTGGTCACAACAGTCACTCCCATCGCATTCAACGCTATGGGACAGACATACTTCGTGATATTTGCAGGCTGCAACGCTGCAATGGTGCCTCTCATTTACTACTTGCTTCCCGAGACCTCTGGTCGGAGTCTCGAAGAAATGGACAAAATATTTGCTCTTTCTGGAGGAGTTCTTGATGTGGTCAAAGTTGCACGGCTTCTTCCTCATGGAAAGCCTTTGGATATTTCATCCGAGAAGGATGGTGGCCTAAATTTCAAGCGCCCCGAACTTGAACTTCGTGAGGTTCATTCCCCATGACCAGTATCAACTTGTTTTAAATAACACATTCATAATATAGAGTTACAATATGTCATGAGAAAAGGAATGTTTATGAACTTGAGCAGCTATTCTTCCACGTAGTATTTTTGCCAAACTGCCATGACGTAAGGTGCAAATTGGGTTAAATCTCATTAGAATGGACTATTCGTTATCGTGTTTGTCAAATGAGAAGGTTTGTCGCTGACTTGTGAGCGCCGAGTAACAAGCTTTACAACCTAGGCCTCGTGGATATGACTAAAACAGTGCAGTTGAGGCCAAGCTCGTGCGATCGCCTCCAAAAGGAATGGGCAACCTATATTTTCACCGATCCGGTTGATGTCCATAATGCCCTTTGGTGGTCCATACGCTATTTCACATGTCCAGTGTGGCGGTGACCTGAGCCTGTCGGAAGGTGGTCTTGAAACATCATGAAGCAACACATAACAGATCATGCGGAGAAAGAGCCTGTGCCTACAGAACCTGGGGGTAACGCAGGCTTAATCCTATCGCAGTCTGCACATCATGCGAACGCGCCCATGGGATTGTCACGAGCGGTTCACCGACCAGGATTTTCGTTCATTAGAAGAGATCTAAATCAAGGAACGCAGATTTGTTGTTTGTTCGTTAACCACACTAACTTCTTTAAAAAGCACATACTTAACAAAAAGAATCATCAATCTTGGTTTCTCAGTCTGATTCCTGCATGACACTCCTCAGGCTTCTTAGAGAATCCTTCATGGGATTTCATGATAGACTGATATAGCACAAACTCATACCGGTGAAACAAAGTTCCAATAATTAACTGCAGCTCCATAATAGCCACATTCTGTCCAACACAGGCTCGGGGTCCGTACGAAAATGGATTGAAGGCGGTCTTCTGACGGGCAGACAGGTTCAACCAGCGATCGGGCTTGAATTCCTCAACATCGTCTCCCCAGATTTCTCGCATGTGATGTATTGTATACGAAGGAACCGAGAGTACCGTTCCGGGTGGAAAATAAAAGCTATCAAACTCGACGCCTCCGTTGTCAGCTACCAGACGGGGTAGACCGATAGCCGAAGTAGAATGCAGCCTCATCGCTTCATCGATGCACCTTCGCAGGAATGGGAGATCTTTGACTTCAGAGTAAGACGCGGCTTCAGCTCCTGAACCAATTGCTTGATCTAGTTCGTCTTGGAGTCGAGGAATTATTGTTCCCGGGGCGCTGCGTTCTCCATGCAAAATCCAGTAAAAGATACCACATGCTGTGTTGGATATTGTGTCAGACCCAGCAATCAGTTGAGTCAGCGCCTCTGCTATGAGCTCGTCTCGCTCCATTGGCCGACCACTAGCATCCTTTGCTTGTAGCAAGCGCGCTAAGATGTCGTTCCGCAACTCAACCATCCCTTTCTCTGTAACATCAAGTCTTGACGCGACAGCTGCAACAGCAATCCCTGTCAGGTTCTCCACGGCTGCAATCCCCTTGGTGAAGAATGGATCTGGAAGACGCTTTGCCCATGGACGTAGCGCCGGCAGAAGACCTAATGTCGAGCAGACTTCGCCTCGTCGGTTCAATACTTCGACCGCGGGGGCATACGAGATCGGTCCTCCGGGCACAAGTTGTGTTTCTATCTCATCCTTACCCTTGTTGACCATGCCAAATGGATACCCAAACGCTAAATCCCCGATGATATCGAATGCAAGGTAACTGAACCAAGGCATTGCATTGTATCGAGCGAATTGCTTTCCGTCGAGCTGGGGCTGAGAAGCCGCGATCCGATCCAGCTGTGATGTCCATCGTTGTAGATTTTCTGCCATGAAAGGCTCAAAGGCAGCAACTGATTTAGGCGAGAAAGCATGGGAAATGATCTTTCGCTTCCGTGTATGTTCCGCTCGGTCGCGTACACTGAACATACCAGGCGTTCGAGCGATAAATGCTTCATAATAGTGGCTGGTCTCTCTTTTTCAGTATTGATAGACTCGAGTATATTGGACCAGAGTTCTACACACTCTTTGAGAAAGCCGTTACCGTGTCCATACACGATTTTTAGGGCCCGTTCATCTGCAATAGACACATGATTGAACCCTATCCGAACGACTTGGCCATATTTTCGGTGCGCCGAGTCGACCACGGCGAATTTCTGACCGCGACGAGCGCCTAATCCGACCCAGATGTTGCTGAATTTGGCAACAATTGGTCCTGGGATCTTTTTCAGGTGTCGGTAGGTTACACAATAGGGATATACATAATAGAGTGAGAACCATATCGAAATGGCTACAACCATAGTCCATGGCGAAATAAAAATGCTTAGTAGAGCCATTTATGATGTTGATATTGACAAAATGATTTTGACCATTGAATAAAAATGAGAACTCCTTTTGATTCGATACCCTGCATTTATATCCAACTTTTGCATTTGATAATTCACATGTCTACTCACCTGTCCGACGGAGGACAAGCAACATCGTTGGAGATGAGAACACACACATGCATTTCAATCAGACGCAGAGGGGCCAATGCATCTGCATATGACACATGTTTTGAACAGTCGAATGAAAAATCAGGAAATAATAAATCAGGCAAAATCTATCGACGTCTACTAAATCGGCTATAAACGGTCATAAAGCGGGAATTCTGGCTTATGCCCGAGATCTCCGCTCTGCTTGGCCCGGCTACGTCCTCCTCCTCCAAGACACTCCCACTCACAAATCATGGACCCTCAACCCCGGCGGCGACGTAGAATAGCTCGGTCTTGTATTGAGTGTCGCCGGCGCAAAATTAAATGTGATCGAAAAGATCCGTGCACGCATTGTGTCGCCACCCAATTACGATGCATCTACAGGGGTCACAGCGATCAACCTAGCGCTCTTCTGCAACCTACGTCCTCAATAAACAGTCCTACTCCTTTGGCTTCACTGCATACTCGGCAAGTCGGAGTAAGCCCATTATCAGACAATAATGCTCTGCAGGCTCCTCAAAATCCCGCGACAAGGGCCACAACTCCAACGGCAACAACACAAATTGAGTTTCCTATACCTCCCAATCAAGATGATCTACGATTATCTGCTCGTGTGCAAAACTCAGAAGCAAGTTTCGCAGATATATTGAATCGAATTCGAAGCCTCGAGCAGTCTTTGGCACAGAAGCGCACTGATGGTTTATCTGAGACGACTCGAGAAATCCTCGGCCGCCCGTCCCGAATAGAAAGTTCCGAGTGGATCTTTTCGAAGACCAGGATTATGCGATGGAGCTTGTGGATGGGCACATCCAAAGAGGTACAGTGCCGGATTGTTTCACCCTTCATCTTGAATCCCGTCGCTGATTTTGCATTGCAAGTTCGATCCTTTTCTAGCCTGCTATGCTGAAGCGACTGGTAAAGGCACTGGCGACTCATTTCAGGCCCCTGAAGTTCAAATAATTCTCGGCCAAGTTGGCGAGCTTCTCAAAGAATGCAAAGGCATAGCGAGAAGCATGAAATTCTGGCGTCCAAGTAGATCACTATCTAATCCCCAGCTCTACCTTGCTGCTCCATCCCGCGTGATGGCAGATGCGATGGCAAGTCTCTATGTGCAATTCTTCGAATCGACCCATCGCATACTCCATATTCCTTCTTTTTGGACTGATTACCATAAATTTTGGAACAATCCAGAAAACGCGCCGACCGAGCTTCGCCTCAAAATTCTTCTCGTGGTCGGGATAGGATCAAGTCTCCACAAAGAGATAACAAACATCAGATTCCGTCACACAGTCCATTGCTGGGTATATGCTGCTCAGTCATGGCTTTCTGGGCCACTAGAAAAAGACCGACTCAGTATTTCCGCGCTACAAATCGACTGCCTCACGATCCTGGCGCGACAGATTTTCTCAATCGGCGCCGATCTGGTCTGGACTTCAATGGGAACTCTGGTTCACAAAGCCATGCAAATCAATTTGCACCGTGATCCGAAGCAACTCTCGGGGATCTCGGTGCTTCAAGCCGAAATCCGCAGGAGGCTATGGGCTACTATTGTTGAAATGACTACACAGGCGGCTTTGGACTCCGCTATGCCAGCTACTATTCCCGAGTCGGATACGGAGGCTCCATCAAACATTAATGACGACGAGATTGACGAATTTACAGCCGTCGTCCAGCCCCATTCCAAGGATATATATACCAATACTTCGCTGCAGCTTCTTCTCCTTGACTCGTTGCCAATCCGTCTACGGATCCTCCATATATTGACCAGTTTGAGCTCGGAGATTTCCTATTTGAATGTGATTGCATTAAGCTCTGAACTGACCGAGGCTTCGAGCTCCTACTACAAATTTCTCAAAGAGAACGCAAGTTCGATCATCACGTCATTCCACCGGAATCTTCTCGATTACCTAGTTCGTCGTTTCATGATTCCCCTGCACTGCCCATTTACAAGCAAGGCCCGCACAAACCCACTATTATCTTCCTCATTGAAAGCCAGTCTAGATGCAGCAATGGCCATAATGTCACCTGAGCCTGATGAAGGTTTCTCCAGACTGATGGCTACCGGTGGTGGTCTATTCAGAGAAGGTATATGGTGTGCTATGACTGTCATCAGTATCGAGCTGCTAGCCCAAGTTGAATCACAACGTGTTGATGGCACACTGCATCGAAATTCCGGGTACATCGGACTACTCAAACAGATTGTTAAAGATTTCGTCTCTTTCTCTGCTGAGCGAATCCGTCAGGGCGAGACAAACATCAAGTGTCATATGTTTTTGAGCATGATCATCGCTCAGGTTGAGGCGAAGCAGTCGGGTGCCGACTGCGAATTGAGAATTGCTCAAAGTGCCAATGACAGTCTTGAGTTCTGCCACGGTCTCTTACTCGCGCTTGCTGGCACTGTCCCTTTGGCGGATTCGAATGATGACGGCTTGGGACCGATGATAAGTCTTGATGGCGAATCGAGAGAAGCGGGCTCGGGATTTGACTTGGACTTAGACTGGGATTTCCTCCTGCCCGATGCAGGGGTTTAATAAACTTCAACTCTCAATTCAACATTAGTTCATGTCATTCTGGTTCTCGAAGCCCATTTTCAATTATTTGGTGACTGTGTTACCTTGGTCCCTACAAGCAAGCATACCCAGGTAACTGTGGAATTTTCGAATCAAAGAAAAAAGCTCTCTCAGTCCAGTTAGTCTCCAAGGCATTTTCCCTTCTCACTCCAGCGCTGAGTCAAACTGTTTTGCCCTCGGCCGAGCCGACGGTCCTTGGGCGGAGATAATCGGCTTAACATACATACCTACCGAGCTATATAACCTCCCGAAACCTTTTTTTCTTTTCACAAAGAAGGCGACCCCTAAGTTCAGCAAAAACTCTTGTCACTGCTTCCAATATCAACCCACGCAGATCCAGTCTCAAGCTACAAATGAAGATTCTCATCAGTGGCGCAGGCATCACCGGCAATGCCCTCGCCTTTTGGCTCTCTAAGCTAGGCCACACCGTCACTATCGTCGAGCGATTTCCGGATCTTCGAGCCTCAGGTCTCCAAATCGATCTCCGCGGTTATGGCGTCGAAGTCCTGAAACGCATGGGTCTTGAGCAGGCCTTTCGTGAAAGATCTATCCCCGAGCAAGGCATGGAAATGGTGGACAAAACGGGAAGACGTCGAGCCTTCTTCCCAGCTAATGAATCTTCAAGTGTGAAATTGGGGTTCAGTTCCGATTGGGAGATCATGAGAGGGGATTTGTGTCGGATTATCTACGATATCACCAAAACTCGAGCAAATTATATCTTCGGGGTATCAATCGATGCCTTCAAGGAGGAGGGAAACGCCGTCGAAGTCCGATTCACAGATGGATCCGCAAGTCAATTCGACCTTGTTGTTGGTGCTGATGGTCAGGGCTCCCGCACTAGAAAGCTAATGCTCGGACCTAACGCCCCAGACGCATTTCATCCCATGAGCGGAATGTATGTCGGATACTTCACTATTCCTCGGCCGATACAAGATGGAGAAAAATATATCGCAACATCCTACTTGGCACCCGGAGGACGGGGCATCATGACTCGAAGACACAACGACCACGAGATCCAGGCATACGTCGGCGGCCGCACAAACTCCGAGCGACTTAAAGCGTCTTTGAGGGGCGATATCAATGAACGAAAGGAGGCATTGAGAGAGATGCTCCGGGATGCAGGGTGGCAGACAGATGAGATCTTGGAGTCTCTCACGGCTGCTGATAACTTCTACTGCGAACGTATGGGCCAGGTCAGGCTGGACCACTGGTCTCGTGGACAAATTGTCCTTGTTGGGGATGCTGCATACTGCCCCTCGGCAATGACAGGAATGGGCACCACTTCTGGTATTGTTGGTTCCTATGTCTTGGCTGGTGAAATCGGTAGACACTGTGATGGTCCTGGTGCCGATCTCGCAGAGGCCGGTACTACAGATTCGCTTCTGGCTGCCCTAGAGGCATATGAAAAAGTTTTCCGTCCTTTCATGCTCCAAGTCCAGGGAAGTGTGTCGCTTGATGAAGGCCGTTGGGATAAATTCTCATCTACGGCTTTTGGTATTGCTGTCTTGAACACTCTAATGGGGATCGCTTCTTTGTTCAGGTTGGATCTCCTTAGCAGGTTCACCTCCGACATTGTCAAAGACTGGAACCTACCGACGTATGAAGAGCTTGACCGGGATCAGTAGCATTTATTGTGAGAGAAGCGTGAAAGGATATCGACGCCTTGTTGCTATACTCTGTTTCTGTTTTAGTTTAGTACATGTTACAATTTCCACTCATGCCTGACTGTGGCCCTTTTCTCTATCGCCCAAATATAGTTGAGTAAAACTGTTTCAAGGTTATGCGCAGTCCATCTTGGCAGGGCTATCTTGGCCTTGGAGCCTTGCCATTCCTTTCAGTATAATTTCAGATCCTTAACTCTCATTTCATAGCATCCTTCGAATCACCTACCAGAATGCATGAATACAAGTTTCTTCACGATGATTTTACGGAGTGAGATTACGTACATTATATTAAAATCTTATTAAAAAGGGTCGGTTGCTTGTCCAGTATAAGCCTAGCGGATCACTATTGTCTTGTCAGATTCGGCTTGGCCCGACACTACTTGACTTCTACCTGCAGAATATAGTTAAATCAATCAGTAGCGCTCGAAACCCTGCGAATCATTAGGGTTTCTCCAAATTTACAACAATCTGATTGATACTCAATGTTAAATGGATCCGCTACACTCCACAGCTAGACAAGCGATGTACCCTCGCAACAGGTCTATACCTAAACCGTGTCGCTTTTGAAGTTTTTACTCCACTAGCGACCCCCGGGCGATTTCAACCCTTTGATCTTATCTGATCCGCACTTTTTCCATTCTCTGATTATTAGAATCTTGGTTCCATTCTCTGTGATCCGTTTTCTTGCGTGGTATTGCAGCTCATTTTTCTCCAATTTTTGATACAATACTCTGTTTCATCAACTGTTCCCAAATCCTCAAAATGGCCAGTGAAGGACTTCCAAAGGGTCAGGACCTCTCCGATCCCGAGATACAAGGGATTCTGGAAGGAGAGGCGCGGTTTCGCCGACTTGGCTGGAAGCGCCTAACTATCATTTCGATTGTAGAGGCAATTGCTCTTGGAAGTCTAGGTTTGCCTTCTGCATTTGCCTCTCTCGGAATGGTTGCTGGCGTGATCATGACCGTTGGCCTCGGCCTTGTGGCAGTTTATGCAGGTTATAGTATTGGCGAGACCAAGCTTCGATATCCACAGATCGGTCACTATGCAGATGTTGGTCAACTCCTACTGGGGAATTTTGGGTCGAAGCTCTTTCTAGGCAGCTTTGTTGCTCTCCTCATCTTTGTCATTGGTTCCCACTGCTTGACAGGTGCCATTGCATTTCAAACTATAACTCAAAACAGCTCGTGCTCGATCATTTTTAGTGTTGTATCGGCCGTGATACTTCTGATCCTTGCCGTTCCTCCGTCGTTTGCGGAGGTTGCCATTCTAGGTTATATCGATTTCGCTTCTATCATCATTGCTATTGGCGTGACCATGATTGCGACCGGTATCCAAAGCTCCAATAATTCTGGCACTTTCAACCCTGACCATGCTCCATGGTCTGCCTGGCCAAAGCCTGGCCTCACCTTTTCGGCGGCCATCGTGGCTGCCAACAACATCGTGTTCGCGTTTTCCTTTGCTGGGTGTCTACCGTCGTTTATGGAAGATATGCACACCCCTAAAGATTACGTCAAAACACTCTGGTGGCTTGGAGGAATTCAGATTGTCATTTATACTCTGACGGGGTCAATCATCTATGCCTTTGTGGGGCAGGAAGTACAATCACCTGCTTTGCTATCAGCAGGCCCTGTCATCTCGAGGGTCGTCTTTGGCATCGCACTTCCAGTCATCTTTATTTCGGGGTCAATCAATACAACAGTTGTCTGCCGATATATACACGGAAAGATATATCAAGACTCTATTGTCCGCTACGTTAACACAAAAAAGGGCTGGATCACATGGCTCGGCCTCGTTTTTGTTGTCACAATCCTGGCTTGGGTCATTGCTGAGGCCATTCCAATTTTCTCCGAATTGCTCTCTATTATCTCTGCCTTGTTTGTGTCTGGTTTATCGTTCTATATCCCACCAATCATGTGGTTTGTCCTCTTGAAAGAGGGCGCGTGGTACGAAAAGCACAATATGAAGCCTGCAATCTTGAACGGCGTGGTATTCCTCGTTGGCATCATCATTTTTGGATGTGGAACCTATGCCAGTATTGCTGAACTGGTGAGCTTAACTTCTTCTACTTCAATATCGATGCTGACTTAATGCTGCAGGTTTATAAATTTCAGTCCGGGTCTATAAGCAAGCCCTTCACCTGCGCCTGAGTCATTGGAACAACATTGCCACTTCCAGCCAGATTGCCACATCACTCAGCTCGAGGTGAAAAGTAAGGAATGGGAAATGATACGGGCATTCTACTGTTCAAAACACGCTCTCAGTTCCAGCCGGGTGGCTAGCGAGTTAGTGTTGGTTCCGTATCTGTTTGGGGGGATTTGAGGTTTCTATGTACAATTTTCTACAAAAGCAACGAGGAAAGGCTCGATAAAAAGCGATATAATGATCAATGAGCAGAACTGATATGACTTAAATAACACAATGACCACCTTGGTCTTTGGAATCAGTGTAGATAGAGATAACAAAATCTGACCTATCTTCTCAGTATGTTAATGTTCTGGTAAAGTAGTAGAGTATGTTATGATATTCAGGCTATATGGGCAGATCTATGAAATATCTAGCGTGTTGCCACAATATCATCTTTGGTGTTCCAATGGCCTGTCGTTGCCTTGCTTCTCGGGCTTCTGTTTTTCATTGATGCACTACACCTTCGTTCAGGCTGAAACTCTGGACCGGACAAGTCCCCTATATATCTGTTCCATGGATGCGAGTATTACAAATTTAAAGAAATGATCAAAGAAAAAAATCAGACGGCCTGGTGGATATTTGCGTAAGACTCCTAAAAAAGATAAAACACAAAGATTCTATAGATAACTTTCGACGATCAATCGCCGACGAAGTCTTAAACAATTGACAAACAAATCTTCATTCCGCACATCTCCTATATCCACTTTTCATCGCGTTTCGTTTTCCAAAATCAAACACACTCCCCTAAGTAGAGGCAGTGTAAGCCTCGCCAGCCTCGTTGAGAGCGTCGTTAGAGAGAAGATAGTTCTCAGCACACATGAAGTAAGAGTAGCGAGTGACGCCAGCCTGCGAATCTAACCAAGGGATAACCTCATTTAAGAAAGCAGTGGTGGTAGCAAGGTCGGCGGAGCCGTTAGCATCCGCGCTGAGAGCGAACTCGGTGATCCAGAGTTCGCTCAGGTTGTAATCGCTAGCAGTGCTGATAGCCTGGGTGACGAAGGACTTGAACTCATCGGCAGTGGAACCGTACCAGTGGACGGCGAGACCGGTAATGCTGCAGTCTGCGCAAGAGCTCATGAAGGACTCGAGCCAGCTCAGACCAACACCGGCATCGGTGGAGGAGGTCACGGCGGGAGAGATGAGCTTGGCCTTGCCGGAGTACGGGGTGATGTACTGGAGGTAGTAGTTGGCGGCATCAGAGGGGCTCATGTTGGCCTGGGAGGCCATGTCGGGCTCGTTGAATCCCAGAATGTAGTTGCTGCCACTGGAGAGGACAGTCTCGATGGTGGTCAACCAGCCGCCGAAGTCCCTGGTTCCCCAGAGCATGGGGATGAACTCGACGTTGGAGGGGAGGGATCCGGAGAGGGTACCAGCCCAGTTGTAAGCCCAAGAGACAACGCCGGTGCTGCTCAGAGGGGAGACGGTTGAGATGTCATTGTAGGCGGCACCACGCTTGCTGGAGGTGGTGCGCTTGATCTGAGTGGGAGCAGCAAGGGCCGAAGTGGCAACGAGGCCGGCAGTGAACAGGTTGGTGAACGAAACCATTTTGAAGAAAGTTTGGATATATAAGTCACAAAAGATTGAACTTCAAAAAGATTGAAAGAGAGAAACCTGTTCTCGATCTTAGAAGGAATGAATGTATAAAGCACGTAGCTTAAGGAAAGTAAGGCTCAGACCGTGCACGGCACAGGACTAGATGACCAAAAAAAGGATGAAGGAATGGAAGGTGATGTGTGGGAGAATGGATTAATCGAGGGAGTGAGGGAGCTTTATATGGCCACACAATGGTGTCAAAGTTACCAGCCAAACGACCTGGCTGGGACGTAGCCACCTCTTTTCTCCAAGCCTGTGGAGCATTGGTCGAAAGCCCATTGGATATTCTTACACCGAACGAGGTGGTTCTACATAATAACCATGTTTTCAGTCAGGGCAAAAGATCGATTCTAGATCTTATTGGCGCCGGGACCAGGGGGAGGCGATAGATGGATCTTAGGGGGGTCTCCATATTGGGCCCTTGACAGGAACAGGAACCATGGTGATTGGCTTGAACCGAGCGTCTTTTTCCTACAGTTCCAATGAGATCCGCTGTGTAGGCCCTAATTGACACTACTTCTTTAAATCTTTTCTATCAGAAAAACATTCTGATGTGGGTTTACTCCACAGCCAAGATGATAGCCCATTCCACTATGGCCTGGACTATGGAGTGTGCGTTACATCGAAATTTCAATCAAAATCAGAATGATATTTGATGACGTTCGGGGAATACATGCCACACATCAGATTTCGAAACATAACTAAGAAAAAGGACTATAGTTATACACCTTACTCCATAATTTCTATAAATAAAATGTATAAGGAGACAATGATTGGATTGCCCCTGGCATCAACAAAAAAGAACAACATGCACATTAAAAATATTCCAGCCACAAGAAAATGTACGGAGTAGTGGAGTGGAGATGTCAACGTAGAAACCATGGATGTAATTGCGTATTCCAATGGTTAGCCACGCAGTAATACCGTGTAGTACCCTGGTACCCGACCAGGGCAAATAATCTGATTGGTGCATCCCGAATACATCATCGTCTGGATCCCCGAGTAACCAATTACATCACAGTGTCATTGATCATAACCCTAGGTACGGTTTGATGAAAAGCAAACATTGAAATAAGTGCACTTCTACACTAATTTCAAGTCCTTTGATTCCTTTGATACCTTTAATTCACATCAAATTGTTTTAGTAATAATCACGTCGAAAACTTTTGCAAACTCTTGCAAAGAATATCCCAACATGTGATACGCCAATTATTAGCGCCACATTGGATCGTAGTCGGCCACTCATACCGATCCGAGGCAACTCCATACAGATCAACACCATGTTTCACCTATGACCCAGACCGTCTCTGCCTCCTCCTTTTCGTCGGTCGTTTTTTAGCGTGTCTCCTTACTTATGGCTCAGTGAGGATGTTCTTCTAGGGCTAGAAGGAAGAGGGGGGGCGCCCGTCTGAAACTTACTAACCCCTCTCGAGCCCCCTGCCGATCTTTAGCGAAAAAAACGGTCAGGACAAGCCTTAACGGACTACACGCCGGTGTTTCCTTCCGGTCTATTGCGTTTGTTCATCGGTGGCTTGCTGGTGGCCCGTTATGGCTCTATTGTGCCCCATTCAATATTCTTCTCCATTGTTCTTTTCCGTTGTTCTCCAAGGCGTGGCAAGTCGATTTCCTTTTTGCCGGATTCTGGTTTGTTACATTGTGCCACCTATTACTAATTCTCCAAACCTTTAGGTAGCGATCGAAATTGAGATGCCCTAATTCCTGGTTTTCCTATAGGCTGTCGGTCAAAGTGTACCCTACAACAGAGGAAAGGCAAAGCCTTTAGCCAAGGGAATTCAGAGATTTTTAGTTTGCATTTGTAGAACTACCCTATGGTACTGAGTGCGTGGTTTCCATTCACTCCCATGTCTTTTGTAGTCTCGGCGGACCGATGGTTGCCACTGACAGAGTCGCAATGAAATCAGACCTCAGTCACCCCCGCCTCTGCAGCCAAAAAAGATCCCGGCCATAGTTCCGGCAAATCTGCATACCTGCATCTTTATTCCAATGGTCATGGGGCATGGTTCCTTTCATCTGAAACATACTCTAATCAGATCTCTTTGTGATCCTAACAATCCACGTGGACAACAATAGGTCTAAATTTACACTCAAAATTACACTATTGAGGACTATTCGAATTGTTATTATCTTCGCAATGATTCTCCGATTTCTCCGAAAGTGAAACTCTCAGGTTGTTCTGGCCTTTTTGGAAATCGATGTGGCTTAATACTTAGACTCGCGTCTAGCCTAGCCGGTTCCCACTAGCGCACTGCGTACGTCATCTCATATTTGTCCGCATCCCAGTACGAGACGGATCTAACGGACATGTACAGACTGGATAGGTTCCTCGATTTAATTCAATACATCGGGCAGTCCGGTGCAATAACTATTGTTGTCCATGGATACGCCGCCCCATGATTCCTAGCTGTTCCAACTTGTCCCCAAACTGCAGGTACAAAAGTACTAAGCATTGAAGCCCAATCTTAGATTGGTGCCGCGTGGTCTTCGTTGTCAGGAACAATAATGCATGGCGCTATACGTATAGGGGTTATACCCGACGAGTCTGTATGGCATGTCCATATATGGTCGCTGGCATGAAAATGTCTGAATGAGTGGGCTGGCCGCTTCAGATGAACGCGGGTCGTCCATTATTATCTGTGGTTAGTGTGACAAGATATACCTCGTCTAGGTGTTTCCATCACGACCATATCTCCCGCTGTGTTCGGGGATCATTCTTTGTGTAAAATAGCCGTGGTCCACGTTGTCTACACGGCAAAGACAGAAGCAGAAGATAGATCCCTGATTGGGCGCTTATATGGCGGTTCCAAGGAGTCTTTAGACAGTTGATGGACAGTCTACTTTTCGGCTACTATTCGACTGTTCGACACATGCGAACAAGCTGGTTAAATAACAGGATGCATCTGGGGTCTGGTCCCGGGCAGAGAATTGGCATATCCCCGATGCCCTCTCAAAACATGTCGTCCCCTGTGTTGATTCGGATATTTTGAATTACACTCGAACTTCAGTTTCCGAAATTTCCTTTCCTTGCATCTAAGTAGGACAGGTCAGGCTCTTTTATGGATGGTTGTAGTTATCCATACATCAACAAGTGCATGAATCGATGGTTTGTTCCTAGGCTACATGCGATGGAATCTGGATTTGACATCCTTGTGATTCGCACTCCGGCAATAGAGTCATTAATTTTGTATCGAATATATTTTGAATAACAGAGATGTGAGGCAGGTTTATCTTCTATGAACTGGACGACAAAGTGATCTTATGGAGGTACGTATATTGTCAGTACCAACATGCCATTACCTGTGGATTATGGTGCTCTTGCCATATCTCTATATTCAGTCAGATTATATACCATGCTCACTTTTTTTATAAAATTTTACAATTTTCTAACCACTCTAGTAGCAACTTTGCAATGGTAGTTGGCCGATCTTTGATTGCTTAGTGTATTCCACGCCATAACCTGAGTGAATTTGTACCTAATAACGCACTGGATGCTTATGATAATTCGGAATCAATCCTCCAACTTTTTTTTCCAAACTTATACTTCATCTCAAATAAATAAAATACCTGATCGAGCAGCCCGATCTATACTCCCATCCAATCACAAGTACTGCCCATAAGCACACCCAAACAGGTAAGCGGTCAGGACCGATGATGTAAATTATCCCGTCTCTCCGCATCATGGAAGCAGCTCGTTGCATTTTACTTTTACTTTTCATAAACACCTCATACCTCTACATAAACAATCACACACAAAATGATTCCTCGCACAGCTTCCCGAGCTCTGCTCGCCTCTGTGCGCCCATCCATCCGCACAGCTCCCACCTCATCTATGCTTTCCCGAGCTGGTGCCCTTCGGCCCTCCGTCTCCCAGTTCACGCGCTCCTTCCAGTCCACCCCGGCCATTCGCAAGGGAATTCACCCAGAGTCAGCAAACCCTCCAGCTCCGAATCCCCAATCTACTCCCGTTGCTGGAGCTGCGGGTCATATCACCGAACCGTCGCCATTGACTCCGGAGGAGTACTACGAATACTCTGAGCACTATTTCAATGTGTTGCTAGCTCAGCTGGAGACAGCACAGGAAGAGGGTGCCGATATTGAAGCGGAGTATAGTGTATGTTTCAAAATAATTTCCCCCATATCTCGTTTATTGTCGCCTTGTTTTCCTTTCTCTTTAATTTCCTCTAACTGGCTACCAATCCCTTCTGCCATCATTACACATGTCAATTTACTCCAAACTAATAAAATTCTACTACAGGCTGGAGTACTTAACATTGGCGTCTCTGCAATTGGCACCTACGTCCTCAACAAGCAACCACCCAACAAGCAGATCTGGCTCAGCTCGCCCATCTCGGGACCAAAGCGGTTCGACTGGATTGTCGAAGGCGACTACATGCACGAGAAGCAGGACTCACGACCTTTTGTCAATGGGCAGTGGATCTATCTGCGCGATGGTACTAATTTGACCGATCTGTTGAACTCGGAGTTGACCTTGCGTTTGCCCAAGGATATTTACAGCGAGATCGTTGAGTAATTTTCTTCTGGGCTGTCTATTACTTAGATCGAAGAAGGAGCTGTTGCAGTCCTGTTTTATTATAACATAGTGTAGTCTAGTGCATGGATATTGTTGTATCTGCATTCAACTTTTTGCTTATATGATCCTGTTGACATTTTCAAAATAGTAGAGATATGAATCGAGGAATTGCATTCGCTTTGGGGGTATCATTTTGTTTATCTTTGACGCAATGCGTGGGTATAGAATGAAGTTTCACATAGAAAATCAGAGCCAATAAGATCAAGAGATATACAATTGCCAATTCAACAAAGCACAAAGCACAATCGTACTCATCGGCACAAACATGTTTACGCTGGAGACATTGGCCTGACTCAATGTGTCGCATTGCCTTGCCAAACCGGGCTATGTTCTCAAGACAAAAGTCCCATCCAAGACTGGACCGACGGACCCAAGTTCGCGGTAGACCCGTTGCAAAACACGGATATTCGAGTCCGAGTTGAATCCGCTGGGATGCTTCAAGTCACCAAGCATGATGCAGACATAGTTACAGTATCAACGCAAAAAATACGTTCTCGCGATATGTTATGTCCTTCGAGGGCCGGTGGGATGCGATGCGGGTCACAACTGGGGGTGGAATGGTAAAAACCGACTCCTCAACTCATTTCCTCCACAACGGCAGCAGGTCCACTTCTAACATGGAAGGCCTTGGACAAGATTTTCTCCAACTGGGACTGCTTCGAACTCCCAGGGAGTATTATGCTTATTTTCTGTGGTCTCGTTCATGCTTTAGGGAGATCGGCCTGCGAATACCCCGCGGGGCGAATAATCAGCAACTGGAGACATGCGAAGTCAAATATAAGAAGCGAAACATACCACATCGAAGATCACGCGAATCATCAAGCTGCAGCTCGGACACACGCCGATGTCTTCGCCGTCGCGCAAATCGTCAATTGCGATCTCGAAGCGGTCGCCGCACGGGCATGGATATGTGTAGATCTGGAGATTTGGGTCGAAGGTCATGTCCTCGATCTCGATTTCATCGTAAATGTTGATTTCCTCGTCGGCCATGTTGGATATTGCTGCTAGAATAGAAATGTGGCGAATGAGTAGATGTGAGTCTTTTGGTGGCGGGCATAGAAAAAAGTTTGGCATGGTCATGTGATTCTCGGGTTTAAGTCAGGAACATTCTCGGAGTTAAGACTTGGCTTCTTGTATACAATCACAGAGCACATCAAAGATAAATATATCATACATCCTTGTGTTTTATGTCCATGTAGGTATAAAGTAGGCCAATTATTGAAGAAGAGAATTGCATGTGTATCTCCAGGGCTTTACGAAATGTACGAAACAGACATGCTCACTCCATCTGGCTGAGTGCCATCCGCTAAATCAATGTACTTATACATCCATCAATGCCGCCTTACACATATAACTTCCCTGTACCTAGGTACCATGCCCGGTGCCTTGCTTGACATATAAGCAGACCATCATGCCCCCAAACGAGCAATTTCCACCTTCAACAACTCCACCTCTTTGATCAAGCCACCATACCGGCTCTTGATATCATCAAACCCCTCTTCGTTCGTTTCCATGCCAGCATCAGACACCTCAGGGTCCCCCAAGGCTTTCAACTCCTCAACAGTCCTCATCCTCTGCTCCTCCAACCGTTCCCTAGTTTTCCTCAAATGCACCTGATATCTAGTCAGAGCAGCAATAGTTTCAGGCGAATATAGCGTCGCGGCAATCTCCAGTTTCGTAACCCTACACAAATTAGCACCACTCCAAGCAACCCCAGATATTGAAAAAGCACGCAAGTACATACTCCAATTTTCCCTCGACGCCCTGCGCAACAATAGCCAAATGCTCCGCCTTCGCCCTGGTCGCACGCGCAAGAGCCCCATACTTCGCCCTCTCGAGGATAACAACAGACCGTTCAAGAACGCCCGCGCGCAAAGCAACCACCTGCGCCGCCGTGGCCGCCAGTTTCCGTCGTGCGGCTGGTAGCTCGGCGAGCTGGATCTGGCGCAGAGCGCGGACGCGCGCACTCAGCTCGTCTGCGAGGGGTGGGACTGGAGCCATGGAGGTGCGGACTCGGCGGTCGCGAGCTCGAGCGCGAGCATTGTGGCTTGGGCGTTCGGGTTCTGCGGCTGTGTCTTTGGCCGATAGAGCGCGTAGGTCTTGGATGGATTTGTTGAGAAGGGTGGAGAGGGGCTGGATTAGAGATGGGATGTTTGCGGTGAATGTTTGGATGTCTGGGCCTAGGAGGGATAGTGTTTCGTTGGGCTCTTGGTCTGCATTGAGTGTTCCTGGGGGTGTTGAGAGGTAGAGGGATATTATTGCGAGGTTATCGTGGTGCTGGATAAGGTGTTAGATAGGTTCTTTCGTCTTTATGCGCGGGGATTCTGACCTCCGCCGGTAGGTTGGTGTCTGGGGCGAAGGCCAATTGGCTGAGCATTTGCTCCTTGATGCGTTTCTTCGCGTTTTGGGTCTGACATCTCTTCAGGTCCTGGTGAATGGGTGGTTAGCTCCGTTTTGAGCTTGATCGAGTGTCGGGGATGCGACGACTTACTTCCACAGCTGTACGGGCTAGGTTTGTCGCTTGAGCACGGGTGGAGGCATCTGGGTTCAGAAAAGAGGTCGTAAGATTCTCATATAGGCGTTTGAATTGAGGGTTGTGTTCGAGAATGGAGGGGTCGCATGGTGGAATCATGTTGATGTTGAGGAGCTGGGGAAGTTCACCGCCGAAAGCTGACGCGCCACACCAATATAGGAGCTACCAGAAGGTGGAGATGTGTGCCCAACATAATATTGGCATTATTACAATTATTGCCTAGAAAACAATTCAGTCTATGTAGACATAATCCAAATGTTGAGTTTACTAGTACAAGTACATATTCATTTTGCATTTCCGCGTTTCTTTCGTAATCATACAATATGAAGCTAAGCTTCGGATCAACTCCCTTTTTTCACCCGCAATCATCGGAGAAAAGAAAAAAGCAACCTCATCCACCTATCCTGGCTGTGAGAACGAAACGGAAGAAGAATTGTACACAGTGGATGGGACAAGTTCAAGAAATTCAGTTAAAAGAAACCCTGTTCGGCTGATCTTGAGCATGAAGAGCATTGGGTTCATCAACAGCAGCAGAAACCTTGCCCGGCGTATTCGAAATCAAAGTATGTACAGACGTTGTCAGCGGGCATCGATTGCATCGATCGCATGGCGAGAAGCCCACCAGGGTCTGGGAGTGACGTAGAATGAAAGACAAGGTGAGGAATAGGTCAAAAAAGCACTGGGGAAATCGACGCTTAGAACGCAAGTCAGGCTATAAAGAGCCATCTCGTATGGAAGACAGAGGAGACATTCGGTCAAGAGATTTACTCCTCCTCGCTCTCTTCCTCGGACGAATCCGACTCATCATCGCTGCTTTCGTTTTGTTCAACAGATCTCACGGGTTCAGGAGAGTGGGCGCCACCCTGGAAGCGGGACAGGTTGCTCTGCAGCATGTTGATCTGAGCCTCCTGCTCGAACTTGCTCATTGGCTTGTTCTTCTTCGGCTTGGGAGGAGCAACGCTGCTGCTGGCGGGGAGGTCGTCCTCATCATCCATAAGGTGAGGCACGTTCTTCTTCACGAAGTTCAGCAGCAACAGCAAAACATTGTTAGGGAGCTCGTCAATGTCCAACTCAATTTCAGCTTCATCAGTGCCCTGCGATAAATAGGTAAGAATAATGCTTTTATATAATCAATATACTCAGTGGAACTGACCTTGAGTTGAGGAACGTTGCTTTGGATGATTTGAAGGGCTTGCTGCATCTTCTTATCTGGAAGACTGCTGATACCGTTGGAGATGATCTGTTTCTCATTGTAGGTGATGGCACGCTCCTTGCCGCTCTTGCTCTTCTTGTCTTTCTTGCCAGAGCTGATCTTCTTTGATTCCTTCTTGACTGGCTTCGCCTTGCCAATCTTCTTGGACGAAGGAGGTGTCTTCTTTTTCTTGTGGGTGATGGCCTCGACTTGGCGTGACATCTCGGCAATCTGCTTCTGGAGCAAAGCAAGTTTCTCTTTCTCTAATTCCTGATCACTCTCTTCAGCTTCATCGTCACTCTCTTCGTCAGAAGAATCAGAGTTTTGCTCGGGGTGTGGTTCGTGCGCTTCGAGATAGTCCGACTTCTGGGCCCACTTCTGAGAGAAGATTTCTTCCGCGCGTTGGCCACAAATATAAGTAGGGTCTCCTGGAATGTTAAATCGGAAGCAGTTTTTGAAGATCAAGCGGACATCAGTCTCAAACTCTTTGGCATTCTCATACTGGCCAGTCTTGAGTTTATGCTGCACGGTAGACAGGTCCATCGGCTTCTTGATCACTTCGTGGTAGGTAGGAATGTTCAGAGCAACGGGGTCGACCGGATAGTAGAACGGCATCACAAAGTTGTAGTGCTTCTGCTTGTGCATCTCATCCAATGCCTCCTGGCAGAATCGCAACTCCCATTGGTACTTCTTCTTCTTGGGCTTAGTTGAGTATGGGAGATCGCGCTTGGGCGGATGAATCGACCGCTTTGGACGGCCATCAGGGTTGGTGGAATCCCGACGAATAACGGGCAGTCCCTCCGGTCCTAGCGCAAAGGTCTGACCCTGGGGAGAAGCAGCCTTTGGCTGGCTTGGGAGTGAAGTACGAGGGGCCCGACGAGCAGCAGAGGTCTTATCCGTCGACTTCTTCGGCTTAGACGGTTCCACTTCCTCAGGCTTGGGGAGGTTGAGCATCTGCTTTTCAAAGGTAGCTTTCAATTTGATACCCTCTTGGGTGACCAGGTGGTCTGGGCCGTTGAAAATGGTCGTGTTGTTCACCATTAGGGCAAAGTCGTCAGAGACTTCCTTGGGTGACCCATACTGATTAGCCTTGAGCTTTTTTTCCATTGTTCCCAGGTCCATGGGTTGGGTAATAATGGTATGGTACTGTGGGATGTTTAATTTGATGGCATCCACGGGTTCTTTGTAGAAACGTGCATCGTGCATGCGCTTGAGGCTTGTGAGAGACTTTGAGATAAATTTGTGTTGCAATTTGGTGAGACCCGGCCCACCACTTGTGCGAACGGGAGCGGCTGTTTCAGTGGCTGGGGTAGAGAATCCGGGTGGTTTGAAATCCACGACATTCGAGGCCTCGCCCTCAACCTTGGTCCGCTTAGCAGCCGGCTCTTCGCTGAGATCATCATCGCGTTGTCGGGAGATCTTGGAGGAGGAAGGTGAATGCGGGGCTTCCGGCACATCCTTCATTTCTTGATCGACGGGTTGCGTGGCAGTGAGTGATGCAGAAGCAGCATCAGGGTTTGGATGGTGGGGAAGTTCAGTTTTCACGGCAGTCGGGAGATCCTTGGGGGTATCGACAGCCATTGCGTCTTTTGTGTCAACCGGGCCCTCAGTGGATGCAGGAGCGGTAGGAATATCAGCGGGAGCCTGAGTGGGGATATTCTCAGCATTCACTGCGGGAGTGAGAGATTCTTGGTCTACCGGACTAGTCTTCTCGCTCTGAGGAGCTGCGGCTTGCTCTGCAGATGGCTGATCTTGAGTCTGGGGTTGGTCGGAAGATGCAGGAGCAGTCGCAGGAGCGGGGGACTTCGGGGGAGAGTTCGCAGTGCTTGTGCCGTTGGTAAATGGAGTGGCGGTGGAGCTGTGGCCATTCAGTTCGGGTGATTTGATCTCGGCATCTACGGGATGCTCAACCTTGGAATCGATATCATTGTGCGCGCTTCGCGCGAGTCAGATCACGAAAAATGAAGTAAATACCAAGACTGGCATGCTTACCTGGTCGGAGCGATGTCAGTCGCGGAAGGACCGGCAGGCGAGGGTGGAAGCTGAAGCTTATCCTCCTTCACAATGTGAGGAGCCTCGGGAGGCGGGGTCGCCATTGAGTGCGTGTTGAAAAGTTGAAGAAACAAGACCGAGTAAAACAGAGGGAAATACCAATGAGCCGGGAGCTAAAGTATTTCAATTACGATCGAGTAAAATCGGAAGGAAACACGCGCTTCGGTAGTTGATAACGCGTCAGTGATCAGTGGACCTTTGATGGACCCGGTCAAGCGTGAAGAGTAAACGCGACCGTGGGATGGTGAGGTCAGAGATCGGGAGATAGGAAGAGTGGAGAATGCGATCGGAGACGGATGTAATTTATACTGCCAAGGCGGTATGTGTGGTCACGTGATAGTGAAGTCCAGGTCTAGAAAGAGTAAAAGACTTGGGGAAAGAACTAAAGTTGTGGGGGTGAAGTGCCTCAGGCGAGAAATAAAAAAAGAGTAAAATCCTAAAAAAAAGAGCCCCAATTATTTGAAAATAATAAACGTAAATAAAAAAAAAGAAGGGGAAGAAGGCGGTTAAAGTGTTCGCGACGCGAGACGCGTTTGTTTTGTCGAGGGCGGTCAGGGAAATAAAAATAGGAGAAATCAGGTCAGAAGCAGAAAAATCCTCGGAGGGGATGCTAGAATCCTTAAGTACAAACGGTCGCCTTGCACTCTCCTGTTGCCAGTTCCACCAGCCACACTAGTCCGGATTCTCCTACCTGTTCCCCTTGTTGATTGGTTCATGAAATAACCCCTGATAGAATTATCTTTTTTTTTTCTTCTTTCCTTTTCTTTCCTTTCTACTCGACCCTTTACCTTCACTCACATAAACAAGGACACTTTTGAAATATATTCTTAATCGTTTAAATCTTTTTTATGCGTTCTATTCAAATTCTTTATTTTTTTTAACGAACTCTCGACGTATCTCTTAATTAACTAGAAGGTTCTACACCATTAATAGCTGTGTTCAGGTCCCCGGGTACCTAGGATGACTCAAAGCCCTAGGGTTCTGCTTAATCCGGGTTAGTGATGGAATCCGAGTTCCCGACGTCACCACTTTAGTTACCCACGATGATGAGTATTTATACGTAAATCTTTTGAAAAATGAAGATTTTCGACCGCAAGGAACATACATGTCATAGAATTATGAAACACGCAAATAATATCATACAAACGCAAAGTGTCGATTAGAATATGGACCTGGACCTGGACCCTTACAGATTTAGGCGTAAATCACATAATTACCCAAGTGTACTTTGGGTAATTCTGCCCAATGAAAGCTCGTGGCTTCGAACTATGTGGCAGTGGACCGATCATTTACAATTTTACCAATATTGTAGGTCATGTTTGTACCTACACTGTACTCCGTATAACATAGCTGTATGTAGCACGGAGTACATTGAAGTAAATGCTACTTGAGTCAGACCTCTACTTGATGAATCTTCGTTCCTAAGATGTACTTTTCCGAATGAAAATAACAAGTTGTTGTTTAGAAAATCATATGCAAGGTCATTCTGATCAATATATATCTTCGTTCCAAAATATAGATTGACGTCAAAACTTTCTATTTTGAATAACTGGAATGTATGAAATGTAGGATAAAAAAAATGACTTTCATACTGATTTAGCACTAAAATCTATCATTGAAAAATAAAGATCAATGACAGAGATGTTGAGTTTTATAGTCAAAAATGAAGCCTCCGCGGTCCAGTAGGATCGGATCACGGGATGATTAGATAAGGCCTGTTTCCAAGCCAAACCATTTCGAGACTAGCGCCTCAAGGCTGTACAGAACATTTTTTTTCCTGTCCGGATCAACTGCGATACCACCGTCCTAAACCCCGAACTGTTTCTTTAGGGGTGGAGAAAAAGAGAAGTATCTTGGAAAATTTGATACGTCTCCTTGGATTCGGTCCATTGATAGTTATTATCAACCTACCAATACCTCGACTGTGAGAAAAATCGAGTGTCAAGAAAAAAAAGTCACAGCCAAAATGGGAAAGAAGTCAGCTCGCCCATCGACCAAGGTCGGCTCGGCCGCTGCGCCGGCATCAGGCCTGACACAAGCGGGCAGCAAATCGTCTATCCTACGAGCTGTATTCTCCCCATCGGAATACCAATTGGCCCTGTTTGCGTCCGTCATCCAAGGCCTCGATGGCCAACACATTCGAATCCACGATACAAACACAGGACGCCTTCAGTGTGAGCACACCTTGGGGCCGAAGGAAACGGTGACCTCGTTGGATTGGGGATACTACGGTGGTTCGGGCAAAAACCGCGACCAGTCGAAGAAGAAGCGCAAGCGCGGTTCCGATGTCAACGGAGCTGTCGATGGTCTGGACCAAGGCGACATCGTGGTCGCATTCGGTACTAACACCTCGGACATCCGCATGTACTCACCTTCGGAAGACAAGGTTGTCGGTACTTTGACCGGCGCGCACGAGAAGGGAATCAAGGACTTCAAGTTCACTGCCGATCGCCCCGCCCAGGAGGCTTGGAGTATTGGTGGAGACAACAAGCTCGTCCAGTGGGACCTGCGCACCGGACAAAGCATCCAGTATGTGAATGAGTACTAGAATACAGGCAATCTTGAGCTAACGATGCGATTTTTAGGACCATCCATCTTCCTGCATCCTCCGTTTTCACTGCTCTCTCCCGTCCCGTTTCCTCGAAAACCCCTCTTATCTGCGCATCTCAGGCTCCATTCCTAATAGATACCGAGAAGGCCGACGAACCGGTTCAATTCCCCGCCATGCGCAACCCTATCCACACTGTCATTTCGTCTTCTACCGAGTCCGCTGGCGTAGGTGCATTCCTTGCCTCGGACGGTGACCGCTTTGTCAACGTTTTCGATGCCGCGACTCAAAAGCTCGTTCGCAACCTTGTTGCCGAGCACGAGGTCACAAACATCACCCTGCAAACTGGAGATAATGCCACCCCAGAGAAGCAGGTTCTTGCTGCGATCACTGGAGATGGTACCATCGAACTTTTTACCAAGCCATTTGTCCAACCCCAGATCGCACCAGGCGCCAATGCCAAGGCTCTACGGAAACAGATGACCCAAAAAGCACACGCAGCCCTCAAAATTACGAATAACGAGTCTTCAAGCGCCTGTGTCCCAGTTGCTGCTGTTTCATTCCAAGGGCCCAACATTGTGGTTGCATACACCGAAGGTGGTGTTATTCCTGTTTTCGAGCGTGTCAAGTTCCTCGATGAGAACACCGAGGAGCTCTCTTTCACCGGAACAAAGACTGTGGTGAAGACCAAGTCCAGCTCAGCACTTGCCTCCGTTACAACAAACGGAGCTAAGGGCTCAGGCGAGAGCCGTGTTGACGAGTCTCGCATGACCGTGGAGCAGGGTAACCTAGTTGATGATGATGTAGAGATGGAGGACCAGAAAGAGGCTGCATCTGACTCTGAAAGTGAAGAGGATTCCGACGCCGAGGATAACAAGAAGCCGAAGGCTCCTTCTACCGATAAGAAGTCCAAGCCCGCTAAGGCCGCAACGAACGAAGATGTCGACATGCAGAATGCCTCCGAGTCCGAGGAGGAAGAGGAGGAGGAGGGCGCAGAGCCATCCTTTGGCGAGCTTATGCGTGCCAACGCAGAGGTTGACGTGGAGGCCGAGCTCGATGATGACGTTCTGCTCGGCGCATTGGTCCCTGGCAAGCCCCAGGCCGCAGTGCAACAGATTCCCAACGGTGTTTCGCTGGCAACTGTCCTCACACAGTCTCTCAAGACGAACGACAGTGGCATGCTTGAGTCATGCTTCCACACTGGTGATCTTTCCATCATTCGCACTACCATCCAGCGTTTGGACTCTTCCCTGGCCGCGACTCTGCTCCAAAAACTCGCCGAGCGCCTCGCTTCCCGCCCTGCTCGCTACGGTCACCTTCTAGTCTGGGTGCAGTGGACTTGCGTTGCCCACGGCGGTGCCCTGGCTGGCCACCCCGATCTCCTAAAGCGCATGACTTCTCTTTACAAGGTTATGGACCAGCGTTCTTCCAGCCTGCCTTCCCTCCTGCTGCTCAAGGGCAAGCTTGACATGCTAGACGCACAATTGGGTCTGCGTCAGTCTATCCGTGGCGGCGATGAGGGCATGGACAGCGAAGATGAGGATAACGTTATCTACGTTGAGGGCCAGGAAGATCTTGAGGATAGTGAAACCGAGGCCAAGACGCCGCGGAAGTCAATACGCGACCAGGCATACGATGAAGACGAGTCAATGATGAACGTTGCCGACGAGTCTGAGGACGACGAGGTCGACAGTGACGACGAGGATGATGACGAAGAGCCTATCCTGGATATCGAGGCTGCTGAATCCGTTGGTTCTTCCGATGCCGAGGAGTCACTGGAGGAGAACGAGGATGACGAGGACGACGAGGCTGACAGTGATGGTTCCATGGTCGACTTCATTGCCGACACAGAAGACGAGTCTGACGATGAGGCTCAGGAGCAGCCCCCGCCAGCAAAGAAGAGCAAGACAGCCAAGAAGGGCAAGGGTGGACGGAAATAAGGTCCAGTGTACGAATTAGAGGGGGTAACGGTCTATAAAAGAACATATTTCCAATGCATCCGACCGGTCTGCATTTCTTGTTTTTATTTGCTTTCGATATCTTATGCGTCTACCGAGCGCCCCTGCGTCTCTGATATATCAATGTCTATTGAATTTATCTCGATCTCTTTCTTCATTGATCTTCCCTCGTAGAAGGTCTTGCGCACATGTCTTTTCGTCACACACGGTGCCCGTGCTATTGATCTATCTATACAAGCAAGTCCTCCCCCTTACAAGGACCCATATGCAGAACCCGATGGCTGGGTACCCCCTTCTCTCCAAGGGGAATCTGTAAGGCCGTTGTCCGCTCCTGCGAGGGATAAGTGGTGTAGTGGCCCAAGGCACTGACATCGGCAGTGTCGAGTGCCAGAATGGCTCCATTCTTGCCACCTTCTACCCAAGCCTCGGTCGTCGAGTTGGGGAGTGTGATATGAGCCAGGCCGGAGAGAAACACCACCCATCTGGTGCGATCAGTAAGCGAAATCTATAAAAAACAGACAAACAAACAAGTATGAGGTATATAAGATGCCCAGGTGATCATCCAATATACTATCCATGTGAAATGGACAAATATACAAACCATCCCGTGCACGCCCCGTTCTAAAAAAAACACAAGTATAATTAGAAAACTTACAGCAAAGCCGGTGCGTTATGCCTTCCACCATCAAACCCAGCCGGTAGGGCCGTAAATGACGCATTACCGCCGACAGTACCGAGATCCAGAATGGAAGAACCGGCAATGCCGGCCTGGTCGGATGTTTCAAAGCCCGAATTCAGAGCCCAGCACTCTAGAGTGGAGCGGTTGTGGCGCGCGCCGAGCACGGTTACGTTGAGGGTGGAGCCGAGGGGTGCATATGGGGTGCTGGCGAGGATTGCTGATGGGAGAATGAACTGGGCTAGGGTTGAGGGGCGCATTTTAATGGGTTGTGAGATTGGAGAAGATAGGAGAGGGGAGAGTGGAAAAGAAAAAGGGAAGCTGAGATACTTAGTTCTGGTGAAGAACTTGGCGATGAGAAGTGGAGAGTGATCGGCGGATTTCAATTCAGATAGGCCTATAAGAGGGGGAGGGAAACCAATGCACAGAGTCGATATAAGAATCAAATGTTGGGACATTGGCTGCTTAATGGGTTATTGGAATGTGACCACGTGCCTGTACCTGGGCATCTACATACATGTATGTAGATTTCACATCAAAAACATGTCTTCAATTCATCAACTGCAGTAATCAACTAATAAAAATACATACGCATAAAACCTCGGCTGCTAAAGATAATTTCTGATCCAAAGCAGAAAAAGAATATTAGCGAATGACTTCTCCACCGGACTTCTCAATCCCCTCCAAACCTTCAAGGATAGAACTTCCACCAAACAGTCCACTGGCAGAGCTAGTACTTGACTTGCGTCCGGTCCACACCTCATGAAACTTGACAGTCTGATCACTCGAGGCAACAATAATACACCCTTCTTCAACAGTTCTGGCACACCACATCCCACCTTCCTTCTCCTTAGGCGTCACCGCCCTCGTTTGGACTCGTCGCACAGAGCCCGATTCGCCCTCAGACGGAGTCCCAGTCGCTGAACTGGTCTGGGACAAAGGCGAGCACGGCTGCTCCACTTCATTCAAGGAGAAACCCAAAGACCGAGGTAGTTTCCCTGGATATCGAATTGCCCACAGAGCTCTTCCGCAGTCAGTGTTAGTACGAGGTTCCGGTCCATTCCAGCTGGTTCCATGGGGCCCCCAGGGCACGACTGCAACCTGGGCGCAGCTGGGCCAAGCAAAAACAGCGATTCGGAATGAGTGATCAGGCTGTGCGTAGCCAAAGGTAGCTGCGATCTCGCGCCGGGTCTGACTCCAGATTAGGCTGGTCACCTGGGAAAAGACGTTGATTTTTGCAAGACAAGCTCCGCTGCGGGTGTGGTAGAAGTGGATGGCTCGGTCGTTGGAGCCGCCTCCTGTGGCGAGGAGGGATGATTGCCATGGCGCGAATGCGATTGCTTTGACTGCTGCGGAGTGATGTAGGCGGTGCTTTTGGCGGTCGAACGGGACTAGGATTGTTCGCCCACCGCCGGAGATCAGAGTTCCTGCATGGCTCAGAAGAGGAGTTGAGGTTGGAGGCTTGAACGGAGGCGGAACAACCCATGATGGGGGATGTTGTCCGACAGCAGGTCGTCTGTGAAATAGTCGTCTTGCTGCGGTGCCTATGGCATGATATGGGAAGGCCCCAAAGCTAAAGCTGCTCGGGGAATCTGGCGTGACTGTGTGGTGGACAGACTGTGGTGGAACGATCCGATTTAGTTCGAAAAGAAGACAGACATTGTCGTTCCCTCCTGTGGCGAGGTACGTTTGATCGGGCGACCACGTCAGTCCGCAAATTTGTTGGTTGTGCGCACAGATTTTGGCAAGTAGCGTCATGGATCCGTTCCATTTCCAGTTGGCTTGTTCCTCCTCGCCAGACCACTCCACCGAGTAGTACCAGATATTTCCTAGTTCATCACCTACAACGATCTCTTCGACATTGACTTCCATATGGATCAATCGCTCAGACACTCGGCGAGATGTTTTCGGCTTGAATGCCACACAGGTGATGCTGTTGGGATGACTGATCTCAAACCGGACATGCTTCTCGAAAGTGCACCATAGAGATAATTGACCTGAACGACGAGCTACAGCAAGGATACTTCTCCCACCATCCTCGGATGAAAACGATAGGGAGGTCACATAGTTTGATGGGTGCATATCTCCAAAGGGTGGATAATCCACTCCCCGTCCTTCAGACCAGAGGTATACTTGGTGACCGAGACCCACGGCCAAAATCCCAGATGTTACCGAGTATGCAAGCGTACTGCAGTAAAAATCGTCCCGAAGGAAGGGGGCATCTAGGATTCGAAAAGGCTTCGATGGAACAACTTCCTTTTTGGCACGAGGTGTGGGCCCTGAGAAACGACCAACATTAGTTGCTTTCACAGAGAGAACTGCAAAGATGCAAGTCTCTTACTTTCCAAAAGGTTGATAAATGTCATATATGCTTCCTGTAGATGGTAAATCGAGCCCAAAAGGTGGGTAGGTGTTGAAAAACCATTACAAAAAGCAGTTGTACTTACAATGATCTCTTTCTATTTTCTTCCATGCATTATCCTTCCAAACGAATGGAGAGAGGCGCTCGAAGTCTGGAGATACGGGATTGAGGGGAGCATCAAAACATCCCAAAGACGTACCAAGCAGCCTGTTGGTCGGATCAATGCTCAAGGCAAGCGCAAGTCTCGACTCATGAATCTCAGATTCGCTGTATTTTGGCTTCTTGGGCAAGAAGCGAGCCACAAAAGTTGGAGCGGTTGATCCATTTCCCGAAGTAGTGGGCGTGTCCTGGTCAGGAGTCACAGTAACAGTACTACCACGAGCTGCGGAGGCCCCGCCCACGTTCCAAACTGCGCCAGGGCTAGCTTGTAAAAAAGTTTCGCGCACAGTGTTGTTGGCTGCGACGGTAAATTCAGTGACTAAATGAGGCCGTTGATATGGGATCCGCTGGAGTCTGGTTGGCTGCTGGTTTCCACGACCGGTTGAATTCCTGGGTGATATTGCTGGCATAAATGGGTCATTTCCTGGGGGAATTCGCCGGAATAATCTCTCCTGAGGTGAAAGACGTTGTGGTTTCTTCGCTACGCGAAATGTTGTAGATGCTGGCTCCACAAAGTCTCGTTTCGGGATAAATCGATCCGGCGAGATTGGACCTCGAAAGGGACTTCTGGCTGCTGATAGACTTGCTGCAGCTCTAAAACTACTTCGGCCTCTTTCTGGGGACGAGATCCGATTCTCTTTGGATCGAAGTGCAGGTATCAGGCGGATTTTGGGCTTTTGAGACAATGATTGGGAAGTTTGAGACTCAAAGAATGGCACATTAATAGTTGCAAACTCGGTTAGTCGGACTGAATCGCTATCTCTGGATGAATTGGATCCAGAGTGTGAAGAAAATGATAGGATTCTGTGGTTGCCTGCCTGAGAGGCTTCCTCGAAGGAATGACATCGCGTATCTACCATTGTTCTATATGAAGTAAAAAGGCTGTGTGATGAGTAATGACTTGAAGCTAAGGAAAAGAATGTAAAAGGAGGCCTCTCTTTAAAGCAACATAACGATAAGGTAAAGAAGATGAAGCATCACAAGTCCAAAAGTAGCAAGAGTCCCATCTGGTCACGTGAAGCTATACATATTGTGATCACGTAATTGGTACAAGTGCTGTCGCCTGAGGTGTCAACTTGTCATCGCCAATCCCGCCCGCATAGATTAGGATCCGCAACACATTTGCATGTGTGGTGCTGTATTGTTAAAATAACAAAAACTCCTTCGAAATGCCCACTGTGAGTTTAGCCCTGATAAAATATCACGGATTCTCGTTAATGATTTCAATAGCATGGTGTGCCACGGTATAAACCTGTGGAGAAGTCCGCCGAGGCACGACAGCAAGAGCAACAGAAGATAGACACATACAGAGATCTTGAACGCTCAGTCTCTCAAAAGGTTACTTTCTTCTTGATACTCACGTTTAGACAGAATCTAATACATAATAGGTAGCCGAACATGAGTATACCATTGAGACTCTGAAGAAGATCTCAGAATTGTTGTCTAAAAATCCTGAGTACTACACAGCCTGGAACTATCGTCGACAGGTGCTGCGGTACCAATTTTCCCAAAAGGGAGATACAGATGAGGCTGTTCAGCTGATCGCGGAGTTGATCTCGAATGATTTACAGTTCCTAATCCCTCTGCTGAGGGGCTTCCCCAAATGTTATTGGATCTGGAACTATCGATTGTGGTTGCTGGGTGAAGCTCGCCGCCTGCTACCCCTCTCCGAGACTCGGCAAATGTGGCAGCAAGAACTCGCCCTTGTGGGTAAGATGTTGACCCTTGATAGCCGAAACTTCCACGGGTGGGGTTACCGGCGCTTCGTGGTTGAGACCTTGAAAGAGCTTGGCACGGCAGATGAAGCAAAGAACATGACTCAGAAAGAGTTCGAGTATGCAAAGAAGATGATCGGCGCGAATCTTTCGAATTTCTCCGCATGGCATTACCGAACGAAGCTGATCCAATCGCTTCTGGATGAGCAATGTGCTAGTGATGACGATCGGAAGAACATGCTGGACGATGGTTGGTCTATTGTTTCTTATCAGGATATGCTGTGGAATGCTAATAGGCTCTATAGAGTTATCACTCATTCATCAGGCCTTTATCGATCCTTATGACCAGTCACTTTGGTTCTACCATCAAAATTTGATGAGTGTGTTTGACCCGACAATGGCCGAGCGTACTATGACTCCTAATTTGAGCTCATCTGAACGGTTGGAGTATATTCGAAGCGAGATTCAAGAGATTCAAGAGATGCTCGATGGGGCCGAAGACTGCAAATATATCTACCAGGCATTGATTGAGTACACCATGCTGGCATCCAAGGTGGAAGGAGACAGCTTGTCTTCTGATGACCGGGAGCAGATTCTGAGCTGGCTCTCGGAATTGAAGAAACTAGATCCATTGCGACGAGAAAGATGGCTTGATTTTGAAAAAACTTTATGAAAATAGTTGTTATTCTTCTGTTTACAAGGGGAATCCTACTGATTGACCCCTTTCATTACCCTGAGAGCCACTTTGTACCACATGTAATAGTGCCACCTGGGCATATCTAAATATGTGCATATGTACATGTATGTAGGTAATACCTCCGGTCTGAGACATGATTAAAAATAGTAAATAATGAGCATAGTTAGTAAAATTCATGTAATTCTTCTAGTTAAAATGTCAACTTCTATGTACATAACACATGTAAGTACTATGTAAGTAGTAGTCAAACGGTCTGCATTCCTCAACGTCCCGATCGACAAGTCAGTCCCGCATTTCCTGGGGAGCCAATCAGCATCTTGTGTACCTGTTTGAATCGATGAGTTGAAACTCGACAATTCAAATTCCTTCCTGAGTTCATTCCTTTTACTTTGCAAATACCGATCCCTTTGAATTCTTGTTTTTATCGGGATCATTTCGACTCTATTATTTCATACGATCATCAACACCCGTGGACGATCCATATGGGGTGTCCTCTCTTCTAATTGTTGTGAGGTCACGATCTCAGAACCCCCATTAACATGTCTACGAACCAACACAGCCCGGAATACGAAGGGGTAAGTAATAGTAGAATTCTCAAAAAGTGCTAATCTTCAAACTTGTCTTGGCTTGAGCTTATCGTCTGAACAGGAGTCCTTTGATGATGCCCTTGAAACCGCTGAAATCCAGGAGAACCTCCATGTTACCATCCCCAAATCTACCTCCACCCGATCTTTGACCGATAGCCCTCCTATCGGCTCCTATAAATCTCCGGATTCAACGGAGAAACATCCGCTCCCTTCTGAATCGCAGGACGAGAAGAAGCACGAGACCGCCGACGAACAGGATAAGGATGGCGAGGAACAGGGACAGTCCAACAAGAAGAAGAACAAAAAGAAGAATAAGAAGAAGGGGAATAAGAAGGACGATGGATTTGATACCAACGACGAAACCAACTACGACACAACTGAAGAGGTGAATACCGCGACCGACAGGCTCACAGAGGGTGACCACCCGGAGCCAGCGCCCGAGGTTACGCAAAACGAGGCAAATCCTAACGAGGCAAATCCTCCCGTGGACCAACATGACAACAGCGCACCGCCAAAATCCCCTCTGCTCACATCCCACCGATTGTCAGCAGCATCATCGCTCGACGAGGTGAACCTGATGAATCCCAGCCAAGAGGGACCGACAGACAAGACACCAGGCCCCACGGAGAAAATGGAACCGCCTCCATTGCCTCCGAAAGATGAATCAGCTCCAGCAAGCTCTGGGTTGATGGGGCTGTCGGGTAGCCTGCCCACGCTGCCATGGGGAGCACCTCCGGTAAACAAGAATCCTCCCCCTGTGCCTCCACCACCCCCTACCCGAAAGGCCAGTGGACCATTTGCATGGTTCTCTCGAAGCTCAACTTCCACCGCCAAAGACGTCAAACCTCCCTCCCTCTCCGATAGCCGTCGCAACACCGCCACCTCGGTATCCACTCTCGCCAGCAACTTGAGCCAAGCTCGCGATGGCGACGATATCCCAAGCATTGGCTCCAAGAAGCCGAGACGTAACAGCTTGAAGGATCAATTCAAGATGCTGCGGTTGCGTGAGGAGAGTCAGGTGCCAGAGGCTGATCAGACGAGTGCCCGATCTGGCCGTGCTAGCATCAGCCAGGCCGGAGTTAGCCCCCCGATTATCCCCGAGGAAGGAGAGGGTGGCATTCTGGCCATACCGACAGTCTCATCACCGCCGTTGACTCACCCTGGCGCAAGAACTGACTCAGTGACCGATGCATCCACCCCGGTGGACTGGGAGATGTGGCAACAGCTCGTGAACAATGGCCCACAAGCCTTGGCAAGCTCGGAAGAGCTCAACGCCGCAATCAAACGCGGTATTCCACAAACTATACGAGGAGTTATCTGGCAGATCTTGGCAGATTGCCAGACTGCTGAGCTGGAGGATACGTATCGCGAGCTTGTGGCGCGTGGTACTGGACACGACAAGGATGGACGAGCAGTGAATGGCACCGAAACCACGTCTTCGCGCTCTTCTGTCCGCTCTCACCACTCGGAATCTGTCTCACGATCGCGGAGTCAGACTCCTAGCCCATCCCACGAGGGCGATGGCGATAAGCTGACGAAGGAACATGCCTTCAACGAAGCCGAACGCGCGAAAAAAGCAAAAAGTGATGCGGTGGCGCTGTCAAAGTTAGAGAAGGTTATCAGGCGAGATCTGGGTGCCCGCACAAGTTACGCGAAGTACTTTGTTTCCCAAGGGAGCCAGGAAGGCCTCTTTGGGTTGTGTAAGGCATACGCACTGTACGATGAGGGTGTTGGATACGCGCAAGGCATGAATTTCATTGCCATGCCCTTGCTGTTTAACGTCTGTATACCCCACTAGGAATCGATTGAGCTTGGTTAACACTATGCACAGATGGACGAAGTGGATGCATTTGCCATGCTCGTCAAACTGATGAACAAGTACTCGCTACGAGACATGTTCATTCAGGACATGCCTGGTCTTCACCGCAGCCTATACCAATACGAGCGACTACTAGAAGATCTTGAACCCGCTCTCTACTGCCATCTCCGCCGGCGTGGTGTCCCTCCCCAACTCTACGCCACCCAATGGTTCTTGACACTGTTTGCCTACCGCTTCCCGCTGCAGCTGGTGCTGCGCATCTATGATTTGATCTTCGAAGAGGGATTGGAAACTACCATTCTCAAGTTCGGTGTTGCGATCATGCGACGGAATGCAGATGCCCTTCTCGCAATGAAGGATATGAGTGTTCTCACCACCTTCTTGAAAGAACGCCTTTTCGATGCCTACATCGACAAGCAGCCATCCACCTCATCAATCCTAGAATCAGGCTTTTTCGGCAGCTCCGGTGCCGCCGATAAGGAGGTCTACCGGTCTGACATCTTGGTGCAGGATGCCTGCGCCATCCCTCTCACCTCCGAGATGCTTGCCACCTACACCGCCGAATGGGAAGAGAAGACCCGCACCGAGAAGGAGCGCGAAGCCGAACTAGACCATCTGCGACAAACGGTTGCCATCCAAGGTGCACGGGTCCGACTTCTTGAAGAACGCGCCGAGGCATCAGATAAGGAGCATGTGCAGCTAGCTTCTGAGCTCGTGCACGTCAAGGTAGAGAACGAGGAACTGCGCGATCTCAACGACGCGATGAAGCTCCAAGTCTCCGAACTTAAGAACGTGGTCGACAAGCAACCCGCCGAAGTAGAAGAGAAGCTTCGGTTGGAGATGGAGCGCATCATGAAGCGAAACATTGAAGTGCAAAACGAGAACCGTGCGATGGAGGAATCGATGTGCGATATGGAGAAAGAGTTGGTTGCTACGAAAATGAAGTGGGCAGAGGTAATATATTCCTATTTTCAACGTTCAACCATAGGCATTACTAAAATTCACCAGCTTTCCGAGAACCATGAGAACCTGCGCCAAAAATGGAGCGATCTTCGTCGTGCTCTCGACTAACCACATCACAACTACCTCTACGACTTTCGCTCTACCCGGATACCAGTATTCGGTTGTATATTTGGAATACGCGGATAGCGAGGATCTGCGATCAATCCTATCCTGCGCATTTGGACCATTCTTATGGGCCGGGTTATTTGCTTTTATCAATTTCGTACCTTTTGAGCCAATGCTATGATTTGTGTCTCATGATTATCTTTCCCAGCATGCCATCTTGGAGGGCATTGGTGTTTTGTTTATCTACCTGTATGTCTACCGATAGCATGGGCGTACATACTAAACGTACCTATGCAGTATGTACACCACGAATGTATTTCTTTTTTTTTTTTTTTTTGGCTTGACTCTACCGTACTAGGTAGCATAGTTATAGACAGACGAGTCATAACGTATGTTTGTTTAAATAATTTCTTAAAGATAATGAAATAGAAGACGAATGACCAGAGAAAGAGAACAATACCCAAGAATAATCACAGGATATTTTCATAGTAAGTCGTCAACACATCCTCCTTCACGGGTCCCGCAACAGCCTTCAAAGCCTTGTGCGCCTCGCACTGAGTATCATAGAATTTCATATCATCAAGCGAAGCAAAAGTCGTCTTAACAGACAAGTTGAATCCCTGATTCCTTGGATCCGGGAACGAAGCCCCGACAGCCGCAGCGAGGATGTAGGGCTTACCGTCCTATAAAGAAAACCCGTTAATAACCGCCGTTCAAATCCGCGGCCCATGCACACCCGCCCGCTTGATACAGTGGCACAGATCAATAGGATAAATGGTAGACTGGGGCCAGAAGTAGAGGTAGAAGTAGGGTAGAGATAGGCCTCACCTTTGTGGCGGTCTTCGCAAGAACCTTGTACTGCTCGAGCACGCGATCGCGATCCGCCTCGTTGGGGATCTTGAAGAGGGTGATTCGCTCGATGGGGGCCATTGCTGTGGTGTGGAGGGTTCGGAGACTGAGAGCTCTGAGTACTGGTTGCATTCGGGATATGGGCATGGCGGGTTTTATATGGCGCGGGGTTTAGTATGACATCGTGTCTATGTTCCGTCGGATAGTGGAGATGCGGTTGGTGCGTAGTTCTTCGGGGATTTGTAATTTGTTTATTCATCTACCGAGAGGATTTGTTCTTGCATGATTTGGGGGCTGTTTACTATTGAAAGCCTTGTTCGTCTCTCAATTGAATGTGTTTTTGGAGTGTAGAGAGCAGATATCAGGACGGAAATAAAATTATTGGAGAGCGCTATATTCCGCTCGGGTATTTGTTTTTGCCGCGAGGGCGGAATTGGAGATTCGGATATCGAAGGGAGTATGAAGTCCATTCAAAGTGATTTATTCCAACGCTTGTATAGAAGCAAACATCGCCAAATCACAAATTCCCACGCAGTGCCTGCTCCCTTTCAAACGCCTGGAACAGACTCTTGAAGTTCCCTGCCCCAAACCCATCAAACGAATTCCGCTGAATAATCTCAGTGAACACAGTCGGGCGATCTCCAACATGTTTAGAAAAGATCTGGAGCAAGTATCCACGCTCGTCGAAATCGACCAGGATATTCAGTCGCTCGAGCACGTCTACATCAGTGCCGAGCGTCCAGGAGACTTGCAACAGTCGCTTTCGTAGATCCGCGTAGTACGCAGCTGGCACGTTGAGGAATTGGACGCCCCGGGCCCGGAGCTGCGAGACAGCTGCGATGATGTCGTTGGTACGGAAGGCGATGTGTTGGACTCCGGCTCCATGGTAGTAATCGACGAATCTAGAAACGTTAGATTTGTATACGATGGAGGTCCACGGGTGGGTGATAGAATTAGCCAACACGGGGACGTACTCTTCGATCTGTGACTTCTTCCTCCCGGTTGCGGGCTCATTCATGGGCATTTTGATGGTTTCATTTGGCGACGCAATGACAATTGACCGCATCGCCGAGTACTCGCTGCACATATCCTTATCATCGACTGTCCAGTAGCGATGGAAGTCAAGACACTCTTCATAACTATGATCGGTTAGAACGATTTCCAACAGGAAGTAGATATATGCTACTCACTATTGCACAATACTATCCACCCCTCCCCACGATTGATTCCCAACGCAGTGGTCAATCTCAAGGAGGTTGACTGCCGGTAGAAGCTGTGTGATCGGATCTTCGTCTGTGGTAATCCGGTATCCAGGCAAGAAGGGAGCATCTTTTGAATACTCCTCGCGGTTGACCAGAGAATGTACTGTATCACCATACGTCCCAATAGTCGCCGATATGAGCAGACCGTGCCCATCGACAGCGACAGTCCGCGGCTCAGCAATAGAACGAGCCCCGTTCCCAACAGCGCGCTTCCACACAGCTTCAATATCGCCGGCGATCCGAAACGCGACATCTTTCACTCCGTCGCCGTGGACGGTCAGATGTTCGTGGATCTCCACCAACGTAGTCCGCTCGTGGTGCGAAGCCTGGCGGATGAATGAATCCGCGCCATCTTTCGGTGGACCACACACAGGCCCGGTGAGGATAAACGTAGCGTCGCCGTTAGCTACGATGTAGCTTACAATGTAGGGGGATCCTGTCTCCGGGCCGCGATATGCGATGGGCCGGAAGCCCATGCGAGTGATCCAGTACGAAGCGGCTTGTTTTGGATTTCCGACGAACCAATGGATGTGATCGAAGCCCACGTATTCGGGGCCCATTTTCGAGGGGAAGATGTCTTCATTCTGCGGGACCGTCATGGTTGCTGGTTGTGGCTGCTGTATAGATCGAGGAGTGTGCCATCCATCCGGCAGTCGTTGAACAGTATAAATTAGGGTCGGTTATTGAAGGGCAATTTTCAAGACAGCTGTCTCGGAGTTTGGGAAGAAAATAGAACGCTGGTGAGGGGATCCCTGTCCAGAAGTGTCACATTTCGAGGGCGCCCCGGATCAATGTCTAGACAACATATGAGGCAATGCTGAAGTCATCTATGCATGTATAGCGGCCATGCCAAAGTTTTGGATTGTTTGTGCATGCGAGATTGTGGTTGAGACAACAACTGTGGCGGGGAAAGCTTTGTCCTTTGGTGAATATTTCAAGGTTGGCAGGTTCACATTCAGGCCTGCATAACCCTCCACACGAGCTGATTTCGATCATTCTGCAACAAAGCGCGAGGTCAATGCTGCCAGGATGCTCTCCTCTCAGTAGAAACCCCCAACGATCTGGCTATCCCATAGCCTCCAATCCAGTCCTACAGCTCTACCATCATGTCAGAGGCCATTTCCAGACAATGATAGAACCCTATGAATTATTGAACTGAAAAGATCCTTGTTCCAGCCCATTCAGATATTATTCACGGGCTCAGGCCGACTTTTGAAGAAGATCTTATAGCGTACAATCTCCACCACCTCCAGTTCCTCGCCCTCCGATGGGTGTTTCTGCAACACAGCAATTGGTCGCAGTAGCTTTTTCACTTCTCCGGTCATCCGTTGGTATCGACCGACATACAGATAGGCGTGTTTCATCCATTTTGTATCGTCCGGGTTGAGGGCCGAGTAGTCCGGGAACATGAGCTTTCCGATGGGGGTTTCGAATATGGAAGCGGGGTCAATGTTCGTAGACGTTGACACTAACTCGTCATGTTCACTCGTGTTTGGGACATTGATTGTGCCTTGTATCTCGAGGAGGGCTAGGCCTGAGGGTGTTTGGAGGAGGGTTGGGAGAGGGTTGTTCGCGGGCGTTGAGGGAGCAGTAGCGGTCGCTTTCTCCGCTGAGACTGAGGATCGAGGGTGTAGTTTTACAGATGGCATTGTGACTTTATTGCGGAGTTGTTGAAGTTAGTTGAGTGGCCGAGGGAGTTAACTAAGGGGAGAGAAACGCGTCGGGCGCGTTTGGCGATATCCCCACATTTCCTATTTGGGGTGAAATTGGTACGAATACAGAACTTTGGACTTCATAAAATGTTCGCTGGGCGTAATTTGAGAATATTAGTACAAGAACATATGTAAGTCGTGTCAAAGTATCTATATGTCTCTATTGATATAATTCAGATCTCGGCATACGAGCCAAAAGCTACCGAGCTCAGCCTTGGTTTCCTTGAAGGGCTGCTAAATATGTACATATGTAGGCACAACTGAGCTCGGGTGGGTTTGAAAGGACATTTCATGCATAGTATTCCATGCATCGGGGAGGTTGCGAATCATATCACAGTGGTTCCAGTGGGCGTTCTCACAGTGCTATCTCCATCTCGCGAAGACCTCTAGGGCTGCTTTGGCCCGTGACGTGCGTGATGTGATGGCTATCAATTTAAAGGGTTAATGCTTGGCAGCCCTAACATGAAGTAGAAAAGGGCTGTAGCCAACAGTTGATATCGGTAAAGCCAGCCAGCAGTCGATCTCAGGATTCAAACAACGATGCCGTAGTGATTTGCGTGATTACGGGCATAGAATATCTTGCCTGCCTATTCGTCAGATATAGCACTGCAGTACCAAAAACGATAAAACGTACCGGTGAATGTTGCAGGACATCCTACCCACACTCGATGCCAAAAAAAACAAGATTCAAGAAGCGCTGTTCTTATAGCAAGCATCCTCAAGATTTTGCAATCCCTTGATGGCCTCACTAGCCATATCTTCCGCAGTCCCAGCAGGACCCTGTAGCTTTCCATAACGAAGATCGCTCATGTTGCCCACGGTCGTGTTGAGCTTTTCCAAGATGGCCGCAGCCTCTCGGTCGATGGCAGCAATCTCATGCTCGATATGAGCGCTAGCGGCCTTCATTTCAGCCAGCAGACTAGCCACAGAGTGATAATCCCCCGGTACAGTAGGGGCTTGGCCAAAAAGATGGAGATCCATGTCCATCTCACGCTGCTCTTCGGAGTTTGAGGCTTCAACGCCCGTGGCAAGAGTGGCCTTTCGGAGCTCTGCTCGTTGCTTTTTACCTTGTTTAATTTCATTGTTGATGTTTTCATTCACTCGATCCAAGTCTTGTTCTCGGACTTGTTGAAGTTCCCGATAGAGAGACCTGATGTGGGGATGGGTTCTCAGGCGCTTTGGGAAGAGTTCTGTGAACTTTTGCAGTGACATTACTGTCGGTAGCGGAGCTGGTGAGAGCAGAAAGTTGCTCAGGATAGATTCCTCTGTTGGTGCCATGATGCTGGAAAGTTTTTTTTTTTCACGGAGATGATTTTAAATGTTCTTCTAGACGATTTGTAGTTCTCCCGACGCGAATCAGACTTGACGCGACGAATGATTCACGTGAACAGAGCTGATCGAGTCCACGACGAATAGAAATGATCAATGCAAGCTCTAAATGAATGTTTTAATGGATGAGACCATCGTAAAAGAACTTCGGAGTTGAATAGATAACGCACGCAATGACGGTCAATTGTTCCCGCGTCTAATTCTTCAAGGGGCCGACTCAGCAAAGTCGCGCCTCATTTCCTTCCCATCTTTCTCAACTCTACAACTATTTTTCGAATAACCTCACCACTACCAACTTCAATCCCTTCATCTTACTATCTCAGACAAACTCTGAGCTGGTCTCTTTTCGTCTGATCTAATCTTGTGGTTTCTACCCCGGTTAAATCAAATTTGGTGTCAAAAATCGACATCCTGTTCTACGCGCTGTTTGACGACCCTCTTTGTCTTCAAGCCTGCATAAATTGCAGTTGACATCCATTCCTAGAATCGAAAAGGCATTCCACGGGATTTCGTGGCTATCGCCGCTCGGGTTTATCATTCTTGGCCCTGAAGACGAGAAACGTCTTCTCTCCACCTTCAAGAGACGAGCCTAGCCAAAAGCTCTGAGTCTAACACACCGACGTCTAATCGTCACATCATCCCTTTTCCTATTCATCTCCGACAAAAATGGCCCCTTCTATGTACAGCAAGGACGAGAAGGTCCTTTGCTTCCATCACGAGATCCTGTACGATGCCAAGATTTTGGACGTCCGCCACAAGGATGCCAATGACAAGAAGAGCCCCTTTGAGTACCAAGTACACTACAAGGGCTGGAAGAATACGTAAGTCTTGTTTGCTTCATTTCTCTCTGTCTACACTCATTTATACTGGTTGCATGATGCTTGACGCATTCCCGGGTCATTACGGAAGACTTGGCTGGGATCTTAGACCCATGCTTTATCCACTATAATGATGTTTCCTGACATTTTGTTCTGTCTGGCACTCCGGGAGATCAAAAGTTGGATAAATGTATTATTTGACTGTGCAGTCTGCTAATTCTGGCACAGCTGGGATGACTGGGTCCTTGAGGACCGTCTTCGCAAGCACACTGAAGACAACCGCGAATTGGCCAATAACTTGCGCCGCGAAGCTGAGGCTTCCTTTCGCCTGAAGAACGCAAAGCCCACTGCAAAGAAGCGCGGTGGTTCCGACCGAGACTCTGTGCGAGACAGCGAAGAGCGCGGGGCCTCCGTGCCGGGCCGTGGTACAAAGCGAGCTCGTGACAATGATATCGAAAAGGTATGCCATCTCCATCTATATCGACCGGGATGTTAGATAATGGCCCCAAAAGCCAATATTTACCTATGTGTTCAAGCTAACAACTCCACAGGAAGAAAGCTTCAATACCCGTCCCTCAGTCCGCATCGTGATGCCGGACAATCTGAAGTCCCTGCTCGTCGACGACTGGGAGCAGGTAACCAAGAACCAATGCGTGGTCTCATTGCCAGCAAAGTATCCTGTTCGGCAGATCTTACAGGACTGGCACGACGAAGAAGAGCCCAAGCGCTCGGGCTCATCGGCCGATGAAGACGTTTTGGAAGAGGTGGTCGCCGGCCTCCAGGAGTATTTCGACAAATGCCTGGATAAGATCTTGCTGTACCGCCACGAGCGCCAGCAATACCGCGGCCTGCGGAAGAAGTTCGAGGCCGCGACTGGGGACCTGGCCGATAAGGGCCCCATTGATGTCTATGGTGCGGAGCACCTGATCCGGTTGTTCAGTATGTATTATCCTTATTCCGTGCTCACTTTTGAGGGGTATCTGCTAACTGTACAAAGGCACCATGCCAGAGCTTATTGCTCAGACGAATATGGATATGCAGGCCACCAACCGGCTGCGTGAGGAGATTTCTAAACTGTCTATGTGGTTGAGTAAGAATTCGGAGAAGTACTTTGCTACCGCTTACATACCGGCAGAGAGCACTCACTAGTGGGGTAGCTCTGGAGTATTTTTATATGGTTATTTTCGTTGTTCTTGCTCGTGTTGAGGTGGGGGGAGGATCACCCTTGTTGGGAAGATATCATGCTCACTGAACACCACGCGCGGTGAACTTGCCTTACCTTGCAGTATTGTTTGAAAAGCGTTGTTTGAGAACCCAAAATATAAGTTCGATGTTGCCTTTCATCTCGTGTGGAGTAGTCTCAACCCCATAAGCCTAGATCTCTAAACAGTCTGGGGATAATCAATATTGAGGCTATCCCACTAGATTGAAATCAAATGATACAGCTGAAAAGGGGGTTGGAAACAGCCCCAAAAAGGACCTACGAAAGACATTCAAAAGGCTAGTAGAAAGATGCATAGAAGGCAAATTCGACGACGGTAATAAAGCAATATTCAAAATTATCGCTAGGCTTGATGCCGAAAATGCCCATTATACTACAACTTGCAAATGCCTATGGACGAGGAAAGAGATGCACTCTAAATTGGATATCTCGATGGAAACATAGTAAGCCCACATGATGATCCTTCACGCTGCAGTATAATGCCATAAATGTCTCGAGAAAAGAACAAGAATGTCGCTCAGCAACGAACACTCATATTCTAAGCAACCAACTGCCTAGCATCATCAACAGCGCACCTCGCCGCACGCTTCAACTCACTCTTCCATTCTGCCTCTCGCCATTTAACCCAAGCACTCAACCCCTCCGGTGGCTGAATACTCAAAGTATCATAACCCTGCTTGATAATCCGATGGACCTCCCTCGGACTCAGATTCTTCTTCTTGATAGAAGGCAGTGCCACGGGCGCCGGCTCGTCAGCTTTAGGACTAGCAAGGGCCGCTGTTTTCGCGCCCTCGTGGAAGAGCAGAGTATAGAAGTGCGTGGATACAGATAGGAGGGTGTCGATGGCGGCTTGCTCGTTGGCTTTGGCGAATGCGTCGCGGAATTTGGAGATAATGGGGCCTATTTCGACGAGCTTGTAGAAGAGGTCGTCGTAGGAGGCTGGGTCTGGGAGGAAGGTGTCGCCGCCTGAGACGCAGAAGGCGATTAGGTCCGCTAGATTAGTTGTTAGGGTTTGAATCCTCGGGGCGCTTGTTAGGTCTGAGGCGTAGGTTGTAAGGAAGCGCATTAGGGAGAGAAGAGTGCGCCAAAGCTCGGACCAATGGTATGACAGGCGGATTTTGTTTTTGGAGAGGTATGTTAGGATGCGGAGCGTGATGGCGATTGCGTGGCTTGTGACTGTTAGTTATGTGAGATTGGGTGTGATGGGAGATGTGTTTTTACCTGTAGATGTTGACGTCGAGGCGACGACGGAGGTTATGAGTGATGGTATCGATCACGATGTCGAAGATGACGGTTGCAAGGACCCGGTCTCCACTGACTAGAGGGAGGTAAGGCTGTTTCTGTCGACAAATGCGGACTTTTCGCTTGCCATCATCGGCGCAGATGTGTTTACAAATAGTCGGGTCTTCGACTAGGATTCGAAGTGTGAACAAATTCAGTTCGGCGTAGTGCCCGACCCGCGGGGACCTGTATGCATGTTGGAGAAGATAAGAGGTCAATGAGAGGAAGCTTGAGAAAGGGGATTCTTCCTCGCTGCTCTCGGGCTTTGAATGAACAAGGTGATAGCCAAATAACTTGTTCGCGTTTGTGAAGTCATATGTGGCTAAAAGAATTGCAGCTTCTTGTGCGGGACTGGAATTTTGTCAGTACTATGCAAGCATCCTTCGTGAAGAAAAACCTACAGTTCAGCGAACATTGCCTTAGCTTCTTCTGCGGATGGAGGAGTTGCCTTATCTCTAGCGCCAGGAGCGATGGCTCGGAGTCCAAAGAAGATCAGAGTGTTAGCCAAACTCCAGCCCTCTGGGATATCATCTTGTACAGCAATGTAGCCATTGCGGAGGCCGCCACAGGCGAGACCAACACCTTTGGCAACTTTTTGAATGTTTGCTTCATTGACAAAATCATCAAGTCGGAGCTGATAAGGGTTTTGGAATTCAAATTTGTTGTAGTTTGCCAATAGCCCTAAAAGGAGGAACGGTTCAAACACTTGCAACGAAGTCTCCGAGTCGGAAACATACTGTTCACATTTATCAGATTATTCTTTAGTCCAAAACCGAGGCCATTGAATCATACCTTCATGAGTGACGGGAAAAGATCTCTGTGTGTGAAATATGAGACCAAACTGGTTTTGTACGCACCACTGGTCATGGCAATGGCAGTCTTAATCGCCTTTAGCCGCACATCGACTGGGAAGTATAGTGTCAGTCGACGCTTTGTTTGATTAGGGCCAATCGATACTCACGACTGCTGCCACTGCGAATGATTCCATCCAAGACGACGACGAATTCGGAGATGATATGGTCTACTTCACCGAGTCCAGCAAGAACAGTAATGACATCCGAGCTCGGATTTGTATACTTTTTGCTCAAAATGCTTGTCAAGAAGACGGTCAAAGTCTGTAGGCAAGGTTAGAACATCTTCCGAACATGGACACGGGGGTAATCACATCCAATGCGTAAGAGGCCGCCGGAGCGACGCCAGCTGCGGCCTCACGAATGGCACGAACGAAGAAATTCCGAGTTTGGATCTGATAATTAGTTAACAAACTGATTCTGTTATAACCACTTTGATATAACCTACCTGTAGACTTATTGTGTCGTCTGGACTCAAGTTGTCTAGAATAGCATGCAGCTGGTTTCGGTCCGGGGGAAGCAAGAAGAATTCCCTCCAGAACCCCTCTGATTGATCAGCATCATCGGTTGCCTATCAGACGTTAAGAATGATGCTCTTCATATGTGATGTTGGATCCTACCTTGAAGAGGTTCTCATAGAGCTGGACAATTTTGGGCTTGAAAGACTCGGGTCTACTTTGCTGGGTAAGGGGTGAGGCATCCATGGTTTAAACAGGGACAGTGATCTGCGTTTGGATCGCCAGCATTGCAGAAAGAGAAAGTAAAATAGTGAGATGCTAAACTGGTTTAATATGTTGATCTTGTTGATCTTGAATTCATTTGCTTTGAGGATCCATTCAGGTTCCGCTGACTTAGCGGCGGCAACCCAAATGGCCAAGCGTCCGACCTCGGCATAAGCCCCGGTGATATAATTGGATCCCTGACTTAGTGGCGTCACCGCCTAATCCCTACCGCTCTATTCTGCTATGGCTATACCTCAAGATTAAGCCAGTGCTTTTGGAACTAACCATCTTCTAGGAAATTTAGTATGAGTCGAGAGATTGGAGGGAACAAAATCGTGCTTGTAGTCAGAGGCACGGGTTTGACATTCGACCATCAACGCCAACGCGAAGCTGGTGCGCAGCTGGCTTAGAGGTCAAGAAATACAAATCCACCTGGTTGTTTTTCAGACGCCTTGGACACACCCTCTGTTTTCGCTGTTAACTTCAACTGTTGAGTGTATGGAATTGAGCTGAGAGATCGCCCCATACTCTTAACCGAAGCTCCCATCAACTCTTAAGTCCAACCATGAGAATATGACCCAAACCGTGATCGGGACTGTCAACGCCCCCGAAGGCGCCTTCTATCTTCTCAGTCTCTATTCAGGCCCTTCCGTACCACCGGTATCATTCTCGACTCCAATGAAGGTGTCACTCTTTCGTGTTGACTTAGCTGGGGGTATACTTATCTCGTTCTCCCACCTTCTCTTTTTCTTCCTATTTCGCCTCTCTAGGCCAGGCTAGCTGGCCCTGACTTGACTTTGCAATAGTTCTTATTGATTATAACACTGCTAGTTAACCTATGAACCTATATAGTCATGGCTTATTTTTATATAACTCTTAATCGTATTTGTTTTCGCCATACTCCGTATTCCGTAGAGGGGTTGAATCATGAGATCGTCTCCGAATAGCGGAATTCGCCGCAAAATGATCATGTCAGCTTCCGAAAAACGCACATAGTTAGATGACCATATATGCACATGTGCTCAACGTGAATCCTTGACGAATAGTCTATGAGATATATTAATAGCTCAAATAGAGATTCAAGACACTGCCATTGTAGTCATTCAAATTGATTACTTCTTTTCGTATTAGAAATTCCTTTGTCAGGTACCTTGATGGCGCCACTTTGTGTGTAGAAACCACTCAACGCTGATTGGTTCAATTTGCGTCATACAACCACCCTTACCTAATCCAACCGGGGCCACGGGGGATTCCTCAAAACAGTCAGAGATTCTTCTTTCACTCCAATATTCAAACAACTCTGACTTCACACAAATCTCCTATGAGTCAATAGCAATTTTACGTCGAGGCTCAACTCCAATTACACATTGCTCCTCGACTATGAGCTTTTACACAATGCAACGTCCTGTGACATCATCCGCCACACTCCTCCGCTGGGCAAAGCCCTCGGTTGGACGTCTGCGTACTTTCTCGTCATATGGAAACGCTCACCTCTCCTCCAAACGAGACATGCAAACTCAAACTGCCTACCGCCCTCACTCGCTTCCTTCCTCTTTCCCGCCTCCTCGCAGCAGCGGTGGCGCCGACACCTCCATTTCAGCAGAATTCCCTTCTCTCGACTCACAGCCCACCCAAAGAACATCACAAAACACCGCACCAAACGTGAGTGTACGCGAAAGCGAAGCGCAAAAATCGAGCTCCACCTTCTCCGCTTCTCCGGCCGCACCAAAGACTTCCCCGAAGCCCCGTCGGCCACTTCGGCCAAGGAAGGCCGCTTTGAAATTATCCGCCGTGGCCACCGAACAGCTTCGGAGTTTGATGGATCAGCCAGAACCGAAGTTTATTCGGGTGGGTGTCAAGAACCGTGGCTGCTCGGGTCTTGCTTACCACCTCGAGTATGTGGAGAAGCCGGGAAAGTTCGATGAAATTGTTGAGCAGGACGGTGTGAAGGTTTTGATCGACAGCAAGGCTCTGTTCAGCATCATTGGAAGTGAAATGGACTGGCATGAGGACAAGTTGAGCAGACGATTCGTTTTCCGCAACCCCAATATCAGTAAGTGGTTCCGCACACATTTGCATCCGAGAGATTCAAAATTGACTAACCCATCACTACAGAGGAAGAATGTGGCTGCGGTGAATCTTTCATGGTTTAAGCATGTGCTTAAAGCATTATTTTCATGTGTTTCTTGTACGGACCTCTCGGCGTCTTTCTTACCGGTGCATTGGACGGCGTTTTCAAGAGGGGCTTGGTTATACCACCACTCTTTTGTTTTGAGTACATACGCTTGATATCCAGTCGATACCTTCCATACACTTTCTTTTTTGTTTTCGTCCTGCATTCTCCATCTTTTGGTGGGTTTTGTTTTTCTAGGTTTTTAGGCTTCGTCATAGAGACAGCCTAGAGGCCTCCCCAGGTGGCTTTTGGTTCGGTATTTTGTTTGGCAAGCTCTCACGAGGCTTTGCAGGATCGGCCGGTGTGATATCTATATGTATAGATCAGTCCGATGGATTTGATGATAACATGTGACATACTTACCTCGAAAATTTTCGTAAACAATGACAAATTTATATGATTAAATATGAAATCAACTCATCTCCCAACACCAAGGTCTCTTTTTAATACTAGATAGATTTGCTAGATACAGATATACTCCGTAAAATTGTAGAAAATGGTCTAGATTTCATCACATGACGCCATATCCCAGGCCCGCGGAATGGGGTAAGCACCGACATCTCCAACCTTCAATCCAAGGTTGCTTGTACAGAGCGGCCACCGTTTTGAACAGATACCATTCACATAAAAACAAAGGATTAGCTCTCTGCTTCAGTCAACATGTCCTCGCCCTTTCTATCTCCCTATGCAACGAGCGATCAACCCAACCCACTCCTCATAGCCGTCCGCTTCTCCGCCTCAATACCAGACCTCCAACTCGAGATCTCAGACCCCGAAACCACAACTGGCGCAGGTCTAAAACAACTAATCCGCACCGACCTACCAGAAGACCTCTCATCCCATCGCCTCCGCCTCATCTACGCCGGCCGCGGCTTAGAAGACACAGCCGCCTTATCAATCTCACTTAAGCTCCCACCCTCCCCATCCCGAACTCCTCACCCCGCAGACCCCGACCCCTCAGACAATGGAAAAGGCAAGCAAGCAGTGCGCGACGCCCGCCCACGCCTCTACATCCACTGCTCGATCGGCGACGTTGCGCTCTCAGAAACAGACCTAGCAAGCGAAGCAAGCGTCTCATCTACGATCCTCCTACAGCAGAAGAAGCAGAAATCCCACCCCTCAATAACCACCAACGAACGCTCGCCTCTCTTCCCACCCGGTCCCAGTCCCGGTCATGTCCAGCCCCCGCCTCAGACAACGCCTGCGCCCCGCGGCTTCGACCGCCTCCTCTCGGCGGGCTTCACGGCTGCCGAGGTCACCGCCCTGCGCTCCCAGTTCCTGGCCATGCAGTCTGTTTCCCGCACGCGGGATACTATGCCCAGTGGTGAGCAGCTGAGGGATATGGAGGATCGGTGGATGGATGAGGGGTCGACGGCTGTGCAGGCGCAGGTTGAGGGGGGTGATGATGATGGGGCGGTTGGGACTGGGTCGCGTGGGGCGATAGATGATATGCTGTGGGGGGCTGTCATGGGATTCTTTTGGCCTGTTGGGTGTGCTATGTGGTTGCGAAGGGAGGAGGGGGTTTGGAGTTGGAGGAAAGGGGTTGCTGTTTTTGTGGGTGTCATATTAAATGCTATGTTTGGGGCGATGAGGATTATGGGTTAGTGTTGATGATGATGTCTTCTTTTTTGTCTTATGCGTGAGATACCCCAATTGAAGCATTTTATGACTTTTTAAACTTCGACTGGTTTGTTGTAAACAATTGAATTAGGAGCTTTGGGCTTGAGATCTTGCTGTGTCAAGATTCGCCGGATGCTATCATACAAATATCAAGGATGCAGAAGTTGTATCTCAGTAAGAGCAAAAATAAACATGAATCTAACCCGGTATACAAACGCCTCTGCGTCCTCCGCTAATGGAACTTCCCATAAATAACAGCAAAAATCAAAAGTACCAGAACCGTGATGATAGCAATAGTGATCATCCGATTGGTAGCCATCCTGCGAGCACTTGTTAGCAAAACCCCCAAAACAAACGAAGAAAGGGGACTCAGTACCTACGGGCCATGCCCCTCAAAGTCTTGATACTAGTATCCACATAACCCTCGCTCTGCTGCAAGTTGTTTCTAGCATTGGTGATCTGCTCTCGCTGCTCATACAGCGTCCCGAGTGTCCCACGGGCAATATCTTCCGTGTCCAGCGCGATGCGCTGGCTCTGCTGGAGCCGAGCGGAGCTGCGCTCTAGTCGGTCAGTGCCGGAAAGCAGCTGCTGTCTTTGTTCGAGGTGCTCATCTTGCGGCTCGTCGGTATACCGGTCGCCGAAGAGGGCTTGGCGATCGTCTGAGAGGGACTTCAGCTTGCGCTTGATTTCATCGATGTCGGTTGAGTAGTTGCGGAAGCGGACATTCACTTTTGATCGTGCGGCTGAGGGGATGTTCTGCTTCTCCATGCGCATTTGGTCGAGCTAGATGAGTTTGGATCAGCTGACTGCACTTGCGGGGGATTTGATGTGGCGCATGGAGTCAGTTGGGAGCCTTAGGCTTACCAGTTCTGTCGCTTCGTCGAGTACTGATGTCGCATTGCTGATTGCGGATTTCCGTTGCTCGCCGCTTGCCTCGGCGATCTGGTCCAGCTTCTGGTTCAGATCGGCTTGGACTAGCTTCAGTTCGTTCTCATAGCTGGCGAACATCTCCGAGCCGGCGTCTGTGTCTAGTGGGTTTGACATGGTGCTTGTGGGATTCGTATTGTAGGTGAGGTGTGAGTGAATACAGGGTGTCTGTTGCGGTGATGTGTTGATGTAGGCTCCACCTTTATCTGGGGCGGGTGACAGTGGTTCAAAATAGCGCTAAAGTGGCGGCTCGGCCAACCGATAACCAGCATGCACTTGTCGTTTCTTAGAAACAAAATGAATGGTTTGCAAAATACTAGAGAACAAAGAGAGATGTCTGGAAGTCTCGATAATACTAATAGGTTGAAGGTGTAATTGGACAGGAACGGGTGAGGATGCCAAGTCACACGTGATTTACAGTCGGGGTTGCATTTGCGATACGTAACCATATGCCTAGCCATGTGCACGTAATTAGATGATCTCTACAGGACTGTTTATGGAGGCTGATATCTGGCAATAAATAAGAAATTGAAGTTGATACATAGCATTAACGTAAAACCAGGCCCACACAACTCGATTCGCCTTTTCAACACAAACATCCAAGATAACCTCTTGGTATACAAGATCATGGAACTCTCAAATTAGCAAACTATGACAAGAAGTTGGTGCTATCCTGATCAATGATGATAGCACTTCTCTTGGCATCCAGGAAAAGATCCTCGCACTCGGCAACATCGGCCTCCTCGATTCCAGCGGGGCGACCATTGACACGCGCAAGGATGCTGGCAGGGGTCAACAGCTGCAGGGCGTACCGCAAGCTGACCTTGCTACCGTGTTCGGCAACCTTGTTCAAAGCAGGGTCTGTGATAGTGAGACCTTCGATCTTGGCGCGCAGGCGAATGATGGCCTTGATCTCTTCGGGGGCATAGGGTTGGGTGGGGACGATAAGAAGGCGGGCGAGCAGATCCGGGGGAATACCGTGAGCGGCGCTGATGTCGTCGGTACCACGGATGACTGTGTGGCCACGGTTGGAGGCGAGGATGACAATTGGGGAGATGCTCGATTCGAGGGCGCGATTCAGATATGTGAAGCACTCAATGTCGAGCATGTGAACCTAAAGTAATTGCGTTAGAAATTGAGTTCAATGATGCACATGGTATTTTTTGATTTACCTCATCAATGAAGAGAACACCGGGGACCAACTCTGCGACACCCTGGTCAATGTAGCGGTTGACAACCTTGTTGATCTCCTGGCGCAGCTTGTCCGTGATTTCAGTCTTCTTGGGCTTCATAAGTTGGCCCATCATGCTCATCACATCCTGTCCACCCTGTGGCCGGGCGTTGGCCATATCCAGATCGTGAAGTGTCACATCCTGAACAATCTCCTTCTTCTTGTGCACTTCGCCCTTTGGGACAGGCACATATTCCTCTGCCTCAAGATCAAATTCGGTCGCATAGGCATCGGATCGTCCTACTCGCTTGCATGCTCCGGTGTTTGCTTCAACGTAGATAACGTCTCCGACTGTGACGCGCTCCTTTTGAATAGCTTCGTAAATGCTGGGGTCCAGGCGCAGCTTTTTGGTGCCCTTGGCAGACTTCAACCCAATGATAAGATGACTGATTGTGCGTCCATATCCACCCAGCGGGTTCTCGGTCTCCTCGGGGGTCAACTCTGTGACTTCTCCTTCGTACACTTCCTTTGTTTCGCGAACGCGGAGGCCTGTGATGAGTTAGTTTTGGTTTTAAACTTGGTCCGCTTTCAATCGTGTCGCATTGCATACCAATAGCTCTGCGGAAGTTCTCCATCAATGCTTCGGTCTTCTTAACCTCTGCAGAGTAGATTTCACTGCCAACGATGGGGCAGAAAGGAACCTTGGTTCCTAGCTCCTGTGACACAGCAAGAGCCAAAGCAGTCTTTCCAGTTCCGGGGCCACCAGCAAGTAGTACAGCACGTCCAGCCATCTTCTTTGCCTTGATCAAGTCCACCACGACGCCGCATGCCTGTTGATTGAAACATGTCAGTTACCTCTTTTATCGAATTCTCGAATATGGGCCCTGCTCACCTCACGGGCAGCTCCCTGTCCAATGAATCCATCGCCATTCAGTTCTGGGGTTCCGTCTGAACGAAGTCCTAAGCCGCGAATGTGTGTATGCGCAGCGGTCCTGTTCTCGCGCGAGTTGCCCTTCACTTCACTAATCTGGACCATGATCGTAAGAAATGTGGCCGTTTAGAGCCACGAGTGTCGACGAAAAATGAGTCAATGGGTTGTGAGATCAGAAATTCAAAGAAATCAAAGCTTCAAAGAAATACACCGGATAGAAAAGTGAGGTAACGCGATGGTTCTCAGCGAGATATGCTTCTGGCCGAAATTCGCGAGCAAGGGATCGTCAAATGAGAGGGCGCTTCACCCAGGGCGGTGAACACTCCCCAAATTCTTCCTTCCTTGACCTCTTCTCCGCTTGTTGACCATTTAACGACTGGCGTTCTTGTATTCTCGACGCGCTCTGCGGATACAATATTCTTTGTATACAATGGCAGGCCTACACACAAAGTCAGCCATGGGCGCCCCCTTCTCCTTGGCCGCGGCCTTCCGAAGCCTTTCTATCGCTGCGCCGAAGCGATCTTTCTCAACAACTCCAGCAATCCAGTCGATCCCGAAACTCCCGCCACAAGCCCCAGTCTACCCCTACGGACCAAGCCAATGGTACAAGCAGCAGGATTCTGGTCTGTACGGAGGTGCCACCATCCAATTCGGCAATAAGATCTCCAAAGGACGCAACGAAGGCAAGACACGACGAAGCTGGAAGCCCAACGTGCGCCGGAAGAAGATCGAGAGTGAGGCCCTAGGCCAAGAGCTATTCATCAAGGTCACTCGTCGTGCATTACGCTCAATCAACAAGGCCAAGGGTCTTGACAACTATCTGCTCTCTGACCGTCCAACTCGCATCAAGGAGCTCGGTCCATTCGGCTGGAACCTCCGATACCAGGTCATGCAATCACCGAAGATTCAAGCGCGGTTTGCGAAGGAGCGCAAGAGTCTTGGTGTACCCGAGCCTCCATCACTCGCCGAATTCCTGAAGGCTAAGGAGGCAGAGATAGAACAGAAGATTCAAGAAATTGACATTGACGCAATGACCAAGCCTCGTCGCACGAAGCTACAAGGCCAGAAGTATGGTTCCTTGAACTAGAGAAGCCTAGTCTGTCGGTTTGAATCCTTGAAATGCAAGGAGAATGGACCAGCACGTGTATCACTATTCTGAAGAGCGGTGGACAATTATTTTGGGCACCACGAATTTCGTGCCATCTTCGCACGCTATGATGTTTTTTGTAAAGAAAAAATATGGCGACAGTTTCTCGGTTTGGTGCAATCTTTTTTTGACATCTGCATATTGGGTCTTCTATGTACTTATACTCCAATCTTATATCGTTTTCACTTCCTAAGTCGTTTCAAGTCATTGCCCTCTTTTGCTGTGGCATTACGAGAAGTGTCTATCAAATGATTCAGTAGTACATCGAGGTCAAAATTCCGCTGAGCCGAAGAGAAGTGGAAACATGAGCGTCTCGTCATCAATTCCAAAGGTATTCCCATCCCCATTCCCGAGAGAAGGATACGCTTGGGAGTCCATGGCAGCCACAGATCCAGGGTGGCCTGGCTCGCGGAAGAATGGACACTCTGGAGAACACAGATGACCACTCAAGCTCTGAGGAATGGTCTCGTCGTGCGGTGGCACTGCATGATTGAAGTCCTCATTCAAAGCCATAGGGAAATTCTCCGTGATCATCTCGCGAATCATTCGCAGAACACCACGATGCATGATGATTGATGTGAGCAGAGCCATTTGGGACTGAACATAGGAAGCGGACTCCGCGGAGAAGTGTCTTGGTGGAGTGTCTTCGGCCGTTCCATATAGTGGAACTTCTTTAGCCAAGACATCAAAGACATCGCGCAAAGGCTCAGCTTGAACCCACCGCTCAGCTAGGATGGCCAGGGCAGTCGAACAGGCTCGTAACGCTTCTGGGACTTTCCTCGATCGGTAGGCTGGTGTTTGGTGTTGGGGCGGTGTTGCCCAAAAGCAGTAAAGCAGAGTGACGCCTACAGAAACCTGGCTTAAGAGCTGTCGGGTGTCTTGTGTTAGCAGAGAGAGGCAAGAGAGTTCTTATGAAGTACATACACCGGGCCATAGTTGTGCAGTTTGTCGGTCTTTCTGGAAAGTCCTGAATGTCAACGCAATTTGAACACAAGCCGAGACTGATCTATCTCCAAAGCCGTTGCAAACGTTCTCTTTGGTCGGTTGGTGCAACAGGAGGATTGTGTAGTTGTAAGCCATACCAACCCATCGATCACTTGTATAGCTCTTGGAGGCCACATCGCTTAATAGCCCTAATTGGGACCTCCAAGAGTCCAATTCTCCTAACATGTGCTCTCGCCATGTCGTTGTAGCATTGATCTCTTCAAAATCAGACCGCATCATGGTACTGATGATCCGTGACTGAATGCGTCTGCATCGAAATAAGTGGAGGGCTGGTGAGACATGTGTTTTCTGTGCTGGGGTCTCTGTTCGAATACTGCTATCAGATAATCCTTCGCGCTGAAGGTCTGCATCTGCGACATTTGAGAATAGCTATAGCTGTTTAGTACTTCTGGCGTCCTTTGGGTGTATAAAATGGATGGGCACAAAGTCGGATGACCTACTTCCACGCTAATATGTTCATCGATGATATTGTTGGGAATGTGATAAATCCAACTGATGAATCGGTCCAGAGCATAAGCTGACCAAAACACTCGACGACGAGTTTGGACCTCCAAAGAGAACGCGGGATTTAATAATTTCGGCTCGCTCTCGGCCAGATGGAGTTGAGCCATAACACAATATCTCATCATAGCAGAGACAATTGTGACAATCATCTGTGACGATGGAGAGTGAAGCGCGTGTAGGGTCAAAAGAAGATATGCCTGAGCATGTAGAACGGGATCGGGGTGCGCAAAAACGCGAGGAAGATATTGCATTGCGTTGTTATATAAAGACTAAAACACGAGTTTAGTCTTTCAATACTTCGAACATTTGTGTTCAATCTGAACTTACCTGAGAGGTGGCAATATCACTGACAGAGACACGGGGCGTTAAAAGTAAAGCAACAGCATGCACCTAGTACAATCCAAAAGTTAGCACCAGTTATAAGATGGAATGAACAAGATTGCTTCGTACCATAGTCACAAAATAATCCTTCCATGAATACTGTTGACGGTTGGTCCTATCCATCTGCGAATGAGTTTTCCACGATTCATACCAGCCGAGGAAAGTATCCAGATGAAGGAACGGATATCGCGGATTGACTCGTTCAAGATAAACATGGACTAATCGATCAGATACCTCCTCTGAAATCTGCAGAGAACGATCTGTGGGAGATCGTTGATTTGTTAGCGGAGACAAAATCGAGGCACTTGAACTATCATCCTGCATTGCAAGCAGCCCGACGGAACCAGCACTTGTCAGAGTGGCTAGCATTCCAATCAATAAGCTAGTTTGTCCACATTGACCCTGAGAATCTGGATATTCTTCCACGGGACTGGCGATTCGGAAGGACAATGATGGGCGTGGGGCAGTAGATTCCAGCACAGGATGCTGTGCTGTGCTTGGGGTTGACGGAGCTTCCTCTCGCACTGTAATGGAAGGTGTTGGCCTTCTCAAGATATGTATGTCCTGAAAGCTGGTGTTTGGTTCATGCTCTAGGTTGGTCCTTTCGAAAGGCCTCTTCCTAGACAATGTTCCATCGCCCCTTCGGTATGGGGTTTCCTGTGCAGTTGTCTGCCGGCTGGCTGAGAGATTTTCTGGTATTCCATCCGAAAGTTGAGACTCGAGGTCTATAATTCGTTCCTCAAGAGCCCTGGCATATCTAAAGCTACAGTAAGCAGCATACTCACAACGCCGACGGTTCGCCTTACTCGGTACTGATACGGGCCTTTCGGGCCGCCGGCTCCCTTGATACGCATTCTATCAAAAGTTAGATGACAGCTTGTTCAGTCTGAAATTGGGCACTTGCCTTTTCCAGCCGTGGTACAATTATCACACGGTCTGTTGTCGGTACACTGGTCCCAGTTAGTTCATGTACAAGACTGAAGCCAACCTTGGGAGTGGTATATTCACTTTTTGCTTCCTTGATCGACATCGTTTACAAGCCAATGCTTTCTGTCGCTTGTTGTGTGCTGATGCCCTGCTTCTTTCCATTCGGATTCGGCGTTTGATAATCCATTACATTGGTATATCGGACCATAATGTCCGACGGGTGCTATATTTTCGGTCCACGTGACTCCAGATAGCACCACAAAAAGGCAATGAGATGTCAAAAAAGACGGTGTTTATTACTAGATTCTATTTGAAAATGTGGTATCGAGATGTAGGTTTAACTGTATTCAAGACTAAGTCTTAAGTCCTGATGAAAACACCATCAAGTGCCCAGGCCATCGGCCGATCAAAGTCCGTCGGAGGTTACAGTGTCCGAATTGAATACTTACTCAACGTAACAATTTATTTCGCCTCATTTAATACTCACTTTTCAAACAATTTACCTCAAGAAAGACAACTTCTATTATGCCTCAAAAAATTACTGTCGCAGCGGCACAAGCCCGAACTCTTTCTACACTTGAGTCAACCCTCGCCGCTCTCAAGCAAACTACCCAGTATGCAGCTTCAAAGGGTGTTCATCTTCTGCTATTTCCAGAAGCGTATCTAGGAGGATACCCTCGCACCTGTGACTTTGGAACTGCTGTTGGCGCACGTGCTCCTTATGGCCGGGATCAATTCCTTGAATACTTCCGCGCAGCCGTCGACCTGGGCGATACACCCGCCGGAGCGGGTGATGACTGGGTGGAGCGCAAGCTTCCCGTTGCTAAAGGCCGAAACCGCCGGGGTGATGGTACAAGAGAGTTCCTCGAACAGGTATCCCGAGAAACGGGTGTCTTCATCGCAACTGGATTGATTGAAAAGGCTGGTGGCAGCTTGTATTGTTCTGCCGTGTATGTCGATCCATTGCGGGGTATTCTGGGGAAGAGACGAAAGGTGATGCCGGTAAGTCATGCGAATTCATTGGTTCTTTTGGGACAATTTGGCATCTGGTTTTGACCATAACGAATTTTTTTTTCAACAAAATAGACTGACACTGGTTTGAAATTTGTGGAACAGACTGGCTCGGAGCGTCTTGTCTGGGCTCAAGGATCTCCGTCCACCCTGAAGGCTATCACTACTGAGCTCAATGGAGTCAAGCTCACTATCGCTGCCGCTATTTGTTGGGAGAGTTTTATGCCTTTGCTTCGCCAAAGTCTTTATTCGCAAAATGTGAACATTTACCTCGCCCCGACAGCTGACAGTCGTGATACTTGGCTGCCTCTCATGCGTACTATCGGCGGCGAAGGCCGCACTTTTGTGCTCTCATGCAATCAATGCGTACGGTACAATGAATTGCCGTCCTGGATTACTGAGCAAGAAAAGGATTCGCAAGGTAAGGAACACATGACATCCCATGATGCTTTCTATTCTCAGGCATAGACTACTATCAAAGCTGCTTTTTTATTGTATAAAATAACTAATCTCCCTACAGAGCCTTCACTTCGCTACATCTCGCGGGGTGGTTCTTGCATCGTCGGACCTCTTGGCGAGGTTGTGGCTGAGCCAATTTGGGAAGTCAGCACTGATGACGCAACAGATGAATCCAGCATTGGAAAAGGGCTCGTGATTTCCGAGATCGACTTGGAGGATTGTGAGCGCGGCAGACTTGACATGGACGTTGCGGGAAGCTATTCAAGGAACGATGCATTCCAGTTGACAGTCGATGGGCTTGACCTGAACCCTCCTCCTTTTTGAAGTGAGAAATCTTACAATCAAGCCCTTGAAAGAGACGGCTTGTCGGGTCAAACAAGCCCAAAGGTCGAGGAAAGAATCAACAATAGTATCAGTGATGCCATGTAAAGAAGCATTGGATCAAGAGATTGTCTTTGTACCAAAGGTACTGTATTGTACTAGCTTATCGTGTTTCAGAGCCTTAGGAGTGTACACAATATGTCCACATGTGTAGTTCTTTATTTGCGTGGGTCTCTCAATCGATCTATACATGTATGTAGATTCTGCAGAAAATGGATACAAACTACAGCTCTTTGTTCTTTTCCTTGTCTCGTGGGGGGAAAAAAGTAAGTCCCAGGAGCCAATCACCAATTAAAATCAAAAATATCCAAAGAATTCCAGACCAAACGGTTTGACTGGATGCGGGTAGATCTGATGGAAGCTTGGATGGAATGCGCGCAGAAGGGCCGGATTCGGACAGCGTCTCAGGTTGATCTTCATACCCGCGTCGATCATCAATCTTCACAACTCTTTTTCTCTCAACTCCTATGCTTTCTATTTGATACATTCTCTTAACATGATTTAATCTTTTAATCAAATTGTCCCTTGTAACGTTTCACAGCGCCAGGGACATGCAATTCGCATTACCTCCGCGGCGCAGCCCGCACCCTTTGCCTATTGCCCGTTCCTCTCGAATGCCAACCTACCGCAGGAAGCAGCTCAAGTCGGTCGCTGTTTTAGCATTCGCAATACTAGCACTTCTATACATCGTTCACCACCTCTACTCCACATCCTCGTTTGTTGTGGCTTCAGCGAGCACTTCGGGGGTTGTCATCGTCACATTACTAGACCGCCACCGGTTCAGTGAAAGCTACGTCAAAAAGATTGTCGCCAACAGGGAAGACTATGCCAAGCGTCACGGTAAGGATTTCGGATATAGCCTACCTGAATTCGAGTCCGATCTAATCTCTTTGGTGAATAGGCTATACAAACTTCTTCGCGAATGTGTCCGACTATGACGACGCTGTCGGCGAGTCCCCTAAGAGCTGGGCTGTCGCACCAGCCGTTCGCCATGCCATGGCTCAGCATCCTCACGCGGCCTATTTTTTCAACCTAAGCCCTCACTCACTGATCATGAATCCGACCAAATCTCTCAAATCTCATTTGCTTGATAAGGGACGGCTTGAAGAGTTGATGATGAAGGACGTTCCCGTTGTGCCGCCGGACAGCATAATTAAGACGTTCGCTCATCAAAAGGAGAAAGATGTCGACCTGATCATCACTCAAGACAAGGAAGACCTCAATCCCGGAAGCTTTATTCTCAGAAGTGGAGAATTCGCCCGCTTTTTCCTAGATGTGTGGTTCGACCCTCTATTCCGAAACTACAACTTTGCCAAGGCTGAAACTCATGGATTGGTAAGATACAATGTTATTTCAAAATTGGACTCTAGTTCTGACTCTGGTTCTTATAGGACCACATCATGCAGTGGCATCCGACTGTCCTAGCTCGAACCGCTTTGGTGCCCCAGCGAGTCATAAGCTCATACAGTAAGGGCTCCCCAAGAGCCTCCTCAGACGGCACATACAAAGAGGGTGATCTGGTGATCCAGTTCCGTGGATGTGAGGACACGGAGGGCCGTGACTGCGAACAAGAGCTGGAGCCATACTACAAAGCATGGCAGAAGGTGGTCAAGAGTAACTAGACATTCCGCGTACCCGGAAGGTAGTTTTAGGGGTAGGCTATAAGCATTAATTGGGGAGCGGGGGATGGCGTTTTTGTTGGTGTCTTGTTCTTGTATAATGTTCTGGGTCTGATTGGCTTTTGGGCATGGAGACCTCAACATATGGCGTATCTTTGGTTTACATTGGCGTGCATAGCTGCAAAAGGAACACGACAATCATTTTATTTTTATGTCCATTGCAGAATAATACATCGCTTGATGATATCAGCAATTAGTGAGTAGTATATATCGTAATATTGCAACAATCGATGATGATTGAAGAGTCACATGGGACTTCCAACCTTCTTTTAATCCATCAACCAAGGCAATCTATTGCCTTGGTATAGCCTTCCTCGTCTTCTCCGCGCACCAAACTACATCTTAGCGCCATCATGGATGACATATGGGGCTACCAAATGCCAATCCGAGCCATATCATTTTACCCACCCTCTAAGCGAGACCAGGGAAGATGACAGCCCGCTTCTTCTTGTACTTATCACCGAACTCCTTGCGATACCGCTTCTCCTTCTTCCAGGCCCAGCTCCACATCTGCGCACCGCCAACAAACGTGAAGAACAGCACACTCCAGTTCAACTGGCTGACCAAGAAGACACCCAACCAAGCGAGAATTTCAAAGAAGTAGTTAGGGCAAGTAACAAGACTGAAGCCAAACCCAGACGGAATGCCACGGTCGGTGGTACCAGGGCGGCGCAGACCACGCAGGATATAGTGCGCGTTCAGGTTCGCCAGCTCACCAAAGACAAAGATTGCCAGACCAGCATACACAAGCGCTTTGTTTGGGTTGCTGGTTGCGGCAGTGGCATCCGGGCGGAACACCCAGTAGGCGATGTTGAAACCGGCCAGAACCCAGTAGTGGGCGCTGTTCTTGACGATGTTGCGGGCGGGCATGGTGGCGCTGCTGAAGCGATGCACGAAGATCGTCTCGAACTCACGCTTGAGGAAGTGTACGCTGAGAAGGGCGCAGACGAGGAGCTGGGTGTCGGAGGGAGCGGGGACCTTGTCGAAGTTGAAGTATAGCAGAGGTCGGAGCGGGAAGAGGAACAGAGCGGGGATTAGGAGTGGGCCTAGATATTCGATGATGAAGACTGTGCGCCAGGCAATTTGGGGACCTGGAGATGTCATGCATTAGCTTTTTGATGCCCGTTGTTGCCGGTGCTGAGGGGCTTGGTCTGGGTTGTTGATGTGGGGTATGAACGCACCGAGATCCTTGACGTGAATCACGCTCGATTCGCGCAGACCAATGTCATCGATAGTGGTGGTGTTCGAGTTGGGGACTACGCTGCCGTCGCTGCCCTTTGTGATTCTCAACCGGTGGACTGAGAAGCCGGATGCTGCGGAGAAAGCAGTGTACAATTCCTCGCTGCTGGCATTGAGAGAGATCTCAACTTCCTTGGGCAGCTTGCGGATGGGTTTTCCTGCGCTGAAATTAGCAATGTGTCTTTATATCTATACTCGCAGTAGTTCCTCCGAGAGCTTTGGGGTAAATAGCAGCTACATGTGTAACATACCCCTTGGCTGAACGACGAGCGTGATGGTTCCTGCCGCCATAGTGCTATAAGTCCAGGTCAAACGAGTTTCAACGCTTGGATTATGCTAACAGAAGCCCTTGTCGAGAACTCGTTGAGATTGCAATTGACAAGAAATTGTGCAGTCCCAACACTTCAATAATTGGGCCTCGGTTGACATCACGTGTTGACACCTGAGGCCACCATATGATATTTGGGGCCGTTTGATCAAATTCCTAGTTTACCTTGGCAGCTTACTCTGGACAAGAGCATGTCGGTCATATATTGTTATGTCGTAAGATATAATTCACTCGGTGATTCAGCCCTGGAGCGCATGGCGATGCTGCCTGGATGAAGCCTCCTAGGCTACCTCTTAACCTTAGAGTGGACCAACCTATCCAATGGCATTTGGCCATTTTCTGTCCAATGCACACAACTTGTATTTGTCCATGCCTCTCTGGAAACTTTGAATGCCATCATTCACTGAAATGGCAAAGGTTATATAGACTGATCTGGCCTCGGTCCTGTCAGCTGAAGCACGGCTTCGGAGGCTAAAAACAGACCAACGTGCTTGCGAGGCGCATCGTAGCGGGGCACAAAAGCAACAATTAAGGCTGTGCTATGTCGTGGGCAGCTGAACTGAGAAAATGCATCCTAGAGGCCTTGTCGTATTAATTAATAACGAATCAGAATTGAATCACCTCGCCCCGCTAGGTCTCAGTTCCATGTTAAACGGTTAGTCCGGCCGAACGACATCGCCAATCAACGCCTCAGCCGTGACAAATTCTGAGCCTCCTATGGGGTTCCTGTCTGCCATTATTATTATTTTTTCTAAAAACAAAAGTTATACAATGTTTTGCAAAGACGGGACTAAAAGTCTGAGCGCACCGTAGATCTTCAGGTCCGCTCATTTGATTGCGGACATTGCCCCAATCACATTGTTCTTACCACATCTTTTCTTTGATATGAATTGTGCCTGAATATGACTGCGCTAGCAGAGGCCAGATATACCAAATTCTCATCCTTTGAGTAAATTTTTAGGCCCTCGTATTTCGGGACATCCGCTTCGAGCCGTTGATTCAATGGTCAATAGCCGGGCTTACCTTGACAGGGGTATAGCATGCGCGAATCAGAGACATTTGATTGCTCACTGCCAGTGGGGCGTTCGTCTTCTCCATGGTATCCACTATAACGCACTAAGAATGACTGGAGTAGACTGGACGATAGGGTGATTTCAGCCGTACGCTATGCCTAGGTGCTCGGCTGATGGCTCTATCGGATTACTCCGCGATCCCACGGTAGGGTTATAATAATGTCCTATCCCATTTCCCCCGACTTGGTCGCCTGATGATTTACTTATTCTTCTCATACCTCCTGCTGTCTTTGTCGGTTGTGTTGATCTTCTGCTGCTGCTTCCCTATATACATCCTAGCGACGCTAAGGTGAAGTGACTTGAACTCTTGACCTTATTTTCTTTGCTATATCCAGCTGTGCTACAAATAGTAAGTTACCTGCCCCTTGATGTATCACTTGGTTCCATGTTCTTTGTTTTATATGTTCTACTTTGCACCAGGTCGGACAATGCTCGGCCTCGGTTCGAGGTTTCCAAAACCTTGACTTACAAATATACCCGACTCACGCTCAATGGCATACTAACATACTCTGTATAGTCCTTGAATTTACCCCGTGCTGTCCTATTGTATTATATCGTCTCTGTTCACAATGGCTGAAAATGACACAAACATCAACGGCAAGATCGCCCAGGTTGAGCAAGTTGTGGCTGCTGCCTTGCGGCCTCTACCCACTCAAACTGGCGATGGAAGTTATGTACAGACGCCAGTTGTGACAGGTCTTGCCAAAGACCTGCTTCATTTTGATCTGAAAGATGCCAAAACTTTGGCTGAGTTAGCCAAATCGGCTGTCACTGGCGAGGCCGTCAACGACAGGGAGTATATAATGGAGCGTGTGATTCAGGTTTGTTATTTATGCAATTCGATTGACTATTCAGGCATACTAACTCTTCTGCAGCTTGCTGCTGGACTCCCTTCTACATCCCGAAATGCCAAGGAGCTCACCAATACATTTCTCAACCAATTGTGGGGTGATCTAGAGCACCCGCCTATCTCGTGAGTATTCTCTCGCAATAGAGGAAACTATGTGACTGACATGTAGCATAGCTATCTTGGACGTGATGCTGCCTATCGAAAGGCCGATGGATCTGGAAATGTATGATTTGACCCGTGCGGTACCTGAATTACCTGCTAACTTGATGTTAGAATTATTTCTGGCCTCAAATTGGAGCTGCTAACACTCCCTATGCACGGTCTGTCCGGCCAAAGACCATGCAACCTGCTGCTCTTCCAGAGCCGGAGGCCCTTTTCGATAGTCTCCTGGCTCGGAAAGAGTATAAGGAACACCCGAACAAGATTTCTAGCGTGCTGTTCTACCTTGCTTCTATCATCATTCATGGTAAGCTCTTTTTCTCTCGTTCGAACGTCTCGAGTTGCCTGAAATAATGAATTAACTTCGATCAGACCTCTTTCAGACGGATCCTCGGGATAATACAAAGTCGTTAAGTTCCTCATATCTGGATTTAGCTCCCCTCTATGGAAACAATCAGAAAGAGCAGGATTCCGTGAGAACATTCAAGGAAGGAAAACTGAAGCCAGACTGCTTCTCCACCAAACGAATTCTGGGATTTCCCCCAGGCGTGGGAGTACTTCTCATTATGTTCAACCGTTTCCACAACTCTGTTGTCGCACAGTTGGCAGCTATCAATGAAGGTGGACGTTTCACAAAGCCTGACGAGTCTAATGCTGAGGCCTACGCCACCTGGGATAACGACCTCTTCCAGACTGCACGCCTGGTCACCTGTGGTCTGTATGTCAACATTATTCTAAAGGACTATGTCCGAACAATCCTCAACGTCAACCGAACCGACAGTGTCTGGAGTTTGGATCCCCGCGCAGAAATCAAGGATAGCTTACTTGGCGAGGCTTCTGGGCAGGCTACTGGAAACCAAGTATCAGCCGAGTTCAATCTTGTTTATCGCTGGCATTCTTGTATCTCGGCTCGGGATGAAAAATGGTCAGAAGGTCTGTATCAAGAGCTGTTTGCTGGACAGGATTCAAAAGAAATTAGCCTCCAGCAGTTCGCTCGTGGCCTTGGTCAATGGGAGGCGAAACTCCCAGCAGATCCCCAAGAACGTCCTTTTGCCAAGTTGCAACGCCAAGCAGACGGTACATTCGACGATAACGATTTGGTCAAGATCTTCCAAGAGAGTGTGGAAGATCCTGCAGGTGCCTTTGGTGCTTTGAATGTCCCCGAGGTGTTTAAAAACATCGAAGTTCTCGGCATCAAGCAAGCCCGTTCTTGGAATCTGGCCACCTTGAATGAGTTCCGCCAGTATTTCAGTCTGGCTCCCTACAAAACCTTTGAGGAGATCAACTCAGACCCGTACATCGCCAATCAGTTGAAGCATTTCTACGATCACCCCGACCTCGTGGAGCTCTACCCAGGTCTTGTTGTTGAAGAGGCGAAGCAACCCATGACCCCCGGCAGTGGCCTTTGCACTAACTTTACAACCTCGCGGGCTATTCTTTCAGATGCGGTTGCCTTGGTCCGTGGTGACCGCTTCTACACCGTTGACTTTACCCCGAAGCATCTCACTAATTGGGCATTCAACGAGATCAACAATGACGTGTCTATCGACGGTGGTCAGGTCTTCTACAAGCTGGCTCTCAAAGCCTTCCCCAATCACTTCCGGGGTGACTCTGTTTATGCGCACTTCCCAATGGTTGTGCCAGACGAGAACAAGAAGATCTTGACTAGCCTTGGCCAGGCTAAAATCTACAGTTTTGACCGACCTTTTTTCAAAGCCCCACCCATCTTCATCAATTCCCAATCTGCTTGCGCAGCCATCGCCAATGATCAAGCAAACTTCAAAGTTTTGTGGGGCGAGAAGATCACATTCTTGATGGAGAATAGTGGCCGTCCCTATGGTCGAGACTTTGCCTTGTCAGGCGACCTCCCTGCCAACGCGAATTCCCGGAAGATGATTGGTGCTGCTCTACATCGTGATAAGTGGGAGTCTGAAGTAAGAGCGTTCTATGAGGATATTACTTTGAAACTTCTCGAGCGGAACTCTTTTAAGGTTGCCGGCGTTAACCAGGTTGACATCGTTCGCGATGTTGCTGATCTCGCCCAAGTCCACTTTTGCTCAAGTGTCTTCTCTCTATCTCTAAAAACAGACTCGAACCCACGAGGCGTGTTTAGCGAGCAGGAGCTATACCAGATTTTGGCCGTTATCTTCGCCTGTATCTTCTACGACGTTGATGTGTCGAAGTCTTTCCAACTATGCCAGACTGCTCGCAAGGTTGCACAGTCACTGGGAGAGTTGACACTAGCTAACGTAGAGCTTGTCTCTAAGTCTGGATTCATTGCCAATATCGTGAATCGCCTTCACCGTCATGATATCCTGAGCGACTATGGTGTTCATATGATCCAGCGCCTACTTGACAGCGGATTGCCGGTCAAGGATGTTGTCTGGTCGCATATTCTTCCCACGGCCGGTGCATTAGTTGCCAACCAAGGCCAACTATTCTCCCAGTGTATCGACTATTATCTTTCCGACGAGGCGGCGGAACATCTGGTCGAGATCCAGCGCTTGTCCAGGGAGGATACTCCCGAGGCCGATGAGCTCCTAGTGCGATAGTAAGTATTCATATCCTCGGTGCTTCTTGATGGCCTGTGCTAACTGTTTACAGCTTCATGGAAGGAGCGAGACTTCGGTGCTCAGTGGCGTTGCCACGTGTGGTCGATAAACCGACGGTGATCGAAGACAATGGCGAGAAGGTCATGTTGAAGGCTGGCCAAGAAATTATCTGCAACATGGTAAGACTTTTACATCATTTTCTCTCATTTCTATATGAATGCAGCTCTCTAACAGAACTTCAAATTCTAGGTTCGTGCAGGAAGAGACCCTGTCGCATTCCCCGACCCCGACAAAGTCCGTCTTGACCGTGATATGAGTCTGTACACTCACTTTGGCTACGGTCCTCATCAATGCCTGGGTGTCAAAATGTGTCCTATTGCACTTTCTACTATGCTCAAGGTCCTTGGGCGACTAAACAATGTCCGTCGTGCCCCTGGTCCTCAAGGTCACCTGAAGAAGCTCGATGGACTTGGTGGAATCGCCATGTATATGGATGCCCAGCACAGCAGCTTCTCTCCGTTCCCCATGACCATGAAAATTCAGTGGGATGGAGATCTCCCTGCCAGGACGAAGTAAGCTTGTCATACGTTGAAAGTTCTGGGTGTCATGATATTGCCTTGAAATGTACGTTTGTATTCTTCAACGGTTTTTTGTATATCATTGTGTATGTTGAAAAAAGAGGGGACGTATGTGTTCTCTGGTTTAAGGTGCATTTTATGGCTTGTATCTCTGTAGCTTTCGAACATACATAACTCCTGTCTACCTCTGCCTATCTGGGCTCATAACTCGGACTTATGTCTCGTTCTGTTGCGTGTAACTTTGAAACTTGTCTAACATAGTTTACTATTACTATAGCTGGTAGACTTTGAAGCCTTTTCTCCAAATAAAAAAAAGAAACAGACAGGGAAAGACTGTGTATGTACAAGGTTCGGTGTAAGAGAGATATATATCTCGCAATCATGATTTCAGTGACAGCCAAAACCACTAACATTTCAAGAACGATGAAAACACGCGTTTTTCGCGTCGAATAATACATAAAGCAGCTCCAGCCCAGTTTTTTTTGCAGAGAAAACGCGTTGACTCGCGACAAAAATGAGGTGTACGAGCCTCTGACTATGAGCAAGGGTCTTGATGACAATCGTAGCCTCGGCCCCGACCCTCCCCTTTTTTGCTCAGTGGTCTAGATGGATAAAGCCACAGACATTCTGCTTACAAGTGGATGTTCGAAATTGATCAGCTTCTCTGTGTTTTTTTTTTTAAACCGCGCCAACTCCGAGTTTGCTTGAATGTTGTGTTACAAAAGGACTCACATCATAGGCTGACTAAGTGCTTGGAACAAGGTGACAACTGATGTTACATCAAGTAGATCTGCCTGGAAGCGCAGCTTCCTGCAAAAATTGATGGCATTGGCGCTGTCGAGCAGCTCACGAGTGGAGTTATCCCAGCGCTAGAGCTTTGCTCCAGCCAGAGAAACCTCTGCAATGCTGACTCGCTTGCGCTCTCCACCACTGACACTTCGCACTAATTCGTCTCAAACCTTGGTATTGATAGTATGATTCAGATCAAAGATGGCCATCATCCAATCACGACGAATTGTGTTGAACTGATGGCGGTCAATGCCTCCCGCAATGTGTCGAACAGAACGGGCGCGTGCAGCAAACATGAGTGTCTTGCCAACAGTTAGATGCGATAGTTGTGTATCCAGCTCATCATTATGCAGAACATCACCGCGAAATGATGAGCGAATGTTGGCCAGATCTAATCCTCAATGAGTTCAGAAAAGGCTTGGAAATTGTGGGCCCCTGATCATGTACGAACCTCGGTATTTGACAAACTCACCAGGCGTCATATCGGATCCTGCCGTTTCTCTAATAGTGACTTAAGGAGTTTAGAGCAGCCAGACCCCCGGGGACCCAGAACGAGAAGCATTTCTCTGCCCTCCACGACGCCTTTAAAGCCGCGTAGAATGTCTACACGTCTGTCATGCTGATTTCCACGAAGCCACCTCACCAAGTATCTTGGTGCTTCGACCAGTATATACCCAGCGGTTTTTCGAAAAATTGTGGTCATTCGCAGATAACCACTTGCAAAAGCATCCAAATCTTTGAAGGCAACGCCGAGAGAGCGCGAAGGTGCAGAGCAATGGTCGGATTCTGTCAACTTGATGAATCCCTTGACCTAGACTCGGGCATCAAAAGCCGGAGATGAGGGATCAAGCTTGCTGCTAGAAATGGGATTTAACGCTTGTGACAGTCCTTTTTCAGAAGCTGAAGATATGGAAAATCGTTCTGCAGCTTTTGCGAACTCGTTGTGTAGTTCGTTCACCTGATCATCGAAGGAAGTATGTTGGCGCTTGATGATGATAGTAATTGTGGAGAGGGTCTCTTGACTACAAACTTCGTCAGTACGAACGGCTACATCCATTGCAATTAATCTCTAAAGTGCTCAGGTAGTATGGTGACAGAACGTTAAGAGGACACTTTCATACAAATTGGCGGCTTTGGGTTTGAGTCTTGCCGTGTTTGCTCTCTAAGTGCACGGATAAATATCTGGTGCTTGGCTCTGATGTAAATGGATTCTTCGCACGGTGTATAATTCAATCATTTTGCGCTCAGTCATTGGCTGGTTCTTGGCATACTGTATGCCAAGAAATCCATCGGAACAACCAGCGCTAGCGGCCCGCGAAGTGGATCTTGCCGGTTGGAAGCCGAAAGTTTGATGTGTTGTATTCTGACCAGATGAGAGTACGATAGCCTTACATATGATTAGTTTGGCATGCTTGCCCCAAGACAGCACCACAGGATGCTCTACGGGAATTCATGGTAAGAAATTGACTTGTATCATAGAGATGTTGAGCTCGGAAACTTAGAAAGAACTGAAAAGATGAAAAGACTGTAGATTTGATGTCCCCGAGGATCGGGGGACATACCTTCATTCAATAGTAGACTTCGGAGAGGTGAAATAGAGCGTGAGTGATGAGAAAACTAGAATAGTGTAAATGCTTTAACCGGAGACCGAGGGCGCGAAGGAACACAGAGATAGTGTTAGATTGGTTATCTTCGTCGCTATCGTTTCTAGCTCCCTATATACATACCACTAGAGTTATATTAACTTCTACCTATAGTACAGGTAGCCGGATATCTAGATCGTCGGTCGTAAAATCAAGACATGTAGAGGTAATACATGATTATATAGATGCCAGGGATCAAGGGTACACGTGATTTTTGATTCAGCACGCAAAACTGACCTCACCTAGACGCAAAATGCAAACAAATTCGAATCACCCGTTCTCTTTAAGGCGGATATCGATGCGGTTTTTGAATATATTGAAATTGTTGTATTTCTGGACATTGGACCTCATCCAGCGCTTACAGGACTTGTAACGCGGACCACGACCCCTTGAGCATAAATCAGAGTGTGTTAAGTCCTTTTTGGCAGCTATGGGGAGGGTTTTTGAGCTGAACGGTGGTGGGTAAGTTTCGCAACTCGATGGCAATTTGTAGAGAATGAAGCTGGCAAGTGCACACGGGATTGCGGAGACTGAATCGATAGGGTTGTAAGTGCAGCTACCCTGCTCCTCGCATGCTCTACAGCTTGCTGCGACACCTTTGCACAGCGGAACTACGACAACCAACTGTATCATTGCACTGAGTGTATCGACCGCAATCTTCATGAAAAGCCCCGGAAGGTGCGTTTGTCGAGAATGGAAATGGGAATGGCCATTTACCAAACTCTTCCGAAATGAGGGTGGGGACTTCTGGCTTGAACCTGATCGTATATGTCTTTCCTTGCCCGTATCACAGAATATACGAATATTCTCGGGACATATCTGTATGACCTTCCCAGCTGGGGATGGACCCCGTGGTTGATGTCAAGATGCACAGATGAAGATCCATGCATTTGGGTTTGATATCAGGATGTTTGAGTGGCTGGGTTGCTGGATATGGGCGATCTCGATGGGCTAGGTAGACATACGCTAGGTAGATATACGATAGATGGAGTCCTGAAGAACCCGTGTCTTGTAGCTGTGTAAAATCTTAGAGTGGCACCTGTTTTGGGAATTCATATAACCGCCGTCCTTTGGATCAGATCCCCCTTGGTGTCTGAGGCTAAGTCAACAATCGATAAAAGCATTTTCAAGCATATATCAGGCGTAAACGATGATGATAAAGTGACGCTTGGGAATATCGCGAGATTGTCTAAACATGATATACCTGGGTAGTTGTTGCAAACTCTCATGGTAGACGTGTATCGGTCCCTACTTTAAGCGATTTACGATTTGCAGCGTTTGTTCTGTCAGAGAATTAATTCAAGAAAGTTGAAATTTCGGTGATGTTCCATGCTATAACGTCGCCCACGGGTAAATTGGGAGCTGTCACGTGATGATAAAATTTACAGGGTCTATAGAATACCCTGAGCGACATTAAAGCAGTAAATGAACCCGAGGGTTCGATAGATATACGAAGGTAGTTATATACCTATAGATGGATACATTTGTAGCGGGAGCAGTGAAAGAAAATCAAACATGGCATTGAAAAAAGAAAGAAAAAGAAGTGAAGACGTGGGATGCCTGAGGCCCAGGGGGGGAAACACCCGCCGCTCCGCCCTGCCCATCTGCCGGCAAGACCAGCTTCATTCAAGAACCTTCCCTTTTGACGTCGTTTTTCTTTTCTTTTCTATCAACCCTATCATCCTTTCCTTACCTTCTTCTGTGTCGCCTCTGTGTCAACAACTCTAGGGTAAACGTCCTGCACCCGTTTTCCCTGGTAGCTTCTTGACCGACTACCTTTCATCAGCTCTTACTTTTGAGCTTTCCAAGTATCTTCACGATTGAACGGTAAATTCGATCCTGCATCTATTCGATTTATATTTCCATTAGCGGCGATACATTGCTTAGGTGGTCATCACGTCGAAGTCGAATCGGGTTTTCGTTGAGGCAGAAACCAGCACCAAAACGTCATAAGGCAATCTTCACGTTTCCTCCGCGACACCGGTCTACACGACCTCCCCACACCACCTCTAGGAGTCAACCCTCCGCAAACTCTCAGCTCCCTCATGTTTGACTGGTCAACTGATCGTTATCATGGGGAGAATTAAGAAGGTAGCCAGCCAAAAGCATGAGGCTACAATCGTGAGTTATCCTCCGCCGGCTGATGTGCAACCCAACTAAAAAATTTTCTTCTCATTATAGTCACCTTTTTTACAAGAATTCATCGGACGCGCTACGAGTGTTCCCGTTCCAGAGCTCCCGTCGCTCCTCAGCACATTCCCCAAGCTATGGCCGTTCCCGCGCGGTGATCTTTACCACTGGATCAATGTCTTGGATCGGTTCGATGAGGTTTTAGCCTCGGTCGTCGAGAAATACTTTCTCAATACCGGCCCTCAGACTCACTTATTTACCCGAAGCGTTCTGGAGGAATCATACTCAGCCGAAGAAAGCAAAAAGCCCGCAGAGGGTGTGGACGCCAAGCTGAATGCTCTGGGATATGGCCCTGATGGAGACAAAGAGCTTGTGGAAGCGATTCTGGATTTCTCTCGTCTTTTGCTCGAGAAATGTGGCAACCGCAGCCTGTACAGCAGCAGTGATCGCCTTGGCGACTTGCTGAACACTACCTCACTGTCTCTGCTCCAGTCTACTTTGCGTCTGGCCCTTTGCTTGGCTCAACGGTACCACTCTCGTCAGCGTGGCGCTCACCAACAGTCCGTATTGCAATCTCACTATGCCCTTGACCTAGAGAAACTGCAAAAAATCGCAGCACCATTCCCGCGCCCTGTTATTGCCAGTAAAGCTCCGTTTGCTGCTTCCCCAGCCGTTTCCAACAAGGGGAAGGACAAGACAGTCCAGACTAAAATCAATGCCAATGAACTCGTCTCCCTTGTGCGTGACAGTGACGGGTGGGAGGAATGGGGCGATGTTCGCGTTTTGTATTACCCCTCTGGCCCCGAACAGGCCAGAACGACCTCCGAATATGCTCAGATTGAGCAGGCCTCACATGTCCCAACCACTCCGACCCCATTGCGACGAACTGCAACCTACCCTGCTCCTCATCTGAGTCGCGGCTCGAATGTGGATGATTCACCAGCTGCAACTCCTTCCAAGGTCGAGGAGGCCTCGCGAGGCGGCAAAGTCTTGGAAATCCCTTATTCGAAGGTTTCCTCTGCAAAGTTGGAGGATCTACTTGAAGCCAACTTGCCCCATCTCCCCCTCGAATCAAAATATGAGCTGCTCCACAAACTCCGAATTGCCAAAGCGTTGACCGATTCGCGTGCCACGCGTGAACAGATCCTTTCCATCAAGGCGCTGGCAGTCACCAACTTGGCCCATGTTCAGCCGGAAAGCTCATTCCAACAAAAAGTCCTTCAGTCTGACCTGGAGCAGCCGAAGCGTCTCCAGCTTGCGTACCAACTTGCTGAGTTAGTTCACCTCGGCGCCAGTGGTGATCTTGAGGTCTCTCGATCAGTTCAGACCTTTGCCCTCCAAACCCTGGATGCGTTGACCAAACACAAGTCTCGAGCCGTTGATGTTTGTGCAGCTCTCAGCGTCAACGTTAACCATGGTGTTCTCATGTTCCTGACCCGTAAAATGGTTAATGAACTAGGCACAGATAACGATGATCTGGATGATGCTTACGACGATGAGTGGCGGGATGGTTTGCTCGCACTCCTGCGCACCCTCCCAAGCTCGAGCACGCGTACACCAGAAACTCTGGTTGCGGCTGGTTTGATCCCCATGTTTGTTGATATTCTGAACCTGCGGACCGATAAATCTCGCCGAGTTTATTCCCGTATAATGGAGTTCCTTGACACATTTGTGCATGCGGTTCGGGATGCTCTAGGAACACTGACAGCCGCGAAGGGATTTGACGCTATGTCGGACCTGATCGACTACGAGACAAAGACCGCTTTCGAGAAAGTTAACCGTGGAGATGGATTTCCTGCGCAATACAAGAATCCGTCCGTCGACTATCAAATTCCCTACTTCCAACAGCAGACCCTGCGCTGGATGTTCCGCTTCGTTAACCACATCATGCAGCACAACGGTGGAGGCTTCGATCGTGTGCTACGTAACTTGATTGATTCACCTCAGTTGCTGACTTCCCTCCGCCTTGTGTTCGAAAATGCCCGGGTGTTTGGTTCGCATGTTTGGAGCAATGCTATCAACATCCTCAGCAGTTTCATCCACAATGAACCTACAAGTTACGCCGTCATCGCCGAGGCTGGTTTAAGTAAGAGCCTTCTTGCTGCCGTTATGGGCCGTGAGCTACAGGTTTCGGAGAAGCCACCAGCAGTGGAGCCTGCAGGCGCTGAAGTGGAAGGTGAACATGCAACCCATCCGCCCTCCGCTGAAGCTGCCGCTCAGTCCGAGGAAAAGCAAAAGGACCGTGAGTACGCTTTAATCAGAGCCAAGGACACTCCTCTTGCACCTGGTATCATGCCCGCAGGTGATGCTCTTGCTTGTATTCCTTCTGCCTTTGGGGCCATTTGCTTGAACTCCTCTGGTCTGGATCTTTTCCAGTCCTCTGATGCACTGGAAAGCTTTTTCGAGATCTTTGAGAACCCAGAACACGTCAAATGCCTGAAGGATGACCCTGAACTGGTTCGCTCTTTGGGTACAACATTTGATGAGCTTGTGCGCCACCACCCGGCATTGAAGACCTCCATCATGTCCGCCGTGCTTGTCATGGCTGCCCGTGTGAACATTCTGGGTCGGGTCAAGGCTTGGGAACAAGGTATGGGCACAAAATTGTGGACACAAGATGGCGATGGTAAAACCAGTCTCTCGGGAGATATCTTTTCTTTGTTCCGCGAAATCGGCACAGATATCAATGCTCCCGCGGACAACCCTGCGTCGCTTGGTGTACCACAACTTAATGTGAACACCACTCTACCGAATGGTGCGAAGCTTGTTGTTGGTCACCTGGACCATGTTCTTCCTGGCCCTGGCCCCGACTTTGAGCCGAAGGATAAGGATGATCACGGACTAACTGCCACGGACTACTTGTTCCCAGCTCTCCGCTTCTTGGGCGCCTTCTTCGAGAACCAGACGAACTGCACTTCTCTCATCCAAGCTGGAGGTGCAGAGTTCTTGTTGGATCTCGCAACGCTACAAAGCTTGTCCTTTGATTTCCACAGCACCAACGCCAATCAAGAGATCACCGTACTTGTTCATATGCTTGCGGAAACAAAGCCTCACCTCATTGTTCCGTCTCTAGTAAAGCGCGCTCAAGACGCATTGAACAATCTCTCGCCCTTTTTCAAGGCACCCACCGGGACAGGCTTCTTTACGGAGTTGATCAAGCCAGTGGACTCGAAACAGCCAGCTACGGAGTCTACGGTTGCTGCTCAGTGTGGCACATTCTTCGTGAGGCACCTAAACGCAGTTCTTCTCCTCACCGATGTCCTTCGTGAAGTTTTCGCTATGCCATTGTACCAAACTCGACCTGGTCAATCAACCTCTATATTTGGTCAAGTCAACCTCGCAGATCAATACTGCACTTTGATCGAGTCACTAACCAACCTCCTCGCTTCGTGCGTGTGGGAAGGTATTTTACTGGAGAAGAACATCCCCGAGAAATGGCTGAAAGCTACACAGGCCTCCGCTGAAAAGCACGGCCCTGGAAAATCAAAGAATACTCCCGCCTCGGGAGCCCCCCAGGAGCCTTCAGCTACCGGTGCTGAAACTCAAGGGGAAGGCTCTGGCGCACCAGTCTCGGATCAGGTTCAATCAGAACAAGAATCAAAGGACGATGGCAGCCCTGTAGATGAGCAGAACCCTGCTTTCAAGAATGCTCGCACCCTTCGCTATCTCTTGAGCGCTCTTCCAACCTCGATAACTGGATTCTTGCACAATCTTGGCCTCGGTATTATTGGCAAGAGACGCATGGATCCGCTCCAGAAGCAGAAGCAGAATGCTAGCTTAGTGGCAGATGCTATTGCTGAAGGTATTCTTCGGCAATTGCAATTCAACCCTGCCAACTCGAGTGATAGTCCCAAGCACCGCTTCGCCTATCTGATTGTGGTCCTTTCTCACTTCTCGCATCTTCTTTACGAGGTTTCACCAGAGCGCCCTAATGCGAACTACTTGACTTCCGTTCTCGTTGCATTCAAAAAACTCAATGGTCTCAAGGTGCTGAAAGACACATGTGATGTCTTCCTGAATGATATCAAATCTCTTCCGCCTGCAGATTCCATCCCCGACCAGGATAAAGAACTTGCTGATCGGCTTGCATCGGGCTATGGAGGAATCAAAATTATTCTTGGCCTGTTTGCAGACCTCACGGCGGGAAAATTCATTGTGGACTCGAGTCAAACACAGGCGTTGACCTCTCACCAAGAACGCGACCGCGACCGCTCTGATTATTTCCAGCCTGGTCAATTCTTGGTGGAGCTCCGAATGGAGATCTTGCCCATGGCTCAAGACATGTGGAATTCTGACTTTGCCACTCAATCCTCGAGTACCATTGTCAGATTGTTGATTGATATTCTGCGATGCTCCCTGGATGGCGAATATGAGACCGGCGCCGCTAGGCAATCGGACACTCCACCTCTCTTGCAAGACACGCCCAAGAAACCATTTGTCGTTCACAAGGAACGAGCAACTGCTTTGCTTGAGAAGGGATTCAAAGATGTTGATCTCAACAAAGAAGCCCTTTATCGATGCAACAATGTCTTGAATGCAGCCGAGGAATATTGCAAAGCGCAGCAGTGGCTGCGGGCTCCTCCCCGTGCTCCCCCGCTTGTCAATGATCTCCAGACTGGAGTGCCCGAGCTTGCTTCTGGCATAGACTCTCTCGAAGACCCTGCTATGGAGGGTACTCCCTTCGTCAACACCAATACCGGTCTCTTAGATCGCAACACGTTGGCAATGCTTTTGGCTTCGGCCTCGGGACATCCCATGAACCAGGCGATGCAATCAACCCTCAGCGGAGGGGACGGAGACTCTGATATGCATGATGGCTTGGCTCGAGCTTTAGACAATGTCTTGAACGACAACGAGGATATGGACAGCGATGATCGAAGCGATTCATTGAACCAATCCCAGCCTGACAACCGCAATATCGGGTCAAGCTCTTCCGATTCTACCAGACTGCCCCAGGGAGAATCCGCCAGACGCCGTGAGATGGTCACAGTGGAAGACCTAGACAACAAGAGGGCAAGCATCCGGGAAAACCTAATTGAGCGTGCCTTGGACATCCTGAACGAACACCACGATGTCTCTTTCGAGTTGTCTGACTTGATTTCTTCGGCAATCAAAAAGCATCATGAGCCAGAGATCTTCCGTCATGAGGTTGGAGAGACTCTCGTCCAATCGCTGGTTTCTTTGCAAATGGAAAACTTCCAGACAGCCGGCAAAAAGATTGCCGCTTATGCCCATATCCTCGCGTTGACCCTTCAGGATCGCGACATGTATGTTGCAACCCTTGAAGAGCTTAAAAGTTGCTTCTCGACTTTCCTTGGATTCATCAAGTTGCCAACACCCGAAAAGGCGGACCAAGAAACCTTCCCTTGGGTTGGACATGTCCTGCTCATTCTCGAGAAGCTGCTGTCAGATGATTGTCAGCCACCTCAAATTGCATGGACTCCACCAAGTCTCGACGATCCCACTCTTGATGTTGAAGAGCCAGCCCGTCTCGAAGACCCCCTTGTCTCTCTGGACGAGAAGACCCAGCTTTTCGAAGCGCTGGTAGAGATTCTACCCAGAGTGGGCAAGGATGATATTTTAGCGCTTTCTATGTGCCGTGTTCTTGTCATCCTCACCCGTGAGCGTAGTATTGCGGCTCGATTCGGTGAAAAGCGCAACCTCCAACGTCTATTTGTGATGGTAAAGCAACTTTCCAGTGCTACCAATGACAAGCTGCAGAGCGCTTTCATGCTGATTCTCCGTCATATCGTCGAGGATGAAGCTACTATTCGGCAGATCATGAGAAGCGAAATTGTTGCCAGCTTTGAGTCCAAGACCACTCGCCAAATTGATACTACAGGCTACGTCCGGCAGATGTACCACCTTGTGCTCAGAGCCCCTGATATTTTCGTGGAAGTAACCAATGAAAAGCTCCGCCTGCTCAGATATGATACCCATCAACGTCCCCAAGTTCTTGGCCTGAAGGCGGACAAAGATCGCCAAGCTCGACGCGCAGCAAAGCCTGAAGTTGTTATGGATGACAACAAACCGGAATCATCTGCCGCAGCCGATGCACCTGCTGCAGCCGACGCACTTTCCGATGATAAAGAAGCGAACAAAGATGACAAGAACAAGGCCCAATCCAAGGCTGCTGAGCTGAAAGCACCAATCGTCGAGAATCCGGATGGTGTCATTCATTATCTGCTTTCAGAACTTCTGTCCTACAAGGATGTGGAAGACAAGGAATCTGTACCCGAGTCTTCAGAGCAGACAGCGGATCAATCTGATACACAAACTGATGTTGAAATGACTGTGGACGAGCCTGCTCCTTCGGTTTCGACCACTGCCGATGCCCAAGGTGCCCGCAATTCCAAAAAGACAGAGAAGCCCCAATTTAAAGCAGACGACCATCCCATCTACATCTATCGCTGCCTAATTCTTCAGTGCCTGACAGAACTCCTTTCCTCTTACAATCGAACCAAGGTCGAGTTCATCAACTTCTCCCGCAAGGCTGATCCTCTTGCCACCACACCCTCCAAGCCACGATCAGGTGTTCTTAACTATATGTTGAACGTTCTTGTTCCTCTTGGAACCATGGAACATGATGAGACTTTGGTGTTCAAGAAACGAAGTATCACTTCCACATGGACCATGCAAGTGCTTGTTGCCCTTTGCACCAAGACTGGTGAGTTTGGTGGTGTTGGCAGACGTCGCACCGAGCCGAAGTATGAGGAGGATGAGCCTGAGCTCGCATTTGTCCGCCGATTCGTGCTGGAGCATGCCCTTCGAACTTACAAGGATGCCATGGCCTCCACCGAGCCTCTGGATGCCAAATATTCTAAGCTCATGTCTCTTGCCGACTTGTTCGATAAAATGCTCAGTGGGTATTCATTCAGCAACGACGCTGGCTTCCCAACATCGACCAGACAGCTTGCAAAGGCCATGTTTGAAAAGCATTTCATTCCTACATTAACTTCTTCGGTCGCCGATGTCGACCTGAACTTCCCGTCATCCAAGCGGGTCATCAAGTACATTCTTCGTCCATTGAACAAGCTTACGCAGACTGCCGTAATTCTCAGCCAAAACTCGGACATTTCCTCACCAGGCGATAACGATGACGATGAGATCTCATCGGCAACCTCGGTTTCAGATATGGAAGATGAACGCGAAGAAACTCCTGATCTCTTCCGTCATTCTACTCTTGGTATGCTGGAACCTCGCCACGACGAGGAAGAAAGTAGCACTGAAGAATCGGAGGGCGAGGACGATGAAATGTACGAGGATGAATATGATGAAGAAATGTACGATGATGAAGATGTTGCTGAAGATGATGGTGAGGTCGTTAGTGACGATGATGAGGACGGCATGGGTCCCATTGAAGGCCTTTCTGGCGATGCAGTTGAAGTCATTCTCGACGAAGATGAAGAAGAAGACGACGATGAGGATGATGACGATCACGATCATCTGGACATGGATGATGACATGTATTCTGGAGAAATCGGTGGTGATCGTGACAATGAAAGCCTCGAAGACGGCGAAGATGAGTGGGAGAGCGAAGAAATGACCGAGGATGAAGAGGAGGTCGAGATGATGAACCAGTTCGAAGATGAAATGGCAGACATCAGACAAACTAGCCGCCACCACGGCGATGACCACCGCATCGGTGATCTCTTCCGAGCCCTCGGGGACCCCTCTGGGGGCGTCGACCTCCATGGTGATGCCCTCGGGGGTGACATTCATGAAGAAATCCTTGATGATCTGGATGAAGATGGTTTGTCCTTCATAAACCTATTCCGGCGCCTCCCGTTGCCTGCGCTAACCCCCAATCCAGTTGACGACGATGACGAAATGGATGAGCTTGAAGAGGACATGGATGACTTTGATGAGCAAGGATCTTATGGGGACATGGAAGGTGAGACAAATTTGCATGTTGAAACTCGACTATTGCTAATTTACTTCAAAGATGATGAGATTGAACCCTGGGGATTCGAAGGCGAGGACTCCGCTGTCATGCCCCGTGGTCATCCCCACTCCCGTTTCAGCCGCACCGCACCTCCGGCTTGGGCTGCTGTTACTGAAATAATGCCCGGTCGTCCTTCTGGTCTTGTCCCCATTCAGCCCTACCATCGTGTTCACCGCACCCAGCTGCCATCGCGTGGCAACGATGATGGAACCAATCCTCTTTTGCTTCGTACTGATCGCCCAGACGCTGCTGCTGCTCCTCCACGTGGAGTTGCTGCCGACCCCTTTGCCGATTGGGGCCAGGCCATTGATCCCACCAATGGTGGCCGAGTTATCGCAATGGATAGCCCTATTAGCTTCATGAACGCTATTATGCAAGCTATCGGCGGGCAGGCTTCCCCAGGATTTGGCGTTGTCACCCGCCCTGACGGTATTCATGTCCATGTTGATCGACGTGCAGTCCTGCCTGGTCGTATTCAGGACATGCTTGGAATCCCTCGGGGATCAGGTCCCCCAGCTCGCACCCGAGGTGATGACCCGCATACTGCCGTGAAGTTCGGTCTTTGCACCACCAAGAACCGCTGGCAAGAGGAGGCCCGTATTCTTTACAGTAGCCTCTATGTTGAACGTACTCAGCGCATTCTCAACTCCCTGCTCAAGGTCTTGGTTCCTCCTGCCATGGAAGAGGAAAAGCAGCGCCAGAAACAGGCTGCCGAGGAGCGTACACGCATCCAGGCCGAACGTGCCGAGGCTGAACGTAAAGAACGCATTGCCGCCGAGGAGAAAGAGAAAGAGCGCAAACAAAAAGAGGAGGAAGAAAAAGCCAGAATCCAGGCAGAGAAAGAACAACAGGATGCCGAACGTCAGGCTAGTGGAGCCGATGAGCCCATGGAAGATGTCCAAGAAACTAATACTACGTCTGAGGCTGCTGGCCCATCAGCTCAGCCTGAATCCGAGCCAGCCGAGCCGGCTCGTCGTGTGCACACCAATATCAGAGGTCGCCAAGTTGATATCACTGGTCTCGAAATTGACCCAGAATATCTAGAAGCGCTTCCCGAGGAACTCCGAGAGGAGGTTATTATGCAACAGGTTGCTGAGCAACGCTCTCAAGCTGCCGCCGCCGGCGAGGAGCCTACTGAGATCAATCAAGAATTCCTTGAAGCCTTGCCCGCTGAAATCCGCGAAGAATTGCTGCAACAGGAAGCGGCCGATAGACGCCGACGTGAGCGTGAGACCGCCCGGCGACAGGCAGCCTCTGCTAGCGGTCCTAGCGGCGGTCCTCCTGTCCATGCTGAAGAAATGGATGCCGCCAGTTTCTTGGCTACTCTTGACCCTTCTCTGCGCCAGGCTGTTCTGGCCGATCAGCCGGAGGATGTTCTTGCAACATTGGGCCCAGAGTACTTGACCGAGGCTCGTGCTGTAGGCGGCACTGGCCGTCGCATGGCCCAATTTGGTGATATGAGTGCCATTGATCCCCGGCAGCGAACCGAGCCTCCTGGAGCCCAAGAGCCGAAGAAAGAACAGCGACGTCAAATTGTCCAAATGCTCGACAAAGCCGGTGTTGCAACCCTTCTTCGCCTGATGTTCATGCCTCTCCATGGTAACGCCCGTCACCAATTGAACGATATCCTTCACAATGTCTGTGAGAACCGTCAAAACCGAAGCGAGGTGATCAGCCTTCTGCTCTCGGTTTTACAAGATGGCAGCGTTGATTCCACTGCGATTGAACGCAGCTTCTCCCATCTTTCTTTGCGCGCAAAGGCACCCGGAGCACAAAAGACACCGCAGTCTAACAAGCGAAACCTAGCTCTCCAGACTGCTTCCAGCGTTAGCAGCGAAGTCACCCCCATTATGGTCATCCAGCAATGTCTCAGCACACTTTCTTTCCTGTCGCAGTTCAATCCTCACATCGCCTGGTTCTTCCTAACAGAACATGACTCTTCTTCAGCCGCCAAACTAAAGGGCATGCGCAAGGGCAAGGGTAAGGAAAACCGAGCTAACAAGTTCGCCTTGAATGCCTTGCTTTCTCTCCTGGATCGTAAATTGATCATGGAGAGCCCCAACTGCATGGAGCAACTGTCTAGTCTCCTTAGCAGCATCACTCAACCATTGACTGTTCTCCTTCGTCGTGAGAAGGAACGCCAGGAAGAGAGCAAGAAGGGTAAAAAGCCCGAGGGTGCTCCAGCCGAAGAAACTACCGATCAGTCTGCTGAAGCTGGCGATTCGGGCATGGACACCTCGATGACCGATGCTCCACTGCCTACTGTGGAAACACCCGAAGCCCCAGGCCAAGAGATCACAGACGACGGAGAAACTGCTTCGGAAGAAGCCAAGAAATCCACAGACTCCAAAGAACCCGCCGAGGACGAGAAGCGCAAGAAGCGCGCCATTGAGCCTCCCGTCGTGCCGGATCATAACTTCCGTCTGGTCGTTCATATCCTTGCTGCTCGTGAGTGCAATGGCAAGACTTTCCGGGACACACTTTCTACTATCAACAACCTTTCTGCTGTTCCTGGTGCTCGGGACGTTATCGGCAATGAACTCGTTGCGCAAGCGCAGGCTCTTAGTGATACCATTTTGGGCGATTTGGAGGACCTTCTTCCCCATATTCACCAAGCCAAGACCGGCACCGACATGCAAGGCCTTGCTCTGTCCAAGTTCTCTCCAGCCAGTTCTGACCAGGCTAAGCTGCTGCGTGTTTTGACAGCGCTCGATTATCTGTTCGACCCTACCCGGGTAGACAAGACCAAGGGCACCGAACCTGAGTCTGCCCCCAAGGAGGATGTGCTCAAAAGACTATATGAGAGCGCCACTTTCGGTCCTCTGTGGACGAAGTTGAGCGACTGCCTGACTGTTATCCGGCAAAAGGAGAACATGCTGAACGTAGCTACTATTCTTCTCCCTCTCGTCGAGGCATTGATGGTTGTCTGCAAAAACACGACCCTGAAGGACCAGCCCCTTTCTCGCGGCAGTCGTGAGCTGTCAACAACCAGCACCGCAGCTGATGCTGGTATCAGCATGGAGAACCTCTTCTTCAAGTTCACCGAGGAACATCGCAAGATCCTCAATGAGCTTGTCCGTCAGAATCCCCGCCTGATGAGCGGCACTTTCTCTCTGTTGGTCAAGAACCCCAAGGTCCTAGAATTCGATAACAAGCGCAACTACTTCACTCGTCGTGTCCACTCGCGTGGTGCCGAGCCTCGTCACCCCCATCCTCCTCTGCAGCTCGCCGTCCGCAGAGCTGAAGTCTTCCTTGACTCTTTCAAGTCTTTATATTTCAAGAGCGCGGATGAGCTGAAGTACGGCAAGTTGAACGTTCGATTCCATGGCGAAGAAGGTGTCGATGCCGGTGGTGTGACCAGAGAATGGTTCCAAGTCCTTGCACGAGGCATGTTCAACCCCAACTACGCCTTGTTCATTCCCGTTGCTGCCGACCGGACTACATTCCACCCCAACCGTCTCAGTGGCGTCAACTCGGAGCATCTCATGTTCTTCAAGTTCATTGGCCGCATCATCGGTAAGGCCTTGTACGAAGGCCGCGTTCTCGACTGCCACTTCAGCCGAGCAGTGTATAAAAACATCCTCGGACGTGCTGTGTCCATCAAGGACATGGAAACGCTCGACTTGGACTACTACAAGTCGCTGTTGTGGATGCTGGAGAACGACATTACCGACATCATTACAGAGACCTTTGCCATTGAAACCGATGCCTTCGGAGAGAAGCAGGTCATCGACCTGATACCTAATGGACATGACATTCCTGTTACTCAGGAGAACAAGGAGGAGTATGTTCAGCGCGTGGTCGAATACCGCCTTGTCGAGTCTGTCCGAGAGCAGCTGGACAATTTCCTGAAGGGTTTCCATGAAATCATTCCCCCGGATCTGATCTCCATTTTCAACGAGCAGGAGTTGGAACTTCTGATTTCTGGTCTTCCTGAGATTGATGTTGACGAGTGGAAGAACAACACCGAATATCACAACTACTCCGCCTCGTCCTCACAAATCCAATGGTTCTGGCGTGCTGTCCGCTCATTCGACAAGGAAGAGCGTGCCAAACTTCTACAGTTCGTTACCGGAACTAGCAAGGTTCCTCTCAACGGATTCAAGGAACTTGAGGGTATGAACGGTGTCAGCAAGTTCAACATCCACCGCGACTATGGCAATAAGGATCGTCTTCCTAGCTCGCACACATGTTTCAACCGTAAGTTTTTCTCATACGCTTTGGCTTATTATACACGATATACTAACAAAATTTGACAGAGCTTGACCTTCCCGAGTATGAAAGTTACGAAGACCTTCGCGCACGCCTTTACACGGCCATGACCGCTGGTAGCGAGTACTTCGGGTTTGCTTAAACTATGTTCCTGTTCTATGTTATTGGGATTGATTCCGTACCAAAGCATTTAATGGCGTTACTGTCATTTTCTTCTATGGGAATTTTTTTACTGTGGAGGAATGAAGAGTATGGGAGGAGGCTGGCAGTGCCGGCGAAGAATTTCTTTTTATGAGCAAATGAAAATAGAGGCTCGAAGGGATTTGGTTGGAGTGCAGGCCAACCTTGTTCTCTTCTGAGTTCTCACTATGTGTACTTAGATTGCTGCATTCCTTGTTTATTCTTATTTCTTGTTTTTAATTCGGGTCTAGAGGACCTCTGGAATTTTGTATAAAACAATAGATACTTCTTCACATGTACCATTCGGCCAATAATGTAGGGCTGAATACTTATCTTCAGGTACTAGACCAAGCTTATCTCATCAGGCGGTGAGCTCGTCACGGGACTGTAGAAAAAAGTCATGCGGGGCCGCGCGGAGGAAAATGATTTTTTGAGCCCGAACAACGGTCATCTCGGTGTTTGTGCTCCTTTGAATTGCTCCTTTGAATTGGAAACCCTCTTCTGTGTTCACAAATTCCTGCATCATGTCGACCAACTCCATTAAGCTCCTGACTGGCAACAGTCACCCGGAGCTTGCCAACCTTGTGGCTGACCGGTATGTGTCTGCAGGCGTCAAGCTCAAGGACAAGCTAACCGATAACCAGCCTCGGAATTGAGTTGACCAAGATTATGGTCCTGCAATACTCCAACCAAGAGACCAGTGTAACAATTGGTGAAAGTGTGCGCGACGAAGATGGTATGAGCATCCCACTTCGGTGACATCAAGAGAACCACCCCACTTATATATCCTCGTCACAGTCTTCATTCTGCAATCGACGAAACCCAACGATATCAACGATGGACTCATGGAACTCCTTATCATGATCAACGCTTGCAAGACTGCCTCCGCCCGCCGCATCACTGCCGTTATTCCCAATTTCCCCTACGCCCGCCAGGACAAGAAGGACAAGAGCCGTGCTCCCATCACCGCCAAGCTTATGGCGAACATGCTCCAGACCGCTGGCTGCAACCATGTCATCACTATGGACCTTCACGCCAGTCAAATCCAGGGATTCTTCAATGTCCCCGTCGACAACCTGTACGCCGAACCCAGTATGCTCAAGTGGATCCGTGAGAACCTCGATGTCAGCAACTGTGTTATTGTCAGCCCGGATGCCGGTGGTGCTAAGCGGTGAGTCTTATCCAAACTGATAGTGCATGCATCTACATGTCCTGAGCTAGATCAGTGACTAATATGGGTTTGCCAGTGCTACTGCTATTGCCGATCGCCTGGATCTGCAATTTGCTCTCATCCACAAGGAACGCGCCCGTCCCAACGAGGTCTCGCGCATGGTTCTTGTCGGTAATGTCAAGGACAAGGTTGCCATCATCGTCGACGACATGGCTGACACCTGCGGCACACTCGCCAAGGCCGCCGACACCGTTATGCAGCACGGCGCACTCGAGGTTAACGCCATCGTTGTGCACGGTATTCTCTCCGGAAATGCTATCAACAACCTGAACGGCAGCTGTCTCAAGCGGTACGTACACCCATGAACTGAGTAATGGATGGTCGGATGTTTCGGAACATTCTTGGCTAACGTGGTCGCAGCATCATTGTCAGCAACACTGTCCCCCTGGGTGACAAGCAAGAGCAGTGCAAGAAGATCAAGACCATTGATATCAGTCCTACATTGGCAGAGGCATGCCGCCGTACACACAACGGCGAGTCGGTTAGCTTCTTGTTCTCGCACACCGTGGGGTAAACCAGACAGAAATCAATTATATCAAAATAAGGATCAACAGGTCCTAGTGATTACCTGAATACCTATGAGTGCGAAACTGGGGTGAGCGGGAAACAAAAATACGATTTTTATGACCCTTTTTATTAGCCGAACGAGGATGTTAGTCCCCGGTGTTTTATTATTACTTTGTGTTGTTAAAGAGAAACTCCGATATTCCAATTTTGGTCTTCAATTCTCTTGGGAATTCGGTGGGCTGGTTCAATTACATATTGCATATTGCATCTACTGTGCTCTCTATGCAGATATAGCTGTTTGGATAGATAATTCAACGCAGACCGCGAGGTCATTTCGCATGTTCTATTTCACTACCCAAGCCACGTGACTTTTATATATAATGAAAGTGGGGGATTTAAAATAATTTCATTATAGAACTAGTGTACAGTGACTTCATAGACTCGAATAGGTTCAAGTGGAGTGATCTCACGGCGATAGTATTTCGGGGGTTGGATATCGGGGCAATTTACTGCTGAAGGCCCATGGAGACTTGGACGTATAGGCACAATATACAACTATGTTGTATAATCTACACTTCACAGTAAGTAGAAGCAATTGACAGAACTGAATATTGAAATTTGCATGCACTCCATTAAAAAAAAAGGGTCATCAAAAAAAAGGTAGGGTCAACACAGATATGCATCGCGACTCCCTTGGCCCCGTTATCACCGTAAAACACAAGGGAGTATCAAATAATCAGCCTGCTTTGTACGTTTTGAAACCTGTTCCCCGTCTCTTTTCTTGTTCCCTTTTCTTTTTATCAGACATGTGTCCTCCACGCCCCTGGGATGATCGAATCTTTTTTGTAAATTCCCCTCAAATCATTCCAGAGACGAGAAGCTCCTCCATTGAACCCCATCGCCGCAGAACGAAATCATAAAACCGCGGGTCTGGAAGTTTACTTCCGCATGGAGGAAGCCCTCCGCTTGCGGAGCTCATCACGCTTGGCCTTCTCCTCGTGAACACGGTTGGCAAGGAGCTTGGCGTAGTCGTTACTATAACCAGGTTAGTTTTTTTGTTCTTGATATTACCAAAACATCCAACAAAAAGGGGAGTCTTACGCAGCATCACGGGCAGTCTCAGCGCGACGGCGCTTGATGGCAACGCGCTGGCGCTTGCGCTGGAGGCGCTGGGGAGTAACCAGACGCTGGATCTTGGGGGCCTTGGTGTAGTCCTGCTTGCCCTCCTTGGTGACGGTACGGCGGATGACGAACTTGCGGACGTCGTCCTTCTTGTCGAGACCGAAGAAGCGACGGATCTTGGTGGCACGCTTGGGGCCGAGACGCTTGGGGACAACGGTGTCGGTGAGACCAGGGAGCTCACCCTCGCCCTGCTTGACGATGCTCAGGGCGAGAACGGCAAGGTCCAGACCGGTGATGGCACCGCGGACGGACTTGCGCTTGCGCTCACCAGTGCGGCGGGGACGGTAGCAGCTGTGGCCGTCGGCGAGGAGCAGACGGGTACGGGTGGGAAGGAGAACTGTGATTGCGATAAGTATGCGGTCGTTTGGTTGCTGGGGTAATTTTTTTCAATATTCCCCGGTGTTGTGGGCTTTGTACGTACCACCCTGCTTCATGGGGAAACCTATAGAATCGTTAGCATTGTTGTTCTCGTTGAAAGCGGTTCTCCATTGTCAAGATGTTTCTCCGACATAGGGGATAGATGTTTTGTGTGCGTACCCTGCTTGTCGTTACCACCGGTAATCTTGAAGATGTAACCCTTGAACTCATCACCGAGAGACTCGCCGGCAACCTGAAGAAAAATCCCAATTAGCCAGCCGTTCATATAGTCGTATGCGTATAATTTGATATTCGATTTGTATTCGGACAGTCGGGGAAGAAGGGGGGAGTGCTGACTTCGGTGCCCATGCGCTTCTCCATGAAGGGACGGAGCTTGCGCTCATCGTCGATCTCGATGATTTTCTGCGACCCATTGGCCGGGTAGGAGACGTTAAGCTTCATCTTGACGGAGGCGGCGCGGTCAAGACGGTAGCGCTGATGTTGTCGACGGGTGAGGTTATCGTCGAAGGTATCTGTATTGTGGATTTTTTAGTCCGCCCGGTTAGCGAGCCACTGTGTGGGCGTGTCACGTGTGCCAGATCACGTGGTAGGGCTTTTCGCTTGGAGTGGGTCATGTGAGATCACGTGAAAGGCGATACGTCCATTGCCTATCAATCTTTCTGTTTCTTCTCTCAGCCATGCTATGTGCCTGGGCAGGTTCATTGATGCAGTGGGCGGCCAATTTTGTTCTGTGATGACCATAACATGGCTCTCATACTAGGCATACACTTTATTCCTTAATCGCGATGTTCCACATCTACTTACTCCGACCTAACCCACCCAGCACGCAAATCATCACAATCGCACATTTTATCTGGAACTGACACAAGCTCCATTCAAAGGTTCAGGAAATCTAAGATCTTCACTTCGTCTTTTGAACATGACCGACAGTGATCGAGAATGAATGTCTCGGGTCACAAACCTGTCTAATCATTTACCCTAGCTAATATGTCTTACCGATCGTTTGAACCCTGATGTCGCTATAAAGATGTCGCGTGTGCTTCAGGAGCTTATCTCTTAATTGTTTACGGTCTACAAGAGCCTTTGGCCAATCCAGTCAGTCAAAATAAATCTACAAGACTTGAACTCTGACTATGCTTGGCCTCTGGTCCAAATATATTCCCCATGAAAGAAAGAACTAGCGACACTCTAAAATGCCGAATCATTGCGATTTTTCTCAGCATTTGCTATGCCTCATTTTCAGGTTTTTCCCACATTCTTTGAAGTCAATGATCCCTTATCATAAGGTGTCATCGAATTTTGAGACCATGTATAGTGATTGAATTTATTCGGAAGTGTGTAATCCAAATCCATTAATGCATACAGCCGTATGGAGTACACTCCGCTCTGAAGAACCTGGAGTGTACTATGTCTTGGCAGTGCCGTTTAGATTGCCATATCGGGGACCAAAAACTGTTCATGGATTACCCAAAAAGAGAAACAATAAGAGTATAGCGCCAAAGCTTTATTGAGACAAGCCTGAAAACGGAGAGTTGACGTGCCCTAGATATTTGTATCAGCTTCGAGACTAAGGCCTCATCAGTCTCGCAGTAGGACACCCAAATCCTCTCCAGGTCATCATAGACCGCTACCTGTGTGTATACAACTATTCAAAGACTCAAGCAATTGTGGCCCCAGTCCGGTAGCGGTTTGAAGTCAAAATAAGCCCAAGCGCACACGATGATTTGCTCCTTTGGTGCCTTAGTGCAATCGGCTCTGCCCGAGCCACGCGGCCAATATGTACACCCCGTTTTACCTTGTCCGACATCAGGGGGGCACTTTGTGTTAAGTTTAAATCTGTCGTGATCTTGATCCAGTTTTGTCAGTTCTCAAGCTCTCTGCAGTTTCCGCTTTCCCTCCCCCCAAACGGGTCCTCTCCATCCGACTTAACCGGTGCTTGTTCTTCGGTAGTGGAGATATCGTCGTAATCTCCGGAACGATCTTTTCAGCGCTAGATCGTTCTTCGACTCTCCGCAAGATTTGAGATTTTTGTCGCTTTTATCGATAATCGCATAACTTTACAATTGCATACCTCCCCACCGTACATACTCCGGTTAGCCTTCGGAGCATTTGTGGCGACTTTCTTATCTGCCGACAATAGATGACGACGACCCGAAAGATTTGACTACTTGAAACCAGGACACTACTTATACCCCTCGGGTCTTTCCCGTGTCGCATATTCGCCATGGTGCGCATGTTCAATCGGTTCTACGCATTGTCTGCAGTGGCAGTGTGTTCGATTCTACTATCAGCGTGGTTTTTGACGTCACGGCGCTTCCCCGATATCCTCCCTCTAGCCACAGGCCAGTTCCAAGTAGCCAACACATTTGATCAGCGATTAGTAGTTTTTGGAGATTCGTGGAGCGACAATGCAAGCGAAGAGTCGCAGGGGAAGGTATGGACGGAGTGGCTTTGTTCAATGGTAAGTTAGGCTTCGACAACCCGCATCACAATCCTGACCAGAACTAGTTCTCCTGCCATGAAGAAAACCTAGCACAGACCGCAAACCCCCTTCTCAGAGGCAAGAACGTCGGTGCCGTCGTCGATAACGAAGAATTGGATTTTCTAGGCCGGCTGTCACAGACACACCTTGCAGACTTCAAGTCCCAGCTCGAGCAATGGCTAGCGGCCGAGTTAGGGCTGGGACTCTCCGAGGAAGCAGTACGCTCCCGACAGAATCACACCATTTTCGTGGTCTCGTTCGGTGTGTGGGACCTCTGGAGTTTGATTGGCAAAGATTACGACGCAGCAAGCAAGTCGGTCGAGCGTCGCATTGCGACAATTATGGAGCAGCTGGATGAGCTCTCCTCGCGCTGGGGCACGTCGGAGTTGAAGGTTATATTGACGCAGACGGTCGACGTGACCTTCCTACCCGGGTTTGAGTCCGTGGGCGACCAATACAAGGAAACGGTGCGCATTTTGGGGCTGTGGAATAAACAGATCCGCGATGCGGCGAAGGAATGGACACATGGAACTATCTATCTATTTGACACGAACGCTTTTCTGATGGATTGCATTCGCGATTATCAACTCTTTGCAGCTGGCATCGAGGAGGAGAATGGGCTTGGAATGAATTTGGATCCCGGGTGGATGAATGTCGTGGAGCCTTGCGTTGAGAGTGGATATCGGGTCATGATGTCAAAGGAGAAGAAACAGTGTGAGCAGCCTGAGAAATATCTGTTCTGGTAAGTGATCGACATCCCTAGATGCCTTTTTGTACTGACCGGCCTAGGAATGAAATGCATTTGGGGCCCTCTGCTCATCGCCTCATGGCTACGGAAGTTTACCGTGGGATTGATGGGGTATTGCTGAATTCGAACGTGTCAGAACGCCACACCCGACGGGGATTTGCAGCTTAGACATTGTCTACGGAGTAGATCAATGAGTGTTTTATTTTATGTCCACAAAGAAATAACCCGAACAAGAAAAAGCAAGAGAAACAAACCAAATGACAAATGTGATCTCTCGCAAGGGGAAGCAGTCGGTACCCGAAAGTCAAACGCACTATATCCGACTAAACTTGATGCGGGCAAGCAATGGCCATGTTCACATGAATTATTGAGGGAGTCCAAAAAAAAAATTGTGGAGTCTCAAGGCTTGAAAAAGAAAAAGGTACGGTAGTACCGTCGAAGCAAAGACTGGAACATGCAGTAGTTAGACCCAAGTATCCGAAACAATGATAGGTTTACAGGGCGATCAAAGAAAGGTGGTATTGTTCGAGTCGTTAGGTGGATTAGGTAAAAGGATCGACAAGATGAGATCATCCTGACAGCCGATTCAGAGATGAAAAATCACGCACGTTCAGGGCATAAGTAGTACTAGCATAGTGTATAAAATTGAATATAATCACACAAAGACAATCACATCACAACAAAGTCTAAACAAGATTGAATTTTTTGAATAAAAAAGTGATTCATATTTTGTTTGCTCCTATTCATCAATTCATTTCCCATTCTCCTATTTCTCTTTTTTCTCTTTGTTTAATTTGACGGGGAACCGATTTACACCCCGGTCCAATGATCATTGAGGATCAGCTTTGGCGGGAACAAGGGTAGATAGCCCGATCAAGCGGGTCGCCGCATCCGGAGACAAAGAAAACAATGGCCTAAGCCTCTAGGCTCTGAATTTTTTTTTCTTTTTCTTTCCTTTTTTTCTCTTTCTTTGGATTGATACCTTATTTCTTGGTTGAAGGATACCGTGCCGTTGGTATAATATCATCAATCATCATACCTAGGTACTCCATATAGCATATAGAAACAACACGTGCATATGTACCTATGTCACGTAGGTAGCTACGTAAGTTTGAAGTAGAAATATGCAATTATAACAAACACGTTTCGGTACTTTTTTTTCCCCCATTCTAGATTTAATTATTTTCGTCCTGTTTTCTCGGTTGGCTCGGACAAAATAGCAATCTGGAGCTATTGTCAAAGAATTAAGCCACTTGACAAGGATTATAGTGGGAATCCCCAACGGAGAACAAAGAAACCCGCGCTGTTTAGGGCTTTTGTCCAAACGCCAGTATACTTCTCTTTGTTTAACCCCCCGGTCCTAGTCTGGTTTGATTCACTTTACTTCTTATTGGGATTAATTGCATTAATTGCATTTTTCCTATGGCTCTATTTTCTTTGTCGCCCCTCACTTTTCTTTATTATTTCTGGCTGGACAGCCCTTCCTTTGCCTTCTTTGAGCAAGTTCGTCTTCGAACCCGTCATTCACTTTTCTATTAAATAAATGTCTTACGATCGAGTTCTCCCCAATCCTGTTGCTCTACGCTATGAAACTACTCAAGTCACTCCTAGATCGAGCAACCTCCTCGATCACAAAATTATGAACGATTTACCTCAATCTGTCACTATGCATACTAATCCCTCTTCAAGATATGATGCTCGATCAACCGGAGTATCAAAAATTCATCAACATATGTCAATGAAGCTTCCAGACTCCAAAATGGGCAAGCCCGTGGGACCCATACTTACAACCAAGGAATTACCGCTGCGGGAACGATCAGATCGATCATCCTCATCCTCTGCCAGCAGCGGCAATAGTCCTGTCAAGTCAAAAGAGGGTGCCATGCAATTCTGTCTATGTCAGCCGGATCCGAAAATCCCCCGGCCTCGTAATGGTGAGTCGATAATGTCCGCACCGTCATTGCAGCTTGGCAAGTGCAATTTTCGATTGTTTCCTTTTTGGTCTTCGTGGCCAGGTCTGATCTGTCGAGCACAATGTGGACATGACTAATTCGTGTGCTACTAGCTTTTATCCTGTATCGTCAACATTATCAGGCAATGGTTGTGGCTCACAACCCCGGCCTGGCCAACCCTGAAATCTCCAAGATCATTGGAGAACAGTGGAGGTCTCTTTCAGAGGATGACAAAAGTAAATGGAAGGCACTTGCAGAGGTAAGCTTCTATGATAACATTGTCCCATAAATCTGGTTGCAATTGCTGATAAATATCACAGGAAGAAAAGGCTCGTCATCAGCAGCAATATCCAGACTACAGATACCAGCCTCGGCGGTATGGTCGGGATGGCAGTGCACGGTCAGGCTCGGGCATCGGTCACAACCCATCTGGTTCATCAAACTGCAACCGATGTGGTGGTCGATTGATGAATGCACCAGCTTCACCCATGACCCCATTCACCCCGAGTAGTGGCCCTGGGTACCGCTCATCATCCGCATTCGCAGTTTCCTCACCACACTCAAGTTCGGTGTCAAGAAGCATCAAAGGCCACGAAAATAACACCTCCAAACCTATGAAGCTAGGCCACCTGGACTCACGCCCTCGCCAGCGACAATGGGAAGAACCCAGTGGTCGTTCCCCAGATAACAAGCGCCGCAGGGTTTCCCAGGGATCATTCCAGCCAACTCTTCATCGATCCCACCGAGACCGCAGCCCCCATAGCGCAGTACCGGGCACACCACACTCACTGGCATCAGGACCCTGGAGTGCTCGCCCTGACATGCCAAACCGCCATCTCCCAATGATCCAACCCCAACGACCCTATTCCGCTCATCCAGGTCCAGACCCAAGTCTGAAACTTCCACCTCTCCAAACAACAATGACCCCAATGACCCCCCAAGATAGCGCCAACACCAGTGTGGAAGCAACAGTGATGACAATCCCATTCCTCAATAAAATCAAAGTCCTCGCCAAGATCTCACCACCTCTCCTCCCCTCCTTCCACGACAGCCCACCAGCTCGCGGCCCAGTGATCGCAGTAGACGGCCAAGACCCATCCCTCGTCCAAGCAACCGTCTCATACCTAGAAAACGCCCTCAAAAAAGAACCCAAATACCACGTCCGCGTCTTCGACGGGCCAGAAATCAAAGCCCGCAAAGAAGGCCAAATGGGCGACGCAACAGTTGACTACCTCAACATCATCTCCGCTTGGCACCGCATCTCCGATGAAGTCATCAGCTTCGTGAAAACCATCTCCCGCGCCGGCTCAATCGACCACTCTGTGGACGAAGACCCCGTCCCAACCTCAAACGTCTCCCCACGAACCCTCATCCCCCAAACCGCCTCCATGACCATAAACTCCCCAGCCCAGTCCTCAGAGAACGGCTCAGAAGTCAGCGCCGGCTCGGTCTCCTCGCACCACTCCATCCCCATTGCCGTGGTCCCGCGATATCAGCTCACAACGGCGGATGCATTCGCCTGCTCGACGCCGATTGGCGATTCGTACGCGCCGCTAGACCACTGGCAGTGGATGGCGTCGCTGTGGCGCGCGTGCGTTGGTCCTGACATTACAATTTATGTTAGGGAGTGTGGGAAGGAGGAGCTTGAGAGGATGGGACCTGTTGAGGTGCGGTTGCAAGATGCGAGGACTGTTGTATTGCGGAAGGTTGTTGGGAGGGATTTGGAGGAGAAAGCGCTCAGACGGATGGGCTTTGAAATTGAGGACTTCTTGACGCAGTAAGCGATCGGGTAGCTTTTTATGAATTGGAAAAGTGTAATGCATTTTTGTGGTGTTGATAGATATCTGGTTTGGTGGGATCATCGCGTGTCTCTCGATTTGAATGGAAGAATCTGAATGAGATAGGTATTTATATATGAGTTTTGTATCAATCCTTCAATGCATATGTATAAATCTCTAAAGTCGTGACTTCATTTTGCTTTGGTAAAGGTTTCTACTTCCGTGTTCCCATATATATTTCAGCATCAAACCGCTACCTGGGTACATCTAGCAGTACTTAACGCTTTGGATGGTCTCTCCCGAGGTCATTTCGTATATTCACTTCCAAGGTTTTATAATATGAATTAGCCTGCAAGTTCCTCTAAAATATTTCTTCTATCTCACTATTTGACTAGTTATGTGCTTGTTGTGTTGTTTCTGCCTGAATCTTCAGGTGACAACATTTCTTCGTTAGTTAACTGACTATCGCCTTAACTATCGCCTTAACTCTCGCTCTTAGATGGGGGTTTCGCCCACTTTCTTCCACAACTCCTTCTCATACTGTTTTTCTGCTTTCAAGACACTTCATAGATCGAGCACGCTCGGACCGTGATCTACACTTCAAGGCGGTCACTCTTTTTGCCAATATCTCTTAGCGCCACACAGGCGGATTCTTCGGCTTACGTACTTCTTCATCTCAGGGCCGGCGGCCCCCAAGGTTGGGACTGGGATCCAGTTGGAGAGTCTTTCCCTCATCGCCATGCAGTCAAGTTCAAGTACCGCTGGCAGGTACCTACAAAATGGGCCAATCTTATTGGACCACCCGCCCTCAGGACTTCCTCGATCTTTGTCTCCATTCACTCCATCTGCTAGCGTAATTAAAACCGAACTGGAAGAATCAGCCAATGTGACAATGCTACCTGTTCATGAAAGTACTACAAACCAAAGACCACCCAATTACATCCCGGTAGGGTCGTTGAGCAAGTCCCAAACCTCCGAGAGCTACTACCCTTCGGAAGACCTCGCGTTTCTGGAAAAACATCATTGGATTCACACATCCCCTCACCAACAGCATGACAACATTCAAGTCTCCGTTCTTCCACAAGACGTGGATCGCGCAGTTCAAAATCTTAGTAAAAACCTCAAATCTAAGCTTAAATCCAAACTCAAAGGGATTATGGCCAAAATCGACAATTCGCGTGATGCATGGCTTGGCTGCTCCGATGCTCGTCCCACCCAGCCTGCTAATCTGGGATTAGACTACGCAGAAGACGAATCTTTGTGGTACATTTTTAATACTTTGCAAAATCCCGATCCTCTCTCGCACCAGATGCAAGATCCTGACGCTAAGCAGGCCATGGAGGTCCTGCTCGACGGCTCAGCCGATCTGGTCCATGGTCTCAAAACCAAGCTCTTCCCCTATCAGCGAAGATCGGCTGCAACCATGATCCAGCGAGAGGCACAGCCGTCGAGGGTGCTTGATCCTAGGTTGCAGGCATTGCACGGCCCGACTGGATCGGAATTCTATTACGACAAGATTGATGGCACTTTGCTCAAAGACAAGAGACTGTACGATGAAGCTTGTGGAGGTTAGTTGGATTTCTCCTTTTCTTTACCACCCTATTTCAAACCTCGATACTCCTCCTTGTCTCAAAGTGATGATAATTCCATTTTGGACGAATATAGATACCTTGATATACAATTTACTGACTGCGTTAATAGGAATCCTGGCGGAGAGTATGGGATGTGGCAAGACACTGATATCCCTCGCTATGATCTTGGCCACTCGCGGACATATGCCCAAAATTCCTGTCGAGTATCAGACACTGAATCCCCCCATCAGAGCGCAGACTGGCACCCTGAAACAGATGGCTGCCGATTTTATCGGTCGTCATTCCGTGAACTGGAAGCCCTTTTTTGATGAACGCACCAGGGAAGGGCAGTTCCATGAGAATTCTATCAAAGCATGCGTGAAATACACTGGTTCTTATATCATACCACCCGAAATAACTAAGAATCCATCCCGGAATAGTGCATCACCATACACCCGGGAATTGGCTCGGAAACTTCGACTTTGCGCTGGGACAATCGTCATTGTCCCACAAAACATGGTAGATCACTGGGAGAAGGAGATTAACACTCACACCAGCGGACTTAAGGTTGCTGTGCTACGGCAATCATCGGATCGGATGCCAACGGTAAACGAACTGATAGATTTTGATATTGTTCTGTTTTCCAAAAGTCGGTTTGAGCAAGAACTTCCGGCGAAGAAGCACATTCCGTTGAAACCGGGCCAAACCGCTCTCTACGAGTCGCCTCTTCTTGGTCTGCACTGGCTAAGAGTAATTGTCGACGAGGGTCATAATGTTGCCAGCCAGGGAACGAGACTGACGGAAATGCTGAAACGACTACAATTTGAACGCCGCTGGGTTATCTCTGGAACCCCTTCGCCTGGATTGTACGGATTAGAGGTCAAACTCGCTTCGCACGAAGCAGACACCAATGATCAAGAGCCTCCTGAGGATATTGCGAATGATGTTTTGCAGAGCCAGAAATTGATGCCCAATGCCATCAAAACGGAGAATACAGATCTTGAAAAATTACGTGATATAGTGATTACGTTTCTTGATCTCAAGCCCTGGTCGAATTCGAATAAAGACGATCATGCAGACTGGAGAACTTACATCATGCCAATGGACAGAAATGGGAGACGCAAAAAAGCAGCTTCGCTGCGCGCTACTCTTCAAAGTCTCGTCGTGCGGCATCAAATGAATGTGATAGAGCAAGAGGTCCCTCTTCCCAAACTCTACAACAAAGTGACATATTTGGAACCCACATTCTACGACAAGTTATCTATCAACATGTTTCTTTTCACTATTGCCGTGAACGCGATCGCATCTGAGCGCCAGGGCCGAGATTACCTGTTTCATGGTGGAAGCCGGAAGTATCTGAACGAGTTGATCGAGAACTTACGACAGGCTGGCTTCTGGTGGGCCGGCTCAACGCAAGCCGCCGATTCAATCGACACTGCTCTCAAGTATCTGGCAGCAAACCAAGAACACAATATGTCTTTACCAGATATAGAGCGGTTGCATCAGGGAATTCATATTGCCAACACAGCACTGAATTCCCCCAATTGGGATGGGTTCAAAAGCTTGGCTGAGCTGGGTGTCTTTGTTGAGGATTTCCCGGAGGATTTCCGCGGTCTATGGGCTATTGAAAAGGGTGCATGTAATAACCCTTTGCTAATGGGAGTCACACAAGCTTGCCGGGCGCAGCAATTTGTGACGAAGCATCTCCGTTCATCTGACCCCACCGAAGGGTTTTCGGGCGCTGGCATCAAAGCCCGCGGTGAAATAGCACTCAGCAAGCACCATAGCCGTCCAGGTGCACCCGACTCGACAAATATACCAGCGACTCAAAACCAGCAAGTTGGCAGCGCCAAGCATGCGAACAAAAGATCCGCCAGAAAGACGTTCAACAAGAAAATCTTCCGCTCGCTTCCCCCAGACTCACCACTGAAGCAAACCCGACTGGTCGGCATAGCCTCCGCGAAGCTGCGATACTTGCTCGACAAAGTGCTAGAGTTCAGCGAGACCGAGAAAATAATCATTTTCTACGATAATCAAAACACAGCCGCCTGGGTCCAAGACGGGCTGGAGCTAATCAATGTGGAAACTCGCCTATACGCGAGTCTGAGTGTGCAGCCGCAAGAGGAGCGGACCGAAAATCTGAACCTATTCCGCGAATCCGAAGAAGTGCGCGTTCTTTTGATGGACCTCCGTCAAGCCTCACACGGGCTCCATATTGCTCAAGCGTCGCGCGTGTTCATAATAAACCCAATCTGGCAACCAAACATCGAGAGCCAAGCCATCAAACGAGCCCATCGTATCGGCCAGAAAAGGCCCGTGTATGTTGAAACCCTTGTACTAAAAAATACCCTTGAACACCGCATGCTCGACCGACGCAAGCAAATGTCCGATTCGGAGTTGAAGCTTGCCGAGAAGAGCCTTGTGGCTGATGCCACCATGAGCGATATCATCCAGAACGAGCCATACCAGCATATGGAGGACGAGGCTGTGTCTGGCATGGCGCGCCTGGACCATCCAACTGGCTTTTTTGACCGACACAGGCTGCCAATTCCTGATGACGAAGAGGACCAGCCTCCCGGTCCCATGAAGCGCAAGAAGCTGGCGGCCTTGCTGTCCCATGCGGATGCTTCGAGCCCTGGTTCCGCGAGGTCTTCGGCCAAGCGCCCACGAATTGGCTTTGCGGAGCATACCCAAGTCTTGGGAGATGGGCCGTTGAATACAACCCAGCATGTGCCTGTGGCACCGAGCTCTCAGGTGCCTATTACCAACCAGTCTCGGGTTGGATTTGCTGAAGGCTCGCTTGCCGGAGAATTACCAGACAGGGGAAATGGCCCGAGGGTAGCATCGCCGATTTTGGTCACTTCTCCTCCTGTGGTCAAGCGAGAGTGGGATAATGGAGAGAGACGGATATCCTTGTTTGGGCCTTATGAATGATCTACAATGCTGCGCTCTAGCGATGTTAGAAGACTTGTTATTTGATATTCAGTGTGTAATAATACCCATAATACATAATTATGCATGGAGATAGAAGCCAACCAGGCTATTTTTCTGTAGGTGATAGATCATACACTTAAGGCTTGATACATGAGACGTAGTTCCACCTAAAAAGATTTGACAATCTTGCCATATATCTATACGTTTGGGCGTCTTTCTATCGGTCTTTCTTTCAGGTCTTTCTAAAATATCCTCTGCAGTCTCTTGTCATTATCGTTTTAATTCTCAATATGTAGCAGCCGACCATTTCCTTAATATATCAATACTAGCTGTTTCTAGATTAGTGAGACTCCATGTAGAAGAGCTAGCCAAGAGATATCTGGATTTTTTTAATGACTCGATTGAATTCCATTTCATTATTGTTGTACCATATGGATGTTCGATATTTGATACCGTGGTATCTGTGACTGCATCTGCAGAACGTCCCTGTTTCTCAAGCCAATCGCATCCTTCATCCTTTCTTGGTAAAGATGTTTACTACTTCCATGCCTAACTAGTATCGACCTCGAACAACGGGGCCTGTCCATCCAAGAAAGTAATCAATGCGGTCTCTCAGCGGCATCGTACCATTGTTCTGAGTCTCAGCGTGGACGAATTCCGGCTCTTCGATCATGGGTAGAGTGACCTCTTGCACTGGACTAGTATAAGTGAGGTTGGTGACGTTGTAGTTGTCTGTGGTGTTCACTTGGGGATGAAACAAAGCATGAACATAAGTCATAAACAGCCCATTGCGACAATAGGGCGAAGTCAGCTCGGTGCAACCATGACTGACAAGGATGTATGACAAATAGAGCGTGTGCAGAGAGGCTAGGAAGCAAAATACATCAAAAAGAAATTTGATAGATGCCCACGTTCGCCGCCCCAGGCCACCCAGAATGTGGCTTGCCTTTTTGGACTTCTTTGTGGGCACTTTCTTGAGCTCCTCTGATATCCTTGATTCACTGAATGGACTGGTTTGACTTTCGGCATATGTGCAGGGTGACTGAGGACTGGTCGGCATTGGAGGGACATACTGCTCGCCGAGAGCGAATTTGTTTTGAAGATCTATCTCAGGTCCACCGTCCTCTGTGTTCTTGATACGCGGCATAATCACGGCCTTCCCCCAAGGAACTGGAATGTGGCTTTCCCATTGCAAGGCAAAGAATTTCAATATCTCAGGCGGACATGTTATCTCAATGTGAGAAACACCAATTCTGGCATCGGAAGCTAGGTTCAATAACAGACAAGGTGGGCCGGAATCGCTTTCTTCGAGATGACCATAGTACTTGCCTTCCGGCCCACCGTGCAAGTAAATATGGAAACTGCACTGTTGACTGCAAAATGCATGATTAATGAGATCAATGGAACACAGGGCAGTATATAAGAGTGCGCGGCTCGATGATTCCCCAAACTCGGCGCCCTCAACCTCAGAGTCGGCAACCTCGGGCATGTTGAGACGGAGGACTGAATTGATCTTGTAGTTATGAATAAAGCCGTAGTGCTCCGCGCTGCACTTGCGAAGTGGAATCACGAGGTTTCTACCCAATATGCTCTTGCCTGTAGTGAACTGGGCCATCAGGCAATTTTCCACAACGACGCTTCGCTTAAACGGTGAAGTGCCGTACTCCATTCCCTGATTTGGAGTTGTGCGGAAATAAAGATATCCAGACTCGGAGCCACCAGATTCGGGGAAGCTAGACTCCGAGGAACCGAGCTGAGGAAGGCCTCTCAGATCCAACTCCCACCAATCAAGTGATTTACCCTTTCTCAAAATTACTTCAAAAGTAACACAAATTCGGTATTTCATCGGCTGAGCATCGGGAGGAGTCTGGAAATACACAATCCCGCCTTCCAGAACAAGACTGGGCTCATGCTGGCTGCCATCCGTTTCGTCAGTGTCTCCAGTCTCAGCAAGGCTCCCGTTGCACACCCGCAAAGATTCAGACAGGTTATCGTCATCTCGAATTGCTATGTTCTCTTCAGTGGGAAGATTGGCATCTGCACCTTTATCTGGGAGGGATCCTGTGTTGTTTTTGTCAGACTTGCTGAAAGAACTCTCTGGGCTTAGCATGGGAGTTTCATAATCCGGAAGGCTATGAACCTTGAAGCCCTCGGGATTAGTAGTAGGTGTTTCAGTAAAATCAAATCCCTTGATTTTGGACTCAAAAGCCTGAGCAAAGTCTGGCAACGGGCTATTCTCAAGTGAGAAATCCTCTTTCTCCAAACCCGCAGGCAGCGAGACGGACATGGGGATGAAGCTGAAAGTTGGCCTCTTACCAGCCTGTAGTGACTCTAAAATCGGGCCCGATGATTGCAAGTCCAATTCCGTCATTAAAAGCTTGCGACGGCTCTCAATGCCCTCATCGTCAGGGGGGATAGAATCAGGTAAAGATGCAGTCTTGGCAGATCTCTTGCGAGATTTCGGGGAGGTCGCGCAATCCAAAGAGTCAACCTGAGTATACATATCCAGTTGATTGATACCAGGACCGAAGGAATCAACCGAGGCCAGGCTGCCATCTCGGTGAGATAGAGGGGTTCTGGAATGACTTTTGGGTGGGTTTGTATATTGATCTTTGAAAGGGTCCTTGATAGGGTTTTCATCAAGTCTGTCGATAGGAATATTGCATGAACCGCCACCATGGATGACAACACTGCCGGATCCCGAGTCATTGTTGGCAGATGTCTTCCATGTATCGCTTGAAGATCGATCGTTCCTGGGTTCAAAATAGTTGTGCTCGATAGGCGGGGTGAAATCTTTGGTATCACAATCATTCTGGGCAGGGTCTAATGTTTCTCTGTTCTTCAAGTAGATGAATCGCGACGGGCCGTTGACGACTTGGGCATAGTGCACGTTCAAGATAGGGAGATTAAGGCTTGGCAAGCCCAAAGCCTGTTTGAGACAGTTATCAGCTCTGTGCAATGCGGTGGATGAAGTCTGCGGATACTAGTCTTGCTCACATCGAGGGTTATTTTGATAGCCACGGGTTCTTCTGGTCTGCCATTCCAGTCGCAGAAGACATCAAGATTGCTAAAGATCCCGGGTAGCTCCGTAGAGTCCATGGTGTGATAAGAAAAGTACTTCAGGGGGGAGATGTCAGTACAAAGAAAGAAGTGAAGATGGAAAGAAGATGGGAGAACATGAGGAGAGAAAAAGAGAAGAAAGGGGAAGGAAGTCCATACTAGAAAATACAGCCAAGATATGGAAGGTGCAGAGTGTCTCAAGAGTTTGAGAACAACTTAAATTAAAATTACTACCCTACAATGATATAAGGGCATAGTAAGCTGCTATATACTGACAGTTAGACCAGGGCTGACAAGAGAATCGAAAGAATATAGACAGACACGGAAAAGAAATTGGAAAAGAAAACAAATAGAAAGACGCGCAAACGCATAAGAAGATAGCAGTATAGTGATACATTCAAGAGTGTCATCTTAATAGACATATTGTATAGCTAGGTTTTTCCAAGGTTATTCTGTGAATCCTAGTAGACATCCTGGTATCTACTGGGGGCTGCAACGTCCTAATACTTCATGAATGAGGATCGCTTCTTCTCTAGTCCCTCTATTCTAAACTAGATAGTTACCTTTGCTCAAGATAATAGTCTAAAATCAAACCAACAGCCCACCTAAGGACAACATCCATCTCTGCGCCCCCAGCCCCAGGCGCAATTTCAACCCCAACATCCGTCCGAACCCTCGTCCCATCACCAACTCTCCTCACAAGATCAGCTTCAGCCTCAGCTCCAACCAAGCTTTCACTTGCATCATTCTCGTCCGCATCGGCAATTAACAACCAAGCATGATCCCCCACATACCGAGGCCACACAACATCATCCACATACCCAGGCGGATCAACCCAAAAGTTCTGCGGGGGACGATCATCCTCAGCTTCAAGATCAATCTCTCCGGCATTAATTTCTGTATCCGCTTGCTTGGACTCTGATTCCACCGGCTCCGGCGCCGGCCCAATAGTCACATACCCACTCCTTCCCTCCCGCCGCTCCTTAACAAGCTTGTACGCAGCAGGCAAGAAAACATGAAGATTGATAGCGTCGTGAACCGGACGAAGAACATGATCCTGTTGTGCGGGCGGCGCAAAAAGTAAAAAGCCTTCCAAGAACGCAATGGTCGGATTCTCGCCCGTTGCACTCAATCTGCTCTCAACAAGACTTTTCAGTTCATTAATGACCTCGTCCGTAACTCCAGACTCAGTCCTGTCGTTCTGATCCTCCTTGCTGCGTAGTCGGGGAGGGAGAGTCCCGTTTTCTCGGACGTAGCGGAGAGCCTGGGAGAGGAAGGAAAGGTCGATTGCGGCGGCTGTGTCCCAGTCCTGGATTGTTGCGCCGGAGCGTGTGGTTGTGTAGGGGATTCTTATCGTGTCAGTATCATGCAAGATATGAATGTTTTGTTCGACGTACTTGTCATCGGGAAAGTAGAAGTCGTCTTCGTGGATAATAAATGTGTTCAGGCGCTTGTCTGATGCGGCACTTTTCGCGCCGTAGAAGATCCGCTGGAGCAGACGGGCCAGGGTTGTTTTGCCGCTGCTTGAGGGACCAGATATGCCGATTATCACGGCTTTCTCTCTCTCGGACATATTGTATTTTTGTTTTGGGGCAGAATAGAAGATTGGAAAAATAGAAGATTCGGAGAATAAGCCTGAATGAGGGGTTGAGCTCTTATCGGTGTTATCGTTATCGGATTTGATACAGCCCTGGATGCCGCAGCCGGCCCTAAAGGTGGTCTACGGGTTGTCTACCTGCCCTGTATATGACGGAAGAGTGAATTGCTATATGTTCAACAATCCAAACGGGACTACCAAGAGACCTCAAAGGATACACTTGTGATTAGAAAGATATAAAAAAAGACCGCTGGAGAGACCTATCTATAGGATAGGAAGATGATACTAAAGTGATATTTGAAAATGTAGGGTCTCTAGAGGGAATGAACGTTCAAGAATAGGACATTGCATTTTCCTTCTCATACATCATCAATTAAAAGAAAAAGCTGCAAAGCAACCTAAAGGAAAGGGCTAGTATGTACAAGAAGGGCTTAAGAATAGTCTTGACTTTTCTCCCCAAAGAGCCCTTTTATGTCCGCCAGCGCCTGTAACGAAATAAAACCCTGTAGCCACCCAATAAGCGTAAAGCATAAAAAAAAAGCAAACACTCCACCCAGTCTATCCAGACAAAACGATAAAACTATAATATAAGCAATTCATTGAGGAGTTCCACTCGCAGAACCAGGGTGATCAAAGGCTGTTGGGCCGGCCATGGAGCCAAAGCGATCTCCTTCGTTGACCATTTGAGATGGAACAATAGGGGTATTTGGCTGAGCGGATTGGTCAAAATAACCTCGTCCGTTTTGGTAGTCGCGGTTCCGCTGCAACGGCGGAAGAATGGTAGAGCTAGCGGGGTATCCGGACCGGTATCCTTGGGCCATCATCGCTCCAGTCGAATCCGGGGTCTGTCTCGGGTCCAAAGTCCTTAGCTTCTTCCTCTCACTGGTTCGCAGAGGGGTGTCGTACAGGAGTGCCAGGTTGGTTCATCGCCATCAGTTGTCCCACGGCAGCTTGCTGGCTGGATCGGCTTTGGCCGGAGGGATCTGGCATCTGGGACAAGCCGGCGGATTGGGATAAGCCCGGTTGTGGGATACCGGGCTGTGGAATACCGGATTGAGGGATACCCGAGTACATCTATTCCACGTTAGTTCTAATGCCTGAAGCCCAGGATGGCGGAGGAAATACGAACCGAATAATCAGGCATCACCTGTCCTGTTGCGTAAGATTGCATCGGTGGTTGGTACGCTCCTGGCTGTCCAGCATAGATAGCAGTTGCTGGCTGGCTGTACGGCATCCGACTGTCCGGATCATATATGCCTTGTTGCCTGCCATAGTCAATTGAAGTACGATGACGCTTGACCGACGGCTGTCCACCATAATACGAATAATCCCTGCTTGTGGGCGGGTAGCCTCCGTATCCAGTCGCCGGGGGAATCTGGACCGTCTGGCGTTCTGGTGATCGAGCAGGCACTGCTGGAGGGAAATCTTCCGGTCGTGTGCGTTTCCTGCGGCTGTCAGTAACAGACCCCGGTTTCCTAGTACGGTCTAGCACATACATCATGGTCCGCGGCTCCTTGCGAATGCGCAGTTTCACACCCTGGTCCGCAAATGATCGTGAAAGGAATGTTGACTCCATCATGCCTGGGAAACTCTTGGGAGGGGACACTGCAAGTCTGTCAGAACCCCCCGTGCCAGTTCTCGCAGCTTTCAAGACTCACCTGTGAACCGCTCCGAGATTATGGTCTTCAAGTAAGACACGTTCTCCCTGGCGCATCGTTAGCTCTTGAATCTGGGCTGAAAGTCTCCCGACCGTGCCACTTACTTGCGCATCTCGAACAAGGTGAACTTGAGGCGAAATTCGCCCTCAATCTTCACCGAGAGATCGCCAAAAACGAAGAAGCCCCCGTCTGGAAAGAAACGTCAGTGAACAGATCCCGCCACTCCAAGAGCCAGAACTAACCGCTGTTGTCTACATCCTTCAGCCGGTGAAGGGACGAAACCAGGGTTCCTGCTAACGCAGTCGACGGGGCGACGGGTACAGGACGCTCATCTGTTGGATCGTAGAGACTGCAGCACAAGAAATAGTACGGGCTTTGCAGGTAATGTCTGCGCAAGTTAGTCAAAGCCACGAGAAGTGTAGAATTACACTTACTGTGCAAGATAGGTGCCTTCCTCGCGCACCCGGAGCTGAACGATCGGCGGTGGATCGATAGGTTTGCGCTCTGTAGCTCATTAGACCTCGAGTCCAGACGCAAGACACCTCCTTGAGGACAAAGAGGTGAAGAAGCTACGTACCTTTTTCCTTGCCCCCCGCCACGCGGGCCCGATTGGGCTGCTGGCGAATGGTCAGGTCAAAGTCAGAACTGGTGTTGTTCAGCATTGTCAGTTCCTGGACGACCGCGTAAGAGTTGCGAGCTCGAAGCAGAGGGAGAAGTAACTCACCTCTGAGCTTCGCGCGAAAGAGAGGCGTCGGAGAATGTCGATGCACTCATCAAGACGAAGAGTTACAGAGAAAACGGCAAGAGGTGGAGAGAACCCAATTTCCTAAACAATTGAACCAACGGGCAGTTCCTCGGGGATACAGGCAGAGACCAGGTGGAAGTGATCTGTGGTTTTACAGAGCAGAGAAAGAAGGGAAGGAACGGGTCTGTTGGACCGGAAGAAAGTGCTCTGAACCAGAAGATAAGGACAGGATTGGGCAGAACCCTGGACGAGTCACGATGTCGTTTGAGGGGAGCTGTAGTGGGGTAACGTGATTTTTTTTTTCTTCCGGAATAGACTAAACCATGGAAGGGAATGAATGACAGTATAGAGAGAAGTGAGAGTAGAGTAGTTGAGCAAAGAGTAGAGATTGAGTGACGAAAACGGAGTGGTGTCGTCAGTTTGCAAGCGGCAAGAGTCAACCGAGCACGGTTCCAGACAAAACCTTATGTCTTTTTTTTTTGTTTTTCTTCGATCTCCGAGGTTTCTTCTTGTCTTTCCTTTTTTAATCCCGACCGGGAATAGAAAATTGATGCTTGTTCCCTAAGATATGTTGTTGAGAAAAATTCAATCAATTTCTCTGGAGAAAAAAAATTGTTAAAATCAATTGGATCACAGGCTTCCAAATATCTCTTTCAACAACAAATCAGATTTGAGAATTAACCGCACAAAAAGAAGCAGAAAAAAGGGAAAGAAAAAGAGAAAAAAGAAAATCGACTAACCCAATGAATCAAAAATGAGGATTTAATAATATAAGAAAAGAAGGAAAAAAAGAAAGAAATTTCCTTTTTTTCCCCCAATAGTATACCACAGTAGTAATGCTCCTTTGAATCCGTGGAACAACAGTGGATCATAAAAGCTGAAAGGTCAAGTGTGATTTTCAGCCGTTGGAACAGAAAAAAAAAAAAAAAAAAAGGCGGAAGTGGAAGTGGAAAAAATAAAAAAGTGGACAGGGTTCAGCTGCCCACGGTTGGGGCGAATGGCGATCCGGGTTGATGCTGAGTTTTTGACTTTGTTAGGTTCACCATACAAGCTAAATGCTTTTCTTTGTTCAGCTTCCACATCCACAAGGTTAGATGGCGCCGGCTATGCAGGTGATCAGACCCGGTTTTTTCTTGTCTGCCGCGAAAAAGTTGTGGTCTAAACGCCAGGTGGACTCTGGCGTCTAAGCATTCCAGTCAGAAGTGGATTCGGATATGCACGATCCAAAAAAAGCCGCATCGCCTATAGGGGTCTCCACAATAGTTCTAGACAAAAAATACAAAAGATTAGCGTATGAAATATGAATCATGTGCTCACAGAATTAGGCCTGTCATACGGAGTAGACATAAAGAATAATATAGATCAAGGCCAAAAAGTTCGCGGTTATAACTGCCGCGAATCTCAACCTTGGTCCCAATCTCTCCTTATGTCATCCCGAACCAAAGAATGCTGTCCTTAGCGCGAAAAAAGGGGGCACGTACCTTTCGATATCTTTGGACTTGCACAATTCTTGCACAATTTGATTGCTCTTGCGTCTTCTGGGTGTTTGTTATGATGACGTGTCCACAGACTTGAATCAACTCCAGGTGAAACTCCTTTGAAGTTGGCGCATGCGTCTCAGGACGCTATTGCACAGTCAAAACGAATGTAATTCAACGACCTCAGGGACGATGTCCGGAACAAAATGGCTCTCACGTCGCAAGGCCCGAAAGCGCAGACCCAAAGCGCAGACCGAGCACCTTATTCCAGAGAAGGAGACGACACATTCCGGGTCATGATGTGATGGGGGGAGGAGAGTCAGGTCAAGGACGATGGAAAGGGGAAGCAGCGAAAAGAAAATCAGCATCACAAGTGGACAACCAACGCGTTTTAGGGGCGCGAACAACGCATGCCTGCAGGCCAATATCAGGGCTGACGTATCACATTCCCGAAAAGTGTTGCAGTCCATGCAGGCTGATATGCCAAGCTACTGTATGTCGACCTTTGTATCCATGCTGGTTGGTTCATGCAACCGGAAGTCCCTTGACCAAGCCTTGGGGGCGGGGCGATGCAGCTGGTCCAAGCATACTCGATCGGGGAGAGCGTGCATCAAAACAAAAGAAACACAATCAATATTAGAGGGGGGTGTGGAGCATTTTATGCACCCTGCAGATCGTTCAACATGAATCATGGAAACCGGGAGTTCTAGGAGGGACTACGTTGCGCCACACTCACTGACCCTCTGCGGCTGAGGATGTACGGTACTTTGTTTGTCGTTTTGGTGGAGGTGGCTGCATCGTGCACATATAGACATTGTCTGCGTTCTGCCGAAGAACTTGTTTCTAATAGTCTGCCGTTTGTTTTCCAGAGCGCCCCTCTCTTCGCTTTGGCAAACATTTCAGTCTGCATGCAGATGCTTTGGGGTGTCCGATCGTGATCGTCGTCACCATTGTGACTAAAGGCTGCAGGTGCGAAAGGCGTTCCTATCACAGTGCAGCCGACCCATTTCCATACTGGGCATTATGGTAACAGCGGAGATCATATGCAAGGGTGGTGAAGTAGGCTTCGAATTCGAGATCAAAATCTGCCGATCAGTCGACAAAATTCCCAAAGTGCACCGAAGCAATCGCCGGTGGCCGGTTCCAAAGGCGAGAAACTGGATCTACCACTAACCAAGGCGATAAGTTCCCAGCTGAAACAAAAGAGGGGCTGAACAAGGAAAGTCAAACGGGGGATGAAGCGGAAAGACACACCTGCTGAGCCCATGGATTCGGGCATTTGTTTGTTAGTCCGGGTTCTCAACAGTGGTTCTGCTCGACGGCATTACCCGGGCGATAGTTCCAGGGAATGCAGATGATAGGCCCGAAAAAAATCTTATGATCCTAAATGCACATCATTATGAGACAAGCCCCAACACTTAGCACGACCTGTCACTTTTCTTTTGACTTTCGGGACTCGGCTCCGGCGTCAAGGCAGAAAATTGTCAAGTCTGAAGTCTCACTTGGACAAGGCGGAGAAAACCATCATGTCTGGCGGAGAGTCATGATTCGGCCAATCATTACCTCCCACGCTCTGGGAGAAATGAGAGGGGAATATGACATATGTGTGAAGTAGGGGGAACGAGGGAGAAGAAGAAAAGAAAGTAAGAGTAAAAATCGAAAAAAAAGGAAAAATAAGTGGCCGCCGAAAAGGTAGCGAAATTTCTGTAATTTTTCTAAAAAGTACAATGCACTGGAACCCACTACGTACCCCGATTGGAAACCTGATTAGTGTCGGAGTTTGTTCCCCTTACTGGTCACAGTATGGTACAGGAACACAAGAAGAAAGCTAAAAAAGGGGAGAGGGTAACTTGGATGGCCGAGGGAAAAAGGGAGAGGGGTGAATGGAGCATACACGGGATAAGGAAATTTTCCAGGAGAATTGAACAAGCAATTCAATAACCAAGGGATAGTCTTATTTAAACACTGGGCGTCTATCTGACAGCGGCAAACTCCATTGAGAACCAAGGGATGAGAGCTCTTAGGTGGACGCTACTATGTTTATGCTTAAATGTTTGGTTCCGTGGTGGTTTGGGTCCGTTCCATGGTTTCGTTGACAGCTGGTCCGTTGCAGATCGTCTTGTCGATCGGTGTTCTTTTTGTTTTTGTGTGGTTGATATTATTTTCTTTTTTGTTTACTTTGGAAATCATTTAATCAGATATGATCTCATATTTGCTTTTTGATATGTCGGAATAGTTAGGACAAAAATAAAAAGGTCCTCGAATTTCATGCGTTAATGCCACTCTGGCTTGTAAATTTCACCTGCCTAAAGAGAATTGACTTCGAAATTCTCCGTTGACTAACATTGATTATTGAAATGAACGGGATACAACCCTAAGCATGGATTACCTCCTGTGCGAACTCCCCAATTATGACCCCGCCCCCTTGACAGATCACCTCCGATGAGCCGCAGATCAACCATGGTGTCGGGATGAGCGTTTTGACCCTTATACGGGTGCCTGGTCCATGCGAGACTTTCGTCGCATTGACCAATACTTTGTCATAAATGTATATAGCATGCGAATATCCCTGTCACTATCCTGTTGTTTCTTTTTGAATCATATGGTGTGACCACATTGTAGTCATGTATTCTGATGTCTTGGAACGACATGTTTCAACCTAAACAACTCCACTCGGTCTATCCCAACTTGTTGGATCTAGTCTATGTGCACAGAGATCAATTACCTAGCGACTGACACTTTGAAATAAGATATGGTAGTGGCACACTGTACTTGGTTATTCGTCGCAACTAGATAAAAAGGAGAAGTGACGGAAAAAAAGAAAGAGAAAACTAAAAAAAGAAAACGCCATACACCCCACCCCATCCCTGCTCCTTGCTGGATGACATCCTTAAATAGCTTGTAAGTAACCAAGGAAAAGATCGACGAGCAATGCGACACATCAAATACACTTGTCGCCCTCTCTGAAAACCCTAGCATGGCTTTCCGAATGAAAGAGAAATTGAAGAAGAATATTAAATCAAAGAGGGAAACAATGCAGCCCCTGAGATGTGAAAGAGAAAATAGAACAAGCGAAGGAATTTCGTTAAACGCCCTGTCCATATGCGTTACTGACTTTGCAGGCAAAAGAATCATTCGCTCCTCGTGAAGCCCCGAAGGGGTTTTCATATTTGCATCACGACATCCCCATCAACTTCGTACTCGGCATCAGCCTCAGCATCGGCATCTGAGTCTGCATCCGAATCAAGACCATTTGCGGCCATGGCCTTTTTGCTTTCACTGTCCGGTGACTTGGAGGCTGATCCTGGTTCGGCGGAGACAACGACTTGGACCTTTTCAACCAATGCCTTCCGATTGACGGACCGTGGGGTCCTCGTAGTCTCATTGGATCGACGGGATAGTGCTGTATCCGGGGACCGCGAGGCCGACTTGATTTTTTTCACGGGAGTCTTTGGAGGTTCATTCTTTCCGGAGGCTTCGTGCTCGGGCTCGGCAGTATCAATGCCATTGATTCGAACTGGTTCTTCGGGGGCAACGTCTCCGTTGACAGCCACCGGCTCGTTGTTGTCCACATCCCCAGCTTCATTTAGAACTGGAGGGATGGCCTCTGTATCTTCGACACCTTCGCTTTGTTCCAGTTCGATGCCATTGGATTGGGTAGGTGTTGCCTCGGCTGCGGGAGATTCCGTGAGAATAGAACTGCGCCCACGACGAACACTTCCCCCAGGTGTAAGCATTGCCAGGTTAGAAGGTCGGCGCGGGGTGCCGCGACCGTTATTACGGGCAGCTGTCGGGGTCATTAACATTTGATTGAGTTTGGTGCTGCCGGATGGACGGCCGGGCCTTCGCTTGGGGGGTGCTGCGGGGGGTACAGGCGGCCATAGTTCAAACCGAGAGGGGGGGATCCCAGCTGCAGGATTGGGGACAATGGGAGGCTCCGAGTTGCTCGCTGTAGAATTTTGACCGCCATTGGGTCGCAAAGCGGCAGTGGAAGGCGGTCCAGCAGAATCTGCAAGAGCATCTGCATCCATTCCATTCACCATCAAAGCATCGCTTTCGTCTGAAGCTGCCTTTGCCTCCAATTCATCGTCTTCCTCATCCGGGTCTTCTCGTTGAGCGACAGTGTGTAAGGGGGCACGATCGAAATGTGACTGGTTGCTGCGACCCATAATGTACGGTGTCCAAAGAAGTGCATCCGGGTTGAGCTGGACGTAGCCCTTGCTCTCCCAGCCACTGATCACCTCCTCGTAGTACTTGTGGTCGAGACGAATGGCGTAGGTTTTGGTAATAGGGTCCCGAACGAGAGCCCGAAGTCCCTCGAGCGCAGATACAACATCGTCTGCTGTCATTCCGGTGCGGTCAGACAGATCTGCAATGCTAACAGGCCTGGTCAGATCGCGAAGTTGGTAAGACAAGATCAATCGCCAGTAATTTCGATACGACACGAGACCCATGTCAGAGAGTGGCTTCTCCGGCGAACCGTTTTTGCCTTCGATGCGGGTGAGGAGGTATGAAAAGTCGATCAGAAGATTTCCATAGCCTTTTCGCTGATGAATGGGAAGAGTAAGAATACAGGAGACATTGTTCGCTGAGCTCGGACGTTTTTCTTTGCTGAAATATCCGACAAAGTGGCAGCCCAGATCGTCATATTCGGTCATGACATAAAAGAGGAATGGCTCAACATCGTAGTAAAGAGTTTTAGAGCCTAGGAAAAGTTTCGCAAGGAGGCAGAGATTTTGGCAGTAAACTGGGTTTTTCCGACCATCAACCTCGAAGATTGAGATCGATTTATCTCGGTAGATTTCGTCGCCGGGAGGATGCTTTGCGGGGCACTTGAGTTTGTGACGCCAGGCAACATAGTCAGAGTTCATATATTTGAGGCAGAACTCGCAGATGTAGAGAACACGGTTGCGGCTGTATTCCTCCGGATAGGGCGCCGCATACCAGGTCTCGATTTCGTAGCCACCAAAGTTAATTGATTTGATCTTCGAGGGTGGACCAGAGACCTTTTGTGACGCGTGCGCAGTAGCTTCACCGCTGAGCTCTGAATCTCTGACCTTCTGTTGCCATTCTTCTTCGGCTTTGAGGCGAGCCTGTTCAAATCGGTCGCGGTCAAACTGGGTAGGAAGTGTCTTAGATGTATCTTGCTCGACTTCAGACAGAATGCCTCCATAAGGTTTGGATTTAGCGTCATCTGTCTCACGGTCGAACAATGTGATGGAGTTGTAGGATACAGGCGGGAGGGGGACGAAATGTGCTTGGGGCTCCTGAGGCACGGGAGGAGGCTTTGGTGCTTTCTTCTTCTTGCGCTGTGATCGAATTTGGGAGCCGGTGATTTTTGACATTTTGGTCTCGTCGAGCCGGAACCCAAGAATAAGTTTCCCATACTGTTTGACAACCACGCGACAAAGGTCTCGGTCAACAGTACGGGTGCGTCGAACACGCACAGAACGTGTGCGGGCAGGTGAGTCAACGTCGCCAACAGTAGTTGCTTCTCCGCCTTCGAAGATCGAGTCATTCAAGTCTGGTTGGTGAGAGTGGAAGGAGGTTTGTCGGAGTCTTTTTCGGAGAACGGGTACGTGTTCTTCCCCCTCAATGGAGGAGGCCTTGCGCTTTCGTAGAGCGCGTGAGCTATTCAGCATCTCGTCGTTGACGCCTGTTTCAAAAATGGAATGAAATCCTTCGTCGTGCGAGCCACTATGTGCAGGTAGAAGTTCTCTGGGAAGAGTGGAAGTCCCGGCCTTGGTTTCTGTCACGGGTTCTAATGGATCAGGTTGTAGGTTGTTACGGACACAGCTAAGACATCTCCAAGGGCCTAGATGTTGCGATGTCAGTGGGTGGGACTCACGGAAGACGCGAGTTAGGAGTTGGTTATTGTGGTGATGTGTTTGCGTACCTTCAGAGTCGTCAAATGCCTCTTGTTCACGAGCACATTGCCGATGAGCTGTTGGGTTTCCGAGTTAGCAAAGCTCTGGAAGCAATAGGGTAAAGGGCTAAGCCTTTTGGGCTCCACCCCGTCAAACGTATCAAACGTACAATGATCGCCACAAACTAGGCAGGTGAGCCATTCCTCAAAATCTTCCCCTGGGTCATGCTCCTCGTCCTGGTCGCAGAATCTATTACTCTGTCGTCAGTTCTCGCAAATCCCATGTTCTTGGCGTCACCTTGAACCCTTTTACTTACAAGCAGTTCGCGCGGCTCCGGGTATCGATCTCAACGTCCTCGCGATCATTGCTCTCTGCTTCCCAATCTTCAGCTTCTGACTCGTGATCAGTTGACTCGGCTTCTGAGGCGTCGCGGTCATTTTCCTCAAATACAGGGTCGCCATCCGCGTCGGCTGTTTCAGACTCCGCATAGTCTTCTTCGGAAACCACATCATCGCCAGGAAGTTTGACAGCTCCAACAGGTTCAGCTTCGTCATTGTCACCATCATCTTCTTCGGTCAGCGCGTGGGCGCGCGTGTTTTTTCGCCCGGTAGTTTCGTCTGGGCCGTCCTCGTCGGCTTCTCCGGTGTAAGCTCGGTGAACAGCATCTTGTAGCTGTTGGTCCATCTCGTACAAGTCGGTTTCTTCTTCTCCCTCGGCGTCAAGGTCACTATCGGCCGTCTCCACAGGCGGGTCGAGTTTGCCCGATTCATTGATTGTTGGCGGCACCGTCGCCGCCATAGTGAAAGTTACCGCCACCGCCAGATTGAGCGCAGCAAAATCTTTTGTATGCGCTCAGGCCAACCTAGGTGCCTTATTTGTAAAACAAGCTTGAAACGATCCGTTTATGGAAGCACCCCGCTGACGTCGGCGCTGATCCGGGGGTGCATCTGGATCAAAAGCGAGTTAACGGTGCGCAAAATCGGTGCTGAAGATAAGTTCAATCACCAAAACCGATCGGGATTGAAGCTCAAAGTCGCCAGGCGCAAAGTGGAAGCTAAACAAACAAGAAGTGTTAGCCCGCCGCTGAGTGGCTCGAGCCATCGCAAACGCGTGTCGCAAACAGAGAAAACTCACCACAAGGAAATCCAAAAGAATCTTTGATTCAAAAGCGTACCAGACGCGTCGAAGGATAGTCCACACACCGGGGCCTGTCTCTTTTACAATCGAATGCGATCCGCAGCGGCCTTCACGCCCCTTGTCCTGTGAGTGTCGTTGCAGCGCGCTGACTCAGCGGGGCTAAACCACTTTGGGCCCGAGGAGACCTCAAGCCCGTCGCAGTGCGAAGAGACACTCCCCTCCACACTCTCCGCGATTTATCCACTCTTCTCAATCCGTGAGAGGCTTCACGGCTCTTGATTCTACTCTCGTATCTTCTTCCGATCGTATACATACCCATACAACCACACAAAATGGGTGTCCCCTTTGAGGCCCTGCTTCCCTATGGGATTATCATGACCGTACGTGCTATTGGTCAATTGATTCCAGGGCTATAGCTCACCAATTGCCTACAGATGTTCGGTGTGACTGGTTACGGCCTTCACTACGTTAAGCGCTTCGCCAATGATGGCAAGAAGGCACGCTGGAACCGTGACCTCTGGGACAGAGTAAGTTGATTCCTTCCCTGTCGGCTGTGGTCGGAAGTAGAGAACATATGTGCTAACTCATCCAACAGCAAAGTAAGTGCAAACCGACGTTTCGACCGAGCTGAAAGTACCAAAGAAAAACAATGCGGAAGACTAACCACTGCGACCAACAATAGTGATGGAGAGAGATCAGCGTATTACAGGCTCATTCCGCGGACAGTCCAGCAATCACCAAGCGCCCACTGGCTTCGAAGTCAGCAACCCATGGAAGGTACGGCTGACATATTTTGCCCCTCTGTGTTTTGTGCAGAAATACTGACACGAAATCTAGATCGAAAGCCGGATTTATTAGATTCAAAAAATTGCAACCTTATTTCCTTTACGTTCGATGCCTGCGCCTTTCCTGTTCTATGTTCACATATCCACTGCAATTTCTTAGAAATGCTGTATCATAACATTTATCAACCTTGGATTTCCATCGTAGTCCGCCTGGTCGGTGTCTACACTAGCTCTGAGGTCATACCCCGAATTCCATGTTTCTCGTCCTCGCGCAAGTGCATATCGAAGTACTTCGCCAAAGCCTTCACCCGGTCCTCTTCGGTGTGCAATGTCTCCAAAATCTCTGTTTCCCCGCGTACTCTCCGCTTGACCTCTCTGCCCGACATCACGCATTGGCCTATGATCTCAGTGCCATCTTGATTCAAAATCATTCGCATGCAGACGAATATCTTAGTGAACCAACTAGTTCGGTTCTGGCTGACTGAGAAGTTCATGACACCGAAATCTTGAGGCAGGAACTCCACATCAGAAAAACAGATCTGGGGCACCCACTCGCTCTCGGGATTGTATCTTGTTTGAAAGATCCAAATCTTCTGGTTTGGGTCTGTGAACTCGATAATGGACTCTCTGACTAGACGCATCTCAGATGGTGCAATAGACGTGGCAGTAGCGCCCTCGCGGAGTGGTAACGGAGCAGTGGCACAGTTGTTTCCAAAGCCAACATCGATCTGTGGGTGTTAGTTCGGTTTAGTATATGGCCAATTCACTGGATCAAAACAAGGTACCATGTATTTCTCGCCGTCAATACTTGCAATCAATATCATATGCCCACTTCATCAAGCCAAAAGTCAGTCAGACTTCTATGAGGAGCTCTTAACGTTCCAGAACTTACATGGATACATATAACCCATTATTCACGCCTCTTGCAGCAGCATGACTGACTCTGCCTCCAGTGGCGTAAACCTGATACCCCAAGGATCTTAAGACAATCAAGAAGATCCCTGTGTTCTCCATACAATACCCATCCAGCCGCCGCTCTATTATCTTCTCAAAAAGACTATGGGCATTCAGAGATATGGTATGATGCTGTGTGTAGTGCAATCCCGAATTTCCCCAAGGAATAGCGGTGAGATGTCGCCTTTGCAACTCACACAGTACCAAAAGAGCATTTTTCTCAATTCTTTGGCGGAGATCGGGGAGAAGATTGCTGTCGGAATTCGAATACCCGATACGCTTCAAGTAAAGCTCTAGCTGGCTATCGGTATATTTTGGTTGAAATGATGCCATTTTTGCTCTGTGACTTTGTTGAATAAGTTGTACACAAGGTATATGAACAGTTTGGGATATAAAAGGGAATCGGGAAGAGGAATCGGTAATTAGTTAATTAATCTAGGGCCGGTTGTTTTAGTGACCAATGACCCCCCACATCCCCGCATACTATGCGATCCAGATGACAGCGCCATTGGAACAATTCTGATGCGTGAACCTTGGAACTCATATATGTTATAGTTCTCGATGAAACTTTATGCATAATGCTGCATGTATCATCCGTGGGATTTAGCTTAAGAATGTTAATCAACTAAACCCCATAGATACTGATGATTGGTAGAGTCAAGTGACTGAAATCTATCTAGGAATAAGAACGTATACATAAGATAAAACGAATTGAACTGTTTATCTATCTAGACCTATGCTTTCCTTCTTGGTCTCTATTATTGTTCTGTAGAGAATCGTATAGAATCCCGAACTAATTTACACCAACTTAGTTAAGAGCAAATCTCTTTGGTCTAACCTTGGAAATTCAAAGATCGAGGGATATCCGATAAGAATTAGAAATTTAGAAAGAGGTGTAAAAATAGACGTAAAAAGAGATATGAGTAGCTCTACAACTAACTATACAAGCAAAGCCTGTAAGTCCGGAACCACCTGACTCACCGGGCTACTTTTGGCTGAGTTTCACTGCCGAGGTCATCAAAAATTGGCGGTCTATAGGTATGGGTAAGGTCTTCTGGTTTAGCGCTGATAGAACTAGTCAATCTGATACTTACAGTGTTTATCACACTCTAGGACTAAATTTTGAACCTTGAAAGGTATCTAGAAGAATATAGTTAGTATATCAATTTGCCGATGATGCTATTAGTCCGATATCCGGACCTACGGGACATGTGCCTCGACTGATCAGCAACATGATTATATTTAAATAATCATGATAATACTCTTTCATCTATTGACTTGACTTTGTGCAATGCCCATCAATAGAAACATCATACTTAGAAAGCCCGTTGTCCCTCACGCCTTGATTCCCCGCATTAACAGAATGACTTCGCTGAGTGAACAAATTGCCAATCTGGTCAAGAACTATTCGCCCTGCGATGTATGTCAAACATGAACAAATTTGGCTAGCCCTTGAAAGTACCTCTGACAATCTTGCTATCCAGGTATCAGATGCGTTGGTCAAGCTACAGAAGATACCCGAGGGCGGCACCGTGAGAGGAGGCTTCCTCGCGGATCTGGGTAAGACATTTCCCACGAGTTTCCCGAGGCATTTGAGCACAAAGGTATAACCAACCACACCATGCAATATCTAATATATAGAACCAGTTCCATTTTCACCAATAACTGGGCGAAACGAAACAACCCCCAAGATCGCCGCCCCGGCAACAACATTCAAATTCCTAGCCAAAGATGAGAGTCCTCCGTTGATTGCAACAGAGAATGTCCAGAAGCATGGATTCCCGCCAGGCAAGCACTGGGTAGACCATGTTGGCGAGTTTGAGGCATCTGATTCCTCCGGTGCCGGCTCTATCGTCGTGATTGAGCAGCCTGAAAATCAGTACTGCGCTGTGACGGGTGGGATTATGGCGACTCGGATGAAAGCCCTCGGGATCAAGGCAACGGTTGTGAGCGGCCGAGTTAGGGACTTGAAGGAATTGAAGGCGACTGGACTCCCGGTTTGTTGCTGTTACTCTTATCTTTGGCATTGTTGCTAATGGCCCCCTCGTGGCTCTAGATCTGGGCTCGAGCTACCTCTACCGTTGGAACTAATGCGGAGGCTAAAGCTGGTGCTCGTGATGTGCCGATCTCGATCGGAGGTGTCACTGTCTCTCCTGTAAGCTTCGGTTCTTGTATTATCATAATACGGCATTATATTGAGTACTGATGGCTGATCACTAACTCTGCTCCAGGGTGACATTGTTTTCTGCGATCCTTTGGAGGGGGTAGTAGTCATCCCTCGTGAACTACTTGGTCAGGTGCTTGAGCTCATGCCTGCGTTGACAGATATGGATGAAAAGGCCAAGCAAGCTGTTGCGCAGGGAATGAGTGTCACTGATGCTTTCAAAAAATTCCGCTCATAGCTCACTCTGGTGTATATAAACGTAGCATGTCCTCCATTTGTATCCTGCGCAACTGCCTAGCAAATTATATCACATTCAATATTTCAGATAGGTAGTCCATTCAGGTGCTTACGGGAGGCTTCAAATCAATGGAGACAAGAAAGGCCCTCTGTGTCGTCTTGCAGGGACGGCAAAGTCGATCGTGACCGTATCACATTTTAAAAAAGGAGTGCCATACTATCAGAGGTACTACTAGCAGGGATGAAATATGTGAAAGTCCAATCTTATGGTATTCGAAGTACTCAATACAAGACGAAGAATATGTGTGTATCCAAATGAAAAAAATGTAAGAAGTCGCTTTGCAAATGTACAGTTGAAACACAAATTTCGTCTATTCTGAAACCCAGACGGCGGCCATACCCATTCCGGTACCGACACACATGCTAGTGACACCAATCTTCTTGTTTGTGCGCTTGAGCTCGGTGAGCAAGGTGCTGACCTGGCGAGAACCAGTGCAGCCAAGAGGATGACCGAAAGCAATAGCACCACCCTTAGGGTTGATCTTTTCGGCAGGAATGCCAAGCTCATTGGCACACCAAACACACTGAGAAGCGAACGCCTCGTTGATCTCGTAAATATCGACATCATCCTTAGTGATGCCGGCCTTCTCCAAGGCAACGGGGATAGCCTTCCAAGGGCCAATACCCATGAGCAGAGGCTTGACACCAACAATGCTGGCAGTGACGTACTTGCCAATGATCTTCTGGCCGAGGCGCTCGGCGGTGGAGCGCTTCATGAGAAGGACGGCAGCGGCACCGTCGGAGATCTGAGAAGCGTTACCGGCGTGGATAGAGCCGTCCTTGGCGAAGGCAGGCTTGATCTTGCCGAGGGACTCGGCAGTGATGCCAGCACGGACACCATCATCAGCCTTGACGGTGATGGTCTTCTCCTCGCCGGTCTTGGGGTCGGTCCACTTCACATCCAGAGGGGCGATCTCCTCGTTGAAGAGACCGGCCTTCTGGGCGGCGAGGGCCTTTTGGTATGAGTTGGCGGCGAAAGCATCCTGCACGGCGCGAGTCACGCCCCGGTCCTTGGCCATGTTCTCGGACAGAACGCCCATAGGGACCTTGCAATTAGCGGATTCTGGGTGGCTCTCGAGGAGTTCGGAAAACTCCGTCACGGCACCGGGTCTATATCAACCTTTGTTAGATAAAATCGAAAAAGGATAATCTGGACATGAAACATACCCATATTGAGAGGACATGCTCTCGACACCAGCACCGATGCCAACCTCGATCATGCCGGACTGAATGCCGTTGGCAATATCGGCGATGGCCTGGAGACCGCTGGAGCACTGACGGTTCAAGCTCTTTACTGCGGTGGTCTCGGGGAATCCAGCCACGAGAGCAGCAGCACGGAACTCAGTGGCACCACCACCGGGGGCAAGGACGGAGCCGACGGCAATATCCTCGACGGCCTTGGGGTCAAGACCGCTCTTGTCGAGGACAGCCTTGAAGACACCGGCAAGTAAATCAGCCGCGGCAGTGTCCTTGAAACCACCCTTGCCACCCTTGGTGAGGGCAGTGCGCAAGGCACATGTCACAACAATATCATCGGGGTGTTTTTCAATAAGGGCTGCGGCTCCCTTCTTGCCACCAGGGCCGAAGTGGGAGGAAACCTGGTTTAAACGTTGCTGGGCTATGAGAAAATATCAGCTGCTTGGTTCTTTTGGACACCCGGTAACTACATATGTAGCTAATGGAACCTGTGGTTCTGGCTTGCACTTACCGTTAGACATGACGTCAATGTAAGGATGGGAAATATGGGGGAGATACGATGGAGAAGAGAAGAAAGGGAAGGATATGGAGCTAGCTGAGATATCCGGGGATGTGTTCTCTTATAAATCAGGCGGGCAGCCGGTGATATTTCCCCTTTGAACGGCCGTTGCTGGCCGGTGGTAGCATTCTATTCAAAGTGCCGAGGTCCATTTGACCGCATCATCTATTAATCCGATCTCTAGTCACGGGATCCCGCAATAAGTGGATCCGATGTTTCGGCATGTGAAAACTGCCCCGGACTTGCACATGTCGATGATCACAACGTCATGTCGAGAATGTGATAATTCGTGGTTTGTAAAAGTCTGAGATTGATGCAAATGAGGTTGTATATGATATGCGATATTTGATCTCTTTGCAGTCTAATCTAGCTATCTATACTTGCGGATGCATGATATAAATCATCTTGGAATGTTGTATATTGTGTTACTAGTTAACTATCTAGCTGTGGCTGAATTTTGCTTAGACCAGGTTGTGTGAAAATGTTCATGGAGCCATTTTCAAAAGCAATTCTATAGGATTGTCGAATGTACACTTCCCGGAGAGAACAGAGACAGGTAAAGTGCTTCCTGGTCAGACCTATAGTCCACCTAAATAGCTAGTTATCCGAGGTCAAAAGAAGTTGGTAGGGTCTGAGAATATTCAAGAGAGCGTGTCTTCTTATTAAATGGTATGACAGATTCAAAATAATTGAACTTTACAACGTGAACTAAACTTTTATAGTACATAACTCCCGGTAAATGGTAGGATCCGCAGTGGCTTATACTTTCTTAACCTACGGCGTAACAGGTGAAGAAACTCCATCACCAGAGGGTCTTTCCTTAGAAACCGTGACGTTGGTGGTGTGAACCACCTGAATGGTATTTTTACGATCGCGAGATCGGGTACAACGCAGATTCTCCTTTGATTCTGACGCCCCAGGAGCCCCCAATGGGATATCGTCGTCATCCAGATTCGACCAGGTGGCTTCGGCATTGTTCTTTTTCCAGGATCTAGAAACAGGTGCAAGGGAGTTCGAGTTTTCGTATGTCGAATTGCTGGATCTGGTGCCGCTGAAATTGAGAACACTTTTCACTCTCTGCGGAAGTCCTGATTCCTTGATCATCCTTGAGAGACAGGGTATGCTGAAAATGAAGAAGCCGCAAGTCATCTCGCCACATGCCCAGAATAAGATTGGACTGATGAGGTACATGCTGTCGGGTTCATTCGCAAACTTGATTGTGTGGGATAAGCGGAAACAGGCTGCGACCGAAGCACTGTGGTTGAGTTAGTTAGTTTGCCTAGAAATATCGACGACACGACAATTGATGGGAGGTGGACTCACAGTATACCAACTCCGAATATGATGGATACACCCAGCTTCTTCTGCAAGTTCATTTGTAGACCCCAGATGATCTTTTGGGGTAATATGAACATTAAAATGTCGGAAACAACCTGGATGCTACCCACACTTTGGAGCGGGAGTCGCATTTGCTGGGCAGATAGTTCATGATGGCTTCATGCTGGTGGCACTGCAGGTTCAACAGCATTATGCAAGCAAACCCCCAGGCACACTGGACGAAACTGATAAAAATATATGCCCACCAGAAGAGATTCCTGAACCGATTGAAGGTAACGAAAAAATTACCCCAGTCGATCAAAATAGCCGTCTTGATCAAGGGGAGAACCGCCGAATAGCCACTGCTGTAGACAAGAATAAGCTAGCGGAGCTTGGTTAGCTGTAACTCGCAAATTTATCCCAAAGCAAGACAAAACTCACGTAAAAGGGCCTGATTCAATCTTTATTATGGAGATCCCAAGTATGAACTCCATATCTGGAGGTATAGATTAAAGAATATGCAGCGTAGGCGGCAGCCAAGTAGGCTCCCTGCAAGGAGTTAGCAGGGATATTAGACGCCAGGGAAACAGTGGGATTGTGGAGTGAACAGAGGCAACGGACAACATACATATACACAAATCATCAGGACTATGTGGAGAAACGGGTTGTTAATTAAATTCCCTCGATGCACACGTACATATGCAGGCAATCCATTCTCGACTTACCTTCTTCGATGCGAAGTTTCCCATCCAGCCACAACCTAACATAAGCTCGAAGAAGCAGACATAGCGTTGCCACGACCATGCAAAATGTAGTCACAAACCAGGCAAGAACATTATGACTGGGAGTATGTTCAAAGTCCGGCGTGACACCGGCTGGTGGTGGAAGAGCTGGTGCTTCCAATATGCTGGCCAGGGTTTCTTCTGAAGACATGTTGAAAAAGAGGTAAGAACCAAGGCCCAGTGGATTGAAGAGACGCAAAAAAAAATCACCCAAGGGAGCTAGCTAGCTATAGGAGGGCTACAGATCGGACCTTCGATCGATTATATATCGTACCGAGGCAGCATTTGTCTGAAAAATCTATGGTCAAGTGCAGATCTCTGGTCCTTGTTGACGATTTTGCGCACTGTAGAATCCCAGAATGATGGGGGCTAGGGCAATACGCTGGAACCTCATTTCCTCATTTCTTTACTAACGCAAGTATTTCGGAAAAACTAGGTACGCTCTCAGATATGAAAGGGGTCGAGATCGGTTTTTCAAATCACAAAGCCCCAATGACACGGACGGGAAGTGGAAACATCAAAGCAAGAGATAAGAGGGTGGGCATCTATAGCGGCCTGTCAGTGGCCCGTTGAATAACTTATATTGGCTTCAACTGATGGCGGATATGTCTATGATCGATCCATGGATCCTGTAGGATTGAAACAAAGTTCGCTGGCGCTTAAGAAGGACATTTATCCACAAATTGATTCAGCCCCAACTTTAGATTTCTAGACATCGCCCACTCTTTGAGGATTTGATACGCTTTTTTTTTTCTTTTGAAAGGCCGTTTTTCAAATGGCGGGGTGCTATGACTTTGTTTTTTTTTTTTTGAGAAGACCTATCGTTTTCCCAGAGAATGTGTCAAGTCATTGTAACATCAAGATGGCCAGGTCCGAGGCAAGAAACATGGCCAAGCTGTGGACTTCGGCGTCTTCAGGGTCTTCAGGGTCTTCAGGGGGTCCACTAGGATACAGTCCCCTATAAACACTAGTCGCGCTTGACGGATACTGGCCGAATGATATTTCCTCCAGCGAGACTAGTGCGGTAATGGTATCTGTGCCACTGTGCACGCATCGACCTTGTCGATCAGAGAGGTTGTCGACTTTGCTCCTTCCAATCTTAGGAAAATCGTATATTCTATACTCAAGCACGACCGTCAGTGGTTTTCATTCACCGAATTCCGAGCACAGGTCCGATTACAATGACAAGACTGACAATATGTTCAATAGACGGTAAATGACCCCACACGATGAGTTTCCCCCCGCGCGTCAACCTCCTCGAGATGATGGCTCAGCAACTGCTTCCCCAGCTTGCGCCCGATTTGATAGATCCGGCTTCAATGTCTGGGGATGAGCCAACCAAACAAGCTAGAATTGCTTTGGATAATCTGAACGCTGCGCTGGCCGCGAATGAGACTTACGGGTTCTTCTCTCAAGTCCGTGATCATCATCGGTTCCGCCAACACAGCCTTCGACGTTCCCGAAAACTGACTTTCCGCAGGACTACAAACGACGATGAACGTCTGTTCTCCTACTTACATCATTTGAGTAGACTATGTCTGTAATTCAATCGGTCTAGGCGCTTATGATGCAGGTGTTGAGTTCGCAGACAATCTCTTCATGACGCTACCGTCATCCGTGGACGCCCAGCTAGCTCGCAATCTTCTTGCGCATTTCGCATCACTGGAGCTAGATCTCTTCAAAGGATTGGCAGCAGCTGACTGCCCCGCTCTTGATAGTAACAATCCTAACTGTCCGTTGGTGCAGAACCTGATCGAACGTGGTGGCGGCCACTATGTCGACGTGGGCGGCACTAAGCTGACCGGAATGATGAATGAGCCGTTTCTTTTTTCGCTGTTTTGTTATGCGTTGGATGCTGGCCAAGTACTATAATTGCTAAGATTTTTTTGAGGTCCGCAGTTCCTAGTTATCTGGATCCCTTTGAAATCAATTGTAACCGAGACCAGGCTGCTTCCACATGACCTGGAACGTCTACATGAGGAATGAATCCCTGTCCCCGGGGACCATAGCCGTCTTTATCATCCCTCAATCTAGGAATTTCTCCCATGATCAAATCCAGAAACCGAGTTTGTGACCACAGCTGTGGCGCCGGGATAGTTGACTCCCCACGCCTCGTCAATTTGCAGTTATCGAAATATTCCAGATCCCCGTTACGTGACAACTGCATTTGCGGCACAAGAACCGGACAACTGACAATCGACGCTGGAAATGGCACATCTTGATAAGCCTTTTCGAATGAGGCCTTTGTGCGGAGCATCATTGTAGGATCTTGAACGACTATACACGTGGCTGGGGCCATAAACCCTGCCTCATCAAGGACCTTGCGGCACAATAAAGCATTTTGTCCGCAATTCGTAGATTGTGACTCAAGGAGAATTTTACATCCTTCTTTTGTGATCAAGGAACGGTCAAAGAACTCATCTAGGATTCTTTCAAGGACTTTGGCTTCAGGAAGACCGTGCACCTCATCGGCGATGCGCGAAAACGTCGGGTGCGCTTTCACGGCATCATAGAGATGATTGGTGGAGTGTCCGATACCTCCGCATAGTACGAGTACTCTGGTCAGAGATGGATTGTTTTGGAGAGCATTGAAGAGATATTCAGCGCCATAAAGAACAGCTGAGGCGCAAATTACTATGCAGTCGACTGGCGAGCTCGTAGAGAGATCTTGTAGCTGATTGTCGCTTAGGAAACTCGACAGGAGGTTGATATCTGCGACGGTATGGTCATTCATGACCATCGTGCGTGGTCGGATCTTGTTTCAAAAAAGATGAGATAAAAGCAAAAGAATTCTCATAAAGCAGAATATCCAGAAGCGAACGTTTGGAGATGGAGGAAAAAAGAGACCTCATCACAATATAGATGACAATTGAGGTTCGACCAATGAAAGTATTCTCCGCCCCGTAGTACTCGAGGGCGGTGTGAAAGCCGCATCTCATCAGCGTTTCAATAATAATTCCTCCGGTTGTAGATCGTCACTTTCTTGTCGAAAACGCCTATATTAAAGAGGCACGACAAAAACACCATGATTCGTCAACTAACAGCAACAATGCGCGCCTCATCTAGCGTCGCAACAGCATGCAAACTATCAATCAGACCATCGCACCCAGTATGAGACCCACGCGAGACACTCGAATCGATTGCACCTCGATTGCACCTAGCATACGAATAAAGCAGGACTAACAAAAGACAGAACCCCATCATTGCCCGCCTTTTCACAACCACTCCATCCAGGCCCTTCACAGCATCACCACCAACGAAAGAATCACCTTTCCGCCTCTCCGCAAACAAAGCCAACTCCCCGCCATCCTTCGACGATGCCTACTACAGCCTTTACCCACCAAAGCGCCAATGGCCACCTGACATGTCGAAGCTATCGCCGAAACACCAGTTCAGACTCGAGCGCAAGTACCGCCGTCGTGCTGCGTTGAAATACGCTCGGCCGAAGTTTATCAAGGCCGTTACGATCGCGCAGTGGGCTGTGATTGGATGTGAGTCTCTCCTAGACTGATGTTGGCCGAGGGTCAAGTCTCGAGTTACACACCCTGGACCATAAATATGAAAGGGATTTTTGGAAAGTTGCTGACTAGACTAGTCGTTATTATCTATGCGGTTCTCTTCATGGAGTGGGAGACGAATGATACACCATTCCATGGCGTAAGTATTGTCTCAGTGTGCTTTGACATTGTGGCTAACATTATTTTCCAGATTCGGGACAGCTTCTTTGCTGGTCTCAAGAGTATCTTCTCCAGTCCCCCGCCATCTGGATTGAAGAGGGATCAGAAGGTGAACACGACCGGGGAGAGCTCACAGTAGTCACATTGACTTCAATCTTCGTATATTGAGCGTCAGTAATTTGTACAATATTCTAGATTCCCAACTCGCATCTACATCTTGCTCATCCGGAGTTCAAAGTCATGTCTAAGTAAGAAAAGGTCATTCAATTCTCATATCTGTTCATGGGTCATTTGTCATGAAAAAGTCCTGTCGGAATGACAGGCGTCGCTGTACCGTGGAGAGAGTAAGGATAGTGAAGCAGTAGACACTATTTCCCGCTCTCTCCGTCGCCTGTGCCAATGTGGCTTCATTACATCAAGTCCGCAGGACTGCTCTGGACAGGGAAATGCAGTTGCAAGCCAATAACACCAAGAATGCCAACGCCAATAGCAGGCCATAAACTCCAAAGGTCAAGTAAACAAAGATACCAACAAATAATGTTGGGGGCTGGTTGTGGTTTAGCCCTAACGCCGTGTCATGAGTAGAAGCCAAAAGTAGGAAATAAAAGACAAGAGAGGAAAGGGAAATTCGTTAATTGGAGACCAGGGGTTGCGCGCCCGGTTCTCAGAGCCAGCTGCGCAGGTCGCTCGACGGGGTTGTCGGGCCTGGAGCAGGTCGGTTTTCAAAGTCCAAAGCAAGTTCCAGCTTGGGTGGTCGCTCATCGACCAAGCCCTTCCTCGGACTGCCTGGTGCGGACTTTTTAGGGGATTTGGTGGGTGAACCAGGCTCGCCCGCCCGGGGTGGGCCTTCGCGTACAAACGTATGTGGCCAGCCATCGTCGACTGCGGCGGCGACCCAGGTTCTTAGGCAGTCATGTACAGAGGAGTAAAATTTCTCCTTGCAGGTGCGCAGGCTACCGCCCATGACCTTCTCGAACCCGGAGGCACGTAGCTCATCACGGAGTTGGTTCCGTTCATCTGGGGTGGGCAGCATTGCAATTATGCCATTCATAAGATCAAGATGCGCGGCAAGGTAGTTGGTCGCATCCCATTCAACGCCGCCAACATATGGAGCAGCTGGGACAGGAGGGCGTGGAGGTGGGAAGTGGCGCTCACTGTATGGGCGAGTGTCCACTGGGGTCTTTTCGCCGAACAGATCTTCGGTTTTGGGGAGAGGAATAACATTTAGGTGATGAAGGAAGATCCAGAACACCTCCTTTGTCACGTTGGTGACCTCTTTGCACCAAACTCGATAAGGTCGTGACTGGTAGATACTGGCGATAAAAGACAACGGCTGGTTGTCCGCAGGTGGTGCAGGGTCTTTCAAATAGGAGAGAATCTGCTTGGCACGCTTCGTCGCCTGCTCGCCTGCAGGAGCGGTGGAAAGCTGTGTGAAGAGCAGGTTCGCGATGATCCCGCGAGTGGTGAACTCACTGGGACCCTTCTTCTCCTCGTCAAAGAGCATATTAAGCAAAGCAGGGAAAAGCTCGCCCTCAATAGCAGTGAGATGGGATAGAGCGACAGATGTGGTGCAAAGTGCCTTGAGGCATAGCAACGCCTCATGCAAAAGAGTGTCCTCATGGTCCTCCCTGTGAGATGAGTTAGCAATACTCTAGATGAAGCAATAAAGTGTACATACCGCCAGGTCATCTTCATAATACGGTATAGAAGCTGTACTATCTCATCCATACCACCTTCGGTGATAAAATCGTTGACCCAGTGGACAGTCTCGTTGCGCAGGAGAAGACGCAGTTTGTGCACCTTCCCTACTTCAACCATCTCGGGCTTCTGGATCTCTCTCAGATAATGCACAAAGTCAGAAGGATCCGCGGCAGTATCAACAGCAGCCGCTTCGGCAAGCGAGGCGGTCGAAGCATTGGCTGAAAGAGTTGTATAGACACCAACAGGCTGTGAGAGATCAACAGAGCGTGGACGGCGGTTTGATACTTCACTGTCCCTTCGCAGCTTCTTACCGGGAGACGAAGGTCCTTTGGTTAAGGTGAAGCCGCGGGTTCTGGAGCGGGACCGGGAGCCTTTGCGATCCTGAGGCTCGCAGTCCTCCTTGGATTCTTTGCCACGTCCCCGACGGCTGTCACCAGTTCCTGCACTGAGGGGAGTCATGTTCTCAGTTCGGTCTTTCTGGATGAAATCAGCCTTGATGTTAGTGTCAAGGGAACGCATCTTGTCTCTCATGTTGTGAGGAATGTTTCTGGCATCCTGAGAAAAGAACAGGTTAGTTTTGTCATCGAGCACCTTGAGATTAAGGTCAACAAACCAACAACTTCTCGAATTCGCTTTCGAGGTCCTTAGAATTGAGATGCTGATGCACATCCGCATCTCGCTCCTTCGCGTTGAACGCCGAGATAGCAGCCTGAACACGAGAGAGCCGCTTCGGCTCTTCCTTCGCCATTGTAGAAGGGGATGTCTTGCGCGGACTCGAGGGTGCTCGGCTTCTTGTCGACGCGTTATCGGGTCGCTTGGGGGAATCACTTTCTCCCGAAGTCGCACGCTGCAATCCAAGGAAGTCCTTCACCTTGCGATTTCCAGCGAGAATCTCCGACTTTGGCCGAGCTTTGGCATCACCAGATTTGGAAAGGGACGGTTGATGAAAGTCATAGAAATTTCGTTGCTGACTTGGCCCATAGCCTTTGGGCGTATAGAGGGATACTTCTTCCGCCACGGTTCGTCGTATGTCAGCGGTTGAGTTCGGTCTCGATCGACCGATTGGCTCCCTGTGGACAGAAGCCGATTCCTGCGACCAGACCGGAGATGGCATGTTATCGATCAGATCCGTCGGACTGCGATTCTCCTTGTCACGACTCTGCTTGGAATTTGAGCCATCTTTCCGTCCGCGCTGAGACCTTTTGAGGATGGCCGAGAGGCTGTTGGATGACTTTGCCTTCTTGGGTGATAGCTCTTCGCCTTGCTCGGCAGTCTGGTCGCCCGCCTTGCCATCTTTACGCTCCATGTAGCTTCTCAGTGACTTCAAGGATACAGCGCTCTTTGTCTTCTTGTGTAGAGCACCCTTCCCTTCCCTGCCGCCGATTTTCGGTGTTGCTCCATTGTCGTTCGTGTCACGGTTGGGGACGATCTCACTCAAAGGGCGGTAGCCGGTGGGAGTATCGGATGGTTCGCCAAATGAGAAGGGGATATTCTCGTAGGGCTTGCTTCTCTGCAGAGGCCGTGGGGCAATGGCATCGTCTGCGGACTGATTTCTTTTATGGGATTTGGGTGACATGATGACTCGGAACATCGATGGTTTAGTAGGTGATCGGTTCGCATCGTCGAAGATCTGCGGGCCAGATGTACTCGCAGCCATTGCTATCCTCTTTGACCAGCAACTACATCATGTTAGCAGAGGGACAAGAAGCCTGCGGGGAACGGGTAGTCGCAGATCAAACTCACGGGATTCTGTTAATGCAAACAAATGAAGAACTGAAAGACAACGCAAGTACAATCAACAAGAAGGGCGACAATCAAACCCTTAATTTAAAGAACAACAACAAAATACGTGGGGTAAACAGGAAGAAGCCTGATGGAACGAGAAGAAACCTTGGAAAGGATCAGGGAGGGAATTTGAAGAACCAACGGTCTGCTGCCAACAGCAACCGTCATCGAGTATCGAGATATTGATCCACTTTCCCTCTGTAGCGTAAGAGCCGATCCTTGGGGTTGGCTGGATTGAAGGTGGAGGAGTAAACAACGTGCGGGTAGAGAGGTTGCGAGGGGCAACGATATGCAGCTGGCGGTGAACTTGGATTTATTAGCAGCTATTAGCCTTCTATTCGATGTATTGATGTACCTATGAGATTTAGACATGTCATAATTGCATATTATTAAGTAGATTTACTATTTTCATTTGTGATTTACAGATGTCTATGCATACAGTCCTTGCATTTCTAGGTCTTTGGGTTTTGTTGTCTCACTCATCATTCTCATACGGAGTACATTGGGCTGATATACAGCAATGTATATATATGTAGATTAATCAGGATATACCATCTAGTGATAAAGTCATACGAAAACCAGAAATAGGGCAAAGAATGGAAATTATTGAATTGAATTGGTTCATAGGCTACTCCGTGCATTATACGATAAACCTCTATAATCCCCGGATGGTTTATTGATCTCAGATACCCCCGATGCCGGCAGGGCTAGTCCAATTGAAAATAAACATGCAATTTCATGTATGACCCTTGAGTCCATTGTCCATCTGATCATATGCACATACGTGTGCAACTGACTTTCAAGAAGAAGCCGGATTCCAGTCAAATCCACTTCGCCGTTTGCGACCTTTGGGTATAGGATAATCATGTTCTAAATATGTAGCCCTACATACCCTGAGAAAAGCTCCGACAAGAAAACTCCGATAGAAATTGACAAACTAAATTGAGATGCTCGTGTGAGCACTCAAATACCCTCTGTACACGGAATAGGGTTTGCATTTTAAAGCGGGTGAAAATCGGGCACTTTCGGACTCACCACACGGTACTCGGTGTTTACCCTGTTACTCATGAACTGATCCTCAACCGAGACTCAACTTTCAGTTGAGGCACAATAGCATCCCTGCATCGCCAAGACTTTGCAATCATGAATTGTCCCTCGCGAACTGACGACACTCTGGCCCATCCGGGCTGGAATCAAAACCCACCGCCCTTCAATGCCGACACCACAACGCGGAATGACTTCAATGGCCTAGCCAATTCCAGGGTCCATCGCAGACATGCTGCCAGTTCCGATACAGCAGACAATGCATTATCCATCAATGACAGACCACTCAACCAGCAAGATCGAGACCCTGGCAAAGAAAAGATCCCCAGTGGCGAAGTGACCGCTGCCAACCCGGGGGTGAATCACCCCCGGGGAGCAGCGAGTCACCTCGCCTTCCTTTTTCTGACTATCTCAAGTCGTCAACTTTACATTGCGCTCGCACTTTAGCGAAATTTGGTCGTTTTGTCGGCCCCGGGTTTCTCATTGCGGTTGCATATATTGACCCTGGAAATTACGCTACCGATGTCGCAGCCGGCGCCGAGTTCAAATACGCATTATTATTCATTGTCCTCATATCCAACCTCTTTGCAATTCTTCTGCAGTCTTTATGTATCAAGCTAGGCTCTGTGACTGGCTTGAACCTGGCGGAAAATTGCCGGGAGCATCTTCCGAAATGGGTAACGATCTTTCTCTACATCCTCGCAGAGGCCGCTATTGTCGCGACTGATATCGCAGAGGTAAGTGACACATTTTCTACTGCAAGGCCTCTTGATGATTATACTAACGACTTGAAAGGTGGTTGGATCAGCGATTGCCTTGAATCTATTATTGAATATCCCTTTGGTAGCTGGCTGTGCCATCACTCTGGTGGATGTTCTCTTCATTCTTATTTTTTATCGGCCCAATGGGGCCATGTGGGGACTCCGACTATTCGAATTCTTTGTAATGGCTTTGGTGTTGGGTGTGGTCGTCTGCTTCTGCATTCAGCTCTCACTTATTCAAGACCAGTCGGTTGGTGAGGTCTTCCGAGGCTATCTGCCATCTTCAGCCATCATTAAATCTGAAGGGTAAGTTCTTTGGTCTGTCTTCTTGCGTGAGTTTGTGTCACTAACGCATCTGCAGGCTTTACCAAAGTTGTGGAATCCTTGGTGCCACAGTCATGCCGCATTCCCTCTTCCTAGGCAGTGGAGTTGTCCAGTCTCGCCTTAAAGAATTTGACGTCAATTCTGGTTACGTGGAGACTACAGTGCCGCTAGGAAATGCCGATGGCGAAGTTAAATATCGCCCATCTATCCATGCAATCCGTGGCTGCATGAAATACTCGATCATCGAGCTATCCCTATCGCTGTTCACCTTCGCCCTGTTCGTGAATAGCGCAATCCTCATTGTCGCCGGTGCTTCTTTGTACAATGTTCCTGGCGGTGCCGATGCCGATCTTTTCGGTATTCATAGCCTGCTTAAGTCATCGATTTCATCTGCCGCCGGCTTGGTGTTTGCCCTCGCCCTTCTACTGTCGGGCATCTCCGCCGGAATCGTTTGTACGATTGCTGGCCAAATGGTGAGCGAGGGAATGTTGAACTGGACCATTCGACCATGGTTGCGGAGGCTCATCACCCGCTCGATTAGCATCATTCCCAGTATCATTATTGCGGCTGCGGTTGGCAAAGAGGGTCTCGACAAGACTCTAACTGCCAGCCAAGTTGTTCTTAGTGTCATTTTGCCGTTTGTCTCTGCCCCTCTCATCTGGTTCACGTGCTTCAATCGCTACATGACGGTTCGAACCGAAGAGCCTAGCGAGCAAAATGGCGAAGTGGATGTGATAACGGTGCCAATGAGGAACAGCCTGTTTACTTCGGTGGTCGCGGGAGTTGTGTGGCTCGTCATCGTTGTGATGAACGTGGCCTTGCTGGTGCTTGTGGGAATGGGCAAAGCCTCTTAATATCAAAATGATTTCCACAACGCAATATGTTCTGGGGCCTAGACCATTTGAATTCTTCATGTATATATCTTTATCTTCCAGTGAACATGGATAGAACTTGATGCTGCATATACGAACAGCTCTCATGTGGCGGAATCACGAAAAAAGCACCGAAAGAAAGCTTGAAAAGAGCTTTGCATATGATCAACATAGCTTAGCGCAGGCTGAATAAAATATCAAATCAACTCCGTTGTGCCCTGACATAGAAAACATCTGATTATCCATAATATCATGTTTAAGTTTGGTTCACCCTAGTCCACCCGCAGCTTCCTTGACCTTTTGTTGCTCGGGCGGACTATCAATGAACTGCGGAGGAGCGACCTCATCCTGCAAGAAGCTCGGCATGGCACTCTCGCCCATACTGCTTTCAAACATAGATTCCTCGCCTAACGCTTCCAGCTCAGCATCCAACTCAGCCTCATCGACATCCTCAGGTACATCATAGGCCCGAGAGATACTCTCCTGTATCTCATTCCCGACCTCCATCAAATCAGCCATTTCGTCCTGCATCTGCTCGATCTTATCGATGTCGACCTTGCCATATTGCTTCTTGAGTTCTTTCGTCGTGGTCTTCATGGCATCCACCGTCGTCATCACATTCTTCAAATTATCCTGCATCATGCCTGCTTGCTCCATGTTCCATGATTGTTGGGAGAGCTGGTCTCGCTGCGCCTCGTATTGTTTGCGCCGTTGTAGGACTTTGAGCGCTTTTTGTCGAAGAGCAGACTTGCCAGGTCCGTCGCGCATCTTAGCAATCTTTGTTTGGTATGTGGAGAGTTCCGAGTTGATTGCCGCTAGCTTCACGTCTATGCTGGAAACGCGAGTGTCGACCTGTCATATCGTTAGTGGGGTACCGTGAGGGGGGTGACTGCCTCGGATGAGGCTTCGAGTGACATACATTGGAGATAGCGCTATCCAGTGTCGGCTTGGGAGCCGTGCTCTTGGCACCAAATAGTCGGTTCATGATGGTAGGTTGGGGTATATTGTAAAGGTTGAAGGTGGGAAATCGTAGGCAGCGGACTTGGGAGCGATTCCAGACCACGCGTGGCCAGTGCTCAATAAAATCGCGATCGGTGGGCCGAGAGGGTCATTACCCGATTGCTGGGACAAATGACTTACAAAAAAGGAAGTAAAAAAAAGGCCGGCAGGTATTGGATTGACTTCTTAACTACAACTGTATCTATGTATTTGGTCCTCTTAAGGCTGTAATGCGGAGCAACGTCAGTGGCAGCCTGAGGCCAACAGCACGTGATACATTTTCTCAGGTGATTTTCTAGCTCGTTTCACTTGAGTGGAGAGGTGTTTGTGATAAATGTCTTAAGGGAAATTTAGTCGGGTTGAATATAGTCATATGATTATCATCAGCTGGGTGGAATTTACATACTTGTTAGTGGGAGTAAGCTGGACCACGACGTGGGACAGGAGCCGAAAGTATTCAATACTTTATACAACACACAAATCTGGCGGGGAAAGGCTGTACCTAGTACCCACCGTCATCTTAGCCAACGCAACCGATCCCGTGAGATGAGGTGAAATGAAAGGAATTATAAGGAATAATGTATATGAATCAAAAAGAATGTCAAAAAGTTGAAAGTAAATATATCAATTATAGATATATGTAATTAATTAAGACCGAAGTAACTAACAAGTTCATCTTATCTTGCAATATATCCCCGCGGTGATTACATACTGGTATTTCCGCCCCTTCTGGCTGTAGGGATCGGTAACCTGATCACCAGCTCCCTCCTCTCTCTCTTCAACTGCTTCCTTGATGGACAGGTGTTGAGTCGCCATCCCGTGTGCCTTGAGTCTGTTCATTTCGACTCCCCTAAACTCCACTCTTCATTTCTTCCTTTTTCCCCTCTCCGAACCCACAGGTTCTAATTCTCTTCTTTGTCACTCCCTTAAGATTGAAGGTATGATCTATCAAGGATTCTAGCTTCATATTTGATAGCTTCTATCCATTCTCCTATTTCCTTGCAACCTCGCACTCCGTCGTGTTGCAGTCACCCGGTGACGCCCTCCTGCACACTGGGTACACACCATCGGGACTGCGGGTGATGCAAGCTTGTGCACCGAATCGCTAACGAACTTTCTATTCACACAGCGCTAGATCGCTTCGATTTTTTTTGCCCAGATACTTTAGTTTCAATCATTTATCGGCCGTGACGGTCGAACATACCCCACTCGATCTGCGCGACCTGGCCTCTGTGTGTGGACACCACACTTGCCGGTGTATCGGCCTGTCGCGCAACCTCTCCTGAGAACCCGATCTTCCGGCCAACACTTGTACCATAGACTGCTCCGTTACGATAACTCGGAGACGAACGAAACGAACCATTCCATGAATCACTCCCCTCGGCTATATACTCAATCATGTTTTGGCGCTTTGGGGGATATGCGAGTATCTCCACCATCGATACCCTGCTTGACAAACCCGATGTCACTCTCGAAGAACTTCTGGATGAGCCAGAAATCATTCAAGAATTGAAACAGCTTAATACAAAACTCATTGAATACCTGCGCGAGGATCATGTGTTGAAACGGCTTATGGACTACGTGACTGCTCCAAGCTTAATCAATGAAGACGAAGAGAATGACGAAGACGATTCCGATGCAACACATGTCTCAGGTGAGAATAAAACAGCTGCCGTCTCCGCGGAACAGGCGGACACCGATGAGGAGAAGGAGGGCGACCCGTTGAAGGATATTCTTGACCCAGATGACCTGGACAAGGTCGAGAAGAACCGGTTGAAGCACGCCTACATCGCATGCGAGGTCCTCTCATCCGAGACATGGTCTATCTTGGAATCTTTGATGGCAAATCCCGCGTACCTGCGTGACTTTTGGGGTTTCCTGCGACGGTCCCCACCCCTCGATTCTTTGCAGGCAAGTTACTTTACGAAAGTCAACGAGACATTGCTTGATAAAAAGACAGAAGAGATGCTGGAGTTCCTGAAGTCCCTTGATGGAATTGTCGCGGCGCTGTTGCAACATGTTGATAACCCTATGGTCATGGATCTTCTCCTGAAAATAATCAGCTTAGAGAAAGCAGAGGGTGGCCAGGGTACTGTAGACTGGCTCAAGTCTCAGGATCTTATACCCACTCTTTTGTCCTTCTTATCACCAGACCGTCCGGCCTCCGTTCAAACCTCAGCAGGTGATTTCTTGAAAGCGATCATCACTATCTCTGCGAATGCAAGCCCGAATGACCAGTCTTGTATCGGTCCTAACAGTTTAACGCGTCAACTTGTGTCCACCCAGTGCGTTCAACAGCTCATTGATGCTATGCTCAGAGGCGGCAACCCGTTGACCGTCGGAGTGGGCATTGTCATTGAGGTAATTCGCAAGAATAATTCCGACTATGACCCAGAGAACCTCGGCGGTCCTGATTCATTGCTTACGACTTACGATCCAATCTACCTTGGAACGTTACTGCGTCTCTTTGCCAAACATATCCCTCAATTCATGGCTCTCATTCAAAGCTCCCAACACACCATCCATGACGGAAACAAGCTCAAGACTGTCGAAAGAGGAAAGCTGAGCTCTGCGTGGGGCGGAAAAATTGAGCCCCTCGGCTTCGATCGTTTCAAGACATGTGAATTGATGGCAGAGTTGCTTCACTGCAGTAACATGGGACTCTTGAATGAACCGGGCAGTGACGAGTATGTGAAGCAGAGAGACGAAGAGCGAGAGAGGTTGATTCGAGAAGGTGTTTTCGATTCTCGTCCAGACGAGCACTCTGGAGTTGACTATAATGATACCACAGTCGACTTCGCAAATGAATCAGCCTTGGATCCCGGATCTCCAGAAGATGTGAAGATCACAGAAGCACCACAAGCCGGCGAAGAAGAAGGCTTTGAGGACGTTGGGGCATCCGGTGTTCTGGTTGACGAGAAGTCCGGTGCGGGCAAAACGACGAGTATAAACCTGCAGCCAACAGAAACGGCCAGTGAGCTTCCTTCGACGGAGAGAACAACCATTGATGAATCTACAAATGCGCCTCAGCCCTTCAACGAAATCATCGACCCATCATCGCCCAGCATCGGTCTTCCTGATCAAGTTGGTGGCATGAAGCTTGAGAATGAACCGCAAAGCGAGCAGCAAACGGATGGAAAGGACAACAAAGAGCCTGTGACCCCTGCACCTGATGATGTTCCGGCCCCTCTCTTCTCGAAAGAACAAGCACCAGAATCGACCTCGACCCCTGTCGATCAACCAAAACAGCCTTCCGTCAATGAACAACCTGAGGAAACAAGCATCGTGAATGACGGCGGGGATGAGGACTCAGCCGAACAATACATTCAACTCGATACTGACGGGCAGCCTGTGGTCGGTGATTACTTGAAGATTCAGTTTGTGGAAAACAAAGTAGTACCAACGATCTTGGTAAGTATTTTCTTGTCCTTGGCAGGCTGAAGTCATTTATTCTAATTATTGACAGGGCTTCTTCTTCCGTTTCCCGTGGAACAATTTCCTCCACAACGTCGTTTACGATGTAATTCAACAAGTCTTCAACGGGCCCATGGAGCGTGGTTATAACCGGGCACTTGCAGTCAATGTGTTTGATACGGGCCGCATCACCACTGCAATTGTTGAAGGTCAAAAGCGCAGCGATGAGGCCCAGAAGACAAAGCAAATTCGTCTTGGATACATGGGACACCTCACTCTAGTTGCAGAGGAAGTCGTGAAGTTCAGCGAGCGCCACCCGCCCGAGCTGCTTTCCAGATCTGTCATGGAGAGCGTCCTGAATCCGGACTGGATTGAGTATGTGGAGCAAACTCTGTCCGAAACACGGGATCGGGACAATGCTATCCTAGGCGGCGTCCGCCCGGATATGTCGGTTGGGTCTCGCCAGGCTAGCCTGAACAACACTGGCTCCGCGCAAGGATTCTCTAACTCGAATGCTCTATCGGATGCAGGGTTGAATGGGGGCATCGGTGGCTCGACTTTCCAGAGCTTTGACCTCAATCAAGGAAGTGTCTCCGGAGGAGCTTTCGGCGGTGGTGGCACCTCCCTTCTGAGTGGATTTGCCAGCTCGAGTGATGATGAGGATGAAGAAATGGAAGACCCGGAAGATAGGGATTCTGGAAATGCCAACCAGGGCGATTCTGACAATGTGGGTACCCTTTTCCCGATCGACCTATTGTAGCGGTGCGGAACTCGTAATGTCGATTCCGTGCCCCATACATACTGCCATACATACCTGCTCATACCCTTCACTCAAACCCGATTAAGGGAATACACTAAGCAAATGCAAAATTTTGCCAATTATCAGAAAGGATTTTCAACATTCAACGTTAAATCTTGAAAAGTCTTCTGATGTATCGTCTATTTTTGTTTCCAAAGTTGTTCCAGCACTTCATCTACACCCAATCGCACGCCACGAGCCATCGAATTTAGTGTGATTGTACTAACATGTTTTATAGGTGTCAACAAGCTCAGCCAGCCAACCAATTCCAATCCTACCCCCGCCTCCTGCTCCACTGAGCTTGGGTCCATCCCGGGCGCGGCGTCAGTTAGCAGCGCGTCTTGCCGCCCAAAAACAACAATCTGAAAACCCAGAGGGCAATGGTGAGAATAGAGGCGAAGGGAATGAGGACCGAGAGTCAACCTGGTCAAGGAACCCATTCGTAATCGCAGGTATCGACGATGATGCCGAAGGTCCCAACTCAGCGTTCCCCAACAGTGATTTTGGCTCCAACACCAAACACTCCCCTACATTCCCAGAATCAGGATTCAGCCCTCCGGATTCCCTGTCCACCAATTCATCCGACGATGAAAAAGATGGCCGCGCGGAATCCGTCAGACGCCAGGTCCGGGTTCCCCTCGAAGTTGACGACGACGACGACGAGATGGGCGAGATGGTTGGACCTAGCAGCATTGGCATGATGGACTCGGACGACGAAGATGAAGCCATCATCAATGAATCTCTCGGTTACTCCAACCTCTCGGGCCCTGGCCGATACAAAAACTTTAGCCAATCCCGAGCTGTGAGCTCCCATTACGAAGATGAGCAAAACGACAGCAGTGACGGAGAGGATGATGGGCTGGTAGAGATCCTGGTCCCTGGCCGCAAGTCTTCAACCTCAAACTAAGCCTGGGCTCTTTGTATATAGACTTTCCGTTGATGGGGTAGCCATGGGATTTTGCATTCTAATGAGCTTGATCTGATGTTTCTTTATGTCATTGCATGTATCGCATGCCCCCTATCTGGGAACGACTTATGAGTCCTATGGCTTTGATTGTCTGGTTGGGTTTGGCATTCGCCTGTGTACGATAGTTGATGGTTGAGACTGGGGAAGCGAATTGATGCTTTAGTTTTAAGTTTTTGACAGGCAAACATTCGTAGATGCGTAATCGATTCAATTGAATGAGTGTTCATGACTTCAAATATTTCTATCTCACAGCTCGACGGCGGACGAGGAAAAAAAAAGCGGGCCCCACCATGGCATCCCGCATCGATTCTTTTCTCTCAGGAATCCGATCAATACACCAAATTTGGTTTTGTTTCCTTCAGGAAACCTGTGTCAGTGACAAACAAGATTGCTGGGAAGATACAAAGAAAACTTAATCAATTCAAATTAATCTATCGCGATATGACAGCTCTCTCAGGGTAAGAGTGCCTCGAAAATACGTCATTGTTGAAAGTGACATATCTAACACAGACAATAGAGAAGTCGACCCTAAACTGGAAGCTCACACAGAACTATTGAGCTGGGTTATTCAGCATGGCGGCACAGTCGATAAAAGTGTGCGCATCGCCCAAGATGCCCTACGTGGTGTACACATGCAAGTGAAAGCAGATTGGCCAGAAGCCATCCCTAAAGAGACGCGGGCAATCAACACCCCAATCAGCATTTCTATGTCCTGGTACAATGCAATTGGTTACGAATGCTCTAAGGGCTCATTCTCTAAACATGGCGTGGATTTCCCGCGCCAATGGATAGATGAGATCGGGCCCGAGGAGACATTCGCTTTCTTCCTCATGGGTCAGTATCTGCGTGGACCAGAGGGCTTTTGGTATCCATACTTGCGCACCTTGCCTCAGCCGGGCCAATTAACTACACCTCTGTTCTTCGGCGAGGAGGACGTGGATTGGATCCAGGGAACTGGCATCCCTGAGGCATCCGTGGAGAGGATCAAGGTTTGGGATCAGAAATATGATGATGCGATTAACAAGTTGGAGGGATTTGGTTTCCTTGATTGTGGGAAGCTTACATGGTTAGTCTATCACTTCAGTGCCAGGGAACAATAGGCTAATCTTTTTACATAAGGGAGCTGTATATGTGGGCTGCGACTATCATTACCTCACGAGCATTCTCGCCGAAGGTTCTTTCTGGGGCTGTTGAGGCTGCTGATCTTCCAGAAGACGGGGTTTCAGCTCTGCTTCCGCTCATCGACCTACCGAATCACCGGCCAATGGCCAAGGTTGAGTGGCGAGCGGGCAAAGAAGATATCGGGCTTCTTGTGCTTGAAGACGTCTCGCCAGGCGAGGAAATCTCGAACAACTATGGCCCTCGCAATAATGAGCAATGTAAGCATCGCGTTGATCATTGACTTAATGTTCAGCTTCTCGAAACAACTTGGCCCGTACTAACAACATTCTAGTGTTGATCAATTATGGCTTCTGTCTCACCAACAACCCTACCGACTACCGCATCGTCCATTTGGGCGTGAAGCCTGATAGCCCGCTTGGACAGGCCAAGGCCCGCCAGCTAGAGATGTTCCCGGAGGTGGCCAAGAACATCGAAGATCACTATTACATTTTCAATCCCTTCTATCCTCTATTGGGTCCTGACACACCGATGGAACACTCGATTTTCTCACCAGCATTGTTTGACGCATTGACGGTCATGGAATCAAACGCCCGCGAGCGTGAAATGATCGAGATTACAAATGCCGTCATTCGGATTCCTCCGGGCTATGGCAATGGTCATAGTATCTATGCCGCACTGGCACAGATCAGTTTCGAGCTGATTGCTCACGCCTATAGCCTCAAAACTAGTGCAGAAGATCTACCTCTGCAACCAACAACCTTAAACCAAACCCACGCTCAGATCTATCGCAATGGCCAAACCACATTGGACCATTCTGCCTTGATCATCGCAACTTGGACAATCACCCGCGGCCGGGAACACAAGCGTGGCGTCAGCTGGGAGGATACCAAGGCTCTCCTCTCTGAGCTGATGGCACGTGTTCCTGCCGGTCTTCTCTCTGATGAGGTTATGTCCAGAATTCGTGTGCGTATTCTGGAGCGCCCATCTCTTATCACTAAAAACGGAGAGTTGTTCAGACTAGGCGAGTTGTTCAGTCTGCTCCCGGTAGAAATGCAGGAACAGGCTCAATCTTGCTTCCAGCATGTTTTGGGAGTGGTCAGTCAGGAGGTTCCGCCTGTGGCTAGTGATCCACAAACACTGTTTGCAACAGTGATCTGCTTGCTGGTTGCAACTTATAACTCGCCCGAGGCACGTTCGAAATTGCCGTCGCGTCTTGGAAGATGGGTAGCTTTCCTGCTTGAGAAATACCCACTGGCTTCGGTGGGCTCGGACGAGACGAGTGAACCGCTTCGCCTGTTCCAAGAATACACCAAAGCTGAACAGCCAGGGTCGTGGGCACCCAGTGACGGGGTCGATTGGCTTGCCGAGGGTAGTGGATGGTTGAGCTCTGATTGGCTTCAATGGTCGTGGACAGTTGCTGGAGGGGAAATGGTGATGATCCCCCTTCAGTCTTTGGAAATTCTTAGGATGGATGAACCACTATCTATGCTGAAGCAGGCTTGCTTGTATGTGCCGCAGGAGTGAATATAGACAAGCAGCATGAATCAAGCAATTTTATATCCATGTTCATGTCCATGTCTTCGCTCTATTCGTTACAAGACAGATAACACCCGCTCCTGATTTACCACTTACTCAGGTGCTGTATGGATTAGAGATTCTTCTATTACACCCGGGCATTACATGACTGAAGTATTCATGCATCACAAGAGCCTAGAGGGCCCTCCCTCTAGCTTAGCCTCTCATTAGCATGCTATTCTAGTGTCCTTCTTAGGTTGTTCGGTGATTCCTAGCCTCGTAGCCATAGACTCGGGTACCACAAAACTTCACTTCACGCTTCATAATTATCCATTTATAAGATGAATTGAATATTCAACTCAGCTTTTCTTATTGGTTGACTGTAGATATAGATTCACGTGATCCAGCATACTCCGTCATGGCCGAATCGGGATGTTTACTCAGCAGGTGTCACGTGAGCTAATTTTGTCCAATCAAATCCCGGACAAAGGCGGATCGTTCAGCAAGCGCAGGAATTGCCGTGAGCTCCACGACTCCCTTCCCTCTCCACGACCTTCCAATTCACACCAAGTATCGTCACTCCCGCCGTCAACATGCTTTCTCGAGCGGCGGCTCCCACCTCCTCCCTCTCCCAACTTTCGACCCGCTCCCTCCGCGCCCAGGGGGCGGCCGCCCGCTCCTTCGCAACCGTATCGGAGGCTCCTCCCGTCAAGCACTACGGTGGACTTAAGGACCAAGATCGGATCTTTACCAACCTTTACTCACACCATGGAGCGGATCTCAAGTCAGCAATGAAGTATGGTGACTGGCACCGCACCAAGGATATGATCTTGAAGGGTGATGATTGGGTGGGTTGTCGCACAATTCCATTAATGGACCGGGAAATATCAATTGCTAATGCCATGGACAGCTCATCTCGGAAATCAAGGCATCAGGCCTTCGTGGCCGTGGTGGTGCCGGTTTCCCCTCCGGATTGAAATACGTAAGTGGAATACACGCAATTGGGGGAGTGTTTCGAGATAAACCGGCTGACGCGCGAATCGACAGTCATTCATGAACACCAAGGATTGGGACAAGGACCCCCGCCCCCGTTATCTGGTCGTCAACGCCGATGAGGGTGAGCCTGGTACTTGCAAGGATCGTGAGATCATGCGCAAGGATCCCCAGAAGCTGATTGAGGGTTGCTTGGTGGTGGGTCGTGCCATGAACGCCAACGCTGCGTACATCTACATCCGTGGTGAGTTCTACCACGAAGCCACCGTTCTCCAGCGGGCTATCAACGAGGCCTACGAGGCCGGCCTGATCGGCAAGAACGCCTGCGGTTCCGGTTACGACTTCGACGTCTACATTCACCGCGGAATGGGCGCCTACATCTGTGGCGAGGAGACCTCGCTCATTGAGTCAATTGAGGGCAAGGCCGGCAAGCCCCGCCTCAAGCCCCCATTCCCCGCTGCCGTCGGTTTGTTCGGTTGCCCCAGCACAGTCACCAATGTCGAAACCGTTGCCGTGACCCCCACAATCATGCGCCGTGGTGCCAGCTGGTTCTCATCCTTCGGTCGTGAGCGTAACGCCGGTACCAAGTTATTCTGTATCTCCGGTCACGTCAACAACCCCGTCACAGTTGAGGAGGAGATGTCCATCTCGCTGCGCGAGCTGATCGAGAAGCATTGTGGAGGTGTCCGCGGTGGCTGGGACAACCTGCTCGCTGTTATCCCCGGTGGCTCTTCCACCCCCGTCATTCCCAAGTCCGTCGCCGACAACCAGCTCATGGACTTCGATGCCCTCAAGGATTCCCAGACTGGTCTGGGTACCGCCGCCGTCATCGTCATGGACAAGTCCACGGATATCGTCCGTGCCATCTCCCGTCTGTCCACCTTCTACAAGCACGAATCTTGTGGTCAGTGCACTCCCTGCCGTGAGGGCAGCAAGTGGACTATGCAGATGATGCAGCGTATGGAGACCGGAAATGCCCGCGAGCGTGAAATCGACATGCTCCAGGAGCTCACCAAGCAGGTCGAAGGTCACACTATTTGCGCTCTGGGTGAGGCTTTCGCTTGGCCTATCCAGGGTCTCATCCGTCACTTCCGTCCCGAGCTCGAGGCCCGTATCCGTCAATACGAGAAGGAGCTTGGCGCTGCTCCCTACGCCGGTGGCTGGCACCCGGACAGCCGTGCTGAGGGCAAGCTGATCTCCCCTGGCATGTAAATCGCACCCGTACTCCTCTTTTACTCACTCCCACAAACCTTTTTTTCTCCCTTTTTGCCCCCCAAAAAGAAGCAGGAACGGGTCGGGGATGATTTCTACATCTAGACCTCTCTTATTTTCCCCCTCCGGCCGGTAATGTTCTTATTTCTTGTCTGTCTGGTCCGGCCGGGAAGGGTGGTGTTTCTCTTTTCTTTACTATGTTCGATCCCCTCGATGTTCCTCTGTCGCGCCTAGGTTTTTCCTTTATATTGTACAGTCGGTAGCAAATTTGATGCATTTGATGTCTTCATTCCTGCTGTGTAGCATACATATCTGCGTGTCCATTAAATCAAATGCCACCCACCCTCAAGTACAAGATAAAATGCAATGACAGTAACGTAGGCCATCGTGGCCTCAGCGAGTCTCAGTTGTCGTAACATCCAGCTCGATATCAGCAATCACCTCTCGAACATCATCCTTGCACTTTGAGCCTTCGGTCTTTTATTCAGCGTTAATCTCAGCCTCAGCCTCATCCCTCGTCTGGTTTTCCGCTCGAGCTTCAAGAACCTCTTCTCTCTCCATCCCATTCCATGAACATTCTCAATCCACAAAAATCCCATCGCAGCTGCCATTGCCAAACTCAAGAAAACAAAGCACCAACCCCCTCCCATACCACTCAGCATCTGATTGATGACAGCAGCACCAACGGCTCCGAGACAACACCGAATAAGATTGCACGCGGCTGCAGCTGTAGCGGACTTATCGGGAAACAGGTCTACAAGGAGAGCCTGGAGACAAATCAGGGACGTAACAAAGCAGAAGCCCATGATGAACCGCAGAACGAGGGGGGCGGCTAGGTTCACTCTTTGTTGTAGGACCCAGCCTTATGGAATGAAGGCTGCGATTCCAACAGCCATCTCTGGGAAGACTGTTTGGAGGCGGGCATTCTCGATTTGCCCGAAGAGAGGCGAGAAAAACGATGCCAGAGTTACCATGATCGTCATGAAAAGCTTCTCGTTCGTGCTGAACGCCGAGAACGCCCGTGAATCCATTGCTGTTTCTGTATTCTCTGTCTGGGTCTCGGGGGTTGCCATGTCTTCTATTTCAATCGGAGGAAAAGAGTGAGATAAAGTTGTGAAGAGAAATAGTTCAGACTAGTACAATGGGTGGAGATGTCAGCAGAAAAGTTGACTTGCACTTTCCTCACATCTATCTACACTGGCGTGTCGCACTGGTGAATCTTAAAAAGCCATATAACTAACTACATGTATGTATCTTTTGTGTGACCTCAAGACGAAGGTGTCAGATAACGCATGCCCTTTTAGAGGCTCAGGATCTGCTTACACTCAAGGTGTGTGCTGCTGCAAAGACATTGGGATATAACTGGTTATATACATATACCACGATGGAAAAGGGACGGGGAACAGATTACAAAGACCGCTATAGGCAGTACAAGTCTAGCCCTAAGTACAATCCTGTTTATCCTTATGCGAAGAATACATTGATTGTTAAACTACATTTACAGACTAGAAATGTGATAATGTGGACGCAATAAGATTTGCTCAAATAGTAGATTCAGCGATAGGGTAGAGTACAGTACAGGGGTCATGGGAACCATTCGAGATCATGGGAAGAGTACAAAAGAGAAATAAAAGTGCAGTGCAAACAAAAGAAAGGTGCTTGGGCAATATGCCAATTAATCTCACAAATGAGTAGATGCAATCATTGTTTTTCTTCAATCCTCGAACTTAGTGGCCTCCCGCCATGATAATACCGTAATAGCGACGACTCATCTCCGCAGTTTGCAAGACACGAGCATCGCCAGTCAAAGGTAGACCCAGAATAGCAGATGATTGAACAGATTGGACATCCTCATGCGTGATCCAGCCAGCGACAGCCCGGCTCATCTCTTTGAATGCAACACGCTCTTCAAGACCTTCCAACCCGGAATCCTTGATACGATCACCCATCGCAACGAGGGCATTCACCAACCGATTCAAACGAGTTGGGTCACGTCGACCAGCGGTCGCGTTAACTAGGCGAAGGAAATCTTCATAAACACCGCCGCCGGAGGTCCAGCCACGCATTTTACGCTCGGGACCATCGCCGAAGCCTGACACCAGAGTTTCCAGAGTGCGGTAGTCGCCCTCAATAATGGTACTGGGACCGACAATGCGACAGAATGTGGCGTGGGCGTCGTTCCAGTGCTTGCCGCGAATGAGGCAGTCGACCTCTCGAGCGGCATCGCCGGTGTCGCGGGCATGGAGGGCCTTGGCAACCCAGATCCAGGCCTCAGGGATCTGAAGGTCGGCGACGAGATAATGCCATGCTGGGTCGGCGGAGGCGTCGGCAGCGAAAGGCTCAGGGAGGTGAGCGGCGAACCGAGCCAGAGTTTCCTGAACGGCGCGTTTGCGGTCGTCGGCTTGGGACAGGTGCAGAAGGACAAACAGAGTTTGAGTGAGTTCACCGCCTGCGCTGAGTTCCGAAGCAAAGTCCCATACGAGATGGTCGGTCTGATGCTGGTCGATTTTGATAGCTTGTTGTTGTCCGACCGTGGCAGTAAGAACGTGGTGGAGCTGGAAGGAGAGTCGGTTGGAGAGTCGGTTACCAGAGACGGATTCAGGGAGAAGAGATGCCGGGAATTGAACGAAGTCGGCGCCACGGCCCTGGATTGCCGAGAAGGCTTTGAGCAAAACCCAAAGAGGCGACTCGCGGCCAAGAGTATCGGAACCGGGCTGTACACGAGCGCTATCCTGGTGGGAGTGCGACGGGTGAGGGAAAGCGGGTTCTTGCCCAGTAGCCAAGTCCTCGAGGAACTTGGACACAGCGGCCTCAATTGGTTCATCTTCAGAAGTGCAATACCAAAGGCGAAGGCCAAAGGCCTGGAACCAATCCAGATCGAACCGCTCGGTCAAGCCGAAGGTGGAAGCCCGATCTTCAAGTGCGCCACCTGATTTGCCCTCGCTGCTGAGAGCATTACCAGCGACCAGCTCGTAGAGCGCTCGCACAGGCTCACTCATCTCCGAAAGCACATTGTTCTGACGCCACACCTCAATTTGGTTTGCAATGTCAGCCCGGGAGGTAGCATCGCGGCCAATCTGTGCAACCAGAGTTGCTAGGTGTGGATTGTGACTCTCCACCAATGTCTTACAAGCTTCCTCCACTCGGTGCGAACAAATCAAATGAACGGCGCGTTCCACGGGGGAGCGAATTGTGTCCAGGTTCTGAGTGTGTTTATCACGGACAATTTGCTCCCAAAGACGAGTCAACCGGTCCTTCTTGATACGGTGTGCGAATTGTTGGCGTAAGCGAGGGGGAACACCGGCTGAAATGTCGTCCTCAATCTCATCATTGAAGAGGATGTTGAGAAGCTGCCAGACCAGGCGCTCTTCCTCCGACTGGGAGCGGCTAGAGGGGGACAGAGGAAACTGCGACAAGTCGACCTTGGCAATACGAACGAAAGGAGTTCCGTCTACACGCTGGATAGTAGACTGGTGTCGCTGGACATCGAGCATTTCCTTGACCTGGGTAACAATTAGTATCAAATGCACATGTAAAGAGAAAGGTAGAGAACATACCTCACCAGACTTGTTGTAAGACATCACCGCAATATCTCTCTCTTCGCTGAAAACAGTGAAACTTTCTTTCCAGGCTTGATGCACTTCCGAGATTGTCTCCTGCATGTCGTTTCTTGTGCACACAAGGGAGTCTAGGGGACCCCACCGTGGTTTGAAAGAGTCATGGAAAGCAGCGTCGGATTCGGTCATTTCTGTTGCGTCGCCTGCGAAAGTTTTGGGTTGTTTGTTGTAAGGCCACTGTAAGGAAGAATAATAAGTTTTAGCTTAGGATATCTCACATTGGTTGAACTATCTGGTGGGGTGTGGATGTGCAATGTGCTAGATACATGATGGGGAGGAAAAAACAACAATGAAGATAAGGATAATTAATGTGAACACAAAAAAGGGGTTCTAACCTCGAAGCCCTTGGGCTGTGATTTGGTAGCCTTCACTGGAGAGGAGGGAGCCTGCTTGCGTGGTTGCTGAAACAAAGAATTCATGAGATCGATGCTGTTCGAAAAGCCCTTCTTTGGCGAGGCAGTGGCGACGTTTGTGGGGGACTCGTCATTCACGAGATTGCGGTCAATAAAAGCGTTGGCCTGCATTTCACGCAATGCGTCGCGATTTTGCTTTCGAGGGCTGATGGTGCGCTGCAGTTGCTCGGCCCAGTCGCCACTAAGATCAAGCTGAGGCTTTGCAGGACTTCCGAAGTGTTTAGAAATAGGGTGAGTTGTCTCCAGGTCACCATTAGTGCTCTGGTAGTCTTCGTGCTCCACGGTGCGATGAGGAGTAGGAAAGGCACCCGCCATATCCATTTCATCTGCCTCATCTGATCCAACAACCGAATCGCCAGACACTTGGCTCTCGGTGACGACATCGTCGTCATTATCAGTAGTTGAACCCGTGGAGCCTTCCTCTAAAAAAGACTCGGTCTCGCCATCAGAAAAATCCTCATTCCTGGCCGGCATGGCCTGACCGGAAAAAGAACCAGGAACAGAACCAGGCATAAGGTTGCGCTTCTTGAAGTCAAAAGTATCATCATCGATGCCCATTTGCGAGCCAACGAAGGACTCGTCGATTGAGAAAGTGGTCGACTGATCGAAATTGGTCGACTGATCGAAGCTGACAGACTGGTCGAATTGCCCCTTCGGGGTGGCCTGCTCAGGGCCGGAGGCACTCATGGTGCTTTGGGCAAGACTGTCGTCTTCATCTTCATAGTCGAGGCCATAGGTGGTGAAATGAGGCACCTTGAAGATCCAGGTTCCAGTCTCAGTCTCGTAGTTGATGAACTCAGTATCACCGACTTTCTGCAGACGATCAATGTGCTTGTCGAAGAGAGGCCCACTGGTGACAGGCGAGTTGCTCTTCCTGTCTCTACCGCGCGGCCAGGAGTTCTCAATCCGCAAGGTTGAAGGCACGTTCAGGCCCTTGCCCATGGGAGGTTTGATCGATTCGTCAGGGTAGACAGTGATCTTTCGAAGACCAATATCCACGATGGTGGAGAAAAGGTTATCAAGATCAATGACGGTCAGATCGACGGGGCCATTGAAGGTGACGGATCCACAGTTTTGACGTCCAACGGTGAAGTCGACAACCTGCTTGAGCTGATCGCGACTCATTTTACCGAGCTCTGCGCGAGAGGGTTGCATCCAGTACTCACCGGGCCTTGGGTCACCACCGGGGATGAAAGTGAGACGCTTGACCGTAGCACCGTTGGTGGTGGCCGGTCCATTTTCAGGGACGACAGCGAGGTCACGGCGCACAGACTCCATTTCAGGACGGTCGGTAGTTCCAGCAGTATCAACACCGTTGAGGCTACCGCTCTTGCGAACGGAGCGAAGGAATCCAAGTTCCTCCGCAGTTGGCTCGGTACTCTTGGACTCAGCACGAACAAGTTCTCCGCCATTGGCACCAGAGGAAGCAGAGTCAAAGCTGACCTTCTTCTTGAGCTTGTCTCCGGAATGACTTGTGTCTTCTCCGTTGGTGAGAAGGGGTGCTGGCGAAGTGCGAGCGGCTGGGTTGGTGAACAGGTCATTCCTCAGACCACGGTCAATGGTGAGGCGCTTCAGTCCAGAGTTACCACGAGTGCTGCCAGCCTGGAGGGCACCGGGAGAAAGCACACTATCAGACTCAGGATCAAAGGTCTTGCGAAGGTTGCTGGTGGAGTAACTCTTGCTGAAACTACGACCAATGCTGCCATTGACGCTGCCGCGGAGGCTGCCGCCGCCACCGCCCAAGAGGCTGTTGCTGAGACCAGATGGGGTACCGGTGGTGCTAGATGGTGAGCCATAAGTGGAATAAGAGAACCCGTATCCACGCTTGGGAGGGGTGATGAGACGGTTGGCCGCATTAGGGGTAATTTTGTAAACTGGCAGAGGAGTTCGCTGCTTCTGCTTCATGCTTGAAGACAGCGGTGTCGCAAGCGGTCCGGGAGTTGATCCACCTGGGGCAGGAAGACCAGAAAAGATAGACTGGCTTCCGTAGGGGTTCCCATCAAGAAGCGATGCTTGGAAGCTGCCGGGGGCAGGCTGGGACTGTTGTCCGGGCTGGGAGGTGCCGAACATACCACTGCCACCGAGGCCGCCTGCCTGCGGTTGTTGAGCTTGGCCACTGCCAAACAACGAGGAACCCGCATTTTGGCTGGTGTTGTTTTGAGTATTGCCGAACAAACCAGAACCGCCGGTGTTGGTAGTGCTGCCGAATCCACCGAAACCGCCGGGTTTTTGTTGTGTCTGATTCTGCGAGCCACCAAACAAGCCGCCGCCACCGGCGGCCGGCTGGGTGGTTGAGCCGCCAAAGCCAGAGAATCCACCTGTAGCGGGAGCTGGATTAGATCCGAACATACCACCAGCCGGCTTGGGCTGTTGGTTTTGTGAACCTCCGAACAGCGAAGTGCCAGCGCCGGCTTGCTGAGTTTGACCGCCGCCAAACAAGCCAGTTCCCTGCTGTGGTTGTTGTTGCTGTTGACCGCCGAAGAGTGAATTTCCTGCGGCTGGAGTACTGCCAGCACCGCCACCGAGCAGACCAGTACCAGTTCCCTGCTGTTGAGTGCCCGAGCCGAATCCACCGCCGCCAAACAAGGGCTTGTTTTGAGCCGCGGATGAATTTTGCTGGGAGGTGTTACCAAAACCACCGAAACCACCCGTGCTTTGCTGTTGGGTACCACCGCCAAATGGTGAGGCTGTGGCGGTCGAGCCTCCGAACGGATTGGCAGCGCCGGTCGTTTGAGTGTTGCCAAAGCCAAACCCGCCACCGGTAGCGGCGCCAGCACCAAATGCAGGCTTGTTCTGCTGTTGCTGGGTGTTGCCACCAAACATTCCACCAGTGTTGCCGAAAGCTCCTCCAGTTCCGGCTCCAGTGTTACTTCCAAATGCGCCGCCAGTTGTTGGTGTGGACCCACCGAATAGGGTTCCGGTCGAAGCTGCAGGAGTAGCCCCAGCTCCACCGCCGAACAAAGAGTTACCTGCCGGTTTTGCGCCTCCAAACAATGGATTGGTGTTCGTGGATCCGAATGCGCCTGCCGTCTGGGTTGCGCCGAAGCCGGATGGTGCACTCGTGGCAGCTCCTCCGAATGGGGTAGTACTGGCACCAAAGCCGCCGGTGGTAGAAGTGTTTGGCTGAGCGCCAAAGCCGCCAGTGTTTCCGAATGCAGAAGAACCAAAGGCACCAGCTTGACCACTGCCGTTGCCAAAACGGCGACCTTGTTGGTAATCAGCTAGACGAAGCTCTTCAAAGGAAAATTTGTTGTAAGGTTGCATGAAACAGATGCTCTGGTAATGGTTGGTTGCGTTTGCGGTTGCGTCCTTCTCGGTGAAAGCGTTGAATGGGGTACTGCCAGTGCCCTCGCAGGCAGGGAGAGCACCGCCTGCTGGCTGGAAGGCATTGTTTGAGCCGCCAAAGCCTGTGCTAGGAGTGGTGGTCGCAGCTCCAGATCCAAAGCCGCCACCGCTGGCGCCGAATGCACCGGTGCCCGTAGCTGAAGCACCGAACCCAGTAGGTTTTGCAGCGCCGAAAAGACTTCCACCTGTGTTTGAAGTATTGGTATTGGCATTGGCGCCGAAGCCGGCAGTGCCCCCAGAGCCGAAGCCTCCAGAGCCGAAGCCACCGGTGGCACCAGCGGTCTGAGTACCCCCAAACATGCTTCCGCCAGTAGAGGTGTTGGTGTTGGTTGTACCAAATCCGCCTGGGCGGGGTTGAGATCCGAAGAGGGAATTAGGTTGGGCCTGTGTGTTGGTTCCGAAAGCTACAAATAGAGGAAGCAGAAGTTAGTAACCTAAATCAAGGATTCCCAAGCCAATAAACAAAAAAATAAAAATATAATAGGTCCATGGAAAGAAGAGTTCTCTATCCAGAGGGGCCGGGTTTTTCGTGGTTGTCCATCCCGCCAAGGGTCCCGGGAGACTTTGAAGGACTCCAAGTCGAGTATGGTACTCAAATGTGCGACTCGGGTGTTTCTGGACCGCAAATCGAAGCGAATCGATAAAGGGCCAAAGCAAGGGAATGCGAAAGAGCAGCGCAACGCTCAAAGGTTGAGCACGTACCTCCGCCGGAGCCTGATCCGAAGCCAGTGTTTGTGTTGGAAGCCCCACCACCAAAGGCACCAGTGCCAGAGGTTGCACCACTGGCACCTCCAAAGGGAGATGCTGTCGAGCCAAAGCCTAGATGACGGAGGGTATCGCGGTCAGAGGGACTGGTTTTCGAAGAGCTCCTTGCATTCCTTATCTTGTCGTGGTGTCGCTAAGCTATCCAGATGGTCCGCGGGTGATTGTTGGTATCACGGCGAAGGTTGTTGTGTTAAAAATTTGCCTTGCGCGTGATGCACCATCGCGGGTCGAGATCAGGAGCACCGGTTGTCGAGATAGGGAAAAGCCGAGGAACACGAGGGCAAAGGGAAGATGGGGATGGGCTCCAGGAGATCAAGGGAAATCATTTAGGAAAAGAAAAAAAGAACCTACCTCCAGCAGTGTTGTTGTTGCCAGCTCCGAAGCCAGAGCCTGTGCCAAAGCCGCTGCTTTGGTTGTTCGAGCCGAACCCTCCAAATCCGAAAGACATGATGTCGGTTGGAGTTGTCGGGTGTTCAGGAAGTCATAGGTTGGCTGCGCGCAGGTTATGAGGATTCAGACGGAGAGCCTAGGGAGAATGAGAGCTGTGCGCGGATGGAAAAGATACAGAGAGGGAGAGGACGCGACAGAAAAGAAGTCAAGTTTGCTGGGGGCTTAGTCAGGATTTTAGGTGACTGTGGCCGGACCACAATGCTCCATCACGTGACACTCTCGGTGCCTGATAATCCCTGACGTGAATTGGTTCAATGCAAAGCAACACAATGCTCTTGTTCTCGGTCTGTTGATATAAATTGATTCAATAGTGTATTGGCAGCTCACATTTCTCAATTATTTTATTCTCCCAGCTTGCCATGTCATTCATAAGTGATGTAAAGGTGAATTGCTCCCAGAGCTTGTAGATATCACTCACCGTTTGCACCGAGATACATACCTTCGACATAGTTACTCTGTTTCCAGAGTTTTGGACACGATGTATACAAAATATTTACGACAGATTGCTCATTTTACGAATTTGATCATGGAAGAAGACCGAACTTTGACTTATTGACGATATCCTCAAGGTCATATCGAGACCCAATCTACGCATGTGTGTCAACCCTTCCTCTGACATGTTTCTTTGGATGACATCTCGTATCAATGCTTGGATTTCTCTGTAGTCCAGAAATTTGAGAGTGCGAGGAGTTTGTGGTTCAACTTGCGACATATCAAGACAGGTCTCTTCTAGGAGATAGTTACATATAGTTATGTAGCCAATATAGACCAATGTACCCGTGATTGAAAGGGATCAAGAAGAGATTCCAAAAAATGCCAAGAAACACCTGAAAACTTCCCGGATAAAAAAACAGTAGAAAGATGTATACATTGGAAATATATCAAGAGATCAGGTGTTATCGGAGTGTGTGTGTCGCCCGACCTTCTTCTATATGGTATGTACCAGAATATGAGCTCTAAGGTTAGTCCTATCCCTCCGCAGGTATAGGTTCTAGAGGTTGAAGCAGGGAAGTTACGATGCTAGGAGAATTGTGTCTAATTAGACCTTCCTATAGGTTTATGCTTCCTCCCGAAATTTCAGACCTATCGGGGTTTGTCTTCAACCGCTTTCGCTCTTCATTGGCGCCTAGGAAGAGTTCTAGACAGGCTGGGCCTTTTTGCAGCTTCTGTTGGCAGTCTCAATGGAAGATAAAATTGTATTTTCATTAACCAATAAGTTATACAAGGTATTCGCTATCTAAAAGCTTCATGAAAAGATAGAGGCTCCTGAAGGAGGCCGAATGTCTTAGATGTAGTAAGCTAGTAAAGCTGGCTACGGAGCGTATAGTTTTATGGCTTTGATTGATGTATCTCTCGCAACTTGAAGACTAGGCGAGATTCAATTCAGATTCACTTTACCACAGAAAACTCTGAAGATTGTCCACCAGCTTGCCAGAGTATCTTATCTTGTTTACCAAACTTTTACTACACGGTCCTTCTGTTTACCAACAACGTTTGACTTTGATAATCCCATGAGACACTGAGATACGTTACTCTCACCGACTCGCCAGCAAACCCGAGCTTTATTTATCTTGTACTGAAGTGTGAATATGGATATCCACAAAATCTCCAAAGCCCAAGCATATATGAAGAGGCTACGAGTACATAAGTCTATTCTTCGAGAGAATCAGTCCTGGAAAAGGTAGCACCCTAATCCTCCAAAGTCACGCGACAAGGTACTTACTCAATTCGCGCGCCGACAGATGGATCACAAGGGGGATTTTGAAGATAATGACCTTCACTCATCGTTCCTCCCGCCTACGCTCCCTATGTCACTTTACTGGACATCCTGAAAAAGGCTATGATCAAAGACATGACCCTTGAAACTTATCACCTTGGATCTTACGCTCTGTTAAGATCAAATACCACGACTAACATCTTGACGGCACTTGTGCTCATCGTGGAAGCGGAGGAAAGCAATGTACTCGTGCTGCAACTATTCAACCGCGAAGACATTTCTGCCGACAAAGACACTCATAAAGGAACTGTCTTAATTGCCAAAGAGCCCTATTTGAAGGTTTCGGCTGATGGAGATAATATGGTCCGAGTCGAGCACCTTTCCGATGTCCTATTCATCCAAGAATGGCATCCTTTAACTCCAGTGCCTTGGAAGAGTGCGAATGTGCAGTTTTCGAATTGTGCCAACAGATGGAAGCTCAAGGGCAATGCTTCGTTTGGCAGGAATGACTACCAGTTCGCTATTGAATGGTAAGAAACTATAGGACAATGGCAATTGACACAGACTAAAATGTACGCTATTTAGTCCAAAGCCCTAGGCACATAGACAAATCATATCCAGTCCAACGTGCGCTGGCTTTTATAAAGGCTGAGCAATTTGATGCTGCTCTTCGCGCTCTTGAGGCAGCATCTTGAATCTCCACTCCATCTGAAAAGACATTATTTCTCAAATTCCAAGCTCTCTATGGCCTCCAGAGATCTCGCGAGGGCTGTGACATTCCTCCAGTCCTTAAAAAGAAATACCTAAAAATGGTCATTGTGAAAACAAAGCTGAATCGCGCCTTAACTCGACTCGCAGAGCAGGAGATGGGCAACTATCCATTCAAGACCCTACACAAAGAAGCGACAGCACACTACCCACTTAAAATCGACTGTGCCACGTACATCGTACCCGGATGTGTGAGGCCCAACTCATCTCAAAGAAGGCGTTTATCCACAACAAGAGAAGTCAAAGCCGGGGATCTTCTTCTTTGCGAGAAAGCCTTCTCATATGCCTTCTATAATGAAGTTGCACGGAACCAGCCTCGCATGCTATTGATGAACACAGATAGAGACTCCATGGCTATCGGCTTGCAGGTAGAGATTATGGAGAAGACGGTTCAAAAACTGTACAAGAAACCATATGTGATATGCTCTTTATCAACCTTTACCATGCCCAGGTCAAATCCATCGATGTCTCAGAGGTAGATGTCCAGCCAATCGTGGACACCTAAGCTTCAACCCATCCAATGTCACTACTCAATCGAACCCGCTAACAACTTTAGCTTTCTCACCGAACGGATCATATCATATCATACAACTGCTTCGGCCGTCCTGTGTCCACCTGCGAAGCCCACACAACCAGCATAGCAAACTTCTCACCAGAAAACCGATACGAATTCTATTCCTGTAGGATATGGACCCTCGTATGATAGGTCAACCATTCATGCTGCGGCACCGCTCGGCACTAATTTATCGGAGACATGATGATTGTCCGGGCTTCACAGGACCTACTCCCCGATACCGAGAACACGTTCTGATACCAGTCGCCCTTCAGCCCTGGCGAAGACTCAGCAATAGATTTTCAGACTCGGGGCTTCAAATGTGATTGCATTATCTGCCAAAATATCCAGGAGAAAAGTATTCTGGAAAAGAGATGGAGACTCATACATGAGTTGGCAGTGGCTTTTGCAGATCTTAAAGTAGCTACTATCGAACCGGTCATTGCCAAGATAGCCGCGACATGCACTCCCAGCATCTCATGTTCCCTACATCTATCTCCGAGATCCTTATATGGCCCTTGCGATGCTGGAATCTGTCCAGAACCACCCATGGAAAACCATCACTTCCTGTTTGACGTGCCTTGAATCACTTGGGTGTGTCATGGAGGGCGGAAAACTTCCATATGCTGGTAAGTCCCTCCTCGTCAAGAAATGGGGATTGATGACCGATCATTTGGTAAGATGTTGGATGTGTCTTTCGCGAGCTTACAACGGTTTGTCCTTTGAGTTCTCAACCCAGGCACAGGAACATGCCCAAGTCACATGCAAGATTTGCGTCGGCGAGGATGAGATTTTCGAGGAGACAGACTTATGGGAATGTCTCGGTGCGGTCCGACGAGTTGCTGGATAAGAAATACAGGCCAGAGTCTGCGAATTGAGTGGCCTCAGTCAAAGGGTAGACGTGGTGAACATTGAGCGGGCTTGAATAGAGCTCATAGGCTTGCTAGGACATCATTCATTAGTAAATCTTTCGGACATGAATTGACAATTTTTCCTAGAAAAGTAAAAGCATTCATGTTTATTTAAGACCATTGAACGACTGGCGACAGCGCCACCGAAACCACATCTCTACAAACAGTACGTTGTGGGTTTTCAAACCCACATTTCCCCTACAGTGTGATTCAATATAATCTAAAGCCAGATAATATTCACATCGCTTCAAAGCGAGCCAAGGGAATCTCAAGTACAAAATGATTCAAAACTGTAAAAAAAAGCCTACCGGCCCGGGAGAAGTCAGTACGGACGACCAACATACTTCCATCAGAAATTTTGCTCCAACGTCATTATCGTCAAAATTCGTAGCTTTTACTTGCGGGCAGCGTGGACGGTTTCGATAATCTTATCCACAACGCTGGGATCGGAGAGCTGTAGAACGTTAGTATGGTTCGAATTTTGTGCTTGCAGGTGCGTTGAAAGGAAGCATGTTCTTACCGTTGAAGTATCACCGAGACTGTCTTCCTCGCCGCTAAGGATCTTGCGCAGGATGCGACGCATGATCTTGCCACTGCGAGTCTTGGGGAGGTCCTCGACGACGAAGACAGCCTTGGGAGCAGCGAAAGGTCCGATGGATTTGCGAACTTGCATAGCCAAGTCCTTGCTGATCTGTTCGGTTGTCTCGTTACCCTCCTTGAGAGCGACGAAGGCGTTGACAGCCTGGCCAGTGAGTTCGTCGGCGATACCGACGACAGCGGCCTCAGCAACGGAATCTGGATGCGATTAGCTGTGGTACAGTGTCCTGGTGTATTGGCTACTTACGGTGCTCCAAAAGTGCGGCCTCAATCTCGGCGGTAGACAGACGGTGGCCAGAGACGTTGACAACATCGTCAACACGGCCACGGATCCAGTAGTAACCATCGTGGTCACGGCCAGCACCATCTCCGGTGAACTAATCAAGTCAGATTTGTGTTTATCGCGCTGGATGGTAAGACACTTACGTAGTAACCCTTGTATACGTTCAGGTAAGTGTCCATATACCGTTTGTGAGCACCCCAAACGGTGCGGGCCATACTGGGCCAGGGCTGCTTGAAGGCCAACACACCCTCGACATCGTTGCCGAGAATCTCCTCCCCAGAAACAGGGTCGATAATAGCTGGCTCAATACCGAAGAAAGGCAGCGAAGCACTACCGGGCTTAGTGGGGGTGATACCACCGAGAGGAGTGATGACGTTTGAGCCAGTCTCGGTTTGCCAGTATGTCTGTAGTACCAAAAGTCAGCAAAAATTCCAAGGGGTTCCAAGAGGGAAACGAACATCACAAATGTGAGCTTCTTCTTTGCCGACAGCCTCGAAGTACCACTTCCAAACCTCCGCAGCAATTGGCTCTCCAACCGAGCCGAGAATACGAAGACTGCGCATCTTGTGGTGAATGTGCTCGTCTCCGGCGCGCTTCAACAGACGCAGGGCGGTGGGCGCGACGTAGAATTGGGTGACGTCGTACTTGTCGATAACATCCCAGTAGCGGGAGAAGTTAGGGTAGGCGGGTGTACTTTCAAACACAACGGTGGCACAGCCAAGCAACAGAGGAGCGTACACAACATAGGTGTGACCGGTAATCCAACCAACATCACCACCACAGAAGTAGCGGTCATCTTCGTGAATATCAAACACGTACTTGCCGGTCATGGCAGCACCGAGCAGGTAACCGGCAGTGGTGTGCATAACACCCTTGGGCTTACCGGTGGAACCGGAAGTGTACAGAAGGAAAAGAGGGTCCTCGGAGCTGACGGGTTCAGGGGCGAGGTAGTTAGGGTACTTCTCGACCTCCTCGTGCCACCAGATGTCGCGGCCAGCAGTCCAGGGCACCTCGGCGCCGGTGCGCTTGTAAACCAGCACGGTGTGCACATCGGGACACTGCTTCATGGCCTCATCGACAATCTTCTTAGTGCCAATGACCTTGCCGCCACGCTTGCCCTCATCGGAGGTAATTACGACCTTGGAAGAGGCGTCCAGGACACGGTCCCGGAGGGAGTCGGATGAGAAACCGGCGAACACGACGGAGTGCACGGCACCGATGCGAGAGCAGGCGAGGAAGGCGATCACGGCCTCGGGAATCATGGGCAGGTAGATACCGACCGTGTCACCCTTCTTCACGCCGCGCTCCTTGAGGGTCCAGGCTACGCGGGACACCTCGCGCATCAACTCTCCATAAGTGATCTTCCGGCCCTCATTGGGCTCGTCAGCCTCATAGATAATGGCGACCTTGTCTGGGTTCTTGAGGGCGTGGCGATCGACACAGTTGTAGGATGCGTTCAAACGACCCTCAACGAACCAGGCATTGTCGCCATTCTCGAATGAACCGTGGTGTGTGGTTTGAAAGTCCTTGTCGAATGTGAGGAGCTCGCGGGCCATGCGGGCCCAGAAAGTATCGGGACTGCGGATGGATTCATCGTAGAGCTTTTGGTACTCTTTGATATCCTTGAGGTGGGTGCCGGTGGGGTGCTTGTCGTGGAATGCTTTAGGGACGTGGAAAGTGTCGACCTCGTGTGCTTCAAGCACCTATTTCCAACAAGAAAATCAAAATATTAACCAAGATCCATCTGCGTGTTTTGGCCATTGAAGCCATAGTCGAGTAATTCTTACCACTGTGGGCTTGGGAGGCTGAACGGGGCCGTCCGACATAATTGCGGGGTTCAATTAAAAGGGACAATGTGAAATCGTCAAACTGAGGGATCAATTCTATGACAGTTAGAATATCATTCCAGGGGAAAGCAATTGCGACCGAAATGTGGGGTAGTGTAAGGTGGGATGAGTGAGCTCTGAGGAAGTTAACAACATACTCTTTATAGAAATAGATTATAGACACATAGGGGTATAAGAGGGGAGAGAATATAATTGAAAAGTAAAAATTATTCCAAATGCAGGGGATCCACGACAATTAGTAGTCCGAGGCGAGAAAGAGACAGAGGTGGAGAGCGATGTGCCACTCCCCTAAGTCTTTTTACACCCATATCCGGGGTGGTCCGTGCACATAAATTACGGCTGCAGGCGGTTAGGTTACTCTTTTCGAACAGAAACAGAATATTCTCACCATTACTTCTATCATCGTGGGTTATTTCTATTACATCTCTGCCTACATCTACATCTATAATATTTTCTTTACTTTCATTCTATTTCTTGAATGCAACACATGATTCCCTTTCTTAGTACAATATTGTTCTACAACATACATTGGGTTCGGCCATGCGGGTCTGTCAAATATCTTCCGTTGCCCCGTAAGCCCACGGTAATTGACTAAGATTCTGCTTCCCATTGGTGTTAACCGGAGATCCCGTATAACTAACCCTTTGTCCGAACCTGACCCCGCTTAACTTGGCTTAGCCAAGGCCCGGGGTCATCACGGGCCAGGGGAGTGCGGGCCACAGGAGATGCAAGTACCTCAATAAATACATACACGGCTATCGTTTTTCGGGCCAGACCCCCGAATTCATATATTTGAGGATCTGATGATTTTTGGTCCATTGAACTTTGATACGATGTCATTCATTCATTATTGATCATGATGTCAGGTTCCAATTTTAGGGACTGAGTATCCCAAAACTTTACCAATGTTCACCCTATAGAACCTCGAGCTCTCGGCGCATCACAAGACCGGATCACCGAGAACTGCGGGGAGTGGAGATACTGTATGTGCGTCAAGCGGCGAACCGCCAATTACTTCCACTTTCTTTAGTCGCTTTAGTGTCAACTTCGTCGAGCCGCGTTCTTTATTGACACTATTAATCAGATGATCATACATTGGTATTTATATTCTCTATATATATTCTAGGTCGTTATAATTTTCATAAGATACACCGCACCGGTCGCATTATTATTAAGCCTACATCGACTTACACTGCCTACGGGTGAAACCACCGCATTTAACATGTAATACCTTGTTGCACAGCATTATATATTTTGCACAATACACGTTGTATGAGTTAGCATTGTTAGGCTGAATTCCATTGTGGGGGGTTTTGTGGGACTGCCAGTGATTATTATGTCTCACTTCTCAGGTTTTAAGCATGTTTTAAGCATTCAATCTGTTATTCTGCTTACATTAAGGGTACATCTTTAAATAAGTTTATCTATACTAATAAATTTAACTATACTATATGTAAATATATAGTTATATATACATATGGGGATATTACTCAGTTCAATAACAGATGGCTAGCTAGAGTCCCTACGTGTAACACTACGTTGTAACTTGTCATGTCCACTTTTCACGATCTTCACTGTAACTGTAACTGCACCCCGAAGATCAATGTGAACAACACACTGCAGCTAAGAAAAAAAGGTTACTTAAGATCCACTTCATCCCACTTCATCCCACTTCGCTTCCCAACAAATCTTCGCAATTCAAATTTCTTAGACTGGTATCCGATACGTTCAGTACAGTCCAGTGTACAATATTGTACAATAATGTAAACAGTATTCTTACGGGAAGAACCCGAGGTCAGTCGCCCAATAAGGACAGTGAATTTTGCGATATTTTCAATCAAAATTGTGGGAACAGCCCCTCAAATCCCCATACGTACCACACTCCGGTGTGCATGCATGGAAGGATTCCGAGAAAAGGCCGCACTAACTCCATGGCTGCAGGCCCAACAATATTAATACAGAATAAAACCTAACAAATTTACAAAGTCTCCAATATTCATTATTAGTCGCTAGTACGGAGTACACTCAATAGCTTCCCGCACGTATCCTGGCAAGAAATCCTGGTCAGACCCATCCAATGCGGTCCATTTGATCGCACCAACGCAAGATCCATCATTGGACATTGACCCCGAACAAGCGCCTGTCGCCACATATCGACCAATCCCGGGGAACGAAGAGCGTGTTCTTTCGACGGGACCTGGACCATAAGAAGCATCATGAAGCTGGGAAGAGCCGCGAAACCGATCCGACACCGTGAGAACTAGAATGCGGATAGATCGTAGGACATCCGCAGGACAGAGCAGAGCATGGTTGCGGCACAGTTCTCTGCTGCTTTGAGGACTGCGTTGCCCGTGTCGTTGTCTATCGCGGGGACTGGGTCGATTTCTTTCGCGGATATCATATGTGCGATGTACTCGTCTACCATTGTTGCGAGGCTATCTTGGGGCTCCTCGATTAGGCGTGGTGGGGCTGCGGAGCGGACCATTGGTCTGAGCAAGGCGCGGAAGATGAACACTTCGAGCAGACTGTAGGTAGAATGGAGGCAGTTTGATTGCTTCTTCTGGAGGAAGGGTTTGCTCTGATGACGGAGGCTGAGTGGGAGCTGGGAGTACCACTCTTTTAGCCTCGCCAGCAAGGAGCGTGCTGTTTCGAGTGATTCGGGGAAGTTGGATGATAGGCGTTGGGCGGCGAGCAGGGAACTGACAATTGGATGAGCATGCTAACCTCGGATTCTGCGCTTGTGTGGGGGAGCTAACTATAGGCGATGCTGGACTTCGTCGGCAAGACACGATAAACGTGCGAAGCTCTGAAACTGGAGTGCATGAAGAGCCTCCCGGGCTTCATTGTCCAGCGTCAAGGATTCAGTGTCGATCTGAAAGTCATCATCGTCGAGATCTGTCACATCCCATTCATTGTGTCGAATAATCGGCGGACGGCCCATCAGCGGGCTGCGCCATTTGTCCTCGGAGTACATAGCCCACCAAAGTCTTCTGCGCAGTCGGCGTTCCCATGCGGGCAGACCCATTGGTCGGCACTCTCATTGGAGGCCTAGTGAGGTTGCTAGACCAACTAGCATGCCGACGAATGACCACACCAAAGGGCTGTCGGCGACGGCACTTTGACGTCCCTGGTATTGCTTGTGCAGGTATAGGAGGCCTGCCTGCAGAGTCGCTAGGTGTGGTGTATGGATTTCTTCGAGTATCGATTCGAAAGTGATTCGCCATAGTCTATCTGTTGGTGGCGATGCGTATGCATCTACGACACTCAGGTACTCGTTCAAACTTCGTTAACGGTTGGGCGGATGCATAGATGGCTTCTAGGAGGTGAACTGGTGTTTTTCCAAAATGCTTATCAAATCGTATTAGATTAGGGATCAAAAGAAAATGTGTAGATCCGAAAATAGTGGGACAAGTCTGGAGTCCGCCGAACATCATGACCTCTTGGACCAATCACCATCTTATTTCACCGAGTATGTATTTCTAAGCTCAGCGACATTGTCCAATCAAAGATCGACTTGGCCAATCGCTCTATACAACATGTTGAATTTGACACCAACATTCGAATTAGAAAGAACGTGAGGAGATTGTATAAATTTTTCGGCGGTTCTTCTACATTTGGGCAGCAGATATAACTGTAATTTGTTCTATGTTCGCCACGAAAAATTAGATACAAGCTCGATGAACATGCTGTTATCTCCAGCACTGCCCGGAATTAACGTCGCTCCCGATGCTCTTGAGGCTCCGAAAAACAACAAGTACCCAAAAAGAGGTCTGCAAGCATGGTCCGTCGTGTTGGGAGCTTGGTGCGTGATGGTTCCGTCGATGGGGCTATTAAACAGTCTGGGCATTCTGCAAGTCCAGGAAGATGTTTGCAAGGACTGGTAGCTGATCGAGTAAGTCGCTTTAACGTGATGGTGTTGACTTCGTTGATTTGCTCAATCTTGACACTTGCATTGTGGTTAAAAGCTGGCAACAGCCTGGCTGGTATCATATGCTACGCCGTTTTCTTGAGCTTTTGGAGTGGTCCTGCTTTTAGCCTAACTCCGGTGTTTATCTCTCAAATGTGCGCAACCGAGGATTGCGGGAAGCGAAACGGGACAACATTCATTATTGTTAGTTTCGGCACGTTGGTAGGGATTCCGATTGTGGGTGCCATCCAGGGACGGGGTGGTGGCGAATATGGGGGGCTTACTGCTTTCGGTGAAGGGCTTTAATTTTTGGCCGCCACGATGGCATTCATTCTCGCCCGGATTATCTGTGCAGAATGGTCGTCCAAAACCAAAATTGAAAACAATAAACATACATGCGTATGTAGCCCATGAGGAAGAGAGGGAGAGAAATCAACGCAAGATTTCATGAGCTCCCAACATTGTCACCAGACGCGAGTCAGCCTCATGCGACACAGCCCCCAGTATGGATCCAATAAAGGAACAACACATGTATTCCTGTAACCTTATGATGCAGGGCAAGTCAAATTGAAGAAAGATGACGCTAAAATCATGCAGCCACGCGCAGCTCAGGGACCAACCACCAAGCCTCGCTCCAATTGGTGTAGGGATCTTGAATCTGTATAGCCAGAGATCTAGCTCCATCTACCAGCCAACATTGTAGATCAGGCAGAGCTGTGTTGTCCATTGTGACAAAATAGTAAAGATCTCCTTCGATTATATCGTAATGTATGGACTTCGGCGGCCCCCGACGGGAATCCATAAGATGTGTCATGGCAACATGGAGGTCGGAAAACGGAATTCCACGTCCAGACTTTGGAGCAAAAAGGCATATAAACGCGCTAGATTCCCTTTTGATCTAGATGTTGAACCAGAACTTCCAATATATCTATTTTGTGTCAGTGATACAACTCAAATAAAACATCAAACATCAGAACTGGAAGGTAGAACAAGACAAACCCCAAGATGACGGGCAAAGAAATTGGAAACAACATCAAGACCAAAGTTCGGTCTATTTTGTCTACCAGTGACAGTATATCGAAAATATCTAATGAGTCGAGAACATATCCTGAGTAAGGTGTTCTCACATTTGTGAATGTCGTTCCCTCTGACCCAGCTGCAGCAATCAAGCAAGGGTGATTTGTTATGCTGTTCCAGCTTCTGTTACTTATAACGGTATACTCTGACCATGTATTGTTTTATTCAAAGATATTAACCAATGCCAGGAGATCAATGTTTTGGTTCTTGTTGCCGGGGTAAGGGCTACACTCGGTAGAAAGCCATGGGATTTTGTTGATATGTACTAGATTCTGTTGTCGATCTTGAGTATCTGAGGGTTTGATGAGTGATATATTTTTCTTGGATATTTTGTACTTTTACATACTCGCTGGTTATGCCGTGCCTGTGAGTCTCCAGCACTACTGATCTGCTGGGAGGATTTGTTGTTATTCTGGCAACTTCGAAACACAAGATTTTCATGATTTGGTTTATTAGTCTCGCGATCAAGCCCATGTAGTGAGTATACGTGTACAGGTATAGGTTCCCCAAGGCGAATTTAGGGTTTACATGTTGCGGGAAGGCGTTCTCCGCGATGAGCCGCCAAAGGTTTCTTTCTTTATTCTTTGCCAGTAATATCTCGCCGAATAATTGATTTTGAATCTGTCAGGTTATTTGGCCCTTGCGACCGTACCCACACCTGTTGTGAGAAGGCGCTGTCAAACTCCTCGATCGGCAAGGGATCCCAAGGCCGATTTTCTGCCCAACTAAATACTTTCATTAAAATTGTACTTAAGCATTCATTCCAAACTTCAAGTCCTATTCAATGAGCAAAAATACACAGCGTTGGCTCTCACATAATGTACGGCAAACGCGCAACACGCGCTCTGCATTCCAATGCCCGGCGATTTTCCACTGCCACCAGACTTCAAGCAACGTCCGGTCTCAAGATCAATTCAGACAGGCTATGGAACACCTTGCACGAAACCTGTAAATGGGGTGCTGCACATAAATATGGCGAGTATGTATGAAAATATTTGGACCAAGGAACAAATCTAATGCAATGACAGAAACCCAACGGATACCGGCATGGCACGCCTGACTCTCAATGACGATGATGCACGCGTGCGCAAGTGGTTTGCCGCCGAAGTTCAAAAGCTGGGATGCTCCTTGTCCATTGATCAAATGGGTAACATGTTTGCCAGGCAGCCGGGGCGGTTGAACTCGACTGCGCCAATGATTGCAATGGGAAGTCATCTCGATACCCAGCCTCGTGGCGGTCGGTATGATGGCATCCTTGGCGTGATGGCCGCACTGGAGGTTCTGCGCACGATGAAAGAGAGTGGATTCAAAACTAACTATGATGTTGGAGTGGTGAACTGGACCAAGTAAATATCACTTTGCGATGGTTCTCGCGAGATTGTCACTAATACGAGTCGATAGCGAGGAAGGTGCACGGTTCCCCAAATCAATGTGTTCTTCTGGTGTCTGGGCTGGGGCGATTCCGATTCAAAAAGCTTGGGATTTGCGAGATATCCATGACCCCACTGTTACTCTCCGCTCCGAGCTGGAAAGGCACGGGTATCTAGGCGATATTGCTTGTTCTAGCGATCCGGCCACCGGATACCCACTCGGAGCTCATTTCGAATTGCATATTGAACAAGGCCCGATTCTCCCAGAGAACAACCGGTCAATCGGCGTCGTCCGCGGTGCTCAAGGATACAGATGGTTGACTATGACCGTCTACGGAAAAGACGCCCACACTGGAACAACACCATTCAGTGCCCGTCAGGACCCTTTGCTTGCGTCCTCAAGGATGATTGCAGCTTCGCATGACATCGCCAAGAAGCATGACGCCCTGGCCTCTACGGGTATCATCAGGGTTCCTTCGAACGCATCTACCAACACTGTCTCATCGCAAGTAACATTCACGCTCGATATTCGGCACCCACAGGATAATGTGGTTCATGCCGTACAAGATGAATGTCTCAAGGCATTTGAGATTATTGCATCTCAGGATGGCAAGGGGGTAACCTTTGACTGGACATTAGATACAGACTCTCCAGCTGTCAAGTTCGACGACGACTGCGTGGCATCTATCCAGGCGGCTGCTGATCAGCTCGTTGGCAGAGAGAAATCAATGCTCATGACCAGTGGTGCGGGTCATGATACTGTCTACACTAGCAAGCACTGTCCCTCGGCGATGATATTTGTCCCTTGTCTGGATGGCGTTAGTCACCACCCAACAGAATACTGTAGTCCTCAGGATTGGTAAGTCTCGTTCTACTGATTAAACTATTTGGATTCTGACCTTCGCAGTGCTCTCGGCACCCAAGCTCTTCTCGAAGCTGTGGTTCATTATGATCAGTCCCGGGCAGAGAAGGTAAAATGAACAAGCATGATTCATAAAAATGTTCGACATACTCTAGATAGATTTGGAACAGTCAACGTTCTCTATTCTTTTTCTTTGTCGCAAAATGATTATATTTTGCCGTTACAATATATGGAGCCAAAAAATAACAAACAACGAAAGATCTTCAAGGCTACATATGTAATCATGTTTACCGGATTTCCCCTAGCGGATGGGGTTTTCCTATTTAGGCTGCCGCCGCTTTCATGAGGGCGCTCAGACTCAGGCACTCAGAGATCTCAGCACGAGCTCAGGGTCAGTGATGAGCTTAGACTAGTCACGTGTATGATGACTGATTATATGTAGATGCTCATTAGATGCTCACTGATTACTCCGTACTCAGTAACACTCTGTGTCTACTGTGATCAGTGAGCAACTATGATTACTTAGACTATGTCTTTAATGGAACAGCACCACAGGGCCGTTTATACCGTGATTCTTAGTTCGATGATAGTATCGCACTTACCCTGATTTTCTAAAGGTTGGGTTTATTTGTACCCAGCACTAAGCCCCATTAGGCCATCACATGAGAGCCACTTATACCCTGCGCTTTTAAATGGTAGTGCCTCCGCGTGGCCTGATAGCGTTTGCTCCCTCTGGCGAAAAGATAGACACCTCTTCGTGGTGCTGGAGACTAGTACGCAAACAATGATTGTTCTGCGGAAGCTAAGACCTATCTTCGAGATTTGATGTTAGACTATTGAGGAAGACATTTTGACGATCGAGGCCAACCTAGTATTGGAGATGACCATAGTAGACAGGGCATCTGGGACAAATGCGGAAATATATGTAGAAGGTAATAGTGTTAAGTGAGCATTGTGCTAACACTTGAAAATTCATTCCCAAACAGCTGCTCCACCGCACAGCGCAGGCAACCAGACTGGGTACCAAAAACTAGCCCGCGCGTGAGCAGAAGAAGCCTGCATGCTGGACTACCTACAGGGCCTCGATCCAGCCCCTAGGCTGTCCTCTCAAAATGCCCAACTCGGCAAGAACCGACGGATCCTGGCAAAAGCACCAGGATCCGGGCCCAGGTACGCCCCGGGGCCGAGCGGATGGTCGGCGCACATGCGGACGTCGGCCATCGTAACGCCCTCGGGCAGCTCTGCTGGGTCGATCCTCATCACGCCCAGGGTCCCGCACTCGGCTTCCGCCGCGGCGACCTCGTCGGGGGTTGCGTCTGGACGGAGAGCGGCGAGGGCAGTGGTTGCAGAGATGCCAAGCAGGAAGGAGAGGTAGGTGAGGGGTTTCATGTTGGAGTTGGGTCAGGCGATGACCTTATAGAGTGTTGTAGTCAGCCCAAGAGAAAAAGAAAAAAAAAAAGGGAGACGAAGAGCAAAAGAGGTCTGGCCAAGAAGGAACGATGGGAGGAAGGGGATTTTGTACCTTTGAAAGTCACGCAGGAATACTGGAAGTGTATTTAGTGAGTGTAAAGGGGAAGGTGGCAGGCACTAATCCTCTGAGAAATGAAGATATTAATATGTTGGGAAGCAGTGGGCTTGATCCTGGCTGCTACTAGCGGGCAAGTATATAAGACTCTCGTTCTGAGCAGGGGCGTGGTGAGGCTCGGTGCTGGATCTCAGCGCTTAGCCTGGTGGACAGCCTGCTTCTTTATACAGCTAATACCGCCGGCGTCAGACGAACAGGCGACGTGGTCGAAAGTCACCCTGGGCAGCCCGATTGGTCAGTAACCTTGTTTGCTGCCTGGTCACAGGCCAACCTTGATGGACAAAGGTACTCACTTTCCAGGTAAGGATCTATCCAACCACTGGGCCTTCGAGTTGAGTCATGGAGCACAGCCAGTGAGGTCTCACCCTGTCACCGCTCTTATCCACGAATGCAGGCACACAGGAAACTTTCATATCTGATTAGAATAGAGTGCCCGCTCGCAAGGGCATGGCAGGACTGGGCTCATCAACGTAATGTCAGGTTTACAAAGACACGCTCTAAAACTCCATTCTCACAGGACAATCATAGTGCGCCGGACCGGCCCGACCTTGGAGTGGGGAAGCAACCGTTTTTCAAATAGTATTAATCGGTTGGGCTTGGTTAAATTTGGGGAATTTGTTGGGTGTCGCTCTGTTGGCATCCCTGATGACTAGGTCGCGGAATCTAGGTTTTAACATAGCAAATCACGGTGCCACCACGGGGATAGTCTAAGATAGAGGCCAAGCGGAGTTGTCGAGGCTCATGGCCTGCTTCCTCTTCCAAAGTTGCCACAGTCATTTAATCACTCTAGTGATATGGGGCTTTCTTTGCTCTCCTTTTGTGACCAATGATGAATTCCGGAGCCGAGACTTCCAAGTGGCAGGCACTCAGAGAAGCTCTTGCTTGCTGTGAACAAGCGCAAAAAAATGACTCTATTTCTCCCATGTCTCAGCTCAAAGTGGCTGAGCCGTTAAGGGTTCAAGAGAACCAACAGACGATAGGGGCGTTGATTGGTTGGCGGCAATCATGGTGGCACTTTAACGGCGCGTCACATGGAGATCTGTCCGATTGGCTATGGGCGAAATAGTGACATACAGCAAGGCAGGTAGAGAACCGCTCTGGGAGACTAATCACAGATCCTTGGACTAAGAGATAACCTGCCTGAGCGCAAAAGTTCTGGGAGAGGCTACTGGCCTTGCCCTATATACAGTATATGTCGGCGCAAAAAGCCTTAGAAGGCCAGTATGTTACTGAATAAACCTGGTTCTACATAGCCCAAGACAAGTGGAAAGACCAGAATGAACAGGCAGCTGCTACCGGCTATCCATCTACTTTACTAAGAGAACCATGCGGACATTCTCTAGCTGCATCAAGCCAGTCCTACACTACATGGATTGCACGACTAACAGGCCGGGGGATTGGTGGACTGGTTCAATATAACCAGGGGTCAACGAGGGTTGAGGTTGCGTTGCACCTGCGGTCATCGACCTCGCCAGCGCTCTTGCTCATCAAAATCCTGCTCATCGGGATAAGGACCAAGTACGGTGATCAGTTCACGGGAGGCGGGAGGCCATGGGGTCTGGATGGTAGTATCGTCTCTCGGATGTAGACGCTCCTTTCTTTACAAGAAGAGGTATAAAGGTAAGACCATTCCCATCCATTCAAGATATATCCAGCTAGGTCTATCCTTCTTATAACAACACAGTCTGATATCCAGTCCAAGGTTCCACTTGCCCAAGAACGCACATCTCTCATCTACGATGAAGTTCCCCATCACCATTATCAGCATGCTCGCCCTCTCCTCCGCGATGACAATAGTACTGATTTGGAGATCCGGGTATAGATGTCAAATGGAAATGCCCCCTTCGAATTGCCAAATTCAACACCTATATTCTTCCTAAACCGAAATATCGAAGACGCCAAAAAATGGAACAGAAAGTGGAAGCAAATAGAAAAAAAAAAGATTCAAACCAAGATAAAAGGAATTGTCGTGAGAAGGCGCAGAAAAACGGCTAAGTCGATTCTGAGTCCCCACTTGTCACCAGAAGGCGCCATGTCCTTGGAAGGCTCAACTTACTACAATTACATCTGGGTAGAAATGGGGGAGATAAGTAAACTGCAACTCCCGGACTTGTCGTAAATTATAAACAGTAGGCACAATATACACTGCCAAAATGCCATATCGCCGGCCGATCTACTTCAACCCCGCGGCAGCAAATGAGCGCATCACCTCTCCGCAGATCGAAGGCCTCACACAATTCCACCAATCCTTCCCTAATTATGCGCCAACACCACTAGTCGAACTTCCAGAGCTTGCAAAGGAGCTAGGCGTTCGTTCTGTTCTAGTCAAAGACGAAAGCAACCGGTTCGGTCTACCCTCTTTCAAAGTCCTTGGTGCGTCATGGGGATGCTTCCGAGCGGTTGCAGCACGCCTCGGGCTGCCTTCTACAGTTGCCCTCGATGAGCTCTCAGTCAAAGCAAAGGATGCCTCAATTGTTCTGACAACTGCATCGATGGGAAATCATGGAAGGGCAGTTGCGTTTATGGCTCGATTGCTCGGCATCGAGGCGCGCATCTTCGTTCCTCGCTCTTTGGACCAGGGAACGCGTGATCTCATTGCTTCCGAAGGGGCAACTTTGGTTGCTGTACAGGGAGATTATGATCAAGCTGTGCAAGAGGCCTTGAAGAATAGCCTTGAACAGGGCGTGCTTCTTATTCAGGATACTGCGTTCGAGGGATACGAGGATGTTCCTGCATGGATTGTGGAAGGGTACTCGACTATGATGAATGAGATTCAGGATGGGCTTGCCCGCCTTGAACTCCCAGGCAGCCTGATGGTTACCCCTGTTGGCGTGGGCAGTCTTGCGCATGCAGTGGCGAAATATTGCAAGTCACAGGGTACCCCCATGTCTGTGGTTGCTGTCGAGCCGGACACGGCGGCCTGTCTGTCTTCCAGCTTGAATGCCAGACAACTGGTGGCTGTGCGGAGCTCTGGGACCATCATGGATGGCATGGACTGTGGTACAGTGTCTTCTACTGCTTGGCCTGATCTACAGCGTCTAGTCGATGCCTGCGTTACGGTGTCGTCTTATGAAAGCCATTGTGCAGTACAATATCTGCATTCAAAATCCGTGAATGCTGGGCCATGTGGTGGTGCATCGCTAGCTGCCCTGCGACACCTGGCTACATCCAAGGAAGGATCTCTTCTGAACAAGGATTCTGTCGTAGTCCTCCTCAGCACTGAAGGTGCACGTGAATATTCTATTCCGAAAGATGTCTGTGTCGATGATGCAGTTGGTTTGACTCAAGCTTTGACTCAGATCAACTCCTCTAACCCGACACTGTCCGTCGCCGATGGAGTGGGCGAGACTGAGATTGCGAACTATCTTGCAGCTTGGTTTTCCCACCGGGATATTGAATACCATTGGATTGAGAAGGTTGCGGGACGACCATCCATTGTTGGAGTTCTGCGTGGTAGTGGAGGTGGAAAATCTCTCATGTTCAACGGTCACATCGACACTGTCAGTCTCTCTAGCTACGAAAAAGATCCCCTTTCTGGATCCATTGGGAGCAAGGATGGCAAGGAAGTTATCTTTGGACGAGGCTGCCTCGATATGAAGGGTGGTTTGGCCGCAGGTTTGGCGGCTCTCTCGGCCACAAAAGCCAGTGGTCGTGTTCCTCGGGGCGATATCATCGTGGCTGCGGTATCAGACGAGGAGGATGCCTCGCAAGGAACTCAGGACCTAATAGAGGCCGGCTGGCGTGCTGACGCGGCTGTTCTCCCTGAGCCAACCCAGGGGGCGGTCCTGACTGCTCACAAGGGATTCGTCTGGGTCGAAGTTGATATCTTGGGAGTGGCTGCGCACGGGTCCGATCCTTCATCTGGAGAAGATGCCATTATTTATGCCGGATGGTTCCTGCAGGCTCTGGAGGAGTACCAGTCCCAGTTGCCAACAGATGATCTCTTGGGTCAGGCATCGCTGCATTGTGGCTTGATCCGGGGTGGCGAAGAGCCCTCTTCCTACCCTGATAAATGCACCATCACAGTCGAGTTCCGTACAGTCCCAGTGCAAACAGAGGAATCTATCTTGGCAGACATTAAAGCGCTATTGGAGGGGATTACGCTTAAGAATGCTCGTTTCAAATACGCCAACCCTCGCATTACGATGTCGCGACCGACGCAGAAATTGCCGACTGATCATCCGTTTGTGCAGCAGACCGTTGCATGTGCCTCTGCCGTCTTGGGAAGTGAGCCTGTCGTTGGGTCTGGACCCTTCTGGACCGATGCAGCCTTGCTTGGTGCGGTGGGTGTTCCTTCAATCGTATATGGACCTGCGGGAGAGGGTTTGCATGCCAAGGAAGAATGGGTTGAGGTTGAAAGTCTTCGGCAATTTGAGAATGTTTTTACTCAACTTGTACAAGACTTTTGCTACTAAAGATATTTAGTCTCATGCAGTATAAAAATGAAGCTTGAGTGTTGACAAGCATGTTCTGCTATCTTTTGCTATATCTTAAAAATAGAAAATGATATGTAAACAATTCATCCATACCCTCACATCATTTTCTTCCCTCATAATGTACAATCCACATTTAGGGCTGCCCTGCGTTGAGTGTTCGGGCATTGAACTTTTTCATCTTCATCGGTATACTCATCGAGCTATCAAGAGGTTGAGGTAACAGTTGAAAGATAGTTGTCGTCGCTAAGCCCTACGGCATTGCTAATGGTGCTTGGCGGTCTCTAGTAAGGCGATGATCACGAGTTATACACATAAAGCCGGATGTTCTGTATAAGAGATCGCATTCAGGTAGGTCTTTCAAGTGAGGCAAGAAGGGAGCTTTCATTAATTCAAGTATGTTGATCGTTGACGGAGACAGTTAAACACCTAACAAAGAGCTAGAAGCAATGCCGTGTTGACTTTCCCTGAGCTAGTTCAAAGTTATGCCGAGTTAATGCAGTTGAATAAGATCACTGAGATTAATGAATTATTGAGAAACAGAGCCCGGCAGATTGAATCATCTTGGATGAAGTTGTTTGTAGTGAGTTGATTTGTGTACGTAGAGTTCCAAGGTTGGGTGTTCTTATCGCCACGGGACTTGGCTGACATCCAGAGCACAACCTCCAGGTTCTCAAGACCTGTGACCCCGTCCCACTCGTTCCTAGACGGATAACCTCGCCTTCAAGACACCACAATAATTCATTGTCTTGAATCACATACACAATGTCAGAAGAGTCACCAGCTCAACGATCTGCCCGCGTGCGCCGTGAGCGCCGTGAGGCCAAAATCAAGGAAGGAGGCTCAGCGCGCCTGGACAAAATTACCAGTCTGAGCGGACGCACGCCACAAGCAGGTACGAACTGAAAATCATATTCATCGTTTCATGGCTCGATACTCTAGCTCCGATGTCCATCGACCACACTTGTACATGATGCTAACAACAAACCAACAGAGCGTGAAGAAGCATCCCCATCCCCCCAACCCGCAATCTCCGCATCTCCCTCCCCAGCACCGCAATCCCAGCTCCGCGCATCGCCATCCCCTCAACCAGACATGCAGTCCCCGGAAGCTATCCGTGCCCAGCAGGAAGCCTTCTTCTCGATGCTCCGCCAACACGCTCCCGACCAGAACCAAGGACTGCACCCAGACCCCCAAGCACCGAATTCCTTGCAAGCACAGCAGGAAATGTTCCGCGCAATGCTTCGACAAGGCGCACCTGAACAAGGCGCAGGCTCGGGACAAAGAACAGGCCCGGATGACGAAGACCCCACCATCAAGCTCTTGAACTCTCTCATGGGCGCGATTCCAGGTGGTGATCCTAGTGCTGCTGGAGCTGGAGCACCACCAGGAGCAGGTGCCTCGGGTCTCGGTTCATCACTTCCCGCCATCGCAACCATGCTCGGCGTGCCACCTTTCCTTGCTAATATGCTTGGTGGAGCGGCGCCAACGGAGGCGGAGCAGAAGCGCGAGAAGGTGTGGAAGACTCTGCATACTATCTTTGCACTGGCGGTTGCTGGGTATTTGCTATTTATTATTGGGTCCTCAGTTGCTTTGTTTGGTACTTCACCGCCACCACCTGCAACGGCTCAGAGTCCCTATGCTATCTTCGTTACTGGGGAGTTGCTTTTGACTGGTGGGAAGGTTTTGTTCGGTGGGAAGTCTGGGATGGGGATGGCAGTACAATTGTTCAAGGATGTGGTTAGAGATGGTAGTATTGTCCTTTTCATGTTGGGCATGGGGACTTGGTATCATCGTGAATGGCAAGGAGTGGAGCACTAGGGTGCGAATGTTCGGTTATGATCACAAGAGCATTTCGCATATGTTATGTCCATTACGTCTTCATAATTCGTATTACTTTTTCCTCAAGTAGGTAAACTTGCCAGGCGTTGAGATGGTAAGACAGCATTTCGCAGAACGCTCATAGTGGAAGCATCCAGACCCCAATCACCTTCCCATTCATCCATCTGAGAGCCTTTTTTGAAATGTTCAGCCAAATGTTCCGCACGCGCGGGCCAGGTGGACAAGGAACATCCGCAAAATCCACAGCGGCTTTGCACGTTCGTGCCTGACCCACGCCATGCGTCGAGGTCAGGCACAGGCGGTTTAGTGCAACTGTGAAATTTACGTAGATGCTGCCACAGATAATCTTTTCGACTGAACGTCCGTTCTTGGACGGGTTTCTCGACACAGACATTAAATTCATGCTCTTCCCAGTGGGCTGGCGTTGGGAATAACACGTCACAAAAGGCGCATTCCGATGATTGGAGGTCGAATGATTGTTGGACGTTATTAAGATTGGGGGTGCATACCCATGAGTCAAGAGCGAGGTGGACACTTTTCTCATGGCGTGACCAGTCGTGTTTTTTCTTGAATGATTGTGCACAGAATGTGCATCTGTACTGATAATTCCCGCTTGGTCGTTGTCGCCCCCGAATGCGTTTTGGTTTGCTAGGTTTGGATAGTTGAAAGGATAACCCTGTCTCTCCAGAAGAATGATGGCTCCATGCCGATGAGCCGCTCTCAGAGGTCTCGGATGCTTTGCTTCCGACGCTGGATACTGAGGTGGCCAGATGCGAGGAACTTTCGTCAAAATTGAACATGTCCATACGAGACCCATCTAGTTGAAATGGGTCAAAGCTGTGCTCCGACTCTATTGATCCAGACATGATAGCATTTTGAATTGCTGCCTCTGGGACAGGTTCATCGTCCGGTGGAGAGGCCTGCCATCGCTCCATGGGAGTCAGGGAGGCCAACGTTCCTTTGACCATAGGAGAGCTCGCGCGAGTACGTGATGTCGAAGCCAGACCCGACGACTGGAGTTTCTGTTTCTGGCGGCGACGGGCATTTGCAAACCAAGTTGATAAGCGTTTTGGAGAGAAGCCGGTTTCTAGCGAGAGTTGGTTCTTTTGTGCCTCCGTGGGATAGGGACATTCCTGGTTCTGATAGAACCACTCGCGTAATACTCTGGCTCCCTTTCTGATAAATTGCTTGGGCTCTTTTCTTTCATCGCCCAGTTCTAGTTTTTCTGTAATTGCGGTTTCATCTTCCGGGACACCGTGAAGATGGCCCAAAACTGGGGATAGAGTCTCAAAGCCCGACGGGAGGCGTTTCTCGCCCCTTGCCAGGCTGCACTCCCTAAACAAAGCCACGCAGCTCGAGCAAGATGTCTTTGGATTTGGGTTTGCAGATGTGGTTCGAATGATCAAACATTGCAGGCGATGTCTTCGACAGTAGCTGCAGGACACAGGAGGCCGATATGCCCCATCAAGCCATTGTGAGACATTGGCGAGATCCGATTGCGGGGCAAAAAGGTTGATATTCCCTTCCAATGAAGGACCAGGATCATGTGAGATACATGGGGTCTGGATCTGGGGATCTGGGGGTTCAAGTCCCCCACCAGGCATCTGTGTCTCATGTGACTCACGGCTCATCCATTGCGACCACTCGAGATTATAAGGGTCTAGTGCAAATAGGCTAGAGTCGAAAGGATTCGAATCAAACACATCTTCTTCTAACCAAGGTTGTCCACTTTCGTCCAAAATTCTTTCGAGCTCTGTGTCTGAGAGAGACCGTGGCAACTGCCATGGGTTCGTTGGGTGTTGCGGATTCATGCCATCCACATAGTATATAAGGGCAACCTGACTGATATAGCAAAGGTGTACACAAAATATGTTATTCAGTGAGAGTCCACTATTTTGCGGGGGAATCACCCTAGAAGGCGAATGATCAACCTAGAAGTCCCTCAAGTTCACGTCGCCCTAACTGATATCGTTGGATCACCGAGCATAACGCTAATACATAAACAGTTAGTACTATGTGAACCTTCCATGGATTGCACTTGCTTAGTCATATCGTACCTGCTGTTCTGGGATTAGCGCGCTTAGGTTTTACGCTTCAGCCTGGAGTTGTATAAGGCCAAGCTGTGATCTTTGCTTCACCTTTCTACAAAATTGTACAATATAGAATTGTGTGTGGTTTTTTCTTATCTTTCTCCACTACCGGAAAGCAGTTTCAGATCCTGCGGGATGTGCTACAATAATGATAATGCTATCTATGAGCGAACTTACGACCATTTGTCAAAGGAATATCAAATCCCTGGATCCTTCTACAACTCCGTATGCAAGTTGCAAATTGACCTTTTGGCCCGAGCCCCAGTCGGATCGGCCGGGTGGTTTGGCAAGTCACGAGACTCGATTGCCACTTGTTGCTTATCAAGAATAAGCTTATCCCAGGATATTACAATAGAAACCAAATAAATAAAGGAAAAACGCGGATATTTTCGTGTCATTCGGGCACTATAACTTATTAGGCAGGATCCTATTTCTTCAAAAAAGGTTAAAATTAGAGAGATAGTTAGGGCGGCAAAACAAAGAAGAAAATTAAAGCCAGAAGACTCCATAGTAAATGGGCCGGAGTTTGTTCTCTACTCCGGAGTGGATCGGAATTTGAGTTGCCACCGGGCGCACCGGGGGAGAGCACACCGGGGCCCTGCATGACCGGTGAAAGGTAAAAAAAAGTTTGAAAGTCCGAGAAGAAACCGAGAATTAGGGATCCCGATATCAAAAATGATAATCATAGTAGTACAATAGTTACCGAAATATGTATATAGGTATAGAAGAAATGCAGCCGAAAATAAAAAAATACAACCATCTGCATGGGATAGGCTCTTTACCCCAGCAAATAAATAAACCTTAAAAGAAACAAAGCTGACGATCTGTATATTAAAGTAGATACCACCTGGGAAGTATGTGTCAACGATCAGAACAATGTGGTACTGATGGAGTTTCTATCACCAAATTTAAATGAGTCAGCGACCTAAGTCCGGCGCTATCATTGGCCAATATTCCGGATTCGGACCGAAATGAAACGGTCATTGGCGAATGGATCGTGTGCATCGACTTTTCTATGGATCTTCCATTGAGTTGCCCATGGGGCAAAATCCCGACACGCGAGTTTGGGGTTCCGCAATAATAAGATGGCCAGATCCTCTTTTCTCTCTTTTTATTTCCTCGTGGGAATATTCTTGTGCTTCCGTACAACCCATCTTCCTGTTTAATTTTCAACCCTCTCTCTGCTATTCAACAAGACAGAATGGAGGTCAACACTGCTCCTCCCGCTTACGAGCAGGATAAGATCGCACAACGGACCGATGAACCTCAATTTGAAGAGGAGGGCCAGCTCAAGTCTGGAGAAGTCCACGATGCCTTTGGTAACGAGGAGTATGCTGAGATTAAGTATAAAACCTTGAAGTGGTGGTATGTATCATTGAGTCCTCTTTAATTGGCACAGTATGCTAACCCGTGACCTACTTTAGGCAATGCGGCCTGCTCATGATTTGCGAGTCCGTTTCATTGGGTGTGTTGTCACTGCCCTCGGCCGTCGCTACCCTGGGTCTTGTCCCAGGTATCATTCTCATTGTTGGCCTTGGCCTGCTCGCAACATACACTGGATACAACATTGGTCTCTTCCGTGAACGTTACCCTCACATCCAAAACCTGGGTGATGCCGGCGAGATCCTCCTCGGCAGCTTCGGCCGCGAACTGTTCGGTATTGGCCAGTTCCTTTTCTGTATCTTCGTCATGGGCAGCCATCTCCTCACCTTCCGTGTCATGATGAACACTATTACCAACCACGGCACCTGTTCCATCGTTTTCAGTGTCGTCGGTATGGTCCTCTCCATCGCCCTCTCTATCCCCCGAACCATGAAGGGCATGACCTGGATCTCTTTCGCCTCCTTCCTGAGCATTTTCTGCGCTGTCATGATCACTATGATTTCCGTGGGTGTTGAAAGCCACCCTGGTCGTGTGATCCAGGCTACTGTCGACGAAGACTTGTACACCGCCTTCCAGGCTGTGTCTAACATTGTCTTCGCCTACTGCGCTCATGTCGCCTTCTTTGGTCTGATCGCCGAGATGGAGACTCCTCGCGACTTCAAGAAGTCTCTGTTCATGCTCCAGGGCTTCGAGATCTCTCTCTACCTGACCGCCGCCGTTGTGATCTACTTCTATGTCGGCACTGACGTCCAATCTCCCGCCCTCAACTCCGCTGGACCCCTCATGAGCAAGATCGCCTACGGCATTGCCATCCCAACCATTGTTGGTGCCGGTGTCGTCAACGGCCACATTGGCTTGAAGTACATTTACTTCCGTCTCTGCGCCAAGTCTGGCCTGATGCACCAACGTAACAAGCGCTCCATCGGTCTCTGGATCGCTCTTGGAGTTTCTTGCTGGATTGTTGCGTGGATCATCTCCGAGGCCATTCCTGTCTTCAGTGATCTGAACAGTCTGATCAGTGCTCTCTTCGCTTCCTGGTTCAGCTACGGTCTCTCCGGTATCTACTGGCTGCACCTCAACTACGGCCAGTGGTTTGCCGGTCCCCGCAAGATCTGTCTCACCATTCTCAACATTGCCATCGCCCTCTTTGGCTTGATCCTGTGTGTCCTTGGACTGTATGCTTCTGGTACAGCTATTCACAACGATACCAGCAGCAGCAGCTTCACCTGTGCCAACACTGACAGTTGAATTGTTTTTTGTTAATATTGCATCTCGTTTTCTTAATATGCATTGTAAATATTTTCGCATATAGATTATGATAGAGTACACTGGTTGGCTCTAGAGTATAATGAATATACATATATATCCTTTGAATTGTCTCTTCTAGTTAGTCCCGCTTCTTTTTTCAATTTTAACTGCCTGATACGCCCTGGAGCCCTCCGTCCCCGTCTAAAAGTGTCGATTCAACCGTAGCTTATTCTTCAACGATGATAACTGACCTCTTTCTTGAGAAATTTCATTTACAAAACACATAGCTCGTTTCAGAATAAAGTTGAAGGTTGGCATGAAGTCTACCCTGCCGCAGCGTGCTCGCTGACGGTACAGAGCTTGAAGGTCAAAGTCGGCATAAGTGAATATGTTCGATTTCAGATTTGGGGATATCTCGATGGAAGAGATTCGGGGCCTAAAAGGAGGCAGGTCTGTTGTGCTTCCAGGCCAAAAGTTAAGTACTTCTAGGGATAGGCGTTGATGCATCCTGCATAATCTCAGCCCAGAAAGACAGCGGAGCCAGCTTTTCGGAAACCAGAACGTAATAAGAGCAGAATATCGAAACATATCGCAGGCTGCTTTAGCCCGATCCCAGGCTCATTCAATAAAACAAATGTTACAGAAATAGTGGGCAATAGCAATGTAATGAGTAAACGAGAAATTTCATGGTTAGATTCCACTTATTACAATATATCATCTTTAGCCAACACAAATCGAACCCTCCGCATAATAATTCCATGTCCAATTCCATATCCACATCAGTATCGATGGCTGTCTATCAATACGTGATCAACACATTCTTGTTCAAATACTTCGTGTCCATTTGCAGGACAAGATTCTCCGCCAGCCACTTCCCGGCATCCTCCCTTGAGATGCTATACCCAGTGACATTAGACACTGGGCCAGTCTTGGGATCCTCAATTCCCACACGGATAGTCTTGCTAGACTCGCCATCACCAAGGTGGCTCGGACGAACAATCGTGAACTTTTCACCGCTATTCGCAAACCGGTCTTCCATAACCACCTTGTCTGCCCCGGGAACCCTAACAAATAGAGCATATATAGGCCTCATAGCAAGAGGAATATCACGGCCGAACCGAGAAAAACCTGCGGTACTGCAAGCAATGATGTAGGGACTGCCTTTGATACCGCTGCTTCTAAGTTGGGCGAGCGCATCGAGGAGAGTCGCCGCTCCTTTCTTGCAGACGTCCGGGTCGTCGACGGTCATTTTGTGAGGAATGGGTTTGGCGCCGATGGTGGTTACGATCACGTCAACGATGCGACCATCGGCTTGGATGCACTGCGATACGGCCGCTACATCGTGTGCGTTCCCTTTGATGACTTTGAGATTTGGAGTTGACTCCGATGGGAAAATTTTGATGAGTTTTGAAGGATCCCGGCACAGTGCGATGCATTGATGACCGGCAGCGAGGGTGTGCTTGAGGGCGGATAGGCCAATGCCCGTGCTGGCACCGAGAAAAGCGACGACTTTGTCGGAAGACATTGTAGTTGTTCGTGATGTTGGAGTTGGCTTGAAGGTTCAATATAATGTTTGATTGCAATGTTTCTATCTCTTCTTTTTTTCCCAGCTGCTTGGGAGCGAATTTCCCTTTTTAATACACATTTTGGAGTCAGACTTTAACTCGAATGCCGCTAAGACTCGCTCATTTCTCGCTGTCAGCATTGGAAACGGGATCCGAATTGTGAGGCGCTTTCTCGTTGGCTGTCACTCCCGCTATTCCTAATTCGAATTGTCAAGTCGTCAACTTTTTCCGCAAGATCGCCATGTCATCAAATGAAGTGACAAAGTCGACAAAGTTGACAAAGTTGAGGATGAAGAATTATTGAATCTATCCAATATTGATAACGCAGCCACACGAAGAAGTGCACTCACATGTTAGCATGTCGCAAGGCCCCTCTGTAACAGACGGCGCGGTCGCGTCGGTCTCGGGGGCCGAGAAACACGCGAGAATTGACGCCTCAGGCAGAAATGAACCAAAGCTGCGCAGCTGCGTCGTATGCCGAAGCCGTAAAGTTCGCTGCGACAAGCGAGCGCCTTGCTCTAATTGCCGTCGCGCCAACATCGCCTGTGTGTTTCCACCGACGGACCGCCCGCCAAGATGGGCTCGCCGTCTCGACCGCAACAGCCCGTCATCCAACCCACAGACGTCTCAAGCCGATCCGATAGCTGATGGGGTAATGGAGAGACTTCATACTCTTGAGAACCTTGTGAAAGAGTTGAGCAGCCAGTTGGAACAAGCTAAGTCGGCTGCGGGAGGTTCGTCCGGGATCGGCTCCCCCCAGGACTCCACGCATAATCGACAACCAAACCCTTCTTCTGGATCCGATAACGTGCAGAGTCGGCTTGGGAGATTGGTGCTAGAGGATTCTAATCGAAGTCGCTATGTCAGTAGTGGGTTCTGGTCTCGTGTTAATGACGAGGTTGGTTAGCCTGAGTCTCTCGCGCTGAATCTATAGGCAACTAACATCGGTCGTAGCTTGATAGTGCCCACGGGTTTCCTTCGGGTGATTATGAGACCTCCGATGATGATTCATTGCCGGAGAAAACTCCCTCTACTCAGGAGCTTGAACAAACTCCTGCCGCGCGCCATGGATTCTTGTTTGGGCACAATTTGAGTTCTTATTCCCCCAATCTCAGCGAGACCCATCCACTACCCTCCCAAATCCCATTCCTTCTAGATGTGTTCTCTGAAAATGTGAACATGATTATTCAAGTCGTTCATCTTCCAACCATCAGAAAGATGGTTCGCGACTGGCGCGGCCGTGACATGAAGGGGCTCGCCCCAGCCCATGAAGCCTTGATGTTCTCTATTTACTACGCAGCTATAACTTCAATGGAAGAAGACGATGTAAGTTCATGTTTAGCGTGGTTGAGCTAGTCCATTTCCATGGCGCCAATGCTTATTCTTTGGTTTCACCAGGTAATACTTAACTTTGGCGCCACAAAAGCCCAGCTTAATCTCAGATACCGCCAAGGCCTGGAGCATGCTCTTGCAAGAGCTGACTTTCTCAACGTACCGGATTTGGTATTGGTACAGGCATTTTCTATCTTTCTTGCCCTGGTGCGCCGGCATGACAGCCCAAGGTTTGTATGGATGATGACCGGGTTGGCAATCCGAATGGGCCAAGCTCTAGGGCTACACCGCGATGGATCACATTTTGATCATCTCACTCCATATGAGATCGAAATTAGACGAAGAGTATGGTGGGTCTTGTGTCTATTGGATATAAGGGCATCGGAAGACCAAGGAACCGACTACACTATCCCAAGCGCTAGCTTTGATACTAGAATTCCCCTGAATCTCAATGATGGCGATTTGGACCCTGAATTCAAGCAAGCGCCCCAAGAACATGACGGCCTGAGCGATATGTCTGTTGCGCGTGTCTCATTTGGAATGTGCGACGTGACGCGGCAGATGATGGCCCATGGTTTCAAGGACAAAGCTCCGAGTCCAGAAGAGCAAGGTCGATTGCTGAACGAGATGTACCAACGGGCGGAACGAGATTTCCTTCAGTTCTCGAAAGAATCAGGAAACCTTGTCCACTGGACTTTGGTGATAGTTGCCAGACTCACGGTGGCAAAGATGACATTGCTAGTCTACTTGCCACTTCTCTTCTCCTCTTCTAAGGAGTTCTCGGATGAGCTCAGAGCGCGACTGTTGATCTCCGGGATCGAAGTTGCGGAATACAACCATGCTCTCAACAACGAACAAGCATGTCGAAACTGGCGCTGGGCTTTCCAAACGTACACCCATTGGTACTCAATTGTCTACATGTTGATAGAAACCTCCCGACGTCCGTGGTCGCCTATTTCAGAGAGAGCTTGGGTATGCCTTCACAGCGTCTGGCTGATACCAAACCAGTCTCACATGGATAAAAATCTACGCATCTGGATTCCTTTGCGAAAACTGATGGGAAAGGCTCGTAAACATCGGCAAATGGAGCTTGAGCGTCTAGGACGTGACCCCGATGCTGTCCAACTGCTGGAGAAAGATTACCAAAGTCTGCCGATTCCGACAAGCTCTGGGCCGTTTCCACCTGGCTCGAACTCCGCAGATCTGTTTCTCGAACGGTGGCGCGAACTGGTACTTAGTCAAAATAATCCGAGGGATATCACAGTTACATCTGGATTTGGTCACCCAAACTTTGCTACGAATTTACCTGCTAGTGGGTTTGAATCATCTTTCATGGCTGAGCAAGGAAATCTTCCGGGCGCGCTATGGTCTAAAGCCGATGCTCCTATCATGACCTCCGATACAAGTGTCGGGTTTGAACCAGAGCACCCGTTTATCCCACTAAGCAACCACTTTTCAACGGCTCCAGCACCAGAATACGGCGACCCAGGCATTTCTTCTCGGATGTGGTTTGACGCGAGCAAACCGATGGATTTCGCAAATTTTGTCCAAGAACCGGCTGATTGCTATATGGAGATCGACGGGGAAGTGAACTGGTATAATTGGGTTGAGTCTGCCAAAGGGGTGGAGTGGGAAGGGATCGGTGAGAACGCGCAGAGCTAGCTAGACTTGTTCAATGGGGCCAAGCTTTCCTTGTAGGTCATCTATGATAGGTCTTGGCAACTGGCTTAATGAACAGTTCTTATCACAAATCTTGACTCTTGACTCGGCCCGACCCGTCGACCCAATGGCAAGATAAGATTGTTTTTGGCACGCAATTCATTTCCTTGAAGATTTCTAATTATAACCGTGGATCTTGTACAGCCCTGAAGGCTTAGATACAATCGAAGACGCATCACATAAGCGCAATCAACTTGTTGAACGGGTAAATGAAGCTGATCCCGCGTCTTAGCGCCACTGTTCGTGGATTGGCTAATACCCTCGTGAATATGCAAGCCACGCGCTAAAACTGGAAATGATTGGAGTCATTGCTGCATGGTGTGCTTATTTCTCCTATCAGAATCCATCGCCCCCAATGTCATAAAAATTATTTGAAAGTATTTGCGATGCGAAGCCATCTTGGGTTGTCAGCCTCAGATTTGAATTAATATGTAAGCCCGGGATGTTGCTTTGCTTTTGTTTTTTGTTTGGCAACTTATAATTGCACCATCCACAATTAACCCTTGGTCTTCAGACTCGACTCTTTTGAGACTGATACCAAGGAATGATGGAATTCGGTGTTCGCGAGCGCATCTCTTTGGTCGGAGTCGTCGTTTTAATTTGCGTTTGGTACTCTTATAAACGTCCTTTCTCACGAAAAGCTGACAGTATTAAGTCTGAGGAGCTCTCCACAGACGAACGCCATGTCAGTGATAGTGTTTTATTTGGACAAATTTTCGGTCGCTGACAACAACATAGGAGTTTGAGAACCGACCTCCTATCGATATTTTGTATCCTGATTCCAACACCCCTGAGACAGATGAAGCAGAGGTCGAGTGAGTATTGTCGTGTGTAAAAAAAAATCATGTTACTGATTCAATTAACAGTATTGTCGCTGTCCATGGCCTTGGGTCCCAAGTAGATTGGTCATGGACTTGGAAAGAAGACACCCGCCAGCCTAATGGCAAGCCCCGGTTAGTCAACTGGTTAAAGGACAGCAACATGCTGCCTGGAATTGTACCCAAGGCAAGAATTTTGGCCTATAATTATGAGTCTAGATGGCACAAAAATGCATCCAAGACACGGCTTCAAATTTGTGGCGAGGAGTTAGTAAATGCCGTTCATGATTTTCGCAAGGGCATGAGTGATAGGCCACTCATTTTTGTTGGGCATAGTCTCGGCGGCAATGTCATTCAACATGTGAGTATATACCTTCCCTGGATTCTAGCTCTTCACTCGTATTGACTTAGTTCAATATAGGGTCTTCTGTACTCTGATTCCGAGCCGAAGTTTAAATACATGGTTGAAGTCACTGTTGGCCTTATATTTCTAGGCTGCCCATTCAAGGGATCCAAAATCCAAGAGATGGCTTCTCTTGTCACCAACGTCTTACAATTAGCTGGGTCCGATAGCGGAATTATCAGGGACCTCCATTACGGGGACCCTGTCCTATTGGACAAGATCAATGGTTTCCAGCGACTTCTCGAAAGAAACACGATCCCATTTTGTGCATTCATTGAGCGCAAAGAGACAGATTACGGCAAGAAGATAGGGCTCACAGGGATTTGGAAGGAACTGGTATGTATCAATAAGCCACTCTCTTGGTTGCCTAAATTCTAATTTCAAACTCCAGGTTGTTGATGAAGAGTCTGCTGGGGCTTTAGGGCCGCACAAGTTTCACCTGAACACTGATCATTTCAAAATCAACAAATTTTCTGGTCCTCAGGATCGATCCTTCCTGACAGTCTCTTCTCAAATTAACGAGATGTTCACAAATTGGAAACCACTGATTGAAAGCCGAAAGGCTGGCTCAAACCGCCCAGGTGCTCAACGAAAGATTTTGGAGAATAAAGAGAGACATGAGAGAATAGTGCAATTTCTCGCGAAGAGCGATTTTTCCGCGCGGTACAAGGACGTGTTCTCTGCCAGACACAAGAAGACGGGCCAGTGGTTTCTGGAAGCGGAAAACTTTCAGAGCTGGGCAGGGAAAGAAGGGCAGACCCTTTGGTGTCCAGGCATTCCAGGAGCGGGAAAAACAATCTTGCTTGCTATTGCAGTAAACTATCTTCAGGAAAAGTTCTTCAAAAGCGATGAAGTGGTGCTTTTTGCCTTCTGCGACTACAAGGACCGGCCGAATCAAAGTGCAGAGAACATGATTCTGTCGCTCTGGAGACAACTGATGCAAAAACGGGTTCTCAGTGAAGTTGAATGCGAAAATCTAGAGACAACATATATCAAAAGAGGAGTCATTCCGACAACCGATGCTGTGGTCAAAATGCTTTCGGATGAAATGGCTAAATACTCGCGGGTCTTTATTCTGCTAGATGCTCTCGATGAGCTTCACAACGAAAGTCGGGACTCGCTGATTTATCTTTTGAGACAACTGCCCGCAAAGAAGAACTTGCTGATCACGTCACGCATACCGAAGGAAAACAATTCTTATTTCCGCAAAGTTCCTCAGTTGGAAATCCGAGCAAGAGACAAGGATATCACGGACTATATCAACGGTCGCTTAGAATCTGTCTCAAAGCTTCGCTCCAAAGTTGAAAATAATCACAAACTCAAAGAAGAGATCAGGAGCACCATTACAAAGAAGGCTGATGGGATGTGGGTATCAACTATAGTTTAATAGACGGACCTTCACTGATGCATCGCCATAGGTTTCTACTTGTCAAGCTTCACCTGAATTCTTTGGCATCTAAGCACACTGTTAAGGAGATGAGGGCTGATCTAAGGAACCTGCCAGAAGGAGAAAATGCTATCTCCGATACTTACGATGGGGCGTTCTCTCGCATCCGTGATCAAACTCGTGAAGATCGCGAACTCGGAGAGAAAATCATCCTATGGATCTCTCATGCACAAAGACCATTGACAATGAAAGATTTACAATGCATCTTAACATTGCAGGAAGGGGATACAGACCTGGAATTTGATGATCTAATTCCAGAGGAGCTTCTTATCTCTACTTGCGCTGGTCTTGTCACAGTTGAAAATCTGTCCGGAAGAATACAATTTGTGCACTCTACCGCGCAAGAGTACGTCGATTCCATCAAGCTGACAAAGTTCCCGGGTGCCGATTTGACAATCGCCAAGTCTTGCATTCACTACCTCTCCTTGTCAATTTTCTGTACAGAAACTAAAGAAATCCACACCACGTCCTTCAACAAAACTGTGTCTAGCTACCCGTTCCTGGAGTATGCAGCCCTTTTCTGGGGCCTACATGCTAGACGTGCGGATAGCGTTGAGGCCAAATCTTCCGTCGAAAAGTCGGTCAGACAGTTCTTCAACCTCAGACTACAATCTACATTTGCAGTTCGTACTCTTTTGTGTGGCGTGGCAGGAGTTGATGGTGCTGAAATGGGAGATGACCTCGCGCGCAATGATCGCTCCATCAAATTGATCAACATCTTGGCCTACTTCGGATTGGACTTTCTCTTGGTTGATCTGATTTCCAGTAGACCAGGGGTAATAGCGGAATCTTTTGACCACTTCGTTGGCAATGTTTTGCACTGGGCTGCCCTTGGTCAGCATGAAAAGACTTTGAAGATCTTGTTGAGCCAGTCCTCTGTCGGCGACGTTTTGAATCAGAAAGGATACGAGCTTTTTGCACCATTACATATGGCTTTGGTTTACAGGCGTGACCTCTCCGCTGAGATCATACTGGATTATGGCCCCGATGTTAGAACTGCAGCTCATTTCGATCATACGCCCCTGTTAATCGCGTCTCTTACTGGCAACAGTGCTATCATTCCTAAGCTACTTTCCGCCGACAAAGAACTGAAGACTCTATTGATGCGGGGGCATTCATCGACTACTCCCTTTCGTGCTGCTGCGATGTGGGGACACAAGGATGTGATGGTTGAGCTATTGCGTGCTTTGGACCACTATGAGCTCAGCGAAGATCTTCACGAGCTTAGAGACGACTTTTGGAGAAATCCTATGCACAATGCTGCTGAGGGAGGCCATGTAAGCATTTGCGAAGTTCTGCTACAGTCTAAATACGGAGTCCAATTCGCTACTAGTGAAGATGGGTGGTCGATGATCCCAATGGAAATGGCCCTTTTGCACGGCCACGTGGAGCTCACTGAGCTTTTCCTGAATTGGAACAATGGAACCTTGCTAGCTAGTGAGCCCGGGACTGTCGCGGGGGCACTTACCTTGGCTGCTCATTTCGGACAACCGATGGTCGCAGATATGCTGCTAGCTCGCCACCCCGAAGCTTGTTCCTCGGATTTCCGCAATTACACGGCTCTTCATCATGCAGCCTACAGTGGCTCGGTTGAAACTGTTAAAGTAATTCTCGGTTATCCTGCGGGATCTTCGACGTTGGAGGCGAGAGACAAATCGGGAAATACACCTCTTGTTGGAGCGGCCGACAGAGGTCAGTCAGAGATTGTGGAATACCTCCTTGAAAAGGGCGCAAATATCAATGCCAAGAATGACGACGAGAAGACCGCTCTCCACCTTGCCTGTGAAGGAGATCTTGATCAAGTGATCAAGATACTCCTTCAATCTGAGTCGGACATTGACATCGAGGCTAAAGATTCCGATGGTCGAACCGCACTCGTTGTTGCGAATGAGTGGCAGGCATCAGGGGCAATCAAATTGCTCTTGGGTGCGGGAGCACAAATCCCCGAGGGCTTCACCATTTTTGACACAACGGGAATGATCGAACAATATTCTCCTGAGCAGCCAGTTGACCAGTTCAAAGCGTACTTCTATCTCAAAAAGGCATCGGCAGACAAGCTCCCTCAACCTCTGATTTCCAATATATTGGATCTCGCAGAGTACTGGATTGTCAGAAAGACCGAACGCTATGAGTCAAAACACGCCACAAATTTCGACGGTGACACAATGGTCTACCTGCGAAGCGCTCCAATCATAGGAAACCCTCACCACCCCGTGAGGCGTATCGAATACGAAGTCGTCAGCCACGATCAGGGTTTCAGTAACGACCACCACGTACATGGAACATATGAATGCTCTTATACTTGGTTTGACGCTAGCCGCGAGTGCAGTCCCGGGCCATTCCAGGGATCGGCCAGTCGAATTTTGGGGCCGATCATCTTGCGGAATGTTCATGCAAGAAATAATTGGCACAAGCATCGCATAACATGGTGTAGTGTAACTGGAGTAAGAACTTCTCGTGTGAGCACAGACGAAAGCACAAATGATGAAATCGAAGAGACTGTCACAACGGTCCACCCTGATCATCGAAGACCGAGGCCTGAACCGCTTAAGTGGATTACAGAGATCAACCCTGGAGAGCGGATTTTGATGACGGCTATGGCCCAGTTTCCCGGTTGGACCAATTATATTCAGCGAGCGAAGTTCGTGGTCTATACAAGCTATCTCAAATCTGGTGGAGTGTATTAGAACTAACATTGGATTGATTGGATTGATTTACTATGAGGGATATCGAACATGTACATTATTATACTCGAATTTCAATGTTTTCCCCCGTCATAGCTCTGCATTCGAAGTATATCTTCAACCGAGGGTTCCTTCAACAATACAACTGCACATAATATGGTGTATATCTCGCGGAAGCACTTCGCCACGTTCCCCAATATTTTTCGACCCTTTCCCGATTCTCTCGGAAGGCATGTGAATGTAATTCAGCATAATAAAGATTTAGCAAATGATCAGGCATGTGGGTCATCCATCCCCTGTGAGATGGTGAAACCGCGAACAATGGATGTTGTTTAGAACACCAACAAATCTCGTATATTTGACCATCACTCGGCCTTGAGGCAAGGTAGCAACCAAAGAGCAATCGTTAGGTAACTTAGAGTGCTAGAACCAACTCCGTAGAGCCTTTGAGGCTTCGATGTATTTGTAATTTTGTATGTATCCAGCTATGTATTAGTGATGTGTACTCTATGATTCGCAACAATGTCGTTTTCAAAATCTTCGATATATGCTTTTGTGTGTTTATTTCACCTCCCCCGCCAGCGCTGGAACTTCGACTGGTGATATTATAAACAGAAATGAGCAAATCAAACATCAATACGAAAGTCCAGAGGTATAATAGGTTCAAGAAAAGGGATTATCGCGCACGTTCTCAAGCAGCGACTTGAGCCGTCTGTAGTGGAGCATGAGATTCCAACATATTGTCAACGGAAGAGTCGGAAATTGTGTGCACGGGAGGCTTCTCCACTGGACCACCCAAGGCATTGAGCACTTGATCCTTAGTGGCATCACCCAGTCCTGCGGCATTGAGGGTCCTTCCGTTTTCGAAGTAATCAAACCCGCTGACAACTTGGGCCATCTCAATGAGAGCTCTGATCGTCGGCGAAGTCAGACCAACCTTTGTGCCAAGCTCATACCATGGGACCAATCCGTATAGGATGTCCTCGAGCAGATAGCGGTGGTTCAAGGAGCTCGGGGAACTCTTGGTCTTGTTGTGAACGACAGATCCCGATGCGAAATCATGATAGTCGGCGTATTGTCGGGGGTTGCTATAATTCTGGTTCATATATGCTGTAATGGGGGTGATTTGCAGACCGTACGCGTGGGCAATGGCGAGACGCTCCAGGTCCAGCTTCTCCGTCACACGGGAGACCGATGGGGACATTCCTTGAGCATAGAAGAAAAAGTCGCCTTTGGTGGCTTCGATCCAACCCGCGTTCATAAGTGCAGCAGGGCAATGCACAACTGGGTTGACATTGTTAAGTCCCACCTCGAGGAGGTTGGTGCACCAGTTCAACTTCAGGGAAAAGATCGACTCAACCTGGTGGCGGAGGCCGAGCTCAGATTGGGGGTCAAGCCTCTCGACTTGTGTGGTGGGTGGCTCAACCCAGATGGAGAGACTCTTCTTGCATCCCTTGACAAAGACTGTGTCACCCGTGATACGAACGGCATAGGGGGATATATCGGTTTCAAGGATCGCATGGGCATTGACCTTTTGGCGAGCGGAGAGATAGAAGAAGTTGCCGACGTTGATAATCAGAGTGTGCTTCCGGAGATCGAACTGACTCAACAAAGTCAAAATAGTATCTTGTCCGTATGAAGGGACTGTAGTAACAAGGAAAGTAGAGTGGCGAATGGCGAGATATAGATCACTGGTTGTCTTGATCTGATATCTGCCACTGATCTCGCCATCTGCATTGAGCCACCCATCATTATTTTCGATCATGGTAGTTCCACCACGGTGGTCAGGATGAGCATACAGCATGACATCTTTTCCACGACTAGCGAGATCTGCTGCAAAGGCACATCCGCAAGGTCCGGCGCCGATGATTGTCACGGTTGGCACGGAATCGAAGTTTTGGGGGGCCATTGTGTTTGATTCAACTTTTAGTTGGGAAACCGTTCGCTCTGGAAGAATAGAGGACTCTGAGAATTTCGGAAGTTTTTCTGTTGGCTTGATTGATTGATCTGAGGCAATCTGCTCGTTTAAATATTATTGACCTGGATCAATGGATCCCGACAAAAGCATCGGGATTCCCCATAATTGCTTTCCGAATCACTTCTGCTATGATCTATACCTATGGATTCACTTAGTGGAATTGCACGAGATTTCGTCATGTCTATCTTCTTGGCAAAGTTCAATAGTTTACCACGAATAAACACATGTCGCATCGAGCGCGGGCCTATGAAAATCATTTTACCTGGGACCACCATGGTGTGATCTTTTGATCAACCATAATTCGTGGCAGTTATAGCTTGATAAACTGGTTGAGTGTAGATCGTTAGAAACGTGTTGTCGAGAAAGACTTGGTAGAAGCTTTCGGATCAGGGGAGTTATTGGCTACAGTATATTTGAACTCATTACACAATAGAAATCGCAGATCACCACGAAATTGAGCCGAGACAATTGAGTCGAGGCCTGGCGTGGCAATCGGAGACGCGTCTTTTGCATTGTAGGCTAGGCCTGCAAGTTTCCAGGCCTTTTATTAGTTCGATGCTTGATTTTTCTTCACGTCTTTTCCGTATGGGCATTCATTAAAGTTGACGATGGTGCATGTCATCGGGCCAATTGAGTAATAACCCGAGTATGGCACGGCATAAGAGTGGGAACGAGCACATACAGCGTATAATCAATTGATCTGATAAAAATTATCAAGGGTCACAGTATCCCGAGGTTAAAACAGTCGGGCATTACTGCTACTAGTACCGTAGACGCAGGTCGGTAGATCAGGGTAGATCAGTGGACATGGATTGGCCACTAATAGGGGAGCCCCAGGGCCATGAGCTTGTCCTAAAATTCCCATATGACGACGCTGAAGGTCCGTTTGGCCAGGGGTTAAAACTTAATATCAACCCACTTGAACCCCGGGGACCTTGAGGCCGATAACCCGTAGGCCCAACCGAAACACGCGCCCGCGGCAAAATTGCCGGAAGGTACAATATTGAACATTCAATTTTCTTCACAGTAATGATTTTCACTGTGTTGGAAGATTTTTTAGATGACGATCATTCAGGTCGTGTTCATTTTATCACATCATCGAACCCTTACTGACTGTAGTAGTGGAACCTCGTGGGCCTTCCTGCAATTCCTACGTCAACTATTATTTTTTTTTTTTTTCTAAATAGAATCTTTTGCTTCCATGAAATGTTCATTTAGATCAATCAAAAGATGGAAAAGGGGGCGAAGAGAACCTGAATGTCACTGGATTAATTGTTTCGCTACAATTTACTCCAATTCACTCTTCCTTGGGTATTCTACATAAAAGACCCGAGAATGAGCTCGGAGACCACTTTTTTGGAGGCTCCTTCTCCTTACAGTTGCTTCAGTGCTGCCAAAAAGCGATACATTGTCGCTACTGCCGCTGGCGCTGGCCTCTTTTCTTCTTTGTCCGCGCAAATTTATTTTCCAGCCCTGAACACGTTGGCCGATGATCTCAATGTGTCAACTTCCTTGATTAACTTGACTGTCACAAGTTATATGGTAAGCTTGTGCACTGTCGATGATAGGAGTCACTCACTGATACTTGGCTGTATACTAGATCTTCCAAGGAATTGCGCCTATGTTCATTGGAGACTTTGCAGATAGAACAGGCCGTCGACCCGCTTACATTATTTGTTTTGTTATTTATATCGCCTCCAACGTCGGACTGGCCTTGCAGGATAGTTACACAGCTCTTATTGTACTGCGGTGCTTGCAAAGCTCTGGGATCAGCAGTAGCGTGGCTTTATCCGCCGCCACTGTGGCCGATGTGAGCACCAAACAAGAACGAGGCTCAATGATGGGCTTCGTCATGGCTGGAAATTTCATGGGTCCCGCTATTGGTCCAATTATCGGTGGTCTACTAGCCCAGTATCTGGGCTGGAGATCTATCTTTTGGTTCCTGACGATTGCATCGGGTGTATTCCTGTTGCCCCTTCTTCTATTTCTCCCTGAAACAGCTCGAAACGTCGTCGGTGATGGCTCGTCCCCTGCACAGCCATGGAATCGACCCTTCATTCAATACTTCCGACGCCAAAGTGTGAAAAATGATGCCGCTTCCTCCGAAGACAGTATCGACCGATCTGATAGCAGCGGTTCGCCCAAGAATATCGAGCACAAGCTCCGATTCCCTAACCCTATAAAGCCGCTTATTCTCGTGTTCCATCCAAACTCCATCATCGTTCTTTTAGTAACCGGTGTCATTATGGGCGGTAACATGACCGTTCTCTCGTCCATCACAGAAATTTACACGGCCCAGTATGGCCTGGACGAGCTTGAAGTAGGTCTATGCTACATCACGCTGGGGACTGGCTCCATTGTGGCCTCTGTGATCACCGGGCGCCTTTTGGACTGGAACTACAAACGAATGGCAGCTGAACTGTGTAGCCATCCAACCTCTGAACACGTGGGCACAGCGGATTCAGTCCCCGTCGAAACGTCTCGCAGCATGGTAACAATTCCCCTCGTTATTTTAGGCAGCGTGACTGTGCTGGCTTTTGGTTGGGTACTCAAATTTGAGGAGCCACTTCCTGCCCCTGAGGTACTACTGTTCTTTGTCGGCGTTGGACAAACAGGTGGTTTCATCTCTACATCTACTCTTCTGGTAGACTTACATACCGCCAACCCTGCAGCTGCCACAGCGGCCAACAATATGGTTCGATCCTTCTTCTCTGCTGCTGCTTCTGCAGCAATTGACCCTATGCTGACTGCTATGGGTCGTGGTTGGGCATTCACACTGGTGGCTTTCATCTTGCTGTCTACAATTCCATTACTTCTGTTGCTTTGCGGAATGGGGCGCCAAAAGAATTCTCATTCCGAAAAGATAGAAAGTTCCGCTGAGAGAGCCGAAAGCACCCCAGAAAGATCAGAAGATTAAAAACTTTTGGTGGAATGCACCACTGCACTGGAAAGCAGCGGAAATCTAGATAGAAAAACAAGGCTTTTCTCACCATAACCACAGCGATTCATTCCTCTTTTAAGTCTCATTTATAACGAAATAACTACTGTGGAACTATGTAGTATTATTGTATGTTTTCTCATGTGCTATAAAACTCTCCCTATACGTGATTGCTTGAATTGCCTATAGCTTCGTACTCCTTTTGGGGTGCATCATGCGAAGCCCCGATCCGCTCCCGATCAGAATTCTCATTGTTTTATTGCGAGTGTCTATCGGGCACTAATCAGTAATTTGGTACCTAGTCATATTTGAATTAGTCTTCGTTCCGTTTGGGCACACAGCCTCACAGCCTACATTCTAACTCAACGAAATCCATGGACCCTGCTTGCATCAAGTACCTCGAGGGAGAATGAGCAGCGTTTGGTAGCGCAAAGGGCTAGAAGGCTTCTAAGCTAGTTGTGAGAACCTTCAATACAAATCAGACAAATTCAAAAAGGTTAGCAAAGTGATGAAACCTATTGTATATTTTGGAAGGACTACCTGTTCCCATGGCTGCTTCCCTCATTTGTTTCACTTGTAACCTTGGAACTAGACAGCATTTGTATTCAAGGCAAGTCTAGCTATGCACAGTTGCTATAATAGTTAGTTATATACCAATGTTCTGCCTCAATTCTCCGGAATGCACCCAGGTACAGGGAGGATCGAAATCAGTTTCACCACTTTGCTCATATAGGATTTATCTCGAACCCTAGTCCGAAACACATTAATTCGTTTCCGGCTTAGCTTTGTTTTAAATATTGAATCGTATTGAAAGGCGCTATCACGTGTTATGTAGTTTACTCATTTGTTCGTAATAGTTACTCTTACGGAGGATACTTGTATCTTGTAGCCTTTTGAGCTTGTCGACGACATTTCTATCTACTTGTCTCATTGATTTTCTAACGAAGCCGAATGGAGCGAAAAGGCCAATTGCTTTTTAGGAGTGCGCATTAAGCCAACCTATGATGACATATTGTTTTAAAAAAATAATGAAGCAGAAAATGCAATGCGAACGTGAACTGCTGAGCGTTTTTCAGTATTCAGCGCTTTCTTCAGTATTCTCTATAACTTTCCCCATCCTCATCCGTTTGAAATTCCCCTTCTGTTTCCCGTGCAACCTTTGCTTCCCATTCTAATAATGTTTCAGAATTAGATAAAGTAGCGGGATGGTTTACGCCGATTGTCTGCTTCTGCTTTGTTAAGCACTCCCGTAGCAGAGATATGGCTTCGGCATCGTGACCTGAAGATTTCCAGGTGAAAGCGAGATTAGCCATACTGATCAGCGTGTCGGGATGGTCGTCGCCGAGCTTCGTCTTGCTTGTTTTCATCACCTGCACCCCCAGCTGCTCGGCCTCCTCCCACCGGCCTTGGTTCCGGTATGTTGCCGCCAGGCTGGCCATACTGGTCAGCGTGGAGGGATGGTCCTCGCCGAGCTTCGTCTTGCGAGTCTCCATCACCTGAATCTCCAGCTGCTCGGCCTCCTCCCACCGGCCCTGGTTCCTGTACGTCGACGCCAGGTTGGCCATACTAGTCAGCGTGTCGGGATGGTCGTCGCCGAGCTTCGTCTTGCTTGTCTTCATCACCTGCACAAAGAGCTGCTCGGCCTCCTCCCACCGGCCCTGGTTCCAAAATGTCGACGCTAGGTTGGCCATACTGGTCAGCGTGTCGGGATGGTCCTCGCCGAGCTTCGTCTTGCTTGTCTTCATCACCTGCACAAAGAGCTGCTCGGCCTCCTCCCACCGGCCCTGGTTCCTGTACGTCGCCGCCAGGTTGGCCATACTGATCAGCGTGTCGGGATGGTCCTCGCCGAGCTTCGTCTTGCGAGTCTCCATCACCTGCACCTCCAGCTGCTCGGCCTCTTTCCATAGGCCCTGGTTCATATACGTCAACGCTAGATTGCCCATGCTCGTCAGCGTGTCGGGATGGTCCTCGCCGAGCTTCGTCTTGCGAGTCTCCATCACCTGCACCTCGAGCTGCTCGGCCTCCTCCCACCGGCCCTGAGCACTAAACGTCGACGCAAGATTGGCCATACTGGTCAGCGTGTCGGGATGGTCCTCGCCGAGCTTCGTCTTGCGAGTCTCCATCACCTGCACAAAGAGTTGCTCGGCCTCCTCCCACCGGCCCTGGTTCCAAAATGTCGACGCTAGGTTGGCCATGCTCGTCAGCGTGTCGGGATGGTCCTCGCCGAGCTTCGTCTTGCTTGTCTTCATCACCTGCACAAAGAGCTGCTCGGCCTCCTCCCACCGGCCCTGGTTCCTGTACGTCGACGCCAGGTTGGCCATACTAGTCAGCGTGTCGGGATGGTCGTCGCCGAGCTTCGTCTTGCGAGTCTCCATCACCTGCACCTCCAGCCGCTCAGCCTCCTCCCACCGGCCTTGGTTCCGGCATGTTGCCGCCAGGCTGGCCATACTGGTCAGCGTGGAGGGATGGTCCTCGCCGAGCTTCGTCTTGCGAGTCTCCATCACCTGCACCTCCAGCCGCTCGGCCTCCTCCCACCGGCCTTGGTTCCGGTATGTTGCCGCCAGGCTGGCCATACTGGTCAGCGTGGAGGGATGGTCCTCGCCGAGCTTCGTCTTGCGAGTCTCCATCACCTGAATCTCCATCTGCTCGGCCTCTTCCCACCGGCCCTGATTTCGGTACGCTATCGCTAACATCGCTGTGCTCTCGAGAGCCGTCTCACTTTGGGGACCAAGCAATTTCACCCTCTGCTTTTCTGACTTTGATGCCATTTCTTCCATATCACCAAACAAGCCTAATCCACACGCATACCAGGCGCCTTTGTACAGTAATCCAGACAATTCCGTTTGACATTCCCGAGATTTTGGCCGTTGCGACATTGCGGATTTAACATGGGGATAAAGAGCCCGGCAGTGTTCCCAAGTCTCATAATTACCGCTGGGGAACTCCTGGGCTAAATTCTTGATGAACTTCTCCTTCCATTGCTCCTCCAGTTTATGTGTTTTCAGCCATGCACGTGTAGACAGTTGCACGAGCCGATGCATCATGAACGAAGTGCCGCCCTCACTGATGGATATAAATGAAAAGTCTCTGAGAGTGTCCACATCCTGTTCAAAATCGAAGCAGATATCTGAAGTCGACGATTCCGCATCACTAGACTCACTCGAGACCTCTGCGCGTGATACGGCTTTGTCTTGAGGATAAGGCCGGACAAGGTTCTCGGGTATTCCTTGCCGGTCAAAAAAGCTCATGAGAGAAAGTAAGTCCGCTGCAGATGGCCTCACTTGACGTATATATTTAAACGATATATGCCACGTCTCTAGGATCGAGTTCTTTGCTTCCCAGTCCCGGTACGTGTGACCGACCTCTTTGCCCAGCAGCTTTGTCGCCTCGCGATCACTTTGGAAATCCCTCAGATACTGTGCTACTGAACAGCGAGGTGCCCGATTCCGAATATAGCTGGTTGCCTGCACGATTGCTAGCGGCATGAATTCCAACATTTCTACTAATTGTTGGCTCTCTTGGATGTCTTCTAGCTGATCCATTTTGTTTTGGAAGAGATCTAATGCCTCAGATCTTGCCATCGGCGGAACACGAATGAGATCCTTAATGTGAACCATTTCCAAAGCGATTTCTCGACTTCGACTTGTTAGAATAGTAAACCCATTTGGTCTTCGAGGGATGTATTCCACTAATGGTTTGGTAGGGGTATTTGTTGGCACTTTCGTCGGGTCGTCTTTTCTCGTCGCCGGAATGGAGCAAAGGAACTTGTCATCGACATTATCAAGGACACAAACCCAATTTCCTATCTTTTCATCGCGGAGCCAGTTTTCGACCAGTGTGAATATGTTAACTTTAGCATCTTGACGACCCGGGATTTTAACCTGGTCCGCAATGTCCCGGAAACTTTGCTCAAATCGGGCTTCATTACTCGCATGGACCCAGAAAACCCATGTTGCGGGTGATTTGGATCGGACTTGGTAGGAGTATTCGATCGCAAGTTGCGATTTTCTTCGAGTTGTCAGCAATAGACCACGTAAGAGCCGCAATACCCTTACCCAACACCGCCGAGGCCAATCAGCGCTATCCTCGACCCCGCGTCCGAATTCTTACTATAGATCTGATCAAGCAGTGTCTCGCGACGAACAAAATCTGGATCGCGCGTGAATGGCACAGTTGACAAAGGGCTGGGCGGAGTTTCGGGCCGCTCTAGCGGGAAGCGGCAATTAGTCAGTCGGTCTTGACCTTGTTTGGTTCCGTTCCTGACTTACTCGGTGGCAGATGAAAGTCTGCCGTGAATGTGCCATAATTGATTCCCACCTGGGCTCCATAGTTGACACCAGAGTGACTTGACGACGCCATGGTCGTTTATATTTGCCTGTCTGTAGTTCATTACAAGCTCTTCTCTGGCTCTCGACCGAAGGAGGGGTACGTCATCAGGTGACTCGGCTCCGCGGCGCTAAGACAGGAGACTAGATTTGCAGGCCACCCACGTCGAGTCGTCGGGCAGGACTAGCACCTTCCCAGGAACCGGATCGATCCGAGCCAGAACACTCAGATCAAGCGCAGCACGCGATAATCAGCCAGGTCCCGCGGGGTGAAAAGGATGCTTTGACAATGTCACTTTCAGAGCTTATTGCTGCCGGCTTTTTCAAGTACACGATAAATACTTTGAGATCGCATTTTGTTGTCGCTATGGTGAAACTAACGTATGGTTTTCCAGCCAAGCAACCACTTTTTTTGAGGTCCGCAGCTTTGAGATGGCCCCCTTGGCTTGTTTGCTAGATCAACGTTCTAGAACCCCTGGAGACCATACGAGTCAAATACAGAAGCTATTTTAAGCTGTTATTTACAATTGTACTGGAATACCGCCAAGAAAGGGGTTCAGGGGTAGAGTAACCGTAATAGGTATGGCGTGTTTCGAAAGAGGGTTCGAGAAAGAATCTCTGTGAGGAATTGGTGAAACTGATTTCGATCCTCCCTGTACAATCCTAGACGACTTAAGTTGCTCACATATTTTTCTCAATTTTGTTCAGTTCCACCTCCAGGTTGCATAAGACGAAATGCACCAAAATTACGTAAAAAACGTCGCTGCTCACCCCATTTCCAGCCAATTAGTTAAGGACCAAGCTTGATGTAATTTACTAATACACCTAGGCATGGATGTCAAGCTAAGGCCATTGAGTCAATTATCGCGTGCAGAGGCCAAGCACAGAAGCTGGGGTTTGACGTAAAACTACCCCTGTGAGTGAATCATCAAGATGCATTATTTCGTGGTGTAACAGTTCTTGCATAACAGATTGTTTACATTTTATTATCGATGCCATGGTGGAGCTGCTTTTGTTTTTGGAATATTTGACCGAGAGATAGCGTCTGAGTGGCTTTTTTCCCAGATGGGTGCGTGTTAGGCACTCAGGACAAAGATCTTCCCATGATAGGAAGGTGAGGCTGCTTTGTGGAGACTGTAGGCAGTGACTGGAAATTGAGATCCTGCAAGGAATATGATTGGGTGATGAGAGTGAAAACGAAACACCTAACCTCCGTGGTCAAGTATAATTTTCTACAACGTACAGCATTGTAAATATTGCACCAAGTTTATTGAGAGAGCAAACGGTCGCTGGGATTGGCGCATGACATTTGACTCAGACCTTGTCCTCGATCATTCGTCAAACGTGTTTTCAGTAGAATTATATCCGATATCTGTCTACTAAGACCAGACACGGGTCTTAATATCATGCCATATACGCAACCGAACAGTCTACCAACGAAACAAGCAGAACTAAGCATAAGATATAGAGGCGGAAGTAGTTAAACAAATGACGGCATGATGATGGCATTGAGGCATAACCCCGCGGAATAAGTCCAACGTATAACCAACATACCTATGTACATTTCAGGAATATGGAAGTCCCCACTCGCTTTGGGGCCAAAATCTACTGTCAAGGACCTTCAAACCAGTACTGTACCAGAATGTCCCTTTCGATCTCATCTCCTGCAAGAAACCAGGCATTTATGAATGTAAAAAAACATCATCCCCACAACCTCTAGAGAATTGTCAAAATAAAAGACATAAGGATCTGGGGAAGGGTGGGGGGATGGTGTTAACGGAGAAGAGCTAAAAGAGCCGGTCGGCGGATTCGTGTTCTTGAGAATCGTTAAGACATGAGACATCTACATGTCTCAGTTCAGTTCAATTGACAGTCATAATTCCCACTCATTGAAACCTACTCCATAGAACCAAATAAATATGCCAAGACTGAACACGGGGTGTCCGGGGTCAACCGGACCTAGTGGCGCTACGAGAATCGCTTCCAGAAAATTCTAGTGTTGGTTGTAAAGAAACCTTGGAAGTCAAAAGCGCCACCCTTGGACCCTTGCAAGATTTCAAGGGTGTTCTTCTAATATGACTAAGGTCTTCCAGAACCCGTGGCCCAGTGGAAATTCCGGGGCAACTTCTAGGCGGAAGGCCAATTTTGGAAGTTGTTCAAAACAATATTACTGTTGATCTCGTGGGGGCCTTGGGGTAAACCTAACACATATTGAATCCCTGACTAAAACTCTATATCTACATGTTATCAATTAGCGGCCGAACAGGCATGTTAGGTACCGAGGGGCCCCGGGGGGTTGCGCCGGGCCGGCGTGGCCGGGCCGGTGAGAACAGTTTGCCTGCTGGGCATACTATGGGGTTGGCTCGCCCGAGGCCGAGTACCCCACAATTTCTAGACCACGCGCCGGTGAAGATATTCGGATTATATAATCCTCACAGGTGTCGCTACCCAAATGGATGAGCGCGCTTCAAACGCGATATACCTAAGTTACACCTTATTGGTAATTTGCCCCGGGACTGATAGTCATAAATTACGTTGTGAGCAATTTAATCTCTCCATAATTAGAGTACGTCAGAACGTAAAATAGGTTCATAATTAAATGCATATGTAACTAAATAGTAAGGAACATCCCTTGGCAACGTAATAAAATAATTCTTATCAACTTTAATCTCCATCCGGCGCCAAGAAAAAAAAATCTGGGTCCCATTCGGTTTGGCCACATTCACGCGAATTTCAGTCTTTCTTCTTTTCTTCCTTGTGGATTCTCTTCATCTCTCTGTCGATATTGTATGCGCCGTTATGAGTGTCCCCGAAGCACCCCAACCTGTTCAAGACTATGAAGTCTACAATGACTCTGGAGACCTGGAGAAGAAGCCATACCCGACAGAACCGAACGATGATCCTTTTGGAAATGAAGAATCTGGGGAAGTGAAGTATCGTATTATGCCATGGTGGTAAGTACCCTTGTTATATTCAGCTATGTTATCACACTTTTAGTACGCAGTTCTAACAACTTTACAGGCAAGCTGGAATGCGTGAGCAACCCATCAATCTAAAAAACCAACCCCTATGGAATAATTCTCTAACACTGATGATCTAGTTATGGTTGCCGAAAATATCTCGCTTGGTATCTTGTCTCTTCCTTCTGCGGTAGCAACACTTGGAATTGTCCCGTAAGTACGGATCTATACACTTACGATATACGAACATGGCTTACCATCTACCAGCGCGTTTATTCTGATTATGGGATTATCTGGCATCTCATGGTACACTGGATACATCATGGGTCAATTCAAGCAACGCTACCCCCAAGTGCATAGTATGGGTGATGCCGGAGAGCTTCTTATGGGGCCTATCGGACGAGAGATCTTTTACGTCGGCCAGCTCTTGTTCATCATCTTCTTGATGGCTAGTCACATTCTCACCTTCTCTGTGTTGTTTAACACAATCACCAACCACGGAACTTGCACCATCGTCTTTGGTGTTGTTGGTTTGATCGTCAGCTGCATTGCAGCCCTTCCGCGCACCGCCGAGAAGGTCTTCTGGATGTCCACTATCTCCGCTCTTAGTATCCTGATTGCCACCATTGTCACCATGGTCTCCATCGGCGTCCAGGCCCCCGACAACGTCCAGAACGACATCACGACATCTCCTACTTTCCAGGAAGCTTTCCTTGCGGTCACCAACATCGTCTTCGCCTTCATTGCCCACGTTTCTTTCTTCGGTATTATGTCAGAAATGCAAGACCCGAAGGAATTCCCCAAGTCTCTGGCTATGCTGCAGATTGTCGACACTACTATGTATGTCGTGACTGCCATGGTCATCTACTGCTACGCTGGCCCGGATGTAGCATCTCCCGCTCTGTCATCCGCAGGACCTGTGATGAAGAAGGTTGCTTACGGCTTGGCCATCCCCACGGTACGTTTTTCTTGTACATCCCCACAAGCCAGTTCTAATTTATAATAGGTTATTGTTGCCGGTGTCGTGTTCGGTCACGTTGCTTGCAAGTACATCTACGTTCGAATTTTCCGAGGCGAGCGCTCGCACCACATGCACCAACGGAGCTTTTTGGCCACCGGTACTTGGGTCGCAATTGGCTTGAGCACATGGACCGTTGCATGGATCATTGCCGAGTCAATTCCGGTGTTCAACGAGTTGCTGAGTTTGATTAGCTCTTTGTTCGGAAGTTGGTTCAGCTGTGAGTTTCCCATCCTTTCGAAACCAATGCCAGAAAAATACTAACTGGGACCAGACGGAATGCCTGCCATTTTCTGGCTCGTCATGAACAAAGGAAAGTGGTTCTCGACACCTAGCAAGATCGCTTTGACTATCCTCAATGTGATTATTCTTGGAATTGCTATTGCTATTGTATGTTTTCCCGATATCCTGGATGCGTATGAACCGCATGCTAATGATACTAGTGTGGATTGGGACTATACGTCTCGGGTGTTGCTATCAACGAGAGTTCTTCCAAGGCCAGCTGGACATGCGCCAACAACGCTACCTAAATAGGTAATTGCGAAGGCATATGCGATGCTGAAAATGTTTGTTATATATTAAATTGCTAGACTTTATGGTACTTAGATCGCATGTTGGGTTTGTTAAACTATATAGCATCTACGGCTGGGCGAGCCTGGTCATTGTAAATAAATTGATGTTCATATCGACTTATACTATTATATGCTCGTATTCATACCACCATTATTCAAACCGATCTTGTGAATCTAGATCCCCAAGCTAAGAACAAAAACCTTTCGATTAAAGGAGGTTCCTCCTGTTCGAACCTTAAAAAACCATATTTGATTAAGCGTTTAGGCTAAACGTTGTTTTTCTCCACTACCGAAATTAGTCTATTGTACACCTCAAATTCATCCTGCTTCTCAATTCTGTCCAATCACACTAGTGTCCATGATGCTTCTTCTCCGATAATCCCAGACATTCCGCCATGTTGAAAAATATGTCAATGGAGTTATAAACGCCCCCAAATAACTCCTGGCACGGCCCTTGTGCGAACACCGGCACGTCTGTGAGAGAGTGGACCCCCTGGCCCGCATCAAGGGGCAGTGTTCCATTCACCACGAAACCAGTGACAGCATCTTTGTAACTGGCATAATATCCGTTCTTCTTGTCATTTGTCGTCGCGGCAGGTTTGCGGGGACCCTCGCTGTGCACTTGGTAATTCTCGCGATGGTCAGGGAACGCCACGACACCCGAGTGCAGGGTGTACCGCGGGTCCCAGCGTGAAGGGAAGTGGACCCCTTCAGAGTACCGCAAGGAGTTAGGTCCACCAACCGTGTACTGTGACAAGCCGGAGTTCTCATAATAGCCGACAGCATTGCGCTTGCTACGGTCATCTTCTTGGGCTTCCAAGTACTCGGTATCGACTGCGCCGGTAACGTCAAACCCGTGGCCGTGGTCGGCTGTAACGATAATAAGAGTGTCGTCAAGCTCGCCAAGGTGTTTCAATTTTTCGATTGTCGCGCGCACAGTGTCGTCGAGCTCCAGAAGTTCACCCAAGGATCGATCATAGTCCAGCGTGTGCATCTGCTTATCAATACTGGCAGCCTCGGACATGAGGAACCAGCCATCATCGCTGTGTCGTTCGTTGAGGACATCGATCGCTTTCAAAGTCATGTCCTTAAGCCCAGGTAGGTCCTCAGCATCGCGACCTGAACCATCAGGGTAATTGCTTTGATTAAGCAGGTTGGCCTGGTAGACATTGCGATCGAGCCAGGTGGCGAGATTGGACTTTTGGAAGACACCCAGCAGCTTTTCATCGCTTGGTGCATCTTTGAGTGCGGTATTGTTCCAGGCTACATTGTAGCCCTTCTCAGCAAAGAGATTATAGTAATCCCTTCTTTTGTCGCTTTTGAGGAAATCTTCCGCGCCAGCACCCAGCAGTACATCGGGACCGTTCCATTCTGTCCACTCGTGCTTGGTCATACCTTCATAATAGGCGCTAATAACGTGGTCATATTCACCTCGGTCACTGGTATGAGCAGCCAACCCAGCAGGGGTTGCATCTGCCAAGAAGGCAGTCGACACAATACCCACACCACCGTCCGGGTAACGACGCCGGAAGATCTCTGATATTGTTTCGAATCTGGGGTCATCGAACGGATCGCTCGAGGAGTCTACATAGACGTTCAAAGCATTGACGGTGGTCTTGTGGCCAGAATAAAGGGCCGTGGCGGAGTTGGCGGAATCAGTGATGAACGAATCCATCGAGTGTGTCATCTGGTGACCCAGTACAGGGAACTTATCCAGTGCCATTTTTGTCATGTACTTGCCGTTGATACTACGGTGAGCAATGAGACGAGCGGCCGTGATCATGTTTGTAGTCATGCCGTCTCCGATGAACATGACCACGTTCTTCGCACGTCGTTTTGTCGGGAGGTCACGGACAAGCCAGTTAGCCACCGTTTTTTGGTTGCCATAATATGTCAGAGTAGCCTCATATTCACCGGGCTCGTAGAGGGCGACCCTCCTATAGATTTTGGAGGTGACGTTCACAAGTGAAGGCTTGTCCGCATCTTGGGCAAACAAGTCTGTTTCGGTTAATTTTCTTGCCTTCAAATACGAGCCTAGTTATGAAGAACATACCTTCGTACCACGAGAAGTTCCAGTTCTCTAGCGCTGGCTCTTCTATTTTGAAGAATTTGGTCGCAGCAACGGGTTTTTGGTTTTTTTTAGTGATGGTAAATTTGAAGTCTGGGTCTGGCTCTCCGACACGTGCTTCGGATCCATTGACTGGGGAATGTACTTCCAAGCGGATGTCAAAGTATTGGCCGGCCAGGAAATCGGCTCTACAAAGCAGCTATCAGTTAGATACCGGGCTATCGGATCGGAATTCTCTTAGTACGCATGATACATACTGGTCAGGCGGGAATACACATCCCAGATCAGGGCAACCACCTAGTCGCTGGAAAGTTTGGGCTAGAGTTGAGGAGACAAGGCACGCTATCACGGAAATTGACGGCCGCATATTGATTGTCCAGTCAAATCTAGTACAAGCAGTATGTAAGACGTTCGAAGGCGAACTTCATTGTTTAAATAGAAAAATGAGCTTTCCGGGTAGTTTAAAGCGAACCAAAGTGCCAAGATGCTCGATAGTACAAGTGAAGTAACCCAAATCTCCGAGGCATCCCGACGCAATCCCTCCGCCCTGTGAACCGTGACTGATGTAGGCCTTGGCATCATCAGGATGTAGGCAAGTGGTAGATGAGCTGATTGAATGTAACGAATGAGAATTAAGCGCACTTTACACGTGCAGAGTCCTTGGAGTTATCTGGAAAGCTTGAAGCTTCTTGCCAAGCTGAGGGGGCGGATGGCCAAGCTCGCCTAGCCCAGCTCAAGCCATGCCAAGCAAAACTGCTACAGCACGTGGGATATTCTCTTGAAAATCTGCGAGCAGGTGTTGATCCAACTGGGAACGGGAGTTGTTATTTACTTCATTGTATGAATTAGGTCACGTTTAGCGATCCTGGGATATCACTACTTCTACGGCCATCAAAGGTGATAGATGTCAAGAGTGGAGATATTCAATATTCTCGGCGAGTGCATCGGGTCTGATTCGTTGGTTTAGAAAGACCCGTATTTGCTATTAATTGAGCCATTGCAAGATTAATTCTATATGAATCGATATGAGGCAACACGCCAAGCATACCATTGAAATGCCCAAGCTACCTCCCAAAGGGTTCCAGAGGATTCGCCGATCGCCAGAGCTCAAAGCTACCCATCAGTGCGTATTCTCAGCCTCTCAGCCACTCAAAAACTCACCAAGTATCTCTTTTGTCAACACCATTCAGTGGCGACCAGGGAAGTGCTATTGCCCAAATTTTGATCTAGTTACATATTTAGTTTCCTTCCCTCCAACAGAATCGTTTTCCTCGGATCTATCTATCAATGCGCATTTTGGTGATCCCAACAATATGCATGCACTGGTGCTTATATAACGAGGTTAGGGGTCACCTGGTCGATATTCCTGCTGGATTGTCATTTTTGACATCAGAACTTCTCGGAGTCACTTTGACACCACTTGTGAATTAAATTTTCACTTTCTTCGTTTGTGTACTTGAACTCTGTTACCTGGTTTTCTGTCGGAGTCTTGCCAAACGTGGGCTAGCTAGTTGTTTGCTATCTCAATATGTAGGTACTCGGAGGATTTCATTGTTCCGTCGAGTCGGCGGAAGAATCGCTATTACTCCATGGCCTACCCTATTGAGGTTCTATCTAACCCCTTTTTCATTCTTTCTCGTCTTCTAGTGCCTCAAAATGTGCTCAAAATAAATTTAGAGTCCATCATACAGTTGTTCCTATGATTTCTTTGATTTTGGGGCTAGGTGTTGCGGTGGGGAAATCTTGTAAGTGGCCAATGAAAGATGAAACAAGCTGACAAGCATAAGTTCTTATCTAGATCTATCAGTGGCAATTGCTCTTTGTTCTGCCATAACGGCGCCGTTTAGCAGCCAGGATGGAGGGGCTTCAATCTACAAGCATGGGGTGATCAGGTTTTCGCACACAATATTTGATAATGCATCCCTCGAACAGGTTCAGTATGTCCCTTGCCCTTTTAACAGATTTTAATCAACAAATCCCAGCCTATCTAAGCTCAAGGTCATGGTTCTGGTAACAAAATTATGCTGATCTGACACTTTTAGACATGTCCTTCCCCCGGGTTCGCCCAAAAGAGTTACGAGGCCCACATAACACGCCAAAAGGGCAGCACCGAAGATCGTGGCCCTCCCTGACGGCACAAAGGCATTTTGGCTAGGCAAATCGGTTTCCGAGAAGCTGATTATCTATCTCCTGGCGGTGGATACTGCATTCCCGTGCTACCAGGCCATTTCGCCCATGTTGAAGCCCTCTGCACAGAGTTGCAACAGTGCGCCAAGGATGTTAGCGTGCTATTCCTTGCCTATGATCCTGTGCCTAAAGCGCGCTGGCCTCATCATTTATACCAGGCGGTTTCTATCTTACAGTATGCCATTGAAGTACTGGGCAAACGACCATCAGACATCATTCTTCAAGGCGACTCTGCGAGTGGCCATCTCGTACTTGCAGTTCTGTCATGTCTTGCGCATCCTAATAGACAGCCAGGTTTGCCGAGATACTTAGTTATTGAACCACTCGCTGGAGCAATGCTGCTGTCGCCTTGGGTCGATTTTCGGATTGCCTATCCGAGCTACTCTAAGACAGAGATGTTATTTCGGAAAACTCTTTGAAAGTTTGGGTGCAAGCATTGCTTAACCAAGCTGTAGAAGATGATCACAGTCATCCTGCGCAAGCCCCATATGGTTGGTGGAAATCTGTGCCCGTTTCAAGGATCTTTGTTGGTGTGGGAGGAGATAGGATTCTGCTTGATCCAATCTTACAAACAGCGGAAAAGATCAAAGTAAGTTTTACACCCGTTAGGGGTTTCAAGGTCTAATTCTCATTTCAGGCCGAACATCCGGACGTCAACATTAGCCTCGTTCCTCGAGACTACCATGTAGTGCCCATCATCGATTTCACCCTGAATATACCTCCTGGGGCTCAATTCAAGGCGATGGTATCTTGGCTGAATCAGACGCTCATCGGATAATAAGCGAGTGTTGAGATACCTTCAGGCCTATCATATTTGAAGTTGAAAGCGGTTTAGCGCCGATACGATCCCATTTGAGTTCTTTGTTTGAATATCGCGCGGTCTCTCACCACTCAAGGCCCCAGTCTAATCCCAGTCATTTGCACTTTTCGATTCAACAAACCTCATTGTTTCCAATTTCTTTGTATGTGAACATTGCAGCCTTTTTTCCCCCATGTCTTTCACCCATCCCCACAAACGACCTGAAGATCAACCTCGGAACAAGATCCGAAAAGGGACCCGCAGTTGCTGGGAATGTATGAGTTCCCCTCGGGGAACATCCCAGCACTAGCTGATCAATTTCGATCACAGGCAAACATCGAAAAGTCCGTTGCAATTTTACCTCTGATAGCGATCGCAGTTGCAGGGAATGTCTCGTTCGGGGAATCCCTTGTCGCAGCCAAGACTTGCCAGAACCTGAAAACCCCCGTGAATCGGAACGCCTGGGTTTCAACGATCGCCTGGTCCGTGTCGAGTCCCACCTGGATATAATTTCCACCCAAACAGAGGCAATCTTAAAAAGGCTGGATAATATCGGAAGTTCGAATCACTCGGAGCTGCCCATGAGAGTAGTGGATTCCAGCTTAATTCCCGCGACCGTGACTCCCGCTCAAGAGAACGCACCAGTTCTTGATCTATTCAACAATAAAACGGTTAGCGCTGCATCCCCGATTCTATGTCCTTGAGCGTAGCTTAACCTCAGCAAATAGCTAGGCTTTCACCAATCTGAAACACCCAACTCCACCCCATATGGCACTATCAACCGGGACTTGGAGAAGCTTCGTCGGGATTTGATGGCTTTGATTCCATCCCCACATACGTTGGAATTGATATCAGGAGCTAGCACTGGTTGGTGGCTTCTGCGCATGCAATTTTTTCAGGAATATGAAGAACCATTTCTCCCAGTCTCGTTGAACGTCCTTTCGAAAAGTCATCCAGCTGCCATTGCCAAGGCCGTTCTGTGGATTGCACTGTGTCTCCAGTAACTGCCTTTGGAATATGATACCCCTTCGCTTAATCTTCCCTGTGCGCCGACAATTCTTATTGAGAAATGCGTTACGCTGGTTGCCACTTCTGTCTGCTCTGACGACTCCATCGTGAGCTGTATTGACGGACTCGAATGTTTGCTGCTGCAAGGCGTGATTTCAGCAATAATGGAAAGATTCGAGGTGCTTGGTTAGCGTTTCGACGTGCTGCAAATGTTGCTCAGATGCTCGGACTCCATCGTGAAATTCCAGCTCTAGCTAGAACCACTGAGTTTGGACGCCGAGCTAAGTTAATCTGGAGAAGCATCATCGGTGTTGACGTTAAATTTTCTCTCCTTCTGGGCGTGCATGGAGCAATCTCCAGTACTGCTGAAGGTCTTGAAGTCCAACAGATCCCACTTGTCAGAGTAGCCAATTTAATTGTCGAGCGGAATCAGACTTTCACGAAAGTTACACCAGCCATGATCAGAAAGACACAAGAGATCGACGAAATACTTGCACTGATTTTACCTCCCGAGCTTCAATCACCTGATGGACTACCTGAAGGCAAATGCCATGAACGATTCTACTGTTTCCAGTTGCTCCACTGCCGCTTAACATACTATCAACACAAAGCTTGGTTACACCTGCCTCTCTTGTTGGACGCGAGTGCTGAAAACCCACATCTTTATCATCGACGAGCCTGTCTCGAAGCCTGCCGCCATCTTATAGATTGCTATATAAATCTCCGACTCGTCACTCAAAATGGATGCGACTCAAAGATTTTTGACTTCGAAGCCTTCACAGCAGCAATGACAATTGTCATCAATTCAGTCGGGCCTTTCGGCCAACGAGATATCGAGCAAGACGGGTGGGATGCCCTTGAAAGTGTCGTGGCTGTCCTAGAGCGATTATACAAAACGCTAGAGCGACTATCAAAAGCGGTCCCTCCAGATGATGTTGCTAGTCGGGCTTTGAATGTTCTTTTAACTCTTCGAGGAATCTCCGAGGGAAGAGAATTTCCTGAACTTGCGGTACCGAGTGAATCTCCGGATGATCTTGGTCGACCTAGTCGCATCCAGCTTGATCTTCCGTATTTCGGTACAATTTTTCTTGAGCGTCGCACCTGGGCCGAGAAAACAACCCAATCTCGGCACTTCCCCTGCAATCTTAACAACACTTTCCATATTCCGTCACCTACCGTGAGCGATACAACTCCTGGGGTATATGCTCCGCCAAATTCGTGGATCAATACGATTTTGGACCCACGGTATGCACGCGATCAGGTTCCGAAAACCGCGCAGTGGGCAGGTCCCGACATGGCATATGACCCACCTGCTGAGTTTTGGGCTATGAACGCCGACTTCACATTCCAACTGCAACCTCCATATCTCAATGAGTTCGATATCGACTGGAGCAATTGTGATTTTGGGTTGCTTTGAGTCTTTGAAAGGGGCACAACTCCCCCCTTGTGCCTTTTAGTCTGATGTTTTGGGATTTTGAATGATTTACTTGTTCTCGTCTTAATAGACGGTTCACTTGGGTTGTTCTTATAAATTCCAAAAAGACTCAGAGGGATCCGTTTCTCTAGCACATATTATGGTTTGATTACTGATGAACTCACAATAAGGGCTATCCTGTCCCCCAATAGGTGGGTCAGTCGTTGTTTGTATCCAAGCATCCACTAAAGGAGATAATGCGCCTACCAGAGGCCGACGACCAACGGCAGATAGTCTTTTGCTATTGTTCCAATCAATAAGCTTCACGCAAGTTCTTTCCGTTTCATATTCTCTCGTGGCATTCGTGTATCTTCCACACAGCTTTGCATTCTCTGTGATTTTTCGGGTATCTTGTGTTGATGTACATGTCACAGTTTCACCATTTTTGTCTCAAATAAACTCCGCGGTTTGCAGCAGCATACCAGCCGGATACTTCAACATCACCCTCGCTTCAAAGCCCCCATAATTCCCCCAACCGTGCCACGCAAGTTTTCTTCTGCTCGATCTCCAGAGAAGCGTTTTCGGTGCCTTCTCTGCTTCTCGATGAGTGCAACCAAGGTACTCAATACTATGAGGTTGAACTCATTGTCATATGACGCAATTATCTCCAAGGTACCACATCCTGGTGAATCAGATTGGTTCTCATGGAATATGGCAGCGACAGTTCCTGTTTCTTCGTCCAGCAGCTCAAGGTTTGAAGTTTTCATCCACGTAAACGTCTTTGGCGTCTTCATAATGGGTTCTTCCTCGATCATGTCTGATTGAGATTCAATGAGGGCCGCGAATCGATAGTTCACAGCATGGGGACTATCTCGAGTCGACCTTGTCCACCACGCAACAGTCATTTTCCCACCAAGATGATGGGATGGATTACTTTGCCGGAGCCAACCTGAATCGGACTGAATCGGGTTCGCTTCTTCGCCATATCTGCACTCGGCGATCTTCTGGCCGGATCCTTTGTCTCTTCGATAGATTCTCAAGTCCGGTTTACTGATGCTCCGGGAATGGACCTGAATGTAGAATGCGAGCGCTTCATCTTCGGAGTATAGTTCGTAATCGTTCAAGGGCCGGTTGATATGATATAGAACTGGATTACTCAAGACTTTGCATGTTATTGGGCTGTATAGTGGAAGAGTATCGATTTGGTATGGAGGTGGAGAATCGTTGGTTGTCATTGTAGCGGTTGATTCGACTGTTTTGATCATATTCGCGTTTGGTATGGGAGTGATGAATGCCGACAATCACTAAAGTGACATGCACCATCTTTTAAATTGTTTGAAAAGTTAGTCACCAGAGTTGATTTCAAATTGATGGTCAACGTCAGTTTCAGTATCAGAGCGCACGGAACTTTTTTCCACGCCCGCTATACTCAAGGAAGCTATTCCAGGTCTAGCGGGCTCCCAAATAGGTTAGCGGATATGTGAGTCAGACATGGCAGTAGGCTTAGGATCGTAATACGAGTTTCCTGGCGCTCCAAGTTCTGTTGATTGATCATCAATACGACGAATCCGCGGATATAGGGGTCATCACCACCAAGAGACTGGGGTCTGCTCACTGGTCTACGAACGGATCCATCAACACATAGTCTACTTCATAACAACACGCCGAATGGATCCATCTAGTTTAAACATGTTCTACAATCCCATTTTTGGAGACGCAAGTCTGTTTGCTTCCCTCGGCTAGATCTTTGGTCGTTGCTGTTCGGAATACAAGCACCGAGGCCACAAGTGCTTTTCAGAACTTCAACATTGGTTATACCAATTCTATACACCAAATTAGTCTCATAACAGCCCAAAATGGTGGACAGGGTCTCCCACGTGGGGAACCGAGATCTAGTAGATCTACAACCTTGCAATAACACAACTATGTGACTTTACCTTCAGTCTTACTTAGCTGGGCATCACAAGATTACATACCGAACATAGTAGAACTATTTCTATCGCCCGCAGCCATGATTATATGAGGAAAGGGTGTTCTTGGCACAAGTCCAAATGGTATTTTATCTTCTCGAAAGTGTAGGGGGAAAGAGAGGGCAGAGAAAAATGAGAACGAAGGGAGGAGGAGTTTCTTTTGGGGGGAGGGGGGTATAGTCCCATGAACAAGTCGCTCCTTCCTAAGTCAGATCTTGCTCCATATTCTACATGTACCTCTACTTGCCACGTGATCGACCTCGTCTCAGTCAAATCAAATCAGGTGCGCAACTGAAGTCCTGGTCCTGAATAGCTCGTAGGTCTCTCGTAGTGCCCGGCTCTTTGATTCTACTTGTATCCTTTTGTGCATTTGAGAGGTTTGAAAGTCTTGATAAAAGGTTCATTTACTGGACAGTCAGGGAGAAATCGAATGTTTCTTTTTTTCTTTTCTCTTTCTGCCGTGATGCTCTAGTCACATCCTTCTTGGCAACAGAACATTTTGGATATGAGCCTGGATCACAGCACAGCTCGCATATTTGATGTTCCGGGGTATACGGTCGGGGGTGGCAATATTTCCAATTTGCTGGGTGAAAAAAACTCCACAAAAGCAAAAACCCCAACATACGAGTTTCCAAGAAACAATAAAAAAACAATGACACGCGCGCATATCTCAGATCTGTACTAAAGTCTGATCACCGGGTTCGATCGACCGGCAAGCTGGGCCCCTATTTGCCACGGCACGGTTCCGATAACTCAACAACTACGCACCCAGTAAAATATACAGTTGTAGTTCATTAGAATTGAATAAATAATGAGTTGTCGGTGTCGATGATATTTATGTAAATGTCCATGTTAGCTGTGACATCGGCGGGTTAATTAGGTATCATTGGATGATCAGCTTCGACAGCAATCCTTGACACTTTATCACATATTATCATCATATGACATCATGTGCTTTTGTCATACTGTTTGCCCATGGGCGATCCTTGCTCTCGTAAGATCAAAAAGTGCACATGGAGGGCAGCAATTGAACAAAAAATGCCTTTTTGAGCTCCAGGTTCTCTCCATTTGAACGTACAAGGAATATAGTACGGAGTAGATGTTGTGAAAAAGAACACTGGAAGCTTCCAAGGAATGCCAAGACCAGGACTCCGCTTTGAAGGGACTACGAGGCCCAGGTCCATTGGTACAAAGGCAATTGACAGTTCATTGGTACTCACATGTGGGGAAATGGTGATCTTCGTTCCAAGTTACATGTTGCAGATAAATGATAGACGAGCTTACAGTCGTCATAGCCAATTCCCGGGTTTATATCGATGACGTAGCTCAGGATTCCGCGCATCTTCTGCAATTGTACGTGCTATACTTCTCTGCAATCTCTTTAATTGACTCTTCATCAAAGAGTCTATACCTTGTGTGGAGCCAAGGTCTCCTATTTTAAATTTATTCTTTCATCATAACCAAAGACACCCAAGCTTCGATCGACTTCCCTTACAGTATGGCTACAGGCCAACAAAACAAAGCTCCCCAGAGCCGTCGGGTGGGGGAGCATTGGAGTGGTGCCAATCCCATTCCAACAATTCATCATTTTATGGAACATCTCGATGCCGAAAAGAAGGAACGCGATACCAGGATAGATGAAGAACAGCAGATTAAGAAGCAGGAAGCTGCACGCTCCAAGGCACAGGAGAAATCGGGAGAGACAGCTGAGAAGCAAGATGGCGATGCTGTCGCCCATAAAGCACGCGAGGTCTCCCAAGCCAAGATACGTACTGTGACGGATCCGACGACGGGCAAGGATATCGGGGTGGAGGATCAAGATGAAACATCTATGGAAGCCGTAAAGAACCCCATGGTATGTGACATAAATTGGAAAAAAGATTTCTTTGAGTGGATTCTAATTCAATTGCAGTTGACGGTCCCGAATGCCAATCTTGGGCGAGAAACGGTAGATTGCCTTCATGAAATCTCGTTTACTGGAATATATACTGATGAAAAGTCTAGCACGTCCAAACAGATGCCAATCAAGACCTCCCCGAATATAAGGAAAACCAAGACATCACAGCACCCCCTGATCCCATCGCTGAAGGAACCACCTCCGATGTCCCTATTCGAGGGGAAAAAACCAATGTTCTTTTCCACCCCACGCCGACTGTTTCATACCAACCCATGTTTGACGAGCTGCAGAAGCGTGCAACGGGGCTTTGCATTGGAATTCTTGCCGCAATCATCATACTTGGACGTATGTTTGGAGGATCACTTTGGGGCCTGATTCCCTTGTCAGCATGTATCGCGTCGGGTGTATGGCTATGGATGCAGGAGGTTGTTCGCAGCGGTAGAGAAATGGAATGGAGCAGTGAACACATGCGTGGCCAAATGGTGAGTGTTCAATGCTTCTGTTGCCGAGCCAAAATACTGACAGTTTGTTAGGCCACTGCCAATCTCCTTCCAGAGTCCGTTGAGTGGATGAACAGTTTCCTCGGTGTTATTTGGGGACTCGTGAATCCAGAGATGTTGACGCCCATGGCAGACACCATTGAAGATATTATGCAAGTGTCTGCGCCGAAGGTTGTTGAGAATGTGCGCATCGCAGAAATCGATCAGGGTAGCAACCCATTGAGAATCCTGAGTATGCGAGCTCTTCCAGACGAACATGTGCAAGATCTGAAGGACAACATCCACGAGGAGAACAAGAAGAACAAAGATCCACAAGAAGCCGCCGCTACCGAAGAAGGAGGTAGCTATTACAACATGGAGGCATCATTTGCCTATCATGCGAAACCGAGTTCTCAGAGTGCCTCATCGAAAGCTCGCAATATGCACATGCAGCTGGTCTTCTACCTTGGTATTCGAGGCTTGTTTGGTGTGCCATTTCCAGTCTTCGTGGAATTGATTGAATTGGTTGGAACTGTCCGCATGCGCTTCCAGATGATGCCCGAAGCACCCTTCATGAAAGATGTGACCTTCACTTTAGTTGGCATTCCCCACGTTAGAGCGAGCTGCATGCCGATGGTTCGAAAAGGAGTCAATGTTCTCAATCTCCCTCTCATCTCAAACTTTGTCAACTCAGCCATCGCGACTGCATGCGGGATGTTTGCAGCTCCTAAGTCAATGACTATGGATCTTGGCATGATGCTCACAGGTGACGATATCCACAAGGATACTTTGGCTTTGGGTGTGATGTGGGTTCGCATCCACCGTGCAGTCGGCTTGAGCAAACAAGATGCTCGCGGAAGCGAGGGCGGCGGCAGCGATCCATATATCAACTTGTCTTTCTCCAAATACGGAAAGCCAATGTATTGTACTCGAGTCATCACCGACGATCTCAACCCTATGTGGGAAGAGACTGCTGCCCTTTTGGTGACACCTGAGCTGATCAAAGCCGACGAGAATCTGAGTATCGAGCTTTGGGATTCGGACCGCAACACCGCCGACGATATTGTTGGTAAGGTCGAATTACCTATCCGCGAAATGTTGCAGCATCCCAGCAGAATGTACCCCCAAGTCTCCAAACTTCAGGGGATGGATGATGGTAGCGAGATGCCTGGTCAACTGCATTGGGAAGTTGGATATTTCGGAAAGCCCAAACTTCGCCCAGAGTTGCGTAGCGATGGCCAGAAGAAAGATCTTCCTGAAAACCTCAAGGGTGATCCGACATTTGAAGACGAAAAGGGTAATATCAATAATGACGAAGAAGATGCTGTTATGCATACTCCGCCGGATCCCATATGGCCCAGTGGTATTGTGCACATTGTTGTGCACCAGATTGTCAATCTGCAACTTGCCAACATTAAGGGTAGTGATGGAAACCGCAAGGGCAAGGAGTATGAACCGGCAAAGCCCTACGGTGAAAACACCGAGGAGCAGGGTGACGACCTGCCCACAAGTTACTGCAAGGTTTTGTTGAATGATCAACTAGTACGTTACAATGACTTCCCCCCAAATCCGAAGTTGATATTCTGACCATATATTCTAGGTTTACCGCACTCGTGCGAAGGCTGTCAGCTCCAACCCTATCTTCAATGCAGGAACTGAGCGCTTCGTTCGTGACTGGCGCTCGGCTATGGTAACTATCACCGTGCGTGACCAACGCTATCGCGAGCACGACCCAATTTTGGGCGTGGTTCCTCTCAAGCTGTCCGAAATTCTGCAGACCAGCTCGCAAGTGACCCGCTGGTATCCTCTTGATGGTGGGATTGGATTTGGACGTATTCGGATTTCTCTTCTTTTCCGACACGTCGAGACCAAACTCCCTCCACATATGCTTGGTTGGGACGTCGGCACCTTTGAGTTTGCCGGTGACAAAATCACCGCCCAAAACTTCGGTCACCACAGCAAGATCAAGTTGCGCACTGGTGGTAGCGTTGGCAAGATCAGCCGACAAAAGTGTCATATGGATGGCAATGATGCAGTGTTTGATACGTCTGACGAGACTTTCCGCGACTCATTGCGTATGCCTGTGAAACACCGATACCGCTCCCCCGTCGTGTTCGAATTTCATACAAAGGGCAAGCGTGGTGCATTTGCCTACGCGGTCTACTGGCTCCAGCATCTCGTCGACAACGAGGAAACAGCCATCGACGTTCCCATCTGGACAACGAAGATGGGCGCACGTTTGACCCAGAATTATATCACAGAGGAGAACTGGCGAGCCAAGAAGGTACCAGGCCTCGAAGACTTAACAGAGGTCGGGCGCCTCCAATTCCGATGCAAGTTCTCACCGGGCATTGACGAATCGCACGAGAAGTTCGTCGTTGACAATGACTCGCGTGAGACCTTTGAGACCTGGGAAGCATGTATGTCACAGGGTGTGCGTTCCCGGAGCGTGCACGTTGAAGTCCCCGAGGAGGTGCAGCAAAAGCACGAGCAGTCCCTGATCGACGGTCGGGACGTGTTGAAACAAGCTTCTCCCTCTGAGCGTCGGCGCTGGATTGACTATGGCGGCAATGACTGGAGCGGTGCTTTCGGCCAAGATCCACGTGCATACACCGACGAAGTTGGACGCAAGGTTGCTGAGCCTGGTCTAGACGAGCCTCGACACGACCCTTACACCCCACCACCGCTGAAGGATCAACCTGCGTCACACCCTACTGTTGGTGAGCACGATGAGACCTCGGACTCTGAAGAAGATGAAGATTCTTCGCTGTCCACGGGGCCCTCGACTGTAAGTGGCACTGGTAAAAGCGGAGCTGATGCTTCGTCATCACAGGCCAGCGTTAGTACCAGTCAGGTGAACAAAGCGAACAAACGCAGTGAGCAGCGGCAGCAGCGTGGTCTGATGCAATGGCGCCCTGCCCGGAATGCCGCTTTTGCTAAAGACGAGGCTAAGTTCGCGCTCCGCAAGATGAAGAAAAAACTTGGCGCTGGTGACCTCACTGGTCGCGAGCCAGATGTTGAGACAGAGACTTAGGACGTATCACGATTTTAGGATAATTTTCAATTGGTTTTTATCATGGTTTGGTTGTTGAAATTGGATTTTTGGGTATAAAATGTCATGTTCACTGGTATCGCCATCGACCAGTGATAGTTATTCAAAGGTAGCAAGCATACTTAGCTCCCATGTTAGCAATATAACGCCGTCACCTTGGCGTTTGAATATTCGTCTTCGCTCTTTGCGCTTGGGAGATAAGAGTAGAGACCGCTCGGATTGCCCAAGATAGTGGTTTTCGTTCAACTTGGGGGGCTGGAATAGCAGCGATTATCAGCTGCTCAATGAATACATCCATAAGAACAACCGGTATAAGTCTCAAATTTGACCTGTTGAACAGGACCACGTGATGCATGCTGTTTCGCTCGATTCAACAAGCCCCTCGCATCGTATTGTGATCCAAGAAAACTCTCAGGGTGAACCTTGCTATAACATCCATGAGATGTATGTCTGCATGATCATCAATGAGTCAGGATCGACACCGAGTTTCGAGTTTCCTGAGATCGGACATCATAGTGCATATATTCACATTGAAACGGATATAATATATGTAAAATCATGCTGGAAATTCAGCAACAAAGAGAAAGTGCGCCTGAAAGCCACAGGAAAAACCCAACCTGCGTCTCTATATGGAAACAACATGATTCGTGAATAAATAATATATGCATCGCCATCAAGATAGAAAGAAAATTATTAAGAAAAAAAGGGAGACATCAGCCGTGCAACCATACGTTGCGTCTTTATTGAGCGGGCCCAGAGTTCACAGCCAGAGACTCCGACCCAGGCGCGATTTGTGACGGCAAGACATCATCCCGGTCGATAGTTGAGACGCCATCCACTGGACCCAGAGTCCATTTCCACTCTCTACGGCGCTTGGCACGAGGCTGACGCGGAGTTTGCGGTGTAGAAGAGCCGTCAGCCTCGAATCCATCGAGCAAAGCCACCGCCCGAACCTGACGCTCTATCTGCATAGTACGCCTTTTCTTGCGTTCGGTCTTTGTGAGGGACGTATCGCAGGAGGTTTCATCCGCACTGGTATCAGATGCAGATGTCTCTGATGGGAAGCTAGAATCAGAATCCTCTTTTTCCTTTTGTTCGGGCTTAGAACCAGCGGGGCGGGTTTCAAGTGGGGGTTTAGTGTCTAGCTCGTGTTGCACTGCCTCCCTCACGAGATCTAAGTGCTGCGCCGTGTAGCGTTCTGTTTTGATTTCATCCTCGAGTGGAAATCGGTAGCTGACTTGTTTCTTAGCTGGGAAGAAGACACGGCGGGTGCCTGCGCTGGGTCCATTCCCGCCCGCGGAAATGGAACCTCGTCGCCTGGTTGCGGGTTCGAGCGGTGAGTTGCGTAGAATACTGCGCACACCTAAGGGTTGTTGGTATGAATTGCGGGTGAATATATTATTGTTTGAGTGGATGTAGGGGGATGTCGGTTTGGTGTTGAATCGTGTGGCTTTGGAGGGAGAGGTGGTCGCAGATGATGGAGATGCGACATCGTAGGCATTCTTGTAGGTGTTTCGAACGGTTGGGGATGCAGTTGGTGCTCCTGCAAAGGAGAAGGATAGGCCAGTTGTAGAACTGCCGAATGTACGAGGAAGAGACGTGGTTTGAAGCGTGAGTTTGGGTCGAGATGTTATTGTGGTTGTTGCGTCTGTCGGCTGAGATGAAAGGCACGACATAGTAGCGCAAGGCAAGGGAGGTTGAGATAGATCAGAAGAATAATTTGGTGTCATTGAGCATTTGAAAGAGGAAAAAGAAAAATCGCAATGTGGGAAAGTGGCGGGGTACTAAGAATAGTATGTTCACTAACAAACTAAGAATAGAGGAGGTTGGCGCTAGATGTGATGAAAGATGCAGTTGATGACACTTCTTTTTTTCCAGATCTACGGAGTACTCTGTACTAGTAATATTAAGATCTACAAACCTTTAAACCTTGATAAAAAGCAGAGATTTCAAGATTTCCTTGTGATTCTTTTGAGATTTCCGTGAGACTTCCTTAATACATTCCAGACCTCTATTGGACTCAAAAGTGGATGCCATACTATTGACGCCACATCCAGAACTATTCCCGTTGTAGGTTCATTTGCCGCTCTAATTTAATCTTAATACAATATTGTACACATTGCAGGTCAGGTGTAAGGGGTTTTTTTCTTGACTTTTACTATTAAATGTGAAACTGTCCCAAAATCCTGAATATATTATAACTGTAGAATATCAACAATATATATTATTGTATACAATATACGCGTTCCTCCCCGGTTACTATAAAAAGAAAAGGCCCGTGGGTCTAGGGTGGCAAACACAAGGTAAAGTATCCCACGGCCTATACACATACAGTATGTATGTATGTACGGAGTGCTACGGAGTAATAGTAGATTGTGTTACCCTTTGCTATACTTATGTAGTAACTTGAAACCTACATCATTAAACACATTTTTGGCTCCTAAATCAATTCCTTTACATCAAGATGCAAATCTATACCATACCTAGGTACGACGTAGTATATGGAAAGTTTGCAATGCAGATACCGTACTAGCATTCTGAGGCTGATCTCTGAGGCTGATGGAGACCCAAACTGCCATTGAAATTAGCCCCCCCACTTTCTTTATTGTATGTCTAGCGCCAAAATTCCTAGGTAGTTGTAGATCCAGAATTTATCAAGGCAGATATGTTTCTCTGGGTGGTCTGTGTACTCTCTGCCTCATACAGGCCCCTCTATTCCTTTATTGTCTATCTTGTGATATGCTATTTACAGAAATTATACTAGTCAATGACTCTCATATTTTATAGATCAGAGCAGAGGGGTTTCACGAAAGAAGAGAGCAAACTTACAGTGTTTCTCAGGCCAAGTGTTGTTGAGTCCCCAACTGAGCTTGTATTAGTGATCAACAAAGAACACATAATCATGGACCTATTGGGGTATTGATAGTCTACAAAGAACACGATGTCAAACTCCATTTAGGTAAATGCCACTTTCCATCTTTTCTATTTATAGCATGCGCCACGGCTTCACCAGCCACATCACCAGCCACAGGGACAGGCCAATAAAATGTTGTCGTTCCTGAGATTCCTCCATGGTTGCTAAAGGCTTTCAGCTTCAGTCCACTCCTGCAACACCGAATCACCAAAAATATCCATGGACCCATTTATATCAGCTCAAGGTCTATGGCTGCACTAGTGCGGAACGACAGTCGCATCATCCTCCACTTGGTACCCCTCCCCAAACTCATTGACAGTCTTTTTCATTAACCACGACTAGGACTATGACTGTTTCTATGCCTCAGTCTTTGAGGTTGAACAGCCCGCATTGAAGTCGCTGCCTCTGGCAGTCCAGCAGAAGCACATAATTGTAACTTGCAATTACGAAGCCCGGCGACGAGGCTTGCATAAATTGCAGCTCATCAAAGATGCCAAGCGCATCTGTCCGGATGTGGTAATTGTCCTCGGTGAGGACCTGACAAAGTTTCGAAATGCGTCCAAGGAGCTCTATCTACTCGTGCGGTCCCTTGTCTGGGGCGGGCGTGTTGAGAAGCTTGGCTTCGACGAACTCTTTTTGGATGTCACGGAGATGATTGACTACAATATCGGCGTGCTAAATCAAAATGATTTGACAAGCTCATTTCTTCATCTTGATAGAAATGACCCGACCGTCGGCTTCACCTACGATGCAACCTACTTCCAGGGTTCAACCTTCCCTGCCACAGAGGCAGCCCCTGTCTTCCCAAACCCGTCGTCGCTGGAGATGAGATTGCTTGTCGCCTCTCATCTCCAAGGTCATATACGGAGCACATTGGAGCATCAGATCGGATTCACTGCCACTGGTGGAATATCGACGTCTAAACTGTTGGCAAAATTGGTCGGCAATGTTCACAAGCCCAACGGTCAAACAACTCTTCTGCCGCCATATATAACCACCCCACAGAACAAAAGCAACGTGCTCGGGTTCTTAGATGATCATGAGATCCGCAAAATCCCTGGAATAGGATCTCGAATGGCCCAGAGACTCAAAGCTCATGTCACGGAACAAGACAACTGCGACGTCAAGATTACAGTCTATGATGTTCGCACATTTGCAGGTATGGGGCCACCTTTGCTTGATAGAATACTTGGCGGGCCAGGCTCAGTGAAGGGGATTGGAAGCCGGATATGGAGCATTCTCCATGGAATAGACAACTCCGAAGTGCTTGAAGGTAGAGATCTGCCAACCCAAATCAGCATTGAGGATTCCTATGGCCGGTTGGATACTCTTGAAAGTGTTCGACGCGAACTCGTTGTGTTGACACGGAGCTTGATACGTCGGATGAGGACCGATCTACTTGACCTGAGTGACACCCCTCAAGGCAGATGGCGTGCTCATCCTCGTACTTTGAGACTATCGACGCGACCAAGACCGCCTCCGGACTCGGATGTTGGTCGTGCATACAGTTCAAATCGCATTTCTCGCTCTGTGCCTCTGCCGCTCTTTATATTCAACTTAGATGAAAATCTCGATGCACTGGCCGAGCGCCTGGTTCGGGACAGTGTTTTATCCATGTTCCGCAAACTGCATCCAGAAAAGGCGGGCTGGAACCTTAGTCTGTTGAATGTTGCGGTGACTAATATGGTGGAAAGCGCTGGGGATCAGAAGCACAGCAGTGGTCGCGATATTGGGAAGATGTTTCAACAGCAAGAAACTGTACTTAAGAGCTGGACAGTGCAGGAACCTGACTCCCCATCCCCCGTTGATGTATCACCATTTCACAAAGTGGATTCTCCCGATATTGAGGTACAGTCAGAGGATGACTGGGATGATGGTGACGACGAACCGTTACCGAGTAGTGTGGAATGCCTTATTTGTGGAGCTTCGATTCCATTGTTTGCACAATTGGCACATGAAATATATCATGCTGCCCCTGAGTGATTATTTGAATAACACTGAACAACAATCCATTATTCGGCAGCCTTGAGTGCCAAGCACTGGAAGTTCTTGTCCAATGATCAATAGTGTCTTGGCCTGGACCACTTACGTAGATGATTAATTGTGGGTATAATTTAATTAATGGCAAGAGTATGGATTACCCCATACAATAGTTGATAGTATAGATAGATAGAATCATAAGCACTGGACTGCATTTAAGAGAGACGTTTTATATCAAGCGCAGCACAATTCTTGCCCTATTCTGTGCCAAGTAAAGATCATGTACAGAATACAATTAGAAACGAATAAAAATAGCTTCTTCTCCACACATATATTCAACAATCCAACAATCAGGATTCACCATCAGACTTATCGGAACAATGTTTCAGTCCGCAATGCCAAGCCCAAGCCTATGGTCTTTGAGGGCGCATCGCTGCCATTGGATTCCTAAGACCTTGGCAAACGGCTCAGCCGGATTATCTCTGTGATCTCTCTTCTTTTCTCAATCATTCAATCATTGTTCTTTTTCTGCTTTCCTTTGAACAAAGTATCTTTCTAGTCTTTCGTTCATATTCCCCTCGTTTTGAGCATCACCAAAAACCCTCGGAGGTGGACCCGTGATCCCTGAATTACCATTTCAAGTCAGGACCCTTGAAACTCTTACTCAGCCTCAAGAAAAAGACCCTTATCATTCCCTTGGACCCTGGGATCCAACCCGTTTGCAAAATATTGCGATGAGGTTCTCTACCATCCTACCCCTGATTAGTGCATTTTCACTTTTCCAGCAATCGTCAGGTACGATCATCGGCCCGTTTCACCCCCAACAGCGCTAACTGTCTCCGACAGCACGATCACAGGCGTCAGAGGCCATTCGACAAGTTACACCCATCGACAATGCAAATATCCGTACACCTTCCCACCAAATAGACCACCTCACACATTTTGATGTCACTTTTGATCTACAACGAGACGGCCAGCGGATAAAGCTAGAACTCGAGCCCAACCACGATATCTTAGCTGAAGATGCTTACGTGCAATACATCGCTTCCGATGGAACGTTAACACACGCGGAGCCTATTAAGCGCCATGAACACAAAGTTTTTCGAGGTCGCGCATTAGTAGGATCTGGCAAGGGGAGATGGACGCCCGCGGGCTGGGCGAGAATTACCGTCAAAAGAGATGGCCTGGAGCCTCTCTTTGAGGGCGCGTTCAGTATCAATGATGACAAGCACCACGTTGAATTGCTGTCGAACTATCTTGACAAAAAGCGCCCGATAGATGCCGATGTCGAACCCAGACACGGGGAGTACATGGTTGTTTATCGCGACTCGGATATGATTCATTACACACATTCTGAGCTGAAGCGGTCGCTACCTGCGACCACCGGCTGCGGAGCGGACCGTCTCGACTATAATGCGGATCTAACCAACTCTATATTCCCCTACGGCATAAGCGAGGCTGACAACCAATGGGGCATGGCATCATTGGATTCGCTGTTTGGATTGAGCAAGCGACAGTCATCAGATGTTGGCGGCGTGTCAGGCAGCACAGGTGGTGTCAATCTGAAGTCGACAATCGGTGATACCAGTGGGTGTCCCAACACAAAGAAGGTCGCTTTGATTGGAATTTCAGGAGACTGTGAGTTCACCGAGTCGTTCAAATCCACCAACTCGACACCAAAGGAAGCGGCTAGGGACTGGATCATCAATGTGGTAAACACCGCCTCTAGTCTGTACGAAGAGTCTTTCAATGTGTCCATTGGTCTGCGCAATCTTACAGTCTCTGAGACGGGGTGTACATCCACTGGTGCATCTGCCACGCCGTGGAACGTGAAGTGCGATAGCGGAAATATGACCTGGCGCCTTAACGAGTTCTCCAAGTGGCGTGCAAGTAACTCAGATAACAATGCTTACTGGACGCTCATGACGAATTGCCCAACGGGCAGTGAGGTCGGCGTTTCATGGATGGGTCGACTATGTTCGTCTGAGCTGGTCACCTCCGGGGACAGCTCGGTGAGTGGTGCGAACGTTGTCGTTCGTAACTCTGGGTCTTCCTGGCAGGTTTTTGCCCACGAAACGGGCCACACTTTTGGAGCAGTGCATGACTGCGACGACACAGCCTGTGGCAAGAAGCTGGACGCTTCATCACAATGCTGCCCGCTGAGTTCTTCGACCTGTGACGCCGCCGCAAAATACATCATGAACCCGTACGCGAGCAATGCTATGGTCAAGTTCTCAGAATGTACCATCGGAAATATCTGCTCCGCCATCGGCAAAAACAGCATCAAGTCATCCTGTCTCTCAGATAACAAGGGCGTCGTCTCCATCAGTGGCAGTCAGTGTGGTAACGGCATCGTGGAGGCCGGCGAGGATTGCGACTGTGGTGGCGAAGCAAGCTGTAGCGACAACGCCTGCTGTGACGCATCGACCTGCAAGTTCAAGAACAATGCTGTTTGCGATGACGCCAACGACAGCTGCTGCTCCAAGTGCCAGTTCGCGTCTTCCGACACCGTTTGCCGCCCTAGCACAGGTGTATGTGACTTCGCCGAGAAGTGCCCGGGGGACTCGAGCTCCTGTCCGGATGACAAATTCAAAGATGACGGTTCATCCTGTGGTGACAAGGGCCAAGGCCTCAGCTGCGCCAGCGGCCAATGCACCAGTCGTGACTACCAGTGTCGAACTGTACTTGGCTCTCTCCTCAACAGCAACGACACATGGGCCTGTGACAACACTGCAAACCCATCATGTACATTAGTTTGCGGCGCACCTTCCATGGCACAATCTTTCGGAACAACGACCTGCTACAACATGGAACAGAACTACCTCGACGGCACACCTTGTGACGCCGGCGGCCGCTGCAGCGCAGGTCAATGCAAAGGCTCCTCGGCTCTTGGTTGGATCCACCAGCACGAGAAGCTTGTGATTGGCGTGTGTGTTGGTGGTGGCACGCTTGTTCTACTCGCTCTGTTCTTCTGCATCTACAGCCGCTGTAAGCGCAGTGCGCAGCTGCGCAAGGCACGCAAGGCTATTCCCCCAGGCACCTATCGTCGATACAATGGGCCCCAGCCAACCGCTCGTCCGCCGCCTATGGATGAGTGGCATGGAACGCAGTGGAATGGATACCCGAATGCCGGGTATCAGAATATGCCACCGAATGCTGGGTATCAAAATGTGCCACCTCCCGGACTGCCCCCACGATACTCATGAACCAGTTTCTTTTGGTATCTATTTAGTTTTAAGATTCTACATCGGATCCTTCTACGTTTGCATGTGCTCTTCGGAGACTTTGTTTCAGGGATTTGGGTATCGGCGTCTTTGCAGGTGAAGCATGGATCTTTTTGTTGACTTTTGGTTCGAAGTTTCGCTCGCCAATTGGGTTGGGATTTTTCTTGGGTTTTAGGTGTGTATTCTTCGCAGTTAGAACACGACGAAGCCTCTTGGCTATGAATGATACCTTGTTATCTACTACCGAATGAAGGCGACAAGAATTCATATCTGTATCATGGAAACAATGTCCATTGGAATCGTAAATTGAACCCAAAACAACAGAAAGTAGTGCTCCTAAAAGCACAAAAGGAATAAGAAGCGTCCCAATAAACACCAAAAAAACCCATGCACAACAAAACAAAACCAAAACTAGAGTCAGGTCTCAAAAAAGCCTCAGCTAACATAACTCACTGCCAACAAATACCAACAAAAGCCTCTCTAGTAACACCTCCAGCCCCCTCAAGATCAAACTCCTCAATCATAGCCCTTAGCTCCTCTTCCTCAAGTCCCGTCTCGCCCAACTCCCGTGCAACGCGCCTCAAATCCTCAAGATCGATATATCCCTTGCCACCCTCGTCGAAAAGCTCAAAGGCTCGCAGAATCTCATCGCGCGGATCTCGCTCAAGGATCTTTAGCGCTGTAACGGCCTGGAAAGACGACAGCGGCATGAGCAAGTTGGACGGGTGTTGCGGGTTCGAGACGGGGCCCTTGTTGGATGTAGGCTGGCCATTTGCTTGCTGTTGTTGGACTTGCGGGCGTGGGACACCGTAGGTTGTGAGGAGGGAGATCAGCTCTTGTTTGCTGAGTGTGAAGCCTAGAGCGCGAAAAGCGACACGGAGCTCGTGGTAGTCAAGGTGGCGGTCGCGGTCGAGATCAAAGAGGGTGAACTAGTCATAATTAGCTTAATTACGGGATGCGCTTCCTTGGAAGCGCAGGAGGATTGGAAGTCCCTTACAGCTTCGTTGATTTCCTCTCGCTGCTCCTCGGTCAAGCGGTTCAGCGGATTCGCGTCCTGCGCTGGGCCGTGAGACTGTGCGTTTGTTGCGGGCGCAGGTTGCTGCTGCTTCGGGGCTTCGGGGAAGTCATTTTGGGCGGTGTTTCCTAGGCCTCGATGCCGTGAGAATGATGAGGCACTGAAGGGCATGGCGTTTGTGTTGACGGAGCGTTCTGGGAGCTTCGTGCCGGCGTATGAGCGTGACGCGAAAGGTTGGCCGGAGGCCATGATGTTTGATTTATTTGGGTGTCAGAATCAAAATCTGGATCCCAATATAAATTGCAATGGAGGGGCTCGCTCGTGGGAATGCTGATATTGGGTGTTGGCGGTGGGAGAATTCTTGAGACGCGCCTGACGCGGGCGGAATGAAACACCTTATTTTTTTGGTTACAGTTTAGAGCTAATCAGAAGACCTACAAAGTAATGTTCACTAACACTTCAATGTTTGGATATTAATGATATTTGTGAGATCAGTACAAGCATGTTATTTACTGGGCAGAATTCAGTTCAGCAATTGTGGTTGTACCAAAGCAAACACCTATAACGCCTCAAGACTTCCTTTCCATCCAACCAAAGCAAGTATATCACAAAGCCAGGCACAGTCATTTCACGGGTCAATTAGTCAGTATCTACCAATTGCTAAAAGAGGTGTGTTGAGCAAACCCCAATATATCGGGCTCATCTTTGTTTTCAAACAAAGTGCCAGCAACATGAGGCGCTTCCTGTAGGACCAAGCTCCTGTTGTAGTCAATCATGTTCTCGATGAGTACACCGGCAACATCATTTCTTTCAAACTGAGCCATACCGTTGGTGTAATTGGACTGTGAAAATGTCATCGACAACTGAGAACAGTTTGAAGTGGCACCCTGAGGTATATCGTATGGTTGGGGAAATTCTTCAGACAAAAAGTATTCCATCTCAATGGGTGAGACCAACTGAAAACTGCAGGGTCTCATATTCTGCCAGATTTCCATGCTAGAGTCTGAATTTGACTGCAGTTTTGGAATCTCATCTCGTAGAATCTTCTTCTTTGCGGACTTGCTAGTGATTCCACGTCGGGGGAGAGCATCCCACAAGATGCGTTCGATAGCTTTGCAAACTTCATCCATCTGACAGCACGGGCTCAATATTTTTGCAATTACCAAGTTGCTTTGGAGCTCTCTCATACCACAAGCAACTCGGTAGTACAGTGCAGTGGCGACCCAAGTGGGATCAAGGCCATCTTTCGGTTTTGGTTGCGGCTTGCGTAGCGCATAATATAGCTCCTCGCAGAAGCCCGCTGAACTTTCATATAAGCGATGAATACAGATCACTAATATATAGAGCACCACAAGTTGCCCGCCAGTCATGTCGGCAGGCTGTGCAAAAACTTTGGCTTGCACAAGCCATTGAGATGCTGTAAACAGTTTGGCCACCTTGAGCGCAGTTTGGACAAGTGGGTCGGTTCCATTTGTGTGTTCAAATCGAAGCAGGCTAGGAGCCTGAGACCCGACAACCATATCTACAAGAGTTCCGATTGGGCAGTCTGAGTAATTCGGCCACATGGTGTTGCACTTCGTCACAACCCAAGTCCACGTTATATCTCCCTGGCCAGGGCGAATATTGATAGTCGCATCAAATTGTTGGGAAAACTGAAAGACTCGGTAATTCATGCTTGCCAACCTCTGTCTCACTTCTTGGGATGGTAGGTCAGGATTCATGAGAGACGTTTCTGTCAAAAAGATGGAGATATTTCGATAGCAAGTTCGTTGATGAGACATGCATTGTTTGCAAGAGCTGACTGCTTCACACTTCTTCTTTGCACGGTTGCACCATAAGCACGACCCGCCAAACAGTTTCAAGGCAGCTGCATCTTCCCTCTGCTGATCGAGCTCAGCCTGGTCACGGAGCCTTTTCTCAGTTTTATATATCTCTGGATTCAATGGGTCGTAATGCAGAAAAGTCAGGGGTTTTGAACTTTGCGGCTGTTCTATTCCAACATCATCGAATGAATTCTGGATAAGGCGCCTGTCCGTTAGAGGAGTCGGCGATGAGTGCCAGATGGTTGAGCAAGGAGTGACAGAAGGCTGCTGGTGAGACTCATTACTCGTAGGAGGTTCGCATGAAGATTCCAAGTCCGCTGGAAATAGCTCGGCTGGCATGAAATCCGGATCTGGGCAGTCGTGCCCCGAAAGATCGCATACCAGCGAAGGAATAATCAGCGAGCACTAAAAGGTCAGCATTATGCCACCAAGAGAGGAACCGTGATTGTTGTATTAAATAGTGAGACGCGGCCAAAACGACATAAGAAGGAAACAAGGTACAGATGACATGCATGGGTATGGAATGGGTATCAATCTTACAGCATTGGTAGAGGTCGGTAAACTGGATTTGCGCGGGCGTTTTGGGGGTGGTTCAACGAATGGAGATGCGTGACGTTTAGCAATTTTAGCCATGATCAAACGAAAGTAAGCGCGCAACTAGCCAGTATAGCAACCAGATTGATGTAGGGAAGGCACAAAGTAGAAGACGACCTATTATAGCCGGAAAATGAGAGGGCGAGAAGCGATAATCAGTCAAACACCACGAAGAAGCTACGATCCCGACACCCGATTAGGCATTTTGTTTTCCCATATAGGTTCCCATCATCTAAGCTTTGGTAGTGCAGTGCCGTTCCAAGGTCGATGCCGTGTAGGTAAGCTGCCATATCGGATGTCATATTGTTTGTCTGGATCGTTGGTGGTCTCTTGACCGGAATTTAGACAATCGAAGGGTAATAAAAAGCCTGCACAAAAGACCCCAAGACCGATCGAAGGGTGAGGTAAGAAAGAGCAAGAAATCACTTTGGTGTGGCTATGCCTTTTTTGTTCCCCTTTGATAGGGTATCGAGAATGACGAAAGAGAAATCGGCTTTGCATTGGGTTATCATATTCACCGAGATGGAATGTTCATATCACGGTCTCTTTGGGTACCGAGATCCAAGTCTTCCAAGAAGGTGCGGCCGATGAGTTGTTCAGGTAAGTAATCTTGCTGCACCTTCCCATCGATATAATTCGGGTTATACTTGTACTCTGCGCCATATCCAAGCTCCTTCATGAGCTTAGTAGGGGCATTTCTCAGGTGAACAGGAACAGGTAGTCCTGCAACACCTGGCTCATTCAAGGCAGCATTGACATTATTCAGGCCACGATACGCCCGAGTACTCTTCTTTGACAGCGCCATTGCCACAGTTGCATGTGCCAGGTTAATCCGTGCCTCTGGGAGCCCGATCTTCTCCACAGCAGAATGTGTGGCGATGGCAAGCGACAGCATGGTGTTATCGGCGAGCCCGATATCCTCCGAAGCGACCACGATCAATCGCCGAGAGATATACAATGGGTCTTCGCCCGATTGAATCATGCGAGCAAGGTAGTAGAGTGCAGCGTCTGGGTCGCTTCCCCGAATCGACTTGTGAAAGGCGGATATTGTGTCATAATGCTGGTCTCCAGCACGGTCATAGACCAGCGTCTTGGTCAAAGATTTCTTCAGAACATCTTTATCCATTCCAGGTCTTTTTGACAAGTCCATTGCTAGCTCCAGCAGATTCAGCGAAGTGCGGGCATCGCCATCCGCAAACCGAGCCAGATACTGCACCAGCTCATCATCGACTAATTCCGAAGGTGAATAGTTAGGACCTTCAACTCGAAGCGCACGCTGAAGAATTGAAGTGACATCCTCATCAGAGAGCTTGGAGAGAGTAAATGTCCGACATCGGGAAAGAAGTGCATTTTGGACTTTGAATGACGGGTTTTCCGTTGTGGCACCGATGAGGGTGACTTGGCCGCTTTCCACGGGGCCTAGAAAGACATCCTGCTGTGATTTCGAAAATCGATGGATTTCATCACAAAAGATGATGGTCTTCCTCCCGGTCAGGCCCAGCTCACTGCGAGCTTCGGCGAATATCTTTTTACACTCTGCCACACCACTGCTGGTGCTGTTGATCTCCACAAACCTGCTGCCCACCAGCGAGGCAATTACTCGAGCGATAGTAGTTTTACCAGTTCCAGCACTACCCCAAAGAATCATACTTGGTACTCGGTCTTGTTCGATGAGCCCACGCAGAACTCCATTAGCCCCGACAAGTTCTTGGCCGCAGACTTCCTCCAAGGTCTTAGGTCGCATACGTTCGGCCAGTGGAGCTGCTTGGTGGAACGCATTGGTCTTCGGACGCTTTGCTTGTGGCTCTCTAGAATTTGTATTTGTTTGCTTTGGCCCATCTTGCTCCCGTGGGGTTTCGGTTTCTTGGGTGAATGATCTCTTGCCGTTCAGAGGACGTGGGGTTGCCGTGGGCCGCGATGGCGACTCCTTCGTGATATTGGATTGGGAGGCTTTGCGTGCGGACGGGGTTTGGAATATGCTTGGAACTGCCTTTTGGGATGCCTCTGGAGAGGATGGCTCTTCGATAAAGCGCTGGCAGCCGGAATCGATGTGGTCGTTGATCTTTAATTGAGGAACCAACTTCTCACAGATGGGACAGGAAACCATTGTTGCCCAGAGAATGCCCAGGTGAGATGGTCATCAAAGTGGAATGTATAGGTAATCTTGTACGCCGAGACGCGTACCAAATCCGTGGACGCGCTTTAATTGGTCATTTCTGCCTTGGTGCCTGAAATAGAAACCGTGGAAGTCAAGAAAATTAACTACCATTTACGGGAATTAACAAGCTTGAATATATGTGAATCCTATGAAAGTTTTGGAGGATTATTGGAATTATCTCAATAACCCCTTAATCGTGCAGGTACATAGTCTTAGTATGTAGATATAGTAATACGGTCAAGTACTACGGTACTGATAATGATTGTGCAATATCTCAACGAATCACCGAGCACGCCATTGCCCGCGGAGAATACAACTTGATCTCCAACTACTCCCATCCCCCACTTTGCTTCTGTCATGTTTCTGCACTCTCGCATTTCTCTCAGATCCCCTCTCTTATCCTCCTGTCCAACTTTACCTCCTGCCAGCGCAAGAGCAATGTCGGCAACAGCTGCGCGACCCGATCCATTCCGCCCCGCCAAGAGGGTAGCAGGACAGCGCCAGGATGTCTGGTATGCAAAAAGATGCAAGCTTGAAGGAAAATACTAAATGGTACCAGGTCAATCGTGAACGAGGCTGCTGCAGCTTCACCTGTTCAACCCATCGTAAACATGGGTCAAGGGTTCTTGTAAGTCACCCTAAGCTATGGTCGCAATGACCTCAAAAGTCAGCTGCTAACATGTCTGTTCCTACAACTTAGTGGTTACAACCCTCCCAAGTTTGCTATTGATGCTGCAAAGGATGCGCTGGACCGGGTAGAATGCAACCAATACTCTCCAACTAAGGTAGACAAGGCCCAATGGCCCCACACATACTCGGACAAGTGCTCATAGAAACTAGGGCCGTCCTCGCCTCAAGCAGGCCATCGCAGATGCCTACTCGCCCTTCTTCGGCAAGAAGTTGAACCCTGAAACCGAGGTCTCGATCACAACCGGCGCAAATGAGGGTGGGTGCACCATTGGCAGCATGTGTATACACAATTGAACTTCACGCTGACCGGATGTCCAGGCATGCTCAGTGCTTTTATGGGCTTTATCGAACCTGGTGACGAGGTCATTATCTTCGAACCCTTTTTTGATCAGTGAGAAAATTTGCATCTGTGAAGATATCGACCTGCTAATTCCCCGAACAGGTATATTAGCAACATTGAGATGCCGGGCGGTACTATCCGCTATGTTCCTCTCCATCCACCCAAGGATGGTGCTACTAGAACCTCTCCTGCATCGGAGTGGACCATTAATTTTGAGGAGCTTGAGAATGCCATGAACTCCAAAACAAAGATGATTGTAAGTACTCAAGTACAAAACATGAATGGGTTCAAAGCTAATTATATCAGGTCTTGAACTCTCCGTAAGCATATCTGACATTTTAGACGCATGGCTTTCCAACTAACCACATCTCCATAGCCACAACCCCGTCGGTAAGGTCTTCTCGCGTGAGGAGCTTGAGCGCATTGGCGAGCTGTGTGTGAAGTACAACCTGATTATCCTGTCCGATGAGGTTTACGATCGTCTCTTCTACGTTCCCTTTACGAGAATTGCCACCCTGTCCCCGGAGCTGTATGAGCGTACTCTGACTGTGGGCTCTGCCGGCAAGGCCTTTTACGCCACCGGCTGGCGTGTTGGGTATCTCATCGGCCCCGAACACCTGATCAAATATGTTGCCGGTGCGCACACCCGCATCTGCTACAGCAGTGTCTCTCCTCTCCAAGAAGCCGCTGCTGTTGCCTTTGAGAAGGCTGAGGAGGAGGGCTTCTGGGACGAAAGCCGAACAGACATGCAGAATAAGATCAAACGTTTCTGCGAGGTCTTTGATGAGCTCGGTCTTCCTGTATGTGGCTTCTGTCCTTTAAAGTATCAGGTTCTTCGTATTTGGATTTTTCTGACATCATTTTCTATAGTACTCTGACCCTGAGGGTGGATACTTTGTTCTTGTCAACTTGGCCGCTGTGAAACTTCCAGCTGATTATCCTTTCCCTTCCCATGTCGCCAATCGCCCTCGGGATTTCAAGCTCTGCTGGTTCCTAATCCACGAGGTTGGAGTGGCTGCTATTCCTCCTACGGAGTTCTACACTGATGCCAATACACATATTGCCGAGGACTATCTCCGCTTCGCGGTCTGCAAGAACGATGATGTTCTTGAGACTGCCAAGGAGCGTCTCAGGGGTTTGAAAAAGTATATCACCAAGGATGAATAGCCCTGACGTTTGATATTTGACAACGTATAGAAGTTCCATGATGCCAATAGAAAACTTGGATACACAACAGAAAGACATGTGCCCCGTCAATCAATCTTTGTACATGCTGGCCACTAAACACCTATTTCTGTAGGACCTTGGAACTCTACTGGTGATTATTTTGGACAATCATCTGTATATTTACAAGTGGAGAGACTTGGCGAGTGCCGCTGCGCCGTGTAAGATAAGGTAGAGAAATCGACGGTGACGACAATTGGGTGCTAGAACGCTTCACTCCGTAAGCTTTTTTCGGCCCCATCAGAGTTCTCGCTATACAGCCTCGGTGTCATAGATATACGTGAGATGATCCCTGGTGTGGTAGGATGCTCTAGAAGCGAATGGGAGAAGAAGTTATTTATTCACTATGCTAAGGTTCTGCATGATAAATGTGATCCCCTAAGGTTTCCAGGTTCTGCTGTGTCAGCAGAACCTGAGAGCAGAAGTGGGCCTAAGGCATTCAGATGCCTTAGGCACTACTTGCTACAAGTAGTACTGGGTTTCTCACTAAGCGATGCCTTGGCATTATTATGTAATTTACTATTATAAACTCGGTGCCTCGGGCATCCAATGAAAACCATCTGATCCTTAAAGTATCACATAAAAGGGGAGCCTGTCATGTGATCGAAGTCTTTTTCCAACAAGTCTAAAGTCAGCACCACTTACCTTTCACTCTTTCATGTCATCCCACTTCAGTCAGCTTTCCTCATTTTCCAGCACTTGGCATCAGGCCTAGTACTTTTCTGCTCTCTGTTTAGTCTGAGTACTCGCCAGAAGGCTCCGAAAACCAACGCCGGCGGATCTCAGATGGCGGTGAGGATCATTGGCTGGGAGTACAGCTCGTCCCACTCCTCACCCGCCACAACCACCCCACTATCCACGGCTATGACATCATAAGGTCCTCAGCCATCTGTTACCCACGATGTCGCAAGAGAGTCTCAGCCCTACCGTTTCGTCTGCCGGCTTCTCTACTTTTGCCGAGGCAAAATTATGCATGGAGGCGACGCTCGCAAGCTACCAAGCGTTAAACACCGGCGACGATACGAAAAAGTTCCTTGAGACTTGCTTCAAATACCTCCCCCCGGCTGGACAGGTCAATTTGTCAGAGGATGTTTCCGGCTGCCGCAACGATGATGAACTCCGCCAGCTAGCCGCCAGCATTGATACCGGCTTGCTACGCCCTCTGCTGTCTAAGGGTGGAAAGACGCCTGTCATCACTCCATCCCCCCGTACCGGCTTTGACAATTCGGCTGAAAATCTTAACTCCCTCGATATCACACCAGCAAGTCGAAATGACCAAGGACGACTTCGCCGGAACTGCCTTAGACGCGATGGATATCGGTGTACTATTACGAAGAGCTGGAGCTCTTATCACGACTTCCCCGTTGGCGAACCAACCGGCATTTTACAAGCTGTTCATATTCTTCCGTTCGCTCTTGGCAGTTTCACGAATGACGATGAAAGACGGCGAACCTCTGAGGTGTGGGTAAACATTTTTCGTTACTTTCCAAGCCTCCGCTCTACCCTTGATATGTCACCTGAAGATGTGAATCGAGAGGATAATATCATGATGATGCTTACTCCCCTTCATGAAGAGTTCGGTCTCTTCCACTTTGTTCTTGAGGACACTCCGACCCTTGATCGCTACCGTCTCAAACTATTTCCACGCTTCGCATCTATTTACACATCCTTATTACCCAGAGACAGGGTTATAACATTGACTAGCCACGACCCTCTCTTTCATCTTCCTAGAGCTGAGCACTTACAGTTACATGCTGCCATTGGCAACATCTTGCATGCAAGTGGCCGTGCAGAAAGCATTGAAAAGCTTATACGGGATCTAGGAGAGACAGGCGGTTCAGCATTATCAAAAGATGGCAGTACGAACATCAGCGATCTGCTCTCGGTCAGTCATCTTTCACTGCTAGCCTCGAATTCGCGCCCAACAGACAGTAAGGTGCAGCAGCAACGTGCCCGCGCCAGACTGCCAGGAACAGAGAATGAGAAACCTAAATTGGGTTAGCTACATAGATACGAGCGCTGGCCTTCAATGAGTGCCCTCAAATCAGACAGAGTATTCTCCTGTCCAATATCGTTGTATCACAGCTCCAGTTGCGAGACTGTCAACCGGTGAATACCTTTAGAGGCAAATAAATCGTCAACTTTCTAGTATTTCTCCGTCTCCTCTAGGGACTTGAAAGGACCTAGAGACCTACAGGGTCATAGGGCCAATAGCCGGTCATTATTGTACAGTAAGTATATGGACCCGGGACTGAAAATGACCGTGCTTTTTGTCGACTCCAGGTAGCAAGGATTTAAAACCTGGTGTCGTGAAGATAGTGACCATCTATTTCTCCATTTGTTTACCCCCCAAAGTCAAAGAGTAGAGATCGAGTTTGTTTTCAGCGACAGTATGTAACAAAAAGTTATCTGGTTGAAGAAATGAATCACACACCTTTTGTAAGAGGGAGAACCTCAGATATGGTAATGATGATGGATTCTGTTACCTGGCTAGTACTATATAGTATTAAACTGAGCATACTCAGTAACCCTATGCAATGCAGTTTGCAGGAGCTTTCAGAGAAGATCTGCCGTTCAATATTACGAAGGGACTAAGTGCAAAATGCAAGCGACTTCATTGTTTCTAATGGCTACTAGAAACAACAGGAGGGCAATCACCTCCACCCCTGCGCGTAAAAGACAAATGAAAAGAGAAACATAAATGGACATCCTGGACATTTGGGGGGCAGATCACATCACCCCGAGCCCAGGATCCCGGTACAAGATAATCTGGCTAGGGAGGGGGGGCTCCCTGCCGAGCAGCACGCAACCAATACTCGATCACCATAGGGCCCGTCCCCGCCCCATCCCAGCCCTCACCGCGGGGATAAAGCCGCCCCGCACCGCGGGCCCGCTCATAACCGCTCCCAAGTACACGATCCACCACAACCCTCACCGAAGGTTGAGTGATCCGGTGTGCTCTGAGAAGCCAGTAATGGGACTCTAGCTTCTCGCACAACTCCTGGAAACCACCCACCCCCCAGTAATCGAGAGATATGGGGCGACGATCGTGCACGCAGGTCGGATCCAAGCAGGGGTTTGGGTCGCCATTCCACTCGATCTCGCACGCATGCCGCTCTCCAACGTACTCGGATTTGAAGAAATCGGGCCGGACACCCATCTCCAGTGCTAGTTGGCTGGCAATCATACGGTCCATGTTGTTGTCACCGGGCCACTCATAATGGCCACGAACCCAGTCCCGGATTAGCCGGTAAAGATAGCCTACAAGGGCCGGATGTTCAGGCGCCACTGGGGAAGAAAATAGGGTTAGTTGGTGATCCTTGGGTCAAATAATTGAATGGTGAGAGAGATTTGAGAGGCCAGTGACAGGAAAGTGACAGGAACAGAAAATAAAATAATTCGAATCGAAGAACTTACTGAAAAGGCAAACCGCAAGAACCCGACGAAAACGGTCCTTTTCCTCAGGCTTCCCAAATCGCAGAGTGAGTGCGGTCCGGGATAAATATCCAAGCCACTCGTGGCTTTCTGGGCCGTCCATAACAACCATGGGGTGTGGCACTTCCTGGAAGACAAAGTAATCTCCAAGATTGCTGGCGGAAGTGAACCACACAGCCTGACGATGGCGCTCAGGCCAGTCCCATCTGTGGATATTAGGCAGCATTGGTGGACCCACGAGAACGTCCTTCGGAATTGAACTGGGGATGCAGGGGTACACTAAATGATAAGAGCCGCAGGTAGGCCAGTGATCCCTAACATCCTCCCACAGGTGTTGCTTACCGCAGTAGCGGACCATAGAAAATGGTCCGCAGCCGGGGCAGACAACAGAGAGTCCATCTATGAAGCTGCACTGGACCTGGCAACCTCCTCGAGAGCAAGGGAATGAAACCTGGCGGTGATCACAGTGAGCTAACATGGATGAAAGTCCGATGCCGCCAAACTGCATGGCTGTGGGATTCATTTCTCCAGGCGATTCGGATGGAGATGGTTTGGGATCTTCCCAAGCTTGACGACAAGAGCCGAGAGAGAGAGAGAAGGGACTGACAAGGCATCGCTTGTTTTGTTCCTGGCGTGTTGTAGCAGCCCTCGCCCGCTTCCTCTTCTCGCGAGTCTTTATCTTCTTCGCATTCTTACGAGCGCGCATGCGGCTAGACGTGCTCGAGGCCTTGTCGGAATTCTTGATGGTGCGATCAGAATCGATAATTCCTGTCGCAAGCTTGGCGTTGTCTGCGGTAGGCGGCTCATCCGTTAGTTGGCGCGAAGTCAATGGCGGGTGAGTCGGAGACGAGACTGTAGCCCTCATGAGGTCCTCAATAAGACCTGGACTTTATATTAGCGAAATTCAAAAGAAAAGCGAGAGACCAGTGTAGAAATCACTTACCCAATCTACCCACAGCTGGAGAATCTCGGCGCAGGCTTTCAGCTTCCAGAACCTCCATGCGGTAATTGATGTACGATTCGGGGTCTTCAATAATTATTAGCAGCTTATTTCAATAAGCCAGAGAAACCAATATGAAGACTTACCAGATTCACACGACTCGGCTCCCGAAACAGGCCATCGAAACTCGAGCTCCATCTCCTCTTCCAGCGGAGTGAGATGCAGGCTACTGTGGACTGCACCTGGCTCGCTTAGCTCCACTTTTACCTCCATCCCATCTTTCTCTTTCTCCGTGGGGGTGTGAAACTGAGAAAGGGTGGTTGAGGGAAGGGAAGGAGGAGAGAGGTGTGTTCGGGCCGTCTCAAATGGTGGAGTTATTGGCAAATTTAAGGCAATGGGAATGGCCGGAGACAAGGAGGCATGGATTGGGATTTGGCCAGCGATTGTCGCAAGCTGCTGCTCAGTCGAGACATCCTGATGAGCGATGTCTGTATGTCCTCCTTGAGAGTCACCACCTTGGGTTTGGGGGTTCTTGTGCTTCTTGCGCTTTGTCTTCATAGCATCAACAACACCGGACGTGTGCTTACCATTCCATCCTGCACTGCTCTTTCCGGTGTCAGTTGTGAGATTATGCACTCCGTTATTCGCCGCTGTTTGGTCATGCGCCATTGTCTCCATTGTTCTCATTTCCCCCAGCATGGACACGGAGTCTGGTCCAGCACACTGCACAGTATCTGCAGCACCCGAAATCACAAGTTTGTCGATCAACTCTGCTTCTTTTGAGAATGCCTCTTCTTTCTCGTTAGGAGCCTTCCCAACGTCGACGTTTGATGTTTCACTGTCGCCGTCAGAGTCCTCTGGGGCTTTATGCAATACGTTTCGGTTTTTTGGGCGCTTAGTTTTCTTTTTTTTCTTCTTTCTGATTTTTTGCGTAGGCAAATCGGTTGCTGTGCAATTAGATAACTTGTTGAAAAGTTCGTTGTCGACATTGCCTGACTTTCGCATAATCCATTGCGTGCGCAGCCAGATCCGTGCTGGCTGTGCTAGCCACTGTCCGTACACGTTCTATCGTTTGTTAGCTGGACTGAGGCATGGCTGGTAAGTCCTGATACTCACGGGGTCGAGGTTTGAAATTTTCTTGAAAAACAAATTGTCCTCATCAACAGTCACAATCATCTCTTCATCATAACCCATCTTGTTGATTATCGAAAACTTGAACTTGATGAAGGATGAGTCCCTTTTTTCCTTCATCCAGTTGACTCTGCAGCCAAATACCTCCCACGAAGTTGTCCATTTCACGTGGCAACCATGATTTTTGGCCCTATTGACTTCGTGGTTGACGGCTTGACTACCCGTGTTGACCTTGCTTATGCCCAGCTTCTTCGGGTCATGAAAAAGATGTTGCAGCACGGTCATGAATCCAGTCATGCAGCCAGGGAATCCTTTGGGAATACTGAACTGCATGCATATCGCGTCATTCAAAAGTTGGATATCCAGCCCGCTTTTCGGAGGATCCGCAAGATTGTTGCTGATGATGAATGTCGGGTAAGGGTCACGCCAACCGGTGACCTCCAAGCGCATTTCGCCGTTCTTGAGCTCCAATCCTTGGGCTTTGTCGTCGGAGGGAACTAAGTTGGTTGCGACTGTCTCAATTGGGGAATTGTGGCACTTGTGCTCGTGGTCTCCAAGACTTCTCGCGTCGACGGGGTTGAAATCAGGCTGATCTGTTTTGGGAAGGAGCTCTCGCTGGACATAATCCTCAGCGCAAAACTTGCTGAGAACGGTGGGCATAATGAGCTGATGATGATGATGATGTTGATGATGATGATGATGATGATGTTGATGTTGATGATGATGATGATGATGATGGTTGATGATGATGATGATGATGATGATGATGTGGTGGTGGTGGTGGTGGTGGTGTGTTGCGATGCCTGAGACTATATTGTACACATGTCAGTCAAGCTCCATCTGCATTTCACACAGCAAATCTCATATTGTGGAAGGCAAAGGGTGGCAAGAGATAAATTACAGCATTGAGAATTTTGCTATTCACTGATCGATGCATCAGTAGCGGTTCATGAGTGGGGGACACTTGATGAGAGACAACACACTAGGTAACCTCAGGACTACAGTTGTATCAGTTTAAGCACCTCCGGGGACTTGATTGCTCAGTCAGTTGACTCACAGTCGGCCAATACCGAGTCTCTGGGACATTAGCCCTATCCCAATTCATGCGAGCGAAGACAACCATATAAAATTCTCAGAAGCTCGAGCCTCTCTGCAGCTGCGATCGCTCAGCAAATTCACGCGCGGCTTAGCAACACTTAACTTCTGCGGCATCAGTACTAACTCAAGAGTGGAAACATTCGTGTGGAGGGTGACGTACCAAATCCTGGGGTCAATATTAACAAAGCAGATACGACGTCTGCTCGAGTCACTCGATGCAAGGCAGAACTGGTACTCAAAATGTTAATAATTGTTCATCGACGCGCAGCAATGATCCAAAAGGGCAGATCTACCGACTTTCATTTAAGATGTCTCGGAGGTTTGATTGCGCGTCGTGGCTGACGTGCCTGGTAGTGAAAGTTTCTGCTCTGTAGCCAGATTTCTGCTCTGTAGCCAGATAATACAAAGGCGCTGGTCACCCAAAAGGATAAAAGGCACGATGTATCAACCTGACCAAAGCAATCTTTATGATGAGATCTGATGCAAGGGCATCAGGCAAGAGAGGCGGGATGTGAAAAGGGCGAAGTGGCAAGGCTCGAAAGTCGAGAAGATGAAGAGACAAAATCAAACTGGCTACAAGATCAAGGCTCTCATAAATCTAGAGACAACTTGGCGGCAGCGACCGTCTTGGCTAGTAGGTCTTTCATTTTTCCTTCAATTTGATAAACAGCCTCGAAACAGATATCGAGTAATGAATATGCTCCGATATCATGCGCCAATCTTACTATGCACTTGATTTTGGTAGTTTCCATGGAGAAATATCGAGTTGCAGCTTTCAAGTTGTCACCATTGACCTTTCCGCCATAAGCTACGTATCCAATACTTGGAGACGGTCCTAAATACGAGAAGTCGTATTGAACAAACGAAGCGATTGACACGACTCTTTTAGTCACCCTTCTCTCATGCTATCGTGCAGCACCACCTAGGTATTTATGATGAATTATCTCTCTCTGGATGTTCTAGCGGCGGCGAGCATGGTGTCCCTCCAAACTCCCATTGGCTTACTTTTATTTATTTGCGGTAAACAACGTCGCCTACTATAGTATTTGGCAGTAGAATATCCGGTTGCAGTTTCAATGTCATTCTAGTTCGTGTTTCAATGTAATATCAAATAGGCCATTACTTATATCCTGTCTAAATATTGCTGCCGTATTTTTCTATGAAGGCATTAATTGAAAACAGGAGTCAATGCTGGAACTGAAGGAAATGTATGTTACTTCTTATCCTGCAACCCAGGCCTTATATCGTCTTCCGTCATTTTTGAACTATTTGTAAATATAGTCGAGACATGTCTTTCGTTCAGCACAGTACAATATTGTAGTAGTTTTTAGGGTGTGTAATTGTCACGTGTATAACGCGAGCGCACGAACCCATATATACCACGTGATGCGTATCATCCTCGCGCCGACGACCCCAAGTCGAATAAGCATCAAGGACTTCTTTGACGTGTCCCATTCCTTGAAAGTCTTGCCAAATTATTTTCAATTTGAATAAAATGTATCATAGTATAAACAACAAACAATATATTGCCAGCAAATTTTACGTGTCAAGTCTTGACTCTGCTGCACACGTCAGTGCGAATCTGTGAATCGATTCGCACGAGTTGACTAACAATGGAAAACATGGGGACTCCCAGGCAGCTGCTATTCCCACATGACTGGGGTAAGAACAACTACCTCCCTGGCTGTTCGATATCGCTACTCTCAATATCTGGCCATTGGCTCTAAGTTGTGGGCGGCTAAGCGCCCATCAGACTATATTTGGCTGTTTATCCACCTCCCGGCGCTTTTGTCACCCCTACCAGCCAATAAGACGCTTCGATGCCTGATGAAACAAACCCTGGTACAGATATCTTGTCTTCAGGCCTTATTTTTATGTTTTCTTTGTTTCAACGGGCTCATGTTGCACTCTGAATGGCTGCCTCCAATATACGGGGTTGCCCAGTCCCAGCAAACTGCTTCTTTATCTAAAAATTGTTTCTTGTAGTATCTGCTGCCGCCTGGCATGACTGACAATGCTCAGACAAAGGTTTTGGCTACTGTATTTGAAGACCCATTGTCCTCTTTTTATTCTGATTATATTGTTCACCACCCTACCACCCGTTCTATTCATCTATTGACTTGCATTCATTCGCTTGAATAAGACATTTTATACGGAGTACAGCATGTCCCTCCATTAGATTGGCTCTTCTTTTTTTTTCTTTTCCCTCGAGTGTTCTCCGATTTCCTGCTGGATTTGCATCTGTCTTTCTTAATCCAATCCCGCCTCAAGCCACCTGCGTGGTTCATGATCTTCGCTGGACGAGGTCATACCTAAACCTTCAACAATACTTTGAGCCAAATATATCAAAATGGTCCTTTCCTCTTCTCGGTCTGGGCGATCGATCTTCCCGTTGCTCCCACCATATGGAGCCCATGATACCAGTACGGGGCACATAATCCCTCTACATCCAGACGGTCTCACTCCTTACTTGGGCTTGAGAGCTCGACTTTCACAAGTATGGATCAATAGATGGACTGTCCTTCTACTTCTTATTCTTGTTCGACTATTGTTTGCAGTCAGCGGCTTGCAATCGGACATGGCATCTGCTAAACGTGAAGCACTTTCCGCATGTTCCTCGGTGGAATCCATGGGCAGTGCAATGGCGTCCATGCCTCACTACCTGTCCAGAGGTACCAACGAGCTTGTGGCTTCGTCGGTCGATGAATCTATCTCTGCTCTGAAGTCGGTGTTGCTGATGACTATCACGGGTGTTGGAGAAATCCTCTGGTTCGTCCTTAATATGATGTACTCGACCTATGCCTGCCTTATCACAATGGCTGTCCGTGGCACAGTAGGAGCTGGCATTGAATTGGTCAAAGACGCTACCGAGTGGATCAACAAAACACTTGGTACAATCAGCAGCGACATTGAAAGTACTGTCGACAAGTACAAAGACGAGCTGGACTCATTCCTCGATGCAATTAACAAGGTTGCCAGTTTATTCACCGATGAGCCCAGTCCGATTAATCTGAATAGTACAATCAGTGAACTGGAAAATCTGGCCCTTCCGTCATCAGTCAACAGCACAATCGAAAAGCTGGACAGCCTGGTCCTCCCCAATTTCAAAGAGATCCAAAACTACACCAAGACAATCTTCCAGACGCCGTTTCAGGAGGTCAAGGATCTGGTCAACAAGTCATTGGGAGCTTACAGCTTTGATCGGTCTTCTCTGCCCGTCCCTGCCAAGAAACAATTGGCCTTCTGCGACGATAACAGTGGAATCAACGACTTCTTCAGTGGAGTTACCGATCTGGCTTTGACAGCCCGCAAAATCTTCATTGCCGTTCTTGTCATTGCTGCTATCCTAGTATGCATTCCTATCGCATGGCAAGAAATTCGCCGATGGCGCTCAATGAAAGATCGCTCCCAATTGGTCCGCAAAGAGGCTCATGATCCAATGGACGTTGTCTATATTGTTTCGCGTCCTTACACCGCCGCTACAGGTATCAAGGCAGCAAGCTTCTTCAGCAACAGCCGCCGACAGATCCTTGTGCGATGGGCCATTGCCTATGCAACATCTTTTCCTGCTTTGTTCGTGCTAGCTCTTGCTCTTGCAGCACTGTTCTCCTGCCTCTGCCAGTACATACTGCTCCAAGCAGTCAAAAAGACCGTCCCCGCCCTGACCGCTGAGGTGGGAGAGTTCGCTGATAAGATTGTGGACGCACTGGAAAACGCGTCAACAGAATGGGCCACCGACGCTAATAAGGCCATAATTAATCTGGACAACGACTTGAGCAAGAATGTTTTCGGGTGGGTCAACACTAGCACCCACGCCATCAACGAAACATTGAACTTCTTCATCTACAATACATCCAGCGCACTGAACGAGACATTCAAAGGAACTATTCTCCAAGAGCCGGTCTACGAGTTGTACGAATGTTTAATTGGCTTGAAAGCAGAGTCTCTTCAAAAGGGACTGAACTGGATATCCGAGAACGCACACATATCTCTCCCTACCCTCCCGAATGACACTTTCTCTGCTGGCGCCGCAGACAGCCTCAACGATACCGCCAATCCATCGGACAGTTTTCTCGCCAATGCAGGTGACCAGACGTCTAACAAAATCACCGAAGTCGTTATCAGCGTCATCAACAAGTTACAAGAAGGCGTGCGCATGGAAGCAATCATCGCCACAGCCATTCTCCTGGTCTGGGTATTCATCGTCTTGGTCGGTATCGCTCGCGCTACGATGCTTTTCTGGGGCCATGAGAAGCATCGTGGCGAAGGAGGCTTGGGCCATGTTATGGACCCTGTTCCTCGAAATGGTCCACCTGGTGATCGAAATGGTGTCGCTGATATTCCGCTCACTGCATACCCCAAGGATGTATATGAAAGAGGACTTGTCGCTCCTCAGTATAGGGAAGCGAGCTCCGCGCCTATTCATGACGACTCATCTTCCGAGAATGAGAAGATTGAGTTTGCCAGGCAGAGGAATTGTGATGATAATGTAAAGGTAGAACCCGCTCCTGGCGTGCAGAGTGGCTACATTGACTACGATGCGAAACGATGAGGGATATATTCCTCCGTCCCCCTACATCCTTTATCCTTTTTTGACCATACTTCTTCGATATTTTCTTTGTTTGCGTTCTTTTGTACCATCTGGTGTATTTTATGCCAGGCTTACACTTTTTTTTGTTCTTCAAACTACATGGGGTCGGTGTTTTGTCATAGTGATTCCCAGTAAGATAGAAAGTCTTTTGATTTTGATTCTTTTTTTGAAGCAGAGAATGAAATTCCAACAGTTCAATAAAATTCATGCTCCAACGCCTACTACCTACCCAATCGATGATATCTTAAAAACAAATCAAATAGATGCATCAAAAGGATGTGAATGCAGCTGACTATACTAAACAAAACCCTTCAAAACGTTCATATCTTCGTACAAAATTCCTCGTTATAAATCCATGGCCTTAAATCGCAACGAAGAAGCTCTTCTCACCCTCCTTTGGCTGTACTCTTGCGCGCTCAATAATTGGATCAGCACAGCTAACCCGAATACGCTCAGGTGTGGCAGGAGACTCTAATGAGAGTACATCCGTCACATTCCACTGCTTGCGAGCAGCTTTCAAGGCATCACGAATAGCAAAGAAAACCGCACTGCCCATAAACAGAGGTGGCTCACCAACACCACGGGAACGCTGGATCGTGCGCAGGTTCCTCCACTCCACATCTTTGAGCAGGCTGACATTGAAGATCTGCGGAATATCCCGGAACCCGGGGATTTTGTAGTTACCTGGACCTCGGGTGAAGATCTGACCGGAAGCACGATGCCACAAACTCTCTTCGGTGGTGAAAAGACCTTGCCCTTGTACATAGGCACCTTCAATTTGACCGTAGTCGACTGAAGGGTTGATCGAGCGACCCACATCCATTTTGAGGTCGGCACGTAATGGCGTCCAATCACCAGTCAACGTGTCGATTTGAACTTCGGCAGCGGTGACTCCCTGTGTAAAGTAGAAGAACATCTGACCGCTATTCTCACCCCATACGTAACCGATATCTGGGGTACGGTAGTATCCTTGTGCTGAGAGATTGGTGCGGGCGAAGTAAGCAGCGTGTGCGAGTTCCTTCATAGTTGCATTGGGCATCTTCTCACGGAAAGGACGGAGACGCTCATTTAACTGCTCGCACGCATTGTAGATAGCATAGCCGTTGAGATCGGAACTTGCCGAAGCTGCCGTGGACGAGGTGTTTGCAACCGTGTTGGTTGCTGTTTCAGAGATGAAGACGCTCGATTGTGGGACTTGCAGCGCTTCGGCGGCAATCATAATCATCTTTGTATGCAAGCCTTGGCCCATTTCGACACCGCCGTGTGCCACAAGGACACTGCCATCATGGTATATATGGACCAAAGCTCCCGCTTGGTTCAAAAAGAGGGCTGTGAAGGAGATACCAAACTTGGTTGGCACAATGGCCATTCCTCGTTTCGACCACTTGTGTTGGGCGTTATATTCCTCAACAGCTTTTCTCCGCTCATTGTAGGAGCTTTCTTCGATCACTTGCTTGTACATCAAAGGAACGTACCAATCTTTGAGGGTCTGGTTGAAATGTGTCTTTTCCTCGGGCTTGTACATGTTGATGCTTCGAATCTCTTCGGCAGGTATGTCCAAGTGATCTGCAATCTCCGAGACATAACACTCGGCAAAGAACAGTCCCTGGGGACCACCAAAGCCACGGAACGCAGTGTTCGATACAGTGTTTGTTTTGCAAATCCGGCCGCGCACATACATGTTCGGGATTTTGTACACACCATCAATATGCGACAAGCTTCGTTCCACGACAGCACCCGAAAGATCTTGAGTGTGACCTCCATTGGCGAACACGTCCGCATCAAGCGCAAGAATCTTTCCCTCCTTGGTCACTCCAACCTTCCAATGGCAAAGGAAAGGATGACGCTGTCCGGAAGTCAGGATATCTTCATCTCGGTTAAGCATGCAGCGGACGGGCCGTTTTGTCTTTGCAGCAGCAGTAGCGCAGATGCCAGCAAGCTGGACCGATCGAGTTTCCTTGCCGCCGAAGCCACCTCCAAGTCGCTTCACACGCGAAACAACCTTGTTTGCGGACACTCCTGTCACTTGAGCGACATAGGCTTGTCTGTTTCAACAATTAGCTTGGATACTATAATGCCACAGCAATATTCATCGCGACTCACGTTTCAGTGGGGTTCTGTGTACCACTCCAAATCTCCATTTCGCCATCCTCGGGCTTTGGAATCGCCACGCAGGCCTGGGTCTCCAAATAGAAGTGCTCTTGACCTCCCATCCTCGAGACTCCAGTGAAAATGTGGTCGGCTTGTTTGAAAGCTTCTTCAGTGTCACCACACTTGATGTAACGGTAGTGCTCGAAGTAAGACTCGGCTTCAATGGCTTCTTCCATCGTAAGGATACTGGGAAGATCCTCATACTCTACCTTGACAGCCCTCATGCCCTCCTCGGCAATTTTCGCTGTACTGGCCAGGATCACACCAATTGGCTGACCAGCTGTAGTGACTTCATCAACAGCAAAGAAAAGCTCATCGGCCTTGGGCGCGCCCCACCAGTTTGCTTCGGGATTGGGAAGATCGGTGTGGTCCACATAGTCTGCAACACCTGGAATGTCCAATGCCGCGGAGGCGTCAACACTGATTATCTTGGCGTGGGGCTTAGTGGAGAGAACCATGCAGGCGAATAATTCATTCATCTGCACAGGGATATCATCCGTGTATTGAGCTTCCCCTGTGGACTGCTTCAGCGCCGCAACATGCGGGGTCGCTTTTCCGAGAATATTCTTTTGATATGCAACGGAAGACTCATGATCTTTCTGTCCAGAGGAAATGGCTCTCTCGATTTCGGCAACCACATCTGAATCCAAATCCGATGACTGGACCTCGAGCCCTGACAAAACATCGTAATAGAACCTATAGAAGAAGCCCATAGCCAGCGACTTCCGGTAACTGGCCATGCCGCCAGGAACCCCAAATGGCAGATCAAAGTCCTGCTCCAGCGCGCTCATGACACCCTCCAGAGTTGCGGGGTTTGTGAACTTCTTGCCAACAATATATGCTTCGGCGTTCTTCGCTGATACGGTCATAGCTGCCATGCCGCCGAATACAAGGTTGGCGCTGACCACGTCATTGGTCTCAGAGAGCGTCACGCGGAGCGCGGAGTTGACAATGGCGATATCATCATCCTTTCGCTTGGCTTGCTTGTAGGCTCGCATATACTCTTTTTGTGTTTGTGCAGCTGGAATGCGCAAGCTAGCAATGATTGCGTTGGGGGCGAGGGCAGTTTTGCGATAGCCTTGGAAGAATTCGGTCATGGGAATTTCGGTCTCTCCTTCAAGAGACTTAGCCACAAGTATAGTGTTTGTAGCTACCAGCACCGGGTTAAGATCAGAGATAGGCGAGGCAGTAGCCAAGTTACCCGCAGGAGAAGCGACGTTTCGAATTTGTCGCCCAGCGAAATAGAGCAACTGTTTCTTGATTGCCTTGAAAGGCTGGCCTCGAGCATCTCCATACTTCTTTACTGCTTGGTCGCAAATGTGTTCAAGATCAGTCAAAGAAACATTTGCGCCAATCTCCAGATAGTTGTCGTGCAAAGTAAATTGTCGCAGCTCAGGGATATCGCCGAGGTAAACAGACGCTGCGTAGCGCATTGCTTTAAATTTAATCTCAATCTGGGTTTCCGTGCTTCCGCCAATCAGTTTAGCGTCTGGGTGGACGCTCTTGATCTGTAAGAGTTGCTCCACAGTCACTGGTCGATACCACTTCTTCCGCTTGTTGCCATAAGCCAGTGGTCGGAAATTGTGTTTCCGCAGGGCCGCCGGAAAGATCAACTCCGTGTCTGGGCTGTATGGTTTGAAATTCGGTGCAGGGAATGTGTAATCAACGGTCTCGATTTCATTCCCTTTGGAAGACCCTTTACAACAACCGCCACCAGTGCCATTCTTCTCCATGCAGCAGCCTGAACCTCCGTTGGCAGAAGCTTTTCCGCAATTATTTTTCGAATTGAAACTTTGAGCAGCGTCAAGGATTGGTCGATAGCCGGTGCAGCGGCAAAGGTTTCCGTCGAACGCCTCTTCGACATCGTGTTCGGAGGGCGAAGGATTGTTTCGAAGCAGCGCATAGAGAGACTGAAAATAGTTAGTCTACTGCAAGTCCCGAGCAAAACAAAAAGACAATCAATAAAGATTCGCACAAGCATACCATCACAATTCCAGGAGTACAAAAGCCACACTGGCTTCCATTTCCGACCGCGATTCGCTGTTGAATCGCATGAGGATCCTTCATGTTTCCAATTCCCTCGACTGTGATGACATGTTTGCCATCAATGCTAACCAGTGGAGCAATACAAGCGTTCACGGAGGCATGATAGATTTGGTTCGTTGTAGGATTCACATGGGAGACAACCTATTAAGCAAATAAACTCCAGAGTCAGCCTCGTGATGCAATACCCACTTTATATTCCACCAAGACTTACCACCGTGCAAGCACCACAGCCTCCCTCAGCGCATCCGAGCTTGGTACCCGTTAACCCGATACCCCGCAAATATTCAAGTAGAGTCACTTCCGGGTTGATGGTGTCCACCGCTACCTTGGTGCCATTGAGGTAGAACCGGATGGTATCATCCCAGTCTTCAGTGAGTGTGGACAAGCTGGTCACCTTCTCAGCAACGACTGTTGAGTCTGTTTCTAAGATCCCCGGTGCCATAGTGGTTATGTAGGGAATATAACGTGGCAATAAGAGGCAAACAGGGTTTCAGCAGAGGATTTCAGATTGCATTTCGGTTGCCTTTATAGAGAACACTGTTCCGCAACGACTTGCCTAAAGCTGTCGTAAAAAACGAGGTATTCAAATGTTAGCATTAAAGGAGGGGAAGTTCGAACGGGTGAGATCAGTGATCTCGTGCGCAGCCCCAAGCTCTCCCTTGTTATCTATGCGGGGATCGCCACTATCCGATGGAGTCGGATTGCCATTAGTCCCCGGCCTTGGCGCCTGTGTTGCCACTTGAATTACTAAACATGAATAAATTGGTTTATATGTCTTGTTTTGCGCCAAAAAAAGAATATGCTAATACAAGAATACATATATGAAAGGATATAGCCAATAAATGCAAATCATGACCTTGAACCAGCAAATGGTTTCTCTTCATCTTCCCACTTCTGGCGCTCAACAACACTTCGGGCCCTGTAGAGTCTTTGATTAGTATAAATTCTAAGGAAGCAAGTACAAAGGAACGTACCGATAGGCTTTGACAAAGCGCCAAACTTCTGTGTCGGCAAGGTTCCAAGCCTCAACAACATCCCTGATGTTGATACGGTTGGTGGACTTGTCCTTGATTACCTCACGAGCCTTCTGTATTAACTCATACTCCTTTCCAACTCCTTGTTCACTGGGGGTGTGATCTTGAGCGCTCTTGGCGGAGTTCTTGTCGTTCTCAGTTGCGGGATCAATCTTGCCTCCACGAGGGATCTTGAAGCCAAACTGCCATTCGAACTCATCCAATAGTTCGGATGGGAGAGTCTGGCCTGCTGCTGCGGGAAGAGACTCCACGGTCATCCAGAGAGAAGTACCGACGGCATCTTCACCTGCGACAACCTGCTTGAAGATCACTCCGCGGTATGAAGAACCTAATTCGGGACCAAGATCGTCCTTGGTCACTTCCGAGAGCCATGCATCACGCTCAGTTTCGCGGCGGATTTGAGGCGTAGTAATCTCCTCTGAGTTTTTCTGGAGGCTGACAAGAGTGTAAGGATGAGGAAGTGTGCCAATAGTGAAAAGGAAGGTTGTGTTTTTGTACGTTGAAGGCTGGCTGATACGCATTGGTGACTTTGCAGACCCACATGGGCGACATTCCGATTCATTTGGTGGACAAGAGTCAGCCATTGGCGACTCAGGGCACTGGATGAGGGCCTTTGCCAACCGAAGCGCAGGCTCGACCAGAGCGGTGGTGTGTTGAGGGAAAGGTTTCAACACAGCCAATCCAGCGGGGAAAGCGGTCTGGAAGTGATTGTGCAAGTGAGAGTTGATTAGCTGGACCAGGGCCAGCTGACCAGCCGCAGGGTTCTGGCTCATCTTCTCATGCACGATGGGGTAGTGGGAAGTGACTGCTGCAGATTTATAGAAAGCCAGAGCTTTGGATGGCTCAACCTTGAATGCTGCTGCATCAATGAGATCCACAAATGACGCGGTCTTATCCTCGAGTTTTAAGACTGCGCTTTGCACGGCAGCATCAATTCGCGACTTGTCTGCCGCGTAGAGGGCATTCTGGAGGTTTTCGAATCGGGTGATTGCCTCCGGCACACTTCCTCGGCGAAGGTACGATAGCATAGGATCATCGTAGCGCGCCATGGGGAAGCAGTGGAAGTCCGAAAGTAAGCCGGTGCCCATGTGCCCCCACGCGAGCCAACCGAAGACCTCGTTCTCCGTTTTAGGAGAGAGCTTCAACTTTTGAACGATCTCGTAGTTCGGGTTCAACATCGCATCCCCAGGAGTCAACACAACGGGTTTGAACCCCTGCGCGAACCATGCCCGACGCCACGCGAGAAGCAATTCCGCGTCAGCGTTCTGTAGGTCCTTGAGTTCTTTGCCACTGGCTTTATTGGGATTGTATTTCGCATTGTAATAGGTATAGATCGGTCGGCGCTCGACAAGAGGGGGCAGGACGGAGCGGTTCTCATCCAACGTGATGGAAGAGGAGAATGGGTTTAACCATTCCAATGTGCTGTACCATTTTGACTCGCCGTGGGTACTATTGTTCTGTTCCTCGGGCTGCTCATGAGATGGGGGACGGAACGAAGGCAGGTGGAGGTTGGCTAAAGATGGTAGCTTGGGCCTGGGCACAAACTTGGCTGGGCCTGTAACTTCTTCTGCAGCTGCATCAGGGACCGGGGAGGACGAGAAAATGAAAAGCAAAAGCGCAACAAAAACAATGATCGACAGCAAAGCTGTACTTCTGTGAGGAATCATCTTTTCCACTGCAACCCTGAAAGACCTGTATAAAAGCCTCTCCAAAATTCAGAGAACACGCGATGGTTCTCCTGACTCCGCCTCGAACGGGACGAAATTTGACCAATCAATACAGTCTTGGCGGGGAAAATTTGATAAATATGAATGCTATTCAATAAACCTCCATCTGAAATTCTTGGGCTTGAATAATCTCACCCTTGCTCTTCTATGATGTCTGAACCACAATCTTGATACAGGACTTGGCGGTACCTTTCTAGCCTGAGGCTCCAGGCTAAGTCATCCAAAATCTAAATTCAATGATGACATCAGCCACTGTATGACTAACTTTATGCCTCAGGCACTAATATACCCAAAAAAAGCCGATCTTAAAAATGCGCAAACAACAACGCTCTACATTCTTTCTCCACAATGTGTGGGATATTTTTCTCGCTGAGTTCATCCAATCCCACATCGCCAACTCAGGAGACTTGCGAGCTACTTCAAAAGCGAGGACCCGACAGCCATAAGACGCATACATTACAAACAGATATTGAAGCGCAAAATGGAGAATCCCTGCCCCTTTCCTACTACCTCACTTTCACATCCACAGTGCTTTCGCTGAGAGGTGATCATGTGTACTCACAGCCACTCGTAGACTCAAAAACCCAGTCCGTCCTCTGCTGGAACGGAGAGGCCTGGAAGATTGCCGGGGAGCGTTTGCAAGACAATGATACCGAGCAGATTTTCAACTTGTTTTTGCAGGCTGTGGGCAATGATCCTACAGACTCTGTTATAAATATAGTCGAGGCAATCTCAAGTATTTCCGGGCCATTTGCCTTCGTTTTTTATGATGCAGTCAACTCAAGACTCTTCTACAGCAGGGATTGTTTGGGGAGGCGATCTCTCCTTGAGGGCTTTGATGAATATGGAAACTTGAAAATCTGCAGCGTTTGCGACAGCGCCTCAGTCGATTACTTCAAGGAAGTGGGCACTGAGGGCGTTTATGCAATTGACCTAAAGCGCTATCATGACCCTTCCATGTCTCCCAGAGAGTTGTATCAAACCAAAACCATACCGTGGAGCTCTGATCCTACGCCGTCAGTCGGCCATCTTGTATGTCTTTCATGTCTATCAAAAGGAACAGTAGCTGACCTGGATACAAGAGAAAATCAATCCCACCCATGAACACATCATTGCCAACAGAGCAACCTCCTGCATTAACAACAGACTCGGTATTTGTCAAAGAGCTCGAGTACAATCTGCGCCAATCACTAGAACTGCGAATTCAGAATATTCCAAACCCTCCAGACTATGTCGCAGGCCAAAGTGCAAAGACCGCCGTCCTGTTTTCTGGTGGCCTAGACTGCACGCTCCTAGCCAGACTCTCGCACGACATTCTCCCACAAAACGAACCCATCGATCTTATTAACGTGGCATTTGAAAATCCACGCGTGGCAGCAGCCGCAAAAGCCAACCAAAAAACACCCTCGCCTCTCTCAATCTACGAAAACTGCCCCGACCGAATCACCGGCCGCTCTGCCCACGCCGAACTCCAAAAGGTCTGCCCAGGTCGCGTCTGGCGCTTCATTGCAATCAACATCCCCTACTCGGAATGTCTGTCCCACAGGGACCAAGTCAAACGCTTGATGAGACCCCACAACACAGAGATGGACCTGTCAATCGCATGTGCCTTGTACTTCGCATCCCGCGGCCAAGGAGCAGCGAACTCAGACCCACTCTATATCCCTGATACCCAGACGGAAGATACCTCAGTCTACACAAGCACCTCTCGCGTCCTTCTGTCGGGCCTCGGGGCTGACGAACTCTTCGCTGGCTACGGCCGGCACGGTGTAGCCTTCAACCGGGGCGGCTTCGAGTCTCTCATCGCAGAAATTGATCTCGACGTGAGCCGGCTTGGCTCACGCAATCTGGGCCGTGATGACCGCGTGCTCTCGCACTGGGGCCGGGAAACTCGGTTCCCCTTTTTGGATGAGGAGTTCGTGTCTTGGGTTGTGCGTGCGCCTGTTTGGGAGAAGTGCGGGTTCGGGTTACCGGCGTCTGGGTCGGACGCTACGTCTGGTATTGATTGTGAGAAATTGGCGCTGAGGCTTGTTGCTATTCGGTTGGGCATGGTGCGTGTTGCTCGGGAAAAGAAGAGGGCCATTCAGTTTGGGGCTAGGACGGCGAAGATGGAGACGGGGAGGTCGAAGGGGACAGATGCGCTGACTTGAGGGTTGTCGCCGTCTTTTTTGGGAGGTTGTAGGGCCCCTGTTCCTCTTATACTTCCAACATCATCCCATCCATCTGCCTCCATCTTTTCTTGCTTCTCCTTTCCTCTATAAATACTTTTTCCTCCATCCATCTCCATCCCAATCCACCAGCGATGATGACAGAACATGGAATCAGATACTTCCGAAACCCTATCTCCGAACCCAGCACCCTTTTCTATCCACAATCACGCTCGTTCTTTCCCAGATTCACTCTTTCCCGGAGCCCCAAACGCCCCATTGTCGTGTCCACAATTTTCATTCTGTTATAGAGCAACAGCAGTCTGCGGGCGGCGTGTAGCTCATACTTTAGGGAAATCCGTTTGGATACGATCTCAAAATGGTGTGCTGTTTGAGTTTTTGGTTGGAGCGGGTTTGGAGATGACGTGTGTGAGAATTGGGAAGGGGTGTTGGTGGGATGGTGGTTGATGAGGCGTTTAAAGGCAAGTCTGAGCTGTTTTGGTTGTTTACTTTGACTTATTGGGCGGGGTGGAACTTGATAAAAAAAACTGCGGGCTTAGGTGGACAAGCTTTTGTTCTTTAAAACGCGACGTACTATGTATGAACTCATCGCGCGTGTATACATCGTAGGAAGCTTCTACATAGACACACTAATCTACATATAGGATGGAAGATAATAGAGCAAATATTGATTTAAAAAGCAAATACCATATTAGGATAGCCACGAGTCAATCCCAATGGGAGACAATCAGAACCGGCCGAAAGATAAGAAACACAACATTGACAATAACAATAGCATAGAACAGAAGAAGAAAGGAATAGACAAAAACAATTGACGAGAATGGAATGTCTCAAAACTTTTATGGAGATCAGATGAAAGAGTGCAAATTCACGTGAAAAGGACAACTTTCATCTGATCTCCGTGAGACGTCGAGGCTAAGGCTTTACCCATCACCCGCGCCCACGAAACCCCGAGGGGTCAATATGAACCAAATAAAACACCAAAAATTACGATGTGTTGATGAAAGCACGACCATTACTGGAAGTTGTTTTGAATCTGAAGCTGAGCCTTGAGGTTGGCGATCTCCGCGTCACGTTCAGCAATGATCTCCCGGAGTTCCTGAATTTGGCGCTCGGAATCAGCCTGGCGCTCCATCTTCTTGGCACGCGATTTACGCGCCGCCTCAGTGTTGCGAGCGCGCTTGGCGGCAACGGGATCACTGGGATCAAAGTCCACAGGTGAAAGGTTCTTGCGCGACCGGGCATTGACGCCAGAAATGCTCGAGTGCTTGGTACCACCGGTCGCAGGAACTGGAGATGAAGCCATCGACGAAGCAGGGCGCTTAAGAGGAGAGCGAGGCGCTGTGTTAACCTCGAGTGTAAGCTTCTTGGGCGCGCTCTGGAGGGCGGCTGCAACACCGAGACCCTCGAGGTTCGCCAGGTCGAAAGCGTTCATATCGGTGCCGTCGAATAGAGAGGGCCATTCTTCTTGACCGACGAGGTCCATGTCGGTAAACATTGGCGAAGGGTTTTGGCTGAAGTTGCCGGGCGACTCGAAGGAAGGAGTGCTCAGATCAGTGAAAGTGCCAGAAGGAGGGACAGAGGTATCCATCATCAAGTCCCGGGGCGAGATAGTGCCCGGGGGATCGTTGCGGAGAAGACCAGCCTCATCGAGAGGATCGAAGGCAAGCGGCGAGTCCATGTCGGAGTTGAAACCGGCAGAGGGAAGGCCGCCGTTCAGACCGAAAAGGTCAACGTCGTGTGCTGGAGTGGAGTTAGTTACGAAGGCGCTTGGGTAAGGTGAAACGTATGGCAAATTACCTTCCAAGAAGTTAGGAGTAGACATGACGCGGCGGGATTTGGGTGTGTTTGGGGTTTGGTTCGATTGACCGTTGAAAAGCGGGACAGGAGGGCGGTTAGTGTTTGGAGAGAAAGAAGGCACAGATGCCGTGTGTTGACGGGTGTGCTTAAGCGTGGGGTGGGACCAATAAGAGGGGGACCGGGCAAGCTGGGTCACTCTAGGATCTTGAGAACCAGAGTAATGCTGCTGGAGATGACGTTGCAACTGCAAACTGAATGAGTGTCGTCGGGGATTATTCTGCGCCAAAAATGGCTGGAGTGCAGAAGGTCTATGGGTTGTGTTCACAGGCACACGCAAGCGCTGCGGGTGTGGTGAGGGATAGAGCACAAAGTCCTCGAGAGCACTGTTGTTGTTGGTATTGCTGCTGTTGTTGTTCTGATTGGAAGCCAAGGGCTGTTGGAGCGGGGGCGAGGGAAGCCATGCTTGCGGTGGGTAATCCGTGGTGAACGACGTAAAGTCGATCGGGGCAAAGTTGTTATTGGAACTTGAGCTACGCGATGCGATGCTGAAGTTCAGAGATCCTGAAATAGGAGACTCTGAAGGGGGTTGAGAGGAGAGAAAAGGTTGGGTTCCGTTTGGAGAAATGATGTCGTCCTCTGTTGAGAAAGACTGGTCTTTAGACTGGATGCTTATTGGGCACCCATTTTGGAGATAAAAGTGATTTAAGCAGTTAGATAATTGTGATTGCAATATGGCGGTTTGTGAATGGGAAAAAAAAAAGGTGAGAATGGAGAGGAAAATTCAGGCAACCGGGGGACTCAGGCACTTATTAACAGTTTCAGTGTGCGAGACCGCCAACCAATCGGGTACCGGAGCCGCACGGGGCTTAGTCCATTGGAAGTCACGGGGTGTGAGTCACAGTCGGTTTCATGACTCTAATTGGCTGGTTTCAGAGGTTTCTGAGTGTTTTCTAGTCCAGGCTTCCGCTACATCCTGCGATACCTACTTATCCGTCTGCATTACCTGCGTAAGTGAAGTATCTCATAGGTACACTATCTCCACAACTTCTGCCTGCCTCGCGTTGAATTGACCAATAACCAACCAACATATATTTCTTCGGTATGTCCAGGCATCCACACTTCATTTATTATTATTTTTACTTTCCTCTGCCTCAATAAATTTGTACGGCTATCTAGTACTGTATATTCTCAAATCAATTCTACTGTTCGATCAAATATCTTACACCACATCATGTGGCTATCGGGCACCCGTTTCGTATATGGTCAGCCTCTCTGTCTCTCCAGGGCTTTACTCAAGAGTGATTAATAATGTGGAATTACCTCGCGGAATAACACCCATTCTTCCGCTTAAGGATAATGCACCAGATCCACCGATCTTTTCCCAATTTTGTCCCCGCGGTGGGCTGTGTCCGTATTATGTCCTATGAGAGAGTCCACCATTTACTTAGCTCTACCGAAGGGCGTCAAATTGACTTTTGGATGTTCCAGGTTTGAGCATTGATCAAATTTTTCAACTCCTAGTTCCAAAAGATAATTCGTTGTCTACTACCTGTGTACCAGGGTGTGACAGCGTAGAGCAACATCTGCTGGGAAAGTCCGGCGTTTCGAACCCTTGCCTATGCCAGGTTTCTGTTTTAAAGACCAGGACCTTGTAGGTAGCGTAGCCGTGATTTATCAATTTTGGGTAGAAGAAAAAAAAAATTTCTCCTCACTCTTATCTTGTTGACGTAGTAAGGCCGAGGCTCCGACCCGGTGCCGAAACGGGTGCCCGTGAGAATAATATGTCATCATCCTTACACGGTAGATCCACAAATCTAGATCTGTGTCGATCGACATTGCACGTTGTATATTATAGGCATCTAGATTCGAAGTGCATGATCCCAGGCATACTACGGGTGAGCAGAATATGAAGTTATACCTAGTTATCTAAACAGTGTCGCCTGCCTATCTATAGTCCTGATTGAATACATTTTGTCTTAAGGCGCGTCCGGATCAGCACATAGACCATACCTGCCGACGCATCTCGATGGAGTCAACTCATGTGTCTACTACGGGTATTGCTTGCATGAGCGCCCTGCAGCAAGATTCCACTGTACTAGCCGGACCCATACTTAGGTAGATCAACATTGACACTTGAGCACTTCACAACATACATCGTACAACTTGGAATATACAACTAGATTCGGAAGACTTGAATATTGAGATCGATATTTTAAAATAAACAAAAAGACTGAGATTCTATTAAGTATTACCTATCGCACGGTGTGCCGCCACCGCGGGCGGAACATAAACCAGCCGCTCGGGACAACAACAGTAGACAACATTAGAGGGTCAATTTGGGTTGCAAGTCAAGAGATCAAATCCAATGAGGCAACAAACAAAGAGAGCACCTATTCCTCCCCACAGGGTATCAAACATAAAAGCCAGAAACCAAAAACAGCAGAGTGGTATCAATCTAGTCGGGCGACACACAACGTAACGCATGATCACGTCGCGAAGAAAAGTCACAAGTCGCGAGGCACAGGTCGTAAGGAATGAACCGCAGTCCAACGGCTGCTGGCGTCGGTGGGCGCCAATGGTATTATTTTTTGAGAAAAGAGATTAAAAAAGCGACAGCGGGTATCTCATTGCCACCATCACAGGCCAAGGACCAAAAGAAAAGACCGTAGGTACTGCAGATAGTGACAGTGGCGAGGCAAAAGCAAAGAACTGGAGCGAAATGGTATCAAATCTGAACATCAGGACTCGATGAGCCCATCAGGGATGTCGCGAGCAGGGGACGGGTAGGACATATCCCACCATCGTTCAAACTCCACGACACGTCTCCGCGGAGACTCAGTTCATGCAGCAGCCTGGACAGGGGTGGAAGCAGGAACGGTGACGTTCTTGGCCTCCTCAGTGGTCTCAACGTCCTTGGGGGCCTCAGCGACAACAGCGGGGGTCTCCTCAACGGTCTCCTTGGCGGGGACAGCGGGGGCAACCTCCTCAGCCTGGTCGGCCTTAGCCTCGGTCTCGGCGGCGGCGACCTCCTCCTTGTCGAGCTTGACGGCCTTGCTGGGCTTGCGGAAAAGACCGCCGAGCTTCTTGGCCTTGGTCTCCTTAGCCTCACCGTCGGTTCCCTCGTTATCGGACTCGGTCTTCTTCTCCTTCTTCATGCCCAGGTTGCCGAAGAAAGAGGTGCGGCGCTTCTCCTTGGGAGTGGAGACAGCCTCGGCGACAGGAGTCTCAGCAGAGGCAACCTTGGAAGCCTCAGCCTCAGCGGGGGCAATGACGGTCTCGGCCTCGATAGGCTTGACGGCAGCCTCTTCGACGGGGTTCTCGAGTTGAGGAGCAGTGCTGGAAACAGCGGTCTCCTCGGTAACGGGGGCAGTGGCCTCCTTCTCGGACTTCTCCTGGGAGGGGCTTGTGGCCTTCTGGAACAGATTGCCGAAGATGGAAGCGCGCTTGGACTTCTTCTCCTCTTTCTTCTCCTTGGCCTCCTCCTTGGTGGCCTCCTTGGTGGCCTCGGTCTCAGCAGGGGTCTCAGCAGCAGGCTGGACGGCCTGAGTGGTCTCGGCCTCGACAGGGGCAGCAACCTCGGTGGTCTCGCCAGCGATAGGAGCAGGCTCAACAAGAGTCTCGGCGGTAGGCTCAGTAGCAGGCTCGGCGGCCTTGGCCTCCTCAGTAGCGGGAGTCTCCTCCTTCTTCTCCTCGGCATCCTTCTTGCCCAACAGGGAACCGAAGATGCTAGTGCGCTTGCGAGACTGGGAGCGGCTCTTGGCAGCGGCCTTCTCCTCCTTCTTCTCTTCCTTGACCTCCTCCTTGGGGGCCTCGGCGACTGTCTCGGGGGTCTCCTCCTTCTTCTCCTCGGGCTTCTTGGCGGCGACCGCAACGGCGGGCTTGGTCAGCTTCTCCAGCTCAGCCTTGTATCCCTCGCTGGAAACAATGGCCTCCTTTTCAGCCTTGGCTTCGGTAGCCTTGGACTCAATAGCGGCAACCCAGCTGTCACGTTCAGCGGCGCTGGAGGCCTGGAAAGTGTGCTTGTGGCCGGCGACCTTGAAGAGGAATTCGTTGGAACCCTCCTTGGTCACATCGGAAACTTCAGCCTGTTCAATCTGTTAGTTTTCATTCTATACTAGCAGTGTCACCGAGGAACGTACGAGGTTGAAGATGCCAGCGGGGGTAGCCTTATCCTCGGCGCGCTTGGTGAGGAAAAGCAGACCCTTGCCGGTCTGGCTGGCCCAGGCGGCGATGGGGTTGGCAACAGCGGCCTTCTCATTCTGGTGGAACACGGAGAGCTGCTTGCTCTCAACAGCCTCCTCGTTGAAGTAGAAGAAACGCTTGGCGAAACGGAATCCCCTAAAGCAAAACAAAAATTGTTAGATCGCGCATGATTGATGCGATTACAGTCAGGACTTACTTGACAAGACCAGGGGCCTTGTAGCCGAGAATGCCTTCGCTAGCGGGCTTGATCTCCTCCTTGACAGGCTCAGCAACCTCGGTGTTCTCAACGGCGGGGGTAGCGGTGGTCTCGGTAGCGTCAACGACCTCAGTCGCGTCAGTCGCGGGAGCAACAACGGCAGGAGTCACAACGGGCTCGGTGGCAGAGACGACCGCGGGGGTCTCCTCAACAGTCTTTTGGACGTCAGACATGATTAAAGGTATTAAACTTGGGTATTAAAGAAGCAGAGCCTCGTAGGAAAGGAAACTTGGGGGGTATTTGGGTATCTTGAAGGAAAAGCAAAGAAATAAGAGCACAAAGCTCGGGTATCACGAAGTAAGAAGGGGTATTTTGCTTTGTGGGAGGAGAAAGGGAAGAGAGAAGAGAGAAAAGGGGAGGGGAGGGAAGGAAAAAAAAGAGTCAGAGAGGGCGCTTGTTGATGGCGCTTTGGTCCAAATGAGGAAAGGACCTGCAGGGAGCCCAGAGCTGGGTGGATCTCGCGATTAGCTAATTCTCAGGGGTTACCTTTTTTTTTTTTTGGATTTCTTTACTTATTTTTTGTTATTGTTTTATATGCAGTGTACAGTATATTATAGGATATCATATAGAGTACTCTCTATAAGTCATTCAAAGTATCATTATATGTTATTCAAAACATATTTAAATTCGAAATTTTATTATCATTTTCTTATACCTTCATGAAACCAACTTTTTTTTTTTTTTTGGTGAAACATCTCCTAATCTATATCCAAATTCTTTGTCAAGTATGGCGCTAGACCTCATGATCTAACTGAATTCAGCTTATAAGGATCATTTATTAGAAAATCTCTTCAAAGTCTACCAGAGGAGTATCACACCACATGATCGGCCGTGCAGCTTGGCCTTACCATGTAATTTACCTCCAATATTGTGAGTTCGGATCCTCTTCCCGATTTGACCGTAAATTAAGGGCTATTTCTATACGGAGTGATTCTATTCGATATACGTCGTAGTAGTTCATCAATTTGAAAGAAAATATAAAATATAAAACATCTATCGTCATGGCGGGGTTAATCACAAGTGGTCATCAGACCCTCCAAAGTATGTGAACAATCTCATACATACTTCAGGTTTCTATGATTGTTCGGTGGGCCGCGACACCGTTGACATTCCACATCGCCTTCAACCAAAACGTTACACTAGTTGAAGACCTCGGGAACCGTGAAAATTGCCAAAATCATCCATATTTCTAAATCAACCGAGCGTTCGGTACTTTCAGATCACTCCGCATGGTCGACACTATCGAAAATTACAGTTCTTCATCCCTCTGAAGGGGGAAGTTATCCCAAATCCTATCCCTGTAAATCATCCCAGTCATCTTTGGTCCTTCGGAGTGATCAGCCCAGGTTGAACTTTCTTACGGAGTACACTCGCATCTAACGATGTAGCTTTTTGTTTGCCAGACTTGATTGGATGTGCACCTATCTTTAGGTTCTAGAGAATGGTTGGATATTACGACTTCCATATGCAATCTCTAGTGAGGTCCTATGACCCCGGCTGATATCAACTCTATGATTGAGTGGCGTGCAAAACCCTCGTGGATGACCAACCAGCGGTCATACAACCCCGCCCTTCTTGGCTTCCGTGTAAGGTGTAAGGGTACGGAGTATGTATACATCATATCGCTGGCATATCAACTCTTTTGAGACCCGCTACGACAAGGATCCCATGATGTTTTGTTTGTGCCCAATCATAACCTTGTTAAGTACGTATCTTCGCCTCTTTGCGTGATGTGCGCATCATTGCATACGATAATCATCTCATCAATATCCCATATTTCATACATATTGTACCTCTACTTCGTAATCGGCGGGGTTTCTACCAAGGTATCCCTACAGAGTACTCCTTATGTAGAAGCTAAAACAACGTGGGATCCACAAGACAAGGCTTCTTGGAAAATTGCCCCTAATTAAGCCCCTTTTCTTACTTCCATTGCAACTTCTTTCAGATTATTCAAGGGAGAAAATCAAGTACAATAGTCCCCACCAGACTATACACTTGGTTCCGTATTTTAGCGAATAGGGGGCTGGCCAGCCCTACCTAGAAACTTTGAATTAGGAGCTTTTTGTTTTGGGTCAATTCCACGGTTGATCTGGAAGGAAACAGACTGTCCTCCGTAGCAGGCCCGACACTATACATTGGAATTGGAGAGTACCTTGGTACTCCTAGCACTCTGGCCCGTCACTCCTGACAACATACGTAGACGACAACCACAACAATTCTGATCTACAAACACTATCAAGCCGATCACTATGAGGCCCGACACCGGCTGCCACAATGTGACTATCGGAACATTTCCAGTAATGATAGCCAATACAGGCGATCCACACCCTGCTTGGTTGTCTTTCATACCCTATCATAAGCCCCTTTTTCACCCGTTAAAGCCAAGTAACGATAAGTCGCCAATCATGCCGTTTTTCTCTTTTTTTGCGGTCGCTGCTCTCGGGCTTGATCCCGCTGCCCGCTGTGAATGGTCGTTGTTTACCGGTAATTGACGATCTTATACATTGTTTCAAGTCTTTCTGTTGATCTATCTCCCCTCTCGTTACCGCAAATTTTGACTTCATGCAAGTGCCATGCGTAGCGGAGTCCGGGAGACTACATTCTTTGCGGCCTTTTCGGGATGTATTTATTGCACAATATTGCAGGTATACGGTACAATTTATATGGCTCCATCACACTAACGACTGCATTTTCCAGGTTACATGTATATATACCACTGTATATAAGATTCGGAAAGGGGAATCGGCAAAGAAGAAGAATAATAGTGCCACCCACGCAACAGACTACTGTCAACCCTGCACATGGACAAAGTAATCACCTCTGAGAACCGAAAAAAAGAAAGAAAACTCCTGGCAACGCAAGAGATTAATACATTACATTTGGTGCCAAGGACCGACTTGACATGCGGTGTACACAGGGGACGGATTTCCCGTCTATCTAAGCTCTCCGATGCACCCCGATACTTCTAGCGTCCACTAGACTGGCTATTGGTAGACTTAACCATGGACCACTTTGATGAGGATAAGCGCTTCAGGGCTTGTTTGATATTTCTAGAAGATTAAGTGTGGATTTCAAAATAGAATTATATTTACCTGCTCTGCACTCCGTAGAAGTCACTTTGCTGAACAAAGGTATATTTCCGACGGACAACATCCGAATCAAGTTCAGATTCAAAGGTCTGGGTTTGCACAGGGAGCCACAATACAAAGTTGTGGAATAGGGGAGGATCCACATAAGCTCGGGTATGGAGCCTGACTTTGAGGTAAACAAGGAGGTTCAAATTATTGATTTCTATTTGAAGGCCTGTGTGTCTAAAAAGGATCATGCACCATACACGTATTAAACGACTATGACGATAAATACTATACAAAATTGATCAACGCAAGGTACTTTTGCAAATTATGTGACACTTGAACAGGTCAGAAACGGCAAAAAAACGGCTGTGATTGATGAGTCACACGGGTCTTGTTCTATGTCACATGATCTCGGAAGTCAACCAATGAGGAGCGAAAACCAAACTTCGCTTAGCGCTAGCGCATTTTCCTATCAACATAAATACTTCACTCTTCCTTCTCCCTTCCTCTCTTTTTTTTCTTCTTCATACTTACCTTGTTTGGGTGACTGCGATCATAAAGGCGGTTCACCACAGATTGGTCCCTGCATTGCACAGCGCGGCGGAACAGTTTGTTCAACGGCTTTCGGGTCATTGACAGGCGTATTCTTTGGCACCCTCCATTCGTGGAATTCTTTCTTTTCATCAACCTTTTGAGCCATCGGCTCGAGTTTGGAGAAGAGATGTAATCGAGTAGTTGCAACTGTAACTTGTTCATATATCAGAACAGCTGTGTAGTAGATACCCACGTTCCTCCTTCAGTGTGTACACGTACGCGTCTCATGCGTATGAATCCTGCTCCGCTAACAGACCATTCAAGCTCACTTTGATGGTGTTCTTTTCACTCGGTGCTGATTCTGTTCGACTGTTCATCAAAAGCAAGCCTCACTTCTAGCTTCCGTGTCGAGGATTTCCAGTTCTGTTGAAATGACGTCTGACCCAAGCTTGGACCGGCTTCGCCACATGTGTGGCGACAAGTTCAGTTCCAGCTCTAGTCCAGCTTCAACACATATAACTGAACCATAACATCTAAGCTACAGATCATCTCTACGACCTGCTCTTGCAATTCAAGACGCCATACTGATTACCTCTTCCTCAAGTCGTTGACGCAAAAGTCCCACCCGCCACCATGCCCGTCCCCACTGCCGATCTTTATGACCAGCAGCAAGAAACCCAACCTCAAACCAACGGCACACACCCCTCCAACCCCGCTGCACACTCTACACAACAAAGCAACGGCAGCTACTTCGTTACTGAATCTGGTAGCTCGGCCAGTGCATCGACCAATGGGGCCGGTCGCGCTCTGACCAAGGAAGAAGCCGATCGCCTATATGAGGAACGGATGGAGGAGGAATACGCGAAGAGAGATGGCGGTGCCTAGGTACATTCAATGGCTGGGTATATCCATGGATTCTTATCCAATTTGATCGTTGTGGGATTTTTTCTATGTGCGGCGGTGGGAGGGGAGCCAGACTGTCTTTTTCTTCCTATGATATATTATGAGGCTACAATTCGAATCTCAACTCAATATCCCTTGGATGTACAATCTGATTCTATGGCACAGTAGATCCACGACCGATGTTAAAGGCCAACCACTGGCCAAGCCCGAGCTGGGGGTCAAGGACCGACATGACTCACGCATAGACTAGCTGCCGACTTCGACCAAAAGTAACGCCGGCGAGAGAACACACAATACGGCCACACCAATGATTACTGCCCGCATACCTTCAATACGACAATGACTCATTGAGGGAAGCGGGAAATATATAAGTAAAAGTCGCTCCACAGAGTATTTGACCATTCAGACCTTGTTTCGATCATGTCGACCACCGCTGTCACCAGCAGGCTCTACCCCCACCAAGCTACCTTAGTTATTGTCCCAGAGGAGGTGCAGCCGATATCCACGAATCGCCTTTATCTCCGGCCGATGACAGTGACCGATGCAGCAGCTATTCATGAGATTCGACGCCGACAGGACGTGGCGGACTGGCTGTAATATCATAATCCAAGAGGCAAAGTCACAAAGGCTTCAACAGACCGAAGAGAAAAGCACGCTAACACTTGAGTACTATAGCTACCCCAAAATCACCCACAAAAATATCTCGGAGACAGAAGCTATGATTTCCAAGAAAAACTTTGCGACACCAGATGCGTCAGGTGCTCTTAGACGCAGTTTTTTCTTTGCTATTACTCTCTCTGATGATCCATTACAGAAAGTTATAGGAGGGGCAGGAATCAATGCTCTTTTCCCGGCACCGTCAGTCGGATATAGTATCCACCCGGACTTTTGGAGCAACGGCTATGCCACTGAGGCAGTTGCTGGGGTTATAGACGCATGGTGGAGTCTAGAAAGAAAGACATTTGACGAGGACATGGCAGAATTATCACCAGAAAAGCTATTTGCGGCGTGTAATAAAGCCAATATTGGTAGCATGAAGGTGTTGCAAAAAACAGGCTTTGCTCTTTACCATGAGTTTACCGTTGGGGATGAAACCGTTGCGCTTCTTGAATTGGAGAGATGTGCTAGATAGTCTTCTTATATCACACGAGTATACAGGGCGAACGCTAAATGCTTTTATCGCGTTTTAATACCGGACTTGGGTTCTGCCCTTGGAGTCTTTACATGCTAGATATATATATCGCAAGAGTCGACTCAGGGTTGTCATTCCTGAGGGCTTAGGTCAAGAAATTAAAAAAAGTACAAAGGGAGTTTCTTTGAATGTGATGAAGAGGAATGATGATGAGCGTGAAAAAGCGAGTTTATAATTTGCACAGAAGAGCCCGAGGAAATCAATCAGAATACTGGATTGATAGCGAAGACGAGCAAAATGGCCTCCAAACCATCAAGAGCTTGACCGATGAGTTATCATAGAACATCAATAGCGTGGCAATTTGGGCAAGTCTCAAGTTGCTTTTAATATCTCTTCTTTTGTTCTTACAGAGTATCTAGGTAACTACATATACGTATGTGAACATGTACAGTTGTAGATGCTCATATACTTGGGAGAAAGACCCACTTTGCCAAGTGAGTCACGTGCGCGTGGCTGATGCGGCCAGCTCAACCAGAGCCACCCAAGAAGAGCAAGGAGAGTCGGGACGCTTTGCATCAACAGAACCTAGGATCTGTATCCTTCCTTTGAAACTATCAGTCTACAGTCACTCTTTCGTTCTATTTTTTTTTACAGTCTCTTGGCGAGAAGACACGGCTCCTGGTAGCCTTCTTACACCATGGCTCCGCGGGACACCTTCTTCCGCTCGGCGGATATGAGCTTGACCCAGCTCTACATTGCCAACGAGATCGGGAGAGAGGTCGTTAGTGCATTGGGTGAAGTTGGTCAGGTTCAGTTCCGAGATGTAGGTGGTGCAGACGCTTTGTTATGATGATTTCCGCTGACCCATTATAGCTGAACCCGGACACAAACGCTTTCCAAAGAACCTTTACGAAAGAAATCCGTCGCTTGGACAATGTTGAGAGACAGCTTCGTTACTTTCACCAGCAGATCGATAAGGCATCGATTCCCTTGAGGTCCTCTCAAGATTTCTCCGATACGTTGGCTGCCCCTCTGGCATCGGAGATCGATGAGTTGTCGGATCGCAGTGAGAGCCTTGAACAGCGAATCGTCTCTCTGAATGACAGCTACGAGACCCTGAAGAAACGTGAGGTTGAGCTGAGCGAATGGCGATGGGTTCTCAGAGAGGCCGGTGGATTCTTCGATCGGGTAGGTGGATTCGTATATCTTGTTGACGGATGATGCTAAATGAACAGGCGCATACCCAAACCGAAGATATCCGTCAGTCCTTCGATAACGACGAAGCTCCTTTGCTTCGCGATGTCGAGCACCACGCCCCTCGCCAGAACGGAGACACCCAAGCCCAGCAGAGCTTCTCAGATATGAACATTGGATTTGTTGCTGGTGTCATTCCTCGAGATCGCATTGGAGCCTTCGAGCGTATCCTCTGGCGCACCTTGCGTGGAAACTTGTATATGAACCAGTCCGAGATCCCGGAACCTATAATCGATCCTTTGACCAACGAGGAAGTCCACAAGAATGTTTTCGTCATCTTCGCTCACGGCAAGAACATCCTTGCCAAGATTCGCAAGATCTCGGAGTCCCTCAACGCATCCTTGTATGGTGTCGATGAGAACAGCGAGTTGAGAAGAGATCAGATTCACGAAGTCAACACCCGTCTCGGTGATGTGGGCAACGTGTTGCGTAACACCAAGAACACCCTTGATGCTGAGCTTTCTCAGATCGCTCGTTCTCTTGCCGCGTGGATGATTATCGTCAGGAAGGAGAAGGCTGTTTACGATACTTTGAACAAGTTCTCGTACGACCAAGCGCGGAAAACGCTAATCGCCGAGGCCTGGTGCCCAACCAACTCTCTTGCTTTGATCAAGTCAACCTTGCAGGATGTGAATGATCGCGCTGGCCTCACCGTCCCTACCATTGTCAACCAAATCCGCACCAATAAGACTCCTCCTACTTATGTCAGGACCAACAAGTTCACCGAGGCATTCCAGACTATTGTTGACGCCTATGGCATTGCCAAGTACTCTGAGGTCAACCCTGGATTGTACACGGTTGTCACCTTCCCCTTCTTGTTCGCAGTCATGTTTGGTGATTGTGGTCACGGTTTCTTGATGACTGCGGCTGCTTCCGCCATGATCTTCTGGGAAAAGAAGCTGCAACGGACCAAGCTGGATGAATTGACATACATGGCCTTCTATGGACGATATATCATGTTGATGATGGGTTTGTTCTCGATCTACACTGGATTCATTTACAATGATATCTTCTCCAAATCCTTCACCATCTTCCCCAGTCAGTGGCAGTGGCCAGCTGAAATTAAGGCTGGTGAAATGGTTGAAGCCACCCTGAAAGAAGGCTACCGCTTTCCGTTTGGTCTGGACTGGAACTGGCATGAGGCAGATAACTCTTTGCTTTTCTCCAACAGTATGAAGATGAAGATGAGTGTTCTGCTTGGATGGTGCCATATGACATACGCCCTTTGCTTGCAGTATGTCAATGGACGGCACTTCAAATCCAAGGTCGATATCTGGGGCAACTTCGTCCCTGGAATGCTTTTCTTCCAGTCGATCTTTGGTTATCTCGTCCTTACCATTCTCTACAAGTGGTCTGTAAACTGGCAGGAGAAGGGAGTCAACCCTCCCAATCTCCTTAACATGCTGATCTTCATGTTCTTGAGCCCCGGTACGGTTGCCGCCGACGAACAACTATACCCAGGCCAAGCCACGGTTCAGGTCTTCCTGCTTCTCATCGCTGTCGCTCAGGTTCCTGTGATGCTCTTCCTCAAGCCATTCTGGCTCCGCCACGAGCACAACCGTGCTCGTGCTCTGGGTTACCGCGGCCTCGGTGAGAACTCCCGGGTCAGTGCACTGGACGACGATGGTGACGCGAATGGCGCCTTGCTGGGCAACCGTGACAGCCTCGCTAGCGATGGAGAGGGTGTGGCCATGCTCGCTCAGGATATCGGCGATGGTGAAGAGCACGAGGAGTTTGACTTTGGTGATGAGATGATCCACCAGGTCATCCACACCATCGAGTTCTGTCTTAACTGTATCTCCCACACAGCTTCTTACCTCCGTCTCTGGGCTCTGTCGCTTGCTCACCAGCAGCTCTCTATCGTTCTCTGGACCATGACTATCGGCAGTGCGTTTGAACAGGAATCCCCCGTTGTCCGAGTGATCATGATTGTTGTCAGTTTCTATCTTTGGTTCGTGTTGACCATTTGCATTCTCTGTGTGATGGAAGGCACCAGTGCCATGTTGCATTCGCTTCGTCTCCACTGGGTTGAGGCGATGAGCAAGCATTTCGTTGGCGAGGGTATTCCTTTCCTGCCGTTCAGCTTCAAGGCCATTTTGGAGGAGGACCCGGTTGACTAGTCGTTTCCTTTCTTTTTTTTGCGGGATTTTCCCCTGTTTTCATTCTGTACTGTACAAGGGTCTAGAATATACATTATCTACCGATTTAGTTCCACCAGTTATTGTTCGATGTTCCAATTGTCGTAGATCTGTATCCACTTGAGCTATTATTTTTAGTAGTACGGAGTACAAATATTGTAGATAGTCCCTGTCGGACCTATAGCCCATGGTATTACCTATTACCTAACTTAGGATCTTTTCAAGTCCGCATGACTTCGAGTGGGGTATAGGGAATTCATTCTTCCGTTGCTGATCCCGAGGCCGAGTCGGCCAAGGGGCAGACCGGGGGAGAATCTAGACTGTACAGCGCATCAATTGAAGTAGACATGTTTAGTATGGAAGAATTGATTTCTCGACCAAAATTGGGGAGCATTTGACTCTTACTTCAAGAATTCCAAATATCCCAAACCTCCAAATTTCAACTAGATATCAACATGGTAACTATTGTACCAATACATAGATCCACGGGCATTTTCGGTAATGAAGGGGGAAACCGGACGAGGGGCCCGGAGGGTCACGCGGGGCAAATGACGAAAAAAAAGAGGGTCGGGAAACTGAGGTCACTTCACCCCACTCACTGGAACTACTTCTACCGGTTTACTTTCCCTCTGACGTTAAGCTCCCAAGATTTTTTTTTCTCTTTGATTTCTTGTTTTGAATCACTACTTAAATCATTCAATTGACTTTCCAATTTTTACAACTTTTACACTTTTACATCCTCTACCTTGTAATCTACATTCTACCTTCAAAATGGCTTCAGCACCCCCCGTCGGAGCGGAGAACATCAACACTGATATTGTGACTCTATCCCGCTTTTTCACAGAAGAGCAGATCAAGTACCCTGAGGCTTCTGGTGATTTCACACTTCTGTGCCATGCTCTCCAATTCTCCTTCAAGTCAATTGCCTACTACATTCGTCGTGCCTCCCTGATCAACCTTACCGGTCTAGCCGGTTCTTCCAACACAACCGGTGACGACCAAAAGAAGCTGGACGTGATTGGCAATGACATCTTCATCTCCGCCATGCGCGCTTCAGGCAAATGTCGCATCGTCGTCTCCGAAGAGGAAGAGGAAGTGATCAAGTTCGACGAGCACCCCAATGCCCGTTACGCTGTCGTCTGCGACCCCATTGACGGTTCCTCCAACCTGGATGCCGGTGTCTCTGTCGGTACCATCTTTGGTGTCTTCCAGCTTCCCGATGAAGTCCTCGGCCCCAACAAGACCGTTGGCCCTGAGGACCTCCTCCACCCCGGTACGAGCCTGGTGGCCTCCGGCTTCACCATGTACGGTGCCTCCGCACAGCTGGTTATCACCATGCGTGGCGGTGGTGTCAACGGCTTCACCCTCGAGAACTCCCTCGGCGAGTTCATCCTCACTCACCCTAATATGAAGATGCCTGTCGCTCGCTCCATCTACTCCGTCAACGAGGGTAACAGCAAGTACTGGGACGAGTGGTGCAACGCCTACTTCCACAGCTTGAAGTACCCCGAGAACGATGGCAAGCCATACAGTGCCCGCTACATTGGTTCCATGGTTGCTGATGCTTACCGGACATTGTTGTATGGTGGTATCTTCGCCTACCCGGCTGACTCGAAGAGCCCTAAGGGCAAGCTTCGTATTCTGTACGAGTGTGCTCCCATGGCTATGCTGTTCGAGAACGCTGGCGGTCTCGCTGTCAACTCGCGTATGGAGCGCTTGATGGAGGTTGTTCCTGAGAACATTCACGATAAGAGTGGTGTCTTCCTCGGCTCCAAGGATGAGGTTCAGAAGGTCATTGATATGTACAACAAGTACAAGAAATAAGCGTCTCGATGACGCTCTTTGATTCTTTCTTGGACGCCGGGCTTGACTTGCTCCCAACGCTTTCTATCTAACTGGTCTTTTTGGATTGATGGGCTATCTGGTCGGAGTTCGTGGATTCTCGACATCTATATTTTGTTGTTTTCAGCGCTTTACGATACTTTCACCCGCCTCAGCCGGGATTAGAAATAAAAATTATTATATTTACATATGACTTGTTCTTCAAGGACCGTCCCCATGCGTCTATATGCCTAGTAATGAGCAACCAACGCGCGATATGCACCTTGTAGACTTGTTGGCAACTCAAACCCCCTCTCAAAGTGCTCAATTTATCGTTGACATTGTCATGCTTTCGATAGCCCGGTAGGTCCACTAGAACGGGCCTCGAGGAAATTAGAGTACGCCCATGTAGTAAATTTTGGACCCTCCCGATTTTTACTGCAACAATCAATAATAATGTGGTGCCCTGAACTTCGTCAATGTACAAAAAGGCAAGCAAAGTTCTGACAGCGCCATTGCCCGCCATCTCGGCAGTTTTATCCCCACCAGCGAATCACAACGGAGCTTGGCAATTGCTTGATACGATATTGGGAATAGCTTCAAAATTTCCGAGGGGATTCCGATGGCGCCTCATTCCTGTGATCGATGGCGTGCTTTGGCATGGAACTTCCATATAATCCTGGGCAAAAATGTGAAAATCTCACTATCTGACCTGTACAATTGTTACATTCCACCATGTCCTCCCCAGTCATGGAAAAATCTCCAACAATGGCAGCCGAAGAGCACCCGGTTCCGAATACAAAATCAGAGGTTCAGCAATTATCTGAACCTGCACGCCAGAAATGGTACGAATGGTTTGCGCCTACGGATACCCCAGCCGAGCGTCGATTGATCCTCAAGCTTGATGGACTGATTATCGTCTTCGTCTTTTTGGCCTACTGGGCGAAAGTCCTCGACTCATCGGCTACGAGTACGGCCTATGTCAGTGGAATGAAAGAAGATTTGAAGCTATATGGTAATCAGTTGAATTATCTGCAGACGGTCTACATGTACGTCTACAAGGGGTAAATAGCAAGCAACGGTTGGGATTGGTACTGACTTGGTATAGGGTTGGCTTTATTACGATGCAGATTCCCTTGACCCTGGTGGTTAGTTGATATAAATTTCCACCGATATTCCGATTACTGACTGCGGCTAGATGACCCGCTGCCCGGTGAATTACTTCCTGCCAGCCGCAGACCTATTCTGGGGCGTTTTCACCTTAGCGCAATACAAAGCCAGCAACGTCACTCAGCTCTACGCTCTCCGATTCTTTGTCGGTGCTCTAGGCGGCTTCTTCTTCCCCGCAGTACAATGGTATTTAGGTAGTTGGTACAAGCGCTCCGAATTGTCTCGCCGTGGCGCCATCTTCTTCATTGCTAGCCAAGTCGGCAGTATGAGCTCCGGATATATTCAAGCAGGGGCTTATGCCAGGTTAGATGGTCGATACGGGATTGAAGGGTGGAGGTGGTTGTATATCATTTGTGAGTACTGATCAACAATGTTAGCTAATGAATGCAACTGACCATATTAGGTTTCGCCTGTACAATTCCCATCGCATTCTTGGGTCTCTGCCTTCTCCCTAGCACACCGGATAAATGCACTTCACGATTCCTGAGTGCTGATGAAATTCGTCTTGCGCAGGAGCGCATGGCCTCTGAGAACCGCGAGGGCCGTCAGCCTTTCACTAAAGCTAAAGTTTTTCAGATCCTGAAAGGATGGCGCCTGTGGGTGCTTGTTATCTTTGCATTCTTCTTCTCCCAGGCCGATGGTGTATCTTCAAACAGCGGGTTGTCTCTCTGGCTCAAGGCTGAGGGATATTCGGTTGAGAGCATTAACACGATAACGACAGTTTCGCCCGCCGTCACCATCGTGGCATCTGTGATTTGTGCAGTCCTCTCCGATATCTACGATGCAAAGGCCAGTCTTATTGCTGTGACTGCTGTGCTTAATATCTTTGCTTGCATTGTGCTTGCTATTTGGAATGTTCCCGTTGGATTGAAGTTCTTTGCGTTCTTCCTATCTGGCACGGCTGATGGTATTGCGGCTATCATCTATGCTTGGGCAAATGAAATTTGTTCACATAGTGCCGAGGAGCGCGCCATCGTCATCAGTGCCATGAACACTATTGGTAATACATTTGGGGCCTGGATCCCGCTTTTGTAAGTGATTGAGAACCCCGTCTATATATGCCAAGTCCACGTTTACTGATATGGTTTTTGCTCAGCGTGTGGAAGACTGTCGATGCACCCCGGTATCTAATTGGATACAACTGGACTATCGCTCTCGATGTATGCATGCTAGTCATGCTGGCCGTTCTGGTTCAGTTCTGGGCTCGTGAGAAGAAACGTTCACATGTCTAGAAATCATGTCCATATACACAAAATTATGAGCCTAGGAGATGTAACATCATGGCCAATGTCAGGCTTTCACATGAACAAGAGATCTAGACAATATGTGTTATCGACCTCTTCTGTGGGCGCCCTTTCTTGCTTTTCTCTTACTTTTCTCTCACTTTCTCAGTCTTTCCTGCCCGCTTTGCTTTTACTTCCTTCCCCCCTCTTTCTTGCTCTCCTCTTACTTCTTCTCTTTCCCTGCTCTCCTCCTCCCACCAACACCACGATGTTCCCTCATCTTCCCTCCGATCAGCCTGCCGTAGATAGCCGTCTTTTCGCGCTTCCATCCTCACCATCTTCCGCGCAGCTAGCCCTAGTGTGGCTGCTATCAACACGCACCAATCATGAATTCGACCGAGGCAAAGAAATGACTAGCCCTTGAGGAGACCGGCGGAGTTCAGCAAAAGCCTATGGGGTCTGAGTCTGCTGGTGCTGGCTCTAGATGTTGCACGCTGATAAACGGATGTATCTTCCATGAAGGTGGTAGATTGAGCCTGTAGGCAAGTCGACCAACTTGTTCAAGTACGGTGAATAGTTCAGCGTACTGTTGCCCGAATTTCCTTGTAAGAAGTTGGTTTGTTGGCATGTTGTAACCGCTTCCTAGGCGTTAAAGGACCTTATTGCCGGCCACGAAATGTTTCGGTGTATGGCATCTGTCGTATTACTCCTTCATACGTATTGCAGCGTACTTGAGACATTCTGCAGCGTCGGTCCTGGTAGAGATATCTTGGTGCTCTTCTTATCGCTAACTTGGTCTAGATCAGCAGAAATGTTATCGATCTCTACAGGCTTTAGACAGAGTAGCCTCCACCTTACGCCGTGACGCTTTAACAAGCCTCCCTAATTAGGGAATGAGGAAGAAACGTCAGGATCTTGTTAACCTCCTGCTGAAGGAAAGATACGAGAAGGTTGATGATATGAGCAGCACTGTGGCTGAAGAATAGTCTCAGTTTTGCCAAAAAGCCAGATACTGCTATTCAATAAATCGCTTTCTGAGAAACAACCATTGAAAAGAATACATTTGTGTGTCCATGGTTTAAGGCTGACTGAACCATTCCCCTGATATCACATCGATCGAAATAAATTGAATACTTCGGGAGACTGAAGTTCGTATATATGATGCATGCTTATTCCCCAAAAGTTGGAAAACTAATATATGCATATAATTTTTCACCAGATTCTCATTGTTGCACAACCTTGGAAAAAGATTGTTGGTCCTTTGCTCCACAGTTCTAATGTAGATAACATTCTATTTGAAGTAAGACCTATGAGATCGTACTCCGTATTCCATGCAAGATTGATATTGGAGACACGCTCGGACCACAACCTCACTAAGCGAAACTCACGTGAGGAGGAACTAGACCAAAGGCGGTTAGCCTCGGCTGAAGGTGGCTCCGTGCCGAGGAGCTTGAAAAAGTACAAATTTCTGCCGCCAAAATTTTCATCTTCATCATCCTACGCTCATCTCCAGCATGGTTAATGCTTCCACTGCAAAAGGAGATTGATTCCATTTGGCCTTGGCCTATGGTCACGTAACAATCATCACAATGTCTATTTCACTAATCAGCAGTTGACTCGCAAGATTTGCAATGATGGTGAGTTCCTTGTTCGCTTTTTTTCCTCGACCCCCCTACCTATCCTTGCACCTTCCATCATGATGATACCTATAACCAAACAAACTAGAGTCTTTGACCTCAAGGGGAATGAAACTTCTGTTATTGCACGTCAGTCTGATACCACATCATTACTTTGAATTATCACACAAACCTTGATATGGACTGAGCTAACTTGCCTTTCCAGAAATGACATAAGACATTTTATCGTTTTGCAACCTGCATATCAACGACAAGCACAGATGGTGAGTAACTACTACTTTTCCTCCTCACCCTTCCACCCTATCATGATGAACGCGATGTGTATGAAAATACGCTGGAAATTACCGTCTCAGACCTTCTGGTCGTTGATGATACTTAATGGCTATTTCTGATCTTTTTTATTCCTCAACATTTGCATCAAAATATTTGCAGATCATGTGCTGATATTTCAAAAGACCAATAGGAATCTGTGCTACCAGCTTAAATGGTAAGCTCATACAACCTACACACCATTATCATCATCTGTCCGAAGATGAAACGGCACTGGGCTCCGACGGCGTTGAAAACAATGTCCGGTTATGATGGATACGCCCTTTTGCGGCAGGCCTAGAAAACCTCGCCCACTGAGACAACTCATATTCATGGACTTGTGTGAGATGGTTGTGTGACACAGTCACTAACCTTTTTGAATAGAAGCCTGTTTGACTGTGCCGATTGAGACTCATTGTAACCGTAGAAGGTATGCGATTAAGTCTTGTTTCATGTTACCCTGCCTTTTATGATGATACCCTTTAGATGACGAGTCTGATTCGAGTTTTCGATGCTGACACATCTTTTTTTTAATACCATTCATGCCTTTCTGACATCCACTCCTACACAATATTTCACTCATCAAAGCTTGTTGGCTTGTGCTAATAATTCTTTGAAGGCAGGACTAAATTTTTTTTTTTCAAAAGAGAACAACCAGTTCTTATTGACTGTGGGTGTATGTACACCTTGTCTCTTTCCAATTCCACCTTTACATGATGAAACGACCCACAAAGACAAGCATATGTCCTAGTCAGCTTGCTGGCAAAGACGAGAGTGTCCTGCCTGACCAGTCACGACTCTATTTGCATTGCTGCAATGACAATTCAGTACCCGATGCTGATGGATTCTGAACAGAAACACACCCGAGCACACTAATTCTGCAGACGCCACCGGTGATCTGGTTCAAATATCTCCGTGAGTCTTACTGAAATTTTTTTGTTTTGTCTTGCCCCCTCATCTTTATATGATGATTCACTTCAATTTATCACGACGGTCAACGTAAGGATTTTAATTGACGACTATCGCCTGTGACAAGGCATTATCTGAAAAATTTCCATCCCTCATTGTATCTTGCCATCGCTTGTTAGTGTTAATACTAATATCGATCAGTTGAACAGGCTCATGTCATGTCGCAGCCCACGGCCGTTGGCCTCGGCTAGTGGATCACGTTGTGGTCTCCAAATTTCACTACCTAGTAGCTGAGAGTTAATGCTGAAAGAAACCAATGAAAATAATCCAATGTCTGATCTTTGCTAAAATCATAAGGCTGCGCGGAGTAAATCTATGCATATTTAGATGGCTCTAACGTATTTAACTACCGAGCCGCCATAACCCCCGAGTCGCCACCCCAGCCTAACCCATTGAATTTAAATGCATTTATCTCAACCAAAACGCCATCAATTTTATTCAACTAAGAAATGGTCTATCTGGGCATGTCTCTCTCCTATGCCCTGGCAACCTGCATATTCCACACCCCCTGGGGGCCGCGTCCGCGGTCGAATAGCCGGTTCCCCCGCTATGTGAGGGCCAGGGGGAGGTGGTTCAATTACTCCCTCTGCCTGCATATTTAATGTTGAGGTATCTAAAACTGAGAGGCCCTCGGCCGAGGGTATATACCTTCGAGAACTAGTCCGCTTCTGCTTCTTTTTCTCGTTTTCGGCTCGTAACCCGCGTACTTCTTTCTCCAGAAAAGCACTCGATTGCATCTGAATTTGGCAGGCCTTTAGAACATGGTTTATCGCATTATTAAGTGGGCTCGGAGGACTCCGGGATCTCGTATGAAGCAATGCTTTGATTGATGTAGCCTGCTTTAGTAATTGTGTACAGTTCGAAGGCGTTTTTGGTTCCCACTCGCTCTCTTGACTTGAGAGGGGGTCCGGGGTTCGAAGGCGAATACTGAGCTTTGTAATTACTCGATCAGGTGAAAAAGGTACTAGACCAGCTGCTCCGAAGCTATTGATAATAGTATCGGATTTGAATGTCTCGGAGCGGGCGGAAGGGTAGGCTTCGAGGAAATCAAGTTTGTCGATATGGTTACTCCCATTCCGCATTTTGGTTTCAACAAGCCGACCGTACGAACGTTTTAGCACCGCAAAACAACCAATATCGAGCGGCTGTAAAAGGTGGGATGAGTGCGGAGGCATGCAGATTGGGATAATGTCGTTTTCTTCGCAGATCTTATCGAAGTTCGGGGTTAAATGACTTCCGTGGCCATCGAGTATTAAAAGTCGATATCGACCCTTTACCCTTAAAGAAGTCGATGGAATGAAAAGCTTTTTAAGCCATCGAAGTCCAATTTCATCAGACGTCCATCCATTCGGACTAATCTCAAATCGCCAGTCATCGGGAAGGTTATCGAACCATCCCTCAATATAGATTCTACCTTTAAAAATCACAGTCGGAGGAAGTACCCATCCCGAAGCATTTATACACTCAATCGTAGTTACCCACTCGCGATTTCCAGGCTGTAGAAGCGATCGCCGACCATAGTATTCACTCCTTGTAATAACCCTCGCGGTTGACGTTAATCCCATCGCGAAACCAGTCTCGTCGAAGTTATAAACGTCGTCGGGGTTGATCCCATATTGGATAATAGTTTGTTGGACGAGAGTAAACCACTCCCCGATGATTTTTGGATCTTCGCATTTTGCACGCTCATAATTATAGCGCCTCGAGAATCTACTCGATAATTCGGGATGCCTTTTCACATACTTTGTAACCCAATTCTCACCGACCGAAGGAGCCGGGGTTATTCCGCGTGATTCGAGTAAAAGATTCGCCATTTCTCGAACTGCAGAAGGCCGAGGGGCTGATCCGCGAGCATCCATAGAGAGTATCCAATTTTGAAGGGAATCTTCTTCAATCTCTGTGAGTTTATGTGAATTTGCGCGTACAATTCTTCGCTCGGTGCGGCCGGAGATACGATCGCGTAAAGTGGAACGTGGTACATTGAAAGTGCGAGCAGCGAGAGAAACAGTAGCGATATCTTGTTTCTTAAGAGCTTGTATTGCTAATAAGATCCTACCCTCCTGCTCTACTGAATTTCGAGAGGTTTGGGGGCGAATTGGTGGCATAGTGGATGGTTGAATTAATTAAGTGCTAATTCATGGACATGTTTTAGATTATGTGGCGACTCGGGGGTTATGGCGGCTCGGTGGTTAAATACGTTATCTTGTATCTTAGACACCTGTATCTATATTTTTGGATATCCCTGCACAATCTAGTCACTTGTGTAGCTTTGTTAAATTGACAATCCCGTGTTTCATGAGATATTGACCTATAATGTATTAAATTAATACGGGGACAACATCGTTGGGCCTGTCATAAAGAACGATAAGCGCCGAGCTTGGACCTATGTGTGATGAGAATCCTCTAAGTTGCATAAAAATCCCCGCTTCGACCTAGTTCATTTGTTATCGTTTTTTGGTTAAATGACCCTGAAATACTTTCTCATTCTGTTCCAAATTTAGATCTTTGGCCCCTATATGGTGCCCTGGTCTGTAGTAATTGGTCGTATGGCGCGTTAGGGTTGGGGTTCTTCTGCCCAGAACAAGCTTGTACTCCGCAGCTCTTGCAAAGAATAGAAAAATTGGCGTCAGGCCTGTTTCACGGCCAATAGCTTTTTCTTTGTTACTGCTGGGTCTGCGATCTCTTTCACTCGCGCGGTAGCTATGGCTTTGGAGCGGGCCTCCTAAATGGATGCACAGCACAGTATGAATAGGTATGGCCCATCAATTCCTGCAGAGAGAGTTTCTATACGAGCGAAGGATACTGATTGCCCTCATCTAGCTGGTTGGGTTCAAATCATGCAGGCGACGAGCAGCCGTTGGATAGCCACCACCAAGGTTGGCCGTCGACAGCTGCAAGTCCCAGAAATCCACAATCGCGAGGTCGCCGAGAACATGCTGTGCAGCCACCTTTGTTGACAACTGCACTGAACGGTTCTCAATACCAGGGTCTCGGGGCTGGCCTTGGTCTTACGCCGACCCCTTCATCAATGACTTCGCTTTCGAGTCCGTTCACTCACAGTCAATCGCCCTGCGTCCCAACTCCCCTGAACGGTAGATCAGTCTCGTCATCTTCGATGGCAGCCAGAAACGTATATAATGTTCCTTATAACCCCCAAGACTGGGGCCCCCCCGGAAGGTCCCAGGCGCAGGGCCAGTATGTCCCAAGCAGTATGCACCAGGTAATGCCGCAAAGAAATGACTCAGGTCTGTCTATACCGATATTTTCTGTCTTCAATATGTAGTCACTGCAAAACTGGCTTGAAATATTTATTGACTAATTGTAGATGAGGTATCTTCAGCTCCTCCTCCGCCATATTCACCCCCTGGCAATCAGAACCGAATATCTCCGGACTGTTCTGGCCAGGCAAATCCAATTTTCGCAGCAACGCCTTCTCCTCCTAATCGGAGAGAAAACGATTATGACATGCCTGTGCAGTTTCAAAGACGCACAAACCGTCCGAGGCCACTTTCTATGGTTTACCCATCTGATTTAGGGTCTCAGCGGCAGCCGCTACCTCCGCCGCCACCTCCACCCCAAGGGCATGCAGTGAATAGGAGCGACCAGGCTGCGCAATACAATTCTCCGGCAAATCATCGGCCCATGTTGTCCCACTACGACCAAGCTCAATCTTCGCCAGTTTTTCGAGAGCATGTATATACAACACCTGCTCACTTGGAGACACCATCTCGACCTCCAGCATCCCGAAGAGCTGCTTCTGCTGGGGCCGTGGTAAGCAGCGCGGGGTCATCGAGAGCTGCAAGTCAATCGCGACATCGATCACCATCAGACAGTAACTGGGGCCAAGGATTGCAGCTTCCACCACCGCCACCAGGACCTCCTCCTGCCGCCAGGTCTGTCAGCGTGAGTGGATCGTCAGATTCATCAATGAGAACGCCACAAGGATCCAGCTCACAAGGATCCGCTAGAACAATGAGAAGGGCGCCCCCTATCCTAGGAACAGGATTGGGAAGCATCCCACCTACACCAGCTGACTGGATAGATGAGGGATACCTAAACAGTCGACCAACAGAAGCTTTAACTTTTAACACGGCCGAGGCTGCCAATGCACCAGAACCGAGTGGAGATTCTCACGACCCCTCTAGCCAAAAGACTCCCCGTAGCGGAGGTCTTTTCCGTAGCTCAGCAGTCCGCGATCCAAGTACCAAAGGCATCCGTGAAAGGCGGATTGAACGGAGAAATCGGCAAAGTCAAATCTTTGAGCCTCCTAGTGCGGTAATTACAACTGGCAACCCTTGGGCCGATGCTCTTGAGCAGGTCAAACCGTCGAACCTCATCCTACCAGAGCAAAACAGCAGTCCCGACCAAAATCGTCATCCATCGTCGGGGAAGCATACTCCTACTCATAGTACTCGGAGTATTGGATCGGAGGGACAAATTCTTTCCACGCGATCTCGAGCATCCTCATGTGGCTTGTTTTCAGAACAATCACCTCACGGAACCCCCAACCAGCAGCCAAGCTTTGCCGGTCCTTCTGTTGCAGTTGCACATACGCCTCCGTTCTCGCCAAACGGAATGGGCCATTCGCGACATCCCAAGGAAGCTAATCAAGCAATACCACCCAAGGCGCTGCCAACTCCGCCTCTCAACTCGGCAAAGGATGTCCGGCCACGCCCCCGCGCTTCCTCCCGAGGGGCGGAAGACCGACCAATCTCCCACATTCTTCACATGCCTAACGACGCTGTCTCGATACTGAAGCCCTTGTCGCCACGTCGAACGCCTAGTCAATCACCACGGAGACAGGTGTCTATGGAAGCAGTAATGAGACAGGACTCTAATTTTCTTCAGGAGGCCATTCAGAGACACAAAGCTTTCATTGAGAAGGAAGCGTCTACCGCCGACGAAACCGAAGCACTCAAGATCTTTGCAGACTACATTCTCGCCGAATCTCAGATCCGGCGTCAGCGGTATTCCAAGGCGTGGGAGTCTTTTCAAGTCGACGATGTACGAAGCAATCTCTTCGAGTTGCCATTTATTCAGCCGACAAAGATGATGGCCCCCCCAAAATTGGACATACCACAGAATCGTTTGAACCGGCCGGAGTCTACGTGGTGGAACAACTACCAACCTTGTTTGTCGCCAATTGCCAGCCTGAATATGAGCAATGACGAGATGAGCTCCCGGGGCCGCGCACCAAGTCGTTGGTGGGAATCCAAGACTGGTTCTAGCAGCGAGGGAGACGAGAGACGGGTTCACCGATCCAAACGTGAATCAAAATACATGGGCTTACCTCGAGACGCCATGCATTGGGACCAGGAGTTGACCCCTTCTGCCCCCAACGAAGTGAGAATGAGCGATATCCCCTCGGAGTATGGCCCTGATGTGTACCCCCCGAGAAAGTCGGGTCTAACGATGGATCTCCCGCAAACTCCACCGGGACTGGGCATCAGTACCCAGGAAGACGCAGCTTGGACATCTCACGATTGATCACCCTACCTCCACCTTATCCCCGCCATCATCCTGCCGTGAACAACAGCCATCCTGATTTGGTCACCCACCGAACTACTGTCCGATCAATCACAGATCTCACCGAGGTCAAAACCACCAGACATCGGTACAAGGCTGACATTGAACGAATGTTGGAAGAACACCAGCAACAAGTCAATGAGGGCCACCGTCACTTCAAGTCAAATATACAAAGCCAAATCCAAGAAGGTAGCCTCACTTTTACTGAGGCTGCAGAGGCGGAGGCAGCGATGATCGTTGAAGAGAACGAGCGAGAAAAATTGATGGTTAAACGCCAGCTTGACATGTACCAAGAAACTGTCCTCAAGCCGATGCACGCAATCATCGTCGACAGAATTGGCAGAGCCACAAGCTGCATTGACGAGCTCACTAGCCTGCTCTCCGACGACGCCCAGCGTGGAACACCAGACGAAACTCAAGAAGAGGGTGATGAAAAGCCAGAGCTACTGGAGAAACTCACGCAACTCAAATGGCTTTTTGAGGCCCGCGAGCAGCTCCACCGGGAGTCCTTCGACTTGATCAGTGACCGCGACGATAAATATAAAGCCGTTGCACTTCTGCCCTACATACAGACCAAGAACGAAGACAAGATACAAGAAACACAAGCATTCTTCTCTCACGATGCCCTGAACCGACGTGTGCAGTTCGAGAATGAGGCGCTATCTCGTCTCGAATCCTTCCTGGATGTCATTGAGCAGAATGTCGTACGAGGCGTCGAGGTGCAGCTATCCGCATTCTGGGATATCGCGCCGTCTTTACTAGCCCTCGTGCAACAGGTGCCCGAAAATCTACAAGGCTTCCAAGTGCAGATTCCACCAGCCGAATACGAGGAAAATCCCAGCTACCATAACCATCCACTGCAGTACTTGTATACGTTGCTCTCACATGCGGAGAAGTCAAGTTATCAGTTCATCGAATCACAGACGAACCTACTTTGTCTCTTGCATGAGGTGCGATCTGCTGTTATGCGGGCTAATCGGGTTCTGGTGGAAGCTGAACGCGTTAAGTGTGGAGAGACAGAAGAGGAAGTGCGTCGTGAGATGATGGAGACTCGTGCTGATGAAGAGCTAGCTCTTACAACTGATCTCAAGGACAAGGTTGCTACTGTTGAAGGCCAATGGGCTGAGGCACTGGGAAGCCAGATTGAAGGGCTGAGAGAACGGGTGAAGGAACAGCTTGTCAGCGAAGATGGCTGGGAGGATTTAGAGCAGTTGGAAGAATGAAAGAGTGGATTATTGGAGATCCTTTTCTTTATTTTTATGATTATTTCGGTGTTCGTTTTGGTTTGTTTTTCGGTGTGATTGCAACATGATATCCCCATTCGTTCGTTATAGATCAAGTGTTTTTATGGCAGTGCCTCCAACACTTTGAATTTTGGGTCTCTTTCAGGGATGTGAGGTATGAATCCATATATTTGAATTAACATGAGCAAGCCCATGAATATTTATTTGATTGATTACAATATGTAGAAGGTTCTGTACAATAAATACAATAAGTACAATTTTGTAGGTGATAGAAGTGAAGAATGACCTCACTATTAGAGAAATCCAACTAAGTCACGTGCACCTTCTAGAGTCTTCCGTCCCGCGATGCTTCAAATAGCTCTTTTCCCCCTCGACTTCTTTCTATTTTAATTCACTTCATCATCCAAGTCCTTGATGTACTGGGCTTGATTATTATCACTGTAAGTGTGCAATTGCTCTTTTCTTTTGCTTTAAAATATACCCCTTGAGTGGAGGAAAAAAAAATGGTTGTGTGCAAAATCTCTGCCCTACCATCTCAACCCCAACACTCAATTGGCCTCACATGATGAGACTTTTAGCTGGCACCAGTCCGAGAGATGTTTCTCGCATCACTTGCGGACCAAGCTTTACAAGTCCGGGATTACGCCCCAGGACCTGACATTGGCCTTTTCACACTTGCAATTTTCTTTGTTATGAAACTGTGACCATTGCTAACGAGGAATCTCCAATAGAACGTTCGTACTCGATCAAATTTCGCGTCTTTGATCAAACAGCAGAATCTTAACCGGAGGTGCAACCTACCTTCCTCAAGTCCCCAAAATCAGAATTTTCTTGTTTTTTCGATAGTCATCTTTCATCATGGTCCTTCACAACCCCAACAACTGGCACTGGGTCAACAAGGATGCTTCTGGCTGGGCCAAGGAATACTTGCAGAAGAACCTGGTCGGCCTCAGTGTCGAAGAAGGAGGCGTGTCAGCCCAAGTAAGCAAGCTGTCGTCCATGGATGGCGACGTAGATGTCAGCCAGCGCAAGGGCAAGGTCATCACTCTGTTCGATGTCAAGGTCTCGCTAGAATACTCAGGTTTGTAGTCCAATATCAATTCAGTTTATTTTCAATTTCTTTTTTCGTGACCTGGCAGCTGAGACGCTTCCATAGGTAAGACCAAGGACGATGAGGAAGTTAGCGGCACCATCAACATCCCCGAGGTAGCCCACGATACCGAGGAGGATGAGTACGTCGTATGTCCACCTGCCCCCGGTCACCCAAGGTGATATGTAACACTAACTCCCGTAATCCAGTTCGAGATTGAGAACCACGCCGATTCCAACTCCAAGCAGCCCGTAAAGGATCTGGTGCGCACAAAGCTCGTCGCCCAGCTCCGCAAGGCTCTGGCCGCATTCGCCGGCGCCCTGATCACCGAGCACGCCAAGGACCTCCAGCACGCTCCTGGCGTCAACCCATCGAGCGGCTTCCCCAAAGCCAGCGTCCACCCTCAAACCAAGCCCTCCAAGACCACCACCACGCAGACCACCACCTCTAAGACCAGCAACGCCGTCGTGAACACAACCACCGTGACTGCCTCTGACGAGTTCCGCACTACAGCCAGCGAGCTCTATAACACTTTCACGGACCCGCAACGCATTGCTGCGTTCACACGCGGCGCTCCTCGCCAGTTCGAGGGTGCCAAGGTCGGTGGCAAGTTCGCTATCTTTGACGGCAACGTCACTGGAGAATTCGTTACTCTCAACGAGCCGAAGCAGATCGTCCAGACATGGCGTCTTGCGCAGTGGCCGGAGGGCCACTTCAGCTCGCTGGAGATCAACTTCGACCAGAATGATATCGATGGCGTTACCCAGATGCGTGTCACCTGGTCTGGCGTCCCTGTCGGCCAGGAAGATGTCACCAAACAGAACTGGGAAATGTACTATGTCCGCAGCATTAAGCAGACTTTCGGGTATGTCTTTTCTTGATTTCTCACCTCCATTTTGCTGCATTATCCCAATCTCCCTTATGCTCTACTCCCTTTGGATATCTTTGCCAATTCCGGCCTCCGTTTACAGATCCAATCCGTCAAAAATCTCTTTACAATCGTGGAATCAATTGCTAATCATCATTGTCCTTCTCCTTGGTATAGGTTTGGCACTATTCTCTGATCGACTTCATGGTATTTTACCGGTGGCATGAAAGCAAAACAATACATTCATCTCAAGACTTTTTACATGAACCGGCTACAGAAAAAGCTGCAAGAGTGCAGGCTTTAGATTATCTGCCTTTTTTTTTCATTTCTTGTCTCTTTTTTCCACCCTGTGACCTTGCAATCTTGGCTTAGGTTGACTGGGCACAATGATGCTACGATAAGAGGATGGTGCTATGTTATGATAATGAAAATACTAAGATTACATTTGACTTTTTTCCCGTTGTAGATGGAAACCAAAGCTAAGGGGGTTGTTGATTTGATATAGGAGTATATCCCATCTAGAAACTCTGGCGACATGTCATTGTCAGGTACAACGTATGCTCTCCAGGACTTTCTGTCAGTCTTTCTATCGGGCCTTTCTGGTGTCTTGTTGTAGTCTTTTGCTGAGGTTTTGCAGCTAACTATACCCTACGACTGTCGCATTGAGGACTTTTCATATGAGCCTTTTCCAGACTTATTAGACACCATGCAGTCGTGTTATCTGACCAGGATACTCGGATGTAGGACAAAGGCCCAACCTTGTGCTCTGCAGCTACGTACTATGCACATAACTCTGCCCAGGTGCTTTTTCGTTTACGTATGAAGATGGAGAATAGCAATGCACATTGTAATTTTCATTCATCGTCTATGTCATTCCTAAATAACCTTTTTTTTCCAGCTAGAAATCTAGTTCATTAAAGATCCAGCCTTACAGAGTGCGCTCGATGAGTTCAATGCCGTAGTCCTCCTTCAGTGTCTTGATGAGAGGAGCACAGATGTCCATGGTCATGGGGGCAAGAACACCCTAGTAAAGTCAGTATGAGATATTGAACACGAAGGGTTTGGGGGACAACATACAGTCTTGGAGATGGTACCATCCAGAACCTGCTTGACAGCAACACCGCAAGGGACACCAACCAACTATACTTCGTTAATGTCTTAAATAAGCATCTCGTAAAGGGGAAGTAGACAAACCTTAGCCATGGCGGAGTAGCCAGCGGGGTTACCGTATTCGCACAGAGTGGAAGTACGGGTCTCCTTGGAGCCGTCCTTGTTCTCAATCTCGAACTTGTGCTGCAGCATGACGAGATCACGCTCGCCAGGACCGTACTGCATCTTCTGCTCCAGAGTAGCGCAGAGGGTGTCGAGAGCGTTGCCGCGGGGGATGGTCTGCTCCTCGGAGAAGAGACCAATCCAGCGGAGACCGGAGAGGAGACGGTCACGCTCCTCGTTGTTAGGAAAGTTGGTCTTGGAGGCAATGGCCCACTGGAGGTCCTTCTCGGAAGAAGAGGTGGCGCCAAGAACCTGCTTGGTGGCCTCCTTCCAGGAAGTAGCCTTGTCGAAGACACTGCTGGGGGCATCGTTGAGGAAACCAATGTCGACGAGGACCTTGATCATCTCGGGGAAGCCCTGGTAACGGAGAGTACCACGAACAACAGTCTGGGCCTCGGGGATGTTGTAGCGCTCACGGAAGGGAGTGGAGTCACGGTTGGGGTAACCGACGAAGGCGAAACCGGGGTAGATGAAGAAGGGCTTGGCGGAAGCCATCAGCTCGGGGCCGTCAATGCTGACGATCTCGCCGCCGCGGTAGATTTTAGCGGCGTTGCGGAGGGCAAGAAGAACACCACGGCTACACCATTCGTTAGTAATTTGTCAAATTAAAGCACCTTCAGGAGTGGGGTTTGCGAACCTAGACCAGGAGAACTATAAATCTTGATTAGCCACTGATCGAGGATGTGATCTAGTTTTTGAAACCAGCGTTTAGGGTTTGACATACCTTGTATCCGAGAGGGTTGTTAGAGCACTCAGGGGCGGCTGTCGAAAGATTAGTGTCTTATACTTATATGATAACAGAGCATATAACTTACGCACTATAGTAATAGTTAGTAAACATTCAATCAAAAAGGCAACAGGAATGACTTACAGCCACCACAGTAAGAAACGAACTCAAGAATCTTGCCGCCGGCAGCGTGGACCTCCTCAATGGTCTTGACAGCGTCTATTTCAGTTAGCAAAGGTCGCCCTGGACATAACGCTGTAGATACTTACACAGGTGGTCGAGACCGGGGTCCAATCCGATCTCATTCATGACAACAATGCCGGCTTCCTTGCAGCGCTCCTCAAGTTCCTGCATAGCCGGGGACACATATGAGGTGGTCACGACATTTGTCTACAAAGTGATATTGTGTCAGCGTCTGAAAGACTATTTAGGCTCTTGGTTGAACGTACCTTGGTACGGATAGCTCCCTCGATAACGGTAGCGTGGAAGGTGTAAGGGATGAGGGAGATGACAACATCGGCCTGCTCGAGGGCCTTGTCGAGAGCAGCGGCATCGTTGACATCAAGGGCAATAGCCTTGGTGTTCTTGAAGCCAGCACAGAGAGCCTTGGCGCTCTCGAGGGTACGGCAGGCTGCATGGGATCGTCAGCGGGATATAAGACAGGAGAATGTATCAATTGACACATACCGACAGTGACCTCGACGTCAGCCTTGCTGAGAACCTCAACAGTGGGCTTGGTGACTAGTATCGAGCAAAGTTAGCCTTTGAAGCTTAGATGCGGGGCAGCCCATGACGCATTGGGTCTGGAGGGAAGTAACCCAAGAAACTGCAGACATACCGAAACCCGAGCCCAAAAGAAGAGCCTTAGAACCGGCGATTTGCTTAACCATTTTGTATCAATTGAAATTTGATAGGATATATTGATAGGTTTGGGGGAGAGCATCCCGCTGTCCCTCAATTGTGGACCGGTATGCGGCGGGTGACTCATCATCACGTGAAATACGCTGGCGGTATCGGCGTGGGGTTTTAGTAATACATCGGCCAGGCCCCGGGGCCCCGGGCCCCGGCTGAACACCTGGACGGGTATACTTGTGAGCTCCAGGGCTATGTTATCCGTCGACACCTGTGATATCAGCACGATTTTGGTATATCAGTATCTAAGAACAACGCAAATAGCCTGAGCCTGGAGATGGAACCCAACGATGAATATAGCAAGAACAATCGGTAAGTCCAATCAAATCAAATCTTGTATCTTCCAAGGTTGTCTATATAGGTATAGATAGCATCCGTGATTTCTTTCTACGTATATTTATGAATATGCCTTGCTACATCGGCTTTTGAGCCGGAATGAAAAGAGCCCCAATCAATGGCACCATAAATACACATACAATTGGAGAAGTAGAAGTAAGTATATGATGTTTGATTTGCCAAGACGGCAATGCATGTATGAATGTTGATGTTAGGCGCGCCCAATATGAATGAATGGCCCAAGAACGCCGCTGATGCATAAAAACAAGCAGACACAGGGTATATAGTCGACAACGTATTATATGTCTTTGATCTTTCCACCTTGACGCAGCAGCACGTCCATTTCCTCATCGCCAGCAAAGTTCCCCTCGGCATTGGGGTCCTGCCGGGACTTGGAGATCCGTCGTTGCCATCCTAGAAGCACGGGTAGGAAGTGCCAAAGGTCGAACTCGGGCCACATGACGTCCAGGAACACGATCTCGGTATTCTCGTGCGTCTGCCAAAGCATGAAGTCGCTCAGGCGTTCCACGCCCGAGGTGCGCACGAGCATGTCCAGGGGAGGTGTGCCCTTGGTCAACATGCGGTCGTTTAGAGTTTGGCGGGAGATGGTCTCGGGTGATATGTAGAGAGGGCTGTCTTCCGCGGAACGATGTGGCGAGCCCTTCGGTTCTTGACCGAGGTGGAGAGTCGTGGAAGAAGAGAATGATGATCCGGACTCGTAAATTCGATTTGAACTTGAACGGTCTTTCCAAGATGCATCGTCTTCCTGTGCGGAGGAGCCGGACGTGGACTCGGAATCACTGTGAGTATCATGCGTTTTGGAGCCAAGCGTCTGCGCACGGATGTTATGTGTAATATGGGATTCCGAGAATGGGGTGCGAGGAGCTGCAGCGGCGGAGTGGGCGTGTTGGATAGGTGTGCTATAATCTTCGACAGTGTCGCGGATAGCGGTAGTGATCTCGTCGCGGGAGGTATAGGGGAAGCAAATATTGAGGACGCGTTCTCCGTTGCGGCTGGTCATCTCAACGGCCTTGTTTACGGCTTCCAACACATCGGGCTTGAGGAGGTCAAGGCGGCCGAGGACGCGAACCTTGGCGCCGTATCGATCCAGCAGGTCGCCGTGCTGGGCCATCTGTGAGAGCTTCACCTTGGCCATTTCCATGAGCGCATCCACCTCGAATTTTGACCGTTTGAAGTTCTCGATGCTGAAGGCGTAGATCGTGACTACCTTCACTCCACTCTTGTAACAGACTTCGAGAATCTAGAGTTCATTAGTACATCTCTCCACGATAGGGGCTTTGCCGTGGTGAGCCGAGCTCCCAGGATGCCACTCACCCTTGCCAAAGCTTCGAAGCCCAGATTGTGTCCTTCTACTGTCTCAATACCGTGTGATCGGGCGAATCGTCGATTGCCATCCATGACAAAGGCCACATGCTGGGGAATAGGGCCCTTTTGGAGTGCGCCGATCAGCAGCTCCTTGAGGGTCGTGATGGCGTACTCGGCTGGAGGAGAGGCGAGGAACCAATTCCGAAGCCGGGACATATGCATTGAGCCCGCCATGGTGTGTATTGGAAACTGAGGACCCCCTAAACTCCAGGTTCCGGCGCGCTGGAAAATTCGTGGGGAAGGAGATGTGGCGGAAACCGGATGCGATAAAAGAACAAAAGATGCCGATTAGCGGCCAGGAGAACTTTTGTCAAAGGAGACGTGGTCAATTAATAAAGAAAGTACGGAGTATCTAAGGTGCGGACAAAATATTTTTAAAATAAGTTTGAGGCAGTGTTACTAGGCTACACTGTTTTTCTTTTGTTTCTTATTTTTTCAACTAAGTAGATTCTGGGCTTTCTGGCCCCTACTCAAGAAGTGGCGAGACCCGCAACAAGATGCATCATCAGCCAAGATCAAGACCTCTCGCGAAGTCAACAGCCACCATCTCAATTGGTTGAGATTCCCGCTTGGACTTCAGATTTCCAGGTTCGGTCTCACGGTTGTTAAGGCTTCCTCGGGTGAACACGTGTCATTCGATAATTGAGGATGGTTGGGACTAGTCAATGATGAGCTAACATTGGACGACTTTAATAGAACTACATCAGTGAACGGTAAAATAATTGAGAACAATTCATTAAACAACCAGAGAGGATATCTTGCATGGATATATAAGCGCGACAAATAGATACACAGCTCCGCGCTGAACAATGATGAATGAATTGGGAAAGAGTCAGAATGGTCATCAAGGCAATCACTTCACGATTCAAAGATCTTTTCGGTTTTCCTCCACACTAGAAGGAGTACCAGGGCCTGAGCTGGCCATATCCCAGCTGCCATCTTCGCTTCGACGACGACGGCGCTCCCCGCGCTCCCTCATAGCATCGCGAATCCGCGAACTAACATCCTCAAGCGGATCTTTCTGACTGAGGGGGCTCAACGCCTTCAGCCCATGCCGAGATCCAGGCCGGGCACTAGCAGAGCTACTGCGGCTGCGGTCACGGCTAGGAGGTCTTGTGGAGAAGAAGCCGATATTGGCTAGGTTGTGGAACGACTCGTTGCGAGGTAGGGGCTCCGACGAGGGCATTTTCTCGCTGGAGTCCGACACGTTAGTTCTTCTGATTTCCGGCGGTCCATTGTGAGACTTCTCTTCGACGGTGGCTTCACGGAATGGATCTGTGACAATCCGAGAAGCATCAAAGTCAGGGAACAGTTCAGGTCCCATAGTGTTGATGGCATCTGTCACTTGTTGGGCCAGAGCGGCGCGTTTCTCACGGAGTCTCACGAGTGTGTTCGCCGATGATGGGTTGAGAGACAGAACGAGCGGAGGAAGGGACTTGATGATATCCATGCCGACTTCACCAATTCGGAGGGCTGCGAAGGTGATTGTGGGGAATAAAACCATGCCCATCATGACCACCGACCAGAGTGGCACCCAGTCGGGAACCATCCCATTAACCCGGTTCCAGTAAGTCCAATAAGTGAAAGCAGCAGTGTAGAATGCGTAGAGGGCCGGGGCAAATGCGAGGGCAATAAGAAGTTTCCACGTAGCCATGACATCCCGGCCCTGGAGCTTCACGGTAGAAGCAGCCAGTGCTTCCTTGGACTTTTTTGCCGAGAGATACTTGGTTGCGATGAACACGGGGGTGAAGAGAAGGAAACCTGGAAGGGTTCCAATAGCCAAAAGCGCCAGTTTTCCCAAGCGATAAATCAATGTACCGACCACTTGCACAATGGAGAACTTGGCATACGCCACTTGGTGATCCCGAATTCCGAGAATACGGAGCGATTTGTTGTATCCTACAATCGATCTGCGCAAATCTACGATCCGAGGATCATCTTTGAAGTGAGCATAACCTTTCACCAGACGGCGGTTCAGCTCCACGACCATCGGAAGAGGAAGCTTTTTGCCTTTGGTGTTGTACAAGCGACGGGCAGCTTGAATAACCTATGGATTGTTAGCAAGAGTAACTCCCATGTGGTCTAAGGCGCATACCATAAGAGTTTCATAATCGGGGCTAGTGACAGTGACAGAGACGAGACTTCCGTAGATGATTTCCAACAAAGCACCAACAGATTCCCGTCGTTCACCCTGCTTGAACTGTTCCACCAATTCCCGGGGGATATCGATCGGGGTACCGAACTCAATGACCGCCCTGGAACGGAACTTGTGGGCATGGAAATAGTTCATGCCACAGGGGACAATCTTCAAACCACAGTCGGGGTTTTCCGCCAGAGTTCCCAAAGCCATCAGGGCCACACCAGCTGCTTCATGTTAGCGACAGGTCGAAAGTTCAATAGAAATAAATAAGATATAAATACCTTTCAAGGGAAGCAATGTAGTCCGGTCATGGCTTCCACCCTCCGGAAAGATACCCACACAGCCTCCAGAGCCCAGTCTTTTGAATACTGCCTGGTAGACTGCGGTCTGATCCACATGCGGAGCAACCTTGAACTTGGTGCCCTTGAACTCCGGGTTCTTGTCCGATGGCTCTCCGGTGAAATTTCCATTGCTATCGATGTCTTGTCGTCCAGTAAGCTGGGATAGCGCGTCCCTATGCTTGAAAGGCTTCTTGAGAACCAATTCCTCGGGTCCTCGAACCTCCGCAATAGCCGTACTGTGTGATGTTCCGTTGATCGTAGGCAGGGCAATAGTTCCATCCTTCTCAAACTGCTTTCCTTCAAAATTTGTTCCGATACCTCGCAGCAGAGTTGGCTCGTTGATCGGATCGGGAAGATAGATGGTACCGGTTCCAGGCTTCAAGTTGTCCATAGCACGTGCGACGGGCAGTGTTCCAATACCCCTCGCCAAGAATCCGATGAATTTGCGTCGAAAAGACTTCTCCGCAATAAGCCATGAGATCCGTCGGTGCGCTTCGCTGCGAATGACGCGCATCAATACCAAGGAATCCACAAACTGCAGAAGCCCTCATTAGTACGTTATGTGCGCTGGACCGGAAGCAGGCGGCTTACCTGGTTTGCATGGGGAGCAGCCACCAGAATGATGGGACCACGTCGGGGGATCTTCCATGATCCTCGGGGGTGAACTTCACGGAAGAAGAGGTCGATGAGCACGGAGAAAGTCCAGAGGACCAGATCGTACATCCACCCGACGAGCGGTGGAATGTAAGGGCCTTTGTCTCCCATTCTGCCGTAAGCCCCAAGGGCGGTTTCTCGAAAGTGAAAAGCTGGTCGATACAGTTGAAGGTGTTATGATCTCGACATAAAAGCTGGAGAAATCGATAAGAAAATCAAGTCAGATCACCGGGAAAAGCTTGGACCACCAACCTGTCAGGCTATTCCATGCCCTTTTTAATCACCTAAAAGATGATCGAATCCAATAATTTAAAGAGCACGAGATCGGAAGCAAAATAAAGAGAAGAGGGGGAACTAGGTGAAGTGCAAATCCGGAAGTTTTGGCCTTTTAGCGCGCTTTGGTTCGGACGCTTCTAGAACAAGGGTGTTCTTCATTTCTGTCATTTCGATCTTTTTTATATATTTATATATCTCTTTGTTATCCTCTGTGTTGTACACAATAATTTAGTAGCTTCAATACGTATATACATTTCGCTAGAGAAAAAAAAAGAAAATATCTTCCGAACAAAACAACAAGGTGCTGGAAACTGAAACTCCGCACGTCATATCTCAACCAATTCGAGTCATAGTACATTCTTTGGAAGGGCTGATGTTGTATAAACAACTTATGTATGTAAGCCCAACGGATTTTATTACATCTCCTCTTATTTTCCCCAACACATTGCATATGCACAGCGTTAATGCAGTTATTGTGATACGGGGTAGCCTTGTAGCCGAGATGCATGGACTTGAATAAAATACTAAGATACTAAAACATTAAGCTTAATGCAGTGGGGGGCAAAATACAACGTACAATAATGTAAATTAATATAAGTGATCTACGAGAAGAAAAAAAAAGCAAAGATTCCACTTATAACATCCACCCTAAAAGATTCCCCTATAGCTCAGTTCGCCTCCCCGCCTGCCCCGCAAACCCTTTCCAACTTCCTCCGCTTGGAGATATTCACTTTGGGTCGACCTTGAACAATTTTAGGCTTGGAATTTGAGGACACATTCTTCTGGCACTCTGCCGCAAGTCAGATTCATCTTTGGGTTTTGAACTCTCCTCGACATTTACATCTCACATCCAACCCAAGTATCACTCTACCCTTCTTTGCCGCGGCCGATTTACCTTGTGTTACATGCCTTTGGCATAATATTCTATTCTCCCGATGTCTCTCAAGTATGGATATACTCTTTGCGATCTCTACGAGAGATGACACATTTGTACTGACTGCTCCAGTTGGGTGATGCTTCATGATCAGGAAGGCTTCGTTCGTCTTCCCAACGAACGTCTAGTTTACTCCTCGCCTCCACGGACCAGCATGTCTTTAACTCCCCCGTCGGGCTACAAGGGTGGTGAGAAACTATCAGTCCAAAGTAGCGCAGGCTGCATCCATCTCACCAACCAACGAGTGAGTATTTATCCATTGGTATCTTGATATCCTCTTAACCCTAGCCAGGTTGTCTACCTTCCAACATCTCAAACAAATGACCTGCAATCATTTTCATGCCCACTGCTGAATGTCCGCGACTCTCACGTATCGGCACCATTCTTTGGACCCAATGTGTGGACAGCTCTGATACAACCAGTATCCGGCGGTGGCATCTCAGCATCTCTTCCCGCTGTGCAAATGAAAGTGACATTCAAGGAAGGCGGGGCTTTTGACTTCCACACTAATTTTGAGCGGATCAAGGAACGACTGCAGCAGGCTGTCGAAAACACGACTGAGGGCACCCGCGGACAACAAACAGTGGATCTCTCGGCTGTGCATCTTGAAGAATTGCCTGCATATGATGCTCCGCCTATTGCCACCCAGAACACCAGACCTAGCGCGACACCTGAGGAAGCACAAAGCAGTCGAGCGTCCGATGCGGGCACTGAGCCCGCGGAGCCTCCTCCATGTTATGAGGAAGTTCAGTCGCAAAGCGTGGCGCATGAGCTGGAAGAGAGGCTGCGACGAGCTAGCTGATCTTTTTGATATGAGATTGCTCCAAGATACCATTTTATTACAATTTTCAATTGGTCGCGGCTTCATTCCACTCATGTACATTATGTCTCATTAGCAATTAGCGACACAGAAAGCGGTGCCTTTATTTTGTACTCAGTACACACACCTAGAGATCACGAATCCATACAGATATGTTCACTAAAAATATTAACCTATTTCTTTTCCAATTTTAGATCATCTCTGAACAACTTCAATATTTATACATGTAATTTTTCGTTATAGATCGCAGAGTTAGAGTGAAAGGTATTGGGCCAATCACGTGTAGCATAATTGGTCTGCTCAGCGCCCGGCGGTCCGGAAAAGTCCGAAAGAAGCAGCTCTTGGAAAACCAACAACTTCCTTCAATTCCACCCCCTTCAGTTCCCCACAACACCGCATCCTCCGGCCATCATTCAATTGATCCCTGTCGCAATGGGTCTCTCCGATTTTTTCTCTGACGTCGTGTCTTCCTGGGGCTTCACCGAAGCCCAGGCTGAGGCTCCCGCTCAAGACACCGAAACCGAGACCACAACCCAGGACGAGCCCGCCGAGAAGGAGGAGTCCGCCTCCGAGGAGAGCTCCGAGACCGAGTCCGCTGAGGAGACCCCCGCTGAGGAGTCTTCCGAGGAGGCTCCCGAAGAAGAAGAGGCTGAGGCCGAGGAGGAGGAAGAGGAAGAGGAGGAAGAAGAGGAGGAGCCTGAGGACATCAAGCCTAAGCTCGAGGAGGGTAAGTGATTTTTCGGCCATCTTTGTTGTTCTCTTGGTTTTGATCGCATTGTCATCTGTGCTGTGCGATCATTGGACATGTGGTTATTCGCACATCTTCGTCCTATGTGTCAGAATCCGCGTTTGGGTCATAAAACTGCCAACGGCATCGCAAAGACAGCCTTCACTAGATTCCTCGATCGGTCGCTAATTGTTCTCTCAGAGTGCGCCCACTCCGCCGTCTGCGCCCCTTACAAGCACCACTACGATGAGTGCGTCGAGCGCGTCACCCGCCAAGAGGAGCAGGGTGATGACTTCAAGGGACCCAAGGAGGACTGCGTTGAGGAGTGTAAGTGCAATTGCAATCCCAAATTATAGAGATAATTCACCATGGATTGAATCTCTTCTCTAAACCTACGAATGTGCGACTAACATCATTTTATCAGTCTTCCACCTTACCCACTGCGTGACTGCCTGCGCTGCCCCCAAGCTCTGGAGGGAGCTGAAGTAAGCAACTCCTCTCTTGAATTTATTTCGGCGTTCCAACCATCTCGCATCGACTTGGCCTGAACAAGTTTTCTTGCCGCGTCGACTCGAGTCACCCTTTAACGTTGGACTGCAATGCCGAAACTCCAATCCCGCTTTTCTGATGGCTGCCCAGGCACAATGATAGCCTGGTAGCTTGCCGCCTTGGATTGAGAATGCAGGATCGAATACGAACTCGAAGCCAAAAGACTTTGGTTCTGCTCGTTCCTCGTGTATGTGTGCGCATATTGTGTTTTCAAGGCAGGGGGAGGGCTCCGAGGAAGCATGGAAGAATAATAGATACTTGCCCTCCTCTTTCTGCCTTGCATGTACAGATAGCTGGTCTTCCGCCTCATCGAACTGTGCTTTTGTTTCTCTTGTTTTAAAAACGAATCTCATCTGTCTAGATTGGTCTTGTGCTCCCGAGGTCTGGTAGGCTGCTTACAAACGGCAATCAACTTCGACATTACCTACGTGCATGTAGGTTGTGACCACGAGAGGTCTCTCTGAATTTGAAATTGTTCTTTCACGATCAACTCATCAGCCCAGAAAGTATGTTCAATTCGCGAACTAAAATTAATATGTCGAAATCGTATCGGACCGTCTATCTGACAGTCATAAAATTGACAATCTCGAGGGTAACGCAAAGGGGGTATAAACTGTGCTAAAAGGGCTGAAAATTCGCTAAGAGCATGTCGCAGAAATGAATAAGAAAATGGAATCAAAGGTCACGCACGCATCAAACGGCTTGCCACGTTCGGCAACAGCTGAACCGAACTCAAGCCGTACTGGAAACCCAAACGGTCACACAATCTCCAGACCATCAAGACTTGATGAAAGTCTCTATATCACCACCGGTATCAATCTTCTTTACACGATCATCAGGACTACCAGTGCTCGGCTCCCGCAACTCAATGCCCCGATCAACCTCCAGCCTGCGCCGCTGAACAACCCTACCGAAAAGCCCAATCGTCAACGGAAACGGCGCCGCGACCACAGCAACCACAGCCGCAAAGATCAACGAGTTCCGCATATTCGACGGGGGACTAGCATCATCACCCGCCTTCAACGCATCCTGAATCAGGATGAAGCAAGCACCAAGCAACTGCCCACCCGTCCAGCAAATGGTACTTCCGATTTCAGACGAAAGCGGATACGTGATCTCAGCCAGGTACTCCAGAACAATGGGCAAAAGCGCAAATGACGATGCGCCCAGTATCGCCATGACCACGTACGAAGGCGGGATACCGGCTGGACTGGATGGGGCAAAGATTAGCCCTATATAAGTGACCGCAACGATGGGCACAAGGGCACGGATGCTGCCGAGATAGTGTTTGTAGCGGTCTATGATGGGTGACATGATTGCTGCTGTTACCAGGCCGACGACGATGAGGATTGCGCCGGCGATGCCAGCTTCTGTTTCGGTGAAGTTGTATGGGCTTAGAATCTGGTTGAGGAGGGATGAGACGCTGTTGAAAAAACCCACGTATACGGAGAAGGGGATCAGGATTTGCCAGAATTCCCAAGTGGTGATTAGTTGGCGGGTTGCGGTGCCAAGGGGCGTGTGGGGAATTGCTGACGAGGCACTTGGTGGTGTTGGTGGTGCGGATGGGAGGAAGAATGATGGGATGGCTGCGACGCTGGACTGTGTACGGGGTTAGTTGGTTGTTAGGCGGTTGTTCGTGGTCTGTATGGCACTTACGATGATGGAGATGTATAGGACCATGTCGGGGATATCGGAGGGTTTTGTCGCCCATTCCGAATCAATCAGCTGGCCCAGCGCTGCGCCGAGCGGATTTGCTAGGCTGGCGACTGCTGTTGCGCTCGTTCGGCCTCGATCCGAGAACCAGAGCTCGCTGTATCTCGTTGGTGCGCAGAGGCAGAAGGGTTGCGCAAATCCAATTAGGATCTGACCGAACATGGCCAGTCCGAAGATGCCACCATTTGCTCTGGTACCAGCATACCTGAGCCAGTTACCAACAAGTAGGAGGGCAGCAGTGGTGACTATAGCGGGCTTAGGGCCGCCTTTGTTCAGGATGTAGATGACGAGGCTAGAGGCATGGTTAGCGATTGTGATACTTATGATTTATTCTTCTTTTTCCCTTTCGGATGTTATGTATACTCACGGGCTAACGACGCAAAAGGCAAAAAGGTAGGCAGTGCTCATCCAATTGATGGCGCTTTCCGAGACATCGAAGTACCCCGCAGCCGTCGTCGAAATAGACGAAAAGGTCAACCACTATGCAAGTCAATAAAGCCATTCGTTCATGCATTATTATCGCAGAAAGAGTGCATACATCCCAACTGACAACGATATTCAAAAGCACCAGCTGAGCCAGGCCCCAGAAGCGTCGCTTATAGACCTTGTAGACAGGTCGTGTGCCAGACTCGGCATCTGGAGATATCTCAGAAGTCGACATGTCCATTAGAAATTGTGATAGAACATGCCTAGCACACTGCAAGTGAAGTAAATTAAATAAAGAGAGCACATCGGTCACATCTTTCTTTTTCATTTTTCCTTGGCTCCAGGTGTTCACACCTCATTACGGACCCCCCGACCCCCGGTGCGACTCTAAAGGAGGATCCGAGGCTAATAACCATGGTACTTAACAGTACTTGATCAGCCTTACTGTAACGTCATCAGTGACAGGTATCTTCCAGGTACTTCAGCGGGGTTGTTATAACCCATGTGAGATATCTCTTTGTTTATGTACGGATTAGTTACGGAGTGCATATATAGATTAATATAAATTAATACATTAATTAAAATTGCAACCAGAACTAGAAATTCACTTTCTTCGAAGATTTACATCGAACTCGTTATTTGCGTCTATACTTGTAAGACCTCGATTTTTACTCCACAAGGCTATCAAATAGCTAATTATGTATATTGCCTGCTCTAGTAAATATATAGGGGCTACACATACCATATTACACCCTGTTCTACACTATGTAGATTGTATAGATCTCAACTCGAAGAAATAATTCCCAATTCTCCTAAATCGAACACGTCAATCGGAATTTCTCCTTAGCTGTAAACCTAAAGGGGTCAAATCCTTAAGCGCGTTGGAGCCTTGATGCCGATCGTAGTTCTCCTTCACTCCCCGCCATCTTTTAATGTTTTCAACCTCTTCAATTTCCAGAGCATTTTTGCCTTTTACACTCTTTCTTTCACTTCCCCGACTGTACATTCCGAGATGATGTGTGACGACCGTTCCTGAATTACCGACTCTACGAACCTTGACAATACATTATGGATATCAGTATGCGCTCCAGTGTGTCCTCTTACGGGGACCCGCGCTATCTTTCCACCGTGACTGCTTCCGATGCCCCAGCTCCTGTCGTGCCGCTTGGAAAGTCGCTGGTGGACGGATACCGAGATACCCTTGACCCCCAGGCCGATGACCGATCGCGCTACACTCCGGTAGGTTGCGAACCGACAAACGAACTGTGAACCTGGCTGACCATGGCTTTGTGTTTCCACAGCTCAGCACGAACCACCCGCGAAGCTCGGCTCTCCCAAATGCCAACGACTCCGTGACCATGTACCTCTTAACTCAGACCGCCTTAGGGGATAGCTCAAACTACGAAGTGCTGTCATTTGAGGAGGTAGAGGACCTGAAAAGGGAAACCACAGTATTGTCGAGTCGGATCGCAGGCACAAAACGAAAATTGGAGCTGGAGACAAAACTGCGAGATGCGGCGCAATCGCTCGGTAGGCTGTACAGCCCGCCCAGTCCGCGCAGCAGCGGCGAGTACGGAAATACCCATCGGAGAAGTCGAAACGTCTTTGGCCGCAGTGGAACTTCCGAGGCTCTCGATAAGAGTGATTCCGAGCTCGCTGTGAGCCAGCGGCGGTGCGAACAGCTTGCACAGGAGCTATGGAAGCTAGAGTCAAGGGCCCAGAAGACTAGACAGCGCTTACTAGAACACACCGCGGGTGTGTTGCAAATGACACACAAGGGTTTGAAAAAAGGACCCAACAACTCTGCCTCAAATAACGCTTATGACGCCCACGACTTCGACGACCGAAGCCTCTACCGGACTACCGAACATCTGGATAGCTTTGGCGTACACGGGAGGATCGAGCCTAGTGTGGCCCTGCCCGTGAGCAATGAAGCCATGCAGGCTATGGAGCGCAGGCTGGAGGAAATCAGCGAACGCATGCACGATATGATGATTCAGTCCAACCCCGGTGAATTCATCGACCCCCCTCCACAGCTGTCAAAGGATGGAGGACCGGTCAACCCCAATGGGACGGCCGAGGCACACTTAGCCTACATCCAGAATGGCATGGACAAGATCGTCCTGCACATGGGCACAGATCGCAGTGCTCCTTTGGCAGCTTCCGAGGTCTCCCCGGAAGCCGAAGGTGCCTGGAAAGTTCAACTCACAGAGATCAACAATCAAGTGCAGACCATCGTTGATCGCTTTGGATTGACCCACTCGCCAACTTTGCCCCCGCCTCCCAATGCCGACCACGGCGAGGGACTGAAAGAGCAACTCTCATACCTCCAAACTGGTGTAAACGGACTGGAGAATCGAGTCGATAAAGTTTTGGAGCAGAAGAGCATTCTCACAACCCAAATTCAGCAACAACGTGAACTCAATTCCAAGTCTGATGCGGAACGAGATGCTCATATTGGCGAGTTGACGGAACAATTGACCTCCGTTCGCAGAGACCTCGAGGTGTCTGAGCGTGAAAGCAACGCCAGCCGTGATGAGCTAACTCAGGTCATGGAGCAACTTAATGCCATGCGTCACAGTGGCTCTTCTCAAGAAGAATCCAAGGCAGCTCTGGTACAGGCGGAGGGTGAAGTCGCACGCTTGCAAAGCGTCGTCACTTCATTGCATAGCGAAGCCGATGCACGGATCAACGAGGTTAGCGAAGCCAGGGACGCCCAAGATCAAGCCCAAGAGGAGGTTAAACGCCTCCAGGACCACCTGGATGCGTTGCAAAGAGATTATGATGCCCGAGTTGAGGAAGTCAGCAATGCCCGGGACCGTGCCGAAGGTGAAGTCAAGCAACTGCAGGCTATTGTTGAAGCGATGCAAAACGATACCAACACCAAGAGCGAAGAAGCCAGAGAAGCCCGTGAACATGCAGAGAACGAGGTCCAGCGCCTAAACGCCCTTATAATTACTATGCAGCACGAGACCGCTTCCATGTCTGAGGTTAGAGAAGCTCGTGACCAAGCGGAAGATGAAGTGAAGCGTTTGCAGTCTGTCATTGAAGACTTGCAAAATGAAACAGAGGCTAAGGGCAAAGAAGCGAGAGAGGCCCGTGATCACGCAGAAAGCGAAAGTCAGCGCCTGCAGGACGTTATTGTTGCGATGCAACGCGATACCGATTCTAGATCTCTAGAGGCTAAGGAGGCTCTTGATCGTGCGGAAGCTGAAGTCAAACGTCAGCAAGTTGTCATTGAAACTTTGCAAATCAATGGCAGGGAACTCCAAGAAGCCCATGATCATGCAAAGAATGAAATCCAGCGCCTGCAAAACCTCATTGAAACCATGGAAAACGATAGCGCGAGTAGCAGGGAAATCCAAGAAGCACATGATCATGCAACGAGTGAAATCCAGCGCCTGCAGAATATCATTGAAACCATGCAAAACGACACTGATTCAAGATCCGAGGAGATCAACGGCGCTCGTGACCGCGCGGAGAAAGAGGTGGCCCAACTCGAAGCCGCCATTCAACAAATTCGCAGCCAATCCGATGCTCGTGTCCAAGAAGCAGACAGCCAACGCGCGCAGTCTGATGAAACTGCTACTCGCCTGCAGAACGAGATGACTGAGCTCGAAGGCGAGATTGTGCGGGTCACAACGGAATTGACAATGGTCAAGGCAGAGCTGGACGGTGCTTATGGTACCAGAGCTCAACGTGCGGCTGAAGTCGCCACCGACCCCGGTATCCAAAGGGAGAACGATGCTCTGGTCACCCGGAACATCGAGCTTACCGAGGAGCTTGCTGCGCTCAAGAGCCAGCGGGGAGGTGGCGATCTTCAACAGCGGGCGGATACCCTTGAAAGGGAGCTGCGCGAGACTATTGACGACTATGAAGCCATGACCAAAGCCAGTATCGAGTTTGAGAAGGAACGTGAACGATTCGAAGGATTCATCGACAGTCTGCGGGACCGTTGCGAGCACCTCGAGACGCAGCTGGCGGAAGAACGAATTAGCTGGATGAATTTGAGTAGTCCCACATCTGTTGGTCGCGATGGTGCTTCTGAGACCACGTCGACCATGGTGCTCAAGAATGAGTTCAAGAAGATGATGCGTGACACGCGCAACGAGAACATGAAGATATTAAGGGTGAGTTTCTTTTGATTTGCTTTTTGCTTCCATTTCACTGACACTTTCCAGGCCGAACAAGAAGAGCGTCGCAGGATTGAAGGATTACTGCGAGCCCTCAAAAAGGAACATGCACAGGTGACTGGAAAGCCAATTCCCAGCCCAGTTGGCACTCCGTTATGATGATATGCAAGTTTTCGGGTTTTGAGCGTTGTAGAATTGAATTTGTACATATAGACTGCGTTGTATAATATTTTTGGCTTTCTCTCGGCAGGCACGATGCCTTTGTTAGAAACAAATTCCCGTTAGACATTCTCAAACCATCGCTATATGTTTTGTATCATATGAACCCGGAGCTTTGCTCTTTTGTCTTCAAGATGAATGCCCGTAGGGCAAGACTTGATTGCAGTAATCCACATTCGCAGTTCTTCTCGGCATCGCAGAGCCTACGGCGCGCAAAACACCATGATTCCACTTCTTCGTCACCCTACGATAATCCAGAGTCATTCGAGTCCACTCAAAGCGAAGATCGGTCTATCTTCAACGCCATCAGAGTCGTGACACCAGATGGACCTAGCACTCGTTTCTATGGCTCACTCTCCCAAGAGAACCCCGTCCACGAGCAAGGATTAGCGGTAAATATGGCTAGATTCGTTCCTACAGACCCACCAGAGCCACCTACTGTCCAGAAGATACTCAGAAAAAGACAGACAGCGGCAGAAAAGCGTGGTGATCGCACCAAGATGCTCTCTGATCAGTATTCGCACACCACCCATCGACCAAAGCCCTGCAACAAACCAATAGAACCTCACTTCGCTCAATGCCTGCATCGCAAAGCTGTCTCCCTCGGCGCCACTGATAGCTCTCGTGGTCCGACATGGTCTGGGAGCATGCATCCTGCAATAACCCCGGTCCAGCCTCGATACCCACCACCAGAAAGAAGCACCACACCACCTGGTCTTCCCTCTTTCGGTTCGCCAGAGGCGATGCGCTACTCTGCTCGGTTTCTGATGCGAGACAATGGCACATGTGCACATGCGAACACGCACGGCCCTAGTAATACCCACTGCAGCAGCTCATACGGCGAAGCTCTAAGGCGTTTTTTTGGTCTTCCAGCATCGACTCCGCGTATCGATGTACGCTCTGTGACTGGGATTGGGAGAGCTGAGGATGGCACGATGGTTCAGGGTCGGTTTCCTTATCGACAAAGCGGCCATGGAACGAATGTCGTTCGACAGTTGCATGATCACCCGTTCCATCATCGTATTCCTGTCGCCCGTCATGAAGCCGTGGACACTGATCGCGATCCTTATATCGAGGCTGCACACGCAAAGCATGCCGGTATAGGTCTTTGTCCAAGGCGTCCACAGTCCTTCAATACTCAGCCGAGACGACGCTCGCTGACTCCCGGGGGTGGCTTCTCGTTTCCATCGAGCCCGACATCTGCTGTGGTGGCTCGTTCGCGTCCACCTAGGGCTGTTGCGCTTTTAGGTCTCCCAAGAAATCTGTCTGCACCAGAAGGGCTCTCTAGGACGGCGGGTACACGCCCGGTGGAATCTCCCGCTCAAGAGCCCAGAGATGCTGCAGACCATTTTCCTTCGACTTCGTCCCGGCTGCGTGCGGTCCTTTCGGCTGCCCGTGTAAGTGGTCTCAATGGAGATCATTCGGACCAAGTCCCTCATACACGAAAGCCCATTCTTTCGAGCCTCGTTAGTTCGATTAAAGCCCAGCCTTGTTCCTATTGTTGCTTGGGCTGGCACCAAGAGCCCGACGATTCTCTTGGTGTGACCAGCTCTCGTGACACATATACAACCGCCAGGAGTCAGGTGTCGCCTATAGCATGTCAGGTTTGAATGATGGTGGTGAGGGAGGTCATTCTCAAGTCCAGATTCTTCAGACTTGGGATCTCGTCTGTGTACAGTGTGATGTTTCCAGCTTTCGTCAATCTGGCCACTGTATAAATCCTGATCGTGCGGCCCTCGACCCTTCTCCTTCGATAAAGTGATGCGAGTGTCTTTATTATGCATTTCAATGAGACACCCTGGTTCTCTTATCTTTACTTGAACAAAACCCTTGTGGAGCCTGACTCTTGATATCCTAATGTACATCCAACCATGCTAACCTATCGTGACACTAGGTATGGCCTCTTTTACTGAGGTCTGTACGTAATTGTCTTTATTAATATCAGATTACCGAGACCAAAGTAGACCCTTCAGATGTACTATTATGTTCGTAATGATAGGTATCTTAAGTTCCATGGAGATTCAAAAATTTGAGCCCTTTGAACACATCCAATTATTCCGTCGATATATCTCGTGGATGACGTTCTCCCTTGCCTGATGATAAAACCAAGCACCGACCACATTGAAGGCCTTCAATGCTGTACTTACTGCCCACCAGCAGACGCCGAGAAAACCCAGTCCTTGGAAAACAGACTATACTGCACATCAGACTTATCCCGGAAGATATCATCATAATGCTCAATACAAGTCTCAGGGTCCTCAGCCTGACGGAAGTACTTGTCAGACAAAGTCTTGAATACAGGATCATTCCACATTTTCGCCATCCAATCCAAAGCGTCAGGCCCAGCACCCTCTAGCGAAAGGCCATACGAACGGAACCGCTATAGACCCATTAGCAATCACATCGTCAACTTCCAGGCACACCTTCCATCAAGGAAAATCAACGTACCCAAAGAACCGGCCAAAAGAACGCATCAGCAATACTGAACCCGCCAAACAAAAAGCCCTCATCAGCCTCCCCGAGCACAGCAAAACGCTCCTTTGTCGCCTTGCGCGCAGAATCCCAAATCTGGAACATTCGCACAAGCTCAGCAGCTGCGCCGTCAGGGATCGGGATATTGCCGGTATATTTGGCAAGGAAATTCGTGTAGAAGTTGTTCCGGAGCACAGGGAACCCGGAATGCATTTGGGCCGCGGTGGTGCGGGCCAGAGCACGCAGCTGGCGATCTTTCGGCCAGAGAGCGAGCGTGGGGTTTGACTCAGCGAGGAACTCGCAGATCGCGAGAGAATCGCCTATGGTTGCTGAGAGGGAGTGGCATTGCAGGACAGGGACGAGACCTGTTGGCGAGATGGCTTTTATCTGGGATTGTAAGTTGTTGAATCTATTTGGATGTGTGAATGGACTTAGTACTTCGGAAATATTGACGAATTGATGGGTGTACGGGATCTGGAAGTACTCCAGGACTGCTTCCACGCGCGATGTCCAGCCTGATTTAGGGCTTAGTGGGGGTTCTGTCTTGAAGTTGGGTTTCTGGTGCTTACTGGAATAGCGAGTGTATAGGCCAATTAAGTGGTAGTCTGGGCTGGTCATTTTGGATTCTGGATATGTGAATTGGGTAAATTGAGGAGAATTGAGTGTCTCTGACAGGTCGAGGCCGGGAGTCATAGATATAATATAGTTCCTGATGAGTCACTATATTTGTATCTGTTGGACCTCGGTATGTTTCGTATTCGGTCCCACCTTCCACTTTGAAGATGACCTTGTATAAAGAATCAAAATTATATCCACATATATCTACGGAGTATAGCATCTGGGGAGATGAGGAATTGACGGAAATAACCTTAGTCGATTTGATCCACACATGTGTGTCTGTTAGAACTGCAAAATGTGGATGTATGAAGTAAAAGGGAGGAAGAAAAAGAAATTCGTTAGACACGATGAAAGAGGAATAAATGAAGTCTCACAATAGAATTCTGAGGTCAGTCGTCATCAAGGTCACTCCTTCTACCCAAGCAGCAAGTTTCTGCGTCATGTCTTCCATCTCCTTTCTCCTTTCCCGCTGTATGATTTCTTTACGAAGAACAGCAATCCAATGGCGGTGACACGCAAGATCAGATCTGCGATATCTGTACGGGCTGATCACGTCGAGCTTTCGATACAGCTCAAAGCCGGGCAGAGCTTCAGACATATGTTTGAGATTGCGTCGGGATTTCTCGAGTTTGATGGGGAGAGCACAATCGACCTCACGAGGTGTAACAAAAGTATGCCAAGTTGAACTGATCACATCCAAGTTACCATGTTGTACTTTTATGTTTCAGTGGCTGCAGGATGGGCGGGTGGCAAGAAACAAAGAAAGCAACGCCCGAACAGCGCATACATGTGCCTAAGGATTCAGGTACCGACTACTCCGTAGAATTGTCAGCCTTTCAGAACCCTGTCTGACCAGAAACATAATCTTTACACTGTTGCCTAGGAGTTTCCCTGAGAGACTTCCCCATTGACCCTTCTCCGCGAGTTAAAACCCCCGTGGGGTTCTACAGGGTTGGCCCTTCCCTTCATCTTCATCTTTATCTTCTTGATCAATACTGCAACCGAACCAATCCATCAATCAACACCCTCGATCTCACAATGTATGACCTCCGTGATTCGCTGCTCAGCCCCTCGCCGCGAGGCACCTCTCACCTCACCATATTGGAATCTTTTCGGATAAACCAAGAGGACATTCGTCAGTGTATCGCCCGGGGAGAATCCAAAGAGATTCGAGACGTGGCCTTCGGTAACCGAACTTGGGTCATCAACTCCCGATACTGCGAAAACGGAGATGGTGCGGATTCCCTCGAAGAGTACGTTCATTCCATGTGGTATATGTACTACCAGCTCGGCCGGAATATCTCGCACGAAGCGCCCGACCACGAGGGTATTGTCCTCGACATCGTCCGAATTCAAGGAATGGGACCGTTGACTCGGCCCGTACGAGGAAATTACGGCCTTGATATCGCACGAACTGCCGAAGGCATACTATGGAATGATCTACCCTTTCTGGCCACCGACATGACCGCCTTCTGGAACAGCGACTTCCCGACGATGTCGGGTGAACACCGACTCAACTTTGCGACTTTCCTAGCTAGGCTAGCATCGACTCGTGTCGGTAAGGACAGAGTATGCCAGATTGCCCTCATTCTATTCCGCAATCTGTTCGAGGAGAGACAGGAACTGCGCACCGGGGAGGTCTCAGACGAGGAAGATCCGAAACGACGCATGCATCAGCTTGAAATCTTTCAGTTGTTGCCAGCTGCTATGGCCTGGGTCCTTCATGCAGGCTACAATATTGCTTTACTCTCAGAGGTTTATTGGAACGATTGCCCTAGCAACATCAGCAAGGGTGGCGAGAAGTTCATCAAGTCAAACTTTGGGCAGCGATCACCCTTTGGATTCTCGCCCTGGAGATATATGTACTGGCTTAAACGACTCCATGAGATCCAAGAGGAGGCTGAACAGGCCGAGGAGAGACGTTTAGAAGAGTACGCCTCCGTCGCCATTGATTATATGGTCGGCAAGGTCAAGGAACGAAACTCCGAAATTTTAAGGGCATACCAGAACGGTGGAGATGCCTTGCATGAGGACAAACATTTGATTTGCCTGAAGAATCTTCTGGACAGTGAAGCTTCAGAGCATGAAGCCACAGGGAATGAAGCTACTGAAGATGACTCGAAGCATGGCGCAAAATAAGTTAGACACGAAGGCAGGATCCAAAAACATGTCACTCAGATCCCTCTCCTCCTTTACTAGCCTGTCTTACACTTTAGTTTCAAGGTCAATATTACTTTTTTCACTCAATGCAGCCCTTCGCATGTCTGCTATATCTTGTAAATGTGCATATAAGATCACACCACGTGCATGATCCAGACGAAATACATATTTTCTGGAGTTCTGGCAATTACAAAGTTGTGTACAACCCATTTTGTTCAAACTGTCAGAGAAAGTCCTTCGAGTCAGATTCGTCAGAAAATGGTAGCTACCTAGGTATTCACTAGAGCGTCAGGCTAATAGCATAAATCCACGCTAAATAGATGACTAGGACAATCTCTGGCTGTAAAGAGATGCTCAAGTATTATATGTTCAATGATCAATTTGTTGATAAGCAAAAGCACTTGCTAGATAGAGACTTAACGAGCGTGGTCGTAACAAAAATCGAAGAAAAGCGAGATATTGGGAATACACATCACATATGTATTCACCCAACATACATTCAGTATTCCTTATTCCTAGCCCTTTTTGATACGAATCTTAGGCATTGAGCATCCCGCGGCATCTCACACTCAGGCAAGAAGATTGGCCAGGACCAGTCGATTTAGATTGCTTTAAAGGTGGCGGAAGTCACACTTGACCTTTCTGTTGTAGGAGTCATATGTGCATTTATTTCCATCCTGCTCGCACTAAAAATATGATTTTCGTGGTTAGCTGAGGTCAATTTATCCAAAGATAGAGAGGATGTACCCTGGTGTTGGCGGCGCTAGGGCACTTGACAAAGTGTGTCTTCCTATCAGCTTGGTATTTACAATTGTTGTCCTCTTTGTAACACTTCTGGAGTTGTTCCAACTATTCAGTTTCGCTTCCATGCGGCATATATTTTATAGAACTTACTCCTGTGTACTCAATGCTGGGAGAATCCTCGGCCCTAACCCCGAGGCTGTCTGGCTCGGCATCAATGGGACTAGCAACCGCTCTCATGGCAGTGAACAAAAAAAGGGCAATCTTGGTGATCTGCATGGTGAAGGGCTTAGGGCGTTGGCCGAGACGATTGGAAAGATGGATCGAATAATCACAGACGGAATTGGTCTCGATGAGCTTGAGATGTTGTGAATTGGGGCATCGAGGAGCTGCCTTATATAGAATTCATCCTGGTCCCTATAGAAGAGGCAATGAACATGATTATCGATTCCGATGCAGTCATCATCGTGTTGAGCTGCTCAATAATAGTATTGATTTCCGTGGCCGTAGTCAAGGACATACTGCTTGTTGATTGGTATAAGCCTCCAGGCGAAACATTCGACCCATTGATAATTGTATCACATCGGGGAGTGATAGCACGGGCAGAAGAGTCTGAGCGGCAGATCGGCCAATCAATATTTTCTAAGATGCTTAATTTTTGAATCATACATGAAAGCAAGAGTTAGTAGCCTTGCATTTTCAGTTCTGCTGACATGAGGAATGGTTTCCAGATCCGAGACATGAGTGAATTAGGACTGTAGAGTACAATATTGCCATATGGTACGGAGTAAAGGTGACATATGATCATTAGCTCAGGAGACAATGGTACCTTCGGAGCGGAGCATCGACCCCGCGCTGCAGGGCAGCCTTGGAGTACGGCGAGGTTTGACGAGCCCCAGGGCTAGGCACTCCAGGGCTAGGCACTGATATGATGTGCGGAGTAACCCTATAAGCTTTAAGGCACAATTATGCGGTGGAACGTCGTAGACATAGTGAAACGACGCGTAATCAAGCATGAAGCAATCCCCACTAGCATGCGTTTCCCACTTCCTAGTCCACGTTGATTGAGGGAACAGAAATACTCAAAATATCGGATGTGGCTCGAATGGGCAAAAGCACAGAGTCAATATACCTACACTGTTATGTGGCTGCATCATCGGGGCACGCCGAAAAGTCAGACCTCCTCCTGAAACTAACGAGAACCGAATCTCCGAGAATGCTTGATCCTCAGGTCTAGCACCACTCTCAGCGAATCGGGCTATATTGTATTGATAGTGATACTATATTCCTTCCTGAAAATCTTCGCATGGTGTATCACATGCAACCTTTCCTCCCGTCCTATAACCACTGCTTCTTTCGGAGGTTCCGATGCTCACAGCCTAGAACCTTATCCCAAGGTTATGCCCGAACGGGTTGTGCTCGAAAGACATGGATGGAAGCTATATGGCTGCAGCTTCTTGCTTGTTGCTACCCTTGTCACTCTACTCGGCTCGATCATCTCCCCTCTCCAGTCGATCCTTGTCAAGTCTGAGACTGTGAAAGCCCCAACGGAAGGAACTCACCAACTTCGAATCACGTCGAGGTTGTCTGGTCTTCATGACATATTTTAAGCCCAATTGTCCAATGGATACCACACTGGGCCCAAGCAACAATATGCACGGAGAAATCTGTTGCCAAGGTGAAATAAATTCGACTTTCCAAGTGTCGCTCAAGGTGCGATGGTAGCAACTACTATGTCAGTTACAGCAAAAACAACACCATCGATAAATATTATCAAAATTTGACCTGGTATTTGGAGATGTGTATGCCGGGAAACACCAGTGCATAACTTGGAGTAAGACCTTCAGCAAACCAAAGCTCTCTGAGGAGCTTTTCATGCTACGGCGAGAACTATACCACCCTTGCAGACGGGTATCACTACCATATCACATTAGATATCACTGCGGGGTACTTCGAATCTCCTAACTACATGAACAATGGTGTGGTAGACCCTCTGGGGACAAGAGATCCAAGCCAATAATATCGTGACCATTATGAAACTTGCGAGTGGCAATCTTGGGATACCGCATTTGCTTCCACGTATGATAAAGCCAGTATTCGACGTCATGAGTCCAGCTCGGCAACTACAGATTCATCTGAAGTCGCATTCCAGGAAGCTAATAGATCTCCTGAATGCTGCGAATAAGGTAAATGACGACATAGTTTGGAACGCAGGCTTCATTTCCACCGTTACTGGAGCAAATCTGCAGTCACTAGGGATTCTAGCAAGAACAGGGCACCCCGATGCACAACATGCCTCTTGTAATTGAAAAACTGTGAGATATAGAAGAGATTTCGATACTTTGCTTGTTCAAATAATACTTTATGTAAAGCTTTCCAGGAGTTCTGGGCTTCTAATTGTAGGCTCTTATGTCTATATATGCCTCACAATTCAAGAGCTGTACATAGGGGGTATACGTGAAACCCCCTAATGCCTAATGCCTAATGCCTATTGCCTGTTGCAAATGAGAGGCCCGCCGTTATAAGCAAAATGTCATGACCTCGAGGCGTGTCTAGTGAGAGGCCACTTCCGGGTGTTGAGAACGTTTTAAGCTTCCTGAATACAAAACAGCATTGCTGTAGAGAGCGTTCAAAGGTGAAAAAAAGCCTTGATACTCAATGCGAAATCCATGGTATGTTTTGATTTTTCTAAGAAACTCGTCAAGTGATTATTGGAAGCAAATTAATGCGACGCTAGGAATAATGCTATGGATAGGATAGACAAGTAGCCTCACCGACGCCATGCAAGGTAAAATAAAAAGGCGAAGGCAACTCGCAAACCGAAAAAAAAGGATAAAAAGTCAATCGCCGGCGTGACTTTGTACGTAGTTCGCACGAGAGATAAGTCATTAGATCAAAGAAGAAAGAAAAAAAGAAGAAGAAGAAGAAAAACAGCCAATGCATCGTAGTATGCACCGGATGTAGAGTTGAGGGGATGGCAGATGCATATGAGTGGTGTGAAAAGCCAAGGAGGCATCTGAAGCATAATGCAATAGCACGAATGCAATTAAAAAAATAGTCAATTGAGGACCGATCATTTCACCAGGGTATCCACAGTTCGCGCCCAGCGCGGACCATCTGAGAGATTCATTGAAAAGAGAAACAATTAATAGGAATAGAGCATGTCAAGATCACAGTCTCTGGAAGAACGGGCATGCCTCGATGATTTCTTCATCATCGTTGGCAAAGTCCCATCCCACAATGCGCGGGTCTACACTGGCACAGATGATCTTCCTTGAGTCAAACTGGAGTTTGAAGACCCTTGCAGTGGTCTGGGGCATCAGAGGCGGTCTGCGTGGATGGATGTGGTGGTGGTGGTGATGGGCAGGGTTTGGTGGTTGAGCGTTGGGGACCGCAACAGGCACTGCTGGGACCTGGTTGTTTTGATTGGCAAGTCCAGCTTGCGCGGCGGCATTGGCATTGGCGGTTTGGCCACCAACCTGGGTTCCAGGGAGTGTCATCAAAACTTGTGCTGCTTGCAATTGCTGAGCTTGGGCGGCGACGGTGGTCCGCGCCACTTGACTGAGGTTCGCGCGAGCGGCATTGGCGACTGCATCGTGTTGCTTCAACTGGTGGGCCGGTGTCCATCTGCCTTCGCGGTCCTTGTGCCATATCAGGATTGACTCGTCATAAGACCCTGACACAATGCGGGCCCAGTTGCTGCCTCCACCACCAGGAGGGATCTTGGCTCCCAGTGCAGAGATGTCGCGAGGATCACGCGACCCAGCAGTGTTTGTTTCATAGCCATTGCGTCTTTGCTCCTGGTGACCCAGGTCCACAGCTTGTCCTGCCTCTTGGGCAGCGTAAAAGTCATTTTCCACTGCCTGTGTTTCTTGACGGAGAGTCTCCTCGGCACCTGGAGGATCGCCGAACCCGGCTTGAAGGGTGCGAACAAGGTTGCTGTGGCCTCGCAGGCATGCGACCTCGGCGCCGGAGATGTGGTCATAAATGCGAACGGTGTTATCATTGCTGCCACTGATGATTCTGCGGCTGTCGAATTCGACGCAGGCAATGCCCTTCTCGTGGCCCATCAATGTCTTACTGCAAGCACCAGTACGGATATTCCAGACTTTGATCATGCGATCCCCAGACGCAGTCACAATATCATCACCGTGTATTTGCATCGCATTCACGGCGGCACCATGTCCTTCTATAGTCATAAGCAGCGTATAAGGCTTTAGGGCCTTAATTTGGTCATTGGCAATGCCAGCTTCGATCATGTTGGGTGCAACATCCTTGATATCAATGATATAGGAAGGATATGTGGCTCCAGCTCCGCGGCAGATGTTTGGATAATGCTTGCTGTTTGGTAGGAGATCCCGGCGGTTCCACACCTTGACAGTTCGGTCTTTGGAGCAGGTTACAAGGTACCGGTGATCAAATTTGAGGTTGAGCACGGAGTCAGCGTGCGCTCTGGTGATTTGGTGGAGCATCTCTCCGGTGGAAAATTTCCATATGATGACGGTCCTGTCACTGCTTCCAGAGATGATGATATCTTCCTCGGGACGAGGGTCAAACTGAAGGCAGAGAACCGACTTCACATGTCCCACTAGTGGTGGGTGCCACAATCGCTTTGTGTCTAGATTCCAGACTCGCACAGTCCTGTCTCGACTCCCGCTCACCAGCCACCTCCCTTCAAATTGAATCGCATAGACACACTCTCGGTGAGCCTCGTCTGGGTAGGATGGGTCCGGTAGCTGGAAATTGGTGTATCGGCCATGGTGCCAGTTTGCTTCTAGCCGTCTGCGCTGCTTGTAAAGGTGGGTAAAGTTGACTTTGGCACTGCCGTTGGGAGATCGTAGGAGAAGAGATGATCGTAGAGGTGGGTAGAGTGGTGGAAAGACTTGAGGAAGAGGATTTGGCAATGGCAATTTTGGATTAATGGCAAGCGACTCTGTAGCGCGATCATCATCATCGGTCATAAGGTGATCACCTTCGTCGTCGGCTTCAGGCGCGGGCCCAAATACAGTGGGTCCTTGGTCTTCGGCGGTTCGTGAATCAAGCCAGGTCGGGGGTACACGCTTTTTGTGCTTGGGCTCTTCGAGGTCCGGTTCAGAGTGTCGTAGGCGGGACTTGCGCGTCTGGGGTGAGATGGCCTCGAAATGTTCCTGCTCATACGCACGAATCGCAGGCACATCCATTCGCCAGCCTTCAGATATATAAAGAAACTTCCACAGGCCCGAGTCTAGAATCCGGTCACGCCATGAGCGAGATGCGAGCGAAGCATTCAGGAGCATTCGAGGTTCGAGGTAGGAAAATATCTCCCATGTAATCTCAGGTGGAAGCTTGATCACCGGATCCATGTGAAGAATAGGGTTCAGTCGCTCAACCACTGCGGCAATGCTCGAGGTTCGGAGGGATCGGAGAATACTGTATGCGAGCTCTGGAAGGCGGAGTCAGAAGGGTAACATAAAGCAATAACCAGAAGCGCAGCGCAATGCCCAAACTGAGGCAATCAACATGCAACAAGAAAAGCGGATATCTTACCAGCTCTGCCAGCTTCGCTCTGGGCAAGCACCCAATTTGGAAGCGTCATGACATTGTCCGATCCTAGCTCCTTATCTGCCTGGCTTCTGGTCTCGTCAGAGTAACCTTCATCTAGTTTGAACGAGGGTGACAGGGAAGACACGGGGAATTCGGAGACGGTGGTCTGGAGTCGCAGGGTTTGAGGGATTGGAGCATCGGGCATGGACTCTCCCTCCATTGATGCGGATTTTCAGAGGGGTCTTCGCCGGGAGGAGTCGCCGAAATCAACAGCGCCGCGCGATATCTGCAAAATCCAGGCTGCACAGTGGGTTAAAAAAAAAGGTATAGATCAAAGTCGTGTTTCTTTGTGTGAACGGAAAAAGGATAGGCAAAGGGCAAGGAGGATGGAGAAGTTGAGAGGATCTCGGACTGTACGTCACGGTCACATTAAGATCCACCAACCCGATAGATCGTAATATCGCAAAACCAGAGTTACAACATTACTATATCAAAACAGCACTTCTAAAACTTGAATTTTGATATTGAGTACATCCAACACTCCACGTATTATACTCGAATTACTAATAAACATTCAAAATTACGTAGGCGCGCGGAATGTTTTGCCCCTGCGAGTCACGTGGTTCAAGTTATAGCATACTCGTCGTGTGTTATTAACTCCGTATATAGATCGCATTTCGTACATATGTAGTTTTATATGGGCTTTGATGTGAATGGGATACATTGTAAACCTCGGTATTCAGATAGCAGTAATCAATGTTTATTCCCAATGGTAATGATGTTGATTATTATATGTATTAAATGTGTATATAGTAGCAAACCGTTGGTAAACGTACATGTACTTACATGTTCTCTATAGTAACTGGTGGACTAAATGGGTACCTACATACGTAGGAAAATACATCCAGATGCCTCGGACCTCTAGATTGTTGAATTCATCCATCATCTCATCTAAGATTCCCCTCAATCTACCCTGCATAGTTAGGGGGCCCATGGCTATGGTTTAGGCGCACTCTATATCTGTTAAGGCTTAAACCCCCCATAAGTATATAGTTTGATTAATTTCCTTGATTTTAAGTATTAAGATTTTGTGCAATTTTCAAATCAAAGATCAATAGATCACAAATTACATGTAACAGATCAGAATAGAACAATATAAAAATACATTCAAAGACCAAAAGCCCCCAAGTAATCAAAAATGCCCCTCTCCACATCCCACCGCCCGACGGAACACACGCTAAACCCCTTGAAGAGGCAATTAGGCGGACACCTTATAATTTAGGTGTTTATTTGAACACACTCCTTCGGCTCACCCGCTCTCCTTTCCTCCTTCATCAGCAGAAAGCGTTCATCTGTTGCCTCGTTTTGTTTCTTTGATCTCATCAGCTCTTCGGGGCCTTGTTTTTCAGTTTCATATTTCCTTGCCGTGCAACTTCGTTTTTCCCTCCTCCGTGAGACATTACCTTGAGTCCAAGTGACTGGCGGTATTTCGCAAGGTGTTCCTCCGAACTTACTTTCACTGAGTTGGCTCGCTTGCCCGGCTGCAGCGACCACTTGAATACTCGAATTCCCAAGCCCCATCGATTGGGGTCGGCTGCAGGTCGGAATATATTCCTCGAGCCCCTCTGCTCTCAGGCGAACGGTGTCTATCTCATACTTGATATCCCGCCCTGTTGCTTGGAGACATATCTATAAACATATATTCACTATCTGTTGGCATTATTCCTAGGGATTTGCCCACGAATACGCAATCCCAACTCTTGCGACTGGCTCTAATTACTTGTCTCGGATTTCGAAACTTTGTTAAACTTGCGACGTGCAGATTACACCCACCCGGGGAATCCATGATCGTCATCTCCCCTCTCCGGACGCTCGTCGATACCTCCGAACCCAACCCTTTCGGGTCTGCTGTGCAGATTTTAAATTGAGCCTGGCTGGTCTATCTCATCTACATTTGACCGAAGAATTTGGATATGATTGACTCCGCAACGATGAGCGGCGCTCCGGTAGCCGAGGACAACATTATCAATCGGCGCGGTGGAGAGTCGATCTATCAAAGTTGTGTCAATTTGAGGCGGAGACTGTCCGAGGTCCCAAACTTTGAGCCATACCTGCGAGAAATGGACGAAGATGATGCGTTAAGAGGGAACACAGATCCGGTGTCTTCTTTGTGGAATTGTCTCCGGAACGGATACCCGCTGTTGAGCATTTATAATGCATCTGGTCCCGAGGACAAATTGGAAATTGATCCTGGCAAGGTGACGGAGGCGAAGCGTCCTAAGGCGGCAACCTTCAAGTTCCTGCAGGCCTGCCTACAGGATCTGGCATTTCCTCAGCAAGACTGCTTCCTGATCACTGACCTGTATGGCGAGAGCACAACAGGGTTCATCAAGGTAATCAAAATGGTCAATCGGGTGGTGGATATCCTTGAGATGCAAGGCCAATTGAAGGAATCCGAAGTTGCAGAGACACCCACAGGGACAAAGGCCCACGTGAAGCTTACCAAGCGAGAGCATATTCTGAAGGAACTTTTGGAGACGGAGCGTGACTATGTTCATCACCTGCAAAATCTTCAAGCGCTCAAGAAGGAACTGGAGGAGACAGGTGCTTTGACAGGCGACGCGAGTCATCAGATTTTCCTCAATTTGAACAATCTGCTGGACTTCGCTCAACGATTCTTGATTCGCATGGAACAACACTATGCCCTCCCCGAAGAAATGCAGAACTGGGGTCAGCTATTCTTCTCGCACGAAGATGCCTTCCGGCAGTACGAACCTTTCATCGCCAACCAGATGCGTTGTGATGAAGTTTGTATGCAGGAATGGGACAAAATTGCGAGTGCGCCTCGCCATGTGGACCTACAACAGATGGTTGCGCAGCCAAAAACACTGAACGGGTTCTTCGTGAAACCTTTCCAGCGCTTGACTCGATACCCGCTGATGCTCTCGGTAAGAATTCTTACGGACAATGCATTGTAGATCGACGAACTGATGGCCATTCATAGGAGCTACGCAAGCAATTAGAAGACGAGCAACTCCAGACTGATATCACTCATGCAATTGACTGTATTCAGGTTGTGCTGGACTATGCAAATGAAGCCATCCACAAAGAGCATTTGGCCGCCGCGGTGGTTGATCTTTCCGAACGCGTGGATGACTGGAAGGCATTGAAAATGGATACCTTTGGAACTCTCCTCCGGTTTGGCACATTCCAAGTTGTGAAGGGAGACAGTGGAAAGGATAGTGAAAGAGAGGTATGCCTTTCCATTTTTTTTTTGCCTTTGTGAGGACATTTCGCTGACGTTGTCCTTAGTATCATATTTACCTGTTCGAGCGAATTCTTCTCTGTTGCAAAGATATCAATCCCAACAAGCAAAAGACAAAACTTATGATGCAGAAAGACAAGTCATCTTTGAACGCGAAAGGAAAGGCTCGTCTTCAATTGAAGGGCAGGATTTACATGGCCAATGTCACAGAGATCGTCTGCCTTCAAAAGCCTGGTGAGCATTTTCATCTCATGGTATTGAGAATCAAACATATTCTAATGTCTACCTACAGGTCTCTATCGTATTCAAATCTTCTGGAAGGGAGATCCGGGAGTGGTCGATAATTTCATCATTCGTTATGTAAACGAAGATGCCATGCGCAATTGGTACAAGGACATCGATACTCAGCGCCAAATCCAGGTAGAGCGACGCACTTTGCGCAATACTGGTACATCTGACAGCGAATTTACATACATGGAGGGCATGGCTAACATGCCTAACCCCTACCAACAAGAGTATGATACCGAGGACCCCAGCAAGGATCCGTACCGTTCCGAATTCCCCATGAGTCGGAATGCGTCCAGCACCAGCCTCAGGACTCGATCTGCCACAGGTGGTAGTACTAACTCTTTCCCTAACCCCAACGGTCGACCGCGCTACGCAGGCACTGACTCAACGCTCTCGGTGCACACTCAATTCTCTGGAAACGGAAATATGTCACCCAGTGATCGAAACGCAAACTCCTACTTTTCCCCTGCAGAGACTCCATCTACGCGGTCGAGTTCTCAATCTGGATTTTCCTTTAGCCGCCAGAATACCCATTCTACAGGCGCATCAACAGTCTGGAACGAGGAGTCATCAAATCGATACACGGCACCAGCATTGTCTCGTGTGGCATCGCGAGAAGGCTCAACCTCTGGGGGATATTTCCCGCCCCCAGCTAACGGACGAGCCGCTCAGCGTCCGTCTTTGCCGCCGCTCTCGGCCTCTCAGTCGGCTCACTCTGCGCATGTCACGGCTCGGATGCGATCGGCCAGTAGCCCCGACATTCACCATCACAATAACAATCCCCCGGAGTCACGTCGTTACATGGGAGTGCACACGATGCAAACCGTTGATAATGTCCCCGTGCCACCAATTCCCGCGCACATGGCCAACATGAAAGCGCCTATCAGCCGTAGCCAGAACGGTTCGCCCATCAGCCAACTTCCCCTTCGCACCCAGCCAACACTCCACACCACGCATTTCAACGAGCCGGAATATAATGAAACTCGCAACTCTGGACAACTCTCCGATCATGCAACATCACCCCTGACCCAAGAGCCAGAGGGGGACCAATACATGCCCACTCAACTCAAGGCTAAGGTGAATTTTGAGGACAACTACGTCACCCTGGTGATTGCGACCAACATCCTGTTCCGTTCGTTGACGGACCGCGTGGATGCCAAGCTAGCTCGGTTCACCGATCGATCCATCGGAAACAAAACCGTTCGCTTGCGCTACCGTGATGAAGATGGTGATTTCGTGACGATTGATAGTGACGAGGCAGTCCAGCTCGCCTTTCTGGAGTGGAGGGAGCAACATCGCGATATGCTTGCCAAGGGATTGGTGGGAGAGATCCAACTCTACTGTCAAGTTGTTGACTAGATCATTGTCATTTCTTTTTGCGCTTCTTGAATTAATACCCAACTTACTCCCTGCGACCATTCCATCGATCCCCAACGATCTGCATCACCTGTGATACTCGCCCTCCTATCCCCGTCCCTAACTGGATTGGCTTGAGACTGTTGAGCAGCCGTTCTCGGGGGAGATACTTCTTTCTATCTCCCTTTTTTCTTTGTGACTTTCAGCGAGCTACATGGCAAGCAGTGAGTCGAATTGTGGCGTCTCGGCGCGAGCATCTGCATAATGATTTGTTTACGGCATGAATGAGATATGGCGACGTGAAGGGAATTTCCCTGCATACTTGAATTTGCGTTTCCATTTGCTGGAAGTTATCTTTCTTTTCTTCTTCTGACTGATCTATCAGTATCCTCACTATCCACGAACGTATGAAGCACTTTGATATGATGTACATGCATATTTGATGTAATTTTTTGGTTATACACAAGACTTTTAACTCCGTATCCACTTCGGGATGCCGTTTCGGGTTTCTCCAGATGTCGGATTGCCGATATGTTGGTAGGTGTCTCACGGTAACCCTATTTAGCTATTTAGCTATCTATTTGTAGCTACATACATAGAGCTAAGTTGTAGATCTACTAAACTCGGTTCTACGTTTATCAACTTTAGAATCAGTCGGTGAACTCGGCGGAGTTGATAGCTTCAATAGTTTCAAATAAGGGGCAAAAGATCCAAAAATAAATAAACACCTCATATATCTCAACTATGATGATCAGTTGCGGTATTAATGTTGTTCCAAATCAAGCATCTTATGGAGAGTTGGAGAATTGGTTTGGCGCGTAAACTGAAGTCGGTGATTTCGTCGAATCGTTGTACGGGATTTTGTTGGCCAGGCGTCATTCCTTTTTTTCTTACTCCGTATAAAAATCAGAGAAAAAGACAGTGGACACGAAGAATTAAAACTTGGCTTTTTGCCCCTCTTTCACATTTTCTTCTTTTTTTTTTCTCTCGTTTTTGTATATAAACCCTTTGGACTTTCTATACGGTCATTTTACAAGCCATAAATAAATCGGAAGCCAAGAATGTCGTTCTCCGGCCGCCGCCTAAGTCTCCTGCGCCCATCTGATAATCGCCGCTTTTCGGCCGCAAAGGACCTATCCACCAACGGTGCGTGCATATATTACGTTGCATGCGATAACAACATTGTATCCTAACCATAACTAGAGCTTCACTCTGAGACCCATCGGCAATTCCGAGCTGCCCACGAAGGCCATCGTCCCCACGCCGGTCTTGACGCCTCTCGTGCTTCCACTGGTGTCGTCTGGTGCACAGAGCGAGCCAGCGAACATGGCTATGCCGAAGATCCCTCCGGTTGGGCCAACCTAGGCCAGGGTGCCCCCGAGGCCGACGATGAGATCGAGGGAAGCTTCCCCGTCCGACGTCAATCCCCATCACCTCCGCCGCTCGAGAGTATGGCCCGACCGCCGGTATCAAGCCCTTGCGTGCTGCCGTCGCTCGTCTATATAACGACCACTACCGTCAGGGCAAGGAGAGCCAATACACCTGGGAGAATGTCTGCATTGTGCCCGGTGGCCGCGCGGGTCTGATCCGTATTGCTGCCATTTTGGGTAACTCATACCTGTCTTTCCCCATCCCCGACTACTCCGCGTACTCGGAGATGCTGAGTCTGTTCAAAAACGTGAGTGTGATGAGCTTAAAGATGGTTTGCATCCGAACTGACCTAATCCCAGATTGCTCCTATCCCCATGCCTCTCTCCGCAGATGACCACTACCACATCCACCCCGATAAGATCGCAGAGGAAATCGCCCGTGGCACCCAGGTCCTGTTGACCTCCAACCCTCGTAACCCCACGGGCCACTTCGTGCCGCCAGAGGAGCTCGCCGAGATCCAAGATCTCTGCCGTGACCGCGCAACCCTCATCTTGGATGAATTCTACGGCGGATACAACTACACAACCGACTGCGATGGAACAACAATCAGTGGTGCGGCGAACGTCGTCGATGTCGACAAGGATGGTATGACACGCCCCAAATTCTCAATTTACAATTGCTCACTGAACTAGATGTCCTGCTCATCGACGGTATGACCAAGCGATTCCGTCTACCAGGCTGGCGTATCGCGTGGGTCGTCGGACCCAAGGAATTCGTCAACGCCCTCGGTTCCGCGGGCTCATACCTCGACGGCGGTGCCAACGTTCCCTTCCAAGAAGCCGCGATTCCCATGCTCGACCCAAAGCTGGTTCACACGGAGATGGCGGCGTTGCAAAAGCACTTCATCGAGAAGCGCGACTACGTCCTGAAGCGTTTGCACGAGATTGGATTCCGCGTGCAGGACGTCCCCCAGGCGACCTTCTACGTCTGGCTGGATTTGACTTCGCTCGACCCCCCTCTGCCTCCCCAGGCTAACATCTCTGATGGACTGAACTTCTTCAATGCCCTCTTGACTGAGAAGGTCATTGTTGTGCCGGGTATCTTCTTCGACCTGAACCCGGCTAAGCGTCGTGATCTGTTCGACAGCCCTTGCCACCACTTTGTGCGTCTGAGCTACGGGCCCAAGATGGATGTTCTGAAGATGGGTCTTGATGGTATTGAGCGTGTTATTAACCGTGCGCGTGAGCTCGGCGTATCGAAGTGGGAGGATGAGGTTGCTGTCGCAGACGATTAGACGTGGGCTTTGATTGGCATCTAAGCAACCGATCGAGAGTTAGATTGAGCTGTGAGTCAGCTCCTTTTTTAGAACGTAGCGTGCGTGCCTTATAAGAACATATTTTGGATTGCCATATTGGTACTTGTCTAGATGTGTAGAAGCAGGAGCTGAGCAACAACATTCTTGAGGAGACGTTTAGATCTGTGGAGTCCGAGGCCTTCGTTGCATATGTACCTGCATAAGACATTGCGATTTATTAGATTTTGATACTGTATTCAACAGTCGAGGACCAGACATCCGCTGGAAGCCCAATATCTGATTGACCTCTATCAACACTCGACCTAACTACCTTAGTACTCTCTACTGTGCATATGTTCTTTGTTGCTGCTGTTCAGCCTATCTATCTGACATTGCTCAAATCCCCGACTTTGTCCCGCACAGAGCTCTTGAGACTAAACTCTGGTCGGTTCCCACTGCCGCTATCAACCTGCCTGAAGCAGTATCCCGAGCAATGTCATAGCTAGACCTAGAGAGGGACTTGTTACATTATAGTAGCACCAAAGGCTTATAAACGCAGCCGTTACCGATTGCAAGTTCCAAGTATACAAGCGTATAAAAATACAGATCAAAATACATATTGAAAATACAGTAATTTGCAAGTATACCAGATTTCGTCTAAACTTTCCCAAACAGGAATAGTATTATCTGGGGAGCCTGGGGCATCCCACGTTCAATATCAGATGGGATGGATTATCATTAGAGAGACTTTGATTGGTACATGTTCTTTCCAATTCAATCTCTTGTCCAACCGTAACGTGTACTACTACCTTATACGATCGCCTCTACAATGTTATACGTTGCACAACTCAGGGGCCGCGTCTCATTAGCGCCAAGTGGATAAACTCGTAAAGACCGATGCTAACTACAGAATGTACACACACAGCCTCGCTCTAATATGCCGATCGAAAGAAACCCCCAAGTTCTAGACCTGACAGTTCGACGGTGGCCAGTCTGAAATGGCCAGCCTAGAGTGGGGGTACACGCCTGATATGCCTACAATAGTGTACTAATTAGCTAGATCTTCGTAACACCGCATGGCCCCAATGTATACTCCGTATACAATGTATGTACAACAAATCAAAGTTTCCCGAGTCACGGAATAAGTTGACTAAGTTGACTATCTTGACCGATCGACCATGTGAGCTAGACAATCAAGGTTTCCCTTCACTATTCCAATCTCCACCTCCTCGGCTGTCGATTGGCGACGGTAATTTTGAATGCAATCTTCGATGTATTGTTGAAACGTACGTACTACAATTTGAGATTGAGTATTTTAATTTTCACTGTTTTTTTTAGACCATCTTTTTCAACCATTTCTGTTCGGCCCAAACCGCAACAACATAATATCATGGAGAACCAGTGTCACTTAACTTGTCGATCGCTCGTATCGAAGTTGCCTTTAGGGGGTTTGGATATGGGATATCACTTTTCTTTTTGCTCTCTGCAGCAGATTTTCTTTCGCCAATATCAATAACCCTTCCAAGGTTTAGGGAGAACCTTGGAAAGACTCAGTGCAAAGGCCATAGAATGATCTGAGTGCGCTCTGCCCCATTCCACAAAGCTTGTTTCTTTGCTAGGATGTCTCTCGGGGAGATCGAGCTAGGCTGAAAGAAGAAATTGGTCTAGGAGAGATTTCATCTCTCTGAAGGGTACGGCGTATTAAATTAAAACTTGGACATTCGGTGTAAATCGGCGTATGATCCACTTGTAGGTTCTACCCGCTTTAAACCATTCCGAATGTAGATTATGCAGGTCTTGTCAGAATCGTATCGAATCTTCTTTTGACAGGTTACATTGTTTCCACTTTATTTTCTTCTAGATCTAAGTGGACATTGTTCCTATAATGTGGTTTCATTAACTATAAACAGTACAGTAGCTTTGATATTGGTAAAACCTCCCCAATAACAGAGAATGAATATTTCCAACTACCGGGTTCTCAAAGTGGACCTGCGGGAAGACTAGTTAGCGTACTCCGCAATATATAATACGGTATAGTCTACATCTATATAATAGTGTACATTATATACAGGTTATACAACAATACAATACTTACTACTCCGTACGGAGTATACATACCGTACAAGTTATATAATATACGATGAGGCTTCCCGTCGCGCACCCACCAGTCTCTGCGCTGTGTACCCCGAAGCTCCCGAATGGCCCAAGCTCCTTCGGGTTGTGGGAATCAAAGCTTGGGATTGGTGACTTTTGTTTGAGAATGACATCTGCCTCAAGTTTGAGATAAATGAGGTATATAACTACAACGATTGTAGGGTGTTTCTCTACTTTGTGCCTAATATATTACTGTATACATATGTACATACGCAGTCATGATTTGTAGCCGATCATTTGACAGATCACTAATTACTTCTTCACCTTTACTTTTTGATCATGACAAAAAAGCAACAAATTCCGGACACTTTCCCGCTAGCTTGCGGTCGCAGTTCGGTACCACATGTCGTGTGACAGATATAACTAACTAATTACTGTAAATACGAAGCGGTCATGAACATGAAGAAAAGCCAAGCAACAGTGACTTAGCCCTTCTCGAACTGTATACCTTTTTGGGCGACATTTAATTCAGAGACAATGTAATGTCTATCATATGGAGACCTGGTCCCATAAAAAAGCACCGAATTCATCAATAACAATAACTAACACAACAGTTCTCCATCCCGCGCCAACGGTAAGCGATAGATTTCGGCGCCTACCAATTAGTGCCCATTAGTTATTGTTAGTGATTTTTAGTGAATCTTTAGCGATCAAATTCTTAACTCCGATACGACACTACCCTCACCTCTGTCGTCATCTCTCACCTTCTTTCTCTCTCCAGGGCTTCCTGTTTCAGAAAATTCCCTCGTCATTTCTCCATTACGTAGAAAATCACCTGCACGTACCTAGGTACGAAGTAGTCAACACTATAATTTCATATTCGTACAAGGGAGATCCCTGATAAATCATCCAACGCATCCATTCGCACTAGTTGGATATGTATCTCCTGTTTCCCGATTTGACCACTCACATAATAGGGGATCTATTCTGCGGCTCCAATTATTCCCTGTTTTCCCCTTGGATCGCCGTTGGAAATATCCCCACATAGACTCGCTTGGAGAAAGCCGTAGGGATCTCGGATGGAACTCATAGCCTGACGGTGAGTGATTGGCCGATCTGACCTTCGAGCGGAAACACTTGCCTGCGCGTATCATGTAGCTCTCTCTCTCTTTGTCTATCTAGGTATTCATGGCTTATCTCGTTATTTTTGACATCACAGGAACTCGCGGCAGATTCGAAAATAGCTGCATGCGTGTACTGTCTCGTATTTGTGTACAATATTCCAAGGTTGCATATACGCTGAAATTCTTTATAGTTACCTGTGGGTACGCACCACATGTTCTAAACGGCCAAGAACAGCCACGCGACTTGAAAAATACTTGGCTTGGGGGCCAAAAAAGTCAACCTCGGTCGCTATATTTTCCAGATCCTCCGAGATCGTGAAATTTCTCTTTAATTTAAAAATAAATTTATACACTTTATGCGTATATAATATAAACTGTAAACATGACGATCGCTGAGCCATTAACCGATTAGCAAGGTTTCATTTCGTTTTCGTCTTTCGCTTTTGACTCCATATCATTTTCATGTTGCATATGAGCGGTAGAAATCAAAACATTTGCTCCAATCAGACATCCGTACGAGCGATTCGTAATTTGGTCTCATTTCCATCCTGACCCCAATGATACATTAGCGTTCCTGAGATGCCTGGAGATCGTCCAAATGGAGCAGCCTGGCAAGCAGCTAGATCCCTTGGTATCGAGCTGCATGCACCACATATACAATATTGTAACTATATGGTTGTTGTTGTAGTTGCCTCGAAACTCTATGGCGGAAAAAGTGAGCCATTTGAGTCAGGATCATCACAGGCGTCCATTTGTCTTTACCGAATGAACTATATATCGATGTCTAGGCGGCTGATTTGAAGGGGGCGGGCCACTGTCACAGGCGCCACTTTATGATTTGCCGGAGGGATTGGAGGAATTCAGGAACTTGTCAGCCACCATTCACAGTGGCTGTTACTAACCATCATAGGTAGTGGTAGTAGTAGTAGTGGTCGGAATGTCCGATGGCGGTCAAGATCGTAAAGCTCGAAGCGAGATGAGCAGATAAAGCGAAATGAATTCACAAGGATCCATATCGAGAGGTATCAACTGGTTCTAAAATATACTCAAGCCGCATAACGCTTAAGACTGTGACTTGCATGCGGGGAGCTTTCTCAGCCCCGGCCCCCTTATAGGGACGTTTTATGAAGCACTCGTGGGTCACAACTGTAAAGAGACCTATCCTTGGGGCCGACCAAACATATTCGCTCAAGGTAGCCATTTTTATCTATCCACTCACGTAGGGCGCAGGTACTGCGTATGTAGTCTAGCCAAGCTTCCCAGTACACTAGGAGAATAGCAACACCGACAACCCGGGTCTTCCGAGTCCAGTTATCCTCCGGTGCTTTCTATTTTTTGCAGGGGATTAGATTGTGTTTAGATTATGTTGTATTGAATAGGTTTTGGAATCCTTGAGGCAGCGGGATCTACCGGCCCCTCTCCATTATTTCATCCGCACTCACCGGGTCGAACTCTCCACTCTGGGCAGTTACCCCTGTATGGATCTGCGTCGTCCACGAAAGCTAGTCCGTTGCTCGGCAGGACCAAGCCGCAAGTCCGGAGACTCCGCGTTAAGCCGCAGGTACTACTCTCAACATTTATTTTTTGGGAGTGAAATGGTTGAGCGGCGAAAGCAAAACCATCGTCAATCGCTTCTCGCCTCTGCAGTAATAATAGGCCAGATAACAAAAATTTCACTGGAACACCTAGTGAACGGATATATTCTCCGTTCGCACTTGGTTGACAGCCTAAAGAAACCTTCTAAAAAAAAATCTAAAAAACCGGTTATCGGCTGCATGATTTAGTAGAATGAAACTCGATATCATTAAGCCAGTAACAAGTCTGCACTCAACGGGCGTATCCCCTCCTACTTCTGTTTTATTTAGTCAAATTTAATTTGTGTCGAGTGTATGATTGAAAGGTCATTCATAGTTTATCGCCCCTAGTTACTCGCTCTCTTCTTACTGGTTGAGACAGTCAATGCGAAATTATTCAACAGGTACCTAATCTATCCCCCGTCTACATAATGTACGCAAACCTACACACCTTCGTAGATGGCGCAGGAGTGTCTCAAAAGGTGGGTTAGAACGTCCCCTGACTGGATCAGAAAAACCCTAGAACGAATAAAAAAATCTTCCAGTTTGCCACAAGCCTTTTGAAGAGACATGTACATGTACACTGAGTGTCCACTCGGAGTAGAGTTACTTCAGTTGTCTGATTTGCTACTAGTGGCGATGTGTTTTGGCCAGAGTGCAACATTCCTGCTACTGTCGATCAACGGTTACTCAATATGCAGCAAAGGAACCTAGTCCATATTGATAAACTAACCTGGTAGAGATCCTGACTGGGATTAAAGCAACCAGGATTGTTCTAGGTACATGTTAGGCATGTGTGTTTTTCCTAGGGAAATGGAATGAAATTGCTGTTGCATCGGCAAGTCGGGAAGACAAGGCGAGAACCTTGCTCTAATTATTACAACTATGAACAATGTTGACACTAGTCAATTGCCCAGGATATACAGAGTAGTTGCTGACTCTTGGAAAGTGACTAGCTCAAGAAAGACTGTTCTCGACCAAACGATTTTTATTTTATTAAATATCCATTTTTTAAAAACAAAACCCCACGCAAGTCATGATTTGTGATTTTAAGTTCTATACTGAATTATTTTACAAAACCTCAAGTCCCATTCCACAGGATAAGCGAAAACGAGCGCGCGAATAAATCGCCCGCGTATCTTTGTTAGCGAGACAAGGGTCGCGCTCCTCTATCCCTTAGCCCTTAGCTTTCGGCGAGCCTTAGAAGGGCCGAAGCCAAAATGGGGCCACCGCGCGTAAAAATGGGAGGCGAAAAAAAGCAACTAAAATCAAAGGGGAAAGAGAGAGAGCAAGTACAAAATATGGGAAATTAATAAGTGACAAACAAAAAAAGCCACGAGTCATGCACGCCATGCATTTTTCGGATCGCGCACCAATCTGGGCATGTTAGTGTATTCCACATATTCAATGGACTAGCTAAACTTGGATAAGAAGGAGAGTGATGGGAAACCTTGAAACGAGTGTAGACACGAGAAATATGCTTGCTAATCATGTCAGACTGCCTAGGTGTCAGATGAGATAATGTAAATAGCACACTGGGTATTTTGTTCTCAGGCTAGGTTCTAGCATGGGCCAATGAGAGAAGAGTTTCCATCGCAGTAATATTCCTTGAAAACAGATAGTAGCAAAGAAAGATGGCTTGTGCTGATATTTCGTATCATCATGGGCATTATCGGAATGATGACCATCCACTCGCTTGGTGAAGGGAAAAAAAAGTAACTTTCTTTGGGAATCTGAAATCTGAAGGGTGAAAATAGACGACCAATCCACGCTGCTGGGAATATAAAAACGAATAAAAGGGAGAAACAATAAGAAAGAAACAACATCCCATGTCAAGTATATCAAGACATCGCAAATAATGAAAACACCTTTGCCTCTCTTTAAAATGACAATATATAGAAGCGTAACATTAGAACATGGCAAGGGGGAATCCATAATGAAAGCGCCCAACAAGCTAAAACAGAAAGGAGTGAATATAAAACCCCAGAGGAAAAACATGCGAATTTCTGACTTGCGATTAAACGCAAACAGTCGAAGGTAGCAAATCGTAACGGGCATTAAACACATTGTAGAGATCTTTCATGCAAAGTCTCTTAGCCTACTCCCAGAAAGCCCCAGTCAGTCCCCTCCGCTTGATTCAACATCCGGGGGCCTGGGGGTTTGTACGCATAGTTTGGATGGTATGAAACCATCATTGGCTGCTCAGGGGGCATCTGCTGCTGTTGTTGCTGCTGCGGCTGCTGCTGCGGCTGACCTTGGAAAGCCGGTTGATCATACGTTGCTGGGACGTAGTTTGTGCGGGGGTTCTGGTCGTAACGCTGTTGTTGCTGCTGTTGCATCATTTGCATGTATTGCTGTTGTTGCTGCTGCTGCTGCTGCTGCTGCTGGTGATGTTGCTGCTGTTGCTGATGCGGGTGAGGGTGGTGTTGTGGGTGTTGCGCGTGTGTCATATGTATCGGAGAGGTGACCGGCACCGGTACATTCTGGGGCAGGATCGTAGGCGCAGCTTCGTGGCCTGGTATGGAGCCCATCGGCACACTTTGTGGTGAATAATACTCATGGTTGGGTGTTGCCGATTGTGGATAATATGCATGTTGGGCCATAATATACTGCTCATTCGGTATTGAAACTGAAATCGGCGTTTGGTGGTAGGAGTGCTCTGAGGTCGCGTCTTCCGAGGATACTCGGGTCTGGCTTCCCGGTGGGTGAGAGCGGTGTTGATGTTTCGTGAGGGTAGTCTTGCGACAGAAGCTGCGTTTTCAACAAAATGATTAGACGATTTCCCCACCGCCCGAGCATCTCATTGCTTACCTTCGTTCGCAAGTTGGTTCGTGACATATATAAGGTCGCTTGCCGGTGTGGATTCGGCGATGGCGGGCCAAACTCGAGGACTTTAGAAGGTATTTTGATTAGTGGGCTGCACATATTATTTCAAAGTTCTTTTTTTTTCTTCAAAGGTGCTTACATCTGAGAAAGCCTTGAGGCAGTCTTCTTGATCACAGACGTGGGGCTTTTCCCCCGTGTGGGTTCTTGCATGTACGGTCAAAGCACTGCGTTGAATGAAGCTCTTGGTGCAGTCTCCGAAATTACAGTGATAGGGTCGCTCATTGGTGTGTATGCGAAAATGACGACAAAGATCTGACTTGCGATTGAAGGACTAATACCAGGTCAGAGAGCGATCGACGGTGCCAAAAGAGCTCAAGGCTTTCAGTACTTACCTTCCCACAAGTCTCCCACGAACAGTTGAAGTCGCGTCCACTACCAGGTGCCATTATTGCGATGTGAATAAGTCAAGAGTAGAATTGGAGAGGAAGAGAAGAAGAGGGGGCGAAAGGATGTAAGCGCATGGGCAATAATAAGGTGTAATAAGACTGGGATGCGAAATTAAATGCTAGCCTGGATGCCGGGATGTTTCCCAGTGCATAATAATATCGAGAGAGAAGAGGAAGAGAGGGGAAAGACACGATGATATACGATAAAGATAAACCAGAAGAGGGGGAGCCTCAAGAGTAATTAATTATTAGAAAATGAAAAATAACGGCGCGGATGGGACCGTAGTGAACATATTATATTATATTATTTTTTATTTTTTATTATTTTTTATAATTTCTTTTATTTGAAATTATTGTTAATTTAGATACATATACGGAGTACATATATAGATATAGTTATATATAACTATATATCATGGAATTATATTATTATACGTACACGCATATATTATTTTTGGTTTTGGAGGTACCAGGTACTACGATCCATGTATTTATTACATACATACATATGTACATATGTATATGTAGTATTGGGAGGGTCCATATTTAGAATTGGGAAATTTACATACTTCGATAATAACCCTGAAATAACACTTTCCATTGCCCACGCTATAGATATTAACATTCACATTTTTGTTCGGAATTTGAGTCAATTACGAATGTGCTACCTCGGAAGTTGGACCATGTAAATTATTTTTAGACCTATTCTAGGCATTGTAGCTTCCAAGTCCTTCAATGTGAAATTGCGATGGCCAAATGGAAAATGAACCCCCACATTACCACGTTTACTTATACCAGCTTTTGAACCGTACTCAAATATACTCAAATATACTAATAACATATAATCGTACCATCGTACCGACTCGTACCAATCCATACCAAAATTCTCCACAGGCCTGACAATACTAGATCAGACTGGGACCGTATTACAATACCAGTAATAAAGTTAGATCCCCCTTTTTTTTTTTGAACGGTCCCAACTTTGTGGATAATCGGGGACCATTGACCGTGTAGTTAATAAACATGACATTCATCCCGAGTAATTCTACAGCGACCAGAAATGGCGGCAAAAAAAGAGAAGGTTACCTCTTGTCCAGAGTGAAAATGGTATTGTTCAGGCTATGATATCATACTATTCCCGCCTGCAGAGAGAGACACGGGTGCTCGGGAATTCGACTCTTGACTTACTTCTAAAAAAGCCAAGCCACCCTAGCCACGGCCGAGCACCTCCGGACAAGTCTCGAAAGCTATGTGAAAGATCTCCGGGAAGTAAAACTGAAGACAAACGAGTGCAAAGTTTCACCTTGTAAAACGAAAGGGTCCAGATGTTCCAACCCCGTTAATATTCCGCGTCCCCGCAAAAAGATAGTCAAAAGTCAAAATGACAATAAAAAATAATATCTAATTGCAAATAGCATATCCTACTCCGTACATTATAAGACAAGAAGTCTATTGGGGAGGGAAAAAGGCAAATTCAGCAGTAAAAGCTGCAAAGATGATATGCGGGACAATACTGCAAGGGATAATTTTTATGACGCAGCATCCAAGTACCTAGGTAGACTCGGGCGAATCTGTATGCCGAGGAGAGAAAAAAGAGAAGAGGATTGTTGAGATTTACGGGAACGGCTTGCCTGTCCACCCCGAACAAGCCAAGGCTCCGGGTCCCATAAGGTTGGGGCTGTTCCCGTCTCTCCACAATTTTCTTTTTTAGAGCCGGGGAGAACAAAAACAAAATAGTGTCTGGAGTAGCAAATGCCGCGGAGATGCACTTACAAAAAACTACAATTGATTCCAATTTCAATATTCGAATTGAGAGCACTTAGGTATGTTGCACCGGTTTCCAAGGTTGATAAACTTCCATTGCTATACCGGGCATTTCATTCGCGGGTATGCAGCCTTGATAAAATAGAGTGCCACATCCTTGGGCTGTGAACAAGGGGGCGCTTCTTCCCTCACCGTATAAACCACGGCAATCATCATAATTGCTTTTGTCTCGACGTAGGTGGGTCGATCATTTTGGTTTTCGGTTTTGTGTCTCTCTTTTTTTGGCTTTTTTCCCCCTTCTTCTTTGTGTGGTGAAAGTCTGTTGATCAGGCAGAAACAATGCATCGTACTTTTGGATTTTCTCTTTCCCTTGGCTTGTTCTGCACATCTTGGCTGGTTATGAAATTCCGGGTGGCAAACCATGTGCCTTGAAGATCGGACAGATACTTAATCGTATCATCACAGGATGGTGGAGATGCTTCGGGTAGCTACGGTTCTTCCGGGATGTCAATTGTAGGCTCAACGGAGACCGGTAGGCTTTGATCTTCACCAAACAAAAAAGAGGGAAAAATAAGTTAAAAGACACACAAGTAGAAAAAAGCTGGGGCGTCTTGGTGGTATTTGCTCCCAAACGTGGCAATCCACTCAACAATCTTAAACGCCGGCGATCGTCTGATCCTATAACCTTATTAGCTCGTAGATATGGACTGTATAACGCCACAAATGAATCAGGTAGGTGGATAAGTAGATAATTCGGGCAAATGTCGACGCCCTGGAGCCTTTACTTTGGTTTGTTTTCGTGATCGCCAAGCCCTATGTACCTAGGTAGAGCTTGATCCATTTACCTACCACAAGGCGATTGTCATTGCCACGGCCTACCTGATCGAGGGAAGTAGACCCCGAGTGATCAAGCCAATAGAGCTTTACTTACGAGATATTTGAACTTTGGATGATGTACCAACTTTGATAATGTACGTCTTTCCGAGTCGGAAGCATGTGTTATTTAGGAAGTTCCATACAACTGCTTCATCGGGAACTATGAATGCAGCCCACCTCAGCCATTGAGGTATTTGAGTATAAATTGGGATAGGAGAATAATCCCAGAAGATAATAATAAGTAATGTCGAAACACATGCGAAACACATGCGAAACAATGTAGTTAGTCATAGATGGTTATGGTTGAAAAGAAAGATACGGTGGAATGTACTTGCACAGCCATAATTATCTCCTTTCTCCGAGTCCAGAGTGCAGAGGGGTTCGAGTCGACACTAGAAAATCTTGGAATAGCCGATCTCACTGCCGATCCAACCCTAGGAGATAAAGTCCGACTATGGCAGAGCTCGCCGTAAATCAACCCCCTAGATGCAGCACGCTAGATGAAACGGTAATCGCTCCGCAAAGCTATGCATGCACGCCTGAGTCGATCAGGTAGATATTTCCGTGAAAACGTATCTACAACAAATAGTCAACTAACTATATTATGCTTGCATGTACGGAGTAGATTTTACAACTCTTAGAAATTCAGACAAGGCAGGCTTGACGCGGAAGCAAGTAAAAGGAAAATCGGTGTGCTCGCATTGCATGACGCGGAAGTTTATTGAGAAAGGGAAAAATAACATGACTTGATTCTTTGCCCAAGGATCTGGTCATTGGGTTTTTTTGTTTTTGTTAACAGCGTACTCCTTAGACGGCCCTTATTTTTTTGAAGTAAACGATTGAACGGATGGGGCGTTTTTAGGCCAAGGATGGAAGTCTTCAAGAGTATCATCTCATTTTCAAGCGAAAAGAGACTTAACTGTGATGAAAGCTGCATGAAGCAAGGACATTTTTCGGAACCAGAGTTGATAACAATGTTAACGCCTCGGTTGTAGATAATTGGATGATTCGGTCAGGAAGCTCTCCAGGGCTTACTACCCCGCAATTTTGGCGATGAGCGACGTTATGACACTGCCCAGCGTGATGAGCTCTCTGATTTGATTCATGCAAGGCGCCCCTTTCCTAAGCCACATAATATAGGTGTTGGTTAAATACGAAGATAAATTGCTATTAATTTATGAAATAAAACATAAAGTAAAATGAAGTAAAAAGATAGAGACCTATGGAGTATATTATGTCAGATTTAATAATACCCTAGAAACAGTGGAGAATCGAAATGTCACCTTTTCTTTACTCACATGGTTGATCATACAAATGCCGAGTATATTTTCTGGTAAATATTTCCCTAGTACGACATACTGCTTCAAAGACAAGCAAAACAGGTATCCTCTTCCCACATGTCCCGAAAAGCCACACGAAATTAATCTCCGAGGCGCGCATGGCGAGGCACTAATGTGACCATCAAGTTCATCGGACTACTGTCTCCCTACGAGCTTTCGACCTGGCAGATCACTTTCGGCTTTTGCTGAACTTTCCGACCAAGGAGAGACATCGTGAATGTGATTATCTTCTCCTTGACTGGCCGGCGATATCGTAGTTTGGTTCATGATCTGACAGTCCATACTACCTATTATGGAATAATCACCAGGTCGGATATCAGATCCTTAGATACATAAACACTAGTCACTGGGATCATATGGGATTCGTCTCCGTGCCAACTTTATCCGTTCACATTGGGTTCTCGAATGTCGGTCAGCGATCGGGATTTGCCTAATCAGCGCTAAGCGACCATCTTACCGGCCAAGGTATTGGGGCTGATGACACTAAATCCACATCCACCCCTTGCAGGCATTGGCTCCTCATATCCGCAATCACCAGGCTTTTGGTTTCTTCTTTTTAGACCAACAGCGCCAGATACTTCCCAAATTGATCGAATAGGACTTACGTGCTTATCATAAGCGGTGGAAATTTGGGACGCCCCCTTGCTCATAATTGTAGAAGCTTGCCCTAAAGAACAACAATCTCTGAGTCTTACCTAAGTAACGATAGAAAGAGAGATCATGCAAATGACGTGAGCTAGGATGACACCCCGTAGACTTCTCAAAGAGAACCCCCCCCCCACTACTCATTGATTGACAACGCGTAAGCGGAGTGCTGGCGTCTCTATCTTTCGAACCGCCTCATCTTTCAAACACGCCTTGTGGGGTCAAGAGGGGAAAGGAAACTAACTGACGGACTTGGCTTCTTTTCGGGCTGCATCATCCCGTTACCAGTCAACTGATTCCGTATTTTCCTTTTCTGGGTTTAATTGACGGGGAATTACCCTGCTCATTGGAGCACACCATGACGTTTGCACATAGCTTCGTGGGTTTCGATGCAGGGCCGGGTCGGCTGTCGGGTAAGCATGCACGCCCTCTACGTGGATGTAGGGAGTAGTTGCCTCGAGAGCCCTCATGTTGTCCTTGCATACCTGTATGCACATTTCCTTGGTTTGAGATACAGTTGAGGAACAGTGTTGTCCAAAAGAGGGGAGACTTAGGTATAAATTGTGGCCCAACGTTGGATCCATCAGTGTTTATGTTGGAAAGCTTTACTTTCCCTTCAGCTAATCCTGTCTTCCTTCTTTGGAGGAGGTATGGGAGCAAAACTGAACCAACCGGGATAGATTCAACTTCAGCAACCCAATAATGACTGCTTATGCAAAATCTGTATACTAAATTTCACTAGACATGAGCCCAGTACATGACCAAATGTCCCGAAATATATATATTCACTAGAGTTACCAACTCCATGACCAAAAATCCATACAAAATCAACTACCAACTTGTCAACCCGCGTTCACGATCAAATCCAGCGCGCAATTGTCGATCAGGCTTAAGCAACTTGCCCTGGAGAACAGTATACTTGATAATGTTCTCACACTCTTCGGGCCGCACACGCGCCAACCAGATACCCTGAGACGCACCTTCGTCCCCACCCTCCTTATCATCCTGCTTGTACCAATCAAAGTTTCGACGACGATAAACAATCACATTTGCAGAGTACTTGTGCCCACCGACATGGCTGATGAAGTAGATACCCACACCGCCAGGCCGCTGGTCGTCCATATCGCGGTACAGACCGAGCGGACGTAGATGGCGCTCGAATTCGCGGCGGAGCAGAGGCGCAGATTGGCCGCAGCGGGCGTCGCGCGTGCGCTGCGAGCAGAGGAGGATCACTGCAGCGTGCGGGCTTGGGTGTGACTTGAGGGATGTGATTGATGTTTTGGTTGGGTGGGGGAGGTCTGCGACTTCCGGCTCTGCTGTGTCTGGGTTCTTGTTTTCTTTCTCAGAGGAGGGTAGTGCGCCCAATGGCGTTGTGGTTGTCAAGGACTGGTTGACGAAGTTCTCAATCAGATCTGGTACCAGCTGTGGGGTGACATGCTCGACGACAGTGAAACTCGGCAGGAGGAGGACGTTTGTTGGCTGTTTCCCGGCGTCGGCCATGTGGTAGTCGTCGGGTACGGGCATGTTAGAAGCGGATAGCTTGAGTCTCTGGAGAATTGTTAGTCTTTGCGAACTTTGCGAGTTGGTTTTGACGGAGATCTAGAGTGGCTTTATCATACCCCATTGCTTGGTTCCAGTCCACCCTTTTCAATCGCTTCCATGACACTCCCTTCCTCGTCTGCCACGTCCCTCACCCAATCTGATTTCCCCGTCGCAACGAGCATATGCGTCGACCAACCCTTGACCTGTCCGTATAGTTCGTCTTGGTGATCAACATCGAATTTGGCGGGGTATTTGACCGTGCATGTTGCGCAGTCATGCAAGCAGTCTTCCCCATCTACGGCAGGGTCGACATTTTCAAAGAGTTTATCACTCGAGGAGACCGTTTGGAATCCTTCTTTAGCGAGGTTGGTGTCGCCCAGAGCGTCGGTGGTGGTGTCGGTCTTGGAAGAAGCGAGTGAGACATTGGAAGAGCTAAAAAGGAGGAAGCTCCACGGCGGAAGAGCTGCATTTTGTAAGTTCGAGCTGCCCCTTCAATTAAAGGTTTGTATGCAAGAAAGGAAGGAAAAATCTGCCACTTTGGCCTTTTTTTCTCTTAATGACGCGTCCGAGCAAACCTATCGATCTTATCAATCATTTTGCAGACGCCAAGATTTCGGAAAGATTTCCGTCTTACTAAGTCCCCCACCAACTTTGGTAGCGCTGGAGCCCTAGAGGTTCCGAGATCAATAAATAGGATTGTTTCTATAGCTAATATACATGTCATGAATGATTTCCATTAATATCTACGGCCAGCATAGTCAAAAGTATACGGCAAATCCGTGGGATCCCGTGGTTGAGCCAGGCGGATAACACTTCCTCCGGAGCTGCCAGATTGGCCCGAACGCACTCGCTGAAGGGAAGCTGTAGATTGCGTGCGAAGAGGGCCTCGTGGCGCGTACCAACTGCCAATCGATAACCCTGAGACAGGAGTTTGCAGCGCAGTATCATACCCGGACTGAGTTTCCCAAGTAGACGCATTGGATGGCCGAAGGCTGTTACTCCGCACATGTTCCGACGCCCCATCGTAACCGTAACGTTCGACGGTATCTGTCTCCCCCTCTTCGTCTGAAGGCCCAATAACAGACTCACTGTAAGCACGTCTGTAGCTTGCGCTGTCGCGGATTTCGTCTATCACCGGCGGGGCAAGGGATGTCATTCCCCTGAGGATCTCGGCGAAAAGATGCATCAAGTCGCGAAATTCTGCCTCGTGGAGCTCCCGTGGCGAGAACCGCGCGCGTTCGTAAAGCGCCAGGAAGTCGGGGCCTAATTCTGGGGGATAAATAGCACCGAGAGACGTCAGGTGTCGGATGTATTCTCTCAGACCCATTGACGCCGGGCGTTGTAAGACCTCTACCACACGTGTATCTGGAAGTGACTGTGTAGTAAGGCCAGAGAGACCGAAAGGATCTGGGAGTCCAGGCGACAATGAATCGGCTGGTGCGAGGGAGACAGCTTTAGCTTCGATCAAGCTGGGCAGCTCCTGGATGACCGTGCGGTACGGTAAATCTGGTAAGTCAGGCGACGCAGGCGAAGACCAGCCTGGATGCTCGACGTGGCCCCACGGAGGTCGCTCAGAATCGATAAGAAGCTGTTCGTAGCTCTGAAAGTTATCCTCATCGGTGGAGACGTCACGCGGGCGGGCTTGGTAGGCGATGACGGCACTACGAGCGAGTCCTTCCTTTACCAGCCGTCTGACGCTCTTTTTCACATCTTCCTTTTCAACGGGGATCCAGGCTTTTGGAATGCCGGTAAGTGCGTTTCGGTTTGTGTAGATTCGCGTCGCGTAGATGAGAGCCGCAATTATAAATGTGACAACATATGCACCGGCGATGAAGAAAATGTTGGTGAGTCGATTTGTCTCGTAGCATTGGTAGATGGCGTCGGCTGGGGTGAGTAGGGTGAGGCAGATAAGGATGAGGGCGAAGAAGGAGAACCCGATGTGGTTGAACAAACGCTCAAGTCTGGCTGCCATGACCAGTACGCCAATTGCGCGGCATGAGCGTAATATTCAGATCTCAGCCATGAGGGAAGAAAGAGAAAGAGAGCTGGAGGAAGCAATTGCGGAGAGCGATAACGATAACCTTTAAAGTTTATCACGTGTTTAATAGTGGTGCTATATTTCGGTGATTTTCATCGTCCGAAGAGGTTATTTTCTTAAAATATCGAGGGGCTGCAAGCTTAAGCATACCTGTTTCGTTGCTAGGAACAATACGAAGCATTTCAGCATCTACTGGACTCAATTGTGGAGCGATTGTATCCCCCAACCCCTATCTCCGATCCCCAGAAAAAAAAGTGCCGAGTCAACAAACTTGCCGCAGCAACTGCCATGGATCAAGATCAGTCTGCCAGTGAGCAGCAAAACATGTTGTATATTCTTGTGACTGGCGCAAACAGGTAAGTTCTCAATTGAGTCATACAATGCCTGTATTGACCCGCGCAGTGGCCTTGGATTCTCTATCTGCTGCCGCCTTGCGGACGAGTTCCTTTCCTCCCACCCCGAAACCGAGTCTTTGACCATAATCTTCACGACAAGAAGCGCGCGCAAAGCCGAAGACACCATCTGCGGACTAAAAGCGCACCTCCGCAAAACCTCCCCCTCAGCCAGCGCCGCAGCCCGCGTCCACTTCACCCCGGAAAGCGTCGACCTCGGAGACCTCGTTTCCGTCCGCAAACTCTCCCACAGGCTCGTCCATACCCTCCCCAGACTCGATGCCATAATTATGAATGCCGGTGTTGGTGGGTGGTCCGGAATCCACTGGCCAAAGGCCATCTGGGGCGTATGCACGGATCTCATTGAACAAGTGACTTGGCCGAACTACAAGCTTGCGCCGACAGGCGTACTCACCGCGAAACAAACAAAGATCGAAGAAGAGCCCGCACTGGGCTCGGTTTTTTGCGCAAATGTCTTCGGTCACTACATGCTTGCACATAATGTGACTCCGTTGCTGAAGCGGGCCCACATCAACGGCCCCGGCCGTGTGGTTTGGGTTTCCAGCATCGAAGGCACTTACAAGCAGTTCAATGTCGACGATATTCAGGGCTTGCGCACTGCTGCCCCATATGAGTCCTCCAAGGCTCTTACAGATATCCTGGCTTTGACTTCTGACCTTCCGAGTACAGCTCCTTGGTCGGTTGAGAGCTTCTTAGAATCTGAAACGGAGCTCAACACACATGCTATTCATACCGATGCTCCTGATTCTTCCCCGCGCACTTATCTCTCTCACCCTGGTATCTGCGCTACGTCTATTATCCCGCTTATTCTTCCTCTGGCCTGGGCCATGGTTGCTGCTTTCTGGATTGCTCGGATATTGGGATCACCATGGCACCCCTTGTCCACTTACCTCGGTGCTTGCGCTCCAGTGTTCCTCGCATTGGCAACACAGGCTAAGTTAGAAGCTGCCGAAGAGCCTTACCACAAGGCTGGGGGCGGGCGAGTGAAATGGGGCTCCTCTTGCACTCGAACTGGGCTGGAAAGCCCCGCTTCCACCGAGGTTGATGGCTGGGGCCATGGTGGTGTTGTCGGCACTCCTGTTGTTGAGGCTGATAGGCTCCAACGTCGCAAGCGTGGCGCCAAATATCTGACCAAGGAACAGAAGGAGGAGTTTGAAGAGCTTGGACGTCAGTGCTGGAAGCAGATGGAGGACTTGAGGGTCCAATGGGATGAGATTCTGGATCAGGCTGAGGCTCGTTCCTAGACGTTCCGAGATTCGTCCTTGTCTCTATCCCTTCTTTTGAGAGTTCCTAACTTGGCTGATTCGTACAGAGCAGAGACACATGATCTATGTAATAAGAAAACAATAGTTAATAATATATGGTATGTGATCTGAAACATTTGTATATATAACCCCAGCCACTTCTCCTCTAAATCGAGGCTTTATCTTGATGATATCTACCTACGTAGTGAACTTGAATAGTTATTGTAGATTGTGTGTTGAAGACTCGTGTTATGGACCAATTGAGTTGTATCTTTTTTTTGTGAATTCCGCCTCCCATTATGTACATCAACAGACTGCTCCACGCCCATGATCTCATTAAAACAGATAGGGCATGATTTCCTTGCCCACCAATTGCCAGATAAAAAAAGTATGAAAAGTATGAAAGGGGAAATAAGGTGGCCAGAGCGCAAGGCAGCGGGAGATGTAGCGACGAAAGCCTCAATGTGTAGCAATAAAACTGGGATAGCTTGAAACAAGATGAACGTAGAAGAAGACTAAAAGGGGTTATTTCTTGCAAAACAGCCGAAATCGCACGCTTTCACCATCTAGGTTTCTAAATGCATGGATCATCGGACGAAGAGAAGGATATTGCGAGGGCGATGAACCGACACGGAAAGGCAAAAGGCAGGCGGACAGCAGAAGAGAAGGTAACGCAGTAAACGACTCCGGTTCTATGCATCAACAAGGGCGGGAAGAAGGATGGTATCGGCACGAGAGTTGAAGGGAGGTATTTCAAATGGCATAGCGACGTGAAGGAAGAGGAAGGTAAAGAAGATTACATGATGATGGCGGGAACTAGAAATATCATTGTTAGTTTGCGAGATCGTAGGCGGGTTTCGGGGGAGCTTACCATCAATGTTCTGCTTGATGCTCTTGTGGGGCAAAATTGAGCCACCGTTGACATACACCTCGTCGGCGATGGTGACATCGTCTCCGAGAACAGTAACGTTCTCAAGACGCGCCCAGCGACCAACAGAGCTGTTCCAGCCGACAATGGTGGACTTGATCCAAGCGTGGTCCTTGACCTTGCAGTTCTCCATGATGACGCAGCGCTGCAGACGGACACCGTCGCCAATCACGACGTTGGGTCCAATCACCACATTGGGTCCGATGCGGCAGTTCTTGCCAATCTTAGCAGAGGGGTCGACCATAACATTTCCGCCGTGGACGTAAGCCTCTGAGTGAGGAGCAAGCATCTTGGGGTTGCGCTTGGCCAAAGAGCTAAGATACAGGCAAGTGCCGGTGAGGAAATCCTTGGGTTGACCGACATCCATCCAGAAGCCTTCGAGATCGAAGGAGTGGAGTTGGCCCTCCTTGCAGATGGCGGGGAAAGTCTCCTGCTCGATAGAGGTCGGGCGGAGCTCAATGCGCTTTAGGACGCTGGGGCTCAGGATGTAAATTCCGGCATTGATACGGTTACCAACGAATTCGACGGGCTTCTCGACAAAACGGTCGATGCGGGAAGCGTGATTGGGCTTGTGGACCACGACTCCGTACTTGGAGGGCTCGTCGACCTTGGTGACCACAATAGTACCCTCGTCGCCATGGGACTTGTGGAATTCTGCAAGTTCCCTAAAGGGGTAGTCGCAGATGACATCGGAGTTGAGGACGAAGAAAGGTGAGTCGTCCTTGCCCAGGATGCTCTCCGCCAGCTTGAGTGGGCCAGCCGTGCCCAACGGTTCGGACTCGACGGAGAACTCAATGTTGACTCCGTATTGCTCCTCGTACTTCTTCAGAGCCGCAACCATCACATCGGGGCGATAGTTGACAGCAAGAACAATATCGGTGACACCTGCAGCAGCCAAGCTCTCGACTTGGTGCAGGATCATAGGCCGGTTTCCGAACTCCACCAGGGGCTTAGGAAGGGTGAGAGTCTAAAAGCAATTGAGGGTTAGTATCGAAAATTGAATTACATTTGAGATATTATTCTCCGATCTCATACAGAGGTAGGGAGATCAACGACTTACCAGAGGACGCAGACGGGTCCCGAAACCTCCAACAAGAATGAGAGCTATAGAGGGTTAGCGGATAGAGCGGGGGAAGCATTGGCACAACACATACCCTTCATGATGAATTGATTAGATAGAAATGAACAAAATTAGAAAGGAAAAAAGTGGGAGGCTCAGTGAGCAAAAGGAGAGAGATACTCTGTATTTAGGGAACACTCTGGCCGTTGATGGATTTATTTTCGTCCAAGTGGGGGCACGTGAGTGGCGGTGATTGGAGGGGGTGCTCTGTTTGCGGGAAAAGGGGGTACTTAAAAAGGTACAGAACTACACACTTTGATTATTACTTGATGATATGTACTCTATACTTTAATTTGTTCGATTGATCGCTGATCATTTCTACATTCTTTACAATATAGAGGGTCAATTGGCCGGAATTTGAAGAATTTCAAGTTCCGAATGCATAAGATCTCCTGAGGTTTAACTTAGACTTGACATGTTCCAACCAATAAATCCAATATTTATCACATGGCCCTGCATCGCAATATTAATGGCGCAGTAAACTAGACCTCATTCCAATGGTAAGATCGGTCATGCGGTGTCGCCCCCTGAAAGTTAGTATTTATTACGTTGTATATGGGTTACGTTGTTGCAGTGGGGGTCTCCTCTCTCTCTCTCCTGTCTCATATCTTATGTGTCAAGATAGCCTTCATCAAAGGTTCTGACTCTACAAACTATCAAAATATATAGAATATAATCTTCAAGATCAAACACTTATTGAAGTATTAAAGATTAAGCATCTCCAGGGCTACTGTGTGTCTGGAGGTAATCCACGTGGAACAGATATTTCACCGCCTGCCGTATCCATCACAAATCGGAGCATCCAGTTCCGTACTCGGCGGACCTTTGAAAGCGGCTGATCTCCGCTACCTTGAAAATGGTTGCCATGATAAAATCCCACTGCATCCGTCACATCCACCGGTTTTCGGTGTAAAAGTTCAACCGTAGTTATCCCTCTGCGTAGGCTTTGTCCATACACCCGGTCTTGGAATGTACTGAGCCCAACGGTACGGAACAGGACAATATCGTGGGGTCGAAGGGACGCCAGAGATCGGCCAAGCCGATCCGTTTCATTGTTCTTGGCAAAATTATGGGGTTTGACCCAAAAATTGACTCCAAACCCAGCTCGCGTCTCATCTCCGACAACAAACTCGAAAATGTGAAATTCGGTATTCCACTGTCGTGTTATCACGCGGCGTGGGGGATGAATTGCCAGGATTGCCACAATCAAATTCACTGTCATTGTTTGCGGTACGATGGATTGGAGGTATCTGGCTGTGGGGAGTTCCTGCAGGTCGCTAAGGGGTCCAGGAATATGTAGTGGCCTAGGGACGTCTTCGTCCAATCCTATGCTGCTATCCTCCAGACTGCTTTCTTGGGTCGAGTCGGCCACGTACACATCCGAAGCAGACACCTCGGAAGTTTCATGAACGGCAAATGAATGGTCGTAGAATTGAGAAAGAATTGAGTCTGCTAAGCTTTCTTCTGGTACAGCTACTTGATGTGAGACAAAGAAAGCTGGATCTTCATGACCTTGGTAAGAAGCATAGCTTTCACCTAGCTTGTCTGTCGGTGCACGCAGTACTCTCCATCTTGCTGGCGATTGATCGAAGGACAACTGACGTGAGCTTTGCATGTTCTCGTCATGAAATGGAGGTATGGGTGTATTGAGAAGCTCGTCTGTCTCCCAGTCCAGACTCGCTGATAATGGGGCTCCCACCAAGAAGATGTTTCGAGACATCACGATTGGATGATCGGAAAGAGGACTGAGATAGTTTTCGGAAAGATCGTGTTAGGCAGGAATGTTCCTGTTCAAGGCTTATCTAAAGCCATCAAGAACCCAATTCTCAAGGTTACTAGATGGTATAAGAAGCTAAAATGTATTCCAAAGCGCATGGGAGCAAGTGTGTAAACATGTAGTTGAAACGTGACATGAGGATGAAGTTATAGAGTTTTATCCGGGCCTGGACCATGGATGAGGGCCTATCAGCGACCATCACGCCTGCGGCGTGAACAATGTTTTTTCTGTAATAGTGCATGCTCACGTCTGTCTTTTGAATTTTGATCGTCATACACATTAGATCATTTTACAGTCAAAACTTCAAAACCTCATGATCCTTGGTTTGATCTATGCCTGCACGTGACCAGACTCACGTGCAGGTATTCACGTGACTATACGGTACCCCATAACGCCATGGATCGCAGTAGCCTTTCGCCGCATCAATAGCGGAGCACCTATCGTTTCCTCTTCATCTACGATCTGCGTCAGCGATGTCATTCTCTTGAATTGAGCCCCAAAGACTCGATTTTCCTCTCAGTTTGTACATTTGACGAGGAGCAGACGCCCATCCTCGCACGCGGCCAGGTGCCGGTGTAAATCGGACAGTCATGGTCTTCCAAGCCCAGTTCACAAGGCCGGTGAGTAAATCCATTCTTCGTCTAGACGTTATTACTAACGATGCTCTATCAGAGCGTTGCTACCGTGGCATCGGATCTCTGGCCTTCAATGACAAGCCTGCTGGCCACTCCTTTCAGGTCGGCCGGTCGAATTCCGGCCAAAACCAACGCCCTTCGGACCACATCATCTATATCTATTCTCGCTGCTCGGTTATACTCGACTTCGACTCCTTTCCGCCTTACCTCTCTACGTGCGGTACCCAAACTCAACGGTCTCTCGAGACTCCAGCAGCAACGATTTTTGTTTGGAGGTTCCTGGCACCATGTGCTAGCCCAGAAGGAAAAGGTCGCGAACAACAGCCCGACCAACGTCGATGCTCAGAATGCTTTTTACACAGCCCTCCTGCGCGCCAAAATGCCCGCTATCGTGATCGAACGACACCGAAGCGGTTACTTTGCGAGTGATATCACAACGGAGTCATTGGTCCAACAAGCCCAGTCCAGCGTCGGTGGCGACGCTTCAGCTTTCAGCGGACCGAACCATAATCTGACACCTGAACAGCTTCAGGCTGTTGGCCAAGCGGTCGCTGCTCGCGCCACTGGTAGTCAAATCGGAATGGGAGGAAAGCAGGGCACTGGTGCCAAGGATGCTCCCCTTTATGTCGTCGTTGACGAGTCTCTGGGAAGCACTGTGTTCCGCTGGGTTAAATTCTTGCTTATCTTCGGCTTTTTTACATATATCTCTCTGGTCACGGTCACTATCCTTGTTGAAACTACTGGTGTCCTGAAGAACGTTCGCGGTGCGCAGGACAAAGAAGCTCAACCGGAGGAACAAACCGCTCGGTTCAGTGATGTTCACGGCTGCGACGAGGCCAAGGACGAGCTGCAGGAGCTGGTAGAATTCCTCCTCAACCCGGAACGTTTCTCTTCCCTCGGTGGTAAGCTGCCCAAGGGTGTTCTCTTGGTCGGTCCTCCCGGCACTGGTAAAACATTGCTTGCGCGAGCTGTTGCTGGCGAAGCCGGTGTTCCCTTCTTCTACATGTCTGGCTCTGAATTCGACGAGGTCTATGTCGGCGTGGGTGCCAAGCGAGTTCGTGACTTGTTCGCCCAGGCCCGTGGCAAGTCTCCCGCTATCATCTTCATTGATGAACTAGATGCCATAGGTGCTAAGCGCAATGAGCGCGATGCTGCCTACGTGAAACAGACGCTCAACCAGCTGCTTACCGAGCTTGATGGATTCTCTCAAAGCACCGGTGTCATCATCATTGGTGCTACCAACTACCCCCAACTGCTTGACAAGGCATTGACTCGCCCTGGTCGTTTCGATCGCCGTGTCGTGGTCGACCTCCCGGATGTCCGTGGCCGTATGGACATTCTGAGACACCACATGAAGACGATTCAGTCCGGTACGGATGTTGACATCGGCGTTATCGCGCGAGGAACTCCAGGCTTCTCTGGTGCTGACCTCGAAAACTTGGTTAACCAAGCTGCCATCCATGCCAGCCGCGACCGCAAGACTAAGGTTGGATCGTTTGACTTTGATTGGGCCAAGGATAAGATCATGATGGGTGCCGAGGCACGCAGTCGTTTCATTCAGGATAAGGACAAGCTTTTGACTGCTTATCATGAAGCTGGTCACGCCCTTGTTGCCCATTTCTCTCCTTCCTCTACCCCACTTTACAAGATTACCATTGTTCCCCGTGGTATGGCCCTTGGTATCACCCACTTCTTGCCTGAAATGGACACTGTTTCAAGGAACTACACCGAATATCTGGCAGATATTGCTGTCTCTATGGGTGGCAAGGCTGCGGAAGAGCTGGTGTTTGGCCACGACAAAGTTACAAGTGGAATCTCCGCTGTATGTTCCTATTCCTATCTCTTTATCTACTCGTTGAGCTCACAATTTTCCAGGACATCCAAAGCGCCACCGAAACAGCATTCACACTGATCACCCGATTCGGATACTCCAAAAAGCTCGGCAACGTCGATCTGTCAACCAACTACGACAGTTTGTCTTCCGAAACCAAGCAAGAAATTGAAGGTGAAGTGCGACGTCTTGTGGAGGAAGCTCGTGACCGGGCGACCGCCATCCTCACCGAGAAACGCAAGGAACTCGAGCTCTTAACAAAGGCTCTAATCGAATACGAGACATTGACGAAGGAGGAAATGGAGATGGTTTTGAAGGGCGAAAAACCCAACAGACTAGAGTCCCTCCCCAGCGCGCCGTTGAAGCTCCCCGAGGCCCTTCGTTCAGCCAATTTCAACCCCTCTGTGGCAGCACGGCCACCCGCGGAGGAATAAGTTATATTCTCTAATCTCTTCTCTTTGTTTCCTACCTTCACGAAACCTTCCTCCCTGTTTCTCCCTCGTGCATTGCCGGGTTCGGCCGTCTATTGAAAATACCATTCTCCTTGATCCTCTCTTCTACACCATGTCTCAGTCAAATCACCCAATGGCGGTTGTCGCAAACTATTGAAACTGAATTTGTCTCTGTACATACTCTCTGTACCTCTATGTTATACAATATTTTCTTGCATTGACTGTATCCATTTCAGTAAGATCTTGGCCTTACACTCGTAATTAATAACGATATCACTAGCTTACGAGAAGGTACGATCCAAATATAGAAACGAACCGACCGGAACCAAACTCCAAAGCTCAAACCCTGGTTTATACCGGGTCGGACCATGACCTCATCAAACGGTTTCCGGGAGAAACACAAGTAGATCAATGCAAGTTTCATCTTTCTCCACTGCCATGATGTCATGTTTCTTGGATGATGTCTGCGTACGCAGGTTTTGTTTTGGCGTTGTGATAGAACTTGTTTTTGAGTGGTCAGGTTGGAGTTGTGGGGGAAGGGGTGAGTAATGCGAGTCTCTAGAATATGTATGCTTTGTATACAATGAAATGAAATGCAGATGGAGACGGAGACATTTATACGGTGCAATTGATGATAGATTTGGATTTTTTTCTTCATTTCTCAAACGGTAGTATGTACACAAATGCCAAGCTGGGTCCAACCATAGGAAGGAAGCAACAGCAGTATGAAAAAGTAAATCCAAGTCCTAGCTCTTCTTGCCCCGAGAATTCATGAAAACCGACATGATGAGGAGGGGGGGCCATCGTGGCTGACACGCCTATTAGGAAGAACTTTCTAATCAAAGATTCTCTAAATATGTATAAATGGAACATTGAGGAAGGAGTGCGTCCAAATGCCCCAAAAAAAGAAAACCCGGGTATGCAAGAGAGAATATGCGCGATGTTCGTATCTTGTAAAACCCCTTTCAATCTCTCGCCCCTGTTCCTCGGTTCGTGTATGTCGTGTGGTATGGTCACAAACTCGGTTGCGGGGTCGATGACAGACCGGCTATGCGGGGTCATCTCAAGGAATATTTATAAATGTTGTTTATTCGTCGTCTTCGTCTTCAGACTCCTTGTTCTCCATCCAGCCGCGCGACATCTCAACGGCTTTAGACCATTTTTTATACATCTTGCCACTGGCTTTGGGGGTCATCGAGGGGGAGAACGAGGCTCGGTTGGCGCGGTTCATATGCTTGAGTTCGGAGAAATCCTTCCAGATGTCAATGGCGAAACCGGCAGCGATGGCGGCACCGAGGGCCGTGGTTTCGTGCATGGAGGGACGTTCGACAGGGATTTGGATGATATCGGCTTGTGTCTAAGGGAGTGCAAATTAGCGCTGATCTGGATCTGGGTTGGAGATAGTTGACGTACCTGCATGCAAATATCGGAGTTACTCATGCCACCGTCCACGGCCAACTCTGTCAGACTCTTGCCACTGTCCATTGCCATGGCGTCGAGAATAGCTTTTGTTTGGAAGCAGGCCGCTTCCATGGTGGCACGGGCAATGTGTCCTTTTTGTGTGTGTGCGGTGATTCCCCCTATGTATGTTAGTTCGGTGAACCAGATGTTAAGTAGACTGGGTGCTGGACTCACAAATAGTTCCCTGAGCATCGTCGATCCAGTAAGGCGCAAATAGACCACTGAAGGCAGTGACGAAAATACAACCTCCGTTATCTGGTACACTGGCGGCCAAATCACTGACCTTCCGTGAGTCGCGGAAGAAGCCCATGTTGTTCATGAGGAAGGAGACACCACTGCCTGCAACGGCTACACTGCCTTCCAAGGCATACACCGCCGGGCGATCACGACCTAATTGGAAGCCCACTGTGCCCAAGAGGCCGTGTTTAGAGATCACAGGCTTGTCGCCGACGTTGTAGAGCAGGAAGCATCCAGTGCCGTAGGTGTTCTTGGCCATGCCTGGAGAGAAGGCACAGTGACCTACCAACGCAGAGGCCTGATCACCCAGACAACTGGTAATGCGGACACCCTGGAGGGGTCCCTCAGCTACCGTGCCGAAGCCTTCAGGATCGGCCGAGGGAAGAATTTCGGGTAGGCGAATCTTGGTTCTGTCGATGTCGAAGAACTTCAACAAGCGATCATCATACTGGAGGGTTTCAAGATTCATGAACATAGTCCGCGACGCATTGGTCACGTCAGTGACTAGACGCTTATTCTGGGGGCCACCGTTGAGGTTGTAAATGAGCCAACTATCGACGGTTCCAAATGCAGCCCGACCGTCATCGTAAGCCGACCTGACGTCAGGAAGATGGTCGAGCATCCATCGTAGGGTGACGGATGAGGGGTATGTAGAGAGGGGTAGGCCGCAAATGTTGACAAGATCGTCGGCACCGGGCTTTTGTTTGAGTTCACGGACCAAGTTGACGGTACGAGTATCAGTCCAAGTGATTGCGTTGTGGAGAGGCTCGCCAGTTTCCCAGTCCCAGACCAAGGCTGTTTCTCGTTGACTGGTGATGCCAATGGCTTCAATGTCGGTTATTTCGTGGCCGAGGGCAAGGAAGGATTTCATAGCCTCTTCAATACAGATATAGACTGATTCAACCAATTCATATGGGTCATGTTCGTGCCATCTGTGGAAGGGGTCAAAACTTTATTCCCTTTCTGGTTGGGATGAATACCTACCCTGGATTTTCATGGATCTGACGGAATTCAGTCTGGTATTTGGCGATCGGAACACCTGTGCAGTCGAAGATGATGAATCGAGTACTCGTTGTACCTTGATCAATGGTGCCAATAAAACGATTCTTCATACGCTCGTCATCTTCTGTGGGTTGCAACAATGAACGATCTCCATGATCTTCTTGCTTTGGTCGGTAATTGAGGTTGAGCGTTTGTTGCTGGCTCTGTTCTTGGTGCTGGTGGACATGCTCTTCTCTTTCAAATTCATGTGGGGGTTCCGAGTCACCATCGATGCTTTCATAGTCCAACTCGAATGGGTTCCGCATCTTGTGATAGGTTGAAAAAAATAGAAACAAAGATGGATTAGGGAACAAAAAGTGTGGGACACGAATTTACGTCCTCAAGATTTAGAGAGGGGAGGAGGGGAACTACGAGGTGGCGGTGTTGGGATACGGGGGACCAGCTCCCGTGGCAGAAAAGTGGACCGTGACGTATCAGTGGCCAGGGCGGTAAAGGGCGGTATAATTATGTGTTGTTCGTGCTTTTTTTTCCCCCTTGGCTCATAGATGTCGAAGTGTGAACTTTTTTGACTTTTGAAGTATTGCCGTGTTGACGTTGGGAAGTCGAAATATAAATAAAAGTGTTCAATAGGAAGAAGAAAAAAAAAGGTCGAAGGATTGAAGTAGGTAATAATAAGTACCAAGAAGGGGAAGAAACAGAAACGGAGCTCTCAAGAAAAAAAAAGTTCGAAGCAGGGCAGACTCTTTATCCAAAGGGGTGGATATAAATGACAAAGTGGGGGTATTCTACACAAATCCGGTTCGGGGGTTTTTTTCTGATCAGAAGACCTCGTCACCTTCCCCCACTATTTCCCCTCGGTTTGGTACGTTGGATAACTGTTGTCTACATATGTATACTTGGTCATTTTGGTTATGTTCTGGAATATAACGGTTGTCATTGATCCTTTTTTATATCAACACTTTTGATACATATGCTATACTCTTTACTTCAACTAAACTTTCTAACTTCACCAAAATACTACCAACCCCAATGTCTTTTTAAGTCTGGGCACTCCACAAGCCCCGTCGATCGTACACATGACACGGTCCGTTTTTCCCCTGTGGTCCCTTAGTCGTTCTAGAACCCCCTTTTTTTAGCCTACATTCTTTGCAGATTAGTTGATTCATTCCTATTCATGGAGAAAATTTCACTATCTGGAAGAATTATTGAATTTTGAAATATAGCCTATGGGGAAGGGGGGGGAAAGAAATTGAGTCTTGAAGTAATCCCCCAAGGCGGGTTCTAGTCGAAGCCAAGAACATTCGAGTGCATGGGGAAACAATATGATCTTGACTCCCTACTTACTGGGCCTCATTCTTATTGATCAAGATCCTTGGCTTAAGCATTGGCATTTAACCTTTTGGTTATCACCGCGAACCAGGTTTCCAATCATATCAATTTTTCATTCGAGATATGACGTTACAACTACCAGGTTCCTTCCCCATGGAGAACCGGTCTTGTCTACTAATCTCACCATCCTATGAGAGACCATAATTTTTTAACGTGGAGAGAAAGAGGGGGGGATCTTGTCAAGCCTGCCAGGGACAGGGACGTGCGAGGGTAGATCACGCGTAGACTCAAAAAAAAAAGGATCTTGAAAGAAAAGAGAGCACAAAAAGCAAAAAGACAAAAGAAAAAAAAAGGAACAAGGGCGATCTATTTGAATTCCAGCATGTTTTCTGGCGCAATCGGGCGTTACTATGTGTGCCTTGTCCTGCAGGTCTCGCTATACCTTCCCCTTCAAGCCCTAATTAAGCGCCTCAATTTTAACATGTGCAATATCCGTACTCCATACATGAGAAGTCTCATACTTTGTACAAAAGTACTCCGTACCATTTTGAGCATATCTAGGGGTGTGTCTATCTACATTCTAGCAGTCAACTAGTCTGTATAGTACAATATTGTAGATCTATAGTTGGCAACTATGTGTTTGGGGTACCCCCTGACGACAACGGGATCCTCAATTTATTCCTTTGTCAACTTCCTTACAGTCGGGTGTGCCTTTCGGCTCCGATCTGCGGCAACCCGGCTTTTTTTAAACCGTGTGACCTTGGTTGCCGATAATTAATTCTCCCCGTACATTATTATTTCCCAGGTGGATCCCTAGGCCCATTGGTACCTGAAGTTCGACAAATGCTGACCAGGAGTGTACTAAGCGTTTCCGCTATAGAAACACTATGAAGATCTGGGGCGAAAGACGCGAGGAACATGAAAATTTGTTCGAGCCACGCTTCCCGCGGAAGATGGCGCCCGGCAGGATAGCCAAGAGCTCGTGCAGACCTGGATAGCCTTGGAGACGTTGAACTACGGCCTGAGAGGTGGTTTAGTATATAAATGTGCCTTTTAGTCTACGTTGTACGAATGGAACGGGCGGGGCGAGCATGTTCCCTTAATAAGCATCTCGACGCATCTGGGCCCTAGTTGTCTGAAACACTGCTAGTACTATAACGTTTTTCACATGCGAGCTGGCCACACAAGCGGGCTGGCCATCTCCAAAAACCATAGTAAAACGGATAAAGTCCAGCTTGATATCTTAACAACCACGTCCTCATTTGTATTTTAATAGTTGCCGATAGCATTCGATAAAAATTTTAAGCAGGTAATATTAATTTAAGTTGATCCAATGGCTATATTACTACGGTAACGAAAACTACAATACTGAGCTCAACTTTGAATATATATCTCAATTATATACTTGTTTAATTTTCCTGAAAATTCTATATATGGCTACTTAGGTAGATAATATATGAGATCCATGTACTATGTTTAAAGGAAATGCTCCTGTAGAACCCTATTGTCAAGATATCGAGTTGTAATTTATCCATTGTACTATGTGTTTTAGAGGTGACCAGCTCGCTTGTGTGACCAGCTCGAATGTGAACTACATTAAGGGATAGTTGCTGATATAGGTGATCTTCAGGTGGCTCTTAGTTTAGTATAACAGATCTCTGGTTATACAATATAGCAACGCAGTACGATTGGCCTATGACCATCATGTTTCTCTTTAAGATTAAACATACGACTGCGGAAGCGTATAAAGGCTAAAGGTTAACTAGATGCTTGATTTTTATAGATTGATGCTTAAATAGTGCGTGAAAATGCCGCCAGTATAAACCGACATAAAACTAAAATACTATAACCAATCCCTTGTTAAGCAAAGTACCAAAGTTCAACAATAAATAAAACTTCGTGAGTTATCAAGTTATTCCTGCCATACAAAATCCTACTAGCTCAAATCCAGATGGTTAGAAAGAACTATCCTGCAAAGGACGGCATTTCTGTAGAGTTGGAAGTGTCGCATTCCAATATACTGAAGTTGTTCCCACCATATAAAGATGCATTCTCATCTCATGACCAGGCGTTGAAGCTATCAATGTAAGGAGACATTTGTGCGGTCACTCTTGGCAACAACGGCTTAGAATAAGTGAATAGAGAGAACTGTGTGTCGGGAATAGCTTCAATGTCATATAGTATGAGAGTTTGCATGGTATAAACATGTGAAAATTTATCAAGGGAAAAGCTTCAATTTACAAAACACGTATACAACGTAGAGCAGTAACCAAGGCGGTTGCAGCATAATAGACTAGTTTCAAGTCAAAAGTCAAGTTATAGCTAAAAATAAGGCATCTGACCTTTGGTCGCTGACTAGTTATACTAACATGAGGCTACAATACTGGCACATATATATTTGAATTTCTTCCATTCAACTCTGATCTGTATACTCGGAGGAAAAACCAAAAGTCATGGTGTTGAAACAATACCTCCCCCAGAGCAAATGCTTTCAACAACAGCTAGATCAGAGAGCGCTTCCCTTAATCCATGTTGGGAATGCGCGGAACTGTGAGAAATTGCCTGAAGAAAAGCCTTGATTTCTTCCTTCATAGCATGACCATCGATGCTTTCTTCCAGCTGCATTTTCCCCTCCAGTTTTAGCGCAATTTTCCCCATGAATTGGTCGGGGAAAGTTGCTTCAGTTGCCATGATTTGAATAGTGAGGGTTCCATCAGTTCCCATAAAGAGGAACTCAGACACTGTTTTGTTTGATGCTAGGCAGATACTAAAGCATCCTTGGGCACCATTGCGGCATTGTAATGCTACATTGATCGTATCCATTGGCGGCAAATGGGTAGCGATCTGCTTCGTGAAACTCTTCGTCTCGGTGATCTCTTGACCAGCAACATGTTGGATCAACGCAACAAAGTGGATTCCTCCATCAAGGATAAAACCTCCTTGATATCCTGGGGGGTTTCGCCATTTTGTCTCATAGAATTTGTTTCCTGGTTTTATTGCAGCCCACACGCGGGCATGTATACCCGTTAGCTCGCCGATGTTTCCAGACTGAATTAGTTGGCGAGCTTTGGAGAGACCGACATTGTAGCGGACTTGCTCACCAACCATGAATACCTGACCCTTGGGGGCGTATTTGGTCTCATATTCGGAGACCAACGCAGCACCGGTCTCGTAGTCTTTGGCAAGAGGCTTCTCACTAAGAACATGCTTCCCCGCAGCGAGGCACTTCCTAACCACGTCTGGCTGAACCAGAATGGGAAGCGAAATTATCACCGCGGCAACATCGGCTCGGTTTAGGAGATTTTCGAGGTTGTTATCCCCACCGTCATCGGAATAGATAGTGATATTCGAGGCATTAGACCCCTGAGACTCAGCTACCTGGAGGAGTGCTTGTGCGGATCTTTTAGAACGGGAGTAGATAGCAACCAAGTTGGCGTGATTGACAATCAATGCCGGAAGATGTTCTGAGGAGGACCGATCAACTAATAGCTCCAAGTAAAATGTTTGTGATTAGGTTTAGGGTTACCTTCGCATGCATGAATACCGGCCCCAATCAATGCGATGCCAGATCCTGTTTCGATCGTCATCTTCAGGTTGTTGCCGGTCAACGCTGGTTCTATTCAAGTTTATAAATGGAATTCAGAAGTAAATTTGTGAAATTCGCATTCTGGCGCTTTCTTATATCTACAATCCCTCATTGAGACTTACCGTGCCCATTGGCCAACTCACTAAAAGATACGTGGCACCATACAATCCCTAACACGTTAGCTCAGGTAGCTAGAGTCATGGGGCTAGTGTAGGCGATCCAATGTGTCCCTGATAATTAGAAGGTAGGCTATGTGTTGCAAGACTATTCCAACCTGCGCCTGCGTGAAAAGCCAAACCTACACAGAGAAAGGAGATGATGGTAAGCAAAATAGTGGATAATTGATGAAACTATCTCAACTACTATGAAGCAAACAAAACAGTATATCCAGCGGTGGGCAGACAGCAAGGACATGAACAGACTATTACATAGTGCGAAGAAAATTGTAAGATATGGTTTAACCCTTTTATTCAATTTGTGGGATACAATGAAAATGCAAATATGATATTTGCTCTCATAGAACGTTCCTAGGTATAATGCGGAGGGATGGATAAATAATGAAGTAAGAACTTCAATGTATCAATCACGCTGAAGCTCGAGTTAAACAATTGGAACACAGAGTCGAACGACATTGCAAACTCATAATAAACCCCTTCCCCATGAGACTTTCTTTGCTATTTTAGAGCACGGCTTGTATAAATGTCCTTTTCAACTTTCTTAGAGATCTCCAGAACTTCCAAGCGCTTCGCAGCCACTTGGTGTGTTAACACCACGTGGATATCTTACTATTAAGATTCGGATCGCCTCAAGTTAGATATCGTCCCTTCTGACGGTTGTATTCGTTTGACATCCTACCTATCGTAGTGCTTACACTGCTTCGTTTCCGAGTGCTCAACCCAAACAACCATACTATCAGGCCTCAGATTTTGTCTACTGCCTCAGCTTGTATCAACAGCTCCTCCAAGGTCGAAAACTTGATTTTACTGAAATATTTGACAAGCTGGCGACGAGTCTTGTCTTCCGGACACGCAGTAGCTCCACTGACCGTCCATTCTTCTGCTTCGGCCAGTCCCAATTGTAAGCTATCTCCATCATCCCGATGCTGTTTCAGCGACTCTTTGATGTCGTTGATAGATCGATAAGTCCGGGAGAAAGGCCGGCCTGCTTGATATTAGCAAATGCAATACATGGATCCAATCTACCTGGAATTACCGTAAAATTCTTCCATTTGCTTGGCTGCCTTGTTAAAAGTACCCCGTTCTCCAGCAATGTAAGTTACTGGCTCCTGTTCATGCGTTTAGTATCACCACAGGGGTTCATTGAGACTAAACATACGTACCCATTGAGGGGCTGCAAGTAGTTCTGCCACTGCCTTTGCAACATCACGCCCACAGGTCCACGTTTGCGGCTCCTCGCCAGTTCCGCGAACACAGTAGCTCCAGGATTTCAAGTCTATGGGAAATTCTCCCGGGAGATGGGTCATATACGACTTGTCTTCTGGAATGAAGTATTCCATGAACCAGCCATGGCAGAACAGGGTCCACTCAATCCCATGAGATTGCTGCAAGATGGTACGGAATGGAGCCCTTGTCTTGCCATATTCGCCGGGTAGATCTGGGAAATCCTCGATATTTCCAGCCCACTCGGACGGAATAAACCGTTTGCACTTGATCGAACGAATGCATGCATTGAGGAACCCTTGATGAAGACTGATATATTGTTCCTCCGGGCATCGAACGAGGGAAATCAGCGCGCTGGATCCGGTTGCATTGAGAATCGAAAGCACAGAGTCTTCACTGTAATCAGTGACCTGAGTGTTGACCTTGGGATTATTGAATGACTTGTTTTTCTGTCGCGAATATCACCGTTGGTCAGGGATGTTTCTTTGAAATGATTCTAGAGGGGACATGTTTACCTGTCTGGTGAGGACGACAACATCATAGCGATTATCCAAAGACAGCTCTTCGCAGAAATACATTCCACAATTGCCAACACCGGCCAGAGCAATTGTCTTCTTTTCTGACATTTTGTGGATTACAGTCTGTATAGCAAATATTGAGTGAAAACGTTGATAATCAAAACAAGTATTGTTCATGGATTCAAGTCATGGGAATAATTCAAATCTATCTCCTGTACCATGAACAGCTTTTTATCTCTCAGTGCGCATGGCAGACTCTGGCATACTAATCTCCACTTTACGTGAAGTGAGAAAAACAGCAAACTCGTCACAAGCGGGGGCCTGCATGCAGCCACTTGGTCTATCGTATCTTTTGGCATAAAAAAAGAATAGACGCTCCGCTTAAAGCGTGTCTTACTTTGATTGGATCGCCACAAAAGCAACAGGGAGAAGTGGCTCCATGTATTCTCTCATGCCGATTCTGGAGGAAGCGGTCCGGGGAAGCGCACCCGGACCAAGTCCACCTTACCACTACAGGGAAGAAGAAGTCTCAGGCCTATTGAAAGCAAGGCACGATATAGGCGGGTACACTACCGGACTTGAGGCCTCGGGATGTTGCCGGAGACTGGGACAAATTTCATGGGGGGGTTAACTTGGATTTGGTGAGAACAAACGGGGTAAGAACTCTCATGGGACTCATTTTCCCACATTCGGTATACATTATCAACAAACACTATGAGCTTTGCGGTATTTTTTAACGTCCGCACATGTCCAAAATTGAGGTAGGGAGCTTGTAGATCATCCAATGGCAGTCTACAGACCAGAAAGTATAGTCAAGGACATGGACTCCATTTACACATAGATAAGATGATATCAACAGAATCAATGAAACTGAGACATAAACAGAACATAGAGAACTCTCAGAAGTCCTCTAGTTTAGCATCCTTCAGCAGCTCCGGATAGAGAACGTAGATTGGATCGAGCTGCTCCACATACCCACAAGCAGGCTCACTCATGTAGTAACCCATAAATTGTTGGGTTTCTCGGTCGTGCTCCTTGACAACTTCCCGAGGAATTGCCAAATATTGATTTTCCTCTTGACGGAGGTAGCCGCGAATTGCAAAAGTCGCAAACGCTAGACGGTACTGGTCTGTGGTAGTGTTTTCTCCACCTCCGTGATAGACCGAAGATAGCATGATGAAGGCATCTCCTTTATCCATCTCCGGAGTGACACAGTCCTTAGCGTTGGGGGATGGTCCTCGTTCTGTACTCCTAAATTGGGCAGTCAAGTCAGCATACAGGACTGGTCATGCCGGGGAACGGACTGTTGTTTAGCTCGGCTTAACCTACCACAGATGACTGCCAGGGATGAACTGCGTCCCTCCGTTCTGTTTAGTGACTTTGCATCCTGCAGCCATCATACCCAGTGAACATTCTCGGGTTCTATCTCGCACATCGTCCCATTCGCTGACTTCAGTCAAAATGTTATGGTTGATATATGAATCACGATGTAATGGTTGTGCCTTGCCACCCGGACCAATTTCAATAGCAGTAGTCGATTGAATGTAAGGCTTTGAAACTGACTCCTTCTGTTTATCTCCCCACCAGAATGTGCTTCTTGTGGTCAAGAAATGGGCACAGACAGCCTGGAACACGGGGTTCATGACCTGGGTCTTTGCGTATGTCGAGCTTTTGGCAAGCAAAGACGAAGCCCGTTTGGTTTCCTCTGTAATAAAAACACACATTTAGCAACTGCCAAAGCTAAAAAGCCCAAAAAAAGCTAGAATAGTGCCTATACTTGGAAAGAAGTCCCCATTCCATTCCGCATCCCCATCAAGCGCTTCTCGCACATCAGCATGGGCCTTGTCTATGTCTTCCGTTGAGACCAAGCCTTTCACCACGATGCCTCCATCACGCTTCATCAAGAACAAAATATCCTCGATCGGGGCGTTGCTTGGAACGTATTGAAGGCCTGGGCCATACTTCTGCGGTATTATTGTCATGGTTCACAGAGTGGAAAACTTGTCTTTGCCGGAGAGCAGGGATGGTTTGGTATTCATATCCTATCCAGCTAGAATGAGGGACCAGCGTAGATCTTTATCGTGTTTTACAGTCGGGTTCAGATACACGTAGGTCCTCCTACAATCGGAATCTGTCGAGGCAGGAAACATGCCCACTATCTCTGGCTGCATATTGACGGCGCGAGTAAAAGAGAGGGAAAAAGCAATTTGTGATACCTAATACATGATGCAAAGCCCAATATCTTTAATTGTTTTCTAACTTGCACACCGCTAGTTAGGTCCGAGACGGGTGCTTTGGTGAGGTTTTACCTCAGGTTACAGCGATAGTCCAGATTAGGAAGCATGATATACCTAGGTACCGAAATTCAATTACGTGCGTCTAGACAGGAAATAGGTACATAGTACATATGTAATCAATTACAGTATCTCAATGTATTGAGTTCCGGGAAATAGAGATCTCTAAGCAAAATTTGTGCCTACATAGTTGTGGACATCTTTGCCGATGCTGTGAAACGTAACCCCTGCAGCCACATTATGCAGACCTCATATTAGCCTTCTAGATTTTGTCTTAGATGGCTGCCTGAGGTAGGCGCTGTCTAGTTCTTTGTGATCTGGAAATTGATTTCAATATCCACCAAATCTGCAAAATTTATGAGAGTACATGGACTGGAGCCATCCACCGCCATTGCATATTTGGCAATCTTGTATCGAGCTAGGATCGTTACTTTACTAGGCTGAGGCCCAACCACCAGCTGAACCCGGAGGCGCCAGCGAATGAAGGGTATGACTTGAGCGGCATTGTTGTCTCGCGGAGTAGAAGAATTGTTGTGTGATTTTTCGAACAACCAGGCTGAACTGATTCAAGAGAAGTTATCGCTGAGGGGTTTGAAGGTCTTGAAGAATTCTTGTCAACAATTGAAAGTATACATTCACCCGGCCGCCAAGGATTTCAGCTCAGAGTTCCTCCAAGTAACAATCATCTTTCTAAGTGCACTATTCTTTGTTCCTCTTCGGGTCATGATTCAATTTCTTTGATCCAGCGCGTGTGTGTTAAGTCACATAGGTCGACCAGGTCCTTGAATATAATTTGTGGAACGTAGGAGTAACTAAGGCTCTATTTTATCCACAACGAGTCCTTTGAAGTTCGCCACCAAATCCTCCCCTGTATTGCCAGGCTTCGCAGCATAAACACCAACCCAACACTTCTCAGTCCCATCCCCAGCAAGTCCCCAGGTCATTTCTCGAATGACTTTGCGCTTCTCCTTTCCGTTCTCGCAGTTTATTTCAAAGACCGACAAGTTCGGTTCCTCGCGAGCCAATTCAATCGTCACCTCACTTCCCTCATTCTCCTTAGTAACCACAAAGCCAGGACTCCAATCCGGCCACTCATCCTTGCCAACTGTACCGATCATCTGTTGACCGTGGATGATTTCAATCCCGGTCTTGATCCATTTGCGGCGTCCATCGGGATAGTAAATCACCATCACTAGGCCAGCTTGGCTGTAAAGCCCCGTCAAGTTGGCAGTCATGGTGACTCTCGCTCGCTTGAATTCAGATAGCAGCATCGATTGGTAGAACATCGGGGCGTTAAAGGAGCATGTTGATGGTGGACACTCCCAGATGTCTGTTGACGAAGGGGCATGGATGGAGAAACCGGAGGCTGCTTGTGAAGGAGTCGGAGGAGTGGCGGTCGAGTGGAGAATCTCCCAGATTGACATCGTGAATACTGGGCTTGAAACAACGAAAAGTATAGTTGGTTGATTAGGGTGTGGGAATGATGCGAACACTTCTGAAAAGTTGATAGTGCGATAGATTGATTTGTGATTTTTTGCCAAAATATTGACGAGCTCATGAGACTGATCTGTTACTAGTGTATACAATCTGCATGAGAGTGGGACATATGCAGTAGTATTACTTTGCATAAGGTGCAGCTGTACGGAGTATTCCCACACTGATCGGGGGTTGCAGGCCATGCTCATGCAGCAACATGTGCTTCGGTCTGCAGGTGGATATGCTTTGCGATTGCCTTGACTTTATCTTTCGATCTATCGTAATTTAGTACGTAAGAGCTGCATCCAACCATCTCAATGATGAAATCACTTTTCATGTAAGCAAATCTACCATGTCAACACTTTCCCCCGCTCCTAAAACATTAACATTGTCCCAACCTTGTTGTTACCCACACATTATCAAGCAAGTACTCCGTACAATCGTTAGAATTGAATCCTAAACAAAAGGAACATGGCTGTGACTCATATTGTCCTGTTCAAATTCAAATCCGCTGTACCTTCCGATGTGATCAGTGATGTATGACTGCTCAGCCACTTTTTGAACGGCCAACTAACAAAACCATCAAGTTGTGTGCCCAAGTTATCCTACTCAAGGACAATTGCCTTAACCCATCGACCAACAAGCCCTATATAAAATCATTTGTGGGTGGCCAGGATCACTCTCCAGAGGGACTACAAGTAAGTTAATTGTCACCCAAGCCCCCACTCCTTCGATTATTGCCTGTCGCTGAACTTCCATTTTTTCATAATAATAGGATGGAATGACCCATGGATTTGTCGCGGTATTTGAAACTCTACAGGACCGCGACTACTATGTCTCTACAGATCCTGTACACTTAGCGCTTGGGAAGAAGCTGGGCGAGGTTCTAGAAAAAGTGCAAGTGATTGACTTTACTAGTAGTGATTGAGAATAAAGAGGCTTGTTCCTTAGTGATCCAAGTAAGTGGTAGTTGACGTGGCCAATGTAGCTGAAGAAAACCATTATATCAAGCACGATAGTTAAATTGATGGGATATGAGGGACAGAAACTCCGCTTTGATTTCAATCTTTAAGGCCTCAAAAGGTCCTGATACAGACAGGGAGAGGCAAGCCAGATAATAATATGCTTCATCGGTTTCAAGTATTATCACCAAATGGTTTCAACTACTACTTTTGTAGCCAAATGGTACCTGGATCCATGGATTGTGTTCGATAGTATTTCTTTTGGAACTGTCTTCCCAATGCCCGTTTCATTTCCATTTGATATACAGAAGTAAACTACGCTGCTATATCAACCCCACTCATCTTCAATTCTGCCTTTGTCTGAAAGTCCGCAAAAATGCTGATTGCCTATCGCGACGCGTCAATACAAAAGAGTAGACAAGAACAGCGGAGATAAGAGGGGGTTACGTACTTGAAAAAGTTTGAACTGCCCGTCTCCACCATCAGTAGCAGCGAACTCCAACCGGTACTTAGCTTCATCTTCGATATACGTACGAGGCTGCTGAGTTGAGGTTGCCAAGGCTTCATCCTTGAACAAGGACCGAGCTTCGAGCTGCGCTTCACTTTCATGCATAGCTGCCAATTTTTCGAGGTCCTCTGGCGGAAGCGTATGGGCTGCAACACCGCTAAGCTGGAGGATCTCGTCAATAGACATACAGCTGCACGCTTTGACACGCGTGGTATGGCCATGTTGCTGGTAGTACTGCTGTGCCTTGACACAGAGATCAACGAGAGGATTGCTGTCTTTGTAACTAGTTGCAGCATTAGCTCGGACTGTCGCTGAAAGAAGATATCATGTCCGGTTCTTTACGTGGAATCAAAGCCAGCTTTCAACTCATGGACGAAGGGAGAGATAGAGGTGCATCCAGCCTCTGCCGCAAGGATTGCTTGTTCCATCGTGAAGACGGTAGTAGCCAGAGTTTTGATCCCGTGTGTCGATAATTCACGGCAGGCTTGAAGACCTTCGAAGGTGGCTGCAACCTTCATTACAACTCGAGACACGTCGATCTGGGGCGAAACAAGCCGAAACAGCCTGTGATAACCTGTAGCTGTGTTATCCACGAATACAAAAGCGGCTATCTAAATAATGGGAGAGGATCGCCTTACGATGTCCAGTAGCAACCACTTTGGCGGTGGAAAACGCATAACTTGGATTGGCCATGACGTGCACTGCACCTTTGATGAAGGGAATAACTCGTACAGCCAGTAGTACGGTCTGCCTAAATGTTAACTAAGACTCTGGAGTGATAGAGACCGAAGGAGGGGGCTCTCACAGCGACTTCAACTTTCAACTCCGATATAGTCACCTCAGGAAACACATCGTGGATCTTTTGACTGACAGCAATGGCTTCCTCGACAATAGAAGCATTCTTGGGATCATGGATTTGAAAGAACACTTCGGCCTATGATTGTAAGCAGGATATTTGGGATGGGCCAAGAGAGTGAGAAACAAACCGGATTCGAGGTTGCATCGTGCCATGGGCCGTCGGGGCCTCCATTTTGAGCAGCTTCATCCAGTGAAATAACAATCAGTCAAGGTCAATATCATGCGATAGTAATGTCCCTACCTTCAAGATCCAAGCTGTCCAGGTCCACCTGGGTTCTGGAGCAAAGATACCGAAGAACGTTCACTTCGCTAGAGCCCATGGTCACTCAGGTATGTATTGTAGACTTTCAAATCGCGAATTGTCGATGTGTCAGATATTGAGTATTCGGTGATTCTAATGAGATCAGGAGACTGGGATAAGAGAATTTGTTCAGTCTACAAATAAAAATCCCGTGCCATGACTTGCAAGCGATGATGAACTTTTGAGAGAATTCACATAGCATGAGCCTGCGTCATTAGGGTCGATTGCCTGCATGCAGCAGATACGAAGGCTAGCTCAACAAAATCCGATAGGTTCAATGTTACGGAACCAATTTCTGTAAGAGAGAGCTTCCCCTGTGTATTGCAGGGATATCTGCTCGAATACGGGTATTGGTTTTTTACTTTTCTGCAAAGCGGACCTGCACCCGGTCTGCACGATATGGTTTCTATCACAGACCTACATGTGTCCTTGGTCCGAGCCAAATGGAGATTTGGATATCGTCATATTGCGTTTTTAGGTATTTACATGTGCATGTGTCAACCACGACCTGTCAACAACTCAGGAGCCCTTGTAATACGGAGCGATAATTGAGATACGATACTTAATGCACGAGATACATATTGATGTTACAGTGATTCAATGTCCCTGGCAGGCTTTGGTTGAAACCAGATCCGCGTTTTGGAGGCCTACTAACGACACTAGCCTTCCTTGTCCCCTTCCTGCATATTGTTACATCTAGTACGGAGAACACACAGCCCGTTCCGAGCAGTGCGATTTGAAATAGATTGAGTCATTGATTGCAATCAGGCACCCGGTCCTGCACACTTGTCGTCTCAAATTTCCAGTTTGAAATTTCTCTGGATATCAGCGGCAAGAAGCTGATGAAACGCCGATCGGGGGTGGTATCCGTCCCACCAGACGCATCCCTCACCGATACATCTGTTATCCGCAAATCCGTATTCTCTGGGGTGGTCTAGGACATCAGTCATGAATGACCATGCATCATAGAGTGCCATGGATGTCTGTTGAGAGTCAATATAAGACTCATGCAAGACATATATCACCATACTAGTTAGAGGATTTCAGTAACGTACATCATGATATTCTCTCGACCATTTGAAGACGGCAACTTGTAGCTGGCGGTTAAACTCGTGTACAACCTTCTGCTGAACATATCTGTGCCAGGGATCTCCTGACAGCATCTGCGGAGTTCTACTCGTAGGCGGCACATTGAGCAACAGGAACCTACGGGCACCGCATCGGTACATCTCATGCAGGAGACGAAAATAGCTTTCCAGGACAATCGGTGTTTTCCCGTAGGGGTCACTGTCGAGGTAACTAAATTGAATACTGCCAATTACCAGCGTTAGCGTGTCAATCTGAATGCATAGATAGATCAACTTACTCATTAATACCTATCCAGATTGCAAACAGGGATGTATTTGAGGTCCATTCTTGGCCAGATGCAAGTGACTCACAGCCACAGTGGGGGGCAAATTCGCGGGAAACCTGATACACCATATCCCCAGGTACGTTGGCCACGATTGTGTTGTTCACTGTTGCGCCGTAAACTGCGAAGTTGTAATTCAGGACTAGCGTATTATTATATTTTGTCGTTAAGTAGCCAACCCAATTGATACCATCCGCTGCAGTGCCTTGCCCTGTGCATTTTAGTTAGTCAAACAAAAAGCGCTTTAGATCTAGAACTTAGCGGCGAATTTACCAAGTTGAGGATTGCCCATTGGGTTGCTAGGAGATGGCTGGACATCAGATGTATCAAAGGAAGTTGTTGTATATGAGTCTCCACTATATAAACAATCAGACAATCCACATAGGGGCTTCGAGTGCGATCATACAACGTGAAAAACGAGATATTCGGCTTTGGAGGTTCCAAGGGGAGGATAGCCATTTTCGATGGCAAAACCCGAGGACTCCACATAGTAGCTGGCTGAAGTTCTAAAGATAGGGCAGCCATTGTGGATGGCAGGATCCAAGGAAGCCACATGTTGGGGCTGCTGTGTATGTTTCGTGCTTGAATACCTGCTGAGACTGCAGATGCAAGTTTCTAGTGGATGTCTGCACTTTTAAGATCCGCGATAAGCAGACTCATGGCTAAGGGGATGTCTCCTGGAAAATATCTTAGATGAAGAGTCTAATGCAAGGGTGACATGCGGAGGATGTTGGCTTTGCTGCTATTGAGGAAAGGCGTCTAGTGTAGAGACCCACATGACAGCCAGCCCCATAACCATAGCGCGTTCTGATAAGATCTACACGAATCATAAAAAGCAACTAATGGTCCTATTTCAATAAATTTCAAAGATCGGCATAATATATCATAGAATTCCAAATTCGGTGCAGGCCAGTAAACAATGAAGCCGATGGATTCAGCTCTTGGTAATATTCCCAATGACCCCAGATGTAGAAGTTTTGAGAACTCAATCAGCAGTCCTTGTAGCTATAATACAATGGTTATTAAATACAAGCTGAGCTCAGCTTTTGATAATAGTCGATCAGTCAATAACTGTACATTCAATATTTACCAGACTTAAATGCTTTTAAATTTAGTGCCACTGGAGAACCTTCCTCGAAAGTATTCTGATATATTCAAATAAAAGACTTCAATAGTAAACAAGCTACGTCGTACAAACAAAGCACTGAAAGGATTACTCCTTGCTTGATGCCCGATGAACGGCCAGCATACTTCCTAGTAGGCGTTCATGCGTCCTCGGTCAGGGCAGCTTTCACCAGACACTCAGCCTTATTCTGGTAATCACAGAAAATAGTGATTGCCTAAGTGGAATCAGCAGGCGGCTCTAACGAATCTCCATTAGGCGGCAGAAATCTTACCTGAGAGAGCTTGAACTGCGCCTTGCCATCGTCAACATGATCGAAATCCAAGCGATATTTGGCTTCGTCATCTTTGTACGAAGGATATGCCAGTTTCTCTTGGAAACTCAACGCGGCCCCAAACAGTGACAGCTCATTCACCTCTATCTCTGATCTGTTGATTGATTTCAAAGCTCGTAAATCATCGGGCACGATGGTGAGAGCATCAACCCCTGCCAATTGCAAAAGCTCATCCACTCCAACAGTTGCGCACGCTTTGACCTTGGTTGGGAGCGACTGCTGGGTATACCACTGCTGCGCTTGCACGCAAATGTCGAGTAGTGGGTTCGAGTCTTCGTAGCTGCGCGGACCCCAGTTAATACAGTACCGGGAATTCAAGATCTCAATCTTACTGTTCATCAAAAAGCGCCTTAAGCTCGTGCACAAACGGGGAGATAGATACACAGCCAACCTCGCCTGCCAGTACTGCTTGCTCCATGGTGAAGAGAGTTGTTCCAAGAACCTTGATGTTACTATATCTCAGTTCCCGACAGGCTTGCAGACCTTCCCAGGTGGCCGGGACCTTCATGACCAGGTGAGATGTGTTAAAAGACGGCTCGATCACCTTGCACAAGTGATGGAGGCCTATTAAATCCGGATCTTCAGCTACTGTGATGCCTGTTGACTTTGGAGATACATACGTTTTCCCGTTTCGATGATCCGTTGCTTCGAGTATGAGTAGCGTGGGTTGGCCATTACATGCATGGCACCATCTACCATCGGCACGAGTTCCATTGCCAGGTAGATGGCCTTTCCTCGAGGTTAGCTTCGCTCACAATAAACCCCATAAGAAACTGGAAAATGCCATACTGCAATTTCGACTGCAAGCTCAGTAAAAGTCACCGAGGGGAATTGTCCATGAATGCTCGCAGCAAGCTTAATAGACCGGCCAAGGAGTTCCTTCCTGCTACTCTTCGCTAGTTCCGTATAGTATTCATACTGATTGAAGCAGATGTTAATATCTCATAGACAGTTCTTGATGCGAGAGACGTACCTGATTGGAGGTGCAGTCGATGCACCCTCCCAGTTCTCTCGCCGCTTCAACGGTTTATTAGCATTATGCTGATGCGGAGAATGCCTTAACTGGCTCTTTTACCATCAATGTCAAAAGTATCCAGGTCCACCTGTGTTTTCGTACGGAGATGGTCCAGCAGATTGACTTCGGGGCACTTCATGATGCGGTACGGAGGTAGAAGCGTAGCTATCTGAAATTGTGTCACTCAATAAGACCTATGGATATTTATAACTGAAAGTCTTGATACTAACAAGAACGGATAAGTCTCCCCATCAGATATTACCCCACGTGATTTTGCCCTTGTTTCACTCATGGGGCACATGTATGCGAGGCTAGTCATGACGACAACACCCATGAATCTTGTTGGAGTAGAGCTATGCAGCTGCGAGTGGACGCACTGTCGAACTGAGCTATACGCATATAGCCCGATGGCCGTCTACAACGTAGCGGTCTGGAGGCGGCCCCCGCATCATTCGCCTGGTTTCCTTTTTACTAGCCCAGTACGAAGTGTATCAAATTTAAGAAAATAAATCGAAATCCTACGTAAAGATCGTAATTTCTCTGAGATATTTTCTGAAGGCATGTGTGTCATATGGAGCTAGCTCTCTCTGCTGTTTGAGTTTGATCTTTTTTAAACTTCAGCCAGCCACCATTTACTGTTTGCCTTCTATTCGTGCCTCGGTAGTCTGCACGGTGGGCTCTGAAAGGAGCCCTTTCCCAACCGATCACCAATGAGTGCAATCTTATTATGTCAGAGTGCAAATTTGTAGCCTTCTATCAGTTGCTTTTACTTATAAATAGAAGGATATCGAAGTATACGGAGTATAGTAACTAATGTCTATTCTTCATTGCGGATCTTTGGAACCCGGAGTGTTGGGTGGGTCCACTAAACAGGCACGGAGCTGAGAAAAAAGCAAAACAAAAATAAGAGCAGATGCAGACAGAAATAGTTCGTATTAAAATTAGAGTTAGAGTCAATTTTTGTTTACTTTCTTTTTCACTTCGTCACATATGTATATGTGTGGGTCAATGATGATCTTGAGATCGGGAGTGGTCCGAGGGCCCAGATGTAGACAACACACTTTTCCTCCGAAGGTACGAGCCGTAAAAGGCCCGTGCAGTGCAGAGAGAATAACTACGTACTTTTTACCTTGTACACCGCAACCGATCTTTCTCCAGGCTTATTCTCAATCGGAAAATCGCGTTTGCAGATCGTGTCATGTTTAAGGGATCATGCCTTCGATACAGTACAGCACCACTACCTGCATATGTATGTAGGTACAGCATAAGGTATATTTTACCGTAGGATTACAAGGACAGGGATGAGGTCTCCCATTGCACTATCGTCATTGGATTTGCTGAAGGTCGGGGAATGTAGGCGACCTGTAATGGACGAATTATCTGTATACAGAAGGGCAAAGCTGTAGACTTGCAAGGTTGTAAGATATGGTACTACGTATAATTAGAAAGAGACTTATCAAAGTGTACAGTGGTGTGTATACTCTAGAATTTTCTCTTCTCTCCATTGAATTCACCGATTGAAGCATGCTTGATCAGTCCTTCTCCTATGACTGCAGAGATGATATCGGTCTCGCCCAGCTTCTACAACAACAGCTGAAGCTGTTCGGCGAGGAGGTTGCAATTGAGAGCGATGGGCGCTCTATCACCTTTCACGAGTTGCACTTGAAAGCATTGGACCTGGTGCACAAAATCCGCAAATATCAGATTCGCCCCGAAGAACCTATTGGCATCCTGACGTCGCGTGGGGCCAGCCATATAATCTCTCAGGTTGCTATTGTGTATGCGGGTGCATCTTGCGTCCCTCTCGATGGCGAGCATTCGGATCAACACCTCGGCAATCTTCTACAGAACCTGGGTGGTTCGATAATATTGACTAGCATGCTGTACCAATCCCGGCTCCCCGAGTTCAAGCACATCGCTGTCACTCCAGTCTCGGAGACGAGTGCTGCCTTGAACACGATTGAGGTTTCCAGAAACGGGCCAATGTCCCGGACTCATCTCTTCCACACCTCTGGATCGACAGGAAAACCCAAAGCGGTGCAAGTATTGGCTGTGGGGCTGGTTAACTTGGTATTTAACGAATTCCAACCGGTGCACCGAGGACATCGCCTCGCCCATGTCTCCCATATTGGATTCGACGTCTCACTGTGGGAAATTTGGTCGGCGCTGTTGCACGGAGCTACATTGGTGGTCTTCGACCGCGGTGACATATTGGACCCTTGGATCTTCACGGAACGGTTAAAAAAAGAAAAAATCGATGTGATGTGGCAGACAACTTCACTGTTGGCCACCGTCGCCTTGACATGCCCCAAGGCCTATTCCAACGTTGATACACTTTTGACTGGCGGAGAAGCAATCAATCTCCAAACTATCCGGGTAATTCTAGCCAACGGCCCACCACGACGCCTTTTCAATGTCTACGGCCCGACGGAACTATCTGTCTTCACTACATATCATCAGGTTTCCGTCGAGGACGTCACCAGCGGCCATATACCGATCGGGAGACCCTTGGGAAACTACGCAGCCTTTGTTGTGGATGATGATCTGCAGCCAGTATCTGATGGTACGGTCGGCGAACTGCTAGTCGGCGGTGCGGGCGTTGCAGCGGGCTATTTCGCTAATCCAGAGAAGACTGCCATGGTATTCGTCAACGTGCCTCATCTCCCTGTTACCTGCAAAATGAGCACAGGCTTGCTCTATCGCACCGGTGACCTGGTGCGAAGGGATAGGGCAGGAATCATTTCCTATGTTGGCCGCGGAGACAACCAGGTAAAAATTCTGGGCCAGCGAGTAGAGCTGGAATCGATTGAAAGGTGCCTCGTGAAGACAATGCTTGTATCCACGGCGGTGGCCATGAAGGTGGAGGCGGAAGACGAAGGAGGCTCCATGCTGCTGGCGTATGTCATCCCAGTCTCGGACAAGATTACCCCCAAGAGATCATTCGGAGCTATCGTGAGCAAGAGCCGCAGATGATGGTCCCGCGACTCAACTTGGTGGGACGTCTTGCGCTCACTCGCAGTGGAAAGATCGACCGAAAAGTTCTTGCCCGGGAGTACAGTGAGCACCTCCAGTCAATGAGAAGCGCGCGTAGCCAGCTCAATATGGCAGACGACGTCGAAAGCCGGCTCCGTACAATATGGCTTGATATCCTGCAAGTTGTGGGGATTAACCTCAAAAGTACTGATGACTTCTTCGCACTTGGCGGTACATCCTTACAAACGGCCCTTCTGGTATCGAAAATCCAGCAGTCATTTGGCGTTGGGATTCGTGTGGCGGCGTTGTTCGAAAAGCCCACGTTAAAAGACATGTGCGATCTAGTGACTGAAGCTCGGAATGGAACACACTTGGCCGACAACACCTCCGATATGGCGATTTGGCTTCAAGACTCTATTCTTGGCAGGGACCTCAGGCCTATCCCTGGCTCGTTGCCCAATTGGAAAGCCAAGCTAGAGGGCCGGGTTTTTGTTACAGGGGTGACTGGCTTTGTTGGTGCATTCTTTCTGGCAGAGCTTGTTGCTATGCCGGAGGTAAATAAAGTCGCGTGTCTGGTACGAGGCCAAGATCAGGCCGAAGCGCTGCTGCGAATTGAGCGATCCCTAGAAAAGTATGGGTTAAGCTTGGGGCCAGTGCAAAAGAGCAAAATCCTCGCTGTTCCCGGGGACTTTGCCCAGGCCGACCTAGGACTGAGTGGGAAGAACTATCGAGCTTGGGCAGAGTGGTCAAGTGTTGTGTTTCACCTGGGCGCACAAGTCGACTTCTTGCAACCTTACTCGAGCCATCGGGCCGCGAATGTATTGGGCACCTTAAATATGATTCGATTTTCCAACACCGAGCGCCCGAAGGCCCTACACTACACATCGAGTATCAGTGCTTTTGGTCCTACGGGGATGGTTATGGGGGCAAATACCCCAATATCGGAGGATGAGAAGCCAGCTGCCCATATCAAGGCCCTCTCATACGACACGGGATATGCGCAGAGCAAGTGCGTAGCCGAAGGAATCGTCTGGGACGCGGTCAAGAATGGGCTGCCAGTAACGATCCACCGCCTGGGGTTCGTGCTAGGGCATAGCAAGACCGGGATAATTAATTCAGGGGACTTCTTTGGCCGAGTGATCCCCGCCTGTATCCGAATGGGCTGCTTCCCACTCCTCCCACGGCAGCGAGAGGACTTTGTTTCCGTGGACTGGGTTGTTTCCACCATTTTACATATTGCATCCAGCCCAGGCAATCATGGCCAGGCCTATAACCTTGTCCAGCCAGATCCTGCCTCCGTCATCAATCTGTCTACCACATTTGACTTGATTGACCAACTCGTTGAGGACCGACGCATGCGAGAAGTCCCATACTCGGACTGGATCCAGGCTCTTTCCCTGAACCCTGATCCCCAGTTGCTTGGTTTGATCCCTATGTTAACGGAAAAGGTCAGAGGGGACCTCACCCGGTGGCAGATGCAGCAAGATATGCCTCTGTTTAGCACAGAGAACCTCCATCGCGCCCTCGCTGGTGCGCCGGACCTGTTGCTTTGCCCCAATCCCTTAACCCTGATTCCAAAATATTTTCGATATTGGTTGCAAGCAGCTAACCTTTGACACTGTTACTTTACCTTCGAGATATTGATTTTGGGTAACATTGAGGGCTACTGCATCAGGATCATGTCACGAAATCCACCTCTGGTGCCCTTTGACTACGATGAGCGTGGTCAACACTTTCTGTGTACTAGACAAAAGGTATATATAGCTCAAGTCAACTTTGATTCGTAATAGGAAAGTCCTCGCCACGCTTCAGGCCGTACAACGTCCAGTAATCGACCCTGTAACCACGTGATTCACCCTGTTCTGTGGCCACTGTACGACCAGGGATTTGTGTTGTGAATTGACAATCTATCAGATGAGGTGTATGGGTCTCAAGGCCGGATCACATTGGAACTCTATGTAGATGGAGTAGAAAATTTCTTTAGCCACAGAAATCTCACATTCAGTCCTCTCCCTTCATGACTCAAGTTCGTCAAAGATCCCGGTATGGGTTATTGGGATCCTTCTCCTCTTCTTCAGCGGACTGAATGGTTCTTTTCACCCGACACGGATTACCATAGGCCACAGAAAAGGGCGGAATACTTTTGGTCACCACGGACCCGGCGCCGATAGTGCAGCCCTCGCCAATGGAAACTCCAGGCAAGATGATGACATTTGCTCCGATCCAACAATCGTTGCCGATGAAGATCGGATGGCCGAACTCGACGAGTTTGCGGCGAGACAGAACACTGGTATCGTGGCCCGCGGACAACAGGCTGACACCGGTGCCGATCATCACTCTGTCGCCAATGACTACGATGCTGGTGTCCAGTACGGTCATGCTGGGGAGCCGAGATTAGCCCTTGATTTCAATCTTCGCGAAATAGAGAAAAGAGAATATGACTGCTTACTTCCAATTAATAAAAGTATCTTTGCCGATGGAAATATTGCACCCATAGTCAGGGAGAAAGGGTGGTTCGATGAAAGTATTGTCTCCGACTTTTCCCAGGAGCTTTCTCAGTAGCTCTAGACGGACGTCGGCTATTTTCGCAGAGTCGACCGTCTTTGTGTCGAGGTTATTGAAGTCGGCTGCGCGACCACGAGCACGATGGCGCGCTTCGATCAAGACCGGTACGAAAGGGTCATAGCTTTCCAGCGTGGTCAGTTAGCTGTAAGCTAAAGAATGTACAACTTGAATATCGAACTGCTCACAGCATGCCTGAGACCATCTTCTCATAATCTTCACACATGGGCGTATCCCGCAGACCCTTCGCCATCTCGATGATATCCGGGCGCTTTTGTTTCGCAGCCACATTATAGCTTGATGGCACAGTCATGTTTGCTAGGATAATATCGAAAATGTCGTTTAGTAGTAAACACTAGGTCAATTTAGCAGGTGGTGAAATAACAACAACAAAAATGAAACGACAAAAGATTGCATCAAGTTTCATGGAATTAAAGTGGGAAGCGGGCAGGTATCGAGCAGTCATCCCGCAGAATAAAACCTCATCACATGCACTTCTGCGTTGTTCCAAAGACCTGCATTAGTAAAGACTGACATGTCCCAGCTACATCTAATATCTATTGTGGAATCAGGCAGTTATTGGCTGAGTGACTCGTACTGAAAACAAGCGGGAATAGGATACTGTATCTCAGTATTGTCATTAACATGTACAACATGGCCCTGCCCGTGCCCCTGCAAATGCCCATCACAGTGCATAAAGCATGAAGTGTGGATTCACAGTCACCGCTTGTTTGTAAATTACATGCATGCAGACCAAGTGCAGTAGAGGTCTTTCTACAAGGGTATTGTTACCACCTATCATAATTGATACATCTACGGAGTACTCCGTAACTGAAAGGCAAACAGGCCCGAACAGTCTTATTCCAGATGCGGAAAAAAAGAGGGGACAGGAAAGAAACCACACAATGAAAGATAAACGAGATTCACTGCACGAAAGATTCTGCCTGGTTTAGTAAATATAAATACGGAATACCTTACCGAGGTAGCTGTGAACGGACGAGCTATCTTTACTGGGTCATATGTTATGATGAAATAAAACAATCAAGCATCAACAATCCTTTTGTTTGTTTTCGGTTATACGGTCATACTCAGTTACTTTATCTCATTTCCCCCCTCACTATCACTCCAAGACATCATGACTGTTACCAAGAATCAAGACCATGTTATCCAGATTGGTACAACACCAACCGTTGACCCAGCAAAGGTAGACGCATGCTCAATTGCCCAAGAATGGATCGAAGGGTTGGAGAGCTACCTGGTGGACAACAACTCCACGCCCCTCTCGGACCTATTTCATCAAGACTCCTGGTGGCGGGACATGCTCGTGATGGCGTGGGACTTTCATACCGTCAAGGGCCTCGCCCGCATTGAGCCATTTGTCAGTCAGAAACAGCCCAGGGTGCAGCTGAGCCAACTTCGTCTTCAAAGAGAAAACAAAGGACAGCCGGCAATTGACATGCCTGTCCAAGGAGTAACCTGGATAACCTCGATGTTTTTCTTTGAAACCCGGGTTGGTCGCGGTAGTGGAGTCATTTATCTCACGCAGGCCACAGAGGATGGACCGTGGAAAGCGTATTCGGTGTATGTGGCTCTTCAGGAGTTAGAAAATATGCAAGAACAGATTGGTTCTAGACGACCAGAAGGGACGATTGAATCGATGCCCGGGGGATTTACTCGGGGCACATGGCTCGAACGTCGGGCCAAAGAGGTCGAGTTCTTGGAAAATGAACCCGCAGTTCTGATCGTTGGTGCAGGTAAGCTCTACTCGGGTTCAAATCCCTTGGTAATCATGGAACTGATTCTCCTCAGGTCAATCCGGCCTCAATGTTGCGGCTCGACTACATTCCCTCGGCATATCCTGTTTGATTGTAGAAAAGAACGCACGAGTGGGCGATAATTGGAGGAAACGATACAGAGTACGTTACTATATCCCCCATCACCTGCCCAGCAAATGCACGATTTAACAGATTGCTAGACTCTAGTCACCCACGACCATGCCGAAACCTGCCACATGGCTTACCTGCCATTCCCAAAGAATTGGCCTAAGTACTCATCGAAAGACAAGTTAGCTGATTGGCTCGAAGCCTACGCTACCATCATGGAGTTGAACATATGGTGCAATTCTGAAGTTCAGGCGGCGCAATATGATAAGTCGACCAGGCAGTGGTCAGTCTCTCTTGCACGGAACAGCGAGAAGCGAACCCTTCAGACAAGACACATTGTATGGTGCACGGGACACCTGGGAACACCTCGGGTCCCTACTTTCCCGGGACAATCTGACTATCAAGGGACCGTTTATCACACCAGTGAGCATACCGACGCCCGGCAGCATGCTCCCAAAGGGAAACGTGTGGTCGTCGTAGGTACTGGGAATAGTGGACACGATATCGCGCAGGATTTCTATGAACAAGGAGCGCGAGTCACTCTGCTTCAACGAGGTCCGACATATGTTTTAACGGAGAAGAATGGCTTACCTTTGCTACCAGAAAACCTGGGGCTTGAGGACGTTCTGTAAGACTAACTCCTATAAGAAGCTGTTTTTCCATTGCTGATATGATCCAGTGATAAAACCCCGATAGAAGACTTGGACGTACTTTCGGAGAGTTTGCCATGGCCTGTCACCCTCGCCTTGTGTGTTGACCTGACAAAGCGTATTTCTGCCGCAGACAAAGATACCCTTTGCGGGCTGGAAGAGGCTGGGTTTAGGCTCGACTTCGGCCATGATGGCGCCGGAATCTTGCGCCTCATTATCTCCAAAGGTGGGGGATACTATATCGACTTTGGCTGCAGTCAACTCATCATCGACCGTAAGATCCAGCTGAAGAGCTGCCCAGAAGGTATCGCGGGATTTAATCAGCAAGGTCTCCTCCTGGGAGACGGCAGTCATGTGGAGGCCGACATTGTCGTTCTTGCAACAGGCTATGAGAACATGCGAGATTCAGTGAGAAGAATCCTTGGTGAGGGAGTGGCAGATCGATGCAACGATGTCTGGGGGCTGGATGAAGAGGGAGAAATCAAGACTGTAAGGCGCCACCGACCTATTTTTTATCGTCATTATGCTCACATTCGGTTTTTAGATATGGAGACCCAGTGGCCATCCTGGATTCTGGTTTATGGGGGGAAGCTTGTCTCTCTGTCGAATTTATTCCCGATTTGTAGCTTTGCAGATTGCCGCGGTCGAGGCTGGTATTACCGCGTAGTCATCGATCTCAAACAAGCTCATTTCCAAGTTTTCCTTTTTCGCCAACCAATACATTTATCTTTCGTGACAAATAATGGTTCACAAAGAAAAAGCAAAAAATCAATAACCAATAGATCAAGATTTTGACCGCCAATGACCACCCTTACCTGGTACTCTAGGGATCCCCCGAGACAGCTGAACAATCTTTCAGCAGCCAGCAAAAAATCAATTATCAATAGATCGAAACATTGTCTGCCAATGACCACCCTTACCTGGTACTATAGGGGTCCTCCGAGACAGCTGAACAATCTCTCAGCAGCCACTACGTCAGAATCAATACTTTGTTTGAAGGGTGGTAATACTACCACACCCCTTTGGTTGTCACCACACCCTCTGCCTGAGAAATCGGTCAACATATGACCGCTTTTCTCACCGCTTTTCTGTCAATGCACCACACCTAAGGGTACCTTTCCACTGTATAAATTCCTAACACAATTAAGTACCTTTAAGCGTTACTTTTTAACACATAGTAAAGATGAAAATATTATTAAGACAATTCTTGTTTGCATTGCGAATTCTGAGCTTTCTCCATTATTTTTAACCTCATTTATATTTTCAATATAACCTCACATTCCTGCTACCACCGACACAGACATACAGTACGCCAAAGGAAGCGATCGATTCTCTTAACGACTTCGCACGCCTATACGGATACACCATTTCAATTCTCCGCTCAAATAATGACTTAGAAAGGCATAAAGAAGACAATCTAAATTTACTATAATCATAGTCGCATATACCGAGGTCGGAGTGATAGTGCAGAGCGTAAAAGTTAAACAAATACACGTGTAATCAATTATCCCTTCAAGGTATCACTTCAATTAGACCAGCCAATAGGGATTTAGCCTCTTTTAATAGGGGATCCAATCCATAATCGTCACCTTTCGCCTCCATCTACTCATGTTACACACCAAACTAAAGAGCGTGCCACGAACGCAGATGAAATACAGAAAGGCTTTGACGTTAGCCTAATAGATCCTTACTACCCTTCGGGAAGACGATCCTGATTCCTATATCACTGCCTAAGATATCCAAAACTTCGGGAGGAAGCTTAGAATTCTTAGCTAGTCGGACACCTCTCTATGCTTTATTAGTCGGGCTCCCCAAAGACGGTGAGTAGATCTTTGAGTATAAATTTAATAACAAGAATTATATAACTGCTTTATTATATATATAAATCAAGCGTTACGAGGTTAAAGCTAAACCCTTGGTTGATTTCCATAGACTATACGTATTATAAGACTAATACATACGGTCTCCCTTTACTAGACATCGTTAGCCTCGCCACAACTAGCTCTTCATTTTATCTTAGCCTTGTCTTTATAAAGGATAAGAAAGATAACACTTACGAGGCCATTCTGAACTATTTGGCCGAAGCATATAAATTTTATAGCATCACCCCCACCCCGTACAAATCTAAACAATAAGGAGAAAGCATTGATAAATACTATTCAATGCTATCTTCCCATCGACGAAGAATATAATATATGTATAGCATGCTATAATGAACATCATAAAGAAGGCATGCCTAATTATATCTAATTAGATTAGACAAGCACTCTGATTGTTACGTATATGGACTCTGGACCGTTCCTTCCAAAGTCTTACAAAAAGACCACTAGTGATATCCGACCAGGATATCACTCTAGAGTTTCCACTATGTAATGCCTTCCCGGGGGGACGCAGACCGGTCCAACCCGATATATCAGCCCCACGCATTGGCCCTGGCACCAGTCCGCATGAACCCAGTCCGTATGAACCCAGTCCGCATGAACCCATCCGCATGAACCCAGTCCGCATGAACCCATCCGCATGAACCCAGTCCGCATGAACCCAGTCCGCATGAACCCAGTCCGCATGAACCCAGTCCGTGATACAGTCCGCAAACTAATCTACATCGAGTAATCCGACTCCCCGACGTCGCCTCAATAAAAGAAGCTCAAGAACCCCGAGAGAAGGTTGATAAAGGGTAGAAGAAGATGATAAAGCAGATTAACCGGGTCAATTATACTATAACAGTTAAGGGATATAATCAGAAGTAGGAATACTTCAAAAAGCAGTATCGTAACCCAATCCTCGAGTCGTTATCGACTACATCCAAAGCGAATGGCTAGACGATTGCCCTAAGAAGTTTCTTCATTACCATGCCTCGTATTACCTTCATCTTAATAACATCACGACATCCCGGACTGAGGAAGCACAATAGTTGCTAAAGCAAGATCTTTATGTGTCAACGAATAGCGTATTAGTTGTTCTCTAGACCATTTGGCGCGCTTTGTAAATTCACGTCGCTAAGGTCACTAATGAAATTAAGAATAATAAGATCATAATCCCAATTAGAACTGGCTTATTAGCTTTAGGGCTATTCAAGCTAGCTATTAGAAGAGTTTCGTTTAAGGCAATGAAGCATAGAACAGATATTCGAACGCAATTTCTTCCACCCGCGGAAAATGATCCAGTGATCCACCCGGTTTGTGTCTGCAATTTTAAGGAAACAGTTAGGTTACTATGCATCCAATTGATCAAGTAGTATCTGGATAAAGGCAAGAGCTTAGAGACTGAATTTTTTTAGCACTAGCATTTGCGCAGTGTTAACACAGACCGATTGATCCTCGACTTCTGAAACAGGATCCACTCCCTGTGCGACGACGAGGGCGTTCTCGGGGTGCACGCAATTCTATTAGCTTCAACCAGCAGTGAGCACCCAGAAATGCACACAACAGAGCGCCCAGCTTGTGCCATTCTTACCCAATCCATTGACCCAACATGAGCGCTCAGTTCACCTATTCGTATTCATTCGAGCATACTCTCGCGCAGGAAGGTGGTCGGGGTCGGAGATGGTGAGGGCGCTGAGGATACTAATGTTTGATAAATTAGTTAAGGTTCGTGAAGGTCATGTAGGCATAGAAAGCATCATTATTGTAGATATGAGCATGAAATTGTGACCATAAGGAGTGCATTCTTTTACAATGTAAACCGGAATTCAAACTGGCAAAAATAAGTCCGGCAAAAAAAAATGATATACTGCAAAAACCACAAATTCAGGCATAGATCAGGCATAAATTGGCCTTGTTGCCTGCTTTCTCGGGCAGGGGGTGTGGTGACAACCAAAGGGGCGTGGTAGTATCATTACCCTATAAAAATAATATTCGGGCGTTCATTGTCTTCAATCTTTCCTTACCATTTACGATTTACCAGAGTCAAGATGGGCATGCCAATATCTAGCAACGACAGCAGTTTTTCTCAGCCATTTGGCTATCGTTGGCGCTCTTCAAAGCTTTTTATTCTTACTGTAGTATCAGTTGCAATGTTTTCCGGTTGCTAGTACATCTGCTCTTGGTAGTTTTCTGCTAACAACATTCTAGATACCTTCCTTTTCAGCTTCATCGTCCCAATCCTACCGCATATTCTCGAGGGTCGAATGCGACTGGCCCAGTCGCAAACGCAATTCCTAACATCCGTCATTCTTTCTATGAACGCATTAGTTTCGATTGCCCTGGCGCCGTTCACAGGCCACCTAGCGGATAAGGTCTCATCGAAGAACAACCTGCTGATCTTGTCATGGTTTGTGAACATAGTCGGCACGGTGATCACCGCCTGGTCCAGTACTTGTATGTACAAATCGTCAAAGATTACAGATGATTCGAGAAGTGACTGGATCTAACCGGTAGATTATCAGTGACTTTATTACTCGTTGGTCGATTGATACAAACCGTTGCCGGGTCTTTCATATGGATAGCTGGAATGGCACTTCTTGCCAACACCGTTGGGCCAAACCACCTAGCGAAATCCATTGGGTTCGCGACCTTATTCGTCTCGGTAGGACTTCTCTGTGGGCCAATGGTTTCGGGCACACTCTATCAGATTGTATCCTACTTAACCATGTGGACAAGCTCTTTTGTGGTGCTGGCGCTGGGAATTGCCTTGCAATTTCTCGTTCTTGAGGCCTCTCATTCAGAGGATGAGAGCTTTCAGAGCGACTCGTCTAGAGGCAGCGGAGAAGCACTCGTGTCCAACAACAAACCAGTTGAACAGCAACGGAGCGAGAACTCTCCCCTCCTGACCCATCAGTCTGACTCAGAACTCGGCTATCAAACACTCTCGGGGGTTGATGAGCATCTCACCCCGTACCAGAGTGCTCAGGAGATGCAGTCAGCCAAGCAAAATGTCTATATAATGCTGTTGAGTAAAAGCCGGGTCCTCACTGCACTACTAGCCGACATAGTATTTGCCATGATGATAGCTAGCTTTGAGACTACCATACCCATTCACATTAAACAGGTATTCGCCTGGGAAACGATGCAGGCCGGCCTTATCTTTCTCCTCATCCAACTACCATCCTTGGTCTTACTTGTCCCTGCAGGATGGCTGAAGGACCGGGTCGGTATGCATTATCCTGTTGCCGTGGGCTTCATACTGTTTGCGCCTTCTCTCTGGCTGCTTGGAGTACCTGGAGACGACGGATTCGAATGGGCAAATCACGGGAACACTGGTCAGACGATTTACATTGTCACGCTTCTGGCCATTGGAGCGTGGCGGACTCTGCTTCTCGGTTTTGGGGGGGTTCAAGTGATGCGTGAGTAGTCTTGCCTCCCTTCTACATCGAATTTCACTGAGTGTTGTCTTTTTGCTTGTCCTAGATGGTGCGAACGAGCTTATGGTTGAATTTCCAACAAATTTTGGCAGCGGCGGAGCATATTCCCGCGCCTTCTCACTGTCGAACATCAGCTGGAAACTTGGCATGTTTCTGGGGCCATTGTTGTCCGGTGTCTTGACCGACAGTGTTGGTTACTATTACATGAATGTATCCTTCGGTACGTTTCGTTTCTGTCTCTTTTTCCTTCGCGGACTAATTTCTTGCCGGTTAGCATTCCTATGTCTTATCACTGGAATCTCCACGCTTCTTGTTTTTAGTAGAAGTTAGACTGCTCCTTGCACTCCTGCCTGGGTCCCTTTTCACTGTCCATCCAGCTAGGTCTCAGCTCTATATAGCATATTATCATGTTAGTTTTCCAGCTGATGATTATTGAATCCATTTCAACCTCATTTGGTCTCATCAGAAGACGTAGTCACGCAGCGGCAGGTGATGGGGGAAAGCAATGCAAGTTCTCCTCCAGAAACAGACCAAAAAGCTGAGCAAAATAAGGAGTCCAAGATTCAGTCTCTTAATTGTTGTAATAATCTTGACGGTAGGGTAAACATTGCCGCTTCGGTGGATGCTAGCATGACTCTTAGATGGTCAAATATCCGAACTTGCACAATCCACTCATTATCGCCCTTGATTTGGAACCTACAGCATTCATGCGCTGGCTGTTTACGCAATCAGCTAGACTCTAAGTTACTTCTTTGCATCCTTTTCAGACCAGGCTATACCTAGCAGGCCACCACAGGATACATAAGAACTATACTCGGTCGACAATATTCTTCCCTTGTTCCCTTTTCTTATACATTCTCCTGCAGTGTAAATTAGGCTTAGTTTTGAGAACAAAAGCATAATACTAAAGTACCCCTCCCTGCATATGTGTACATCACATCATCCACTCCCCAGGCCGCCGGTTAGGGCTTCTTTGATGATTGCTGGATCGAATGGCATTCGTGGTACTTCGAACACGACTTCTAGTATCTCGGCTAGACCCAGTGAGATGACTGGTACGAAGGGATACGCTTCGATTCAAACATAAAGCCTAGATTTCTTCTAAAATTTCACAAAGCCTTAACATGAAGAACAATTTATTAGACAAGTGTGTCTCACTTGTGTGAATTTAAATATCGTTGAAATGCCACAATTACATATGTAAATTTTGACCATACCTAGGGAGGGTGATAGATCCGTACGTGGTAGAGAGATTGGCAGCAATGCGACCGATGGTTGTTTGAGGCGGAAACGTGGCAAGCAGTCATTAGTCTCCGACTGTCGCCTGCTGAGCTGCCCTTCAGTGTTGAGCTATCAATCTGTATGCTTGTATGTACCGACATACTTTTACGTATCTTTGAAAAACTCGAACAAGAAGGATTGTGGTTAGAGTTCTAGCGTCTCTAATTAATGACACTCAAATTGAACAAAAGAAAATTCCAGTGGCCGCCCTAGTGCGTTCTGCGTATATTCTACAGGAAATCACAGGTAATGTAAACATTGATCAGTCTCGGGGAATGAATGCCCCTCGCCTTGTCAAAAGGCAAATTTACTCGGACTCCTCGATCTCGCCACGGCGGCGAGCATTGGCCTCCTCCTTTTCCTTCTTCTGCAGGAAGAGCAAAGCATTGATCTTGTCCTTGATGCTGTGCTCGGTGGCAATGGTCTGCTGGACCTGCTCACGGCCGATCAGGGTAGCCACGATGGAGGCACCGACAACGAAGGTCAGGACGAAGCGGTACATGCCGTACCAGTGGGGGGCACGGCCTGCGGCAGCGGCGCGAGCATCATTGTAGTACAGGAAGGTGAAAGCGAGGAACTGACTGATCAGAGCGTACTCGACGGGGAACAGCAGAGTGGGCCAGGCCACAGCGGGGGCAATGACACCGGCGGCGTAACGGCGGTAGCCGAACTTGCCGCCGTAGCCAGCCCACTCAAGACCCCAGTGCACAGCACCGAGGAAAGAGAGAATCTACAGCAATCGGTCAGTAACGTAATCTTCATCGATCAGAGGAGTGGAGTACTTACCACGGCACCGTAGCCAACCTGGACGTGCTCGAGCATGTGGAGCATCAACTCAGCGGTCTCACCGGAGAACACCAGACCATCACCAAGAGCGGCAGCGCGGTTGATCTCGTAGGAGAGGTAGACAGTCTGCAGAGAGGTGGCCAAGTAGGGAACAACACCGGCCATACCCAGGTAGAGAGCCTCCTTGGGGACGCCGTTCAGGCTGAAAGTCTCCTTGATAACTTTCTATACACCCAATTGAACTTAGCAATTATTCAATACACAATAGGCCACCCTTGGAGAAATACATACCGCCTCGGACCGCATGCCAGCCATCACATCGATATCGTCATCATCCTAACCCAATAATTAGCCATTGAGTACTCTTGCGCAAAGCCCAGATTGTGCAGCATCTCTTACCTTGGCGGAAGAAGAAGAGTAGCGCACGAGAGCGGTGGTAACGGGCTTGCGAGTAGCAATCGCGAAGCTGGACGAGACGGAAGGACGGATCGCATTGCGGGCAGACGAGGTCATCTGGGCCTTGAAGATCTGGTTGCCCAGGGTAGAGCGAGCCACGGAGGCATTGGAGCTCTGGATAGCCCGGAGCGCGGAGCGGGCGACGGCGTTGCGGTACAGCATGGCGGGGGATAAAACAGCTTTTCGTGATTGTCGGGTTAGCAAGTCGCGGGAGAAGAAAAGCCTCGGGTACGGCCGGATTGCAATGTCAACGAACCCAATTGGCCTTGCAAAAAGCTGAGAATGAGATGGAAGAGTGGAGATTAAGGGTATACACCCGGAAAGTGACTTGATCTCAAAGTCGAGGGCGTAGAATTTCCGGGACGGAGCAAATAAGAATATCCAGAAATGAAGTGACCGAGTGATGAGGTGTGGTCTGCCTTTCGGGCGGACCGTAGCGACCCGAACTGCACTGTTCGCCTGAGGCAGAAAAGTCCGGGGCGTTCACGTGATTGACTTCACGTGATGTGATGACACGGGGGCTGCTGCCCTAGCACTAACCAGAAACCTGGAAGCTACGTCACTTGGGGTAAACAGTGTATCAGTACGGTAAAAGAGGGGATATTTGAAGGACTTCACTTAGATCTAAGGGACAATGTCAAAGCAAAGAAACAAATCATAGCCTCCAAATACTGTCTTGCCGAGGACATTGTAGTTTTAGTATTGAGTACCACTGATGTACTTTGTCGGAAGGCGGAATTGACGCCCGTAAAGAACCTTGGAAGCTGTACCCTGCCCGTACCGCGTACACTCTCTCATACCTTTTGCGTAACAGATAGCAACCTCTCACTTCTCCACGCAATCAGGGCCATTGGCTTGGCTTAGATACCCAACCACTCTGTCTTAATTTAGCGCTTCTCATTTTCTCAAAATACATCATTCAACTCGACTGGTCATATCAACACGCCTATTCCACTCTCCTTGGAGGTGATCGTTCCACCTCGGTATCGTATCGCGTGTGCTCCCAGCCCGCTCCGCTGCATGGATCGGATATTCCCCAATTTCTAAGGTTTTGAAGCAAACTGTAAGATCTCCCTGGTTTTAGAACTTGTTCTTCTTGCTTGAATTCTAACTGACTTGCAAATTGCACTGAATTGCAGACCATCATCAAAATCCCCGACCCACTCCGTTGAACACCTGCAGGCCATAGAGCCCAACCACCAGGCCCGGTTCACGGCCTTACGTCGCAAACATGTTGGAGGGCGTGGTAGCTAACCTGCTCAACCGTTTCCTGGGAATTTACGTCAAGAATTTCGATGCGAAGCAGCTCAACATCGGAATCTGGTCTGGCGACGTCAAATTACGGAACCTCGAGCTTCGACGTGAGGCGCTCGATCAGCTTCGCCTCCCGTTAAACGTCGTCGAAGGTCACCTCGGTGAACTCACATTATCCATTCCTTGGTCAAATCTACGAGGCAAACCAGTCAAGGTAGATATTGAAGATGTCTACTTGCTTGCGGCGCCAAGAGAGGATGCGGACTATGACCCAGAGGAAGAAGAGAGACGGGCGAATGCGCTTAAAATGGAACGTATTGAAAGCGCTGAGCTTCTGCGTGAGCGCAACACAGAAGGCATGAGTCAAGAGGAACAACGTCGTAATCAGAGCTTCACGCAGAGCATGATCACGGCTGTGGTAGACAACCTGCAGATCTCTATCAAGAATGTGCATTTCCGTTATGAGGACTCTATTGCATCGCCTGGACATCCGTTTGCTATCGGTGTCACACTCAAGGAATTGAGTGCCGTCAGCACAGATGGGGAATGGAATCCGACTTTCATTCAATCTGATTCTAGTGTCACCCATAAGCTCGCCGTCCTCGGCGCTCTCTCGGTGTATTGGAATACAGATGCAAAGCTGCTCGGAACTGGACGCGGCTCTGACATCGGAGCAGAAGCCCAGGGAATCGGCCGTGCAGAGTTGATGGAGAAACTTAAAAACGCGATCGATGCCGATGAAGGGAATCAATTTATGCTGCGTCCCGTCAGCGGTCGTGCTGGGTTGGAGATGGACAAGTCGGGCAAATATGACCGTCCCGCAATCAAAGCACGATTACTCTTTGACGAACTCGGCTTCGTTCTGGACGACAAACAATATCGCGACGCCTTGATGCTGGTTGACTTGTTTCATTACTTCGTTCGTCACCAGGAATATAAGAAAATACAACCCAAATCTTCCCCGAAGGACGATCCGCGGGCATGGTTGCGGTTTGCAGGTGAAGCAGTTCTTAGCAAGATTCATGAACGCAACAGACGGTGGACTTGGGACTACATCAAGGAACGCAGAGATGACCGCATTGCGTATATTGCCCTTTTCAAAAAGAAGAAGAAGGAAGAAGCGTTTACACCCGAAGAAACCAAGAATATGGAAAGATTGGAAGCAAAGCTCAGCTACGAGGATATCCGATTCTGGCGATCACTTGCGCGGAACCAATTGCGCAAAGAAAATGTGGGCGTGAAAAAGCCCGCTGAGCAACAATCCTGGTCTGACTGGTTGTGGGGTGCCAAGAAAGAAGAATCCAAGGAAGCAGCCATGACTGAAGAACAGCGACAGGAGCTGTACAACGCTATTGACTGGGATGAAAAGAAAGCCATCGCCGAGAGCGTTGATCTGCCTCGAGAATGGGTTAAGCTCCAAGTCGATTGGAGTCTACGGGCTGGTAGCTTTACCCTTCTCCAAGACCCTCATGGAGCGGCGAATGAAGTTATGAAGCTAGTGTTTGATAATTTCCGAGCAAAGGCTCTACAGCGCCCTGACTCCTATCTTCTTGACCTTGATCTAGGAGGCTTGAAGATGTACGACGGCACTACTGCTGGAACTCTTTACCCACAGATTGTCAAGGTCAAGGATTCACTCCCTGAATCCACCGAAGACCGAAAGAAAAATGACGACCTCACCTCCCAATCTAGTGCAGATGAGATTCATGATGAAGATAGTCTGTTCCATCTGCAACTGGAGAGTAACCCGCTCGAAAGTGACGCAGATACCGCAGTTAAAGTAAAGTTGAAGAGTATTGAGGTAATTTACAACCCTCGCTTCCTCGTTGGAATCGTCAAATTCTTCGAACCTCCCGAAAGACATATGGAGTCAATTGGTGCTCTTTTGGACACCGCTGGTGCGACCGTTGAAGGACTCCGACAGCAAACCCGGGCGGGCTTGGAGTTTGCACTGGAGGAGCACAAGAAGGTTGATGCACAATTCGATATTCATGCGCCCTTGATCATTGTCCCAGAAAGCATCACACAGCCAAGCTCCCTTTGCCTGATTATAGATGCTGGTCACGCTAGTGTCAATAGTGAATTGGTCGACCGTCAAGCCATGCGTGATCTCCAGTCCAAACAGAAACGGCAGTACGAGGAGGAGGATTACAAGCAGCTAGAACATCTGCTCTATGATCGGTTCCTCATCAAACTCGATTCCACTCAAGTTCTCATTGGACCTGGTGTTGAAGCAACCAAAGCCCAGCTCAACACCAATGTGGAGTCCAGGAATTTCCATATCATCGACCGTATCAATGTGGATTTTGCCCTAGAAATGTGTATTGTCCCAAAGGTGACCGAGCTTACACGAACACGTATCTCCGGACATCTGCCAGAACTTCATGCATCAATGTCAGACACCAAATACAAGGGTTTGATGAAGTTGATTGATATCGCAATCCCACATTTCGAGGATAAAACTTCTTCTGATCCGGTTGCTGCCAAGCAGGAAGCAGCGATAGCCACACGAGCCAGATCGGCATCTTTCCAACCTCCTCAACGAGATCTTCCTGTTGTCGATGACGATGAGGAGGTCGAAGAGACAGACAAGCAAACAACGACAAGCGTGGACACACCGGCCAATATTCATCGCCGCGACTTCGAATTCAAGTTCACTGTTGGTCGTCTCCGTGGCTCACTCTTCCGTTCTGATCCCCATGACCCCCAACGAGATCATTTGCTGGTTGAGTTGGTCGCTGAAGGATTTGAGTTGGACTTCTACATGCGCCCATATGACATGGTCGCTGAAGTTGTATTGAAATCGCTGAGTGTGGACGATTATATCGAGGAGAACCCGCTTGCCGAATTCAAGAGAATCATTTCATCCAAAGGATTCAATGCCGATGAAGATAAGGACCTTTTCCAGTTGAAAATGGTTAGGGTCAAACCCGAATCTCCTGAGTTCGAGTCTACCTATGAAGGCGTTGCCATGAATCTTGACATAGCTGTTTCGACTATCAACTTAGTCGTGACGAGAAAAACACTCCTCACCCTTCTGGACTTCATCCTCCATACTTTCACAAACCCCCAACAATCAGTCGAACCCAATCCAGAAACAGGCAATTCGATTGAAGAAACAGCCACTGAGCAAGAAAAGCCCCAGCAGGCTGGGAAGCTTCGTATCAGAGCCAACCTGAAGAGTATTGCATTGATCCTCAACAATGACGGAGTCCGTCTAGCCACCCTGAGTCTCAACACTGCCGACGTTGGGATCTTCCTCGTGGGCGCCTCTATGCTTATTCAATCACGAATAGGCAGCCTGACTTTGGTTGACGATGTCAACCTGGGCGCTTCAGAGGACTCAGACATTCGGCGCCTCCTGACAATCGAAGGAGATAATTTCGCCGATTTCAAGTATGAGACTTTTGACCCTGAAAGTGACACTTACCCCGGGTATGACTCTGAGGTGTACCTACGGTCTGGCTCAATTAAGATCAACTTCATAGAGGAGCCGTACCGCAAGATTATCAACTTCCTTGTCAAGTTCGGCAAAATGCAAGCCATCTTCAATGCAGCTCGCCAGGCTGCTGCCAACCAGGCCAACAACCTACAAAACGCCTCGCGAATGCGGCTTGATGTTGTGGTGAAGACTCCCATCGTGGTGTTCCCACGTTTGATGCTAGATGATCGCCCACGAGACACAATCACTGCTCATCTTGGTGAGATCTATGCCAAGAACGAATTTGTGCCCATGGACGAAGGAAAGGATAGCCCTGCTGTTAATGTGATCTCCACTGGTGTCCGCAACATTCGTCTTACCTCCAAATTTCATTTCGAGGATGGCACAACTGAGGAGTTGGAGATGATCCAGAAAGTGAATCTGGACTTCAGCATCTGCTATTTGGAGCATCAAGCCAACAACCCGCGCCCGGACATGGAAATCGAAGGCTCCTTATCTCCTATCAATCTCCGGATCTCCCAAAATCAGCTCAAGTTCTTGTTAGAATTGTCCAAGTCGATACCGGGTGCTTTCGCAACCGATGCCGAGCAACAAGAGCTCGAGGCCATGGAGTCTTTGCCACCATCGGTGACTGAACCCACAAGAGAGGCTACTTCCAAGGCCACCCAGAATGGCGCAGGAGGGACTCCCATAGATGATAATGAGAACAAAGAGACTTGGGTGCGATTGGACATGATCTTTAAGGTCGACAGTGTTGGACTGGAGCTCATCCTTGCCAATGACAACCAGCCTGTCGGCCGTTTGGAGGATTCTAGTCTGTCCAAGTTCTCTCTCAATGACACCCGAGTCAAGCTGCGTATGTTGACGGATGGGTCGCTGGATTCGGAGCTTCTTATCCACTCGTTCTCCATTCGTGATAGCCGCAAGCAGGATTCAAACAAGTTCAGAAACATTATGTCCTTGATCAACAACGACGTTAAGCAGCAATTCATGGCTAGCGTCTCTATGTCTGGAGGACAAGAGAAACACCTCATTGCCATGCTGACTATTGATAGCCCGCGGATCATGTTTGCTTTGGATTATCTGTCGGCTTTGCAGTCCTTCAGTCAATCTGCATTTGCCTCCGAAGAACCATCTCAAATTGTGGAGGAAGATAGCGACACACCCGAGGAGTCTGAGACAGGATCCGTCACCGCCGTAACCTCCGACAAGGCTATCATTGATGGTTCTCCGGGTGACACTGCAGGTGCGGGCATGACCGTGTCATTCCGGGTGAACCTTGTTGATGCTCAAGTGATCATGGTGGCTAACCCTGCTATTCCTCACTCCGAGGCTATCGTCCTTGGGACCAAGGAGGTCCTCATTTCTCACCAAAATGTGTCCACGCTGCAGATCCAAAAAGTGGGCATGTTTCTGTGCCGCGTGGATAAGTTCGAGACCTCACGACTGCGTATCCTGGATGATTTCACGCTTGAAATGTCTGTTGATAGCCGAACCCAAGACAAGGGATCCGCTTTGACCTCCATTGAGGTGCATCTTGAGCCTCTGGTCCTTCGCTTGTCTCTTCGTGATATTCTCATGGCAACTCAGATTGTCAACAAAGCTTCGGAAATGAGGGCTCAGAATTCCCAGCAACTCGAGAGTGGTGAGGTGAAAAAGATTGCAGACGCGAAAAGCACCAGGGTTCGGTCTACCAGCAAAGCGTCTATGACCCTTGCTAACAGGACACGCCGCCTGAGTCAAAACGCCGGACAGCTGGATCAGACAGCTACGCAACAGAGCTCCGTTGTGCTTAAGCGCGAAGAGCTGTCTGCCAAGATCGATGGTGTGAGGGTCATTTTGATTGGCGATCTGCATGATCTTCCTCTGTTCGATTGGAGTGTCAAGAAATTCAATGTAGACGTGCGCGACTGGTCATCTACCCTGAATGCCGATACCAACTTTGAGACGTTCTTGAACGTGTACAACTTCTCTAAGTCGGCTTGGGAGCCATTGATTGAACCCTGGCAGCTCGGATTCCACATGGCCAAAGAAATCAACCCAGACGTCTTCTCTTTCGACGTGTACTCTCACAAGACCATGGAGCTGACCATCACATCTGCCACGATTGCGCTCGCATCGAAATCTTTCCAGTTCCTCTCCACAGATGAAGATGTTCTCTCCAAGCCAAGAGGTGCTGATGCTCCTTACCGCATTCGCAACTACACCGGGTTTGACCTCAGGGTCTGGGCTGATGTTAGCACCGGGGAAGAGGGTCCAGCGGCTAAGCTGACCGACGGGGAAGAATCCCCCTGGCGATTTGAAGATTCCACCGCTGTTCGTGAAACGTTGACGCCTGAAGGCCACGGTGGTGTGGTCGGCGTCAAGCTAGAAGGCAGTGGGTTTGACAGTATCAACCGTATTCCTGTTGTGCGCGAAGGCGAGACTGTCTACGCTTTGAAACCAAAGCAAGAAAATGTTCTTCACAGGCTCCTCGTGGAGGTTACATTGGGCCCCGATAATGTCAAGTACATAACCTTCCGCTCCCCGCTGCTCATCGAGAACAACACACAAATTCCGGTAGAGTTAGGCGTTTTCAGCCCCGGAGAAGGCCACCTTTTGAAGATCGAAAAGATCTTACCCGGTGATGCTCGCCCCGCACCCGTCGGGTCGGCATATCTGCATTCTGTTGTTCTTCGTCCAGACCAGGGCTTCGGATATGACTGGTCTAATGAACAGCTATTCTGGAAGGACCTTATCAAGCGACCCACGCGGACTGTCAAGTGTGTTAGTGAGAGCGGACAACAAGCACCTCCATTCTATTTCCAAGTCAACGCCACTTATGACAGCAAGGATTCGCTTACGGGTGTGTATCCTTACATGAGGGTCAGGATCTTCGCCCCTGTCGAAATTCAGAATCTTCTACCCTACGACTTCAAGTATCGCATATATGACAAGAACACCAAAAAGGACTGGACCAACTTTCTGCGCAAGGGTGGAGTCAGCCCAGTCCATGTGGTGGAGCTGTCTCACTTGCTTTTGCTCAGCATTGATTTGGAAGATACAGTTTTCCGTCAGAGCGAGTTTGCTATTGTCAACGGCAATGCTCAGGACTACCGCAGAGAGCATACCCTGTCTCTCAAGGATGAACGCGGTCTCCAATTGAAGTTACAACTCCACTACTTCAACATTCCAAATAGTGGTGGAGCTTTCAAGGTTTCTGTCTACAGTCCATACCTCATTTTGAACAAGACGGGTCTTCCAATGGATATCCAAAGCAAGGCATTCCTTCAATCTGCGAGAAACGCTGCTGGTCAAGGACTCAGGGTTGATCCGAGGAACGAGGGCCGAGCGCTCCCATACATGTACTCTTATGCCAACGAGGACCAAAGAAACCGATCTATTCTCAAGGTTGGCGATTCTTCTTGGAGCAAGCCGCAGAGTTTCGAGGCTATTGGTAGTACCTTTGAAGTCGTCTTCCCCGATCGCCAAGGCAGATCCGAGTTCCACTCCGGAGTGTCTGTTGCCGAGGGTGAGGGCAAGTACAAGTTGACTAAGGTTGTTACTCTCGCCCCGCGCTTCATTCTCAAAAGCAAACTCAGTGAAGATCTTTTGGTGCGCGAGCCAGGCTCATCCAATGTCCACCAAATTCAAAGTGGGCAGTTGATTCCACTACATTTCCTTCGCCAGGTAGCTGAGAAACAGTTATGCCTCTGTTTCCCAGGTGTCAACAATCAATGGTCTTCTCCTTTTAGTATCGCAGATGTTGGAACAGTTCATGTTAAGTTGGCGAAAGCAAGCCAGCGACAGAAGCTGATCAAGGTTGACATCATCTTGGAAGGAGCGACCCTTTTCCTGCACTTCAGTTTGGAGACGCGCAACTGGCCATTCTCCATGCGCAACGAAAGTGACACAGAGTTCATCTTCTACCAAGCCAACCCAAATGTGGAGGATGATGACGAAGATGACAACACTAGCGGCTGGAGGCCAATCCGGTACCGAATCCCACCGCGAAGTATCATGCCCTATGCTTGGGACTACCCGGCCACGAAGAACAAGTCTCTTGTGATGACTTGCCAGGGCAAGGAACGCCACATCAAGCTCGCTGAGATTGGAAATATGATTCCAATGCGGATTCCGCCCTCACAGCCTGGTGGACACCAGAAGATCATCGACATCAACATTGCGGCCGATGGTCCTACTCAAACTCTGGTACTGTCCAACTTCAAGCCGTCAAAGAGTATGTACAAGCAACAAAGAGGTCAGTCCTCACAGACTGGTACAAACACTGGGTTCGAGGTCAAAGAAATGAACTCAGATGTCAACTTCAAGGCCCAGCTTCGTCTAGGTGGAATTGGCATCTCCTTGATCAATCAGAACCTCAAAGAACTGCTTTATCTCACCTTCCGCGAGATTGAAATCAAGTTTAGGGAGTCATTGTTGTATCAGACTCTCAACACTACGATCAAGTGGGTCCAGATTGATAACCAACTCTACGGTGGCATTTTCCCCATTTTGCTTTACCCTAGTGTTGTTCCAAAGACAGGCAAGGAGATGGAAGCCCACCCGATTTTCCATGCAATGGTTACACGAGTCAAGGATGACTCGTATGGTGTTCTCTACATCAAGTACGCGACCTTGCTTTTGCAGCAGATGACGCTCGAACTGGACGAGGACTTTGTTTTCGCCATGCTTGATTTCGTCAAGATTCCTGGTGCTTCGTGGACCGAAGAACAAGAGGGCAAGCTGTGCGATGAAGATCTCAACATCCCTGAACCGCAACAAGCAGATAACGGGCAGGATGTATACTTCGAGCTACTTCACCTTCAGCCCATGCAGATGGATATTTCCTTCATGCGCACCGAGCGTGTCAACGTGGAAGATGCTATGCAGCCCTCCAACCCGTTGATGTTCTTTGTCAATGTCATGACAATGTCCATGGGCAACGTCAACGATGCACCCGTCAGGCTCAATGCTTTGATGCTCGAGAACGCTCGAGTCTCATTCCCCAGACTGGTCGGCAACATCCGTGAACACTACACACAGGAATTCCTACGCCAGATTCATATCATTCTCGGTTCGGCCGATTTCCTGGGTAACCCAGTCGGTCTATTCAACAATGTCAGCTCCGGTGTTGCCGCCATCTTCTATGAGCCTTACCAGGGCCTGGTCATGACCGACCGACCCCAAGAGCTTGGTATTGGTATCGCAAAGGGTGCAACTAGCTTTGTCAAGAAATCCGTCTTCGGATTCTCGGATAGTATGGCCAAGCTCACCGGAAGTATGTCCAAGGGTCTTGCGGCCGCCACCCTCGACAAGGAATTCCAGAACCAGCGCCGGATGTCCAAGGTCCGCAATCGCCCCAAGCACGCACTGTACGGAATCACTGCTGGTGGCAATGCCTTCGCAACCAGTCTGGCAAGTGGAATCGGTGGTTTGGCACGCCATCCCCTGCAAGGCGCCGAAAAGGAAGGCATCCAAGGTTTCTTCAAGGGCGTCGGAAAGGGTGTTCTTGGTCTGGCTACCAAACCTGCCATTGGTGCATTTGATCTAGCTTCCAGTAAGTTCTAAGCCCTCTCTTGTAAGTTTATTGCTGACATTTTCCAAGATCTCGCAGAAGGTGTTCGCAATACCACTACCGTTTTCGATGCCGAGGGCCTCGATCGTGTCCGACTCACTCGCTTCATCGGGACGGATGGTATTGTGCGCCCGTACTCGCAACGGGAAGCCCTCGGACAGTTCTGGTTGAAGACTACCGACGACGGCAAGTACTTCAATGAGGACTACATTGCCCACCTGGAGCTTCCTGGTCGGGACATGCTCGTCTTGTTGACATATGCGCGCATCATGCTTGTTCGAACAAAAAAGCTCTACACCGAGTGGGACATTCGTCTCACCGATATCCAAACCATCTCCAAAGAGCGCACCGGAATGAGCATCACCCTGAAGGGGGGCGCCAACGGACCCTTCATTCCTGTTCAGGATGAAAGCTCACGAAACTGGCTGTATAGGCAGATTGCTGTTGGTAAGTCTTCCGTCCATGCTACATTATGTGCTAGGCTAACCTAGATGTTAGCGGTGAATGCTTTCAACGAGAAGTATAATGCCAGGGGATAGAGCAAATGACGCACTTACCTGAGATTCTTGACGATGTGATGAAACGAACTGCTTTCATTTTTGGGATGGTATTATCAAAATTCGCAGGGAACTTTAAGCGTGCTCTTTGGATTCCTAGCTTGCCCTATTCACGTACATAAATTTGCTTTATTTCTGCGTTCTGACCTGCTTCGATGGTCTTTGTTGTCTTTTTATCTCATGTACACAGCGATGATTTTTGTTTTCGTGCTTTATCTTACGATTCTCTTTAATAGACCACAATTTGATCATTAAATATCGTGCAAGGTACTTTTATCCTTGAGTGCTAGAACGTTGTAGATAATGATTAATTTGGTTGGCGTCTACTAGATATCCAGACAAGTATCCCAACTCCTTTCAAAACGACATCGACCGCGAGTACTTCAATAAGAAACGTCAAAGCTGACAGCACCGCGAATGAATCAAGGAACTGCTCTGTCTGGCCCCATCCCTTGGGCTGTGTTCTTGATAGTGTGCAAGAACATCGATGGGAAGCAATGCCGTCCGAAGCGATCCTCAGATATCTAAAACAAAATGTTAGATTGGTATTTCTCAAATCGGTATGAAACCATGAAGGATAATCACCGTTTTCCCACCATCATGCTCCGCAGTCCTATATCCCAGCCACCGCCTGTACAGATTCTCCGCGCTGTGCGTCGTAAACATGTACGAGAGACGGTACGTGATGTGATCAAGAATATGGTCGAAGTTCCAAATACTATCTGGGCCTCCATTGATGTTCTCCGGCTGGCCTGGGTTGTAGATACGAGCCAGTTCCTGGGGCGTCCACTGGCCATCTGCGTAGATGGGATGCGGGACAAATACAGCCTTGAGGCCATGGTACAGAGCCCACGATGCTCCCGTCATTTCAGAAGCAAGACCCAAGCCCTTTGTTGCCTGTGCGTGGTGGATTAGATCGAGCAAACGCTTGGAATATCGACCCATTGTGATGACTGATGCGCGGCGTGGTGTATTTAGGCCGTGTTTGAAGTTCCAGACTTTGTCTGGGAACGTCCACTCCGTGTCTTTTGGGTTGAATATGGGCAAGAAGGTTATGAAGTCGGCTTCTTCGCCGACGCCCCAGGTATAGTTGTCTTTATCGGGATGCGACACTGGTGGATCTGGGCCGAGAGGTCGAATCCCTGTGCCAGTCACCGGGCCCCAGATCGTGTCGTCTGATCTGTCGGCCAGACTTTCATCTACCAGTTCGATAAATTGGCTCCAATTGCCGTGAGCACCTGGTGTGTAGAAATAGGCATTTCGCTCCCATAAGTATTTCCGTGGCTGTTCTCTGGCGAATGAAACTGCTCGGTCCATGAAGTGATAGCTGTGCCCTGTATGGCGGCCGTCCATCTCGAGTTGCCAGTAATAGTCAAAATCCGGGTAGAGCTGTGAGAAGATCTGCAAAGGCTGGTGGTGCTGCAATTGAGAAGTGTGTTCTCCTATCTTTGGATACCAAGCTTCCAACATTTTATGGTTGAAAAATAGAGCCATATTTCGAAACTCTTCGGGGATTGACTCCCTGAGACGTTTGATAGTTTTGCTATCCGAGAAGATTGGTATTTCATTGTCTTTGACGTGAACCAAAACATAGATCTGGTGTTCACCCCCGGAATGCAGGGAAAGCTCCATGATCAAGGCCCGAAGGTATTCCCGATGGTGTGACTTCCAGCTAAGCCCATTCCATGCTCGTATTAGAATTGCTGATCGCGGATGAAACTGCTTCACGTTTGACTCACCCGCCGCGGGAGATTCCCATGATTTGCGAGGAGCCTCTGGGAGATCAAAGGCGAGTGGATTCTGTTTGGAAGAATTTACCGTGGTTATTGACCAATATCTGTCGGCATTTTTCTCCAGACAAAGAGTTTGTAGCCTGTTCCAATCCACGTCGCACCAGGGCACTTGGGGAGGGCGTGTGAACCCGGGTACATCATCTTCGCCATCTTCATCAAACCCATATGCCCCAAAACGAGAGTAGCGGTCCGTACAAACGTTGCTGTCCAAGTTGATTGCCTCATGAGAGCCGAATCCAGGTTCTGGGAAGCCGGCCTGGTTGCCCTTGTAGACTTGCATCATATCTTCTTTAGACTTGCGATTCAAATAACGACCTCTAGGTCCGAGACATGGTTTGAATTGTCCGTGGAACTGTTTCTTCCAACTGCGACTGTTGTATGGCGGGTAAGGATCGTAGATAAACGGAGATGGGTGCGATGCGTTAATGGAATTGACGCTGGTCAAGGTCAAGGTGCCACCGAGATAGAAACGCTTTTCTCTGTACCAAACAACCACAGGCTTTAGCTCTGTTCTGTTATATCGATGATGTATCGTAATATCAGCTTGGGAATGGTAACACAAACCTTCGATCATGAGCCATACCTATTGCGTCAAGGTCAGCCGGGCCTAGGTCGAGTGTCTCTTCCACCACAGGCACAACATCAGCATTCGGCCTGTACTGTCCGGGTTTGAGAACCTCTGGGCGATGAAAACAGTCGTATGTAGCTTTCACAAGGTTTGTTTCTGGGTAATTGGACAGAAATGAGCATGTTTGAATTATGGTGATCAAGCAAGTAACGCAGCCCAAGTAGCGCAGCCAGGCCCATTGACGACTACTGAAAGAAGAAAAAGAGCTTGAACGAAAGACAGGTAATGACATGCTTCTCTTCAGGACTCTCATGGAGAGTCAGTAGGGTGATGCCGAGTAGAGAGTCTCACTCAATTCCAAGGTGAGGCAGGTGTGAAGACAAGAGCAGCCTTGGGAACGTTGAATGTCAACGTACAAGCAGATATAATTTGTGTAGACAACCAAACCAGAGCCAGAGAGGTCAATAAATCATTTGTTGAGTAGACCAGAAGCTACAAGCGAAGATTTGAGATGAAGTTGGAGTCAAGTTCGGTCCATAGCCTACGATGTCATCACTACGCGGTGTTGACATCTTCAATGGACACGGGCCCCGTCTATTCCTTCTTCAGATCTAATCTTCTACTTCTGTATAATTGATGTAGCATCCCTAAAGCGACACGGATACTTTGAATGGTTCACCTCGAGCTCTGTGAAGCACAACAAGTCTATTTTGTATACTCATGTCTTGTCATACAATGGACTACACCCGTGAAACATACACAACCTAACTTTGTGAGCTTGATTACCCTACAATCTACTATGCCCTCCTCCTATACCTAATACTATCGAAGCTACCTACATAGAAAGATCAGGGAGGCTCGTATTATATGCAAATTTGTCTTTGTTCGAGCTTGATTCTATAGATACAAACATATATATGTGTTCAAGCCAACCAAGAGAAGTTGCTTTCATCAATGCTTTAGAGACAGTGCACATTCTTCGTAACTCGACAGGCAAAATGACCTCGCCAGTATAATATAGGTTTTCAGTTTTTATACAGCCGCTTCGTGGTCTTAGAACGCTCAAGCCCCGTATTCCGGACGAATTTCCCGGACGAGTTTGGGGCCCATTTAACGCCTCTCTTGGCCCTGTCACGTCAGCCCCAATCACTAGACATGATTGAAGATCACCATCCATCATTCGTTGTTAGATAATTGTCTGCCTTGTTTGAGGCTGTGTATGCGTTTGGGTATCTTTTATTTAAACTGGGATCCTCGTTCTCCTTCCCCATGTTCTTGATATAGTGCTCAGTGCCTCCCCTCTATATCACCCAGACTTTGTCCATTTTTGATAAAGTACTTTTATATATTACTTGTTAACGCAAATTAGTTCCGTGATTCGCTGACAAGGATGATACTAGACGTATACCCATTCCTCCCATCGCAGTACGTACATAATTGTTATTGTGGTTACGCCGGATAACCCTTGCTAACTAGGTACTGAATCTACTTCTTACTTCACTTTTTGACCTCGCCAAATGTTGACACTTAAAAGACAGCTCAAAATGGCCCATCAACCAACTTCTCCACACGAAACGCCAGGAAATCCCGACCAAACCCTAACCCAACACGGCTCAGTTGGTACGATCGAAGTCCCAGAAAACAACAATACCACTGAAGAAAAAACGCCTTCGTGGTTCAAAATTGGGCCATCATGGCCAGAGCTAAAACGCGAGTGGCGACATGGTTCGAAGGGCAAGGTTGCGATGTTCTTCATGTTTAGCCTCGTTTGTGGGGTATGTTTTGAGCGCACAGTCACGCAATTTACTTTGGGATGTTCCTATCCCTTCTGGCCTATCTTCGTCGTGATGTTGATCACACAGACTGTCACATATGTTGTGGGTTTTAGTAATGCCGTTGACCTTTAGGTGATCATGATTTTCGTGCGATGTATCCTAGACGTGATAGGTATCGCCCGTTTTCTCTATTCATTCCCACCCGATTATATCATACACTTGGTAGACATAGTTTCACTCTCAGGTTTTGTATACGATAGGTAGTACCTAAGATCAATCCATGAATCCTCTAAACTAGATAATGATAAGAGAACAAGAACAAATAGTATATACGCGGAATGGCCATAGATCACATTGTCATTATGAGCTGCTTGGCCTAAGCTATGAACGGGGATGAACCGATCCATAGGCCACTAAACTTAAGAGTAGTGCTGGAGCTCCAATTACGCAAAGTAGCTCTTCCATAGCACCCCCGATAAATCTTCCAGCTGATCCGAGGAGAAAGCCTAGGAGAATGATGGGTTAGATATTTGAACAAAAAAATCCGAATTCCAAGACACAGAGTAAATACGAACCTTTGCATCAATGTGCCAAGTATCTTGTCTGGTCTTTTTGAACTCGCTGATGATGGACTTGACACTAGACCCGACGATGCCAGGGTCACTAGCAGCACGGATGCTGAGAGAAGTCAAAGCCTCGGGCATCCAGCGAGGTGGAGGACTGTTATAAGGGAATGCCTGAATCAAAGCACCAAGACCGAGAACGGCACCGTGGCGAACGATAATCAGACGGTTGTGCTCGGGTGTGGGAGTTCCGGCTGTTGATGAAACAGCGGAAGAGATGCCTGAGCGGAAGTTCTTCGGTTTCTTAGGGAGAAGATTGTCTGCCAGGGCCTTTGTGAAGCGGTCCTGGAAGCGACTGACCATCTTGTCGCGCAGGAAGACGGGTGAGCATCGAATCATTCCAGAGAGGGTGGCCGAGGCACCGGCGCGGACTTCGTGCTGAGGGTCTTCGAGCATGGAGGCGATGCATTCGAAGAGCTTGTCGCGGTCTCCCTGGTCGAGTAGGAAAAGGCGGCGGAAGTAGATGATTTGGATGTTAATCATGACGCGCAGGCGCTGATGCCATGATGGAGCGGTCTGTCCGATGCGGATGAGAGATTGGATGAACTCGGAGTTCTTCTCGGCGGGGTAGGGAATGTTGGGGAGATGACGGAAAACGTGGTAAGCAAGAGACTGAAGCTCTGGGTCTTCCTTGACGTCCATCATGTGCAGAAGCTGCACGGTGAACACATCAGGGAAGAATGGGACGAGCTGTGTACACTCGTGGGAAGACAGGGTCGAATCCAGCCAGAGAAGCACCGTTTTACTGCCTGAAGTATAAGATGAGGGAGTTTGTTGACCGGGAGTTCTGGCTTTGCGCCATTCCTCGATTTGACTGAAAACTCCGCGGATCGTCTTGGAAAATTCATCCGTAGGCGCATATGGGTAATCTCCAACGGACGAAGTTGATTTCTGGGCTTCTAGTAGCTTTTGAACGTTGGGGTATGACTCGTGGTATCTAGTACGGTAGATAGTTGCAAGGGTCTGACCCATCGCCTCACGAACACCCTTATACGGGTGATCCAGATGGCCGAGGAAATCTTCAACGATAGGCTTGTCGAGCTGGTAGTGCCAGCCAGAATCAATGATGCATTGGTGCAAGAGATTGATCTTCGAACTTTCCTTAAAGGCCGCATTGGTTGTCATGTCCAGGCGGAAGCTAGACAACCAATCGACTAATGGCCATGCACGGCGAGGATCGCGACATTGCAAGATCATGTGAAGGAATGTTGTCCAGTAGCCAGAGTTCTCTGGCGTGAGACCGTCGGTGAAGATCTTTCGCACAATTGGGAATGCATACTCCCAGATCTTGGTACGCTTCTCAACGCATGTGTCTGTCACAGAGGATATCAGAGCACCGAGAATTTCGGCTGTAGCACGGTGTTGGTGCTTGTCGCTACCGTCTTCAAAAACATCCTTGATCTCTTCCTGGATCTCCTCGAAGGTGACAGCTGTAAGTTCATCCCGAATCATGAGTTCAAATGCATAGAGGAGCATCATGGCACAAGACATGCGGAACTTGTCCGCAGATGGGTCTCGTGGCTCTTGCTTCAAGTACATAAAGAACTTGGAGAACCATTCGCGAGTGAATAGCTTGCCCATCTTGGTGCGAACCTTCCACTCAACCTCATCATATTCAATGTCCCGAGCTACATTGGACTTGTAAGCTGGCATAGTCTTTCCCCACACGAGCCAGCCAGGAAAGTCGTGATCGACGTAATACTCTGCTTCGGGCTTAGCAAAGCTAGAAAGGTAGTCCTGAGTCCAATCCTTCTCGTCGGGCTTCGTGGCGACCTTGATCTTCGAAGGGAAACGCTGATGACCGAGAATATAGTTCTTGTATTCATGAGTGCAGATGGCTCGCACATCAATCATGGTGAAAAGCGCAATGAGAGCCTGGGAGTACATGCCTCGCAAACCAGGGTGGTCGTCGATGGAACCGAGGGTCATCAGGTCGATCAAATTATCACTAGCAATATAGTCGAAGCGGAGACCCATGGTCATCACGATAGTCGCGGCCCGGCTGGCAATTTTCCAATGCGATACACGGGCGAGATTCACAAGCTCTTCTGCCAGATCAGCTTTCTTTTTCTCAATAGCAGCACGCTTGCTATTGACAACTGCCCTCTTTTTCTCAATTTGGTCGCTGACATCTTCGGTGGGAGCAATTGCTTCCACAATATCTTGGTCCAAGATAGCCATTCGCTCCATGGCGCGACCATAATCCATGACCTGGAATACCGCGGTGGAGCAAATCTTCTGGACAGAAGGCTTATCCACTGCGCTGGCATCAATAAATGCCCTGACAAGACTTGGGGCATACTTCCAGTGCCGCCCGACGGTTTTGGCTACACTGCTCAGAAGCAGTGAGTACAGGGCTCCCTTAATGCGGGCATGGTCGTTCTCCTTGACACCCTTTTGGAGTGCCGTGAGCAGAGGAGGAATCACCAGCAGTCTGCCGCCATATACCGCCTTGAGTGCTGATTCGCCTGCGTTTTGAGCATTGCGACGAGTCTCTGTATAAAGAGAGACGCACGATTCGGCAATATCAAGCAGAAGAATTTCATCAAGCTTGGATCGAGGACGTGGGGCAGCGTTGTGCCGGAGACGTTGGAGATGATACACATTTGCTCTGCGCACCAACAATGGTCTGGGGTAGTTCTTTCGCATACCACTCATCTTGTAAGGATGTATGTCTGCTGCCAAGAGCCGTGTCACTCGGTCGAGAACGTGAGCGGACCTCTCAATGCCCACGTCAACAAACCACGATCTAAAGGCAGAATACAAAGCTCCAAAGCAAGGGACATCATCCTCCTGCTTATCACTCAGGAAGCGGTGCACTTCATGTAAAACCCATCCCGTCCGGTCACGGAGCTCGTGAATAGTAGTGTACAGCGGATCTCCCTCCTCAAGAGCGTAGCCGGTAGGATATGTGAAAGCCTGTCGGATTGTTGCATCGTCAGAGCCGTCCAGGGTGGCATCGGCATCATCATCGCCGTTGTTACCATCCATCATATCGACATCCCCGTTTGAGGTACCTTGGGAGGTGGTTGATGCTGCTTTGGAGTCAAACAAGATAGAGATTCCTGACAGCACGAGTCGCAGGAGGACCAGGTTACGAGTCACCTCATCTGACCAGTCCTTGCCACTTCCATCACGCTTGACACTTGATGTCTCATGAGTCAGCGCAGATAGATGCTTCAAGGCCGACTCGGTCTGACTCTTGAAGATGTCGACGGCGAATTCGATCTCCTCACGCGTTGACACATGCCACTTGATGTTCAGGTCATTCACATCGGCTTGGTAGCTCCACTGCTCCGGTCCAATGCCGTTCGCAACGACCGATGGCTCGTAAGGAGAGAAATCGTTTGTGTAAGTTCCCGTCAGATTGAGCAAGAGGTGATGGATAAAATTGGAAATGTGAACAGTAGGAATACCCCGGCAGTTTTGCTGCATATAAACTGCAATATCAAATAGTTCTTTGCGGTGGTTGATAACAGCGCTGCCAACGTGCACGACACACATGCTGAGCATGCTGATATTCCAGACTAGACCGCGATCACGGGGCAGAACATCGGTTCCAGTGGTTCTGGTCGATCCAGCCCCGTTTTCCTCAATCTCAGTGCGGATAGCCGAGGTCAAAACTGGAATAAATCGCTTAAGAGCCTTTTCCGGGTTAACCTTGCAAAGGGCATTACAGATAAAAGCCATTGCATCTCGCGCCTGGTGGATGACGTGGTTAGACACAAAGTCCACGATCTTCCCGAGGGCAATATCGTAATACTCCGGGGAGAGCGACGCAAGCAATGGCATGAAGGTGGCAGGTAGGGTATTCACGATATTTTCTTCAGGTGAACCATTCCGAACTCTGGAGACATCTGGCAAATTCTCCAAAAGTATGAAGACACGACCCAAGAAAGATAACGTGAAGTCTCCAAAACCGCATGTGGAAGAGCGTAGGACCATTTCCTCAGTCTCATCGTCCAACTCTGTGTCATAGTCAATCTGTATATCTGCGCCTTGCTCTTCCATTCTCTCCATTTCGCCCGAGATCCATTGCATGGCAAGCATGTTGCAGTTGACGTCCTCTCGTCCTTTGGTCAAATCGACCATTGGGATGTTGTAACAGGCTGATTGGATGAACGAAAGGGCGTGGAGTGATTTTTCAAGATCATTGGCATCAATACCAGGAAGCGCAAGACCCAGCAATGTTGTCATATGACAACGATAACCTCTGGTGCGTGCAATGATACGAGATAGCACTTGCATGGCCCGAAGAGAGGATGTGGTCCGGTGCACTTCAACCAGACCCTGCAGTGCAGGATAAATTCTTTGCAGAGCCCCGGGTAGAATGAGATTGGGTTCCAAGTAGGCGAGGCCTTGCAAGGTCGAAAGTGAAAAGGTCATAGCAGTGCTGCTCTTGGCATATATACCCATGAAGATCACGTCACGGATGCACAGGACGAAACGCCGCTTCAGAGGCTCAGTCAATCTGCGCTCGGGAGGAATATCCATCTCACCACTCTGCTCACGATTCCAACGCATAACGAAGAAGTCAGTCAGATAGTATACCAACTGTGACAAGGTCTTGGTCCAGCCGCCCGAGTTGGAAGGGTGGAAAAATGTTTCTACGGCTTGAATGAGGCCTTCAAGCTGGGTGAGAATTGAGTTCTTGGAATCCACACATGCAGGTGAGAGTGACATGACAATCCATCGCGCGATGTGATGGGCAACCGGGTGCTTCCGCCCATCTCGATCAAGCATGATACCCAGACCGGATGAAATATCCACCAGGGCGCTGTATGGAGAAGTAGATTGTCCGACAGGAATCTCTAGCAATCTCAGGATTGCAGTGAAGATTAGAGCAGACTGTTCTTTGGTGAATATACCATATTCAGAGAATGGGATGTGACCGGCTGGCAGAGAATCCCGGGCCAGTCGGGAAAGATAATCAAGGTAGGTAGTATCAAAGGTTTTTGAGCGGCCAACCAAAGACCACAGGTGGAAGTGTGTAGGCAGATAATTCTGGGGCAAAAGATCGGCTCGCAATTCCGGAGGCGGGCATGTCGGAAGCAACAAATTAATGAGCCCTGCGACAACAAAAGCGCCCTCGGAGAATGATGTGGTATAATGAGGCAAAAACTCCTCGAGCATGGCGGGGAGTTCACAGGGATCAACGAATAATTGTGCGAATGCGCAAAGTTTGGTCAAGGTCTTGACATTTCGTTTCAAATTGGTCGAATGAACGAGGCCGGACTCGGTGGGGAGGACGAAGGCTTTCAGCTCTTTGTAGAGGGGTTTCCAATCTAATGTCAAGTCTTTGACGGGTCTGAGATAATGTTTGCGCCTAGGTATTGGATCAGCAAACAGCCAACTGGATGCTGTAACGAAATCAAAGCCTGACTTACTTGGTGAGCAGCATGAACATGCTCGAAAACCGCTCGGCGACTTGGGGATCAATCCCAGGAGCGAGTGCCAGCTCATAATACAATTTCACAAGACTTATGCGTTGCGCTCGAGTGGGATCGAACTTGAGCGACAGCCAGCCGCGAAGCTCGCGTGTCCAGTGCACGGCTCCGGGGTTGAAGTCGCCGGCTTCCACCGCAATGTAAAGCTGATTCAATATCTCCCGTAGGTTCTGATTCCGTTCGGTCTCATTTTCTAGCTCATATGGAAGATATCTGAAGTAAGGGTAAGTGCGAGGCCGCACGCGGGCTATGGGTTCCCCTTCGCCATTCACGCCGGCGGGTTCCCCTCCAGGCGAGGTTGCCCGTGAAATTTCTTGTGTAGGATGAAAGTTGTCGGATGTGAGAATCGCCTTGGGGCCGGAGGCGTCCATGATGGAAGGTAGGGAGGGAAATGGATGCGACAAAAGGCGGAGATGAGGTGAGGAGTCGCCGTTGCTGTCGACAGCGGGTGAGCTCTGGCAATACGTCAGCAATGCCGATGTTTCACCAAACACCACTTTTCCGTGCGGAGATAACCACACAACAGGATTTAAAAAGTTTCCTACCTCGAAAGGGAAGTCTCAAGCTTCCAGGCCGAAAAGCGCGGGATTCGAAACCGAACACAGTGTTTCAAAGGGCTGTGTTCGCATGAGGTACTTTTTTGGGGAAGCGAAAGCGAAGAGGTGATGGGCGCGGATTCTCCTTTGGCATCCAACAGTTCAGTAAATTCAAGTCACTCTCTTTTCGAAAAGCTTGAATGTTGAAAGTCAAGAGGTCAAAGGGGAGGAGAGTCGAGGACGTGATGACATAATTCTACGTAACGAAGCTTGGGCCCTGCATAGACCCGCGTGGAAAGATCCGAACTAAGATGGAGAGGTTGAGAGTTTGGGAGGTTGAGAAGTTGTTCACTGTCTTTTAACACAATTTGTTTATGTTCTTTCTAGCTCATATGTTTCGTTTTATATGATGGATGGATGGTGGCATGGCGACTGCGCCGTATTACAAATTTAGGCAGACAGCCGCCTTACGCAAGTGAATCGTATCGCCCAACTACCTGCGCAACTACGATTCGGGGTATCTGCATGTTTGACCATTCACGAGAGTCTATAGACTCTAACTTGCAACTTTAAAAGCAGTTTAATATACATAGCAGGTGGCCCGGGACAATATCCAGCCGACTCTGCTTACCACACTCGTTCATGCCGGCGGCAAAAAGGAACCAAAAAGAACCCCCTGGATCAATGCATAGGCCACCATGCTATACACAGCAACGACTAGAGTGCGGCTCTTCTTCAGTGAGCTGGACTCAAAGTCCACGGCACTGGTTACCAGGTACCAATACCACAAAGGGTATCCCGACGAAATCCGATTGATAATCTGGACATGGTAGCTTGTAAACGCCATGACTGCCAGTATGCCTTGGGGAATCGCCAACCGAGTGAGCATCGACCCCGGGCTAGTCGAGGACGAAGAGGGGCTCTTCAATGCCCACAATGAAGATTTGCATAAAACGACCAACATGGGCGTTGCCAGCAGGAAAAGAGGTATGTTGGAAATAGTCCAATATCGAAGGAATCCAACATCCCTGTTTTAATCAGTACATGTAAATTGAGCGATCAGAAACAAGACTTACCAATAATGACTCTGGACCCAGCCATAGATGCTAGGCACAGTCCACTCACACCACGATCGAACATCGGCTTCGGCCAGACAGTAGATGCGATATGCCAAAATCTGAGGTATGACAATACTCGAGGCAACAATACAGCCAGCCAGAATGATGACGGCAAGGCGGATAGTGTTGTGCAGTGTAGGCCCCTGAGTCACGGTCTTCCAAGTCAAGACCACTGCATCGTAGGCAAACAAGAACCCACTGAGAAGCCCATTGCTGCGAACCATGGTGGCCACAGCAAAAAGAACGGCCGAGGTGAGAACCCTCACGTCCCGAAGGCATGTTGCCCCATTGCGTTCTGCAATGAGCGACGACGAGTAGAGGTAGAAGCCAGTTATGTTGAGGAAAGAGACTATCGGCTCTCCATACGGTGCAGACAGGAAGGCACCTGCCGGTGAGATAATGTGTAGGGCCGCCGAAAGGAAACAAATTAGATGCTGAGTGGCTGTGGCATGACCAAATATATTGGCTGACAGTCGATAAAGTGCCAAGACGGACAAGTAATGGGTGACATGCGAGATAACCACTCCCACCATTGCAGTGCTAGCTGGTCCAGTAACACCCCCGGACAGACGAATGCCTATGTCATATTAATTTTTTACCACACTAGGTCTTGAGCAAGGATACTCACCAGAGACGAAGACACCCAAAAGCTTTGGGTAGCCAAAAGCCCATTCTTGTTCAAATATGTAACCCTTTTCAGCGATATCTAGAAAGTAGATACTGTCCCATCTCGCGAATTTGAGAGGACCCGAAAGAGACTCGGACTTGCTGGCAACACTTGAATCGGTATAAGAAAGCAAAGAGGTGGATGTGTCATAGCCCAACCCTGGGCAGGTAGTGACAACAATGTATAGCAAAACCTTCCATAGCCAAAATGCCACAGTCAAGCTTCGAATTGGATTATCCAATCGAAGTAGCTTGGCGAACAAAGGTGGTGGCCTTTGAGTGGGTTGAACTGAGGCCATCCCGGTTGACTTTTCAAAGGTCAGCGATATGTTCCCAATTAGGGCAAGATGGAAGGACTATAGAGTCTAGATTCTCCCTCTTGTTTTCGTGCAGTCACGGCATGCCGAGGCAGAGAAAAGTGGGAAGTTCATAAATATGCATAATTAGTCAGCGGAAAATTCGCGCGGGCGGTCTCCGATCTACTTTTTTGATTTGAAGATCACCATGCTAACTTTGCACTTCTAATCGGGGACAATGGTTCTTTAACTCAAAGTCATTGACTCAGACACTTTTCAAAACACTTCAGTATACGAGAAATGGCAAAGAATCAAGCGAAATTGAATTCAATCCCGCCCTATACGTCTTTCTCTTTAGCAGTTCGCCACTCAGAGCTCTTTTTCCCTCGGCCCAAATTACATAGCTCCATCATCAGATAGAGTTGCGGCGCATTAAATTGCCCGAATCCCTTGTCTGATATGATTTCAAAATCCCTCGGACTGATGTTCCGAAGAAAAATCTGCTGTTGAGCGTGATAAGACGACCCACTATACCGCACAAAACTACAACTAATTTTTGTTCACCTCTTGGCTGAAAAGATTCATTAGCTAGTTTCCAATTAGATGGGGCTTGCCAAGAAGGTGGCAGGCTCGAATCCTTGAACTCTTCAGGGCTCATGACGTCCAGAGGCTATTATATGATCGCCGCTCAATCCGGATGCCGGATCGTGTCGGAGCCCGTCTGGCCGATTCCCGCTGACAGGGCATAAAGCTGCATTATTTTGGATCAATTGTGCGAGTCTCCCATAAAAATTGTCGGAAATTGTAATTATTTCTGGTAATAGGTGACTTCTATAAGGCTGACCGCCCCATTTATTTCAGGTCCCTTCTTCATTGTTCCTTCTATGTAATAAGAAACCTATATCCCTTTCACTATTTTCTTTTCGCCCCTTGCATTTTTCATACACAATTATCAAGCCCTCTCGAAGAAGGTGTAGCTCATCTTTCAAACTTGACGTGTTCATATTTCATTTTTCTTCCTTCTTTACTGCAGGCGTCATTAGCCACCCCACACACAGCTCCGGGCTGAATCTCCCCCGCAGCTGACGCGTTTGAATACGGGCGTTCACGTCTAGATCGTATTAAGCTGAAATTCCCAATCTTGAATTCTCAATACTCCAATGTGGCTCCGCTAGGGCTCAAGAATGCTGTTGAATCTTGGCCTTACAGCGGATGCCGCAGCTGCCCACGCGAATGAACCCGTTAACCAACAAGAAACACCTTCTAATATCTACTCGTCTCCTTTCTCATTTTCAGCTCTACCTTTATTGAACACTTTTTGCTCTCGTCCAAAACCCCCTGATGGGTTTGCTGAGTTCCCCGGGGTTGTATCCGCTATGGAGATGAGGCCCGCCGAACCAGCATCGAGTTCGGGTGAAGCTTCCAACACATCGGGCTCTGTTGTCGCCAGACCTCGTGTCACTCGTTCAAGCACAGGGCGGAAGACGCGACCAAAAACGGCTTATCAGTTCGCGCATCCCGCAGCTCATGCTCGTCACAAGCGGTTGAGACTTCGCCCCAAGCTCCTCTTGCAGTTGCAACAGGTGTCGCAAACCCCCAGACCAATACCAGTCGTTGACATCCTGCCATCTACGTCCTACCTACCCCTCTTGGCGCGCAAATTCCCGGCTATATATCGCACAAGAAATGGATTAGGTCCATACGATGTGGTTGTCGTGATAAGCGAACAATACGAGCGCACCGTTGCCAGCATCCCTGAGAAACACGTCAGTTCGGAAGACGAAGACGAAGATCACCGCGAGGTTGTGGCCACCATCTGTCAAAAGCTGCAGGAAGACGCGAGGTTGAAGGGCAAGGCGGAGATCTGTCTCAACTTTGGGCCCGTCTGGGAGGCTACACCTCTTCCAAGCGGTTCTTATGAGTTCGTTGCTCAGACAGATGACGGTGTGCAAGTGGTGCGGTGGGCATTGCGCGGTGGAAGGAACCGTCGGATGACTGCGCCTACAGGGACGCATTCTCGCGACGATGGCAAACGATTCACTTTCAGTGTCATTGACCCTACCACCCGCCGGCATCCGGTAATCGCATCCATGACTCGAAATCAGCTAGAGGTAAATGATGAATACTCCATGCCTACTCGAAACGGTACTGGTCCCGCCACCCCAAATTCAGGGATGTCAGTGATTAGCGATGTCTCGGATGGAGAGACTCCACTCGATGCAAACTCGGTCATTCTTGATGATGGACTCCGAACTCTGATTATCATCACCGGCATATGGGTTGCCTTCCGCGAGGGATGGTCCGACAATTTCCGCTACGGTGACCCAGTGTCTTCTGCCGGCCCAAGATCGATCAAGTCTCCTTCGTCCTCAAGGCACCCCTCTCCAACGACCGCCCGAAGTGAGAACGACCCTTTCCCAGATAATGATCAAGCTAGTCCAGTGAAAGATCTATCCAACGGGGCCAAACGATGCATGTCGATTTCCAGCATTCGCCGATCCAGCAGTACGGCCCCAACAGATGGAAAGCAGTTTGGTAGCTTGTCCAAGCGCTCAAACTCGACTGGTGCCACATTCATGGATCGAGCTAAACGACGGTCCGCCTCGGGCCTGAGCATTCGAGTAAACCGACATAGCATGTTCACTAGCTCGGGCGAGAACGGCCGTGAGATCGTTGTTTCTCGTCCCCCATCACGCCCTCCATCCCTACGGCAAAGTTCTATGGAATCGGAAGAGCTAGCTCGATCTGGTCGACCGAAAGAAAAGTCGCCTGCGAAAGCCAGACCGGATAAAGAACATACGAAACCCGCATCAAAGCCCGATAAAAATTTACCAACATCAAACTCCAACAACATACCATACAAAAGCTCTCGCAAGGAGAGGCTTGACTCTCCACGATCCGAAGCAGCCGACTCAGCTCCGACCAAGGGCAAGCTTCGCAACCGCTTCAGTTCATTATTTGGACTTTTCCACCGAAAACACGAAACTCATTGACACTCATCTCCTATTTTGTATACCCCTGCGTCATGCCTGTGGCCAGTCCACCCATGTCTACTTTCACAGCATCACTTTGACTCTGAGCACACATAGCATATTGGTTGGGCGTTCCTTGGGCACTGCAGTCCGTCCGGTACGGATCGTTGTCCTTCTTTCATTTTCTTTTATATCTCGACTCCTCTCTGTCTCATTCCAACTAGCATCTTGCATCATTGCATTCTTCCAACCTTTTGTTTCCATACCTTCCCCTCTATACGTTCATGTCTGTGCTCTGTAGGATCCAACTTTGATGTATCTCTTCTACCCCTGTACATCGCTAGATATCTATTCATCACACTACACATGAATAAAACACAAAGATCAAGAACAGCCAAGATCATCCGCAGTATTTCTCTGAACGACAGCACACTGAAGAGATTTTTGTACGTTCATTACTTCATAGAACGTATTGAAATATATAAATCAAAACAGAGCAAGACTATATCATTGATCACGATGATTAATCAGCCTACAGCATCGAACAGCTCCAAAATTGCGCAGTCTTGTTAGTAGGTGCCCCGATGTAAAGCTGCTGCCCGTTCTTCTTAAACCAAACAATAGCCTTCTGTCCCTCCGCACTAAAACCAACTTAGCAAAACTATCAGCCATCTTCTCATTCTTCGCCCCAGCCCCAAAAAGCATATGGGTAGAATTAAGCAAAGGATTATTCGGCGCATCAGTCGCCGACTTATAAATCGTCGTCCGATTCTGCAGCTCAGCTGAAATAGAAAGATATGTCCCCCGGTTCCTAATCGTATACACCTCAAGCAATCAAGATAGCAGCCGTCAGCGCCTGGGTCGGATACGTAATGTACTGGTGGTACCAAATTGAGTGCGCAGTCGCCCGCGGCATCTTCCCGGTTTGGATCCACGGCCGGGAATCCTTGATACTGGTAGCGGACTTGTCGTACCGCTTGAGGAAGCGCACAGGCGGTTCACTGTCGTCGCCTTCTGCGGCGCCGTACAGGTCCGAGAACATGGAATTGAGATCGGTTGTTCTGGAGAGATTGGCCGGGTTTGGGGTCGGACCTACGAGGAGCAAGTGGTCGTGCCAGGCATACCAGACTGGCGACTTCGCGATGCCTTGGTTGGTGACTATTTTCTCGGATGATGGCGTGTAGGTAATACCTATGACGACGGCGTCGGACTTGAGGTAGTTGGTTGATTCGGTTGTGTCACCCTTGTACCAAACGACGCGGAATGGGTCGGAGCCGTTGCGCGCGCTGGATTGGATGAGCCCGTTGGCCAGGATAAGACACAATGAATCCCACGAAGCTCTGTACATTGTGGATATCCAAGGTCCATGGTGATACCGCAGCCGATCCTCTTAATGGGTCATATCCGACACATGGGTAGAACATTCATGATTTGGGAGACTAATACAGGGCTTCTGTACTAGATTAGGTCTAGGGGTGATCGACCTACTCCGAATATTTTGGTGTAGAAATTTTTCTTCAAATGTGATCAAGGTCGGCGATTGCCAAGGAAAAGAAAGTGAGACAGTCATGATCTCTACTTATCGTTCGTTAATAGTTCATGATGGCTCGGAAGCCACAAGTCATGGGAGTTGCCGCTCCCAGTTTTGATATGCAATTGGTCTGACGAAGAAGGCAAATACTTCAGGAATTTAGCAATTTGAGTCTTTTTTAACAATCGTTGGGCAGTGACGAGGCTCTCAATGTTTTCGAGTGATTGGCCAGTTCTGACATATTGAATTGATTGAAATTCAAAAAAAACTGGCCGAAAGGGCCTAGGGCCCTGTGTGGCGCTTATGAACAAAGAATGATTGCCGAGCTAAGAAAACTTCATTGCGGCTGCTTAAGTAAAGTGGATTTTGCAAAATGTGAACGACCAAAAAATGCTTCTGGGTTCATATTCCTTGAGCTTGCCAAGTCAGAGAGCTTCATACAAACAAAGAGCGGTTCGAAGAGAGACAAGATGTACAAGATCCATGAATGGTTCAATCTGAGATACAAGGCATTTACCGCTCAAGAGCAGTAACTGCTTTGGGAACATAAGGCTCCTCCAGGTATTTGATCTCTTCCGGAGACAACTGCACCTTGATAGCAGCAACCGCCTCATCGATCCGAGCAATACTATGAAGTCCAACAATAGGGTTGACACCAGTATGAGTCAACGACCAGGCAATAGCAATCTGCGCCATGTTGACGCCCTTCTTCTTTGCAAGCTCCTCAACTCGGTCAATAATAGCCTTGTCAGCTTCGGACTCGCGAGTGCGCACAAACATCTTCAGCGCGCCATCGCTGTTCTCGCGCACCGTTCCGCGAGAGCCCCAGGGCCGGGCGAGTGCACCCCGAGCAATAGGTGACCAGGGGATCAGGCCCACGCCAGAATCTTGGCAGTAAGGGATCATCTCGCGCTCTTCTTCGCGGAAAATGAGGTTGTGGAAGTTTTGCATTGAGATGAACTTGTGCCAGCCGTTTCGCTCGGCGATGTTTTGGAGTGTTTGGAACTCCCAGGTTGCCATCTGCAAATACATTAGGATTATCATGGCGAGAAGCGGTGGAACAAAGACCACATACTGAACTGGCACCCAGGTACCGAACCTTCCCACTCTCAACGACATCGTTCAGCGCTTTCATGATCTCCTCGCGAGGAGTCTCCCGGTCCAATCGGTGGATCTGCAACACATCAATGTATGTGCCGAGACGTTCGACGCTAGCATCGACTGCGTCGAAGATGTGCTTACGCGACAAGCCGGTACGGTTAACAAAGGGACCGTCGTTAGTTGCAGATGCGGAAATGGGAGGGAAGTTTCCCTCGTCATCAACACCGAAGAAACACTTGGTCAAGATCACCACACGGTTACGGGGGATGTTGTATTTCCTCAAGGCTTTTCCGACAACTTCCTCTGATTTGCCGTGAGAGTAGACATCGGCCTATTCGCAGAAGATCAGCATCTCCATTGTTCGAACATTAACCTGAGATCTGATCCACTGACCGTGTCCCAGGTGTTAATCCCAAGCTTGTAGGCATGTTCGATGAGCGGCAGTGACTCCTCCTCATCCAGTACCCAGTCTTGCCATTGTTTGCTTCCAAAACCCATAGTTCCCAAGACGATCTTGGAGATCTTTAGGCCGGAGTTTCCAAGGCTGTTGTAGTCATCATATCAGTATCGCGGCGTGGTATGTTTGCGAGTGCGGGGTCCATACCGGACGTATTCCATGGTGTCGGTCATTGTATGAAAAGAGATACGACAAATTTCTGTAATTTATGTCAGTTAATATTAAATTTTTGATCTTATCCTGCTGAGTATAGCTCGGATGACGTCGGTGTTCTATGAGGGGAGGTCGACTACTTACTGCAACCACCACTTATTGAGAATATTGAAAGAAGAGATTGAAGGCAGAAATACTAAAAGATAAATCGCGCAACTGAAGAAACAAATTATGAGTCAAAAACTCCAGGGCTTCTCCAAATACATTAATAATCCACTTCTCGGTCAATGATCAATATGCCGAAAACAGGAAGCGCGATGCACATAGCCGACAAATACCCGGAAAGCGTTCCACGGATCCACAGCGCTTATATTGATCGGCCCAGAAAATCGGATGCTTAAACTTTGGGGTTGACGTACTTGTACATTACTTCGTAGAACAAATCGCACAACCTCGGGTCGTATTAGGTGGTAGGGCTGTGGCTTCTTGCAGGGATGTGTGTAAGGCCCCATCGTCCTTTTCGTGTCACCGCTTCCTCCGTTACAATGGATCTGGTTTCGTCTCAGTAAGCCTTCCCGATGCACCAGACGGTGGTCTGGTAAATCGCTAGCCATCCGTCACTGTTTGCGCTGTGGGGTAGCGAAGATAATCAAGAAATAAAAATTAATCAGACTAGCGGTGATTTTGCGCGCTCCCATTTTCTCAATTCTGTGCCAATACATGGAATATGTAGCTATACTGTGACTGTAGAGTTAACCAATCCAAAAGTGTTCTAGTTTCGAGAGCAAATCCATTATTGATCAAAGCGTTATGACCCTTGCTGGGGTGCTGAGTTTGTTCCTGCTTCCAGGTATCATGAAAATATTGGAACCGACCGACCCCTCCATATCTATGAGATAAGCAAACTCGATGGCATCCTTTACATCTAGGGACACGATACATCCCTTACTCAACCTCCAGACTCTAAAACTTGACAGCGAAACACCAAAGACTTTGCAAGGTACAATCGCAGAGCTGTTTTCCTATTTGGGGCCATGCTAATTTTTGGGCAGATTTCTTGCACAGTCGTGGCAAAAAAGACAATTGCTACCGGAAGACGAAACCAAGGCACTTTTTGCAAAGTTTGACAAGAACCTCAAAGCCCTTGCCCAATTCTTGCCACCTCCATTCAAGTCGAGATTGGTCAGCATTGACGAATTGCTCGCAGATCATGAACAGAACAGGTAGAGATCTTCAAACACGAACACATTCAAGATAAGAACCTCGGAATTTTGCAACTGTCCAAATAAGCCCATATTTATATTTATACACGGTGAGTTTAACCAGGGTAATCCTATCGCCGAGTCTCCACAGGGATACTCATCACTATCCATTTTCGAAGACTCGCCCGTTAAGGGGGGGATTACAAAGATGAGAAAAAGCAAGGTGAGAGACTCTCGTTAGAGATGCAGTACCAATCTCACAAAATCGGGCTGAGCTCTCAAGGATGTGCGACCTCCTTCAGATATCAAACCTTTCGCCCAAACGCCATTGAATCTGGATGTTGCTATTGTCGGCGCAGGGATTGGTGGGTTATCGGCTGCTATTGCACTAGTTCGAGATGGCCACCGTGTGACGGTATACGAATCAGCCGCAGAACTTTCAGAGGTCAGTTTTCAGAGTAACCTTTAGACTACAACGGCCAAAAACCAAACCATAATCTAACGACGTGCATGAATGCACTTATAGATCGGCGCCGGCGTTCAGATGTCACCAAATGGCGTCCGCCAATGGCTCGAATGGGGGATAGGCCCAAATCTGCTTGAAAGATCATTGATGCCATCCGAGATGAAACTTCGACGCTGGAAAGATGGGGAATTTCTATCTCGAACAGAACTCAACCCGGACTTCGAGAGAAAATTCGGCGCACCGTACCTAGTTCTCCACCGTGCTGACCTGCACAGTGTGCTTCTCAAGCATGCGGTCAAACTAGGCGTGAAAGTCCGAGTTGGCAGCCGTGTGATTGAATATGACTTCGATACACCGACGATTAAATTGGTCAATGGCGAGGTTGTACAGCCAGGCTTGGTTGTCGCAGTAGATGGTACGTTGTGACTCAAGCATCAATTAATCAGAATTCTGTATAGACTGACTACATCCAAGGAATCAACTCTTTTGCTAGAAGCCAATTTTCCAAATTTCCGTATCGAGGTCCTCAAAAGACTGGTGTTGCTGCCTACCGCCTCATGGCAGACATCGCGGATCTAAAGGCGGATCCTGAAACAGCTTGGATTGTGTCTAGTACTGATCTCAACCTTTGGTATGTGCTTTGTTGGTTTTTGATGGTATTGAGACTGATAGAATTGACAATAGGGTGGGAAATAATTGCTCTGCAATGTCATATATGATTTGCAATGGAAAGTATTTGAATCTAGTTCTTTCACATCCCGATGCGACCGATACTTCCAACAAGTCACAGCAAGAACTAACAGAAGAAATGCTGTCATACTTCCATGATTGGGATCCAGTGTATGTATAATCCATACTACCTGATTGGGATCACACTATCGCCCACTAATAATATCCATAGATTGATGAAGATCGTCGAAAAGAAGAAGACAATCCAGAACTGGCCTTTGTTCGAAGTAGATCCTCTCGACAAATGGGCTTCCGATTCTGGAAAATTCATAGTGATAGGTGATGCAGCTCATGCAATGGTCCCTTATCTATCGATGGGTACGCGTTGATCATCTCCGAATATTATTGCCAACAAGTCGGAAGCCTTGCTAATCAAATTATAGGCGTCTCAATGGCAGTGGAGGATGCCGCTGCTCTTGCCAAAGCACTGAGTTACATGAAAGACAGAAGCGATCTCCTACCGGCTCTTCAACTGGTGGAGAAACTTCGTATTCCTCGCACCAAAAGAGTCCAAGAGGCGAGCTTTTCCAACGGGCAAGTCCTACATCTCTGCGATGGACCAAGCCAAAGGCAAAGGGATGCCGCACTAAATCCATCTGCGGAGGGAAAGCTACTCGATAATAGCCCTTATGGTCTGAACGATCCAAAAACCCAAGCATGGTGCTATGGCTACAACGTCGTACGGGATGTTGAAGATTATGTCAGATCTGGAGGTTTTAGAGTCAATAGCCATCCATAAATTTAGTTCATATATCGCTGTGATCTCCTATTCCAGGAATGACCTACGAATGAAATCACTTCCGTATCCACTAAACATAAAGCTACTAGCTAGTTCAAGTTAAGATCTATGTAGAAAGTTTTTTTTTACTTTTAGCCTGAAACTGAGGATCTTGCAACAGGCAGACATGTAGTAAACTCTCCCAATTTACGGTCAAAATCACTCTCTGTAGTATGAGACGCTATTTTCCCTTCTTCAAATGACATTCGCCGCTTCCAATTCATGATTTTCATGTCTTTGAACATACACACTTCAAGGTCACGTGTGTTCTATTTATAGGCTGTCCCGAAGAGGCAAAAAGAAAAACGAGTACGACATCTCTCCATTCTGCAAAGCCTCCGACTATGATGAAAAGCACACAGGGTGCGATCCGGTCGCGAAAATCTCATCATAAATCTCGTTTAGGATGTGGAAACTGTAAGAAGCGACGTATAAAGGTGAGTTGCCACTCAGCATTTCTCTTTCTGATCCTCTCGTGTTCTGCTTTGTGCCACATGATGGGCAAAAGAAAAGAGTCCAACCGTTTCAATGTACTGGAACTTGTTCGCTCCTTATTTTGTTTCCTCCATGAGCGGACAGAGTGGATAGAGAGTGAAAGTCTTGATGAGAGCCTCACTAATAGTCCACAGTGTGACGAAAAGAAGCCGGCATGCATCAAATGCACCAATCATTCCATCGAGTGTGACTTTTCGTCAGAAGCAGCCAGTTCCTCAGATTCGCCTTCTTCGGAAACAGCCGCACATGTATCCTCAACTGCGCGCTTCCGATTCAAGCCTTCAAAATACCAATCTGAGAAACGCACATCCCTGGATGAGACAGCCCAGATATCCCAAGAGGAAGTCTCCGCCACTGCTGAACCAAATATCCCTGTTCTATTACCGCAGAGTCGAGATACTATATCCTTTGAAGATTTGGAACTCTTTCACCACTTCGTCACAGAAACACACCGCACACTGGTCGATGAAGCAACCGACCGCCACCGGATTTGGCAGACGCACCTTCCAAAATGGGGCTTCTCTTCACCGTCAATCTTCCACCTCATTCTGACAATGGCAGCCTTACACAAGGGCCATCTATATCCAGAAATCCGAGAACAGTATGTGATGCAGGCAGATTCCCATTTCACATTTGGAATCCGATCCGTGTCAGCAATCCTGTCAAGTCTCGACTCGGATAACTGTCAGTTGATATACATGTCAGCAGTGCTGATATGCCTTGTGTACTTTGCACACGGTCCAAGGACCGGTGAATATCTCGTTTTCAGTGAGACGGGAAAGGCCGAGTGGCTTGTTCTCATGAGAGGCGTGCGATCGATCTTGACGTCTAATCGCGAGAAGATATTTACCGGTGTTTTGGAAATTCAGATTGATCCGACGGTTCAGGGTGTCAGCCCATTGTTGCAAACCGAGCTGCGGGAACATCAGTTCCGCATTGAAGAAGTTCGACGCTTTATCGAAATGAAGCTTGGCGAGGGCTCCTGCGGGATATATTTAGGTGCTCTTGACAACTTGATGGAGATGTTTGAGGAGTCGTACCAGACACTAAGTGCTGGGAAGGATGGTATCTGCTTGATGTCCTTTGTGGTCGGATGGATATACAGGCTACCTGAGGAGTTTGTTGGGTTGCTTGAAGAGAAGGATCCAATTTCGTTGATAATACTTGCTTATTGGTGTGTGCTGTTGAAATTCATGAAATCCTCGTGGCTTATGATCGGTTGGGATCGGCATGTCCTTGGAGGAATCCAGGCTTCTTTGAGTGAGGATCTCCACCGGTGGATCGAGTGGCCTGTGAGAGTAATCTGTGGTTGACACAACTGAATTGAGAGAACAATTGGTTGCCATTATGACATTCGCTAAATAAAAGAGAAAATAACTGTGACACAAAATCATACAAATCATCCACTATCCCCAAACATCCTCCTGCCACTTGTTTTTCTTCTTGATTGTCTTGCTCCAAGCATTAACCTCATCCTCACTCCATCCCTTGACCCCTTTCATAGTCTTCCCAACAACCTTCTCAACTTCACGAGCCATACCAGCCCGCCCACAGACATAGAAATTACCACCTTCATCAATCAACCGAGTGACATCATCACCAAGCTCGGCAACCCGGTCCTGCACATACTGACGAGGCGTCCCCTCTAATCGAGAGAAAGCAGTGACAACACGCAATCGATCACCCAACGCCGCTTGCATTTCTTCCAACTCCTCCCGATAGATGTAATCTTCGTTGGGATTCCGACATCCAAAGAATAGAATCATCTGGCCGACCTCCTTACCGATCTTGAGAACCTGACAGCGCTCAGAAAGGAATGCCCGGAAAGGCGCGATACCCGTTCCTGCAGCGACCATAATCAATGGCGTCTTGCCCAGAGCCGGGAGCTTAAATTTGCTTCGTCGGATATGCGCGAATATCTTTCCACCTTGGAGGGCGTCACTCGGGCCGTTTAGATGGTACGTGATTCCACTGGGGTGGGACTGGGAGCGGGTTTGCTGAGAGATGGCGAGAAGATAATTGGATGTGACACCGTGGATGAGCTCGTTGGGATTTTCTGGGAGAGGAGTTGTTGATACGATAGCTGTGATGGAAGGTTTGCGAGGTGATACCATGCTGCTTGATGAGATCGAATAGAACCGGGGCCGGATGTGAGGTAAGGTTTCGACGAGGTATGAAAGTGGAAGGTTATCCCAAGGCTTGTCAGGGCATGCCAGTTGCAGTAGTCGGCCGAGGTTGACGTGTGTGTGACTGATGAATCTGGCGTATGCATCCTTGTCTTGGCCAAGTGCAAGGAGATAGGCCTTTGCTTCCGGGGTGGGTGCAAATTGTGCCAGGTCGCGAATGTTATCGCGGTTCACGGGTGCACAGATCTCGAGGTAATACCGGAAGATTGCAACAGAGCTGGTTGGGGTTGGGATCGTGATCTTGGTTGCTGGGTCGAGCGCCCTGATACCGAGTGGAATATCGCGGCGCGAAGAAATCCCGAGGACATCGAGTAGGCGTTCCACTTCAATATCAGGATTTCCTGGCCAGATAGCAAGGTGGTCTCCGGTTTTGTAGCTAAGCTCGGGCTGGTTGGTCAGGTCTAAATCCATGTGTAGACAGTGACGATCAGACGAGGTAAATAGCTCCCTAGAGTCTGAAATGCTCAAAGTACGGATGGCTGAGGATTGAGCTGCCGCCTTTGGAGCTTCCACACGGGTGTTGGGCTCGCCATGATGCAGATCGATAGGCTCGAGAGATTCGTCTTCCTCGACCTTTGTGCTCGGGATATACTTGGCTTCTGCCTCTTGGAACCCCAAATTGTCTTTGAAGATTGTGAAAAGGTCCTCTTTCCATGACATGAAGTCTTCCTCGGTTGCCCCTTCTGCGTCATTTGCCTTTCCAACAGGCATAAGAGCCTGTGCGCCGAACTTGTCTAGGCCCTCCACGACAACATCGACAACTCGGTTATAGAATTTGTAGTTGGTGTTTCCCAAGCCAAAGGCCGCGTATCGCAAGTTGGAGAGCGACACGTCACTGGCTTTGGAGATCCAGCTCCAAAACTCGGCTGTATTGTCGCTGGGGTCTCCTTCGCCGTATGTTGAAACAACAAAAATAGCCAACTTAGCGCGGGGAATTTCACTGATTGTGATTGGGTCGTAGTCGGAGAGGTCTGCGGTCATGGCTTCCTGGCCCCAGCGAATAGAGATCTCCCTGGCAAGACGATGGGCGAAGCCCTCTGCTGTGCCGGACTGAGATCCCCAGAAGACAGCAATATCCTTGCCCGTCTCTTCCAATTTCTGTGCAATGTTTCGTGTCTCCTTGTTGGCTGAGCCAGCTTGTCCGCCATTCTTGAGCTGAGGTCGTTCGAACCAGAGGTGGTGAAGTGGATCTGGTTTGTCCCATAGCCGACCTTTTGAAAGGTATGTGGCTCCAATTCCACCTAAAACGGCTAGGGCAGCATAGTCGGCAAATCCTGTTGGTGTGGTATACTTTGAAAGCTCTTGCAAGAGTTCTGGTGGGACGTTGAGAGGTGGGAAGGTCACCATGGTTCTCGGAAATGACAAGCTTATGGATGTTGGGAGGCTATCAATGAATCAAAAATGATAAGTATCTCAGGGGAACACCGGGCGTTTATATAATTCAGAGTCGATATAGTAAGTTCACTAAGTAACATGTCAAGTAGCTAGGGGAATCATGGTAAAGAAATAAATTTCCGTTTGAGTAATTTCCGATCGGCTTTCCATTGAGTGGCAATGAGAATGTCCACTTCAAGACGTCTCGTTGCTTCATGTGGGAAACGGGCAACAATGCAAGTCTTGGTTCTAGATGAAGATCACATATCGAATGAATCGGGCTATATTCGCCGCAACTGGTCAGCGATCAGGGTCCACGGGGGTCAGAAAAAATAAGAGCCAATCCGACAAATGAAATGAGTCCCCGCAATATCCCCCTCATTCTCGCTTGTCTAAATTGCCATATTAGATGGATGAGGAATGGAAATCGTGGAGACTGGAGCGCATATTGCGGGGCAATCTCGTAACATGAGATAATATAAGTTGCGGGTGGGAGGGCCGTATTGGTGAAGATGACAACCCTAATTGAGAGTATTGTCGCCGATAATCAAAAGGGGAAACGTTGTCCGAGGAACGCGGGGGAACTTCCCCGTCAAACTGTGGGCGGGGATTATATCCTGTTTCTGTCACTGCAAGTGAGTTTGCAGTGATCATTTGAGCAGCCCTTTATTTTCGTAACGAAAGCATTCTGTGAGTTATGTGCAAATGATATAAGTGAGTTGGCTATTTTACTGGTTCATGACGCTTGCGAACAAGACATCAAGCCTATTCGACACCATACTTAGACAAGATCCCACTACGTGTCTCGAAGCTTGATTAAAACTTGGCAATGTCACGTTCGAATGCATTGGAGTTTGAAAAGTTGTCAAGTTCTTCATATCGGAAATGTATTCATCAAATCCGTCTAGTAATAAAATATAATTAAGAATAGAAATTCAATCCTTTCTCAAATTGATATCTCTATGCTTCAGCTGTACCCAAACCACGACGCCAAATTTTCACCGGCATATCACCCAAAATCAAATTCATTGTCTCCAGTCGCTTCAGCTCCCAGCCAGGGTGTGACAAAGCAAAGTCGTATCGATGCACCATAGAAGCAATGGCCTTAGTCTGCTCCAGGTACGAGATATTGCGACCAATGCAAGACCGGGCACCAGCAGAGAAGGCAATCAAGTACGGTTGTAAAGCCTTGCCCTCTTCTCCAAGCCACCTCTCAGGAATATACTGGTCCGCGTTGGGGAAGACACTCTCGTCACGGTGTGCCACGAGAGCAGACATACTGACTGTAGTGTTACCAGCCACCCATTCTCCGAGAATGTTTGTACCCTCAGGGGGTGTCTCGCGAGGAAGACCGTGAGAAGTCGGCGGGAAGATTCGTAGGGATTCATCCAAGCAGGCGCGGAGGTAAGGCAGATGCTTGACTTTGTCATAATCGGCCACAACTTCGTCTTCATCCAAAACGGCATCAAGTTCCTCGCGGAGCTTGGCTAGGGTTCGAGGGTTGCGGAGCAGCTGGTACATAACGTTCGCGATGGCAACTGCGGTAGTCACACTGCCAGCGTTCATCATGATGTTGCACTCGGCAACGACCTCGCCCCATTCGAGGTTGTTGGCATTTCCATTCTTGTCTTCCATAAGAGCCTGAAAGAAGTCCTCCAGCTTTTCACCGGCCTCGTAGCGCCGCAATCTTTCGCTGGCTCGGCGCCACATAATGTTCTCCCAGTTGTCGGCGGAGGTTTGCATACGGCGAAAGAATGGAATGATATTTACTAGCCTGTTGACAACTGGGTACCATTGATAGTTCCAGAGGATTAGGGATTGCTTTCGAGCTGTAGGATAGAGGGCTTCGCGCAAGTTGGTTTTATAAGTAGAGCCATCTTTCCTTTCGGCAATGCAAACATCGGTACCGGAATCCAAGAAGCCCAACTTCTCAGACAGACCAATGTCGGCAATTGCATCGAGGGTGAAGAAGTTGGTCCAGGCTCGGAGATCAAGCGTGAGGTCTTTCTGGTCGGGGGCTGTTTTCCCAGATGATACGTCCTCAGATGCAGGCGCGGTGCAGACTTGGTCAAAGTGTTTGAACATTCTTTGGACCTTGTCGGTCACTTTGTATTCCCACGTCTCCAGATTCTTGAGTGCATATGCGGAAGAAAGGACCTTGCGCTTTCGGGCATGGTCTGGCTTATCCACAACATCTGCCAGATTGTAGTGGGTTCCAGATGTGATCACATAAGAAGGGTCCTTGATGCACTTGGTATTATGGCCATAGATGTCCTTAATGGCCTTGACATCACCATAAGACAGCTGATTCGGCCCTGTTCGGATGACGGGGTTCTTTTTATGCAACTCGGTCAGTTCCATTGATCGGAAACCCCGCGAAGCCATGATCATGAATGGAACTGCTGAAAATCCGGAGAAAGGTGTGAGATTAGGGTATCTCCTTAAACCTATATAGATCGGTCAGCAGTTGCCCAGGGTATCTTCAAACAGAGCTTAGAACCGGTGCTTGGAACCTACCCTTGGGGTCACGGAGATATTCCACATAAGGAAGTACGAGGAAATAAACAGCAAGAAACAAGCCTAGCCCAACTGCATATGGCGCAGCTGAGAAAGCTGACAACATAGCGATCATGCTGTGACAAATGATAAGGATGGAATGGAATGATAGACTGTGCAGAACAGTGGAATTCCACGCCTAGAAGCAGCAAGTCCTTTTGCGAATTGAATTGTCTCGAGCGAAGAAGACTTAGAAGAGTGAGAATACTTTGGGTGTTGATATTGCAGGATTGGTAATGGTTTAAATAACATTCTACCATGTATCATCGTACCCTCCATCTTCTGCCTTGTGGAAGCAATCCACCCGAAAGGCAAGACATTCAACAAAACGGAGATCCTCTGGTTCCCCATATTGACGGCACAAGGTTCAAGTGCAGGCTCAAGCGTCCAACAATTCGTTATCTTTGGTGGATTGAAACAGATCAGATGCCAGAGGACACCCACAAAGACGGGGAAAATTTCCCCGTGAAAAGAGGGAAAGAATTCCCGAGATGCGGGGGAAGTCAATTTCCGAGTCACTGATCTGAATCTATAACTGCATATATCTGGCCTGGAGGCGATTCCGCAGTGTTTCTGTCATTGTTCAAGCTGTATTATTGTCGGCTATTGTCCTGGGCCAGCCACTGCTGAAATTTCAACAGCGCTTGATATCGATGCGATAATTTGTTCTATTTTGCATTAGCCTCGTCAACAACAAACAATCCAATTATTTTACCTTTTTATCATGCTTCATCTCAGCAAGAGTCTCTCCATTGTGCTCGAAAATAGGCTCCCATCCTAATTTATGGTGAGTAATGGTGAACGCGCCGCCCCGTTCAACAACGTACCGAATATAGGTGGACCACGCGCGGGCACAATTTTACCCTGGATAGTGTCAAAACCACACGGATCAATGTTCAGTTGGGAGGCACACAATACCTTCAACCTTCCTTGAAAAATCATAGGTTCCATTGTCGGCCCCGAGGAGAATGCAAAGGTACATACAGCCTCCGCACTTTTGTCCTCATAAGCGTACAATAACCGATTCAATCCATCATTCCCCAATGATTCAAGAAAGCATTTACTTGGCGGAAGGTGTCAGCACGTGAATAATGCTAGAATCAGATCACATACACATAAGGGCCTGGCAATCCGTTCATAGCCCGGAACTCCAACGCCGAATCTTCGACCAGCACCGGTCCATCGATCTTATGTCTGAATCAGCAAACATCTCACCGCAGAAAGGGAAGCGAAAGTGCTCGTACAATTCGGGCGGCGCGTCGGCACTTATCCCTCGCGATTTCTTCCAATGTCCCCTGGATCTCAGGGATGTCCAGCGCCCGGGGGTGAACAGGTATCGCGTCGCCTAGGATTGCATGAACTTCAAGGACCTTGTTAGGGTTCCCTGTCACGAAAGTCAAATGTTTCATGGTGTTGACCTCGATGCTGTTGTGAAGAGGTCAACTGGCCTCGACTAATCACTAATCCCTTTTTGGCTTAGTGCTGTCTCAAAACCGCGTCGACATGGTTCTGTACATATTCCACGTTCAAACTTCGTCACTCCTCATAGTACAATTTGGTAACGCTGAGCCTTGGCGATATTCTTTCGCCAGGATCGACTCCGGATTGGCTACTACACACATTCAATATGCTTCCACACTGCAATACATCGCGTTGACATTCCTCCCGCTCTCATATTTGTTTTTGGAAGAGGACTACACCTTGATCTTTCCACATTATTTCACCGGCAACAATCACCGCAGATATTGAAATTCAACTAAAGATTTCTCCATCGACTAGCAGCGTGATGGTAATCCTCCAACATCGAGATTCTCCGAGCGACTTTCTTCCCTGAAATTGCACCTCAAGTGCTGCAAGACACCATACATCAACTCAATCATACATTTAGACACACTCGGCCTTCAAGCTAACGAGGGTCACATCAGCCGCGAAACATTGCTTCTCGCTATCGACGCTAACGGTCTCAAATAGAGTCGAGTCGTCGCAACCGGAGGCAGTGTAGGTGTTCAGCACCGCAGAGGTACCATCGGCACAGGAACCAGATTCGACATAGGCGGTAAAGGACTTGATGGGGAAGTCCTCAACATTGACACAGGATCCGGCATAGGCATTGGCGGCATCGATGCTTGGGGTTGTGCAGTCCGTGTAGAAGTAGCCGGCGTAGCCGATGGTGGGATTCGCAATTACAGCAACTGCCAGAGCAGAGATAATGGCAACGGTCTGCTCGATTCGTTAGGTTGGGAATCCATTGGCACAGTCAAGATCATCATGTCTTGGAGCATACCTTGGTCATCATTTTGGCTGAATTGAGGTGTTGAACACGATGTGCTATAGATCAAGGATGGTTTGAAAGTTGGTTGTATATTGCTTATATTGATGGGCGTGCATAGCCCTTTATATAGATTTCTGAAAGATATCCTCGTCGCAATCGGGCAAGGCGTATCTGCGATATGTTACGAGGTTTTACCTCGTTCGGAAATCATTGAGTTCCCTCTCTCAGCCAAGTTAGAATAAACCAGTGCCATGGAGAGCTAACTAGACGAGCGCTTACGTATGCTCGAGGCTAGAATATCTCCATTCAGCGACCACCGAGATGTTGGCTTCGCAGTTTACCTTCTTACTAGCCTGATGAAGCTAGTGCTAGATGTCAGCAAAATATTCAACGCTTATAGATAAGTCAGAAATGGCCTATTCTCCAATAATTTCTTTATGCGCTCTTGTTATATTGCAGTTTGAAACTGTTCCAAGAAGAATCTATGGAAACAGGCCTTTCTAAAACAATCCCCTCGATGTTTCAATCGCCTGTGCTATTGGAAGAGGGTTTTCACAGTTCCCGTGCGCCTGAAAATAGGGGACGTGCCAATGATCGGACATCCCGGCAGTTAAATGCCATTTTGGGGAAGTGGTATCAGCAAAAACTCATGATTACTGTATGCCAAGAGACCTGTGGCGTCTGAGCATTCAAGGGTCGGGCCGAAGCAGCAGGCACAATAATAATCAGATCAGAAAGCGCTTCCCATCAATCATCGCCAGGATCAGGAGATGAAATGGTAATGCAAAGATCGATGGGTCTGAGTTCTCTATACTGTTTCGCCTCTGCCAAAGTTCTCACGGCCCCTAATCTGAGCTCTCCCGTTCTTGTCGGCAAAGCCACTGAAAGGGCACTAACCAAAAGGATTTCTTCAGCTTCAGCTGACCCACCCATCTTTAGCGACTGAGATTGCTAGACTAGACTAAGCTGCACCACCAATCCAGTTATTCTATTGTTCGGCTAAAATTGCCCAGATAAGACCGCCTCATGTTCAAATACAACAGTTGGTTGGAAATCTGCGAGCTTAACTCGTTCTTAGCAAAGTGGCAGCAAAGATGAAAACGCCACCCCGCTAGCTTCCGCTCCGAGTAACATAATAGCCGTCTCTTGATATCGACACGTTTCCTTCAACGATTTTGGACCGTGATAGGATCGCAGATCGACTTCGGCGCTCTTGTTTTCTTCAAATAAGAGGTCACTCTGCACTGCTTCTGAGGTCCCAGTCAGAATCTATCCGGCCGGAGGGAAGCTGGAAAATCTTTTTTCTGTCTTTATTTCCTATATCCACTCACTCTTTCGTATCATAGCCAGCGATGCTGTAGGATCCCTATAAACTGTAGACTGGGGTGTATTTCTTCACTGGCCCAGATCCCTACAATGTACTTGTTAGATGAATCCTTCATTGATTTGAAATTGAAAGACAATTGGAAGATTCTAAATGCCCATTAGAAAGGTATCTAAAGGGACTCGCAAAGCACAAGGAGAAAGACGATGAAAGGCGATATTGAAGAATGTCTCTTTACTATCTTAACACATTTCATCTCTACATATGCACAGATAACTTTCATGTAGCTATTTCCCCTAAGCAAGTTAGTTGGAACTATCCAACAGTGTTTCATTCCGGTTGTTATATTCATGTCTTATAAGTAAAAACCATATGTATATGTAGTTATTATTTTCTGCCGCGACACAAAAGGTGATGACCAAGAGGACTAAAGCCCAAAGCCGGCTGCATGGCATTTATAGTTGGTTGTATTGAGCAAGCAAGGGGATCTGCCTTCCTTTCTCGGCCCGATCTACTGGCTCCTTCTGGTTGAGTAATTGCTTGGCTATTTGGCAAAAGGCGTGTCAACACTAGAGTATCCCAGCCTCTTCCTATGTGTGACCCAGAGCCTGGAGGATCCAAGTGCAGATGGAGCCATGGGCGCCACCGGCCCTTTTTGATTCAAGTTATTGAAGACCTCCATAATCGGCCTCTGGTCATTAAATATCGGCAACTTTGCGGCTTTTCGGGTTACTGCTCGCCCGAGAGATAATCCGCACTACTGTACCTTATAGTTCAGAGAATATTGGAAGGTGACGCTAGTAGATCCTGATATCAATACAATGCCCGCCAAAACATTTCCTGGTGCTAAACTCGGGTTAATGTAATCCGTCAATAGCCGATCCGAGCTCATTGGTGGATCAAGTTTTAAACAATTAGTATGCAACAACACGCACTATACTAGAACTGAATTAGAAACATTTGCTATCTATCCAACAAAAAGTTTCATGGCAGATCGTCCCTCCGAAGACTAGTAAATGTAAATGTGGGGTCCCCGGATTAATATCTACACAGACCGAGGCGTGTTGAGGGGTTTTGATTATTGTTAAAAGATTCAAACTACCTAGTCTTTTAGCGAAAATTTCTTCAGCTTTTCTCCGGCACTTCTTGCATCCGATATTTCAAAGTCATGGCCATTCTCCCTATCTCTGCCTCGCTTTTAGGCCTGGCGGCTTCGGCATCGGGCCTGAGCTTCAGTATCCCTCAATCTCCGCCATCGAACTCCAGTGGTCAAATTTCTGCAGCCCCAGTTGGTGTATCGTGAGTGCTAAATACTTTAGTTTGAAGAAAATTATGCTCATTACACAGTCTGGAGTTCTTCACTTTTCCTGAATACCTTCAGGACCTCCCCTCGACGACCAAATGTTTGGAGAATTTGAAAGACCTCACCGGAACATGGCCTCCAGTCAGAATTGGAGGCACTACACAGTATGTTTTATTTTCATATTCCTCTATTACACGGCTTATACTGAGTGACCAAGGGATCGTGCAACATACAATGCATCGTCGAGTAATGCTGTTACCTACACAGTGGCTAGTACGAAAGACGCGCCCGAGACTCTGACATACGGTCCCTCCTTTGTCTCTTTGGCTGCAACTTATGCTGGTAAGGTCATCATTGGACTCAATCGTCGTCTAGATGATATTTCCAACACAATTGCCGCTGCGCGACTTGTAAAGGCCACGATGCAGAATTTGTATTCTATTGAACTTGGAAACGAGCCCAACTGTCAGTCTCAATGGCCGCTATGAATTTGAACATCGCACTGACATGAAGATAGTCTTTGTTGACAGCGACCCTATTGCCAGTGGTGCGTCTTGGACGGCTGCTGCCGACGAAGCATCCCAGATTGAATGGCAGGACGCTGTGTGCGGAAACCTTTCTGCATCTGATATTATCTCAGCGGGTGTCTACTTTGGCACCTCCCCGATGAGCCTCGTTGGACTCACTGCAAAAGAAGGTGACGCCAATGAGTATGTGAAGGATTACTGCTCCCACAATTACCCCCAGTCTTCCGGCAATTATAACTTGACAGCTCTTATGAACCACAAGGATATTGCTACTCAAATCAAGCCATATGCCGCTGAGATTTCCGCCGCTTCTGCCAAGGGCAAGCCACATGTCTTTGGAGAGACCAACTCCGGTATTTCCCCTCCTAATCCAAATAGGTAACAGAACTAATAGTCATTCCAGCGACACAAGGTGGAGGTGGTATTAGTCCGACTTTCGGTGCTGCCCTCTGGATCCTGGACTATGTGATGCAGACCGTTGTTATGGGCACAGATGCCCTCTACTTCCATCAGGGTACTATTGGAAACTGTAAGATACCCACATCCCTCTTACAGAACATTGTCTAATCCTTCAGGTCAATACTGCTGGTGGGGCCGCTACGATATGGGCTCGCCCTACTACGGAGCTTATTTCGCGACCATGGCGCTGGCCAATGCCGACAAAATTGCACCTTTGGACAGCCAGGACTCCGCCTATGCGGCCTATGCCATTTACAAGTCCGGGGCTCCCGTGAAAGTTCTTCTTTACAACTCTGACTACTATACTACTGGCACTCGTTCGTCGCAGACCTACACGCTTTCAGGTATTTCTAGCTCCAGCGTCACTGCTAAGCGTCTGACCGCCCAATACGCCACATCACGGGTTGACCAAGGTCAAAACCCCACTGTAGCAGGTCAGACTTTCGCTAATGGTACCTGCGCCATCCAAGGTACAGAGGTTGTGGAAACGGCCACTGTTTCCGCTGGCAAAGCAACCTTCACAGTGAAAGCTTCAGAAGCACTTCTGGTATTTTTGTAAATATTCCAATGCGTTTCGGAGTTTCCGAGAATTAAGCCAGGATGGGTGCCGGAACAGCCCGCAAGCGCCACCGGAGATTATCTCCTTGGGGTTAGCGGAGATGATTAGCGCATGTGGCATGTGGAGGCCGGGGGCTTAATATTTTCGACGCAAGTATTCAATGCAAGATCTACATATCCTCTCCAATAATGTGCTCTTAAGGTTATTTTTCGACGTAAAGCGTACATGCCAAAGTCAACTTTTAAGCGTCATCTCATTTTGGGGTTGGCTTTGATGGTTGCGAAAATCTGACTATGCAAGACATCCATGGATGTCTTGATACTTTTCACGCCATAGAAAATTTAACAAAGCATGATCTCCATCCTCTAAGCTTTGGGTACATTTGTTCGTATTACTCGTACCTAGGTGCATAGCTTCGGGGGATCTCACAGCGAAGCAATTGCCGTAGTCTCTGGCCATCCACTGGCATGCGCCTTCACAAGCCAAACCAGCCACTCGCCTCAAAGAACACCGATATAAGCCAGTATATTTTCAAATCGGCAAATGAACCATAAATCGGGATCAGCCTTACCATTCTGATTTGACGGTTTGATTTCACCGTACATCACAAACTCAGCTACGGGGCCCCGGATCCCCGCATTTTTATTCCTTGTCGTTTGTGGAACACGCCTATCAGAGATCGAACGCTTGATAGCCCTGGGTTAATTGATTCAAAATATAAAGATTGCTTTGTTTCACTCTTATTTATTCAAGTATCATTGAATCGCTTCCATTTCGCAATATACGCAGTGCCTTCAAAATGGATACTATCAAGGCGAACACCGACATTATCGAGGATGCTACCTCCGACCATGGAGATGTACCAGTGAAGAATACGGGGCCCATTATGCGGTCTCGTGAGGATGATCTTGGCATTTGGCAATGCGTGAAAAGATTCAAGACTGTGTCGTGGATTGCCATGGCTGCGGCGTTCAGTGCCTCGCTGGACGGTTATCGTATGTTGTTTCTGTTTCACCCCTGTTGAATGACAATTATAGGATAGCTAACGAATGTTTCAAAGAAATTAACCTCAATGCCGGTATTGTATCTAACAAAGGTTTCATTCGACAAATGGCTTCCCCAGGCACAACCATCATCCAAGGGAAGTATATCTCAGCTTGGGGAGGTATTCAATCAACTGGTCAGACCCTCGGTCAAATTGTAAGGAATTAGTTCTGGCAAACCAAAATTCGTCTTCCAGGTCTAACTTTATCTTCAGCTTCTTCAATACGCAACCGAAAGGTTTGGTCGCAAGGTCGCCTTCTACATCATCTGGGTCGACATTGTCATCAGCGTCTTTGTTGAAACTTTTGCTACGAGATGGGACCACTGGCTTGTTGCTAAGCTTTTCTCTGGCATGGGCGTTGGTATGCTTCAATCCACCATGCCTTTATATCTCTCTGAAATTGCCCCAACCCAACTCCGAGGTTTCTACATCAACGCATACAGTTTGTAAGTTGGTCACCAACTGCTTGAGGGCCTTTTTTTGACATAGTCTCTTTCTAGCTGGTTTGTTTTGGGTCAGATATTTGCCTCCGTGGCTCTTCAGGAACTCAGCGCACACGATCCATATGACTTCCGGGTTCCCATCTACACACAGGTGAGTCAAATTGCCTCTCTCTAATTCACGTACTTTTTCTATGTCACAGTTCATTGATATGTTTCCGATAGTGGGCTATGGTTGCTATGATTGCTGTTATCTTCGCCATCATCCCTGAGTCACCTTGGTGGCTTGTGAGCAAGGGCAAGATCGACAAGGCGGCCAAGATTCTGAAATGGTGCAATGGCAAAGTTGACGGATATAGCGTCGACGAGCAAATCGTATGTTTTTTCTTTTTCTTCAAACTCATTGGGCGAGATATTGATATCCTCCAGGAAATTATGACTGCCACTGTCAATGAGGAACGTATCCTCGCAGAGCGCAACGCGGAAGAGGGCTCGTGGGCAGTCTTCCAGGGCCGCAACCGCATTCGATTCTTGATTGCAGCTTGGCCAAAGATTGCTCAGCAGCTGGTCGGCCTCGCGGTTTTCAACACCTATGCTACCTATTTCTGTAAGACACCGGTGTATCGCTTGATATTCGTGGTCATTCGTGCTAACTTTAATTCTAGTCCAATATGCCGGTAGCAAAGATCCATTCATGGTTACTGTCATTTTATCCTGCGTGCAGCTGTTTTCTATGATTTTGACAGCTGTGACAACTGACAAGCTCGGTCGTCGTCCCTTGACTGTCTATCCCTACGCAGTGACAACAGTCTCTTTGTTATGCCTTGGAATCATCGGCTGCTTCGATTATACGAAGCCAGCAACAAGCTCCCTTCTTGTGGGTTATCACGCTAAAATTAAACTTTCTTATATGTATGGCTAACAAAAGACCCTAGATCTTTTTTGCTTGCCTGGCAACTCTATCAACAACTGGTGCCTCGGCCATCGGCTATGCCTACGCGGCTGAGGTTCCTCAACAACGTCTGCGTGCAAAGACAGCCGGCTGGGCACTGGCTTCTTCCAACGCACTCGCTACTATGTTCAGCTTCTGCACTCCGCTCATGATTAACAACAAGCCCGTATCGAGTTGGGGTGTCAAAACTGGTTTCTTGTAAGTCATTCCTGATCCCAACACCATTCTTTGCAAGCAGATTTTGACTTTTATCTCCTTCGGAACAGCTTCGCAGGAACCGGTAGTATTGCGGTGATCGTTGCTTGGCTCATCCTTCCCGAGGTGGCACGCCGTACACCAGCCGAGATTGATGAAATGTAAGTCACTTACATCCATGAGGTTGGAAATTTGGCATTCCTACGGTTGTCTAATATTTCTGTCAATTCAGGTTCGAGAAAAAAGTCGGTCTTCGCAAGTTTAAGGGTTATGTTACCGAGGTTCAGATGCGTTCGACCGAGCAGCGCGAAGAACATGAGATGGATGTTAAGGCTTAATTCTGCTGTTGCCATGACAAAAGGATGGAGGCTAATATATCACTTGACTGTTTTTACGCCGTTTTGCATCTTGTCACATTAAAGTTGTATAAAAGAACTGTGGATTGAGCTCCTTTGAGTGATGAATAAAACCTCGGTAAATGATAGCAAGTTGTAGTTCTTCGAAAAATGATAGCAAAAAAAAGCAAAACGGAAAACGGAAAACCAAGTAGTGGCTCTGATTAAAGCGCACGAAGGAATAAAAGAGCGCGAAACTGTCACAATATCCTGCCTACATGGGCGGGGAGGCAGGTTTCAGGCTGATTAAATTGTACGTGAGTATATAGTTTTTGTAAGAAACTGCTATCTCACCCTCACCCTATCTGCTAAATTTAACATGATCTACAATACCATAGCTTTCTCTTTCGCCCGATGGGTACTGGACAACAACTTCAACAGCCTTGTTAAGTCTGAGCTCAACAGACCTTTGGTTTCCTTGGCCAGATGCCCATGAGACCGTGGCAAGATTATCACTACCCAAAGCCACACTCACCTCCAAGGTCTTAGCCAAGCTCAAGCGCGGCTTAAACAGTACCTTTGACCAGCCCGGTTCTAGGGGTTGGAAGCCAGCCACCTCAGTGCAGTACTCATAGATTGGCACACTGCCCCAGGCATGACAATCCGAGCGCTGCCTCACATCGTCCTCCTCCCAAGTGGAAAGATTATTCGCTAGCATTCCGCGCCAAGGAGCCCACATGCTCTCCCAAAACGATTCATACACCCCAGCACCAGCCAACGCAAGCGCCCTAAATGCGTAGAAGCGCATCATGTAGGAACATTTCGAGAATCGGGGGTTTGTGAGTGAAGTGGTCAAAATTCGTGCAGCCTCCGGCGTTTCCACCACCCCAGCAAGAGTAGCAAAAACCTGACAATGCTGTGAATAGGCTTGTTCGTCGGCAATGTCGGCAGTGGAATCAGTGAAGAACTCCCCATCCCAACAATGAGCGCGGACAGCCTTCAGAACCGAAGCAGCCCGCGTCTCGTATTCCACTGCATGACCCGGTCTGCCAAGCTCACGCACTAGGCGAGCAGTCTTCTGCAGAACATACCCATACAAAAGGCTGAAGTAGGTGTGTCGGTTGGATTTCCGGCCGGAAGTTGGAACGCCCTTGTCTGGGTGCTCGTCCGTCGCTCCCCAGGTTGTTACCCAGTCGACGTACTGCCAAACAACCTCGGGCAGGCCACTGACAAGTCCTAGTTCATCGATATGCGCCTCGAAGAAGTCGAGCACGCCGTCAATGCGTGGGATGAAACTCCGTGCGTACGGTGTGTCGTTGAAGTACAGGTGGTGGTCGCAGACTTGCAGAACCCAGTAAAGGGAGAATCCGGCGATGACTTGCGGTACATGGGATGGGAATCGAGACTGTGTGAGGCCCAGCGGAGTTACTGAGGCCGCGAAGTTTGTGATAGCCTGTCGCATCAGGCGGTCATCGCCGGATAGAAGGTAGTGGAATAATCCGACCGATCGACTATCCCCGGAGTATCTATGAGAAAGCATCAGTCGGGTATTCATGGAATACTAATGGCAACACTCACTGGAGTTGCTCGTAGAAGGGGCAGTCAGAATACCCGTCGAACATGCAATTTCGCATTGTCCGAATCGAGACATCCCAAATCTGCCCGCTATACTCATTTTCGGGTTCTTTCCAGCTGGCTTTGACGGCCATAGGATAGTTGACTTGAGTAGCGTCAAAAGACAGGAGCTCAATCGGCTCGGGTCCGATGTTAATTTCCACCCGCAGAAGACGGAACGTCCGAAACCAGAACGGCTCATAAACAACAACCTGTGAATTGGGGAGATCGAGTGTCACCTCGTCATACGGGCCTATGATATGACCAACACTTGCATCCAGGCGGTCGGCTTTAGATCGGAAGAAGGGGTATGAGCGAGGTTCAAGTTCATAGCCCTCGGAGTATGTCACTTTCAGTGTGATTTGAGAAGAACCGCCAACTGCTTTGAAAGCCCATCGGAGGAACGCGGTTGAGTGAAAATCGGCTTGTATCTCAAGTTTGTGGGTTGAGTTCTCGGAAAGTGCTAAAGGGCATTTCCCACTCAGGAACGCGGCCCAATGACTCGCATCGATGCCACTCTGGCAGGCTCTGACGGTGTTTACAACAGCCGGAGTAGATTCGGGCATTGGAATCACACGCGCATGCAAATGCCAGGGCGGAATGTCCCCATTGAGTGTCCTCATATTATATGCAACTGGAATCATTGTAGGGCGGAGCTTCGTTGGGGCAATGCGCTCGCTAATCTGCGTTGCTGTCAGCATATCATATCTATACAACCAGCACCCTGACATGCAGTTCAACTCACATGAAGAAACACATCATCGGCCAATCCCATTGGGAATTGAACACTCTCGTCAACAAATGCAGTCCAGCCGTTGGAGGAGCTAAGATCGACGGTCTCAGAGCCCGCCTCGATCTTTCCAACGACTGTCAAGCCCGGTAGAGCTGTGCGCTCAAAAGGCATCGCGCTCCGCAAGGCCGCGAAGTACCGAACCACCACGAAACGTATATCATTTTGACCCTCTTTCAAGTAAGGCGCGATATCCAGTGTATCGTAATACCAGATCAAGGGACTGCTTCTGCTCGGGCCGACAGCAACATGTTTTCCATTAACATAGAGTTTGTATCGTGTGTCGGCAGAGAAATGCAATAATGATCTGGTCGGTCGCAAAGGTAGATTGACGGTGCGGGTGAAATTGATGATCTTCCCCGCTGTATTGGTGTCCGAGGAATCAATCCACCTGGGGATCCATATCCAGTTCGCCTGGAGCTCGTTGGCGGTCTGTTTCAGGAATGTGTTAGTGATAGAAGCTTGACTCATTGTAATATGACACACCTTTTGCTCTACTGAAACCATTTTGATTGTCTCCAATTGTTTCCATGTTTCTTCATTTTTCTCTGGTCTTGTGGTGCACTTGTAACCTCCGGTGGGATGGAGGGGCCGGGGTTCGGGCCATCTCACGCCGAGAAGGATGAGATGTCGGCGATTGGTTTCATTAAGCTTGTCATTAAGCGTTGTGAAGATCTTGAGGATGATAATTCTTCATGAATCCCTGAATGTAGTCAATCCATGGGTCAATTTCTTGTTCCACCCTTTCCTCCAGCCTTTGTAACAGCTACTTGTATGATTTTATTTCCTTAAACCAACAGAATGTATTATTATTTCCCTCGTTTTCTTTCTTGCTCGTTTCAAGGCGTGTTTGAATGTCCTGCATTTGGCTTTGGTCCAGTTCCCACTGTCTCTGTTGCCTACATCTTAGGGGTCGTCCGTAACACAAAGTCTTAGGCCTGTTCGGAAAACTCTCGGGATCCTCATTTTTCTCATTGCGGAGACCAGGTGGATTTTTAGCTTGATCACACAAGATGACCGAGGTCGCTCATGCACCACATGCAAGGGGCTCATTTGAACATAATGCAAGAACTGCAACGTAACTCGCCAAAGCGAGTTGAGAGTTCTAGTCTCCTATTTTCTGTCGTGCAGGTTATTGATCATTTTCATGCAAATGATAGATATTCTCGGAGATCGCGGAAAACCGGGCGACTCCGATGTTTTGCGTGATCTACAAGGTTTGAGCGAACGGCAAAAGGCAATGCAGCTAGCAAAGCCACGTAATTCTTAAAATGTAGTTTTGGAAAAGGAAATGCGCGATTAATCAGAAAGGTAAACATTTAAAAATCACGTAGAACAAGGAGAACGCTCAATGCTCGCTTCAATGTATCTAGTATATCTATCCAATAGTTTATCGTCTATAGTCTTCATGTTTAGTTCTGATCAACGGTAGGGTAGTCCGTGTAGTGGAAAGCATTGTCCTCAAACGGCCCATAGAACCGGGTACGGTCATAAGGGGCCAAAGGAAGCCTTTCCTTCAATCGGTGCACCAGATCCGGGTTACTAGTAAAGTAACGACCATACAGGAGAGCATCATATTTACCGGATTCAACAACTCCCCAGGAGTTTTGATCATCCCAGCCGCCAGCGGAGAAAAATGGAGTTGACCCAAAGATCTGACGGAAGCGATCAAGGGTCACGTCCAGCAGACCCCAGCTCTTAAGGTACTTGTCCTTCTCTTCATAGCCAAAGATTTGTTCATAGCGCTAAAAAGATATCAATCAGCTAGAGTTCATCAGTGTTACTTGAAAAAACAACAAAACGCACCGGCTCAATAAAGCTGACATACGACAGCGACGGGAGGGTCTTCTTCAGACCCTCGCACAGGTGAGTCCAAGTTTCAATACGCTGTTCTCCGCGAGCTTGATTGAACAGACCGAATGGCGACAATCTGATCGACAAGTTTTCCTCGCCAATAGTCTTGGCCACCTCGGACATCAATTCAAAGACGAATTGGCAGCGCTTCTCTGGGGTACCACCGTAAGCATCCTGACGCTTGTTAATGTTCGAGCTGAGGAACTGCTCTGGCAGATAACCATTGCCACCATGAATCTCGACACCATCGAAACCAATTTCCATGGCCGTCTTAGCGGCAGTGCAATAATCAGCGATAGTCTGTTTGATGTGGTCCACTGTCAATTCGATCGGCGGGTGATTGGCGTAGGGAACGGGCTCGGTGGAGCCAACGGGGGGGTGAGAGTAACATTCCGCTGGAGAATCCCACGCACTGGCTGATGGGCAGACAGCAGGCGATCCCGTCATTTGGGGGATTGTAGCACGGCCAGCATGCCATAGTTGACAAAAGATAATGCCGCCCTTTGCATGCACGGCATCAACCACGCGTTTCCAGCCCTGTGCTTGTTCGGGGATAAACAAGCCGGGTACTCCGGGCATACCGTTGCTCTGTGGAATTTTTAATTAGAATAAAGTTTCAGTTTTTTTTTTTTTTTGTAATAAAAATAGGCGAGTCTGAAGAAAAGACAACCGCTATATTTTGGTTTTTGGTGACCCCAAAAGGTTTTGACAGTATGCCTTTTCCGAAGCCACCGTATCAATAGAATGCTTACCTCGAGCGATGGTGGAATTCCCTCGGAAATAATCAAGCCACCCTTCGTAGCACGTTGAGAATAGTACTCCACAACCACATCTCCAGGTACCCAAATACGATTGGGATGATCCGGGGTGCTGGTAGATTGCAATGGCTCTCCACGGTTGCGGGTCAATGGCGCATGAACGACACGATGCTCGAGGGTAATGTTGCCATTGGAGATAGTCAGGGGTTGGAAAAGACTGGAGTCTTTGCCCTTCAGGTATTGGATGGTCATTGTAGGTAGCTGTTTTTTGGATTCTTTTTGTTTCTTGGTCTTTTTTTTTACTATGGAGTAGATTGATGATTGACAAGACAAGATTTATGAAGAATAAAAACAACCAGTCATTAGGACGAATACCCCTTTTTGGCAAAGGGCGATCGTTTGGAATAATAATAATATCAATTTTGTGACATTATTATTATATAACATTGTGTCAAAACTGTCAAGTTGTCATCTCGGCTAAGGCAATATAGGGTTTCATGAAATACCCAATTAGTACTACTAAAACGACGGTGTTGTGGCGAACAAATACAAAATATTGGGTCGGCAGAACGATACGAGGCTATATATTGCTGTCATTTGCCCGGGATAGCGGACGGACAGCAAAAAGTGGAGAGCGAACGGAAGAGAGACGGAGTATAGCGGATCATAGCGAATTATAGCGCATTTGCACAAATGCATAGAACTCCACCGAAAGCATCAAGAACCATTCCCATGGATGCATCGGCTGCCGAACAAATTCCGGTGGATCTGACGCGGTTCCTCGATCAATCATCGCCGTCAATGGCGCCGCGCCACCATTATGTAGTTGTTCGATAGCTTTTCACCCTGCAATTCTCCACTTAGGATCTTCTCTTGTCTATCCTCATTTTCACACGCATTTACCTACCTAGAATCTATGGGGCTCGCACGAGCGAACCCGTCCGAGTGTTCTTTATCTTGTCATTTCCCCAGTCCAGTGGGATTTGGTTTACTCCGGTTTACTCGAAACACTCCATCATGTCTATCGAACACCCGACAGATGTCTTGAACACTGTCAATCTTGTGACACAATGTTTGTGTATTCCGATCGTTACTCTCTTTGTGCTTTTGCGTTTTTATACCCGGATTCGATTTAGACAACCACTAGGAGTTGAAGATTGTGAGTTTTGTCCGCATTGTGCACTTTCGAATGACGTTTGACTGATATCTTCTCCAGATGGCTGCACAATCGCTTGGGTAGGAAAAACCAAATACACACTCTTTCATTCTAAACTAACCCTAAGTAGCTCTTGTTCATGGGATACTGTGGAATCAGTATCGTCGGTAAGTACTACTTCTCACCCTTTCTCGAACGAAATACTTATTCTCGTTAGTCGGACAACATGGTGGAGGATACCACTATGACGAACTCGACACGGCAACGCAAATCCAATTCAAAAAGTTCTGCTACATTGCGACCATTCTTTACTGTCCCATGGCTCTTTTCGTCAAAATCGCCCTCCTATCGATTCTTACCCGCATTTTCGCTCCTTACCGTGGCAAAGTCTGGTTCATCTATATCTTCCTCGCATGTCTCTGCTGTTACTACACTGTCGCGCTCATTGTCAAAATTCGCATGTGCGCTCCCATTCCCATGTACTGGCTCGGTGATGTGCCAGGCGGAACCTGTCTCGACCAAACCGCTGCTCTTATCGCCGATTCCGTGATCAGTGTTGTCAGTGATATCATCATTCTTATCCTCCCCCTGCCATTGACCTGGTCCCTCCAAATGTCACGCAACCGGAAACTGCGCGTTATGGGACTATTGGGCGCTGGTGGTCTAGCCACTGGATTCAGTCTTTATCGCCTGGTACTGGTGTTGAGCAAAGGCAATTCGTCGGACCAGAGTATTGTGTTTATCTGCGTAATTTTGTCTGGGTATGTTCGCCGATCCTTTCCTTTTCCGCAGCGTCGCAGCTTATGCTAATATCTTCTAGAAATGCCGAGGGTGGCATGGGATTGATCTGCGCCTGCTTACCTATTCTCAACGTCCTGCTGGCCCACTACAAGAGGGAATACTCATCGCAAAAATACTACCAGAACGGCTCAAACCTCCCATTGAGTGAACGAAAGACAGGCCCCACCTCGAAGGCTGCCTCGGAATGGGACAAGGCCACAAGCTTTGGCGATCAAAGCCATCTGATCTCTTACGCCGGCGCACCAGAAACGGAGGCTCCCGATTCTCTCTTTAACCAGGAAGGAATCAGAAAGACCGTTGCTGTGTCGCAGACTGTCGAAAACTCATGAAAGGACGTTGACTTTCTTTATATATATTATCATCAACTTTGTATACCCACTATCATAGCTATAATGAACTTTTCTTTCTTGTAATAACTTCATCTTTATGCGACAGGCAGACGTAGCCACTACTTGAAAGTTTCACAATTTGTGGCCCTTGCTCCGTGTAGGTAAACCTTGGGTTTCTCGAGATTCGGACAATCTTGCAAGGATAGAGAGAATTTTGTTGCTGCATACCTCTCTTTTTGTCCTGTCTCCAGTGTAGAAAGGCCAAGGCCAACTTGGTAGGTCTACAAAGAACCCAAACAATGGCTAACATGGTCTTTGTTCTGTCTCTCGTTATCAGGTCAGTACATATCGTAATACATATCTACGATATATAGCTATCTATATTTCATGTCCTCTATTCCCTATCCAGTATTCTCCATGCGCATATCTCCAGTATTCTGAAACACGACTCAGACAAACTAAGGAGTGAGAAACTCGGACACGTGGCCCGATAGACGATCTGACTTTCTTTACAAACAGGAAATATTGAAGAGATTGGGCTCCATATAGTCGCTAGGGGCCCCAATAGTGACATAGTGTGTCGTAACCCCCTTTTAGGCTTCGCAATGCTAATCGTAATTTCAAATTCGAAAGAGCTTTCTTGGAAATAGAGCGAACACTAGACTGGATGGCACTGACATTTCAGAACGACCTACAGCAACGGAGAATAGGTGATATTTCTGCACAGCTCGAGAAGCTGGCTTGTGAGGTAGAATCCGACCCTAAGCTTTAGTGAAATCTTCAGTACATTTATCTACGACAGAACAAAAACACATAGTTAGATATGCTGCAACATTGAACTTTGTTTCAAGAATGTATACAACGTCATTGTGTGTACCTACAACGTATATCAGACAGCTGCGTATCCACTTGAAGGATCACAAGATGGCAGCCTCAAAATCGGGTCGTCCGGTACTTGGGGGCCAAGACTAGATCTGAGTGTTCAGAACAATATATTGAGACATTTAGCCAATCGGAACATAGGCAAAGTTTTCCGGATAAGGTGTCCGAATAATTATAACCAATCAGTCCAAAGTATTGATATATTCTCCACTTGTTCTAATTGAAAAAATAGATCCAGAGCATGTAGCTCCAAAATAGGGGTCGTTATGAAACGACCGCAAAAAAGAAATCTCTCCCTCGGGGAATCGAACCCCGGTCTCCCGCGCTTATCGGTTTTAATGACAAGCGGAAATCATCACCACTAGACCAAGGAAGATGAGATGACTGAGTTACTGCTCGGCCACTTGGTTGGTTGATATGTGATTTGGCTCCTACGTGCTACAGTAGCATGCTCCTAAAATATGCATAATTCAACCGATAGTTAACTTAGTACAATATTGTATCGTTGACACCATATGTAATTGACCAAAAACATTTCATTTATACAACAAAATAAAATAATTTCCAGCCTTGCAAAGGCCAAATCGGACCTCGCGGATCATAAGCACTAGAGTTTGCGAAAATGCTCCAGGCAAATCTTGGGTACCTAAACTCTGTTGATCCTCAAGGATTTTAGTTCGTCAGTCGCATGTGCATGACGTCAACTTTGAATGTCATCTGAGAATAATTATAGGTAGTACTTATCTGATCCAGTTTTGGGGGGGGCGTTAGCATAGAGTTACCCAGATCCTGACATCCATGGATAGTGTACGTGTTCATCCATCGGGCCCCATTTGGAGGCTATGCTCTAGGTTCGATGCATAAATTTCAAAAACTCTCTGAACGTGTATATGCATGCTTATGAGATATGCACACCTCTTACTCCCTTTCTATCCTGTTATACATAACCGGCCATGGTGTATAATACTTTGTTTTGGGATTCTTGTTGGTGTCAAAAACTAACGGGTGTAGGCGTATATATATATTTCTTACGACTTCTCAACAGATCTTGTGTATTGTTTCCTAGAAACCCAGCTTCTCACCATACTACAGCATCTCCCCAAGGTTAGATTACGTGACCAAAAGCCCGGCGGTAAAGTTGCTCAGCAAGCTAAAACAATGTTCATCTAAGCGATGGATTTGGATCAAACAAACCCGAATTAGACCACAACCCATCCAATCCAGCATCAAACCCAAGAGACCACGAACCATCAATGAAAGGCCATTGAAGCATATCAGTTTCAAAGTCATGACCAGAAAGCGTACTGTCTCTAGCAAGAAAGTTGGCACCGCCCTCAAGACCAGGCGAGGATGAAGTTCGCCCGTGAGCATGCGAGCTTTGCGTATCGCGCGATTCAGCAGTTGCCGCCCTTGTCGCATGTGCATTTGGACGAGACCGGATGTCGCCATACTCATCCAGGGTACCGGCGAGTGCAAATCTTCTTGGGCTGTGCATCCCGGATTCGGTGTGGGCTTGGGTACTCTTCACTGTTTCGTAAAACTTGTTTGCTTCTTGCACCGCCCGCCACTGTATCTCGTCAGTTGACAGTTTGATGTAGATCGCGTGGCAAGACTCACCCAACTACGTCCCACGGGCCATAGTTTACTTAGTCGTTCTAGGTAAGCAAGATTTCTGCTCTTTTCTTCTTCGGCTCTCTCCAGCCCGCCTGGATACCTCTGCGGGGCAACCGTCCCGTACATGTTGATATGCGCTGCGACGAAAACACTGAACCCGGAGTATGGTGAGATGACAGGTGCTCCAGAAGCGTCTAAGGCAGCGAGAATACTCCCTATCTGCTGGGCGGCTTCAAATAGCTGCTTAATTGTATCTGGTTCGCCTTGTGCATCATCCATCGTGTCGTGGAAGACGTCCGAATGGGGCTTGAGGTTAGACAAAAAGCGGTCTCGGTGTAGAAAGAGTATGCTATGGCATTATTAGCATAGGTTTCATTGTTGCACTGGATATAATTACCTCATGCAGTAAACCAGATTAATATATGCAAACAATTCACCATACCCAAGAGCAACGTGGGTCTGAACACTAGTGACAGGGTACTGAACCGTAATATCCTGCAGCGACCTCCACTCGTCTAGTTCTTCTTTAAGCCTCTGCCAAGTCAAAAGGAGCGGTGATGTCGCCGAGTCATCGGAAGACAGAGAAGCTAGGGATCTTCGATGTTCGTTGGCGAACCGTAAAATCCGGATAAATATGTCAAATCCACGCGTGACAATGGTAAGACCATTTTCAATCGTCAAGCCTCTGGCTAACAGGCAATTCTTATTCATATCAGCAGGCATCAACCGGTGGGCTGGTGTCTGATTGAATGTGAAGTCCCGATCACTGATGGGAAGAGGCACAGATATGTGAGAGAAAGAAAGCGCAAAATGCTGGCGAGCGCCCGAGCTGAGCTCACAGTCCTGCGTAAAGCAACACCAGTAGGTCCGAACGAGCTGCTCGTATTGAGTTTGTGATGCATGGAAATCTTGTGGATTGTGTTCCATACTATCATCCGACATTTTCAGCAGAGACTGTATCATATAAGTTGCCATGCCTGTTACTCGTCAGTAAATGTAGTATGGTCAATTGGAATAGTCCGTTGCATACCGCTATACATCCAAGCTTGGTACGGTCGTCCTGTGCCCCATTCATAAAATGATATCATCACGAGCGACTGAGCGAGGTAGAGCGATGGAGCTTCTAGCACACGGTGAGCAAGGTGCTTGCGCGCATAATTGGCATAGACATCCTCTTCTTCAAGTTCTCCACTGGTCATGAACCGCACGCATAAAGAAAGAACCGACGCGATAAACACAGAGTCCACTGAGTGGACATTGGATGATATGTCGGATATTAATGATGGATAATGAAGGAAATTCGCTATAGGAAACTTCTTCCTGTAGGTTTCTACTGCGTTAATCACCGTCGCTGGTGATAAGGCTGCTATTGGATTTTCGGTTGAGTCTTGCGCCACAAGGGCAGTTTTAGGGAGACGTCTTTCTGCGACGTCTGGCCCTGGCGATAAATCGGATGATACCTTGCGTTTTTTCTGGGTTCTCGCTGTGGCAGTGCTTCTCCGTGTCCTTTGTCGTGAGACACGGGGGTCGGTTAAATTGCAACCATCATTCTTGCTCTTTAAGCAACGTTGACAGGGTGGATGCCCTTCATGGACACATTTCACTTTTGCTTGTCTGTGCAAACTGTTAGGCAAGAGAACTTGAGAATGTTGGATCAAGACCTACCGGCAAGCATCACATGAAATTGATAGCCTCATCGAGTGTTTACCCCGGAGTGGGACGGGCTGGGGTAGAGGAAGGAGTGGCCGTTAGATTTTGTGGAGCATGTGAAGGCATGTTCAGGCGCCTCGGATCAACTTAAGAGCGTAGTTACACCATTTCTGCCATTGAGTTCAATATTGCTCCGTACAGAGAATTAGACTAAATTGGAGGAAGCAAAGTTACCATTTAGCTCCCGAATGTGGTCAGAACGATCATGTGACTCGATTCGATCTATGTGGAACGGAAAGGTTATGTGATTCTTGACTTCGTGATTATTGTATTATGCTTCTATATGAAATCGTATTGATCCAACAGGACCAAATGCAATAGCTAGTGGATGGCAATTTAGTTGGTTGCCTCAGTCCACTGCTCTACCCATGCGTTAAACTTGTTGATTTCCAGCTCATCCGTAGCCCAAGAAGTCACAAGCCGGACCACAGAGTTTCCATCATCAAGTTGCTCCCAAACATAGAACCGGAATCTGTCCTGCAGTATCCGGACCAATTGCTGCGGAAGGATAACAAACACCTGGTTCGTTTCCGTCTCCGCAGCCAATCTATAACCCAGCTTTTCGAAATTGATTGAAATGTTTTGCGCCATTTGGTTGGCATGAGTGGCCAGTGTGAAAAACAAGTCTGACCGGAAGAGTTCCATGAATTGGACACCGAGAATGCGGCCTTTGGCGAGCAAAGCGCCGTGCTGCTTGAGATGGAACACAAAGCCCTCGGCGATCTCCTTCTTGACAACAATTGCTTCTCCCATCAGGGCACCGGCTTTGGTGCCACCGATCCAGAAAATATCGGTCATATCGAAGATATCTCGTAGTGTGAGGTCATTCTTCTTTGAGCAGAGTGCTGAGCCGATTCGCGCTCCATCCATGAGAAGGAGGAGATTTGATTGTTTGCAAATGGCGGAGAGGCTGGTGAGCTCCCGTTTCGTATAAACAGTGCCAGTCTCTGAGGCATTAGAGATATAGAGAAGGCGGGGTTTAGCCATATGGGGGAAGAATTGATTTTGCTGAATTGCCTTCTGAAGGTTCGTGGGCGTCATCTTGCCGTCAACAGCAGGCACAAGGATAAGCTTGTGCCCAGTTGCTTCAATTGCACCTGCTTCTTTGCAGGCAATATGCCCCGAATCAAGAGTGATAACAGCCTCATAAGGCCGTAGACAGCTGGCGATTGAGATAAGGTTTGCGGATGTTCCACTGGGTACAAAGAAGATATCGGCCTCATCCTCGGCACAACCGATTTTATTCCGGATCAATTGACGAGCACCAATGCTGTATTCATCATTTCCGTAGGTGACTTGTTGGGTGGAGTTTGTTCGCAAAAGAGCCTCAAGAATTTGTGGGTGGGCTCCTTCGCTATAATCATCCATGAGGCTGTATGGAGGGCATACCTCATCTTGGCAAAGACTTGTTGAAGGCATTGTCAATTGTGAATTTGGTTGAACAGTTGAACACGATAGCTCTTTTGAATTAATGAAACCAAAAATAAAGCAGCTTTGAAGGTTTGAGTCACGTCCCAATTATAAACGGGAAAGAATCTTCGGGAATAATTTTCTCGGGAATATTGCCTCTTTTATTCCCGAGATTTGTCAAGGGAATCCCTTACGCCTCCCAGAGAATATTCTTATCAAGTAAATTTGTGGACTGTGTGGGTCGAGATCGTGAGGGGACATGAGGGGTATGTCTATTTTTTGGAGTAAGGATTCCCAGTGTGTGTTTTTTTCAAGGTCGTGAACGTCTTACACACGGGACTATCCCCAGGTGTCCTAGGTCCATTTTTCACAACAATTGCTTCGGACGCTCAGGAATGACTCTGCGTAGAAACACAACGGTCATTCGGAGAGCATCTCATGGGAATACCATGTTTTCTTCGTCTTCCTGTATCACCAAGTCTAGAATCAGCTCCGGTCGTGTAGCAGGGCCAGATCACACCGGCGTTGAAAAAAAAACTCCGGGTCAAGCCGAGCTCCAACACATTCAAGTGGAACCCCGAGCCTGTGAGGACGTGGACATTGTTAGTTATGTATTAGCGGCCATCTTAATATATTATGTGCCTCGAAAGGATTATATATCATGATGGGTTGCGTTACCCATGCGTCTAGAACCTTCACATCAGACCAATCCTTCGCCTGTGTATATCTAGATGCCGGGTAGGACTGGTTCATCAATATATGGTTTCCTGGTACTGGCCCGTTGAATTGAATTGCGAATAGTCACCTGAAGGTACTAAACGGCACATTTTATCAGCTTCGATCACCACTGATAGGATCCACTTCGGGCCAATCGTGCTTGGAAAGACACTCTGCGTTGGCGGAGAGCGAAGCGAAAAGGAAGATTGGGAATAGAACAATTAAAACGAGGAAAGAATGAGAACAAGAAATCAAAATTAATAGAAAATTGGAGAGGTGAAGTTCATGTTAGTGCCTGACTGCATTGAAATGCTGGCGAATCAGATCACACTGATGGTCAGTGATGATCGGAGGTCGCCGATCCTTCACCTTTGAGTGTTCAGCTAGCACCGATATCCCTGTTCTGATGCGCTTATAGCCCTATAACATCACGTATAGGTGGAGCGAAGCGCGCTGAAGTCTGAACGAAGAGCACCAAAGGGCCATCTTGTTAGTACACGAGATGAGGGAATGTATAATGGCCAAAACAAGTTGGCATGGCTGGGTATTCGAAGAAACTAGCAAGTAGTATATACACATTGGGCTAGATTCCTCCAATGACCAGACATAAATGTACCAAAACTCCAGCAAACAATGCAGACAATGTTCCATGCTTTATATCCAGCTCAATCCTCATGCGATCTGAGAGGCGCGCTCTCCCCTGCAAACCCCTGCTCTACACCGACACTCTGGTATAGCCGGACCCGCCAGCCACGGATGACCAGGTAGCTTGCGACAACACCGCAGAACAAACATATCAGCAAGACAAAGGAGAACACTGCACCAATGCTGCGGATAGCATCGTATGTGAGGTTCAAAACTTGAATGGTTTTGTGGTTTTGGGTATCGATGGCATCCGACGACGTGCGACCAGCCTCGTAAACCACGTTGTCTTCATCTGTACTGTCGCTGCCCTTGCTAAGGATTGATGGGTTGATCGGTAGGGGTGTGCCCGACTTGCCCCTGTATCCAGTAGACTTCCAGTCGGGATATTTGCTGCGGTGGACTTCGGACGTGCCCAGTACGGTGCCATTGACATCTACTGCCCTGACAGATACCCAGTCTAGATAGCCTGCGCCAATAAACATGGTTTCAAAATCAACTCGAGGAGCTTTGCCAATGAAAACAGGGACGTGGAACTCAGAGGCCTGGGCGTAGAAATGCCACTCTGCGACGTCCGTGGCTCCGTTCCAGCTGACCCAGAACGTCGTCACCATGTTGGTTTCGTCGGTACCGTAGACCGAGGCTACCATGTCGGGGGGAGTCTCTGGGCGGCCGGTAAATTCGAATTTGTATCCACGGTAGGAGGAGTAGCGTGAAGAGGTAAAGTTGGCCGTCATCACGAGCTCTCCCTCGGGAGTGTGTTCTGAAATATAGCCCTCCTTACTCCAGCAGGTGAAGACATTACCATCCGGAAGGAGCTGAGTATTACCGCGAAGTCTCGAAAGCGAGTGATCGGGGCGATTGTACCGCCCAATGATTCTGGCCGTCATAGGCTGAACACTGGTTTCCAATTCGACAAAGAGGGATGCGGACATGTTCTCCTCGTTGAATTCCTCGTCCGAGGCATTATTCAAGAACGAGATAATGTGGTGTGTACCACTAGACGTCACAAATTTCGCGTCGTGCTGTTTCGAGAACGTGAAGTCTTGCTCGAAATCAGAGAATTGTCCGCCCAACCGCCACATGATGTTTCCGTCAATGCCAGAGATAAGGTAAATTGTGTTCGTAAATCGTGCTGAAATCAAGTAGTCGCCAGCCTCGTTTTTGTCAACTGAGTTGATATGCACATAGTCCCACCCTGGGTGTCCCTCCACCCGCGAATCTGGGTGGTAATGAACACTCTCGGGCAGAGGAATTCGATTAAAGGAATCCCACCACTGAATGACTTCTGCAGTGTTAATGTCAATCTCCGCAAATCCACCGCTCTCAAGCCAGGTGGATTCTTCGGGCCGACCGAATTCGTGTAGAGTGATCTCATGAGAGAGGTAGACCGTGACCAGCGCAGTCTTACCATCATCACGGATCTTGAACTCGTGAATGTCGAAAATACCAAGGTCTTGTCGAAGAGGGAGTTTGCGTTGCACTTCATAATTATTTTCCAGAATCATTCCATAACCAGAGTCCTCTGCCGCATCATACGAGTGTCCTAAGATAAATGAGAGTTGCGGCTCGGAGGATAGGCTAGTGACCGCTTTGAAATCGAAAACATTCCGATTCTCGAACTGTTGAGCGCCAGTCCAAATAAGACGCTGTGATTCCTCATGGTCAGCTGACGGGAATGTTTTGCGGGGAAACAACGGGAACGCACCCCTTCGCCATCGTAGATATGGGGACCAATCTGGTATTGCTCGTATAGACTCGTCGGCGCATCGGGGTCGATGTGTAGGTAGGGCGCGACGAACCAGTAACCGGGACTGGCGCGTTCGCGATTCAAGTAGTGGACGTTGAATTTGACTGCCCTCACATCTGGGAGCTGGGAAACACAGTGTTAGCACGGGACCAGGCGAAGCGCGGGATTGAACGGACTGTAACGAATGACATCAGATCATCGCTGGAATATTGGGCTAGCACTGTCTGGCATAGCCATAACAGTGATATGCTGAAGAGCAGCATCATTACAAAGGAGTGTGTGAGGAACAATCCAGGAATGAAAAAGAGCAGGAGACCATTTTCACCAAGGCCTAGACAGGTAAGAGGTCTGCGGATCGAAGCTGGGTATGGAGGGCGCCCCCGTGGGGCCAATGGCAGGGACTTGCAATATTATGTATAAGGGTTAAGCAAAATATCATTGGGCCCTTCAACGCAGGGAAGGGGTTGAAACGGAATAAAAGTGGTGCTTTTTCCCGCCAGGACCCATGATGCCTCGTCAGCACTTTGCAATTGAATTGAACTTGAAGTACATTCTAGACCCTTTAGCATGCACTTTGGACCCTTTGATGGTAAATAAGTATCATTCCAAATATTATAGCCTGTTCTACCTTGTATACATAGTTATTTATACGTATGTGTACTCGCAGAAGTCAAAGTGATCTGAGTCTCTACGGTCGCAAATGACATCATAACAATGAACTATCTAATGAGATAGATGAGAATATTTAGTTAGATTGTACTGTAGTTGATGAATTTCAATGGGTTTCTCAAGTTATCCATTGCTAATCTAGACAGGGGCATGTGCAGATAGAAAACGGACAAGAGCATGGTATCTGTACATACAAGTCTTTTGGATAGAATAATCTACAGTGAAAAACATTTTACTTATATCCAATAAACACCCAAAATGCAATGCAGAGCCAGCAGAGGCCACAAAATCAAAATGCAAACCACAAAAAATGCGCCTCCAAATCGAAGAAAGTGAAGAGAACCCTCAAGATACCATCACCTACCTCTCACTCAGGATCACGATAATTCCAAAGCTTCTTCCGCTCCATAACCCACCAAAGCCCAACCTTCTCAGCCTTCTGCGCCCAATCAAAAGCTTCAGGCCCATGTCGCGAATGAACCTCAGCAGCAAGCGAACTCATAGTCCAGCCCGTGATAGGCTCAAGCTCATACGGATCCTTGTCGAGGTGGGTGAAGCGATACTCAAAGTCATTGTTGAGAGGGAGGTTGAGACGCCACGGGACGGCGGCAGAGCCCACGCTCAGCATCGAGCCTCCGGCATTGATGATGCCCATGTTCCAGGCTTCGCGGCCGTTGTGGGAGGCGCGGTATGGACGGATGAGAGACTGGCCTTCGTACTCATTCATCAGATCGAGTGCTATTTCTGTATCGTCTGCGTTGAGGGATTCGGTGTTCACAAGCAGGTCGAGGATTGTCGGAAGGATTGATACCGCGCTTCCGTTGACGTTGAGGTGCATGCGTGGCAGGAGGGGATGGTGGAATAATAGGGGGACTCTGAAATTGCTAATGTGGGGGTTGTGGTAGGTTCCTGTGACGGGGCAGTCTTCTCCAAATGCTTGGCCACTGTTTTTGGGGTTAGATTTGAGACTACATATCTATGTTGTGGGCTGTAGGAAAATCACGTACTGGTCTCCAACAAAAACTGTCAAGGTCTCATTGGCAATGCCAGCTTCGCTGATCATGTTCATCAATTCTCCGAGCCATGTGTCGACGAAACGGTTCGCATTGAGGAAGCCATCCATATGTTCATGTTGTGATTTGTGAAGCTCGCCAAAGTACTCCTCTCGTTTGAAACCCTCTGGCGTGCCCCAAGGGTGATGAGTGGTGCTGGTAAAGTGGGAGAGGAAAAGTCTCTTGTTTTGGCGAAGGGTTTCGTCAATCATGTCTTTGATGTAGGGGCGCGCCTCAGTCTCGGCATAACTACATCAACGTTAGTATCAAACCCAAGTAGTGATCGGAGTATCTCTTGATCAATGACTCACCCGAAATAGTTGATCTTCTCCATCCCTTCGTGGTAGTATGTTGAGTTTTCCAAATCAATATTCTCAGAGTACAAAGATTGATTGAAGCCGAGCAAATCAATCAGCCGAGTCTGCTCCTGGAACTCTCCAGTGACAGACTGGGCATAGATAGTTTCCCACTCTCGTTCAAGCGGATCGCTGGTGGAGTTTTCCGAAGGAGCTACACTCTTTCGTTTGTTGAATAGGTCCAAGATGTGCATCAAACACGGCTGGTATGGGATGATATCATTTTCATGCATAAAATCCACTGGCAGTGGACCCAGACCGCAATAGTTGACCAGACGCGACTTGGCAGAGAGACTGCTCCCTGACAAGATTCCGTCGAAACTGAGGCCGCCCAGTTCTGAATTCACGGAGTCCACGGACGAGCCAAAGCCAGATTGTTCGCCCGTGAGAATTTCTGCTATTGGGGTTATTTGGGAGAGCTTGTCATGCAGGTCGGCTTCGTATTCCTCTTCGTATATCTCGTATGTATCGCGGATCTGACTGTACAGCCGAGAATCATTCTTCAGAGGGAACAGATCCTTCCTGCCGCTTTCCAAGAAAACGAAAACAATATGGTTGATCGGAATGGCGTGGTCTTTGAGGGCTTCCTTTAGAGGGGCGAGTGGCTCTAGATCAAGGTTGGATATCCTCATGGGATCTTGAACTGGGTTATAGAAGTAGTGCCGCGGTGCAGCTGTCGTGTTCTTATCCTCGGAATCGGACCTGATAGAGACCAAGTCGGGTACGCTTTCGTCTGTTAAGATAGGCTCAGATTGAGCACTAGTAATGTCTGTCTGAGTATCAACAAGCCATCTTTCAAAAGCCGCAGGCAAAGGGCCCCGGGCCCATGCTGGCTTATCGTTGCCGTATCCAGTATTACCAAAGTCATCCATCGTCGGGGCCCATCCTTTATAATGACCACTTGGAGGCTCCTGGTATTCTTCCGCTAGTAATTCAGGGAGCGGAAATGATTCAATTGCAATTCGACGGGCCCGGGAGTGTTCACCAAGCATGGTGAAAGGAAGAGCACCGGTCATATGATTATATGGCACAGCTGGCCGGACCAGCCATAGTCCAATGGTTACCACACTGGCGATAAGTGTCCATAGCCGAGATCTGTTAGACACTAGACTTCTCAGATCAGAAGGCCCCGGCAGTTGGTGGTATATCTTTGTGTCTCCGAGATGGGCGAGTGAGCATAGCCAGCGGCTCATGAAATTCCAGATTCCTTGGGCTACAAGCCAAGAAGCCACTGAGATCACAGTGGCAGTAGCAACCATGGGTGCCAATCCACTCAAGATCAAATTCATTCCTTGTCGGCTGGCACCCACGGATCTGGCTGCGTCCCATCGGATCTCGCTTCCAGTTTGAGAATAGAAGCTGACTTGGGACGACGTTGCTAACAGAACAATAAATCTAAAGGGTCAAAAAGTCAATATTAACCCCAAGCATTAGATCAAGGACGGTGAACCAACGCGATAATTGCAGAACAGGCGGCGGCAGCCACGGACCACCGACCGGATGTTGTATATAACAAAATCCATACTGTAACGAAAAGGAGAATCTCTTGAATAAAGAAAGTAGGGAAATAGAGAGCCAAAAGATATAGAGGAAGGGAACGATGTTGATATATGTGAAGTAACTTGGAACAGACACCCGCAAGCACCAAAACGGACAAAATCAAGCGCTGCGGATGGTGAAAACGTGGGACAATCATGATGGTCCAGCGAAGCACAAAGTTACCACCATCAGGAAATCTTCAAACGCGGACTGTTCAACGTGCCCGCTATACACGTTCGTTCGTATGAGCAGGACCAGGTCAGGAAAGGGGTGGAAAAAGGGCCAGCGAAGAAATCGACTGCTCGTACGGAGTAGGCTCCACAGCATTTCGGAGTTGTGCCAGTGGCGCCACATCTATAGGGCGGATTATAATTGCCAATTGTTTGTGTCGGAACGAGCGCCGGGGGCACTAGCCAAGATACAAGTGGCGCCCAGCATTCGGACTGAGTCAGGGGTCTCTCGCTTCGGCCCCGGAGTTGATAGATTGAAAAACGATGTAGATGTCCGACCATGATCGTGATTGATCGGCGGTTCTGGGGAGATCGACATATTTTTAAATTCTCTGGATGAGTACTACCTTCATTGGTAGATAGAGCTATTTGTCTCGGGAGACTTGTCTTCAAATATTATTCAACGTATCGTATTTTTGGCGGAGTGGGTCGGTGGGCCTGAGCCTCCGTCTCGGCGCGAGCAACCCTGCAGCCCTGTACGATGCAGGTTCAAGGGATTGGAGTATTTACCAGTTTTATTAGCTCGGGGACCAAGGATTGCTAAGGATTAATGAACATAACTTGGAATAAGATGTCATAGCTTTGGCTGTCCAAGCCTTGGCGGAAGTGTTTTCGGTAATGCCTCGTACTCGGATAGCGGCGGGCCGGTAACCTATGACCCATGCGTATCACCGCCCAATTTAGGGGCACAGGTGAAATGTTCGGTGCGAGAATGTGAGAGTTCTCTTTGAAGAGGCAATTTCCTAGACCTTGGATTCCCAGGGAAAATACAATCTGGTTTCCTCAGGCACATGCAAGCAGTCTTTGTAAAGCTCTGCTTGTAAATTCTCTCCCAAGACTGTATTACCACATGCTCAGAACCATATTGGGCATTATAACTAGAGTGCGATAGGACAAATATGCATCAAGACAAGGTACACAAAGCAACAAATTTGGAGCCGAAATCCTGTACTGTATTGTGTTGAGTTTCTCAAGTAGAGCAAAATCCCTAAGGCTCAGGGGTCCAGGTGCATCCACAACATATTCTATTTTTTTCATTCAGCTATTCATCGTGGGGTAATTCTAGTCAAGCTAGCTAGATTCCCGTGTAAATAATGTCACTGTCATCAACTCTCCACTGTGTTTCATCCTTGCCCTTACAAGTCTCTCAAAGCTAGCACAATCTTCAAATGCTCGTATCCAAGATCAACCTCTTTCGACCACGCCAGAAGGCCGGCTGTCTTGATAATGTTCTTGATCTGGCGGCCGTTTAGCCGAACTTCTGCCATCTGGTCAAGTTGCTCGTCCGTGAAGGTCTTGCTTGAACGGCTGAGGAATTGCTTCCAGATATGGCGTCTGGAAGCCACATCCAGCTCTTGGTAGTTGAGAGAAATGTGGATCCGAGATTCGAAAGCAGGGTCAATATTCTGGGCACGATTGGTGGTCAAGAAGAGGATTCCCTAGAGAAAGGATGAAATTAGTAATTTGGTTTTTCAATCTCTCGGGTTATGGGGAACTGATGTTTACCTCGTAGTATTCAAGCATTCTCAAGAAAATCGACACAAGCTCATTGCGAGCAAGATCAGTTGCGTCACGAGCTTCCATGAAAACATCAGCCTCGTCAAGCAATAGAACAGCGCCCCATCTAGGGATGGCCTTCAAGATCTGCTTGAGATTACGCTCAACATCGCTGGCATCCATTCCGAGGTCACCCGCGCTCATCACATAAAGAGGGACTTTCATGACCTCCGCAACGCTCTCCGCGGTAAGAGTCTTGCCGACACCAGGAGGGCCCGCTAGTTGCATGATGATACCGCGGCCCTTGCCTTGAACGACATCATCGAAAGAATCCAATTTCTTGGACTGGGCTTTTGCAACGCCTAGAATGACTTCCTTGAGACCTTGCTGTTCTTTCGGCAGGACCAGAGACTCGAAGGCTCGCTCATCCCATACAATTTCACTGGAACTGTCCAGGTAGAAGATGAGCCATTCTTTGTCTTTGAGGGAATAGCCGTAGACCATTGGAGTGGCGATAAGTCGTTGCGCATCGTCCAGTTTATCTTCGTCGATGATGCTGCCCACGCTGATCGTCCCAGTGGGATGGAAGATGTTATACGCATCAGCGTCAATGATAATGCGACCCTTGACATGATACTTGGTGTCCCTTAAGTTTTCGTCATCCTCGGTATAGTCCCTACTAATGGCGGTTCCATTGTAGGCCTTGAAGTGGTATCCCTTGTGCTCTTCCCATCGCTTTCCACGCGCTGCCAGGGACTTTCGGATCGAGTCCTTCTCGGGGTGGTACTTGAGGGGGAACACAGACAAGGAGGTTATTGGAACAGTGCCGGTGAACATGGGGATCATGAAGTTTTCGTTGTTGTATCCAAACCGACTTCCATCGAAGTCGACATGCTCGGCATAGAGACTCCATCCACACTTGGTCAGAGACATCTCATCGAACTTATGGGCACGAAGTAGTCCTCCGAACGATGAGATAACCACGTCATGAGGCTCCATGATTGTCCAGGCTAGTGGGTAGGTAATGACACCATTCGCAATCAGATCCTTTTTGTGATCGATCACATCCTTGAGCTCCTCGTCCATGATACTATAGAATAGATCCACGTGAGACTTGGTGGTGGGATCCTGCTCCATATTTCTAAACTTGACGATTTCCTCCCATCGGTGCACGAAAGGCTTGAAGGGCGCCATGAACTCGAGACGATCGAGGGTCGTCGTCACCCCAGGATAGTTGTCCAGCACCTTTCCCAGGAAGCCTTTAAGATGGTCACTTTGCACAACAATGGAATGCACAGACAGGCTCTTGCGTCCATCGTAGCACTTCTCCTTTCGGACTAGAAGTGCGTATTGCGCCGAGTCGGCATCCTCAGCAGGCTCAGGCAAATCGGATGGTAGTTCTCTGGTCCAGGACCTCACGCCATCTTCATCGGGCTTTGTTTGGTACATATTGCGGAAGTCACAGACTGTGCCCACAGGCTCATATTTGGTTTCCTCGCCATTGTTGTCATTATCCTTCTCAGCTGGCTTAACTGTTAGGTGTTAGTTCTTGACTGCATAATAGCGGCTCAATTTACTTACCGGTGCCATTGTTCTCGACCGCCATGCCTATAGATGTTATTAAGATCGAAACAGATAAAAAAAAATGTTGGATTTTGGAAGTAAAAGGTTGAGATAGCAGAAGAAGAGAGAGATGAGAGATGATCAAAACCTAGCATGCTTGCTTCAACCCACGGACAAACACACACTTCTCTATACCTTTATACTAGAACCCGGGTTTCTACATTGTATACGATTGTGAAGGTAGTCATGACGCATGTCAGCCTCACTCTCTGTTGCCTAGAAATCAATGCAGGCCAATTCAGTCGGGGTACCAAGTAAGTATACGTACTTGTAGATCAGACTCAGATATGAGTCAACCAAATGCCATAGCCTCATCCAAGTGTTTAAGTCTGCATGTAAATTATTGATTGGAACGTGTTTCAGATTGATTGGATTTTTTGTTCCTTAGGTACATATCTAGTCTAACTAAATGCATACATATGTATGTACCCACCACGCCATAACATTGAGGGGAAAACTCGGCTTTACTGTTTTGTCCCGGCCGAAACATAGGGCCTCTTTAAACTGCAAATATCCCTATACACTTGACTGAATTTTTGCTCCTTTTTTTCACTATCATCAAATCATCAATTGCACCTCGCTATCTGGGAGAGAAAAAAAATAAAACAACTATATGATGCCACTTTTCACTTTCGTGTTGAGTTGGCCTTTGGTTATCCCCGATTCCGTATGCTAACTTATTCCGTGTGGAATGCAGTCAGACGAGCCCGAATAACCTCCTCCGAATCTTCGGTATCCAACTCGCTGAGAACTCCCGATCCAACGTCGTAAATCAGGCCGTGGAGTTGGAGCCCACGCTCCTGAATGGCGTTGAGGACAACACCCTTCTGCTTAACGACATTCAGACCCTCACGGACATTCAACTCGGCCAACTTCATGGCAGCCTCGTCGGTAGTCATGCTTGACAGAAGCTCAAGGTTGCGCTCACGCAGCTGGCGCAGAGGCAACAGCCAAGGGTCCAAAATTCCCAGGTTCTTGTTACCCATGGCAGCAGCAACACCACCGCAAGCGGTGTGGCCACACACCACGACGTGGCTCACGCGGAGATATTGCACGGCGTATTCAATAACGGCGGAGGAGCTGAGGTCACCCGGGTGCATGACGTTGGCGATGTTGCGGTGGACAAAGACATCACCGGGGTGAAGTCCCAAAAAGGTGGTCTCCGGGCAACGCGAATCGGAACATCCGATCCACAGAATTTGTGGCTTTTGCCCGTTGGCGAGGGTAGGGAAGAGTTCCGGGTGATCACGGGCTGTCTGTGCTGCCCATTCCTTGTTCAGACGCAAGCCTGTGGCATACCGATCTGTGGAGTCCGCAGCGGTGTCAGTTTGATTCTTGGTACTCGAATTTGTGGCCGGTGCGCTGGTGCTTTTGTGGTTGGCACAGGAGAAGGGAGTGGAGGTTGAGAAGCGGACAGTGTTGGGCGCCGAGAAACCGGTCGCACCAGCCGCGCGACGGGAAACTTGAGACCGACTCACTCGCAGGAAACCCGGTGAGTCACAGACAGCCCCCACTGCCCGTGTGACAAAACCAGGTCGCCCGGTGAGCCTCGCAGCAGCCATGGAGGAGAGGGAAAAAGAGCAAAGAGGAAATGGACTGTGGCAGGAAATGCAGGTATTTTGGCGGGGAGCAAACTGAGTCAGACGGCGGAAAGAGTTGACACGAAGTATCAAATTGTCACTTCTTGCAGAGCCCGGAAAGCCTGACTCATGTGTTGCCCTCGGCAGAATTGACGAGAAAGGTGAAGCGGGAAAAAATTGATGAGGAAGATGGATGGGAATAATTGCCAAGAGCGCGCGAAAACAGAGGACCGCTCACACTAACCTTCAGCTGTCATGATGAATTCTGCCAAGTGCAAAATGAGGAAATGAGGTTATTGTTGAAGAGGCTAAAGACTATATAAAATGCCAAACAGAACGAGAGGGGGGGTCAGGGGAAAAGAAAACGTTGAGAGGTTCTCCCGAGGGGAACTCGCCCAGCCAATTAGAGAAATAGTAACGCCAAACTTCGATAACCTCTTCAATGTTCAATTTAACCATTCTGTACAAGTCACGTCTTTTATTGCTCACTTTTAACATAACATAAATTCCAAAATGCTTCAAACCAAAATAACAAAATTTTTTAATCAAGCCGTACCACCACGGCCGCCAACATTCAAGAGGGTCTTCTTCTGTTCGTCACTAATTTGGACGGGAGGGAGCGGGCGAGCCCCAGCGATAGTCGGCGCGGGGAGGAACCCTGTCTGGAAGAGGTAAGAGGCATAAAGACCGACCAATTCCTCTGTCACACCGGCACCGGCTGAAGCATCGACGCCGGACCAGGCAGCATCAGCACGGAGAGCAGCTGCGGCATTGACATCATCCAGTTCAGGAGCCTTGGTGTTGGAGGGAAGGTCTGCAGTTACGAAGTGGTACAGAGGCAAAAGAGCATGCTGAGACTCCTTATCATCGTGTTGACCGTCATTGACATATTTCTCGAGGGCGTTGGACCAAGGAATATAGTCAACTTGGGGAACGTTGTATCCGTAGAGCTCAAGGGCACCGAGGAACTCATTGAAACGGAGGCGAGGGTGTCCAGTGACATGGGCAACGCCAACCGGGTTGAAAGCGCAGGCAATAACGATCCGAGCCACGTGGTCGACTGGAACCATATTCACGGTGTTGTTGATGTTAGGCCGAGCGGACAGCTGGATACAGCCGAGCAAGAAGCGCACAAGGAAGTCATCGTTGTTAGTAGTTCCTGTGATCGAGTCACCAAGGACGTATCCGGAACGAATGATGCTGGTCTTCAGGCCTCTACGGCTAGCCTCCTTAACAAGGTATTCTCCAGCCCATTTGGTCTGACCATAACCAGTTCCGAGGCCGATCCTGCTGCCTTCCATATCGTCGTCTTCGCTAATGCCATTGCCACCAGCGGCGATGATACGCTCGGATTCTTCGACAAAGTAATCCTTGTCCAGCGCACTAGTAGAACTGACGAAAGCAAATTGCTTAGCTTTTCCGCTGCACAGCTTCAAGGCATCGATGGTACCCATAACGTTGGCGGGCTTGAGGGTTGCGTAGGGGTACACCCAGTGAACAAGGGCTCCGTTATGGATCACAGTATCAACGGTGCTTGTGAGGTCGTCCCACACTGCCTGGGTAAGCCCGAACTGGGGCTTTCCGAGATCACCACAGACCGCACGGAGCTTGGAGGTCCACGCTTCATCCCAGAAACCGTAGGCACGACAAGTTCCACGGATACGCTCAAGAGCCTGCTCTTCAGTCTTTGCGCGAACCAGAGCCACGACCTTAGTGGAGGGCGCCTTGCGGGTGAGTAGGTCGCGAAGAATATGAGCGCCTAGGAAGCCAGTCGCTCCAGTGAGGAAAACCAGAGGCTCAGCAGTGAGCATAGCATCAGTGCGAGTGGGGAATGTCTCAGGCAACTGGCTCGCAAGCTGGACAGCATCCTTCGAGTACTCGTCATCGGGCTCATTGGCAGCCTGCACGGCTCCGGCAAGGGTCTTGTCATCGCTTGTCGCGAAAGATGCCAGAGCTAGCAGGCGGTCGATTTCACCAGCGAAGCCCTTTAGAGTGGGGCTACGGAAGATGACATTCATACTGATATCAATGCCGCGCCACTTACGACGCAGCTCGAAGAACATCTGCTGCGCCAGAATACTGTGGCCGCCAAGATCGAAGAAAGAATCATCCGGCCCAATCATACGAGCGGTCACATTGCGGATGAGTTTGGCCCACACCTGAGCCAGAGTTTGCTCGGTTTCGGAAAGAGCCTGCATGGCGGACGACCGGCGGCGAGGTGCAGCCGCACTCAGTTCCGCAGTGTCGGGGAAAGGAAGGGCGGGCTTGTCAATCTTGCCGTTCGGGTTCAGGGGCATACGCTTGAGAGGAATAATGACAGTCGGCACTGCGTATGTAGGAAGCTTACTCCGAAGATGGTCACGAGCATCATCCCGCAGAGCACGGAAGCGTCGCAACAGGCCGACCATACCCTCAGCGGTGTCATCATCGGTAAGGCCCTTGCTCTCTAGCCACGAAGCCCACTTGGTCATATCGGGAACGAAGTAGCTTACCAATGTAGGCTCCTCATCCTTATCTCTTCGTACTAAAGTTACATTCTCACGGACCAGAGGATGGCGGGAAAGGTGAGTATCAATTTCACCAAGCTCGATGCGGAAACCACGGATTTTGACTTGGTCATCGGCGCGACCAGAACACTCCACATCTCCGGATGGAGTGTATCGGCCTAAATCACCGCTCCGATACAGACGATCCCGGGGACCGACATAGTACTGGCGCCAAGGCTCGTTCTTACCCTGGGACTCTGCCTGGTCTTTTTCAGCCCAGACTTCCGGCTTAACGAACCAGTTAGTCAGGAACTTCTTAGCGTTCAGCTCCGGGGAACCAAGATAGCCCTCCGCAAGACCGGCGGCACGAACGTAGATCTCGCCGACCTCTCCGATAGCGCAGATCCGAGTGGGGTCGTAACGGTTGACAACAAGCATTTGGACGTCCAACATACCGCGGCCAGCCGCAATAACATCCTTACATGTATCGAGATACCCTTCATCGCTAGAGTAACTAGGGATCTCGAAGTAGCTAACAGCACGCTGGGTCTCAGTTGTGCCGTACATGTTGACGACAGAAACGTTGGGGGCAAGTCCCTGGAGCGAGCGGCAGTCTCGCTTGATCAAGATATCACCCACGAAAAATGCGTGGTGAAGGGCAGGGAATTGAGCAGAAGCGCCACCGACCAGAATTTGACCCATGGCAGGGGTAAGATGAGTGACAGTAGCACCAAACTTTTGCATCCACTCAGCAAGCTTCTCATTCTGAATGTCCTCGCGAGCGGGCACCAAAAGTTGAGCACCCAAGAACAGCGGGGTGAAAATGTCTCTTTGAATAGGGTCGTGAGCGATACCACTAAGCATAGTAAATTTGTCGTCTGCCGTAAGCTTAAATGTCTCGGACATCCAAGGGAAGTAATAAGCTAGGGAGAAGTGTCGACCACGGACACCCTTTGGCCGGCCCTCCGAACCGGACGTAAAAGACAAGGTGGGAATAGAATCAGGACCGACAACGACGCCAGTGGGCTGAGATTTCAGTGCAACTTCGTTGACGAAGACGTCTTGGCCATTGACGGATCCACCGGCGAGGGTGCCATCGTCAAGCAAGGCAAGTGCAGGGATCTCAGTGCGGAGCTCCAAGTTTTCGTTGATAAAAGTGCGAACAATTTCTGAGAGTTCACCAGCGTCCCTTGTTGCTTTAGCAATGTTTACTAAAGCGCGGGGACGGGCAACATCGAGGTAAATGTTCTGTCGTTCCGGCGGGTAGGCAGGGTCGATGACGGAGAATGTCGCACCGGCCTTGAGGATTCCCATCACGGCAACCACAAGGTCGACACCACGGTAGGCGTAAACCATAACGACCTCTCCTCGTTGGATGCCGGACTGAACTAGGTGGTGGCCAAGGATGTTCGAGGCCTCGTTGATCTGACGATAGGTAAACTCGCGGTGAGGAGAGGTGCTCGACTCGGTCTCAACCACACAGAGCTTGTCCGGGTGACTTTCGGCATTGGCAGCAAAAATATCATGAATAGCACCACGGAACTTGGACCAGTTCAAGTTGGATGTCGGGTCAGGCAAGAGTACGCGCTGGTCCTCGGTCATCAAATCAATGCGTCCAATAGCCTCGTCCGGGTTTGCAGCGGCATTGTTAGCAATGCATGCGAGTTGTTTCAAGATGAAGGCAATGCGAGCACTGGAGAAGAGACGCTGGTTATAGTATGCACCCAATTGGACCTCGGAAGCTGAGCCATCAGATAGGTTGCCCGCTGCAACATTAACGACGAGGTCGGTGGTATCGAAGGTGTTCGCGGGGTAGTCTTGCGAGGCAGCAGGGGCGTCATAGGCAGCAAATCGGAAAAGGACCGGTACACGTTCGGACTTGGACTTTTCCTGGATATAAGAGCGAAGACTGCCCAACGGCACAATCTGGGAGGCGCCTTCCTTGAAGGCCTGCGAATAATTTAGCCTGACATGATCGTACAGCAATGAAGAAGAGCGGGAATAAGATACGCACCTCCTCGACCTTGGAGTAGAGCTGGACGAAAGTCTCCGAAGTATCAATGGGGACTCGGATGACGAATGGACGACCATCCTCGTTAGAACTTGTCCCCACGGCAATGTCCTCATCACCGGTCAATCGAGCGACCAGAATGACAAAGGCTGTCAGGAAGACAGTGAAGCCAGAGGATGAGCCAGAAAGCTTCTGCAGCTGCAATTGGGTCTCCTTGGGGAGTCGCAGGGATTCAAAAGCCTCGATAGCTCGTTTATTATCGAGCGTTTGTGTGTCGGGATAGTCGCGGGTCAATGGAGAGACAGTGAGGTTGTTCAACCTTTGTGCCCATGTCTCCAGGCGGTCCTCCAAGGCCGCACCGACGACCATGATTGCAGTATATCAAGTATAATATGTTGAAAAGACAAGATGAGTCAAACCCCACCTAGATACCTCCGGAGGGGTGGAAATGTCCGATGTCGCCGCCCTTCGCAGTGGACTGTGATTGGCTAGGAATGCGCCCCACAATAAATTGAGCTGGACAAGTCAAACGGACCCCGGTTGAACAATGATCCGCACATCAACACGAGAGCCGCATACGATACTCCCAACATTTGCGCCCTTTTGATTCTTCTATCTTTAATACTGACCAAGCGTCTATGAATAACATAGCTTATGTCGGCCACAGAAGCCCCGTCCTCTCCGGGCCTCGAGACGAGAGACGTCCAGCCTACCCATGAACATACTGAGACACCGACCCCAATAGACCTCCTAGGCCAAACACAGGATGATGGTTTCTCCAAACCAGACAGCAGCCAGACAGAAATTATAAGCTCGCAAAACGCTGCAGAGCCATACGCTACCGATGCCTCCTCAACTTCAACCGCGATAGACTCGAAAATACCTGCCCAACCGCAATGCCCAGCCGAGCAACAACCACTTGCGGAGCAGATGGAAAGACTGGGAGTGTCAGAATTTACAAGTTCAGATTCATTGTTGAATAGAAACACACCTCCTCCACCTCCACCTCCACCCCTTGAAAAAGACAATGTCTATCTCAGGACAAGCTCGGCGCCTGCGTCAGCACTCCCACGTCTCGATACAACCTCGAGCCCCAGCCCCGAGAAAGAGCTCCCAGAAGTGCCTGGCGACAGTGATCCGGAGCTGAAACAATGTCCCCGGGAGGATAATTACTCGCAGCCGGAAATTCAAAATATTATGGGACAATTTCAGGACCCCGCACGAAGCGCCGACCAAAAGGAGATCATGTCTCCAAGGCTCGAGCTTGCTGAACAGTTCCGAGGGGGCCCAAACCATTTCCCACCTCGCAAATCAAGTTTGGATCATCCGACTTCTATCGAGTCAGCGGCCTCTCCGGTCCCTGCAACTCCGGCGACTCAGCCTGGATCTCATTCTCACAAGCCCGAATCTCCAGTATCAATCCGGCGATCATCCACCTCGACAGTTCCACCACTTCCAGAGCCAGAGTCTGATCAACCGTTTGATTTCCATCGGTTCCTTGAACAGCTGCGTCACCGCACGGCCGACCCCGTGGCTAAGTTCTTGCGTTCGTTTCTCATGGAGTTTGGGAAGAAACAGTGGATGGTTCACGAGCAAGTCAAGATTATCAGCGACTTCTTGACTTTTATAACAAATAAAATGGCCATGTGCGAGATCTGGCGAGATGTGTCAGATAGCGAATTCGATAATGCCAAGGAAGGCATGGAGAAACTCGTTATGAATCGCCTATATTCCCAGACCTTTGCGCCAGCAATTCCGGCCCCGCCAACTATACCCAGAAGTGCGAGTCGGAGCCGACGAAGAGAACTTGAGAGGCTGCATGGGCCATGGCGACGCGGTCAACACCAAGAGGATATTGAACGGGATGATATCTTAGCCCAGAAAATTCGCATTTACGGCTGGATCAACGAAGGGCATCTTGACATCCCACCTGTGAGCGGCGGTGGGCGTCGTTTCTTAAATCTAGCACAGCAAGGTATGTAGGCGAACCGGGCTGCCCGATCACATTCTAACATTCTTTAGAAATCTCAAAGATCAATGGCTATCGCGCTCCCCGAGATAAGGTCATTTGTATTCTGAATTGTTGCAAGGTAATTTTCGGTCTTCTGAAGAACTCCAAAAAGGGAGATACATCCGCAGACTCATTTATCCCTCTCCTGATCTATGTGGTTTTGCATGCAAATCCGGACCACCTTGTCTCCAATATCCAATACATTCTTCGTTTCCGCAACCAGGATAAACTTGGTGGAGAAGCCGGGTATTACATCTCATCGTTGGTATGTCTATCGCATAGGCCGTCGACTTATCATCAAACTAACATCATTTAGTCCGGAGCCATCACATTTATCGAGTCCCTGGATCGCACCAGTCTGACCGTCAGTGACGAGGATTTCGAACGTAATGTCGAGGCTGCTGTGTCCGCCATTGCTGAACAAAACCGTGAATCCGAAACGCTTGACGAAAAGCCCTCAGCCCAAGCCCCTCCATCCCATGCCCAGGCAGGACCCAGTCGCAACCCAGCCCCACAGTCCAGTGACGACGACACATCTGCTCCGGTCGCAGGACTCCTACGCACCATCCAAAAACCCCTTTCTACCATTGGCCGCATCTTCTCCGACGAACCAGACTCGGGTTCTTCTGCTTCCCAAGACCGCCTCCACCCCGTTCCGCCACCCCAGCCTGGTGTCGCTCCCCCCCCGACTCTCCCCGAACGTCTATCAGCCCCCTCGTACAAGCAGCGAGGACGGTCGGCTCTCAGGGGACGAGCGCTCTTACTCTGCCCATGGCAGCGGAACCTCTGCGAAGAAGAAACTCACCCGCGTACTCAACGCCCAAGACGCTGCCGCACGTCAAGCTAGTGCCGAAGATGCCGAGGCGCGTCGCATTCAGCGTGCTGAACATAATAACGTTGTCGAGACTTTGTCAAACATGTTCCCCAATCTTGATCGGGATGTCATCGACGATGTCGTGAAGATAAAAGAAGGAAGGTGAGGCAAAGTCCATGTCTTTGTTTAATTGCGACCTCAAGCTAACTTAGTATCATAGAGTTGGTCTAGCGGTTGACGCTTGCCTTGCTCTCAGTGCAGAGTAGTATATAGAATAATTTAGCAGATCTTGTTGCGGGACTATCAGCTCGGTACAGCCCTGGATGTCACGTCTTCTTTTGTTGAGTCTAGAAATCTATCCATGATGCGTGTCTACGCAGACATCACAAATCCTTCTGTGTTGGCATTTTATACAGTAATAAACAGTGTAGAGGCTTGGTGCCCATGGGATACTGACCAGCACACAGATAATTTCCCTATACAAAAACCTTCCCTAAATGACCAAATATTGAAGGTGGAACTAGATTCATCAAATTTTAACCCACATACACATGTATGTAAGGTGTAGAAATGGTCGGCAGTTGAATGGTCGCGAATGCCAGATCCCAGCCAAAACCTCAGAGAAAAAAGATCCTCGGCTCCCCGCAAAACCGCGGTCTCTCCGGACATTTATTAAACACGAGCACGGTCCTATTGTTTATATTCCAGGACTTCATAAACACCAATCCCTCCTTTTGTTTGTTCCCAGAGATATCAGGAGCGTCGCACACAATGTCGTCTCCGTTTCGCATTGTTGAACACGTCGTACCCAGTCAGCATATCAGGGAGTATCCTGGAGCCACGGCAAACGAACAAGAAGAACCCCTGCATCTGGCCGTGAAACAATATATTCCACTCGATAATCCTAATCCGCAACCAGGCGACATCACTATTCTTGCTGCCCACGCAAATGGTTTCCCCAAGGTATGAATTGAAAAATGCCGAGGTCCAGATCCGTGACCCGCTCAGGAGTTGCACCCATTGGGATGGCCGCTACATAGAACCAGCAGTGTACTGATTAATTGCAGGAACTATACGAGCCTCTTTGGGAAGAAATACACGCTCGATCAAAACAGAATGGGTTCCGTATTCGCAGTATCTGGATGTCCGATGTGGCCCAAGAAGGCCAGAGCAGTGTGATTAATGAACATTCTCTCGGGAATGATCGTACGTGACATGAGTCTTAATCAAAGGAAACACAATTGTATACTGACTATCTTACAGCGAGCTGGTTCGATCACCCTAGGGACCTCCTCCATCTGGTCAACGTCAAGCGGGCTGAAATGCCCCGGCCCATCGTGGGTATCGGGCATAGCATGGGAGGCGCTCACCTGTAAGTACAAAAGCTCGGTCAAACATATACTAGCCAGACAACTAACAAAATAAATTAGCGTCCAACTATGTTTAATGCACCCTCGACTGATCCACACCTTGATCCTGCTAGACCCAGTGATCCAGCGCCAATCAACCCAACTAGACGGCCTAAGCATGTTAAAGAACAAGCGTGAAATAGCCAAAACCACTCAACTGTCAACCCACAGGCGTGACATCTGGCCCTCCCGCCAAGCCGCCGCAGAAGGCTTCCAGCGAAGCCCCTTCTACCAAGCCTGGGACCCAAGGGTCCTATCTCGCTGGGTCAAGCATGGCCTTCGCGACCTCCCAACAGCCATCCACCCACTCGACCAGGAAAAGAAATCTGCGGATCCCCCAGTAACCCTTCGCACCCCACTCCACCAAGAAGTCTTTACCTTCTCCCGCCCAAACTATAGACACATCCCGGGCAGCGGCAAGCCCGTCAACCGTGTCACTCACCCAGACCTAGACGCAGACCACCCAGACAGCTACCCATTCTACCGGCCCGAACCGGCGCGTATCTTCTCTCAGCTCCCCCATCTCCGCCCAAGCGTGCTGTACATCTTCGCCGGAAAGTCGGATATGTGTATTCCCGCCATGCGCGCCGATAAGCTCGCGAACACGGGCGTCGGACTAGGTGGGAGTGGCGGTGTTGCGGCCGGCCGTGTGCGTGACGTTTTCCTTGAAGATTTTGGACATTTGCTTGCCCAGGAGGCGGTCAATGAGTGCGCTGACGCAGCGGTGTGTTGGCTTGCGCCTGAGATTCGGCGCTGGAGGGACGAGGAGGAGAGCTTCCAATCTGTTTGGAGTAAGAAGTCGAAGATTGAGAAGGTCACTGTTGATGCGGAGTGGTTGAAGAATGTTCCTGCGCCGGCGCGGAGACCGAAGAAGGCACAGGCTGGCAGCTCGAAGCTATAGAGTTTGTTGTTATGTTGTTACCCCTATTCTGCCCACTCAATGGTTGCATAGTTCATACACGAACATCGATAGAAGCATGGCCCGAAAGAAGCGCTGCTCGCACTGTAATAGCTTGTTAGAATAAACTGGAAGTACACATTTGAGATTTTTTCTATTGTGCTTGGTATGATATGAGTACGCTGAATCAACAATCAAAATAGTAGACAAGCCTGACTCTCATCTATAGTCAAGACTCCGCGCGCCCCCAGATAAAACAAGAAAGGGTATGGTATATCTATGGCGAAAAGCCAAAATGGTCCGTCTCTGGGATAAATTTGTATGCTGTACCAAAAGCAGCAACGCCAAGGAATGTCAAACAGTGCTCCGAGTCTCACGGCAAAAGACAGGCAAAGATGGAGCGTGATGTCTAATTTAAGTATATGTGAAGGGTCACATTTGCAAGAGCGTCGTTGGGTCCCCTAAATGCCATGAGCATGGGGTGATGAATGACAGAGGCTAGCCTCAGGTAGACTTCTTGGCCCGAGTGACATTTCCAGATGTTGCACCCGAAGTGCGGACCACCTCTGGGATCTGCCAGAAGTGCGCCCACCGTAGGTGGTATTCGTCTTGTCGGTTGTTGAGGCAGTGGCGGAGCCAGATGCCCCAGACGATGTAGAGATATGCACCAATACCGGTCATGACGTGCCTGGAAGAAGAGTTAGCGGACGGTTCAATTGATCCAAGCTAATTTTGATACATACCACCAGCCATGACCTTCCAAAAAGATACCCCACGGCAGACCGACACTGCGGCGCATCCGGCGGATCTCAGAACAGAAAATATTATCCAAATTCCAAATGAAGAAACCGCCCAAGAACATGCTCAGCCCGTATGTTACCATAAACCACATGGTCTTGAGTGTTTTGGCATCACGCACGTTTTCATAGTGCTGGCGCTCCTTGGTCGGCACGGGGAGACCCTTCTTCTGGCGTGCCAGACGATCCTCCTCAGTCGAGTGGCGCCATTTGGGCCGAAGGGTCACCTCCATGATGTACATACTACGCAGGACGACGACGGTAGTCAAGAGCGCGTAGGCGTTCTGGTGGAAGACTGGGTCTTGCAGATAGTGATAGTATAGGGTAATAAACACGGCGAGTCCGGCGAGGGAAAGACCGAGCCAGATTCGCACGGTTGTGGAGCGGGCATATGAAAACAAGGCATAGGCCATGAGACAGGTAGTGTAAATCATAGAAAGTTCGTCGACCAGTTGCATCGGATCTGTTGTACAGAGTCCAGTCAGCAGTGTTCTTGTAATCTTCTTTGGCTCGGTTCAACGGAAACTTCTATGGGGGGCGGGTGTTGGTGTGGGAGATGGAGAAACACTTGCATTTCAAGGTCGAGTGGAAAAAGAAGCTCCCTGTCCCGACAATCAGGTATCCCAGCAGTGCGACGGTAAAGATCTGGTCATGTCCATTGCGACGACAGCTCAGGATACCCTGGACGCCGAGCCACATGAACATCAGGTTCGTTAAAGCATTCACGATCTCAGCAGCATACTCAGTCGCATAGTAGTCCTGAATGTATAAGTTAGTGCTGTGATTCGCTTCGCCTTGCGCGGGGTGAGATACCTCTTCGCACCAGTTCAAAGTGGAGGTGACGGGCTCCCAGTATCCGTCCTTTGCGGGCGGATACGGGAATGAGGGTAAAGACCAAGTCATTTGTAGATAGGAGAGGTATAAGCTCTCTGTGAGTTTTGGAGAGAGTAAATATTCATGAAAGGGAAGAAGAAAAGGAAGAAACGAAAACATGAAAACAGATGACGTCGATTAAACATGCCCAATTAAGACTCACTGATTGGCTGTGTCCGTGCACTCCGCGAGATGCCGAGCTGCAAGCGGTTTCTGCTTCTGTTCTTTTTTTGTTTTGTTTTGCATTGTGTTATGTATATATCTAAATCAAATATATAGCATGGATTATATGACATATGCCAATTAATCTGCTCTTATTGTATTTCATATCTATCGATAGCTCTGCTCTCAAAGTGTATCAATGCTCCAAATGACAAGTCTAGAGCCGCATAACCAATTCTAGGTTAAAGTTGGGTGTGTTTGTAGGTAGCTAATATATATGGGTATATCCAATAGTTAAATAGCGAGAAAGCCTGTACATTCATGTTTATATACATGTCGGTTATGCACCCTCGAAAAACTCCAAAAGAAGGCAGTCCTGGAGCTTACATGCGGTGAAGAGCTTATCGATAGGACATCGCAGATCCCGATGACTGCGATGACTTCACTAATCCAAAGTCTTGTACCTGACATTAGAGCCTACTCTGACCCATTGTACCTCGGCTATCTTACTATATCTTTCCTCTTTTCTAATTCAATTCATCCCTGGTGGAATGCAAGCTGTTGCTATTCATCTCTAGCTGTGACCCATATTGGCCAGTGGAATTTTTCTCCAATCTTTACGCATCCGGTGAATGCCAACGTCTTCCGAGTCAGCCCGCGCTATACTAGACACCAGTGAGATTCGATCTGGTATCGGATTCTCTTTCTTTACGAATACTAGTCGCTGGTGTTACGACTGGGGGCTCATTTGATCCTACAGACGCGATGTCGAACAACAGCACAATAGCGGTGCCGCAAGTCAAAACGGGCACGTCTACGAGTATGTCTCATTCAGATCGCCCAGATCGCTGCAATACACTGCTAACCACCACGTTTTTCCAGCCTCAAAAACACCCTTCCACTTTGCAGCTGGTCTTTGTTCCGGCCTCACATCCTCCATTCTCCTCCAACCCGCCGATCTCCTCAAAACCCGAGTCCAGCAATCCCAAGGAGCCGCCCTTCTCCCAACCCTGAAAACAATTTTATCTTCCCAGAATCCAATCCGTGGACTATGGCGCGGCACGCTCCCTTCAGCCCTGCGGACTGGCTTTGGCTCTGCGCTCTACTTCACCAGTCTTAACGCGCTGCGCCAAGCCGTTGCGCAGAACAACCCATTGGCCTTAGCTAGCCCAGTAATGGGCACCAAGTCATCCTCGGTTCTCCCCAAACTCTCCAACACAGCCAATCTCGCCACCGGAGCTGTCGCAAGAGTCGCCGCGGGCTTCGTCATGATGCCCGTCACCGTGCTCAAGGTCCGCTACGAATCTGACTATTACGCATACCGCAGTCTAATGGGCGCCGGTCGTGATATTGTGCGGACTGAAGGTCTCCGTGGGCTCTTTGCAGGATTCGGCGCGACTGCCGCTCGTGACGCGCCATATGCCGGTCTCTATGTTCTCTTCTACGAACAATTAAAGCGGCGGTTCGCGCTGATGGCCACCCAATCTGCCAACGATGGGGCTCCAGGGTCTGGCATGTCATCCTCGTCAATACACTTTGTTTCTGGCGCAGCAGCAGCTGGTATGGCAACCGCTATCACGAATCCATTCGACGCTGTCAAGACCCGACTGCAGCTCATGCCTGCTAAATATGGGAACATGGTGCGTGCTACGCGTATGATGCTCCAAGAAAACGGCCTCCGAAGTCTCTTTGGTGGGCTTGGTCTCCGCATGACACGCAAAGCTATCAGCTCGGCGCTTGCCTGGACCGTCTATGAAGAACTGATTCTGCGAGCCGAGAAACGCTGGGAGAAAAATCACCAAATGGGCCTTTAGTCAACGACTGGATCGGTCAACTCACTGTATTATAACATCCTATATACCCCATTTGGGACCGTGCTCATGCGCATATCCTGCATTGACCTTGGACCAATTGGGGATTGTACATAGCAGGCTACGGCCCGACATATGTACTGTACTGCATCTGCAAATGCAAATCAAATAATCTCCGATCTCAACCACCTCAACTCTTCATTTACGCACAGGGGGCTATCTACTATTGGCCCGGGCCTAGATCAACTTGATTACATATCTCAATTTGGGCCAGAAAAAAAAAGAATTCATCAAGTCATATCGCGTTACTGCCTGGGTACATATAATACCACATGCTCTGTGACATAAGAACAAAAAGGAAAACACAAATCTCAACGCAATTTCAACAGACAATAAATCCAAACCTCAGAAAACGCGAAGTACGTACGCAAATCCACCTTTCTTATCCAAACATGAATCATTTCAAGACAATCGCAGAACGGAAGACTTATGCGAAAATGAACCGGCCTCTGTTGCTCTTCTTCCGAACCAGGAAAAGATTGTCCTTCTTGCGATCGTTGACCTTCAGTGCAGTCAAAGAATGGGAGTTCTCAGCGATGGTCTTGCCCTCGCGTATACGTCGGGTGTGAGAGAAGAGCTCTTCTTGGAAGTCCTCGGTGATCCACTGTTTGATGATGAGGTAGTTTTTGTCGTGCTATGTCCATATTAGCCGTGTAATCTCTCAAACTTTCTGGTGGTTGTTCCTACCTCATCCCAACCCCAAGGCAGATTGTGGGCTATCAAGGTCTCCGGCAGCAAATGTTTGCGGTGAACCTGCCCCAATGTTAGTGAAGATGATCTAAGAAAAGGGTCCCTATATAATTATACCTTGATCCAAGTCATCTTGGTCTGCTCTTTCACTTCCAATTGCTTCTTCTCGTCCTCCTTCCTCTTGACGATCTTCTCAATCTCCTCATCGCTGTACCCCAGCTCCCGGAGATGTGCACGGAACGCCTCCTCCTTGTCAGCAAGCGCCTTGGCTTCCCTCGCCTTCTTGCGCTGCTCCTCAAGTTCCAACTCCACCTTAGCAGCCTCCAGCATGGACTTCCTAACTTTTTCCTCGCTTTCCTTCTGCTTTTGGATCATGATTTCCTCAATTTCTTTCTCGGAGTACCCCAGGGCGACGAGAGTCTTGCGAAACGCTACTTTCTCCGCAGCAGCTTCTTCGGCCTCCTTCTGCTTCTTGCGCTCCTCTTCAAGTTTGTGCCTCGCAATAGCAGCTTCCCCAATAGCCTTCGCCTTCTCCTCCTCCTCCTTCTTCCTCTCCGCCTCTTCTCTTTGCTTCAGCTTCCACCTCTCAATAGCAGCCTCCTCCGCGGCTCTCTCCTTTTCTCTTTCTTCACGCTTTTTCATTTCCTTCTTGGCATCCTCAGCCTTGATCGCTTCAATGAGCTTCTTGCGCTCATCCTCTTCCTCCTTTTCTTGGGCAATTCTCTTCCAATTTTCCTCGCGGGCAAGCCTCTCCCTCTCATCTTGCTCGCTTCGTCTGCGCGCACTGGCCTTCAGCCTCTCGTCCTCCAGCCTACGCTTGATCTCTTCCGCCTCAGCAGCAGCCCGTTCAGCAGCCGCCATCTGCTTCATCTTATACCTCGCTTCAGCCTTGCGGTCCTCCTCCTCGGCAATGTACTGACGCTCCCGCTGCCTCGCTTCGGCCTTGCGCTGCTCCTCCTCCATATTATGCTCATGCTCCAAATGCTGCAGCCGGCGCAGCTTTTCCGCAAGATGTTCTTCGTAAGTAGCATCCTCACGAACATGCACGAGATCCCGATCGAGACGCGGGCCGGCAGCAGCCTTCTTCTTGATCTTATTCAGCTCCCGCTCTAGCCGCTCGATCTCCATTTCGTGCTTGTTGAGTTCAATACTTTGTTGAAAATCGCTGTGCTGAAGCACATGCTGGCCCACGATGAGGTCGGTGTCGCGGTGGAACGGAGATCCCTCATGAGAGGCACCGCGCCCATGACGTGGTGGTGTCACCACATGGATAATATCATCGTCGTCCTCTATCAAGTGCGCGCGACCGCGCCTCCTGCTCTCGCGCCGTTCGCTACCTTTGCTGGCGCGTCTGCTGGGTGGGGTGGTTGTCGGACTGCTGCATGGGACGGTTGTTGGATCGCAGCCCTTGCTCGTTGAAAATCGTTATGTTAGGTTGGACCCAATCAGGCTCACGTCGGCGACTTCCACCTGTCGAAGCCGACCGGTGCACGCGAGTTTGTTGCACCGGTGCGAGGAACTGCGCTCGGGGTTCATGACGGTGCCGAGACGCAGAGCGGTGGCGAACGTGGGTTCGGCGGCCTCCTCCTCGGATAGACACATCCGTCTCGGTGTAATCTGAATCTTCCGACGAGGAGAAATCGTCAACCATCATTCGTCTGGGCATTTTGGCGGGGTTGTTGCGATAATAGTGTTGGATTGTAATAGATTGGGAGGGGGGGTTGGCCCTGATAGAGGGGCCTGAGCGGGGAAGAGGGTATCAGTCGCCAGTGGCGGGTGATAGGGAAATAGAATAGAAAGATCAAAAGGAAATGAAAGTAGAATTCGAAAGTCGGAAGCAGAGCGAAACCCCAACCACAAAATTATTGTAAATTGAGATGTGTGTAAGGCTCGCAGATCGACAGGAGGGGTACGAAGAAAGTGGGAAGAAATAAAGAAAAGCCGGGTCTGGAGTAGTATTTATTTATTCAGCTGTCATCTAATTACTATTCTTATTTCCCCCCTATGAGGACTCGAAACTCGAAACTTCATGCAGTTCAGCCTCATGCATGAATTCTGGAAATTGTTCTGATCTTTGATTTTGGGCACATAACCAACCCCCCCAATCTCTGAATTTTCATTCTATGTACGATATCCCCTCCCAATTTGTTTAATTTTCTCTTTCCCGTCTTATCATTTTACTGCTTACTCTCTCAAAGTTGGGCGGGTAATACATCATTGGGGCCCACACCGAGTCCACCTAGGCGCTCGAGATTCTTGTCCCTGTCAACCCTGCTCAATACTATAGCGCCCTATACATCCGTGGCGCCCTCATCTTTCTAGACCGCATCTTGCGCGTTTTAGGTGCATAGACCCCACTGGTAAATAGACGGAACAAATATTCTCCCTTATGAAAGAGACTTAACTAAATACAATCCAACTCATGGATCTCCCTTTTAGCGTTGACTAAGACGCTGATAATTGATCTTATAATATGAGGCGGCGGTTGTTGAAACTCGGACTCAGATATGTCTGTTTTGATAGAATTATTGCGCACATTTTCGGATCTGTTCTTGTAACTTGCTTGATCTCAAATGCTGGTTCGCCAATTCTACCTAATTGGTACCTTGGACTTCTGATCCTGGGGTGGAAGGTCGGAATTGGGCATCCTGTGTTTCATGTTCGATCAAGTTGGGGTTTAACGTCACCCTGCTAATTGACATACACCTATACGGCTAATACCAAGCCTTTGAGAGAGAGATGTTTGTGTATATATATGTAGATGTAAAGGCCTAACGTGATTCCACGGAATGCGGTGTTGAACCCGTGGATGGGGGCCGGGTGGTCCCGTGAATTGATCCATGGCACCTGACTTTGACGCCTGATCTATCGAATTTGAATTGTTGCGATTCTCTTATCTCGCAAATTACGTTGCTTTTCGACATCTATGAATTTATCTACACTAAATATGTATATTTAATTATAGACTACAATTGCCCACCTCACCGCTGACAGACAAACCTGCATGCACAACTCATCTGTGTCACAGTGGAGATATACCTACCTAGGTACTATCGTCAGCCACTATAAGTCTTTTGTAGGCTTAAATCTGACACAACACTTTGAATGTTGCCGATCTACTTCAAAATCATGTACCACTTCAAATCATGAGAGTGTTTTCGAATTCAACTATCCTCAACTTCCAACGTAAGCTTTCAGCCTTACCATAACCCTAACCAGACCCTATACTCAACGTACACATTCTAAGCCCCGGACCCGCCACACCCGAATACCCTAGTTGCAGCATAGATAACAAAGAATATATTGCTGTACGTTTTCTTCCAGCCCGAGACCGGGGAAACCCCGCTAAGAACCAACGTGAACAAGGATCTTTCTCACCTATCGGCAACTCCGCATCATTATTCAGTGACCAGATGCTCTAACTATTCGCCACGATTAATTATGTACGATGCAGTAATGTTCCACGAGACACTATGCGGTCAGTCTGCATTCCAGGGAAATAGGGTGTTGCCCCAGAGCACATACGTCATCGTTAATATACACAGTGGGTGTTGATGCAGCCTGAGCACGGAGATGACGCCAACGGCGTTGAAAATGTGGCACATGGGAGCATTAAAGATGCGCGCACCTAGAGGCCTCTGAGGAACTTCTGGTCGGATCCTAGGCTAGTACTTACAGAATATGAAGTGAATTTAACCGTGCTTCGCATCAGAGATTCTCCTTACGTCGCCGACAGCGACAGCTGCATGATAAGATCTTATCATCGGCCCCACTAGACATGTCCGAAGATGCAACTAGCAGATCTTCGATTTGAGCATCAAATTTATCATCCTTTAGTATCTCTGGTCTTCTACTAACACAAGGGATGTGCACATTGTTTGCAAGACTCGATCTCTACTAGCGATATGCATACTAGCATAATAGATCGTAGCCTTCGATAATAGAAGCCTAATGCTGCTCTTTTGCAATATCGATGCACCGTGGATGGCACTTTGGGTACTACCTCTGGAGACACTAAGATCTAACGGTGATGGGGTTCACCTCGTCATATCAAATGAATATTTCTGCAAGCAATAACTCCTGGGTATCTAAGTCTTCACCCAAGTTTTCATAGGAGCCAGACCAGGCCAGTCCAGCCGGACATAGAAGGGCAATCTGGAGATGCATTAATCCCTCCCTGCAACATCAGCCCCGAGACGATGACTTCATCTTCTTTTGTATCGCAGATCCACAGGAAACCAGTCGACAGCATAAGCCGTTGGTCAGCACCAGTTGTGATTCAAATTCACTGGAATCGCTGCTCGATGTACTCTTCCTTCGTATAGTGTATACCAAGGGAATTTATCCCTCCGCCCCTAAGGGCACATCGCGTCCGTCCACTGATCGTGTTTCTCTATTCAAGCCCGGCCACCTGAACCGAGAATTTGCTGCAGGTTCTCTCGGCTCTTCTGGTTCGTTGTCTCATGGTATTGCAATTTCTTCTCGAGGCTGGCAATTTCGGCGCTGGCCTCGCTACTCTCCCGAGTAAGGCGCTTGTTCACGGTGTCGACTGGGACATTGACAAACCTGGAACAGGGGTATGTCAGTCACAGTATCAGTAGAGTGTTGAGATTGAAACATTGCGACTCAAAGTGAGACCAGGGGCGATTAGAGCCAATAATAATAAAAGTGAAGCTTACATCTTTCCGACACCTTCGTAAACACTCGTCTCACTCGGCAACTCAGCCAGCTCCTTCGATGTAAGCTGCAACATGCGGATGTCGCGCTGCTTGGCCGTCATGTGAGCCTTGGTGATGCTGATTTGTTGCTGGGAGGCGATCGCTTGGGCCTCAATCTCCTGGAGGAGCTAAAGTTTCAAGAAATAGTCAGTAACATGTAAAGATAAACACCGCCATGCTCAATTGTGACATCCATTGGCGTCACCAAAGAGATAGGCGAGACCGATTTGGCTTGCCACACTGTTCCATCGTCGCGTCTACTTGCAACATCCAAGCTCAGGGTATTGTGTGTATGTATGTTCTTTAACGTACCTTCTGGAGAGCTTGGTTGGAAATCGACATTATGGGTATGGATATTGTTTGCGGAGCTTTTGTGTAGGTTGAGGGGTAGGAGGGGTGCGGAGGACGTCTGTGAGATTGTTTTGTTTGCGTGGGCTCAAGAAAGGGATTTGTCGTAATTGTTCTCGTGGGAAAAGGGTATCCACCGAATTGATGTCAATCCAGAATGTCTTGCTGGTGTCTTCATGTCATTAGAGCCAATTCGACTTGCTTGACATTAAGGCGGTGGCAAAGGCGGTATAATGATATTGCCTGATTTAGGGCTCGAAAGGACAGCGGAGAGGGGACAGCATTCTTTGCTTTATCAAGCAAAGGGCTGACCTCGGGAGAATCAAATATAGAGATAACTATACGCAACATAATTGAAATTTGATCTTTACCCTCTTCGCCCGGCTTTAATGGAGCCCGGCAATTGCTTGCCTCGACAAAGGGCTGTTGTAGCTATTGTATCGTTGCGCGTAACTACGGCATCAATATTTCTGACTTGAATAACGGTGGGTGAGACGATTCATTTCATTTGAGGTCAATATTCACCAATGGAAACCCCATGTTTTAGTTCCCTCAACTTGATTATTGAATGGGCTGGATATGGGGTCAGTCGGAAGGCTTCCCTACCGAGCTACTTCCATTTAGCCGACAGCAAGTGGCGGGGGATTCAAAGGGAGCTCAAAAGAAACACCTGGACCCTCCACCCTAACCCAAATTCTGGCCCAGAACTCGAAGGTGCTTCAAATTTGGAGGCTGATGCTGACTTTCCTCCTGCGCCGGCCCCCAATTCCCGGTTTGGGCCGCCCAAGCCTGTTACCTATCACATTGAGCAGAGCTCGGAATGAGACAATTCAGCCGATGGAATTAAAGACAGAATTGATAAGCTGGGAATGTCGAAATGTTAGGTAGCTAAGAACACGAAGACTGTGAACACCAAAATCTCAGAGCTGATGGTAGAGAAACTGTGCGCTCATCGCTTTTCTACTTTTGCTCTTTGAGTAGTGACCAAGAGATGAAAGCTTTATCTGCTTTGAATCCTTTCTCTTTGATCCTGTGAGCCTCTTTCATCGAAATCTCCCTGATCCTCCTCTCTAGTATTTCAGCTCCTTCTTCTCTACTCCTTTCTCAGCTTGTTCTTCTGCGTCATATCGTATTTCCGGGTCGTGATGACTATGCATCAGACTTTGACAACGATGGAGATCTCAGAGGCCACGTACTACGCGAGCCGCTCGATCCGATGCCTTTTGTTTTGACTCACAGCTTTCCATCGATGTTACTCTAGCAAGGAATTGGTCAAAATCGCTATCTTGCATCTATTTGGAATAGCACGTCCTTCGTCGTAAGTTCTGATCTTGGTTGTCTCGCCTAATGGATGCTGACAGTGTATTGATGTAGTGTGGTTGGCCGACGAGCAAGCATGCATACCTTGCTCGCAACAATGTGAGTAGGAAGCAACGAGTCCCCATCACTCCCACAGAGTCTAGTGAATCTCGAGCGAGCCCAAATGGAATTACAAGAGAACGCGCCGACCCAAAATATCAACACTTTCACCGAGGAGGTCGAACAAGCCAGGGAAGACGATCGCGTCAAGTCAGACGGCGCTACTTTTCGCATCTAGAGGCTTGGTGATGCTGCACCAGACTCTAAAACGACATACAAGGATAACGCGCCAATCGCTGCAACTGGTTGGGTGCGTCCGTTGGATGGAAAACTTACCTTGCACGTAGTGCAGAACTTCCTATAGATCTTTGGTCGAACAGAGAGGTCAGGAGTCACAGCGACCGCGAGCTATCAGACCGGATCCCGTTGGCGATGGTCCGTGGCCTTCCTGCGATGACCGTGTTTCGCAATTCGAGGGCACGGCTTACACTTTGGCAGTCAAAGTGAAGAGGGTGTGGTGCAGAACGATAGGAGTCATGGCTTTGATGAACTGCGTGCAAAGCCCCATTGGAACGTGGACTATGCCTGCGTTCTGGAAAAGCAGTGGTGAAAGTGCCGACTACACGATGGGGACACAGGTCGTTTCCATCAGCCGCAGCGAACCCAGACGAACAGTTCAGCTTAGCTTTTGTAGAGCTTCCAGATGAGAAGAGAGACAGAGTAACCAGAAGAAAAAGATGGCATGGCAGACTACTATATCCAAATAATGAAGATTGGACAAGCAAGAATGACCAAAGGATTCGTCTCCGTCAATCTCCAAGGCTCTTATTTCTCATATTTACGCCGATGTCATGTTTAACTTGAGGGTTCAAGGGACTCGGCTCTTTCTACACTTCAAATTGTCTAAGATCGAGATACTGGAGTAAAGATTCGATTGAAACAGAGCCAATGAGTAGTAAACGATCGCAATCCTCCCATCATTCTCGGCGTAGAAATGTCAGAAATCTAAAGCGTCCAGAAAAAGACAAAGGCCCCCAGACGAAGGTACGAATCAAAGAAGAAGACACAAATATCAAGGAACTTATGAGACAGAAATGTGAGTAAAAGACAGAATCAAATAAATCCTTCCCAAGCCTCGTACGCCTCTCAAACTCCGTTTCACATTGAGCTTTTGATCGGAAAGCTTGTCAGCGTGGCCAATCCTTGCCGCCTCAGCCAGGGGTACGACGAATGGTCAGCCCATTTTCAGATAACATGGCAGACCGGAGTATCAGATGCACAAGACGGCCGAGGTATACTCTCGCGCCGAGTAAATTTAGTAGGAACCCGAGGCCTCCTCGACGTACCACGTCGCGAATTCTCCAGGGAGAACCTCGCTCATGCCCTCCGCAGGACGAGAAATATCGAGAATCGGGTCGCGACTCTCCATGTGCATGTTCGGTAGGAAGGTCGAACCCATATCCGAGTGCGCGTAGGGAGCCGGGCTTGGTGACATAGAGGGTGCAGACGCAGCTGGGTAGTGGCCATGCATCGCCCCGTCATTCCAAGTAGAGTATGGGTGGGGGTATGAGCCGTCCATGGCGACGACATCACTGCTTTGGGAAAGCAGTCGAGGGTCCATGTCGCTGCTCGGCTGGGTTGGCTGCTGGAGGAGATCGTAGTGAGCCACGCCAGGGATTCCCGCGAGGGACGAGTCGTATGTAATATCATGGTGGGTGGGGCTGGTTGAGCGGAAGCGCATGTCTTCAACTTGTGACCCCATGCCGGAAGGCAGGCCAGCAGGGTGGCTCGTATTGGTCCAGGGTGAGTGCATATAGCCAGGGACCATAGATTCGTATACACCAAATGGCGAGGAGTCTCTGCTGGTATCGTAATAGGGGTCTTCGAAGCTGTGGGAGCGAGAGTGGTTGCCGTATGGTGGTCTAGGACCCGAGGCAATCGATCCACCAAATTCACTGTCCAAGTCGGAAAACCCAGCTTCCTCACCGAGGTGTGCTGGCACCTCGGAGGGAGAGCCGCTATCTCGTCGGTTGGAAGGGTTTATAGTTTTGTTTGGGGAGAACTTGTAATTTGGGTGTGTGGCAGCATGGTTGTCACGCTCGAGCTTTGCCAGCTCTTCGTATTTCCTGCGGATCTCGACAGGCTCCAATTTCCAACCCAAGCCTGCGATCTTCGAGACGATCTGGTGGTTGTTGGCTCCGACGAGCTTCTTGGTGCGCTCGGCATAAGCAGATCGATAGAGCATGAAGGAGTTCATGGGTCGAGAGATCTTTCCGTTTCGGCTTCGGACCTCTTCCTGGCGGATGACCGCAGAGCGGCCCACCCAAGCATCCATGTCTCTGATGGGGGTTCCATGGAAGCGTTCGGTCAGTACACTAATAGGTCCCTCGAGCTTGAACGCGCATTCAGACAGTTCTTTCCGGTTTTGCTTGCGCCGTGCTTGCTTGCTCTTGAGCCTTGGGTTGCAACGGCCACGAGGCGAAGACCACGCTAAATCAGAGTTCACAGATTTCATAGATGGAGATCCCATGGGAAGAGAGCCTTCATCGCCTGTTGGGGGAGGCGTTGTGGTGTGAGGAACCGGCATCATCATCTGGTTTCGGTCCTTGTCAGTTTCGTACGTAAACATGAAGCAGCGTGAAACTTACCGAGTGTGTTGTCATGTTTGGGGTAAAAGTGTTGGATTGGTAGTATTGTGGGGGAGAGGCATATTGCTAGAGAGGTCAGTGTATTGCCAGACTTCATAGGGAAGAATTGGAACTCACAGAACTCACTACAGCGTGAAGATGGTGGTGGCTGTTGATCTCTTCGGACATCTTGACTGTGTTATAGGCAGGATGGTACATTCCGGAGCCTTCAAAGAACTCTTGAGGGGGATTCCCATCTGAAGACTGAGGCGGCGAAGGAGGAATGGGTCTTTCCACCAAAGACATTGTCATCTTTGCTGTAGTAGACAGAGAATCTGATAATATCTAGATATGCTGATATGGACTGGAAGCTAATTCAGCGAGAATAACAGATAGAAGGAGTTTCCAGAAAGAGGAAAGAAGTGGAAAAGATGTAGAATAAAGAGTTCCTGTTGTCCTACTCTAGGCTGTCTTGAATTTGTAGTTCCCCTGAAAGAGGTCTCAAACACGACTGCAGAGAGTATGTGAGACAAACACTGCACCAATCCAATTGGATATCTCAAATGGATCAAAGTGTCAGTGGTTTAGAGGTGAAGTAGTCAAGTGGATAAACGTCAAAGAGATGAGAGACAAATAAGGATTTTTTTTCTTCTTAGAGAAAAAACAGAGTAGAGACATAAAGATTGAAGGGAGGATCTTGAACTAAATAGAAGTAGAGGAGGAGAGTAATAGATGTATAGAGGAGAGTCATAGAGTAAAGATACGCAAACAGCTAGAGGCTGAAACTGAATATCGCCTGGGATACAATACACATGGCGTGGATCTACTTCTGCTCGTGTGTGGCTTTTGGTTTTGAATTGCTATTTGGAATGTTATTTTATAAAATGATTATTATATATTTTTTGCTATGTTCTTTGTACCCTTTAGGATTATTACACATATTTTACTTAATCATTTTCTTTATCTGTTTTCTATTTATGTATTTTCGATTTTATATTTTATATTTCCTTTCCTGTCTATACTCTAACGCTCGTGGAGGCGTTTGGCGCAGATTGCCCTTCCTTCTTTGTCCTAATAAGATCCAATCGCTTCTATTGGCTAGATATGTGGATTTTTTTCCTACTCCAGGGCTTGCTTGACAACTGAGAATAGATGATCTGTAACTTCGTGGAAACTGCAATGCTTGAACGACTGTCTTTGTGCCAAATTTTGGCAACTAGGAGACCGTTGACTGTAAGTAGTAAGCTCGAGGCACATGAGATGATTTTCCATCCATATGGACTTCAAGAGAGTTAGATCTGGGCCCCTTGGACCTATTAAGAAGATTGCGAACCACCAATTATTATCCGGGGATGTAATGGGTTAAATGCTAATGCCTGATTTGAACCAGGGTAAGGAGGGGCGAGCAAGTACCAGAGGTTCATGAGATGTTATAGTGTGATATTACCCTGCACCTAAACTAAGTGGGCGCATTGATCTGTATTTCAATATTGCACTTATCTTATACCCTTTTTCTGGGGCCATACCGGAATCTGAATTTGATTATACCAACAACCAAAAAGCAAACATAAACACGCGTGTAGAGGATAATGCAAGTAGCCAGAAAGATACAAGCCTGCATTTCGCTATACAATGTTGTACACGTTCTTTCCATATCTAGCGGGGGAAGAAGGTAAAGCTAAAACTGCAAGACATGTATGTGTGGTAAGTAGGTCGACTAACGGTTAGTTATATTAAGCATGACTCGTGACAATACCGCAATACCCACATGTCCACCAATCAAACTATTTACTTCATGGACTAGATTTATTACTAGAGATACATTTCACGGTTCAGTCTTGTAGCAGTTCGGCTTCAATATCGCCATCATGCCCAGACTATCAACCATGGATTGCTATACAGAAAAAGGAAAATAGACTCTAAAGTGATTTCAGCACGCGTTTTTGGAAAGACATTTTTTCTTTCTTTTTCTTCCCTTTTCCCCCTTCTCCCGCTTTGGTTGGTGATTAGAGCATAGAGTGGAGACGCCCGGAGACGGGGAATGCATGTTTTAGTTCCTGTGCAAACTACAACATACAGTTTTGTACATAGTACGAAGTAGATGTACAGTATTGTAGGTGGAGCAAATCCTCCTAGTTCGTGATAGACAACCCCGGCTTTCATATCTCCTTACTTGATTTTTAAACTTCAATCTGCACGGCAACGCCGATCTATAACTTCATAATATGTGATCTTTTACTATCGTCGCACCAAATCTATGAACTCATGGATTACTTTGTACTTTTGTATAGCAAAAAATTTTACCCGGCCAATCTCTTTACTAGATCTGCATAGCGGCTCGCGCTCACAAGCGAGATACCACACCCCCCTCGAATGAAGACTAGTAGACACCGCCTGTGGCAGGCATGTTCTTTGAGCCGGGCACTTCTATAATTACTCGAATATGTCAAAGATTGGATGTGGCGGTTTCCAAAATGCGGTCAAATTCCAATCAAACCCTGCAGTTAACGAGGGAGGTAGCACAATGCTCCCACAGTTTGGCTCATGGAATAACGAATTAGCCTTACGCAGGTCCCGTCAACCCACGTTCTTTTCTTTCATCTTTCATTACTGTCCCTCGTGGTATCCGGGTATTTTTGTGGTATTGAATCCTTAGCTATGCATATTCGCATGCTTTTTCTTTGTTGATCCTTGCATTCGCCCTTGCCAGGGTACTCGGGGAAGGGTTGAATGAATGCCGAGTGTCACTCATTTGCCGGATGTGGTGCCTGGTGAGCCTTCAAGTGCCCTGTGCTGCGCAAATCCTGTAGCCAATGACCCAAATCTCGGAAGGCTGAGACATACACTGCATAACCATGTGGTTGACTGTCTGCTCACAAATAGGCGGGGGAGTATTCAAGCCTGTGCTTTGAGCTTATCTTTTTTTGCCTCTTGCCCTCCCCCAAGTGCTGCGGTCAGGATCTAATATCACCTGGTTGATGTATAATGGTAATGATATGGAGATGGGTGTATGCAAACCAATTGATAGACCGAACGGTGTGATTGATGTAGACTCTCCGCCGACTCGGAGGAAGCATTGTATGTTCAAATGACTGTCACTTATGTACCTTCCTAAAACGATGATTCCGAATCGACCTTACCCATAGGCCCTGTAACATTAGTTCAATGGCGATTTGGGATAATCCCAGACCCTTAGCCTAGATATACCTGCATGTCAACCATGTCCACGTAGACTGAACCAAAAAATGAGAAAGTAACACTCTCTGACGATTCGGCGGAACGCTGGAATGGAATGGCCAGCAGCCTTGCGAATTAGCATTCAGATATTTCCAACTCCACTTCACTTGAAAAGCCAATAGGAAACATGTAGATCGGGGCTCAGACGGCTGAGCCCAAGATGCATGCTCTGTAAGAAGATAGAGATCAGATTGACAGCAAGGATCACCCCGCTCAAGCCTCCTCGTTCCCCTTCCAAGATCTTCTGGAAGGCCGAATCTATAGACAGAAGAGGAAAAGCTTCAAACACTAAACTCTCTTGACTCGTAGCTTGATCTTGTGACTCAACGTTTTTGTGTCATGAGTATTTCGTTGTATGCACAGATCTCCATAGTCTCACTGCTAAACGGGGGTGTCTCAACAGCATCTTCTTTCACCCCTGATTGCCCCAGGTGTTCTAAAGATATCCTCGTTTCAGGTTCTTTTCAGCTTCCTTGTTGATACGATTCTCGTCTACAAGGGAAAGGAGGGAAAAGTAGGCTGTCAAGTCAAAGTCGGGCGTCACAGTTGATAGGATACTGAAAAGTGAGTTATTCCGGGTCATTGGATAGGACAGGTTTATTACTCACATTTTCCTCCCCTAGATAGGTCCCCGAGTCCCCGACGCCCTTAGCTTCACGCCTCTTCTGCAGGGGTTGGGGTGAATGTACGACCAAAGCGGCGAGATAAATGCTGTTACTGCTTTTGGTGATGGGATCGGCTCCTTGACGAAGCTCCCAATTTGTTTTTCACAAGGAACGGTTGATTTTGCTTGAATATAAGACTTAGAGTTGAAGATATGCTTTCTACTAATCGCCATTAAACGCCATGGGCCCAAAATGGTCATTGCACATTAATTAGGTGCATCTAGGGCGGGGCAAGACCATTCATAAAAAAGGGTCAAATTCCAAGAGCCGAGCACGTAACATCTCGTTGCCACGATTCCTGGCGGTCAAGTCTCATAGCTGGACGAAACAAGTATAGAGTTCGAATGAATGGGCGAACCAGCTGGTTTGCACGAAAGGGAAGGGGGGATCGCCATTCGAAATCACGGTGATGTCTTCATGTCCCATAATACTTTATCTATACCTCCTATCAAGTCCAACAGTGACAAATAATTGTGAGCGCCAAGAAATGAAATACCGCGCAAGCGATCATTTTCAGCCTCGCCTTTGCAGCCAGCCATGTCTACCAGACCGCTATTGTAAGGAATCTATTGCGCAATAGTGGCCACAAGACAGCACTAAAAGGGCGATTTTGACCAGGGTATGATGCTACCAAATTGGCAAACGGTCTCAACCTGAAAGACTCCACAAAGGCGCATTTGTAAGTTATTTTGTTAGCATATGTGATAGCCCTGGCGGAACTCGGGATAAATGCTCAATTTTCGCTGGAGAGGGATCGTCAACGGTTTACCTGCCAGAACGCACGGTGCTGCAATGCATGTAGTAGGTTTCAATTGGCGTACTGTCTTTTTTGCTGATTGGCTCTCCTCCCCTGGCGCCTGAGTTTTGAGAGTTAAAATATAGCCGTTTCGTGTTCGCAGCAACCTACCGAATGTAGCTATCGCTGCTTCTTCTTCTTCTTCTTCCTCTCTCTCTCTCTCCTTGGGTTTTTTTAATTCTTGTTGTATCTATGCCAAGTCCCGCTAGCTTGGATAGTGTCAGTAACAGGCGTCGATCTTCATATCGAGGATCTCAGTAATAGACTTTCATCCCCGAAGTTCTCCGCCAGTGAACAGTAGAGTTGTATGATTGGCTAAGTATCATAGATCTAATGCGCAATAGCCTCCGCAAGTGTTAAGAGTTAAGAGAGCTTGGGTATGGTACGTAATTTTCGGATTCGGTGCTGCCCGAAATGGCAAACGCAGTACCAGTCAATTGTTCCCCATTGGGCATCTCGACTCTGGAAGTTAATTTCCGGCACTAGGGCCCCAATGTTGTTTGTAAGCACGTGTATTGTACGGAGTACAGATGATAATCCTCACAAGCAGATTGGATGCTCGGATCCGGCCTGCTCGACTCCTAGACGCGCTCCTGTGGTCCCCGAAGTTTACCCAGTAGTTACATCAGCCGGTACATTGTTGGTGCATTGTTCGGAGTGGTTCATTACAACATCAAGAACGAATGAAAGTGAGAGAATGAATATTGATATACTAACTACACATTTAGTGCAACAATCGTCAGAAAAAATATGACTACCTCGATATGAAAGCTATCAACGAATATAAACGAGTCATTAGTTACTACTACCTAGGTATCCCCCTGGTCTGGCCTCGCATCGTGGAACGGTCATGTGCTCTACAGGGGGGCTCGGTGTATCCGAGCGGACCATCCGAAAGCCCTACAAGGTCTTGAAAACAGATCTACAACTGGAGATACTGATGGTGTCACCAACCAACAATAAAGCAGAGATTTTGAGTGCAGTTAGGAACTCGGATTTAACGTGAATGGCAAAAAATATGGGGAACGGCGCCTAAGTAGGCAACAGGAAAATGAGATGAGCCAGATCGTGGATATCAGAGTTTCGGTCGAATCGTGTGGTCTGCGTCTCTCGTCACTTTCAACGGGCAACATATGACTATCGATGTACTATGCCCCACCTCAACGGATCTCCGGAAGCGTTAGTGGATCGTTATGTGGGTTTTGATCCGTCTAGATCTCCGTGCGTACGTTCCCCTAAATCTGGATGGGATAACACGGGATAACGACGGTTCTTTAGTCCCAAGTAAGAAACAATTGGTTCATCACAATATCCCTTGGTCAAAATCTTTTTTTTTCGAAGAGGGGCTTCTGCTCTTTCTATGGTAGCATCTTGTTTGAGTAGATTGAGGAAGCAAGATAGATGGGGAATTAGAGTTCTCGGACATAAAGATATATTTCATAGAAAGTCGCCAAGGCAGTAATTGCAATATCCATCTATTGCTTAGATCTATTTGAACATTAGAAAGGTTCACACGCCGTATATGATCTCATAGGCATTTATGAGCATGTGCAGAGTATATTGTATCTGATCATGAATCATGGTGGTGTACGGAGTATGTAGATCAAAGGACCAAATCCGATCTCCGAACACGAATACAATTGTCTGTCCTTTCGTATCATTAAATCAGTTAGTGGAAAAATAGTCACCTGTGGCCTCCCGTGTCTTAGACTAAGCTTGACACGGTTGACAAACACTTCACCAACAACGGTTTCCCCACAGAGTATATTGTGACTAGGTTCCCAATTTTTACCCCATACTGACAGGAAAGACTACAAGATGTGTCGATAACGTCTACAATCCAGCTACGAATGACTTGGGGAACAGAACAGAAATCCCTCCAAAGGTATGTTTACATGATCCAATTTCCGAATTCATAAATGCGGGACGGCACGAGTGGCTGGAAGAGATCCGAGCAATATCCACATCATAGCCCTAGCTATTTGTCCATCTTTGCTTTTTATTTGACTTCTCCTTTTTTTTTGGACAGTACGGACCACATATAATGAGATGCATAAGTGGGGACAGGGAAAAAGCTCGGATCGAAATCTGTCACGCGAACACGCTACCTACCAGGGGCTGTTTGGAGATTGATGGCTGTTTGGAGATTGATGGCTGTTCGGAGATTGATGGCTGTTCGGAGACTGAGGCTCTTCATCGTGTATAGTACTCCGTACTATGTTGGAAATAGGAAATATGACCCAACGAGCCTGCGATCCAGTTGTGGTGTGTGTTTTGGTGTCTAGACGATCCCCAATCTACTATACTAGTAAGATAAATGAATAACGTTACTGTAGCTGTGGTTCTCGGCTATCTAGTTTTAGGTCGATTAAAAGAATGCACCAATCAACTGAGCAATGGGAAGATCATATCCTTGTGGCCTTTGTTAAATTTCGTAGGTATACTCCGTATACGGAGTAGAGAGCCTCAGCACGGATGCGTTCTTAAACCGGGAGCCCGGGAGCCCTATACAAAGAACCACGGTCTACGTCGGGGAAGTGACATTTACACTTGAAAAGATCTCGGTCTTGTAGTATTATATTATATCATTAATATATTATTGCATTACTTTGGACTATCTTTTCTTGATATAACATTATATTGTATCTGCACGTCCAAACATGACAGTAATATGACATAATAATGGATCGATTAACTAGCATAGTCCCCTGCCTTTGAAGCAACGAATTGCCGTCAGATAGGGGTCAGATACACATGGAGCTAGTGCTGCACAAGTTAGTGTGCGATCTACATCAATCGCATCCAGTTAGGCCCACGTTTAACCGCTTATGAAGGCAAGCTGACTGCGCCGCATGCTAGTCCCGACAGACTTGGCTAGGTGCTGTACTTTTTTTAACGAGCTTCCGTTAGCGCACCCATTCAAAAATATATGCACGGCTGGGAGATGGGACTCAAGATTGTTTTTAATTTCTCGTTTTCTAGGCATCAACCCCCTCGCTATTAATTTCTCCATTGTAATTTCAAGGGGCTTTTATAGATTAAAAATGAGAAATGAGAAACAAAATATGTTAAGAGCCGCTTCGTACCACTTATTGGACTTGTATTATGCCGGGTAAAATGAGAGATTGCATGAGGTATTAGCGTTTCAACTGGGCATGACTGCATGAGGCAGTCCAAGATTGCATTGGCGCTTGGGGTATATGTCGATCGACTTATTAGTTAGTCTATCTCAACCATGACTGCGTTGTATATACTTCGTATGTAGGGTCCTATTGTGTTTACCATCAACCTTGTCTAGGTAGTGATACGGAAAGAATAAGAGTGACTAAATGGAAAGATAGTTGGTTAAATAATAAGCTAATTACATAGTGTTAAATACGGAAGTAAATGTTGATTTAGAGCTACAGAATATATAGATCCAACAATATATGAGTCACCACATTAAAATTTCAATTGAAATTAGATCGACGGGAGCTTGGAATGAAAACGAATAGGATTTTCTATTAAAATACACATACATGTCCTAGCCCATCATAACACCTGGTGCCCTAGGGTCAAACCATCTGAAAACGCCGCTCGAGCTCCCATCCATCTTGATGCAATGTAAAACAAGAAACAAATGAAAAGAAATGTAAAAACGCCAGACCGTCAGCAGTGCACGGGACTCAACGAATCTTAAGAAAATCAAAGAATGTTCCCATAAGACAGCAAGTCCTGACCAACAACGACGGGGTAAACTCGATATCAAAACATGGTGCATCAACGGGTCTGTCCGCAATAGAAAAACGTGGAAAGACTTTTCGAGAAAAGAAGACAATAAAAGCAACCATACCAAAGGGAGAAAGACTCCGGTTGAATAACATCCAACCCTTATTGCCCGGAAGTTAAACCAGACCAATGGTACATGTCACATCTGCTTTTGAAATGCACTGCAATACGAACTGAAGCTCATGGATTCGAATGCAAGTTTCGTGGTGTGACCAAATCAGTTCTCAGATTTGTGCATGCTTCAAAAAGAGGGTAAATAAAACAATCGTCGAGTAAGGAAGAAATAGCCGTTTAGACTGCTGGAAGATGAGGTCATTGGCTGTGACCGTTGCTTCCGCGCTGAGGGGAAGGGACAGGATCAGGGTACTGGGAAGTGATACTAGATCCCAAGGGAGGAATGCGATTCAGGGATGGCGACGACATGGGATGTTGGCCATTGCCCTGGTAGTGGTGTGCCTGGTGTAGCATGGAGGCATTCTCTCTCTGTCGACGCTCCTCTTGCTCAGGAGTCATGCACTTGACCGGCGGAGGGATAGGAGCATCTGGAGAGCTACGACCCATTAGCTTCGGGCTGGGCTCCAGTCTGCGGATGGGTGGCAGGACCGGCGCACCGGCCATTCCACTGGCGGTAGGTGGGCGAGGTGACTGCTTGGTCGGGCTGATTCCTGACATACCCATGCCGTGAGAGCTCTGGGGAGGCGATGAATGGTGACCGTTTGGTGTCGCGGCGGAGAAAGACGGGTAGGTACTAGACATTGCCGGTGTAGCTCCATGACCCGACTGCGGGCGGGGCGTTTCGAAAGAGCTCCAAGGTGATGGTGCCTGGCTAGGCGCGACATGAGGGAAGCCCGCAAGCGGGCCAACATCGGGGTTGCCCTGCGTCGGAGACATAGACGGCTGGTTGTGGACTGGGCTTTGACCAGAGTGGGAGGAGGATGGTCGTACAGACTGGAAGGATCCAATAGGAGGGAGATGATGAGTTGGTTGCATAGGGGGCAAAGAGTGCTGAGCTGACGTAGGTCGTGGGTGTTGCTCCATGGTAGAATGCAGCAAACCATTCATGCCCTTTGGAGGGGAGAAAGGCGGACGTGGAGGGCTTGAGGATGGCAAGGGCGTTCGATCTGCGTAATGAGCCCGACGCTGGGGCGAGGGAGGAGGATAGAAGTTGCCATGGCTGATAGTAGGCTTCAGATCAGGCTGCGATCTTGGGGGTTCGTTCTGAACATTGGAAAGAGCGACATGTGATTTTTTCACAGGCGAGGGCGGTGCCTGTTCCTCATCGTCTTCCAGTTTGCGCTTCTGTCCGACAGGGACAGCCGAGGGCGATGCTGAAGCACTGACCCGGAACTTCAGAGGGGGCAGCTTAGGCTTGTTGGCATCTTCCTGTTTTTGCTTGCACTCGCGACACACAAATTGGAAATCATCCTGCTCGGCCTCTTGCTGAGAGACACCAAGACACTTGCTATGCTGCCACACGTTGCATTTCTCGCATGCAATACTATGACTACCATCGTCCTGCAATAATATTAGATGAGGGACATACCAGACTCAAAAAGGGTAACTCACCAAGTTTTCACCATGTACCCCACAGCCAGAGCAATCAAAGATCCATTGGTCGTCTTGATTGAGATTTGCCAGGTTCTTCTGGGACTTTTCCAGCTCGGCCTTGATGTTTCGAGCGGACGCCCTGCTTTCACCCCTGTCAAGTCGCTCCTGTTCCTCTGCGAGCCGTTCAAGTTCTGCTTCGTGCAAAAGTCGCTTTTGTTCGCGGTCTCTGATACGGTGCTCACGAGTCATCGTTCGGGACTGTCGATCTTCCTCGAGCTGGTTCTGCATGGCCTGCTCTTTGCGAGCTTCGGCCAGATCGGCCTCACGCTTGCGGATAGCTTCAGCAGCCTCTCGATCTTGTTTTTCCTTCTCTTCCTTCGCGGCGAGTCGGCTGGATCTCTTGGCCCCAGCAACTAGCTGCAAGTTCAGAAGTTCCTTCTCGCGCTTCTGGCGTTTGCGGAGCTGTGCCTCCTCTGCCTTCTCAAGAATAGGCAGAATATGCTCCACTATGCTATCACGGAGGCTCTTCTCGTCTGCATCCTTGGACTTTTGAAGTGTATCCAAAAAGGTTTGATATTCCTCAAGTGTCACAGCCACACACTCCCACTTGAAAGGGTCGTCAGAAAAGGCAGCAGCAGCACCTGAGTCGTTGGTTGTTTTGTTCTCCTCTTCGGAGACTTCTTCCGCGGCCGCCGTGGAGGTACGCTTCGACGTTCGGGACGCTCGGGATGACTTGCCCTTCGCCTTCTTCTTCGGACGTTGGAGGGGAGGTGGTGGAGGAGGGTCGGTCCGACGGTACAGGCGGTTGTCGTCCAGTACATAGTATGAACGCCCCTCACGATCCCAACCAAACTCTTCAATTCGCTAGACAGATGTCAGTATGTACTCTATCATATAATCTATGGGGGTCCACAGCCGGGCAGGGGTCTAGCTTACCCATTCTAGCTGATCGGTTTCCTTCTTCTCCGGCATCTTGTCGCGAATGCGGTCCGCGTTCCAGAATGTCCATACCGTCAGCTGATGGAGAACACGGATCTTAGTGAAGACATCGAAATCTAGAAATTTGTTTGGTTCTTCTTCATATCCGAAGGGGTTGGTGATGTGAGGCGCTTTCGCATTGTATTGGCGTCTGGTGTATTCGTCGAAATTGTCGAACCTACCAGCACAGAGTCAGTCCCATTGATAGCAATATACACCCAGTGAACGTACGTAAGACCGCGGTGGGATGAAATCCACTTGAGCAGACATAATCCAATTTCCAATAACTTCTGCGAGGGTTCGGGCTTGAGGCATTCGACTTCTAGGTCCTGGCGTGGGGTAAAACCGGATTGTCAGCGTAAATCTCAACTAAAAGATATGTTTCCATCAACGCGACACGATGCGCAGCATTGATCTAATCTCAAAGATGTGAGCAGACATACCTCGATTCCAAACTCCTCGTCAATCTTCATCACATGCCCAAAGATGGCAATATACTGCATGAGACTAGCAAAGGCCCATGAGCTTCTGAGCTGGGACAGGAGTCCAGGCTGTTCTGGGGCCTCTTGTGCGGGCACAGGAATGACCTCAGAGCGGGTGCGCTTTCGCGATCCCATCGCGGCGGGACAACCGTCAAGGCCGGGTTTCTAAGGTGGTTAACAAGGGTTCACTGGAAGGTGATTCAAACGGAGATGAAATCCACAAGATCTGCAACTTTCAGTAAGAAATCCAGGCTCAAAAAGCACAGACAAGTCTGATAAGTATGTCAGTTTGAGTCTGAACTTTTTTTTTTCTCGTGTCGTGAGGCAATGCGGATGGGCGTTCGATCAAGGCGCGTCGAGGATCACGTGAGGGCCGACCGCGTTCGCCCATTTACTTTCTTTTTGAAAAGGGCAGAAGTATTGTGATTGTAGCTAATATTCATTGAGATAAATCATTCATATAAATTAGAATCAATAGACTGAATAATGGAATTATCAAGACAATGGAAGATTTGAATGTTCATTAATCGGAGACTAGTACATCCATGCTTTTGAAGACATTCGCATATACACAGACGCATAAAATATAAAATATAAAAAAGAAAAGCAGACGCCTGGATCTTTGGATATCTCTTGCTCAAAGGTCTATCTCACACAGAGCAGTTTGGGTTCGTCAAAGACGAGGAGAAAATGCACACAGACGACAGCGCCGACCAGAATTCGCGCCACCCGACAAATAGCACCATTGTGCCCATAGTACCGTCAAAGAAATCAAGAACATAAGAACATATTTCCCACAAACAAGATGCAAAAAAGCACACAGAAAATAAAAGAGAGAAAAGGAAAAAAAAGACACAAGAATACATTAAACCTCCCCCGCAAATAACCGAACCCTGAAGCCAATATAAATGCGGTGAAAAGACAGAAACAACCAGGAATGAAGAGAAAACAGATGGTGGACCCGATGCACTCAATCGAATGGCATATCTCACGTGTTGGATCCATCCAGTTCTTCAACCACAATTTTGCGCCTTGTGACCGTTAATCGCCAGAAGCCTTTCCCATGCATATCAAAAGATAAAATATTTCAGGAGAAAGAAACAGATGCTTTTTGGTATGTTACATGGCTGCGGGAGCCCCTTCCGAGACGGTATCGGACAGGTTGATGAGGAGTTGAGCCAGACAGCGCTTGGTAGCTGCATCGTCGCGGAGGACGGACGAGAACGTGGCGTCGCGAAGGGGTTCAGGGAGACATTGCCTCAATGCCTCTCGGGCCCGACTGTTGTCACTCAGACTGTAGCTAATGTTAGGAGACAGTATGGAAGGGAGGGAGAGAAGAACAATAAAAGCCATACCGAAGGAAACAGCGCACAACATGTTTGAGCAGGCGAACAGTCTGTTGCTCCACCAACTGGGTGACCATATTGCTGAGGACAGTGCCTACAGCGTAGAACCTTTCATAAGTCGCACAAATATAGCCCAAACCGATGTCATCAAGGAGGATCTTCTGCACAATGAAGATGGCAACAGTTTTGCTCAGCTCTGATCCAGTCTCCATGATACGAAGACAAAGAGGAATAATCTCAGTGGTCAGGAGGAAGTTGATCACGTCAGATGAATCATTCTTCACCAAGGCGCCGATGACGCCCAGCGAAGTTAGTCGGAGGTATTCAAACGGTCGAGACTTGGATGTGGTGTTGAGGAAGGGGTAGAGGAAAAGAGGGATGTGAGCTAAGCGATGAAGAACAGTTAGCCACAATGTTCTCATTGGGTAGTGGAGGTTTGCTTATTTACCGTTCAAGAACAGAGTGCGGGTCTCATTGTGGGATGCGACGCATTGCAAAAGCGCCAGCGCATTGCAGACTCGATTTGAAGCGGCGGCAGTGAGTTGAGAAGGGTTCAATAGCGGATAAACCGAAATAATTTCCTGAAGGAGCGCAGTCATGACACCTGCAAGATGCCGACCGTTAGCTGTTGTACAAAGAGCGGAGCGCACATTGAGAAAATGGGGGCGGTACCAAAAGAGTGCCAAATAACCAGAGCCAATTCGGGGACCTGTTCCCGTTTTTTGCTCAGTTCCATCAAAGCAGTTTCCCTACGAGCGGGATCTAACAGCTCTGCGACCCAAATGAAGACCTTGCGATTCTCTTCACTGATTCCACCGTCCATGACGGAGACCGCATTGGCCATGCCCTCTCCACCCATGCCGCCGCTGCCGCCGGCTCCCTGCCCAGGGTTGCCGGCGCCATTACCATTCATAGCAATGCGGCCATAGTGTTGTTGTTGTTGTTGAGCTGCGGCAGCGGCAGCTTGCACCTGGGCATGCTGTTGGGCGACCAAGGAAGCGTGCTGCTGCTGCGACTGGTGTGGGTGCGGCTGACCCTGGTGGTGCTGTTGTTGCTGCTGTTGTTGATGCTGCAGCCAGGAGGGATCAGCTTGGGGATATTGATGCTGATGAGAGAAAACGTGTTGGGTCTGCGCTTGGAGCATAGTGGGCGATGAGTCGTATCAGCGACTCGTAATACTCCGAATCGGAAGGCGAAGCGACCGGCACACTGCAAAATGGGGCTTGGTTGAAATAAATCGAAATAAGTTGATAGCGTCAGGAGTTTAATCCCGATACTGGACTCATTGATATGCGATGCTGGGAGACAAAAGAGTAATATGACGAGAGAAAGTAAGAGAGAGGGTGAAAGAAGAACTGAAGAACTTCGGGGGAAGTGAAGGCGGGGAGAATAGATCCTAACGCCCGTCCCTTTTTGTGTGGTTTGCATCTTTCGACTCTACGAAACAATTGCATCTACGGCTTTTTGGAACAATTGAATATAGATCTTAGAATCAATTTGTTCTCTAAATTCTAATTTTGTCTCATGGAATTCCAAAAAAAACCGTCATTTGGGTTGTAAATCTGCAGATGGGCAATCCTTGCGGACAGAATACATTGTTCCCTGCAAGATTAGCTGTTTGCCTGCTGCAGCCATTGCAATTTCTATGCGCGAAGTAAATTTATCATGCCGGGGTCCGGTTAAATGACATCTATGGATTTATCCAGTGGTCATATCTCCGGTCGTTGCAGATTATAATCTAAGTGGTGAAAGAAGACCTCACATTTTGAAAAATCATATCCAAAAATCATATTATCATGTCAAGTTTATGTGCTCATAATTTCATATGTACATCACAACGTGCCCTCAGAGGGGTAAATGGCTCATCAACATCAGACAAAAAAGCAAACCCGGAAATCAATAGGTAAATCGTAGTGATACATCAGTCACGTTAAAAAGTCAGCGCCGTAAATGCATAATTGAACCGAGAGTGTCGGCAAAAAGAGAAATGAGGGGAAAGACCAAGGTCACTGAGCACATGTATCAGATGTAGCAATCTATCCACGGCCCGATCGAGTGCGCGAGCGTCGAGAGCGCCGTGTGTCCCGAGTTCGTCGGTCAGAACTTCGGCTACCTTTGATGAAAAAGTTAGTACAGCTTCTTTGGTATTTCAGAATGGTTCAACGTACTTGTTCCTGAGTAATAGTCGGAATAATAATAGTAAGAGCTCGGGTAGGATGATTCAGTTTTGGCATCGTCATGCTCTCTATCCTTGCGTCTCTTCAATCCCAAGCAAAGGGCAAGGGCACCAAGGATAATGGCAATCGTTCCCCATCCAAACCCTGACTTCTTTTCGCTCACTTCACTGCCCTCTGCGGGTGGCTTGGATCCGAACCACCGACGCCCGGCAGGAGCAGCAACAGGAGGCCGACTTCCGTGTGAATGGTGAGAGTGACGTTCTTCAATATAGGTCGTTTCCTGTCTACGGCGCTTCTTGCCAATGCCGAGAGCTGCAAGGAAACCATCCAAAATACCCTTGCAGCATAGGCATGCAGCGACAAGCAGCAACAAGAAAACACCGGCGATCGTACCGATGACGATTCCTGCTATCGCACCGCCGCTCAATCCTCCATCATTGTTTGAGGCTTTGACTCCGATCAAATCCGCTCCATCTGTTCCAACAGGTGCGGTGAAGCCCTCGGTAGTCGTTGGGGCGGAGGTTGCTGTTACGGTACTGGCTCCGTTGCTCGTTCCTCGAACGCCAGGTGTTGCTTCTGATCCGCCTGCACCTGTTCCCGTGGCAGTCACAGCAACCGAAGAGCTCTCTGCAACACATTGGCCGTCTTCACACTCTTGCGCAGCCTCGCAACAAGTGGTACCGCACTTTGTCTCGCCCAGGTCCACTCTGCAGGTGCCTGTGCTCGTGGCTGCGGCTATTTGACTGCTCCATACAGATGTGATTGTCGATGTGTCGGTTTCGGTCAGCGTGTAGACGGTGGTGAAGTATTCCCAGCTTCCACCACTACCGCTGCCATCTGAACAGACAGCCTCATTGGCACTGTTGGTAGTGCACGTCTGACCAGTCTCACAGCAGAGCCAGTCGTTGTAGCCGCAAGGGTTGGCACAACGCTTTTCTAGTATGTTTTCGAGGGCATTTTCTTCCAGGCCGAGCGGGGTTGCGGTTGTGAATAGTGCGTGGTCGAGAAGTAGGGCAAGTGTCGAAAGGACCGGTATAACAGATGAAGGCCGCATCGCGCACAACGAGAGACGGAACGCTCAAGATTGTATTTGTGTCGAATTTCGCCTGAGCTGAAAGAGTCTTTGGCGTTTTTGCTGGGTTGGTGCGGAAGTGCTGCGTACTAGTCTTGTCTCACCCGATTGTATACTTTAGTGAGTGACCTACTGTAGATCAACACCACCAGTAACCCGAGATCTCAAATTGTTCGGATATCGAATATTGGAATGTGAACAAAGAAAGAAAAGGAATGGAAGAAGAAAAGAAAAGAGAAGCATAATTGTGGTCCAGTCCCCCAGTCTGTGAGTCTCCCAGCCTCTCCATATACCCAACCACCCGATTTACTTGCCTTCGTAATTCGAGAGCTACGTACTCCGTACTTTTCTTTTCTTTTACGGAGGCTGGAACTTCAAATTAAACCTATCACCCTCAACTCTGATTTGTTCAAAATTAATTGACCCCAATAACAAGCCTTGAATGGCCACTTCTCCTACGCCGTGTCAAAAGCGATCGGCGGTTGATCGTTTTCATGATCAACACCGCCATTTTACAACGCAAAAACTTGTAATTTCAGTTTAGCTCGAAACAATCTAATATAAAATATTGGGCAGCCATGAGAGACACGGCAAAACAAAACAAAAATGGCTGATCGAAAAAAAACATAGCCATGCATGATCTTCCCACCAATGGCAGCCCAACAGCTCTGCCCAATCCTTCGAAAGCCCTGACGATCCGATCTCAGACTCTCAAGTCTAATATGCACAAATGAAAATCGCAATATCTATTTTCGAAACACTAAATATGTCATCTTGGGTTGCCGTGTCGAGCGCAGTTCTGAGTATACTTGAAAATCCGCGACATTACAGTTGATGCGATGCTACATTGTCTCTTTATTTCGGTTTAAGGGATCTTTTGATTGCAGCGATGCCAATTCCTTCGAATATTCATCAAAGTACATTACCATGAAAATTTTAACGACAGCTAGAGTGGAGGTACCTCAAGCCACCACTCATTGTGCATTCGATTGTTAGAATGGTTCATCAAAGCCGGCGATACTGTTTTCGACATGCACAAATTTGAATTAGCGACCGAAGTACGAATCATCCCCTATGTTACACCCGGGTTCTTTCTCTCGTCATAGGATCACAGTTTATGCGTCGTTACCCATAGATGGATAGCGAGACTCTGCGTGTGGCCAACGTTAGCCAGATTCGAAACCAGCTCCAGATCATCCACGATCTTAACACCCGCAGCAACATCATAACCCTTGACACCAATACTCGGCATACTGCCAAAGCGTCAGGTAAGGTACTTGTTCGCATGCGCATAGCTTGGGCGAGACGCGGACCCAGGCCAAACCACCCAGCTGACATGCGGGCTAGTTCCAAAGTATTACGCAGGACTTGCGGTGATCTGAGTACAGTACTGGAACATAAATAATTATAGCCCCAGCCGAGCTAGGTGGGGCCTAAAGGGTGTAATTAATTATGTCAAGTCACTATATGCTATTGGGCTAACAGACCAACAGATGCGTGCACCTTGATTGAGTATGGTATGATCAATGCAGTCAAGGACAAGATGACCTTCCCCATTCAATCATTCCTCAAGTACAATCCTAGTGACATCCAGAAGGAAATATCTCTACCCCCAGTACATGTCCGTGGAACAAAGACTACGTATCAAAATTATTCGACCCAGAGACATTGAGGAAAATGACCCATCGGGGTGGTCACCATTTCCCCCGATTTTCCAAAGGAATGGTTCATTTTGCAGTGGGACTCCCAATTGTGACAGAAATGTATTATGAGCGGGAGGACATTCGAGCTGACCGAAAATGTTGGCAAATGTTCTACTCTATGTAATGGAAAGGGCAACCCATGTATACATCTGACAAACAGAAGGCTAGTGTAAGTTGCCCCTGTCGACCTTGTGTTCAACTCAAGGCGAGCGTTCGCTTCCTCCGTAGCTCAAACCACAAGAAAGCCAAACAGAGAGCGGAACCTATATACATGAATCCAACGAAGAGTTGCACTCTTAGATACGACTTTGACTCTGTTGAAGAGCCCCTCAGTTGTAACGCAATGGCTTCAGCTACCGTTGTTGGGGGGCAGAGTATGAACCACAGCATACCAAGTGCTGTGCCAAGATCTTGCAAACCCACAACTTCGGCGGCAAGCGGTGCAGCGGCAGCCAAAAGGGTTCCAGCGAACAATCCAACAGCTATCGAGAAGAAGTAGGTCAAGCCAAGTGACTCGACAAAAGTCCATAATACCAACGACAGAATGCCTGTCAAAAGCGAAGCAATAAGGGCAACATGAACTCGCCCATAATGATCACTCAAAAGGCCAACTGCTGGGCGCCCGATAGCCTGGCCGAGGTTGAGGAGAGCACTTGCCAAGCTGCCTTGCTGCTGGGTTAGGCCAATTGCGATTGAAAAGCTAGGCAGACTGAAAAGCAAAACCACGTAACCTAGTGCGCTTAAAAATGCCCAGCCTAGCAGTAATAGATAGTCTAATCTCAGAATGATGGACAGGCGAAAGGGTGAGGCTTTTGCTGCGATGGCTGAATATGAGGGGATACGAAGGAGATTGGCGCAAGTCAGATTTATGACGAAACATAAAATTCCCAGTGTGCGCATTGCCCATGGAAAGCCGAATTCCGGGATCATCTTACCAACTGCAAGTGAATAGACTAAACCGCCTATTCCCGAGCCAGAGGAAGCAATACCATTGACTAAGCTTCGTCGCTTCTTGAACCAGTGTGAAGTAATCCCAACGGAGCCACAGAAACACAGTCCCATGCCAAACCCGAAGCAAGCTCCTTGAGAGAGAAAGAGCTGCCAGTTGGCTTTCACAAATGAGGAGGCAATCAAGGAGAGTGCTTCGAGGAGGGTCCCAACATTCAAAACAAAGCGATGGGATAGCCGGTGACAAAGGTAGGTGGCGAGAGGTGCAATGAGCATAGCGCAAGAGATGCTCAAGCCTCCAACGAATGCATACTCCAGAGACGATGTACCAGGAAAGATATCGGACGAAAGATAAAAGGCAAGAAAAACTCCGTATGCCTGAGTTTCGTTGAGATACTATTAGTGAAATTTTAATGAAGGTAAGTGAGGAGATGTCTACTTGTCTTACAGCATTGATACCCCATGTATGGGCGTTCATGAGGAAGGTGCAAGCAACACAAACCCAGCCATACCCACCTTCTCGGAACCCATCCGAGGGTGGCACTAAGCTCTGCATATTTGGTGTGTCGTCTTTTTCTTGAGAGAAAGTTTCATCTGATTCAAAGCCCATATCGTTGTGTAAACTGGTTCAAGTTGTCTACCAGGGCAGGTCTGTGAACTGACCAAATTGGGCTTATAGCCTTTGTAGTACCCTTACTACACGGCATTTCGGTAACAGCCACCGACCAAAACCATTCAAAGCTGGTGCATCATAGGTTTTCTCCGACAAGCTCCACGCGTGATGACACCGAGTATGCCGAACATATAGTCCCCTGTGACCCACTTGGATAACCTTTATGGCTACTTCGGGGATAGCCCCGCTCTGTATACCAATCAGATTGGTTTATTTGTGGATAGTTTGGTACCCACGTTTTAGCCACGAGCTGGCCCTACTTTGTATTGATGCAGTGAAATTGATCGGAGGCTGACTGCATTGTAAATCAAAGGCGTACATATGATTGACTTGAGGGAATTTCTGCCTGTATTATTTATCAACTGCAAGCACTGGAATTGTGCTTTGTGCTAGAATTACATGCCGAAGCAAAGGCAGGTAGACCCCGTTGTAGCCGTTACTATACTAGCAGCGAGAGTGGCACAAAACGCATCGGTAGCGAATCTAGACGCAGTGTATGCGGTAGCACAAGCTTCGTTGGTAGGACTATCATAGCCTAAAGCCAGGGGCACAAGAGCAAGCAAAAGCGCGCAGCACATTTTGAAGAACTGGAATTTTGAAAAGCATGAGCTGCTTGTAACATAATATATCAAAAGAATCATTCTGAACAACATAACCTGAAGTGCTCCGATATTCTACAAAATGGCACCTTTCATGCAACAGCAGAATAGATCAGTGCATTTTTGACGATGACTTATTTCAATGGAGACCAGACTGTCCACGCTGAGAAATAACTTGTCCTAAGTTGTTTTGGGTTGAAGCGGATCTCAGGCCGAAAACCCCGAGGCCGAAGAGGGCCTGTGACGCTTTGCGGAGTTCTCGGCTTCGAGACTCCGTGAACACCAAACCCTTAGAGATCAACCTTTGAACCTCTCGCATAACATCTTCTATTTTTAAGAATTTAACTCCAGATCTTTTCTATGTCGTCTTAATTATGCTGAGAGTACAAAAATCTTCCTCTTTGGACAAGGGAACTGGTGATTCCCAACATAAACTAGGCGCGCGTTCCTGTCTAGCATGTCATCGGCGCAAGGTCCGTTGTGACCGAGCGGTGCCTTGTACGAATTGTTCTAAAGGTGGACTTACCTGTGTCTATCCCACCAAAAACAGAGAGGAGCAAAAGAGCCCCACCTTGCAATGTATCTCCGACCGTCTTGGGCGACTGGAAACTCTTCTCTCACACCTTGTTAAACCCCGAGTATCTGCAGCACCTAGTGGTGACTCTGAGAGCCAAATTCAACGTGAAATAAACCTCCAATCCACTCAGCGGGACTGCAAAACATGGGAACTCTTGTTGAACGATGGGAAAATTGTTCAATATGTGAACAACTCAAACATCAGAGATCTCCTTCAAAACGTGAGTCTATAGCATCAGTCGATCCCTTCAGGATGCCCGCTCAAGCAGAATCCAGGGAGAACGTATGCAAACCCAACGGCCTTCAGTCCCTGATTTAGCAACTCCACAGCTACAGAATTGCACGAGTGCCCATGCTTCCCCATCACAGCCAGGCTCCTGCCCAAACGTCGCTTCCAACGTCCTGAAATTCTATCCTGACTCGCATTTGGCCCTTCAATTATGGGCACTGTATGTCAAGTCAGTTGATCCTGTACTCAAAATCTTGCATATACCGACCACCCAATCTGCCGTTATAGCGACAATCCTCGACCCAAAATCTGCGAGCGCGTCTATGCTTGCGTTGACCTTTGCAATTTATTTCGCTGCATTGACAACTTTGGACCACACGGATGAGCCGATTGAACTTCCCATGGAGAATTCAGTACTTTTAAAACATTACAAGACCGCATTGGATCGACTTCTACTGGTGACGGAAGTCATGAATCGACCGGAAATGGCAGCATTACAAGCTCTTGCAATTTATACGGTATGCTTTATGCAACGCTTCCATAGAGATATCATCTGACTATATGTATCTAGACGTGCTTACGTGTCCACGAGACTGGCCGCAGTGCATGGGTACTTAATGGTCTCGCAATCCGACTAGCTCAATCTATTGGTCTGCATCGTGATGGTGCAACCTTCCGCCTTAGCCCCTTTGATACTGAAATGCGTCTCCGCTTGTGGTGGCATCTTTGTGTACTTGACTCTCGGGCACCTGAAGATCAAGGATTCGAGCTCACCATCGACGTTCTCAATCGGGGGTTACGTCTTCCCTTAAATATCGACGACAACCAGCTATTCCCATCTATGACAAAACTTCCAGCTGAGACGGTTGGTTGGACAGAGATGTCTTTCTTTTTGATACAAACGGAATCATGTCGACTACTACATCCAGTTCTTGGAACCCGTGAACATTCCCCACCGAACACTCTACCTGATATTACGGCAAAAAGACAGATGATCCAAGAACGCACTCAATACATTTTGTTTAAGTATGGTATTTCTTCCAAGACTCCTGGTCAGTTGCCCCTCATTGCAATGCAACATCTTACTACCGCATGCAAGAAAATGGAGTTTATGCTTCAGTTGCGAGAAGAGATCGATTTGCAAAAACAAGAAGGGGTACAGGATGATACTACGGATGTTCTAAGGCCATCTTTCAAGTTGGCATGTGATGGCCTGGAAAGTAGTTTTATTCTACTTAAAGGGGGGCTTTCTCTGGGATTCAAATGGTTGTTCACTACCTATACCCCATGGTACGCCCTTGCCTATGTCCTGCGATGTCTGAGCAACAATCCTTGCGAACAGAATACAGAACGTGCTTGGGCTTTGGTTGAAGGTATATTTCCCCAAGAACTGAGCCTAAATGATGTTTCGGAGACACGCGAAGAAGATGGACACGGCAGCATCTGGAAGTGCCTTGCCCTGCTCCGGTATCAAGCTCAATCATCAAGGATTTCTCAGAGGTCTGCAAACAATGGAACCCAAACACCTGTTGAGCATCGCGCACCTTCCAGTCTCGGGCCTGTCGAGAATATCCAAGAGACAGAACCTCCACCAGCCTACACAACTCCACATGTCTCGGCTTTCTCGGGTTATGGGATGATTACCGACGAGGAACTCATGGCTGATCCCAATCAGAACCTCTTCTCGTCGTTTGACTTTTCCATGTCTAGGGTACCGTATTTGCCAGAGTGGAACGCAGTCATACATGGTTCCTTGATGGATGAAAGTAACCCGGACTTGATGTGATATACTACGTATGTATCTAGCCCTTTCATACTTAAGTAGCATGCAATTATACCTAGGTAGGCGATCGGGATGCTGGCTACTCGAATTCATGCAATAGTATAATCAAACCAACTGGGTTTCAACTGTGTATAGAAGATATGTATTTCTCAACCCTCTTAGCCCATACATGATGTTACCTAGGTACTTTTTCTAGTGACTCGGACAAATTGAAGGATTATCTTGAACATATTGTATTCTAGTATCTCCAAAAGAAGCCCGAAAGAGGCAATAGCAAGTCGACCTGAGCGGCGGACGAAATTGTTGTGAATACATCAAAACTCCATGCGACCAAAGGGAAATGGACAAGAAAAAAGAATATACAAACAAAGAGCATCCGTTCAAACATCTCATTTCAAATCCATCAATCATATAAACATCCCCGCAACTCCAACCATCAAACCAAGTGCCAGATCATGAAGACTTGATGAGCGAACAGGCAAAGCATGGTTCCCACTAGCCTCGGTATCTCCTGTCTGTGTCGCGACCGAACCGCAATATGCCAAATTGATCCCATGGCAAGCATCAGCACTCAAACTCGAGCAAATCGAAGTCGCCTGCGACGCCGCCGTAACAGCTTGGACGGTCTTGCCCGACCCAGCACCACCGATCGTAACCCCATAGCGGCCTATCAGATTCCCCGTACAAGCAGTGTACTCCGATTGACACATGGAGTAGTATGAAGAGCAGGTCTCGGGGTTGTTGAAAGCAGTGGGCACGTAGACAAATGGATAAGCACCGTCCAGTGTGGACGCGGTGACGGAGGCCGAGGTGGTGGCGGTTGCGGTCGCAGTGTTAGGGAACATAAAGGCGGTACCGGTGCCCGTTGTCTTGGTTCCTGTCAAGCTGCCAGTGCAACTTGCGCCAGTCGCGCAGCAAGCGATGTTGTCGGCTGCATCGCGGGAGCAATTTGTGCCTTGTTTACAGCATGCATTGGCGTTGCCTAGGGCTGTGCATGGGTTTGTTCCGCTTGGACAATTGTTGTCGGCTCTTTGGAGGATTCGGAGGACTTCGAAGGCTCGTCTGTTGGATACCGCTTCTTGGGCTGGGGAGAAGGGCACTGTGTCGGTTGATTGTGCAGAGGTGAGGAATGTGGCCGCAATCCAGATCCAGGAAGCCCGCATTCTCGGAGCCTGGTAAGGGTTGTAACGGTCGGGTTCAGTAGAATTGAAACGCAATTTTAAGACGATTTGGGCTGTTCAATGTCTCGATATTCTCATGTCTTCGTTCAAGTCGTTATCGGGATGCGGCCGCTCGGATGTAAACAGACTACTCAAAAAGGTAAGATTGGCCTCCAACGAAAATATAGTGAGCTCAGTATTTGAACATACCTGAATTGGTGTTTGAGGGGATTCGAGAGATTATAGTTTGAAATCTTCAAGATTCTAGAAAGATCAAAAAGGTCAGGGAGAAAGGATGTACGGAGCAGGCTGGTTACAATCCCCACCGGGACCCTGCCACAGCAACCGCAGCCCAAGCTCACTGGAGCCCAAGTTCTTTTCATTGCCATTGTTACTACTAACTATATACACTTCTTATACACTTACAGAGCCATGTTTTTTTTCTCTTCTTCTCTAGTCACACAAGCAGTACCAATTCTACCATGATACTCGAGAGAAAATAAATAATTGTCCGAGATGTGAGGGGTTGTCTGACAGGTGACATCGCCCAGCCATTTCAATTAATCGAGCTTCCCGCTTGTTTCATCTCAATCCTTTGATTCAAAGACTAGCTTCACAAGCATTATTACAATTCTCGCAAACGATGGTCGCCAACTCTCCCGTACCCAACATCCCTGTTGTGGATTTTACTGGCTGGAACACGGAGTCTGGGCGTCAGCGAGTGGCGGAAGAACTCGTCGCTGCTTGCAAAAAGGTGGGGTTTGTCTACATTGTGAACCACTCTCTGCCAGAGTCGATGCTAGATGAGGCATTCAGCTGGTCAAGTTCATTTTTCGAACTGCCACAGGATGAGAAACTTAAAGCGCCTCACCCGGACGGATGGGCTGTTCACAGAGGTTACTCTTGGCCTGGGCTGGAGAAGGTGTCACAGACCATGAGTGCCGATAATGACCAGGACAGAGTGAAACAATTGCGGGAGATTGTGGATTTCAAAGTGAGAGCCCGCTGTGTCTGTCTTTGGTCTCTCATAACCTTACAATGCACACCCCGGGACTGTACCTACTCGTAATCAATTATAGCCCCACTGACCAGCCACAGGAAAGCTATGACGTAGGCAGCGACGAGAATTCCGACCAGCCTAATCAATGGCTGCCCGATGATAGCCTCCCTGGGTTCCGCGAATTCATGCTTCGGTTCTACTGGGAGTGTTTTCGGGTTGGAGGGGAAATTCTGCAAGCGCTCGCTGTTGGCCTGAAGCTGGACGAGAACCACCTACTCAAAAAGCACTCAGGCCGTTACAACCAGCTGCGATTGTTACACTATCCGCCCATTCTAGCCGAAGCAATCGAGACAGATCGTGCGGCCAGATGCCCAGCGCACACCGACTGGAGCTCCATCACCATGCTGTTTCAGGATGATTGCGGTGGGCTTGAAGTCGAGAATATCTCCACTCCGGGAACATTTATTCCCGCGACGCCTGTGAAAAACGCAATTGTGATGAATGTGGGAGACCTCTTGCAGAGATGGAGTAACGGTTCGTCTTCTGGGACTGCCCTCTGTGCCTCGGCACTAACTTGTATAGACATCTTGAGATCTACTAGCCATCGAGTTACATTGCCGCCTCTACCTGATAGGTTTGAGGGATTACAACGTATGACACGTAGACGGTTCTCCATTCCATACTTCATGGCGCCAGACCCAGATTCGGTAATTGAATGCATCTCATCCTGTATCGAAGAGGGGGCAGCTGCTAAGTACGAGCCAATTACACAGGCTGGGTATAACAAAATGAGGGCCTCTATGCAGTACTGATTGTTAGGAATAAGTTCTTTTATAAATTGCACGTGCTAACTGAACTGTATCCCTACTGGTCACTTTGAAGCTCGGACTCATTTGGACTTGAAGTTGATGGTCTTGTATGGAATATAGTGCTTCTGTCTTTCCTAATTGGGATCATTTTCCTCTCTGGTCACACAGCTCTTTACAAACCACACAAATCATTTAATTTATCATCATGCCTCTTCCATTTTCCCCTATATTTGCGGGAATAAATTGAGTCCAAAAGAAATAGCCCACTCCATACTTGAGCCTAGCGTTCACGGGTCGATCACTCCACCTGACTAAGGCCCAATCTTGGCGCCCGCCGAAATGGAATCAAGTCGCGTCCCTCACCAGGACCCCGACCGCGTGGCCACGATGTATGGCGAACTCGGCAACAAATTGGTACGTGGAATTCCTTAGTCTACTCTATACCCATTCCCAAACACTATCTTTGAGATCCAACCCACCCCGAAAAAAAAATAAAGACCAAGCTGACCAACCCTTCAATTTAACAGGTCCAACACGCGAAGAGGACCCAATCCCTCGCCCACCTCCCACCCTACCAAACCGAGATCGTGCGCGCTGTGACCCGCGAAGTCCGCGATCTCGACCGCGATGTCACACGTCTCCTAGAGCCCTTTGGGGGCGCCTTCAATCCCTCCGCAGACCCAGCCATCGCCTGCGCCTTATTGGTCGACCACCTCTGCATGCGCCGGAACAAGCGCTGTCTGCTAGCGTACCACCGTGTGCGCACGGAAAAGCTCGAGGAACTATGCTGGACCGGTGTGGATATCCTCGAGCAGCAGCAACCTTCTGAGGGTGGATCTCAGCAGACGGCGCTTGGGCCATCGGGACATAGCTCACTAAGTCCGGAGGAGGAAGAGTATTTCCGTCAGTATGGCGACCTTTTGGCTGCTTACAAGGGACAGTGGACGGATGTTGATTTGACGGGGACGCTGGAGCCACCAAAGGATCTATTTATTGATGTTCGTGTGTTGAAGGATGCTGGTGAGATCCAGACGGAGTATGGGTATGTTTCTTGTAGCTTGTCTTTTTATTCCTCAAGAAATGTGTTGGCTAACTCTGTTTTAGTGTGATCAATTTGACCAAGAATAGTCAACTCTATGTTCGACAAGGAGATGTGGAGCGTTTGATTGCCCAGGGATTCTTGGAGCGATTGACCTGAATACGAGGACCTGCGTTTTGAGTACAAGCATGAACTGGCGTTGGTTATATCTGCGGTGGTTTTGTGAAGTGACTGTGTACATTGAGATACCCCCTTAATTTAATGGTGGCCAATGGCCATCAATGTTGAAGTACGGAGTACACATAAGGTACCCGCTGTGCCGTATTTTAGGAGTACTATGTAGTGGAGACCGAGAGCACAGATAATATAATTATATCATTGTTAAGCGTATATTGTAGCGAGGAAGTATAAAAAGGGATGGCCGCGAGAGTTTGCAAGTAGCAAAGATGTTGTCCACCGTTAAAGTCTAGACTCTCAACGGCTAAAATGGGTCGATTTACTAATGGTGTGACACATATCTTGAGTTGTTCAGCGTTAGCTTCTTTAATTCTGCACCAATTAACTAGTAGTGAGAAAAATAAGTAAGCTATATAGTATAGTTGCAGCTCTAGTGCTGCAGTATGATATTTTTGAAGCTTTGGAAGAGCCGGCTAGAATTACTCGACAATGATCACCTTTTAGATGATTGGCTTATGGCGCCGTTATGCATGAAGTACTTTAATTACATGTCGGTATATGGGGCTTGCATACGCTGATCCTACAAGTCCGACTACGGAGACACTATCAACTAAACCAACGTACGTAGCCACTTAGATATGTAGCTTGCAATTCTGATACTCAACTGGTCAACTAGGCTGTTAGTATCAAGTTCAATCAAGAAGTACTACGGAGTACTCAGTAGTTATCTGGCCATTCAGACTTCACCCCCTGCTGTGCACAGACCACCATCCAGTATCTCTCCACCGATCCCATATCCGGATCAGGCTTAGTGTGTCATTGGGAGATAAGAAGTCCGTTTAGTCAAAACTCCGATCTTTTATTTTTTTTATTTTTTCCTTCTATCTTTTGCTAATTTATATTTGTATTCGATAGAGGGTCTGGTCTCTCTTCATCTTCAATAGTACATATATTTCTTGGTCCCCTCGAAGTCATGCTCGTGTCGGTTGCGTCATCTGTTTGTTACACACGCTAGTGGTCCGGTTATCTTCCGAAATCCCTAACATCACCTGGTTGGACAATTGCGCGATGGGGGTAATGCAGCCTCGTGGACGTCGCGACTCTCGTGCTTCGGCTCTATCGCGAAACTTGCTTTTCGATCGCGATACTCCTAGCATCCTCACTTCAGAGTCGTTGGTGGAACATGCACACTTGGGCAGTTTGCCCGGTCCAATGGGAGGAGAACCATCTAGTTACAATGGTTCGACAATAAAGACCCCAAATCGTTCATTTTACCACCGGTCATTTAATAGCAATATGGGTGGGTCACTGCCGTACCCCAGGTTACCGAGCGATTTTTACTGACCATTGAGCTTGTCGCAGATCCGGCACATTATGCTACAGACGGTCTCCGTGACCAAACCGCTGAACTTGCTACCTATGGTCTCTCGCTGAATAAAAAATCACTCTTGCGAGATGGCCCCGGCTTACCGCCCAGTCTCGATATATTCCACGACAGTCAATCTACAGAGCACTCGCAAGATGAGGCTACAAGCTCTGGTGCTGCTGGGGAAACATTTTTGGAGCCGAGATATGCATCTGTCGATCCTGCATCAGCTTCTTCGGCCTTGACAGCGATGATTCGCCGGCCATCCACGATTACGGTCAACGACCAGGTCGTCCGACCGGAAAGTGTTCCTTCATCGCCGACGATGCTAGAAGAACCCGTGCGAGACACTGAGCACACCTCGTTATTGTCAAAGCCTCGATCCAAATCTACGCAGAACTATGGAACTTCGGATGTGGAGAATCAGAGAGAAATTCTGAAAGGGTCTCCAAACTTCCTCACGACAGGATTATCATCTGTGGCCCACTGCGCTCGGATATTGGCCAACCCAAAATCTTGGAATAGACGTGCCATATGGCAAGAGGCTGTGGTGTACCCCACCAGCCTGGTTCCTGCAGTATTGCTAGGACTGCTTCTTAATATTCTCGATGCCTTATCCTATGGAATGATCCTGTTCCCACTGGGAGAACCCCTGTTTGCACATCTAGGAACCGACGGCATCTCCATGTTCTACGTCAGCACCATTATCTCACAACTGGTTTTCTCTTGCGGGGGCTCGATCTTCAAAGGAGGAATAGGAAGCGAGATGATTGAAGTAGTACCATTCTTCCATCAAATGGCTTTCACCATCATGAACTCCATCGGCAAGGACAACCCGAAGTCGGTGATAGCGACGACCATCCTAGCCTTCTCGGTCAGCTCGATCCTCACCGGCCTGGTGTTCTTCTTGATGGGTGTCTGTGGGCTAGGATCCCTCATTGGCTTCTTCCCCCGCCATATTCTCATTGGATGTATCGGTGGAGTGGGCTACTTCTTGCTACAAACTGGCATGGAGGTTTCGGCCCGGCTACCTGGGTCTTTGGAGTACAACCTTCCCACACTTCAGAAGCTTTTCCATCTGGACACTTTCCCTCTTTGGATGATACCCCTGTTCCTTGCGATTGGCCTTCTTGTTTTGAAGCGGTTTGTTCGCTCAAACTTCTTAGTAGGTGGATATTTCATTGCTGTCGCTGCCGTGTTCTACATCGTCATCTTGAGCGCCAGGATCCCCATGGATTCTTTGCACCAAAATGGATGGGTATTTGATGCGCCGTCTTCCAACAACCCCTGGTATCATTTCTACAGTCTTTATGGTGAGTGATTGTCCCAATTACTTTGCAGGATTGTCTTGTTAATCTATTCTAGATCTTGCCGAGGTCAATTGGACTGCCTTCAGCGAGACCATTCCAGCTATGTTTGCTTTGACATTTTTTGGTGTACTGCATGTGCCCATTAACGTCCCTGCGCTCGGAATTTCCACTGGCGAAGACAATCTCAATGTTGATAGGGAACTTGTGGCTCATGGTGTTACGAATGCTCTTTCAGGATTCGTAGGAAGCATCCAGGTATGGAACCCCAATATAAAAGTTATGAGGGTCGAACTAACCTAACCAGAACTACCTCGTCTATACCAATAGTCTTCTCTTTATTGCTAGCGGTGGTAACTCTCGTTTGGCCGGTCTCATGTTAGCCGCAGCTACGGCAGGGATCATGGTCATAGGCCCAGTTATCATCGGATACATCCCCATTATGGTAGTCGGTGCCTTGATCTTCCTATTAGGCATTGAACTATTGCAAGAGGCCTTGGTAGACACGTGGGGAAAGCTCACTCGACTCGAATACTTGACTGTCGTTATCATTGTCGTTACAATGGGTGCTTGGGATTTCGTTGTTGGAATCTTTGTAGGAATTATCCTGGCCTGCGTGAACTTTGTGGTCCAGACGTCTCAGAAATCCGCCATTCGAGCCACTTACTCAGGTGAAATCGCTGGGTCAACAGTCCGGCGTCCTCCAATCCAGCAGCAGTTCCTGCGCGAAGCTGGACAGCAGACCCTGATGATGAAGCTTGGTGGATATCTCTTCTTCGGAACCATTGTGAATGTCGAAAACACCATGCGCGGTCTGATTGAAGACGAAGCCTTCGAAACGCGACCTATTCGCTTCCTCATTCTCGACTTCTCCCGCGTCTACGGCCTCGACTTCTCAGCTGCGGAAGCATTCACGCGCATCAACCGCGTCCTCCGAAAGCGCAACGTGCAAACAGTCATCTCGGGATTGAATGTGGAGGGTGATGTAGGCAAGTCCCTACAGAATGTAGGACTCTTCGAGCCCGAGTGTGGCGTTCCTATCTTCGAAGACCTCAATTCCGCCCTTGAGTTCTGCGAAAACGACTACCTCAAAGTGTTCTACAATCGCCAAGAAGCACTTTCTACCCCCGTCGACCCAACCGCCGGCGGCAACAGTGGCCTTCTTCAACTTCCCGTCCCTGTCCCCTCAGGGCCCCAACCCACAACCTTAGCAGACAACATAGTCAGCTCCCCGCGCCGCCAGTACCTCCAGCGCGTTGCAACATCAACAATCCAAGCCCACGAAACAGCGATGATGGCCTCCCCCGCTTGGTCCGCCATGCGCCAACCCCTACCCCTCCTTCTCCAAACCTTCCAAGGCCTCTCGACCCAAAACGAAGACTTCTGGTTCCCCGCCTGCGCTTACTTCTCCCGGGAGTCCTACGCAGCAGGCACAGTCTTATATCACGAAGGGGATGCCCCACGAGCCTTCTACCTCCTCGAGTCCGGCATGCTGCGCGCAGGCTACGACCTCCCACAAGGCAGATACTTCGAGCTTATCGTCGCTGGTCGGCCTTGCGGCGAGCTGCCTTTCTTTAGTGATACGCGTCGCACGGCAACCGTCAAGGCGGAACGTGACTGTGTCGCTTGGTGTTTGACAGGCGTGCAGTGGAAGGCGTTGCAGGAGAAGGAGCCGCGTATTGCTCGGGAGCTGTTGACTGTTAGTTTGAAGTTGACGACCGAGCGTATGGACAGTATCACTTCTTATGTGCTCACGATGGCGGCTTGATCTTGTTCTCGTTTTTTTGCATTTAGCTTGGTGGTTCTCTGGGCAGTTCGTGTCGCTTTGTATTTACTACTCATATTCCCCAGTTCTCTTACATACCCATCTGTATGTACATAGTAGTCAAAATGCGCATACCTACGTATATGTACCTTTGTACTTTGTTCATGATTTTCTTGAAGAATCCCTCGTAGAATGGCTGCATGGTATCAAAGCTTCTAGATCCAAGCAATGCAGCAATGGCCAGGTTGCTAGATATCCCAACGCCTAGACCCAGCAAAATTGCTATTTAGTTCATAAGGTATAGCAAGTGAAGTGGTAGGTAGAAATCTACTTCTGATATCGAACCTAGCGACGTAGACCATATCCATATCAACCACATCCACGACTGATTTAGACCAGATACCTAAGATGGCCAACTGCATTGTTTGACTACCTCTTAAAGAATGGTGTATGAAAGCCCCGACACAGTAGCCACTCGGTTCTGGTTTCTTATCATCACTGCACTCTCCATGTTTTTCTTCTGTTAGCGTGGGAAGTGATTGACGGATTGAGTTTTAAGTAGGAGTTATGCCTAAACGCAAAGCCAAATGCGATGACAACTTTACCCCCGAACCACGTACGGTAAAACGTGGGGATATTTCCATCATCCGAGACTTTAAATGACCTGGTGCAGTTGTAGAATGATGAGTCATTGAACCTGGAGGTACTAAGTGCGGTCAATATGCATCCAACTTTGGGCTACGCAGCACACGGCAAGTGAAGCAAAATGCTTGTTCCAAGCTTAAAAGCTGCCTACAACGCCTTCTCCGGTGTTGGTGTTATCTTCTTAACCATGAGTTATGCATGCCCCATCGCCGTCTCTCTGATCTTCCGCTGTCGTGAGGATATCAAGAACGGCAGCTTCAACTTTGGCATCTTCGGTCTGATTGCCAACGTCTTTGCTCTTGGTAAGTGTAAACGCCCCTCCCTCAGTCTCTGCTAACAATCCCAGGTTAGAGTGTTCTCGCCATCGTCCTCTTCTGCATGCCACCCCTGAAGGAGGTCACTTTGGATAGCATGAACTACGCCTCGGTGGTCTTCTTCGGGACTGTTGTCGTTGCCGCCGTCTAGTACGGAATATGGGGTTACAACAACTACCGTGAACCTTCTACTGACGCGGTGGATAACCACTCGATGACTGACTCGATCCCTGACGTGACTAAGGAGGTCACCAAGACGAAAAGCCCATAAATCACAGCAAAAAACGGCCAATCATCTACTACAATCGCTCCTATACACCGCACCAATACAGCACTACCGCACCGCAGCACCGCACACCACAGCAGCATAGGACCCATGGCACCATCCTTCATGGCCCATTCCTCCCACGGCAGCATTCGGCTTCGCATTTGCGAAGAATCCCCGGTGACCAGGTCACTCAGAGCTATTAATAACGATAGCATCGGACTCAGACTGTCCGGCAAGCTCAATAGGCGGATGTACTGGCCCAGCTGGTTCAGCCGGTCTAGCCGGCAGATTGGCTTCTAGTAAAGCCCGGATCGCAACCAACGGGACGCCATGCCTCATGGCTGTAGACTCGTCCCACGAGGAATGCAGTCCGACGAGAGCCCCATCCGATGACCTTAGCAGCGGTGCCCCCGAGTGGCCCCAGTACGTCCAGGCATCATGTTTGAGAACGCCAATTTCCGAGTTGTCGTGTGGATCCACGTTGGGGATCAGCCCACATAGTCGACCCCCGGATACCTCGATCAAGTCGTATGCCGTCTTGCGGGGCATACTTGACTCCAGGTCGTCTGCGCCGGGTTGTCCGATACAAAATATCGATTCTGTGGGGTCCTGTATTGTTGCGGGGGAGATGTAACTGAAGATGGGGCATCGCACGTCGGTATCACCCGGCTGGGGCTGCTCCATCTCAACGTGGATGACCTTGGCCAGCGCGAGATCGCGTCGTGGGTCCCAGACGCGACATTCCACTTGCACCGCCAGCCCTGTGTAGTATAGCAGCCATTTCCGTCGGTATGTTTGCCATTCTTGTCGCGTTTCACCGAAACAGTGTGCGCAAGTGAGGATCCAGCCTCTTGCGTCGATACACACTGCTGTACCTGCCTCGGCTTGACCGAATATCAACGTGGATTTCAGAGCGCGCACTGCCTGCGGACTTGTTTCACGGGCCAAGGCAACTGTGGATGGGATTGAATTCCGCAGTCGTTGCTGTTTTTGTCGTAGAGTCTGAATCTCGGTACTATTGAGATCAGGTAGTGATTCGTTGAAGATGATCCTTGGTTCGCTCAGAGTGAAATTTGGGACGAAGCGGATAGGTGAGTGGCTGTATGTTGTTAGTTCCTGTGATGTAGCGTGTGAACGCAGACGACGAGGCATAATTGAAATTCCAAGTCCATCGAGGTGTTTTTCCAAGGTTGTTGGAAGCAAACTTGACACTTGCAAGGTTGAAGGGTAGAGGAGAGTGGGCATCGCTGGAGAACGTGACGTACTTCCGTGATGAAGCCACAACAAAACAACCTTGGAACAAAACAAGAAATACAAGAAATAATAGTACAACTTGAAGTAATAAGGACCTAGATGAACTTGCGAATTCTACTGAAAGAACTAATATAACATTGGAAGTTCAAGTTCCTCAAAGCCCTGCTTAGGTGGGTTCTGCCTTGAACTACACTGCCAGTGGGTGGCATGGGGCATAGTAATGAGAACGTACCCGCTCCCACCACCAATTCCACCACCAATTCCCATATCTTGCCTCCATATACATCATGTCTATCATCTTTAATGCCCTCCCCCTCCCACCGCCTATCTCTGAATTTGGCGAGCCTTTCTGTTCCAGGCTTATACTCACTGTTCATAGGACCCATTCCCAAAAATCCTGACTGGTGGCTAGCTAGAAGTGGATCGAGAAATAGAGAAATAGAGTTACGTTAATAGATACCTAGGTATAAATATGGTCGAGCTTACAGACCAAGGGTCTGCGGTCCCGCTTTCCATCCTAAATAGGGTAAATACCCTTGTGTAAGGCTTGATCACGCCCAGTTCGCCGCAAAGTACGGGGCCAGGTTTCGTCGTAACAAAGCTGATTCCATGTCTCGCCTGATCTTTTTCATTATATATGCATTCCTACGTTGTCGCAAAAGCATGGACTTGCTAGCGGCGTAAAGCCCCACAAAGCTTCCCCTTCAAGGTTTGGCCGTATTCAACAACAGATAGCCGCGGCTGCATCTTCAAGCCTCGACAATCACAGTCATTCCATAAATTTGTCCCGGATCAAGACATCTCCAGACTCAGAGTCTGAGATTAAGGCCAAAATTGAAGCTATCTAGGAACCCGACAATGTTATCGAGTATGGCCCTGATCACTATTCCGATTCCGAGGCCAGGGCCAGAGATCGCTCTGATATTTGATAGAGCTTGTGTCCGGGGGTGAGAGCGACCTTTTCGTCATTCTAGAGTCAGATGATGATTCCGAGGTGGATGAGTAGAGTCCACTTCATGGTGTGATTGATGTGCAATATTTGATCATATTGATGCACGGGTGTTGGGATATGAAAAGAAAGAAAATGTCAAGTCGAGATTCGATTGAGTTCAAGGCCAGTTTCATCAAGTCAATTTCCAATTTAATAGCCCGGATCAACAAGATATAGAGGCGAGAGAAAATCCAAGTCAGTGTCGGCAAGGACTGCCTCTTTGGTCCCCGGATAATACCCCAGGAATTGGAGTATTGAGCCTCTCCACAATGACGCACTCTGGTCATGTGTTCGATTCTAGAATTTTTTTTTTTGATCACGTCACCTGGACACCTGAACACCGCTTATACTCGGCGGGAAAATATTGTTGGGTGATGGACACAATATTGCGTATTCTATTCGTTGTATGTTCGTTGGGAATAAATCTGATTAAAATAATTCATTTGGAATCCACAGGACTTTCGTAAATGTAAATGCAAATGCAGACAGAAAAAAAGAAACCCCTTATATCCATGCAATTTTAGTTTTTCGGCAGTCAAGGGCCATATTCAAAGACCCTTTTGTCCACGAGCTCACTATCTGGAAGTTGGAAATCCTCACTCCGGAAGGTATCGTCCCACGTCTTCACATCTGCAAGATCTCCACATTCTGATCGAACATCTGGGAAGAATTGAACAACAACACTAGTCTCTTTGAGAAGTTCCTCACTCAAAGAAGCTACTTCCGTTCCAACTGGAATGTAGTTTCCCCAGCCAACATAGAACCCAAGATTGAGAGTCGCACTGGTCTGGTCCTGAACGAGATCGTACAGCGAACCAAAACGAAGGCCGGTTTCTGAGAGAGGGAGTGACTCGGATGATTCTGTAGAAGACGTTGATGATGCGGAGGATAATGATGCGGCGGAGGAGGCGGAAGAGACAGATGATGGAGGCGAGGAGCAGCGAGATTGGCGGATGATGTACTCGTAGACATTTTGTAGTCGACTCCGGTGTTCCCACCAAACAAAGCCTAACGCTGGTGGTGCGGGTTGTGAGACAAGCATGCGCCGCCAGCTGGCACCGGCTCGAGTGAATGCTTTGTGTCGGGAAAGAAGTTTGGCCGGCTCGCCATCTTCGTCACGATAGTCGGGTCCCCAGTTGAGAGATTTGGAGAAGTTGTTTTTGTTGAGAATGCAAGGACTACTCCCGCTGGAGAAAAACACCGGGCCGAAGTGTTTTTGTAGTAACGGGTTCAATGTCGACACGATTTCTTTGTGGTAGGGACTGTGACCTCTGAGAGGGAATTTTTTCGGGTTCGAGTAAGCCAGTGAAGGCTTCAGTGAGGGTGTAATGGGTGTAAAGAATAGGGCCTGTTGAAGTCTCTTCGACCGGCTTATGACATCAAACCAAAGTGTGTTCACGCGCTGCGCGGACACGAGCAACGTTGTCATGTCAAGGTGTAGAAGAATTTCTTCTAGCAGCTCTGGAATGAGCAATACTTTGGTAGCGCTATCCATTTTCAAATTGGTCAGAGAATAATAGAATAATAGAAAAAGTAAAAGGAATAAGTTGGGTTCAAATATTTGAGGGATCTGTATTTAGTTGAGACCGGGCCGGGGGAGGCGTTTGTGGAGATCCTCCCCGCATTAAGTTGGGGATAATAACCTCATGTAGATCATGAATTATCCCAGTTGAACTAGTCCCAGGCACCAGATATTTCCAACTCTTATAGGTTAAAAAAAAATCTCTATTTGAATTCGATGCCAAATCCCCCAGCACTCAACCCAAAAACTGTAAATTCGCAGTTCATCTTCAAAATGCCCTGGAGGTACCCCGGAATTCTTTTACCTAACAATTACATAACTAAAATCCAGAGCACAGCAGGTTCTAGCGCCACGACCAGACTATGCTGATTTGATTGGTTCACGATGAAGACGTCTTTTCTCTAGTAGAATACGTTAATCACTCATAATATGCTTTGCCCTATGATTTGGTTCGAAATTTTATGTCCAGGTGACCTCATGGTTGATATTTTTAGTCATGCTCTATAATCTCACAGTCTAGATCGTTAGCGCATAAAGAGGACGTGACTAGATAAGATTTGATCAATGTTGCTACGGAGTAGATACCTAGGTAGAATTATAATAACCATTGCGAGGTCATATTGTATGTAGCTTTGAATAGAATATGAAGATATTTACTCCGTACATGACGTCGGAGACACATGGAGTGAGTCGAAAACTAAAGCGGTGAAGACGTGATTTTGTTGATCATGTAACACGACTACTTGTAGTGTGGTACTACAAAAAGAATCATTGGAACCAACACATGATCAATACTTGAAGGGGCGATGTCTGTGCTCTCTATTTTCGGCTCGATCGAGATTTCTATAATCAAGGTCCTGTTCATGGTGCTCTACGGAGTATTCCTGATCAACAAGCAACACAGCCTTTTCTGTTCTGACCAAGAACTACATATGTAGTCATCATGATGAGTGTATTGATACTGTCCCATGTGGGTGAAAATACATACGAACAGCAACAAAAAAAACCGAAATTTCTAACGTGTTGCTAAAAGCCGCTGTAAAGCTCAAATGTACCCCACGTGACTCGGCGTTGAAACGCGTGCGACGGCGCGTCCGGCTGCCTCACGTTTTACATTTTGCTGATCTCCATTTGGGCCTGCATATTTCTTACCAAATTTAAGCATGGCAACTGGGGAAGAGCCGAGACTTTTTGATCATTGTTGCATATGTATTGTGTGCTCCATAGACCTCTCAAGAGAAGCTGCAGAACAGGTATGTTTCGTGCGAGTAAACACGAATATCAGACTGAACCGAAATTACTTAGCTCGCGACAACCCTTGAAGAGAATGGCGGCGAGCCGCTTATCGTTCAACCCGGTGCTGAGGTCCCGGATATCGCCAAGTTCAGCCATTTGATCTCTACGACAATTGATTTCGAAGCCTACGATACTTCCTGCGATGCGTTGATCCCGGTGGTAAAGCCACAGTGGGTGAACACCTCATTGTCAAAGAGGAAATTAGTCAACCCTCGCCAATACAGCCCAGACCCACGCCTGTTCTTGAATGATGTGGTCGTCACCTGCGGCGACATACCAGAGGGCGACAAGGATGCAATCATTGGCGGTGTGATTGCGAAGGGTGGATTGTACTCCCCTAGAGTATCTCAAATGGTTACCCACCTGGTCGATCTAACGGCCGATTCTGATAAAGCCCGCGTGATCCAAGCAAAGAAAATGAAGGTCAAAATTGTGCTACCACATTGGTGAGTCTTGTGGCATGGAAAATAAAGGCACTTGCTTACATGGTTTAGGTTTGATGACTGCCTGAAACTCGGCCGGCGTATTGACGAGCGTCCATACACACTTCCAGATGCGGAAATTTTGCGTGCAGGCCCCGATGCCCCAATTCGATCCCGAGAAAATAAAGATTTGGTTGGCGCGTCGACGACAGATCCGACCAAATTGCCTACACCACATGGCACGGATGAACGGAGTGTTTTCCAGGGGAAAAATATCATGCTTTCTCCTGATCTCGGCATTGGCTCGCATCTGCAGGAGTCCATCCAAGCTTTTCTTGAGCAAGGCGGCGCCAAAATAACCCCAACAATCGATAGTGCAGACATGCTGATCTGTCGTTACCGAGAGGGATTTGCATACCGTACGGCGTCACGATTAAACATAGACGTTGGAAATCTTGCATGGCTCTATCGCCTGATGACCTTCAACACATACACATCGCCCCTCAGGCGACTACTCCACTACCCAGTCTCTCGCACAGGGATTCCTGGATTTGAAGGATTAAAAATCAGTTTGTCTAACTATGTTGGTGAAGCAAGAATCTACTTGGAAAACTTGATCGCAGCAGCAGGTGCAGAATGCACAAAAACCTTGAAGCAGGAGAACACCCATTTGATCACGGCCCACGGAAACAGCGAGAAATGCAACGCTGCGAAGGAATGGGGTCTCGAAGTCGTGAACCACCTATGGCTGGAGGATAGTTACGCGAAATGGAAAATGATGCCGGCCTCGGACCCGCGCTACAGCCACTTCCCGCTGCGAACCAATCTTGGAGAAGTCGCGGGCCAGACACAGCTCGACCGCAACGTTTTGGAACAAGTGTTCTTCGCCTCTGAAAACACGGCTGTGCCTAGCCCACGTCGCGCAATGAATAACAAGCACCGGAACACGGCATCCGTGCAGCTCCCCGCCGAAAAGAAACGGAAGATTGACGAGGAAGGTGCGAAGCCTTCGCATGGTACCCCACAAGGAAATGGTAAGTCGAGCCTGCCTCTTCAGACCCCTGTGCGGTCTCGGCTTTTGCCTGAGGGCAAAGAAAACGAAACCCCGTCATCTACCAGCAGTCGCAAATCAAAAGAGGCAGCAACCGCGCGACTCCATGAGTATGCTCCCGACCTTGCCTTGTACGAAAAAGAAAGGAAGCGTGTGGGTGGCGTTATCTATGGTGGTAGACGCAAGTCAGACGAAGGCCGGGTTCAGGAGAAGAAGAAGAAGCAAGCCTCAGTTGAGGCTGAAGACGAGAGCAATGCCGAACAGACAGTGGAAACCAAACGACAGAAAAAGTCTCGGCCACCGATTGCCATGCATTTGCTGATTACGGGCTATCAGAAGTGGGTAGGAAAGGGCAACGAGAGGAAAGAGGATGCGGACAAGGTTTGTGCAAACTAAAGCAATGAACACGGTTGACACCAGACCCACTAACATCTAACCAGCGAGCACTTCGGGAGATCGGTATTATGGTTGTCCAAGATGCCCGGCGATGCACTCATTTGGCTGCGCCTTCAATTCTGCGAACTACAAAGTTCGTCAATGCTCTAGCGTACGCACCAATGATTGTGAGCACGGAATTCATCACTTCTTGCCTAAAGAATGATGAGCTACTCAATCCCTTGGATTTCCCTCTGGAGGACAAAGAGGCCGAAAAGAAGTACAATTTCGACCTTTCTTCCGTTACAGAAAACGCGAAGAAAAACAAAAACAAGATGTTGCAAGGGTATCGTATCTATTGCGTTGAAGATGTTCGAGGTGGGTTCGATGCATTCAAGTCAATCGTTGAAGCAAATGGCGGGGAGTGCATGCTCTTCCGCGGCCGTCTGGCCCTGGCGAGCAGCTCTCGGCGGGAGGAGAGTGACGACGAAGAAATCGAACCAGAAGATGATCACCCCGCACGGCATGAGGTCTTCCTTCTCAGCAGTGCCACAACCAAGCACAGTCGAGTCTGGTCACGATTTCGTCAAGTGGCACTGGATATTCAGAAGACTCCGCGCATCGTTCGCGTTGACTGGCTCCTCGACATGGCCATGTCCCAATCCACACGTGCCGCCGACGAGTACGAGTTGACCGATGAGATGGTTGAAGACATGGAGGAGTAACTTGATACTCTGACATCGAATCCGTCTCCCTTACCCGCCTAGGGAGTTTAGCCGTATGGATTTCTGTGTATAAATTTGGAGTATCAGTGGCTTTTGGCCCGCAGTCGAGAAGCGCTTTGTTTTTGTCACGAATAGCCACGATTTATCCCAAAGAGAAATTCCAGCATATTATTTTCAAAAGAACTTAACACCCTCCTGGCCTTCAGTGCCAAATATTTGCGCCTTGCCTCTCTTCACAAGGACATTTAACGAGCGGAGCATGACATCGGTGTCCATGCCATGAAACTCTGTTAACCGTCAGTAACTGTAGACACTCACCTCAAGAAGATCCAAGACAATCATACCTTGCGACATAGTCACATCTCCCTGAATAAGCTCATAAACCGTCAAAACCGTCCCCCGCTGTCCGGTGCCTTCAATCCATTCAGCCAAGACATCTGCCCACTCCTCAGGCCGCCTCCACCAAATCCACGCGACAGCCTGTCCAGCACCATTACGCAAAGAAGAGTCTCCAGCATCAGAAATCCACTCCGCCCGCCGTCCACCACCGCCTTCTTCCTCGCTCTTGGTCATCCAATCCACCACTGCACGGGCTTCGCGCAGATCAAGACGCTTGCGCAGAGCTGCGTTATGAAAGAGCGGAGTTTCCACAGCATCAATCAGAGAGATACGGTACTGGCGGTGGTGCCGGCACCAGGATTGAATTAGTGAAGACCATTTCTCTAGCTGAGACTGACGGGTGGTTGTATTTGGTTGCGGGGTGAAGAAGGGCGGGAAGTTGTAGGTTGGTGGGAAGGGAAAGGGGGGCGTTGTTGTCATTTTGGCGAAGGGAGAAGATCTACAATACTGATAAGAACAAAAACAACTGCCAAAACTCGAGAAGTAGAGGAAGAGTCAAGAGTTGAAGCTGGAAGGTGATCGTTGGAGTAAAGGTGGAGCCAATCGGAGCGGGGGACGATTTTCTTCAATTTTGTCACCTCCCCGCGACCTCGACTTTGATCTCGACAACGAGTCTCTCCAAGTCTACAATGGCTACACCTCAAACCGCCCAAAATGCCCCTACCAAGCGCGTTAAGCGTGAGGAATACCGCCGCGACCTCGAGGCGCAGCAGAAGGCCAGCGACGATGGCTCCGTCGTTAAGATGCCGCAGAAGAAATTCTTCCGTCAGCGCGCACATGCGAATCCCTTCTCTGATCACCGGCTGGAATAGTATGTTCTTCCTTTGCAGATTGACCTTTTGTCTATTCATCTCTTTCCGGAGTTCTCAAGCTTGATCCCGACTTGAAGATTTCCAGACCAATCGCGAACTGGTAGCTAATCTGCTCTAACAGTCCTCTAAGCCCTGCGCATATGGATTGGTCTTCTCACTACCCTGCGTTCGTGGATCCAGATCCATCGAAGACGAATCTCAGCGGTGCGCGCAAATTGATCAAGGATGTCGAGGTTGTGGACATCGGATGCGGCTTCGGCGGGTTGATGGTTGGACTTGCGCCATTGCTACCGGATACGCTGATGGTTGGTGAGTATTGCAGCAAGATCTCAATTATGCTTCTTTTTGCATACATTGAACAGTCGTAATAGACGCAGGGCTAACATAAAGCAGGCATGGAAATCCGCATCTCAGTGCTCGAGTACCTCAGCTCGCGCATCCACGCCCTCCGCAGCAACCAGCAACGCCTGAAAAACAGAGCCGCCAGTGCATCTACATCATCCGAACCCCAAGACTCAACTGCGCAGCCTGAAACCGCAGAATCCGAAGCAGCTCCCGCCAATGACGACGAAATCGGCACTACCAAAATCTTCCCCGGAAACTTCGAAAACATCACCGCAATCCGCAGTAACACGATGAAGTTCCTTCCCAACTTCTTTGGGCATCACCAACTTTCCAAGATCTTCATCTGCTTCCCAGACCCACACTTCAAGGCGCGCAAGCACAAGGCACGCATCGTCTCCGAGTCCCTGAACACCGAGTATGCCTTCGTCCTACGACCCGGCGGCTTGCTGTACACCATCACCGATGTGGAGGAGTACCACCACTGGGTTCTGCGGCATTTCTTGAACCAGCCCGAGGAGCAGCGGGAAGATGGAACCACTCCCCCTAGCAGCAAAGATCTTTTCGAGCGAGTTTCTGACGAAGAGGTTGATGCCGATCCTTGTGTGCGGGTTATGAAATACGAAACCGAGGAATCGAAGAAGGTCACACGTAATAATGGCAAGAAGTTTGTGGCTGTGTTCAGACGCAAGGCGGATCCCGAGTGGCCTGCTTGAATGGAGTAGATATATCAAAAGAGGTGTTCAGAGGCGTTTTGTTCATATCTCAAATTTCTAAAATAAAATGCATCGCCAAAATTCCATTCTTTCACATCGCTGACAATCTTCGCTTGCTAACAATCACAACAATAAACACCCGAGAACCCCGAAAATAGGGTTGTAGAACACACGCAAAACAATGAAGTGATGCAAATAATCAAACACCGACATCAGACATGAATCTATCATAAAGCAGTATCTCGTTAAAACATAGTCGTAGTCCCCGGTTGATAGATAAAATCTCATTTCAACACATCCCAGGCGCCTTGAGACGAATCCCTTCACATCTCTCACAGATAGCGAGCTGTACCGGTCCACCAATGACACGGCCCTTGGCTGTTCGCTTTGGTTCGCCCTCGCGGACGAAGAAGCGACCCTCGGCTCCGAACCCGTCGCCGCACTCGTGGCAGTTGAAGCAGTGCTCATGCCACTGGCCACCAATGGCCGTGATGACAACTTCATCCAAGACATGTTGCTTGCAGCCCAGGCAACGGGGCGCAGTGCGTCGCGAGTGGCAATGGAGGCACCATGCGAAGCCGTCTTTTTCAACGAAGGGCGTTTGGGAGTTGAAAGGCTAAAGAGAAGGAAAAGGTCAGTTGATGGAGATGGTGACTTTCGGGTGAGATAAACATACATCGCCGCACTCGGCACAGAAGAAGTGGCCGACGTGCCATTCGGCACCGCATGCCACGACTACCTCTCCTTCGATGGGGGTCTTGCAGCTCTTGCAACGGGGGCTGAACATTTCGTGGAAATCCAGATGGCAGTAGAACCGTGGTACACGGGCTTCATGATCATTGGCCTCGGTAGCTAGTCTCTCGTCTCTGCTAGACTGGGGCTCCTGGTAAAAGGCTACGCATTCCAGCGCTGTGTGGCAGTGGAAACAAGTGAAACATTCAGGATGGAATCGACACCCGCCAGCCGTCACAATCTTTCCGGAAATCGGCAGGGAGCACAGTTCACAACTTGCAGTCGGGGCACCAGATCGGGTATAAGGCGTGTACCAACGGTTCTGGGATTCAGATGCGGGTTGCCTCGGGAATCCTTGTTTGGTCGGACTAGTCCTTGTTGGCTGGGCAGCTGGTCTGCCTGGCTTGTTCGATTGCTCTGAAGTTGCTTCGATCTCGGATATGGTCGGTACTTTGATGTCCGGGACATTGATCACAGGAATGGGAGTCGGCTCGGAGACTTCGATCGAGGGGGCGGAGACTTCAATGGCTGGTGCCGCGACTTCGATGATGGGCAAGGTCGGACGATCAGGTTTTGGTTGATCGGCTGGTTTCCAGGTTTGGTCGAAGCTCACGATTGGACGTCCAACTCGATCGCTGACAGCTGAAGGCATCGGAAGTTTTTCACTGCGGTCTCCTCTTCTTTTGCTAGTGGCTGCCCGAATGTCGTCACTACGGATCTCTTTGCCTTCCCTGGTAGGGACTGGCTCTTCTTTGGACTCTTCGGGGGGAGGAGTAGGTGTACTCTCGTTTCGAGTATATCCGGGATTGCGCGACTGGGTGGGAGGGTTCTTATGTATTTCAAACCGCGAGATCTTGTCCAATACGGGACTGCTGTTAGTCCCTCTATCTCGCAGCCAAGGAAGTGGTTTAGGGACACGACCGAGGACATTGCGCGGCTTGTTCTTCAGAGCGGAAGAGTCAGACCTTGAGAAATCAGGCTTCTCTTCTTGCTCCTTTTTGGTATCCACGGGCTCTTCATAAATATGATCATTGGGGTTTCTAAATATCCCTTTAGAGGAATCACTGCTGACAGTGCGTGCTTTTGAGGCGGGGGGCTCGACGGGGGGCTCTTCGTCAGGTAGTTTGAAGTTAACTTTAAGATTCTTCTTCGAAGGTCCAGCCAAAGACGATCGTTTGCGAAGAGACTCGGGGCTGGGGTGACTATCCGAAGATCCACATGACCCAGTGGACTGACTGAACCTATGAGTGGAGCCATGTCCACGCGAGCCACTTCGGACAGGACTCTGACTGCGTCTGTTAATATCAGGATTCTGGTATGGCGCATATGGGTTTTTGAATTCTTTGCCGGGGTTCTGATGCATCCAAACTAGCTCCGTGGCCTCGTCCTGGGCTGCCTGGTGAAGACCGACGTCGTCTTGCACATCCATTTTCTGCAAGGCATCTCGGAGTGACCTTGCCTCTTCCTTTTCATGTCGACGTTGACCATTTTCTTGATAGGAGAGAGCTGGAGATGCTGGAATGGGAATGGTGCGAGATTGCACTTGTGCGGGAAACACGTTCTTTCGAATTGAGTGTGTGCGGGGCTCTTGAGCTAGAGGACGTCCCATTGCGCCGCCGCCAGGCACATAAGAGGTTGTGCGGCGATGAGATAAAGCGCTACTAGAGCGGGAATGATCTTCAATTTCATCTTCGACTGGACTGTGCATGGAAAAAGCCGAGGATGCCCTTGGTGGCAGATTATCGGGCAAGTCAGTTGTCGAGGCGACTGCTCTGCCTGGGTATGGTCGTGAGCCGGTCGGACGAGCTGGGCGATTTGCCCGTAAGTCCTTCAAGTATGTTGCTGTTGAGACGCGTGTTAATAACAATTGCCCCTTCAACACGGTCACCATCTACCACTTACCCACTTGATCATTGGACATGAAGGATGGGCCGGGAGGAGAGACCTTTCGTTGAGCAGTATGTTTATGCATAATTGCAAGGATGTTTTGAGTCACATTTAAGATACAAAAGAAGTTACGCAAAAGAACTAAGATGAGAATAGTTTAGCTGCGATCTATGATTGTCTGAGTTGGCTAGCGCCCAATGTTTTGGGGGACAACACTCGTTGCCTCGCGACGGATGACTAATCTGAATAGAAGTCCACAAGAAGTACGGAGTACTATAAAACAGTTAAGTACATAGTTATTGTACTATGACTATATGTAAGGATGTAAAATATGTAGAATTGATGTTTGATGTATCAGCCCTATGTCCTCTAAATAAGCTCAATCTCATCCAATAGTTTCCCATGTATAATTAGTGATATATACAGGATAACCCCAGATCCTATAACTCCCGCACCTCTTCTCTCCGGCTTCTCGGCACAGAGACCCCACAGCCAAGCAGCGCTGGGGGCACGTCTAGAAGGACTGACCCCTGCACAGGGCTACCCTCGTGGAATTTCCAACGGTTACGGCCTTCGTTCATTGGTCTAATCTCGCCGAATTTCTTGTAGATAACAAACCACGAGGTTGACCCCGGGCATCTTTCCTGTATACGATCAAAGTAGTTACTCCGTACCTAGTGATGTGAAAATTCGGCATATAGTCCGACATCTCCAATTTATGACCAATATTTTTCCGATCAATTAATGTGCATTGTTTCCTCGATTTTTGGTTAGTCTAGGTTTCGTTTTGTTTCAACTTGTTTTTGGATCTTCATCTTTCTACCATAATCTATCTACCCATGGGACGGAAACGGTAATCGGTTTCGGTCAAGGCACTCAATTTTGCTTTATATCAAAAGGAAACAAGTCTGCGAGCCAGATTGCGGCCTAACCATGGCGGATAATGCGCCAATTGACATAATTCGATCCCATCAAGATGACCTGGATCGAGAAGCCGCAAAACAAGAGCAAAAGCTTCATCCTCACTCAGAACCACCACTCGACGCAGAGGAAGACGAGAAATGCAAGCGCGATGTGCCTCCAGATGGTGGATATGGCTGGGTTTGCGTCGCCTGTGTTTTTTGGATTAATGCGCATACCTGGGGTATCAACAGTGTGAGTCGAAAATTCTTCACATTTCAACCCTCCTTTTTTACTAACCAGCATATACAGAGCTACGGAGTCTTCCTGAGTTACTATCTCTCACACAATGTATTCCCAAATACATCAGCCCTTTCCTACGCTTTTACGGGCGGATTAAGTATCTCCTGTGCACTTCTAGTAGCACCACTAGCCACACATTTCATCCACAGATGGGGCACACGCTTCGTACTCAATCTCGGCGTTTTCTTCGAAACGCTCTCCTTAATCGGTTCTTCCTTCGCGACCTTGAAATGGCACATCTTCCTCAGCCAAGGTGTATGTTTCGGTTGGGGTATGGGCTTTCTCTTCGTGGGCAGCGTCGGAATCGCCCCGCAATGGTTCGAAAAGCGCCGCAGTGTAGCCATGGGCATCACAGCCGCCGGGTCTGGTCTCGGTGGTCTGATATACTCCCTCGCCGTGGGTGCTATTATCCCGCGCTATGGCCTGGGCTGGGCATTCCGCATTCTGGGCATCATCTCCTGCGTCGTGAACTTGGTCTGCTGTAATCTCCTCCGAGACCGCAACAAGGCGGTTGGTAGTAGGTTCACGGCCTTCCATCTGCCTCTCCTGCGTCGTCCTGAGTTCCTGCTCTTTTTAGGATGGGGAGTCTTCAGCATGCTCGGTTATGTTGCGCTACTGTTTAGCGTTGCCAATTTCGCCCTCTCTGTTGGTCTTTCCTCACACCAGGGGAGTATTGTCTCCGCGCTACTTAACCTCGGGCAAGGCCTTGGCCGTCCGTGTGTTGGCATGTTTAGTGATCGGCTGGGTCGCATCAATATTGCCACTTTCCTCACCTTTCTCTGTGGCCTGTTCTGCCTGGTGATCTGGACCTTTGCTGATAGTATGGGCGTGGTGTGCTTCTTTGCCGTTTTGGTTGGCACTGTTTCGGGTACGTACTGGGCTACTGTATCCCCTGTGCTGGCGGAAATTATTGGTATCAGGGACCTTCCTTCTGGTTTGAGCATTACTTGGCTCATGCTTGTTTCCCCATGTACCGTCTCCGAAGCCATTGCCCTTCAGCTCCGCAGTTCCACCACGGGTGGTGGCACTTCCTATCTGCGTGTTCAAATATTTACTGGGTTCATGTACGTTGGTGCCTCACTGTGCCTCTGGCTTGTCCGCGGTTGGAAAGTCGGCGAGGTGGAGCGTGCGCAGCGCCGTGACGCGATTGTGCATGCTACCCCTTTGACAAGAACTCTTGGTGAAATGGAGAAGAATGGCTCTCCTGTGGATAATCCTCGGGATTCGGATCCTGCTGAAACTGATGCTCAATTGTGGGCTCCCGTCGGTTTGATCCGCAGAATGGTTGCCATGAAGCGGGTCTGAATATTTAAGTTTGCATACTGCTAGCATTGTGCTGAGTATATACATGGAAAAGTTAAGAATTTGCATCAACTATAATGTCTATATATCTATATATCTACGGGTTTGCTTCCAAGGGTTGTTGAACATATCTTTGAAATCAAGAAACCCACCTGGGCACGAGAGGGTGAAAGCAGAGAAGAGACAACAAAAAAACAGGAGAGGGCGTTATACTCAACTCATTGTGCCTTCTGAAGACGAGTCCCTAACCTTCTAGAACTGGAAATGAAGCGACACTCAAACAATGACGACAGAAATGATCCGGCGGAAATTTACCTGCGGGTTTCACATGATACGAAATGAATTAGAGATGACCCAAAAAAATCATCCTTTGTCGTTATTTGATTTGAACGCCATTTTTACTTGGCACAAAATTTGTAAAATACATGCTTGTAGTTTGTAGCTCATGCCTCAAGGATCAAAATTCGAACCCTTCTCTTGCCGGCACCACGGCCTTCTTCCTTGACGGAGCTGACATTGACACGAACCTTTTGGAAAAGCTCGACCTTCACACCCCGTCCTTTGTCTGAGTTGCCCTTTTCTTCCACGCGAAGAGTGTACTCCTCGCTATCGAAGTCGGTGGTGCGATGAGGAGCCAGCTCGCGTCGCTCGGAGACAGAGCGAGCTCCAGATTCACCGGGCAAGACGAAGTCTTCCAAGCGGACAACACCCTCAATACCGAAGCGAGGTACGAAGATGACAACACCGTTTTCAAACACACGCATCACATACCCTTCTTCCTCGATACCTGCGTCAACACCGTCGGTAGCCATCTTTTCTCCGCGCGCCTTCAGAGCCTGACCCACGTAATACTCGATACTTGCGCGGCCGGCGAACTGTGCATTGCGATGACGGACGTTGATGTTGCGACAAATGTCTTCGAGTTTGTTGCGTGTGCAGACACCCTCAATGACGGCGTGTCCATCCTCACCCTCATATCCAATAGCAGAAGCCAATTGTCGGTGAACCATCAGATCGGCGTATCGACGAATGGGTGAAGTGAAGTGGGTGTAGATGGGTGAGGCAAGACCGTAGTGACGGAATTCTGATTCGGTAAAGGCACCAGCGCAGAAGTATTCGGCAGAAGTCATGCAACGTGTTGCCAGGATGCGGACCAGAGTGTTGAAAAATGGGTTCTTGGGATCAACACAACGATCCAAAGAGTCCGCCAGAGCTCTTGAGCTTGAGACATCGAGTTCCATGTTCCGTTTCTTAGACAATTGATTGGTGAGATCCTCGAAGTTTTGGGGCGGGGGAGTGGCGTGTCGACGCAGCAAGGCTGTCTGTGAGAAGGACTCATAAACCTTTGAACCGACCGAAATATTGGCGAGAAGCATGAACTCCTCGACCAAGCTGTTGGTATCAAGCATCGCCTTGGTCTTGACGTCTGTCAAAGGATCACCACTTTCGTCATCTCCAGCCTCGATGCGTACCTCCGGAGAAGCAAGATTCAGGGCACCAGCGTCCATACGCTTTTGACGAAGAATCTTAGAAAACTTCAGGAGGTTGCGCATACTGTTAGTCAATTCATCCTGTGAAGATTTATCATCGATGCGCAGCTGGGCTTGCTCGTAACTGAATGCCTCTCGAGAGCGAATGACTGACTTGGTGAAATCAGAAGACACAATCTCTGCATCGGGAGTCATCTCCCACAGAACGGAGAAGGCGTATCTCTCAACATAGGGTTTGAGTGAGCACAGGTCAGTTCCAAGAAGGTGTGGAAGCATATCGATACGCTTATCGACAAGATAAACCGTAGTTCCGCGGACACTAGCCTCGAGATCCATTGGGTTGTTGGGCTTGACAAAGTGCGATACATCGGCAATGTGGACACCAACTTCGTAGTTGCCGTTCGGTAGAAGGCGCGCATGGAGCGCATCGTCAATATCCTGGCAGCCAGGGGGGTCAATACTGCAAACAAGCAAGTCACGAAGATCTCTCCGGCCGTTCCATCCTTTATGTTCCTTCGACGCAGGCACCTTCCAATCATGGCCTTCGGCAGGAAGGCAGTCTAGGACGGATTTGGGGAAAGGCTTGTATTGCACATCGTATTCGAGGAGGAGAGCCTCGGTTTCAGCTCCCTTAGTTTCCAGCTCTCCCAGGGAACGGATAAAGTGACCAGTTGGGTACCGAGAATCCCGGTCCCAAGCATCGATAGTGACAAGAATACGCTGGCCGAGTAGATCGTTGGCCTGTCTTGTGCGTACTCTGATCTTCGGAATCCGCTTGTCCATTGGCAAAAGGAAGACATTTTGTTGGCGTCGACCGGAGGATTGTGAGCCGGTAGAGTTCGAATCAACATGACCGACATATTGGCGCCACCCGCGTTTGACAACACCAACAACCTTGGCAGTAGGCTGCGGTTTGCCTTCTGAGTTTTTGCCATGGGCCTTCTTCACTTCCTCCTGGAGAGCTTTGCGTTCCCTGTCTGTCACTACAGCTTCGGATTCCTCGGTGTCAGGATTATCATTGCGGGTGACAGCCTCTTCGTCCACAATCTTTGTTGAGGGACTCTTCCATTGGTCCTGTGGCAAAATTTCAACGACGACAGAATCACCAGCAATAGCACGGTTGCTGTTATCCCGTCCTAGAATAAGGAGCGGCTTATCGAAAGCCCCGGTTTTGACGGAGCCTTCCAAGTAGTTGTAGGGCGAAACATTGAATACACCTTGGTGCAAAGTCCCGGCTCGTAATCCAGTCGTGAGCTTCGACATGGTGTAGTATGCGGGATAGAAGAGTTCTCCACGAGCTGCTTCTTTAGCGTCTCGTGCATCCTTTGACTCGCTGATCATATCTAGCAGCATCTCCGACCCCTCCAAGCCAGAAACATAGTCGGATAGGGACAAGGCAGTAATACCTTCTTCCTTAGACTTGCGCAGATTCTCCTTGTCATCAGTTATGACAACAATCGCTGGAATCGACCTTTCTTTCTTTCCTTTCTTTGCCGATTGTTGCAGATGAGACCCATACCAGCTTGCGACCAGGCGGACAGCACGGTCATTTCTGTCGTTGATAGTTTCTTCTGGGCCTCTCCTAACATGGGTTTCACGACGGAACTCGTTGAAGAAAAGGTAGAAGCGCTTTTCATCTGACTTGACCAAGGCAAGAAGACGGTTGTAGAGTGGAAGTGATCGGTTTCTGAGTTCCTCCAGGACGGTTTGGAGGACAATTACGTCATAAAAAGCCCCAGTGTGCTCAAAAAGATCCATTCCATTCAACAGCGCATTAGTATCGGGAACAAGGTAGTGGCCTCGGGGGAAAGCTGTCGTGCCAGCGGGGCGATCAGACAGAATGAACGGCGCAACTGCTTCACATTAGCAATGGCTTCAATACTACCATGAATTGTATCCTTACTGTTTCCATTAGCGTCGGCCGGTGCGGTAGTCGGACATTGTGAGCAAAGCTTAGAAGAACAGGGAATGTCCTCTCTCAAATAAAGCTCGCGGACAATCTTTTGCACCTTTCCACTTTTTGTGGACCGGACGAAGACTTTGCTGGTGACATTTGCTGCCTGCGGGTTGGAAGACAAGTCTCTCCTTAAACTCTTCATTGTAGCAACAAGGTTCCACCTCTGGTAGTTGCTGTTAAAAGGTGTCTTTTTTTTCGAAGATTGGAGGTGCGAGTCTTTGCGGCAAGAATGGTTATCGCTGTACAGCGGGTCCGGATCTAAGCTAACGTAATTTTGCATAATTACATAAGCCGTATAAATATTCCCAAATACTCCCCGCCTTGGCGTCAAATGATGCCATTTGAATGCTTTATAAAGACGAATTCTCCTTTTATAAACTCAATTCTACGCTTTCCCGAGCTTGCTCTTTCGATCTAGGCATAATGGTTCTCGCGGTAAGTTTTCTAACCATTGAATGGGAACCCGTTTGACTGACTATCCGTCCCAATCTAGGCCGTGGGGCAGCTATGCTCGAATGCTAGCATAACTTCTAATCTTGCCCAATGCCAGGAACTGGTTCGAAAGGCTGCTGCTACAGGTGCTAAGGTTAGAATATATATATTTTGGAACAAGCTACAGTAGCTCATATCCGTCAGGTACTGTTTCTTCCCGAGGCCTCAGACTATATTGCATCTTCAGCAGAGCAATCGTACGCTCTTGCCCACTCCCAAGAAAGAAATAGCTTTGTTACAACTCTGCAGCAGGACGCAGCTCGGGAGAAAATACATATCAACGTGGGGATCCATGAAGTGGCCTCTGAAAGCAGGCTTAAGAATTTATCGATATGGATCAATGACCAAGGAGTCATTACCCAAAGCTATCAGAAAGTCCATTTATTTGATGTTGATATCAAAGATGGACCTGTTCTGAAGGAAAGCGCGTAAGCTTTTGGGCACCAGGGTTGACAAAACCCAGTACATTGCTAATGCCGAATGTGGTTTAAAGGAGCGTCCAGCCGGGGCAACAGATTCCAAGGCCATTTGACACGCCCATAGGGCGTGTTGGGTTGAGTATCTGCTTCGATGTATGTATTGAGTCACAGGCTTGCCTTGTGCTGTACCTCATTTGGTTCAACCCCTTACTCATACATCCGTCCGCTCTCTAGTTGCGCTTCCCAGAGATCAGTCTAGCCTTGAGGCGACAGAATGCCGAAATTATCACATACCCGTCAGCTTTCACTGTGCCGACAGGCAAAGCCCATTGGGAGTCGTTGCTCCGAGCGAGAGCTATCGAGACCCAGTCATATGTGATCGCAGCGGCCCAGGCAGGCCCCCACAATGAGAAACGACGAAGCTATGGCCATTCAGTCATCATCGATCCCTGGGGTGATATTGTAGCAAGTCTGGGAGACGAATACGTGACGCCCCAAATCGCGACTGCCGAAATTGATCTTGACCTTGTGGCAAAAATTCGGCGTGAGATGCCACTGCTTCGGAGGAATGATCTTTATCCAGAGATTTGATAATCTCAAGTGACCGACCAACAAGGAGGATATTGTCTAAGTGTATTTTGCTCCGAATTTTCTTTTATTCTGGTCATCTATTCCAGAAGATTGCATGCTGTAAATACATAGATCTTCTCATGATCTTCTCTGAATTATAAGGGATTTTTTGTTACCAGAGCACGTATAACCAACACGACAAAAAACAACTTTGGGAAAAGTATGGAAGTAGTACAGCAGGGAACAAACGAAATTGAATGAGCATGCAAAAAAGAGAAAACCTGTCTAATAACGAGACCGGAACATCATATCTGCCGTCACAGGTAGTACAGGCATAAACCGAAATAATCACTCTCCGATCTCTATGTACAGTGTACAAATTCAACGCTTATTTCTTCGCCTTATCGGGGTCCTCCAGGATGCCCTCGGCTTCCAGTCTCCGTCGGGCCTCTTCAAGAGCCCATGTTTGTATACTATGGCAATGGTCAGTGTTTCAGTTGTGGGATGAGCAGAGGCCTCAGTATGAAAGGCGAGGCGCTAAGCAGGGGAAGGAGCTCATTGCACATACGAAGTGTCCGGCTTGAAAACGTATGCGACGCCAGCGACCACAAAGCTTCCGATGAAGCCATAGTACCAGATGTTCTCCCAGCCTTCCTTCACGTATTTCTGACCGGGCTTGATACCGAACAGCCACCCGGTGGGGGGATCGTAGTGGTCGCCGTGATCAGCAGCACGGAGACTAGGTCTGCTTGAGAAGGCCTGGGTGTTTTGTGGCTTGCGGAGCAAACAGCGCGCCCGGAGGGTGTGCGACAATGGCCGGGCAATCATCTTGACGGGGTTGAGGGAGGGTTGAGATCAATTGAAGAAATATTGGCGAGAGATTGGTAGGGGTCACAAGGCCCAAAGTAAGTCGCCTTGGCAATCTAGGCGGTAAGAGCAGTCTCAATTGATATGGTGCCTCTTACAGGAGGAGCGGAGGGGTGTTTTAGCGGGTTGATGTTGAAGCCGTAAAAGACCGGGAAGCTGTCCAGTCATCGCACTAGTACATTTTGGGCGATTTTCGTTGTCCGCTTTTACACCCGGTAATTCAGGCAAATTATCATGCTGCCTTATAAAATAGGTGTCACCACTACACGCGCGACGCGTTCTTATCACAACTCATCCCCTCGATGTTGCTAACAGGGCGCTGGACTCGCCACTCATCTCATCCTTTCATGTACACGACCAAATAAAACAATTCAAAAATTGTATACTCTCTTTGGCTGGTAAGTTTTATTGTTGAACCCATGGATCCATCTCCAATTTTGACATTCTCATTCTGAAGCTTGCTGCGGAATGTATCTTTACCAATTTTGACCGCGTCATTGGATATATCCATCCCGAGTCAATGGCTACAAACAATGCATATCCTATTTCTTCAAATTCACGCACGAAATTGAATTCATTTCGCTACAAAGACGACATAGTCCCTGCAGATACCAACTCGAATGGCGCGACGGGATCAATTCATGGGACTAAAGAAAACCATAAATCGGGATCCAACGGTGTGACAGAGCTGATGCAAACGTCAATTGAAAAGGGCAACCTCCCGCCTCACGAAGCTCACCCACCAGAAACAAAGCCGATTAAAGAATGCCCCCAAACGCCGGGAAACCGAATACCTTTAGCCGACTTGATCAGCAATGCTGAAGATTCATTTGATCCCGCCCCGGGGCCTGAAGTCACACCCGTCGAGCATGTAATTTGGCAGCATGTGCCCGCCAGTTCCAATCCATCTTCCCAAACACCAGCAGGTCGCCGAAGGAAGCGTCGGCACAGTTCTTCCTCTGCTGGGTCTCCCTCAAACGCGAACAAGAAGAAAGGTCAAAAAGAAACCCTCGACCTCCAATCGCTACAAGCACTATTAAAGACCCCGCAACATGATATGGCTGCAGAATTGTGGAATAACTACATAGATAAAAACATGGCTGATGGCGCGGACGATCTTCCTCCACCCCGGCTCGCGAACCTCCTTTCTTCTTCGCCCCAAACACCAGCCTCCGTCAGACCCAACCGAGAGTCTTCGGGGCTGAGACGTGCCATCAGCTGCACGACAGAATTCCCTACCTCTCGGGCAAAACGACGGCGGATCAACAAGCTCGATAGCAGTGCCAGCCGTGGTGCGTTTCAAAGAACTAGCAGCAACGTTGAATCTGGGAAACCAAAATCCTCAAGGATACACTATCTCATGGAGAAGATTGAGAAGAGTATACATCTGGCCCCTGCCGACATGGGTCCACCTGGCTCTTCGCCTCTACGTCAGCATATGGATGCGCGTAGGTGTCGCTCGTCTTCTCCCACCAAGGATCACACGATTCTCGAAGATACGGAGGACTCCAATGAAGCTCCGTGCGCAGTGCTGCTTGAAAAGAGCAGATGTGGGCAAATGCCTGTGCTTCAAGAATCATCTTCGGACTTCGGAGATGATGACATAGATCAAGACCTCATGGACTTAGCTGATGCATCCGCAGATCCATTTGTTGAGCCACCGCGTGCATCTATTGGGGCTGCTTCTCTGGGGGCTTCTAGCTGGGCTGCCCTTGCTGCAGAGCATTCTCACCCATGGGAGCCTCTAGAAAATCCAGTGCCCGACAGCAAACCTTCCATTTCTTACAACACAACGCATAGTGAAACAAAAGATGATGAGTTCGATGACTTTGAAGACGATTACGACAATTTTTCGGGCAATCTGCAGGAAATTCTTGCAAAGTGTGATCAGAAGCCCGATCTAGTCAATGTGCCAAATCCAATCACCACCGAAGAACCTGTGAAGAAGCAAAATGCGATAAAACTACCTGTCAATGGCAGTATTTCCGACACAAAATCGCTTGCAACAACGGCGACGGTCAAGCCTGATTTGGTATCATCGGATGATGAGTTCGACGATGATTTCGATCTTGAGGCTATCGAGCAAACTATGAAGCAAGCGGATGAAGCAGGACCAGCTTACGTTTGTCACTCTTAATTTGGATTATCTATAAATATATGCTAAGACAATCAAAACAATAGAACTTCAAAGGTCGACAAGCTATCAAACGTTACCAAATTGTTGATGTTGCGGAGAGCACGTATATTACTTCAAAAGGACGTACCCAGCCAGAGCAGGTTAGACACAAGTGCCCTTATTTCGACTATAAAATCTCCGCTGACTTTGAATGCAGGTCCTGCTCGTTGAAGATGAGAAAACTCGTGCTCGCAAGGTTATCATTCTGCGAGAGTCATGGGTCGATACCCCCTCTAGCAAGGAATCGTTCGTCCACCTCGTAGGAGACTTCGATGCCAGCGGCCAATGCGTTGTGGATAACGTTAATAACATGATCATTCTCCACCCTGATCATCTCATATCTGCTACGGTCGTGGCAGACTCAACTGAGTGTCAGCGGCGAGCCGTCCTCCAAGATCGAGTGAAGGTCATCGGCGCAATCGAGAGGCCGCAAGCGTTCGGCATATTCTTCCACGAAGTCTTTCAAGAAGCCCTCCAAGCAAATAAATGGGATATGGATTCGCTGAGATCTTTGGTTGAGGTTGTTATGGGAAGGCACATCGAAGAGTTGTACTCGATTCAAATGAGTATTCCTGAAGCTGTTGAGTACATCATGAGTAGAATCCCCGCTCTCCTTGACTGGGCAGATACTTTTCTTCATGTTAAACCGCAGGTATGCCTCAGCACTGACATGTTACCTTTATTGACCAAGTGACATCGCTAATAACGTCAATAGGACAAATCCATGGTTGATGACCGAAACAGCTCTAAACTCAACCTGAGTATCAACAAATTGCTAGAGGTAGAGGAGCACATCTGGTCCCCAATGTATGGACTAAAAGGCAACATCGATGCGACTGTGCAGATTGTTTGTCGTGAAGGAACAAGCGAGAAGACTCTGGTGGTTCCACTAGAACTGAAAACTGGACGAAGGGATACAAACATGGCACATAGAGCTCAGACAGCCCTTTACACTCTGCTCATGTCAGATCGCTATGGTGGGTTTTTCTTTTCAATGTTTTAACGCTAGATTGCTTTCTTAATCAGTTGTTAACACGTGGTAGATGTCGATGTCAGATTCGGGCTTCTCTACTATGTGGAATTAACCAAAACTCTTAGCATTCGTGCTATTCGACACGAGCTTCTCCAGATGATTCAAGTCCGGAACAATTTATCTGGATACATCCGCGATAGAGACCAGCTTCCACCGATGCTAAAGAAGCCGCGTCAGTGTACGCGATGCTATGCTAAGACCCCTTGCCTCATCTACCACAAGCTCACTGAAGACGGCGATGGCGAGACAAGCGCACTTGGCGAAGACTTTGATACTTCAGTCAGTCATTTGAACGATGGCGATCGAGACTTTTTCCGGAAATGGGATGGACTTCTGACTAAAGAAGAAGGAAATTTGGTCAAGTTCCGACGAGAGTTATGGACATTGCTGAGCAATGAGCGAGAGGCCCTTGGCCGCTGCTTTGGCGACGTTATCATTGATACGAGATCGGTGTACGAGGAGAACACAACAACAAAGATTAATCGCTATCACTATACCTTCGTCAAACGTCACCCCCCTACCGGTTTCTCCTTTGCGGAATCTCAAATTTCCCTCGGAGAACCGATTGTTATCTCTGATGAGAAGGGCCATTTCGCCCTCGCCAATGGATATGTTGTGCACATCAGTTCATCGCACATCAAGGTCGCTGTAGACCGGAAACTCCACAATGCAAGATCACGGACGGCTGGATTCGATGAAAGCAAAAACCAGTCGTTCAGGGGCATTATGGAGGTTGGCAAAGAAGATCCCGCTCCTCTGGAAGACCCCGATGAACAACTTGTTTATCGGATCGACAAAGACGAGTTCAGCAACGGCATGGCCATTGTTCGAAACAACCTTATCTGTATGATGGATAAAGACTTGTTTCAAGCAAGGCAATTAAGACGGCTCATTGTCGAGGGCCAAGCGCCCGCCTTTAAGACGACTTCAACGGCTTATGCTCTCTCTAACACGATGAATCTCAATGTTGACCAGAGGCAAGCCATTGACAAAGTGATGAGGGCCAAAGACTATGCTCTTGTCCTCGGAATGCCTGGCACTGGAAAAACAACCACCATCGCCCAGATCATTCGGGCCCTTGTCGCTCAAGGCAAAAGCGTTCTTCTTACCTCTTACACCCATACCGCAGTTGATAATATCTTGTTGAAGATTCAAGATGACAATATTCGCGTGCTGCGTATTGGTGCGACTGCCAAAGTTCATCCGGATGTGCAAAACTTCGCCGACCTTGCCGCAATCCCCAAGTCGACCATTGAAGAGCTCAAAGATTCCTATGAGAAACCTCAAGTTGTAGCTACGACTTGCCTAGGAGTCAACCACAACATTTTCAATCATCGCATCTTCGACTATTGCATTGTCGACGAGGCCTCACAGATTACACTCCCAGTCTGTCTTGGCCCGATTCGTATGGCAAGAACGTTTATTCTCGTCGGCGACCACTTCCAACTACCACCGCTTGTACAGAACAAGGGGGCGCAGGAAGGTGGGTTGGATGTCAGTCTATTCAAACTGCTCTCAGATGCACAACCGAATTCAGTTGTCAACCTGGAGCATCAATACCGCATGTGTGAGGAAATAATGTTACTCTCCAACACTCTGATCTACTCCGGCCGTCTCAAATGCGGCACACCGCAAGTAGCAGCCCGATCTTTGGATATCCCCAACATGAATTCTCTCAAACAATATCACGCCGAAGAAAAAGGCTATCCCCTGACACAACGAGAGACATGTCCTGGTAGTCCCGATAGCCCTTGCTGGCTGCGGGACTTGCTAGAGCCATCTGCAAAGACGCGCTTGGTGAACACCGACCCCATTGGCCCTGTAGCACTCGAGATAGCACAAGGTAATCGTGTGGTAAATCACATGGAGGTGTTCCTCTGCTCACAATTAGTGGAATCGTTCATCGCTTGCGGCATTCCCGCACGCAATATTGGTGTAATTACTTTCTACCGCAGTCAACTCTCGCTTCTCCGCCAGAGCCTGCGACGCTACACCCCCGACCTGGAAATGCACACCACGGACAAGTTCCAAGGCCGAGACAAGGAAGTCGTGATTCTGAGCTGCGTCCGTAGTAATGCCGAGAACAATGTTGGCGAGCTCTTACGCGACTGGCGTCGTGTCAACGTTGCGTTCACCCGCGCCCAGACCAAACTCCTCGTGGTCGGTAGCAGGTCTACTCTCCGTGACGGCAATGACCTCCTCCGCAAATACATTCGTCTGGTTGAAGGCAAGGACTGGGTCTACAACTTGCCGAGTGGCGCGGTAGACAAGCATGTCTTTCCTTCCTGGCCCATACAGTCACAATTCATGTCTCCTGGCACGGCCAGACCACCCGGCTCTGCCCATGGCAAAGTAAAGACCAAGAATACCAGCCCATCGGCCAAGAAGAAGTCACCTTGTTCGAATTCTTCCCGTGATCCATTGAGCCCTCTTGGCTCCCGACAGAGAGACCCGGGTCTTCGAATGCCTTCAAAAACAGGTGCGAAGCTGTTTAATGGCACTACGGTATTGGGGAATCGACCCATTCTGCAGGACATAGTGAACGACCTCACAGGCTAGTGCTGATACCATTCCGAAGATGATTACTGTTTCTGTGTATCATGAAGACGAGTTGAGTTGCTTTATCTTTTACTCCCGTGCAAATTGGTAGGGCACTTGTCATATGTGCTCATGTTTTGGTTTCACAAAATGCCTCGCTGGGCATCCTGTATCTTCTATCAGTATAACAGTATGTTGGCTATGGACTGTCAAATGTGATTGATCACTACCCAGAAAGATCAAATAAAAATTCAATTTGACTCATTATCCAGTGAACTAGCTGTTGCGTGATTTACAATCATGCCATTCAAGGCCTGGACAATGCTCCTTAACAACCATAGAAAAAAGAAGGTCAAAAGCAAAGAGCAAGAAAACACATCGAAGTAATTCTTCATCAAAAAAACGCCGCTTGAAACCATGATCATTCATCATAAAACCTTCATCGCATAGGATACCTTCTTCAGAGATCATACTTGTACTTCTTGGGCTGAGATCCGTTCAGGTAAGTGTGGTCACCAGGAGTAAACGACCATTCCTCGTGGTTGCTTAGGTTAGCCTCAAACTTATCGTCGGGCACAATGGGATCCACAAAAGAAAAGTATCTCTTCGGAGCCGCAGTTGAAGAGACAGATGAGATAGATTGTGTGCGAACCGTGTGCGGTGTGGGATGATGTGCAGCTAGCAACTGAGAAGCAGCTGGGATCTGGGCAGGCTGGAACTTGGGAACTGCTTGGAGCTGCTGCTGCTGCAACAAAAGCTGGTGCTTGAAATTTTCGAATTGGACAGTCCGTTCCTTGTGCTCGTGGCAGCGTCGTAGATGAGCCCTATATTGCTCATTGAGAACTCGACGCTCCAGTGGGGGGATTCGTTGCTCGTAATGAGCATCCCTTTTGCGGTAGAATTCTTCAGTAGCAATTTTAAGCTTCTGGCCATAAATCTCAAGCTGTCGCTCAGTCTCCATGATTTTGGGGAGCTGCATGATGTTGGGATGCTGCATGATAGTTGGTTGCTGTATGGTAGTTGGCTGCTGCATAGTAGTCGAGGGCTGCATGGTAATTGGTTGCCGCTGAACATGCAGATCCTGATGGGTGGCCTGTCGCTCCCGGTGCTCATATTGCGCACGGAGCTTGCTATGGTACTCAATTCTCACTTCTCTTATTTTCGCTTCGTAGGATGCTTGAAGTCCTCGGATGCTTGGGTCATGGGAATCTATTATCAAACGAGGTGGAACCGCCCGAGCAGGCGCGATAGGACTCTGCGACTGCAATTGCGACTGCGAGGTTGACTGCGGAGTGGGTGGCCAAACAGTCTGCACTGGGGTCTTTGGTTGTATCTCCTCTTGCACTCGATGAATTTGACCGTCTTGCTTCTTCTTCTTGGTAACACGCTTGGTGTTCTGCCCGGATGGTACTACCTCGGGTTGAGCACGCGAGCCGCTCATTGAAAAGGTGAATACCTTGACTTTCTCGGGTGGAGTGATTGTAGTGCTTGAGGGTCCGACATTGTCGGAAGTCAGCTGACTGTCAGACGTTGACGCGACAGAGGTAGCAGGACTGGTCGATTTGTCTGCTTTGCTAGAATTGTTTGGAGAAACAGTAGGCGAAGTGGACGAATTGTTTGATTTGCTGGACTTGATTGGAGAAATAGGAGGCAAGGTGGTCGAGCTATTCACTTCGCTAGACTTTATTGGCGGAGAAGTGGTCGCAGCTTGTTTTTCGCTGGACTCGACTGGAGAAACAGCAGACGGGGGAGTCGAAACATCGTAGGCTGGGAGATTGAGGTTTGAGACAGGTCCAATGTGCTCCCATCGATCGTTGGTGAACTCAGAGAGCGAACCTACGAAAAAGTTTTGATCATCCTCGTCCCACTTTTCTATTTTGAGGGACGTATCCATGATGGGCTTGGGAGGATATGTAGCAGGGTCACAACGGGTCAAAGAAGATGGGGGGAGAAAAGAGAGGACAAAAGAGAAAAAACGAGAGAAGAAGAGTCAGGAAATGTAGCAAGAGAATGTGAATGCTATGGGATGCACAGCGAGTAGCAATTAGCTGAGCAAGAAATAGCAAGAGCCGAGAAAATAAGGATGAAGAATGATAGAATGAAGAGAGAGAAGAAGAGATGAGAAGAGAAAGAGAAGAAGGGAAGAATGGAAAAAAGCTATTGTTGGAGGTAATTCTATTGAGTTCAGGGTTCCATGAATGGGAGGGAAAGCCCTAAGAGACTCTGAATAGTTCCTTAATTGGAAGTCGGGGGACAGGTGACTTAGGGTTCAACCACAGAGGCTCCCATCATTTCCCAGCAGATACATGTAGTTACATGGCTTGTTTTTTCTTGTTCATTGGGAAGGACCATAACCGTATATCCGTCCCTTCCTTCAACTGCTTCTTTTCCCAATGTACATGCGGAAATCGTAAACCATAGGTTACTATCCCTTGAATTTTGCCTATAATCTGTTAGCTCCGAAATCATACACTTCATATGTACATATGTAATTTGTAACTCACATTAGAGTAAACAAGTTCATGACCCAGCTGGACGACATCATACCGTGCCATTTCAAGCTTATAAGGTCGGTCCTGTCCTCTGCATCTGGAACCGCATATCGACTCAAGTATGGATCAACGTCATCTTCCCAAGAAACCCGGGGAGAGTTCATCTGAACCATGGCAAGCCATTCCATCAAGTAGCCACAATGTTCTTGTAGGTCACTTTCTGGCATCTCTTCAAAGGCTTTCCCATGTAGTGAAGGTTTGAGTGTTTGCTCGTGATCAATTTCTTGTAATCCGCACGTCAAAAACTGCGGATGAAGCTTCTGGATCGGCTTGCTCCCTGTATTAATTTAGTTTAACATTGTTTTTTGAGTTCTAGGTTAGGAATTAGTGGCATGATTACCTTCATCTAACCCAAGGGTATCTTCTAGGTCGTGGAAGAGCCATGCCATGGATTGAGTCAGAACATTGGCAAAGGCCCAAACTATTCTTTCAAAGCCTTTCTTGCCATGTAGCATCGAGGGCAGCCGCAAGTTTAACTCCACCACTGACGACATAATTAGCAATTGTTTCAAGAATTTCACCATATCAATTGCAGTTGTGCATACAATATCTTTCTTTTGCATGTTTTCTCCCCCCACTGCGGAAGACTTTGCCAGTGAGACCTGTCCGCTCATATATCTCTTTCCCTAGCTCCATCCGAAGGATTCCTACATCAATCTATGTTAGCTCTTACGCCTACAACGAGGATCTTCCCCGGCATTCGACTCGAAGAAAAACAAACCATCTCGAAGGGTGAAGACATTGTCTGATCCAGAGCGTCCTTCTGAAATCATTAGAATATTCCCTATATTCGAATTAGGATCTTGTATCAATAAGAAGATTTCCTGAGTCTGAACACGCAAGCTGCCTAGTACTTGTGCATCTGATGGACATTGCAGAATAGAACAGCGCTTTGTCCGGGCTAGAGAAGAAATAATTACCTGACTTGATGTATGTGTTGAAAAATTCATGCTCAAGTAGGGAAGAAGGGGTCATGAAAACCCGTGCATATCGCGGTTTTTCTAATTTGGCCTCGAGTGACGGTTTGATCTGTGAGTAAGCATCCTTTGGCAAGATGACCTCGATCTATTGCCAGATTAGTCAAACAGTCTTGTTTTTTCAGACCTAGCCCACAAAACACTCACCGAATGTACAAATGCATGGTTTTGGATTGTGGAAAAGGGCGATCTCTTGCTTGGGATCTGCTTTGGGTCGACGAATACTGGCAATTGAGAGATCGTAGTGAAGCACTTTTCGCGTCGTGACGCGTCATCTACTTGATCAAACATGTCAGGATAGCACCTTTGAGATTAATTTGATGTTTTGTGCTGGAACTCGAAACCCTTGAGCTCTGAGGGCAATGCTTAATTTTTCAGCCGAAGGGTGAGGTTTGATTAAGCTCGGCTTATCGGACCCATAAGGCTGCATCAAACCACAGTCCCATTGTAATTGGATCGCACCTTGGATTTGCTGAAACACCATAACTTTATGCTGATTTAGAGATCTATACATGTCTTTTATACTACTGTTCGCTCTTATTCACATGAATATGGTATGTAGTATTGGATTCAATATTCGAACATATGTTAGCTTCCTAGTCGGCATACCCAAGTTCGTTGCTACCTAGGTAAAATACTGCTACCTATCTTCTGTCCTAAGTCCATAATACTGTACTGATTAGAAACTGCATGGGTAGTTTCGTTGACCTTGGAACTAGCGTATTCAATCTTGAAACAGCTACGTCAAACGCAGACAAAAGTTCAAGCGCTTAAAATTTTTTGAAGAATGTCCGGGCAGCTCATGTTCTTGTGCACTATCATGTCTGGTTTTTCCTGAGAAAAAATAAGTAAAGAGACAAAGACAACAAGAAAGAGTAGAACACCAGGGCTCTTTACATACAGGCCATAGATGAGGCCAGATATGTTCATGTTAATATCTATAGGGCTCTGTTTCTTCCAAAGTTAGCAGGTAATAAATAATAAGTAGGCAACGAGGGGAAACCAAATCAGAAATTTGCCCAACCTAAAATGGTTCACGTCAACCTCAACGTTTCCCTTGGTCTTACAGCCACAAATAATGACAGACGCAAAACAGATACTTCGAACAGCAAAAATGGACCAGCGATAATTGATGTGGATGCCTCAGGCGATGACGGCTACACCCGAACATGACGATTGCCAGGCAGTATCGGCCCCAAAGGCGGTATCCGAGCACTCCTCAACTTCATCACCTTTTGGCGGCCCTTACGATAATTTGTGCCTGCATCATTATATTTTACCCCTTTGGCTTCTACTTGTGATTCTCTCGCTGGTTCGAGTGCAGGTGGACCTTCAGCCCTGCGCCAATTGCCAGAGAAAGACGACGAGTCACTAGACATGGCTCCCGCTGCGCGTCGCGAGCTCCTACACAAGGACCATTTTGCATTCGTTTTTGGAGGTGTCAAGACCCAGAGCTATTCGGACCCAGCGGCCAAGGGCCCTGGCTCCCATACGTATGTTTCACTTCTGTGCATAAGACCGTTCATCTACTGATAGCGCATAGTATCCGCACGCTCGGCTGGAACCCCACCGGCCAACTAATTGCTACAGGGTCTGCAGATAAAACATTGCGAATTTGGAACCCGGAACGCCCCAATTTCCGATACTCTACCGATTTGCGCGGCCACACCGGTGGCATCGAAAAGGTCCTCTTCAACCCAGTCCGCGATGCGGAACTGGCCAGTTGCTCATCTGATGGCACAGTGCGCTTTTGGGATGTGCGCTCCAAGACATGCGTGAGCCGTCTAGATGTTGGTGGCGAGGCTTTCACCATGTCCTGGTCTGCCGACGGCAGCACAATGATCGTTGGCAAAAAGGTGAGCGCTAGGCGCTGTGACTTCGACATAGTCTTTCATGATAATAGTCGCTAACAAACGGCACGAACAGGACGACACTCTGATTCCTATCTCCGTTAAATTCCCCTCCTCTCCGACTCCTCACACAGATGGCGTCAGCGCCTTGAACCTTCCCTCCTCTACACCTGGCGCAACCACATACACAGCTCTAGACCCTTACCCCCAAACCGTTCAAACCAACGCCACAACTTTCTCTTGGTGCATGCCAACTTCCGAACAACCCGATCAACATGTCTTCGTGACGACTGGCGAAGGCAAGGTTAAAGTCATGTCCTACCCTTCTTTCGACATCAAGTACACTCTCAACGCACACACCTCAGCCTGCCTGGCCATTGCCCTCGCCCCAACGGGCCGATACCTTGCAGTAGGAGGCAGCGACGCCCTAATTTCTCTCTGGGACACAACAGACTGGATCTGTCGCCGCACGCTGTCCAGCGAGAATGGCGGCGCTATCCGCGGCGTCAGCTGGAGTTTCGATGGCCGCTTTGTCGTCGGTGCGTGCGACGAGCTCGGCTGTGGTGGTAATGGCCTTGAGATCTTCCACGCGGAATCTGGCGATAGCATCTACACGATACCTACCGCTGGAATTAACGCTGGTGTCTCCGCTGTTGCTTGGCACCCGTCTCGCTATTGGCTGGCTTACTCGACTACTACAGATGGACCTGGTAGCTCTCATTCGGGAGGCTTGAAGATTGTCGGTGCTGCTGGCGGTGGTCTGTAACTTCGAGCACTCTTTAAACTGTCATTTTCTCGCAAACTCCGGTTTGCATTGATTTGTAAGATATGTAGTGTCGAGCTTTCAAATATCATGAATGGACGTATTGAACAATTACAACAAACAGCTGCGAAAGATCATCATAATTTGCGATTTCTTTTATAACATTGTGGTTGCTGGATTATTGGCATAGTTCAGAAGACCCCGATACTCCGGGTCAAACATTATAAGAAGTCCTAGAGTGAAGAGTTTCGCCTCCAATAGACTGTTTATTCATTCATCATCAAATCATTCAACAGCAAAGTTCCGATGGAACTTGTTTGGCTGCCATTATACTCGAACATTGTGGCGAGGAGAGTGGTTGCAAAAAGGAACTTCTTATCTTGGTCGATGTACCAAAGCATAGAAGAGACCGAGCTCGGATAAAGATCCCGCGAAAAGAGAGCCTGTCTTGAAGTAATTGAAGACCGATGCCTCGCGTATATCAATCTCATGTTGGAAAAGGGGAGAAAGAGATGTCAAGTGAAAAAAGAAAGGCATTCCAACCAGGATTGATAAAGGAGGCGATCGGCCGGCCAATCTAAATGTCGTTTTACAGGACGGAGTTTGCTCAAGTCACTGTGGAGTATACAAAGGCCAGCAGTTGCTGGCGTGGCTCAATATGGGTTGAGAGGGTAACAGTATCACGAACATCACTCATGATGGCTGCCAATTCTCCCAGCCGGCGTTTGCTCCATTTTCACCCAAAATTTGAGACCCCAAGATTTGTGCCCATTGGGACTCGCTGAAAGACTCCACGTTGAGGGTACCTAGATTCGCATTGCCCATTCCAGGGGTTTGATTTGGAATCTCCCATGCGGAGGGCATAGAAAATGTGTTTGATGCTTCCGTGAGCATTGACGGGCTGCCAGAACTGCTTGTATAAAAGCGACCGCCAATCGAGTTCATACCAGCGTCTTGTGAATTTGAACCTCCGGGTGGCATTTGCAGAGAGCTGAGTTTATCCAAGGGAAGACCCGATCCCTGACTAGAATAATTTGAGCTTGACTTTTGTTGCTTTGTTCCAAGTGGAGTGTCGTCACCGTAGGATGTGTTGGAAGAAGAGTTCAAGGTTGAGGGAGTGGCATGATCTGATGGTGGGTTATTTCTATCACTGAGGTTTCCAAAATCAGGCGAAAAGTCCATATCCATCTCGACAATGGCCGCAGAGCCGTGCTGTTCCATATTTTGACCGAAAGTGTTTCGCGTGTCATCGCTGTGGAAGGATGGTCCTCCAGCAGACTGCGCCGCTGACGCTTTGTACCTACTAGGAAGTGAGGTCGCTATACCAGCAGGTGCAGGCTGTTGGTAGGCAGCGCGATTTGCACCAGTCTGAGGCTCTTCCGTCGGAGGCCCTCGCGTTTGACGAAGGTTATAAACGGGAGTACACTCGATATTATCAGTGCAGTAGTTTTGCTAAGGGAACATGACATTAGACTTGCCCGATTCTCCAAAAACAAGCTTGACTTACGAGCATCGAATGTGCAGGATTTTTGGTTGTTTGTTTTTCATCCAGAGCGCGGATGCCAGTCCCATCGAGGTCAACATCCAACTGAACTAGGAAGGACTCAGTCAATGGGTTTTTGTTCTTCAAGGCATTTAGTGCGGAAACTAGGAACTGCAGTGAAGAATGAACACTTGAGTCCTCTGGCCTGGATTTGAGGTATTGCACGAAAACACGAGCGGCAATGTACAAACAAAATGACATGAAGGGGTTCAACTGGGAGTTGTCAGTGGGGACCATTTTGTGTGAATAGCACACAAACTTACGCTCGTCAAATCAACATGACTGATCATCTTCATGATACTCGAAATTTGATTTGCAGCCACAAGACATCTGCGCTTGCTCTCTGTCGTTATCTGATTCGGCATCTTGTTCTTTTCAGCCTTGAAAATTGCGGCTTGGTGAAGACAAATAGTTGAAGTATGAATACTCATGTTGGCAAAAATGACGTTGACATCTGACATGCCACCAGGTAGTCGAAGATGATCGGGCAAGGATAGCGAAATGTGCAAAAGAATGTTATCATGGCTCCTGTGTCGCTTCCAAAACTCCCCATTAAGATCATGGTCATTGTCATGAGGTTGAGGTCGATGAATGTGAACAAGGTTGCGGCCAAAAAGACTTGTCAAAACTATCACGCATGCGAACGGAGCTAAAGTAGAGACGCCCTCGCCGGCGATGATGTCACTCAGACGAAGTGTTCGCTGTGGTTTGCTCTTCAAGAAGGATTCTTCGGAGGCTGGGAGGTTTGTCATGATCTGATAATTGTCAGCGAATGCTTTGTCAGAAGATTGGACGTGAGAAGAGATGTACTAACATCGTTCTCGTCGATGAGAATAGGCCACCCAGTTCCAACACTTGCATATCTATCCGTGGCAAATGTCCCCCAGAACACCCTCCTTCTTTCCTCGCGCTCTGTCCAATCTCTTGGTGGCAGAATGGATTGTTTGACATCGAGGCCAGCACCATCCAATCGATTCAATCCCAGCATCAATGCCAGTCTTGCAGCTTTGCCAACGCTCAGCCACGCGCGTGGGAAATAAATCATTCGGAATTCATATGTGCCGATGAATACCCATGCTTGGCAATGTGCCAGACTAACGATATTTTCTCCGAATCCTTTCATTTCGTCGTTTTCGGCATACTTGCGCGCCCGAAGATAGAAATGATTGTGCAAAAAGAAGTATTTGTCGCTCACAGAAGCAGCATGACACCACATGATGTATCGCAGACATACCGGTGGCCGCATATTAGGGGCGAGATCTAAAGCTGCATAGTACCGAGGGCGGTGGATGATAGGCATCATTGGATATATCTTTTCAAAGAATAGAGCATCCCTAGACGGCGACACTTGTTAGAAAAAGCTCCAAAATAATTCCAAACAGATCACATACAATTCCTCAATTACATCTCGCGAAGGAAGAGGCTCTTCCAGCCCTAGACTGATCAAATCCCATTGAGAGTTGCCACCTTGGGTCGCGTGCGGTGGAGGAAATAACATATGACTCGGTTGGACTGCGCCGGGAGCAGTCGAGGCCGGGAACGAGTTATCCATATCGCTTCCCAATCCTCCCAGGTTTGACATGTCAGGCAAAGCCAGTATGGAATCGTCGGCGGGATGTGCTGTGAATGCATTATCCAACATTTGCGGCGGGGAGGTTCGTTGGATAGGTTCTGGATCCTGGCCTTTCAGGAGCGTCTCTACTTGGGCTGGTGCAGTCATGAACGTCAGCGATATAGTCCGTGTGCATTACAAAACTTGTAACCATCGTTATCAGGACCAGTATACCTAATCGTGCTTCAAGCTGCTTCACATATCCCCGCTTTGGTCCACTCTTCTTGCGCACCTCATCATAGGCGCATTCATGTCCCAGCCTTGAACATGTCCCACAGCTCGGCCGTCTCCCATCACACCTTAATTTCCTCCTCCGGCAGACGACACATGCGATGCGCTTGGGGCGGGGAACGAAGCTGCTTTCGCCGGTGCTTTCGGCGGGGACACCATTTTCAGCGGATGCGAATCCCATTTGGTAGTCAGATTCTGTGGAGTATTGGAAGGCATCGGCTCCAATATCGGGCGGCGGAGGTGCCGCCATAGCGGGCTTGATTTGCAGGTGAGGGCACCCGCGGACGATGTGGCTGAGTAATTATTCGAATCGATGAGGTCAACGTATAATTCCTCGACGCGATGGACTGTCACAAAACGACGCGTAGAGAAGTAACCCAAGGCCTCAACTAGCCAAGAAAATTCAACTGTTCATTGCCAGATTTGCCCAGATTTGCCGGTGGGGATGTGCGAAAGGATAAAGTTTCTATGGATGACGATGGGCTTCGTATCAGGAGAGAGGCTGTGTTCTCCCCGAATCCTTCTTATTTATGAACGTAATGTTAAATGGAGGAGTCAACCCCCTTTTTTCTTTGTACAATTCGATAGCATTCCATTTATAAAATTATAGAGCCTTTAATTTCCGTCTTGCAAAGAGCGTTGACTGGTGCGATCGGCATGGCCACGCATCGAGCAGTTGCCTGGAGGCTTGGCATATGAATGTATGCCGATCAGGGTACTCCGTAGTTAACAATACCTACTTGTACGGAGTGTAGATGCAACAATACAATTATTGTATACTTTGTATAGTAGACTCAGCAGGCTTATACTTGGTACTTCAAGTTTCATATGAGTCTATTTTATTTCGCTTTGAATGTATATGGCCTTGAGTCATCGTAATGTACAGTACAGTGCCCATCGCCCAAGTTCCAATCAGGTGATGTGCAAAACCAAAGTTCCCAGAAATAGTGCAATATGGAATAAAATAAGACATGTAATGTGTGAGACAAGACGGAAAGGATATCGTACAGTCATCCTCTGCGCAGTGGGGATGAGGTAAAGGGTGAAGAGGTAAGAAATGATTCAAAGACAAAGCAAGGTGAAATATCCACTTTGACAAGGTAGAATCATCTCTAATTGTAACCACGACGGCGCTGTCCTTGGTTGCGAGGTCTGGCGTGAACAACAGCCTTGTTGATCTTCCACTTGGGGCGGGTCTTGTAGCCGGATTTGGTCTGGAAGGTAGAAGATATTTAGTCATTTGGAAGTTTAGGAGTAAGCTGTAAAACAAGGATATACATACCGGAATACCCCAAGGACTCTTTGGGTCAATGTTACCCTTAGACTTACCACGTCCACCACCGTGAGGGTGGTCCATGGCGTTCATGGCCAGACCACGAACCGTCGGGCGAATGTTGCGCCAGCGCGAGCGACCAGCCTTTCCGAGCTGGGTGTAGTGGTAGTTCGGGTTGCTGGTGATACCGATGGTAGCACAGCAGTCCTTGTGAATGAGTCGGACCTCACCACTTGAGAGGCGGACCGTGATGTGCTGGGCCAGACGCTCCTGCTTCTGCTTCTCACGCTGGGTCAAGGGCTTCTTTTCGGCCTGGGGCTCTGCATCCTGGATTGTTTCTTGGCGCGAGTCACTACCCTTGGCAACAACTGCGGCATAGGTTCCAGCGCTACGGCAAAGTTGGCCACCCTTTCCGGGTCGCAATCCCAGGTTGAAGATCAATGTACCCACGGGAATCATATGCAATGGTAGACAGTTGCCTCTCCAGGCAGTTCTAGCGGCGAGCACACCGGGATCGACTGTGCCACCCATGCTCTTCCATAGATCTTCGGGAATTCCAGACATATAACTCTGGACCACGTCGCCGGCGCGCATCCCATCCGCCGCGAGGATATAGCTCAGTTTTCCACTCTCTTTACTAGCAACCAGAGCGATGTGTGCGGTACGTCCAGGGTCATACTCGATGCGCTCCACAGTGTGTGGCCCGGGAGCCATGCGCAGGAAATCGACGGTACGAATTCGACGCTTGGCACCACCTCCATGATGCCTGACGGTAACTCTACCAGAATTGTTTCGACCACCCTTGGCGTGACCACGCTTAGGGAAGGTCAATTTGTGGACCGGACGACCTTTCCACAGATGGTCGTTGATCGGCCGCCGCAAGTGTCTCACACCGGGGGTGCGTGGAGTGTAGGTGCGCAGTCTCACGCCAGAGTCACGGCTTGGGGGAGGAGCAAATGAAGTGTTGGGGTCGATGAAAGAGCTGAGAGGAGTTTCAATTGGCTTGGGCTTTTCAATTTCGCTCACGATTGTCGAGTAACCACGAATGGGTGAAGGTAAAGAGGGTAGACACCGAAAGGGTAGCCGAATGCCCCGGAGGGCAATTCGGGTTTGAAGCATTGCTGCCAAAGAATAGGATGATACAGGGGTATTGAATAGAGGTCAATTGTATCAATGGTAAATAAGATGAAGTAGTAGCCAATGAAGACTCAACTGCTCAATTCTCCTCTGTATGCACCTCTTGCTCTCCACGGAAACAAAAAGTTCTGGCTATACACGTGACCTGGTTTGGCAACGCCTCATACACCGCCACAGTGTAGCACATGAAGATTGGCCGGTATATCATTCTGCCATTTTCTACCGATAAATTCACTTCGCTGTCACATGACTTTGTATTACATAATTACTTACAGGGCTTAGAGAGCTGTACGGTACTAAACGCCTCTGTTGCCCCGCAACGGATTGTTTATTCACCGCGAAACTCACGCTTTTACCGCGCCCTCATTGTATCCACCTGTACCGTCTGTACCTTACCCGGCCTCATCCAAAACGCCTTATTTCTCCCTTCATTGTTGGATCTACTTTTCTACCTTCCTACAAGGTATCTTAACTACATCCTTCCAGTACAATTCTTCTTTTCTATTTCCTTCATTCTCCAATTCAACGTTATTAACTTGAAGAAAATATCAATTCGGTCATCCACGCGACTTGACTGGGTGGGGCGTCTTTCAGATTGGGCCTGTTTTCCGCGCTAGTCCAGTAGGGCCAAACATCGCCTTGCCCTCTCAAGTTCTTCCTTTTCCCTCATCATCATTCCAGTTAAAGATACCCTTTCCCTTTCCCCACCCACTCCTCAACTTCGGTTTTTTCGCGTGCGAATTCCTGTCGTGCAAACCGCCCAGATCGTCTCTTTGTGTTTGACACATTTTTCTTCCCATTCACACGCCATTCAAGCTAGGCAACCGGGGTTATTCGCGGGCTTCGTCACACGTCAACATAGTCTGATATTGGACTAGAACATCAAATTATTAACTGCTCCTCCTATCTGAAAGCTATCTGTGCCAACCGGCATTGTAGTTACTTCAAAACAACCGCATTTTCACGCGTGGTACGTGCACTTCAACCTCAATCCCCTGGTATGAGGTCCCCACCGACGTAATGTTGACCGGAATGCTGACATGATTTCCTGAGCAGGAAGAGAATTATTATACTCCTGTCCCCTTCCTTTAGTTTCTACGCGTCTTTCTCCTCTTCTTTTCTACACGATGCCTCAGGTGAGCAATCTGAAACGTTGAACAATACGCGTTTTATATCCTTGTCGCGAGATATCTGAACTCGAATTTCGAGATCCAAGTATATCCAACGTCGTCATCGGACTTAAAACTGACTCCACTGCAGGCACGCAGTCTTCGTACCAGAGGCACGATGAATGAGAACGATGAGAATGGACCGTCGGCACGTGTGACTCGGGCTAAGACAGCCGCACTCACCACCGATGTCTCTGTTGCTGGAGCTAAGAAGGCATTGGGGACCAAGCGAGCAACTTCAACCACCACCACGGGAGCTCAACGTCCTCGCGCCGCCCTTGGCGATGTGAGCAATGTCAACAAGAACGATGGTGCCGACGCGAAGGCTGGCAAGAAACCGGCTGCCAGCAAAGTCGGTTTGACTTCCAAGGCAACTGCCCACACTGGAGGAATTCAGAAGGTCAGCCGGACCAACTCTGCACGAACTTCGACAAGGCCTCCCCTCCAGCCCCGCGATTCGAACAAGAAGCCTGCCAGCACCACACACAAACGCGCATCAAACAAAGATATATCGCTACAAGATGGGGAGCCTCCCCGCAAGAAGCCTGAGCTTGAGAAAAAGGTCCCGGCTGTGGACAAAATCCCCGAGGAGAAGGTGGAGACAGAGGGCAAGACTACAGTGAAGGCCTTCGATGATGCGGTGCAAGATCTGGACACTGAGGACCTGGATGACCCATTGATGGCTGCTGAATATGTTGTTGAAATCTTCGACTACCTGAAAGATCTCGAAATCATCACCTTGCCCAACCCTGATTATATCGACCACCAGCCCGACCTTGAATGGAAGATGCGTGGCATCCTTGTTGACTGGCTGATCGAAGTGCACACCCGTTTCCGCCTTCTTCCCGAGACCTTGTTCCTCGCTGTCAACATCATCGATCGTTTCCTGTCTGCTGAAGTTGTCGCCCTGGACCGTCTGCAACTTGTCGGAGTTACCGCAATGTTCATTGCCTCCAAATACGAAGAAGTCCTTTCTCCTCACGTCGCCAACTTCAGCCATGTCGCCGATGAGACCTTCTCCGATAAAGAAATCCTCGATGCTGAGCGCCATGTCCTCGCAACCCTGCAGTATAATATGAGCTTCCCCAACCCTATGAACTTCTTGCGCCGTATCTCCAAGGCCGACAACTACGACATTCAAACCCGTACTCTTGGAAAGTACCTCATGGAAATCAGTCTTTTGGATCACCGCTTCATGGGCTATCCCCAAAGCCACATCTCCGCCGCTGCCATGTACCTTGCCCGCCTTATCCTTGAGCGTGGACCCTGGGTGAGTTGAATTACGTTTCATACTATGGATCGTTGCTAACTATTCTCAGGATGCCACTCTCGCTCACTACTCTGGATACACCGAGGAAGAGATTGAACCCGTCTTCCAGCTGATGGTTGATTACCTCCACCGCCCTGTCTCCCATGAAGCCTTCTTCAAGAAGTATGCTAGCAAGAAGTTCTTAAAGGGTAAGCATGCCTCATTCTTTCCCAATTTCGTTCCTCACGCTAATTCTCCACAGCTTCCATCTTGACTCGCCAGTGGGCCAAGAAATATCACCACATGTATGTCGACGCCGCCGACTCGTACGCCAAGGACGAGCAGTAATTGTACCATTTACGATGTCATGCTACCCCTGTCTCGGCAACTGTCGGCGCCTTTCACGATTATCCCAAGGCGCTCGTGACGACCCGAGCAGGCAAATCGACTTCCTACATATGTTGGCATTTCATTGTGCTGGTATCGACTACCCCTTTGCATATTCTTACGACGACTTGATTGAATTTGTGCGCTTTCCGCATTTGTCTTTTGTGATGGGGTGTTTGGCGCTCGGTCATGTGTTCTATTTCTTTTCTTTTTCGTTTCATCTTCGACTTCGGCCTGCTTGTTTTTCGTGCATGGGCATTGTCTCCCGCTTGCCCTGATACCTTTACATTCTCGTCATCCGTGTTACAGGCGTCGGGATTTATTCAAATCGCAATTTTATCCTTGTTATCGATGTTATCGATGTCACTCATCGTCTCCTTTCTCGTTAGATGCTTCACTGCCACGGCCATTTGACTATCCTTGCAAAATTCCAAGGTGCATATTTGCATACCATTCATTGTGCATGGCAAGCTTTGACTGAAAGTGGCAACTTATGTTTTCTTTTCTTTTCTTTTGTTTCGAAACTTGCATTGGTTGGAACATTCAAATTGGGTTCTGAAGCTGGGTCTTCTCAAAGACACTTGGGACGGTCGGGGAGAGTAATCAATAACTGCTTTTGCTTTTTTCTTAAAATAGTTGGACTTTTAACGCTGCATGCGTGTGTGTATGGCGTGATTATTGGATTCCACGTTGATACTTTTATTCCATCTCTGTGTCGTGCTACGTACCTCGAACTTCCAACTAAGGATGTGGTTGTAGATTTGGGTCCAATTAAGCTCATCCTTAGCCGAGGTCCCCCCCCCCTCTACCAATGCTCTGCTGCTCTCCTCTTCTCTTATGAAACCGCATGTTTTTTCCCATTCTTGTTCTGCTATGATAATTTATTGATCTGAGAGTGTCAGACCAGCATAATCGAAACACATCAAATCCATCATCTTGGCAAAAAGCGCCACGCGCCACATATCAACCTCTTGAAATCTATATCCAGACGACATGCTCCCAAAGCAATCGTCTTAATTCATATATATTATCTGCACTCCTCTTCAGGACTTCTATAACCCGAGGCCATGGATTCCATTGCACCCCCACCATGTCCATTCTGCAACATTGCCTCGTCTTACCCCCCAACCCCTTTCAAAGACCCAGGGTCCGATCCAACCCCGAAAGACCCAGACTCAGGACCATTGTCTCATCTGATTCTCTCCACGGAATATGTCCTCGCCTTCTTGGACATTATGCCGCTCACCCGCGGACATATCTTGGTAGCGCCGAGAAAACATTACAAAACGCTAGGCGATATGAGCGTCCAAGCTGGACAGGAGGTATGCAATTTCAATTCCACTTTGAATTAAGTTCTGGTACATTTGTTTCAAAGAATCTCCCCTCACTGACTTCTTTATCTTGATACATAGATCGGCAAGTGGCTTCCGATTCTTTCAAGGGTTGTAACGAAGACCGTATTCGGGGATGATCCCGATAGACATTGGAATGTGGTCCAGAACAATGGTATGTCTTGACCTTGCTTTTCTCCATTTTCTCCCTTCGCCTTTATCGATTTCAATAATTGTTACGCTGGGATCAATATCCGCAAGGAGGTTGGAAATTGGGACAATTTTGAAATTGCAGTCTTCAATCGCAACCGGAGGCTGAGCCGATGATCGTCGCATTAAAATCTATGCTATCATATAACTCTATGAAGTTAGTCAAAACGTAAACTAATTGATTGCACAGGCGAAAGAGCGGCACAGGTTGTGCCCCACGTCCATTTCCATATCATCCCACGCCCTGCTACAGGGGCTAACCAGAGAACAAGCTTTGCTATGTTCGGCCGTGGTCAGAGAGAAGAACTTGATGATGATGAAGCCGAGGTGTTAGCTCGGGAGCTAAGACTTGAGATAGTTGAGGAAGTCAAGCGGATTCAGAGGGATGAAGGTGTGGACTTGGCAGCATGTCTGGTTTCAGATGCGAGTCAACGAGGGAAGCTGTGAAATGCACCGCATCTATAACTCATTTTGCTTTCTTGCACATATTTGGTGGGCTGGGTCTTCTGGTATCATTTCTGATTCCAGATCATCCGCGCGCGGCCTTTCTTCAATCTCCTGGCTGTTGAGCCGACCAGTGATGTGCCTATTGGGATGCCGCTTGGTTTTTGTCAACTCTGGTGCCGTGGCCTTTGTACATATGCTTTTCAAGGAGAGAAAGGTCAGCCAATTACTTCATTGTTATTTCATAGACATTACATACCACTCGTCGGAACGCATTGAGATCATCAGCCCTATGACCCTTGTCATCGGTCTTTTTCCGAGCCATTGTGACATCGGACAGTTCTCCCTCAGGAAGACGACGGTAGGTTATCAGTCGGCGAGCCCCTTTTCAGTCGAACATTAGCGAAATTCTTGAGTTTTCCGGTTCCAATACAGGCTCTATCACTCACAGTTTCCGAAATCCTGAACACAGACACTGACGATCTCCAAATTCTGATGCATGGGAACGGGGAACTCAATCTTCTCGTCGTTGGTGGTAGGCATCCACATTGAAAGACGACCATTGGGAACCAATGCCTTGACTGCGTAGTTGAGAACGTCGTTTTGCATAGCCTCGAAGCCGTATTGCTTTTTAGGGGCAACAAATCCGGGTCGACTGCGAGGAAAGTTAGTCTCGTGGATCTTTAGGGATCCTGCACTCAGAACACGTACAGGTAAGCGGGGACGCCGTCAATGATCACGTTGACGGCCGGTTTCCCTTTTCGTTCTCCCAAGACCCGAAGCCCTTCTCGGACACCATATGGCGGGTCACAGACAATGCCATCGAGAAAGCCGGCCCTTCGGAACGGCGTGTTTGTCAAATCTGAAGTCAACACATCAACGAATCTACTCTTCGTTCCGTATTGAATGTAATTCTCCAGCACGCCCAGTTTGGTACTATCTTTGCCACGGAAACTGCGGCCATCGATATCTGCACCCAGAGTCATAGCTCCGAAATGCGAAGCACAGACTGTGAAACTTCCTGTGCCAACGAAAGGGTCGAAGAACAATTTGCCAGGTGCTGCAAGAGCCATGTTCGCCGTGACTAGGCTCAACTCCGCATCCATGGAGGTAGTGCTGATATAACGACGCTTCTTGAGATCGTATTTGATCATATCATCACGACAACTCTTGCCAATCATGCGCCCTAGGTAGATTTTCCGTGGTTCTTCTGGGCGTGATATTCCTCGCACCTTAACCTCAATGTCGTCGATGTACTCTTCCATCACATGGAACTCCTGCTCGGGGTTTTTCAGCCGGATAGGGCCTTTGATTCCCATGTATTGGAATGATCGCATGATCTTGTCCCTCCTCTCCAAACTGCATGTTCCCGAGAAGCAATGAATGACGAATTTCCATGAGACGTTGTTGAAGTTCTTCCAAATATGCTGGGAGCGTCGAGGGACGTCTTCATGCAATTCTTCATAGTTGGTGCCCTCGCCCCAAAGTTCGAAGACATCCTTGACCAGAATACAGCGCTTGACGGTTTCACGTGCCGCTGCTTCGTTTGGGAACCTCACAACACAGTTGGGTGACTAATTGGTATGTCAGTCCAGTTTTTGTGAACGAGAATGGCACAATAGAGACGGGATGTTATGATTGTGTAATATTTGCTCAGGAAAGCAAAATTTACATCATCCCAAGTACTTTTTGATATATTAACGGGGTGCTCATACATATTCATTGTAGGAAAGAATCTCAATGTCGACACCTGCAAGTGTAGCGCAGGCTTGTAGTTCCGGCCGCCGGAAAGTCTCATGGGTCTGGGCGAACCGGACAAGATAATCCATAACGAGCGATGCGAATATCTGTCTGGTTTTCTCTGTACTCCCTTTCGTAACAGTGGTGCAATCTGTTGCAATTCTTGGAGGCGGGGTGCGGGTTGAGATTTTTTTTTTTTTCTTCGGGTCTTCAAATATACTCCGATGAGCCCCCAATGTATATAATGGAAATTTATATCTTCTATAAATTTTCTACATTTTTTATTGCTGAATTGAACTTCATATTCACCGGTCTCAATGAGCATGGTCTATTACAAATTAGCTGAGTTCTATAGTACAGAAGACTAACAATATATTCAAAAAATATCTCACAATCAACGGACTAAATCCAATCAAAAACCCGATCTATTCAGACACAAAACAATTGGGGATAACAAACAAGACAGCCTAGAAATCATCATATCCAACTATGAACAGGAACCCAAAGATACCTAGGTACGCCCTTGAGACAGCAAGACATCCAAAACTCCATCCCTATGCACCAACTACCTTAAAAACATGTCGTGATTCGTATCCTTCCACCGTGCTAACATCCACTTTCTCATCAGCGGGAATCATATGATGCTGCAAATCCCAGCCAGCCCGACGAGAAAGCTCCGATACCACTACGTCACAGTCACCCAAGAGATCAATATCGAAGTCGGTATGTGACACCGGCTATATGACAGTCAGCATGGTACGAGAACAAGAACATCGACATGACTTACAGTCCGCGATATGTAGATCTGCGGGACGTTGCGTGGTAGAATTCCCGGGACTTCTGCCACAGGGGCCACCTTCAACGATGTTCCGATCACAATGACTAGATCCACCAATTCCCGATCATGGTGAATCAGACGCTGGCCAAACTCATCGGGAAGATCTTCGCCAAAGAAGGTAATATCGGGCTGCAAGATGTATAAGTATGTAAGAAATGACAGGTTAAACTGGACTATCACCAACCTTCATCACTCCTGGGGTGGGGATTTCATAGTCACCCTCATCCGAACTATCATCAGAGACCTTGCGGTCCTTTTGATGCCCGTTCGCGCTCCGCTTGCGCTTGAGTCCTTGTGATTTTAACGCGTCTTCTGCAATCCTCTCCTTGCAAACGATGCATTCGGGAACGTTCCCTTCCTTGATTTCATCAAAGATCGCATCGCCGTTGACTTTGTGCAGACATTTGACACAGGTAGCAGTCGCAAATGATCCATGGCACTGTACCATCTTTTCCGGGAGTACTCCTGCATTTCCTTCGATATTGTCAATATTCTGCGTGTAATTGGTCAACAGCTTCCCCTTGTCCTGGAGAAGGCGAATGAATCCATGGGTAGGCGACCATTTCTTTTCGGTTGGGAGAATATCCTTTGCGATGGAGAAGAAAATGCTAGGGTCTTCCTGGAAGACATTAATATCAAAGACCTCTTGGGGATCACTCAGGCCCAGGTGTTCGAGCTTGGAATAGAGACCGGTGTCCTTAGAACGGAAATCGGGAATGCCCAGACTAGTTGAGATCTGAATCAACGTCGATTAGTACCAATAAGCCAAAGACTATCCCCAAATGTACGCTAGATATAGACACTTACACCCGCGCCTGTCAGGACAATGATGTTCTTGGACTCGCGAAGGAGACGCACAGCGTCGTCGATAGTGTTGTATTGGGGAAGCTTGGTCCTTCGGGAGAATTCGCGCGAAATCGCAATCGCTAGAAGAGAGTGATAGGCCTCATCGGGGGCGCCATCGAGGAATGCCGGGGGCATGATACCAAATGCCGTGCATAGCTTTTTGGCCGTGATGGTCTCGCGAACGATGGTCTCTTCCACAAATGCCGCTTTGCCGATCGCATGTAGACGCTTTCGATATGCAGTAGCCTCTTCTAAAGTACAAGCGCCGGGAACTATGAGCCGGAAAGCGCGTCAGAGAAAGTTCACGAGCTCCGAGAGCGGGGATGTCCCGGGTAAGAGGTAGGTATAGTTATGTACATACCGAGCCCGTCGCGGATCTGCTCGTCGCGTAAGAACTGAATGGCATCCGAACAGTTAGACATACCCTCCCAGCCATCTGAATCCTCGCCATCTGTTTCCGGATCTGAGGAGATCGGGTCCACTGTGAGGTCCGGCGCGTTGGCCTCAATGTACTGGTCCACGTCCACAGCCTCCACTTCAACCACGGGGGACTTTAACGAATCCGCTCCGCTTGGGGCTGGTATCAAATCCATGTTGCAGGAGTTTGAGATGCCAGCCACGGAGACAACTCTTTCACTCACGCCTTGAACTTGTTCTGGCAAAAATTCGGGCATCTGTAATGCCGGAGGCAACTTAATCCGGAACCGATAGACTGTGGCGATATCAACGAGTCTTTTGAGATTTTGGTCACCACATAGATGGTCTTTCTTGAGGATTATTTTAATTGCCCTGGATGACTTTGTGAAAGATGTTTATTCTGGTCATTTCAAGCAGTGTTTTATAGACATCTTTGGTATCATCAAGTTTCAACCGCAATCTTTTTCTTTCACAAGTTTGGTTTATGGTTCAGGGGCCGAAAAAGAAAGGATGGTACAAAGGAAAAAATGGAATCAGGGAGTAGAAACAGAAACAGAAACTACTTTCAATGGTATCAAATTAAACAGCATATACATCATCTCATGTGGTCGTGACTTTTAGTCTAAGAATCTGCCATCTCGTCGTCGGAGTCAGCCTCAATCTCGTATTCCTCGTCTTCATCGCCTCCCTCTCCCTCGTTTTCAGCTTCACTCTCCTCATCCTCTCCAATTTCTTTGTTCATTTCCTGTACAAGCTCGATGGCGTGATCATGAAGACGCTCATCCTCATACTCGAGCAATGCGTAGAGCTTCAAGCTTTGCTTGAGCCATTCACGACTAGCTTCTAGGGATGCATGTCGTGGGGACTCGGCAAGCTCCTCAGGAGTCGCATCCTTCGGTGCTTGTTGCTTTTCTGCCAGCAGGAAGAGACACCAGCCTCCAAGGTACCACGCCTCTACACTTTGATCATCTTCGAGGATAAGGCGCTCGAGAACTTCCAGAGCCTCGAATTCCAAAGTCACCTCCATGAGGAGTCGTGCAAGACTGATTCGGATCGCAAAGTCAGGGACCTTGACATCTCCTGGAGTAAGATCCTTCCATAGCCCCATGCTGCGAATGAGGGCTGCTTGCGCATCTTCGGTGCGCAACTGTGATATCCTAATGGAGGCGAGAGTCTGCAGCACCTCTGGTGCTTCAGGAGTCATAACGAGAGCCTCCGTAATGAGTGTTTCACAACGAGATTCAGCATCCTCTTCCCAACTAAGGAGGGGTTAGCGCTGTCCTACTATGCGAGAGAGAAAGGAGATAGACTCACGAAAGATCGGTCATGTAAATTTCAGCAACAGCACAGAGTGCGTTGGACATCTTGGTCTTCTTCTGTTCGAGATCGGCGATTTCTTCAGGTGATGTTTTCCCTTCAAGCCCTTGAATGGCTTGTCGGAGAGAGGTCACACCCATTTCGAACCACAGGACACTGTCCTTTCCACCTTCCTCGCTCAATTGTGCGAGCCATAGGAATTTCTCAGCTCCTCCGCCTTGGGATTCGGGAATCGAGCCATTTTGGTCAAGCTGAACTGCCTGAAGGAAATAGGTTCTAGCCGTATCGATGTCGCCTAGTTCGACATTGATTTCTCCGAGCAAGTTGATGGCGGGGAGCTGTGCGGGGGTGTTTTCGGCGGTCAAATCCAGTGCCTGTTGTGCAAGAAGCAGTGCCTCATCGGCTCGGCCAGTTTGTAAAAGGATCGTAGCTTGATCGACGAGTGTCGAAGGATCTTGAGCCATGTTGCTGTTGCCTTTCGAGATCGAGCCACCGGGGCCAAGAACGGACTTTTGGCGAGGCTTAGATGATTTCTTCTTTTGCGGTCTGGGCTTTCCCATTGCAGGGCGATGAAAATGTAATAATAAAGGGTATAATGTTCAGTAGAATAATTGACAATTGTAACCTGCAGATATCTTGAAAGAAGTAAAAAATAAGTGAAGCTCCGCAACCAAAAATTTGGAGCAGCTGTTTGACGGGTTTGCATGTGGGACCGCAATATTGGCACCACCTGGTTTGCGATCAGTCTTTCTTCTAGTCGGGAGTATATTGCAATCCTTCAAGTCTTCTTCTCATAATCATTTAGTTTGCTCCCAATCAACATCCTTGTTCCCTCCACGCAGTTATCCCAAAGCATCTGCGCCTCAGCGACCAAATTTTTACCCTCCAATCCGCGGGCGGATCAGCAGCTATGGGCCGCGAAGACCAGATTGAGGAGCGCGAAGTGCTCGATTCAATCTTTCCTGATGAGATCACCGGTAAGTTATTCTGTCAGCGGCGTGGTCCATTCTGGTTGTTCTTGCTAATCGTGAAATTCGACATGCAGACATATCCGAAACTTCATACAGAGTATCCATTACACTCGACGCCGTTGAATATGGCGAAGAGGAAGCAGAACAACCTGTGATATGCCTCGAAGTTTCCTACCCAGAGGAATATCCTGATGTTGCCCCGAATCTCACCATTACTTCTCCACCAAATGCCCCGAGGCATCCTCGACTAGATGTTCAGGAAGACCGTGACCAATTGATGGAGGCCCTTATGCCCACTGTCGAAGAAAATATGGGCATGGCAATGGTATTCACGCTAGTGAGCGCTCTCAAAGAAAGCGCAGAGCTTCTCATGACCGAACGGGCAGACGCCATCCAAGCCGAGAAGGACCAGGCTGCTGCGAAGAGGGAAGAAGAGGAAAACCGCAAGTTCCACGGCACAGCAGTCACCGTGGAGTCATTCTTGGAGTGGAGCGCCAATTTCAAGAAGGAAATGCAGGATCTGGAGACACGGTTACGCGAGGAAAAGGATGGAGAAGACAAAAAGAAGAAGGTCATAAAAGAAGAGAAAAAGCTCACAGGCCGCCAAATGTGGGAGAAAGGCTTGGCCAAGGGCGACTATGAAGAGGAAGATGATGATACCATGCCAGCTGTTGAGAAGCTTAAAGTGGCTGCATGAGCTGATACTTCGAAATGTTTATGACCTTCCATTACTACTTCATGAAAATATTGAACACTTGTTGCATGTTGCCTTGATATGATTACATAGTGAAAAATTAGTAATCTCGAATTACAAACGTGAGTAGAGTGATGTACAGTTCGTAAGGCCGCATGAGAAAGACTTGTCATGTTATATGAATCGTAATTCTCAATCGGGAGGAGGGGAAGGGCCCAATAATGCTGGCGTCAGGATTAAGCTTCAAGCAGAAGTAAAAATCGGATGTGTAAATAAATAGACGATCAACTGGTGGTGATGCGTGGAACCCTTTGCGAAAGCACTGATGGCTTTTATGTGAAGAGGAAGGAACATCAACTTGATCACGTCCAATGATAATAGCTCGGAGGTGACGAATTGGAGTTCCATGGTGAGTACTCGTCATATGAGCATGGCAAGACAGAGACTCATCGAACTTGAAAGCGTTGTGAGCCATACCATTCTGAGGCTTCGAAGGATCGCGGGCTCATCAAATGATTCAATATCTGGTGATGATGACAAGGATCATGGATATGGCCTGGCGGTGAGCTGTGGTTACAATTCTCAAGTTGAAGTAGAGTCCGATAGGACTGCATCTGATTTTACAGCGACGCATGCGTTGCGAAGCAGACCGTGCTGTTCTCAGTGGTCTGGCTGCTTTTGAGCTGACTCTTCTTCTGCCAGAGTTCTTTCGGCAAGCACAATTTTCCACATGTTTTCTGCAAGCTCCTTGCCTTGTAAATCGAAGCTCGAAATTTTGGAATTGACATCAATAATGGAATTTTGAACAGGTTCAGACCAGGAGGCCGGCGTATCAGTTTCCGTCATGAGGTCCCAGTCGTTTTCGTCCTTAGCAAAAAGTAGCTCTACTTTCAACCTATCTCGACGTTGGATCCAATTCCAGCGAGTTCCAAGTTTTGCTCGTATCACACTGCTAACGTTCCTTGGCTGTGGCTTTTTGAAACGCAAAAAAGGCAGCCCGCGGGCATTCACAAGTACTGGGACATGGCGCTTGCGGTCACCCAACGCATGGGGCCGGTCTAGGACTGACCTGGCATTGGGGTGTCGTCGGGATGTTTCTTCCTGGAAGCGAATTGACTTTTCTTTTCGGGCTGCTTTGGGCGTGAGAGGGGTTGGAGGTAGGCGTGTTGGCCGAGTCTTTGCTTGCATCTCAGCATATTGGTCTCTCTGGGCCTTGGCTCGGGCAATAAGAGTTGTAATTCGGGTTTGGTTTTGTGGGTTATTATGCGACGAAGATAGAAGGTCTAGAGCCTATAAAGTAGTAGTGACACATCAACATCAGAGCATTTTGGTAAAAGTCCGCTGCGCGTACCTCATAGCCTGCTTTCAGCGCATTCACAACTTGGGATGGACTCTGTAGTTTCTTGTACTTTCGGAAGTTTCGTTGAACAAGAGCCCTAGTCTCACCTAACCACAATGTGCTTTGGGCTGAAGAATTGCATTGTTGCAGTAGTGCTCGATACAACGCCAAACCTATTAGAGATGTAGTTGTCAGTATGATAGCATTGTAGCAGAAGAAAACATGTCTTACACGCAACTCGGTGAGCTCCAGAATGCTTGGGCACTAGCACTTTATGCATTCCGCTGTACTGGAGAGCTGCACTGGAGAGTGATTATCCAGAGCTTGTTGATGCCTGATATTTGCACAAGATGCCTTGAAAGCACGGACCTCTCCTGTCACGGGACAATGTGTCACACGACACGTGACTAATAAATGGTGAGTGGCTCGTTAAAATGAAGCTAGTTGGACGGACCCACCGGTCTCTGGGTATAAATAAGTCGCCAGGTCCTCCCATCTTCCTCTTCTTTTCTTTCTTCTTCAGCTCTCTTTGCCTATTGGCTTAGATCAAGTGTAGTATCTGTTCTTTTCAGTTTAATCTCTGAAAGTCTTCTCAATGAAGACACTTTGATTATTCTCATTTTTGGATCTCGCAACTTGACCTCTGTGCTTGCGCATGTCTTGTTGCACAGTGTCATCGGGCTTACACTACCCCCGATTGACGCAAAACTTTTCATCAACTGTGCTGGCTTGTCCAGTCGCTTGGAGAAGAGATTTTCCCCATTATGTTCTTGACTCGGCCCCTGGTATTCTTATGTTTACTTTCAGTAACTTGCAATAGCCGTCGATATATTTTGTCGCTTGTACCTAGCTCGCGCCATCGAGGCTTCACTGTAATCCTTGGGTGACTGTTGAGTGACCATTCAGTCGCCTCTACGATAAAGCCTACCATGAGCATAGCGGCGAACTCGACTACAAGAATAGTTAAAAAATAAGATCGTTTGTTATTGGTAAACAGGCGCCTGCCGCAATGCTCGTCACGAAACAAAAACTTAAGACATCGATACTCAATTGTGAGATAGAGATAAAAATTTGGGTCCAATAGAAACCCTGCCGATGCATTGATGCAACTGTACACGCTCTAGGGTCGTAAAAAAAGGGAAGAAGTGATGATACCTAAATGAAGCCGACCTTATACTCCGAGATTTGTCTGTATGGTGGGATCGCAGACTGGATTAGAAAGACGAGCCCTCCGCGGGCTGGGGCAGCTTCTTGTGCTGGGGCAGCGCCATGTACCTAAATAAGAACAGTCAACGTTGGCTACATTCCTGGGCCATGATCGAAGCTCACCTTCTCAACTCAATCAAAACAGTCTCCATTGTGAACTTTCGGTCCCAATTTGCCAGGGTGGGAAGCTTTGTCGGATCGACCTGTAGTTTGATCACTCAGTAAGGGCTGCGCATCGGGATATCTGCTATACTCATACCTTCCCAGTATCGGGGTCAACGCAGGGGATGTTGACGCGGGAAACGAATTGAACAGTCGGCGGGCGATCGGGGTAGTGGGGCCCGCAGTGAATGTTCACACTGTATATCCGGTTCTCATGCACGCTCTGATGGCAGAATTAGCGACGCGATCTTAGTGGTGGCAAAGTAAGAGACGAACGTGAGGTGGGCCAAGGATAGTGCCATTCCAATTGCTCAACATCACATCCTCCCCATCAGCAAGACCATATGAGCAGGCGTCTGAAAGAAAATGTATGTTAGTGAGTGGTTTGAGACCGGACATTGTCGGACATTGGGGTTCTTGATCGTACCAGCACTCAAACCCTTCTCGCCCTTCTCCAGCTCCTCCAAAAGTCGAAAATTTCTTGGGACCGTAGCAGACATTATGAGCACGGATTGGTGGTTTCGGGTGCTGCAAATGTCACGATGAGAGGAAGCAAAGGCTTGGTGAGAAGGAAGTTGTGACAAGAGGGGCATCATCGCCCGCACGGGCAGTTAGGGCGGTCAGGGCAGCAGAACACCGTGGACGTGTGATAACGGCTTATCGAAGACTTGGCACTTGAGATGCTGCTATTTTCAAGATTAAATTTTGTCCCAGCTTGTTTTCCATACGGTTGACTATTTATGCCATGACTGGTTCAATACATACGTACGCATGAAAGCAACATATGAAATGACTGATGAAAAGAATACTCTTACAGTTCCAATTATCCAATATTTTCAATGAAAACAAGAGCAAATCTGGTGAGTGGAGATCGATCCACTTTCATCCTATAATATATGAACACCCTACGATACCCCAAGATCCATTGAATCAGTGCCCACGTTTATTTTCGATACTTCTCCTAGCGATTTTAAGGAATTCAGTGTTTCCAATAAACTCCCTTTCTGGGACATTTCATAGCAGATTTGATTCTTGATCTTATTGCCTTCAAAACGGGGCGTTGTCCGAATGTCATGGAAATTTGTATACAGCCCTTCACATCCGGGGGTACTTTGTGGGACTTCAGTACAACTTCTTCATGCCCAGCTTGGAGCCCCGGGGAGTCTGCTCAGTTGAGACTCAAAACCATTCTCTATGGTGATTTTCCAAGAGATTGGCAGGGGAGACACGTCTCGGGACGTCTGGATGGACTCTAAAAGCTATTTCTTATGCCTTGTATGTGCAAGGGATACAGAGAAGTGCTGGAGCTAGACGATTGCATTTGGCTAATCACTTTTCCCACACGGTTGTGGTCTTCTTTTTCAACTTAGTCCGATTATATAGATATTAATCAACTTGTAGCATGAGTTGCGAAGGTGTGTAGTGAAATAGGAGAAAACAGATATATGGATGAGATATGGACAAGGATGTATAAAGAGACGTACAAATAGAAAGAGAACATTCCCCATTATGGATGGGAATGTTTACAATACATGGTATAGAGTAGTCTATAAAGCGATCTATAATAATGCATCTTCGGGCATCAACCTTAGAGGGAAAAAAAAGCATTTGACACCTCCCCAATGAGCAGAAAAAAGTGGTAATGACGAGTAGAAAGGGTGACGTTGGCAACATTTGAGGTCTTGGCGGGTGCAGAATAGTGAGGCCAGGCGGTGGAACTTTTAACGCGGGAGTTACGGGGAAATGGCATAAACAGCTTAAGAAGTGTCCAGGTGGTCAATTTTCGACCGCACTTTCACAGGTCCTCTATTTGCAGGGAATTTACTTCACTTCTCTCGGAGGTTACATGAACTGAGCTTCAAAGCCCTAAATATTACTGGTCGAGATCACTGATCCACCCGCGACCGAGACCTCCCTTAACTGTTGACACCCGGGAATTGAAACAGTGCTGGTCATGTTCTGATAGAACTTTCCTGTATCAGACATGTCGTCTCAATTTTTACAAACTGAGATCGCCAATTTGATTCAAGAATCCCGAAGGAAAAACTCCGATTTGCGAAATGTCGGTCTTTCCCTCTAGGCAGATACATTGGAAGACACTGACTGAGGGATACGTAGGCCGCTGAACAGTCGTTAAATGAACTCAAAGCACTACCATCAACCTCAGAGGCCCAAATAGCAGCAGGTTTGTTTTTCAGCAAATGGTGTGCGTTTCTAAACAGCTAAATCATCTTCAGACCTTGTCCGTAAACCAAATTTTGTGGAGCCATTCATCATCGCATGTCATACTCGACATGCAAAACTTGCTGGTATTGGTGTGATCTGCTTGCAAAGACTAATCGCATCTCGATCACTACCATCAACTCGTCTTAAAGATGTAATAGGAGGGTTGAAGGAGACAACAAGCCTAAGTAAATGCCACAAGATAGCATATCGACATCTGTGGATCATACTGACAACTTCTAGGCCTTGACATCCAATTGAAGATCTTGCAATCTTTACCTTCACTTCTGCAGTTTTATTCGAATGACTTGAGTGGGGAGCTCCTGGCAAACACATTGGAAATATGTGCCACGCTACAGGCGAGCAAAACGATTGCTGTGTCCAGTACTGCATCGGCCACTCTTCAACAGTTGGTGGGATCCACTTTTGAAAGAGTGTTCAGCGAAGACAAACTTCCAAACGATGCCAAAATAACGACTACCATCAAAGTCGATGGCCAGTCGCTCGATATTGGTTACTTTGCCTATGATGCACTGCTAGTATTGGATGACCTCTGTCGTTTGATAGATGGTGAGCCATTGCAATTTCTCCGCTCACGAACTCTATCCCAAACTTTTGTTTTGGAGCTCATTGAGAGCATCCTGCTAAACAGTGGCCGCCTTTTTGTGGGACACCCCGAACTTTCGCAAGTGCTGCGCGTTCGGCTATTGCCACTGACCGTCCGTTGTCTCTCCGAAAGATATTCATTCGCCCAAACAGTTCGTGTTGCACGGATACTTCTCATTCTGCTAAAGCGCCACATGTCCCTTTTGACAGCAGAATGTGAAATGGCATTGAGTCTAATAACACATCTTGTTGAACCAGATGGAACAGCACCTTGGAAGCGTTTACTATGCATGGAGATCTTTCGAGGACTATATTCCGAACCCGGTGCTGTACGACTAATATACACCCTGTACGATGGCGAGGAAGGGCGAAAGAACATACTGCGCGACCACATGGCTGCGCTTGTCAGGTTGGCCTCGGAGAAGCCTGCGTTGATAGGTGTCAGCAACCAGTCGACAGTCCCTTCGCGGGCGGACCACAACAGATCTACCACAGAGGATCAGATAACCCTCGAGACTGGTGGTGTTGCTGGTGTCATTGGATCAACTGTTCCTCCCAGCGAAATCAAAGTTCCAGGAATCAGCGCTCAGTGGAGTGTTGTTCGCATGCCATATATTGAGCTTCTCGACAAGACAGATCCACCTGTTCCACCCGAAACTTACATATACAGTCTGGTTCTCAACTGCATTAGCAGTTTTGCTGAAGGGCTTGCGAAATTCATTCTTCCGTTGACAGTCCCGGACAGAAAACAAATGCGCAAAAATAGACTCATGAGTCCCGTGCAAGGACCTGATTCCGCCAGATCCTCTCAAGACTTCTCGGCCGAGCCCATTCGACCACAACCCAGTTCGCCAACAAGTAAATCACATGTGCCGATTAATCCCTTGAACCTCCAGTCTCATGTTCAATATTCCGCTATCAAGACTTGCGCCGGGATAATAGAGAACTGTTGGCCCGCAGTCCTCGCAACTTGTTCTACCTTCTTACGGGCCTCCTTGGATGATGAGTACTACCACAATCTTGTCAGAGCATTTCAGAAGCTGGCTCATGTAGCGGGCCTTCTGAGGTTATCAGTGCCTAGGGATGCTTTTTTAACTACTCTCGGAAAGGCTGCGACGCCTGCAACTACCAACCCTCAGAACGCATCGGCTACTGGTGCGCAGCAAAGCGACACCCCTCAGAAGAAACGTAAGAGTGCAGACTTTTCCGGTTCCAGCCTTTCGGCAGCGGAGTCTGCAGGAGCAACCGCGGGAGAGGGGCCTCCAGTATCTTTGAGTACCAGGAACCTGCTTTGTATGCGGGCCTTGCTCAACCTAGGAATTGCTCTGGGGCCAACATTAGACCAGCCCGCCTGGTCCATCCTCTTCGAGACACTCCAGTATACTGGGCTGGTGATCAGCATGTCTTCCAGTGCAATGGTAAAATCGGCTAGTGGAGCTGGAGAGACACCAGCCGCTCCAGGGAATGATGTTCCAACCGCAAACCTCGGAACCGAGGCCATTGCGGTCCAGGCGGCTTCCAGCAAAATGCTTGAAAGCACCAGCGATTTTCCTAGTGCACCTTTTGAAGAGATTTTACTTGCACTGTTGAACCTATCAGTATTTACAGGGCAGCGCCGTCAACCAGAAGATGTCAAGGAAGTTTCAGAAATGCCTCGCTCGCTACAATCCTCTCGAGGCGCTGGCCGTCCGAACCAAAATGCTCGGCGCGTGTCACATACCGTTGGAAAGTCCAGGATGCAAGACGAGGAACTAAAGTTTGTTCTAGATAAAGTGAATGAGCTGGCCAAGGCCAACCTTGCCAGGCTATCTTCGCTTGAGGAAAATGACCTCAAAGTTTGGGAACTGCTTACACAAAGTCTTATTTCGGCTTCCGCGAATACTACCATCAGCCCAAATCTTCGTCTCCAGGCAAACGCAATCTTAAACTCGCTTATCTTCTCAACGATGAAACAAAGGGACGAAGACGACGAGAAAGCGTACAATGAAGTACAGACGAGAAATTTGCAAACATTAAAGGACCAGATTGCTTCGCTATACGCATCAGACATGCATACAGCGAAGTCTCTGCCAATGACAGTGATTGAAATTCACGAGCAAAGCTTGGAAGTCCTGAGAAACATCTTGGAACAGTACGCAGAGACCTTTGTGGACGGATGGCACCTCATCTTTGATTTGATATCTGGTGTTTTCCAAGCTTCCTCCCGGCCCGAGACTGCTAGTCGGCCGTCCAATGCGCTGGAGCGTAGGGCATCCGCTCTTCCAGCGGGCCCTCGCCTGGTTCGCGCTGCCTATAAATCTCTGCATCTTGTTGCTTCTGATTTCCTTTCTTTGCTTCCAGCACCCTGTCTCTTGAGCTTGGTGAACGCTTTCTCCAGCTTTGCATCGCAGACTCAGGATTTCAACATTTCCCTTACTACTACCTCTTTCTTCTGGAATGTTTCCGATTTCCTTCAGGGGCAGATCGAGCAAATCTCTGTTGACCATGTCGACACTTCCGTCAACGAAAAAGAGCTGACCAAACTGGCCCGCTACGAGGATCCTTCTGTCTCTCGGAACTCATTATGGTTGCTTCTACTGCTTCGTATCGTTGATGTCACCACAGATAGCCGGCCAGAAATTAGAAACAGTGCAGTGCATACGCTTCTCCGCATTTTTGATGCCTATGGACAGCAGCTCTCCCCTAGAGCCTGGCGTCTTTGTTTGAACATGGTCGTCTTCAGGATGGCTGAAGGTATTGTGGACACCCTTCTTCAGGCCAAATGCAAGCAGAGCTATCCAAACTCTGATGACTTCAAGTCATGGGTAGACACGACAGTCGTGATGATAAAGGGATCATCCAATCTGGTGACGAATTTCTTCGAGACCGTTGTTCGTGACGAGAACTTCGACGAATCCTGGAAACGACTTTTGAAGTACTGGCAAAGCCTGATCGATTTGCATATCTTGGAATTCAGCGAAGCAATATTTTCCAGTCTCTCAGCAATCCTCCTCCGGGTGCAGAACACCAGTGAACTTAGCAATAATGCTCTTGAGTGTGCGTGGCTTGTTTGGGCAAACGGAAATCCTGCCGGGGACGACAAAGTGCTTGACCTGGACAAACCTAACCAGGAGGCTGCTCTGGCTTATGTACAATCATTCCAACAGATCTACCGTCTCTACAAAGATCAATTGACCACAACACATATCGAAAAAGTCCTTCGCCACCTGCGTTTGCTTGTGTGGAACTCGGTCAACCCGCGTTACTCCCCGGATATTGACCGATCTTCGGCCCTGCAAGCTCTAGTCACCGATTGCATAAAAACTCTCTGTCAAGAAAAGGAGGACTCCCAGCCCACGATTCTCTTGTGTCTTGCTGAGCTGTCTGATTCAGCACTATCGAGATGGAGTCCCGGTAACGACGCAAGAAAACCAGCGTTCGTGGCATTCTCAAAAAGTACCATCGATCTCGTCAACTGGTACATTGCCGAATTTGGTATCAAGCAAGATGCATTCACAAACGGAGCTCTGGCAGATACCCTCAAACATCTCGGCACTTTAATTGCGGAGAAGTACACGTGGCAGGGCAAAGATCGCGAGCCCTTCCTCTGGCAGAAGGCCACAACGACATCCCTGAACGTTCTACAAGTTTCAGTCCCCTATGCCGAGAGCCAATATTCCAAAGCAAATGAGTCCGAGATATCCCGGTTCTGGCAGCGCATCGTGGAAATCACTAACGGAATTGTCTCCGCCCACGGCTTCCAAACCCAGCAACTCCCCAACGCGCGGATCATTTCCGACGAAGCCTTCGACATAAAGGCCCTAACGCGATTGAAGACAATCATCCTCCCATCCCTCGGCAACGCCACCATACCGGATCTCGTCCGCCGCGATTTCGCACGCGCCCTCTTCCACTCCTCCTTCATCTACGCCCCCTCCGCTTCGACCTCCCCACGGCTGGCCTAGAAGACCCCTTGCAAGACTTCTACACCGTCCGCCCAGGCCGCACTTTCGACCCGCTCCCAACCCTCCGCCCGGGCATGGCCTACGTCCTCATCGACACGCTCTTCGAGCTCGCCGCACACTCCGAAGCAACAAAAACAGACGCAGAACCCAGCTCCCCGCGCATCCTCCTCGCCCGCTCCATCTCGCCATACCTCCTCCTGCGCTGCGCCGTCTCGCTCAAGTCTTATATCGCAGACCAGCCACTGCGCGGCTTGATGCCGCAGCCCACACCCGCTCGAAAGGCCCTCCTCCATCTTCTCGGACGCTTGGTTGAATTGAAGAGCGAGCCCTCTGCTATCGCGGACCCGTCTGCTCTGAAGACCGTTTCCGTGCTTGAGTCTGGTGGTGGGGATGCCGTGCCGCAGCACTACCGCAAACATCTTGAGTGGGTTTATCCGCTGGTTGTTCGAGCTGTGCAGGTTTCCGGCAAGGAGCGAGACGATGGGCAGATTCTGCAGGCACTTGGCAAGGTCTTGCAGGAGATTGGCCGGTTTGAGTATTAGGCAGCCTGTAGTTCGGTGGTGAAGGGGTTGCTCATCTTTTCCTGCTTCTACTTTGTATATCAAGCTTCATGGTTCTGAATAAGACACCTTTGTTCTTTCTTTTGATTCTTTGTGGTAGACAAGTGTGGGCGCGACCTACGGAACAGTGCCCACATATGAAAGATTCAGTTTCCCATTCATACGCGTGAAGCACACCGTGTCTAACAATACATTGATTTCATATTTGACTCTCCGTAGCCCGGAAAAGAACCTAGAATCAGCCCGGGTGTAGCTAGAAGTCGATGAAGGCTTAGATTTGCATTGAAGGGATCTAAATGTAGACATTGAAAATAGACTACAAAATGATATGGTGGTATGACCATTGGAAAGGATCAAGAGACACAGTAAGAGAGGGAAGAGATAATGAGAACAGAGACAAGAGGCGGGTATAGAAGAACAGATCCGCAGGTACCAAGAAAGACGCGAGCGATAATAAGGATAGAGTAAGATAGTCTATGCTGCGGGCGCAGAAACAGGCTGAGGCTCCTGTCGAAGTGGCGCTGATTCCCTTCCAGGTCCAGCAGTTGCAGAGCCCGGGGGGAGGGCAGGCTGTTGACGCTGTTGCTCTAGGAGCATCTGTTGCTGAATCTGCTGCTGCTGTGCGATTTGGGCGTTCGGGGCGATCTCGGGGGCTTGGCGGTAGAGCGCAATTTCGGACTGTTTGAAGTAGCGACGGGCATCTATGGTAGAGTTAGAGTTGAAATTGCAAAACAGTGAGTGTATTGTATGCAAGACATGTTTGGGAGTGCCAAGAGGAGTCTAGCGTGGGGGTTGGGGTTGGGGGACGGGAAGGAATCGGATGAAAATCGGCAACAATTGATGCAGCCCGAGCCGAGTTTGATCGGCGTTTTGGGTAATTTCAATACCCGTCGGTTATTGGTGTATCCAGGCATACAGATAATGGTCTTGTGCTCCCCGCATTCTGGAATGCGTCATGGACCATTGTTGTGAGGCTTTTTGGGGAAAGAATGATCGGGTTATTGAAAGAGGACAAACGCACCTTCATCGATCAACACCAGACTGAGGTAGTACCTCGTCGAGTACTTCTTATTAACATCACGGAATGTCGGCGTTAGGTCAAATCCACCTAAGAACAGGCGAATCGGAATGGTTTCACCTAGGAAAAGTCAGCTGTGCTCACGGTCACCGTTGTGATTGACGTCTCTCGTGATATTCAACAAGTCGCGGGTGGTGGTAGGGTTGGGGTCCAAAATCCAAGTTCACTAACCTCTCGATGGCGAACCGTCCATTATCTGCATACATGTCAATATTGGCCAATGAGCTCAATAGCACTAGATTGACTGAGGAACCACATACCTCGAAGCGCACCAACGTCTCACTCTCGTTATATTGATTTGGTGGAGAACCAGTCGTCTCCCGGCGAATGATAGACAACTCCATGTGCTTTATCTTGAGCCGCACGAGCAAGAAATAGATGCGACCAACGATCACATCCTTGAGATGATACTTGGATTTGGAGTATTCAAACTCGATATGCAAGCAATCCTCAATACCAACATCCATCTTGATGGGGCTGTTGTTCTCTGGCGGCATGCGGTACGAGTACACCCAGAGGTCCTTTTCACGGATGACGTCCGCCATGCGGCGCGAGACAGTCACTCGGACAAAGTAGCGCAGCTTGACGTTGATACCATTGTAGGACTCGTATTGCTTCTCAACGTTTTTGAAGTTGAAAGGGAAGGTCTGCGGGTGTAGCAACTCGCCGGGCGCGGCGAGCTCTTGGACAAGAGAAAGGAATTCGTAATGGTTGCCTCGGTCGTAGAACATCTCTGTATATCACCAAACGGAATCATGTTAGTGGTATGGTCTGCGATAGCGGGCTCGGTTGGGAGAGGCGCGAAGCTTCACGCACCAATCGTGCCAATAAATTGCACCTTGATTCCGGTATGCTCTAGGCGCTTGCCATCCTTCGGTCTGATTGTCACGGCACCCTTTACGGACTCTCCATCCATGTACAGAGGGACCCGCTCGCGGCGGCCCTTCTCGAGCTTGACGTCAACGGTTTGGCGCTCATCGAGGTCTTCGAGGACCACATCGATATCGACCGGAGTGGAGAAGAAAAGAGACGCCATTATGTGGAGGTAATTGGGCCAGATGTAGCTCTTCCCCGATAAGTCGGAGCTTTGGAGGATCTGAGCTGTCGTGGCCTGGAGGTGGGTGCCTCCAGGCTCACCGCCCTCCCCACAGAACTGACATCTACGGCATATTTTCTGAATGTTGACAGAAAAGATATGTTTGGCCTTGAATATTTGGATACAACTCAAATAATACTACTCTCTCTTTTGTTCATAAAGTCCACTTGGTGTTCTCCAAAATTGACAGGATTGACGTTAAAGGTTGACGGCACTGATCTACAATTACTATTGACTCCGGAACTTAGTGGACTCACACTTTACACACGTCAGATCTAGAGGTTGAGTTGGCATTTCCCACCGATTGGACATTCATACTGAACTCGTCGTTTTTAAAAATGCCCAGATATTAAACAGCCATACGGATGAGAAGCCCTCACACCTTGGGCTACGGGTAAACACGACATCGGATAACTCGGAATCCGCTTCCCGTCAAGAGCGATTAAGGCCCCTCATGACCGTAAGCAGACTTCCTATTCAGTCTTCTAGAATATCCGAAAAGCAAGGAGAATAGGGTTACCCCGCAGGAAGTTCTCTTCCCCGGATTTTAGAATGGAAATCAACTTTGCTCAGGCCGTCTGGATACGATGTAACTGTACAAGCTACAGGGTAATCAGAGCAAGACCCCATGTTCTTTTAGACACACCCTATTGCACATCTTATCTATCGGATGTAACATTATTCCCCGGAACATTTGTCTTCCCTGTGTTTCACGGGATTAAGTATCGGCAATCCGTGTATCTTTCGGGTGGATCTAAAGTGTGGGGGGTCGGTGTCGAATTACTCGGGAGGTTTGTTCGGCACGGGATAGGATTGAAATGACGCACAGTATCAAATCAAGATGAAAATTTCAAGTGGGATATTGGAATAATGGGATAATCACCCCGTAAAAGTGGGATAAATAATCAGAGAGGGAGAAAGAGAGAGAGCATAGAGTACGAGGGTTGGAACCAAATTAGCGGTGTCCTAAGTATTTCTTAGCGTGGGGGTGGGTTACCGTATTGATACCAATTCCCGTGACATCATTGAAATTTATCTCTCAACTTGGTGATGAACAAGGAAAACCACATACATTATGGTGAGTTGAAATGCAGAAATGTGTATATAGATCATGTGTCAAGTTAAGATCACCCTTACCGAGTATACAGAGTTACACACGGCCATTATCCCTGCACCCTGAAGTAGATAGTATATAATACATATGTAGTTTTAAAATGTATACAACAATGGGATAAAAATGCAATTCAGCCGATGCACCAATAGCCGTATGAATGCCCGATTCCCCCACTCGGCTTCTGGTTGATTTCTTTTTTCCCCGATCCACCGTCATACTTAAAAAAGTAGTCTGCCTCTTGGGGGCGCGACTCCTTTTTGTTGCATTTTTTCTTCTTCTTCTTCTTCTTCTTCTTCTTCTTCTTCTTCTTCTCTCTTAAATAAAACAAAATCAGAAAAACACAACCTTGGAAGAAGTAAGAGTGTTATAAGAAGATACCAACACACCAGCATAACTCCGTTCCCGTGTATCACTGCAGCGTCATACATCCACTCCCGAAACCGAATTTACGGATCGTAACCTTGGAATCACCATGCTTTCCGCAGGGGAACGACCTCAACCTCCGCACGCTCCCAAAGTAAATTCCACAAGCAAGGCGCACATCATGCCCGATCTTGCCAATGGAGCCTCATCTTCCACCCCAGCATCCATGATCCAAGACAAGCCCACGAAACCAGCACACGTGCAACACATCTGGGTCGTGACCGGCCCAGCAGGCTGTGGAAAGAGCACCGTCGGCAATGTCCTGCGCACCGAACTTGGCGTCCCATTCCTAGAAGGCGACGACGTAAGTCCTCATCCAATTGCGCCTTTGCGCCTACCAATCTCCCAATCTCCCAGCTAACACCACAAACCCCATAGTACCACCCAGCCGCGAACAAGGAAAAGATGGGCCAAGGCATCCCCCTCACAGACGCAGACCGCTGGGACTGGCTGATCTCCCTCCGCCAAGCGGCCATCGAAGCTCTCTCCCCCTCAGAAAGTAACAACTTCCACCCACCCGCCGGCGTCGTGGTCGCTTGTTCTGCGCTGAAGCAAAAATACCGGGACGTGATGCGGGTCGCTGCGTACGGCTCGTCCTCGGTGCAGATCCACTTCGTCTACCTCAAGCTTGATAAGGATGTGTTGATGCAGCGTGTGGCGCAGCGCCAGTCCCACTATATGAAGAGCAGCATGGTGCAATCGCAGCTTGCGACGCTGGAGGAGCCCAAGGGCGAGTGGGATGCTATGACTATCAATGTTCAAGGGTCTATGGAGGATGTGCAGCGCAATGTAATCAAGGCTGTTACTGAGAAGCTGGCTGAGTATTCGTGATCTTGTCCTTTTCTATAAAAGGGTTTCATGACTCGGTCTGTGCTTAATGGTGATGTCTGATGTGGCGCATGCAAAAATGGCTATCTATGCATGGAGGTTTGTTTAGCATTGTGGTTTCTTTCTCATTCGAGTCTTTTTTTGTCGTCCTCCCTATGGTGTTTGGTGTTTGGGCCGGCTCAGCTGGATTTGTCGCCGGTCTGTTTAGATTTGGCGTTGTTAGGGCTTGTTTATCGAGTCTTTTGTGTTGTGATATATCATATGTCTGACCAGACAGACTTTTCTTATCTCCGCCCTGTTCTGGGGCTCTGAGATATCAATTGAATTGCCTATACCATTTGCACACACCCCACCTATATATACTTTGTTCAAGCTTATGTCAGAGCGAATGAAATTGATCAATCACCTTGATAGTTCTATAGCCCAGATCACACCGACACATCATCTGGATCATTAGCAACTACCTAACAAGCTTTACAGATCTATAGACAGAAAGCTTGGTTCCCCTGCAATGGGGTAATTGTACGCATGCAGTGTTTTGAGATGACCTTAGTAATATGACCAATTATCTATCTAGAACTGCTAATTACCAGGTCAAATGTGACTAGTGTATCTCAGCGTAGGTTCAAAAGCATCAGTTCAGGTGACTCAATCAAGTCCCTGACTCTATTGCCCATCCTCGCCATAGTCGCCCCATCAATAACACGATGGTCCGCACTCCAGCTGAAGTTAACCATGTCCCCACGTGTGACCTGGCCAGCCTCATCAAAGACCGGCACGGTCCTCGACCGACCCACACCGAGAATAGCCACTTCCGTCGGCACAATCACCGGCGCCACATAGGTGCCTCCGATGTTACCAATATTGGAGACAGTAATCGTCCCCCCACTGAGATCAGCGGGAGTCAACTTTCCGCTCTTGCCAAGAGCACTGAGTCTCGTGATCTCAGCGGCGATATCGTAGATCGAGCGAGTCGCGACGTCCTTGATATTCGGCACAATGAGCCCGTTCGGCGTATCCATGGCAATACCGATATTGTGCTTGGCTCGCATGATCAGCTTGGGCTTGCTGGGGTCGCTTGTATCGACTCTCGCATTCAGGATTGGGAATTCAGTCAGGGCTTGAGAGACAGCTTTGACGATGAAGGGAAGGAAGGTGATTTTTGTAGGATCGCGCTTGTCGCTGGCGAGCTTCTTGCGGATAGATGTGATGTCGTTGACTTTGACTTCGTCTGCGTAGAGGAAGTGCGGGGTGTTCAGGGATTTGGTCATTGTCTTAAACATCTGTGATTGGATCGGGGACAGGCTGACAGTTGACTCCATTTGCCGGGTGTCTGGTGACACGGACTGCACGGGTACCGTTGCCGTTACTGGAGAATCCCTCTCTGCGACGAACTTTAAGACATCCTCTTTCATCACCCGTCCGTCTTTTCCTGAGCCGTTGACGTCTAGGATGTCAACGCCATGGTTCTTAAGGAGCCCGCGCACTGCGGGAACTGCAAGGGATGCATTCTTGGACTTGGGTATTTCCTCAGTGGTACTGGCAAGCGGGGGAGGAGATGCCATGGAGGACTCTGCTGCTTGGGTTGCGGCTGCTACCTGGGCGGATGGAGTGGGTTCAGCTGGTTCTGCCCTTGGTTCATGCGGCGGGCTATCATCGGGGTATTTGCCATCTTCGACTTCAATATCGCACAGTGCCTAGCAATTGGTAGTGTTAGCAGTTGAATCAGAGATAAGTATCAGGGAAATGAAGATCAAGGTAACATACCCTTCCAGTAGGTACTGTATCATCCGTCTCGAAATGGAGCTTTTTAATGATACCCTCATATCTCGAAGTAATCTACGCATATTAGGCATTATCCCACAAGACGAGAACAGAATTGAATAAACTCACATCATCAACAGCCTTGTCAGACTGATATTGGCATAAAGGCTTCCATTCCTCAATATGAGCCCCTTCCTCCACGTACCATTGGATGATCTGAACTTCGGTGATGCCTATGCATTGTGAGCAAACAACTGAGACTTGAGACAAAAGAAGAGTTCAACTGACCTTCGCCAACATCTTTTAAGACTTGTGATTTGATCCCCCATAGCAAAGAGCTGGCATGGAATCTCCGAGACAGTAGCGGCGGTAGAGTGGAGCGAATGCGGAGGTGAGTCTGGGGTAGACAAGGTCGGAAGTTGCGGGGAAGAAGTCCCCCACTGCGCTTAAAGCTCATGATAGACAAGTCGCTTCAGATGAAATAGAAAGGTAATTGAGAAATCAGAAAAAGAGCATTGCGTCTGTTTTATTTGGTCCTCAAGCAGCAACTGTCCTGCCCGCACGCCGATGCTAACCGCTGCTACCCACGTGATCTCCCCGCATTTTGGAAATCGACGTTTCCCTTTGATTTTATGGTTTTCTTTTTCTCTTTTTCTTGAATAGAACATTGTCCATTGTGGAGTTAAGCAATCTTTCACTATTTTCGGATCTTTTGGCGGTTGACTCAATTGGAGTGGTAGTTTCGAAAGATCGAAAACAGCTCAGATCGTTGCTGTTACACTGGGAATTATATCACTACATAAAGATGATGCATTCAGATAACTAAAGAGCACTTGGGAAATAAAGGATGCTAGCCAACAGCCATGAGCCTAAGAGAGCCCTGGAGTGAGGACGCATTACAATTGTGTTGAGAACTCCCTATGTGTGGAATAGTGATATAAAAGACTAGTGAGATGAATTCTAGATCTCCTCGGAAAAAATTCTCTATCTATAGCTAAGGAGGCGTAAAAAAAAAACGGATAAGCAAACCATGCGAATGCACAAACAAGCAAACGCTGCTATAGCCATCAAGCGGTTCTTTCAAACTCGCTGCAAAGTCCCATCAATGTCAACGTGGCTCTCGATTATCAGATGCCCCCAGAACCTCTCTTCAACAGTTTCTCCACCGGCCTCCAGAACCGCGCGCGGAATTGCCCGAAATTGAATTGAATCCATACACGCCATCTGTCCCAGTATGATGCCGGAATGCATGTATGGATTGGCCTCCATGGTCATAACCCACGCGATAGACTCCTGATTGAACACCCCATTCGAAAATTCGAAGACGAAGCTGACTTGGACTGGAGTCATGTCGTGGTTTCGGTTTTGCTGGTGAATAGAATCGGACAAGTGTCTTCTGAATTTCTCTGTAAGGACATCACTCGTAATGACTGTGGTAGCTGCGCCTGTATCCCATAGCATTTCCACTCCAAGCATTTCACACGTAGGCATTCCGTTGACCCAATCGACTGCAGACTCCTCAAACTTTCCGACAACTCTTGCTAGAGTCTTTTCTGACAGCAGAGGGCGAAGGTTGAGGGCATAGGCTCTCGGTGATGGTGGGCTGTTTGCTTCACCTAGGAACTTCTTTTGAGCAAGGCACGACGCTGCGGGGAGATTGGGTGTGGTTTATCTTCGGCACCAAGTTTTCCTGGGGTTCATATGAGCTGATTGACTCTAACTGGAGGCTCTTCAGAACGCAGGTTCTCAAGTGCTATGTTGCGCAATTTCTGACGACGGGCAGGGTTGTTTGTCGGCAGTAAGATCAGATCAGGCAACCCGATCATAGACTGCAGGGCCGCAGAAGCTTTCCTCAAATGTAGCATGGTTATTCGAGATCGTGATATATAGATCACTATGGTTTCTTTTCAGGCCGTTTGCGACTTCGCTGAGGACTACGCCAGCAGGAAATCTCTGACCTTGCTCCATTTTTGGGAAAAGAGGAAGCGAGAGGTGAACAGGACCGAGACAAAGTGCAAAGGGTCGCAGCAATGTAGATAGGCAAGGTAGACGAGATGGTTAGCTTGTTTGTAAAGGGAAGAAATGATCAAGTAGGGCTGAGAGGATGCGATCAAGGAAAGTAAAAGGTGTGACAGAGAAGTAGCCGATATTTGTTAGGGCAGCGGCACACGAGAAAGGTAACTACGTGGTATCATAGTTACATAATATAGTAGGCCAACTGTGGACGAGATCAAGTGAGATATTAAGTGAGAGATTAAAGTAAAGTAAGAGTAAAGTAAGAGTCAAGTAAGAGTCAAGTGAGAGATCAAAGGAGAGTGAAGTGAGATGTCTTAGATGCCGACGAAGTTTATCGCGTTAAGAAAAATTGACATTTCCCTTCTGGATCTCGAACATCCACTACGACTGAGGTTTACTATACATTCCATTATTACTTAGGTACGTACCACCGCAGGCTTCAATATCTCCACCTATGACGCTTGTTAAGCATGAATTGTACGAGCTGATAATTCCACGATTTGTTGCAAGCCACACCCGACACACCCGAGGTTGAAGAAACACATGTATATGCGATTGGACGATGTTTATCAGATTCGTGTTTTCCCTGTCAATCATTTTAAGTCCGAGGACCTAACGGGCCAACGTCGCAAAGTCGGGCTTAATCCAGTCATAAAGACCGAGTTCACTTTCAATTGAAGATCCATTGCGCAATCAATAGAATTGAAAATGCAAAGTAACGTGCAAGGAACATGCAATCATGGAGTCGGAATCTTCAGTTGCCGAGTCTTTCAAAGTACGCGTTGTCGTCGGGGTGGAGACTAGCTCAAAGTGAAGATCGTCACACTTTTACCCAATTTAGAGACCGAGGCCGATGCAAGCCCCGAAGTACTTAATATCATCTTGTTCGACGTACGTCGAGTAATTAATTATACAGGTTTCATATTGGGCTGCGTACGCAAGCTACGAAGTAAATATATAATATATAAAGGGATCGTCAGTTTCTTATTCCTTCGTTCTGTGTTCTTTAGGTTTTCTATTGCTTCATTTCCATTCTCTGCGGTGATCTACACAATGGCTCCGCTCCTAACCAAGACCCTAGCCTCACTGGTTCTGGGCGCTGCTGTCGCCCAAGCCCAGCTCTGGGACAAGGTTATCCAAACCTCCTACGGACCTGTTGAGGGTTATGAATACTTCAACCAATCTACTCTGGACAAGTACTTCGGTGGTGCCGAATCTAACGTAGCTGCTTTCTTGGGTATTCCCTTCGCTGCCGATACTGGATATCAGAACCGCTGGAGGGCTCCCCAGCCCCGGGAACCATGGAATGAAACCCTGAAGGCCACTGACTTCGGTCCTGCCTGCCCTACTTCCGCCAATTCCTACATCAGCGAGGACTGTCTCAGTCTCAACATTTGGACCAACGCCAAGACAGCCGATTCCAAGCTCCCCGTCATGGTTTGGAACCAGGGCTCCGATGAGACCAGTGACAACACTTGGTGGTATGGAGGTGGTATGGCCTTGAAGGACGTTATTCTCGTCAGCTTCAACCGTCGTGATGATGCGTTCGGTTACCTAGCCACCCCTGAGCTGAATGAGGAAGGTTACAAAGCTACCGGCCACCAGACCTCTGGAAACTACGGCATTTTGGACCAGCTGGAGGTTCTTAAGTGGGTTCAGAAGAACATTGCCAAGTTCGGTGGTGATCCTGACCGCGTAGTTGTTGCCGGCCAGTCCTTCGGCTCTTCCCAGGTTTACCATGCGGTCAACAGTCCTCTCTTCACTGGCTACTTCCACGGTGGTATCTCCCAGTCCGGTATCAGATACCCCTATGACACTATGCTGGCCGGTCTTGCTACCTCATACGTCAACATGTCCACTGCCATCTCCAACAGCGCCAGCTACATCAGCGCCCACAATGTTTCTACCATCGCGGAGATGCGCACTCTGTCCATGGAGAGCTTGATCGAAGGTGCCTCTGACCGAGTCACCAACAGCTCTATTTGGTGGGTTACCGCGCTCTCTGCCGGTTACCCTCTGATTTTCAAGCCCGTTCTCGACAACTATGTGCTGCCTTCCAAGTACATCGAGTCGTTGATCAATGGCCCTGCCAACGATGTTCCCGTCATCACCGGTAACACCAAGGATGAGTCTGGAGCTTCGACCACTACCGACTACACTGCAGCCGAGTACAACTACTACTGCGGACTCAAGTATGGCAATCTTTCCAGCGAATATTTCAAGCTCTACCCAGCCCATAACAACGAGACCATTGCCTCGGAAGCCTGGAATGCCGCTGCCGATGACCTCTCGCTCGTTGGTTCATGGGCCTTCGCAACTGAATGGTACAAGTCCGCTACCTCCGACTTCTACACCTACTACTGGACCCACGCGCCCCCCGGTCAGAGCCAGGGTGCGTTCCACCAGTCTGAGATCATGTATGCACTCAACGCTCTCTACGCCAATGACGAAACCTACCCATTCACCGAGGTCGACTACCAGATCCAGGAGAAGATGTCCGCTTACTGGGCCAACTTTGCGAAGACTCTCAACCCCAACAACGGTGGCTCCTATAATGGCAGCAAGGTGTTGCCCCGCTGGAGCCCTAACAGTGCTAATGGCACTCAGGTTGTCATGGAGCTTGGAAACAAGTTCAAGAGTGTGTCCGTTGCTGACCCAAAGCGGGTGAAGTTCATGATGGACTACTTCCACCAGCAGGTCCCTTACTAGAGTTTTTTTTCTTTTTTTTTTTCTGGACATTGTGTGAGAGGTACTTTATCCTGTCCTGTAATAATAGACACAGTAGGTTCAATTGTTCTATCAATTGAAGTGAACAAGTATAAACAAATTTCTTATGGCTCCAATATGAGACTGATATTCTCACTGCTAAATCCATGAGTGGTCCACGGATGGTTCTACGAGGGTTGTCAAACCAATGACCTCAACGTCCAGGGGAAATTAAATTGAGAATGAACTCTTCTGTCATAAAAACATTTACATTGTAGCAAAGATCACAACATGAAAGATAACGAAAAATGGGCCAAATAATGGAGCCTTGTAAGGCTGCCGAGGTCCAGAGGTCAGGCAAGGTCAAGTCTCCAGGGTCCAGGCGCGTATGTAGGAATCTCCGCTCTGTTTTGCATCCGTCAAAATGTCCACGCGAATCAGCATTGACTGCCAAGAGCAAGAGCGCACCTATCGGGGATCGCCCGCTGATTGGAGAGGGAGGGGTAAACCCACTTCGATCTCAAAGCTCTAGGCAACCAATTTCGAGTGACAATTTCAAGGGCGCTTGATCTCAATCTTCGGATCATTGCCATCATGGTTGCTGAACACCTTACCCTTCGTAACAACACCTCCACCCCGATTGTCCTGAAGCGCATTGAGCGCTTCCGGGCACCGGAGAAGGGAGGGTTCGATGCCTTCAGCACGATGGCCAGGAACTTCACCCAGGTCTTGACCAACCAAACTCGCAATGCTACTGTCGCCTCGATCGAACATGACAGCCGTCCCTTCGAGGAAAAGGATGTCGACATTTGTATCGAGCCATTCACTACGAAGAAGACTGAGCTCCGCTCCTTCATTGATTCCGACAAAGAGCGCGCACGTCTTGTCTTCGAAGCCGAGGGCCAAAGATACCAGATCCAGGCCCCGGTTCCAACCACAGAGTCCGAGACCATGAAACCACTCAGCGAGAACCCCAAATTCCGCTTCACAGGCATCTACGTGACCACATCATCCTTCCTGGCAATCTTCTCCTCCGCCAACCTAAACGCCTGGATGCGCGAACTGCGCGACGACACCCTTGTCTCTGCCCTCTCCATCCCAGGAACCCACAACTCGCCAACCTGCCACATCGCGCCACCCTCAGTACGCTGCCAAGCTGTCAGTCCCAGAGAACAGCTCGAGAACGGCGTGCGCTTCTTCGACATCCGCGTGCAGCCCCAGTACCCCGACGACGCCGGCCGGGACGAGCTGATCCTCGTGCACAGCGTGTTCCCCATCTCGCTGACAGGCAACAAGTACTTCCGCGACTTAATGAATGAAGTCAACAACTTTCTCGAACGGAACCCATCCGAGACCCTGATTATCTCTCTCAAGCGCGAGGGTACCGGGAATGCCACTGACGAGCAGCTCTCGCATATCCTGCACGACCACTACGCTAAGCCGGATAGCCGGTGGTGGGTGCGGCCCAAGATCCCGACTTTGGGCGAGGCCCGTGGCAAGATTATTCTTGTGCGACGGTTCAATCTGCCGGAGAAGTTGAAGGGCGAGCATGGCGGCAACGGTTGGGGTATTGATGCTGCCGCTTGGGAGGATAACACTGCTCATGCGGTGTGCCCCAGTGGCCAGCTTTGCATTCAAGATTTCTACGAGGTCCTGGAAAGTATGAATATCGAGAAGAAGATTCAGTATGTCTCTGAGCAAATTGATCGGGCGAGCTGCTGTCGCTATCCGTTTGGTGTTCAGCCTGACGCGCATGCGACCAAGGCGTTTCCCTTTTACATCAATTTCTTGAGTGCGAGTAATTTCTGGAAAACAAATACTTGGCCTGAGAAAATTGCGGGTAAGGTGAACCCGGCTATTGTTGATTATATCTGTCGTCGGGGCAAGGAGCATGATGCTGATTGCTCGACGGGTATTCTTGTGACGGACTGGGTTGGTTTGAATGGGGATTGGGATCTGGTGCGCTGCATTGTTGGCATGAATGCCAAGCTACGATTGAGAGAGAATTAGAGTGAACATACTTGGGCGGGAAATTTGCCATTTTTGCGCGGTCTTTGGTTGTCATACATACACCTGGACGCTCGAGAGAGCACTACATAGAGCCCGATGCGGCATGGTTTAAACAGAGAATATGATCCACAAAGGTTAATATTGCAAAGTATACATTGATCCTAAAGTAGGAGGGAGGGGTCTTGAGGAAGAAACGCAGAATATGATCTATTATACAGGAAAATGAATCGAAATGACCTTGACCAGATTAGGACGATTCGCTCTTGTCGCCCGTCGGTCCCTTCTCCTCTTCTTCCAGAACGCTGCGTCGGCTTTCCATGGTGAAGTATAGGCTCTTGCCAGCTCCCTCCAGGGTAGTAGCCACACTGGAGCTCATGCTCTGCAAGGCAGTGACGAGCTGGGAGCGGAGGCCGTCCATGCCACCCTCAATGCTGCCGACCCACTTGGTCTGGTTGATATCAAAGACCTGGTTATCCACGCGAGCCGCCAACAAGTTGATCTTGCGGAGACCGTTCTGAACAATGGGGTCGTGGTAGTCCGGGTTGGCTTTGCGGCTAGGGGTAGGGAAGCCGGCTTCCTTGGGAGTGAGAATCGACAGCGCAGCCTTCATGTGTTCAGGCGAGACGATAGGGATGGAGAGAATAGCGACGGGGCCGACGAGAAGAGGCGAAAGCTCGTGCATACCCTTGGTATTCTTCACCGCAAGATGGGCAGTACGGGACAAGTCGTGTGTCAAGGCCGGGTCGTCCTTAGATCCTGAGACCGCAGGGAGTTCGGCGGAGGTTTGTGTCACGGGGTCGACTGCTCTAGGGGGCTGTCCGGAGGCCAGAGCAGCATCGGTAGGCTTGAAGTACTCGACGATACGCAGAGCCACCTCGAAGATACTGGTCTGAATTGTTTGGATCTTAATGTAGGGAGCAATGGCGGGAGCCGTCCGGCCTTCGGTAGCAATTTTGTCGTCAACCTTTTTCAAAGCATTGGCGAGTTCTCGTCGGATGGCGGCCCATTCCATGGACTTAAGGTTGTTGTGTTGGAACAGCACGATGAGAGGAGACGTGCGGAGAAGGGATGTGTAGGACCGCAGGAGTTGCGACCGGCGGTATTCAGGATTGCGGTGCGATGGTAGCTGAGTGGGGGGTGATCTTGATACCGGAACTGGTGAGCGTGTCATCTGCTCAATGGAAGCAGCTGGCGTGAATACCGGAGCCGCAGCGGTGCTTGCGCTCCTAACAATTTGAAGTTCATATTGGCATCGAGGAATTTGGTGTCCAAGAGACGAGATCCTTAACCGAGGTGGCATTGTAAAAATTGTTTTTGGATTGGCGGATTAAAACAGCCAATGCCTAATTGCTGTTCAAGAAAGGTGATTCGTAGTTGTCCAAATAGCCCCCGGAAAATGCAAATCGGGTGATAATTTTTGGATACCAAAATGGTAAGGCGGTGTAACACGGCAAAAATAGTAGATTATGAGGGGCCATCATTGACTCACGATTGGTGTCAAATCTACCGAGTACCTCCATTGTGAAACCACTTTTTTTGATACCTGCACAGGGGTCGTGGACGTGGCATTGATTACCAATATTTCAATTATGGCGACACCTACTTCCGCGCCTCAGCGGCCTGACTCTATCTCCATCGCTCCGCTCCTGCAGCGTTTGGCTTACCCCGCGGATGCTGCGCTTCAATTAAGTGCAGAAGCAAGAGCTACTAGCGCAGAAGTAATTGCTGAAGTGGGGGCAGATGAAATTGCTGCTGCTTTTGCTTTAATATTTGAGGATCGTCTTTCCCATATTCAAGCAGCTGCACTTCTCACATTGCTCCATTCAACCGGAAAGGATCGACAAGCTGATGTAATTGCGAAATGCTCTCATTGTATGCGACGAGCAGCTTGCCAGGTGGAGAAAGGTCCGCTTCAGAAGGTCATCAAGTCTCGGTCTCTTGGGATGCATACTGGAAACTATAAGGGTGGATTGGTAAGGACAGCCTCATATTGCTATTCGGTCAGCGCGATATTAACAAATCGTGATATATAGTGTGACATCGTTGGAACTGGAGGAGACTCCCATTCGACCTTCAACATTTCGACAACCTCCTCGATCGTTGCCTCGCCCATCGTGATGACAGCTAAGCATGGCAACCGTGCCCAGACGTCCTTCTCCGGATCCGCCGACGTTCTCAATGCCATCCAGCCAATTCCACCGAAGATTTCAGCGATCACCGCCGAAAACCTGGCCCAGGTCTATGAAAAGAGCACATATTCCTTCTTGTTCGCTCCTAATTTCCACCCGGGAATGAGTCATTCCAACCCTGTCCGCAAGGGCCTTGGCCTGCGAACTATTTTCAACTTAATGGGCCCATTGGCAAACCCGGTTGACTGGGCTATCGAAGCGCGAGTGGTTGGTGTTGCCTACAAGAGCCTTGGCCCGGTATTCGTCGAGGCTCTCAAACAAAGCGGATCAAAGAAAGCGCTGGTTGTTTGTGGCGAGGAGGACATGGATGAAATCAGCTGTGCTGGAAAGACAAACTGCTGGAGGCTCTCGGAGTACCCCAACCCCGAGTACAAGGAATCCGAAGACGACGGAGATGAATCCAGCGACGATGAAAGCGAGATCCCTCGCACATTGGTCAAGCAAGATTATTTCCAGCTCCACCCATCGGACTTTGGTCTCTCCACCAACCCTCTTAGTGCCGTGGGTGGACGTAAGATGCCAAAGGACAATGCTGCTAAGTTGATAAGCATTCTTCGGAACGAACTTGAGCGGGACGACCCAATCTTAGAGTTCGTTCTCATGAATGTGGCAGGCTTACTTGTCACCTCAGGCGTGTGCGAAGCTGATACAAGCAATATGGGGCCTGGCGATGATGGCAAGGTCATCACCGAACGTGGTCCCGGCGGCGGCCGCTGGAAGGAAGGTGTGCGCCGTGCACGCTGGGCGATCGAGAGCGGCCAATCTCTGAAGAGCTTGGAGCAATTCATTGAAGTTACCAACCAGCTGTAAAAACGCCGGTGAGTTATTTAAGTAAAAATCTAGGGTTTGATAATATTTCCGGGTTTGATGGGCTTCTAGCTCATGGTGCCGCATAGACTTTCTTTGCCATCTATGTTGATGTACGTAGTGTGAGCTTGTTTCGAGTAGATCAGTTCAACGTCCATGAAAAAGTTTGTTTTGTTTGTTTCTCTCTCTACCCCGAATATGATTGTGCCAGGTTTAAACAATTGGAAGTTTGAAGCCTGCCCTATTCACGGGCTCAAGATTGAGTGGAGAACACGCCTACAACATCGCATGTTCGCATATCGAGACCAAAAGAAACTGGTTTGTAGATTTCAACTCCAAAGCGCCATTGTATGCATAATTCGTCAAGGCCAAAGAAAGATCTGAAGCCGATCCTCCAACTTCGCACCAAGCCCGAGACTCTCGGTCCAAAGTTGGTATCCTACGCCAATGGGTAGGGCGGGATTGGTATTTCGTATAACATTGCCTCCTTGAATGAGTGGTTTCAAGACTTCAATCTCGAACTTCCCATTGTTCGCTCTTGTAAAGTAAGCCCGAACATTTAACGAGCTTGGAACTGAACCATGCTATAGATGCAAAAAAGAAAGTCAGTTCACGCACAAAGCGCATGATAAGAAGCAATCAGAAAATCTTACCGCTTGGTCCGCTCCTTGTAGAGCACACGGTGACCGCAGTCCTTGCAGCGAATCTGGTCACCGCGCTTCAAAGGGACACGGGCAGAGCACTCGCCGCAGAGATACACGACGGAGGGGCTGTCCACGGCCATGGCGCTGGCGAAACCGCCGCCTTGGGCATCGAATGTGTTCTGGGAGCCAATCGCGGGGACCTGGTAGGCTTCGCGAGACATTTTGTGTAGTGGGTTGTTGGTATTAGATGCTTGATTTGCGCTCGGTTCGATCAAATCCTGCAAGAAGAGGAGAGTTGGGGCTTGAGGGTATAATAGTTGTGAAGGTCAAATGCTTGGATTCTTTTTCTTTCTGGAGCGCGGGCCCTGGAGTTGATTGGTCATAAATTAGTCATCCACCGCCGAGGCCCCGCGGCCCAGGACCAGCGATCTGGAAGTATACAATGTGCCTCTTCGGTTCTTAATTTATGATGTAAAATTGCTTGTACTTGAAGTCAATCATAACCTTCAAGATCCAATATCTTGTTTATCATTATCCTGACTCTAAAAAACAAAATGTGGTATCGCCCTTCATGATATGCAAGAAAAACCAAATACCAGCGCCATGCAAGTGAAGTAAAAAAGCCAAAAGCACCTCTCCAAAAGTGAGAAAATAATATGAACAGAAATCTCACCAACCACCACCAATCTTTCCAGCAAGCTCCACGACTCGAGTAGTATCGTTGGCAGGAGTTTGGTCTTTGCCAACATCGCTTTCAACCTTGCGATATGTGGTGTAGACAAGTTTGGATAGTGGTATGTCCATGAACTGCGACCAGCGCCCCAAGCCCTCGTGGATTTTGGCTTCCTTGTCAGCCAATAAAGGTTGTTGGGACTCGATTTCCAATTCTGAGTCTGACTCTGATTCCATGGAGAAGTATGCCTCATCGACACGGGCTAACCATGTACGCTGCTCGTGGGGCGATGGTTTGGTAGATGCATCAGATACCCCTCCTTGAGAAGAAGCAAGAGTCTCTCTAGCGTCCTCGACTCGGATCTGGCCACCGCCATTCGTACACCCACCAGGGCAGGCCATGACCTCTACATAAGCATAGTCCGAGCCTGAGCTGCCCGTAGATGCGGCGTTTCGCGACATAGGCTGGCGTCGGCTTGTGGTAGGCTTCGCACCGGGAAGCCTTGAAACGCGCGCGGGCTTGAGTTTTCGGACGAGATTTTGAATGTTTCGGAACCCGTAATAACGAGCTGCTTTCAAAATAGGTTGTTTCTCTTGGGACATCAAGATGTAATCGACGACATCCACATTGCGTCCGCGGTTAATTACTAGCTCGCTCCCTGGGTTGCGAGCCTGGAAGGTCATAAGAACATGGTGCAGGTAGCCTCCAGAGGTGCCAGCGGCAAGAGATTGTTCTGCCCGAGATCGCTTGAATGAGATGAAAGATTCAAGGGTTTTTTCGGGGAAAGGTGGAGTGAAAGATGAAGGTAGAGGTTGTAAAGGTAGTTCTGGCAGTGAGAACCCACGAGACGAAGCTAACGAAAGGAGCTCACGGGCAGTAATCACACAGTCCACGTCACGAACGGGCTGAGCTTCAGCGCTTGAGCGATCTTCCTGGCGCCATGATACATCTGTGAGCTCCTCTCGACTAGCTTCTAACTTCTTGTCAAAGCATGGCATCACTGCTAAATGCCATATCCGAGAAGGATGAACCCCAAGAGATTTGCTCAAAACGGTCTTGAAAAACGTCCCTGACAAGGCCTGCGGCGACTTGAGTCGAGAAAGATGTGGGAGAATAAAGGGGTGCGTCTTTTCGGCGTAGCAGATCCATCCAGGGCACGCAGAAGATAGAATTGGGCGTTTGGGAAGCGCGCTGTCAGAGTGACCCGCCGTTGACAATTCATTCGATTTGAGAGAGTCCGAGACTTCATCTGCGGTGAGGACTAGGACGGCTTCTCGCATGGCATTGGTGTCTACAACCCATGTAAACCCATTGCCGTGTTTGCCCCCACCCCGCAAGCCCTGCGGGCCACTGAGCAACTGGTCGATCATGTACCCCGCTTCTTTCTCCGAAATTCCATAGGTCGTGGCTAAACTTGCCCTCACCTGCGGACTGACACTGGCCACGAAAATCTTGCCTTCTCCAGAGTCTTTCGCATTATTAATCACTGTGCCGTGGTGCTCGTGTGTCAAGGGAATTTCCGGGTAGGCATCGAGGGTATTGAGGACCTCAGCATGAGACTGAAGGGATATAAGCACCGCTTCGGCAGATGTGACACACCCAGAGCAAGCAAGGCAATCCGTCAAAGAAATCTGGGCAGGTGGTAGATTCTCGGGCTGAACCTTGTCTTCCGTCGTTACTTCGTAAGCATCCTATGATTAGAAAGTCAGCATATCCAATGATTTCGGGGAAAGCAATACAATCACACCTCTTGAGTCTTTGCGTCTTTCAGAGGAAGTGTTTCCACTGGTTTGATACACGCGACCCCCGGTGAAATGAAATCGTTCAGATCGTCTGCCGACAAGATCGCGCTCATTGTGGCGTTTCGATCAAAGAGATTCTCTGGCTTCAACGGGTCCAAGAGTAGAGAATGAAAGAACTTTAAAAAATACTGGAAATACTTTTTGAAAATAAAAATACTATGAGGCGACAGCCCGCCAACAGCATTGCGGGCTTTGTCATCTCTAGTGGCGAGGTCGGAGATAAGCTCACCGCCTTATGCGGGGAAAAAAGCAATCTCTGATTGGTGGATTTTCGATCTATAACAGACTTTTAATGCTTCTCTTCCCTTTCTCTTTCTCTTTATTTTCTTCTTCTCTTTCTCGTGGGTTCCTAGATCGAGTTTTGCCTTTACTAATAGGATGAAATAGGAAAATGTAAATTTGAACTGTAAACCAGCTACCAAACCCTCATTCTTAATATATATCAACGCCCATCTTCGGTCTAATCATCCCTTATTTGAAAAGATTCTCAACAACGTCCCAAGCGAGAAGTCCAAAGTCACGCGAAAGGCAAACACAAGGGGCAAAATAATCATCACCGAAGCTAAGACACGAACGAGAACCATTGTGTCTCAAACAGAAACAAACGGATCCAGGTTTGGCTTCTTAGTAGACCCGCAGACAGCCCCGACATTGAACGCCTCCTCGCCGGGTTTTCCCAAATAACACGCGCATCGTCGTCAAAGTCGTGGCACAAGATACGTACGATGCTGCCATTTACACTTCCAATGGTTTCCATTGGACTCGAAGACCACAGACGCGATTGGATTTTACTAACATAGCTCATGGATTAGGAAGAAGAATGATGATGATGGAATAATTATGTATCTAAGTGGTGGTATAAATGCTCATTTATTTGAGCGAGGCGAGAGGGCAAGCATGCTAGCAAACAGGGGGGCATAATGTATCAGATCCTAAGAGCAATTTTGCAGTTTCCAAACGGAAATACTTCAATTACTGGATGGCATGAGCATCGGTTGAGACTTTTTGTTTACTTCTGATCTTTTGATCTTCTCTTTGAATCCCTCTCATGTTGCGAGTTGACTCTATAGTCACCAGGTGTAAGATAGTATTGATTTGAAGGCGTTTTTGTAATTTGATTTTGATTTTTGAATTCTTACATCCAGGAGTCCCGATGCTATCTATATATTTAGTGAAGCAACAGTTCTCAGAGAACAGAGCTACATATTGAAAGGTTGTGCGAGACAGCCGAATTCATTCGTGGCTTGATCACTGAAGAGGTACGGCTTCCGAGAATGACTACCTTCGAAGCCAGTTTAAAAGCACAACAGATCAAGAAGGCTCCTTGGAGTTTACATTTTCGATGGTTAATTGCCATCATTCATGGGAAATTATTAGAATTCCATCCTTCAGTGTCAGCGCCGTTCAGCGGCTGCTCTCCAGCTCCACTCATCAGCAAATCAAAGAATGCAGTGTCAAGACCCTGGAAAAGCCATTCTTCCATGCCAGCAGTGGCATCAGGAGGTGTCTCTTCTGGCAGCACAAAAGTATCTCCAGAGGCTATTTGTCTCCCGTGATTCCTTGCTGACGATGCCCCCACTGCCTGCGCACTTGATGGCCGGGCTGTAGCATCGGGCGTGGCCCCATCAACATGATGGTCGGAGTCGTGTGGTGTTCTGACATGAATAGAACCAAAGCCACCAATTGTGACACCTTCATGAGAACCTTGTTCCTGTTCCGCGTCGAAGGGGGTAATAGAAATATCGTCTCGCGCAATTCTGATGGCACCAACGTACGGCACCTTGACTATCAACACGTCTTGGTCCTCTTCTTGACCATACTCGCATTGTCTTTCTGTAGGCCCGGCTTCAATGTCTAACAAATTCTTGAGAAGGGCAGCACATTTTGCTGTGAGAACATCCTCATGCAGCTCCGACACGGATTCCATGCACTCAAGAGACCGCTCCACCTTCGCCCGGTCTCCCATCCGCTGGTGTATGAGTAGGTTATCAGTACTCTTGTTACAGTGGCTTAAGATGTGGGCCAGCATCAGTGTCATGCCCGCAATCAGAGCCACAAAGTCGCTCATCCGACAGCCTGCCGTGACTGGGTTAAATGTACGGATCGCAATCTGTCGAATCAGAATCTCACGGCTGGCATTTGCACAGGCTATTCTCGAGTACAACCTCTGCGGCACATATCTTGGGTTTAGCATATATGGTAGGTGAAGCTGATTCACTAAAGAGTAATAGAATATATGATCCCAAGCTCGTCGAGTTTCTGAGAACGCATCCGCCGAGTCTACCTGAAGACCCGCAAGTGCCAATGGCCGCCAGAATGTAGGCGGCCATTGCTCAGTGACCTTCAAGAGCTCTTGATCGATGTCTTGAGTCATAACAAGTGCTTCCTGGGGTGCGTGCATTTGATTCCGTTCGATAATCTTGCGCACCACATCAGGAATGAGTACAGGCAGGTTGCCGCTTTCAACACGAGCGCTCGTTGCTCTGGGGATTGTGAAATTCGCACCGCTAGTGCTTGTGGGCAAACCTAGCAGTAAGCATAGAAATTGCTCCGTCGAAACCACACTGGCCCACATGACCGCAGGATCAAGATCGTTCTGCTGGCTGAGGACCTTGAAGCGATAATGACCTGGTCGATGCAAGCCCAATAGCTGTGCTGTCATGACAGCACGGCGCATCGTGATCCAGGATCGTCGGATGTTGCCGCCATCTATATGATAGAAGCCTTCGAGTATGAGAATCTCAAGGCCTTCTAATGTGCCTAGCAAGGCATCGTTCGTGTTTACCAGCTTAATGGCTGAGTCTGCCAGCTGTTCCATGATGGCGCGATGATGCTTGGTGAGGCCGGGTATTGATTTTGTGGGAGATAGGTGTTGTAATCCTACTGCAAAACGCAGCATTTGTCTTGCCAACAAGACCGGGTGGCTTTCTGAATATAGGAGATTGGCTACTGGTATTTGCTCTTTGGCCAATTCGTTACGTAACGAGCTGCACAGCTTGAAGCTGGATTCATAGCAGAAGATAGACATGCTGCTGAGATTTTCAAGCAGAGTTTCAATGTCTTTTTGAGGAGGCAGAGAGCTTCGCAGGGCTTGAGTGATGCTATGATAAGCGGAAGTCTGCGAATGGGAGCCATGACTGAACACTATTGTCGGTGGCAACTGATGTACTGCAGGTTGGGTTGGTGTTTCTTCAGTCTGTAGGCGAATTGATACATTCGTTTGCTTTGTTATATCATCAGTGGATATCCGTGTATGTGAAGACACCGACTGACTTTGCCATGTGCCGACGATGCCGGCGTTGAACGTTTCTGACGTGGAGTTTGTGGTAAACAGCCAACACTAGCATCTGGTTGAGGAGGGGCACGACTCTCATGCAGTAGCTGTGTATTAACAGCATCCTCATGTTCAGCATCTCCTATGTCGTTCTTAGCTGCTTCCAGTCCATTCAAAATCACTTGACTGGTGCATTTTGTGCCTCGACGATGACAGATGGTGCAAATCGCATCATTTGGCGATGAAAAAGTACACTTGACTTTTCTCCGCCTGCACTCCCAGCAACTGTGTGTACCTTTGCGAACCTTTCTGCGCTTTGCTACGGGTTCGTCCGAGGGAACGTTCATCATTCGGTCGGTAGGCTGTTGCAAGCTATAACCGCGGAAAGAAAGACCAGCTTTTGACCGAGTGCAAGAATATATAGATATCCCATCAAAAAGGCTGGACCGAGAAGCGGTTCGGTACTAATGATGGCTAAGATGCCTTTTGTTGTGCTTGCAGATGCCCTCGGACGGCGTGACAATGCTGACTAATCTATAAATTTCATCCGAAGGGGCCATTCGGACGAATCAGATACATCAAAGAAGAATATTGAATTGGGGCCGAGCTTAATTCGGCCGAACTGCGACATTCCTTGTCTAAATATGTAGCTCGGAGATATGACATGTCTTTGTTCGAGTTTGTCCGTTGCAACTGGAGCTCGTCCGAAGCCGACCTAGGGAGTACATAAATGAATAAAGAAGCTATTTATTTCGTGATGTGATGTGAAAAGAGGCAATTTTCGACCCTGCCATATCGCCGTAGCCAACAATGGACAAGCAGATCACCAACTCAGAGAAGCAGGCGACCGCCGAAGAGCCTCCGCTGCTCTCCCTTGTGTCAAGTTCAGAACGAAGCGGCATGGATGTCGCCAACCGCAATTCAAAAGCTCATGCCATTGATGAATATCCGCATGGTGCCCGCCTGGCTGCTGTTGTCATTTCGCTCATGCTGGGCATGTTCTTGGTGGCACTTGACAATGTTAGTTTCTCATTTCGCGATGCACTACGCAACTGACCAAAGCTATCACCAGACTATCCTCGGCACGGCCATCCCTAAAATCACGGACGAATTCCATGACCTGAACAAAGTGTCATGGTACGGATCAGGCTATTTGATGACATATGGCAGTGGTTAGTTATATGGACATATTCGTTTATGGATGGCATGTTGACCTTTCACGCAGAGCGGCCCCTTTCTTTTCATCTATGAATGCTTGGGTAGCAGGCCTCAAAGCCTTCTCAGCACAAAATGCTAATCATTACAGGCTTCCAATCAACCTGGGGAAAGTTTTACAAGTACTTTCCGATCAAGCTTTGGTTTCTCGTTGCTATACTCATTTTTGAGGTGGGAAGCCTCATCTGCGCTGTGGCTCAAGACCCTACAACCCTCATTATTGGCCGAGCTATCGCTGGCTTCGGTGGATCCGGAGTTGGCGTAGGAATTTTCACGATTATCGGGCTTGCTGCGCCTCCTGAGAAACGTCCACAGCTTTTGGGCTTTACTGGAGCGACCTATGGCTTAGCCGCAGTATTGGGACCGCTCATCGGCGGTGCTTTTACTGACAAAGTGTCATGGCGCTGGGTAAGATGAAAGCCATCGGAATGTTAGCTATCACTGACCATTAGTTAGTGCTTCTACATCAATCTGCCTATCGGGGGTCTAGCTGCCGCAACAATCTTTTTCCTCTTCAAGGCCCCAAGTAGCGCAGCCCCGGCAAAGGCTACACCCAGAGAAAAGTTCTTGCAAATGGACCTCGTCGGAGGAGCTCTTATGATGGGATTGATCATTTCATTTATCTTGGCGTTGCAGTATGGTGGACAAACACATTCGTGGAAGAGCAGCGAGGTTATTGGCCTCCTGGTTGGGTTTGCTTTGATTGTTCCGGTTTTTGTGGCCTGGGAAATCTACCAGAAAGAGCGTGCAATGATTGTCCCCCGGCTGGTAAGCTATGATGCAAGTTACATCCTACTCCGACATGAGCTAATCACAATAATTTAGTTCATGAAACGCTACATTTCCGTGGGCTCCATATTTATGTTCTTCTTTGGCGGCGCCTACTTCAATCTCCTGTACTACCTTCCTATATATTTCCAGAGCGTCTACAACAGCAGTCCAATTGGATCTGGTGTGAAGATGCTCGCTCTAATCATCCCGCTAACCCTAGCTTCCATTGTACAGGGATTTGCGTTATCCAAAATCGGCATCGTACCTCTGTTCTGGGTCATAGGTGGCGTTTTGGCAACCGTCGGTACTGGCTTATTCTATACTTTTGATACTGAAACATCTGCTGGCAGGTGGATTGGGTATCAGATCATTGTTGGGTTCAGCATCGGCTGCACGTTCCAGATTGCCATGTCAAACGCGCAAGTCCATGCTTCACCAGAGGACATGTCGCAGGCTACAGCTATCGTTAATTGTGAGTCCTTCATTTAATTTACCTTACATGAGCTATCCTTTAACAGTGGTTCTAGTTTTCCTGACCGTTGGTGGAGCTTTCTTTCTATCAGCAGTACAATGCGCCTTCAGCAATCAGCTGATTGCAACACTTGCCAAAACGCTCCCCGAGATCGACCCGGCGGTTGTTATTGGGACCGGTGCAACACAAATTCGTGAAGCTTTTACGGCCTCGCAAGTTTCTATCATCATCGATGCCTACATGATTGGTCTAAAAGCTGTCTTTGGGATTTCAATTGCTGCCTTTGGTGTCGCCACTGTGGTTGGCTGCTTTGGCAGCTGGAAGAAGCTCCACGGTGATGATCTGAAGAAGACTAACGGTGGCGTTGCATGATACCTTCGTCTCCAGATCATTTTTGTGTCTGATTAAGGGCTAGCTTTGAATGCTAGGCCATCACCTTCATGGAGGGAAGGCATTCTGCGACTCAGGCTTCCGGTTCCAGAGATCTGAAGTTGTCTGTTGCTAAATTTAGAGACCTTTTGCTGGATTGATGTATTATATTTGTTGGATAGAGTCTTTAATAAAGTGGGGCTTTATCAATTTCTTCAGTTTGCCATAGAATACGGCGTTTGTATCCTGAATGTTACCTAATATGATAAACTGATGTACCGTCAAATGATTACACTGACGTTTCCAATTAGGCTGCATGCTGCATAAGAAATTATTATTCTGACGACTGCCCCTATTTGTTACTGATGGGGTTTTTGGTATATGACTCCCAGCATGAAGCAAGCAGGGTTGATTATGGGCAGGAATTCTGGCGGAAAGCCATATGAGAATAAGCACGGTAAGCAATAATCCCGACCTCGGGAGTAAGCATCAACATCCACAATGCTGACAAGGGAATTTCCAAAATTGTCGCCAAATTAGCGCTGAACGAACAAAATCCACATCATTTCTTATAGCTTCCACATTATCCAACTATAATTAAGTAGAATATTCACTATTCATATCATTCTATCCTGAAGAAGATGGCGATTCCTCAATCTTGTACTGTTCTCGTAGCAGGTGGTGGTCCTGGAGGCTCTTATACCGCGGCTGCTCTTGCACGCGAAGGAGTTGATGTTGTGTTGCTCGAGGCAGATAGCCACCCCCGGTATGAATTTACATTCTGGGACTCATACATTGCCTGCTTGAGAAACTAAATTGTTCAGATACCACATTGGGGAGAGTCTTCTCCCTTCAATGAGATATTTACTACGTTTCATCGACCTTGAAGACACCTTCGAACAGCATGGATTCCAGAAGAAAGTGAGATGGCCACCAAGTGCAAAAAGAATTCATGTCTCTTGTGCAAGTTCAGATGAGCTGACCTTGGATGCAGCTGGGTGCATTTTTCAAACTCAATGCAAAGAGTGCGGGATGTTAGTGAAGCCAAATGACCCCAGTACTATGTGGAGCGACCTTCTAATGCAATGCTGTCGCAGACACTGACTTCATCCGGGCAAACGGCCCTAATGGGTATTCCTGGAACGTGGTCAGATCTGAATCAGACGAGATTCTGTTTCGCCACGCCGCGAAGAGTGGCGCAAAGACCTTCGAGAATGTCTCGTTGAAGTCGGTGAATTTCGAACCTTATGAGAGCGACAAGTTCACCAGCCAACACAAAGTGGCCAATCCTGGACGACCCGTTTCGGCCGAATGGAAGATGAAAGATGGTAGCTTTGGTACCATCTGCTTCGATTATTTGGTGGATGCGACGGGCCGAGCTGGTGTTCTGTCAAACAAGTATCTCAAGAATCGCAAGTTCAACGAAAGTTTCCGGAACATTGCTATGTGGGGGTACTTCAAGGGTAATATCCCACCAAGTCCAGGAACAGATCGCGAAAACCAGCCCATATCCGAAGGCATGAGAGGTGAGTCTGTCAACTATATAAAAACTCCGCTTCTTGCTTGCTGACCGGGCAATCGTGTATGGCCATATGTAGATGGGTCAGGCTGGGTGTGGATGCTGCCTTTACACAACGGTACAGTATCAATCGGAGCTGTTGTCCGAAGAGACATTTTCCTTGCGAAGAAGAAGGCCTTGCCGGAAGGAACAACCGAGGCTCAAACCCTGGCGAGCCTAGTTAGACTCTGCCCGACGATATCTTCGTATTTGGAACCTGCTGAACTGGCTTCTGAAGTCAGACAAGCCGCAGACTATTCCTACAGTGCCAGCGCGTATGCCGGTCCCTACTTCCGTATTGTCGGCGATGCAGGATGTTTCATCGATCCCTTCTTCTCGTCTGGTCATCATCTGGCCCTATCTAGTGCCCTAGCAGCGGCTACTTCCATCAATGCGTCAATCAAGGAAGAGTGCGGCGAGGTTGATGCCTCCAGGTGGTATGCAAAGAAGGTTGACCACGGCTACACGTTGTTCCTTGTTGTGGTGATGGCTGCTCTCAAGCAAATTCGTATGCAAGAACAGCCGATCCTGTCCGATCTTGATGAGGAAGGCTTTGATCGAGCATTCGCAGTTTTCAGGCCAGGTAAGACCCCTCTGTGCTTTTCGCTGTCTTTTGACGCTCTCTCCATTTGTATCCCTTGTATATTAGAAGCTAATAGTTCCAAATCCGGCAGTCATACAAGGAGCTGCAGACAAGGAAACAGCACCAAAGGCTACGAGCGAGTCGATTACCGAAGCTATTGACCTCTGCCTTAATGCTCTTAACGACTTGCACGACACGAAATTGCAAACAAAGTTGACCAACATTGTGGAAGCCGCAGGTACGTCCGATCAAGAGAAGCTACTTGGAAACCTTTCACCAGAGGAGACGGCAGCCCTTCAGCGTATGCGCACCATGCATTCAGTTCTTCCCATGGGTGAGCTGAAGGACTTTGAGAACAGCAATATAGATGGTCTGAAGGCTCGCCTCGAGCATGGGAGTCTAGGACTTTATCGTGACCGAGCAGGGGATTCAAAGATGTAAATTGAATTTGTCTTTTTGTCAGAAGCTAAGGAGCTATTGAGGTTTACAGCAGCAATCTGTATACATGAACACGAGGGCTTGAAGATGAAAGAGAGGATACATAGTTTTATCGAATATACGATGCTCTACAATTTATGCTAGTATATTGATATCGAGATAAATATGTAGAAACACTCACCATTGCTCACAAAAAACAACGTGACACAAGAGTTCATACATCCTGATCATGTAACATCTACCGTAGTCAAGTCAATATATCATACATCAAGAAGCCAATTTAAGGACAGTTTTTCTTCACGAGCATTCTCACAGCAATGTAAGTGTGGGCGGAAAATACATCTGGCCCGGAGAAGGGAACTTTCGATTTGAGTACTTGTGGCCATGTGAAAATGTCGGAGCTGGTGATTCGGCCGAAGTTGGAGCCTGAATCTCTTTGACGAACAATTGGGTTCGCAATTTATGTTTTATTCAGCTCTTGGGATGTTGAATTTGGTATGTGTATTCAACTTACCATTGATAAAATCGGAGGTACAAGTATTAACAGCTAGATTAGGATTGCCGCTGAATACCTCCGATTCTGCGAATCGGCGGACGAGTCTTTTGGGGATCAAAGGCCCCCCGCTACTGTTCGAGTTCATCGCTCCGATAAGCCGTTTGAGGCGTCCAGGTAAGCAAGGTAAGCAAAGTCAGTAGTTCAGATGCTGTGGTAATATACTCGTGGATTATATGCTGACGGGTAATAGCCGGCAGATAGCCAGTAATCGATAAATAGGTGTACATGCGCTACTCAAAAACACTCAATCTTAGAAGCCTATGCTAATGTTTGGAATCACATCTTATAAAATCTCAACCAGGCAAACATTGCAATGAGTTCGGCCAAAGTCTTGTATTTTTCGGGAGAAATTCCCCAAGGAGACCCAGAGGGCGATCAAAGAACCCTCTTCAGAAAGCTGCATCTGCTCAGCAAAGAGCGAGATCATGTGGTTCTGGCATCGTTGCTAGAATGTGTGACACTAGCATTGAAGGACGAGTGTAGCAGACTAGGCCATCTGCACCGAGACCTGATCCCATCTTTCGAGAGCGTCCTCGATTTGACAGATCATGTTGTTCGATTAAGAAAGACGCCACTCGGTGGAGCGATCGAGCGAGTCTTGGTCTTAGTTTTTCAATTAGGAAGTTTTATTGCGTATGTTTCACCCCATTCAATGGTGCTAAAAGGAGACAAAAAAAGCTCACATTCAGCAAGATATCATGAGACTTATCCACTGGAATACAATTTCACATCGGCCAGCACCTTACTCATCGGAAGGGGCTGTGGTTTACTGTCGGCAGCTGCAATAGCTCTCTCGCCGAGCATTTCGATGATACCAAGCATCGCTAAATACATCACCCGAATCTCATTTCGATTTGGTCTGATTGTGGATCAAGTTTGTCGATCGTTGGAGTTCTCTCAGGATGAGATCAATGCCGACGGTGCCTGGGTATATTGTGTCCACGGGGTGGATGAGAAAGACGCGCGTGATGCGGTGAACCAGTTCAATGAAGACAAGGTGAGCGCCAAACTGGAATGATAGTCGTTAGTGATATGCTAATAAATGCAATAGGCATATCCTGCAACCAATTGCGCGTCTGTATTCAACGTCGACAACGCCGGAAATTCGGTCAGCATAGGTGGACCGCCAAAAACGCTGAAGGCGCTTTTCTCAGAGTCCGATGCCTTCAAAAAGACGAAGAATGTGCCAATGAGAAAGATCCAGGGCATGTGGCATACTGATACAGTGTATGGTGTGGAGCACGTGAGACAAGTCGTCCCAAAGATCGAATCCACACGGCAGCTGCACATTCCCTTGATATCGCCCGTAAGTGGAGAGCCATTTCGGGAGACAGAGGCTGGATCTCTACTCGAGCAGATTTTGGAAGAGATATTGACCGAGAGGGTGCGGTGGGACATGGTGATTGACACCGCCACCGAGCAATTGAAGCAAATGGTGCCCAAATCTGCACAACTAATTAGCATACAGCCATCTCACTACAACCAGAACCTGCTTGAACGCTGGCAGATTGAACTACCCAACGCAACGGTGTCAAATATAGCTATGTTGCCAGCTGTATTGGATATTGCTCTCGGACAAAGTCCACCAAAAGACACCAAATCGTCGAAGATTGCTGTCGTAGGCATGGCATGTCGTTTTCCGGGCGCAGACACCACCAAAGAATTCTGGGAGAGGTTGATGCAGGGGCAGGATATGCACCGTCATGTTCCTGCCGACCGCTTCGATGTCGAAACACACGTAGACCCCACGGAGCAACGACAAAACACGTCTAAGACTCCGTTTGGTTGCTTTGTTGAAAACCCGGGGCTGTTTGACGCTATGTTCTTCGGCATGTCACCCAGAGAGGCCGAACAAACGGACCCAATGCAGCGCCTGGCTTTGTTGACGGCATACGAAGCTCTGGAAAACTCCGGGTATGTTGACGGTCGAGGCATCATTCACCGCCAGCGCGTTGGTACTTTCTACGGCCAAGCCAGCGACGATTATCGTGAAGTCAACTCTGGACAAGAAGTTGGGACTTATTTTATTCCCGGTGGATGCAGGGCATTTGGCCCTGGACGTATCAACTACTTTTTCAACTTCTGGGGCCCTAGCTTTAGTGTCGACACAGCGTGCTCTTCGAGTTTGGCAGCTATTCAAGCCGCGTGCTCGTCGCTATGGAGTGGAGATGTTGACATGGCCATTACTGTGAGATTCCCGACTCTTACCAGAGATAATTAAGGTCTAAGTGCTGATTAAATTTTATCATTTTAGGGAGGGATGAATATCCTTACTAACTCCGATGTATATGCTGGGCTCAGCCAAGGCCACTTTCTATCCCCTACGGGGGGCTGTAAGACTTGGGATGAGGGAGCAGACGGATACTGTCGATCAGGTATGTTGAGTCTTATCACTGCGTAGTTTTCTAGAAGTTTACTGACTGGCATTGCTAAATAGATGGAGTCGGAAGCGTGGTTCTCAAAAGGCTCGAGGATGCAGAAGCCGACAATGATAACATTCTTGCGGTAGTCCTATCAGCGGCTACTTCTCATTCAGCGGAAGCTGTTTCGATCACGCATCCTCACGACGCGGCGCAAGCCTTTTTGTACAACCAGATTGTCCGAAGAGCGGGTATCGACCCCTTGGATGTTGGCTACGTTGAAATGCACGGTACGGGGACGCAAGCTGGTGATCCCACCGAGATGAGATCTGTCACCAGTGTGTTTGCACCTCCCAGTCTTCATAGCCATAGACCAAAACCCCTGCATGTGGGCTCAGTCAAAGCCAACATGGGGCATGGAGAGGCTGCTGCAGGAATCATGGCTTTTGTCAAAACCATGTTAGTCTTTCAAAATGGTACCATTCCGCCTCATATCGGTGTGAAGACAGCTTTGAACCCTGCGCTACCAGACTTGAGCAAAATGGGTGTTGTGATTCCCTTTCAAGCAGCCAATTGGAGTCCGGTGGCTACACAAAAGAGGCTGGCTATGGTGAATAACTTTGGTGCTGCTGGAGGCAACACAGCTATGATTATCGAAGAGGCCAGCCCAAGGCCACGGTTGTGTGAAGACACGCGAGAATCTCATGCCATTACAGTTTCAGCAAAGACAGCTCAATCTCTCAGCTTGAATATCAAGCGCCTTGTGGAGTATATTGAAGAATTGCAAGACGTATCTCTTGCCGACATTGCCTACACACTCTCGGCCAGGAGGCGTCACTATGAATATCGGAAATCTGTTGTAGTAAGATCCTTGACCGAAGCCGTCAAACAACTTCAACCGCACGTCGCAACTGCCATGACTCAGACTCCGACCCCAAGGAAACAGCCCCCGTCGCTTTTGCTTTTGCTGGCCAAGGTACTTTCTATGTCGGGATTGCAGCGCAGATTTACCGGGACTCTCCGTTTTTTTGCGCCCAACTTAATCAGTTTGACAGTCTTGCACGTCGCCAGAACTTCCCGTCCTTCCTACCTGCTCTTGATAAAACAAGTACCCGCGAAGACCTGCCAGCCTCTTCTATACATCTCGCCATCGTATGTGTTGAAGTTGCGCTCGCTCGACTATGCATGGAATTTGGTATTAGGCCATGTGCTGTCATTGGACACAGCCTGGGCGAATATGCTGCACTGGCCGTGGCCGGCGTGTTGTCTGACAGTGACACAGTCTTCCTCGTTGGCACAAGAGCAGCTATTCTGGAGTCAAATTGCTCATCGTACACTCACGGCATGGTTGCGGTTCGCGCCTCAGTGGCCGATATTGCGCGTGAAGCGGACGGCTTACCATTCGAAGTAGCCTGCATCAACAGTCCCAATGAGACTGTTATTGGCGGTACTGTCGAGCATCTGGAAGCAATTTCAGCTCGTCTTTCCAAGGCAGGGTACAAGACTACACTTCTGGATGTGCCACATGCGTATCATACGGCTCAGATGGACAATGTCGTCGACGATTTCAGTCGCAAAACCGAAAGGATTGTTTATAACACACCCAAAATCCCCATTATATCTCCGCGAGACTCAACAGTCATCGAGGCAGGCGCTAGAGTCGATGTATCTTACTTGGCCACCTCGCTCAGAGAGACGGTCAACTTCGCTGGAGCTCTCAATGCAGCGTGGGAAGCTGGCGTGGTGTCAAAATCCACCGTCTGGGTTGAGTTGGGCCATCATCCAGTATGCAGCGGCTTTATCAACCGTACACTTGTGGAAACTCGTCTAGCATGCTCAACTCTACACCGTGACAGCAAGAATTGGACATCTTTGGTGAAGATGTTGAGCAGCCTATACGAAGTTGGTCTCAACATCGACTGGAATGAATATCATCGTCCATTTGAGCACGCACTCCGACTTGCGTCCGTGCCGACCTACGCTTGGAACAACAAGAATTATTGGATCCAGTACCGAGGAAATTGGAATTTGACCAAAGGTCAGATTTCACCGAAGCCAGCGCTTCCCATTGCTAGCGGGTTCCGAACATCAAGCATCCACCGAATTTACTCCGAGAGTTACGACCCATTGACAGCACAAATTTTGAGCGAATGCGATATGACTGATCCATCACTCAGAGATGTGATAGAAGGGCATGGTATGAACGGCTATGGAGTTGCTTCGTCGGTAAGTTGACAATGAACTCCTTGTTTGTCTCAACCTTCTAACCTATGAAAGTTTCTTCATGCCGACATGGCATTTACGATGGCCCAAAGGGTCCAGGAAAAGGCTTTCTCATCGACTTTTAAGGGAATGGGGATCAATATCGCCAATTTTGAGTATCACGACCCGGTAGTTCCGGCAGTGAAAAACGCACACTCTGTTGACCCATACCCCATTCTTGTCAATGCTGAAGCCAACCTCGATTCTGGCGAGGTCAGCATAAAATGGTTCAATCCAGTCAATGACAAATGGTACTGCCATGCTACGGCTTACTATGAAGACGCTTCGGCTTGGCTGTCCAATTGGGCTCGAACGACCAGGCTTGTTACCAGCCGCATCGACGCTCTCAATTCTATGTCAATTAAGGGTACAGCCAACAAACTGACCACCGACCTTGCCTATACCCTCTTTGGTAAGCTGGTGGATTACTCTAGCATGTATCGCACGATGCAATCGGTCATACTCAATGACGACGAAGCCGTAGCCGAAGTCATTTTCCCATCAGACACCCAGGGAGACTGGGCTGTGCCACCACATTTTATTGATGGTCTGGTATCTCTGTCTGGTTTTATTTTGAATGGCGGCACCCACTTTGACAATACCAACAACTTCTTCATCACGCCGTCATGGAAATCCATGCGTTTTGCCAAGCCACTGGTTCCTGGGGGTCGATATCTCGCATACGTGAGGATGGTGCCAGAGGTTGTTGACAAAAATAGCAAGCTTGGCTCTTATGTCGGCGACGTCTATATTCTACAGGACGGCGAAATTGTCGGTCTCGTCGAAGCCATCTTATTCCGGGAGTGGCCTAGAGTGATGCTGAATCGCTTCTTTCGCCCAGCAAGCGCAAATTCTCTTGCTCCTCCAATCAAGAATAAGAGATCTGTTGTCGCAAGTTCACTACCATCTGCAAATTCCCTGCAAGAGAAGGCCTTTTCAACGGCGGTAGCGGCCAAGACGTCTGCGAGGCGTCCTACATCTCCTATAACTCCTCCACGCTCTGGGTTAATCAGTCAGCCAGGTGGTAGTCCAAAGATGATGCCTCGGCTTGATTACGGTCTTCTAACGCCAAGGGACTCGCCACTGCCAACTGGACGAGTTGAAAAGAGCGACAGCGACAGTGGTTACGAAGAGCCCGATGGTGGTGATGATGTTGCATCCCGCGCTATAGACATATTGGCTGAAGAGCTCGCTGTTGATATAGGCTTACTGACTGACGAGTGTGAAATCGGGGATATTGGGCTTGACTCGCTCATGTCGCTCGTTCTCTCACAGAAGTTGCGAGAGAATCTTGGCATCGAGATTCGAGATTCATTCTATCTCGAAATAACAACGATTGGGGATTTGAAGAAGTTGGTTTCTTAAGCAGATTGTCTTTTTGTTATTCTTTGTCGTGCGTTGTTAGTTTGTGATTACAATGGTACGATAGAAGGAAATACATACAATTTATTTAGCACTATAAAAAACAAATCGCTATTTAGAATTCGGAATAGCCTCATTAAATCAGATGCATGATGTAGGGATCTTGAATTGAAGCAATAGATTTAATATATGCCTGAATAGTTACAGTCAGTGAGGGCTCGTTTCTGTACGATCTGACATAATTTGTAAAGCTATTGATTTTCATGTATTTGATTTCTCTGTTCATCTTAGGCCTAGCAGAATTAGACAGAAACAAAGTTAAAACTACCCAGGTCAAAGGGTTTCACGCCGATCCATAGAAGCTCGAGGTTATACTGCCCTGTTGGAGATGAGATTAAGGAGTGTGACTCATACTTCTATCTACTAGTGCCGGTTTCCAACGATGGGACACAATGCGTACCAGACCTGCATGGTTGCCATACAATTTCAATCAGGGAAAGTCGGGAGTTTTCGGGGTATCTAACATTGGCGACCTCGAAACGCCGGTCTGACTGGGTAATGATTTCTTTCCATTCCTCAATGTCACGAATCTGCAATTAAAAGTTTAGGTGAGAATAGGAAAAAACATTTATCTCTCTGGGTATACGTACCTTGGAGTTGAAAAGGGTTAACATGCCGAAATCAATGTTTCTGAAACACGCTTTATTAGCATTGTCTGAAGGCAAGGGTACAACGGATTGTGTATCTTACCGCTGATATCGCTCAACGCTCAGGCTCAAGGTGCCAGCCGGAGGCATGATCTCGTCAAAGATGATGATCTTGGCACCAGGCTTCAGCGATGGAATCAAGGCTTTCAGCATGCGTTGAACATAAACATCGGGCCAGTTGTGCAAGACCCAGCGGAACAGAAATCTGGCATCAAGGAGGTGGAAAGTTAGGTATTATCGGAAATCCGATATATTGGGTCCACGTACACGTCAGCGTCCTTAACAGGCTGCTCGTTGAAAAAGTCATGAGCCATGAAAGACACATTCTTGCCCTCTCGAACTTGGGCAGCTTCAAGTGCCCCAGGCAGATCCTGTACCACGATCTCGAGTTCTGAGAACTCCTCGGCCAACGCAAAAGCCACGGCGCCCGTAGATCCGCCCAAATCAACGAGCTTACCGGTCTGCAAATCATTCGGCCAGCTGTCGATCAGGTGGCGTGGCGAGTACGAGTCGTCTTTTTGAAATGCCCCCATGACGCCTGCAAATCTTCGAGCCTGCTCTGGGTGCTTCTCCATGTACATAAACATCCCAGCCTCGCCGTCCCCTTTGGCAAACATGAAACCTGTTTTGGCGGGGTCGTTGGCCGCAGGCTCTTTTCTCAATGCTTCAGTAAGCCCAGCGCCAGCGGGAAACAAGACATCCGTGGATAGTCCAGTCCAGTCTTTGATCAGTGCATCCCTCGCGATGACCTTGGTCGTGGCTGTGTGTGCCACGTGGCCTGGCCGTGGCTCATAGAACATGTGGTAGGGCATGCCCGCCCGCAGGACCTGACGGAGTACGGATGTCCCGACGTTGACAGCTTTGGAGAGATGGTCGTATGATATGTCGCCTATCAGAGGCACCTGCTTTGCGATTTCAAAGTCGCAGATGAATTGTGTCACACCAAACATAGTCATGACGGCCCATCCAGGTACGAGACGAAGCTCGACGGGACCCGTTGCCAAATCGCTCAACTCCAGGCTAGCATCGATCAGAGCCCGTCGACATTGTTCCACATTTGGTGGATATTTCACATCAAGCGGTGCGTCAGGCCCCAAGCTGAGGGGCGATAGTCCTTGTTCCTGACGATATGTTTCAATTTTGGTAGTGTTGTCGGTTATTATCTTCACCAAGTGAATCGATCGACTGGTATCGGAGGCCATTTTATTGGGTACGCACTTGGAGGCAGGTAAATGCTATCCAGCTGAGGCTACAGAGAAACGTTGAGTGGGACTTAAGTACCATGTCTCTAATAGGAGTGGTACATATTTCCTTCAACAGAGTTGCCGTGATAGATTCGGAATGCATATAAGCAACATATGATTACTAGCGTAAGTGTAAGCATATCGTCATTAGTAAGATACAGGCAACACAGGGCTAGTGCATGCAGGATAATAATCTCCGTGTCTTGAAACGCTCTTATCACTAATAAATGTGACGAACATTGGCGTAAAAATTTACGGCTGAACTTATGCCAGAAACTGGGGAAGCTACCTGTGTGAGCGGCCTACCTAGAAAACTATGAATTACCAGTAAATCTATAGAATTGACAGGCCACGATCAGTAACTTCAAGCACCACCTATTATACTGGTCATAAAGAATCAAAGCACAGAGAACTAAATATATTTCTGGTAGAAAAAGAAAGCGTCTGGTGAGGACTACCTAGGTATTTAAGGTAGGGGCCCCACTTTTATCAAATTGCTCCTTGCCTTTTGCTCATGGTAGCTCATGACATCTTCAAGCTTGCCTCCACAATTCCATACTCCAATCCAGGTGACCGGTGAATGCCATCCACCATCAGGCCGGCCTCTTCGAGGACTTCACGAAAGTTTCGCTCCGTTCTTTCTTTACCGCCAATGCACAACATGATCATGTCTGAGACTGTACTAAATGCAGTGCCGTTGTCATCAAACAGAATATTCTCGGCGATCAAAACTTTCGAATCTGGGCCCATCACTGGTACTATCTGCTTCAACAATTGGACAAGTTCGGCATCGCCCAAATTATAAGCTACTGCGCGTAGGTGATACGCCTTTGCGTTTAGGACTGGCTGGCGAGTAAGATAGTCGTGCTCGAGAAGCTTCACGCCAGCAGGAAGCAAGCCCATTGTCCTGGCTAGCTCAAGAGTTTCCGCACGGTCTTCCAGGATGCACTGTTCGGGCCGAATCTGAGGAAATGCTTGCAGGACCTCTTTTATAACATGTCCATTACCCCCACCCACATCCACGAAAACAGGTCTTTCGCGATCTTCGGAGATCAATTTAGCATAGTCAAAGAAGCCTGTGTATGGTCGCAAATGCTGGACATTCATTGCCAAAGTGTGTATGCCTTCAGTTCTTATCGGCATGTTTGACAGTATCTCAAATGTAGTCTTGCCCTCTTGGCCTTCATTCCATGTAAAAGGACTGTACCTAGAGTTTTTTGCTTCCTCCTTTTCCTTCACGGATAGATACTCGGGCAGCCTGATCAAGGCCCGAATTCCTTCGTCGTAACAAGGGGTGAAAAGTGCCCCAAGCGGACCAGCATAGGCCAAAGACGTGTTTGTGTGGTGATATGCGCCATTCTCGTGAATTAGAAAACCTGTTCTGGTCACCACTCTCAGGAGGCGCTCGAGCAGGGATGCTTGAGTCTCAGTGGCTTCCGCGAGACATTGAAGGGAGATGAAACCTGTAGTCGGAATGGTCTGAAGCACATTCAACGACAATAGCGTCCTGATAACAGCCGTTTCCATAGTTTTGATAATTAACGATGTGGCATGCTCTGCAGGAGACTGCACAAGGGTGACAAGTTCCTCGGACTTTTTCAAGTATGGCAGGCTGTCGACCATGAACTGTTCAGAAGAACCCTTCAAGGTTCGGCTCAAGTCGGTAATTTCTGCCGCAAGGGTTTGTATGTGAGCTATTTTGTCGGGCGTCATGATAATTGATTTAATGAAAAGTAGGCGGAGTGAGAATGAGAAGAAAGTATTTTCTCAAGGGTGTGAGTGGATGAGCTTCTAATGATGAGGATTGCATCTTAGTGCGATGGTTGCCGACGTGCTTTATGATTCTCTGATCGTGTTATCCCTCAAGGCTGTTTCTGCAGCTTTACTGAGTACATTGCAAGTTTCATGTTGTCAGCTATGTAAGCCCGTCTGTCACAACTAGGGTTGGTTTGGTCACGTGGTGTCATGCTTACATGGATGACCGCATGCCATCTGGATATGTGAATCTAACACATCAATAGATATGCATGAACCCTTGAGGTGCTGGCATTTTATGTATGTTACGTATAGCATATAAAGGATGCGCAGTCTCCTCGTGTTCTTCACCTGTTGGCTAATCAACGTCATAATTCCATCCACATCACTATGTCTACCACTGAGGAATGGGTTCAAGAGTTCGAGGGTCTCTGTGGTCGAGTTTCCAGCTTATTTCCTTCTGATATTGACGAGAACGTTCGCATTCGAGCGCTGCATCTTGCTGAAAAGGCAGTACATCAGCTCCACACCCCTATGACTTTTGCTGAAGCCCAGACATGGGGGCCGCTTGAGCTGTTTGGCGCCGGAGTGGCTTGTGAGATGGGCATATTTGACGTTCTTTCTAAGCATTCGGAGTCTCTCAGCACCGCCGATATTGCTAAAGAGCTCGATGCCGATCCGGCCTTGGTTGCTCGAATCATGCGTTTGTTGGATGCACATTATATGGTCGATCAAGTCTCCTTGGATCAATATGCAGCAAACGCAATCACAAGGGACTACGTTAAGCCTTACCGAAAAGGCAACGTTATGACTCAGTCAGTATCTCATATTGTCTGGTTCTAACACGGCTACTGATCTTGATTAACTCAGAGTTGCCTTGATGCCCTCATATTTTGCTCTCCCAGCCTGGCTTCGTGCCAACAATTACAAAGTGCTACCTGACGCAAATCACTGTGCCTGGCAGTTCGGGGCTAATACCACCAAAACTTTCTGGGAGAGCATGTCAGAGGATTCAAGTATAAGCAAATACTTCAACGATTACATGACTCTCCCTCGTACCACCCAAGAGGAAGACTTCGCTAGCTTTTACCCCTTTGAGACTGTTTTCAAAAACTCAAACATGGAGGACATTCTCTTCGTCGATATGTATGGCCTCCTCAGATGACATAAAGAAAGGGAAATTCAAACTGACCCTGTCTCATTCAGCGGCGGCGGTCTGGGCCACCAAGCCCTGCGCATCCGCAGCTCCTTCCCACGTTCTCGGGGTCGCATCATTCTGCAAGACCTTCCCCAGGTCACTAGCAAGATTGAGGCTGGATCCCTGCCTGACGTCGAAATCATGGATCATGACATGGCGAACCCACAGCCTGTCAAAGGCGCCCGCGTTTACTACCTGCGTGGTGTCCTGCATAATCATGCTGACCACGTGGCCGCCAAATTCCTTTCACAATTTGCCGCAGCCATGAGTCCTGAATCGAGATTGTTAATTCACGAAGCCTTAGCTACGGACTTCAATCCGAGTAAGAATGTAACGAGGTTTGATTTGAGTATGTTGGCATCTCTTGGAGGTGCACAAAGGTCAAAGGCTGAACAGAAGGCTTTATTGGAAAAGGGCGGGTTGGAGGTTTTAGAAACGATAGATACGCCGGGAGAATGGACCATCATGGAGGCCAGGTTGAAGAGGGACTAGAACGACGTGTTTTCACTGGCTCAAAGCTGATCAGAGCCGTAGAATGTGGCCCTAGAGTGATCTCACTATCTACTTCATAGGGCGCGTCAGTTATTTGATCAAATCACCAACCGTCTGTCTGCCTTTGAACTATTATGTGCTAGATTCAATGAGTAAGCAAGGACTAATGGGGTTAGGGGTAACTTTTCTCTCAACACTTAGTTGCGAGACAGCTAGTCAAGACTTACTGTGTCTGATAAAGAGTTCAAGTAACCTGATTAATGAGCTGGAAAGAGAAAAGTACTAGCATTTGCACGTTCGCGGAGAGAATGAGTTTCAAATGGACTGAAATTTCTCGCCCCACACATTACTTGGGTATCAATCCGAGCTGTCTAAGCTTATCGAACGTATCGATAAATGATTGATAGGAATCAATGTGACCAGTCCATCCAAAACGCCGCGCTTTATTCACGCTCAGTGTTGCACTCCACGTTCGCTGATAAAGAAAATCCCCAATCATCCAACCAGCAAGATCAAAGGTCGCTTTGGCACCTGGCAAACCCTGACGATCGCACAAGCCATCCCATACCTTACGCTTATCCTGACACCACTCGGCCAGGCTCCACTCAAGCTGCAACTCGCCCTCTCTAGGCACTGCTTTTTTGAAATCCTGCTGTGAATCGGCTTTGGCGCCGATACTTGCGGCGAGACGCGGCCACATATAGCGCCAGGAAAAGTGATCGCCATTAGTGACGTTGAATGCCTCGTTGGCACACGACTTCCGCGTCGACACGAATATAGTGAGGTCGGCGATCAAAGGTGCGTACGACACGTCCTCAGTGCCCTCCCAGTATCGCTGGTTTGTCGGCATTGGGGCGGCGGTACCCAGCTCGCGACAGATCAAAAAGTACATGGCGATGGTCAGGGCCTCGTTCAGGCCATATGGCTGCGAGTTTGCACCTATGATGGCCTCGGGGCGGATGACATTCCACGACCAGGCCTTGCCACGCTGCATCTCTGCTAGGATATCTTCTTGGGGGAAATAGAAGTTTTCAAATGGTCCATAGCGACGCGCGTCGGTTTCCCGCGCTGGAGACGGCACGGGCTCGACATGCAAGTTATAGTACTTTCCGCCAGTCTGGAGTGTAATATTCTCTAAGTTGGGGGCTGTCTCGTTGATGGCAGTCAAGAAGTTCTCGAATAGAGTTTTGTTGGCGGCGTAAGACTCTGCAAAATCGTCCTTGTGAAGGTAGGAACAGTAGTACGCATGACTGACAGGGGCGCAGATCTCCTTCATCTTCTCGGCTAAGTAGGAAATATCATGCGTGAAATCGAGAGCAATGAACTTGATTCGAGGGTCCGTGATGGTGGAGTTGAACAAACTCCTCGATGTGACAATGATTGAGTCCCAGTCGTCAGAGGTGGTTTTGTTACAGAGATATTCGATAATGGCACTACCGCTGATGCCGTTTGCACCGGTGATGAAAGCTGTTTTCGCCATATCGTGCAAAGGGCTGGTCATAATCTTTCTACTTGGTCGGTTTCCTTTCTACCAGTTTGACTGCAAATATCGTGCAGCTCGCCTTTCAATAGACAAAAGGCAAAAAGGCTGCCATCACGCTGGACATGATTCCCACTGTAAGCTTAGCCTGCATAAAAGTTCAATCGCAGAATTTTAGCGCGTAATCTGTGCTAAGCAAACAATCTATTCACAGCGGCAGGATTTGGCTTTCTATAATTTCCTCACAGTGATCATAATGTTTTTGTTTGGTGGCGTATTGCCGTGATCTACATGGCTGCATAGATCATAATCTGTAAGCCTCGGGTCTTGGCGTAATCTGGAGTAATCTGGCAGATACCCCTTGATCGTTACCAGATTTGGCAGAATCTTTAATAATCATGGCTTACAAGGATTAAGCAAACTATTCCTTATATTGCAGATTAATCTCCGGGTTATATTGAATACTACCTGGGCCTGCTTCGCATTTCGCGTGAAATGCCCATAGTGAATCTGGACCCTTGCCGAGCTTGACAAACTCCGAATAGTTCTCAAAGCATACAAAAATGACCCCAAGTATTGGTTTCATGTTTGGCGCTGGTTTTGTTACCTTTTTGGGGTATCTCGTGTCTTGGTGTATCTACTGCCGAACATTTCATCCTCTCAGCAAAGTTCCTGGGCCGTTTTGGCCGTCTGTCACTCGACTATGGCTAACCTATGCCGTCTCAAAAGGAGAGTTGGATGTGTGGCAACGAAAATTGCACCGCAGATACGGACCACTTGTCCGCATTGCGCCGGATGAAGTAGCTTGTGCAGATCCCGAGGCAATTCGCAAGATATACAGCACAACTTCACCACTCAACAAGTCTGATTTCTACCATGTTTGGGATGTGGGAGCTTTCTCCAAATACCCCAACGCTTTTGCTATCGTCGACGAAAGGCTGCACCACGCGCGAAGACGCATCGTAAGCAGTGTGTACACTATGTCCACCGTATTGACATTGGAGTCATATATTGACGACTGCAATCGCTTGTTTGTCGAGCGTATGACTGAGCGTACAGTTCCCGATGAAGCGATTGATCTCGGGGATTGGTTTCTATGGTGGGACTCATTTTCTTCCTAATCCATAGCGATCATGTACTAATGGAAATTATTCTCCAGGTACGCCTATGATGTTATCGGAGAGCTCTTTTTTGGTCGCTCGCTCGGTTTCATGGAGAATCGTGGCGACCAGGGCGCCTTTCTCGCATCTCTGGAGTCAATGCTTCCCGTACTGACAACGGCGGCAGCTTCTTCGCCTCTGGTCCGCAGGCTGATTATGAGTTCTTTTATGCTCAGTTCTACAGCACGCAAAGGGCTAAAAGGGATGAATCACATAATCGAAACGGCGCGCACCAGCGTGGACGACAGAGTCTCCGCTATTAAAGCTGATGGAAAACAAGAGAGAAAAGACCTGTTGCATAATCTGCTCGCCATTGTCAATTCCAAAGGAGACAACTTGGACTTCGGCGTTGAAGACGTCAAGAACGAGGCCTTTGCAGCTCTGTAAGTAATTATTGCGTATATACACGCACATACAATCTGCTAATGCACTTGGTTTGGTAGGACAGCAGGCGCGGACGCAGTTATGATTGAGATGCAAGCAGTCTTTTATTATCTTGCCAAGAATCGCTCTGTGTATGAAGACCTCCGAGAAGAGATTGACCAAGCTGTGGAGAGCGGGAAACTATCCAGGTTTCCTAAATATTCAGAAGTCGTCCTGCTTCCACTTCTCAAGGCAACAATCAAAGAGGCATTACGGTTGCATCCTGCCGTGGGATTCACTATGCCTCGAGTCGTGGATCAGACTGGAATTGAGCTATCTGGAATGTACATCCCACCAGGATGGAAGGTCGGTATGAACGCGGCCGTCATAGGACGAGATGAGGGCGTGTATGGCCCAGATGCCGATATATTTCGACCAGCAAGATGGATCGAACGCACTGATGCCAACATGGACAGATGTAACAACCTGGTGTTTGGAGCTGGCACTAGAACTTGCATCGGCAAGCAGGTGAGTTTATTTAAAGACAAGGCTATCCACGACACGAGGCAGAGTATGAGTGCTAAAGTTGTCGCAGATTGCTCTGAGTGAGATATACAAAATGGTACCCCTGTTGATTCGCAGATTCGATTTTGTTTTAGAGGACTCGGGTAATAACTGGACAACTCATGACTACTTTTTCAATAAACAGAGTGGCCTTCGGGTTAAGGTCAAGGTTCGAGGCCTCTAAGTCTGTTCGAAACTACCAATTTGCATGCAGCGCATAGATGCCGCTTCGCGTCGTCCATTCCTTTAGTCACAACACGGAGTTGAAAAATAAAACGGTTTTTGGGGTTGAGGTCAAAAAATATGTGCATTTATCAGTGATTATGGTGAGATTCTTTATGTAAACATACAGATTCTGCTCACTCTGTGTTGACCGTAGCCCCGAATTCTAGTAGCAGCTTCACGGCCACCTCGCTTCCCGCGCTGACTGCGATTGATAGCGGTGTTTCTCCGTCCTTGTTTCGTATGTTGAGCAATGAAGCATCCCCGTCGCAACATCTCAGAAGCCGCTCCAGTATTCTGTGACGACTATGGAACACAGCCCAGTGAAGAGCTGACCAATGAGCATTATCGACATATCCTAGACGGGCCCCATGGGATAGCAATACTTCTAACACTTCTTCATGGCCTCCGATTACCGCACACAACAGAGGTGTCAAACCAGTATTGTCTCTCGAATTGCAGTCTGCGTTATGCTCGAGTAAAAGGCACACAACTTTACTATTTCCAGTCTGGACCGCTCGATGAAGCACGGTCGGTCCAGCTGACATTTTGCCATTTTCGCTGTTGTCGACAGCATCACCTAGGTTCCTCGTTGCCTGATGACCCCGGCATTCTTTTGGTCCAGAAGGGATGACAAGAGCAGTAGAAACAAAGGGAGTGGTCTCTTTCAGTGTTGATGTCCAGAAGTCTTCCACGCCTCTGCTCATTCCGCAATCATCGTTCGAATCCAAAAAAAAATCATAATCAATCACATTATCGCCTCGACCCTCTTCGCAAGGACCTATTGAGGCTTGTGTTTGACTAGTACACATTGAACTGGGTGGTGTGACTGGCATGAACGAGGTGGACGCTATTGAGCTGGACGCTATCGAACTAACGTCTTCCGATACATCTGAGGCGCTGTTTTGAGGATGGGATTGGTCTTTCCCTGGGACAGCTTTTTGTTCGCGATGTTTCTCTGTTTACAAGCAAACGGAGGTCAATATTATTCAAGGTTGTATGGTGGATCGTTTGACTAACGTCTGAATCGCTTTTGTGCCCGACGATTCTGTTCACGACGGCGATCCGCCACCGCTGCCTTTGCTCTAGAGGAGTTGGAATCCTGTGTGGACGTTGAGAACCCACATGAGGTGCATATCATTCTGAAAATATAAAGTTACGCTGAGCGCTGTTGCGTAGTCACACGATTATATGGCCGCTTGTGCTTGGAAGGTTTAAATGTAACTGATCTGTTGAACGAAGAGAACGCCTGTTATTTGGTCAGTCATACCAAGCAATAGATCTTATACAAGACCGTTCATTACTAGACATCTGCTGGATACACTGGAGACTCAGTGCATACTTTCTCGTGCCCAAATACTAAACTTATATCTCAGTAGCCGCGAAATTATAGCAAGTAGGTGTTTAATTGAAGGAGGGGCCCGAGGCCTTATTTATGTCCTTCTGATTTGTTGAATGAACAATGAAAGAGACATATCTCACTTTGCAAATATTCAAACCCGTTACAATCTTGTATGATTGTGGATCTGCTCAAAGAGGAAATTGGGCAGATCATGATCATGCATGTGACACGTCGAGTTGAGAGTCGAGTAAATTCCGACTATCGTTCTAATACCATTGGACGATATCTCTACTGGTTCATACCTTTATCATGTGGAATTAACATTGTTCGTTCACAAAGAATGTGGTTTTGGGTGTAGGCAATATGCAAGGGGCCCCGCCCTGAGAAGGACCCCAAGTTTTAGTTCCTGGTGTAGATCTTAGCCCAAGTTTAGTGATGAGGCCTTAAATTGGGATGCCTTATATGCGGTGTCACCTCAAAGTAAGGCGCCTGATCTGCAGTGTCACTTTGAAAAGTACTGCCCAGGTATAGATGTGTACTATTTTACGTAAAGTACTCCGAGTACAAGAAGTGGAATGTCATAGAGCGTGAAGCTAATTTAGTTCTTCGGACTAGATTATCCCAATTTATTTCAACGTGGCGCGAGGTCAAGTTTGTTTTTAGAAATATACATATGTAGGGTTGAAGTCGTCAGTACACATGTATATTGGTATACTAGATGCCATGAATGGCATGCCTATTTGGGATACGAATTATACAAAATCTTAAGTCGCTTGATGCAAGCCATGCATTAGCGCAATTTATTTCTCTTACGCTGTAATCAATGAGTCTAGCTAGTTCCCACTATAGGTTTGGAGAACGTGGTAGTTCAACATGGTTCTTATGTCCTTTCCACCATTGAAGTATAACATGAGTGAGAAGCGATAGAAACCCCCACGATTTATACGCCTATGACGACGAAATCCTCTCGCGTTCATGAATAGGCTGCTGTGATGATTTGCATGACTTTTCGATATAAACGTTATTTAAGGGCTATAGTTAATATCTCTCAAGGCACGGCCGGAAGTCTCAATTTCCGCAGATTTACACGTAACACTTGCACTCCAGCAATCCGGCAGGCGGCTAAATACGACACATGGGCTTGAAAGATATTGAGAGATTTCTTGTGAGCTAATGTAAGAATGCTTGGCTATGCAATCAGCTCGTCGATGATCTGCACGTTCGGGGTTTCCTCGTTGACATTTCTTTTTTCTTCCATCATTCTTCTCCCGCCTCTTCCAACCCTTTAGCATTATCATACGTCCATTTCTATGTCATATACGCTGCATGCAATCGCTCTGGTATCATGCCCGCTATGGTCGAAGATGAATCAAATAATTATAAAGCTCAAACGCTACCCATGTACCAAGTTCCTGTAATATTGGAAAGGGCTGGGCCTGTTCCATGAACGAATAGTCATGGTTAAGATTTATCTTTACGTCTGAACGGGAGGCTGAGCTTTGCAGTTTGAAGGACTTGCTGCAAAAGGGCATTGCCTCCATTGGGAATCCATGTAGGTGTAAAGGCCAATTGATCTAAGCCATGAGCTTTTGTTTCTCGCGTGCTCGATAAATACCTTCAATACAATTTCATTGGGTGAGAGATGCTGGAATTTCATGAATCATGAGGCAAAAAGTCCGGCGACATTCCTAAATAGGTGACTAAATTATTATTTTTTTCCAAGGTTGTGTGCTTTCTATGTTTCTTTTGTTTCATTTCAGTCCGTCTAAACTTGCGTTGAAATCTCTTCTTCGCGGCCTTTAAGCTATACTAGGTAGTGTCTAAGTTATTCCCTGAAGGTTGTAGCAGAATATATTTAGTACATGGTGCCCAAAAAGTCCGGAAACAGGTCATATCGAAAGTACGCGGTAGTATGGAATTTCAGCCGCTATATATTAATTATCCAAAAAGAATGACAGACCTGTGAAATGAAAAACAGAAAGGCCTAGGGCGCATATCTAAGTATCACATGTGCCAGCCTTTTAGATGGGATGTACAAGCGCTTCCATGATTTTATGGCTAATCAACATTTGTGCATCTTATTTTGTCGAACGGGTAGATCTTCTGCCAACAATGGCTGGCTTTGACTTTTTCTCTTCCATATCTTCACTCTTTATTGTCGATCTCTTTTGCTTCGAAATGCCTCGCTTCTTTGTCTCTGTTGTATTTTCCGCTTCCGATTCACTGTCCACCTTCTTTGGGGCTGCACGTTTTCTTTTCGAATTCGCTGGTGTGCCATTGGTAACATCCTCATCAATATCTTTAGCAACTGCGCCAGTCTTTTTCTGGACGGCTGGAACGACGGCGCTTGTTCGGCCTCCAACAGTAAGAAAAGTGATCTTATTTCCATTGGGAAGAACTGCTGGCTGGTTCTTTTTGCCTTTACCCCATCGATGTTTGAAAAGCCAATTCTCAGGGAACTTCTCCGAGTCTGCTAGCACACCAATGGAGGTTGAGCAGACATAATGAAGCGAAAAGTGCAGCGCCTTGATCTGATCACTATTCAAAGTGTTGCTGTACTGCTCTGGATGTATCTTGGCATGATAAAGAATTTCATCACTGGGAACTATTAGCTTCCGCGTATGTAATCTGATAAGAACACTCACCCCATCCAATTACCGATTCCACTGATATTGGCCTGGTCGAGCAGAAGAGCTTTTATTGGCACTTTCTTCTTTCCTAATTTCTCCTCCAACCATGCCTCATTCACAACTTCTTTATCAGTGACCGGATCGGGGCCATTCTCTTTGAGCGGAGTATGGTCTCGAATCTCATCCGCTGGGCAATCCACCAGCCTGATGCGACCAAGTCTGCGGGCATCTACAAATGCTGCCTCTGTTTTGGGTTCATCGCTTGTCTCTAGCAGGAACTTCCAATATTTAGGAGGCCATTCTTGATCGGCAGGTTTGTCGGTTCGGTAGTAGTAAGTGTCAGCATCTTTAATTTTCAGCCAGCCAGCCATTCCAAAATGCATCACAGCGTGAGGTGGTGAAGACATGGTGATCCAGAAGTATTTTCCCTGCTGACCCGCACCCACAACCTTTTTCCCTTGCATCGCCTTTTGAAATTCGACAGCACTGGTGCCAACTTTGCCAAAGACAATGTCATCATTTTGTGCTTGTACTTTGGACAGTGTCTTCCCAACCAAATGCTGGCGAATGAAGTGCACAATGCGGTGGATTTCCGCTAACTCGGGCATATTGGGTATGGATTTCAAACTTGAATATCAAAAATGGAGTTGAGAGTATGTACACGGCTTTTTTCTCAGGGGTGAAAATGTAGGAGCTGACGCGAACGTCCCCAGGTTACCAAGAATCCAGGCCTAGACGCGACGCGCGCTATCACGTGAGCATTTTAGGTACCAAGTCACACCGCCCGAAAGATTGATCCAGTTTCATACAAGGGCGGTAAGAAATGACGGAGAGCTTCAACTTGCCTCTAGGACTGCTTGTCTGCTTACTTACCATTTTAACCAATTATTACACTTAGCCGGCACAAAACAGAACTGGTGGATATTGTTCCGATCTAACTCTGTCCATAAAATTCCCGATATATTTTTTATCAAACTGGAGTGGTTCTGGATCAAGTCAAACCGAGACACGGAGGAGAATCGTGGCGAGATGTCACAAACCTCATCAACCGCAGCCCCGACGCTGACACCTCGGTTCTGTTTTGACGAGAGGGTATTCAGAGGTTGGTCTAAAATTGATCATTATGGAGAAAGCACATGCTGACATCTGGCTTTCATCTAGACTTTCTCCGGCTTTCAAGGTCTACTATTGACGATTCAATTACCCAAAATTTGAATGCATTGATTACCCCAGCTCTAGACGGGTTTGACCCGTCATCAACTGCAGTACGACAGACCGACTCTCAATCTCGGAAATCAATCAATCCCGCAGCCTGCCAGAGTTTCAAAGACAATGTATTATTTCCGTCATGGCAGACGAGATCAGATGTCCTTACTTACTGTGCCGGTGTGGCGACAAGTCCAGATCCCGAAGATCCCGACCTGATCCTTCGGCAGACGGAATCCGCACGAGACCGGGAACGTGTAGTCAATGAGCGCCTTGACCCATACTCTGCTCGGTTCTTCCCCCGTGAAGCACGCACTGAATCATTGGCTAATTTAGTTCGTAATGAACGTACCATTGAAGAAATTATTCGGGCCCGAACATGGGGAATGATATCGGAGAAATGCAATGGCTCTTCTACCTGGGAAGAGGCTCTCAATGACTGGCGCCATTCTCACCAAAAATAACTCTGCTAAAAGGACATGCCGAACTGCATATACGCCGCGATGGCCTCATGTATATAACTCAACTCTTGTTCCCTAGCCCTGAGAGGTTTCGCCTCTCCGTGTACAATTACAGCATAATCAGAATATATCGAGATCAAACATTCACGTGGTTTTCTCTTTTTTTCTTTTGCTGCGTCCTGTGGTCTATATCGCACCATCATCTTTGCTTGTTGAACAGAAAATCAAGATAAGTTGGCCCAAGAAATGGTAAATGAGGGATAGAGCTATACTATACTATAATACATGACGTTATCTTGGAGTGTCTCTCTACCACTTATATTAAAATATGAAGTTGTTCTACATTGTAAAGTAGTCAATGTACTGACTGTTCTTCTAGTTCTTCGTTTCCTTCGAATGTATTATTTATACAACCACATGTGCACCACTTGCTGGTGTTTCCCTAGTTATCTGTTATTTAATTACAAGTACAACTGGTAAGTGCAGGGAATTAGATGAGCGCATCATATACTGCGTACAATGTTTTGTATAAATTCAGGAAATGAAAAAAAGAAGCGTGGTGGTCATTATCTTATCGAGTTTTGCTTTGCCAAGATCGGACTCGGAGAAGTCGTCCCCCGCACACATCGATTCCTCACACGCACAAGTCCTTCGACGTCAGCACGCCCACAATGCCGCAACCATTGCCCTCCAAGGATCAATCCTTGTTTCGTCAGGTGGTTCGCCACTTTGAGATGAAGCAGTACAAGAAAGGTCAGCCTACGCCCTGTGCCTGACCCAAGCTCGTCTAACCACGTTTCCCTCCATAGGCATCAAGACAGCAGACCAGGTGCTTCGGAAAAACCCTAACCATGGTGACACGCAAGCTATGAAGGCTCTTAATATGAGTCAAATCGGTCAATCAGAGGAGGCCTTTGCGCTCGCCAAAGAGGCTCTCCGGAATGATATGAAGTCGCATATCACCTGGCACGTGTATGGGTTGCTCTACCGCCAGGAGAAGAACTACGAGGAGGCCATCAAGGCATATCGATTCGCTCTGCGCCTCGAGCCTGAATCGCAGCCCATTCAACGTGATCTGGCACTGCTCCAGATGCAGATGCGGGATTACCAGGGATACATACAGAGCCGCAGTGCGATGCTGCAGGCTCGGCCAGGATTCCGTCAGAACTGGACCGCGCTCGCGATTGCCCACCATTTGGCTGGGGATTTGGTAGAGGCCGAGAAGGTTTTGACTACCTACGAGGACACATTAAAGGGCGCTACCCCGCCTGTCGCTGACATGGAGAACTCGGAAGCTATCTTGTATAAGAACACGATCATCGCGGAAACTGGAGACCTCGAAAGAGCTCTGGAACACCTCGAGGCCGTCGGATATCGATGCACCGACGTGCTCGCCGTCATGGAGATGAAGGCAGATTATCTTTTGCGATTGGACCGCAAGGCCGACGCGGAAGCAGCATTTACTGCTCTTTTGGACCGCAACCCGGACAACTCGATATACTACAATGGCTTGATTAAGGCCAAGTCTATCCCTGAAAATGACCACAAGGCGTTGAAAGCTCTCTACGATGAATGGGTGGAGAAGAACCCCCGCTGTGACGCTGCTCGTCGCATTCCTCTCGACTTCCTGGAAGGTGAAGATTTCAAGCAGGCCGCCGACGCTTATCTGCAGCGCATGCTGAAGAAGCGTGTTCCTTCATTATTCGTGAACATCAAGCACCTCTATGTCAACACGGCGAAGCGTGACGTGGTGCAAGAGTTGGTGGAAAAGTTCCTCTCCAGCCAGCAATCCACAGAGTCCAACGAGGACAACAAGGAGCTCCTGTCATGCACATACTACTTCCTCGCACAACACTACAATTATCATCTCAGCCGCAACCTCCCAAAGGCCATGGAGAATGTTGATAAGGCTATTGAGCTGCTCCCCAAAGCCGTGGAATACCAAATGACGAAGGCGCGAATCTGGAAGCACTATGGAAATCCTTCCAAGGCAGCAGAAGAGATGGAGAAAGCTCGTCTGTTGGACGAGAAGGATCGTCACGGCAACACCAAGGCAGCCAAATACGTGCTCCGAAACAACGAAAACGAGAAGGGCTTGGAGCTTATGAGTAAATTCACGCGCAATGAGACTGTCGGTGGCACACTGGGCGATCTTCACGAGATGCAGTGCACCTGGTTCTTGACCGAGGATGCCGAGGCATTCCTCCGACAGAAGAAGATTGGCCTTGCGCTGAAGCGCTTCCACTCGGTTTATAACATCTTCGATACCTGGCAGGAAGATCAGTTTGATTTCCACAGCTTCTCCCTCCGCAAGGGCATGATCAGGGCCTACGTCGACATGGTTCGTTGGGAAGACCGTCTGCGCGAGCACCCCTTCTACACAAGAATGGCCATTGGTGCTATCAAGACCCATCTACTTCTTCACGACCAGCCGGATCTTGCGTTTGGACCCATGCCCAGCGGGGCCAATGGAATCGATTCCACCGACGAGAACGAGAGAAAGAAGGCTCTCAAAAAGGCGAAGAAAGAGCAGCAACGCCTGGAAAAGATCGAGTCCGACAAGCGTGAGGCAAGGAAGGCGGCCGCTGCCACCGCTAAGAATGCTGATGGAGAGACCAAGAAGGAGGATGCGGATCCTCTGGGCAACAACTTGGTCCAGACGAAGGAGCCCCTGAAGGATGTTATGAAGTTCTTGACCCCGTTGCTCGAGTTCACCCCTCAAAACATCGAGGGCCAATGCCTCGGATTCGAGGTATACAGCAGAAGAGGTATGTTGCCAAAGAAAGAAAGAAAGAAAGAAAGAAAGAAAGAAAGAGAGATCTTGACCTGAGAACTAATATCGCATAGACAAGCACCTTCTTGCCGTCAAGTGTCTCGCAGCCGCTCACGCTCTCGATTCCTCCAACCCCACTCTCCACGTTCAACTGCTTCGCTTCCGCAAGACTCTCGATGGCCTTTCCGAGCCGCTTCCTGAGCAGGTTGCCGAGGCTGTCAATGCTGAATTTGACAAGCTTCTGCCCAAGTCTCAGAACCTCGAAGAGTGGAACGAGTCTTTCCTCTCGTCTAACAATGCCAGTGCAACCCACGTACAAGCTGGTCTCGCTTGCCGTCAGCTCTTGAAGCCGGAATCCAAGTCGCAGTGCGAAAAAGACTTGCTTGCCACCCTTGACTCGCCGGAGATCACCATCGACGAGGCTGTCATCGCCTTGGACCTCTTGAACAAGTGGGGCAGTGACAAGACTGCTTACGCCGAGAAGGCCGCCAAGAAGTGGCCTGAGTCTTCAGTTTTCGAGCTGAACTGATACGCGAATGTTACAACCAGAACCGTGAACACCCACCAAATCATCCTTCACGGATGATATTCTCGCTTCGACGGTTGCGTTTCACTACGATATAAAGACATGCAGTTGCAGGAGTAATGATGGGCAAAAAGGAGCACGAGAACATAGAGAAAGACCAGGGAAGAGAAAATATACTTTGATGTTGACATACGTCAGTGAAGTATACAGCAAATGTTGAGAGAATCCAACGTATTGGTATTCATTGCCAACCAACTCAGGGCCAAAGGCAGCAAAATCTACTCCAAATTTTAAACAAAACAAGATTTCTTCTCCATCAGATGAACCTATACATTTATATAATGAGACATTTAAAACAACAAAAGCGCCAATATTATACAAGCCGAGGAGGGAGTCACAATATGCAAAACAAACAGACCAACACATGCCGTGGTTAAAATGCCAGGGAATAAACCATCCTATAACCGTTCTTTAAGATGAACAAACTTTAAAATCGTGAAGATAAGGCAAAATATCTCTCAAGATTTGCTTTTTTACTGTCCGTCCTCTCCATCAAGGTTACCCAAAATCGGCTTGCGACGCAGGGCTTCCTCACTCTCACCATAGCCGTAGTTGATCCACATCCGCTTCCAGAAAGGAACAGCAGTTGGCCGTTCCTCACCAAGGATGTACTCCTGCTGCTCGGCAATGCGCTGGGAGCGCGCCTCGTCTTCGGGGGAGAGAAGAGCACGCTGCATGCGCGAGGCAATGCGCTGGTCGAGAACAACGTCGTCAAGCCACTCGCGCTCCTTGTCACACTCTTCACGCTTACGCGCAGACTTGTGCCACTCCTGCTCGGCGGCGACAAGTACGGTCTGTTGCTCGTACTTGCCGGAGGGAATATCATCTGCGAACGAGGCATCTGGGGAAGGTGTGGGGTCGATGCTGGCTCCAGTAGGCTCAGAGCCTGCGCTGAAAGATTCGTCATGGTAAGGACGCGCGTTAGCCGCGAGGACAATGGCAGCGACTTCGCGCCCAACGTTCTCGGCAAGGTGGCGCTGTGTAAGGAAGCGGTAGAATCGGATGGGGGTATTTAGGAATCCGAGAATGTGGGGGAATTCAACAGGCATAGAGCTGTCGAAAGACTGGGGGAGAGAGGGAGGAAGGCTGGCGGACGAGTATTCGGCGGGGGAGATGTATGCAGGGGTAGGACCGGCAGGCTTGTCGGACTTTTCTTTCTTCTCGGCCTCCTTCGCCTCCTCTGCCTTTGGATCCGGGATACTGTTTTCCTTATCGGACTGAAGGGATGACTCGAGGGACTCAATGGTCGAAATCTGCGGGGTCGTAGCCTCGGGGGCTTTGTCTGCGATGGGCGCCTCATCTACAATGGGTGCCTCGATGACTTCAATCGAAGGTTCCTCCGGAGGTGGGGGAGGCGGATCTAAAGGTCCAAGCCAGCCCTCGTGCAAGCCCCGGATGTATTCCTTCCAAGTATGCCGACCGATGACCAAGTCGCCCTTAGGACCGGGCTCGTCACGAATACCGAACTGTTCGCGGGCGGCAGTAACGGCAGCCTCGGCGCCGACTTCTTCGACGGCTGAGCTTGATTCTCCAGCCTTGCGGCGCATCTTGCGAATGTTCTCTGCCATGCCAGCTCTCACGTCTCCTTCACGGCGTCCTTCGACAACAGTGTAGTCTAGCGCGGCGGCGACCAGGATCGGCTTGACGTATTCCTTGAAGTGATCCCGGGCCACGCGCAATCCATCTCCAGGGGGAGCAGACAGATAGACTGTCAATTTCCGGCGCATCTCGTTAATTGGCAGGGATTCTTTGGATAAATGAGCCACAAGGTCCGCCCATTTTTGTTGCGCGCGCCGTTTCTCTCGACGGTCATACATGATAGCACCGGTAAAGGATCCAGTGATTGTGAGGAAGATCATCCAATTACGAGAGGGTAATTTGAAACGCATATTCGGCAGACCTATAAGTGATCAACATTAGCATCATTTGCATTTCAAACCCGGGGAACAGAAACATACCCATCATTTTGAAGACCGGGTTAGGCGGCTTCTCAATCACCGGGGGCTTGCTGGAGCCCGCAGGCGCAGCAGAGCTTGACGCTTCTGCCATTGAGACTATATGTTGAAGAAGATGGGCTGTATGTATAAACAAAGTACATCCGGGGCAATGCTCAAAAAGTTCAAGATCTCGGGACTATCTGGAGATATGTTATTCCGTGATCACATGACCTATATAAAATTGTCAAGTCGAGTCCAACTTGTAAATCTTTGCGTGTCGCAGCCTTTTTACAGACTTTTGAGATATTTGATTCATTGATGGCCACTGTGCGTCATTTCCTAATATCCCAATGGTGTCCCAAGTTTTCCAGTGATTGAAACAAATCAAGCCAAACCAAAGCAAATGAATCTGTGCGGCAGGCAGCGTATAGTATTAGAGCCTCATTTGTGCCTACTGCCTACTTTAGGGATTTGGAACTGCCAATCTTCGTGGCAATCTCTTAGTGAGTACAGCAAGAAGGGCCAACAAAGAATTTTGAAAGGGAAATCGAATTACACACTGTAGATGGATTGCCCCATGGCCTATGGTGACAGCCCAGACTGGAATTCCCATACGAGCACAGATCTCAGCATTCCTGTACAAATACCCCTCCCCCTTGATTTCTGACGTGATTTATTATGAGAGACATCATTTTTAGATGACCATTGTACTGCTCTGGATGATTGGAATGGCTTTTATAGAATAGTGATCATAATTCAAGAGCAGAGCAAAAGTTGGGGCCCCGGGGGGGTTCTCCTTAGACATTTAGCAACCCCCAGGGTTACATTTCCAAGGCTTTATCTTATAAAAATGTTAGACTACAATAGTTCGAGAGTATTGCATTAACAGTGTTATGGGAGCACAGGACTTGTTACAGAACAAAACCAATGGTGTAAACACACAGTGAATTGGGGGGCTAGATTGCCTCCTGAGCCACCGCTTCTTTGAACTCCCCGCCCTTCTTTCTTCCTCCCCCCATCCGCCTTTCTTCCATTAGTTGTCAGCTTGAACAAAAGAATTCCTACTAGGAATTCAAGCTGCAAACATGGATCCAAACAACCGCAATAACATGAATTACGGCTATGACCGTAACTACAATGCCAACCTCAATAACCCCAACAATCGCGCCTATCCCACTACTCCCTCCGCTTTCCCACAGCCCATCTATCCGGCTCAGGGGGCTCAGGAGCAGGTCGATCCCTCCAACCCAGCCTATGCCCCAGGTTATTTCCTGCAGAACAACTACCCACCTCAGGTGCAAGCCCAGCAACAGCAATACGCCCAGCAACAACAGTACGCACAACAGCAAGCCTTGCAATCACCCCAGCCCGCCTACCAGACACGTCCAGGCTACCCTGATGGCACCAACGGGTTGATCCAGCACTTTTCCAACCAGGATCTCAACGCAAACCGTGCAGGATTCTTCAATAATCGTGCTGCGTCCCCAGCGCAGCGACCTCGTACAGCTGGCGGTTCCCCTGCTCAAGCACCGGGCCAAGCATCACACCTGATCCCCCCAATGCCTCGCAGTCCTCGCCCGCCCTCTGAGAACGAAGAATTACAGCGGTTCCCTGACCGATACTCGGAGAATGTGCACAAGCGGGGCAAGGCAGCCAAGGAGTTGGTGACAGTATTCTTCCACGAGAACATTGACCGGGCCCGTGATCGTAACATGCGGTAAGTATCCATGTCTCACCAAAAAAGAAATGCCTCGTGGTTGTCTCATACTAATGAATCTTTCCCCTTTAGCTCTGCGGAACTTGACAAAACAATCGGTGACCCCAATGTCCCCATCGAAAAGAAGCGCCAGGATGCAGATATCATCTCAAAGAGAGAATCTGACTTCCTTCGATTCCTGCGGACCAAGGAAACACCAGCCAACTTCCAGACTATCAAAATTATCGGAAAAGGTGCTTTCGGTGAGGTCAAGCTTGTGCAGCGTAAAACTGATAGCAAGATTTACGCTCTCAAGTCGTTGATCAAGACAGAGATGTTCCAGAAGGATCAATTGGCTCACGTCCGCGCCGAGCGTGATATTTTGGCGGACTCAAAGGACAACCCTTGGCTTGTGAAGCTGCATGCATCGTTCCAGGACTCTGCGTACCTTTACCTTCTGATGGAGTTCTTGCCTGGTGGTGATCTGATGACCATGTTGATCAAGTACGAGATCTTCTCTGAAGACATTACTCGATTTTACATGGCTGAGGTTGTAATGGCCATTGAGGCTGTACACAAGCTTGGCTTCCTTCATCGGTGAGTGATCTCTGGATTCTTGGTGCCAATCAAAGCACTCCCCGCTTGGATAACATCTTTTACTGACTCCTTTTGTGTAGTGATATCAAGCCTGACAACATTCTGCTTGACCGGGGTGGCCATGTAAAGCTTACTGACTTCGGTCTCTCAACCGGTGGCAAAAAGACCCACGACAACGCTTATTATAAGAACCTCCTCAAGAACTCTACCTCCAAAGATCGGAACCGCAACTCTGGTTACTTTAACGATGCAATTAACCTTACCGTATCCAATCGTGGTCAAATCAACACCTGGCGAAAGTCCCGCCGTGCGATGGCCTATTCCACCGTTGGAACTCCTGACTACATTGCTCCTGAAATTTTCAACGGCCAAGGATATACCTATCTGTGTGATTGGTGGTCTGTCGGTGCTATTATGTTCGAATGTCTTGTTGGATGGCCTCCGTTCTGTGCCGAAGACAACAATGACATTTACCGGAAAATTGTCAACTGGAGGGAGTGTTTGTACTTCCCAGATGAATTGGTTCTTTCGCGTGACTCCGAGGGTTTGATCCGAAGGTAAGTTTTGTCTTTATTTACCAAAAGCTTTCTATTTGCTCACTCGTGCGTTTATAGTTTCTTGTGCGATCCAGACCACCGTATTGGCAGTGAAGGGGGGCAGCATGGAGGCGCGCAACAGATCAAAAATCACCCCTTCTTCCGGGGAGTTATTTGGGATCAACTTCGGGGCATCCGTGCTCCGTTCGAGCCGCGTCTCAGCTCGAACATCGATGTGTCCTACTTCCCGATTGATGAGATTCCTCAGGAAGACACTAGTGCCATCCACCGTGCCCAAGCTCGTGCCATGCCCGACTCACAGGAAGCCGAGATGAGTCTTCCCTTCATCGGCTACACCTACAAGGCTTTTAATGCCTTCCAGAGTAATTAAAATTCGCTCCTCGCTTTCCGGGACGGATTGGTTCTCGTTGTCAGAGAAACCAGGAAGCAAGCAGGGCTTGCGACTTTGGTTCTTTTGCACACTTGTCGGTCAGGTGGAAAAAGATCGGTTTTGTTTTCATCTCTCGTTACACGTTATCATCGAGCATATCAGCGCGATCTTATTTTCCCAAATCATGACCTGTTTTTGGTTTCACTTGTTGATAACTAACGCCTTACATCTTCTCGAGACGATACACACTACCTATTGTCACATATTTGGGGCGACCTGGCCAATTCGGGGCCAATGCCATCGTCCAATATTAGACTTGATGTACCTAAGTACTTTTAACATAGTCAGGGTCTCCCGAAAGAACAAAATGACTTCCCAGTGACCTTATCCTTCCTTTTCCAAGAGTAATTCCAATGGCAATGCGAGCCTTCTCGTGCCTTCAAGTCTTGTCGAAAATATTACTTATTAGACGCTCAAAGACTCTACAACATAACAACGGAGTAGTAGGTATCAAGGTGACTAGACCCGGAATTTGAGAATTATCACTGATGGTAAATATGCCATCGGATAGGACGTCAATTGTCATAAAGCGAATCGCTTGAGGGTCAAATAAAAAAATTATGCACATGGAACAATCCTAGAACGCCTCATCCGAATCCCCGCCATAGAAACAACCATCGTCTTTTATAGCAAGCCCGAAAGAAAACAGGGCCAAATAGAGCAAACACGAGCAAAGATATTGGGGGGAAGAAACTTGATCAAGTCTGCATAGGCGCTAGACCAGGCACACCACTGAAACGCTCCTCGCGCTCAGTCTTGAACATGATCTGTACCCAGAATTCCTTGCTATCCTCATCAAACCAAGTCCAGTACTGGCCATCCCGGCGATCAACCTCCTTAGCCTGTAATTTGAACCCACAGGTCTGGTAAGGCTCAGCAGCAACCACCAGGTATTGGTACTTGTTATCCGGCTCCTCGATCTTCTGCTCAAAGGCTGACATAAAGCGCACGCGTGGTACGACACCGGGCGTGATCTCTTGGAACTGCAACTGGAACAGCAGGCCCTGTTGGCGCGTTAGAGGGTCCTGGATCTTAGTGATTTTGTAACCCGGCCGGCCGATCTTGATCATCTGCTTCTTGACTTGCACGCCTGCGAATCCGGCCATGGAGTTCGGGTCCTGGCCCTTGCCTTCGCGCTGCTCGCGCGCTGCTCGTCGTGCGAGGTTCGTTTGGTGCTTGCGGCCCTGGGTGTGGGCAAGGTAAGAGCCGTCATTTTGGTGCACTGTCAGGCACAGACGACACTCGAAGCTGCCGACGTGGTTCTTGAAGAAGTAGGGGTCTTTGTCGAGGTCGATTGACTCGAGTGCGAGCTTGCGCAGTCGCTCGCGACGGTCGGCATTCGATGCAGATTGGGAGGCGACACCGCCGCCGCCGAATTTGGATCCTGCGCGATTCTGGGGTTGGTGTTAGCATGGTCTATTTCAGGGTATGTAGGTAAATTGATTGGCGCTCTATTATACAGCTGGAAGGTGTACGTACCTGATAATCCATTTAGTTGGTCGCTGAGAGAAAGTTGATGAAGATTAAATCCAAGTAGCGCTGAAGCCCATATTTAGATTAGGTAAGCAGATATCTCACGGGCATGGATATCACAGTAGAAGTAGCAGACTCATGCAAAACAGGCAAATGACCCTGCTAGGTCTGAGTTGAGTGATGAGTGCTCCGACTTTGGGTCAACGTCTGTCTTTTGACGGCCACCTATGTACTGTCCGTTATGTGGGCACCGTTCAAGGGACCACAGGCGACTGGTTAGGCGTTGAATGGGACGACACAACCCGTGGCAAGCACTCAGGAGAGCATAAAGGCATTAGATACTTCTCGTGTATGTGGATGTTACTATTTATTATAAAATTGCTGCTCACACTCCTCCAGGCAAAAGCAACCAACCCACAGCGGGGTCTTTTGTTCGTCCCTCCAGACCATCAGACCAACCCCGGAGCTTCCTTGAAGCCCTACGGGAAAAGTATGCTTCTGAGCCTGTGGAGGACGTGGCATCAAATGCTTCAGCAACCGGAGCATCTGTCAGAGGAAAGGCAATTGAAATCAGCGGCAAGATCGTTGAGGAAGTTGGCTTCGACAAGATTCGGAAGCAGCTCGCAGAACTCCAAGAGTTACGCATCGTGCTACTTGATGGACTTAGAGTCGTCGGTGTCTCATCATCCTATGAACAAGATCATGATCCGGACAGTGATGTTGCACGAAATATTGGGCGAACTTGTCCCAAGATCACAGAACTCGATCTCAGTCGAAGTCTATTGAGTCGGTGGCATGATGTTTGGGACATCTGCAACCAGCTCAAGCACTTGAAACAATTGAAGCTAAAGTGAGTTTCCGCCAGACTTCCTTGGTGTAATATATCGTGATTAGAGCTGACCTCAGACAGTGGCAATCGGCTCCAGGCATTGGATGATACCTTGGTCTTTGAGGGCATCACTAAACTACATTTAGAAGAAACACTGCTAAGCTGGGACGAAGTATGCTCTCAACTCCAAACAAAATTGGTATCATCACTAATGCTAACATAGATTGCTGCAATTGCATCGCGATTCCCTGGCCTAACATCTCTCACAGCCTCTGGAAACCAGCTCTCTGAGATATCGTGTGAACTCCCCCACACTATAACGACATTGGTCCTCGAGAATAACGATATCACCTCAATATCAGCTTTGCGGCACATATCTGAACTTCCAGACCTGGAACACCTCTCCCTTCGTGGGAACCCCATCAATACGGTAAACCGCGACACCGCAGACACAACGCTAGACTTCCAATTTCCACCAACTCTGCGATCCCTCGATCTCTCACGCAACAGCATCACCTCTTGGGCCATCCTCAACAAACTCCCCACCGTGTTCCCAGGTCTAACCACCCTCCGCATCTCCGGCAGCCCCCTCTACGACCAACCCCCCTTCCACCATCCATCACAGCCGCAACATCATCAGACTCCAAACCAATGACCGTCGACGAAGCATTCATGCTCACCCTATCACGTTTCCCGCCAACACTCACAACCCTAAATTACAGCACCATCTCTCCGCAAGACCGCTCAAACGCAGAGATGTACTATCTCTCCCTCATTGGTAAGGAGCTTTCCGCCACAACGGAAGCAGAAGAGCCCGCTATCCTCGCCACGCACCCGCGTTACAGCGAGCTGTGCGAACTGTACACCAATCCAACGATCACCAGAGCAGTTGTCTCGGATGCTTCCGGGACGCGAGTGATCTATCCGCGGTCTGTGGCGGCGCGGTTGGTCAGAATGGCGTTCCATTTTGTACAATACTACGATGATAATGACCCCGGCGCATCCAATGATCGAGTCGTGGCCAAGGAGATTCCTGGATCGTTCAATACATACCAGGTCAAGGCGCTGGTGTCGCGGCTCTTCGGACTTCCGGCATTTGGGTTTAGATTGATATGGGAGACGGATGAGTGGGATCCTGTGGAGAGGGAGGCTGCTGATGAAGCTGCTGATTGGGATGACGATAGTGAAGATGAAGTTCAGGCTGAACAGGCTAGACCTGATTCAAACCCCCATGCCCCTGGTAAAAGCCGATTCGTGCGCCGGGAGATTGAATTGGTTGATTCAGCCAGAGACATTGGGTTCCTGTTCCAGGGTGAAATTGGAGAGCTTAGGATTCGGGTTGAGATGTCTGACTCTCCATCAAGAACCTAGAGCTTTGACTCGGTTGACAAAATACTTTCTCTACATCTATGCACAGAGTTGGAATATTTAAATTTTTTTTCCTTGGTTTTATTTGATTACCATTTGAGGGTAGAAGTAACAAATCCACAAGCCGTGGCCTGGGAAATCTTCGGGGTATGGAACTCCCGCAAGAAACAGAGGATATATGCATACAAGACTGGTGAAACCTGTCCAGGAGGGAAGAAAAGGCCGGAACGCCATAGTGCTTTGCTCGTTCACTGCCCAGTCCCCCAAACCCCAGTGGAAACAGAAAAGACATGTTGAACGGGAAGTTGTTGGAGGTCGTATCATTCAGCAAAGGAAAAAGAAAACGCCTGAGCCATGATGCTTTTTTTGTCGAGCGCAAAAGAACAAAATGAGATCCTGTAAAAGGCAGAATCGAGAAAAATGTAATGGTCCTCGAGAACACATTATGCAAGCGGTATGAGAGAATATGAGAGAGAAGCACGGGACATGTTGGGCTGATTACCCACGAGCAACCCACCATGAGCGGACAGCCATGCAGCAAATCCGTTTGTAGATTTGGGTTGTGCCCTTGCCCTCGGCTTCCTCTTCGAGGAACTTCTGTGCGACGAAGAGCTTGGTTCCTGATTCCTTCTCGGTAGTGTAGCCCACCTTCGGCAGACTATTAGGGAAATCAGCCCAGCGCTGACCTAGATGACGCGCCACGGAAATGGAGTAGATGATGTCGCGGTTCTCATATGTATCCAGTAATTGTCGGCATCGACTGAGAGTGTCATCTATTTGCTTGGCCGAACTTGCTTCATTGTCATAAAGCGTGAGGAATTCTCCGACCTGATCCCAGAAGTCGAGCTGGCGACTCTGGAACTGATCGGGGGTGTTCGGGGGATTGGCGGCATCCATGACTAGCTCCCGCGACAAGATATTTGAGTCCATGTGGGTCCACGTGAGTAACGCCTCAACGACGTTGAGTCTGCCACAAGCCGCACAAAGATTCCAGTCTCGCCCTTGTTGCCCAGTTTCTCCATCTGGTACCTTTCGGCAAAGCGCCATGCTCTTCCAAATGATTGAGGCCTCAAAGCTCTCCAGCCGTGCAAGGGTTTCACCGTCTTGTAGATTCCACTCATTGAAGGCATTGATCAAGGCCGAATAATCTGCCATCAGCTGGGCATCGGCCATCAGAAACGACAAAGCCTTCTCTGTGTACCAGCGGACCTCGAGAAGTTTATCGATAGCTGGCGCATATGTGGCCAGGAAGACTGCCTGGATTTCTTCAAGACGACCTGGCGGAAGAGTTCCGATAGTGTGAGGGGGAGGTGGTGCGATTCCCCTTAAAGAGAAAAGGTCATTAACGTAAAGATTTTTAGCTGAAAGTATGGATGGTTAGCTCTTTCGATCTTGATCCACCTATTGTTCGCGATGGGACGAATATAAAGCATGTTTAGTGATCTCACCTTTGTAAGCAGGCTCTGAGCCCTGCGGGCGGGGTGCGACAGTATTTTGCATTTCTGGATGGTTTGAATGATTGTTTGCGCCCAAGGAAGGATCGATAGAAGCTCCGTGTTCGTGTTGTTCAGTAGAGGCAGATGGCGATTCGGAATGGAGAGAAGGTGCAAACGGTTGAGACGACGCGGGCATGTACCCAGGAGGCGCAGATGGATATGAAGGTGCTGTTGGGGTCGTAGTAGAAGGGCCTTGTGGGTTAACCACTAACGACGGAGGAGGGTTAGGAGCTGGCTGGATAGCCGAAGGTGTGGATGCTTGAGTTCGAAACACAGGGTCGTAGCCTAGGCACTCGCGTTTGCTTTTCACGCAATTTCTGCAGACAGGGTGTGCTTCGTCACACTGAATCAAAGTCAGAGGATTGAAATCAAAAATGAAAAAAAGATGTTAAAAAAGGTTGAGTTTGGGAGGTGGGTTTACGCGGAAGGACAGAATATGGCGGGGTCTGCGGGCACAAGCGAGGCCTCCGCCCCGCGCGCATCTACATTTTGCGAACTCACCTTGATTCTTCGTTTGCGACAAGTCAGACAACCAGTTTTTGTTCGTCGCTTGACTTCTTTCTTGTGTCTATTCCCCGATAACATCTTGTTCGGATCTCCCGGTAGTTGATATCGCATTTGCGCATTTCCTTGTCCCATATTAGACGGATAACCAGTCATGTATTGGCCCATGGATGCCATTGGAGGCATATTGTTTGGAAGTGGCGAGCCTATTGGTGCCTGTGGAACCTGCCCTTGAGTACCAGAGTTGTGATACATGTCGTTTTGTTGGTAATGTTGTTGCGGCTGCGCCTGGAACTGGTGCTGGGTCTGTGTCTGCGGTGTGCCCGGTTGCTGTGACTGAGCAGGGCTATGCGAATATTGATATGTGCCATTAGAGGGTGCTTGATAGTGAGATACACCGTTCACCCCCGAGTGCTGAGATGTGTCATGTCCAGTGCCTGTAGAGTCGGGCAGACCAGAGTTTGAATCGTGATGGTCCAAATGACTTTCATCGCGAAACTCATGCTCGTCCATTGTTGGGATATCATCGGTTCCGATTGCTGGTAAGGAATGATCGAGTGATGAAAGACTTGTATCAATCGCAGGCAGTGACATGTCTTGAGCCGTAGATGGGCCAAGTGAAGGTAAAGCGTCAAAAGAATTCAGCCCAGAGTCCCCAAAGGCTTCCGATGAATCCATTGCTGGAATCGACGAATCAATCGGAGGAAGTGATGATTCAATTGATGGTAAAGTCACATCGGGTTCTTGTGCTTGTCCTTGTGCTGGCTGGTTGACTTCTTCTGGAGGCTGATACGTGCTCGCATCTTGCGTCGTTGGCTCTGCCGGTGTTGGGTCTTCCGGTGCTGGGTCTGCGGTGGAGGAATCTGGCTGTGCTTGCCCTTCCTCTATGTGCGTCGGCTCGTGGCTTGGCTCCGTTGGGGCGTTGTTCGGTTCCGCCTGAATTGGCTCGTCCTGGGGTGGAGGCTGGCTTGTCTCAGTAGCTAGCGCATTGGGCTCGGTCGCGGGATTGGGCGATTCGCCAGGCGGGGCGCTTGAGTCCGTCGGCTCCGCCATATTGGATTTTTTGCGGCCACCCAATAAGTAAAGTTATATGGATCGGATGGGAGTATACAATGGAAGTTTTCAAGTAGGTTTTCGAGGACAGCCTTTTCGGGGAGAGATCGAGTATTCAGGGCCTCACGGTCAAAGGTCGTCTGGCTTATCGCTGAGCGAAGTGATCACACCAGGTCGAACGGATAGGGAGTTAGAAATCATTTATTCCCTGTAATCTGTAGGGTCCAGCTGTGGTCAGTCAACCAGTTCATTCTGCCTGTAGCAATCGCGTCAGTTCCCCGCAGCAAAGCCCAAGTGCCATGAAATCAGAGTCCCCGGATTCGATGATGAGAGCCCAGCGAAGGGTATGGGAACACCAGGCTAGCACAGATCCCATGCTTCCACAACCTATCCCAGTGGAGGGATTTGAACCCAATGGGTGGATTAAATCGGGTCTATATTATAGTCCTCGGCGCAAAGTATGCTTTCTAGTGCAAGTTGCCAGTAATTCGATGACAAAGTCTCTCAAAAATCGCAGGTCCAGGTGTTCTGCCAGTGACTGAGGTTTTGTACGTCGCATTCGCGGTAGCCGACCAGCCTCGAGTGCAACTATCTCTATTCACCACCCACACAGAGGTTCGGGAATTCTCGCGAGGAGATGTTTGAAACTTCAACGATCTCACTCGATAGGAGGAATAATGGACATATCGCACAGGGAGGACGGGGCTGCGGCGCGATAGGACGATGCGCTCGAGGAACGGACGGATTGGCAGGGCTGCGGGGAATCACAACTGTCTCGAATTGCATAAGACTCACCAGTATGAATATATGGTATTAAACTGATCAATACACAAGTTGCTGTAAAACTGTGTAGATCTAGTTGTTGGAGGTCAAGAAAAGCGCGAATGAGGCTAAAGGAGCTTTCCTTTCCGGCGATGAAACTCTCCGCTTTGATTGCGATCGAAGGAAAAAAAATTATAGTGGCAATCACCGCTTTCTACCCCAACATTGCTATGTTTATTATCCACCCTACATTTTTTTCTACACAATTACTGAATATTGGCTACCGGATTTATGTTGGCTGCTATCTTTGGGTTTCAGTTCATAAAATTTAGAAAAAGTTGAGTTGAATTAGATATTGCTGCATTCAGCTGTCCTTGAATGATCTATTGAAACTATAGGTGGTTCGCAAAAACAACATTCAAGACACTTCCGAACTGGAGATTCACCGATTAAGGCTTCATCCAACTGAGCATGAGTTTTAGACCAAGGAGCAGTAGTGTAGCCCGGTCCCAGCAGCAAAGACTCCGGTCTCAAATATGATGACCGAGAATGAATTTGTTCATTGTACTTTGTATACAGCGACACATCTGCCAGATCCATCAATGAATAATGTGGTGAACGTTGACACTCATTTTCATCTGCTGGTATGGGCGATGGTATCTGTGATTGGCCCCATGCATGAAGTAAGGCAATTGAGGCCTGCTAGGTCAGGCCATCATTTTAGAATCGGATGCATAAGATCCCACGAGGATCATGGTGATCAGGAACGTGGGCTGCGTTTCCAAATTGGTCATGATAATAACATCGGTTTGGAATAAATACATCTTCAGAACGATATAATCATTTCCGCATGGTTTTCGGCTTTCGCTTCTTGAAGACAACACCGGGTGCGGCATCTTCGCTCTGGGGCTTCTCTTCTGTCACTGGCTCTGATGGGGTTGACTCTTCTGTCTTGACCACAGTTGATTCGTCTGTATCTTGAGACTCTACTTTGGCGGGCGTATCTTGTTTCTTGGCGGAACTGGTGGGTGCCGCGGGATTGGTCTCCTTTTCAACAAGCTCAGCCTTGGGTGTGAATGTCTTTGTCTTTTTGATTTCTTTGGTAGATGCAAGCAGGTCATCCAAATCCCCGTCGTCTTGTGCGCCGGGGTATTGCTTCATTCTCGAGCCCCAACCTTTGTTCACGACCGGTTCGGACGCATGTTCGTCCTCCTCATCCTCGCCTTCAAGCTTGCGCTTGCGCACTCCAACCGATTTTGTGGGGCCTTCCAGTCCCTGCTGGGGCTCTATCCTTGTCTCGGAAGTAGTCTGCCACTCTCCTGCTAATGCCATCTCAGCTCGAAATTCCTGGGGAATAGCGACTCCCATTTCGGCAAGCTGTGCAATCTGCTTCTTTCTCTCTTCTAAACTGGCAGGCCTTTGTGTGGGCTTTGCGGCTGGCGGCGCATTTCGTTTCGGGGGCGGTGCCTCGCCGCCCTTATCTGTCGCAGACCCGCCGCTGATGGCCTGTCGTAATCGCTCAACTTCGCTTTTTGCGCGCTGTGAATCTCGTTGTTGCTGCTCATTGTCCTTGTGGATTTGATTGAGAAAGCGTCTTAGGCTACCTTGATGTTTGGGGCTGGCTTCGTGTTGGGTCTTTTCGAAAGCCGTGTCGCGAATGAAGATCTTGCACTGTTTGCACCAGTGGCGCGGCTGTGGAATGATTAGCAAGGGACTGGTCAATTATTCGGGCACACTTACCGCAGATTTCCAGTATTCGGCCATAATGAGGTGCTGGAATTAGAAGAAACAAGTGTCAGTCACAATTTGATAAGATCGAGGTCTGAGTCTAGTCCCGAAGGAGCAGTGACCACAGGGCTCTCCGCTTTCTTCAATAACTACGGACATTGTACTCCACAGCTCAAAAACAACAAAAATAATATAATTAAATGGCACAGCGCATATTAGTTGTACATATTTCACCAAATCTACATCCAGACTTCTCTTTCTCTATTTCTCTCCGTCTTTACATTTCAGCCTGTTCCGGGACTGGACTCTTCAGTGTTCCTACTTCAAGAGCCATGCGAATGTTCTCAATCGTCCATTCTTCCATGGCAAGTATAGTCTGTTTTTATGTTAGCCTCATGGCCTTTCTCTCTCTGTGGATAGAACAAAACTCACCTCACTGGTCCAAGTACCCATGTGAGGAACCAGAATCACATTCTGGTTGCTTAGCAGGCCCGGATGGATCTTAGGCTCCTCTTCAAATACATCCAGGCCGGCTGAGAATACTTTACCGCTACCCAGAGCTTCGACCAAGGCAGCTTCATCCATGACAGCACCTCGGGCAGTGTTAACCACTACCACGCCGTGTTTCATCTTAGCAAACTCGGCTTTGCTGATGATGTGGTGGGTGTTTTTCTTTCGGTCATCAGAACATACTCCATGCATTGATGGGAAGTGAAAGTCACTTACATTAAGTGGCAAGTTCAAGCTGACCACGTCACTGGTGGACAAAAGCTCGTCAAAAGAAACATACTGAGCCCCCGCAGACATCTCCTCGCTGAGCTTGTGGCGATTATGATAGATGATTTTCATACCGAAAGCTTCAGCCTTCTTCTTCAGATTACGTCCAATTCCACCCATTCCCAGAATTCCAAGAACCTTTCCTTGGGGATCATGGCCAAGAGGTGGCGCTGGCTGACCTCGCCATTTGCCTTCACGCAGGGCATTCATGCCAGTGTTGAAGTTACGCAACGCTCCGAGGATCAAGAACATGTTGACATCAGCAGTGGCATCATCTACTGCGGTTGGGACATTAGAAACCCGAATTGGGGGATTGCGAGCACTGCACGCATGGACATCCACTTGATCGTAACCGGCTCCTATAGTTATATAAAGTCAATATATACTAGCCTCCCAATACTCATATATACATACCACAATGCGCGATATAGCGGAGCGATTGAGGTAGCACGCTCAGAAGCTCCTCATCTACAAATCCTGTAAAGGCTACAGAGGCAATGGTTCGGTAAATCGCAACCACACCGTCAAACTTGCCATCTTTGCACTCTTTAATGAACTCAGATCGTTGGGTCGCTGTTGATTCTAGCAGCTCTGCCACTTCACCTAGTGCAGCCCAGGCTGATTGTGCACTAATTTCGATGCCTGGTCAGTATCACGAATTAATGGACACCGATGACAGAATTTGTAAGATAAACTGACTGATCGATGACCCCAACGAGAAGCACCTTCGGCTTAGAGTCGGTGGAGCTCATTCTGGGAGATGATCCTTCTGTAATGTTAGTACATAGAAATTCAGAGAGTAACACAACAATTCCGAGAAGAATGAGAGGATCTTTTCAGCAATACTATTGTCTGCTCTCGGGTCGGAATAGGCCGAAGCGCCTTCTCTTGACATTTGACTTACAGATAAGGGATGTGGATGATTTCCGATCAAGGGCCAATTGTTGTTCTAAGTTGCGGATTCAAGCATCAATTCCTTAAATCAGCGGGAGAAAACAAAATTAAAATATAATCATTGAAGGAGCCCAGTGAATGAGGGTCATCATTATACGAAGCATCGGCCGAGAAGGGGGGGTAAGGCCCCACGCCAGACAAGTTCTCCGCATGAAGATGCCATTCGGATTCGGGCGATGTCTGCTAATACGTTGGAGTGGGTTTTTTAAGCTAAAATATCAGAAACAGAAAACCATTTATTCCTACTTCTTCAACTTTCAACACCAAGGTCACTGCAGTTAAGATGGTTGATGGTCCAACCTTGGTATACAAGGCAAGGAGATAACCCTAGATAGACCACTACCCTTCAATTAGAACACGGGTCCAATCAAACTTGTTCCATCGCTTTCTGAATCCGTCAACCCTTCGATCCCCACGATTCCATCGTCCCTGTCGTTTGATGACATCCGGCGCAACATCTAGCATTCCTCCAATGATCTCTCGTGCGAAGAGATCACCCCGAGGCCAGCGGTTGTCATCCTCAACAATGTGACCCAAACCACCATCAAGTTCGAACCAGACGTGGAAATAAGGCATCTCCTTTACCAAGGTTTGGCGGAAAGCAGACCGGCCCAATCCTTGCTTAGATTTCGCGAGTGTGTCGATAAGCTTTTTGTGCTGAGACCATTCGGATTCGGCACTGAGAATTGCTTCCTTGAAGAATGCAGGAGAAGTTTCTCCAAGGCTGTAGGGCAAGGGCACGACTTCCATTGATGCATGCTTTTTCCTTTGCGGCTGGGCTGCATTTTCATAGAAAATCACATCTCGACCTTGGTCATGGTACATGCGTGTGAGACTTTTCATAAAGTTGCGGATTTCCTCCCACTCATCGTCGTCGCACTCCATTAAATTCGTGCGATGTTGAATTGGTACAATGGTTGCACCACCCTCGCTTATCTCGGGCTCGGTGGGGAGTGTGAGGAAGACCCGAGTTGCAAGGGACACCACTGGGGCAAGAGGTGGTGTGCCTTTGTCTTCGTTGTGACAAAGCGGACAATTGTCCAAGATCCGGTTCATTTTGTGGAAATCGTTTATAGTTGTATTCTTGAGATCAATTTCAGAACGATGCACTCTTTTGGCTAGCTTGGACGCATTGTCGTCCATGTACTCCAAATCGTTCTAGCATAGGTTAGTATCCCAAACACCGATTATCATTCTCAGACTAAAACTCACCTCAAACTTGGAATCCCGGCCAATTTGATCCGCCAAACGCCTGCCCTCTCCGCCGAGTTGTCCTCGGGTTTTGCGTTCTTCTCGCACCATGTCTTCAATGCTCATATCTTCATTTGCCTCCACCTGGCCTCTCTCGCGACCCCTCTTGGTGTCAATGGCCTTAACCTCATTTCTTGGGCCTGCCAGCATGGGATTATGCATAACATCAAGAACCACCACATCGGGTTCCTTGCGGTTTGACATTGACGCAGCTGCCGTGTTATACTGCTCTTCGAGTTGGGTAGCGTCTGGAGCTTTTTTGAGCTTCGCTTTCATCATCTGAGCTTTGAGGCGATTCAATGCTGTCATATCGAGATGTTGAGTGGTCCTCGGGGGAGGCACAGTATCCATTTTCTTGGCTTGGCCCTCGGCTTTAAGCTCTTGCTCTGGATCCCGAACGTGCTCAAGTGGCCCACGTCGGATATTTTTCTCAAGCTTCCTTTCCTGGAATAACTCCCCGCTGGGTTTCTCCTTGCCCACGTAAGACTTGCCATACGTCTTGCGACGATCCATCTCGGTTTCTTCTTCCCGAGCATCGTCGAAAGAGCGTAAACTTCCAAATCGTTCGACGGCAACCTCTTCCACGGGCCTACCACTTTCTTTGGCCTCTCTGTAAATACCTTTGAGCTTTGTCATCCTCCACTGTGACCCCGAGTCTCCAAAAGTGTAGTCCACATCATGTTGAGCAGGCTCATCTTCTATTTCCTCGAGCGTTTTTCCATCGTTAAGATCACGGAGGTGTTTGTTGAGCTCCTTCTCATGAATCTTGAGTTCGTATCCCGCGTGAAGCATTTTTGGTTTGGCTTCCTCCTCGAGTCGCGTAGTGTCCGGTCGGTGAACATACTCAATATCGAGAGCGGAGGGTGCTTCCATCCAGGCATCCCGCTTCAAATTACTAGGCTCTTCCTCGGGCGCTGTTTTGGCAGCAGATGTCTCATCGTCTTTGGCATCGCATTGACGACGTTTATGGCCATGCTCGTCTCCTTGGTCGGTTGAACGGCGAGAGCGCTTGTGTCGGTGTCCATCATCGTCGCGATGTCGGGATTCACGGCCACGATCAACATCACGTTCCCTAGATCTGGAAGAATGCCGTCGGTGATGGCTAGAACGGTGATGACGGTGTTGTCTCGAGCGCTCTTTGCTGCGGTCGCGGTCGCGATTTCGGTCTCGATGATGTCTCTCTCGATCTGATTTTTCGTGTCGCTGTTCTTGTCCTTCCGCCAATGACTTCTCAAAATCTTCCAAAGTCATGGTGCACTTAAATACGGTGCAAGAGGGATGGAGCTGAAGCAAAAGGCAAAAAAGTTGGAATGACGTTCTAAAGTTGCCGGGCGGTCCAGTCGCAGATCTCGGCTTCCCCGCGACAAAAAATATTTCGAGAAAAAAAAGAGCTTATCTCTTCTTCACTTACGCATATTCAACCATTTCACCTTACAAGCTCACCGTGACATTCCATCTATTCCTCTAATTTCTACGGGGTAGTTTTTGCACAGATCTTTCATAATGGCGACTCCGGTGTCCGTGGTCTGCGTGGGCATGGCAGGTATGGCATATTGACCCTTTCCCCATTTTTGTCCACAGTATTTTAATCATATCGTGGAATGAGTAGGCTCTGGAAAGACCACGTTCATGCAGAGAATCAACTCTTATCTGCACGAAAAGAAAACCGTGCCATACGTGCTCAATCTCGACCCCGCGGTACACTCGGTGCCTTTCGATAGCAACATCGATATCCGTGATTCGATTAACTACAAAGAAGTGATGAAGCAGTACAACTTAGGCCCCAATGGAGGTATTTTGACTTCGTTAAACCTGTTCGCCACCAAGGTCGACCAAATCATCTCTCTCTTGGAGAAGCGCACTACTCCGAACCCCGAAAACCCCTCCGCAAAGCCAATCGAACACATTTTGGTCGACACACCCGGCCAGATCGAAGTTTTCGTCTGGAGTGCGTCCGGTAGCATTCTTCTAGAAACTCTCGCATCATCATTCCCCACGGTCATTGCATATGTCATCGACACACCTCGTGCGAGTTCTACCAGCACCTTTATGAGTAACATGCTCTACGCCTGCAGTATCTTATACAAGACCAAGCTGCCTATGATTCTGGTTTTCAACAAGACCGATGTTAAGGATGCAGAATTTGCCAAGGAGTGGATGACCGACTTTGATGCGTTCCAGCAGGCTTTGCGGCAAGAGGAAGAATCAGGCGCTTTTGGAACCGAGGGCGGTGCTGGGGGCTTTGGCTCTGGTAGTGGATATATGGGTTCCCTTCTGAACAGCATGAGCCTGATGTTGGAAGAATTCTACCGACACCTGAGCATTGTCGGCGTCAGTTCGATGACTGGCGATGGTGTCGAAGAGTTTTTCGAGGCTGTGGAAACAAAGCGCCAGGAGTTTGAGCGCGACTACAAGCCCGAGTTAGAGCGTAAGAAGAAGGAGCGTGAAGATCAGAAGGAATCTCAGCGGGAACTTGAGCTTGGGAAATTAATGAAAGACATGAGTGTTTCTGGGGCAAGCAGACAGCCACCAAAGCCCTCTTCCGCTGCTGAGGCTGAGACTGTCAGTGAAGCCGAAGATGAGGAGGACGAGATTATCAAACGCGGTCTGGCAGATGGAGAGGATGACAGCGACTATGAGGACTACCAGGGCCCTGACGCTGGCAATGATGAGGGTCTCTCTCATCGTTATAGAGAGGCGCTCTCGGGTGCTCAAAGTGCCCCGTCAGACCAGGACAACAGCTTCACAAGATATCTGCGTGCGAGCAACATGCAACAGTGAAGTTGCAATATCTCACGAAACAAAAATCGACATTTGATTGCATTCAATGGTTTTCAATAGGGTCTTACGGTCTTGAGGTGTTTGTGGTCCTTGGGGCGCTTTTCCTTTTTTTTTTTGCATACAACCGAATACATATATCAAATATATCCCAATTAATTTGGCCTATTATCATTGCCCCTTTCTTCTCTGTCTTTTGGGGTGTTCTGGTCTTTCAGGGCTATGGTAGAGCACATTACAAACTAAATGAAACATGCAAACTAGTCAAACAGGTAATGTTGCTGTGACGTCACAAGCTATAATACTTCAGCCTTAAAATCATCTTCTCCTATATATATAGTTGTCTGATCTTTAAGAGCTTCTCAATATCCTAGCCTTGGAAATATCCTGCCAGCATTGATACAGCTGATAGCATACATAACATGGATGTGAGTCACCGCTCTTGACAGCTAAAGCTATGTACGTCACTTCACGACAGAACTCAAGCTGACAACTGTTCTGAAGGTCTTCCACGCGTACACATACTCGACGGCCGGTTGGCTGGCACTTCAGAGCTTACCTCTGATCGCGGGTCCAAGCATAATAGTGACCATGCTGTTGGATGAAACCCGACCCGCTTCCCGTATGTGACATCAAATCATCCAAACCATATGACTATTTGCGAGTTGCTGACCCTTAATCCCTTATAGCCATGGAGCTCTACTTTGCACGATGCCTCGGATTTAGTCTTCTTACTATCGCTGTCTTGACCATGATGCTGACGGGCTCTATCCCTTTGACCGCCGACATCAAGGAGTCCGTTTCGACAGATGACAACGATCCCAAAGCTCCATATGCTGTGCCAACTCTGATGGTCACCTCTATCTTCCATAGTGCATGCGCGTTTTACGCATACACGTGGTACGTTTCTGCTGGACAAAGCCTCTTTGCCGTTGGAGTTGCTGGATATTCCGCTATTGCAGCTATTGGGCTATGGTGCATGCTTTTTGCAAGCAGCCATGGCAAGATCAGTCGTCGTACTGGGGCAGATAAGAGGACCGCCGGCTTTCCTTTCAAAAATTCGGAAGCAGCGAAGAAACATGCAGGAAAGGGACTGTAAGCTCAAATTGACCGTTAGTTCCTGTCAATACGATTGGGACCGTGTTTTTGAGCCTAAAATAGAAAAAATATTCTAAATAGCCATTTATTCTATCAATAAGACTAATCTTTTTCCAGAGATTTAAATGTAATCAATTAATGTGTGTATAGAGGAAAAGAACATCCGAGCTTCCAAGGGAAGGTTTACAACCCCACAACGCCGCTTCAACCACATTTTTTACCTTTCAAAAGCAGCACTCCTCTCCATATAACCTTATATTATTATTTAGATGGACTCCGAACTGCAGATTTCGTCACCCCGGTTGGCATCCATGTCAATAGGTGACGAGTCAAATCTCTCTCAGCTAAACCCTTTTGATGTAGGATCGCATACATTCATTCCTTACCGTCCGCCGGCTGCCGAAACGCGGCCCCGAAACGCGAATGCGCGCAACGGCTATATCCCCCCTTCACGGCCAGGCGAGCCAGTCCATGAATTCATGGTCGCAACTCAACCCACTCACCAGCAAAATCAGCCGCGTCAGTCTGGGAATGAAGCTTCCTCGCACTTTAAACCGCAAGGGCGATTCCCCAATCAGAGTGGTTTGCAACAGTCCCGAGAGTATAACAATGATTTCGAGAATGGACAGCTTGGTAATATACAATCAACCCATATGAGAAGGGCATTCCCTGGCTCTGGGTCCGCGCAAATTTCACCTCCGGCATCGCTGTCGCAAAATAATCTAGCAATGGTGAACCACCCGCAAGCTCATAGTAACAGCTTTGCAATGTTACCGTCGCCAGTTCAACCATTTCAGTCAGATATCATTCAAATGGAACCCGAGTCTGTCGATCCGTCCACATTCAGTGGGCCTGGAGAGCTGCGGGGCTTTAAAGTGATACCTGATCCTCCTCATCTGGATTACTGGAGGGAGAGGTTGTTCAATGTCGATGAAATGATTACACTGAGCGAGGATGAGTACGTGACATTGTGCATTGCTCTATGTTTATCATTTATTATTTCCCTGCTGCAAAAAAGACTGACTTGCAAATACTCCGCTCTGCAGATTCAATACTTACTTCCCTCATGTTGACAATGTATATTCCCATCGCTCAACTCAGCGGTACAAGCGTAAACCCTTCGTTTCTCACTACTGGGACTGCCGACTAAAAGGCCGGCCCCCGGGTACACCCAAATCGGACGACCCAGAAAAGAAAAAGCGCAAGCGCACAGCCAGAGAAAGGGACCTCTGTCATGTCAAAATCAAAGTTGTGGAATACTTCCCAGTGTCTGAAATATCAGACATAGCCCATGCAATCGAGACTGGATCGTCTACTATGCCTGGCATGTATACTTTTGCTCTGAATGGCGAGCCCTCGATCCGAAATGTTCAAACTTTTGATATGCCTACACCCAATCCTAACTTACCCCCGAGCCATCCGGGGGCGCATGGTGGAAGATACTTCACTATACAACGAGTGAATGGTAACGGTGCCAATGGGAAGAATGACGGCGTGGGCGGCGGTCATCAACATACACTTGAAGAGAGTGACCGAGTAAAGAAGAGCAGTGTTCAACGGTTTATTATGAAGGACAAAAAAGATAGGAGGACAAGAGCGGTATGTTTATCTCATGGTATTGTTTGGAGTTACAAAAATGGTCCTGTATTCCCCGCATGCGCTCGGCTACGTCACAGTCAACACCTCTCGTGTTTTAGATTCCTGAGCCACGCCGATGGAATCTTCATTTTGATGTCAACTCTAGGTATAATTTTGGAAAAAGCTCTAACACAATATATACAACAGGATCGAGTCATGTCTCAATCAGGCCCAAAATTATACCATACAAAGTCGACAGGTCTGGCCGCTGAAACTGCCATCAAGCATTCTGCCGACGTCAACCTCAAGTTATTTGGAAGTTGCTTCTGGTGAGAGCTCCCCATATTTTGACCCGGTCAAAACGGAGACCTTCTGGAAATCGCTAATTTAGTCCGCATGTCTGAAGTCCTTTTGTGCAGCGCGTATGGATTGCGTTGGAGCTGAAAGGCATTCCATACCAATACATTGAAGTGGACCCGTATGAGAAACCCGCTTCCTTGTTGGAAGTGAATCCAAGGGGACTTGTTCCTGCTTTGCGACATAATGATTGGGGATGCTATGAAAGCAACGTATTGTTGGAATATGTACGGAAGCCGATCGATCGGGATCCCACTTATGTCGCTAACCAATGCATTGTAGCTTGAGGATCTGAGTGTTGGAGCTGCGATGCTTCCAGCAGATGCAAAACTGCGTGCTCATTGCCGATTGTGGGCAGACCATGTAAGTCGGCAATCATCTCTGCGCTGATAACCATCACTAATAGCATTCAGGTTAACCGACACGTTGTGCCCGGTTTCTACCGTGTGCTGCAGGAGCAAGACCAACAGAAGCAGATTGAGAAAACGCAGGAACTGCGGGAGTCCTTGGAGCAGCTGCTGGAAGTGGCACATCCCAAAGGACCTTTCTTCATGGGCTCGCAGATGTCCCTTGTAGACGTTCAAGCCGCCCCGTGGATCATTCGATTGAGACGAGTTCTGAAGCCTTACCGAGGCTGGCCGGATCCCGAGGAGGGAAGCAGATTGGCGGCTTGGGTGAACGCTATTGAGACCGACCAGCATGTTCAGGCAACAACTAGCACGGATGAGCTGTACCTGGACAGCTACGAGCGATATGCCCGTGAGTATCTCGCATTTTCTTTTGCGAACGATGTTGACCAGTTCGTATCGCAGAAAACCGTCCAAACACATCACAAGTCGCAAATGCGATCAACGCAGGACAAGGCCTTCCTTGACTCTAGAGAATATATGAGGATTCTCAGACTCAGCAGGTGGCCATTGTTCTGGAGAGAGGAAATGTTGGTGACATGTACTTTAGCCTCCTCGAGCACCACGATTGAAATTGAAGCCACCTCTTCCACTTGAATCAGGGCCCCGAGGGCTGCGTAGCGGTTGCTGAGGAGCTTGAGGGTCGGAGCTGTTCCGTTCAAGCTGAGGACGGCCACCTCTCTGTCCAAATGGTGCATTTGACTTAACCGGGCTAGCTGGATCGTAGAGATGATGTCTAGAATTGCTCGATGCCGACGAAGAATCCCTCTTTTCGCGGTTATCTCTTCCTCCGCCACGACCTTTTCCTCGGCCTCTACCTTCTCCTGAATGAATTTGGTTCTGGCGAGGCGGGGTCGTACTGCCAGGCGACGACGTACCCGAAGCTGTAGCGGATGGACTTCCGAACAGGCGTTCGCGCACCTCTTCATACTTCCGCTGCTTCTCCTCTCGGTTCTTGAGTGCAATGGCATGGCGCTCCTCGGGCGTTGGCTCGGGCGGCTTGTTGTCATCATCCGAGTCGTCATCGTATTCTATACCAAGCTGACCAAGTCCAGCGGTTGCAGCATCGATTGTGCCCGGAGAGGATGATTGTCGTTTCACAAGGTGCGGCTTACGATTACGACTCAACAATGTGACTGCTGGTTTGATATCCTGCTTGAGGGGGACATCGGCGCGCGCTTCGACGAAGTGGAACGTCTCTGGGGATTCCCTGTAGCCCAATTCAGCGTTTTGAACCTCGGAAAAATTCTCATAGACTGCTCAAGCCTCAAACTTACGCTTCCGCCCACAACTGTCGGTTGAATTCTGCCTGTTGTGCCCTGCGTTGTGCCTTTGTCACTTTGGACGAGACTTTCTTTTCGGACGGCGGGGTAGACTGCGAGTCTAATTTCTGTAAACGATTATTAGTACGTCATTTGTGATTTTTGAGCCCTTTATAGACTGCAACAGCAGTCTAATGACTCTAGATATCATCTGGACTGTTATTACATACATCTGCTTGGCTTTCCCACGAGTCGTCCCAGGCGTCGGGAGCCGCACTGGAATTTGCGCTCATTGTTCACAGAATAACCACGATCAGGCAGAAATTGGAAATAAGAATGATAGTCACAGAAACAATAAAAGATGCTAGTGGAGATCTGTAGTCAAACAATAAAGACTAATAATTCGTATGTTCATGGAGTATATAGCTGAGGAAGAAAGAAAGAAGAAAATTCGCGGTGCGAACCCTGGGGCCACCGCCTGTCGCAGTGCAGAGCTGCTCAGGCGTGTTGATCTCCCCGCCGCCTCAATATTCTTCTGAACTATACCCCAACTAATCAATTTTCTACCAATTTTATCATTTCTTAGTCAATATGGCTATTGGTAAGTCCACTTATTTTCAAGTTTTCGCAAGCGCGGGGAACCGATGGCGATATCGATAGAGCTCCATATCTTCCCGCCTGTTCTCCTCCACACTACCTTGCACCCATTAATCACCGTCTTAGATCCCAAAGACCCAGACGGAGATTCCACAATGACATCCTCCATCGATTCCATCCGCCCAGATGATAGCGCCCGAACCGGCGCTCGTACTCCAACTGGCAACGCCCAAGCTTCCTCATCCGGCCTCAACACATCAGAGCTTTCCCCTCCCGGCTCTCAGACACAGCAATGCCCAGGTGCACCTCCCGTGGACACTCGAACGGCACTTGAGATTCGGGCAGGACAGACTGCGGACAAAAATGCGGAGCTTGCTGCGTGGAAGACCAAGCGTGCCCAGGAAGATTATCAGCGCGCTATGGAGTATGTCGTTGACAAGGACTTTACGCTAAGTATGTGGTGTATTATATCTACGTCTCCTGTGCTAGGTTAAATCAGGTTGTATGGATGTTTCGTATACTAACCGTGGGCCTCCCGTTTAGATGAATTCGGGGATCCATTTGATGAGCGTGACTTGGCAGAGAAGCTGATATGATTATGGGGCGCTTCATGCATTCTGAGACAAATTGCTAGCGGCACATGATATGATTAATGAGATATGATCGAGTCTTTGCTCGGGGTTCTTGAAATACAACCAAGCTATGAAAGGCTGGACGACTTTCGCTCGCCTTATGACTACTGTAGTCTATGTCCCACCAAGTGCAAATCGATTGTAATTAAAGGCGGCTGCCGGTTGTATGGCTTCCAAGGTTTCTGGGGGGCATGATAATTTCAAGGAAACGGAGGGGTAACAATATGTTCTATATCCAAGACAAGAACTTGTAAGGTTGTTGAGATACCTCGATTTCCAAGGTACCAAGGTTCCAAGGTTCGAGAATAATATTGAAAACAGCCCTGGAGAGCATGCGATCATTGCCGGTGTGGTGAGTTACTATCACGGTTTAAATTATACTCCATGTGTCTGTCACCTAGTTGGGATGGCTGATGGTGGGAATACGTTGGAGAAGATACTATCTCTAAATATATATAGAGTGCCTAGACAAAGGTATATCTATTCGAAGTCTGCCAACTCACAATTGGAATTGGACTAAATTATAAGATCCTGCTATCCGAAAACAACCTAGGAAGGACTAAAAAGTAGTCACCATAAATGGTTTCTACCTAAGTGTACTCTTTAAGCATCATTCACAAGGCTATGTACATATTGAACAGTGTTTCCGATAGGTTTCCCTACTCTACGTAGCATTCAATATTAAATAATGAGAATATAGGATATACTTTCGATGATATCTTTCGATACAAGCTGCATTGTACAATATTGTAGGGCTCTAGGGCTATTGAAGATCATCCAAATTGACAACGTGTAGGGCTCCCATAAGGCAGTTGGCAGGGCAACGGATCAAAGTGCAAAGCAAACTCCACCATCAAACTTCAATGTTAACTTTTGCATCAACACACGACTTATTCGACACTTATACTATAACTGAAGTATTCTCAGTTTGCATTTTATTCACATGAACTTAGAAAAGTACCATCACTTCGACCTATTTTAACCCCCTTTACTTAAATTATAAGTACTGTCGAATTCCAACGGCTTTCTGACACATTCCGCACGCGTCAACAACCATGGAGAACCACCCTCCCTCGCAGTCGCAAATAGGGTATGTCGCCTTTCTCCTCTCACTTCTGTTTGGTTATATATTTTGTCGTTTTGTGTTTTTTTCACGTCAACATTTGCTGCGCCTGTCACTCAGGGGCTTGAGTTTCTTTGTTGTGCATACACATCGCCACATATTGTTTGACACTAACATTGTGTTTCTTACTCCAGCGACACTACCAATCCCCCGACAGAAAGTTCCTTTAGTTTCACGCCTATCAAGGCCCTGAGCGCATTGCCTCGATTGTGGGATCGCAAACCCTCAACCCCTGTTCGGGCTGGAGACAAGTCGCGCAAGCTGTGGAAGCGCATTCGTTTCCCATTCAGTGGCATGAACACCGCACCAGAACGCCAGGGCATTGCCATTGGCGGCGCTAACAATTTGGATTATAAGCGCGGCGTGAAGCGCTTGTGTGTTGACCCCGCCGACGCCGACCATGAGACTGAGCTCGAGCAACGCGGTCGGTCTTTCCTGGAGACTAAATGGGAGATGCAGGCGTCTCGAAAACGACGTGAGTAATTAATCCACGGGGTTACGTGAACTACCAAGCGTCGCAATTCGTTTACTCTCACGTGGGACCTTTCATCTGACATTTTAAAGGCAAAATGCCCGAATTCAACTTCAATATTCACGACGATGGCGCCCAGAACACGTTTGGTTTCACCGCCAACCAGCCCACGCCAGCCCTGAATAATGACATTGCTATGAACGATTCCCCCGCGCCCCTCAGCGATATGTGGGAGTCTGCCAAGACGCCGGTCTACAATGATACAATGGCTACGGACGTGGACCTTACCGCATCCAACGAAAAGCCCTCCGAACATCTGCAGTCTAGACTCCTCGATCAAGTGGCACCGCCCATGATCGAAAATGCAGCAGAGTGCAAGAGCAACGCTGTGCCCACTGCGGAGTCTGTGCAAGATCTCACCCAGGAGCAAGAGGTGAAATTGGTACGATCGGCACTTCGAAGCTCTCTGGATGGAGAGGATGCAGACCTGCTCAATGACTTCCTTTCGAGAGCCAAGGCTAAGCGCGCCGCCAAGGCAGCGCATCCCGGAGACACAGAATCACCAGAAGTGTCTTCCAGCATGGATGAGTCTCCAGAAATCGAATGCTCAATGCCACGATCACGACGCGCGTTGGAAGATTTGAACACCAACTCACCTTCGCCGGTCAAATTGCAACTATCACCCAATAAATGGGACGTCAAGCTCGGCACGGATGACGCCGAAAACCAGGAGAAAATCGTCCACAAAGAAGAGGTCATCGAAGAGCCAGTCCCCTCAAGCCCTGCATGCCGCCGCAGCACTCGCGCCAAAGCCTCAAGTGCTCCTCCTGTGCGCAACACTATCTCACTCCGCCGGGCTAAAGGCACAGAGTTCATCTTTCTGCAGCGAACTGATGCCCAGCAGGTCGCTTTGGCTACAAAGCGTAACACCAGACTCAACAAGGGTAAATCCGTTACGCCTTATGTCGCTCTGGAAGCTCTTTCCCGGCAGTCGAGCGAGGAAGAAGGTCAGACTGGCGATGATGAGCATGAGAGCTCATACCGCAACCGCAAGGAAGCTGCTATCTCCCGAACAAAGCATAGCAAACCCCGAAAGCAAGTGTCATGGAACGAGGATCGCATGGCCGAGTATGAAGAGTTCGAAGTAATGGACGATCAGGAAGACGAGGAGAAAGATTATCAACAAAGCACTGATGACGTCGGTGCTACACCTCGTCCCCAGTTGGACACCAAGCGTTCGACAAAGAAAGCAGCATCTGGCCAGCGCAGCCGCCGTAGCCAGACGCAGAAGGAGAACCAAACTACAGACAGTGGGGCCACTGACAACGGCTCAACCCCTACTACTGCACCCGCTACTGCAACCCCGCGCTCACGCCGGGTGAGGCGTTTGGGCGATTCGGGAACGATGGGGTCTGGTACCCCTGTCAAGACTGGAGGTCGCAGCACAAGCAAGCCTCCCGTAGCCTCAGCGCCCGTGGCTGATGCACCCGCAGCGCCCTCGACACCTACCAAAGGCCGCCGCAAGCTTGCTCCCAAATCCCCTAGCTCGTTAAAGCTCCCCGCACCGGCCTCCAAAAGTGCCAAAAACACTGCCGATCAGTCTTTCGTTAGTGGTATTCCCACCCGCAGTACCAAGAGCACGGACGATGCGTCGCGGAGTATGCTCCAGATGAGCGCCGGGTGCACTCCCACGGCTAAGCGAGTGCGGTCGAGATCTTGATCATCCCCTGAGGATGGTGTGTGCCTCATCTAAGAGATAGGATTTTGCTCGGGCTTAGCCTTCTTTGCTATTGTCTTTTCATGCCCTGGTTTTTTCATGGTCGCTCTTTATATAGTTCCCAGGGAGTTTCTTTGTCCTTAAGATACCAATTGTTTGTCTTTGTCTTTTTATTCTATTGTACTGTTACATTCTTATTGAATTCATTCTGGATTTTTTTCCATTTCATCTTGATCAAGATAAGATCGTGAAGCGGCAAGGTTCACCTGTATGCAGAATGACGTCTGTGCCGTTGCGCCACACTTTGAAATTGCGGGATTTGACGGTATGAGGGGCATCCATTTGGAGGCTGGACTGCTCTTTGACTACAACATTCGGGTGACAATCCCGATATTCGCGCTCGAGTCCCTTTATGCATCTAGCCGCTTTGACAACCAAAGATATTGCAGCGGGCAGCGCGCCTGGCCGTCTGGCCGTCTGGCCCGAAGGTGAGGATGATCCCTTGTGCAAGTGGCTTGCGTTTACTTCCCGAATTGAGTTCTTTCCAATTAAATATTCTGGTGGCTTGATACTTGTACGGATAGCCGTTACCGCGCCGATCTTTGTAATATTTGCAAACTGAGAAGACTAGAGCAGTCTGTAAATTGGAGGCACTGAGCAAGGCGATCTCCAGATGCATTTGTATATCACATGGTACCCACGCAGCGAACTGGTATGATGCACCCTGTACTCCAGGACTCAAAATGCACACGCTACACGCTACATGCTACATGCTACATGCTGCATTGTGCAATGTAAGGTAGATCAGCCTAATGATCCCAATGATGTAGTGTGGATATCAAGACCTCCCTCTTAAAAACCTGGACATCAAGTCTCTCCAGCGTATTCCACCGAAGTGCCATATCGGCTCAACAATCGGGATTCCCGATCTCAAAACTCGGTTTCGGGAAGCGCAGAAGCCGAAGAATCTGAACCGGCAAAATACTCATCATGAAATCTACATACACAAAAACAAGCAACCTTGGAAAAGTCTAAAGGGAGGTTTTCTTTTTACCGTTTTACTAAAGAAATGAGGCATTAAATATCTCACTAGCATAGTACAACTTAGCAAGTAATTTCCGTCGTTGATCGGCCAAAGAATGGAAAAATAGAACCAGCGTTAGTTTCTATAATGTGTCAACCAATAGCAACTATCCGAACTAAAAACAACCTCTGCAGAGTGTTAGGTAATAGCCTTTCATCCCACTTCATGGGTACCATATGCATCGAGCCATGACGACAAGTACCCCTCCCAAGAAGGTACCCAGTACGACTCAACGATACAGCCCTAAAAGCAACTAAAACAAGACAACTCTAAAACATGCATATGTATATTTACGAGATACGCAGTACACGTAGACTGTCAGGATCATGCAAACACTACCCTATTCGGCGTCTCGGTGTTGAAGACAACCACGTACAAAGCACACCCATCTCCGACATTTTCCGCATTATGCTATAGTCAGTAACGCTAAGACCAAATGCGGTATGCGCTAAGCCTCTTAGTGGCGCAGGGACATACCTCAATGCGGGATGACATAGTCGGAGCAGTGTGCTCCTGGGAATTACACTGCGAGTAGGTAGCACTATACCGGATTTGGTGTATGGAAATGGCTATTCGTTTTACAATATGCATTGTATGTATGCACAGAGTAGTTGTAGAGTTGTATCTTGGTGCTACACTAGATATTTTCCGTCCCTGGCCAGGCACAGTGTAACCCTGTGGAACTTGTCAAGCTATTTATTGAAGATATAAGATCTTAACTCGAGGTGAGAGATCTTTTTGCTTATTGGTTCAGCGCAGTATTCCAGACATATTCTAAGATCAAATATGCAACGGAATTAATTACATTACAATGTTGTAAAAATGTAGGGTTCCTTTGCTGGGCAAATTTCTTTTTTGCAAATTGATTTTTATTTTACTTTTTTTTTATTGTAATCTTAATCCAGATTGCTTGGTTTCACTTCAATTATTGGACCCTCTCAGACGCTATGGAGGGGTCGTAGATGCCGTGGATCCTGGAGGGGTTAGAAATGGAATGAAGGGCGGCCGGTGTGTGAAGTTGGCCATCGTATGACAGAGTCGGCTCAATTTCCCGAAGCAACACCATTCTATGATACACATGAAACACATGTAAGAAGTACATAGTTTTTAAGGTTTTAAGATCAATGGTATGTCCAATTCATCTAACAGAGTTCGTAATCCGTTCATTAACACATTTCCACCCCCAAATCCCCCATTCTAGGGTATTATTTTCGCCTTGTATAGATAAGTCAAGACAATATTTAAAGAGAAAGGCCCTGGGCAGTCTCCTCAGGCCAGACATTGTAGCCGAAGGTCTCGTGCATGTTGACAAAGCGGCAGTGACGGCCCTTGGCGACCTCGTTGACAGCCGCGAAGTCCTCATCGCTGAGCTCGATGCTCTTGAAGTTGGACTCAATGCGCTTGGGGTTGGAGCTCTTGGGGAGCACACTGTAACCACGACGCAGACCCCAGGCAATGAGAACCTGGGCGAGGGTGTTGTTGCCCTTTTCGGCAATGGCGTTGAGAGTCTTGTTCTCGGACACGCGCTCACCAGTGGTAGGGACCTGGTTTTGGGAGCCCAGAGGCGAATAGGCCTGGGGCATGACATTCTTGGAGAAGCAGTACTGCACCAGCTCTTCGTTGGGCAGGAAGGGGTGGATCTCGATCTGGTTGACCTGAGGGAAGACCTTGGCGTACTTGGTCATGGCCTCAAGCTGGGGGATGGTCCAGTTGGACACACCGATAGCCCTGGCCTTACCGTCGGCGTAGAGCTTCTCCATGGCGCGCCATGTCTCCTCGTGGTTCTCAGTGAGGTCCTTCAGGATGACGTACTATTAAAAAATCGTTAGTTAGCTGCTCGTGTGCCATTGGAGGTTTGGGAGAGCTGGTGATAACATACCTTTCCATCGGGGCCAATCTTGGGGTGCTCCTGATCTTCCTTCTCAGCAGCAATGGGCCAGTGAACAAGGAAAAGATCGACGTAGTCAAGCTTCATACGCTCGAGAGAGTTGTTGATGGACCAGAGGACGTCATCGTAACGGTGCAGATGGTTCCAGACCTTTGTGGTCACGAAGATATCAGAACGCTTGACGTTAGGGTTGGCCTTGAGGAAGTCACGGATACCATCACCAACCTCGTCCTCGTTCAGGTAGAACCAGGCACAATCGAGGTGACGGTAGCCAATGTTGAGAGCAGCAGTGACGGCGGCGTAGGTTTCGCCCTTTGAGCCCTCGCTGGCGAAAGTGCCGAAGCCAACGGCGGGCATCTTCACGCCATTGCTCAAAGTAAGAGTTTTTCCAGACGACATTGTGTATATGATTTGTGTATAGTAGAGTGTAGAAAGAAAGAAGAGCTCGAGCTGTAGAAGATACAATAAGAGTGGGGGAGCTTAGAAAAGCGATGACGATGTTTGATGAGTGGGGTGGAGGGGTACATCATTTATTTCAATTTCAATTGAAATAATGAAATACTGAATTATCTAATCTGAATTTCCGAATTTCTGTATAATGCTAACTTAGCCTTACTTTCCTTTCTACAATGACGTTGTCGATAAATATATACATGCACAAGGTATATTTTAACTCTAGCCTATTCTCGTATAACCATGTAGCTTGGGCATGAAAGAAGATACAACATTGTACCTAATGAATGAACACAAACTAAATACAATTACAACACAAAAAAAAAAGAAACAAGAGGAAAAAAAAGCGCAAAATTTCCACTAGTAATTTTCAAAGCTCCATTATGACATCACTGACCGAAACGGTGAGAGCGTTTGAGCCGATCGTCATCGGCTCCATTCGATCTCATGCCGACCCACGGGCGAACTGCACTCCAGTCCAATCGTCCGTTCGTCTCAGGCCTCTTCCTACCCACTCGGCGTACTGCGTTGCTTCAAAACTCGGCCTAGCCAGACATGGTCTGAGCCAATCACTGAATTTTTGATTTAGTCGGCCGCCGGGCTGTAAGCTGTCCCGCGTACTAGGTACACGGAAAACAGTGTGTCATCCACAATGACGCAGGTACCCTGTACAAATCCGTCTGGTCTCATACAGTAGAAGACTCCACCCGAAACTGATATCTTGTTGCCAAATGATGACGATAATTCCTAGGAATGATGATACCCGGTGAGTGGATCCCTCGCAGCTTCAATGGCAAAATCCCCATTTTTCGTTTGTCCCCCATTGAGCCCGGTATGAGATAGTAGGGCTTGTATATATACTCTCCTGAACTCCCTCCATTAACACTTTTCATTTCGTTATCAGTGACTTTTCTCTCTTCCTTTTCACCTACTTTATCCATTCCCCTAAGTCCTGATCCCATCAGTGACTTTAAAAAGTAGAAGATCCACCTCTCTCCTTCTGCTCCCTTATAAACTACCTTCACAATGGCTCGTTTTGAAGACACCGACTTGGGAGTTGATCCCCGCGCCAGCGATGCCCCTGCTCCCTCTCCCCGTCCTAGCAACGGCGGTCTGGCCATTCCTTCCGATGGCGGCAACACCATTGAGATCCCCGCTACCCGCAGTGCCATCAGTGATGCCGCTCAGTTCATGCACAACCTGAGCTTGGCTCCTTCCATGAAGGACCGCCGTGGCTCGCGCAACTCCTTCGGAACTTCCCTCCCCATTCCCCGCTCTCCCCGCCTGTCCCGCCTGTCATCTGTCCAGCGTGGTACTCCTTCCGTCTCCCGTGATATCATGGCCTCTCAGGTCCAGGATCTCAACAAGGAGAAGACCGCTAAGGCCAAGAACATGGCCTTCGCTTTCGACATTGACGGTGTGCTGGCACACGGTAACCACGCCATCGAGGAGGCCAAGACCGCCCTCAAGATTCTCAACGGAGACAACGAGCTCGGCATCCGCATCCCCCACATTCTTTTGACCAACGGTGGTGGTAAGACCGAGGAGGCTCGCTGTGCTCAGCTCTCCGAGATTCTCGAGCAGCCCATCTCTACCGACCAGTTCATCCAGTCCCACACTCCCATGCAGGCATTGGCTGAGTACTACGAGACTGTCCTGGTCCTCGGTGGTGACGGTTTCAAGATCCGTGAGGTTGCCGAGAACTATGGGTTCAAGAACGTTGTCCACCCCAAGGACCTTCTCGCCTGGGACCCCTCCATCTCTCCCTGGTCCACCCTTACCGAGGAAGAGAAGAAGGAGGCCCGGCCTCAGGACTTCTCCAAGGTCAAGTTCGATGCCATCATGGTCTTTGCCGACTCCCGTGACTACCAGACCGATTTCCAGGTCATCATGGATCTGCTCCTTGCCGAGGATGGCAAGCTCATGACCAAGGCCCAGGACCCCGTCGCCACCCGCATCCCCATCTACTTCTCCCAGGGTGATCTCCTCATGCCCACTGAGCACAAGGGTCTGCCCCGCCTCACCCAGGGTGCCTTCCGTATCTCCGTTGAGGCCCAGTACAAGACTCTTACCGGTGTCGACCTCGAGCGTGTTGTCTACGGTAAGCCCGAGCGCGCTACCTACACCTACGCCGACGAGGTCATGAAGTCCTGGATGGAGGAGCTCCACGGCGAGGCCCGCCTGCCCGACAACATCTACATGGTCGGTGACAATCCCGCCTCCGATATCATCGGTGGAAACATGTACGGCTGGAACACTTGTCTCGTCCGCACTGGTGTCTTCCAGGGTGGCGAGAACGATCTCAACAGCCCTGCTAACTTCGGTGTCTTCCCCCACGTCCTTGACGCCGTCAAGGCCGCCATCGCCAAGGAGCTTGGCGAGGACTTCAAGCTCAAGTGGAACCCCAAGGTCAACCCCGTCCTTCACGGCGACGGTGGTGCCTCCGCCATTGAGTAAAGTCACAAAAGATCATAATTGGTCGATCTTTTCACGCTTTAACGAAACTCAAAAAAACACATGTGATGCTGGGCTTGAGAAGGTTTTCCTTGGCGTTTACTTTTTGATGTCATGTCATTTTCTTTTTCATAGACTTCGCTTCTTTTTCTCTCCCCCCACCATTTCTCTGCATGTGCCCCTCAATTTTGGCTTTTACCTTTCTATTTTGGTTTAAATTCCGGGGTGCCGGGCTTTAGGACTTCTGATATCCTTTGTCACGTCGATTTGGATTACGATCGGCCTGAGAAACACCATTTACTTTCTATTTAGAATGTGAAGGGTTGGGGGGTTTTGAATTCCTGATTTCCTCCTTAGACTGGATTCCTTCCTACATCTCATGTGCCATGATGCAAAGCTCTTGTTTTTTATCTCTCTTTTTTGTGCGAACTTCCGCATGCAGTTATATTCCCACATTCCAATACCATGCAATTTTCATTCCTCAATTGGTTCGTAATTTTCACTGTAGCGAATTGGTAATTAAGTGGAAGTAATCGTTGACGCCATGATGATTTGATAGCGAGTAGCGTCAAAACCTTATTTCATCCACAACTTGCCTTCGCACCTACATACTGAGTTTAAGCATTTGCTTCTCCTTGGTATCTAATATCCAAACAAGTACCCAAAAAACCATACTGAATCAAGAAGTCAGATCTTTACACAGCTCCTAATAAAATTCCCAATCCCCAAGCCTTTTCAATCCAAATCCATTGCCTAGATCCAATTATCTCGGGAAACCCCAAAAAAAAGCTACAAAAAAGGAACATTCTTCCCGCTCAGCCGTAAGACACAGGAAGTACGTACACTCCACGCCCAAGCCCAAGCCCAATCCAACCACCAGCGGCAAACCACCCTCAGACTGCATCCAGCACTACAACGCCATGAACTGGATACATGCCGACATTACCGCCATGCGGATACCCCAAGCCCCCAATCTAAAAGAGCTTTCCTATCTTCCAGAACAGTCTCAGACGGGTATGCATGTCTCGGAATTCAATTTAGCGGGTTCGGTGCGTTTGTAGCTCTTAGGTGTAGGGCTGGCTGGGTATGCGTGGCGGGATTTGGGTGCTTGGACTCCGCTAATGCAAGGGCAGATTGTGGTTGACGCACTCTTCTAAAAGGGGGATACTCATAGGTAGGGCTAGGATGTTGAAATGTGAATACAGGTTGTGTATTTTTTAATTGTCGTTTTTGTAGTTCAGGTATTTTGACTGGGATGTGTGGTTGCGGTTTGTGGTCTGGTAGTTTTGATATTGAAGGAGACCAACTTTCATTGGCATGTCCAATATCGTATTCCGTATATGGTTCAATTATATTGGGATAGATATCATTGGAATAAAAGGGTGATTCTGAGGTACTGTTGGATGCTATGTGCTCGTGTCTACAATCCACATCTTCCCACCTCGCCTTTTACCCTAGTTGCTACAGGGGTCAATATTCTGACTCGACCATCAGCTTTTACACGATATACTTGCCATCAAGTGAAACAACTATAATATCGGCTAGCTTTCGTTGCATAGTTTGCCGCAAGATGTTCAAATATGCAATCGTGGACATTGACCGCCCACCTATCTGTGAGTCCAAATGACACCATCCACGCCTTGAATGGAATCAAGAGTAGAAATAACCGAAAACGTTGTTGGCCGGAGATGCAGACCTACAGATCTGCCGATTATAGTCGTATAATGCAAGCTTAGGTTCTTCGGATTATAGAGCAGAACAGTCAGCGCATGTTTTCAATATTAGTAAAGCAATATGCTCGCAGATGACAATATTGAAGCCATGCTGATATACTCATGCAATGGCATTGCTTTCAATCAGTATCCACATAGTTTCAACATTCCCAAGTAACTTATGGGGTGTCAGGTAATAGGAAACGCTTAAAAAAGACGTGCATCATATGGAAAGGGTTTGCGATGATTCTCGCAATGCAATATTGAAGACCACAAAGCAGGGGTACCAAACTCACATTTCCGGTAGGACCAGATCAGTCTGGCTTTTGAAGAGTTTGACCATGTGACCACGGCTGACTCACTTTGAAAAACTATTGATTGCCAAGATTGTAGAGCGAGGCCGAATAATTAGAATATTAAGTTTGACCTCAAAAAGGAGCAAGGAGGATCATCCGAGACGCCTCCTTGTCTAGCCTGGGAATCTAGAGATCTTGGTGGCGAGCGCAATTCCGCGGAAAAAGCACTTCATCATCGGGTCTTGGCTGGTATGCGGTGAACCCCAATTTCGTGTTCCCCTCGACCGTAGTCAAAGACAAGGGTCAGACTGCCTAGGATCTGTAACTCGAACACCAAACTTGGCATCACATCAAGCCTTTCTACCTGGACCGGGTAACACATCGGCCTCGGTTCGAGCGTGGCCTAGTAGCTAAGCCTTTGCTGACCCTGTCGGGAATGTCGCACCAGCATGTCGTGCTTGTCAGCAAAACCCGATGTCTGTGCCGATGGGGGATGTAAGAATGCGGGACCGATCTGGGGGTATGCCGCCGATGTCTTTTTTATGGGCATTGTGAAATATGTAGGAAGCATGGGGAGGGCGAGGAGAGGAGCATATTAGTAAGGGAAACGATGTTCTTGGCTTTGACGATCAGCTGTGTAAGTCGTGGAACCCCGGTCTTGGCAGGTTTGGAGACAACGAGGCAACAAAGTCGGTGTAAGATCGGACTATGGCCGATAAATGAAAGAACGGGACGGGGATTCGGAATGGACTAACCCATTACTAGACTGTTGGGTTATTGAAGTCTCCATCGGAGCTCCGAGGATATAGCGTGGGCTAAATAAAAACATATCATTTCAGGGGAATTGTTTTTTCAAATTGACTGTTTGCACTTCGTATGTCATAGTCAGTGCTTAGGGTGTAATGATCTGTGATTGATTGCCCAATTGAGTGGCATCTCAATGCACTGTAAGGGACACGGACCTCTGTTAGTGTCAGGTGATTCGTTTTGGGGGAGTTTTTATTAGGTAATGGCGCATATCCCCGCATGATCACCTCTAAAGAGGCGAATGAGGCTGTAGCTGGCGTGGAATTGGTGTTGGGAGTTAGGTAACAACATCTCTGGGGTATACATGGCGGATGCATCGGATTTAGACCTGGTGACCTGTTAATTTCGGGTTATTCGGGTTGGATGCTCCGTAGAATAATAAGCAATTGGAAGACAAACCTTGGAAGAGAAGAAGGAAGAAAGTCAACCTTATTGGAGAATGCCTACGGAGGAGTAGTTTAGATTATGTCATAGAAATTGGAGTCCCGTGTCTCAAACCTTTTGGAGTTTTTGTACGAAGTACACGTTCGAAGTTGTAATCTTATCGAACACAGAATAATCGTCAATAGTAAATAATAGTAAATCAATGATGCACTTATAGATTGTACTAGAATAAATACTAAATACCCCGGATGCGGCCAGTGACGCCATAAATCCGCATGCAGTCCAAAAAAGCAATGGGGTCTGCAGGGGTAGCTTGGGGTACCACACGAACTTAATCAGTTCTAGATAGGAGATCGGCTATTTACTAGTATATACTGTATACTTGATCTATACTCGCTATATACCTAGTCTATACTTATAATTCATTTTGACGTGAAAGCAAACTAAAGGTCGACATGAAACAGATATCTATATAATTAAATAGTCTAGTTAATATATAACTAATATAACTATTGTATCGTTATGTGTAGGAATAAAAAACAATCAATCAAAAATAAAGAAATTCGCCCCCCCATGTGGCCAGTTGAGCCACCCATCGTTTTTTTGCCATCTACACTTCTACATTTCTTCAACTCTTTTCTGTCACTCTCTCTCTTTCTCTCTTTTAAATTAAACCACAAGCCACAACTCACTTAAATCTAAAGTCGAAAAAATACCTTTAGCGAATCCCATCCGACCCCATTACCTACAACGTACTACTCAAGTCGTGCAAAAGCGGTTCATCCGTTTTCCGTGACTAACAGCTTCGCTTTTTTTTTTTTTCTTCCCCGCCGCCCCTCTGGGAGCCCTAAATTATTCACCAACTCGGTCGAAACACCTCGTGCTATTGACCGAGCCCTCTTTTTTTCCTTCTCTTTTTTCTTTGTGGAATCCGGGGAAGCCTTTTTTTTCTTTTTTTTTCTCGTGTTTCCACCTACTCCAAGGTACTTGCCGACTAGTCGTACGCCCTGGGCCCTTTATAGAGGGCTTTTCCTCTTTCATTCACCATGGCTTCCGCTACTGCCCCTCTGCAACCGAAGCCGGCTTTTCCGCGAATGTCTTCAATCCCCTGTGGTGACCACTTCCACTCACGCGACTCTTCCCCCTCACCTTGCAGTACCCCCGACGGATCCAGGTCGAGTAGCCAACGTCGCCCATCCTTCGGTTCGATCAAAGAAGATACCGAAGACGGTACGTACCGCATCTCTGTGAGCTGTCAAAGCACCTGCGGTCGATAGCTGACATGTGTGACTTGGTTTAGGAATTGCGCAATCGTTCGTGGACACCCACGAGGACCCATCTCCATCTCCCTCTTCCCGAGAAGTGCAGGAGTCTAGAGAGACCAAGGCTGAGCGCCCTGGGATGCAAGCCCCAGATTTCTGCTGCCCATGTGGTGGATTCTTGGGGTGGAAGCAGATTCGACTGGGCGGGAAGAGTTTGAGCCGCAGCTATAGCGATCTCCGTGGCCTAGGAGCTGCCCAGGCAAAGGGTTGGGCTTGGGAATCGCACGATGAAACTCCCAAGCAGGAGCTTCTCCCACCCAAGGCTCCAGAGGTGGAGGTCTTGCAGACCCCTCCTGGCTCTTCGCCTTTGGAGAAGCTCCCCCAGAGGTTCTCGGTAAGAATTCATATCCTGCACTTCAGCTCTCTTTATACTGACTTACATCTATAGATCAAATTATCTCTAACCTTGCGCTGGATCTTCCGCCCAATGGCTACACCCCCGAAACGTGGATCTGGTTTCGTGCCTACTCGCATCCCACACGCTGCATGCCGCGACTTTGGGCGTTTTGTACCGAAACATGACTTTCCCGCACTCCGTTATCTTCTCCAAGGCACTCAACCATATGGCGCAATATCCCGCGCTTGGCACACTGGTGCGCCGCTTGGATTTCTCACACTTCACGTCTGTCGGTCTGGGTCGCACCAAGCAGATGAACTCCGAAATCCAGAACTTGACCTCCAGGACCCTTTTGCAGTGCTTGGACCTTCTGCCTAATCTGAAGGAATGCCTGCTGCAGGAGCACTTGGAAGGTGATATTAGCGCGGAAGTGATCCGGAAGTTGTTCATGGGACTGCCAAACCTGCGCGCGGTGGATTTCTGCGGTTGCTCGACTCAGGCTTTCTCCGTGGTCTTCCAGGAAGCGTTGGTCGGCGGGCCTGCGTTGCCCATGACTTTGCCCAACCTGAAACGGCTGTCGCTTCATGAGTGTAGCACTATCCCCGCCCCGATGTTCGACCACCTCCTCTCGCGACTGATCAACTTGACGCACCTGGATCTCACTCACACTCAAGTCAACGACTCTGCTCTTGCTTGCATCCCCGAGACTGCTCGCATCTCCCACCTGAGCTTGTCGCGATGCACACGCCTTCGCCCATGCGCCCTGGTTGAGTTCTTGACTACCCACCCCTCTGTCAACCAATCTCTCGTCTACCTGAATCTATTGACCGACCCAACTCGCTTCCGTCTCCTGGAGGAGACCGATGTGTCCGCTCTACTCCCCAAGCTTCCCGACACTCTGCGCTCCCTCAACCTCGGCGGAGCAAAGGTCACCTCAGACCATGTCCCCTTCCTGGTCCCTCTGGCAAAGCACCTGGAAGAGCTGGGCCTCAGTTCTGCAGACCTCTCCGTGACAGACGTGAATTCGCTCTTCGGCAACTACCGCAACCCTGCCACCGGAGAAGAGATCAACACGCCCAGCACTCTCTGCTACATCGATCTCGCCAAGGTCCCCCAGATGACCATCGGAGCCATCTTCAACACTAGCACCTGCCTTCTGCTCTCGAACCAGAGCTACCCGCTCCAAGTCGTCGAGTTCAGCGACAAGATCATCACGCCTCTGCGCGAACGCGCAAAAACCCAGCGCGTTTCTGTCGGATGGACTGTGCGCGACCTCGGCCGCCGTGGCTGGTACGTCCGTGACCCGGCCTCCGTTCCGCACCAACCACTCGACGATGGTGCCCGCTACTGGAAGATGGGCGCGCGCTGGTGGGGATCGCGTAAGATTCCCATGGTTGTTGGTGACGTCGGTGGTCTGTATGGCCACTACATGTTCAAAAAATGATCTGCTTGAGCGTTCTGTCTTAAAAGCGTGCTCGCCTGGATCATTTTAATCACTTTTGCCGATACCCTTGATTTGATGTTATACTTCGCTTCTACGGTTTGCGTTTTTCATTTGGGGGATTCATCTTTTACTATCAACCTTTCTAACATCCTTGCTTTTTGCGTGCTTTTTTTGACGATCATGAATGATGATATCCGGTCTATGCATAGAGGCGCGCAACATGGTTTACGAATGCGGCATTCTGGCTCCTGGCTTCGGGTTCGTGCTCTCGGTCGCGTCTTGTCTTTTGGTTTTGCATAGCATCTGGCATCTCTTCAGCGGTGTCTGGCTTTTTTTGTCTTGGTTCTAGGGTTTGGCTTTTGGTGAGTTCTTCTTTGCTTACATTACCGGCGTTGCTGTATCTATCCGGATTTTATCACTCTACTCATAAATAGTTCCACTCTACTCACTTTCCAAGGTCCAACTGCTATGCAGATAGGTTGCTTCGTAATGGGGCTCGGATATAGGAAAACAAGGTATGTCTGTCCATTGTAATTGGGGCTGAACCTGCCAATGGCTCCCTCCTGAGCTTGTAAATTATGGTATGACTACAACCAATAACCTATAGAAAGCCTGGGAACAGCTGCGCCAGAGCTCACTGCCTTCATTGGCATTACCCAGAGAAAAATTGGCCCTTTTAGACCATAATTTCAACAAGCCTTGATATCGAGAGACAAGAACCACGACTGATAAAAGCCTAGAAGATCGACTCCAATAATCTCAGAGAAAGATGATTCAATTAAGATAGTCAAAAGGCGTTGTAGTTTTGCAGCTTCATCCAAGTTAGGGCTTGGCTGCTGGTCATGTGATAGCTTGCGGATGACTCTCGGGAGCCGCATCCTCTCATATTGCATCTCCATATTCTTTTACACTTGTTACGAAGAGACGGATCTTCGTCGCTCACCCTCGCTCCTGGGGATTTTCTCTCCCGATGGGTGGTTTCATCGCCGCTTCTCAAGACAGTGGAAGCTGTCAACACACGCGAATATGTCACCTCCGAGCGGCGCGGCCTCTTACAAAAAGAAAGATGGGACCTTAGCTATCTCCGCAGACGAGCGGTCGGTCTCATGGAGTCCGACCACTGCAGATGCAGCGAAAACTGTCACGATAACCGTGGCCAACATCACTAGTATGCAACCGTTTATTGATCGTCTTGCATCTCACTTCTAACGCTCGCGACCCACCAGATCTACAACAGACCCCGATCGGGAATCCCAAAGTCATGCTCAAAATCTTTGCCCAGGCCCCCGATGCTGCCCCAAATAGTGCTCCTGAATCATACACCTTCCAGTTTACGGCCGGCGCAGATGCCAGAACACAGGCCGATACCATCAAAGACACGCTCAGTGCGCGGGTCAATATGGCGAAGTCGGCCACCCCCTCGCAGACGCCGGCGCCTGGCGGGGGAAACGAAGGCGTATCGGCGGCGATGGCGCTCGCAAACGCCGTTACATCGGGCGGGACGGCGAAAGATCCCTTGGTCGAGGAGAAGAAGCTTCGGGAGAACGTGGAGCTGCAGCAGTCACTGCTGAGATCTGACTCCCATCTACAGAAGATGTTCTTCGAGGGCCTGCACACTAAACCGGAAGCATTGACTTCTCAGGCTTTTGTGTCCCAGTTCTGGTCAACACGGCTACATCTGCTGCGAGCTCACGCAATCGAGCAGGGCCAACTACGTGGTTCTTACAATGTGCTCTCCTCGCTTAAGCCCCGGGTGGAGGATAACGTGACGCGATTGAATATTAGCAAGGAGCAGATTCAGCTTATCTTTACACAACACCCGCTGGTCAAGCGTGTCTATGATGAGAATGTGCCGAAGCTAAGCGAGCAGCAGTTCTGGTCGCGGTTCTTTCAGAGTCGACTGTTTAAGAAATTGCGCGGAGAGCGGATATCCGAGGCTGATGCGACTGATGCCGTGCTGGATAAATACCTTCGGAACGATGAAGGTACTGCACCGAACAAGGAGACCAATATTCATCACTTTTTGGACTTGGCTGGTAATGAAGTGAATCACAGCCAGCGTCGTGGAAACCGACCGGATCTGGATATGAGGCCCTCCGGTGTGGACAAGGTTCCTATTATTCGGACGTTAAACAACCTCAGTGAAAAGATCATGGCCAATGTGGCGCCGTCCGATGGCGATATGAGTGCCCCCATAGGCCTCAACGAAGAAGCATGGAAAAAGCTGCAACTGCAGGATCTTCGCGGAGACGAGGAGCAGAGCCGGATTACCCTGAACATTCGTGATCAAAGTCGTTTCTTCACCCATGGCCAAGAGAGTGATCAGGCCAAACAGTTTGCCCAGCAAGACCCGGACCAACTTCTACAGACGCTCCGCGCAGAGATCGCGCAGAGCCTCCCATCGCACGGCAATACACAACTGGGCAAGCTGGTCGATCCTGGCGATGACGAAGACGAGGAGATGGAGGACGCACCTGCCAGTCGCCGACCCGTCGGATCCTCCGCGGCCCTCCACGATGCCTTTGCCCAGATCCTGGAAGCCCTGCGCGACCGCCGTGCCCAGATGAGCGAGGGAGTTGCATCCGAGACTCATGGGCTTTCAACGGCGCTGTTCGATCGGTTGACCTTGACGCACGCCACGACCACCGAGTTCCTGCACCAGTTCTGGCAGGCATTTCTGTCGGGTAACCCCGATCGAGCCGGAGAGGTCGCATCTCTCGCAGAGTCTCTCCAGCGAGCAGTGGAGCGCATCAAGGCTGTTGCGAATGATGCAGAAGCTGATCGTAAGGCCGAAGTTGACCGATTAAAGAAACACGCTCGGGAAGTGTACGAGAGTACCGGGCGAAAGCTCCGAGTCAACCTGGAAGGCGTGGAAGGAGGCCACAAGGTTGTGAATCAGCTTTTGGGGCCGACGCTCCATGCCTTGGAAGTCGCATCAAGTCGGTACCAGAAGGAATTGGCCGAACAAAATAGAGAAGCGGCCGCATCGGCTGTTTGAAAATTGGCCCTGACAATTCAGGCGTTGCGGAATGTAAATTACGATACCTCAGATTTTTAATTCACAAAGACATACAGAAACATACAGAGACAAGAAATCAAGTCCACATACGGAGTACCCTATGTAAATCTGTAGATCAAAATTATTACGTAGCCAAAAGTCGGCATGCCGAACTTCCCCGGACTTCGCAAACACACCTGCCAACTGGCCCCTCGACATCCCGCAACTGACTGCCCAGTCAACACCATAACCAGAACAAATCAACAAGAGGGGCCCAAGATGCTCACCTCCGGTCTTACCAATGCGCCCCTCACCAAAGCTCTCCTAATTTACACGATCGCCTCCTCCGTCGCGCTCTCAATCTTCGACATCAAATACCTCGTCGTTATCCAAGTCTCGCCTCATTTCTGGCCCTATGCCCAATTCTGGCGCGCGCTCGTATGGCAGGTCGTCGGCTTTGCCAATTCCACCGAGGCCCTCTTCGCCGCTATGCTAGTATACCACATGCGGGTTGTTGAACGCGCGTGGGGCAAGCGCAAGATGGCGGTTCGTATCTCTTCTTCTTTGCTTGTCTGCCCACAACTCCAAACAAAGATCGCGGAAGAGGATAATTATCTAGAAGCCGATTACTGATGTATAGCTATAGACCTTCCTGTTGACCACGTTGCCGTACACGACTCTCCTCCCTCCCCTCTTCCTCGCCCTCCTGCTCCGCCCTCTCTCCTTCAACAATCTAAACTACCTCCCCTCCGGCCCAACAGCCAGCCTCTTCGCCCTGCTGGCGCAGTACTACGTCACCATCCCGCACACCTTCCGGTACCGCATCGGGACGACGCCATCCGACAGCCCAGCCGACGCAGATCAGCAGCCCAAACCCCCACCACCGAGTCTCAGCCTTCTCCTCTCCGACAAATCAACCACCTACATCGTCGCTTCCCAGCTCGCCCTGTCCCAGTTCCCGGCCATGATCCTCCCGGCTGTGCTGGGGTGGATCGTTGGCGTGGCCTGGCGCGCGGAGCTACTACCGGGTCTTTCACCCGTTAGCTCTGGGTTCCGTGTTCCGGCTTGGATTGTTGGTGAGACGGAGCGGAGGACGGGGGCTGGGAATGATTCCGGTGAGAGGGAGAGGTATGAGGATTTGAGGCGGAGGTTGGAGGGGGAGGTTGCGTCGGCTTCAGGGTTGGAGGGAGCTAGTGGACAGGCTCAGAGACGGGGGAATGCAGGTGAGAGTGGTGGGTTTGTAGATAGATTGAGGGGTGCTTGGTAGGTGGAGCTTGCTGGCTTGTAGGATAGTGGGGGTTGGGTATATGTGCTATATGGTATAGATGTATGCAGGCAATTGATATGAAATGGACCTTTTGGTCGTGTCATTAAAGGCGTAATGAGACACTTATGGTGTCTATGGCATGTTGGAAAAGTATCCATGAGTGCTGTGCATAGAGTCTAAAATATCAAATAGCAACGCCATGTCATGAATCAATATTGAATATAGGACAGATCACCGCCCATTGCGACTTCGTCGCATGTTCTCCTTACATTCGTTGCAATACCATTTTACTAAGAGACGTTAGCAACCCTGACTTTTTTTGGGGTAAGATTAGAACATCAAACTTACCATTCTTTCCAGGTGGTTTCGTTAAACCGACACACGACAAATGGAACCATTCACGCGGGCAGGCATCATTATCGCAAGCAACCATCTCACCGAAGCTGACCTCGTTACAGTAGCAGTATCGTGGCTCACCCTCTTCATCTTCATCGTCACCCTCGTGGAGTGACTCATCGTCAGAAGGTATGATAGGCTGTGGGATAGGTTTCTTCTGCGTGCGTTTGGTAGACGCAGGGTCCTGACTTCGTGTAGGCCGCGCACGCTGACTGGGCTCTGCGAAGCCGGACAGAATGGGGGTTGATGTCTTGGAGTTGCGTCCCTTCGTTGTTTCGGCCTCGGCGGAACCGGCTTTCCTGTCAAGATCCTCGCGCTTGGAGCCCACTGGAACGGACGTCCTGGAATTAGAGTCTTCATACTCGCCACGATGTGCGTCCGGGTTGCCAATTTCGTTTTTAACGGGTCCTTCTCGGAGTGTAGATCTGGGATCAGCGATTTTGTCTGCGTGGGGAACGTGATTAATGAAAAGATCCGACGAGGGTAGTTGAAATGGCATACTGCTGTTGGGGCGGTTTGAAGCCGAGGATGATGGCCGTGCGCGTGCATTGCTCGCTACTCCCGCATTTTGCTGGGCTCGTGAAGATTGTGGCCTTGAAGTGTTTGGTCCTGGACTGGCGGCACCGCGCGGAGCATTGAATGTTCCAACCAATGGTGATGGAGCTAGGATGGGGGATCCGGCATTGGAGGCATTGGCCCTGGGGTAAAAGTTAGTTGAAGTCGACGTTGAGAGTTGGGAAGTTGTGGGGCCATACTTTTTGCGCGCAGCAGCAGTCGGGTTGGGAGCGCGAGAGCGCTTCTTCTCTGCAGGGTCTTTGTTTGCGACCCTCTGGCTAGTAGCACCACTGGCAGACCGTTCCATAGGAACACTGGTATCCACGGGCAGATGTGGTCGCTCCACCTTGCGACGCTTGGGTGCAACACTTGGGTCAGCGGTTTGATCTCCACCGCGTGTTTTACCGTTATTAGTCTTGCGCGCGCCTGATCCGCGGACCTCCTCATAGTCCGCATCGACATGAGCCCTACGTTGCTTCCGCGCCATGACAGCATCACGCCGCGCCTCGCTGCGGCTAGCGGCTTCGGCTTCGTGAAGGACGTGCGACAGATCCTGTCTATGGGCCACGGCTTCCCGGCGCGGACGCTCGTTGGTTGCTGCCTTTGCAGCACTCTTGTTGGAGTATGCCCAGTGGGTCAAACTGCCCAGACGAGCTTCCTCGCTGATCTCGCCTGCAATGTATGGGAAAACGGTATCCAAGCGGATGATCTGGCGGTCCAATTCCTCGTTCGCATTGGAGATTACGTGGTTTTTCTCATCGGCGGTCATCATCAAGTCTGAAAGGCTTTGTCGTACGCGATCAAAAAGAAGCCGACGACTTTTGCTCTCGGTAGTTTCGGGGGACTGCGGAAGCTCCTGGCGCAAACGAATAACCCATTAGTGACCAATCAAATGAGAAACTTTGTAACAAATCTTCGGGTTCTAACCTTGGGCAAAACATCCTCCCGAATCACACCCCCAGCGATAGGCGCCGGGTGGGGAGGGTGAGGAACTGGCTGTGACTCGGAAGAGAACTGGAGTAATTGGAGTAAATTTTCCTCGAGGGCCCACGCCTTCGCATCGACCTCCTTTAGCAGAGAATTGTGGCGACGAAATTCGCGCGGAAGAGCGGTGATAGCATCGGTGAAATGCGTGAGAGCAGGATAGAAGCCGTGGGGAACAGGTGTTGTAGAAGGAATTTCCGTTGTAGTAGAGCCTCGACCGAACGCGAAAGACGACCGTCCAATAGTTTTGGAGGTTCGAGACGGATTTGTTCGCGTTTGACGGGCTGACTGACGGCTTCCCTGGCCCTGAGGGTTCATGGCTGAGGATGAGACAGCGGACATTGTGAAGGGTAGAGTCGAGACTGGGAGCTGCGCCGTTTGGGGGGGGTTGATTGAAGTAAAGGTAGCCCAATTTTAGGGCAGAATAATGGTCTCTGGCAGATCAATGGTATTGTTCAGTGATCTGTAACCATGTACAAGAGTCAACCCCTCGTGTAGCAACGGAGTTTATCAATGCAGGAGCAACTACTGCCAGGAAGTTTGACTGCGGAGAAGAGCGATCAGATCAGGTGAGATTGCGGCCTGAGGCATAAAATTGCTGAATCATCCACATGGGTGATGTCACCTCAGGAACAGGCATTAAGGATATGCAAGGTTGGACGTGGTAGTTATTTCGTTACATTGCGCTGGAGAAAGTTGACTAGAATGTGTCTTAGATCTAAAATATGCTACGTTGGCCAAGAAAAAACAGCCATGTTTTCGCGCAAATGAACGATTCTTTGTATTTTACATATAAGGCGGATTCTAGGTATAGACGGGTCCCTCGTATCAGGAAATCCCAAAGATGGTTCCAACATAGGACCATGAACCCAGGACACGTTGAACACAAAGTCAATGAACACAGAGAAAAAAAAAGAGGTGGTACAAAAAGGATTAGACGCTAGGTTCTAGGAGAGCCGATGAATATAAGAAGCCCAACTTAATGCAAGTGTCAGTGCGAGACCGCGAAGTACATCAACGACCAGATGGCGAATCAGTTTGCGGAAGAGACATTTACTCGCCCTTGAGGCGCTCCTGGTGGACGGAGAAAGCATCCTCCAGGAACTCCTGCTCCTCCTTGAGGTGGACAGCCTTGAGACCAGTAGCGACGGAGGCGCTGCCGGCACGACCAGCGTACAGGACGTGGCGGCGGTTGTGGTGCTCGGTGGCGTTGAGCAAGCTCTCGATACGGGGCTGGGCGTAGGACCAGGCACCGGCATTGAGGGGCTCCTCCTGGCACCAGACGATGTTCTTGGCGTTGGGGTAGCTGTCAAGGTTCTCCTTGAGCTGAGCCCAGGGGAAGGGTGCAGCTGCTCAACACGGGTGATGGCGGTGTTGCGGATGCCGTTGGCCTCACGATGCTTGAGCAGGGCGGCGTAGACCTGACCAGAGCAGAGGACGACACGCTCGATCTTCTCAGGGGCATCGATGGCGGTACCGTGACCCTCATCGGGGATGATCCACTGGAAGTGAGAGTCACCGCTCAGTGCCTCGATATCAGAGCGGGCAATGGGGTGACGCAGCAGAGACTTGGAGAAGAAGATGACCAGAGGCTTGCGGAATTGGCGGTGAATCTGGCGACGGAGAATGTGGAACAGGTTGGCAGGAGTGGTCATGCAAGCAATCTGCATGTTGCAGTCCTGGTGCTGACGGTCGAGCTTGTCAGCCGAGGGGTACACGCGGGGCTCCTCGTTGCAAAGCTGGAGCCAGCGCTCCATGCGACCGGAAGAGTGCTCAGGACCCTGGCCATCGTAACCGTGGGGCAGAGAGACAACCAGACCGGAACGCTGGAGCCACTTGGATTCACCGGAGGCGATGAACTGATCAATGATACACTGAGCGTTGTTGGCGAAGTCACCGAACTGAGCCTCCCACATGACAAGGGCGTTGGGGGAGGTCAAAGAGTAACCGTACTCGAAGCCAAGACTAGAGAGATGATGTTAGTTTATCATTATTGCATACGAAGGTGGTTTTCATTTCAAAACTTACCAACCGAACTCACTCAGAGAGGAGTTAGAGATGACGAAGCTGCCCTGCTTATCACTGATGTTCTTGAGGGGAGTGTAGGTACGCTCGGTCTGTTGGTCGTGAAGGACGGCGTGACGCTGAGAGAAAGTACCACGCTCAACATCCTGACCGGAAACACGGACGTGGTAACCCTCCTCAACGAGGGAACCGAAGGCAAGAGCCTCGGCAGTAGCCCAGTCAATGTTCTTGCCCTCATCGACGGCCTTCTTACGGCCACTCAAGATACGCTTGAGGTTACGGTGGAGCTCGAAGCCCTCGGGGGTGCCAGAGCCACTGACCTTGTCAGCGATGTGCTTCAGGGACTTCTCGCCGACAGCGGTGGGCAAGTGAGGCAGGACCTCAGTAGCCAGTTCCTTAGGAGACTTGAAGTTATTCCAGGCGGAGGTGAGCCACTCCTTACCGGTGGGTTGGTAGTCCTTGCTGCGGTCGAAGCTGTCGCCGAGCATTCCCCAAACCCACTTCTTGTGCTCATCGATGTCCTCCTTGGTGAAGGTACCCTCGGTAATCAGCTTCTCCACGTACTTGTCAAGCTGAGCCTTCTGCTCGGCAATACGCTTGTACATGAGAGGCTGAGTGAATGAGGGCTGATCAGTCTCGTTGTGACCCTGCTTACGGTAGCAAACCATGTCGATGACAACGTCACGCTTGAACTCGGCACGCCAGTCAGCAGCGATCTGGCAGACGTAGTTGACAGCCTCAACATCATCAGCGTTCACGTGGAACACGGGAGCGTCGATGGACTTGGCAATATCGGAGCAGTAAGGGGTGGACCGAGAGTAACGGGGATCAGTGGTGAAACCGATCTGGTTGTTCACAACCAGGTGGATGGTACCACCGGTGGAGTAGGCTGGAAGAGAGTGGAATCCCATGGTCTCATAGACAACACCCTGAGCAGCGAAAGCAGCATCACCGTGGAGCAGAACACCCATAGCGGTGTCGTAGTTGGTCTCGTCATTGTTGTAGTGCTGGATGGCACGGGTCTTTCCGAGGACAACAGGGTCCTCAGCCTCAAGATGGGAGGGGTTGGCAACCAGAGAAAGCTGCACACGCTTGCCGGAGGGAGTAGGACGCTCGAAGTTCATACCCAAGTGGTACTTGACATCACCGGAACCCTCGTCGGAGGGCTCAGTGGAACCAGCAAATTCACTGAAGATGGACTCGTTGGGCTTACGGACGACGTTGGACAGAACGTTGAGACGACCACGGTGAGGCATACCGATGACGATGTCCTTGATGCCGTAGTCGACACTGCGGTCAATGAGGGCCTTCATACCGGGGACCAGGGTCTCACAACCCTCCAGACCGAAACGCTTGTCGTTGGGGAACTTGGTAGCGAGGAAAGACTCGAAGCTGGAAGACCAGATCAGACGGTCAAGGATGCGACGCTTGTCATCAACGGAGTAGTTGTAAGGCTGGGGAATTTCGAAGCGATCACGGATCCACTCGCAAGGCTTGCGGTCGGGAATGTGAATATACTCAACACCGTAGGAGCCGCAGTAGATCTTCTCGCATGCGTCAATGATCTCGCGGAGAGTCATCTTCTTGCGGCTGTCGGTGATGAAGCGAGGCAAGATACCGGGTCCAAGAGCGAACTCCTGGTCCAGATCACGCTCAGTGAAGCCGTAGTGGTCGAGCTCAAGCTCCTTGGGCTTGTCGTAGCCAAAGGCCTCAGCCTCTCCGCGGATGCCGAGAGGGTCGATCTTGGCCTTGTGGTGACCACGGGCCTGGTAGGCGCGGCAGAGCAACTGAACCTTCAAGTGATTTGTCACGTCCGCACCTGCGGCGAGACCCGCACCGGGCATGTCTTGAGGGACACCACCGGTAGGGGTAGGGACAAGGGTGGGAGGAGGAGTGAATGCCTGGGAGATGGGCATGTTGCCTTCCTCCATGTTCTTGAAATAAGTCTGCCACGAGATGTGAACACTCGAGGCGTCGTTCTTCCAAGCCAGGTACATCTCATCAACGTAGTTGGCGGTGTTTCCAGAGAGGAAAGAGTCGTTGGGGTCCTATCCAAGTAAAAGCGAAAATGCGCCGTCACGTTAGTCGAATGCCCAATTTTTTTTTCTTTCTTCTTTTTCATTATCGGGAACCCGGATCGGATCGCTACCGATCATGAGGTTGTTGTTGCTTACCACTCCCTGAGTTGTACCCTCTGAAGGGGCCGCGTAGGATCGGGCGCCGTTGAAAGCACGGTCGACGACAGCAAGAGGCCGACGGGCAGTCATGCTGAAGCCGGAAGGTTTTGAGGCGCTACGAGCACTCGTAGCGAGGTGAATGGAGCGCCGACATGTTGAAGAGGTCGCACCGCGCAGCATGCCGCTGTGGGTGGCCTTCAAGGCAGTATTTCTAAACATTGCGGGATTTTTCTAGGATCAAGGCCCAATGAAATTCGGTTCGATTAAGAAGAAATGGGGATGGGATAGGAGGTATGCGCAAATCTGTAAACCAAATCGGACGTCAAAAGAGTCGAGTTTGCTATGATCTATAATGTCAGCCTGATATTGCCAGGTTGTCATGTCGAATTCTGCCGAGGAAACCGGAGGAAAGGATTAGGCTGGGCGTTAAGTACACGTACGAATTAAATGACGAAGCAGGTGTCGACTAGTTTTGCCGTAGCACCTGTATAGAATCGGAACACATCAGAGAGCTAAAACGCTCTAGATGGGAAAAAAATGTGGGGAGAGGAGAGTTGAAGATGCGAGAGAAGAGCGCGAAAGGAAAGCTGCCGAGAATGACGGTTCTCACGGCAAGGAATTGTGAGGCTGGTGCGCTTAGGTCATCCCGAGTCACCCGCCTTGGAAGTGCCCGAATGAGCCACAATGCGCCACACTATTCATAGCCCCGGCTAAGGATTTCGGCCATTTCGGGATTTCTCGGTCCAACTCCCTTCTTATTATTCATAGATGTCTGAGATTTTAAGGTGAGGTATTTAAAGATATTTTGAGGTGTCTGGGTTGTGCTATATACGAAGATTTTGATTAAATTAACACACAGTAGGGGTCAGCCACTCAATAAAGCAAACACATTTTAATACATCTTGGAAAGAAAAAAGACAGTCATCGGGTAGGTAATCATGACATCGTGACAATGCGAAGTCGCCGTATAAAGAAGGTACATATGCCAAACATGCAAAAAGATAATCATACCCAAGAAAATAAAGGAGGTCACCTTACTATGGAACTTTGAATCGCTCGGTTTCAACGACCGGCACTTCACCCTGATCTTCTGTGAGAGCTGTCGGTCCAATCATTCTGTTGATCGGGAGATCGACAGGTTGTCCCGGCAGTGGAGAAGCTGCAGTTCGTGGGTGGCAGTCGTCATGGAAATAACCGACACTGGTAGGCCCTTCATCGGGAATGAAAGGGCTCACTTCGGCACCAGTGAAGCTTGTGCGGTGGGAGGGCGAGAGGGTATGGGGTGGTGGACTGCCTGCACTGCTGCGCAGACTACCATTGCTTCCACCCCAAGCTCCACGCCGAAGCTTCATAAGCGCAGACAGCGACATCTCATCGTCGAGATTCCCCATGTCGACTAGCTGAGCCAGCCCCGGGCTCGCCAAGGCTGAATTGGGGTGGGTAGTTCCATGGGCCTTGAGTGAAATCATGGAGTTGCGTGTGCTCCACTCACTTCGTTCAGTGATGGGTGTCAGACTGGGCTCCTGGAACTTTCCCCGACTACTGTGGTTCCGCGTGATGCCCTCGGCACGTCGAGGACCAAAGTATCCACCATTGGTCAGCTCAGAGCTATCACTGCCATCTGCTTGCGCGTAGAAGCCGAACTCTTGGCCGTAGAAGCCGTCGTCGTCGTTCTCAAGGGCTTCTGCATTGGCGGCAGCAACGATGGCGTCGTCGAAGTACGAATCATCGAAGTCATCATAGATGCGGTCATCCAAGACGTCTTCGAAAGCCATGTAATCTACAGGCTGGTTGGTGCGGCTTTCATCAGAGATGAGACCCGGTTGTGAGTCTACCGTTTGTGATGTCTGGCCTACACTTTCTTGTCCCTGGGATCTTTCACTCGTGCTAAAGGTGCGGTCAAAGCGGCCCCCATGAGAGGAGGATTCATTGGCCGCAAAAGCTAAGGCATTGTGCAAAAGATCTAAATTTTGCTCTGTGAGCACACCTCCATGAGCCCGGGCAGGGCCCATGTTTGGTATTGGCTCACCAAGGGGACCACGTTTGACCGAGCCAGGAACTCGATAGTCACTGGCCATACTAGGCATATGCTTCAAACCGTGGTCCCCAGTCTCTGCCACAAAGCTTTCCTTCCCTGGAGAGTATTCACCACCGCTAGGGGTGGCAACATTGTTCGCTGGTGCTGGTGCTGTTTCTGGTGGTGCCGTAGGGGCACCCACCGATTTGCGTTCGTATAAATGGCTGGTTTCATCATCAAATATAGACTCATCGAATCCTCCATCTTGGTTGTCGACATCGAGATCTCCGAAGTCGCCGTCGTCGAAGTAAAGGTCATCGTCGTCGTCGTCGAGGATTTGTGACTGTTGACTAGTGGTATTTGGTAGGTGGGGTATTGCAACATCAGGCCTAGTGAAGGGAGGGAGTTGCTCCTGGTTCAGATGCCTCGGCCCCGGTTCTTGGTGCGAAGTGTCTTCCAACTGTGTGGTTTCGTAGTTATGAGGGACAAAGCACGAATTATTCGTTGACTTTGGTGGTGCAGGGGCAATCGGGCTCGCAACCACGGGCGACAATGCCGGGATAGCCCATGCCTTCATCGCGTGGATATCGCGTGAAACGGAGAAGTCGTCGTAGTCATCATCGTCATCGGCATCGACATTGACTCCCGGAATCTGTTCTTCCAGTCCATCTAGGTCGTCCAGCATATCATTGTCGAAGTCATCATCGAAATCATCGAAATATCCATCTTCGATTTTGCGAGAGGCTTCCTTGGCTTTGTGCTTTTCCTCCAGCATTTTTTCTTGGGTGGAGGATTCCACTCCACTCATGTCAAAGCTGAATCGTGAGGCATTGCTTTTGAGATGCCTTGGCAGGCCCGAGGGATTGAAGGGAACGTGGGGAATAGTATCTTGGTCTTGAGGATGTTCGGGATGTGCGTGAGGGGTTGCTTGTGGTGGATTTGCAGGAGGAGCCTCCACTGCTTCAGGTCCAAGCTGCTCTGAAATCTCACTGGTTTTTTCAGGTAAATGGGAGGGTAAGTTCCTGGCAAACACCGGTAGTGATTGATCATACCCAGACTGGGGCTGACCCGTCAATAGTGAAGACTGGAGATAACCCTTGTTTTCAACTTGCAGAACATTTTGGTCCTCGAAATGTTCTTTGAACACAGGCGAATGGTCACTATGTCGTTTGTTCTGATCATTATTCCAGCGAGCCCCTTGGGGCTGACTGGGAATTTGTGACGGCGAGGCATTCTGCGCATTGGTATCTTGCTGTGTAAAGGAAATATTGCGGCGGGGCCGGGGTGCTGAGAAGTCATGAATAATTTTGCCACGAATTCTGGGGTCATAATCATCTGGCATAGCTGGAATGTTGCGGTTCGTGATTTTGACCTCTTCTGCTCGCGCGCTAACAACCTGTGCGGATCGTCTGCGTGCAAGGAGGGTAATCGGATTTAAGAGATGAAGCATTGCCTTTCCCGACTTGTGATGCGGTTGCTCTCCTGACACATCGCGATCTCCGGCGCGCTTGATGGTTGCGCTGCTATCCTCCCTAAAATCTTTCTGCGGCATGCTTTGTTTATCCGCTGGGGAGTCATCCGGCGAGGTTTTAAACCGGAAATGACCCGAGCCTGCTGCCGCAGTTGGTGATCGTTTCTGCTTGCCAAAAGAGCGTCGGAAAGGCGAACTCGGTTTAGAATTCGACTCCCCGTCTCCTTGATCAGATCGTAGACCCGTAACAGACAGTTGTGAATTATTCGATTGGGATGTGAACTGTTCGTCCTCGCAGTCGCCAGGGCTCGAATGAGGGCGGTTGGCTCTTTCAGGTCCCCGAGACGGCACGGCGAGAGTGAGCGAGGAGGATAGAGGCGCTGCTGATGAACTGATGTTCAGCTTCGAAGTGTCAATCGCGAGCGGCGACTCGGCCCAGGGAGGAGGACCATCGTGTGAGGGGCGACCGTCGAAGGTAGTGGTGAGAGTCGGGGTATCTGCAATCTCCGGAAGCTGTGGGGGATTGCTTATCGGACTTCCATTCGTCCCTTTCGCAAATGTCGAGGGCGCGGCCAATGTAGCTGGTGATGCGGACGAACGCCGATGATCTCGGCGCCAGTAGGAAAAGACGGTAGATGGAGGCATTTTTTTCTTTGGCACTGCTCAGTGACCCCCACGGCGCCAGTAAAAGCCGTGAAGATTAACAGGGGGCGTGGTGGTCCATTGCAGATCTCAACAACTGCTGAGGGGTGTCGATAAAGAGGTGGCCCGTCTCACATACCAGAGACAACAGGACCGTGAGGCTGCAAAAACCCACTTTGAACTTCAATGTTTTTGTAAGAGCCTATATCCAATTTGACTTTAAATGATAAGTGAGAATTTAATATTTCAATCAGCGAAGACCAAAATGGAGGAGGTAACGCGCGGCTAAAGGTGTGGTTACACTCTCCGCCTCGTGGGTAGTAGGTAGTACTTGGGCCCATCTACAATTATTGCGTCACATTCCACTTGAAGAATTCAAAATTTGATCTGTCTTCTCTGAAAATATTGTAATTATTTCTATAAATCGTACAGTTAATCTACATTGATATCGCTCAAATCAAAATCGCACGCTCGAAACTACCTTATGCTATGCAAAAAACAAAGTAAAAATAAAACAAAACAAAAAAGGCAAATTATAAAGTAGATGAGATCCAGCATTTCAACGGATGCTCTGCCTCCATCGGTCAATCACGTCGGGTGGAAGTTGGGCAACTGGTTGATGAGGCATGTTAGGGGCATATCCGATACTATTCATGCCCATCATCGCAGGGTTGTTGGCAAAGCCGGACGTCTGCATCATTGGGTTTCCATATTGTTGTGCCATCGGGTATCCAGCTGCCATCGGGTATCCTGGATTTGTGGGAAATTGTTGCATAGACATCCGATTCCCGTATTGAGACATGGTAGCAGGCCGCTGACCCAAGACATCATGTGATGACTGACGAGCAAGATGGGAGGGACGACCTTGGGTCAGTGCAGCCATACTTCTTCGTACTCGCGGCTGCGCCGGTGGAGCGAGCTGAGCAGTCGTAGCCTCTTTCTGGAGACGGCTGCGACGCTGTGCGAGTGTCTCCTCCTCGTTGGTTTCTTGGGTTTCTTGGGCTTCTTTAGGTGCAATGCCGGCCCGAGTATCAATTTCAGCCATTAACTCGCTGGCGAACCTGCTTTCTGAGCGGTTGTGTCCCTTCAATCGTTGTAGGCGCTCGGCCAGAGTCTCAATTTCATCTCCGCTCTCAGCAGCTGGTTCCGAGGCTGGCTCTGAGGAACGCGCATACATTGTGATAGGGCGTGGGTCCGGTTGGGGAATTGGTTCGCCCCGAAGCCTAGCTCGGCGCTCGGCCAGTGTCTCGTTTTCCTCCTGTTGCCGCTTCTCCATCAATCCCAGGGGTCGATTTTCGATGGTTTTATTAGGGTACAGCATGCCCAGAGGGACGTCTTCGTCTTCCTCCCGGTTTTCCCATGCCAGTGCGACAGGTCGTTGACGCCGCTTGTCGCTCTGTCGCTGGGCTTTTTCATCCATCTGTAGCAAGGTAGTCTGCATCCCTGGGTAAGCCATGGGAACTGCCGTACGACGTCGGTGCTTCAACTCATGCTTGCGCAACTCGAGTTCGGCAAGTAACGTATTTGGCGGGCTAACGTAATCCAACTCCTCATCTTCCTCGTCGTCTTCATCTTCATCTTCATCTTCGTCGTCGAGGGACTGCCCATCGCTCTCTGACCCAGTGCTCCTGGAATCATGGCCAGGCTCACCATGTTCATGCTCAGCGTCGTGCTCGCTGTGCGCTCTATTCATATCATGCTCAGCTTCCGGTCCATGGTTCACAGTAGTAGTGTTTTCATGTTCTTCCGCATTGCTGGTGCTGTGAGGCTGACCCATAGTGGCTCGCGAAAAACGGTTTGCCGTTTTCCCGGTCAAGTCTTTTGACAGGGCCTTGCGTTTAGATTTGTAGACTTGTGCGCCAATATGGCCAGCGTAAGGGTGATCAGTGAAAGCCGAGACGGGCGCATTGGCAGATGCGTCCAAGATGCTCTCTAGTGTTGCGACTGCGGAGTTTTGTTTAATTTCAACTTGAAGCGATGAGCTCGGCTGATCAAAGAACACACTTGCGCGCAAATGCGGTGGTACTGTGGATTTGCTGTTATTCTTTTGGCTGTTGCTCGGGCTTTGTTGCTCAGCGCTGGGAGCGACTGCGGTGGATTTTCTATCCTCAGCGGCGATAGCACTGGCAAGTTGCGTGCGACGCTTCTCTCTGTCGACGTTTGTTCTGTGTGACAGTTTGGGGGGAAGATTCAGCATGCGGGGGACAGGCGCGGGATAGAACACCATGTTCTCTCCCGCTTGCGGCTGTTTGTATGATTCCTGATTGCGGGCAAGCGGCGGTCGATCCAGGGGGACTTGTTGTCGTCGGCCAGGTTCGGCGCGCTCCAACGGTGCAAAATGAACGCCATCGAAATCAGTGAACAAGGTTCGCGCCTGCTGGTAGGTATCGCCCGATGCGACCGAGGCTCGTCGCTCCAACTCCGCGTCCGTGGGGACATTTTGTGGAACATAGTGATCGTAGTAGTAGTCGCTTTGAGCATTGAAAAGGGGTTGTGGCGGTGGTAAATTAGGGAGCCCCGGGATTTCGTCGATTTCTTGCTGATATTCATCATGGGCCGGCTCCGAGAGTTGAGCCAAACGCGATCCCGATACGGATCGCAGGCGCGCAGGGGACACATTCGATCCGTGGGCGGAGGAGATTGTACCCGTCGGCGAGAATGCACCATTCCGGAGAATAATTGAATTTGACGCGGAACTGCAGGAGCGCTGCTTTTGTTCCTGGTCCATGCGACGAATCTCGCTCCCAATGTCCGCCGAGCACGAGCTCAACTGTTCCGCACTCTGTTCCAATCGTTCAACATTTCCAACGTAGGCTCCTTGGATAGACTGCAAATCTGGAATAGGGTGGCTGAGAGGTACGGGAACCTCGCTGCATGCGCTGTGGAGTGGCGGTTCGGGGGAGGAATGTTGTCGCGCGACAGCCGTGTTGAGTGGAGGAATGCGGCGGAGGCTATCGGATCGCTTTTCGGGGGAAGGATCGGCGTCATAATCATCGTCCTCCACCACATCATAGCTGGTCGAAGTCATAGAGCGGATCATGGACCCCAGTTGGCCGAAACTGGGGTTTGGGGTGATTTTGGCGGTTTCTAGATGGTTTCCTCCTCCAATGTGATCAGTATCAAGTGGTAATTGCTCAAACGCATGTCCGACGGGCGAGGGGCTGCGTGATGCAGAAGCGGAAGAGTTCGAAGCCACCTCGTGGTCGATCTGAGCGACGGCGTTGTACGCCATGATATAGCTAGTCACCGACTATCCATCCAGTCCAGTTCGAATTGGGCAGTATCGGGATCAAATGGTACTCGAAGTGACAGGGGTGAGAGACAAAGAAAACAAATTATGGAGGGATGCAGGGACAAGAAAGCAAAACATGGGAAAGATGGGAAAAGGAACTGGATAAGTCCTCGTGTCACCTGCGGCTAATTTTGGAAGTTTGACCACCCCAAGTAGTGGAATGCCTGAAATTAATCTGAAATCTAATAACTAATTAGATATATACCGAGTAGTTAGGGAGTGCTTCGTACTAAAAAATTATTATTAGTCCGAAAAAAATATTAATAAAACAAGGAAGTAAAAAAAGAATTACGCCACATAGGGGGGCCTCTGCGTCTCTCAATGTCTCGGACCCAGTTAACTACCCTGGTCTGTATAGTATTATTCGCCTTCTCCACTCCGTTCTAGAGGTCTTGGCATTAGGGGACATATCTACGGAGTACGGTGTATACTACTCCTTCTTTTATCTCTCCCCAGACATCAAAAGTTGACTATCTTCTTCTCCAATTGCCTTACTGCCTTACTGCAATTACTGCAGGCTTCCCGGCAACGTGCATAATAAAGCAACCCAGAAAGGCAATACCAATGTCTGACCACGTACTTCACTATCCCGAGCCAATCAAAGCGTAAATAGATATCGTCTTATAGAGCTACGACTCTTCTCCAGTTTGCCTTGCATACATCTGACCAATGAAAAATATATCGTTCAAGACTCGATACTCGAAATTGGTCGCATGACCTGGACATGAATCCGACCTGGGGGCCATCTGCAGGTAGCCGGCACGAACTAACCTAATAGCCTTACATTTAACTATACATCGACCTTTTTAAGTATGCTTTTTTTGTCTCACTCGTGACAAAAGATTGGCCCATTACAATGTCTTGTTCGACTCAATCCTCTTGAAGTGATCGGGCTCACTAAACATTTCTCGCCATGCTACTCACAGTGCAGCCATTCATTTTCCCTGGGGCAATGATTTGCAATTGCCTCAAAGCCCCTTCGGATAGGCTTGATTGATTGACTTAGGGGGAGATGCCCCTGGTTTTCATAGATATGTTGGATCGAACTGACCATTTCAATGGCAAAGGATATAATGATGTTGGGCAATAGATAGGGTATAGGGGACCACTTGTGTCTTCTTTTTATCATCTTTCCCTATGCCCCCTAGACTTCTTTCTAGTTTTTCTTGTTTTAAAAATTTTTGCCTTTCCTATGAATGCCAATCGACTACTTACTTTCGGGTACTGATGGTGCTCCGCCAGTTCAGTACAAGCTATATATTCGTTGTGTCATCTTGATGAAATGCGAGAGAAAAAGCAGGTCTAGGTAGCTTCTTTCATTCTCGTTATTCTTCTTATAGTAATGCCTGCCTTATGACTAACTTAGCGTGATCGATTTCATAGACCGTGAAAACAAGCTTATTTTAAGTTTCGCTACTGATATTACCTATTATGATTAAATGTTGTCTCCCACTACAACTTTCATGCATCGTTCACTTGATGCCTTGGCAATTCGCTCCAGTTCAATGACGGAACCATTCCGGCTGACGCACTAATCTGCTCAAATGAGACGCAAGGCTTCGGTCTTCGAGGATTGCTTGATGACAAGGACACTTTTTGGCTGTCCACTGTGTCATAAACTATATCGCAACCCGGCCTAGTGAGCATTTTTATACAGGATTTCACATCCAAATTACAAAAGGCCAATATATCGACCCTGGAACATATTGCACTGAAGACTGTTTGGAGATCGAAAGGTCTCATGTGACCAGACCTCCTTTTCTAGCTAGCTCTTGTCTCCCTTTCTCTTTTCCCCCCAGCTTTTAGTCCAGGAAACATAGTTATTTGCTCTCCTCCTCAACAAGTCACTCATTCAGAAGTTATGTCAGGTATAAGCTTCATTCCAAACATCAAATCCAACGATTGACTAATTCTCAGACCCTGAAACGAGTACTCCTCTTCGAGTGGGACTTGTCCTATTCCCGGGCTTCCAGGCTCTCGACGTATTCGGCCCATTAAGCTGCCTGAACTATCTCTCGCGGAGTCACAACATGACTCTAGCACTTTTATCATCAACCCTTGAGCCAGTGACAACGAGATCGCCAAAATCACCCGAAGCCCTGGGTCAAAGCGTGGTACCGACACACACCTTTGCAACAGCTCCATCTCTCGATGTATTACTTGTCCCAGGAGGTCTCGGTACGCGGGGCTCAAGCCCTGTGATTGAAGGAGCAATCACTTTTATTCGAGATGTCTATCCTACGCTACAGTATCTGATAACGGTATGCACTGGCTCTGGACTCGCTGCTAGAGCAGGTGTGCTGGAGGGGAGACGAGCGACGACCAACAAAAAGGCGTGGCAAGAGACCACGGTATTGGGGGTAAATGTTGAATGGGTCCGTCGAGCTCGATGGGTAGTGGATGGCAACATCTGGTCTTCTTCTGGGGTGACTGCTGGTATCGATGTCACTCTTGCTTGGATTGAGAAGCTTTACGGTAGCGATGTGGCAGGAGAGATCGCAGATGGGCTGGAATACATTCGGCATGAGAACCAAAATGATGATCCATTTGCTTAATTGCATGAGGTTGGCAGGCACCAATATTACATGTGTAGTTCCGTCATGGAATCCAACAATGTTCATTCTATCTGAGAGTTTGGACGCCTCTACAAAATAATTTGAAGGTTGTATCAAGTAAACAGTTCCCTTCTTAGGTTCAAATCTTCTTTCTCAGTTGCTTTCTTCCTCCCTTCTTCCTCACACCCACAAAACATCTAGTATGTCCCTCTTTCTCTTTTCTATCATCGTCTGTCATCCCTTTACAGTATCTTCATATCATCTCAACGGTGCTTGTTCGACCAGCACATTTCACTTGCAGGATCTAGTCTACGGAGTGAGCAATCACACAATGCCTGGAGGCGGTAGAATGAATTGATAGTACATCTGGCTGACTTCTCTCTTACTTCCAGTTCTTATCTGGTTTTAATGGTCATTCACTTTCCAACTCTTTTCACCTCGGATACTTATCTGATAATTTCCACAATGACCACCTGCCCCAGAAGGAGCAGCTAGCGCAGGCCTATAGGGCTCTGCAGTCTACCGTGGAGGTACAGGCTCGTATCGACGCCGAAATCACGACTGTGGCGCAACCAGGAGGTGTTTCCACCATAGTCGTGTGAGCTCTTAAGTCTAGCTCTTATTACCAGCAGCTACTGATCTTTACTAGTAACAGGAAGGTTTGTGACTGCCATAACCATGGAGATGACAACCGATTCAACAAGTTTAAGAAGACCGGCCCAATTGTGAGCCCGATCTTCAAGTTTCGTTTCATTTTGTTACATAGTACTCACATTTGCTGGCAAGGTGATGGGGCGGTGCTTTTCTAAATACCCTTTCTGCAATTACTCTCCGTGAGCTTCTGTTTCTTTGGGTCTTTAAATCATCTGCACTTACTTATGATCTCGACTAGAGGCAATTCTTCTCGCAAGCCTTTCGTTTGGCACCACTCAGGCGGGACTCTGCGTAAGCACATCATCATCCGCCATTGTGTGAGGATTTTCCTAAGTGTTCGATATAGACGGCATGTTCTGACTTTAACAGGGAAAGCCTGGTTTCGAAGGAATGTGGGTGGTATCCGCTGAGGTTATCACCCGGAACAATCTCCTGTAAGTTCTTCCTAGGCTCTATGGGCCGTTACCAGTCTTACCAATCGGTTGCTAACCTCCACAGAACCACTAATTTTTGCGTCCCGGATCCCGATTTCGTTGATATCAAACCGGAGGACGCAAACGAGTGGACTGACATCTCGGACTCTGAGTAGAAGGATGATGTCCAGGCCCTTTGGCCCAAGGAGGGGGATCAAAGGTCATCTGCCATCCACAGAAACTATGGAGGTGAGTAGGTCTTCACCGAATTTCGCCATGAACCATTTCTAATTATTTGCAGGTAAACAGCTTATCTTTTCGGCTACAATTTCAATGGTGGCTTTCATGAGTCAGGCTTTTTACCCAGTTTTCGGACCGACTGTTTATATAGTCGGATTCTTGCCATAAATGCTACCACTGCTAATTTTCCAATAAAAACCATTGTAATTTATGAAAGTAGAAATTTGAAAAACTAGTGAAGACGTCAAAGCAACTTAAGCTGCCGTTATCCCCGCTTATTTCCGATCTCCTTACACGTGACCGCGCGCCGATATCGACGCGCCTCATTTTCGGAACTTCGCGATCGACGAACAGGAATAATTTGGACGTGTCATCATGTCCTACTATGACATTGACTCCATATTGACTGACGCACAAGTGGGTTAATTCTGACAACGCGCACTTCTCGTGAATTTAGGATGGACTCATGATTACTGACACTTTGGATCTCAGAAACTGCCATGTACATTTGAGCTTGAAGTACCCGGTCTGGGGATTTTGGAGGGCAATGCGGGTGAAGATGTCTGCTCATTACTCTGCAATGGACCAACTCTATAGCTCACTGACATTTCTCAGATCAAAGCCGGAACCCGGATTGACCTTCCATTATGGCTAGGTGAAATGCTCTCGATCGGGTAAGATCTCCATTTTTTTTTGGTCACAAGGCGGCATCCATCGGTTTTCTAACGTTGCCTTTTATGGCTTTTGAAGAGCACGACTAGGAACGTCGCGTCTGGTTACGCTCGACATGCCCGATGCTCTTTCGGAGCGCGTGATGAATGCATTGAAAGCCGATCCCCGTACACTCGATCTGCGCGCATTGGCACCACACTTCTACAATCTAAGCGAACGGATTCTAGAACTGTTCGAAGAAGAAGAAATGGTGGATGTTCTGAGTGACGTACGTCATATCCGCGAAAGCAATTTATCGGTCGGACACGGACTGACAGCCTGGCAGACATTCAAGAAACGGGCAGCAGAAATCGCCGACCACGCGCACAACTCCCGCGGTGCGGTCGGCGATGGCGTGGATTTCCTTCGCGGGTTGGATGAGACTGAGCGACAATGTAAGTTATACTGTTTGTCTAATATTTATGGGCGATAAAATTTCTGACTGGTCCGACTTCAGTATTCCGTGCTGCCCATGACCGGGCTAAGGAAATGCGGATTTGGTCTGGAGAGGCTAAGCGGAAATGATATTCTGTGTGATCAAATTGTGGGCTCTGAGCTGCGCTCGCCCATATAGGTCGTTTAACTTGATGCAATATGATCAATCCGCTTATGGCGTACCTACCTAGGTAGTATAGGAATGGTTTGGTATCTCATAGTTTCTATGCTAGAAGACATGGAGTATGGAGTAGTAACTTAAAACACTTGGAATAAACTAGAGCAATTGTACGAATTGTGTAACATCAGAAATTTTAAATGCCCAATTTATTCGGATCAAGATTTGTGACATGGAATTTATATTGACATATGATGGGTCTGAGCATTCGACGTGTACAAAGTACTATAAATATAAAATATAATGGAAAAAGCAAGATCTGGAGATGTGGAGACTATGAACCATACATAAGGACGAACACCCGCGATTTCCAGATCTACAGTATGGATGTACATGTGGCAATGGAGATCTGAAGATCGGACACACAAGGTAAATTTACCTATCTGTATATGTTGAATTCGATGACTATCTTGGAAGTTTAACTTATAGTCAAAAGTTAAGACTTCACTAATACCTAACTAGGTACTAACCTAATTAGATTAAATCGAAGGGATCTAATTGTTATCTGCCGTTTGTACTATCTGGATTTTAAATGGGACCAGGGACCACATTTACCTATATATCTTGGTGGGATGTATATTCAGATTGATATAAAACCCAGAGTATTTATAGTCATTCTAAAAATCCAATGAAAATATCCTTTAAATGCTAACTACAATGTACATATTATCTGATCATGTACATACAGTACTATATATGTATGCAGGGAAAACTACGCCCCACGGGCCTCATCCGATTGGTTTTTTCTTATACTGAGCAGTTAGCGTTGTTCGAAGTGATCACCCTTCTAATTGGATCTAGCCTTGTCTCCTAAACTTGAAGGGGCTGGAAACGAAAAAAAATAAAATTTGATTGATCTCAGACGTTTCTTCGATACTTTCTATCATTCTTCCATACATTCTTTTCTCCATAACAACGGCACTTGTCGGCGAACTTGGAAAACAACAACATTTGGAGAATAGTGGGTCTTGGTTAGCCTTTAATTTAGCTCGACTGATCACAAATGTTTGCGACATCCCCTCGCTTGGTGTGATTCTGTCTCTCTGTGATTCCCTCCCTTGGATCCTCCAGAACTAGAGTCCTTCCTGTGCCTTGACTCAGGTCTATTGCTTCCTAAACCTTGGTTGTCCCCCCCCACAGTCTAGACGCTTCTGATTGCTTGCTGGCTGCAACACATCTGCAACCCCCTCGCATCGCGCCGCCTGCTTGTCACCCACCAGAATCTGATCGTCCAATACATTGTCTGGCGCCTATCCAATTGGCGTCAATATTGCTGGATCCATCAATTAAATCTTCCGATGTGGCTGGTGGAGTTTGCAGGAAATCGTTGCCTCTGTGGCCATTGATTGACCAGGACGCAGGGCCGCATCCCAAACTGGTAACCGGGGCTTGTATTCGGCACGTCAATTATGCGCATTAGGTGAAGATTATGCCTGCAGCCATGATGAATGAGAAAACTCAAACGAGTTCGGCTGCTGGTCAGCTTGCTCCTTCTTCGCACTCTCGCCCTTCCATATATCAACCTAAAACTGCTCCCCCAAAACGCAGTGTCTCGTCTAAAAATCATTTCTCCAGTAAGTTAACCCTTACTTTGTTTCTAATCACTTCAATTCAGCATTTCGAGTTTCACGCTGACACTGTTCTTCCCAGACCCTTCGGACCGTCCCCAACACCCATCTATTTCTCGTGTTAAGGGTCGACCAAACATGTTCACACCACCCCGAATGAATTCTGAGTTGTCGTGGCTGAGAGATCAGTCACCAGCTCACTCCGGGACCAGAACCCCTTCATGTGGTATGTCTTTGGGAGAAAACAGTCGTCAGACCGGAGATTGACATGAATAGATACCCCAGAACCAAGCACGCCTACACTTGTTAATCCCGCCTCCGTCCTCCTGCAGGATCTTCTGAAGGAACAACGCGCACACCGAGGATCCCGTGGAAATATTTCAGAGGATTTAGAAGATAGCACTCCCCGAACCCCCGACACCACTCGAATGCAGGAGGATACGGCATCAGAAAAAACACGAAAAGTTAATGACGCTCTGTCTGCGGGTCAGAGAAAACCAAAAGAAATGGGAATGCGCGAAATGGATCAGGTAAGGTTATTTCAAAGCGATTTGCGTGCAAAGCCCTGATAACCATTTGCAGTATGTCTCGAAAATGAATAAGCTTAATTTCGATCTGAAGCTTGAGGTCTTCCATCGCACGCAGCAGATGAAGATCCTTGAGCAGAAGTTGGAACGAATGGCAGAGATGGAAGAGCAACTTGCTTACATGGACGAACTGGAAGCGGAAGTGCAGGATCTCCGGACCGCTGAGAGGGACAACCAGATCCTACGTGAATCCAATGAACAACTTCGCTCCGACCTCGATAAGCGAGACCTGGCCGTCACTGAGGCTGTCGATCTGATATGTCAACTGGAAAGGAAAATCGATGTGCTAGAGAATGGTGGTGGTCGAACATCGAAGATGTCCATGTCACGGCCTCCGACTGCAGATGGCTCTTCCGAAGCCTTGACGCCTAAAGCTCGGACTATGGTCGACATCCCCGAGAGGGTTTCTTCAAAGCGAAATTCCAGAAATTCGAGTGTCATGAACGTGGCCCAGCGCCAGACGTCCTCAGAGCTACGGAAGCTCTCCAAAGCACCATCCTTTTTGCGAGCGGACAACAAGAGCACCGCCACTTTACGAAGCCTTTACGAACCTGGAAGTAACGAATCACGCACTGAGCTCACGAAGTCGGAAAGTTTCCACACCATGACCGACATCAATGACCCAGAATCACCTAGACTTAGCGTTCTGAGTGAATGCAGTGAACTGAATCCCTTCGACACCCCGACGCAATGGGACGATTTTGATCGAATCGAAATCCCCCTCCGCAAAGCATCATCAACCACTGGCAGCTTGGACAGCTATGTACCTCCGTGCGAGCGCGAGGAAAGCAAGGAAGATCAAATTGACCGATGGATCCAGTCGCGGGAAGAGATGAACCAGACTACTATCATCACAAGACGCAGAAATCGGGCATCATCTGATGCATCCAAGGCGGCTGTCATTCCTAGTCTTGCAGCAGCAGACTTGTATGCCAACAAGCCTCGTGGGCGTGGACGATTGGATGCATCCCTTTTCGGAGGAATGGCCCTTCCTCCCACTCCTGATACTATGAGCACAGCATACGTTGTCGGCACAAACCGCTCGAATGGTTCCAATGCTTCAAACGGAAGCGTTGCAGCCCGGAAGAGCCACCGGAAAATCGAACAGGATCCGGATCCATTCTTTACGGGCAGACCAATCAATCGCCCACACTCTGCCGAGGAGATCGCCAGCCGTCGAAGCTTCAACAGTGAGGTGACAGACAGTATGCAGACCAACTACAGTGACATCACCCGCCCCGGGGGGCCCATCGCTGAGTCCCCTACCATGTTGCCCTCATTCAACACCGTCTCCTCCAAGGCCAGTGAGCTCCTTGGGCCTGGAAGCCCTAACAACCCGGCCATCGAGGGCTTTGGAGACATTCTGCGAGGAAATGCCAATAAAACATCTACTACACCCACGATCAACCGCGTCCGCAACCCACCGAACAAGGCCATGACCCCAGAGCCAAAGTCCAAGTCTAATTCTAATGGTTGTGATGCTTCACCACCGCTCACGCCTCAAGACTGGGTTGCTGCCGCGAAGCAAGGTCCCCGGTCCCGAAAAGAAACACCGCGTGCAGCCAGCCCTGACCAGACAGAGCTATCCCCACGCAATGGCATGGTCCCAGCCACGTTCGATGATGACACCAGCATTGTCTCAGTGTCCACTGAGGTCGATTCCCCTGGCATACCAACTCTGGACATGACCACACTCGACATTCTGGAACAGCCACTTGAACTACCCCAGGCAGACGCCCAACCCGAAGCCGACCCCGAGCCACGTCGACGCATCAGCTTCCGACCCCCCTTCTTTAGTCGGTCAAGCAACCAGTCCCGCCATCTCCAGGCTTCCCCAATGATTCCCAATGACTTTGATGAGGATGACGAAGATGGTGCCCCTTCCCCTATCATCCCCAAGAGCAGAACAATGGGCGGCGGCTTCGGAAGACCCGCCTCACAACTCTACACAAACCCCAACGAACTGTATTCCAGCCTCCAAATCTGCAGCGAAGAACCAAGCACAGTCCGCAGAGGCCTCCCCCATTCGCTTACAGAATCAACAATGGCCGACTATAATGGCTCCGCAACGATCTCCGGCCGCCCCTCTACATCCCACGGCGCAGAGCATAAGCGTCGAAGCTCCCTAGGCATTTTCGGATGGATGAAGGGTAAAATCACGGACTCTGGAGCTGACAAGTCCGAGCCTCGCCCTCCCTCTCGTTTGGCCTTTGAAGCCGCCAATGGGGTTAGAATGATATCCCGTGCTGAGACGCCAGACTCCTTCGACGCCCCTGTTGTGAGACCTCATTCGGAAATGGCGATTTATGATGACTTTGCCAGACGACCTCGGTATATGGGTCGTCGTGCGCGCAGGGGTTAGCCTTCACCACTTTGGCCTACCTACACTTTCTCGTTTGTACTATATGATACCCACTTTTTTATACCCTCGCATGACACTATTCCAGACTCTTATGTCCTATCTCTTTGCTGGTAAGTTTTAGAGCTTTGCATTTGATTTGGCGTTTTATTTTCGAATCATTACTATTATGTCAGTCCTGCTGGCAGGATTTGCAATTGTATTCTAGTAACTTGCCCTATTGTATTGTATTAGTCTCATTGATCAAAAGTCAAGAATTTCATTAAATCCAAGTTCTAAAGTCTAATACCAGTAACTCCACGCTTCGGCAAATTATTCCATCCCTTTTGGACCTTTCCCAACGCCTGAAACTCATGTTATACATCTAGAAATCCTAATACCAATCATTCCCCTTCTCCCCCAACTTCTTCATCTTCGGATTCAACGACACAACCCGCTGACCCGGCAACGTATCCGAAGTAAAAGCAGCCTCAAAGATACTCGCAATCCCGCGCTTTGCATAATGCTCATGCTGGAACGAATCATACTCCTCACTGCACCCATTGATGGCCGCCCACTGAATCCCATCAGGCGTCTTCCCATCCCCAAGATCAGTCCACCGCGTCACCGTAATCGCCTGCTTGAATCTTCCGTCTGCGCGGTCCTCGCAAAGCTTCACCTCAATCAGATACTCAGTCGGACACTCAGGGCACCGCCGCATAGGCCGGCAGAATCCGCATAGCGTCGTCAGCGCGTTCGGATCAAACACGCCGCCCGTCCACCGGTCTTTTACTTTATGCTCGAGGCCCTGGAGCCCGCCAGTACTGCGCGGCCGCGGGATGTGCTCCAGCGCGCACTTGCAAGCCGGCATGAGCTCGCCGTCGCGCCAGTGCGCGCACGCGCTGAAGTACGGCCAGTAGTCTTCGCGCGAGAAGAGGAGCATGCGCTGCGCTGAGGGCGTTAGCGCGGGCGCGGCGAACGTCTGCGATGTTACGCGCATCAGGAGCCGGCCGGCGTGGATGTGGAATCGGGAGGTGTGCGACCAGTTGTCGCGCTGCCAGCGGCGGGCCAGGGCGTCCGGGGTGAGGCCGTAGGAGGGGCCGAAGCGGTGGGCGCGCATGGTGAGCTGAACGAAGGTGAAGGGGAGCATGCGTCCGTGGGTGATGCGGTGGCGGGGTGGGGGGTTCAGGGCGTTTGTGGAGTTTGGGCATGCAAAGAGCGGGTTGAGGATGTGGGTTGGCCGGAGGCGTTCGGTGCCGCGCTGGGTGCGGGTGTGGTAGCGGGCGCAGGGGATGCAGAGGAGGTGGTTTGGGAGGGAGAGGTCTAGGCCTGCAAGGAAGGTGATCTTGTAGGGAAGGTTCTGTGGGTGGGCCAGCTCCCTGAAGTATCCTGGGCCTAGACGGCGATAGAGGGTGATGCTGGTGATTGCTAGGCTTGCCGCTTCGGCTGGATCCAAATAGCTCGCTATTTGACCCCAGAGCTTTGGCGGGAGGCTGGCTATGTCGCCTTCGCCCGGGGGCCGGTGTATGTTTTGTGAATATCTTAAGGCGTGGTCGTCGTCGTCGGACCCGAGGGTTCCCAGGGAATGGATGATTTCCGTATAGTCTCGGCGTTCGCCGAGTTGCGAGTCCACCTGCGCGTGCAAATCTTTGTACTTGAGTCTGTGGGCGTGTAAGGGAGCTAGCTCTGGCATTGGAGGGGGAGGAAGAGGAGGTGGAGGTCCTTCATCGATACTGGGACGTGCGGCCAGCCGCAGGTCTGTGGTTGATCTGCTGCCCTTCCTGAGGGTTTGACGGGATTTCTTGGGTCGCAATGCATTGGACAAGAAGGACTTGAAGCCCTGCTTCTGGCCGGGGCTTTCTGCAGACATGGTGCAGAGAGATGGTGGTGTGCAGAAAAATAAGGTGAGGTCCAGAACAAGTCAGGGTCCAATTCCGGAAGTCGCGGTGATTACGGTCCGCCCGGCCCGGTGGGGCCTGCAGCGTACATACAGTGAATTGCAAAAGTGGTAGCACCCCAATCTATACCGCCTTTTAACTCAGGTATACCGCCCGAAGTGGTCAAATTACGACTGGTGGAGAATAAGATCGCCGGCAGAATCTTGATCGGGGGTGTTAACACTTTTGCGGTGTGACCGTATGTAGGTATTGCATCTAATGTTCTAGTACTGAGTACTCCATACCTACACATGTACTTTATATGTCATTCTTTCAAGATAATATTGAAACACATGCTACAATACAGGAGTAATTAAGCGCAATGCATCATAGCAGCATTTGCAAATCAGAAAACTTAAGAGAAACGCTTCTCGACGGCCTTCCAGTTGATGACGTCCCAGATGGCAGAGAAGTACTCGACCTTGCGGTTCTGGTATTGGAGGCTGATGTTGGTTAGTGGGGAATTCAGGGTGAAATCGAGGAATTGAGGTCTTACTAGTAGGCGTGCTCCCAAGCATCAATACCGAGCAAAGGCTCAAACTGGCCAACGACGGGGTCTTGGTTCTAGTGGGGGTTAGCAATGGTTCAGACAGTATACCGCATCCAACTTACAGCATATGTGCGGATGCTAATCTGCCCGGTCTGCTTGTCCTTGACGAGCCAAGCCCATCCACTGCCCTGGATGCTGGCGAGAGCAGCGTTCATCTTGGACTGGAACTCGCCGAGACCACCGTAGGTGGTGTCAATGGCCTTGGACAGAGCGCCGGAGGGGGCTCGCCACCGCCAGCACTCTTGGGGGCCAGGTTCTCCCAGAAGAGGGAGTGGTTAAGGTGACCACCGCCGTTGAAGTTGATGGCGGGCTTGAGAGCAATCTGGGCAGCGATGTTACCCTGGTGCTGGGCCTCCTGGAGTTGCTCAATGGAGTTGTTGTAGTTGGTGACATAGGTGTTGTGGTGGTTCTTGTGGTGAATCTCCATGATCTTGCCGGAGATGGAGGGCTCCAGAGCGCCGTAGTCGTCTTCTTTGTCAGCTCATGTCGGATGCTCCAAAAGCTGCCTAGTCATCCACTTACAGGACAGGTCAGGAAGAGTGGCCTTGCCACGGGCAAAGGTCAAGCCCGCAGCACCGGCCTTGGAGGTAGCCGAAGCTCCCGAGCGAAGGGCAACACGGGCAGAGTTACTAAGAAGAGCAGCCATTGTGAATATGTGTGAATTTGGATGTACGTGTTGTAAGATCAATGGTGAGAGAAAGAATTGATCTAAAGAAAAAGTGAACAGCCGAGCTATGAAGTAACCGACCTAAACGTCATCTTGTTTTCGTGCTTCGGAGAAATGCTACTCCGATCCGGATCTCCACGTGAATTTCATGAGCTCTATCACTCTTTTATAATGAAACCACGCTCGCTGAAACTGAGGGGACAGTCATTTCTTCCGCAATCTGCCGATGATACCCTGAAAAATGGAGTCGTCATCACATGCCGGCCAGAAGCGTAAAGCTGCCGACGCGAGCTCCGACGAAGATACACGGCCAATCTCCGGTTTTCGGGGTTTCGCCAGAGCTGCCTCTGGGTCCGAGTCGCCGCCGACTATGAGTGGCGGTCTTGGTAGCGCATCTCACAACAATCGAAACAACATGGCCAACTCAGGAGGGTCATCACGCGGAGGAGGGAGAGGAGGAGGAAGGGGAGGCGGAGCAAATAGTTTTGCTGCGCGCATGATGGCAAAGATGGGTTACAAAGAGGGCCAGGGTCTTGGAACCACGGGCCAGGGTATCATGAACCCGATTGAAGTCCAGGCGCGACCACAAGGTGCCGGTTTGGGCGCCGTCAGCGAGAAGTCCAAAAAGACCCGCGAGGAAGAGCGCCGAGTCGCTGCACAGAAGGGTGAGGTTCTCGAAGACAGCTCTGAGGATGAACGACGACGACGACGCAAGAAGAAGGAGGATCGCAAGACACAGAGCCGGAGTGGCACCGGGACACCCATCCAGCGCGCGAAGCCAAAATTCCGCACCGCACGCGAAATGGAGGATGATATGAAGGGACTCGAAGTGCCCAATGTTCTCAAATCTCTGGTGGATGCTACTGGACGGGAGCAGCGCGTGCTCACCTCCACTGCTGGTCTGATGTCGACGCAACAGTTTGTCACGCAAGAGGAAGGTGAAGCGCACAAGATTGCTCAAAGAGCTCGGAACGACCTTGAAGCCTTTGCAGACGAATGGAAGGGTCTGACTGAGAGAAAGAAATTCATTGAACTCGAAGAGGCTCAGGTGGTGGAGGAATTGGACGCATACCAGGCCCGGGTCAACCATCTGACGGGTCTGATCGCTGCGGTGGAAGAGTTGGACATCTTTGAGAACGAGGAAAGCATTTCGGCCAAGTTTGATGAAATGACCACTAAGCTTGAAGCTCTGGAGAGCCAATATCGAGATGCCGTCGATGAACACCGACTCCCCGAGACGGCAGTCGCAGCCTTGCATCCACTGTTCCGCCAGGCAATGGAAGAGTGGGAGCCTCTTGAAGATCCTACGTTCCTTGTATCCCATCTTACCCGCCTTCAGCCACTCTTGTCTCGTCGTCAGAACAACGAGCTCGATGAGCCCCGCAAGCGGTCATCCACATCACCTTACGAAACGATGATCTACACCCTTTGGCTACCGCGGGTGCGCTCCGCGCTTTTGAATGATTGGGATGTCTACGATCCCTCCAAGGCCACCGCGCTGGTCGCGGCCTGGAAGGCGATTGTGCCGCCATTTGTCTATGCGAATGTTCTGGATCAACTGGTCGTTCCTAAGGTGGGCTTGGCTCTCAAGCAGTGGAAGCCTCGCAGCAGTCGACGACATGCCGGTTCTGAACAGGATGGAAAGTTCCCGTGGTGGCTGTTCACGTGGCTTCCATACCTTGATGAACGACACACCAACCCGAGACAGCCGACTGGTCTCATGTCCGACGCGAAGCGGAAATTCCGGTCGGTCCTCGATACATGGAGCCTGCGCAAGGGGCTGATTGATCGCATTGAGATCTGGCGGGATGCGCTGGGGTCTGAGTTTGACGTCTGTCTACGCAACCATTTACTCCCGCGCCTTGCGCGTCACCTCCGGGAGGACTTTACTGTGAACCCGCAGGACCAAGATCTTACGGCTCTCGAGGATGTTTTGCGCTGGAAGGCCTTCTTCAAACCAAACATAATGGGTCTCTTGCTGATCTCCGACTTCTTCCCGAAGTGGCATGAGATTTTGTACATCTGGCTCACCAACGATCCCAACTACGAGGAAGTCGGTGCTTGGTTCTCGTGGTGGCGCACTCAGATACCCGCGGAGGTCAACGAGCTCACTCTCGTTGATGAAGAGTGGAACAAGGGCTTACAGACTATGGATCTTGCTTCGCAGCTCGGCGATCGTGCTGCCGCCGAACTCCCACGCCCTGCCACAGCTCAGACCACGCTTCCTACACGGGAAGAGAAGGTGGCTGCTGCTACAGCAGCAGCAGCTCCCATCGAAACTAAGATCAAGGCGCCGGTCGTGGAAGAGGTTGCCTTCAAGGACATCCTCGAAGCTTGGTGCATGGACCAAGGACTCATCATGCTGCCACTGCGCGAGGCTCACCCGCAGAACGGTCAGCCGCTTTTCCGCATCACGGCCAGTGCTACGGGCAAGGGCGGTGTTGTGGCATTCGTCCAGGGCGACGTGGTCTGGGTGCAAAATAAGAAAGCCAAGGAAATCTGGGAGCCAATGGGGCTAGAGGAAAAGCTGGTGGAGCGGGCAGAGGGGAAGTAGAGCATTCGCTTGAATACATACCACAATACATGTACGAATATACCCCTTTTCAACGTTTTGGAATGGACCAACGTCGTGGATAGTTTTTCATGACATCTTCTGTATGCAGTTCAAACTCGGGATCTGAGTCCCACTTATAGAGGAACAGTCCCAATATTGGTGCTTTGTTGGTCTAGATGACGCTGCCGGTATCCTTGGCACTGCCATAATTGTAGAGATCCATTTGCTGCTTTGGGGTTGTCCCTCACTTTTGTTGTAATTGTCTGGTGAAACTTGACTCAACCACTGTGTACATATGTACAAGCTTGTACACTCCAAATCCTGTTTTCCCTTCATAGCTGTACCCAGGCTGAATTCACAACATTGTGTTTTGACTGTACGTAAATTCGTAGACTCGGCCGACGTCCGAAAGGCGCAAGCCCGAGCGGAGTTAAAATCTTGGAAAGATATCTAGGTAAAACCTCTCTTATGGAATGGTCGGAGATGCTTAAGACCGGGAGTTGCTCGGACAACACAGTAATATGCCGAGATCCATACGTCGGAGTACGGAGTATAGCGATCTGAGATCCGAGCCCTAAGAAGTGTGTCTGACCAATCACAAGTCATCTAAATAACGGGAATGCCGATCTTATGTCCACCAATCACAGACGAGATAAATGTCATCACAGCATTACATCACCAATCGCATTCTTTGGATTTGAAGTGACGGTGGACTTTGCCTGATTTTTTTCTTTGGATGGGCGTGTTGCTGAGAGTAATCCACTGTTGGGAGAGGCTTAAAGGGGTGAGATGCTGCCGATCGATGTTTTTTTTCTACTTTTTGTATTTCGCTTCATAGTCTCTTGATATTCATCAAACTCAATATTAAGATACCCTCTGCGGATCATTCCATTGTACTCGAAATTGCCGTCAGTTACACCGTTGTTGCCATCAGGAGTATTCCGTGGTAGCAGTTCTACGAACCAAAACAAAACCAGTTCACTCGGTTTCTAAACAAAACATCATGGCATTCCTCTTCATCAAACAGAAGCTCTTCCCTACAAGAGAAGCAGACAAGCTCTCGGGTAAGCATAGCTTGAACACGAAAAGACCGCCTTATACTAACGTGCAATAGGCAAACGTCTCCTTGCCCGCATTGACGAGAATACCATCCATGGCGACGCCGATCAAGATTTAGAGTCCCAAAGCAACCGCTCCTATGACACTTTCGGACGATGCAACAGCCATGACGACTCAACCACAACAGTGGGCAGCAGCGGAAGCACCCGCTCGCGCATCAACCCTCGCATCGTCTCTGACGCGATTCTCGGTCTCTCAGACGGTTTGACCGTGCCATTCGCCTTGTCTGCGGGTCTCTCTGCGCTCGGAAACACAAAAGTCGTTGTGCTGGGCGGTCTCGCCGAGCTGGCAGCCGGGGCTATCTCCATGGGCCTGGGTGGTTATGTGGGTGCCAAGAGTGAAGCGTAAGTCAATCTCAATCTCGTTACAAGAGATTAGCTCAGCTAGGGAGCTGTCCGTTGACACAAATACTAACGGAACCAGTGAATCGTACCAAACCACCGTCCGTGAAACCGAACAATTAATCAAAACGGACCCACAAGAGACCCGAGCCATGGTGCGGGAGACTTTTGCTCCATATGGGCTCTCCGACTCTGCCGTCTCGGACATCACTCACGACCTGCATGCCTCGCAGGACCGACTCCTCGAGTTCCTGCTTACCTTCCACCACCGCGAGACTGCGCCAGACTGCAACCAGGCCTGGACCTCGGCGATCACCCTTGCTCTGGGGTACTTCATTGGTGGCTTTATCCCGCTGATCCCGTACTTTATTCTGTCGCAGGTTATGGCTGCATTGTACTGGAGCATTGGTGTGATGGCGATCACTCTGCTTGTGTTTGGGTATGTGAAGACCTGTGTTGTTCGCGGCTGGTCTGGTCGGGGCAACATATTGGCTGGTATCTGGGGTGGTGTGCAGATGTGTTGTGTTGGGGGTGTCGCTGCCGGTGCTGCTATTGGGTTGGTGCAGTTGATTGATACAGGGAGTGTTTAGTGTCTGGTGATGAGTTGTGTTTGAGCGATGCATTTCAGTGCTGGAGTTTGTTTGGCTTTTTTTCATGTTTGAGCAGGCGTTCGGGGATCAAAACTACATTTACGTCTAACGACCATAATTCAATTCTACGACCTATTTGGTGTGGATTTTCATTGAATCATACAAAAGAACAAACACCGCAATGGATGTAACCAAACCCACATAAGAATTCGCTGAATCACCCATTCAAAGCAATTCCAACCAACCTCTGCGCATTCTCGGACAACTTAATCTTCAGAGCCTCCTCCCTTCCCCTCTCCGACATCTTCCCCCAAGTCTTCCGCAAAATATCCACCATCTTCGCCTCATCCCCAAGATCCGTCTCAAACTTATCAAACTGATCATCCAGAAAAACAAGACAAGCCACATCCTCCAGCGTCTGCGTATCCGGATCCCCCTGCTTCAGATCTGCCTTGCGCACCAGCGCACCCACCCTCGCCGCCTCCTCTGTCGAAAACCCACTCTCCACACAAATCTCTTCGACCAGCGCCGCCTGCCGCCTCTGCAGCCCCGCGCGCCACGAGTGATACCCGATCTTTGTGGCGGGGTAGCTGTCGCGCGGGACTTCCCAGCGGCGAAGGTGTTGGGCGCGGATTGCGAGTCGCAGGAGCTCTGTGGCGTGGGGTTGCAGGGTTGTGAGGTAGCTCGTCATTTTGTGGGCGTAGTGCAGTTCGTAGGGAATTGGGCCTGATGCGGTCTGAGTTTGGCGGGGGTCATCGGCGTGCGCGGCATCGATGCGCTGCAGCGCTGTTTCATATTTGTTCATTTTAGAGTGGGATAATGGGAGGAAGTCGATTGTAGCGAAAAGTATGCGACTTGTTTCAACGGAATTGTTGTTCTGGTCGAGTCTGTTGATATGCGGCTTGAGATAAGCGTTACCGCTAGTCCCAGTGTGGCTTAGTATGTATGATAACGGGGCGGCTCTGATTGGACGGTGGAATACAAACAGAGACCACATCTACATAGTTATGGAGGTCAATCTATTTTTCCACACCAACAATAACTGGAACAACTATTCTATATCTTATTTTTTTCCTGCCTATGAGTTCCTCCAGATTTCCTACACCTGTGTATACAGCCAATGAGTCATCGTTTTAATATCGTCGAGCCCACCGAATTGATGAATGACTCACTGAATGTACACATTGAAATTGGTCACTTTTGCTCCAGAACCTATACTCAGTAATTGCAATCGAAATGGCGCCAGGCCCATCCGTGCCTCTTGAAATCAAGTATGCCCATGCATCTGAGCTGCATGCACTTGTGGGCGTTGAAATTCGCTCTTTTTCCTCATCCAAGTATATGCACAGCACATATAAGGGGTGTGATCCATTGGCAGTTCATACCTTCAAGACAGTCTCTTCTCTCGAGTATTTTACTAAATCGGAGTGCCATATTCTAGCGGGAGCCGACTCTGAAGCCGGCGATATCATCGCATACAGCCGCTGGAATATACCAGCTATCTACAAGTTCGAAAGAGCAGTAGACGTAGGCCTGAGCGACGAGGCACAAGTGGAGTTGCAGAATGTGTGGGCTTATTCCCCACGGATGAACAAGGGCACCTACATGTTCTACGAGGAAATGATCAAGCGTAGTAGGGACATACATCTCAAGAAAACTGATATTGGTTCGTCAACACTCTACATGGAAGTTTTACGATACAAACTGCTAAATCCCCTGCTAGTCCTTGAACTACTATGCGTCTTACCAGAGTATCAAAGAATGGGAATAGGCAGCTCGTTTCTCAGATGGGGTATGGAGAAAGCAGACGCCAGTAACGCCCGAATCTATCTGGAAGCTACAATGGAGGGAGTGCCAGCGTATTTGAAGTACGGATGGAAGATCGTCGAGGAAATTAAATTGGATTACACAGAGCGTGGCGGAGAAGGAAGTCAGAAGTTCGCATTGATGATTAGAGAGCCGCGGACAGCGTAAGCCTCTTTTCTCTGTCTTCGATCATGTAGCTTTGGATTCTCTCATTACTGATGTGATCTAGAGTAAGAGCGCCAGCAGTTACTTGAATCTACAAGAACCAGAAATGGACGGGCCTCTGTCTTGTATCTTGTGAATAACAATACCCTCGTTGGACACTACAAAAAAATACATATATATGTAGTCGTATTGCTACAGTTGTGTATGTGAATATTTGTGAAGATTGGTATATGTAGAGTTTGTCTAGGTACCTTAGTCCCTTACTACAGATATAAAACTATGTGCATATATGTAGTTACAGTTTTTGTAAGTGAAATTGTGCATGGAAAAGATAATTGCAGTAAATGAAGGGGCATTATTATGCTGAAAGTCCCATTTCAAGCAAAATCAAAGTAGGCAAGTTTCGATGATAACCCTTCAATAACGAAGCGGTTAACGCCTCCTCTTTGAGATCGAGAGTCACCAAATAGCGGAATCAGAACAGTCCGCCGTAAGTCGCCGGAAAAGAGCGCCTAATATATCTGCTTCACCTGCTTCCCTTTATAAGGTAATCCTTGACACTACTTCTCTTGGTTGATCCTTCGGGCGTATAAATATCCACTCTCTTTTAACGCTAATCCCTCGCTCTACCGAGCACTCCCCAGACCAGTAAGCGCGAGCCTCATCCTTAGGCACAAAGCGACAATACTTTACAGCCCACCGTAGTCGTTTAGTCGCGTGTTTATCGGTCAATCATGGCCGCCACAAGTGACGCTATTTCTTTATGTCTTTAGCATTTAGAAGACGGCGAATTGTCTCGTATTTAACCTACGAAAAACATTAGAAACAGCTAGAATTTTGTAGAAAAGAGGCTTCACTTTATGCGACACTTCGGCAAGCATCTCTTCGCGAGTAATCTTCGGATTCTTAGTGATAGCGCGCTTTAATTTCTCTTGATCGGCTTCATCTAGCTTTTTAGGACGTCCGGAACGTGCCTTCGTTACGCCGCCGGTTCTCTCGCTCTCCTTTTTAATAGTGTATCGAATCCCAGAGAGAGACACGAAAGGATATCGCTTATGAATTCGCTTATACCCCCATCCAGCAGCATCATGAAGCTCACAGATGCGCTCACGAAGAGCAGGTGTAAGCTTTGGTGTAGGGGTCATCGATAGACATCAAATAAATAGTAATTTGACCAAGATTTAGGGAGGAAACGCGTAAAAACACAAGATAATACTAGGTCTACGAGCGCGCGGGCGAGGGCGGTGGAAAGGGGCCCCACTTGAGGGGGTGTCGACACTTTGGAGGTGTCACTGTACATTCCACGGTTCCACTGAAGATCTCCCTGCGCATTTGATTTCTTAGCTGGCAGAATCCGGTGTGGAGTTCCCCGATATGATTCCAGCCATTTGATTGGACTAGGGAGAAATTCACAAACATCTGGTACGATTTCAAAATCCACTTTTTATTCTCCGTAGGCAACAGTAAGCTTGTACATGTATATACCCCCATATCCCTTATTGGATAGGTTGCCTTCAGAAGTAGCAACACCCTCAATAAGGTGTCTTGTGAATTTCTAGAGAGAATTTACAATTGATTAGTCATGTTTAAAGTCCTATAAACTGCCAGAATAAGGGTCAATAAAATACAGAGTCTTTCGCACATTCTTATGAGCCAGATTAAGATAGCATCCGACATTATAGTAAGGGGCGTTTGCGGTATTACTTACCGGTTTAGGATTGGTGTATTAATAGGTGATCTTAGCCATAAAAAGGAATAGTCCCGTAACCTCATACATTCACTAGAAGCAAAAATTGTTCATCTCTAAATCTCTACCTCACTTACACAAATTACGTTCTTAAGCTTCCCTATATTATATCTCCTAGTCCGAACACCAGACCCGTAAATGCATAGTAAACATGGCCGAACTATCTGAGATACGAAAAAAAATACTCGAAAACGACATTGCAAAACGAATTGTCATCAAAGTGAAAACCGAAAGTTTGGATCCTCAAGACTATCGTGCTTCAGCAAACAGAGCTGCCAGCGAGGTTTTTCCGGACTGGCAAGACGATTCCCGCATTCTCTTTCTTGCCATAGATGTGTGGAGTGAACGTACCTTCCTCGTCATCGACATCAATCATCATGATTATGATTTCGGCACAGCGCACAAAGCTAAGACCGTCCTCCCAGTCTTCGTACTTCGGCAGCATGGGAAAAGGCGGGACTGGGTGTTAATCAGGTGGCCCCAAGAAGATGAGCCTCTTAGTGCACAGTTAGCGGACCTCCACAATGTCAACGGCTTTGATGCAACGCCTTTCCTAGAAAACCACAACTCACGCATTGTACACGCCAACCCGCGTGAGTTTCCTGTTTGAAACGCCATGGCTCATCTCGCGTTTCAGAAGCGAGCGATTTCGTGGAATTAGCTGCAGGCCAAGCACTTGCGGTGGTTGGTCATAGGCGTTGCTTGAAATGTTACCGTATATACAAGTCTATGAGATGGAAATGCACTCAAAATCTCAGACGCAGATTACAGTTCCAGCGCTCCAAACCATACTTTTTACCCATTCGATCGCATAGTCCCTTACTACTTTATTTTGTGCTCCAATGAGCCATATGCTCCCAATTGCGGTTTATGGCGAAGTCTTTAGCTAATCAGTAAGCTCTATTATACCGTAACTAACTATAGCTAGTTTACTAGGATTAAAGATCATATTATCAATACTAGCCTTTTTCTGATAGGACGATGGGAGCTATCTAAAAGTGGAGGGGTGTACGTGATAGAACTAGCTTATTGCATTTTATTGATATAGCTTACTAAGGCCGCTTGTCCCTTAGACTCAGAGAGCGAATTAGGGCGCTTAGAAGAGTATTAGGTGATGTTCAGGGAGTCAGATCTACGCAGTGAGAAAAAAGCGGCAAGGTCTGAGCACTAAAACGGAAAGGGAAGGCTAAGAATGGCAGAGGAAATCAAGTACGTAGGTACGAACTCTGTATATACAAATCCTCACGTATATATAGATTCACACATTTACACAATATGTAGAAGGACTAAATTCATACGTAAGTGACCAGGTAAACCTAAGAACCTTGGAATGTAAATCTATTTATATCAGAACTTGTATATGGAAAACAAGAATACAGAGAAGATATATAAAAATACGTATATGAAGATGTGAAGGTGGGAAGATATTAAGTATACTAAATAGAAGTATAGAAACATAGGGGTATACAATTTCTAACCAACAAAATCATTCCAAATTGATACAACGATGAGTAACCTCTACATATCTATATGATTTGCTATTTCACATAAAACATTCAAACACCTAGATACCTGCTGGATAAGCCTGCGAGGAACTGTTCAAGTCGAGAGCACTGTCGTAATTACAACAAGCAGCAGCAACAGAAAATATCATCACAATCACGAGGAAGTGCTGCTCTTTTTCGGGTACACAAACATCTCTTGCGAGACATCCGAAGTCGGGGTCTCCACCTGGTACGTCTTCTCTTTCTCGAAGATCCGTCCTACCTGCTCCAGAGACAGTCCTTTAGTCTCCGGGAACAGGAAGTAGATCGTGACGAAGAAAATCACAAGACAGCCCAGGTAGACGGTGAAGTATCTCCACTGGATGGCCGCGAACGCCACAGGGTTTATGTACTGGTTGAAGAAACACGCCATGGAGTCGGTGGTCAGGGTCACGGCCAGGCCCTTGGCGCGCAGCTGGAAGGGCAGGATCTCCGCCGGATACGCGATGAACAAGGGCATATATGCCATGTCGTACGCGGCACAGAACAGGAATAACATGGGCACGACGGCAATGCCGGCCTCCAGGACCCCGAGCTCCGCAAAGAGACCCGACATGGTTGTCGCCGCGGAAAGATAGATCAGCATCAGAATGGTCGCGATGAGCCAAAGTTTTCGTCGTCCGTACCGGTCTGCGGCCATGGCTCCGCCGACGGCAAACATCAGGTTCCACACCTGCAAGCTTATGTTGATGGCAGCCTGGTGAGCTGCGTTGTAAATACCCACCGATTCCAGAATGGGGGCTAGATAATAAGAGACGACTCCTAAAGATTGTTAGAGACAAAATCATGATCAAAGTCTATAAGGATGGGGGGAGGGACCCACCATTTCCAGACCACTCTTGCATGAACCCCAGAATCACACAGATTGCCAGACGATGCATGTTGCTCCGACTTTCCAGGAATGCACTCCACCGCCGAGCGCTCGAATCCGACTCCGCATTGATGCTCTTACAGATATGGTAGAACTCATCCTGGACCAATTCGTCGTTCTCATCCCCGTTGGCGTGGTATTTGGCGAGCAAAGCCATTCCCTCCTCTTTTCTCCCGCGAGAGACCAGCCATCTCGGACTCTCGGGCACCACACACAGCCCGATCAACTGGAGAACCGGATAGAACACCTGCATCAGACAAGGAAGCTTCCATGACCAATTGCCCACGACCGCAAGTCCCGCAAATCCAATCGTGGCCGAGGTGATGGACCCAATAAACCACAGGGCGTTGTAGAGACCCGTGAATGCTTGGCGCTGGCGTGGGTGCGCAGACTCCGTAATGAGCACAGGCGCGGCTGTTTGCGAAACTCCAACTCCCACCCCAGCCAGAACGCGAGCGCTGAAGAAAACCCAGTGGTTCTGTGTCGAGACCTGAACAATGGACGCAATGATGACTAGCGATGATCCGATGAGAATGCAAATCTTACGCCCTAGATTATCGGCGATATAAGATGCGGGGATAAACGCTAGAAAGGAACCAAGTGAGACAGCTGCGATGATCAGACCTCTGACATTGGTGTTGAGGCCGGATAGAAATCTGTCGACTGTGGGGGGTTAGTATTGAGTATGCACTTTATATAGAGGGATTCCTACATTCAGGTAGCACCAAAAGTCCATTGATCATGCTAGCACAATATCCGGCAGTAGCCGACGCAGCCAGCATAAAACTGATGCCTAGATTGAGTTTCCGCAGCCCTGGATCTTTCATCCAGTTGCTGTTGGTGTTGTTCTGTAAGACCTTGGCGGCCATGTTTGTCGACGATACTGCAATTCACGAGACAAATCTCGTAGATTATTATTCCGAAGCTCCATGGAAGTCAAGCTCTTTTTATTTAAGCACTAAAGATTAATAATAATAATAAAACCTCCGACTGGTAAAACGCCCAGCATTCCTCACTTTTATCCAGGACCCATGCTGTCCGGGCAAGGTTACAGCTGTAGCTAAGGGTTGGGAATGAAGGGATTGAATTCAAATGATTAGATCACCGGACAATTTTTCAGAAATGGCTATGATCGCAAAGCTTCAAGGCGAACACGTTGGCCAACATGCCTGCTAACAGATCGCGATTGGAAGCCCAACCTCTAGGGCCTTGGGGGATCCCGGAGCTATGAACATTCCGGAGCATTTGAGCTCCCTCCCTCACCTTGGGCCGCGGGGATCTTTTCCACAGTTGCCCAAGGCTAGCTTGAATATTCTTAGATGTAGCTCGGATGGCCCTTGATCATCGTCAGGGACGTTGTTTCTGCACCTCATCGGGAGGGACGTTGTCTCTGGGGAAACGCTGTACAGCATCTCTTTGAAGGAAACAGGTTTAGATTTGGTTGAGTCAGCTTGGAAACGTCACCTGCTATCTCATAACTGAGTTAGGAATATCTTGAATCAGAGGAGGATAAATGGATGGAATGATAGTACTAAACCTCGAGACTTCGCTCCAATCGGAATCTAAACAGTCCCTCCCGTGGCTTGTTTTATCCCTAAAGAGGTCATAGCTGGGATTATACTTTGCTGGGACGTAAATATGACGATTCAGACACGTTAATTTTCATATGTAATGTGAGCGACTTTCTGGCTCATAAGTGTTGACGTTGCCCAGATGATACTTGATTTGTGAAGGGATTTGCGAAAGGTTTTGCGAACAATTTGCTGACATTGATAAATGATAATTGTTTATAAAACCATAGGCATCAAAGCGCTTGTTGTAGTGCATGTCAAGGTGGGAGGTCATCAAGTTAGGGCTTTTGAGATGATTAAACTTATTCTAGATTCACCTGACCTGGCAATAAAGTATAACCTCGGACACGACTGAAATATTTTAATAAGCTGAAATATACTAAACCACAAAGATATACTAGGATATATTGACGGTATGTTTTAATCCATTATTGGCGTTGGTACACCCCAGCGGGCTCACACCTGAAAAGCACTTATGGTCTCATGTACATAGATATTTATAGCGCAGTCGGTTCTTATGCCTTCGGAAGGTCTCAGACATGGGCGTAGCCCATGCCTCGCCGGACATTAATCAATACAACAACGAGTCTCAAATATGGATATCAAGATGTAGGCAAATTCGGACACAAATCGTTGGGCTCAACCAATATGAGATTGTAACGATATCCACTAGACTTCAAATTGCTGCCTTTCACTCGCCAGTCAATAAGCCAAGAAGACCTCGCAGGCACTGCCACCATGCCAAGGCGCTGATAGTGCTCTGGGCACTTGGCGTGGGAGTCTTGGCTTGGTACTGTTTCCCCTAAACCTTAGATCGAAGATTTTTTTTATCTGATTCTCATCTGATAACCTTGTACATTACCAAAATGACTCCAGAAGACCCCCTCAACCTCAAACAATACAAAGCAACCATCGCCGAACAAAAGAAACAATGGATCCCATACTCCTTCAACAACGACGAAAAGCTGAACGGGTTCTACAAACAGCAGAATGAAATGATCGAAGGCTTCCTCTCCAGCGGCGACGAAGAGCGCCTAAAAGCCGAAGACGAAGCCCAAAACGGCGGCAAAGTCAAGCTCGCCGTGCGTGCCAGCTTCGTGGTCAACTTCTTACTCTTCGTGATCCAGCTATACGCAGCCGTGACCACCGGCTCCTTGGCTCTGTTCGCCACCGCCGCAGACGCTTTCATGGACCTCGTTTCATCCATCGTCATGCTCGTCACGTCTCGCATGTCCTCGCGTCCAAAGCCATACAAGTACCCCGTGGGACGGCGCCGTGTCGAGACCATGGGCGTCATCATGTTCTGCGCCTTGATGACCATCGTGGCAGTGGAGCTGATCATCGAGTCAGCCAAGGCACTGGCTGCGGGCAAGACGGAATCTGCTCAGCTGGCTCTCGTACCACTGATCTGCGTGGGAATTGCTATTTTCTCCAAGTTCGTCATGTTTTTGTATTGCTTTGGGCTGCGCCGGTATCCAGCTGCGCATGTTTTCTACATCGACCACCGCAATGATCTTGCGGTCAATGGGTTTGGATTGATCATGTCCATCGTTGGGGATCGGTTCGTCTGGTACCTGGACCCCATTGGCGCGTGCTGCATTGCACTGCTCATTCTGTTTTCATGGGCATCTACCGCGTTCGAGAACATGTGGTTGATTGTGGGCAAATGTGCTCCTCGGGAGTTTGTGAATAAGTGCATATATGTGACTTTGACTCATGATCAGAGAATTCAAAAAGTGGACACGGTAGGTTAATTTGACTTTTTATTGTTGGATATCGACTGACAGACACAGTGTCGCGCCTATCACTCTGGACAGCAGCTATATGTTGAGGTTGATATCGTCATGGATCCTGAAACTAAACTCCGAGAGTCTCATGATGTAAGCCAAGCATTGCAGCGCAAGCTGGAAGGTCTTGCAGATGTTGAGCGAGCCTTTGTGCATGTCGATTATGACTATGAGCACGATATCAATGAGGAACATAGGCCATTGTATGATGTTGGTGGATCGGGTCATTCCATTAGAGCTTTGCTGAAACGTCTGTTTGCTAAGACAACTACTGTATAAGGTGTGGCCTTGCAGATTACGGGAACTTTCAAAAATCATGTCACATTTGAGGTATCATGCAATTTAGTTCAATATCGAGAAACACAAGCCCTTTCAGGAAACCCTCTTCTTGGTAGCAGCAAACATTCCATACGGCTTGACACTGAAGGCTCCGTTGAAATTCTTCCCTTCCATATTGAAGGTGTACCCCTTATCCGCCAACTCAAAATCTACGTCCTTGATGATGCGAATGAGCACATGCAATGACCACTCCCATGCATAGTGCTTGCCATAGCACTCACGCTTGCCATTTCCGAACCCCTTCTTCACGCCCACGGGCAGTCGGTCAAAAGCCTCACCAAGCATGCGCTCAGGCTTGAAGGCATTCGGGTCCTCAAACACAGCAGGGTCTCGATTGACGGCGGAGAGAATTGGGATCATGACTTGGGTCTTTGGAATTTCGTATTTCCCTCCGCCGAGTAAGACGGGGTCATCGGTGGGCAAAGGCTCAATGTTGAAGCCTGGAGCTGTGGCACAGAGACGGAAGGATTCGCGAAGGATCGCCTCGCAGTAGGACAGTTGAGAAAGATGGGAGTGTTCGAATTCACCCGAAGCGCCGACAATCGAACCAATTTCCTCGCGGGCACGGGTGAGCTCGCCTGGGTTTTTGGCGAGATAGTACAGAGCGAAAGAGACTAGATTCGGGGCTGTGGCACTGCCAATGAGAATGTTGATAATCTCGTCGATGACCCGACTTTCTGGTAGGGATTCGCCAGTCTCCGGGTCCTTTTCATACATCAAGGCATGAAGCAGATCTTTCTTGCCGGTGGGGCTACTGCGCCGGCTGGCAATGACCTGCGCACAATATTCGCGACAAATCTTGATGTCTTTGTCGAATGTACTCTGGTAACGCAGCCAGGTGAGAAGCTTAGGCCGATTGGGCCGACGTACAGCTTCAAAGGTAGTATCCGACATGGCTTTGATGACGGTGGGTTCTTCGCCGAGGACGCAGTCGACGTGATTACTGAAGAAACATTGCATATTGGCGGCGTGGTTGAGTCTATCCAAGTCATTTGAGACATCCACGCGCTTCTGCGTGCCATCCGTCAAAGTCCACTTCTGGATCAAGTCGTTTGTGGTGGTTTCTATATCTCTATGCATTTCCTTGACAGCGCCGGGCAAAACAAAGGGAGCCATTATGCGATGCGCGATACCCCAACTTTTCTCATTGTCGTAGGCAGTGAACAGACTGTCGTTGGCAAGATGGCGAATCTCGACAATAGGTCCCGTAACACATTTTCGGAATCGTTTCTCGTCGCAAATTTCCTCGAGTAGAGCGGCGCTTGTAATAAGCACGATTTGCTTGCCGAGAATGCTGATTTTGAAAATACCGGCATCCCCATGCTCAGCTGCTAATTTGTTGAGAGAGGCCCAGACATTGCCAGGGATCATATCAAAGAGATTCCCAAGAATGGGAAGCCCTTTGGGCTGGGGAATTGGCGAGGGCATGTCGAAGTCTTGAAAAATAAATTTTGTTCTCTTTCAGAAAGGAAAGAAATGCACCATCTATTTATACAAGTGCACAGTTTCGTCACAAGCTGAACTCCAAGAATGCACTGCACGGGCCGGTAGATCATCACGAACCGCTTCAGATGACCACATTTTCTGTAAAAGCCTGCCCTCTGAGTGGTCGATGACATTTGGCAAGATGCAATGTATTTACTAGTCCCCTGAAAGATCCACTCAGAGAATGCATGATGTCTTTTTTGGCAAAATGTGACCCGAGGGAGGCTGAGCTGAACACCCCAGCATTAAACCAAAAGTAGAACAATATGTTCAAGCGCCCATAATAAATATCAGAGTCATCATTGTAAGTGCAAGCCCCGGAGAAAATCATTGCAAATCATTCGAAATTATGCTGGCGTGCCTCTCGGCAATACCTACCCTGCATGTGCATCTGTCAAGGCTGTCAATTTAACTCTCAAGTCCTGATGCAATACCAAGTCTGAGACTCGAATTATATTCTAAGAAGAATCAACGAGGCTCACTTGTAAATAACCTCCATTCTAATTATTATTTGGCATATAGAAAGATGTTTAGCGAAATGTCCCTACAACAGTCGTCGCTTCAGAAATCTGCGATTCAGGTCGAGAATCGGTCTTGGCCTCGACATCGACAGGCTCAGAAGCCTGGACCTCAAGACCTTGCTTTGAGCTGAAAGTCTGATTCAGTGTGTAAGCCTTGGTCAGGAGACTAAAAACCAGACCCAACACTGCCACACCACACATCACAGCCCAAACGACCGACAGCGCCTTAGCGTAAAGATCCTCAATCAATCGCCTCTCGTCCGAGCCGACAGGCAGTGACTTGATATACTGTACCAAGCTCGACGCATCTTGTGCAAAGTCTTGCGCCGTTTTGCCAAGTTCGACGTGATCTTGGAATTCAGACTTGATCCGGTTTTGAAAAACCACGCCCCCGATAGCAACACCAACAGCCTGTCCCAGAACCCGGAAGAATGCAGTCATGGTAACCGAAATCGATAGGTATTTCGTGTTGGCGGCGGCCTGCACGGCTAGCATCACCGATGGATATAGAATGCCCAGCCCGATGCCCGGAACTAGGTTGAGAAAGACCCATTTCGCGATGCTCGTGTGCGCATCTAGAAGGTAAAGTATTCCTAACCCCAGGGCGGATATCGGCCACCCAGACCACAGGGCCCAGCGATAACTGCCGGTTTTGGCAGATATGATGCCCACAGTCACGGATATCGGAGCGACTGTGAGGGACTCGGGGAAGACCGAAACGCCTGCGATGACGGGGCTGTATCCCAAGGCGCCTTCGTAGTAAAGGGGCAAGTAGTAGACGACAGACCACATGATGACACCGTGAAGGAAACATCCAATGTAGTTTGCCGAAACAGTCCGGTTGTTGAAGATGACAATAGGCACGAGAGGCTGCGAAGCCACCATGCTCTCGTATATCGCGAAGCCAGCTAGGCCCGCGACGCCGAGGATCAGTGGTACCAACGTATGCCATGAGCTCCATTCATACATGATACCGCCCCAGGTCAGCGGGATAAGGAAAGAAGTCAACGAAGCGACAAATAGAGCACATCCAACATAGTCGACTTTGGCGAGACTCTCCCGTAACGGGACCGATTCCCTCTTCAGCCTCAGGAAAATAGGTACCAGCACCAACCCCAGACCACAGAAAGGGAGGTTGATCCAGAAGATCCACCGCCATGAAGCCGATGACTGAGTGAAGCCGCCTCCAATGAGAGGCCCCGTGACTGTCCCCAATGCCCAAGTCCCAGAGCGGATACTGAACCACTTGCCTCGCTCTTTGAGGGGAATGAGATCGGCAATGAGCACCTCGGTCAAGGCAATGATGCCGCCTCCGCCGACGCCTTGGATCGACCGACCGACCAGCATCTGAGGGAACGCGTGTGAAAGGCCAGCGGTGATCGACCCGGCCGTGAAGGCGACGACAGCCGTCCAAAGAGCAAATTTTCGCCCGAAGATATCGGAAGATAAAGAAAACAGAGGCTGGCACACGCAAGATGCGACCAGGAATGAAGTTCCCGCCCAGAAGGCCTCTGTAGCGGTTCCACCGAGATCATTGGAGATAGTCTAAACAAACATCAGCGTAGAAGTCGTCTCGTCTTGCAACATATACTCACTGGGAGAGAAACTGATATGGATGTGGCATCCAAAGCAGCAACAAAGTTCAACAACCCCACCACTGCAAAGATACACTTGAGCTGCCAGTTTGGACGGAAAACGTCCCCAGAATTATCGTGTACGTCGATCGTCATGATGACTTTCAAGGCCTTTCACACAGGATCTGCGCACCCGGTTGCTCTATGGAGATGAAGGCCTGGATACACTTATATATTACCCAAGCTGTACAGTCGCCTATCTATTCCTTCGGCATGACCTACTTTGTGATTCATCGTCATCTTACTCATGAAAGGGCATCACCGCAAAACATGGGCGTAGGAGGCTGTCTTACTAAAACCAAAGCAATACTGATTTGAGGAGCTCGGCTGGCGCATCTCTAGTATCATCAGTGGAATTGATCGTCTATCTAGATCGGGGTGTGTGCCAGCCTTGCCGAAAGAGGCAAAGGTAAAAAGAACAAGTAGACCCGCTATCAATCCATGTCAGCTCGCCTTTGCTTCTCATCTATAATTAGCTTTCATTCGGCTGAAACCCTCGAGCCCTAATAGGAACAACCATGGAACCAGAACGCATCTAGAATAAATGAACAAGCTTTCTCACGCTGCAAGATTTCCACTTCGAACAGTGCGAAACGGCCATCTCCGTTAAACTGCCACATCACAAAGCGCCAGCTCCGCTCCTTACCTCGCAGCCCGATTCAGGCTAAAGGACTCGGCAGACACAGAGGCAGTTTGCACTCCGTGTAACGCCCATGAAAGAATCCAACACATTAGCGGCTATAGTAGCCCAGATGCACTAGCCAATCGGGAGCAGCCGCGAAACAGCACCAACTTGCAGCCCAGTGGTCCGAGAGGCTTAAAAGCGGACGCGGCGACCTTTCATTGGCGGGTCGTCGGGATCTCCTCTGTTCGTTAGAATAATGCAGCTCAGGCGCGAAATAGGCCGTTTGGCTGTGGCTTGCGCAGAATGATTTGGATGTGGAATCGGCATCGCCGGTGGTGTCAGCCATGAAGCTTTCTTTTCATGTTGGTTGTTTGGTTCGCTTTTATTTCATGCTTGAACGCGCGCGCTTTGATGTGTGAAACAGCCTGGTGTTGGTGTTGGGGAGGGGTCAGAGACAAACCTGGTATGGCAATAACAAGCGATGTTGTATCTCGGGGTTTGCTGAAATTTAGCCACGCCAAGTGTTTGTACTACATACACGGTTCTTAAGCCGAGTACCCTGGACAACTAACTCAATTGCCTATGAGCTGTGGGACTATATAGCATGGCGGATTTTACTATTAAAGGGTTTCATCATCTATTGAATCAATTGACTAACTCTTTGGATACAACTTGTCTTGGAACGCAGAATAAACCCCCACGCTGCCAAAGGTCAAGGAACCCAAGGTATGGATGAAGTAAAACATCAGAGAAGCGCCATACACACTCCCTGGAATCATCGATGAACACAGCAGACCATCCAGGTCAGCAGAAAGGAGATAAAAGAACATAAAAACTTGCAGGCAATGAAAACCGTTTGCAAGAAAAAAGCAGATAAGAACCAACCAATACAGCAGTGAGATCTCGAAAAAGTTGCATGTGAGATTAAAAAAGAAAACGAAAAAAAACAAAACGCAAAAGCACAAGGGAGGAAGAAACAGAGCTTGTGAAAAGACAAGCAATGGATCATATCCTAATTGGATAACTTTGTTTCCCGCCCTGCCATAACGCCGTCCGAGTGATGAAGCCGGGTATATCCAGCACCGTGATGCAACATGTACTGAGAATGAAAAAAAAGAGATCAGGGGGAGTCAAGTTCCGTTCCTTCCAGAATGCAGATGCGGAACTTATCACCCCAAGTTAATATAGGCAATATTGGGGTTTTCATCGAAATTAAAAAAGCAGCTTTTGGTGGATCGGAAATGATCATAGAACGCATTTCATCATCTGGCCCCAATGCCAAACATGCCTACCCCATAGCTCCCACTTCTTTCGGACATGGGGGTTGACACCTTAGCAACATGGTCCTAGGTTCTATGGTCAGTATCAACGACCAAACCCACCTAAGTCTGCGCACATACCTTCTTGCGTTTCTTCTTCCCGGTCCCCTCGCCGTTCGAGTAGAATCCGGGGTCATCATCATCATCCACAAACCCTTCACCGTAGCCGGCAAAGCTGTTGTCATCGTAATGTCTCTTGCGTCCTCTGCTAGGCCGGGGCCGCTCTGCATCCTGTGATCGTGGGGATGTGGCATAGTTCTGAGCAGAAGGACGGCCACTCGTAGCCGGGGCAACCTTTCTGCTAGTCTCGCCGGGTGCAACGTGTTTGGCAGGCTTTTCATGGCCAAGAATGTCCTCCCAAAAGTCGTTGTTGCGGACTGGCCCGGGCTCCATTTTCATGGCCTTTGCCTGAAGCTCTTGTAGCGCCGAGTCCATGTCCGGAACCTTGATCGTCTTGCCATGCACCTTCTGGTTCTGCCACTCCTCTTCGGGCCACATGGTCAAGTGTCGCAGACTGCCAGGTTGGCCAGGTTCCTGCTTGATGGACTTGTTCCGGCCTGCGAGTCCCAAGCCTTTCAGCTTTCCTTCGTATGATTTCCTGAGCCGATTGATCTTTTCACCCGTGACGGGATCCATGCGGGCTACCGAGTGTGCGACTGAACCTAAACCATAGAGGGAGACGAGATCCACCGATGGATCTGGACCAGTGACAATCGGAGCTGTCGAGGGTAAAAAACGCAGTGTTAACAACTTTAGTTCACAACAGTATACAAAACCAGTGAATTCACAAAGCTGCCCTCGGGAGGACATCATTTTGGGGAGATCTTACAGCTCTTGCAAAGGTGAAAAGCCGAGGTGAGCTCTTTCTGAAGAGACTCGAGGTCAAGATTGCTGGTAGTATCGGCCCGACGAGTAGGCTCGGTATCCAAATCCATAGCATCGGGGTCTACCGAGTGTTGACCCTGCCCGGTGGCAAAATCAAAAGTTCTTCCATCTGTCTGCCGATCGTGATCGGTGCGTCTGTGTTCTGTTGTTTGTTGTGGGTTGATGGGACCCGCTCCCAGATTTTCTCCCATGTTCAAAGATTTTCTCCCGTTTTCGGTATCCTCCGCTGAAGTCGCATTCAAAGGCTGACCACTAACACTACTCGCAGGTGTGGGGAATGAGTTGGTTGTGCTCATTGTGGGTTGTTGGGAGACTTGAGTGGACATCGGCGCAGAGGATGGGGGGAGGAGGTGTGAGGAGGTTGTTGGACCGTCGCCTGATTCGGTGGTGTATGCGAGGATGTGAAGTCGGCGGCATGACTTGGATCGCTAACCGACATCAACGGAGGGGATGTCGGAGTTTGAGGGATGTGTTCCGAGAAAATGGGAAGCCGATGGTTCTCTTTCAGAGACCCGGCGGCCGGAGAGGAAGGTGAAGGAGGTCTTGCTTGGAAAGAGGTAGAGTGAGTGCGATCAGACATGAGAGCCCGAGTAAGAGTTCAGCATGCAGGGATGTATTGAACCAGAGCGGCTCTGGATCCGGAATCGCAAACTTTCTATCGATACCACCGGCCTGGAGTGAGAGAGGGGGTCCCGGTCGACGATCGACGGTCGCTCAAGCGGACGAACAGGTCGTGTAGCGGCCGACCTAGATCATCTGCATTCCAGGAAATTATATTGTATCCCAAGGCGGGTGGTGCGGATTGGGGTGGCTGATGGGTGGCTGTGGTGAGAGGAAGATGGGGATGGACGATCCTGTAGTCACAGACAGAGACGAGATGACGGCGAATTGAGCCCAGCACGTGACCGGCTCTTGGCGCTCAGTACTTCTTTATCTGGCGCCCGCATATACAATAAGTTCACGGATTGATTCAAGGATATTGAGCTATTTGTTTTTTTGTTTCACTTGGTATTTTCTTATACATTATTATATTCTAACAATAGACTGACCTGAAATATTGATCAACAACACTCAATAGGGAATAGCGGTCAATAACTCGAAATAAATCATAGCTCTTGATAAGTATCTCACAATACCATTCATTACTGTCACTACGCATAGTGTTACCCATAATATTACCCATGTAGGTGCAAGCGCCCTCGGATGTGCAGTGCGGCGGATTATCTGCATCCCGGCCTACGCCCACCAAGCAGAAATTTAAAACTAAAAGTGGTATCTCTTGCTATTGGAAAACTAATCGCCGAAAAAAACAAAGTCAGGTGGTCTAAGGTGCATTTCCTTAGCATTGGCTACCACCAGCCCAGTTGGTAACATGGCCCATCATCAAAGATGAGTGTTAGAAGATGGTTCAGTCCAAAACAAAATGATATATTAAACTCCACACATCTCGCCAGAGCTCGTTATCATGACTGATACCAAGCGTGATATTCATTTACCAGCTGGTCAGATACATCAGGTATATTGTGCTCCAGGGAGGCCAAAAGCTCAATCTGTTCTTGCTGACTGAGTGTGCGTTCGCGCCATGAAGGCACCGGGAATGGCTCGTTAAAGTATTGAGAGTACTGGTCTCCAATCGAGGTAGTCCAGTTCATGGGGTCGACGGTTGCATCGACGTACGCCAGATGGCCCGCAGTTGTAGAGGCAAGCGAGAAGTTGGGATCCCAGCCTTGCAGACCGGGAACAACGGAGGGTATCGTGTTATATGGGGTATTGGGATCGATTGATACATCCGGATAAAGGGAGGTTGGAGCACTGTAAGCTGGTGGTGCATACCGTGGTGCCGAATTCTGGCCTGCAGGTGGTTGTTGCATATCGAAAGCAGAAGATGCGGGTGGGTGGTGGGGTTGTTGTTTGAATGGAGCAGGGGCCGCTGCGAGGGCCGCTGCGGGAGGAGTTGATTCTTGTGTGTAAGCTGGATCAGCAGATTGCCCTCTGGAGTAGGTCCCGCTAGAGGCAGTGTCGCCAATTGATACGTTTCCGCCACGGTGGTTGTGGGAATAATAAGAAGCAGTCGTGCTACTTGACGGACTGGACATGGCTGGAGGGGTCAACCCCGTTGAGGAGGTCGGTGTCGGATGGTTGGATGGTGAATGCACGACAAACGATTCTTCGGTGGAATAAGCCTTCAAGCATGCGGCAACGAGGCGCTTGTAGAGAAGCAGGGCGGATTGAACGCCAGGCCATCGTTCGGCGGAAAATACAATCACTTCCAGGGCCATATCTAAATGACCTTGGACTTCCTCAATGCTGTGCTCCTTTCTGATTTCGGGATACGATAGAGTCCAGAGCACAGTGTTCAAAGCCATGAAAAGGGCTTGCACAAACACCCATGTTAGATCGACAGATCCAGTGACCATCTGCTCTTTATGCATGGCGATGTTGAAAATCGCCGCTTCGTAGCACGTTTTCGCAGCCTCAACAGATGGTTCAGGGACTTGAGGCGATGGACGGTACATTAGAATAACGATCGTGTTTCGTCTTCCTTGGAACCTGTAAGGAAAAGGATTTGGTCAGCATGTATCCTCGAGAGAGAAAAAATAGTTTGAAAACATACCACTTCACATTCAATCCACTGCCATCGTCGTTCTTCGGACATGTAGACATCCAGTGATCGATTTTGGCCAACATTTGTGAAAACCATGGATCTTGATCATTGACCGGGGTCTCTCTTCTGTTCAAGTAGAGTGTTCGCCTGGCCTCCAATTGCAGCAGTCGCATTTTGAAAAAGTGGACTGCAATACATTTTGCCAAAACGGGTTTCGCACCTGGAGTGACACCCTCAGCGGTAATGTATCGGTCGTCCACCAACTCGAAGAACTTCACATTAAAATGATTGTGGCTGACAGCATAGCTATTACAACGGCCGAGACTGTGAGAAAGCCCCAACTCCATGGAAATAACAATCCAAAACAACCTTCGGCGCATATCGATCTCCAACGAATTCAGGGGTTTTCCACAAGGTGATTTGGTCACTGTGGCTTCTTCGGTCAATCCCAAGTCCTGGCAGAGTTTGGCGGCCGTCCCGACGACCCAGTATGCAGCGGTGCGAGTGGGTGTCAACATTGAGTATGAGGCGATCAGTACGAGACATTGTAAAGCCCTGATATCCATCCGTTTCAACGTGGGCTCCAAGTATGGCAAGGCGGCAAGATAATAGCTATCGGCAAGACCAGCATATTCCGTGCTCATCTTTTGCATGCTAATGGCGATGACCATCCGTAGCTGAAAATTTTGGCAGGGGTCGGTGGAGCCATTGAAGACCTCCTCGACCTCTTGTCGAAACGTGGGCTCGTGTAATGTTGGAAGCAATGCTTGTGATTTGGCCACAAAGAGATCAATCAACTTATAGGTCAAGGCTTGTGGGGGTAATTCGGGCTGTGGAATTGAGCTGATCATGGGGTAGATTTTGGATGTCGGTTTTGAATCTTCCTGAGCAAAGGCGTCTTTGATCTCTTGGGCGGAGAATTCTGGAACCACATCTTTGATACTTTTGGAGTCAGTATTTTGCTTGGCCATCTCCATGACCAAACGGGTCATGGCAATTCCACTGGAGGAACCGAGATATCGCGCCTCGTCATTCTCCTTGAATCGGATGCGTCCGGCGCCCCGCACCATCAGCTCCGCATCGGCGGCATGTTGTATCTCCTTCTCGGCCTCGGCGAGCTTTCGTTCCAGCGCTCGAGCTTTTTCTCTAAGTGTCACGATGTAGGTGCGTGGTATGGTCGAATCTCGGGTTGAGTCGTAATACACACACTTGGCGTTGCTTCGTTCGCAGGGTGCACATCGTGGAATTCCAGGGTCGCACTTGGATTTTCGCTATACGGAACGGAAGGTGGGTCAGTTCCTGACGGCAAAATAATAACAATAAAGGGCCATGAGTTAGGGCAAGAAAAACCCGAGATCGAGATCGCGGGGTGAGAATATGAGGGGTCATACCTGTCTACATCTTGTACAGGCGGTTAATGTGTGAGCAATGCGACCGTCTGGAGGCTCCAAAGAGTGTAATTCCGGCGATTTGAGCCCTGAATAATCCGGGCTCGGGGTCATGACGCCGAAGAATTGTAATCAAAAGAATATTAAAAAAGGTCAAAAAAAAAAGGTCCAACGGGTTGGAGACCCGTTATACGTGATTTTCCGATCGAACGGAGATAAGAATTTTGGAGACAGTCGACATGGTCCTGAGGCTCTCTCTCTCTCTCCTCTCTGTATCAAGGGGGAATTCCGATCAAAGAATCATGAAACTGGGTATGGGACCACAACCAAACGTGATATAAGAGGGGCCTCGGTCCAGATCTGGATCGACGCGCCCTCGCAGAGACTTTGGAAGCGACGGGTCTCCGCGTTGGAGAAAGGTAAGAAGTGGATATCGAGGGTACAGAGGTAGCTGAAAGCTCGGGAAAACGTAAAAACGATAAAAAAAAACGTCCGATAATTTGTGGTTTTGGAGAATTTGACAGGATTCAACACACAAGAAATACCCTTGGAAGTAGTAAAATTATTAGAAGAGTGAGTACAACTGTACTGTTCCAGCGAGTCTATGTCCGTGCGGTTCGGAAGATCTGCCCAATTGTTCTTCGGTTAAAGGGAGACAATTCGTAACGAGTCATCACTTATTCCTTTTTCCTTTTCAACGTCTTTTTATTTTTTTCCCTTAGCGCCTAAGGCTTATCATTCTTTTGTTTCCTTTTTTTGAATTAATATCGCCCCGGCAAATACGAAGTAGTAGTCTCTAAAATCTTCAGCTCATGCAGGTGGTTGTTTAAGCTTGTTACCTGATTACCTTAATATATATCCTTGAGAAAGAGGTAGAGTCATGTGAGTTATTCGGGATTTTGTGGTGGCCGGTGCTCAATCCCGTGGGGGATTGACGCAGGGGCCATTGAATTCAAACTGATTGTTTTCGTGTTAGTATAATGAGCCATGTCCGTCATTGCCACCACCTTCTTGGATAATCCCTTGTTGAAGGTGAGTCGTCCAGTGGCCGCATGCTCAAGATGTCGAACTGCAAAGATCAAATGTGATGGCAAGCTCCCCGCCTGTTCCGCTTGTGAGAGGGTCGGGAAGGCTAGCACTTGCTCCGGGGCAAGTGATGAGTTCGCCAAGGGAAAGGAAAGGAGCTATGTCGCGTCATTGGAGGGATATTGTGAGAAACTCGAAAAGAAGATCAGTCAAATGCGAGCTCGTTCCACGTCGCTGTCCGCCGAAGGCAATGGGGTCGCTCGAGAGATGTCAATCACCTCCATTTCAAACGACAGTCCATTGGGCCCCGCGCATCGCAAAGAGGTTTCGGACATAGATGACCTAGTTGGTGATTTTGGTTTCTTGTAGGTCACTGACTCGTTTATTCCTTGGCCCTCTCATTCATTCCCATAACCCTTATTGACAATCAGCCTTCAGGTCGGTTAATGCAACTTCGCGAGACTTCCACGGCATCACCTCCAATACCTCCTTCGCCAATCTCCTCCTCTCAGTCGCTCTGGTCGACTCTCCCCAACCGCCATCTCCTTATTCACTCCCCGCTCGCCATGAAGCTACCCCGCTATTACAACATTACTTCGATAATGTCTTTGTCCAACTGCCATTCTTCGTTGAAACAAGTTTTTGGACCTCGGTGGATGCTGTCTATCAGTCAGGCGGCCGGTTCGCCAAACCTTTCGACCACTGGATGCTCCGCATGGTGCTCGCCATTGCCTCGGCATCCGTTTCATACCAGAACAATGATAAGAATCACCAAAAGGCGCGAGCTCTGGTGACGGAGGCTTTGACATATGCCGAAGAAGTTCTCCGTCCTGGTTCAATCTCTGGCATTCAGGCTATCCTGTTTCTGGCTCAATATTCCTTCGTCGACCCAGCTCGCTTCCGTAGTTGGTATTTGGTCGGAATGGCTGTAAAAGTCGCCATCGACCTGGGCTTACACCAAGATCCTCCCGCAGAGGTTTCGACTAATGCTGATCGACTGGACATCCGCCGGCGTGTGTTCCATTGCATTTATTGTCTAGACAGGTTCGTTCCCTTTTCTCTCCAAAGTTCTGTATGTCTTGCTAATGGTCTGGCCTAGGGGATTGAGTTCTACCATGCAGAGAACCTTTTCATTCTCCGATGCATCTGTACATGTTGCATTGCCATCGGTCACAACATCACCAGGGGCCCCCATGGATCAGAGTCACATCTTCCTACGCAGTCCAGCACCTGCTTTGCATATCGTGAAAATTCGGCAGATTCTGTCCGTGGGCTACCAAGAAATGCATTACAGTGGGCGCGATCCATCCCCGCAGCCTCTGGTCCTGATATGGACTCTGTGCTGGCGAGCACGGGAATGGTTTCACGAATGCCCCACGAATGCCCCCACCCACTTCTCTCTCCTATACCGACTTGAATTATTGTACACCATCATCATCCTCCTATCTCCTTCGCATCGATACCCAACGCTCCATGCCTACAACAAAGCTCTCCTCTTTGACCGCTGCATGGATTATATCAGCCAGATTCACCAGGTCCTGGAAAATCCCAGTGCCCTCCCGTTCCTAACATACCTCGACATCCAACGCGTCCACCAAGTAGGCCGACTGTTTGTGAATGTCCTGTCCGAGAATTATGACCAACTTATCAGCGCTGCTGTCCCCGCGCCCCCTCACGTCCCGGCCGGGACTCCGGATCCACCTGTACTGGCTGACGAGGATCTGTTCAACTGTCACGCACGTGCCATCCGTTGTCTCTCCTACATTCGCGATTTGCTCACGTTCTGTGCCCGGAAATGGGATCTCCACGGGCCGCTGGAACAATTCGAGAATGAGTCTTCCTCTTTGGGCAAGACCCTCCTGGATGGCTCGATGAGGTACATGTCGGAACAAGGGATATACACTCAAGACCCGTCATCGGGGATGCCGCTGGTCGGCGATGTATACTCAGGATATCATTATGCCGTGTAGACGGCATGGGAATGGGAAAGGCTATGAGCGTCATGGATTATGGATTTAGTGAAATACCCCTGCACATGCTGCGTCTGATGAATAATATACTTACTGCGAATCAACTATTATAGCAAAGTACACGCTTGCATATATATGTATCAGCTGCATTCTTTGGCTCTCATCCAAGTTAGATACAATGCTGACTTCCGGTGAAGTGGTCAACTAAACCTAAATCTTCATTAAAGTCAACACTGAGGCTATGCAAGTAATGTGGCAAATTCACCACTTAACACCCCACAGGTACTGCATCCACTACTGCAGGGTCACATTTTAGTACCTTTGGATTGAGACATTTCCACCTTGTACCTACTCAGCAATATGGTTCGTTCCCGTTGCTGTACAACATGTACAATTGTGATTTGTTGAGCTCTATCTACAGTATGCAAGAGAAGGCAAGAGAAGGCGAACTATTTCAAGTTCTGCTTATATCAAAACTAACTACATATGTTACACATCAAGTCTGGCTTCTTGAATTACTTATTATTCAACGCATATCAGTAATTGATGCAGACAATGTGCAATGTTGTAGCACTGATACGCTGATTCTTCTTGACTCATCTCGCTCATGCCAAAGAGCCACCATGTTCTGTTGTATTGACCCACTATATCGTAGACCAGAGGCGAAAGAGCACAATGCTCATTCAGAGTTTTAGAATCAATACGAGTCCCAGGACACCCACAACTTGGCGATGGATCTGGCTCCGCCATATATGTAATAAAGTTTGAAGCAAGGATGCATCTCGGCAGTTCTACAATTTGTAATAGTTAATCTCGGCGCTGAAATATCTAGGCTCTCATGCAGCGTACCTTTGTTGCAGCAATTGTGGCCGATTATCCCATACATTGTACCACGGCGGTCGACTGAATCTACCTGGGAGCCAGGAAAAGCTGACTTTTTGTCCAAAGTCAATAATCAAAACGCGGGAGTTATCATAACACGATGGCGCCCTCGTTGTCAGCCAATGACATCTCGATAGGATCTAGTAATCTCCCTCGGAAGATAGGAACACGAGCTTCGTTTCCTAAGCCTCTGTTGTGATCCTGGCGGGGTGCACGAGCCTCCTGGTTGTACATTGCAACTACATTTTATATTGTAGGGTTGTGAGGCATACAGTAATATCTCTACTTGCCACGAGACCACTTTATGGAGATCTCATTATATAATTTGCTCCAACTTGAACAATACAGCCATGCATGCATAATGCACAAAATGTACAACAAAACGTATAATAACTATCTCACCCACAATGAAAAATTCAAATAGTGACCCATACCAATCTCTCATTTCATTTGTCCCAGCAGGCTAGCTACACGTGTACCCAGATAATCCGATGTACTACCGGCGTTTCCGTATGGTATGGCCCGGTCGACGATCCCTACTTTGTCCAACGGATTTTGGCATATCCAAGTCCACACGGCACGTTGTAAGAATGGGTCAACAACGACTGTGACCTGGGGGCCGTTCGAGACTTTGGGGCCTAGGTTTGCATGTGTAAACAGTCAAATTTCCGAAGTCTCGACCGACAAGAGCAGTATCTAGATAGATGGATTATTTTTCTTGGTACTGGGCCGTAGCAATATATCCCTCATCGAGCTAAGGAGCACCACAGTAAACAAGGACCGGCAAACACCTTGCTGGTTGATATTGCAGACTATGTCATGCAAACTTTGTCATGCCCAACCCATGGACCCTGGATGCATCAGCCAGGGACCATCTTCGTTATAGGGTTCGATGGGACCGAGACCGAACCGAGTCAGCACAGTTGATCACGTCCGCACCTCCGTCGGGTGAATCCACTCTGGTCAGCAAAATACGAGCCCATGGACGGTGCCGACACGGGATCAGTAGGTAGCCTTGTGACATTCTAGGCAATTCTATGAGCTTTAAGTAATGTTTGTATCGCACAACGCTATGTTGTGAAGAACTCAGACTGTGATTTTTACAATATCGAATCGTTAAGACAGTTGTCGGCCAACTACAGATGAGCGGTCAAACGGAATATATGTTGTACAACATTGTATTATTCCGGCCTCACCTGTGAGATGTACCGTGTACGATAACTATAATTACGCAAGGCACCTTGTTTTGCAGCTCAGTCGCCGCATGCAACAAACAGTAATGTAAGGCTCTTTCGACCGCGGGAATTGACCCGAAAAGATCTTTCTCATTACCAAGTGGATAGGCTAAATTTGCCCTTTACTTGATGTGGATATAGTAGTGGGCGGTGCCTGATTTACCAAATCCAGAGCTAGGTGGATCTAGCAGCAGATCGACACGGGTCAAATCTTTATGAGCCACTCACTGTATTGCAAATTTGAATCGGGAACCATTCGAAAGTTCCATCGGCAAGGCGTGACAAAGCTTGGGAATCCATCATCGTTCCAAAATTGGGCAGAGATCTGTTATATTACATTGTATATTGAGGGACTAGGGTAAGAAACCATTGTATCGTTCGCCTCCGATTTGGGTACCGCGCGTACCAAGTACAATAGTGTACAATATCATCACATGCATGGTGCATAGCTGCCCACTGTACGGAGTAGTGGGAACATACCTATGGACTACAATTATATCGTAAGATTAAGACGGCAATAGATCAAGTCAAAAAAAGCAATGTTGGCCCATGGCGAGGGGAGGTGAAATAGTGATAGCCCTCTTTGGGCGCGGTAGAAGATCCACGGAGAATGGCCGAAGTCCACCCGCCCAGCAACGGAGCCTCTGTTTTGACCGCAACGAGCAAGGGAAATACACTGTATTATTTGACGTGTACGTTGTACATACAAGATGCATTCAAATGGATGTATCATAAAGATGACCTGAGCTAATTAGACGGCTCCCACACCTCGCATATATAAGTATCCTGGTAATAGTACCTGCATATTCTGTTTTCCATGTTGCAGCTATATGATAGCCGACCAAAGATCCCGGACTTTCCGGCAGAGTAAAACCAAGCCCAAATTGGCAGATTTGGAAATGATGTAAGTGGCCCTTAAGCTTTTGGTAACACGATCTTGGATTTCAAGTCCCGACGGTGGCTGACATTAGGGAGCTATAGCGGATGAATCCGACCAGGTTAAGTTTGATCATGGTGCTAATCGATGCCGATCTACCAATAAGACCTGTAAATGTGGCCATTGAGATGTGTCCAAAAGGAGAGTGGAGCTTTAATATGGGGTATCAGGGAAGGAAAGGGGGTCCCTAAAAAGTTTACTAAGATGCTTCTGAGCTGCTAGGGGACAATAAAGTCCCTATGCTACCCACATGGCGGTACTCAAGTGGGGGTTGGTCGTTAAGGGCGTAGGTTGATTGGTGAAATATTTCCGCACTATTTGATTTGAGAGCCCATCTGATGAACCCTTTCGGTAGTTTAATTGTTCATCCTCCCCTGAGAGTGCTATTATTCTGTAGATCATTTGCTATTCTTTGCGGAGTTCCCACTGTAATTTCTCCGATAAAAATATAACAGAGAAAACTAGTAATAATTAGGAATGGCGAAATAAATAATGGAGAAACGCGCGGTAACTATCCCTACCATAAGAATAAAAGGAAGATACAATGTAAATCAAAAGTGGATTATAGCACGGGGGGAGGCTGTCATGAGCGTTTTGAAACGACTGACATGTTTAACAGAAAACCCAGCCCTGGAGATCTTAGAGATTCCCTTAGAAAAACAAATTTTATGGTTAATTCGGTGTTATCTCTATAGCGCCACGGAGCTGCTCGGGGCACCTATCGATATGGGCTAACACTCTTTTGGCCTAGGACACGATCTATGGTAAAGTAAACATCGATTTGCCCTAAACATCAGCCTGCAGATCTTAATTTGAACAACTCACAGCCGGTGTTGTCCGGATTTACTTTCCGAGATTTAATCATAACATAGAATAGTACTTCGTACCAGTGTTCGATGATCAGTTCATTTGATGTGAGAATCTGCTCCTAGGGCTAACACCAGAAACCTAAGTATATTGATATAACATCCAGTCAATGAATGAAAATCCCGGAGTCACGGGTTGAAGCCCCATATTCTCAGTTCTGGACGTTTTCCACGCAGTGGCGTTAGATGGAGAAGTAGTTCTCCACTTGATATGGTTCTGTACAATATTGTACGCTGTAATACTGCGATTGTATTAACCCAACCATCGTGCCAAGTATGGAGCAGACCCGCCAGCTAGGATTCCACTAGGTATACCCCATCAGTAGACATGAAATTTTCCAACCGACAGGGGCAAGGGGTTAAACAAGATCGTACCTGTAGATCCTGACATCTGTATAAATAAGTCTTCCTGCTGCGGTCCCATCTGCCTTTTTCTTTTTCTCCTCAAGCCTCTCACTCCAGTCTTTCTTTAAACAAACTCCAGTCACTCTTTACAGTTTCTATATACCCTAATTCAAGATGAAGGCCTCATTCATTGCTGCCGTCGCCGCTCTGGCTGGCTCTGCTTTCGCTGCCCCCACCAACCCCATCGAGGGTCTCGTTAAGGGCCTCAAGATTGGCAACCTCGTTGAGGAGCTGCACCTCGACCAGCTCCCCGTTGTCTCCCAGATCGCCGATCTGCCCAAGGCTCTCTCCGGCTCCGCTACCTCCAGCGCTGCCGCCGCCTCCTCCAGCGTCCCCGCTGTCCAGAACGGCCACATTGTCCAGAACCTTGGTCCCCAGCTTGACAACATCCTGACCGTTGTCGGCCCCGATGCCACCACCCTGCTCATTGAGCTCTCCCCCGAGGTCACTGCCCTCGTCTCCGGCCTTGGCCTCCCTGGCCTCGGTGTTCCCCTCGGTTCCATTGTTGCCTCCGCCTCCGGTCTCGGTGGCCTCGTCACTGGCCTCGGCCCCGTCGTTGACGGTCTCGTCACCGTTGTCGGTGCTGATGTCGGTGCTCTCCTGATCAGCCTCTCCACCCCCGTTGCTGGCCTCGTTTCCGGTCTTGGTCTCCCCGCCGTCGGTGTCCCCGTCGGCACTGTCGTTGCTACTCTCGGAAAGAACCTCAAGCGCGGTGAGATCGTCCAGGACGTCGCCCCCAAGGTTAAGAGCACCCTGACCGTCACCGGTGCCAACGCCAAGCAGCTCCTCATTGAGCTCTCCCCTGAGGTCACTGCTCTCGTCTCCGGCCTCGGCCTCACCTCCATTGCTGGCCCCGTCGGCTCCATCGTCGCTGAGGCCTCCTCCGTTGGTGACCTCCTCAAGGACATCTCCGAGCCCCTCGAGACCCTCCTCCAGGTCATCGGCACTGACGGCAAGCACCTTCTCATCAAGTTGTCTCCCTCCGTTGTTGCCCTCGTTTCTGGCCTCGGTCTCCCCTCCGTCGGTACCCCCGTCGGCGCCGTTGTCGACACCGTTGCCAACAACGTCCTGTAAATTATTTACAGATTGTGATACCACACTCTAGATAAACAGTTTTGTTTATCGGAGAGCCATTCATGATATGCAGCGAAGGGTAGCGTTTTGGGACCCTTTTTTTTTCTCCTTACATTATTCGGCGCACATATCACAAGTGAAGGCGCCCTTTGTGCATAGAACCTTGAAGATATTTTTCGCCTTCCACACTCAACGTTGTTTTCTTCCTGGTCAATGAATGACATTATTCATTTCATGTAATATATTGTCATGAAAAGCTTTATAATCTAACTTAACGACTTACTTCACCTTCCATTGCACCTTCCACTTATCTTTCGTAGTCCCTCTTAAACTCCCTTCCATTTGAGCAAAAATTTCGGTTTCTTATCATGGCCACAAGCCCATGAGTATCTATCATGGCATCCTACATCGATTAGAGCCACTTCATTCGACGCATAGCCTACCGTAGGCTCTTTATCGTGGAAATAGCAGCAGTATCTCGAGTGTTGCGACCGGTCTCCGGAACCAAGCATTTACACTAAATTGGGTCCAATCGTTTATCCTGGCCATTACAGCCTTGCGATATCTTATATTAACCTGTATGTGCCAAGAGAGAATAATGAAACAAGGATAATGACAAGTAGATGAGTTCCCAGGCTAGTCAACTTTAGTTATGGGTCAATTGTCATGAATTGGGACCTCGGGAGTGAACACAGTACATGTAATACGTTTCCCAAATAAAATAGTGGTTCAACATAATTTTTCAAGGTTCTATATAAGCTTTCTTTGGTATAATTATGCTTCACATGATTTCAAGCCACTCAATGGAATTCAGTAAAGTTGGTGAAATAGTGACTTAGATATATAAATTTTTGAAGTTGAGCCGTGTGAGTTTTCGGTTGATTCAAGATCGATATATAATACTCCAGATGCTCAATTTCTATCGAAAAGCAATGGAATAAACCAACAACGTGGTTTTTGAGATATGACTTTGAGTATCTCACATTCAATTGTGTATTGAACTGCGCAGCTCGCTTGGGAAACACGTTATACTCTTTCCAAGGTTGTATTGTCAGTTCGTTTTGCAACTGGTGCTCGGAATATATTATGCAGTTCTGAAGGGTAGGAATTAATGGAAATTCTAAGCAAAGAAGAGCTAATTAACCAATAAGTTTCTCGACGGTGTTGGTCTCCTGTTCGCCGCCAGTATAATTGAACATATGTTCGGATCAAGACTCCCACGTGCACATAGCCAGGTGACTCTGTACCAAGACCGTTCCTGGAGTTTGAATCTCAGAAGGGCATCCAGCTTAATTGTCAAGCATTAGATGTACGATATATATGACTATTGTGGCAATACATCACAGCATTATCGAGGGAGCTCGGACGCTATTCCTGTTTAGGCAAGAGCGCACGAGCAGCGTGAATAGGACTAAATAGACACACATCAAAAGAAACGAATCGTTTCGATAAATTCGAAATCCTGTACTCCGTGTAGAACAGGACCTCAAGTACTCGGCAATTCTTGCCGAAAGAAATAAACACATGGGCGATGCTTAATCGTTTTGCCACCATGTGGCACATGTGGTCGCCACAACCTTAAGCACACGATGAGCAGCCATGGATCAAGTGAGTCAAATAGCTGCTCAGGTGATCAACGAGGCTCCGAAGTCGTCAAGAATGTGCCAGCTAACCATTCTCACACTAGCTCGCGGCCCAGAATGCAAGCCTGTAAGTAGCTTCCGGAAATAGAGTAGTGCAAGTAGATTAGTAAGTGAAAAATATAATCTCCCTTATCTCTTAATTCCCGGATAGCCGATCTCATTTTTAAGTGAACATGTACAAACTGTAGATCCCACATATATTCTAGAATTTGAGATCTATTACAGAGTACACCGTGTGTGTTTGCGTCATACGGAGTACTACGGAGTCTAAAAACTCCGTATTGTACTGCTAATTGTCAAATGCTTATCTTTTGGCCGTTAATGGAGAGGCTGGCAATAGCGTTTTCGAATCCAGATCTGGAGGGTGCAAGCGACCTATCAGCAGTTCATCCGAATCCGCACCATTGGGGTTTCAACAACTTTCTCCAGTTTAATTCTGATGGACTCACCAATAGTAATCATTCTAAATCGCTACATGAGGAAGGATCACTATCTTTGGCTTTTTCTCCGCCACCTCCTGTGCCTTTGCCTCGTATCTCTCCCCCCGACCGGTGCCTTCCTATACTTTTCTAGAACGCCAATCCCTCTCTGATCCTTGTTAGTTTTTGTTTCGCTTGTACATACCTTTCCTTAATCTAAACCCCCCCCTGATGTGTCCTCTTTAGTTGTATCTTGTCCTTTTTTTCTTGCTATTAGCAACTCACAACTCACGGCGATGTCCTCATGTCGAGCGCCGACTTCCATGGCAGCCACTTCAGCCTCGCTGATCGCTCCTCCAGTAATGGATTTGCGGAACGTACCATAGTCATCTGCCTCATAAGCATTGCCTGGTATAATGCCTTGGAATTGATCGTTCTGTGTTTCACCACCTTCAAGCGATATGGCGGGTGCTACTTCTGGTGCCTCCTCATCGCCTCCTTCAGCATCATCCCCTTTGGCCTGGGATACCTCCTCATTATCTTCAATATCTACACCAATCTGTTTCCGGTAGCGATGGAGCTCATCGCATGGGTGGGCATGGTAACCGGCCAATCCCTAGTTCTTTGGTCTCGATTGCATCTCGTCTGCCACAATCCTAGTGTCCTCCGCGCCACTCTCGTCATGATCATTGTCGACGCGATCATCCTTCACATCCCAGGCTCTGTCCTCGAACTCGGTAGCCACTCGAATAAATCCGCCCTCTTCACCACCGGGTTCAACATCTTCGAGCGCATCCAGTTGGTCGGCTTCTCCATACAAGAAATCATCCTCTCTGTCATCTACGCCTGGGAAGGCGTAAGACTCTTGAATCTCCGCCCAAGAGGCCACTATAGAGGCACGCTAGTCCAGCTCCTCATCGTCAACATTGCCATGATCCTCATGGACGCGGCCGTCATTGGAGCCCAGTATTCCGGCCTGTTTGACATCCACGTCACCCTCAAAGCATTGGTCTATAGCATCAAGCTCAAACTGGAATACGCGATCCTGGGCAAACTGGTAGTTATCACCGAAATGGGTGGCAGCAACTCGGCTCCAACCGACCTGTCGGAATTCGTGGATCTCTCTTTCCACAACAATGGCACGCCTCAGCTAGAGAGTGGCGCCCAGGCGAGTTTCCCAGATAACCCAGAATACGGAGGCCACACTCGTGTGCGAGTATCCTCGAAAGGATCATCCACCGATCCGCTAAGACGGAGTCTCTCCGCAATAGCAACGCCGAGTTCGAATAACTCGGAATTTTGACGACCTCACGTGGATGTAAATAACGACCTCTTTGAAATTTTCTTGTATATAGCGCAACCCAATACCTTTGATGCACATATCACTATCTTCCAATCAACGCTTGAAATGTCTCACCTTAGAAAGAGGGGAACCCAGCTTCCCCTCATCCCCGTATCAAGCACCGTCGGATCCCGCCGAGAGCGGCAATGCAAGCATCGTAAATAAACCCCAATGCACTCCCACCTACATCCATACTTATGTATAGAATAAACAAACCAAACTTCAAACCCAAACCCATCATAAACACCAGAATGACCAAGTCCCTCAACCCCCTGACAAGCCCTCAACTCACGGCGGCCGCCACAGCAGCCCTAGACCAACAAGCGCAAGCGCAAGACGTCCACAAAAAACGACCCTTCACCGCCATCCTCCTAGCACCAGACAACGAAACGATCCTGTTAAGCTCGAACTCCCTCTCGCACGTCCGGCACGCAGAAAGCGAACTTGCCCGCAACGCAGCAGACAACTATGACTGGGCCTACCTATCGCGCTGCACGCTCGTGTCGACCTGGGAGCCGTGCGCGATGTGCGCGGGCGCCATCTACTGGGCGCATATCGGGCGACTGGTGTATCTTGCTTCGGAGGCGGCGTTGCGCGAGGTTGTGGGGGAGGGCAATGAGGAGAATTTGACGCTGGATTTGCCTTGTCGGCGAGTTTTTGAGAAGGGGCAGTTTGCGGTTGAGGTTATCGGGCCCGTGGATGGGTGGGAGGAGAGGGTTGTTGCTGATAGTCGGCGGTATTGGGGGTAGCGTGAGTCTTGGTGAGTGTGTCTGTGTTAATGTTCAGTGTTGGCGTGTTTGTATAGAAAGAGGCATGTTGGGCCTGGAGCTTGATAGAGAGCAGGGTGGGGTGGCCCGTGTCCGTTCTAGAAGTATGCGAGATGTCTCGGCGGCCCTGCAAGGCATGGTATCATCATCAATAACCGGTAATTGACCGGTCAGGTTTCATGTTAGATTTGTTTCAGGCTCGTATTGGAGTTCGTTTGATGTCATCGATACTAGCTCTACTGCCACCACGTAGATCATCATTGTCGCGTGAGATGATATCTAGCAAAGTCAATTTCTCGACACGAGAACCTAAAAAAAATGGGTAGAAATGCGGGTCCATATATGGTCCCAGTTGTAGGATGAATTGAAGGGCCTGGAAAAGAGATCCCCCAGAGTTTCCCTTTTGGGAGAACGTTGAAGCGCACGTGTCTTTGGAATGTCCGAGGAAGATAATGGCGGGTGATCAGGTTCCAAACACATGGAACACGATATTGTATTGTTTGGAATGACAGTAGGTTTTCGATCACTATCAAGCTCGATCAGGAGTCAATACTCCGTACGGGGTAGAGCAGTGGGAACAAGTATGGAGACACTAAACTCGATTTAGCAAGGAATGGGAAGCACAGCCTCATAGCCACACCCCCTTGTTTCCTTTTTCGGCGAGGTGGCTAAGACCCAGAGCGAAAGCCACATACTGAGCTTGATTGAGCTTGACTGTGAGCTTCCTCTACTACTTGAAGAAAATTATAAAGCCAAGACTGAGTGACAATTTTGCATTGTGTTTACAACTAATAATAATAATTCGACATCAATAGCCTGCATGAAAATCCCGAAAGTCATTGCGCGTCCTATGTCATTTGGAAAAAAAAGTACATTCAATAGTTGACGTCAAGGTGAGCAGACTCTGATTTATCAAGATCCACACTTGATTGTGGACCATGGATGATGATGGAGCGCGTGTGCCAAGACTCTCGATCTCTCCAAGTTTGTAGATCTTACGATTTTTTTGGGCCACGGATGGAGTTGAATGGAGTTGGAAGCTGCAGCTAGTGCTTATGATACACCAGCCTTATAGATGGAGCTGAGAATCTGGAGCTTGAGACCTCATCATTATATACACGACATAAGCCATATTGATGGTTTCAATGAACCTGACTTTTCTGTTTCAAATCATATATGTAGTATTAAAACGGTCTAGGCTGGAAAGAATCCCGTGCAAAACAGGGAGCAGATTTCCGTATGCGTTGAAGAGAGTGCCACGACAGAATGACGTCAGTGGTCGATCATTTGTAGAGTTACAAGGTAGCTTCTCTTCTCTTTTCCCCCTTGGGCCTCGATATCCTTAGGTAAATTATTATTCCCTGGAAAGTTAGTACTGTAGTACCTGTTGTAACTATTGTAGTACCGAAATTGAATCCAGTAGGGATCACTCTCTGGTTAAGGTTAGCTCATGCTAATGGTACTATGATTTTTTCCCTTATATTCCGTCATCCCTTCCTTCGACTTTTCTCCAGACTTACCCATTTTTTCCTTCATTCCCAGTGATACCCCTTGTTTTGTATTGAGATCCCAGGAATAATTGCTAATACCCAGTATGTCACCCTTGTTTGTCCGCAATGCAAACTTTACACTAACATCAACTCAGTCCATACATAATACCTGTTTTACTATCTACACCTGACTCTCCTGATACAACTGATTCATCATGTCGAAGGCTGTGAATGTTCCCACTGATCCTAAGCAAAAGGAAAAGGTATGATGGAAGAAAAAAACAATGCGACAATCGAAGAAGCCAGACAGCTAACAAGGGACACTTCACCCATAGGATATTAACCAGAAGCTCCAATTGTTTGGTATCTATCATGGTAAGCCAAGCCCGAAATCACCGCATTGACCATCGTGCTAACTATTCGACAGCTTTTAAGAACAGCAAGCTCCCATCCGTTCGTCATCCCCTTCTCTACGCTCCTCTCACTGTACTAACCTGGTTTACGCGACCTACAGAACAAGCAATGCGACATTGCCTTGAACACTGCCTTGAACTCCAAAGCCCTCTCATCTCCCCACAAGGATCTCTCAGCCGATGGAAAAACTCTAGTGTCAGATCTGCGCAATGTTATCGATGCCGCCAAGAAAATGCTCTTGGTCAAGAACGAGGGTGAACTCCTTCAGGACTTCATCTGGCAGGCTCAGAAAATTACCACCGGTGATGCCAAGCGCCCAGACCTTCCAATTGATAAGGACGCTGGCAAGCAAGATGCCACCAAGGCTGCTGAGGGCCTGAAGACCCTGGGCACACTTATGATCACCAACGGAGAATTTCGCAAGCTCTGTAAGTTGAACCTGCTCATATGCGCTTTTGCGCGTAGTTTTCTAACAGCATGCAGTGAGCGATGCCGCGACTCTCGGAAGGGATATTGCGGCAGATGCTTCTCAGAAGGCTGCCAACCAGGTCCGACCCTCGGAGGAGGATCTCGCGCAGATCGACCAACCCGCTGAAGACAACGTGTGGCACGAGAAGCCGAACATCAACAAGGACGACTTGAAGTCCAAGTTGAAGCGTAATAAAGCTGTACGTGCTTGATATGCGTTCCTCCCAAAATGTACAATTGCTCACTAGTATTACAGGACGAGAGCATTGCCTCTGCCTCAATCGCCGAGAATCAGTCGGCTGTTGAATCTACTACATCATCAAAGAGCAAGACCAAGGAGTATGCTGAAAAGACTAAGGGCTACCTCTCCGACAAGATCCCTAAGGAGCGTCGCGAGCAGACCGTCTGGCGCCTGAAGAAGATGATCATTGAGATCCAGGGACATGCTGACTACCAGCAAGCCGTCGAGACCTTGCTGAGCATGGCCGAGCAGTACGCTGGTCACACCAAACATGTCTCCAAGCAGGGTGGTGCTGCTGCCCGTGATGTTGTCAAGACCGACAGTGTGCAGGCTGTCAAGCAGAACTTGCGCACTCTCATCGAGCGCTTCGCCAACAACACCTCCCTGGACAGCTTCTTCGAGTCGCTCAACACCATCTACCACGACGCTGAGAAGGACCCTGAGCTGCGTAACTGGTTCACCAACGTCGACAACTTGATTCGGTATGTCACCAACTATAAATGAATATCTTAACAAGAATGAGAACTGACAAAAGTATAGCAAATCTCTGCGTGAGCAGGGCTTCATCATGGAGGACGAGTGCAACCGCCAGTGGAACGAGCTCTACGACAAGGGTCGTTACCTCCTGCGTGAGCGCTACCGGGGACACTCTGACCGCATTGTCGATGAGGTCAAATTCCTGGCCGAGCAGTTCGAACGGGATCCCCAGAACACGGCCCTTGCCGAGGCCTTCCAGAAGCTGTTCAAGGATCTGGGCCACGACAGCAATGGCAAGGCCACCTTCAAGCCCGATCTTCTCAAGGATCTTCGTGACATCATCCTGCCCAGCATTTTCGAAAATGTTCGCTACGTACCGATTCCCCGTATCGAGGTGTCGGACCCTATGGTTGATGTTGTGGTCGAGAACCTCACCATTGAGAGCGACAACTTGATGCCCAACGTTGTGGAGTTCGGTAGCGACAACTACTTCCGCTGGGGCCGCAAGAAGATTTCCAACAAGCGCGACAACAAGATCATGATCGCCATGTCCGGTATCCAGGCTGATTTGCGTGATGTCAGCTACTACATCAAGAAGAAGGAGGGCTTCCCCTCTATCACTGACCGCGGTATCATGGACATTTTCCTCGGTGGTGAGGGTCTCAGCGTCAAAATCGCTGCCTCAACCGCCCAGAAGAATGACAAGGAGCACTTCGTCAAGTTGGACAAGGTTAACGTCAGCATCAAGAACATGGACATCAAGCTGAAGAAGTCCAGCCACAAGCTGCTCTTCAACACCTTCAAGCCTATGCTCTTCCGCGTCGTCCGCCCCGCCCTGCAGAAGGTTGTTGAGGGACAAATCCGTGAGGCGTTCAAGAAGGGCGACCTCTTCGCCAAGGACATCCACACCGAGGCCCAGCGTGCTCAGCAGGCTGCCCGGGAGGATCCCGAGAACGCCCCCTCGATCTTCGCCCGCTATTCCGACGCCATCCGTGCCCGCGCCCAGGCCAAGGCCAAGCAGGCCGAGGCTATCGCCAAGCGCGACATCAAGGTCCAGACCGTTATGACCCTTCACGACTCGATCTTCCCCGACATCGAGCTTCCCGGTGGCGTTTCCAGCAAGGCCACCGAGTACGCCGACCTCGCCGCCAAGGGCGACCGCTGGGAGTCCCCCATTTTCAGCCTCGGTGATGCCTCCGAGTCCACCGATATCCCCCCCGCAGGAAAGATCACCAACAAGCCCCACGGAGCCAGCACTAACGGTGCGGGTGCTGCCGGCGTTGCCGCTGCCGCTGGTTCTTCCAATGACGCCACAGCCGCCGCTGCCGGCATCGCCAGTCCTGTCAACGGTGCCCGCGGCTTCTCTGACGAGGTCGACAAGGCCTTCGTCAATGGCAAGACCCAGAACTTGGGCGACACCGTCAAGAACACCACTAACGGTTCCCACGTCACCAATGGAGCCAGCGGTATTCCCGCTGTCGGCACCCACGTCACCAACGGAGCCAGCGGTGTTCCCGCTGCCGGCACCACCGCTATCTAAATTGGACCATCGTGGTCAAAAACATGTTCTCATGACATTCATTCAACGTCATTTCCCTTTGTTGTTGTTTTCTGATTATTCGATTTTATGATGCTCTAAGGTTTTTGATTTTTCGTTACGATTTCCCCTTGTGCAGTCCGGACTTTTTTTTTTTTTGTACGAGTATCGGTTACGGTAGCCTAATACATAATGCCACCGCTGTTTGCGTTGATATACCATCCAGAGTAAACATGTAGATACTCATCGTCGGGGTCACAATAAGATATTTTAAGGTTACCCAGTCCCACGGAGCCAAAATAAGCTTAAATGTCATTCAATGTCGTCTATATATGAAAAAAGGACCCAAACCTCTCCACTGCACAATAGCTCAGGGAAGATGAATCTCCACACCTTGTCTTTTTTTCCATCTCGCTTTCGTATAAAATTTTCGTCACAAACCAAATCAGATCTCTACTTATCTACATCTGGTCAAAGTACTTCTGCCATCCCAGCTCGCGCATCTTAGCACCCTTCAACTCCATGTTCTCAGCACGAGCAGCCTCGGCGTAAGACTCCACCTTGCGCTGGATAGAGGGATCGAAAGCGCCGAGCACGCGGGCAGCGAGAAGAGCTGCGTTGATGCTGTTGTTGATGCCGACGGTTGCGACGGGGACGCCTGATTCATGTTAGATGTGGTCCAGATAAAGATAGGGAGGACGGGGGACGTGGATTGGGATATGAGTAGAGAATAGAGAATTAAACGTACCACGAGGCATCTGCACAATGCTGTATAGACTGTCGACGCCATCGAGCACGCTACCCTTAACCGGGACGCCGATGACGGGGAGAGCAGTGTGCGCAGCTGCCATTCCGGGGAGATGGGCGGCACCACCGGCAGCAGCGATGATGACCTTGATACCGCGTGAGGCAGCCTTGGCCGCATACTCGGCCATGTAGTCGGGTGTGCGGTGGGCGGAGGTAATTTCGACTTCAGGCTCGAGGCCGAAGTAGTCGCGCAGGAGCTTGAGGCCTGGGACCAAGGTCTTCAGGTCACTGTCGGAGCCCATGACGACGGCGATCGAGGGGGCGAGCTTGGAGGGGCCGGAGGGAGCAGCCTTGGTCTTGATATCGGGGCGTTGGGCGCGCATCTCATCGACGACATCGACGAGGGGTTGGATCATAGTCTCGGCCTCGTGCATTGATGCCGCAGTGACGGTGACATGGCCCATTTTGCGGCCAGGCTTGGCGTCACCCTTGCTGTAGAGGTGGATACTGGCGTTGGGGATGGAGAGGGCGGCTTCGGTGGCCTTGAGGTGGGAGTCGGGAGTTGCGCCGCCGATAATGTTGAGCATGATCGAGGGCTGAAGGAGCTCGAGGCTCTTAGGGGGAATTGGCAGGTCAAGAATGGCCCGAATGTGGCTGTCGAACTGGGACAGAGCGCAGCCTTCAATGGTCCAGTGGCCTGAGTTGTGAATGCGACTGGCGAGCTCACAAAGCATCAGGCTGTTGTCTTCCAGGAGGAACATCTCCACGCCGAAAGCGCCCTTGCCTTCAAAGGCGGAGACAGCCTTACGAGCGAGCGCTTGCGCTTGCTGGTTGATGACGTCGGGGACGTTGCGGGCTGGCGCGTACACCAGCTTGCATATTGAGTCCTCTTGGACGGTCTCGACGGTGGGGTAGGAGAGGACTTCATCCTTGGTCTTGATGACCATGACGGCGAGTTCCTATTACCGAGTTGTATTAGAAACCGACATCAACGCCAAAAGCAGGCCATGTACTAACCATCTTGAAGTAGGCCCATTTCTCGGCGTAGAGCGGGCGGTCCTTGAGAGCCTCAAGGGCCTCCGGGATGTCTGCCTTGGAGTTGACACGGAAGTTGCCTTGTATATTATAAGTATGACAGAACACCATCACGATAGCAGCCATGACTCACCACGTCCGTCATATGCCATAGTCTTCGACTTCAGCATCATCGGGTAGCCCAGCTGCTCGCCAATCTGTGCCAATTCCTCCGGTGTGTTGTTCTGCAACTCGCGGTGATCGGCCATGGGGATACCATACTTGCGGAGGTGCTCCTTCTGGTTGAACTTGTTCTGGATTGTCCGGATAGCCTGCCAGCTGGGCTCCACCCGCACCTTCGACGCAACTTCCTCGAGGGCATAGGTGTCGACGTGCTCAATCTCAGCGGTAATGACATCGCAGGTCTCAGCCAGCTTGCGTACGGATTCGCGCTCCTTGAAAGAGCCGGTCACATGGCCATCGTGGGCACTGATCTGCTTGGCGGGAGAGTTGTCGGCGTCCAGGACGTTGGCTTGAATGTTCAGTCGGTTGGCAGACTCGACGAGCATGCGGCCCAACTGGCCACCGCCGAGAATTCCGACCTTGGGTGAGTTCCACATGATGTCGGATCGAGGGGATAGATGAGTCAATTGATCGAAATATGCAAAAAGAAAGATCGACGGTGCCCCTCAGCTCCGAAAATTCGCGGAGAGTCACGTGAGGTTATCGATAAGCTCAGGCCAATCACCGTCGTCACCGCCCCAAATACCCCGTCGCAGCTCCAACTACCTCTGCTTTCTTATGCACAGCTGACTGGACAATGTCGTTGGGTGAGTTGATTATCGCTGTCGCACAATGGGCGTCACGTTCAATGTGATTTACTAACATCAGAAACCCAGATGAGAAAGCTCTCCAAACAGCCGCCGACGGCGGCTCGATCGATTTGTACGTGTAAAGCGATAAGATTTAGAATACCTTGGAAATTAACGCGCTGATACAGAGAGAGATGGAGCGGCATGGCTGCGCCTATGATCGAGCGGCTAGAACACGTGCGCTATACTCCTCTGATGCCCATGATAGAACTATCTGACCAGAAAACACCAGATCGTGTACAATCTGTTCCCCATGCCTCAAGTGCGCCCCGAGTCCACGGACGTTCAAACGTTCCTCCGTTCTTCTCAAATAGCTGCCAATCCACCTGAAAGCAGTAATAAAGAGAATGCTGCTCCCGCAGACCTTGATGCACCATCCCAAGGAGCGGCGCCTGGCTCTCCATCGACCGAGCGAGTGCCAGACTCGCAGCCTCAATCGTCCGGCGCGAGCACAGATAGCCTTCCACCCCAACTAGCACTACTTCTGAACGCAATTCGCTCGTCGATCACATCTTTCTTCATGGAGAAGCCCCCTCACACCATACAGAGGCTCGCAGAGCTAATACTCTACCCAAAAAAGCACTATAATACATTGCCCGCATATCTACGTGCTGTCGACCGGGTTACTTCAGTCACAAGCTCTGCGGACATTTTCCCATTTCGAACTCCAGCCACCGAAAATTACCATTCTAACGGGCTGGTGCACCCCGGGAATAGCAGTGGAGTTTATATTGCACCAGACTATGCTCAAGGCCTTGGGAGCGATGAGTCTTTGGGTGGTGCGCTTCTAACCCCGATTCCATGGCTGACCAATGCTTCTTTCGATGGCGAGGACGTGAACGGGGATACAAACATACTAGGCGAGGGTAAGTTCATCCACTAACTTGTGTTCGGTCCCTTTCCACTAACATGTTTTTCCTTTTCAGCCACTGCAGAGGGTTTGCCCTTGCAGTCGGAAGAGGAAATCAGTGCGGCGGTCATTAGACCATCTGAGACCGAAGATGGAGCCCCCACTGCCTCCCCAGAGCCATCTGATGAAGTGCCCCATGCGCGTGGTCCCATCCTCCTCGGAGTCGAAGACATGGGTCTGCAAGATGGAAAAGGCATAGAGATGAGCCTTGGAGCGAGTGATGTTCCAGCAGCAACAGCTACCCCACCAACAGAGGAGCTGGCGAAGACCGGCCCGACGGCCGATGAAGACGGTGATATTGTCCTCGAAGACACCAAAGCAAAAGAAGAAGAAGACAATAAGGATGACACTGCTGCGAAGCCTGAAGTAAAGAATGCCGAGTTCGAGTCGACCGGCGAATCATTCCAAGCGCCGGACGCCGAGAAGAAAGCATAAGCGCTTCACTGGTCTCTCGATTTGATATTTTCTTTTTTATTCTTTTCCTTGCGATCCCACTTGGTTCTATCCTGGCCTTTAGCATCATGAGTGACGACCTACAAGATTTCATCAATTGTCAATGAATGGCTGGTTTAGTACTTTCGTATCGCCACGAATGTTTGGTGGCTCTGTACCGCATTTGGGAAAGGGCTATAGACCTGGATGTTATGACTCTATTTCCTCAGATACCGTGAACCTCGCTTTAAACCTTTTGGGTTACCTTGCCCTTGGAGCTTTTCCCATGTTAGACACAGCGGCATTGATCTTCCCAAGAAGAAGGGAAGAGGTTTGAATTATTTTACAGAGAAGAGTGTGCATATCTAAATTTATCCAGTATAAAAATACAGACAAGACACCCGAAGCAGGTCAAACTGCAACAAAAATAGATCAAGTATGCTCTACATTGACCTGCCCCGAAGCTTGGTTGAACATTTCAGCCAAGCGAGAAGCAGCATCATCACCCCAGAACATGCCTTCATCTTCGATACAGCGTAGGATATAATCACGAGCTCGAGGAAGCATCTCGGTTTCATATGCAATGACAGCCCGCGCAAGCGCCGCCTTTCCATCCTCCTTTCCAGACTCAAACCCAGCCTCCTCATTATTCAGCTCGTTCATGATGCTTTCAAATAGTACCAACGAATCATACATGGCTTGATTGACACCCTCGCCATTGGGGATCGAAATATGCGCAGCATCGCCCAGCAATGTCACGTCATGGGCAGGCACCCATCGCCCCGAGTCCTTATCATCGCTTCCTGCCGCAGACAGGAACGTATCTGGATCAAGACGGTAGAGAGGCCAAGCGCGCCACGGTCCCTCAGCAGCGTCGACGAAGGCACGCAGCTCTGGGGCCCAGCTGGCGAAGAATCCACCAGGACCGAGCATCGCAGAGCGGGCTTTGCTCATGTCATTTACATCAATCTCTCCACCAGCACGGGCTATCGTCTCAGGTGCAACAAGACCCATGTATACGCGGTATGAACGATCGGCCATTTGCTGTACACAGAGTGTCTGCCTAGCACCCGTAGCCATTGAATTTCCGGCCCCTACCATCTCTAGGGCTGCACTATATTGCGGGTTATCGAGTGATAACCGGCCCTCGATAAATATCTTGCCTGAATATTGCGGCTTGGCTGGTGTAAGCTGGAGTGAAAGTTAGCAGCTATTTAAAAATATAGATGGAGATAATCACTTACCAGCTGGCGTATTTTGCTCCAGGCACCATCAGCCCCAACAACGAGACTAAACCCTCTTTCAGTCGTGCCATCAGCAAAGCGCAACACCAAGCTGACATCGCCAGATTGTGTACTGCTCTCACTTTCTGCAGAACAGAGGGTCTTGCCCCAGCGAATACGATGCGCTGGAATAGAGTCGAGCAGCATCTGCCGCAGCTGTAGGCGATCAATCTCTGGTGCATCACGGGTCTCGCCAAAGGTGGTGCGGTGGTTGCCTTGAGAGTCTTGAACAACCATCGTCATTGCATCGCGGCGCGCTAGTCTCTCGAACTCGGCGAAAAGACCTGCTCGGCGCAGTGCTTTCTGTCCGGTTTCAGCATGCAGGTCCAAGGTACCACCCTGAAAACGGGGTGTTGGCTTTGAAGATGCGTCTCGCTCAAACACGATATAGTTGATACCGGCGGTCTCGAGTAAGCGTGCGAATGTTAGCCCACATGGGCCGCCGCCGACAATGGCAATGGGATCCATATTGAAATTAAACATGCGTTTAAATTTGAGTTAAAAGTGGTGTTGGTAAGGCGATGTGAAAGTGACCTAGAACAAGCCGTGCGAGTGTTGCCTTTATACCATCGGACTGGCAAAGCAATTTATATCTCCACTTTCAACCCAGCATATCGGCTTTAGGAACTCGGGCTATTACCATAAGGATTCGGTCCCGAGTATAAGTTACTGGATTGATTAGATATGATTGAAACGGAGTTGTCAATCTGTTCGGTCCCGAAGGAATCTCGGTCCCGAAGCCATTGTATACTGTAAAGACGATTGAGTAGTAGTACATATACACATAAATGTATGGATTTATGTCTCTTTTTGATATTTCTCTCCTATGTGATTTCTTTTCGCTCGTTTTTTCTCAAGCCTGTTTTGTCATGTTCTTTAGAACCTCAAGGGCTCTGGGACTTTGGCGCTAAAATGAGACCCTGACGCTGGGCACTCAATCCTTTCCTCTTTATAAAATTCCAATTACTTTCATTTTATCAAAGCCTGCTATGTCCGACAGTTTTGACCCTTAGCGATCCGCTGAACCTCACAATTAAATCTGCAGCGTGCATGGAAGAGTGCCGCTCATACTTCTTTGCTCCCATCTACAACCTGGTGGGAAGAACATTCCCCATCATATCCCAGTGAGAACTCCAACCTTGATTTCAATGTCGTCTGATTGATACAGAAAAGTATAAAGGACAAGTAGGAAAATGAGTATGAATGATATTCCAAAGTGTCGTCAAGCCTTTTAGATGGGATGTACACATTACTTTTGCCTACAGATGTGACCCTCCTTCACTGGGCTATGTGTAACGTTGTCATAAAAGAATGCATAAATTTCATTAACAGGGGAGGTATCGAGCATCTAGAAGCATAACATAAAATCGAAGCCTCAGTTCAAGATGAGGCGCGAAAATGCCGTATCGACGACGAGAGGCATTCGAACAAAACAAGCCAAAAACATCCAAATAACTATACGGCGGACCCGAAATTACAAAAAATTAAACAGGTGGCTCAACCGTCTGCAGAGGGACGTAACCTTCATCTTCCCTGACAGCGCGCGTTTTGCCAGTACTCAGGGACCAAAGCGAAGAGAACAGACCACTGACACGGCTACGCAAAGACCGTGGATCATCTGACAGAATAGTAGCAGGGGCCCACCAACTAGCCATACGAGCATGGGTACGCCGGGCATTAGCCGAAGAGATCGCACCGGAGCGCAGCTCCTTCTCCAGGCGCTCAGTCTGCATCCAAGATGGGCGGCGCCACAGCTTCAGAAGCAGACTGCTAACGACGACAGAGACACTGGAAAGGGCCATGGCAGCACCGGCGGCCATGGGCGGTAGCATGAAACCAGTGAATGGAAGGAAGAGGCCCATGGCGAATGGCAGGCCAATGACGTTGTACAGACAAGCCCAGATCAGATTCATTTTGATACGGTTGAACACAGAGCGCGAGAGAGATAGACTGGCCGGTACAGAGAGGAGGTCGTCGGGGCGCATCAGAACGATATCAGCTGCTTCAACTGCAACGTCTGTGCCGGAGGCGAGGGCGATTCCAACGGAGGCTGTTGCCAGCGCGGGGGAATCGTTGATGCCGTCGCCGACCATGGCGACAAGTTCGCCTTCTGCTTGGAGGGTGGAGACAATTTCACGTTTCTTAGATGGTGAGACGGAGGCGTGGATCGAGTCTGTTGAAATTCCTACGGCCGTGGCGATTGATATCGCCGTTGAAAGCGTGTCGCCTGTTACCATTGATGTTGAGATACCCATGCGGTGCAGGGCTGCTACTGCGGCTCTTGCTGTGTCTTTCACTGTGTCGCGGAGGGAGATGGTTCCGGCATAACGGTTGTCGATGGCGACGTGGATACGCGTAATACCAGATCCTGTGCTGCCAGGCTTGGGCACATTGGTATCCGGGGTTTCAGCCACTGCAGATCCTGACGCAACAGAGTCTGGGTCTGCGTCTGCAGGCACAGGCACGTCTTTCGATCGGAGGAAATCGGCGTTACCCAGGAGGACCTGGTGCCGGATGCGCTCGCCGCCAGAGGTGGGTTCGACGACGGCATAAACACCCTTGCCAACACAGTTATCAAAGTCACCCATGACACCTGGAAGTCCGTCCTCTCCTGGGTGGCCGGATTCTGTCATGGCCGCGGACAGGATCGCTTTTCCAATTGGATGTTCACTGCCCGTCTCGGCGAGACCAACAACGAGCCACCAAAGCTGGCGGCGCCAGTCGTTCATGGTCCACTGAGGCTCGATCCGAGTGTGGGCGACGCTCATCTTACCTGAAGTCAAGGTGCCAGTCTTGTCGAAGACAACATGAGTAATCTTGGTGGCGGCTTCCAGGACGGCGCCACCTTTGACGAGAATGCCATTCTCTGCGCCAACCCCAGTGCCAACCATGACTGCGGTTGGTGTACTGAGACCTAAGGCACAGGGACAAGCGAAGACGATGACAGAGATACACAATTTTAGGCAGACCATGACTCGGCCGCCGCTGCCTGCAACTTCGAAGATCATTGGTGGATGTGGCAGTATGTGACTGAGGAACATCCATCCAAAGAAGGTGATCAATCCAAGACTAATGATGGCAGGCACGAAGTAACCGGCGACTATATCAGCCATGCGCTGGATGGGAGCACGGCTAGTCTGTGCATCCTGAACAAGTTTCACGATCTGACTCAATTGGGTATCCTTGCCGGCACGGATGACCTTGAAGTCAATCGAGTTTGTGCCGTTCACGGTACCAGCGATGACCTGGCTGCCTTTCCTTTTGTGGATTGGCAGTGCCTCTCCACTGATCATACTCTCGTCAACATAGCTTTCGCCTCTGATCACCACACCATCGGCAGACACTTTATCTCCAGGGTGAAGAATCACGATGTCGCCGACTTGAATGAGCTCCGTGGGAATGCATTTATGGGTCACGGTCATGTCTTGCACCAAAGTGGGTTGCTTAGGTGCGCCAGGTGTAGGCTTCGAGGCCCAGTGCTCGGCTAGCTTTTCTGCCGCAATAGGATCTTCGTAAATCGTAGTCATAGATGGAGTCAGAGACATGAGGCGAGACAGGGCAGCGGATGTCTGACCCTTGGCTCGATTTTCTAACCACCTTCCAAGAGTGATAAACGTGATGAGCATAGTACTAGTATCAAACACAGTGCTAGGACGCTTGTGGTCCATACTGCAAAGCGCCATCAACATAGTGAAGCAACTGTAGAAGAAGGCAGCCGAGGTTCCAAGCATCACAAGAACATCCATGGTTGGAGAACGGTGCCTCAAGGACTTATAGCTGGTGATATAAAATCGTCTGCCAATACCGAATTGTACCGGAATAGTCAAAAAGAGACAGACCAAGTCTCCCAGGTAGAGACCGGGGATCAATTCGAACTTTCCAAAGTCAAGACTAGGCAAATACATTGGGAGAATCATGCTGATGAGGAAGACAGGAACTGCAAAGGAGGCAGCGGTGATGAATGACCTTCTCCAATCTTGGATTTCCTTCGTTTTCGACAATGACTGCAGCTGTGCGTTGGTGTCGTCCGAATCAACCATCAAGGCGTTGTAACCAGCGGACTCAATCACTTCTACCACGGACCGAATGCCGATGACGGAAGGATCAAAGGCAATTAGTATTCGTGAGTTAGCCAATTTAATCGACGCCGAATGGATGCCGGCATGCTGTAAAAGCTTGTCTTCCAATGCAGTTGCAGATACACCGTCTCGCAGTCCATGCAGACTCAGATTTATCTGCTGCGTCTTCTTTGATAAAGGCGCCTGCGCCTCAGATGATACGATCGACGCATCAAACCCGGCGTCTTCGATGAGATCAGAAATTTTGTGGGCAGGCAGTATTGTTGAGTCGTGAACAACTACCGCCCGCTCAGCCAAGAGGCTGATGTTGAATTGGATCACTCCATCCACAGTACTTAGGGCCCCCTGGACGCTAGATGTGCAAGCGCCGCAGGTCATGCCCCCAATAGCTATAGTGGTGACCAGAAGCCCGGACTTTTCTTCCGAGCCGACCGGTGTTGATGGTGCCTGGGGTCCAGAAAGGGATGTGTCCAACACCCGTGCACCAAACCCTCGGTCCTCAATGAGCTCTGTGATCTGCTCCGGCGTGATGATGTCGGCATCATGCTCCACAGCTGCACGCTCAGAAAGTAGTGATACATCCACCGAGTACACACCGTTGGTATTTTTCAATCCACTTTCCACTGCAGATGTACATGCGCCGCATGTCATACCTTCAACCGCTAAGTTGGTAACCGAAAGTTGCTTGGCCTTGGAATCGGGCGTGTTATCGGGAGTTGCCTGTTCCTCGGTTGACAGTACAGCTGCATCGAATCCGCAGTCTTCAATCATCTCCGCAATTTTCGCCGGCGGTAACACAGAAGGGTCATGTTGTACGACAGCCCTGCCCATAATAAGACTAACGGAGACATCTTGCGCACCAGCTACCCCTTTAAATGCGCCTTCGACCGCAGAGGTGCATGCACCGCAAGTCATACCGTCAATTTTGATGACTGTAGTAGCCATTACGGGTCGACCGGTCCCGTTGACAGGTGGGCTGAGTGACATCTCGACTGGCAGTGAAGCGCGAAGCGAACACAACGAGAAATCGGCGAACTATCGCATGGAGAGGGCTTTGTGATCGACGAACTGCCTTCGACGTGATGGCAGGATGAGATAGCGTGATAGAGGAACGGAGGCTCACGGATAGCGCCAAGGCACAGATCATTCCCTGATCAAGTAGACAAAGAGAACTGCAGAAGTTTAAAAAAAATAGTTCGTGCAGGAAGGCCACGTCGGTCAGTTATATGAGCTGCGCCAAAACTTGCGCCAGACTAGGCGTGCGAAATGAAGGAGAAAAAAAGGGTTGATTTGATTACGCATGGGGGGGCTTGTGGAGCTGTATCCGCCACGCTGCGGAATGCCATATGGATCGATAGATTAATAACCAGCTGATTAGATGGTTGGTTTTTCAATCGATCCAATAATATAAGATTCCCTCAATCAATAAATCTGTCATCCCAGGTGTCACACTCCGGATAATTGGTGGCCTGAAACAGACTAATCATGGTTGACAGCCCTGGAGAAGTGGTGGTTTCAAAGTTCTACAGAGATCAACCATGTATTTAGTGTCAGCTTAATGTTTTTTTTCTTCTCTACACATAATCTTGTGTATGTAACTTGTTTTTTTAATAATAAAAAAGGAACAAATGAATAAGCTGAATTGAACAAAATACTACCCAATCTATTTTCCTAATCACTCAAACATAGTGTATTCCAAGTAAAGTGACTTAAGTACTTCAATAACAATGAGTGACTTGGCGCATCAGATAAAGCATGTTTGCATCAAATGCAAACACATACACAGGGCTTCTAATCATGAACCCGACTGAGCTACACCTCTTCCCCACATCGCGAACCTTCCCCCATTTAACCTACTTCCGACATTTTGAACCGTTGCTTCTCGTCGCAATGGACCAGACTCACACACGAGCCATCGAGGCTCTCCAATCATTCATCCACCTGGCCCGCTCAAACAGCGCCAACTCACCTCGCTTTATCGCCAACCTTATCACAAATGCCACTTCAAGCCCGCAAACCTATGTCTTTGCAGAGCTACTTGAGCTGCCTGCGGTCCAGGCGTTACGGTCACCGGAGACACCTGTCGAGTTCAAAGGTTATCTGAAGCTGCTAGAGATCTTTGCATGGGGCACATGGCAGGAATATCAAGGTAAGAAAGAGCTTCCTCCACGATCTCAAACATCGACCATGCACCAGAATAATTCCAAATCAGCTCGAACCGAAAACATCAGAGAGAAAATCGCTAATACACACCCCACAGCGACCCCAGATCTCCCCGAACTGAATACAGAACAAACCCTCAAGCTCCGCCTCCTCTCCCTCTTGACCCTCTCAACCACCATCAAACCCCTCACCTACTCCGCCCTGATGACAGCCCTCGAACTCCCCACAACAAACGATCTTGAATCGCTCGTTACAACCGCCATTTACGCCTCTCTGATATCAGCCCGTCTCTCGCCGGCTTCCAATCCACCTTATGTGAACGTCACAGCCGTCGCCCCACTCCGCGACGTGCAACCTCAGTCTCTCCACAAAATGATCACCAACCTGACAGAGTGGGAATCGCGCTGTGGGGGTGTCGTCTCTGATCTCGAGGCTGAGATTGCGCGCATCAAGAGCGAGGCTGCTAGGCGTGCCGCGAAGAGCCAGACAAGGCAGCAGGCGCTCGATGAAGCCTTGAAGAAAAGACAGGATGGCACCTGGAAGAGTAAGAATAAGCGAAGTGGGGGCCGGCTTGGGGCTGGGATTGGTGGAAGCAAGAGGGATGCTGATGATATCGCGGATGATGGGTTCTTTGAGAATATGGAGGGTGAGAATGGCTCTCGCATGGATATTGATGAAGGGGCCGGTGCTCGCGCGGGAAGTAGTCGCCAACCTAAGCGGGTGCTTGGGCGCAAGACTTGAAGGGGATGTGCTGCATTGCTTTGCCTTTGAAGCTTACGGTTATGCTACTCATTAACTAGACCATAGCGGTTCCGGTTTCGGGACAAATTTTATGATATGACATGACTGAATAACGGTTCTGAGTGGTGCGCACGGAGGAGTCTGGATGAGAAACAACACCAAATTTTCATTCATGAAGCCCGAATGGCGACGCTCATTAATTGAGAAAATAGATACAATAAAGTTCTGAAAGTCAAGAGGGGTATTGGTAGAAGAGAAGAAAGCAAAGCAGAAGAAACGCAATGAACATGGACAAGACAAAGAAAAAAAGATTTGACCGCTAATAAGCGGGTGGATGGAAGAGGCCAATGTCATTTCTGGACAGCACCGATGGCGTGAATGGGCTGGCAATCTGATACATTGGCTCTTCCAAGAAGCTTCGCAGAAGCAGAATTTGTTTGTCCTTGGATAGATTGGTTGCAGGCATGGCAAGTATATCAGATGGAGTTGACGGAGCGATGGTGTTTGGGATTAAAATTAGTTCAAAGCTCGACGCGCTTAAAAGCTCACAGAATGGTACCGGGGACGAAGATGAACAGAATGCTCAAAGCTGCAGCTGTCAAGAAAGCAATCATTGCGGTGACCAGGGCGCGCTTGTTCAAGAGCTTGCGAACATAGGGCTCGCGAATTGGGGCCCAGTTCATGAAAGTGTATTCACTGTATCCCAGGAACGCCATGACGGGGTCGATCTTGTACTGATAGGAAATAATAAAGTATGAGGCGACAGCGAATGGAAGAATAATCTGTATGAAGGTTAACAACATGGCATGGCACAGCAGCAATGATGAAGATGTAAGCTACATACCCAACAGCGAATGTTACGAGGCTTGTTCCGTAGCACAACATAGAATGCACCCCAAAAACCTCCGCCAAAGCTGATCAGGGCAAAAGCGAGGCGCAGAATAGTGCTAAGGGGAACAATGTTTCCCAGAGCCTTTGCCTGCAAGAATCCGGGGAAAGCATCGCGCTCCATGGCTTGGAAAACGTAGTCCTTGGCGGGATCAAAAACTTCGGGGTCGTCTCGGCCGTCGTCTTCAACCAAGTTGATGATGGACGAAACCATCGATTCCGGTAGCATGATCTCCCGCTCGGAGCCAGGAAGTAAATATGTGTACAAGATCTTCTCAGCGCTGGCGCGAATGTCGTTGCGGTCCACGGTATGTCCAGGGGAGTTCGAGTCGTTGTTTCGCGAGTCCGGGGTATGACGACCGTCCTCATACGAAGACACTTGGTGTGCTGATTCGTGAGAGGATCCCAGGCTGTTTTGTCGTGAGGGCGATGAAGTGGCACCCTCGGATCGGAGGAACGCGGACAAACGTTGGTCAGCATCTCTCTCCTTCTCATTTTCTTGGAATCCGTGTCGTAGACGAGAAGGCCCAGCCTCCTCCAACGGAATGTCACCCAGATTCTCCAGATTGTCTAGCATGGCAGATGATTTGCTCTCAGCGCGTTCAATATCTGGGGTAGCGACCAAGACCGAACGTCTGAGTTCTCGGACATAGTGTCGGCATAGTAGCATATGTTGTGATACATCGAGCCTACAAGGCTGGTTAAAAAAGTTCAGCGGATGTAAAGGAAGTGGGGTCTCACCAGAAATCCAGGTAATCCACTGAGCGTTGTTGATCCCGCATGTAAATATAGAACGAAAATAAGTCGACTGGAGCGAGGGTCCGGCGGCTCAGGACCTCAAAGAGTGTCGGAAGGCGATTGCGCGACTCCGCATCGACAATGTCGTGGTGAGACATGTTGGCAGTGAGCTGAGAGTAGACAACGATGAAATGACCAGCACCGAAAATTCAAAGCTAAGGAGGGGCGCAAAAGGGGCAGGAAGAGAACAAGGTCACGTCGACAAAACCAACAATCCCAAAAATCCCCCAACAGATGCAAGCAAGATTCAGGCGATTAGAAACGAATGGAAAGTTGAAAGCGAAAAGAGGGGGGGGAATTGTTTCCACGTCGCGAGGTACGCAATGTGTGGATAAATGGACCTCCCTGAAAGAGTGGTAGCCCAGCACAAGCGAGGTCGACAATTGCTCAGCAACAGCAACCAAAGGGGTCTGAAAAACACAAGTTAAGTAAAGAAACAAACGACCGAGGTAAGGGTGAAGCAATTGAAGATATATTCCAGCCATCAGTTATTCTCTGAAACAAATCGCAATAAACATTATCCGAGCTCCACTCATCAGGGGGAAATTAAGGTATTTTTAGGGTATTGCTGCGTCATACCTCTGGATTTTGTATAGATATTTAATTTTGAACGACGTTTAGAGATGTTTATAGTCATATCTACCTATATTCATATCCAATGACAATTAGCAGTTAGCAATGTATTCACTAACTAACTATCCCTAACTTGCCAATTATCAGACCCACAATTCTTACCCCAAGTGTTACGATAGAAATCGTGTGGATACGTAAGAATGATTGATTCACAGGCGATCATGCCCAGGTGCCAGGTGATGGTTAAGATGACTAAGGACGATGAGATAAGCCTCGATCATTAGGTACACTAAGTCTAAGTATAGTCTGACAATGGATCACACTGATCTACAACGTATATTTAATGTATTGATCTAGAATAAACGCCCACACATGCCTTCTCGGATGAACATTTCAAAGATCAATGCAAACCTTTCCAACATGTTGACCACTGGCGAGGTAAGCGTAGGCCTTAACAACCTCATCACGAGTAAATTTGAACGTCTTTTCGACAGGCAATTCAAGATTCTTCGAGCCGATAAACCGAACAGCGTCCTCCAGCTGCTGCTTTGAGCCAATCATGATACCTCGCACAATCGCGCACTTGGACAGAGCGAGGGTCGCAACATCGGGCATTTCCTCTTGGGAGGCTGCAGCGAGGAAGCCAATGACCGAGATAACTCCACCATAGGCAATAGCTTCGATCGACTGTTTGATAGTGCCAGAGCCTCCATTCTCAAGAATATAATCCACACCCTGGCCATTGGTGATCTTCTGTACTTCGGCGGCCCAGTTTGGCGTTCTCTTGTAGTTAATGGTATAGTCGACGCCGTACTTCTCCTTGACACGCCGCAACTTCTCATCGGAAGAGGATGTGATGATTGTCTTAGCTCCGGCCGCCTTGGCTAAAATGAGTCCTGTGATAGACACGCCACCAGTACCTGGTTTGGTTGGATGTTAGAAAAAGAATTCATCTTAGGGGCAAAGAGACGAGAAGGTACCTTGGAACAGGACACTCTGACCAGGCTTGATTGCAACTACTCCAAATAAAGAGTTCCAAGCTGTAACACCCGTGCAGACCACGCTAGCCCATTGGGCATAGCTAAGGGTGGAATTTTCCGGGATCTTGACGACAGTATGCGCAGGGACAGAGATGTACTCTCTCAACACACCATCGATTGGACCACCTAGACCGTTTTCCCAGGTTTTAATGGGACCGTACTGTGTTGCCTGATCGAAGGAGACGACCACCTTGTCACCTGCCTTGAATCCAGTAACGCCCTCACCAACAGTGACGATATCACCAGCTGCATCGGAGCCGGGAATAACTTGATCCTTGACTTGGAACGGGTACTTGCTGGTGGAAATAGCGATGTCTCGGAAGTTCAAGGCCACGCCCCGGACTTTGATCAGGACTTCATGTTTTCCGGCTGTTGGGCGGGGCTCTTGGAGCTCGGCAAGCTGCTCCCAAGAGTCACGGCCGGTAAGACGAAGGGCGGTTTGGGTAGCCATTTTGGCTGAAGGTAGGTTATACAGGTCAATTGAATTGTCAGAATCGTTCTTTTGGCTTCTTGGCTCAACGGGCGGGTTTTGGGTTGTATTTATAGAGCTTGTTTCTTTCCTACCCCGATGACGCTTTTTTTCAACCCCAACCTGCATCTATGGATAGTATGGGGTCGATATGTTCGGAGCATTGTTACGATAGAACTCGTGTGGATACGTAAGAATGATTGATTCACTACCCAAGAGGGGTGGTCATGCCCAGGTGATGGTAAACGATGGCGAAAGATGATGAGATAAGCCCTCGATCGTTACAAGCATAATCACATTGAACTTAATTCATATTCAAATAAGAGACTGTGCTTATTGAGCATATGATTTCCATGACTTCAAAACCAATTTGAGCCATTGATCGGTCATGCTAGCTTGATTGATCCTGCGATTCCCCAACCGCACGCTAAGTCTAGAAAGTCTGGCGACACTTGCGAATACCTTTTTTTGATCTAAGCTATGATTCTAAAAAATTATGCACTATCGTGTTCCGTTGAAATTGCGTTGCTCTTGGTAAATTCGATCAATGGCTTTGTTTATATCCTACAGCGCAAAGCTCTCGGCCTCCAAAACATCAGAAATAACCAACAGGGATGCTCCGATTCGATGGACAATTTCAAAGACGTGAGTTCCACTGGATATCTCAGCCCACAACCGAGCCGTCGATGCCGCAAGGCGACGGATGTTGGCTGCTGTTTCTTCCTGGTAGTCTATACTTCTCTGTAAATGGGTTTCTTTGACTAGGCCTTTCGCCATAGTGAGCAGCTTCAGTTCATCCCCACGCAGAGAAGCCATACCATCAATCCGAACAGATTCCGCAATGGTTTGCATCCACAAAGCGAGAAGGAACGCACATTCAAGATGACATATAGAGTGCTGGATTCCCCAATGCAAAATCTGCGTGCGAGCTACATTTTGAATGCCAACTCTCACGGGGATGCTGAGTGCATGAATACATTGAAGAACCGCACGGTCTAACGAGGGAGAACGAGAAAGAGAGATTTCTCTGAGGCGGGAGAAGACTTGCTTGATATGCAGAGTATCACCGGTCATAAAGTTGTGGCACAGTCCTATCCTGGTGTTGAGTCGGATATATGCTAACCGTAACAACGCAGTTGCGTTGAACCCAATAGGGCCCTTGGGCGAGTACGGATCAAGGGTAGACTCCCATGTGGTCTCCCACGAGTACTGCCATAATCTGAGGGCCGTCTCGAATGTTTTCAAAAGGTCAGATTGAACAGCGGATGTTTCATGGGAGTGAAACGGTGTTTGGATCTCAATGTATATCTTCTGCATGATTCCGTGAATCAATACGTAATTTGAGAAGGCCGACACGCCCCATTCATCGCATATGCTCTGACCAGCGAGTAGTTGATTCAGAGTTTGGACGAATGGGCGCTCTCTTAGAGCCGAGACCTCCCGGTGTCGCTTCCAACCGGCTTCCGAAACGGCACCCCATTCAGCCTCACAGGATGGTAGACAGATAGCAACTTCGCGAGTGAAGATCATGGGCGGGACATCTAAAATGATGCTATTCAAATTCAAGATGATATATGCCACCAGCAAGGTGCGCCGTAGTTGTTCATGGGAAACCCAATCCAGCCACCCAAGATCAAGATTGCTGGCATCATCAGGATTAACAATTCTGAGTTCGCGTATCAAAGAAGCGAGTTGACTGTTCATGGTCTGGCTGTCTTGCAGGAGCGACTGTTCCCCCCATGCGCCCATAGCTATGATGATAATCAAGGATTGTGCTCGTTGAAGCTGAGCCTGTGAATCTTCCTGTTCAACCGATGGAGCATTGGATTGAGGGGTTTGCGCAGTACAAGAAGATCTGGAGCAAGAATGTGACGAATGGCTAGCGCTAGCTATGCGTCCCTCTCCCAATGGCCTTGGTGCTCGGCTTGTTAGTTGATCGACAGCACTTTCACGGCGAGCTTGGAAGATAGAGTCAATCAATGACCGAGTAACGCTATACAACCGATAACCTTCACTATGCTCAAAGCAGTAAAAGGCACCAATTGCAGCCATTGAGAGAAGAAGCTCAACTGCGACGGCATCTGGTCTGAATGAAGCCACATGTAGAAACGGTAGATGGTCGTGAAACTTTCGAAAATACCCCTCGAGATAGCGCACAAGAGCACATTTTGATGGAATCAACATATCTAGCCATGCGGGTTTGCAAACTGCTATTTTGTTCACAATTATCTTGTAGCCGGATGGTGATATAGCCCAAGGGCAGTTTGTGATATCAGATCTTGTGTCCAGATTATTGTTGTCGAGTTGATCGTCCATAGATGGGAATCGTGGGGGGTGTTTTAAGTTCATGTTGTCATGCAGATTGTTATGGGATACTGATTGAAGTAACGACCCAGCAAGATTTGGCATGTCTGACTCTTTTTGGACAGGAGCTTGCTGGAATAGATCACCGAGAGGTATATCCGTATCGAGAAATTGAGATGGTATAAAATCTGGGAAAGAAAATGCATCATTGTTCCATGATACGTCGGGCAACTGCAGTCCATGCTGGCTGAAATCCATTTCATAATGGGTCTCGGTCAACGCAGATGTATCGGAGGTATTGGTTAGGGTTTCTTTCCAGAAGGACGAGCTACTATGCATTGCACTGTCTGCAGGTAAGACTAGCTCATCCCTGGAGTCTTCAATGGATGGCTGGCTTGGCAAGGTGTCAATTGATCTTGTGTTCGGCACCTCGGCATGATGTAGGCGTTCATGGCGGCTGAGAAGATCCCTGGAAGCATAGTTGATTAAAGCAGCCCCAAAGAGGAATGAGGTGAATCTTACTGCCGAGAAAAAGATCGCCCACATTGGCACTTGAATGGCTTTTCCTGTGTGTCTTCAACGATTGTCAGTTAATCTAGTTGGGGTGATCGTCACGCAAGGGAACACGCACGAGTACGCTCATGTCGCTTCAGATGTTCCAATCGTTTAAATTCTCTGTTACAAAATCGGCATGGAGCCAACTGTGACTTGGGTCTACCCCGAGGCATTGGTCATGTCCGAGAAGAACCTTGGAAGAATGTGAGTTATTTGCCCCAAATGATTTTCAACCCCAACTCGATAGGTGGAGATTGGGGAAGAAAAGAGCTCGGGAAGATCATAAAGAAGGTTATTAATCTCATTTAGTAAACTACTACGTCACTGCGAGTTAATCTCATGAAAATTGCACGAAATTGTACATACTATTATTGTATGGAAATGAGAAGAGAAATTGTGTAATTGGCATTGATTCATAAGTCAGTGAGCCCTCCATGGGCTTCAAAGGTTGTTCCGTAATAATCTATCAACAGGGTATTGCCCATCAAACCCCCAACGCCATTCCCGAAAAATAACACCCTCGCTGTAGTTGAATATTTGTCTTCGAATCAGTGATTGTCGGCAAGGTGCTAAAAGCAAAAGTCAGTATGCATTGCACAAAATGGAATCTTCTCTTTGAGTATACTGACCGACCATTCCGGGATGTTCCGGATTTGCTGCCACATGAACTTCTCAAGCTTGTTTGCGTTCTTAGCATAGGATGTGGTTTCATTATTGTAGCGTCGGCAATTGTCGAAAATCAGCCCAGCATCCTTGATGAAATCTTGAGGTGTTGGGTACAGGTCCTTCTCGTGCTTTTCTTCCATGGTCGACAGGTCCATAGGCTCCTCGATCACTGTATAGTAGTCGGGAACTTCGTCCCGGTTCACGGGCTGGGTAAATGGCCATGCCGCACTGTGATTTTGCATGTCATTCAGCAGGTGCAGTAATTGGTTGTAGTTAGGTCCGTGACGAGGCTGGCGGGCCATCTCATCCATATCATGCGACCACCCGGACTCTTTGATTGCAGGAACACTTAGGGGGTCAATGGGAGACACTTCGTTCTTCCATTCCTTCGGAGGCGGATGAATAATGTGCGAGCGACTGAATGCGCGTATTTTGGCTTGCACAGATTCCTTCTGCTTAGTGAGCATGCGGCCCATCTCCAAATAACGTATTTTGGGGAGCATGGTGCACTGCATGAGGGTGCCGCCCTCGTAATCCTTAATGTAACCCATCCAAATTGACTTTTCCAGTGTGATTTGTTTGGTGAAACCTTGCTTCTGGAAGTATCCAATGGCATAGTTATCGGCATAGGTAAGGAAGTGCATAATGGGAGAGGTGGCTTTCACGTAGTCCTGGTGGCGAATAAATTAGCCACAAGCTCGGGAAGCGTAGGCCAGGAAATCCGTACCTTCAGATGAGACATCAAGTGCGCACCATAGCCCTTGACTTGTTGATCGGAGGAAATAGCACAGAACACAATTTCGGCAAAGGTGCGAGTGTTAAACGGACGATATGTGATCCCTCTGTATACAATATCAGTACCCTCCTCTGGTATCAATGTTGTGATCCAGGATTTGGAACATACCCGACAATCTCCAATGGGTGCTTGACAATAGCTATTGATAAGTGGGACCGATCGTAGACAAGACGGGCGATGTAATCCTTGGGCATTTTGGGAAGTTGTTTTTGGAAAATGCATTTTAGGCCCGTAAGGACAATGAAGCTGTCATGGGAACCATCATTATTGACGACTCGGAACTCGATATCACCGCGGCGTTCTTCTGATACAGCAGGCTTTGTATCATTAGCCATTACATCCTGCGCATGGACAAGAGCTGCAGTAGTGTGGGGTTGTAAATACCTTCTCTGGGAACGGAACAATCCGAAGTGGAGGTTTTTTAAGAGGGCCATCTTCCTATGAGGGGTAGCAGTTAGAGCAAACACGCGAAGAAAATCCAACAGTGCCGTGTCTCACCTCCTTCTCGGGTGAATCTGTGCGTGCTTTCTTGCTGGTCTGCTGCCCAGACTCCGGGGAAGCTGCCTCCTCAGAGGCTTTTCGCTTGAAACCTGATTTCATGATAAGCTGACGTATCTTTCCTATTTGAGGAATCAATGCTTCACACAAGAAAAGACTTACTTTTCGGCGAATCCACAGCCATTTTGTCCTTGAACTTCAAAACGTGACTTGCGCTGTCGCGAGATGATATGGGGTATCGGGCGGATAAACTTATCTGCGGTCGGGCCAGATCAACAGGCGATCTATACGTGTAGTCATTCTTCATTCTTCTACTTGCATCCATTGTCTTTCAATTGCATTTATCAATTTATATTCTCCTCATGTCTCTGAACGAAGTCTGGGAGGCAGCCTCCGCAACTCCTTATATTCCTCTCGTTGGCAAGGACACCCAGTTCGCAGTCGGCTTCAACTTGCTCCTTGTCGGTAAGCTTCCCGCCTGTCGCAGCTTGGAAAACAATCACATTCTGACCAATCTTGCCAGCACTGGTGACCGCGACGCTCTTCGGCTTGAGTAAGTATATCTTCAATGGCCAATTCTAACCTATTCTGACATTGTTAAACAGACCGGTCCTTGCTCGGTATTGCATCCTTGGGCGTACCGGCTGCATTGGCATTTGGGTTAGTAATATGCAGCGTTCTAGTTTTTGCCGTATAATATGCTGATTGGGTATCTTGAATAGCTTCGGGGCTTTGTTCACAATCTGTGCCGTCGGAGTCTACGTCTAATCGGCAATATTCGCTATTGCGCGTCCCCTCAAATGTACCATAAGCGTTGGGTTCAGTGGGGCCTGTACTGCTAGAACATCCAAAGCCATCACGCATCTGCGAACTCATAACCATTGTTCTATTTCACTATCGCGTCTGAAAAGCTCAAGCTAGCAGCTATTGCTACACAATGGAGCCCCTGTTCGCCGGTGTCTCTAACAACGCCCATCACCTCTACACACTGCTCTCTTGCATTGGATTTGCACCGAAAGCCACCGTCCAAATCACACCAGATGGCCTTCGATTCTCCGTCGAGGAAGGACGTGTTATCCAAGGTCTAGCTTTTCTCGACAAATCGCTCTTCACCAGCTATGCCTTCAATCCATCGACCGACGCAGAGCCCAATCAAAACGAATCAGCTGAATCCAATGAATCATCCCAAAATGTGGTCTACCCCCACTTTGTTGTCTCTCTCTCCGCCCTCCTCGAAACACTCAAAATCTTTGGCATCAATGAGCTAGAGTCTAACCGACCCCGCGACACCAGCATCACGCAGGCCAATCCAGCCTCATCAAGCGCATTCAACGCCCCTGCTCTATTGATGGATCGATCCTGCACCCTACAATATGCTCGATACGGCGCCCCTCTCAGTATAATCATAACCGAGGCAGGCGTGAAAACAACCTGCGAATTAGTAACCTATGAGCCCGCAGAAGACGAAGCAGACATTCCACTCCAGCGCGATGCAATCATCATGAAGATCATCATGCGCTCCGCCTGGCTGCACAGTTCCATCGCCGAACTCGACTCTTCAACCCCTAACATTTTGAAACTGTCCGCTTGTGCCACGCGCGACCCGTACTTTGCTCTTTCTGGGGCTGGTGGTCCCTTTAGTGAATCAACCGTAGAGTTCTCGGTTGACACTCAGAATCAGGTTGTCGGCGGGGCTGGTCAAGGGGCTGCACAATCTCAGATGCATAAGGTATTGGCGGATGACGGCTCTTCCCGCGCTCGTGCTACCAGAGCTAAGGTCGCGCCTACCGTAACGGAGACTTTCCTTGTGTCCCCTCCGTCTTCTATGGGGGAACGCATCCAACAGAGCTATCGCTTTTCGTTGATTCGCAAGGCTGCAAGGGCTATGTCGGTTGCTAATAAGGTTAGTATCCGTGGGGACCAGCAGGGGGTGTTGAGTCTGCAATTCATGGTTGAGCTTGATGATAATAGCGTTCCCGTCGGCAGACCGGTCGGTGCTGGCGTGAAGGGTCCAAATGGCCCTGTGTGCTTTGTTGATTTCCGTTTTGTCCCCTTGCTTGATGAGGAGGAAGCTGAAATGGAGATGGATGGAGAGCGCGAATAGTCGAACATCAACATAACAAAGGATAAAAAAATAGATCCATGTTTGAGCAACCGCTTATTCCATCCAAACGATAAGAGTGTACAGATTGTAAATTATAAGTCCGAGTAGATGCAGTCAACATGCTGTGCGCAATGGTATGGAAATAAAATAAATTCAAGGCTGAAAAGCTACAATGTCGCACAGAAGCCAAGGCATTGGCTCAAGAACCAGAAGGCAACATTGGAAATCTAAACCAGATTCAATAGATCACGTACATCATCAATAGTAGACACAATATCGGTATAAAAGCCTAGCCGTAGACCGGCCACGAATGCGCGTATGTCCAAATCTCAATGTGCTCCACCACGGAACGCCATAGAGTAAGAAAATAAAGCAAATGACTTCATGCATGGTCGGGATTGTAGGACGTTTCCCCAAGCATACTCTGGCTGGGCCCGGCCGGGGTGGGAGTAGCAGGACGCTGAGACGAGGGCTCACCCAACGACGGCTGCGGTCGTGAAACAGTAGCATTCTGCAACCTCCGATCCAAAGCCTTAAGAGCAATGGCGCGTCTCCGCTCCGCTTCTTCGCGCTTACTCGCTCCCCTGGCGCTCCCGCGCGCATTCAACAAAGTCGGCAGACCCGCCTCGCCACGAGCTAACACCTGTTCATTACCGGAGGCGATATCATCATCGGAGAAGGGTGTGAGGATTTTGACTGCCACCAGCACGGCGTAGACCTGGTCTGCGGCGAATGCGATGGGCGGCTGCATAACGTCTGGGAACAGACAGGCAAAGGCAAAGGTCTCGCTGGCGTCGCCCTTAATACCGGTGCCGGCGCTTGATGTACCAGTCAGGTCGGGCTGGCGCTTGTAGAAGCGGAGGTAGGTCCAGCTGACGAGGATACCGAGCCAGGCTAGGATTGCGGCTGTGTCTGTTCCGAGGATGAAGCCGCTCATTGTGTTTAGGAGGAGGAAGAGGGCAGGGAAGTGCTTAACGCGCATCTTCACTAGGCCCTTGAAGATCGTTACGGTGTGTTCTGGGACTAGCTGTTTGAAGGCGACGAGGAAGGAGGCCTGGATGGAGACGCCGCCGCAGATTTGGGTGAGGCTGCGGGATTGGGTTAGCTTCGTGCTGAGTGTCGCTTGCGGGGGACTGACGATCTGGTTGAGGAACCTCCTAATGCACCCCATGCTAAGTATATTGGAATGATCACCACGCATGGAATGACAGCGACAACGGCAACGAATTTGCTGAGCTCGCGCGAGCCCCACGCGCGTTCGAGGTACTTGCCGCCATAGAAGATAGTTGCGGCGTTCAACAGGACAGTGAAGATATTTTGTTCGACAAAAGCGGCCGTTACAATTGTCCAGGGGTAGTAGAAAAAGTAGGAGGGGACGAGAGTCAGGTAGGGGACGAGGGGAGAAGTTGTCGGGGTTCCGCCGGTGGTGTCAATTTGGCGCCATCTGGCAATGTTGTATAGGAGGGAGAGTGTGAGAAGGCTGACGAGACAGATCCTAGTTGCAGGAGGAATGTTGATTCGGAGCGACATGTTGGAGCTCTTGGAGCTCTGACAAGACGCCGTCGACAGAGAGCCTGATGTTAGAGAAAGTCAAGGTGGAGGCTTAGCGTAGGGCGGAAAGCCATATTTGGCCCCATCTACAATCTTGTACATACAATCTACGGCCAAAGTGATGTACCACAAGTGCCCGTAAAAAGTGTACATCCGTCAATTTCTCCTTTTTTTACTTCCTTTCCTTAATAGTAAATGTCAATTTTCATAGTATTTGGAGGCATAGAAGTTTCTCTCTCTCAATACACAAAGCACGAACTACTTACCTTATGGGTATAAGCAGATTTGTACTGAGTAGATATGGAATTAGAAGTAAAAATGAAATAATAGAATAATTTCAACCTTCCTAAATAGTATTAGAAGTACTTATGATTCAAATTACTACACAAATATGGACCTAAGTGGTATTTATATAAAGCTAACATATGTCACCGGGCTGGCAGCCGACATATACATCCTGCTTCAGTGGCTTAAAATAATGGGAACAATCAATCTGTCAAGCGGTAACATGCGGCACCAGCCACGATCCAAGGATTTTTACCTGCAGGTTTTTAAGACCCTCCGTGTGTTCGAATAAGGGAAAAAAAAATACAAGTTACTAATGACCCATGTATATAGAGGATTTTTCTATTTCTTTCTCATGTACTTCAGGTGGTAGTCCCGATATTAGGTAGTACATAACTACTTGGGAACTTCGAAGTGCTCGTGCTGAAATGCCCCGATGTGTGGAGAACCAGTCTCAATTTTAGAGTCATTCAACTTCAGGGCGAATTAGTAAATATCATACTTTAATCGACGACGAATTGAATAGAAAATAGTTTGAATAAATCAACAGACCAAAAAAATAAGAAAATACTGTATAAAAAGCATTCAAACCAACTCCAAAGGAGTGAAGATGAAGATGTGTTCAAGACTCAACCGAACGAAGTGTGGAGTTGAACCGCCACACATCGAGTGGCTAGTGTTAACTCTGGACTTTCCAAACATTCTGGATCCTTTAATCTCTGAGATCTTCAACTTTCTTCTCTTCTCTTCCACCCCCTAAGCTTTTCCTTTACTACACACATCTTTATATCAATTTCAAACCAGTGGAAGTGTCAACTATTCTTCCCCGAACTCCTTAGTCACCACTTCCCTTCCCAACTCAATTTGCTCCCTTGGCTTGGCTTTTTACCTTTTCAATCTTCAAATCTGCCTTTAATTCTTCAGCTCTCTAAGTTCTCTGGCTCTCTGAGTTGTCTGGGCTTTGGAATATTCAACTTCCCTCCCCTTTTCATTTATCCGGAGGTTCCTTTCTTCTTCCGGCCTCGTGTTCCTGAAGCTCCGTCTCCGCGCATTGAAGCCTCTCCACTTTGATTTTCACTGGCCTAGCGGCTCACAGGTCCCTTCTCTCTCTGGCATGTTCGCCGCACTTAACTGGTCGCACATGTAATCATGGCACAGCCCGACCTTACGTCGCATCATGTCAATTATTTAATTTGGAGGTAAGTGAAACCATGCATGCGCGCATCCTGCAGAACTAATTTGATCCTTCCAGATATCTTCAAGAATCAGGTTCGTAATGATGACTCCCCCAGTCTTCTCACCCCTCCCCCAGCTCTTTCTAATCTCGATCGTTTGATCTCCATCTAACTCAGTCTAGGTCACGGAGATGCTGCTGTCTCTTTGCAACGCGCGTGGTATCCTGACCCGCAAACTCTCCCATTCGCGCCGTATATCAAAACCCATGCGCTAGTGTCGCTGGTCCAAAAGGGCTTACAATATCATGAGCTAGAAACCTCACTTGATAAGGTACGTGTTTATGTCTCGAAATTGGTATCTATGCGCGAACGGGGGAATGGCTCCTTTTTCTTCTATTTCTATAGCCAACTAATCATGTACAGGAGGGCAATCGCATCAATATCTCACCATCCGACTATTTTTTCGGACCAGAACCATTTGAGATTGGGCCTGTAGGAAGTCCCGATGATGCTGTTGGCACAGACCCGGTGTCGCCGGGTCAGGTTGCGCGCGACCGCCCGATGAACGGCCATGCCGAGTCCGGAAAGCAAATCCGAAAAGACGAGGATGATAGTGATGAGTCCATGGAGGACAAAGCACAAACAGAAAGCCAGCCAGACACGCCCAATCATATGGATGGGGATGGCGATATCAACATGGCCGAAGAAATCCCCGGACCGCCGGTTACCCTGGAGAACGGCGACAGCTCTGGCATTCAGATCGCCCCCGCCAAGACCGTTGATCTGACACCCGACACCGCCCTCCTGGATGCGGAGAATCACGTGACACAGGCCCTTTGGCGCCCTAGGGATCCCACCATGGTTGTCGCAGCCGGTAATGACTTTTGCAGTTTATGGAAGCTATCACTATCATCAGAACCAACAGAGACGAAGATTGTCAAACCCAAAAAAGGCAGTCCAAACATCTCGACCGTTACTTGGGATGCCGGCGGAGAGAAACTGGCCGTTGCAACTTCTGATGATGACAAGGGAACTATCACAATGTACAACATCAATGGCGACGCAGTTGATTTATTACCAGAGGTATCTCGGGCCATCACTGGCTTGCACTGGGCAGACTCCAGCTCCCAGCTAATCGTTGTGGCCTCAAATGATCATATATCGGAACTTGCGCTTTGGGACGACAGCCGCCGGCCCGATGTTTTCCCTCCGCCCCAAATAATTGAGGACAATATTAACACTGTGGCATGGTGTGGACATAACCAAGTATTTGCTTCGGGCGATGATGCGATTTACCAATGCGAAGTGGACAGCAGTATCCGTTTGGTCAATACATATCCTTCCAGAGACGGCGCCACCTGGGATTTCCTTCGTTGCGTTCAAACCGAGATTCATACAGTTGCAATCACAGCTTGCGTATCGGCTTCTTTGATCTGGATCCCCACCCACGACATCTTTATTCCCAACGCTCATCCTGGACAAATCACCGGTCTTGAGATCCGCCCTCAATTTCACTCGCAGCGCATAAGCTTTGCATCTTTCTCGCAGGGCGGTAAGGCGAAGGTGTGGGAGGTCAACCTTGATTCGAAGGATTGCCAGTGCATCCACCAGTTTGCCCTATCCGCCTCGCCCGTGAACAATGCTCTCACCGGCTGCTTTTCGCCCGATGGATATGCTCTCGCTGCGGCTAGCAAGGACCGGCTTTCGATTTGGAATGTCGAACGTGGAGGTGACCCCATGTCTACCTGGACTACACCAAACTCCGAAGTGAAAAAAGAGGATCCTGATCGACCAACCAATGGATACAATGGCCTTGCAAAATCGGAAACCCAAGCCAATTGGCCCCTTGCCTGGGACGCAGACGGAAAACGACTCGCGTACGGCATCAACAAAAAGGTACGCTCCCTGACCTGGTTCCCTCGTTCTGTGGGTTCCTCCCACCGAACTCCCAAGCTGACGAACCTTTCTCCCAGATGGCAATTATCAATTTGCAGCGGTGACGGAGCCGGCTTGTAACAGTCACATAAAACTCACGACTCATGCCCCGTTTCAACTAATCCGACAACCCGCACGGAAGGCCCGTTTCTCGATTCTTTCTTTGGAAGACACATCATCATTTTTGGTCTCTCCGAAATCCACTAATTTACTTCTGTGAACATAAATTTATCTGGCTTAGAAGATGCATAATGGCATACATTGCTTGGGACAGGTTTGGGCGGTACGGCGAACGACATGGACCGGCGACGGTGGATCTTTTCTTCTTAACTTTTTTCCCTTTCTATTCCCCAATTCAACTGGGAACTGTGATTTCTGAAATTCACTTTTATTGTCTTATAATCAAAAGAAAAATACCCCAATTGCAATTCTTGGAGTTTCTATGTAGTGGCATAGGTTATTTTTTTTTTCACCGAGATACTTGCTATCATAAAAGGATGTTAAAAAGCTTCTGCACAAGCACAGAAAAAACCATGCTTTGATATCAAACTAGCAGTTGTTGGAGCCTCATGTCAATTTTTTTATAGATAAGAGTGCGGGCTTCGCGATCTTGCGGACCCGCGGACGTTGATACGCCCCCCCCCCCCCTGTGACTGTGAATCATTTTCCCACCGCCAAATCAATTCTTTCTCTACACTCTATCCGCATCGTTGATCACAACCACAGATAATGGCAACTCCTGTAAGTCGTGCATATGTGGATTGAGACCGCCTCCCCTTGGTTACACCCAGGATTTCGCTCACGCCCAATGAACCAGGTCGCCTGCATTCCGTCCCTTGAGACGGCGCGAGAAGTAATCTCGAAGTCGAGAAACTCCGAATTTCCTCCCAACCTCCTTCCTGTCACTGCAACGATTTCCGCCGATCTGTTGACTCCGACTTTAGCATACTTGAAGATTGCCGAGAAGTGAGTCATTGGGGTTCTTTTTCGCTGTGGTCTTTATTCATGATAAGGCGGGACACGCGATCCAAGGTACAATCACTGACTCGACGTAGTTCGCAGTTGTCGTTTTTGTATGAGAGCGCTGCTACCACAGAGACCATTGGACGGTACAGCTTCGTTGGCGCAGGTGGGTGTTGCTCGAAACTGTTTGTCTGATCACATCGCTAACCCCTACCCACATAGACCCCAGAAAAGTCATCAAGACCGGTGAGGGCCATGGTCCAGCCGAGGATCCCCTTCCATTCCTCGAGGATGAGCTCTCTCAGTTCCGTGTCGCGACAGTACCCGGGTTGGTGCTACCGCCATTGACTGCCGGAGCGATCGGATATGTTGGATACGATTGCGTTAGATACTTCGAGCCCAAGACGGCACGGCCCATGAAGGATGTCCTCGGAGTGCCCGAGTCCTTCTTCATGCTTTTCGATACCATCGTCGCATTCGACCACTTTTTCCAAGTCGTCAAAGTCATCACCTACGTTCCTATTCCCTTGGCGGACTCTGATGTCGAGGGCTCGTACCTCAAGGGCCAGGAAATCATTCAAAAGACAATCAACACACTACTCCAGGAACGCACACCGATGCCACCACAGGGCCCCATTATTCCTAACCAGGAGTACACATCCAACATCGGACGAGAGGGTTACGAGGGCCACGTCAACCGATTGAAGCAGCACATCGCCAAGGGTGATATTTTCCAGACCGTGCCCTCACAGCGACTCTCACGACCCACTTCTCTCCACCCTTACAACCTCTTCCGCCACCTTCGCACTGTCAACCCCTCCCCTTACCTGTTCTATATTGATTGCAAAGACTTCCAGCTTGTTGGAGCCAGCCCCGAGCTCCTGGTGAAAGAAGAGAACGGCCGGATCATCAGCCACCCCATTGCAGGCACAGTGAAGCGAGGCAAGACCCCTGAGGAGGATGCTGCCCTGGCCGACGAGCTTCGCAGCAGTCTGAAGGACCGTGCAGAGCACGTTATGCTCGTCGATCTCGCCCGCAACGACGTAAATCGCGTCTGCGACCCCTCCTCCACACAGGTCGACCGACTCATGGTCGTGGAAAGGTTCTCCCACGTCCAGCACCTGGTCTCCCAAGTGTCCGGAGTGCTGCGGCCGGGAATGACCCGCTTTGATGCATTCCGTTCTATATTCCCCGCCGGCACAGTTTCCGGTGCACCCAAGGTGCGCGCTATGTCGCTCATTGCTGAACTGGAGGGCGAGAAGCGCGGTGTCTACGCTGGCGCTGTTGGATACTTTGGATATAACAGCGCCAACACAGATGGCTCCGCTGAGATGCCCGGTGCCATGGACACGTGCATTGCGCTGCGGACGATGATGGTCAAGGATGGCGTTGCTTACCTCCAGGCTGGTGGTGGTATTGTCTTTGACTCAGATCCTTATGATGAGTGGATGGAAACCATCAACAAGCTTGGTGCCAACATTGCTTGCATCAAGGGTGCCGAGGCGAAGTACCTCAGCATGGAAAAGTAATGCGCTCATCATGTTTGGATTAAAATGAATCTAGGCACAAAACTGGTTCATCTCTCGGGATATGTTCAGAAATAACAACCTCCTTTTATCTAGGTTTACATATTTGAGGAGTTCTTTTTCGGGTTTTTTTGGCTTACGCCATAGCATTCTAGCAATGCTTTGACGTGGTTGGTATTCTCTAATATTGGCCACTCCTGATTGTCTTTTGAGTTGATTTTTCGGGGCTATTATATAGAAGTTTCATGAAATATATACATTATATGCCACGTTCTTGCTCTAATGATCATATCAAAGCATCGACTACAACGCCCAAGTCCCCTGAAATTCCAATTGCCGCGTTCTTCTCTTCTAATTCCCAATCAACACACCCAGACGCACCAACCCCAGCCCGAATTAACTTCACACCCTGATCCCCATAATTACGAACCAAATCCTCATTCGGCCACCGCAGCACACCCGGCGTATTCAGCCCAACACCCAGCTCAAGAATAACAACCCGTGTACATTGCGAGTCATTTTCCTCCCCAGCCCCGTTTTCAACAACCTCTTCAACAAAACTCTCCCACTTCCCTTCCAGCCCACGAAAGGGCCTATCATTGAAATACTCCCCACCACGCACACAAAGTGTAATCTCACCCCCACAAAATTTACACCTTGGCACAAACCCCTCATCAACCAAACACTGCGTAACAGAATCGATAAACGGCAAGGCAGCATCAACCAATGGCCCCGCCTCGAAAACCGCATCAGTACGACACTTCTCCAAACACTGCAAGTAACGGTACTGACCCTGCGGCGTCGCCACGCGCGCGGGATCAAACCCATTCCGAGCAAAGAAGCCGTCTGCATTCGATGTGCGGACGAAATATCGCCCCTGGACCCGGGCTGCGAGCCCATGCAGGGCCTTGTATACACCGCATCTTTCTGTCGGCCATGTGCGTGCCATATTCATGTGTAGGAAGTAGTAGCCCCATTTCTGGAGTGGGCTGTCCCATTGATTGTAGCCGAAGACGTCGTAGAGACTGCGGAGGCCTTTGGCGTGCAGGGCTGGAAAGCGGGCGGCAAAGAGGGCGCTTGAGGTGTAGTCTAGCCCGGCTGCGGCGGAGAGACCTGCCCCTGCGGAGATGATGAGGTGGGTTGCCTCGTTTAGCCAGGTTCTGGCTTTGAGGAGGGTTTGGGATGGGTTGGAGAGGGTTGGGACGGTTCGAGGGATTGGTGGGCTAGTGGTGGTGCTGAGGGAGGAGAGGGTTTGTTGGTAGAGGGTTTGGTCTTTTTCTAGGAATGTGTCGAAGATGATGTCTGTGATTGTTGTTGTTTGGTTCTTCTGACACCATTGTACCACTGTATTGACGGCAATGTCCACGGCGAGCTCGGAGGGAAATGCGAAAAGACCCGTTGATATGCAGCAGAAGGCGATCACTTTGCGTCCGTCTTGTAGGGCCGGGAGGGACTCTGCGCTGTCCAGACAGGACTTATAACATGATGCCAACTGAGACCTATGGATTGCGCTTGGCCTTCCCTGTGGGTCAAGCTGGGGCCCGACGGTGTGGAGGATATATGAAGCCGGGAGAAGGAATCCCGGTGTCACTTTTGCTGAGCCAATGGGTTCTGGACTCTTTTGCCCGGACATGATAGAATAACATGCATCACGGAGCCGAGGGCCGGCAGTAGCATGAATCACATTATCAATGCACCGGTGACTTGGGTGGAAACATCCTAAAAGCTGGGCGTTTGCGGCATTGACGATGGCTGTTACATCTGTCAAGGTTGTGATATCGCCTTTCCAGCATGATAGTCTAACTGGGTGAGCCTCTGGAGATGCTTTGATCACAGCGGTGGATTGAATTGAGGCCGTAGGTTTCAGTAGACTATGGCTGTTTTGATTTGCGATGACAGCGTCGATGTCGTCCAAGATATCGGATGGAAGTTTTGGCACGGCATGTCTTTGGCAAAGGAGTTGGCGCAGGGATTCTAGCTGAGACCAGGCGTCCATATCGAGAATCCAATCTTGACTGCTATGGTGTACGCATTGATGTTCTATCGTCTTAACCTGGTTTAAGAGGCGCTCATCTAGGAGATATCGTAGTACCCTCTCGAGGCGGGATGTGGTTGATTCATGTGCACCCATGATGGACTTTCCACGTTGAGAATTAAGTGAAATTCTAATTTAGCCAGTGAAGACGAGAACCAGATCTCGTCTTATATGCTACGGAAATTATCTATGAAAAAACCATATATTACAAATGGGAGCGGAATAAAGCCTTCACTCTAAAAATTGCAAACATTTCATATAATTTATTGTGTACTAGTCCTGTGATTTGATTGGCTGTAGTATTGTTTGAACAGTTTGCTTGAAAGACAAACTCTAATAGTCAGCCAATCAACATCGCGAGTCTAGAGCCTCGGATCCACATTGGCAATGACGTAAAGACCAAAGGCCGAATGGCAAAGTACTGCGATACATTTGGGAGCAATCGAGTCTTATTTTAATTAAGTTCTATCTCAAGTCCTCAATTAAGAATTAATCTGTTTTATCGAAGTTTGCTGCCACCAAAATGACCCTCCCAGCACGACCAGTTGTTGCCATTGCCGGAGCCACCGGCCATCTAGGCCAGCATGTTACAAACGCCTTCCTTTCCTCTGCGTTCCTAGACAAGTTCTCCGAGATTGTCCTTCTCTCTAGAAAAGAGCCGAATCTCCTTCAGCCCTCCGATGTCCGAGCCGGTGTGAAAGTCACAACGCGAAGATACAACGAAAACAACCTCGAAGAGGCCCTCCAAGGCGTTCAAATCCTCGTCAATACAGTCGGGCCCGGAGGCCATGAGTTCAAAACCAAGATCGCAGCCGTATTACCTCGAACCGATATTCGGGTTTACTTCCCTTCCGAGTTCGGTGTTGACCACTATGTGCACGATTTTGCTCATCTGGAGTGGTACGAGAAGAAGAAACACCTAGCGAATTCCCAGCCCGTCGTGACACACATGAAGATCTGTCGAATATTCTGTGGCTTATTCCTAGAAGATAGCATTGGCCCGTGGTTTGGCCTTGACACCAAGAATGGGAAATACACGAGCGTGGGATCTCCGCGCTCACCGATTTCTTTCACATCGCTCCAGGACGTTGGTAAAGTGGTTGCTTCGCTGGCTACATTCCCAGAAGAGAAACTTCCTGAGATTGTTCATCTGGCCGGGGATACTCGCTCAATCTCCGAGATTGCATCAATCATGCAGGCTGCCGGAGCGGGGCCGATTGAAGTGGCGGAGATACCTTATGGGGCATACAAGGCGAAAACAACGGCTGAATCCTCGTGGGATCCAGCTGCTTATTTGCGTTTCTTGATGGGAGATGGGAGTATCAATCATTCCGCTGCTGGCCTTGGGAATGATAATGACTTAGTTAATCCGGGGCAGCGGCTATGGAGATGGAAGACGTTGGAGGACTTGGCGAGAGAGACCAAGGGCCGACCTTGGAAAGATACTGTTTGGCCTCCTAAATAGATAAGGATTAAGATACTCAGATAGAGTGTGATAAAATTCGATAGAGATTCGACAAATATACATAAATCAACCACTAAATCTCACAACCTACATGCAGCTTTACAAATGCGACTGTGAGAAGGCCCCAGGGCGGCTAGTAAGCTAAGCCTCGTGCCTAAGCCTCATACCTAGGGCAATTGAACCAACCCGGCTCGTATTGACCCACAGATGTTGACGATGACACATTGTTGCTCATTGTTATTATGCCCTTACTCGTACATCACTCTAATTTATGCCTAAATAGCCAGTGTGACTACTGACTCATCAGCTCAGCCCTGGACGTTTCAACCTTGGGTAAGAGCGTGTATTATCTCAAAATCTCACACCTTTTTATAAATGAATAGCGCCTCCTCTGTAAAGTTCCAAGTAATATCGAATTTTTACCATCCCAACTTTTGGCAATGTCTTTATCTTTGAAATCTCGTGCCCAAGGCGCTATCTGGGGCGTCTGTGTCGCTGATGCCTTGGGCGGTCCGGTTCAATTCCAAGACCCAGGGACATTCGAGCCCATCAGAGGCTTGAATTTTGTCGCTCCTTACGAACAACCAGCTGGGTACGATTTGCCACCAATGAACCAAGAGATCAGTCTAACAATGGACCAGATCTTACTCCGACGACGGTGCTATGACGCTGGCTTTGGCATGCTCTTTCTTCAAGTCTAATATGCAATACAACCACAAGCTATCTATCCGGTACTATGTCGAGTGGCTCACCACAGGTCGGTTCAGCACAGTAAACTACGCATGGGATATGGGACATTCAACTCACAGTGCCCTAACTATCTGGAAGAACTCCGGAATGAGCGATATCGAACTTGCTCAGGCGGAAATCAATGCGAGGTTGGATAAAAACCAATGTTCGGGAAACGGAAGTCTCATGAGGATTGTTCCGGTAGGGGTGGTCTACTGGCGAGATGTCAAACTGGCAAGGCAAGTCGCTAGAAAACAAGGCCAGGTCACCCATCCTGCACTCCCATGTGTAGAAGCATGCGAGGCATATACAGCATTGGTGTGTGGAGCGATGAGTGGTGAGTTAAATTTCTTTGCTTTTTTTTTTTCATCTAACAATCACTAATACGTCCTGTATATAGGTCAAACCAAGCAGCAATTGCATGACTCGGTTGCTTGTTTTGTGTTTACTCACCCTGACCTGAAAGAGCGCATGTCTCAATACAAGTCAATTGAGGACTGGAAAGTAAAGGAGCCTGATGTTATGACGAGTAGTGGGTGGGTCATCGATACACTGGAGTGTGCTTTGTGGGCATTCTTCAAGTATGACTCGTGGGAGGAGGGAGCATTGGCCGTTGTTAATCTGGGTGGTGATGCCGATACTGCAGGAGCTGTCTACGGAGGACTTGCAGGTTGCTTCAATGGAATGGAATCTATCCCGAGCAAATGGGTGCAAGGAATGCAAAATAAGGAATTCATTGGGGGTATTGCTGACACTTTTTCGGAGAAGCTCTGAGGACCAAACCGATGTGACTTGTCACTCCCGAGTCGATCTCAAATAATTCTAGAAGGAATGACGTAATATGTAATAGTTATTTGACACTCCACCTTTCATCTCTTCCAGGACTACCTTGTAGACAACTGTCAAAGCTTTTTTCAATGTTGAACACAAATATTGTGCCGGAAATTTATCATTGGAGAGAAGGAGAATTGACTGTTGCCTGAGACAAAAGCTCTTGCGCGGCCCAAGGTCGCCACATGTGGCGGTGTTCATGTTTTTACCAGGGCCTTCCGTTCATGCAATATTGTAGAACTCCGCAGATCTGAATTATATCGAGTATCGAATTCCGTTTTATTACCACATACTCCGTACATATGTACCTATAGGCAGCTCACATATGTAAATCAATTGAAAGCACCCACATTTGTGAGCGAGATTGTTAGGCAAAAAGATAACATATCAACGTGTTGGGCCGGAGATCCGACCACGAGGGCCATATTGCCGCCCACAAAATACTACCTAGGTATATATTAGATTAAAACAATTTGAGAATTGAACTCGTAACGCTTTTCTTGGGGTTTTAAGGGCAAACATTCCAATAAGCTTAAGTTGAAGTTTTTTTAATAAAAAAAAGAAGGGCAAAAACCAACTTCCTTTTCAGAGAAGAGTGTAGATCTTGACTGAGTATAATTGGAGTACAATACAAAACCGCTTCGTCACTGCCAAGGCTCTCTTTCCCCCGTTCCAGCCACAGTCCCCTCTTCATCTTCCTTTTATCACCTCTTTCTCTTACTTTGGTAGCCACTCAGTGTTCAATTCCCTCTCCCCAACTCATCAACCTGCTAGCCTACCCCTTTTAGACGCGGGAGGTGCATGAGAGAAGGCGCTTAACAACAGTCCTTGGGCCGCGATACGGAGAAAGCGAGCGGGCTGTGTGTCCTTGGCAGTCCAGCACACCTTGCTGCGATAATCCTTTACATTGATCGATTCAAACCCCACAATTTCTATCACTCCTATCCACTTGATTCCGCGACCGTTGCAATACCGTCACCATGTCAAAAGTCGTGCGAAGTGTGAAGAACGTCACAAAGGGATATTCCTCAGTGCAGGTCAAAGTTCGAAATGGTATGAGCGTTCTAGTCCCATCGGCCTTTTGGCCGGGGTCAAAGTCTGGGCGCATCTGCAGGATGGCTGCTATCTCCGCGTACATCCCCTGCTATGTGGAGGTTACTGCATTGCGCCCAGTCACCCCGCATACGTTATGGCCATGATTCTAATGCTTTCGCTTTCTAGCCACAAGTAATGACCCTTGGGGCCCTACGGGCACCGATATGTCCGAGATTGCCGCCATGACTTTCGGGAGGTAATATTGACTTGCGATCAATTGTGTGAATACCACTAATCTTGTCTGCATTCGAACAGCCCGAACGAGTTCTACGAGATCATGGATATGCTCGACAAGCGACTGAACGATAAGGGCAAGAACTGGCGCCATGTGCTCAAGTCACTGAAGGTTCTGGACTACTGCCTTCACGAGGGCTCAGAGTTGGTGGTAACATGGGCTCGGAAAAACGTTTATATCATCAAGACTCTGCGCGAGTTTACATATGTTGATGAGGAAGGAAGAGATGTTGGTCAAAACGGTAAGTAATTTTTCTTCTTTGTGAATTAGAGGTAGCGCAAGACTAACACGTCGATGTTCTTTAGTCCGAGTGGCAGCCAAAGAATTGACTGCATTGGTACTGGACGAAGACCGTCTGCGCAGCGAACGATCCGATCGAAAACTTTGGAAGACCCGTGTAAGCGGACTCGATGAGGGCTATGGAAACTCCGGCGCCGAACCGTCACGCAGAGAGCCACGCCGACGCAATGGAGACGATGACTCCGACACCGAGTACCGCTTGGCCATTGAAGCCAGCAAGGCTGAGGCCGAGGATGAGCGACGGCGACGGGCCAAGGAGACAATGGGAGTCGACAACGACGAGGATCTTGCCAAGGCGATCAAGCTTAGCAGGGAGGAGGAAGACCTCCGAAAGCGCGAATTGGAGGAGAGCAACGCGCAATCTCTCTTCGATGAGACCCCGGCAGCACAAGTCCAACCAACCGGTTATAACCAGGGTTACCAGCAACAAGGTGCCGTGGATTGGTTCGGTAACCCGATCAATGCGCAGCAACCCATGACTACTGGCTTCCTGAATAACCAGTACGCGCAGCCAACAGGATTCCAGAACCAACCCACCGGCATGAACAACCCTTACGCCGCCGGCTTCCAGAATCAACCAACGGGCTATGAGCAGAACCCCTACAGCCAGCCCCAAAACAACTTCTTGCAACCTCAGGCCACCATTCAACCCCAGAATACCTCATTCAACCCTAACAACCCTTACGGAGGTGGTGATATTTTCTCGCAACAGCAGCAACAGCCCCAGGAGAACTACCAGTCCGCAGGAAGCAACAATCCTTGGTCTGGAAACCAGCCACAGCAGCAGCATCTGCAGCCTGCTGATGCTCTTAAACCCATGCCAACAGGATCAAACAATCCCTTCGCACAGCGTACCCAGACACAGTTCAACCACACAGCACAGACAGGCCCACCGACCCTCAACTCTCTGGCGGAGGACCGCACCACGAATCAATTCGCCCAGAACAACGTAAGCCAGTACGGCCAGAACAAGCCGTTCGCCCAACCCGCTCAGCACAACCCGATCGCCGGCTTCCAGGCCCCACAGCCACCGAAGAGCACTCCGCCTCAACCCCAGGACCCCCATCACGCTCGTCTGAATGCGCTTCTCGGGTCAGGCGAAGGCCAAGACACATTCGGCAACGTTGGAGATCTCCGAATTCCTGCACAGCACACGGCACCCGGTACTTTCGTCAACTCTGCCGGTCAGGGTCTGGACCGACTACACGCCGCTCCAACCGGAAACCCATATTTCCAACAGCAATTTACGGGTATGCCCCAACAGACAGGCTATGTGCAGCAACAACAGCCCACCAATAGCAACCCTTGGGGAGGCCAACAGCAACAGCGGGGCGGTGGTAGCTTGATCGATCTGTAATCGGTCTAACGGACTCTTTATCTCATTCCTGTCTTCGCCAAGGCCATGCGGATACCATCTATCTCTTTTGCCCCCTTTTTTCTTTTTGTTTTGTTGGGGGCTTGGTCGTCTGGTTTTCATTTGGTTTTCATTACTTTTCCCTTTTACTTCTCTCCCCCTATCTTTACTCGAACTCGATACTCACAATCTTCCTACATCTATAAACGGTGGGACTGCATCTTTAGGAGACCCAAGATCCAGTGTCCACCTTCTCTCGACGTTCAATTTGGGCCCTTTCATTGTCTTGTACCTTTTCCCGCCACAAGAACTTTCTTTTGTTTCTGTCATTTGTCTACCATTAGGATATCCATCTCATTTCAAACATGTTTCTTGAGATTTTATCAAATTTCCCCATGCTCTATTTGGGCACCTTCGTACCTGGAATGTTAGTTCGATAGGTCATCAAGCCCAGTAACATTAGATATTGGGCATTTGCCCAGTTGATTCACTTTTCACCTCTGCTATTGAGGTACGTTTGAATGCCTACACATGTAGGAATCCCCAAAGGCGTAAACTAGTTGCCTCGCCAGATCATAATTCCGTAAGGATCACGGTCAGCTTCGCTAACAAAGACCTCAGGCTGACCCTCCTCATCATTTTGAACCGTAGCATCCCAGGTCTTTGTAAGCTCAGCAAGCAACTTGGGTTGCATGACAGAGCGCAGATACCCACGCTCGGAGTTCGTGTGCGAGAGAGAGTGACAACCGAGCCCCGCTCGGTAGCAGCCAGAGCCTCGTGGTGGCTCATCTCACCGGTCAAAAGAAGGTCGGGGATTTCGCCACTGCGGAGGAGCACGCTGGATCCAGAACCGGGGCACATGCCAACTGTACTGATGTTGATGCGGTCGACAGAGCTGCCTTGCGGGACAGCGATCGGAATGCCGCCGGGCAGGCCGATACCGTAGGCAACATTGTCAATCAGGCTGGTCAGCGGCTGCGCTTCGTTGAATGTCACCAGTCGGCCGGCACCGGCGGATTCGAATCCTTCGGGGATGGACGCTGCCGGGGAGGGGTGGATCGTGCTTCTGGTGTGGGCTGGGCCTTCGGTCTTGGGGTTGACAGTGGGGATTGGAGAATCCGGATATGTTGGGGCAGTGTACATGCTTGATTCGGATGTTTTGAGGACTGCCTTGGAATCCTTGGGGGCTTTGAAGTTCCCGGTCACTACGTCGCAGAGCCAGTCGGCCATGCCGTTGGGGACGGTATCGACCGCTGTGTGGGGGGAGTAGACGCTGATACCATGCTGTGCTAGGCGGAGGAGGGACCGTTGTTGGGAATCGGCCAGAGTGAGTGACTTGAGGCCGCGGAAGATGATTGGGTCTGTAATTTGTCAGGCGTTGCTAATTTATTTAAACATACGCAGTCGCAATCATCGTAGCTCCGATGAGCCCGGATAGGACTTACGGTATGCGACGACAGCCGAGTTTCTGTTCTTGATGGCTTCATCAGCAACGGCTGTTGTGAGGTCAATGGTTAGGAGAACTGAGTTCTTTTGTCTCCGGGAGGAATCGAAGGGTGCTTCAAGGAGCACTGCAATTGATCCAAGGTCAGTACTTTTCATAAGCCACTTCAATGGACGAAAACGCGTCAGACTCACATCCTGTGTTATCAAAACTCTTGTCTGCCAAGGCCTCTGGATATCTACATATCGAGATCAATCCTACTTCCAAATAATGCGGGGAGCTCTGGAACGAGTGGGGGAAACTTACAGCTTCCTCATCGAGGTCACCACGGCCTGGGTGAAAGGCGAGCATTGAACAGACGATCCAGGGAGATCCATTGTAGAAAATCGACGAGCAGCAGTGCGTAGGAAATTCATAGAGGTGTTGTAGAAGTAGCAAGTCAATACGGGAAGCAATTCGTTGAGCCACACACGTGCCACACACCAGCCACAGCCGACCGGAGGCTCTGAATTTCTGAATTTGTAATAAGGAACTCTTCAAGCTGAACCCCATACTTCACGATAATCTCGGGTCTGGTACTCTTTCTCTCTTTCTCCCCCTCCTCCCCACCACACTTGATGTTCTCCCGCGCCTCATCCTTGAACGTCCTGAGCAGAAGCTGCCGCTATCTCCTCCGCCCTCAGATTCCTACCCAGCGGACCTTCTCCCTCACCGCGCGCTCCCACGCCGCCATCAACGCCGCCATGGCCGACACATCTGGAATCACTGCCGATTCTTTGAAAAATAAGTTGACCGAGACTCTGCAGGCGCAGCATGTGGAGGTTGAGGATCTGTCCGGTATGGTAATGGGAATGACGCTATGACGTCGAAGCATTTTCTTCCCGTCGAACAATCTTGCTAATTCGTTTTCTTGTTCCCTCTAGGTGGCTGTGGACAAGCGTTCCAGGCTGTGATTGTCTCTCCTCAATTCGAGAGCAAGACCATGCTGGCGCGCCACCGTCTCGTCAACTCTGCGCTCAAGGAGGAGATCGCTGCTATCCATGCTTGGACTCCCAAGTGCTATACCCCTGAGCAGTGGCAGGCTCTGCAACAGTAAATAACTACTGCGAGGCGATACGATGAACCACGACTTCTTCGGGGGTTTTTTTGAGAAGAACTTGGCATGCGAACAAATTCATCCGTTGGATTCTAATCGTGCACCCAATGGATCCATACACGAGCTTGGCTCCTATTTTATTTTCTGGCATCGATTTTTTAGGCGTTAGCCGGGTTGGAAAGGATGGATATTTGTACATAAAACTCCTCTGCGCTACGAAGTACAAGTGCAGCTGGGATTGAGAATAAATCTTAAAGCCTTGGCAATTATATCACATGTTATTCTACATTGTACTATTTGCAAGTGTATAGAACTCTTCTGGACAGATTTAGCCAAGCACCTTCTCGGCGGCGGAGACTGCAATTGGGATTAGCATAGGACCACATACTTGACAGCAGGGAAGAATCGTACCGTTGAGACCAGTGTTGTCGGGCTCGATGAAAGTTTCCTTGACCTTTCCGTCCTCGACAAGCAAGACATAGCGCTTGCTGCGGTTGTTACCGAAGATAGCAGCGCTGTCGAAGCTGAGGTCGAGGGCCTCAGTGAACTTGCCGGAGGGGTCGCCCAAGAAGCGAATCTAATAAAAGTACATGTCAGCCATGTTCATCGAAACGCAAAGAAGTGAAGTGACTGCATACACCGCTCTTGCCCTGGGGATCCAGGGAGTCAGCCCAAGCCTTGGTCCTGTGTAAAACGGTCAATAAACATCCCATCAAGCAAGGCAGGGCTCTACAGCCCATCCACCCGACAGCGATTGCTTACACGAAGGGATCATTGACGGAGATGACGAAAGCCTGACCAGCCTCCTTGAGCTTTGGGTGGTTGATGAAGCCAGGGACGTGGGTGCTAGAGCACGCGGGGCCTGGGAGAGAGAGGGTCAGTCCCGGTCGGAGATTTTGTTTGCTAGAGAACAGGTCACGCACTGAAGGCAGCCGGGGTACCGATGATAACAGCCTTGTTCTTGATCTCCTTGGCCAGATTGACCTTGTTGCCGGGGGAGTTCTCGACTAGGACGTCCAGGTTGGGGATGGCATCGCCCTTTTGCACGAACGCGGGCGCGGTGCTGTGAAAGAGGGAAGCTTGCGCGCGAACGCGGGGGATGTTGGTTGCAAGGCGGCGGGCGGCGAACATTGTGGAATTGAGGTGCTGGAATGGATGTTGTTGATGTTGTAGGTTGTAGGTTGTAAGTAGGTTGTAAGTAGGTTGTGGGTAGGTTGTAGTTAGGTTCACGAGGAACCGAAGCTTGGGGATTTCGTCATGGCCGTTAGGATCTGCATGTTTTGGGAACTCGCTTGTCTTACATCGATTCCGTTTACTGGCCATGGATGCTTAGGATACAATGTGTATTTATTATCCTCTATTTTTTCCTCTTATTGTTGCCCATTTTACATTTCAATTTCATTGATTCACCTCCAACTTAGTACAGTGTGACTTTGCGGAGGCTATTCATTGTGCCGCGGCTACCGCAGTATAAACTATATGAGCTGTCACCTATAATAAGTGCCTGTCTTAAAGATAGGGCTCACCTGGCACCCTCGAATCGGATAATATGAACTCCCATCCTATTCATCACTGACGTTGTTTGTCCCTGCACTGTCACACTGTGGATCGTCAAACCCCTGCTGAAAGATGCAGTCATCTTCTAGTTCAACGTGAAGGTCGGCCTTAATAAAACAACTCGATAATGAAGTTCACTTGGGATGAAGAGGTACGTGTGATTTGTGTGTTTTCATTATGACGACTATGTCTCACGGTGGAAGCTTATATGTTCTTGAGGGGGTTTACTTGGGCTTCTAGACCATACTTCGGTTACCTATAGGTGATAGCGATATACTTACTATATTGGAAACAGTATGTACTATAATGTTCTGTTTATTAAGCATATGTACATATGTACATACCTAGGTACATATGTATGGACTAGATCTATTTAAGCAATGTAAAATCTCATCAAAGTAATCTGAGATCTTGATAACCAGTCATACCATATCCTACATAAACACCTCACATAGTCAACTATTGTATCTTTCATCATATTTAGTCTCCACGGCTCTCGGCGGAAGTGGGTAAGTAGTTCATAATAAAAATTAATAGATTAAAAGATATTAACATGTTCGATTCCATTGAACCATGTATTTTATCTTTTAAGGTCCATACGGTACAAACGAATGGCAGGGCTGAGCGCATGAAAACAAGGTAGGTTACCCAAAAAAAACCTATAGTGGAGCAAGCACACATATATAATATTCTTTCTTTTTATTCCAAGGTTCTCTCCAAATACACAATATACAGGTCTTTGTTTCTTAGTTCCATGTTTGTTCCCTCACTGCTACACAATGATTTGTACGCTAAAAAAATGTGTCTCACCATGTACTGTAGTGGCCCCTCCATCTCTTGCGCACTGACACGATGTCAAAGCTGCATGTCAATGGCGAATAGCATATGAAATATCATGAGTTATCCAGTACCTAACTAATACCTAGTACATTGTATAGATTCAAGGTTGAACATACCAGAATATTTGCCCCTCGTTTCTGTCGAAACGATTTAAGATTGAGAAGAAACCTCCTTGCATCATGAACAATGAAATACATATAGGCATTTGGAATTAAAATCAATATTATGATCATATAGTTGTTTCTAAAAAAGAAAGGGAACAACCGTTGGAAAAAGAAGAAGAAAAAAAAAAGTACATCGCATGTACCAGACAGTACCTCCACAGTAACTTTGGTACTTGGCTCTACCGCTAGACCGTACCCCCGTTATTATTCATTCGGTTTTTTTCCTTCTCCCACCCTCCGAGAAGGTCTGGCTTATATCCCAAGACTCTCTTTCTTTCTTTCTTTCTTTTTTGCGCATATCAAGTATTCCGCTATATTTACAATCGAGTATATCCGTGTTGGGACGAGCCCAGCCAGACTGCTTGTTCGACCGGTCGCGACCCGTCTAGCCCAGCATGGACGGTGGCCAGACCTCTTCCAATCCCGCCCCCGCTGGGAACTCCAGTGATTTTGTATGTGATGATCATACCGCTTATTTTTTTGTGAGATATAGCTAATAATGACTAGGTACGCAAATTGTACAAGTGAGTCTTTCTTTGTCGACTTGATATCTCCCCCCTGTTCTCGTTCCGGCCCTTCTTTTCCCTCCCTCTCGCAATTCTAACCATGTTTCCCACAGAATGCTGGAGGACCCAACCTACGCGTCTATCGTACGCTGGGGCGATGAAGGGGATAGTTTCGTGGTCTTGGAGGTAATTATTCCGTGGCTTTGTGTATCAAATCTCCCCTCGTGCTGGACTAACTGGGGATACAGTGCGAGAAATTCACCAAGACCATATTACCTAAACACTTTAAGCACAGCAACTTCGCCAGTTTTGTACGCCAACTGAACAAATACGACTTCCACAAGGTGCGACAAAACAACGAGGAAAATGGCCAGTCGCCATACGGACAAAATGTAGGTACACCGAGTCGAATTTTTGGGCCGGGAGGTTTAACAAAAGAACGCAGGCATGGGAATTCAAGCACCCCGAGTTTCGCGCAAACAGCAAAGAATCGCTTGACAACATTCGACGAAAGGCCCCCGCCCCCCGGAAACAAACCCAAAGCAACGAAGAGTCCGTACCCACACAACAAATTGACCTGCTCAATCAACAGATTGTGGCCCAACAGCAACAGATTCAGCATCTCTCAGACCGCTATGCCCAGCTCTCGGTGGATCATCAGCTCATGCTCCAGGAAACCATGCGGGTCCAGAAAACAGTTTTGAACCACGAAAACGTCATTCATCAAGTGATGAACTACCTACTATCGATGGATCGCCAACGACGGGATAGCAAGGCTGTGAACTTCCCACAAGCCGGAACAACCATGAGTCCCTCTCAGGTCGGCACAGGGGACGATGAACCTTCATCGCCTCTCCAGCAGGCCTCAAAACTCTTGAATGACATGAACGCGGAACTCCAATTCAATATGAATGGCGTCGACTCAATGAACGATCCCCAAAAGGCCACTGTTGTTTCAACTCCCACAATGGATCCGAATGCGCGCAATGGCTCGCTTCGTCCACCAAATGCCGCACCTCCCAACCCTAACCCAGCGCTCGTTTACCCGAAGATGACTGGCGATCTGGAGCAAGTGGTGTATCCCGTTGGTGCCACCAATGGAATCGACCCCATGTACAGCGAACACATCAACAATGTTCCTTACCCGATGCCGCCCAAGCAAGAAGTCGACCCTTCGGATGCCCGTCGGCAATTCCCTGACAACCGGAAGAAGACCAACAATGTTGATCCTGGCTGGGTGCGCAGTCCCCAGATTCTCTTAGTTGAAGATGATGCCACTTGCCGGCAAATTGGAGGGAAATTTCTCTACTCTTTCTCTTGTGTCATCGATACCGCGGTATGTCTAAAAATGTTCTACTAATCGGCAAAATCGCTAATCATCCTTTAGTTTGATGGTTTGGAGGCTGTGAACAAGATTCAGGGTGGTTCCAAATACGATCTCATTCTGATGGATATTATAATGCCAAATTTGGATGGCGTGTCGGCTTGTCATCTTATTCGCCAATTTGATCGCACTCCTATCATCGCTATGACTTCCAATATCCGAAGCGACGACATTCAACTGTACTTCCAACATGGTAAGACCACTCTCATTCATCAATGAAGTATCTTCGCTAAATGCGCATAGGAATGGACGATGTTCTTCCCAAACCGTTCACTCGCAAGAGCCTCCTGGATATGCTCGAGAGACATCTGGATCATCTCAAGATCTCGCCGCAGAACCCCCCAGGGATGGAGCAGGTACCACCTTCTGCAGCCACCGTAACCATGGCAGCTGCCGCTCAAAACTCAGCAGCACATTCGATCAAGGAAGACAGCTCCCCAGGCCAGTCGCCTGCGGGGTCGATGAACAACTGGCAATCTCCCGGTCAATTCCAGAACATGCAGGCCGTTCCACCAAACATGCCCGCAGTCCAAGGCCAATATGTTACAGCTCCACCGACGGCATATACTGTTGATCAGAATGGCGTCCAATATCCAGCCCCTGCAACTCAAGTGGGAGTCCCTACTGCCGGGGCTCCTGTCCGCCCCCCGCATCGCCGCCAGATTTCAGACATGTCTAGTGCTACTGAAAACCCCAACATGCCAAAACGCCAGCGTATGTACTCTCAACCACAACCGATGCTTGCTGTGCAAGCTGGCCGACCGGGCTAAACCCAGTCGGCCCATTACTCTGACTTTATAAACCCCCTTTCCGCCTGTCCATTGACTCACGATTCCCACTTGTCTATAATGAGGTTTCAAATCCCAAATCGTACATTTTTGTTACTCTTCGCGGGTGTCTTTGCCGCGGTTGTTTTCTATTACAGGTTCTTGGCGTTGCATGATTTGAAGAGGTGGCGGACTTCTGCGACTTTACTTGCGTCAGCTATATCCACCGTGCGCGCATACATTACCGCCGAAGAGATTGTTTCAAGTACATATTTCACAAACATATTATTTTATTTATTCCACATTCTATGTGCCTGTGTATCCACAGGGGGCCACGTTGGTATCTGTTCTGGGAGGGGCACGCGTAGGGAGCTTCGTATATGAACACATCATCAAGGAACTTTCTCTAATTCAAGGTTGGAGGGACACTCCATAATTGGAACATCAGCCAAAACTTAAGAACATTTATGCACCAAGAACTATACCTTCCTTATAACGGGATCATACCTCGAATTGTGTCACGGCCCCGATTCGACATTCGCGGGTCGGGCCCGAGATCGCACGAACTGCAGGGGACAAATAAGGTGGAAGGGGGAAAGAAAGTCTAGACCTTCAATTGTTTCTTCTACCTTAATATCGTTTTGCTAAGAGTCCAGGAGGGCCCAGACCTTGAAGACCTCGGGAGGTTCTGGGCCCTTCTAATCCATGGACGTTATGTGGCTCTTGCTTTATGCTTAGTTTGTTTGCACTGTTTGTATTTGATTGTATGATTCAATGTCAATATTCTTAAGTTAGTTGGATGTAGATGGTGTTAAATAGAACACAAATCAGCTTCAGAAAGAAGTAAAATGGTTCAATGTTTCGATTCACTCTCTGGCTGAGAGGATGTGCTACCTGCATCCGAGGACGGAAACGGGGCCCAAGAACTGCATGTTCCATCGAGGTATCCAAGACCGTGCATGACACATCTTAGCACCTGCATAACGACTCTTCGGGGCCTTCACATCTATGTATTGACAGTACTTTGTTACTATGTAGGGAGTTGGTTTTGTTTCTGCAGGACGCAAGAGCTCTCGGCTGTAGTTGTTCGATTCCATTCGATTGATTGACTCGAAAGTAGCCACAATATTAAGTACACCATTCTGCTCGGGATAGGCAAGGTTGTATGCATGTCCATAGTCGATCTTGGAGAGTACAGTGTTCATAAGTGCTGGGATGACAAAGTTTATATAGACGTGTCTCAATTTTAAGAAGCTCCACCTTCTTAGACGGGCGAAGGTCATATTCAGAGGTCATTCTATGCCTGTCTTTACTGTAATAATATCTCTGGTGATATTTTGACACATTGTACCGGAGCATGGGATATATCACAAGTATTTGATAATTGTTCGTTTGCAAGTTTCCACATTGCGTATAAATTGAATTCAGGCTTCCGCGGATCGTGGAGTTTAGGCAAAGCAGCATCCTACGATCGTTGATTATGTACGTATAACAAGGACCAAAAGAACTCAGCCTTTTTGTTGGACTCTGACCCAGTTCATATAGCTCTTACGTCGGCAGCTAATATCTTTCCAAAACTGTGACTATCAAATACGGCTTTGAATGTTTTGAGAGGCTTTTCGGGCCTATCCAAGTACCTAGTGTCATATTTTTCATCATAAAGAGAGGCAAGGCCTTGAAGATGTTGACTTCCTCTGATGTGAGATCTTCGTTCTCACATGTTCTGTCCTGTCGTCCAAAAATTTGGAGAATATTTAGGGTTTGAATCTTAACACGATTCGATATATACAACCGTACGGTGTTTGCACTAAAACATACTCATTCGGTTTAAGTGATTGGTTCCTCTGAATTGAGCATCTTCTGGACAACGACCATCTCTTCTCTTAGGGGTGTATTCCTTCTGTCGTAAACCTTGGAAGCCGTCACTCCTTCTATCGCAGCCCTTTCTCCCAACAAAACTGGGATTGCAGCTTCTGTTTCCCCCCTCCCTATTTGTCACCGTTTGAAACCCTAGGCCGCTGACTATGACGTTTCCGTTCGAAATCACCCGACCCAAGTTGTTGATATCTAAGTTATTGCAAAACATGTTTCTACCTGCGCCAACATGTACTCTACCCATAATTGATGTAAACCGTTGGTTCGCTGGTATATTCAAGTCTTCGTTCAAAGGTCCTGAATGTCCTGGCGTAGGTTTCTCATAGGAAGGGCGGGGGTGCGTTATCATTGTCCACATTTTCATCGTAGCGAGGCGGGAGTGAGTGATTGGCCTGAAAACCTTACTGGCTTCTTTCAATATTAGACATAGTATTTTGTGTCCTTTCGTCAAGTATACTTAGAGAAACAAGTGAATGATATGACTTAATATAACACTATATCACTGCCTAGGTAGCGCTTATATCACGAGACCATATGAGGCAGCAACGTTCGATGTCCGAAGCTGAAACATCGATATGTGGACAGCCAAGGTGAAGAATGGATGAAATTTGGTGATCCAGAATGTCTACCTCAATTTGGTTATGGATGGAGGAAAAGTGCCCTATCAATTGTGTAGAAGCGTTTCATCCCAACGTATTATGCCTACACAGCCACTACGGACCATGCCAACTCATATCGGATGTCATAGCTATATTACGACTATTTCTGCTACTAGGCTGAAGTATTTTCCGTGCTTAGTGTGCTGCCTCATGATGTGAGGATAATTTCCTGTTTGGGAGATATTATTTACCAAGCCAACCGAAATGCCTTTACCCTCCGCCTTCGCCAAATCCACATAGGATTGGTCAGAATATTTTACGCTGTGCAGACATGACCGTACCAGGTGCACCTACCGCTCTCGACTAGCCCTCCGTTTATTGGTCTGCGACGTCTTTGTTCTTTTTTGCCTCAGGCAGAAGTCTCGATTGATTCAGCTTTGGTGACTCAAACAGTACAAACAAGCGGGATGAATCCGATGCTTTTTTGTGCCTTTGATAACGAGATCGTCGCATGCCTTTGAGCTGATTGTGCTATTTTCGAAGCGGAGAAGTCTTTATAATTCCTCGTGTCTTTGCGGGCTTCGTTTACTCACAAACTCTACCAATCTCGACTTCTGAGGATTGTCGAAATTGTGCGAAGGTATGATGAGCTTGCTTTCTCTGCTGCTTCACGAGGGCCAGTGATTGAGACAATGTTATTTGAAAGTGAATTTGGTGCTGATATGGCTCCCAGAAATGGCCCCCAAGCAGAAAGGAGGGCAAAAGCCCAAGGCTAATACGGCGGAAGAAGTGGAAGAGACGTTTCAGGCTGTGGTATGTTTAACTGTCGCGCAGGTTGCGCGATGACTCTTGTTGGGTTATTTCTTGTGCTTTATCCAGATTCACTGACTTTACCAATCCGCAGGTGCTTGCCGATACCTTCGAGACAAGATTTGAACCGTTCACCCGCGACAAGCCTCGAGTATGTTCATCCGATCACGAGACTATGCTCCACGAATTTGAAAATAACGAACCAAATGACTACAGTGCCTTTTGCCGCTCGCGAATACTCCCTTGATTGAATACACACTCGAATTTCTGGCCAACGCAGGCGTGGAAGAAGTCTTTCTTTACGGAGGCGCCCATTCAGACCAAGTGGAGAAATACCTCAAGTATGGCTTTCGCTCGGTATCGTCTTTGATACATCGGACACAGCTAATCTGAATTTATAGTGCCTCGAAATGGAGGGCCCAGACTTCTCCCTTCAAGCAGCTATTCTTCCTCAAATCAACATCTGCCTCTGTCGGTGACGTTATGCGCGACCTGGACGGCAAGCATCTGATTACCGGAGACTTCATTGTCGTGAGCGGCGATGTGATCAGCAATCTTCCCATCGAAGGTGCCTTGGCCCAACACCGAAAGCGCCGAGAGACCGACAAGAATGCCATCATGACCATGGTTCTCAGGGAAGCCGGCCTAAACCACCGGACTAAGTCATCCTCGGTCTCTCCGGTTTTCGTTATCGATCCCACCAAAGACCGCTGTCTGCATTACGAGGAAATTGACCGTCATGCAGATGACGGCCAGCCGGCTCGCCTGAACATTGACGCTGAAATCATCATGTCACACCTCGAGCTCGACGTTCGCCAAGATTTGATCGACTGCAGTATCGATATTTGTACCCCAGAAGTGCTGAGTTTATGGTCGGATAGTTTCGATTACCAGTCGCCTCGGAAGCATTACTTGCACGGTGTTCTCAAGGACTATGAACTGAACGGCAAGACTCTGCACACGTACATCATCAAGGACCACTATGCGGCACGAGTGCGCAACCTGAAGGCATATGACGCGATTAGCAAGGACATTCTGTCGCGTTGGACATACCCCTTGTGTCCGGACACAAATCTGCTCCCTGGACATTCTTACGACTTGCGCAAGGGTAGTTTGTACCAAGAAAAGGGCGTGACTCTGGCACGATCTTGCGTGATTGGTCGCCGCACAGTCATCGGAGCAGGAACAAGTATTGGTGACCGGACGGAGATCAAAAATACCGTGCTAGGTCGGAACTGCAAGATTGGCCGCAATGTTAAGCTGGATGGTGCATACATCTGGGACAATGTCGTGATTGGTGACGGAACAGACGTTCGTGGGGCGATTATCGCTGATGGTGTGGTTCTTGGCAACAATTGTACTGTGGCGGCTGGTGCTCTTATCTCCTACGGTGTGAAAATTACAGATGGCATCTCGGTGGAGAGTGGGAAGCGTATCACAAGAACACGAATTGATGGAACCGTGGGGAAGAATGATCCCAAGGTGGTTGGCGAAGGAGGTGAAGGCTATGAATTCATCCACGGCGAGGAAGAGGAGGGCGATGACGATGATGATGTGAGCGTTGCTTCATCGGGACTTGGTACGTTTCCCCCCCAATTATCTCTTCAAGATGGGATTTTGCTAACTTTGCGGTTATTTCAGTTTACCGTATGCCCAGTCTATCACTTTCCACTGCTTCTATCTCCACACTATCGTCGGAGGTCTCGAATGACTCATGGGGACAATCTGAAGGAAGCAGTGTCGAAGGAGATGAGGAATCAGATAACTTCCATCATGATGCATCGGTCAGCTTGTACGACAGTCTACGAGAGGGTGTGGCAGGGGACGTAGTTCAGCTGGAGCTAGTCACTTTGCGCATGACTGCGAACGCCTCAGACAACCAGGTTCGTCGTGCTATTGTCGAGGCATTCATGAAGCATATCGAGCAGCTCATGGAGAGTGGCAAGGGAGCTGGGCCTGCAGTCAATGAGGTCTTCTCTGCATACAAGGAGGTTGTGGAGCGCACTCTGTTCGATCGCAACAAGGACCAGAAGGTAGACCAAGTCGATTTCCTGCTCTTGCTTCAACAAGATCTTATTGCTCGCCACAAGGGCGATACTGTTCTTTTGTTCACTGTCAAGTCACTTTATGAACTTGAACTTATTGAGGAGGAAGCATATGATCAGTGGTGGAATGATGAGCGCTCCAGCAACACAGAAGAGATGCGCACTGTTCGTACTCAGGCTCAACAGTTTGTTGATTGGCTAGCTGAAGCTGAGGAAGAAAGCAGCGAGGAAGAATCTGATGAGGAGGAGGAGAGTGACGATGAGTAGATACCACTGTGCTAGATAAGCAATCAAAATTTATGGACTTTTTTACTCCTTCGTTCCCAGGATAATATATCCATGGATGTATACTGTCGCATAGTCAAAGATAATCTTTGTCATGATGGTTGATCTATTATGCATGGGAGCCTTGTAGCTCATATAAAGCTGTATATGTTACGTACATATGTACATAGGCAACAAACAAATAGGCTAGGGCTGCACAGCCAATGGGACGGAGAACATATTCATCTGAGCCAACAGCTTTTCTATTAGACTCAAAACACTCTGATTCTTGGATATGTTGATGTTTTAAATTCTTTAAAATCCCATGTTTGGAGGGAAATTACTCTAAAAAAAAGGACGACCCCAAAAACAAAATAGACGCGGCTCTTCGGCTTCGAACTCGAGGCCGCCCCCCCCCATAGCGTAAACCCAGGACCCCCCGGGAGGTCCATCTCTCTTCCCCACTCCCCCTCCAAGCATCCGTGCCCATCAATCTTATCCTGTGACGTGTGACGCAGAAATATATCATCTCTCTATCCCCGGCATCTTTGCCGCTTATTTCATCACGCCTCCCAAAACGCGAAAGAGAAAGGCGGCTGAGGCGGCCTTCGACAACGAGTCTCTGCCAAAAGCCGCCCACGGGCACGCGAACGCCGCGACCTCCGACCGACAACGTTCCCGCAAAGCCGACTCAGCAACATCAACATCGGAGAACACAGAGCGAGCCAGTTCGGCTAGTTTACCGAGCCGAAAGAAGGGGGTACTCGGGACGCCCGCATCGACTACCGCCAGCATGGAATCGGATGATGACTTCATGAGTGATGTCTCCAGTAATGACTTCCTAGGTACCCAGGGCTCTGACAACGAGAGTCTGGGCGAGGGTACGTCTCGGTTGTCTTTTGCGTATCTCCTTTGTATCCAGAGTGTTTGGCTAACAGGTAGTCTGGGTTGTGATCAGACTTTGGTGACCTCGATACCGGGTTTTCGGACGACAAAGATATTCTTAGACAAAAGCGGAAACCGTACGAAGTCGAGTTCAAAGTACTTGATCCGCAGGACATCGATCATGAGCAACATCGCCAAGTCAACGAGGTTTGCGCCGTTCTCGGACTGCCACCAGAGTCGGTAGCGATTTTGCTGCGTTATGGTCGGTGGAACAAGCAGAAGTTGATTGAATCATATTTGGAGGACCCGGAGAAAACCTTGGAAGCTGCTGGCCTTGGGACGAATTTCGAGGGGACTGCGAAGACTGAGCGTATTCCGGGCTTCGTGTGTGACATCTGTTGTGAAGATGGGGAGGATCTCGAAACCTATGCAATGCGCTGTGGCCACCGGTTCTGTGTCGACTGTTATCGACAATACCTGGCGCAAAAGATCAAGGAGGAAGGTGAAGCAGCTCGGATCCAGTGCCCCGGTGATAAGTGCAGCCGGATTGTAGACTCGAAATCATTGAATCTGCTCGTGACAAATGATCTCAAAGAAAGGTAAGTGAGATATCTCTGGACGAAGCTAGTTGTTTCTGACGCGTTCCTCACCACAGATACTGCGAACTTCTTACTCGCACATACGTCGACGACATCGAAAATCTCAAATGGTGTCCGGCTCCAAACTGCAAATATGCCATTGATTGCGAAATAAGGGCCCGCGATCTCCGCCGTATAGTACCCACTGTGCGATGCCTTTGCAACCATGAATTTTGCTTTGGTTGCACCCTTGCCGACCATCAGCCCACTCCCTGCACATTGGTCAAAATGTGGTTGCAGAAGTGCGAAGATGACTCCGAGACGGCGAATTGGATCTCCGCTAACACCAAGGAGTGTCCGAGGTGCAACTCGACTATCGAGAAGAATGGTGGTTGCAACCATATGACTTGCCGGAAGTGCAAATTTGAGTTCTGCTGGATGTGTATGGGCCTGTGGTCTGAACATGGTACCAGCTGGTATAACTGCAACCGCTACGAGGAAAGGTCAGGCTCCGATGCTCGAAGCGCTCAGGCCAAATCACGATCATCTTTGGAACGCTACCTACATTACTATAACCGCTACGCGAACCATGAACAGTCCGCGAAACTTGATAAGGACCTATATCTGAAGACTGAGAAGAAGATGACAAGTCTTCAGTCGCAGTCTGGTCTATCGTGGATTGAGGTGCAGTTCCTAGACACCGCGTCGCATGCCCTTCAGCAGTGTCGCCAAACTCTCAAATGGACTTACGCGTTTGCATTCTACCTTGCGCGTAACAACTTGACCGAAATATTTGAAGACAACCAAAAGGACCTGGAAATGGCTGTTGAAAGTCTCAGTGAGATGTTTGAAAAGCCTGTTCCCGAACTGGCAGAGCTTAAGGTCGACATTCTGGATAAGACTGCCTACTGTACTAAGCGCCGGGTCATCCTATTGAGCGATACCGCCGAGAATTTGAAAAATGGCAAGTCTGACACTCGGCCTATAGCCTACTCACGGACACTATCTAACCAAAAGTTTACAGGAGAATGGTCTTTTAATGTCCAATGGTAACTCCATTACTTGACACCCTGCTCCCAGCAGACCACTACAGACGAGATTCTCTTTGACGACGTGAATGACACCCATCCCTTTGCGAGATTTCTAGCATACCATTTTATCCTAAACGACATCTGGGGTCTTAGTCAAATCATTGGCTTTGTACCAGTTACAGAGCCACGGTCCTATCTGAAACGGCCCTTATTCTTTTCCGCTTCCTCGCGCTTGATCTGACCTGCATGTACCTCCCTTCTTGATTCGTCTTCTTTTTGTGTGTGCCTCTTTGCTCCGTCACTCTCATTGCCCATTGTCTGGTCGGGCGCAGCGGTGTCTACAGAAACGATCTGAATCGGAAAAGAAATCATATGATGGCAAGTTAGCAGTGCTACTTCTTGATCCAGATTTGCATCTTTGAGACGCATGTAGTGACTGCCAAGGTGGCAACAGGCTAGGAAAGGCAGCATCATCCAGGATATGGAGTATAACTACCCATGTGGCATGCAACAACTACATCCATGGAGTACGTACGTACACTATACTATCTACCAACTAAGCATAGCTACTTCTCAACTTCTAGTTATCAAGTCTTGTGTATCTCAGATTTCTGTAAACTATCATAGCTGTCTATTCGACAAACAAGGGGCCCTCGAAAGATTTTAATATGCAACAGTACTAAGGGTGTATTTAGTCTACGGTTCGTAGTCCACCCGGGCCTCGGCTTGACCCAGTGAAAAGTCGCGTGTTCCGTCAGAGACTCATCCATTGCCATTTTTGTTAACGAGGCGAAAGCGATAAGTCAATAGCGACTTTACTAGGCGACATATAAGATTCAGTGATGGACATGTACTTTAAGGGTCTTGGTATTCAATCACGTAGCTATATTTTCCATTATATGTAGAAACAACTTTAGAAAGTACGATATCTCCTTCTGGAAGCAGCACACTAGCGCCACTTAAGTGAACAAGGGGTAAGGGGCTAATTTTTTTATCAATCAGATAAAAATTTACGTACCGGCCATGTACCAGTACCATGATTAGTGCACCGCGGAGGTACCGGCACAATACTTTACATAAAAGTCCGTCATCGGATGATTAGATTGGCTCTTTAGCAGTTCTTTCTTTATGGAGTAATGTACAATAGTAAATAGTGTTTCGTATCATAATTACTCCGTGATTTGTTAGGTTGTCGAGGTCTAGCCGTTCATTCTGAATAAGGAATTTTGGGTATATCGTACATCTAGTCATGCTCTGAGTACGAAATACACCGTAGTAGGATAAGGGATATATTGAAGCAAGGATGAGATGAAAAGACCAAAGTAAATTATTTTTTATTACGCATGGGCAAACCATAGGCAACTCCGATGTCCGGTAATAATGTAATCCTAATAGAAGAAGCTTGGACACGAAGGAGTTCATAGAATCCAGCGAGTTTCGCTGTTAGCGCCGTTTCCTACTTTTGGTGTCATTTTTCTAAACAATTTTTTTTCTCCTTTCAGATCTTCAGAATAAATTCCGGGGTCAACAAAAAAGAGCAAACCTTTTCATCAATTAATTCTTCAATTCTCACATTCTTATTTTTTTCCTTACATTGTTTGCTCGTGTTTTGCTCGGGATCTCCACGGAGAACCTAGCGTTTACCTCATCTCCGTTCACAAGTTTCCCATTCCTTCTACACCTCGGCCACCAACCACTTTCCATCCTCTCCCCACGCCGGATTTTTTTCAATTGCTGCTGCTGTGTCTTGACCCAGCGGAAGCTCCATGGCGCCCTCCGATACCCCCGAGGAATTCGAGTATGTGACCCCGATGGATTTTTTTTTCTCCAGGAAATTCGATTGGCGTCGGCATGGTCGGGTTGAGCACAGGGAGAGAAATATATGTCGCCTTGGCGAAAGGATATGCTGCAGATACTGTTAGGCTATCCTTTCTAGGCATCCCACTTCTTGCTCGTCTTGCTGTCGCTCTCCGAAGTCCAGCTTAGTGGATTGCGCTAATGCGATGCCCTTTTTTTTTCTAGTTACGAAGCCCTTCCTTCCAACTATGGACTTGGCCGGAATATGTTAGCCGGTGCTTTCGCAGGGATAGCGGTATGACCGCGCGATTTTTGGGATATTGAAGAATTCAGCTGATCGGATAAAAGGAACACTCGGTGATGTACCCCGTGGATTTGCTTAAGGTACGTTTAATGTCGAAGACGAATGAAAATCCCAGGCAGGATTTAATGGCTGACAAATTGGGCATTATCAGACTCGCATGCAAATTCTGAACCCTTCATCTGGCGGTCTCTACACGGGATTGACCAACGCGGTCTCCACAATCTACCGGGTCGAGGGCTGGCGGACACTATGGAAGGGTGTATCAAGTGTGGTTGTTGGCGCAGGTACTTATTTACCAGCATGTCCCGCCTCGAGACTTAATATTGATGTAAGGCAGGTCCGGCACACGCGGTGTATTTCGGCACATATGAGATCGTGAAGGAAATGGCTGGTGGTAATGTTGATGATGGACACCACCCTTTGGCCGCAGCTATGAGTGGAGCGTCCGCTACAATTGCCAGCGATGCGCTGATGAACCCATTCGATGGTAAGATACGCGAAATTTATACCTCTTTAGGCCCAGCTAACCCATTCTCCAGTCATGAAGCAACGTATGCAGGTCCACGGCTCCGTCCACAAGACCCTAGCGCAATGCGCCAAGACTCTTTACCGCACCGAAGGTCTCCAGGCCTTCTACGTCTCCTACCCTACCACACTCTGCATGACCGTACCCTTCACGGCCACTCAGTTCGTTGCCTACGAGTCGATCTCTAAGGTGATGAACCCTAAGCAAGACTACGATCCGTTCACCCACTGCATAGCCGGTGGTCTGGCCGGTGCCTTTGCAGCTGGTATCACAACTCCGCTTGACGTTGTGAAGACGCTCCTCCAAACCAGAGGACTCGCAGATAGCCAAGAGGTGCGGTCTGCAAAGGGTCTGTGGGATGCCGCTGCTATCATCAAGCGTCGGTTTGGCTGGGCTGGTTTCCTGCGCGGCATGCGCCCTCGTATCATTTCAACCATGCCTAGCACCGCAATTTGCTGGTAAGTGCTCTTTGAAACATGAGACCGTCTGTGAAGTAGACTTGTTGAATAATGACTAATACTTCGCAGGACATCCTATGAAATGGCCAAGGCATACTTCAAGCAAGCATACGACTAAAAGAATCCTTGACCCTATTATCTCACATAACCGCTCGCCATGGACCCCATTCAACATTCCCCGATGGGTCCTTTTTGTTCCACTTGTTTGATATCCCACATTTGTGTGGGCACCACATAATCTTTCTCTGAGATCTTGAGACGACATGGGTCTATTCTTTTGCAATCTGTTCTGGTTTGGGGCGGAGCCCAGCAAACCTCGTGGCGCATCTCGGGTCAGAAGAGCTCGAGTTCGATCTTCTTGCATGTTTAAGGCTTTTTGTGAAAAGCGTTTCTGGCAATGTATAGTCTTGGAAAAACGGAATTGACGGTTGTTTCTGGCCGACTCGGAGCTCAAACCTGGTGCTTTTTATTTATTTTATTTGGATTTTTGATGCTCTTCCATTCGATCTGTCCAATATTGTGACCGGCGTTGGAACATGGAACCTCGGACTTTTTTTGATTTCTTTGAGAGGGCTGGGTTCTCTGTGGCATCGATATAACTTTTTCTTATGTTTTTTAGTATCTTGCATGTACCCATAGATGTGAGAAGTCTTAGAAATGATATCCGAGCTCAAATGATTGTGTTCAATCCGAGAAATTCCTGAGAAAAAGGAATATAAGACTGGTAGAATATATACAGGAATGTAGTTTGTTCCTAAGACGCATGCAGTAACTACCGAACCGACGACGTCACGCGAAAAATCCTCCCCCTCACTCGCGGGAGATCATCGCTTTCCAACAACTCCACCAACTGACTTCGTGTAATGGATGCAGGCGGGCCTGTTTATTCCCAATGATGCGCCCACGGCCCGCGTCTTCCCTGCAGAAGACCTACGACGAGTGTTATCTGGCATGTTCCACCGCGGTATACTTTGAAGGTCAGGTAAGTGCGCTAGTGCGAAACCCTAGCAGTTTCCCAAGACTCATTACATCAGAACAACGAAGAAGAAGCATTGCGGTCCTGGCGATCCGCTCTCGACACTATCTACCATCACAATGCTCGGCGTGTACCATCGAACTATACTCCGAAATCCGAAACCGAAAAAGCCCTGCAGGACTCCATCCGGGCGCTAGAAGTTCAATGCCGAGAACGGGTCGATCTATTGGGGGCCCTCCGAGCTAGTAGAAAGGAATCCGCAGAGGCTAATGGCATCGGTAAAGAGAGCGCTACTCTCGTGAAGGGGAAATCTGTCACCAGCGCACCGCCGCCATCCTCGTCCAACCTTCCCGGCTGGATCGGAGATGGAACAATCCCTGCCGTCGGCTATACCGACCTTTCCAAACCCGCTGCGATACCCGGCCGATTTGCGCTGCCGACAAAACAAAGCTACGAGTCGCCGCCACTGTATGATGATGCCGGCCCTGCGAATTTGTCTGCGGCTGGTGCGCCTGCACTACGAGTGAACTCTAATTCTTCGGGCAAAACCAAATCGCGTGGCTCCAGTCCCGAGCGACGAAAGCCCATGCTGACAACACTACGCAGCAGCGATGGTAAGAAGAACGGCAAGAAGGTGAAGATCCCATCAAAGAAAAAGGAGACACGGCCTGCCGCCTCTACGGCAGCGGGTCTAGCATGGGGTAGCATATATCGCTCTGCATCGGGTGAGAAGCCTCTGAGTGACGCAGCCGCAGCATCTTCCCGGGCAAGTACCAACAACGGCTCTATTCATCGTCGAGATCCAGAACCAAGAACCAGTTCTGGGGATGAACCGCGGCCAACAAAATCTCGCACTTCCCGAGACCTAACTGCGGACCGAATCCCTGCTGCCCACTGGCGAGAGCCTCTTCGTTCGTCTCCAAAAAGGACATCACCCAAACCGCCCACACAGCAATCGCCGCGCCAGCCTCAACCTCCACTTCACAGCCCTAAACTACCGCCACCATCCCCAATGTCTATGCCAGACCCGGCCGATTTTGCAACACCACCCAAGCCATCCATCAAACCAAAGCCTGTTGCTTTACGGTCTTCTCAACCACCGTCAAGCCATCCAATGCAGAGTACCAAATCTGAGCAGACTTCACGGACGACGACTCCCCGACTTGATCGGCAAGCAAGTTCTTCAAATGACAAACCACGAACGAAGTCTGCGCCCAGAATCCCTAGAATTGGCGAATCATCTCGTGTTTCTCCATCATCTGGTAGTGGTGATGATTTCAACCGTAGTGTCGATCGACTGGCTATCTCACAAAGGAACAGTGATAATGCAACAAGGCGAAAGCCTCCACCCCTTATACGGCGGGAGACACCACCATCAAGCGACCATGAATTCTCAGATCAGCAATCTTCGGCCAGCGGGGCAGAGGATGAAATGGATGAAGACGACCAGGACATCAACAAAATTTTGGAAAAGTTGCCGAAGGGCGTGGACCTCCAGTCAGCAAAGCAAATTCTGAATGACATTGTAGTGCGCGGCGATGAAGTGCACTGGGATGATATCGCCGGCTTAGAAGGGGCCAAAAAGGCTCTGAAAGAAGCAGTGGTCTACCCATTCCTTCGCCCCGATCTCTTCTCTGGTTTACGTGAACCAGCTCGTGGAATGCTACTGTTCGGTCCCCCAGGCACAGGCAAAACTATGCTGGCACGAGCAGTAGCGACAGAGTCAAAGTCAACCTTCTTCTCTGTTTCAGCATCAAGCCTCACATCAAAATGGCATGGTGAAAGCGAGAAGCTCGTGCGCGCCCTGTTCGGTCTTGCCAAAGCTCTCGCTCCGTCTATCATTTTCGTCGATGAGATCGACTCTCTCCTCTCTGCTCGGTCTTCTGGCTCGGAACATGAGGCCTCCCGTCGCTCAAAAACCGAGTTCTTGGTCCAATGGTCTGACCTCCAGCGCGCAGCTGCTGGCCGCGAACAAACAAGTCGCGAGAAAAAGGAAGGCGATGCCAGTCGTGTGTTGGTTCTAGCTGCTACCAATATGCCTTGGGATATTGACGAAGCTGCCCGCCGCCGGTTTGTCCGTCGCCAGTACATCCCCTTGCCGGAGCAACATGTCCGCGAGCAGCAACTCCGCAAACTCATAGGTCATCAACATCATGAGCTGAATGATGCTGATATCCAAGTTCTGGTACATGTAACCGAAGGTATGTCAACCATTCGTTGTCTATCTTACTCCTTGCTAATTTATCATTCCAGGCTTCTCCGGTTCAGATATAACAGCCCTAGCCAAAGACGCCGCCATGGGCCCCCTGCGCAACTTGGGCGAGGCCCTTCTTCACACTCCCATGGATCAAATTCGTGCCATTAAATTCCAGGACTTCGAAGCAAGTTTGTATTCCATTCGGCCTAGTGTATCCCCCGACGGGCTGAAGAAATATGAGGATTGGGCAAGAGAATTCGGCGAGAGAGGTGGGTAGATTCGAGCTGACCTTATTCAACTTGACTCCATTGGCTCCGCTTTCCAGTCCGATGCCTTTTGGATACTTCCTTGTTTTCTCTCTCTCCTGGGGAGTTCAGATGTTGGATAAGCCTATAGGAATGCAAGAATGCAATAGCGATATATTCTTTCACTCTTAGTTTGCTTACTACTTAACTTCCTCTTGTATCTACACAACTTTTCGTAATCCTCCAAGTCTCGTTCCCAGCCAATGCTGGAAGGCATGCCGTCCATTTTTGCGGGCGAGACACAGCTCTAGCCAATTAAGAGTCATTGCTTCTCTTGAATCTAGGTTGTTCCCCAACCTGATACTTGGACTCTAAACCGCCATCTCCATCGGATGTACCGTTCTTCCCTAATAAGACGTAAGTCATGGCTCGACTTAATTTGTGCAGCGCCTACTTTCAAAGCCTTGACTGAAACCTGATATTTGGGAGCAGGCTAGTTTGCTACAATATTATTTGATGTTTATAGGACGGAGTGTGCTTTGTTCGAAGACATATGAATTAAATACAGACAGTGGATATACAGGCCAGTCACCCATCAGCTCAACAAAACCCGGATTTCTCCAGTCGTCCGAGGGAACAGCGACCTCAAGCTCCATTTCTCTTCCTCCCTTTCTTCAGCTTCTTCGTCGTCCTTCATACTCGTTTTAGTGTTGCCTTCTGATCTTCCACTCTGGCCACTGACACTGCCCCCAGTGCCAACAACCACATTGACAGTTCCTCTAGCTTCATCTGCGGCAATTATCATACCCTCAACAAACTCAAAGTCCCGGCAGAATGCCTCAACGGCATCCTCGGTGACACTCTGCACAAGGGAAACGCTTTGTACCCGCTTGAGATTATCGGTTGCGTCCATGAGTGCAGATGGGAGGAAGTCATCGAGTTGCTGGCTGGACGTGATCAAGGACTCTGGCTGGAAAGCAGGGAGGTCAGTTAGGTCAGCCAGGTGAGGTTTCTGCTGTTCTGATTTCTGGGTTGTGTTCTCGGGAGCATCGGGATCCTTGTCGGTTTTGGAAAAGGGCTCTAGGGCATCTAGAAGGTCCTGAAGCCCCGAGGCTTCAAGAAGGAAGTCATGTTGAGTGTCGAGGAGGTCATTGCGTAGAGTTGACAAGGCCGCAGATAGGGGAGGAACATGCGTGGAGCTGGCGAAAGGGAAGGGCGATACGGCTTCGCGGGCTGCAAGAAGGATGTTTGTGCGGTAGATGGACTGTGCCGTGGTGGTCTTGAGTTCGTCCGATGAAGATCGGGCCAGTGTCAAGAATGGATCAAAGGCGGCCCGGAGGACTGAAGTGAATGGATTCTCATTGTTCGAGTCCAAAGTAGGATCTTCTGGTCCAACAGAAGCCTCATAGGTCTTCATAAGCAAAGTGAGGCTTTCCAGTGCATCCAACAAGAATTGTGGAGGCGACAGATCGTCTGGTGGAGACAGGGCGATAGTGTCACCTGCCAATGCGCTAATTTGATCACGCATCAAAGTCTCAAAGTGGCCAAGAGTGAATTTTTCCAAGCTCTGGATCAATTCAACGAGGTTGGACTGCGTGCCCAGTAATTTGGAGAACGTCGTGCGGTAGAAAGACAGCAGGTTCACTACTTTGTAGCAAGTAACGGGATCCTCGTGACTCTGTATTACAAGCTCAACCCTCTGTCGTAGAGACCGAGATACTCCATTGAGGTCACGGTTTACCAAGTCACTCAGTGCCTTCTGACCGTCAAATGTAACTTCTTGGTCCTCGTCGATCCGTGACCAGGGCTCGCTACTCAGACCCGCCTGGATGCCTCGGGCGAGTTCGTCCCCATCATCAACAAACAATGATTCGAGGGCTTCTCGCTCCGACACTGTTGTAGAGTGTACCCAAGCAAGCATGTCACCGATATACCTGAGTGGATCATGCGCTGAGAACTCAATCGGTTTGACAGTGCTATCACCCCCGGTATTCGGCCCACTGGTTCCGGAGATGGCGTCAGTTAAGGCATAGTGGAAGGCATCAGACAGAATATAATCCCGTGCCTCCGCAAAGAAATCCAAGCAACTGTGGAAGAGACTCGGGCGCTCTGCTAGCACTCGCAGAGCGCGGCGGATCGAACTGCTGATCCGAGGGTCCTCAAGATTCAAAGACCTGAATTCTTTCTGTATCCATCTATAGAGTTTTTGGTATGCAGAATTGAGATTGCGAGCGCTCAATTCCATTACCTCCAGTCCCAATCGCTGGTTCTCACCGCCGAGAAGAACTTCGCAGTCGTGGTGTACTTGCTTGACACGGGCCAAGACATCAAAGAACCGCTCGTCGACAGGCTCCTCGGCCGAGGTCAAGACCAAGATATCTTCCTCGGGGATCAGGAAATGCTTGGAAAAGGCTTGCAAAAGCTGTTGTTTCGTTTCGGTCTCTTTCTTCTGCGCCATCAGGGCGGCAGCCTCCTCGAGCATAGGAGTGGTATCCTGCTTCGCCAGGTTGATTCGTTTGCGCATGTCATCGCATGTCTGGTTCAGTGTTGATATTACTGTTCCAATTCGTTGTAATTGCTGTCATTGCAGAGTAACATTAGTCTTCCCGGTGCAAAACGCAAAAGGAGAAGGCAGCCTTACCTCCGCGACTTTCCCAAAATCCTTGACAATTTCCGCATTACAGTCAACAACTTCCTTCTGTACATCGAGTCTTAGCTGACGCCGTGTTTCTGCGGAGTTGTGGATTCCCCGTAGGCTCAAGGTCTCAAGGGAATCCCTAATGTCCGAGTCCGCGTATGAGGCCGACAGAACCGTTGTCAACCTATTGGTGAGGGCAGTAGTTCTCTGTGTGGGCGGAGACAATGGCGATGACGCTGACGGCGTATTAGCGCCATTGCTGGCGCTGCCACTTGGTGGAAAGTAGCTGGTCATTATTGTAGCGACCAGGCGGAGTTCGGTGGGGGAGGAGTAGAGGACAAGCTCACACTTGGCGTATCGACCGCCTTCGTATCTGTTATCAACACATTACCCCGTTTGGTTCTCCTTTCTAATTTAACCCCAAATTTGGAATTGCCCCAATTGACTGTTCCAAGATTGACTCTATGGATAGTCCACTCATTTCTCCAGCTAAAGCCCGGCAGGCTGCCATTCAGACCAAAGATTGGGCTTACGTGAACTCCTGGCTCAATCGAAAATACGCGCCCAAACCTGTTCCAAAGTTTGAGCGCAACGAAGATACCCTCCGTGTCCTCCTGACCCTAGCTGCAGCCAATGATACTGCCGATGATGAGGCTACCCTTCAACAGCGAGCCCGCGAGGAAGCAATTCAGGCATACAAAACACGGGAGGAATTCGAGCGCAAAGATCCACATGAGCAACAAAAAAATCAACTTCTTGATGAAGTCGAGATGTCCCTTGATGATAAGGGACAGCGGGATCTAGAAGATCTCGCCGACTCTGCAGCAGCTCTTGGGAATACGTTGAATCCGAATCCCGGGGATCTGGGCCAGTCAATTGTGGAGCTCACTGTGGAGGAGTTTGAAGCCCAGGAACAAATTGCAAAGGTTGAGACATTGCATCGATACCTCCAGCAAGAGTCAGCCCGACTACAAATAGAACTCCAGGGACTGAAGTCAGACGTGGCATATGAGATACCCTCAGATACACAAAGATTGGCCTCAGAGTGGGCACGCGGCACAAAAACGCTGGCAATTAAAGTCGCGGAGTATCAGGACCGCATCACCTCGCTGGAAAGAGTACAACCTCAGGGACCAACCATCGAAGAGCTGGTGGCAGAAGAGGAGAATGTCATCAAAATGCGAGAGACAGTGAAGTCGCTTCAAGGCCGCTTGAGGGCATTCCAAAACTTTCCCAGTGATGCCTCAGGGGCGCGGGCAAAGTACAAAGAACTAGAAAGTGAACTTGATCAACTTACGCAACAACGAGACTCAATGGTTGATAGTCTAGTCGAAAGGCGACAAGACTGCTAACTTAACATGACTATGCTTGATCTACACTTGGAATGAAGGCTTTTGTCACTTGAAAATTTGATAGTCTTAAACTATGTTCTGTCGCTATGAAAATTCAGATGGTATCATGAACTCATAAAGAGTCGTGAAAGCAGGGCGATCCCCACATCATGGAATGACCTTGATAATGGCCACTCGGCTCAATGGAGGCAATCTTAGTGGCTACCGAGGCCAAGAGCATTCTTGACCTTGTCACCGCTGGGATTACTGTTAGACCATGGCGACTGAACAGCAAGATTGGCGCAAACTTACATGGAACCGGTGGCACCATCGTGAACATGATTGTCACTGGCGCGCTGGGCCTTGTCGAAGGCTTCCTGACCAGCACCCTTGCTCTCGTCGGTCTGCAAGCCGCGGGCAATGCGATCGGTGGTGTCGGTGGTAGCCTCATAAATCTTGTCCTGAGTGGACTTGGTAGAATCAGGGGTGAGCTCCTCCTTGGCCTCTGAACAAACTCGTCAGCAACGATGTCTTCACACCTTGATAGATAGGGGTTGACAGTGTCACCTACTGGTAGAGAAATCCTTGCGACCAGCGTCAGACATGATGAATAAGAGTTTGAAGTTTGTTGAAAGAATGGTAGGACTGTTTGCTTTGGAGGGTGATTGATTAAGAAGAAAGAAAAGAAGCTGAAGAGGGGAGTTTATATAGATTTGTTTGTGTCCATAAGCCTATACAAAGTACCTAAGTACAAATGACGTCGTTTGCTGCTCGCTACATATATCGTGATGGACCCCGTATATTGTCAATATCTTCATATCTATGTATTTGGGCTAGGACCTGTTAGATCATGGTTCAACCAACCAGAGTGGTTCCCAGACTCGGCTGGGAGATGACAAGTACATGTGACTGTGGCGCTCCGTCGGGCAGTAAAGACGTCATCGTGAAGATGTGGCTGACCAGGCGCAATTGACGTATCAATCACGTGATTGAGGATGACGCACCCTTTATCCGCTCCGGGGCTCCGGACAAATTGATTCCGTTATTTGTGCTGACTAATTTTGTCACCGCTGGGGCCCAGGTCCCGGACCCCTGGATATCGGACTATATTTGTTCCATATCGGGTGAAACTTTATCCTCACCGCAACCGCCTTGCGGCGGTCGGCCACAGACAGCCAGCTTCGATCAAGGCTGGTTTGTACAGACTGGACTTTATTGCCATCTTTGACTCACACCATGTCGATGGAATCTGTTTTTCTCTATGAAAATTTCTCTGTTTTGTTTTGGCCATCAATCAATAACGTTTTTTGAATCACTGCTTCGCGATCTTTCATCTCATCTTTATTTTACACCAATAAATAACTTACAGATCCATTTCGCGCTTGTTACATTCATTGTTGCATCCAATTGATTTTGTCGTCAATGATTGATTCGGACTCTGAGCCTTCAAGCTGGGATTTTCCTCAGGTGCATGACCTACTCCGGTCGCCCACCGAGGGGGGCACCTCGAATCCCATTCGCCACCACCAAGCTTCCGACCCCTCGGTTCAAGAAATACATGTCAGGGCTGATGGTGACGATAAACATAGTGGCAAAGCTAGACCTTTGACCTCTCGGCGTAGTCACACCAAGCTCGGAGACTTCGGTTCTTTATGGGAACTTTTGAATCAACGTCCTGCTTCCGTCAGCCTCACATCCGTTTCGGCTACCAGAGAGTCCAAGCCGCAGGAAGCTAAACCACAGCCCGATTTATTGTCGGTTTTGAGTATCCTCCAACGTCCCACTGACCGCATCTTATCCGATACTTCTGTCGCCGCAGGACACACCCTCGCTCCTTCCGATAGCAGTCGCATCAAAGATCTACAATCTTCCCAGGCCACCGTCACAGGCCATGCGCTTCTTTCCGTTACTTCTACTCAACCACTTTCCATATTGAAGAAAGTAACAGACGACCCACGTTCTGGAAACCCTGTCAATGTGAAATTTGATAACCCACGAACTCCAACAAGACACATCACCGGAATTGGCAGTTCAAATGACACGCCCAAAGTGAAGCTGAAACATCGGGTTCGGGAGAAAGCTCACCGGACCGATAATCTCAGGCAAACAATCTCTTCTTCTGAGGACAGCGCCGGAGTTGAATCAGACTCCAGCCTTGTCTTCGACCATTCGACACCCCAAAGACCTAGGGCCTTTGCCTTTGTTCCTTCCCAAGTCGGCTGGTCCGAAGCTACAAATGACCGTTATGATACTCCTCCTTCTTCATATGACGACCAACAGTGGGCTTTAGATGCAGACACTATCAGAAATGATGTTCGTGTTCGGTCCACCCTGTACAAGTCGTCGACAGAACGAAGAATCACTTTGATGATCAGACTTCGAAATGATTTTCCTGATTGTGCCAAGATCCTCCCCCATATGGGACAATCTCTACTACAGAATCCCAATGAGAGAATTGAGTCACGTCCTATCCATATATTTGTTGACATGTCCAACGTATGATTCAATCTCCCATCTACTCTCTTGCCAAGCTAACTTGACTGTCAGATCATGGTAGGATTTCACGACTCAGTTAAATCCTCACGAAACATTCCTCAATCAACTCGAATCCGTCGCGTCCCCATGTCCTTCTCCAACCTTGCCCTGATCATGGAACGAGGCCGCCAAGCCGCCAAGAGAGTCTTGGCGGGTTCGGATCACCTCCCCTCCATTGACGAAGCTGAAAAGCTCGGCTACGAAACCAACATACTAGAGCGTGTACAAAAAACCAAGTACGCAAGCACACCTCGTCGCAATAACAAACGTCGGAAGTCCCTAGTCTGCGGCTCCCAGGGCTCGCCCGGTGGACCTGAAACGGCCACCGCTTCTGGAGAGCGATGGGTTGAGCAGGGTGTGGACGAAATTCTGCACCTGAAGATCATGGAAACTCTGCTTGATTTCAAGCGACCAGCCACAATTGTATTGGCTACGGGCGATGCAGCAGTTGCCGAGTTCTCTGAAGGATTTATGAGGATGGTTGAGCGCGCGCTGCAGCACGGCTGGATTGTTGAGCTTGTGAGTTTCGCGCAGGGCACGAGCTATGCCTATCGGAAGAAGGAATTTCGGAAGCAGTGGGGAGATCAGTTTCGACTTGTACAGCTGGATCCATACATCGAAGAGCTTTTTGAATGATCTGAAAGATCTCAATAATGACAGCCGTTGTTTACTGCCGGATGGGATTCACATATGTTACCAAGTACTTATGTAATTGAATTTGAATGAAGCGATGATACTCTATTTCAGTTAACACTGACTCCCGTTTAAAGTCATGTATACGGACGAGTCCTTAATTCGTATATAATTGTAGGCTTCGAATCAACCCCCGCCAAATGGACGTCATTGGGCGGAAGACAACCACCCATATTGCTGCCTCGTGCACACTTCCCTCGTCTGCCTAATTTAAATTGATGATCGAGATCTAGATCTATATATTGTTGGCCGCGAATTTGTGTTCCAAATATTGTTGCTCTCTTCTCTGTCGTCGAGTCGTTGATCCAAACGAATTTCGGGAAAAACCCCAGTGCTTGGCATTCAAGAACAACCCGGACTTCGCCTTAGACAATCCGCAAAAAAATCCTTGCAAGAGAAAGAGAGAAACCACAGACATTTCTACAACCAACATTGTATCACTCAATCATGTCGCAATTCACCAACCAAGATTTCTATGGCGGGGCCATGCGAGGTGTTGTACCGCAGGGCTGGATTGATTCCAGGTCAGTATAACCCCCCCCCCCTTGCCCAAAGTCGACAACTCTTTTTTTATTCTTTTCTAAATCATCTATTTGAACAAGTCCCCTTAGAGCCACAAGCTAACAAAATCACAGCACCCTCCGCGAAGTGCCCGACCACCAAGAGCTCTTCCTCTCCCCAACCACGCTGTCTAGTCTAATCACCGAGATCAATCAGCGCGTGTCAGAGGAAGAAGCACTAAGCAGAGTGGCCACCTTCAACCGCCAACCAGCAGCACCCATTGGAAGTGCAACTTCCTTGCAAATCGACCATGCCGCTGCCATTTACCACCTGCACGACCTTTGCGACGAGGGTGACACCATGAATGTGATCACCCCTCCGCAGCAGGTCCAGCTCTCTTTTGCTTCACCTGACGCTGCACCGATCAAGGCTTATCGCGGTGCTGTTTTGTTCACGACACCGCAGAAAAACTCTGGGGCTGGTGCGCCGTCGAAGGTGACGTGCCATTATCTTCTTGTGCGTCTTGCGGATCAGGAAACGGATCTGTTGGTTTTCTTCAATGCGCCTCATGAGGAGTTTATTAAGAATGGGGATTCGATGGGCTTGGCGGCGGAGGAGACTCTTGCGAAGAATACTATTGACGCATTGATTGCGAAATTGGAGATTTGTGATTGGGGACTTTTTGTTTAAGATCTAATTGATAACAGGGGAAGTGCATTCAGAATACGAACTGGACATGAAAATGAACATGAAGTTATGGAGATCAATTGAATTCTTATTTGGCAAGATGCATTTGGGGATATAGCCACCTATATACACCCCCCTCATTTCTCAACATTTCGCTTCTTCTTCTTCTTCTTCTTCTTCTTCTTCTTCTTCTTCTTCTTCTTCTTCTTCTTCTTCTTCTTCTTCTTCTTCTTCTTCTTCTTCTTCTTCTTCTTCTTCTTCTTCTTCTTCTTCTTCTTCTTCTTCTTCTTCTTCTTCTTCTTCTTCTTCTTCTTCTTCTTCTTCCTCTTCCTCGTCGTCCTCCTCCTTCCCATTCTCATCTCTTCCTATCATTGACATTTGCTCTGTTCTGGCAACTTCCTGAACCAAATCTACCTGCTCACAATTATCACAGAACTGCTGTAAAATATCAAGTCGCTCGTGTGACTCTTTAAGTAGATCCTTCGTCTGATAAAGCTTGCTTCTTAGTCTCTTGACCCTCTCATTCCATTTCACAGTCCTATCTTTTCTAGTGTCTTGCTGAGACTGAATGTTGCAAACTTCCTCTGGGATTTGGTCTGTAACTGCAATTGAAACTTCTGGGACAAATGCTCGTGCTGTGCTAGTCTGGGGTTGGAAAGATAGGTTGTTTGTGGTTGCTTCCCGGTCCAACTCAACTTTCGGGGCTGTACTGCTTGACATTTTGTCGATTGTGTTGAGAATCAGATGCTATACCTGCATTGGCCGCTGTCTCTGGGGGCTCACTTTCTATATATCATATCGTAAGCGTAGATTTCCATCTCTGGCAAAGCCAGTTTATACTAATAATAGATCTTGTAAGCCTGTAGGCTTCTCAAAGGCTTAAGACTTTCATTATACTCAAGACAACAAACAATAGGAGGCAAGCGTCCGGGTAGACAAGGGGACGCGTATGGAGAAACAAAAGCCTTTGGCCCTAACTCTTTGTTGAAAACGACAACCCCTTTTTAACAAAACATTCGAGGCATTAAGGGAAACTGAAGTAAACGGAATTTGTGAAAGTCCAAAAATAAATGACCATGGTATAACGCTATGCGGGGGTAACTATAGAAAGACAGATTATTTTCAAAATATTTCCATCATCGGCATGGCAGCCCATTCAGTCGGCTCTTCCACGGGCTCTTCTGAAACACATCGTTCACACTGACACACAAAACGGAACGATTTTCGGAGATGCTCGCGGCGGGAGTCGAGATCTGTATATTGTGTCAAGTCGAAGTACGAAATACAGCATTCCTCGCCGGCGAAGATATCGCGAGCCGCGGTGAAGACCATGCGGCCCTTCTCGTCGGCTTTATGAATGATCTATCGTAAAGGTGGTTTAACATTGTTCTACTAGCATGTCAGGGGCAAGATTCACTTACGTTCGGCAAACATGAATGATTGGCGATTGCTGCGGTAGGATAAACTGCTGCGGCGAATTGTTCCCCGCGGTCAATTGGAGAACTTGGGATAGGGAAATGGCCCGTTTCACGCGGGTAGAGGCCAAAGGAGTTTGCTTCCTCTTGGCATATGAGATGCAGAACACGATCTGCTTTCATTCCATGGGGCAAGACAGGACCGCTCTGTAAATACTTCTTCACGAGGGTGGACCACGACCGGACTTTGTCATGGGACCATGTATCGGACGATCCACAGAGCGAGTCAATGCCTTGCCAGCAGTCATCTTTTGATCGCTGGGACAAGTCAGTGCCAGAACCACCCGAACCATATAATTGGCTATGTCGCATGGCAAGCAGGCGAACAATCACCCACAGCATGCCGAAGTCGTATTCAGTCCATTTGGACCGAATCGGTCCGGCATACCGTTTGAGCCAGGTGCATTCGAAGTCGTGCCGGACTTTGTCGGCGCTTTGGCATGTACTGCTGCACCATATGACATCTGGCAGACAGGCCTTCGGACATGAGTTCCGATCTGGATGGCGAGAAGCCGAAAGATTACAAGCGGGATTGTTGCAGATCAGATTGTCGCTGTCTGGTTCGTCAACGACGGGAATAATTGCATAAGGGCGATCCACAAGGAGACAGGTGCCTTTGGGGATGGGACTGGAGGTTCGAAATTGTCGGCCTTTGATCGAGTCGGTACTTTGGATTAGATGCGGGTGGATCCAGTCGGGCTGCGTTTGGGATATCCCTTCTACACGGACCCGGTCCAATGGTTGGGTGGTGATATATACAACTTGGGACATGGTGCATTGGGGTGTTGCAAGGTGGGTTTTTCTCTATTTTCAAATGATTCAATTTATTTTTTTATGTTCATTTCGCACAACATTCTCTGCAAATCGATTCAAGACTTCCGTTTGGCTCTTGGGAGTGGGTCTTTTTTCATCATTTTTTCGCCTCCCAAAGAAAAGACAGAAATGAAGGTAAGGGTGAAGTTATCCAAGCGACTGCAAGTGATTGGCGGTAATCTTCACGCGGTTAATTGAGTGGATATCACTGGCCAATCTCATATGTAGTCTAATTTTGAATATCCACTTTTCTTCAATCGATCGATTGTTGATTTAGTGAGTGTTTTGGTTAGTGAGTTACTGTTGTAAGCTGATCACTTTCATCCCTTCTTCCCTACACCGTTGCAAATGTGTAAAAATTCTCCAATATATATCCTTGGCAGCATCTTTACCCACAATAGGATCAAGATGCCCATACCCTTCAGCCAAAAATCTGCGATAGAATTTCTCACCAAAGCGTCGCCGTAAAAGCTCATAGTCCTTCAATGTGGACTCAGGATCAAAGACTTGGTTGTCCGTGCCCGAGATGAAAAGAATTGGCAGACCTTCTAGCCGTTGTAGACGCTCCTCTGTGAGAAGAGAGTGTGAATCGTTGTTCAAGCAAGCCCCTCTAGTTCCCATACCCACGACATGCTTCATAAGCTTGGTATGAGTTCCTGCAAAGAATTGGTGAACATTCTCGTGAAGATTCAGATCTAAATTCTCATGATTCCAGAGTAGACCAAACGCAAAAGAAGTTCTGCGACATGCTGTAGAGGTGCAGATATCTCGCGGGTGTCCGACAGGATAAAAGCGAAGGAGAATATCAATTAGTCGTTGAATCAGGACACTGCCGATACTGCTGGCAATCGGGAAGTAATCACCAGCCAGAATTTCATAAAGCTGGATTAGCAACGTGGTACTCCCTTTGAGTGAGTTCCAGTACCCGAAAACCTGGTTCATGAAGACAGAGTTGGCAGTGACACCAAGAATCTGGCTGCTGTCAATAGTACCGTCGAGAATTCCCATACAGAGAGCCACTGAGCCTTGACAATGTGCTACCACATATGGTTTCTGTGGCTCTCTGTCTCGGATTGTTCCAATTGCAGCAGCCACATCCAGACGACAGTCAAAGACAGTAGATCGTTGAGCCTCAGTGAGATCACAACCCCAGCGAGGAGTCAGTGCATAGCAACGATGGCCACGCTTGGTAAAGTATTCAATCATATTGCAGCGCAAAAAAGGCAATGCGAAAACATTATGCGTCGCGCCGATTCCAGTGACTCCGGGTAAAAGCAGGATTGGGGGAAGGGTCATGTGGCCGTCTATTTCTTCAGCCCCAGAGACAGGGACTGGCTCATATATATCAAGTTGTACGTACGCGCCATCAGAAGCTTTAATCGTACACGAGGCAGATGCGGTTTTTTTGGAGTCGATGTTGCTTTGAGGCGAGATCGTTGGATATCGCACGGGTCCGAAGCGGCGGAAGAAGAAGAGACTAATGTGCCGCAGAAAGGAGAACAAAAAGGCCACCAACGCAAGTAGAAGTCCAGCTTTGAAGGGCTTTGTGGTCCGGAAAGTTTTGATTTGCCGCTGAAAATCAAGAGGCGAAATATGAACTGCTCCTGTTCCAAGATTTGATCCATCTGGTCGGGTGATATTGACATTCACTGTCGTTGTCGCTTCCCATGTCTTTCTAACTGAGAATGCCATCTCTGAGTTGAGAAATTTGCGCCCTTCCAGGTGGTATATCGTGCCCTCCACTGAGAGGAGGTTCAGATGGTAAGACATGGCCAATGTCTCTGCATTCTCTGGTACTGGGGTAAAAAATTCCAGCGTTCCATCCGCAACCTTGAGTGTAGATTTAGACAACGCATAGCAGGAAACTGTTCCCATGCATATTCCTTGGTATTTTGATCCTGGCGATTTCAACAGTGTGAGGATTGTAGTACCAGAGATTTGTATATCAAACCCTTACCTGCTTGTGCGCATATTTCTATCGTGAGAAACATCTGCATAGCACAGGATGACCCCTTTCCCATGCTCTCAGAAAGCTCGAAATTCTCGACATCCGGTCCTATGTAAACATATCCATGCAAGACCTCCGTAAACTGCCAGCCTATAGAAGTTGAGGTTCCTTCGTTTTTGCTTTGACGGTTCTGCCAGTCTCGGGATACTTTGGGCTCGCTGTTTGTGTCTAAAGGATCGTTTGATGTTTCGAGATCAATCGACAGGCCAGCTTTTTTGTGATCAAGCTTACCGATCGCTCAGAGAGAGCAGCGATCGTCGCTAGCGGATTTACACCTTGTCATATTCAGCCTCGGCATTTGCAAAAGCTTGCTATCCAACTTACCTAGGCTTGTTGGAACAACGGACGCATCGGAGCATATGAGACCCTCATATATCTCACTACCATGGCCTGTAAACACTTCTCCAATTTGATTTGTGACACCACCTTGTCCTGTACCATCGCTGCTCATGTTAGCACCTCCCAGTAGATGCACTGTAACTTCCTCCTGATGACTCCCTACTGTATGTATTAGCTTCTTCCTGAATACGTACGTGTTATCGGACAGTCTCACCATAAAAGTATGAAAATCCCATGTCTGCTCCTGTGCGAGCAAATAGTCCAGTGAAAATACTCTTCATTCTCTTGAAATGCTCAGATCGACCTTCTTTTGGCCCTGACAAGCATAACTGATTATGCTTCATAGTCAATGTGATTTCATTACTATCATGGGACATCACAAGATGTGTTGAAGTTCGTTGAAGAGATCCACCATGTGCATAGGGCCCCAGTAGAAGAGATTTGAGCGAGGCAATAAATTTCTCCTTCCCCTTCCGAGTGTCCCAAAGGAGATCCAGTGCCTGGTCCTTTATAGTTTGTAAGGCGAGCATAAGATGAATGACTGGATTGAACGTCTCCGGAATGCAACCATCTTGGATAACATATCCAGATAGGGGACTGGTTAGGGAATTAACTTCGCGATTGTCTATCACGGCAGTGACTGTTGGTCCAGGTGGACTCGAGAGATGTGACGATTGACGGGCGATGCCGTTAATGTTGATGCTGCCATTGTATCCTTGTATAGATGTATCAGATTTGCATGGCTGCAAAAGAAAATTGTGAACGTACCGAAAACCAACAGATCTCCATTTCCAGATAGATTTCGTCCAACAAGCGGAGACATTTGCAAACCGCGCTTCTTTGAACGAAGCAATATCCCGGTTGTACCTAAAGCACCTGCACCGAGGAAACAGAATTCACTCTGCGTCGGAAAGAATCGACAGTCAGCTAACATTTGTATATCGTGCAAGGACTCGGCCATGACAGCTACCTACGGCTTTGACCCAAAAGAGCTGCTGCTTGAAATGATCAGCAAAAACAGACCTTCCATCTCCGTGCCAGGAGAAGTGAATGATATAGCCTTCTTCACTTCCCTTCTCTACAAATTGGACCTCACATCCGCAGAATATCTCAGCTCCCCAATTCCAGGCATCTGCAAGGTAAGTTGTCGCCACGGAGTTTTTCGAGCCATCGTTAAGTCCAGTGCACTCGTGGCCTGTTCCGCTATTTTCCTGCATTGGTACACCTACATTGTTGCGGCCGCGGTGGAAAAATGTGGTAAGTGGTGCTCGACGAAAGTTTTCTGCCTGTCCTAGCCATTTTGACTCCTCTCGGAGATGCTCGAGTTTGCTCAATGATGGATAATCCTCGGGATATATGGAAGGTTGCAGCATTGTCTCCGCGCGTGAGTAATCTTCCTTTTTTAGCCACGATTTCCTTTGTGTATGTGCAGGAAAAGGACTCACATGTATCGAGTATTGACGGGTTATCTTTTATTTCTGATGGCCACACACTCATTTGTAGTGTTCTTGTATCGGCTCTCAAGAAAACCCCAGCGTTGATCAATGAGGTTCCTCCTAGTCCTGTGATATGATCAAAAAATGCTGGCTTTGGGCTTTTGATCATAACGACTGGTATCAGTTTGGTTTACATACCATGAGCAGAAAACGCATGTTGTCCATCACCCAAAACAAGCTGGAAAAGTCGAGTTGGGTCACTCTTTGACAGCAACTTCGAGATGAGACCGTTCTTCGTAGAGCTTCCTGAGATGCTCATGTCTCCCATACATTGTCGGAAAGTACACGGAAATGACCCAGCTATATAGAATGTTAGCCTTATGATAATAAGGTAGATTCTGGATATTAGACGGAATGGATTCATCTGTACATCTTCTCTCCCAGCCAAGTTCTAACACTGCGACACTCTTCCCTGTCCGGGCCATTCGACTAGCTGCCACACCAGCTCCATAACCAGATCCTACAATCACAACATCGTACTCTGATTTCATCCATTCGAACGGGCGACTGAGTGTCGGATAATCATCAGTCTTATCTTTGAAGTTTGACATTTCGTAGCGGATGTTGTCTCGGAAGGCAGTGTTGATCACTAGCAAACAAAAACGATACGCTTTTTGCGGGCATTGTGTGGGAGAAATGACACTCGTAGAAGAAGGAATAATTCCCGAACCAATGACAAATGCGGGCATATACGGAGTCAAGCAGAAAACACCTGGCTCCAATGGACTCGTAAACCCGCAAACGTTTTGCATTGGCGGGACGCAAGGGCTGACATTCGGTTATACGTTTAAACCTAAAACGCGGAATCATACATAAGAATGGTCAAATATGAAGATTGTGCTCTCGACTTGTGAATAGCATCGAGAATGTATCGGACATGGCACCTTCTTAGTTCTAACCCAACATGCTACACCTTCTAGATTGGCTGGCAGTGGATGATCGCTAGGCTTGTACGAGGCTTATCCCGGTATCAATACGGTATGCAACACACCGTCGCACTTCAATATTCAAGAGTTCTGCGCAAAGCATCTTGTTATTGGTGTTAGTTGATGTCATCTAGTTGTTTAGAGCAAAGTAATGCCTAGTTTTGATCATATCTCCACACTCCATGTCAAAATGTTCAATCGGTTGGTTTCTCATGTCTTTCTTGACATCCTTGGTGTGAAGAATATGTACTCCAAATGGCCTAGTGCGCAAACCACTCCAATATGATTTCTTTCACGTATCTCATTGGTTTTCTCGTATCTAAGTCTAGTGTTATGATTGTTCGATGATTGTTCGCATGCCTGCTTACTATATTGAATCTCGCCCGTGGACACGGCAATCGCTGACTGTACTTGAATTTAAGAAATTTTCGACGTATACAGAAATTGGAGCTGTCTGAAAGTTTCTTGTGCCGCGCGGCATGCTTGTGGTGTACCTAGGTATCAGCATGGCATGGTATGTATGGACACGAAAATTGCACGGCCTTCATATAAGTTTAGTTCAAGTCAACCCATATTCATGCTGTCTCGCAGCAACACGATTTCAATAGTGACTAGGCGAAATGGCTACCACCATGTCCTCTCGATACGACAACAAATCAAATCAACGGACTTGAGCACTTGTTTGTGCATTAAAGAAGATTACATTCATGAGGCTCCTAGTGAACCAGAAACTATACACATGAAAACAAGTGGAGAGGTCTTCTCAATCATCTTCCAAATTGATTACCACCTTCTCGTATTTCTTCTTTGGTGCAGCGCGAGGCACCGGCTTAATCTGTTTGAGATAGCCTCTGCAGCGGCCACATCGATGACGGACCGGATCAACACTCTTTGAGTGTCGACCCACCTCGAAGGGGCACCCCAGTACCACACAGGCCCAAAGGTACTTGTGATTGATCTCGTAAGTATGTTTGGTCGTAACTTCCACGCGGCCACCATAGATAGGGTGGCCATCCAATGCTCGAGTGCAACGAGCACCCCATTGCTTGAAACTAGCACCGTGTTGCGCCGCGCCCTTGCCCCTGTTCTCTGTAATCAGGATGTCGAGCAAGTGGCAGTACTCATGTGTCAGGGTACAGAGGATCTTGTCCTCTGTGTCCAAGACTTTCTCGGAAAGCTCAATGGTGGCATCGTAGCGCCGCCGTCCTGGATCTTCCACGCCGCCTTTCCCAGTGAAGACTCGTTCTGAACGGACAGTTGCCCGACCAGCGGTATTCCTGAAGTTTTTGGTCCAGATAAGTTTGATGCCACCAGTGTCTTTGGTCATGTTGGTAATACGGCCGTCGAAAGCATTGTCCAGGTGCTGAAGGAATTCTTCTGCGAAGCCGACTTTTTTTCGTTGAACTCGGCCACTTGGGCACGAATCTCGCGCTTCCGCGCCGCCTCGGCTTTCTTTTGGGCTCTTATAGTTGTGGGGGGAGTGTCTTTGATCCGCGTCGTTGATGGTGTGAGCGGTGGCGAGTCTTTGTGGCCTGGCTTGAGTGTTGGTGGAGGTTCATCCTCTGATTCCGAACTTAATTCAAGGTTCTCCAGGTGTTTGATGAGGTCGTTGGAGTTGTGAAGTCGAGACTTAGGCGCACGTGTTGAGTCGTCTCGGTGCTTGGTATTATCTGCTTCGTATACCAAAGGCTCGGGGTGGAGGCCAAATATAGGACTTGGTGCGCAGTCCTCACAATCGGGGGTAGTCCTCGTCGGTTTACAAGTGGTATTGTCGAGCTCCAACTCTGAATCAGTCGTCTCCATTGATGGCTTCTCATGTGCCAAAACTCTCGGCTCCGTCTCAGCGGCTGGCTTCCTTCCGCGCAAAAGTCTCTTTCTGGGTGATCTTATAGGAGAGGCGGCTGGGGTGGGCTCGTCCTCGGTGTTTGGCGTCTCATGATCAGATGCCTCGTGAGAGCTGAGCTCTTCATTGTCACTGACAATGAAATCGTCAATTGAATCAAAGCTATCGTCAAGCCCTTGATCCTCAATCTCTTCTTCTCGGTCGTCGGCTGTGGGGTGTCTTGTGGCACTATCTCCAGTTCTGCTTCTTCTGGGGGTGTTCTCTCTGGGTGGTGTTTGTCTGGACGGTATTGAATCCGGTGTGCGAAAGCCATCTGTGGTATGTTCTGGTACATCATTTTCCTTGTCATAGTCTGCATTTTCCCTGAAAGCAGGCCTTGGTCTCTGCTTTGTCGGCAGTAATAAAGAATTCACACGCGCGAGTCCTAGTGTCCGTGTCCGTGCCTGCTTTCCGGTGGGCTTGCGATGGCCAATTTCGCTTTCTGATGTCGACTCGCTGTCTGGCAATATATCGAACAAGGTACTAGATCTCGCCATCTGTCGTCGGGGTTGGTTTTGTGCTGAGGTTGTGACGGTGTGCTTGATCGGGGACTTCTTGAGATAAGAACATGGCTCTTTGGAGGGTATACTACCATCCAATGTTTGGGAGGTACGTGGTGTACTTTTCAGCACCCCTCTTCCCCTCTGGGGGGTGCTGTTTACCAAAGGGTTGGCTGTATTGAGTCTGGCCATGGTTTATGCGTTATCCCAGCTTTCGAGGAACCGTATGTTTGAGACAATCGCAGCTTGTCTATGTAGGGCAATGCTGGGGCTTCCAGGCTTGGGGAAAGCACCATGTGTTGATCAATATAGATGTTCGTGTGTTCCTTCAAAGTTCTTGCCGGTGATTTTCCCTATTGTTGAGCTGTCAACGGATGCACGTTGGCATGGCAACGTTAAGCTAATCCGGTGACCGCCTCAGCAGCTCACATGTGCTATGCATGAACTGAGTCTTTCGAGCTCAGAATTTATTTGTATTCTGGTCAATTGAGATTTCCATCTTATTTGTCTTTTGATATAATTGCAAAAAGAACTAAACTAAACTCTTTGTATCTGTTTTAAGGCATTGTAGTCATTGCCATCATGCTAAAACAGTTCTGAATAGGTGCCATAAGTAATAACTTTGACCTCAAGTGGCTGCTAATTTAATAATTTCAAGCGTGGTATCTATTATGAGATGCTATGACTGTATAGAGATGTCCCAATGTCTTTATATTGAAGGGAAACCTTTTTATAGATTTGTTAGTCATATGTATATATATCCGTCGCTATCCCATTTCGATGACATTATGCAACAAACTACCTAGGTAGTTTATCGAAATATAGAGAAGTTATGGAGTATACTTACAGTGAAAACCATGAAGTTCTACACCTTTGAATGTCGCATACCTAGGTACTCAAAAATTTACATACACAGAAATTCCTCCTCTACATACAGTCATCGACCAGCAGAAAGATAGCCGCAGAACCTTACACAGATCTGGAAGGACAGTGATTTGGGGGGAACAGACACGTTTGTACTGAATATGTTGAACAAAAGTTTTATCATACGGTGCTTCAAAAAAAAGTCTTCACTCTTCACACCCCACTGCACTTCAAAATATCAGTATTAATACATAAGGCTATGTAGTAGAATATATCATCTAGAAATTCTGGCGACATGTCCGTATCAGGTGCGTTCTCCAAGGTTTCCTAGATATCTGTTTATCAGTCTTTCATCGGGACCATGTTTAAAGTTCTTTGGTCTTTTTATTTACTAGCTAAATATCCACTTAGATTGGTGCACTGAAGACCTCTAATATGAGCTGTTTCCAGACTTCAGACACCAGTAACTATTAATGCTTAAGCCTGCAGTAACTTGCAGTAGTACCTCTACATAGGACGCTTGGTAATTGATACTGGACTTGGCAAGTACAATTGCATATAAAACCGTGCCCTCAAGCTCAGCATTAATCTGCACTGAATGAATATTGAGTTAAAGATATCACAGACTTTTTTTTTTTCAGGGCTACCTAAGTAACTCACAATATAGACATAGTATTTTCCCCCGAGAGGAGGCAACCCTTTTGGGAAAAAACACACACAAACTTAGCTAGCTTCCCAGCATCATTTCATTATCAAGATCCAAGACACAGAAACCAAAATTATGTCTAAGGTGAGGATAACGTATGAAATGTACAGAGTGGACCATAGAGATCTCGGAAACAACTACCCCCATGGAGAAGGCGGACCTCCTTGCCGAATGTCGTGTATGTATGTACCTGGCGAGTTAGCCACTAGGAATGGATGAACCACGAAGCATGCCGATCCCGGACCGGGGAGTTATCTCATATTGTGCAGATTGTGGAATTATTCCCTCAGGCCGGGTTGGTGAACGGGCATTGGTTAGGCTCATTCTTGCGCGGTGGTGGTGATGATCGACATCCCCTTGCCTCCCAAATGATATTGGACCCTGTTTCTTAATAAAAACGCCTGTAGCCAGGCGATCTGCATCTATCTTAAGTTACTTTTTTTTGATATCAAATCAACATTATGTTTTTAAAATTGTTTAGTAAGGCTTGTTTGGATGTCTGCAGCAAAACTGAGCGTCATTTTTTTTTATAGGTCTGAAGTCCTGGCTTCATTGACCCATAGGAAAAATTTTCTTCACTTTGATTCCCGAGGGGAAGGATAAACCATTCCGTTCGAGAATACTTGGGAAGAAAGATGAGAGATAATGTCACTTTAATCGAGTCAGTTACAGGAAATACCTATCGGGTGCAGGGCAGGAGTTTTTGGTGCTCGTACAAAGCAGCTGCATGCAATCTGTACGTATGAATTAGATGATAACAGATAGTTTGATGTATCTAGACACATTTTTACAGACACCGAAGGATAGATGGGATATACAATGTCTACATACATGCAGGTGTGATCACTTGTCAAATTTGTTCTAAAGCTCTAAAGTTGCACACAATACTCTTGTTTAATATAAATTCTATGTAGGGTGCCATCGGTAGTTACTCCCTAGTGATGTCTTGGATATATATAAATAACTCTTATTGATAAAGCAGTCAGGCTCTACATGAACACTTCCCAGGGTTTTGTGATGTAACCATGAAATATTTAGGGCTCATCAGACCGCTGTTAGGCCAACATGAATCCTTGAAGCTTTCTAAAGCCTTATGTATTGTTCACGGACCAAGAACTGCACATTATCCACGATGAAAAGATGCGGTGAACCAAAAGTACAACGTGGCTAAAGTGTAATCAGTCTTGTTTTACTATGTGTAAAATGTCATTTTACAACATGACCTTAGATTACGCATTATCTAACTAAAGATGCACTTTAGTTATTACCCCTGGGCACTATTTATCATACACTAGAAGTATCATCGAACATGATTACGGCGCATGTACATCCACGTCAAAAGCAAAGACTTTTACTGACTCGCAATCACTAGAAAGGTGGAGGGGGACACAGAGTCGCTGCTCCTGATGACTACATTGAAATCGAAGCTTCGCTCTCGCGATCGGCTTTGGCACATATGATGATCAGAGGGACGTAGATCAGTGGCGAGAGGGGACATAAATCCTTCCACGGGGTCGGCGCAATGTCCAACGCCCCGTTCAGGGGTTAGGGCCAAAAAATTAATATAGGAGGAGCTTCTGGAAACGCCAATGGCAGCCATCGACGCCACTGGCTCTCATGTGCAAGCCATTTGTCAATAAGTACTAAGGGGCTGTCTTCATAAATGTTGTGCTATCTTAGTTTCGAGCCACATGTCAGGGCGGTTACTTTAGTGCATCTGTAATCAAGTATTGGAAAGTGGCGGGTCAATACAGAGGAATTGCTTCAATAAATTTGCTACACTAGGGCACGCCTACCGGCTAGTGATCGCTGACTAGTCCCATTAAAGACGACTTATTCATCATAGACAGGTTATTTTTGGAATGACATTAGCGATCGCTGTCGGGTTTTTGAGATGCCAGTAATTAGTAACTTATGATAGTGTCAATAGAGCCTCGGAAATGTGGATAAGCGGAAGAATTTGATAGGGGATCAGAGTGTGAAAAGTAAATGGCCAATATCTGCCTCCTTCGTGCAGCTGATATGTCGTTCCTGCGTGAGTCTGCATCCACGGGTATGAGGGTGTACAAGGTACAAGTACTATGTTGGAAACCAAGATCAATGCAGTTGGGTGCAGAAGTGCATATTCTATCCATAGGGTGCCACAACATACCCTGTTTACCGAGCACGTCAATTCCACTACCAGGTATTCGCACGCTGTTGCGTAGGCTGATAAAGAATTGGGTCGAGGCTCTCAAAAAGAATTAGGAAAAAAAGCAATCGGTGGTCCACTTAGTGCGTGGAAGGGGAATACAAAGACGAAATCTCTGGGTCTAACGGTGGAGATCTATTTCAATTACACGATTACTAGCTTGTATGTATATACAGTATATACAGTATCTAATATATTCGGGTACATATATTTATACAGATGACTATAACTAATTGGATATTTCAATTGATTTATGATGTGATTAAGACTATGTAGTACTCCGTATAGTTATATAGAATCATCGTCAATGATAAATTTATGTAACCGCATGTTCCGACCAAACGCCTCATGTGTGTAAACAGCCAAATGCATAAATGGATAAATATAGACAAAGCCCTGATTGAGTTTTCCGATTATTTATTAATTAGCGAGTAACTGGCGAAGGCAGATTCAAGTTTTTGTGGTGGTACCCGACCCACTGTGCGATACAGTTCCCTATCGTGTATGGAGGGCTTGCCAGCCACACTCTACTTAGTTAAGGATAGCTCAACGGCAGTGGAAAGTCAAATGTAATACACAGGGAACTGATCGACTACATTTGAGACATCTTGTATTGTGGCAAATCAGCCGCTAAAACAAAGTTAATAGAAAAGAAGCCATCGATCACTTGAGCGGAAACAGAAATAAAAGTTGACGATCGTGGAGATAGAGAGGAGTAGAAGGAAGAGAATCCATAGAACCTAGAATATTGTAGCAATAAGCTCAAAGAAAAATTGTTTAAACAAAAAAACAGCTAAGCGGAAATGAAGGTCAAACTGTGGTTATTGTCGCATGGGAGCCATGGATCAGGAGGTAAAAAACATGACTTTTGACCATTAATATGTGAGATCAATTTGAGATCTATTAATACAAATATGTACTTATAATAATGTACGGAGTAATTATATTGAGAATACTTTATAATATGATGATTTAGGATTTAGAATTTAGGAATTAAATTTAAATCTCATTGACAACATACAATGTAAGTGGTTGAGGTAATCAAAAGTGAAGTGACTACGAGTCACATTGAGCTTACGTTGTAGAGATAACTCGCCACCTACATATGTGACTAGCTGAAGCACTCAGGCAGATAAAGCATACAAGATTGTACACCATATGATATTTTGTACGTTTGTAGTGTACCTGAGTGCACAGTAACGAGGAATGAAAAACATACCGATACAGTGCAACGGCATCCCTGCATACCGATGCTGGTCGCCATAACAAGGCACTGTCAAATCAACGTCCATTTTTGGAACAGCAAAGTCCCATAGGTATTTTTGGAAATATCCCCCGGCCACATTATTTGTTACCTGATTACATGCTGGCTGGTCACAGTGGGGCAAGTTTCAGGGGCCGTCGAGACTCCCTTGGATTCCGGTGTCCGAGGGAGACTTTCATTGGGTGAAGGTAAGAGGAGATTGTGCAGTGATCGGGGAAACACAAGCGTAAATACAGTCGGACAATAACGGTAATTCTGAAAGGGACGAAGATAGAGTAGAGAGATTATAGTGAGAGACATCGAAATGACAAACCTACTTCAATGTAACGAAGTAAGTCAAAATGGCCTGAGTATACGTACTGTAAACAAACGGGTATTTGTAATCAGTACTTAACAAAGATAGGGGCCAACCATAGTGGGCAGAGGTATTTAGTACCTGGAACTCTGACACGTACCCTCTTATGTATGGTGACGGTAAATTAGACAACAGTTGGAAGGTCCCCCCAAATCCCAAAAAAACACCAAGCATTTTCTGGTCTTTCCTCTCCAACCCCCTTCCATTCGCTTTTTGTTTCCAACCTTCCTTCATTTTTTTGCTACCTTTCGTTCTTTCCTTTTCTGAGAAGGATAGGAGAGGGGTTGCTTCTTTGCTAAAAATTCCCCATTGCACCTTCCTTTGACGGAATTCCATTCGTTTCTTGAGTTCGAGACTCATTCGGCAATCAGTTACACGCGCATTTCGTTATCCGCGCATCAGCTTTCTGTGTCGATGGTGCATTATTTCGACATTTTATCAACAAAATTACTTTGAATGGTCGCGGTTGAGGTGAGATTGTGGACTGGGACGCCTGTGGAGGTATTGCATTCGATTGGGGACTAATTCCTATCAGAGCCCACACCAATAAATCGATCGCGACTCTCTCGTCATGTCGGGCTACGCTGCTGGCGGAGGCCAAGGCCACTATGACGATAGCTATGCCAATCAAGGTCATGGTGACTCCTACTACCAGGACGAACATGCCCAAGCAGGGTATTACGACAACCAAGGATACAGCCAGGGTGATGGTTACTATGACCAAGCGTACGTCCCCTTGTTAGAGCGTCTATATCTGGATCGAAATAGAAGCTGACGAATAGTATAGTAATGGCAGCCATGGTTACTACGGAGCTGAAGGCGGCCACGCCGCCGAGGGCGCCGCACAAGGTCAAGGCTACGCCGAGGGAGGTTACTATGAGGCCGGTCACAACGAGGCCGGCCACCAGGACCAGTACTACGGCGAACAGTATTACGACCAAGGACAAGGTGAATACGGGCGCGGTCGACGTGGCAATGATTCAGAGGAGGACTCAGAGACATTCAGCGATTTCACAATGAGGTCAGAGACTGCTCGTGCCGCGGACATGGATTACTATGGCCGTGGAGACGAACGGTACAACAGCTACACAGACAGCCAGTACGGTGGTCGGGGCGGCTACGGTGGTTATCGTCCACCCTCATCTCAGATCTCCTACGGCGCCAACCGATCATCCGGTGCTTCAACCCCCGTGTACGGAATGGACTACGGCAACGCTCTTCCCGCTGGGCAGCGCTCGCGTGAGCCATACCCTGCCTGGTCCTCCGACGCTCAAATCCCTCTGTCAAAGGAGGAGCTTGAGGATATCTTTTTGGATCTAGTCAACAAGTTTGGTTTCCAGCGTGACAGCATGCGAAACATGTACGACCATATGATGACTATGCTGGACTCCCGTGCATCTCGTATGACTCCAAACCAGGCCCTTCTCTCAATCCATGCCGACTACATCGGTGGCCAAAACGCCAATTATCGCCGGTGGTACTTTGCTGCCCACCTTGATCTCGACGATGCGGTGGGTTTCGCCAACATGAAGCTCGGAAAGGCGGACCGCAAGACACGGAAAGCTCGCAAGGCCGCAGCCAAGGCCGCCAAGCAGAATCCCGAGAATGAAGAGGAAACACTCGAGGCCTTGGAGGGTGACAACAGTCTGGAAGCCGCGGAATACCGGTGGAAGTCACGCATGAACCGCATGTCTCAGCATGACCGCGCCCGCCAGATTGCCCTGTACCTCTTGATTTGGGGTGAGGCCAACCAAGTTCGTTTCTTGCCAGAATGTATTTGCTTCATCTTCAAGTGTGCCGATGACTATTACGCCTCCCCCGAGTGCCAAGCTCGCGTCGAACCGGTTGAGGAATTCACGTACTTGAACGAGATTATCACGCCTCTCTACCACTACTGCCGCGACCAGGGATATGAGATCATGGACGGCAAATATGTGCGCCGCGAGAATGATCACAACAAGATCATCGGTTACGATGACATGAACCAGCTGTTCTGGTACCCCGAGGGTATCGAACGCATCAGCTTTGAGGACAAGACCCGCCTGGTAGATGTCCCCATCGGTGAGAGATGGCCCAAGTTGAAGGATGTGGTCTGGAACAAGGCCTTCTTCAAGACCTACAAGGAAACTCGTTCCTGGTTCCACATGATTACCAACTTCAACCGTATTTGGGTTATTCACCTGGGTTCATTCTGGTTCTTCACTGCTTACAATGCCCCTACTCTGTACACTATCAACTATCAACAACAGGTTGACAACAAACCGTCAACGCCCAAATACCTGGCTGCTGTTGGTTTCGGTGGTGCTCTCGTCTCGTTCATTCAAATTCTCGCCACTATTTTCGAATGGGTCTATGTTCCTCGTGGATGGGCTGGCGCTCAGCACCTGCGCAAGCGTTTCATGTTCCTGATCGGTGTATTCATCATCAACCTTGCACCTGGTATCGTCATCTTCGGCATCTTGCCTGGGTTGAAATTGAAGGCCAGCCTCGAAAACGGCGTTGGACTTGCCCTCGGTATTGTCCACTTTGTTCTCGCGATCTTCACCGCTGCATTTTTCGCTATCCAACCGCTCGGAGCTCTTTTCGGAAACTACATGAAGAAGAACGGACGCAAATATGTCGCCAGTCAAACTTTCACAGCCAGTTTCCCCCGGCTTGCTGGCAATGACATGTGGATGTCCTACGGTCTCTGGGTTTGTGTTTTCGGTGCCAAGTTGGCCGAGTCATACTTCTTCTTGACTCTGTCATTCAAGGATCCTATTCGAATTCTGTCTCCAATGCAGATCCACCAGTGTACTGGTGCGAAATACATTGGTAACGCTGTTTGCCACCGTCAGCCCCAGATCTTGTTGGGTCTGATGGCCTTTATGGATCTGACACTCTTCTTCCTCGACAGTTACCTCTGGTATATTATCTGTAACACCATCTTCTCTGTCGCAAGATCGTTCTACCTTGGTGTGTCGATTTGGTCTCCATGGAGAAACATTTTCTCTCGTCTTCCCAAGCGTATCTACTCCAAGGTGCTCGCTACCACCGACATGGAGATCAAGTACAAACCCAAGGTTTTGATCTCTCAGGTCTGGAACGCCATCATCATCTCCATGTACCGTGAGCATCTCCTGGCTATCGACCACGTGCAGAAGTTGTTGTATCACCAGGTTCCTTCTGAGCAAGAGGGCAAGCGCACTCTCCGCGCCCCAACTTTCTTCGTGTCCCAGGAAGATCAGTCTTTCAAGACCGAGTTCTTCCCCCAGGGAAGCGAGGCGGAGCGCCGTATCTCTTTCTTCGCGCAGTCTCTGTCTACCCCTATGCCCGAGCCGCTGCCCGTTGACAACATGCCCACCTTCACAGTTCTGATTCCTCACTACAGCGAAAAGATCCTGCTCTCCCTGCGTGAGATTATTCGTGAAGATGAACCCTACTCGCGTGTTACCCTGCTCGAATACCTTAAGCAACTGCACCCTCACGAGTGGGACTGTTTCGTCAAGGACACCAAGATTCTCGCCGATGAGACCTCGCAGTTCAACGGCGACTACGAAAAGCCCGAGAAGGATGCCGCGAAGAGCAAGATCGATGATCTTCCCTTCTACTGCATTGGTTTCAAGTCTGCCGCCCCCGAGTACACCCTCCGCACCAGAATTTGGGCTTCGCTCCGCTCTCAAACTTTGTACAGAACTGTCTCTGGTTTCATGAACTACAGCCGTGCCATCAAGCTCCTTTACCGTGTTGAGAACCCGGAGGTCGTTCAAATGTTCGGTGGTAACTCCGAAAAGCTCGAGCGTGAGCTTGAGCGCATGGCTCGCCGAAAGTTCCGCATCTGTGTCTCCATGCAGCGTTACGCCAAGTTCAACAAGGACGAACGTGAGAACACCGAGTTCTTGCTGCGCGCGTACCCGGACCTGCAGATTGCTTACCTGGATGAGGAGCCTCCCGTCAACGAGGGCGACGAGCCCCGCCTGTACTCTGCTCTGATTGATGGTCACTGTGAACTTCTCGAGAACAACATGCGCAAGCCCAAGTTCAGAATTCAGCTCTCCGGCAACCCCATTCTTGGAGATGGAAAGTCCGATAACCAGAACCATGCTATCATCTTCTACCGTGGTGAATACATCCAGCTCATTGACGCCAATCAGGACAACTACCTTGAAGAGTGCTTGAAGATTCGCAGTGTCTTGGCCGAGTTCGAAGAATTGACCACCGATAACGTTTCCCCTTACACTCCTGGAGTTGTCTCGCCTGAAGAGAACCCCGTTGCGATTCTCGGTGCCCGTGAATACATTTTCTCTGAGAACGTCGGTGTCCTCGGTGATGTTGCTGCCTCCAAGGAACAGACATTCGGTACTCTGTTCGCCCGTACTCTCTCCCAAGTTGGCGGTAAGCTGCACTATGGTCACCCCGATTTCCTGAATGCCACCTTCATGACCACTCGTGGTGGTGTTTCCAAGGCTCAAAAGGGCCTGCATCTGAACGAGGATATTTATGCCGGTATGAACGCCATCCTTCGTGGTGGTCGCATCAAGCACTGCGAATACTACCAGTGTGGAAAGGGTCGTGATCTTGGTTTCGGATCCATTTTGAACTTCACAACGAAGATTGGTACTGGTATGGGTGAACAGATGTTGTCTCGTGAATACTACTATCTCGGAACTCAGCTTCCCCTCGATCGCTTCCTGTCTTTCTACTATGCTCACCCTGGTTTCCATCTTAACAACATGTTCATTATGCTTTCGGTTCAGATGTTCATGGTCGTCCTGATTAACCTTGGTGCTTTGAAGCACGAGACAATCACTTGCAAGTACAATTCCGATCTACCCATCACCGATCCTCTTGTCCCGACTCTGTGTGCCAACCTGACTCCCATCCTCGACTGGGTCAACCGTTGTGTTATCTCCATTTTCATCGTGTTCTTCATTTCATGGGTTCCACTTGCTGTCCAGGAATTGACAGAGCGCGGAGTTTGGCGCATGGCTACCCGTCTGGCCAAGCACTTTGGCTCGCTATCCTTCATGTTTGAGGTGTTCGTCTGTCAGATCTACGCCAATGCTGTGCATCAGAACTTATCATTTGGAGGTGCCCGCTACATTGGTACTGGCCGTGGTTTCGCAACTGCCCGTATTCCCTTCGGCGTTCTCTACTCCAGATTTGCTGGCCCCTCGATCTACGTTGGTGCTCGTCTCCTGCTGATGCTGTTGTTCTCAACCACAACCGTCTGGACCCCTGCCCTTATCTGGTTCTGGGTCTCCCTGCTCGCGCTGTGCATCTCTCCTTTCTTGTTCAACCCTCATCAATTTGCGTGGAACGACTTCTTCATCGATTACCGCGACTACATCCGCTGGCTCTCGCGCGGAAATTCCCGGTCCCACGCTTCCTCTTGGATCGGGTTCTGTCGTCTCTCGCGTACCCGTATCACTGGATACAAGCGCAAGCTTCTTGGTGTTCCCTCTGAGAAAGGCTCTGGCGATATTCCCAGAGCCCGCATTACCAATATCTTCTTCAGCGAAATCATTTCCCCTCTGCTTGGAGTCGGCGCAACCTTGATCCCGTATCTCTACATCAACTCCCGAACCATGTTCTCCGATGACGCCCAGTGGGCTGCCAACCCCATCGCCCGTGTCGCCATTGTTGCGTTCGCCCCAGTTGGTATCAATGCTGGTGTCGCCGGTATGTTCTTCGGTATGGCCTGTTGTATGGGCCCTCTCTTCGGCATGTGCTGCAAGAAGTTTGGTGCTGTTCTCGCCGCCATTGCTCACGCAATCGCCGTTATTGCATTCTTGATCTTCTTCCTGGCCATGTTCGTTCTGGAATCCCTCAGCTGGCCTCGCACCATCTCCGGCATGATTGCCGCCATGGCCCTCCAACGCTTCATCTACAAGCTGATTATTGCCCTCGCGTTGACTCGTGAGTTCAAGAACGACCAGTCGAACATTGCCTGGTGGACTGGAAAATGGTACAACATGGGATGGCACTCCCTTTCTCAGCCGGGACGTGAGTTCCTGTGTAAGATTACCGAGCTCGGATATTTCGCGAACGACTTCTTCTTGGGTCATATCCTCTTGTTCGCCATGCTTCCCGCCCTCGCAATCCCCTATGTCGACAAGTTCCACTCGGTCATTCTGTTCTGGCTTCGCCCTAGGTTAGTTAATTCGTCCATTACAGTACATTAACTTGATACTAACTTTGATGATCCCCAGCCGACAAATCCGCCCTCCCATCTATTCTCTCAAGCAGTCCAAGCTTCGCAAGAGACGGGTGGTTCGCTTCGCTATCCTCTACTTTGTCATGCTTGTCATCTTCGTGGTCATTGTTGCTGCGCCGGTTGTTCTCCACAACACTGGCATGTTGGACTCCTTCCTCAAGGATACTCTCTGGAACACCATTGGTGTGAAAAACACCAAGGCCATCGGCCTTCTTCAACCCTTGGACCACGGGCTCAACGATACCGTCGATTGGTACACTGGATCCAATCTTCCCAAGGGCTATACCTCTAGCGCAATTCCAACTCCCGCTGCAGGAACTAACAAGTGGCTCCTCTAAAGGGCCTGCTAAATGACCTGGGAATGTTTTGTACAAACTTTTGCGTTTATTAAAACTCGCTGCATTTTTCTAACCTCACTGGCGCACACGTTGATCTTAATGAATGGCTGCTTTCAAATATTCTTTGTCGAATGACGCTTGTATGAAGGGTCTTGTCATTCCGGGGGTTTACCTTCGTTTCCAGCTTTCTTTGCTTGTTTTATTTACACTTCAATCGGAATTAAATTGCATTGCTTTTGTGGAATACCCATATCTTTATAGTAAATTCTAGCTACCACTCATTGTAGATGTATCTGTTATGTGCTTTGTTCTATAATCTCCATATTCCAATATGCCACCCGAAACGCCCTTAGTGACAGGTCACGTGCCACGGAGATTCCCAGGGCTCCGAATCCCCCGTTTCATCATCATCCCATTTCCGAGCGACCACTCTTCTTTTGCGCACTTGTAAAACCTCATATTCTCGGCACCACACCGAATTGGTGTGACGAAGTCCGAGCGCTACTCCTGAATCCGCCGCTATGGATCTCCAGGAGACCCAGCGTCTCCTTTCCGAATATCTGCATAACCTTGCGGATCTATTTCATCGCGTGCCTGGATCTGCAATTCTCCTTCGCTACGTGAAATCAAGCTATCAAGATGACCCAATTCGTTCTGCTGTTGAACTTTTCCTCTTCCTTTTCGCCGTACGATACCTACTGGCTCCGAAGTATTCGACCAAGCCAGGCGTCGTTCCACTGACGGAAGATGAGATCGATGACCTGGTGGACGAATGGACCCCTGAGCCTCTCGTCGGGAGACCTACCAGCCTGGAAGAGATGGAAGTCGATAAGCGCGCCGTGATCGTTGGGTAATAAACTCCCATCCCCTATTCGTTCCTTCTGCCTAACGGCTCCGCGGGACTTTTACTGACGGATCTACAGCCCTGTAGGCCCCAAATCGAAACTCGCCAATGGTCGCACCGTTATGAACCTGGCATCATTGAATCACTACAACTTCAACACCAATGAGTCCCTAAAGGAACAAGCCATCCAGACCCTCCGCACGTATGGTGTTGGCCCCTGTGGTCCTCGTGGCTTCTACGGCAGTCAAGATGTACACATGAAGACGGAAGACGATGTATCGGCTTTCCTGGGTACTGCGGCTTGTATAATGTACTCTCAGGCCTTTTCCACTATCTCAAGTGTTATTCCTGCTTTCTCAAAGCGTGGAGATATTATTGTTGCAGACAAGGGAGTTAGCTTTGCCATCCGCAAGGGTATACAGATCTCCCGAAGCATAGTCCGTTGGTATGAACATAACGATATGGAGGATTTGGAGCGAGTGCTCGCAAAGGTCACCAAGGAGCAAGCTCGGAAGCCTTTGACTCGCAGATTCATTATCACAGAGGGTCTTTTCGAGGCTTACGGTGACATGTCAGACCTGCCTAAGATCGTACGTTTTTCCGTTGCACCCGAATTTATGTGCGAGCTAACCAAACCCTCAGATCGAACTGAGACTCAAGTACAAGTTCCGTTTGATCCTGGATGAGACCTGGTCCTTTGGTGTTCTCGGTCGCACTGGCCGTGGTATCACAGAGCACCAGAATGTCGATGCAGCTGAAGTTGATATGATTGTAGGATCACTGGCTGGTCCCCTTGTTGCTGGCGGTGGCTTCTGTGCTGGCTCAGAGGAGATTGTTCACCACCAGCGTATTTCGGCTGCTGCGTACACCTTCTCTGCCGCTCTTCCCGCCTTGCTCTCAACTACTGCCAGTGCCACTATCAACATCCTTCAGAACAACCCCGAAACTGTGTCTCAACTTCGGGAACTCACCAAGGCCATGCGGGCTCAATTAGACCCCCGCAGTGACTGGGTTTACTGCACCAGCTCTCCTGAGAACCCTGTCCTCATTTTGGTCATCAAACCTGAGGTGGTGGCTGCCAAGAGGCTCACAGATACTGACCAGCAGTTCTTGCTCCAGGACGTTGTTGATGAGGTATGCACCCTTCCTTGATCGAGTATCAGAATCTCTATCTAACTTTGTTGCAGTCCCTTGCCAATGGTGTCATGATCACCCGGCTGAAGACTCTTGAGGACAACTTCGAACCCAAGCAGGTTGTCCCACCAGCCCTCAAGGTGTGTGTCACGACTGGCCTCACCAAAAAAGAGACCGAAAAGGCGGGCACAATCATTCGTCATGCCATCACTAAAGTGATGAGCAAGAGAAAGTAGCACGAATACTTCCCTTCCCCTTACCTTCTGCTCCTGACCGGACACTCTATGACTGTTCACGCCCTATGACCTCGACATTTATCGATTTCATTTTCATCAGTCGACCTACGCCCTAATGCCCTTCAACCCGTGTATTGTTAACCTTGTCCATATACATTCCTATTGCATGCCTTGTACAGAACCGCCCTTTTCTCTTTATGGGCGGGCTAATTACCTGTGCATGATTATATGTTGTTTAATACTATTCTTCTACCCTTGGCTCTTTGCTTCAAGGATGTGTCTATTTGCATACATTATTCATACCCCTTAGCAAATTCCTGTGTCGGGCTTCTCACTCCTTTCCATAAAGTAGAGTTTACGCCCTGAAAGTGCCTGACGCGTAAATCTCTCTTGGGAGAGATTTCTGAAATATTCAATGCATGAGAAGCTCGACGTGTTGGGACCAAACTTCAGCTCTTTAAAACCCCCTTGACCTTGACCCCATTCTACGTTGTACCTTGTGGTGTCAATTATCACTAAAAGTTCCAATAGTTAGCAGCCAGTGTTCCATCTCACATTCAAACGAATCCCCTGTGTCCCTGAGCGACGCCTAAGAATGGGCCCGCATTCCAACCTACCTCACGACTTAGGGGCATTCTCGGTCCAGACCCGACCGGGGCCTTTGCCATACGATGCTAAAAGAGACCAGATCTATTTCTCCGAGAGCGAGTTGGTGATCCAAGGGGCCTCTTTCAGACCAAGGGGTCTGTTCAAAACTTGGCAGCTCCCCGATCTCATTCCACATGTCCACCCCAGATGGAGGCGATACGCTTGGGGTCCCTTGTGTTTACATGCCCCGCTCATAAAGTCCACGTAGCTGGAATCTGATACCTGATGCTGCCAATATGGATATAATGGGTCTGATCGGCACCATATGAAGTGATTTATTTCTACGTGGTAACAGGGATGAAAGGTCAACCCTAGTTCTAGGATCGTCGCCAATCAACTTCAGGCCACCGCGTGGGATTGAAAATCGGCTTCCCTAGGGAGTGCCAATTGAAAGATGAAAGGCCTTATCAAGGCTCTTGCCGGTTTGCTATTCGCATGTGGCGTGTGCGTGGAAGCTTCAGGTAAGACCAGCACCAAACTAAGCAGATGTCTAGCGTGAATGATATAGGGCATCCTGCTAATTCTTTGATATAGAGAGCCAATGTCAAGGGAGCCACGTCAAACAAACCTCCGCCAGAGAGGTAGTAGTCTGGGTCGATGAAAATGGTGATCCCATTCAATCGAACACCGCGAACGAGTATTATGCCCAGGCTCCGCCTGTACTGCAAACCCATGTTAGTAGATTCGGATGATTGAAAGCTGAGAATAATTATTGATTCTTCGTTGGAAAGTCGGCCGCCAGTACCCCGTCACAGGAGACTTCAATATCAATTCCAGTCCCAGATGGTTATCGTGTAGCATCAGCACCCGCTACATCCAAGGAAGATGACGGCATGAACAGCCGTCTGGTAACAGTTGATGACAAGTCTAATGGGGTACCACCGCCGCCTCCTCCACCACCACCACCACTATCGCATCCTCAAACTCCTCCCAATGCGCCAGTCCCCCGTCCGCATTCTCATACACATGGGCACCCCAAACATCAACACCACGACCAATTTGGCATATCTTACTCGCCCTATAAAGCAGACCGCGCCTGCAAAAACCAGGAAGAAGTAAACCAAGACCTAGACAGACTCTCCCAATACTCCTTCATCCGCATCTACGGCACAGATTGCGACCAAACAAAGACAGTAGCCAATGCCGCGCGGCGGCACAACATGCGAGTCTTCGCCGGTGTCTACGACCTCACAGGGTTCCCAGGCAGTCTGAGCGCCGTCAGTGATGCCGCAAAAGGCCCGGATGGCAAGACAGACTGGTCCATCTTCCACACTATAGCAATTGGCAACGAACTTGTGAATGCTGGTACCAACGAGCCCGCCGAAGTCGTCAGCGCAGTGAAGCAAGCACGCTCTATCCTCCGCGGGCAGGGGTATCAAGGCCCCGTCGTTACGGTTGATACCTTCTCCGTACTCTTGAGCCACCCAGAACTATGCACCGCATCCGACTACTGTGCCGCGAACTGCCATGCGTTCTTCGATGCGACCCAGCACCCCGGCGGTGCGGGTGCCTATGCTCTTGAACAGGCGCGTGGTATCTCTGCTGCCGCTGGCGGGAAGCGTACTATGATTACGGAGTCTGGATGGCCGCATGCCGGAGATGCAAATGGGGCGGCTATCCCTTCGCCGGATAATCAACAGACAGCTCTTGCGAGTTTGAGAAAGAGCTTTGACCATCGCCGTGAAGATTTGGTGCTCTTCACTGCTTTTGATGATCTCTGGAAGGATGATAATAGCTTTACTTTCAACGCAGAAAGGTTTTGGGGCATTCATGGTGACCTCTAGGCGTAGAGCCCTAGGTCCAAATCTCTTCCTGTCCTCTTATTTCTTGTCACTGAACGCATTTGGGTGGCTCTTTCGTTTGCTTTTGATACAACTTTGTGTAAATAGACCATCTTCGCTCCTAGGATGACTAGACAGCTCATTGATGAAGTACAAGATATCGACTTTAGACTTTATATTGGCTTCGCTGATATTAACTATACATTAAGTGGAGACTATACACCTAGATTGACTGGCCTGGGACCGACTATGAATTCTCAAGTTTCAAAATTGCGATGAAGCTCACGTTGCCAGGCCTCTTGGGCTGCACGCGCCTCGATCTTATCCATCCATCCATCTGTACGAGTAAGCTCATCAAACGCCTCCTTGTTAGATGGTAAGTCCCAGAAGAACTCTTTTCCGTCTGGAGACTTTTTGTGAGCTTCCAAGTCTCGGCCTTGTCGAATGATGAGAGACGTCAGCAGACCACGGGACTTGCTGCTCGGGCTGACACCAAGTTGGTTCATCTCGCGCAAGATCGAGATCACCGCAGGAAGATCTTTGCATCCACGCCAATGGTAGAACATCAATTCGTCGTACAAGCCCGATGAAGCACCCAAGAGAGCAGAGATGCGTCCGTGTTCTTTGATGGTTGAGTGGAATTGACTGATGAGTGGGGATTTGGGGAAATGCGTGTTTAGAATACGGAAAGCTATGAGGAGGGCTTTCGGATATAGACCCGCCACGACAGGGGAGGCAGGGACCACAGATGGGATTCGGAGGGGTCCTGATGGGGAAGTAGAGGGTGTTTTGGATTGATCGCTCGCACTCAGGTTGACATCCGAGGCTTCTGCGAATGTTTTCTCATCGAGATGGTGCAGCATGGAGAAGACGCGCTCCTTGCATACTTCCCACACACCCATGTCGCCTTTGCCCTGCTCAACGGCTTGGAAAAGTGCAAACTCAATGTGTTCTGATTCCCTCTCGATGACCATCTCGATGGCCTTGCTCACACTGATTGTAAACTCAGCTGCGCTGGCAGTAGCGGCCTCATGGTAGCCCAAATCGCTGAGCTTGATTTGTCGGGGTCCTTTATTCTCCTGGGAAGTCTCCTCTTTGGTTTCCGACTTTTCGGGGGATCGGGTAGATCTAGGGTTGTTCTTTTGCTGCCGCAAAGCCTTCAAAGCGGCTTTCTTCTTTTGAGGATCTTGTAGCAGCGAGTCGAACACTGACATGAGCTCAGCGATCTCAGCCTGCTTCTCCGGGCTCAATGGCTTTGACCCAGAGCCCACTTTAGCACTGATCCCATCGTGTTGTACCCCAAGCTGTTCTAACAGCCCTCCGAATACCAATTTCTCTTGGGGTGTAATCTTCGGTGCTATCTTATTGGGGTTTGTTGTCGGTGAAAATGGCCTTGGGGTTGAAGGCCGTCGGGACGAAATAGACGCTGCGCGTTTTTGTAGAAAGCTTCTTCGCGGCTTTGGGGCATCTGGGCTTGTGGAGCTTGAGCCAATTGGCTCTTCGGAGGCATTCTGAGTTGAGTTATTCTCGGTTGATGACTTGTTCACCTGCGAGTTGGATTCGGTAGAGCTGTTTTGAGTAGAGAATGAGCGCGTGAATTTGTGGTTGAATTGAGGTCGCAGGGGAGAGGAGAAAAGTGTGAGTGTTCGACTGTGATACAGGAAAGAAGCCGTGGAATTTAATCGGGTCATGTTGTTCGCCTTAACATTGGACTTCACACTCTCCTCAAGTGTGAAAGCAGACCAAAGATCAATGTGCAACAACTTCTCAGCTTCGAACCTCACAGCTCTCGACAACACAAAGAGAACAAGCTGTTAAAACTATTGATTCTATAGACTTGAACTCGGAGCTTTTTTCTCGCCGCAATCTAGATCACATGACTTCGCGCAACTCTCCCACGCGTTTCGACACCGAGGACGTGCCACACACCCCTCCAGCACAAACTGACTACGAACCAAACACGCCTCGGTATCTCGAGTCCAACATGTCAGGCGGAAAAAATGAGCTCTCCGAGTTTGAACAACAACGATTGGCAAACATCGCTGAGCGCGATGCGCTGCTGAAGAAGATACATTTGGAGAACCAGTCGTTTAGTTTCTCCACCCCGAAGCCGGTCAACGGCGCATCAAAACCGAAGAAACGACCTACTCCCAAAGTCAAGAAGGAGGAAGAGGATTTAACACCACGTCGCTCATCTTCGCGTCTCAAAGGCATTGCGGCTGAAAGTGAGGTCGCGAAGCGCAAGGCGGAGGATGAATATGACGCCATGCGCGAAGCTGATCGCCTGAAGCGACAGCGCCGAACCGACTCTTTTAGTCAGGCTGATATGTTTGTGGCGGGTCAAAAGCTCACTGGAGACAGCCTCATTGGTGTGGATGTGATCACCAAGGGTGTTGCGAAGCCCTACGAAAGAACCTTCGGTGATGATGACATCAAGAAGACCACGGACAAAGATCTGAAGGCCCTTCGCGAGGAAATGAACGGGCTATCATTGTGGGAATCGTGGGACCCGCAAAGTAAGTACCTCACTATCTAGGTCAGAAAACTCCCGATTTAATGCTTTGTGATTATCGCAGGAATCAAGATTACGCCCGAACGTGTTTACGCCATGGCCTTCCACCCATCTGAAACCAAGCCCCTCATTTTTGCTGGTGACAAAATGGGTCATCTGGGAATGCTGGATGCATCTCAGGAGAAACCTGCTATTGAGGACGATGATGAAGATGCGGAGGATCCAGACCCAGTTCTCACCACATTGAAACCTCATACCCGAACAATCAGCGCTATGATGGTCAATCCCTCAAAGCCGACTCACCTATACACGGCAAGCTATGACAGCTCAATCCGATCTCTCGACTTGGAAAAGATGGTCTCATCGGAGACGTATGCACCTGAGTCTACCAACATCGATGAGGCGATCTCTGGTGTAGATATGGCCCCAGAAGACCCGAATGTCCTGTACTGGACCACCCTCAACGGTGGCTTTGGCAGCTATGATACGCGAACCCCGCTGAAAGACCGCAACGCATCACACTGGGACTTGTCGGAAAAGAAAATTGGCGGGTTCAGTCTTTGTCCTTCTATCCCGTATTATTTTGCCACGGCAAGCCTAGACCGGTTCCTAAGAGTATGGGATTTACGCAAGCTGTCGCATACTACACCCGTGCCTGTTGCGGAGCATGAGAGCAGACTGTCTGTCTCACACGCGGCTTTCAATGCTGCAGGTCAGATCGCTACGTCGTCCTATGATGATACGTTGAAAATTTATGATGTTGGTGCCAAGGGTTTGCCTACATGGAAACAGGGGCATACTCTATCTGCAAAGGAGTTCACCCCTGATACGATTGTGCGTCATAATTGTCAGACTGGACGCTGGGTCACTATGTATGTTTATTCCTTGCTGCGTATCATGTCTTTCGATTCTAATCTTTCTCCCTAGTCTGCGTCCGCAGTGGCAGCTGAATCCTCAATCCTCTATCCAGCGCTTCTGCATTGGAAACATGAATCGTTTCGTTGATGTCTACAGCAGCAGCGGTGATCAACTTGCCCAACTCGGCGGCGATGGAATTACAGCTGTCCCTGCTGTTGCTGTCTTCCACCGAAGCAAGAATTGGGTTGCTGGTGGTACTGCCAGTGGTAAACTGTGCTTGTGGAACTAGATGCCAAATATTCGCTAAATTATCTCACCTGTACTTCTACGCCTGTACTCTGAGATTCGTATGCTCATTTGCTTTAATATGTTTTATTCTCCATTTGGAGCCTGATGTCCGGAATGTTTTGTCTACGGGACATCTTTGTTAAATCTTCGATGTACGTATTCAACAAACAGTGCTGGATTATTTCATTTCTCCGCTTGATATAACTACACCCTCTAGATCAAATCTCTACTCTGTGTTTCCTTAGACTAATTTCAGCACCCGTGGACTTTAGTCTGCTTTACTCAATACAAAAAGGCATGGTCCTCTTGACACCGGCTTCATGAATAGAACCAGACAGCAGAAGATCTGACAATCGAAAGAATCTATAAAAAAAAATTTGGAACTAGATTGATAAAGAAATAAAAGGCGCATTAAAAAAAGGTGAAAAGAGGGTTAGAAATGGCACAGTTCGCAGCTTAGAGCTCAACCTGGACATAATGAATCTTTAGCTATGCAATGTCTTTTTTATATCCAGAGCGCTCAGGTGAGATACGATTAAAGCGAGTCACTAGTACAAGCCTGCTAAATAGAAAACCTTGATACCTTGAGTGTAACCTATTGAATGTAGTCATACCGATCTTCTGAGAGTATCTTTGGGCATTGAGATTGGGCATCATCGTCAGCATCCAAAGCGAGAACACCAATCCATTCCATCTATTGGAAGAATATAAGAAGCAAAAGGTATTTACACGATGACCACCTCCCAAGGGAATCCAAGCACACAACCAAAAACCCAAATGGGGTCTCGAAAGGACCGACTATAAAGATAGACGAGAGCCTCAGCCAAGTTAAGACATCAGATCATCGTGTTCTTTTTTGCTTCCCAAAAATCCAGATCCTTACATTTTGGCTCTCTTGTCTCTAACAAAGCCAGGTTGGGGAATGTGTATGAGGGAGAGCGGAACCATGAAACACACGATCAAAAGAGGGAATGGGTATCGACACCGTGACACATGCTTAGGGGGAACATAAATAGACATAGATCAGACAAGAACGGGAAAATGGAGGAGGAAATGTGTAACAAGTGGTGAGAGAAAGGGAGGGAGGAAAAGAGGAACATTGAAATCATGAGCACATGGAAAGAGGTAGGGGAGGAAGGACGGAAGTCAAACACGTGTGGTGATGGAAAGAGATGGCATGGGCAGACGTTTGTGCGTTAAGATTCATTGCGTAGATCCTCGTGCGAATGGTTTTGAGGCTGGTCACGGTCCTTGGCCTTGCGTCGGGAAGGGGCCGGTACAAAGTCGAAGAAGCGGTATTTGCTCGAGGACTCTTTGGTGACGCTAGCCCGGCGAGCCTTTGAGGACTCAGAGTACTCGAGCGAGTAGGTTGAGGAGTTCTTGGAGCTCCCAGTACTGTCACGTGGATCGGACCACCGTGGGATGGCAAATGGAATACGACTTTGGTCCCAGGTAGCCGATGATGAACTTGGTGGTGTGTCATCCTCGGCGTCCGGGGCGTTGTCAGTGGAGCGGCGGGGGAACGCAGGCCTGGTAGCGAAATAACCGACTGAGTTGCGGTGACTACTCGGAGCCGGTGCAGATCCAGATATTGACGCCTCTGTTGCTGCTGGGGTGCTTGGTTTGCTTGAGGTTTCGTCGTAAAACGTCACCGCTCGCTCCATCGAGTCCACCAATTCTTCCCACTTGATCTCCAAGTTTCCACTTGGTCGCTCTGCTTGCTCAGCGCGGGTGAGACACTCATGGGTGCGGGCTCGAAGGCGCAGGGCTTCTTTTTGGAACTTTTGAAGGTTGACATCGATCTCACTCAATTCGTTCATCCGCTCTGGGCTTACATCGAGCCAGACTCGAATCAAGTTCGCGAAAGAACGAGCATGGTCAATGAGGAAGGGTAGACTAGGGAATCCTTCGCGCGATGTGGGTGGCAGCCGCCCAAGGATTTGAATGGGGGTAGTGTAGGAGGGCGTGACGATGGGAGCCGGTCGATCGGCCGGAATTGCACAGACCGAATCGACAAATTCCTTGAATTCTGAGCGATGGCCGACCAGGAATTTGTTCATTGGTTCCATCCACGGCTCTTTGTTGCCAAACGTTGTCATGTTGGCTAGTCCTTGCAACGCTTTGGCGATGAGGGTCAACGTGCGCTGTGCCCGAGGACGAGGGTGATCTGAAGTGGTTAGTAAATGAACAGAACTCGGATATTGAAAAGTATTCTTACCTTTCAAAAGTCCGAAAAGCTTCGGGTTCAGAATAGCTGGACAAAAGAAGCGTAGGAACAAGAAACCAGAAACACTACTGTATGTCACAGATCGGAGGAAGTCACCATAACGGTCGTCTGCACATGCCCTCACGTGCCGGAAGATGCGTCGAAGTTCTGGGGGACAGCGCGATGCAGACCCCGCAATCGATTTCCAGACATTTGTGGTGAGAGCTGTGAGATTCCGCCAGTTGCGTTCGAGATCTTCGTGTCGTGGAACTCGAGATGGGTCAACTTCACACTCCGGATCACTGTCATCAATGTCACGTAGTCGTTCCGCAATGGTATCTTCGAGATATTGCTTGCCAAGACGACGCATGTGTAGATCAAGAGCCTTGGTGAGAAGCGAGTTTCCCCGGAATAAGAGATTGGCCTCCACGGTGGCCGTTCTCCCCATGTCTCTGACAAGGACCTCGCGTTCTTGGCCAGACTCCTGTGAGTTGTTTGAGTGAATTCTCGTCGTGTACCTAAGTCGATTTGTCGTGGATTCTTTGTGAACACCGTCAATTTCATCTTCAACCAAAGCTGAGATCCATTCGACAGTTGAGCCTGAGACCTGGTAGATGTTAAGAAGCATCTCGGCCAGGTGGTTCAGCTCCGATGACATCAATTGCGCCATGTTGATTGTAAGCCCGTTTGTGAAGGAATGGAGCAATTCCGACATCGCCGAGTACTCGTCGGACATCAAGACAACAGTTTCCTCCATCCGGGCCCGCATGAACATCTCGCCGATGGCCTGATCTTGATCATCTAGGATAGGCCACCACTTTTCGGTGTCCACACCGGCATCCAGCTCTTCGAGTCGCAGATCTACCCGTCCGGAAATGGTGTCGTTCGCAGAAATCTCAATCTCGTCTAACATATTCACTGCGTTCACTGCGTTCACATCTTGATTTGAGGTGTATGTTCCGTGTGAAATAAGTGTCCAGTCTCTTTGTGTAGGGTTGAGGGTTTTGACCAGGATAGAGGCCTGGGACAGAACCGGCGGCAGATCATGGAAGACGAAGTCCTCTCGCCAAAAAGGGTTCATGGTGCGATACTTGACAGCGGTCTTGCCACGAATTTCCCCATCCAAAAGTACCTCCGTGTAATAATCACTAACCTTGGACGTGGGAACAGGTTGGCCATGAGATCTCGACGCTTTGCGGCTTCGGGGTGTGTCCTCCTCTTTGGAGCGGAAGATCTTTGCTTCCACAATTTTTAAATTCAAGAACCGTTCAATTCGGAACATGTCCTTGGTCAAGGGTGTTCCAGTAACGTCGGGTTCTGGTGTCTTATTGGGGTCCTCTCGGATTTGAGATGCAGGGCCATAAAGCTCTGGAATGGTGAAGGCACGGAGGAGCACGAACCAAACCTCGAAAAGAACACGACTCTCGAGAGCAAGGTATATTGGACGTACATTTGATTCAGGTACTGGATGTGCCGTATATTGCGGGTAAATTGCAATGCAAAATTCGTCATCCAATACCGAAGAGTCGAGCTGTTGAATAGCGCAACGAGATAATTGAGACAATTGCACCGTTGCCAGGATCGATACGTCGGACTCCGTATAAAGCTTGAAAAAGCCGTTCTCTTGCAGTGTGCAGCTCACCTTTTGCCATGAGGAAGAAAGGGCCCTTGACTGTCGATACGTTGAAACGCGGCGTCCAGACACTGGCATTGCACCAGAGGCAGATGGTTTGTCCCATAGAAGCATCTTTCCAACTTTGATGATAGTCGCGTCTTTGTGTGCTGAGCTCTCCGAGTTCCGTCGACGTTCGGGGATTCGTCGGTCTCCAATCACAACTTCTTGAGGTTTTGTCATCTTGTTCTGAACGCCTTTTGGTCGGATAGGCTGCCAACACAGCAGAGCAGCAAGCCAAGAATCAAACGTCTCATTCACGTGAGGTCGTAGTTGTATCCCGAGCCCGGAAGTAAATGTATGGACGCTCAGGTAGGTGGTTTGGAGGTCAGAGTCAAACAACGTCCGAACCCGACAACCACGCAGATCCGGGATCAAGGTCTTGGCCAATGCAGGCTCTCCTTTGGCTTGGTAAATGAGACTTCCAGTGGCAACGTTGATAGCGCAGTACCCGGATGTCCAGGCAGTGGTCGTTGCTGTCCGAAAGGAAAGGATTCCATGCATCCTGCCACAAGTTGTTTTCATCAACTGTAGAATCTTTGTAGCTTCGGTGCTTGAAAGAGGCGAGGCGAATGAATCTTGATTGCTTGCTCCTCCTACAACACCAATACCAGCAGCTTTGCTTAGTCGATTCCGGAGAGTCTGGCTGGTGTATTTCGGGGATTGTATGGATGGGAAACCGATGGAAGATGACGGATCTTCAGGCACCTTTGGCTGGGAAGGACTGGTGGTATTGATCGATCCGATTCGCGTTCGGGGTTTGAAGGTATTGGGGGTGATGTCGTTCCGTTGGTCCTCGGCTGCCGTCGTCCGCGATCGCGCCCGCTGATTCTTGCCCTCCGGTGGAATATCTTCCTCCGGGCCCCCAGATGAATGTTTGTTAAAATCCCGAAGACGTTCGGGCTCGGTGGGCCGTGATCGCACGGTACTGCGAGGCGAAGATGCAATGCCACTCGTAGGTTGCTCGGGTTCGGATAAAGGGGAATGGTTGGCAGAAGAGTGCGAGTCTGGTGTCACGGTTCGAATGGTTGTTTCTCGGAAATTGTCGGGGTAGACCATACCATGTCGATCCCTGGATGAAGACTTCTTGCTTGCACGTCGTTCCACTGGTCGACTGTATAACGCTTGGTGCATCGAGCTCCGCTTGAACGCGTTCGGATTTTCAGGCTCCATTTCGTTCAGGTATTATAAATATTTATCCCTTTGCGAGGTGATGCATACAAAGCCAAGAAAATGAAACTCGTTAATATAAGCAAGGGAAAGAAGGATTCCCTGATTGCGCCCAATACAACCTCCCTCAGAACCACCTGTGAGAAGACGTTGTTGGCACCCGAAGTGTGCTGCGCAGCCGCGCGTATACAATTGGAGGTCGCTGTTGCCCAAGGAAGTGTTATGAGACCACATGGAGTCCGGTGAGAGGTTGGGTATCGGAGTCGCACATTCGGTCGAAGCGGCGGGAGGGGCAATGAACGGGACAAAGGAGGCACAGGTCACCGTCGTTTGTCTGAGATATGCAGGAGACCCTAGCGAATGCGGTGAGCGTCCAATCCTCCCAGTCGATAGCGATGGTGTCGCTATTAATGTCAGCGGTGGTCCGAAGAAGCGACCCGGGATATAGCAGAGAAGGTCGTGATATCATTATTATTATTATTATGATTGGAGGTAGGAAGCAGAGGGGAGGGGAATAAGAAATTGCGCACATACCTTCATCAGTCCCTTTTGAAATTGAAATTGAACTCTCTGCAGGGTTGTAGAGTGTTTGTGTGGGCGTTTCTGCAGATCTAATGAAGACCGCTTCGGGACAAGCAGAGAAGGGCAGAATATAAAGTTTAAAGAAAGATTGTTCGAAAAGAGATCTCGAAACCAAAATCACCAATAAATTATTTCTTTGTTAAAGAAAAGAACAACTTTGTCGAAGATGTGGATCTGTCGCAGAAGGAGGAGGGGAAAGGGAAGGGAAGAAGAGAGAGAGAGAGAGAGAGAGAGAGAGAGAGAGAGAGGGGAGAGAAGTGGATAACGGAGTCGAGGGTTGCTCTTCTTGTATAAGGGGAAAATAATGAGAACGGCACAGTTCAGTTCTCGACTTTCTGTTCTCTTTGCAATATTATATTGTATTTATTTATTTCTTCTCTATCTGTATCTCTAGCCTATTGTCTTTTCTATCGAGATATCTCTTCTTGCCATTGGCTAATCTTTCGTTCTGATTATTCTCGGTGATGCGCGGGATTACGATTCTCAATGTTCTATGGAGACATCATCTTGATCGCCCTCGTTCGTCAAAGAGAGAAGTTTCAGCACTTTTACTTCTATGGCAACTTATAATATAAAAGGTAAAGTACATCATCAGTTACTTGGTGATATTTGGACACAGCTTTTAAGCTTTCAACCCTTTACCGAAAATACCGAAATATTATACGGGGCAATGGAAGAGACTCGGGCCTAAGATATCGAATGTTTCCACTTTTTTTTGGAAATATCAATGTGTCCTAAACTGCCGACAGAGTCTCAAAAACAAGTGAACTGCATGACGCCTTTTAGCTAGGGCTCTATCTGACTAGCTGTTTACTAAGTCAGCGACAATGAGGCGAAGGATCCTGAATCATGAAACTAGCTAGTTTCTTGGCCTGATATTTTCTGGGTACTCCCAATTGGATATATAAAATCATAAGAAACTCGAGTAAATACTTGAAGATTATTTATGTACCTACATATGTTACCACATTGTTATAATACTATTGTAGTACGTTGTACAGTACCAACGTGCCCCGGGGTGTAGATCCTAGTCGTAAATGGCAATAGTACATACAAACTTTGCTTGGTGGGTATTGATTGGTATGGAGTACTCCGTACGTGACTATACAATTTATCCTTAGCAATAATAATGTATAATTGCTGCTAAAAACAGCTCCATCGAAGGAAATTCCCGAAAGTGTAATCTACGCTGTGACTTTTATAAAATCGTTACAATCTTGTAGTCCGTGGCAATCTGAATCATATATAGAATTCAGAGCTTCGGGCTTCACAGCTATAATGGATATTTATAATGAAGCTAGAATGTGGAAATAGCTGATAACTAGTCATCAAGTGTTCCTACTATTTACATCGTTGTTAGTGATTAGAGGTCATTGAGTCGCTCATATTATAGTTGAGTATTCAAATGATAAGTAATATGACAGTAGAAAAGATTTCTCAGTAGAGTGGAAGATGATCAAAAAAGAGATAGATTTAGTGTTAGAAGAACCTGATCAAGACTGAGAAGAATGGCTGTTTCCACGCCCGTGAGAGCCCCCGCATATTATGTCAGCACGGCACATGACCTCCAGAGCTCAGTTTCATTGCCTGCCTGAGGCCATAATATTATTTTATGTCATCATAGCCCGGACATAGCTCTAGTGACTGTTATCACGAGGACGGGGTCAGATGCAAATCTCCCTGTTACGTTACTAACTATATGAAACATATCTCAGGGCTCTCTCAATAATTTACAGAAATATACCCCATTTTCAAATAGATACAGCCCAAACTGCGGCGTTGACCAGTGCCGATTTCTCCACATTATCTATCGCTGAATGGCAGTTCGTTACCACAACCATCGGCTTGTGAGGCCACTGATATAAATGGTCTGAACAAATAGGCTTCAGTCTGATTCAAGATGATGTCCTCTAACATATTATCTCGGTTTCTACCCCCAACGGGCTCACCATCGGTCTACGAGACCATCCGCCAACATGACGCAGTGTCCGAATCCTCCGATATCGAAGAGCGTGCGGGCTTGGCCTTAGACGACCAACAAGAACAATTTAGTGACCGAGAGCTGGAGGATGCGTTGGCAGATGCACAGGATAGTGAAGTGGTCAGTCCCAGCACTGCACTTCTGGAAGCTCGGTCGGGCAAGGCGCCTCAGGCGCGAGCTTCTCCATCTGGAACACGCCGTCGCAAGGCATCCCGGCCTAGATGGGTGGCACCGGATTCGCTTGGGTATGAAATGAATGATCATGATGAGGATGTCCCTCAGTCGCTGTTGGTGGAAGGCCATCACGACGATCTGACATCGCGTTTACCTCCTCCTCCCCGGCCTCACGGTCATTCGGATCGTCGAAGGGCCTCCAGCCCCGATCCGTCTCAACAACCCACCAGACCTCGCTGGGCTGAGGGACCCCGAGGATCACCGCCCAATGATAGTGGTGGCCACCCAACGTCGAGGTGGTTCACTGGACAACATCCCGGTCTTGCCAACATTGACCCCGAAAAGAAAGCAATGTGGCGATGGGCGAATGTGGAGGATCTGGACAATTTCTTGAAAGATGTCTACGTCTACTTTTTAGGGAACGGGATCTGGTCTATTTTGCTGACTAGGGTGCTGAATCTCTTGTAAGTTCCCCATTTACTAACTCCAAGGAATTTAACCTGACATCAAATATAGGACATTTGCGTTCGTTGTCGGTTTCTCGACCTTCTTGACCAACTGCATTGATTACTCCAAGGTACGACGAAGTAAGACCCTGGATGATATCCTCGTACCCAAGTGTACAGCAAACATGTCCGGATCATCCACATTTTTGCTGTGGCTCTTCAGCTTCTTCTGGATTGTGAAGTTGTTTCAATATATCTTGGATGTTCGCAGGCTCAAACATCTGCATGACTTCTATCTCTATCTACTTCATGTCTCTGATGCCGAAGTCCAGACAATTTCCTGGCAAGAAGTGGTTAGCCGACTAATGGCGCTGAGAGACTCCAATCCTTCAACTGCGGCAGCAGTTTCTGTCAAACATCGAAAATTTCTGGGCAGCCAGTCAAAGCAACGAATGGACGCTCACGACATTGCTAATCGCTTGATGCGCAAGGAAAACTACATGATTGCATTGGTAAACAAGGATATCTTGGACCTCACACTCCCAATTCCGTTCCTCAAAAATCGACAGTTGTTTTCTCGAACTATGGAATGGAATCTCAATCTTTGTGTCATGGACTATGTCTTCAACGAGCAGGGTCAACTGAGAACTTTGTTTCTCAAAGATACTCATAGGAGAGCGCTAAGTGATGCTTTGCGTCGGCGCTTTGCCATTGCTGGTATCATGAACATTTTTGTGGCTCCCTTTATTGTGGTTTACTTCACAATGCATTACTTCTTCCGATACTTCAACGAATTCAAGAAGAATCCGGGGCAAATTGGTTCTCGTCAATACACCCCCATGGCGGAATGGAAATTCCGCGAGTTCAATGAGCTCTGGCATCTGTTTGAACGTCGAACCAACATGTCTTATCCATTTGCCAGCCGATACGTCGACCAATTCCCCAAAGACAAGACAGTCCAAGCGGCAAGATTCGTCGCTTTCATTTCTGGGGCTCTTGCCTCGGTGCTTGCTCTCGCCTCCGTGATAGACCCGGAGCTCTTCCTCGGGTTCGAAATCACCCCTGACCGCACTGTCCTATTCTACCTTGGAATTTTCGGTACAGTTTGGGCATTTGCACGCGGGCTGGCACCCGAAGAGACGGACGTATTCGACCCTGAGTATGCACTGCGTGAGCTGATTGGTTTCACTCATTACTTCCCATCCGGATGGAAGGGCCGTCTGCATAGCGACGATGTGCGGAAAGAATTCGCAGTTCTCTATCAAATGAAAATTGTTATTTTCCTGGAAGAAATCTTGAGCATGATCTTCACGCCTTTCGTCCTGTGGTTCAGCTTGCCCAAATGCAGTGATAGCATTATTGATTTCTTTAGAGAATTCACCGTGCATGTTGACGGTGTCGGCTATCTCTGCTCCTTTGCCGTTTTCGATTTCAAGAAGGGCACAAACGTGCTCTCCCAAGCCGCGCCCGTGCGTCAGGATCCCGGAAAGCAAGACCTGCGCACTGATTACTTCTCAACGAAAGATGACAAGATGCTGGCTTCATACTATGGATTCTTGGACAATTACGGTGCCAACCACCAGCCCAACCGACGAGCGTTCCATCCACCACCAACCTTACCTACTCTCGGTTCGGTTGACTTTGGTGCTCTCCCAGATCGCCCCGAGCTTCTCCAACCACGCCAAAGTCCGACGATAGGTGGGCTGTACGGCCCTCAATCAGTGATGGGCGCCTCTAAGTTTAGACCAATGGGAGGAATCGACCACCGCTCTCCTGCTCCCTCCATCCTCCTTGATCCACACCACCAACCGTCGACCTCTGGATTCCGCCCTGCGGCTAGAAAGTCCGCTCAACACCATCATCGTTCTCGCCTCGCACACTCTCAGCACCAACCCACTGGCCCCATTGACGACGAGGAAGAGCCCCTGTCCCAGGAAGGCCGTGATTCCGCGACACGTCAGTCGGGTGTTCGTACTGGTACCTCCAGCACTGGCGCTGGCAATAGTGACAGCAACCTCGGTGATTCATGGCGTATGAATCCAATCGGAAAGAATGGAGACGATACCGAGGAGGGAGACGAGGGAGAGAACATTGATGCCATTGCGGGTGGAGCTGGTGTTTTGGGCCTGATTCAACAATTCCAGAAAGCTAATACCGAAGGTCGAAGGACAACGGTGGGGATCTAGAGTAACTAATCCCACATGCTGATTTCAAGCGGTACTACTGTACGCTTGGTAATCGCCGTAGTAGCTTATATTTAGATATGATATATGACCATTTCATGTGGAGTTCGGTCACTCTTTTGTTCAGCGAAGATTGTTAGATTCTTAGTACATTCCAAAGTTGTTCAACTCATAAAATATGAAACATACAAGATATCGCGATAGATTTCAACCGTACATATGAGATGTATGACTGGAACTCAGTGGCGATAGGTTAACTGTATTCCCTTGATTTGCATAAAAGCGCATTAGAAAAGCATACAAAAGTACGGGAGTACTACGTACTGTACAAAGCTGTAGGGCGCAAATTAACGACAGCCGATCATTGGCCCCGGATTTTGGCGTCAGGGCCTAATCCCCACTCTGTGTCTCGGGGGTCCGAGAACCGCGGTTTCCTAGTTTTTCAGGGTCTTGGCTTTACTTGTCTTGGTTTCTCTTTGAAGACAATTAGCAGTTCATAAGAGCGGAAAAGGGGGATAGGTAGAGACATATGTATATCATCTAGTATTGTATAATATACGTTGTAGGTACAAAGTGCTATACATAGGGTTGAAGATAAACGAACTCTCATATGTGGATCTATTTGTATTAGTCTCGTGATTTCATCTAGACTCGGCGCAGAATCTCTCCCTTTTGCTTTTCCCTTTTGTTTCTTTTTTTCAAATGTTTTCTTTGTAACTTTCATTCTTTCTTCCCCACCGGTACAGACTACAGGGGTGACCGCTCACTATGTTTCGAGCTCGCCGATACCGAGTTCTGATCATATTCGCTGCGGCCTTCGTCCTGACATTTTTCCACTTCGCGCGGTCACGCGATTGGACAAACACAGTGATTGAAGAGCCCGTTGAAGTTCACACACCTGATCCTGCCTATCCGAAGCAACCCCCGACCTCTTATTCTGACTCTACGACCGCTGCCCCCGTTGAGGATAGCAAGAACTATGTTCCTCCCGAACCATACCGCGGCTCCGGCACCCCGCCCTCTACCGGAAAGATAAATTCGCCTGTGGGTCCCAGCAGTGGATCAAAGGGAGACAGCAATCACCTCAAAGATCCTGTCGGCGATAAACCACCACCCGTGAATGTGCCCGGCAAGGGTGACCCGAAGGACACTGCGAAGGTGGAGAGCCCTGGCAGATTGCCGCCAGCAACATCGGATGAGGAAATCGATAATGGGGGTGGAGGCAGAATGCCTGTGGATCTTGCCAAATCTGGCTCTTCAATGGTCAGGTGGAAGAAATTCCCAGAACAATATCCCATCCCCGCAGCGGAGCTGATCAAGCTCCCCAAGGAGCAGTCAAAATCAATCCCCAAGCTGCAGGCCAAATTCAAGGATGAGTCAAGCTCGGCCAAGGGGGAGCGTCTTCAACGACTGAGTGCTATCAAGGCCGAGTTCAAGCACGCATGGCAAGGCTATAAGGAGGTTGCGATGGGACATGACGAGGTTAAACCTTTGTCTAAGGCCTCCGAGGATGCCTTCAATGGCTGGGGAGTGACTTTGATCGACTCTATTGATACACTTTGGATCATGGAGTTGAAGGAGGAGTTCTCGGAGGCTGTGGATGCGGTCAAAAAGATTGATTTCAAAACATCATTGAGGGAGGACATTCCGGTGTTTGAGACAACCATCCGATATATTGGAGGCCTTCTGGGTGCTTATGATATATCGGGTCATCGGTACTCGGTGCTTTTAGAAAAGGCGGAGGAGCTCGCTGAGATTCTTATTGGCGCCTTTGACACCCCAAATCGCATGCCACATCTTTATTACCGTTGGGCGCCGTGAGTTATTATACTACTCTTTATACTCTGGGAATGCTGTGCCATGGCTAACATCTTTCTAGAGAGTATGCCGCAAAGCGCCATCGGGCTTCTTCCCGAGCTGGCTTGGCTGAGCTTGGATCACTCTCCTTGGAGTTTACTCGCTTGGCCCAGTTGACCAAACAGGACAAGTACTATGATGCAATTGCGCGGATTACCAATGAACTGGAGAAATTCCAAGATTCGACAAGTATTCCTGGTCTTTGGCCCATACGGGTCAACGCACAGGGGTGTTCTCGGTACAAGTCACAGCACAACGGCAGCCCTACGAAGGAGGAACATGCTGCCAGCACGACTAAAACCACTATAACGAAGACTCGCAAGGCTTACTCTGCACCGACAGATATTGAGAGCTACATGAACCTGATCCATCGCGGTCAAAGCACTGATCTCAAAGAGAATGCCAAACCTGTCAATGATACCAGATCTGCAGATGGATCTAGCATCCAGACACGTGGACGAGAAGTCTCGGCAGATCAATGCAATGGCGGTCTGGAACTTCCCCTCTCAGCTGTCAGTAATAAGTACACTTTGGGAGGGATGGCTGATTCGACCTACGAGTACCTGCCTAAAGAATACCTGCTTCTGGGTGGAGTGAACGACCAATACCAAAACATGTACAAGAAGGCGGCCACCGCAGCCCGCAAGACACTTCTCTACCAGCCTATGGTGAAGGGTGGACGTGATATCCGTTTCATGGCCTCAACCGCCCCAATCACACCTGGAAATACTGCACAGCTGAATCCGGCTGAATTCGAGTACGAAGGTCACCACCTGACATGCTTTGTTGGTGGCATGTACGCCCTAGGAGCCAAGACCTTTGGCATCGATGGTGACTTGGAACTCGCAGCGAAACTGACAGATGGCTGCGTGTGGGCTTATGAGTCGACACAGACCGGAATGATGCCCGAGCGATTCCGCCTCTTGCCCTGTGAGAAAGGATCGGCTTGCGAGTGGGATCAGGCCCGCTTTGATGCTGGCGTGGCTCGTTATTCGCGGGTGGATCCCAATGCAGGACCCCAGTTCCGTAATGGAGAGGATACTTACTCGCAGCGCCTGAAGCTGAATGCACACGAGGCGCCACAAGAGTCCGTGGACCGGATGGTCCCTGTTCCTATGCCGGGCTCATTGAACCCCCATGACAGCGATGTAATCTCTAAGCGTGATGGATTTGCAGTTGGAAAGCGTGCTGCTCAATCATCCGCAGCCCCAAGTCCGACATCCACACCTGTCGGAGCTGAACTGGAGAACCGAGATGCTCCTCGTTCATCTTTGGCGCCTGCTTCGCCTTTGGTTGCCGCAGTGGGCAAAGATCACCTCCCAGCAGGTATGATCAGTATTCCCTCGCCGCAATACTATCTTCGGCCTGAGGCGATCGAGTCGGTTTTCATCATGTACCGCCTGACTGGCGATGAATCCTGGCGTGTCAAGGGGTGGCAGATGTTCGAGGCTATTACGAAATATACTCGAACTGAATTGGCGCATGCGGCCATCAACGATGTCACAGCCCAAAAGCCGAGCCACAAGGACATAATGGAGTCTTTCTGGTTATCTGAGACCCTGAAGTATTTCTACCTGCTCTTCAGTGACCCTAGTGTGGTGGACTTGGATAAATATGTCCTGTAAGTGACTGACGTAGTCTGTAAACAATCCCCAGATAAACAGCCAACTAACTTATTTTCCAGGAACACTGAAGCGCATCCATTCCTGCGTCCAGTTACATGATTGCCTTTGTGTTGAATGTTGATACCAATGAAAGCTTTTCAGTTCCGTTCATATATAGTAGATATTCCAATAATAGTTGTGTTCTATAGAAGTTTTTTCCCGAGTTCAACGTGGTGCGTAGGGTTGATAGGGTTGACCCGCAGTGGGACTTGAATTTCCCCCCGCCTTCCAACTCTCCAACTTCTTCAAATCAGTACCTAGCGTAGGCATGAGCACTGACGGGAAATGGAATCTGAGGTCTCGGAGACTGAGTTCTGGACTGGTATGTATCGCGTTCTACACGCTCTTCTCACAGTTGACCGGTCCCCGCAGAACTCCAAACTATCGTCTCCAAGCCCTGTGACTCCGAAGACCTGATCGACGACGCCCTCCGAGCTTATCTCAGTCTAACGACTCAACACAAAGGTAACAACGCCTTCGCAATTGAGGACAGATACCTCGGCCTTTGATAACCCGCGACTGTAGCGACCAGCGCAATGTCCACATTCATCTTTCCTTTGCTTTCACGACTGACACCATCCGCCCTTCCTTAGATGAATCCCTCCGATCGGAAACCGATATCTCGCGCTGCTCCTACAAACTCTTCACGTCGAGTATATTTCACAGCCATGCCGACTACGTGCGACGACAGATTATCTACGGTCTCTTGCAGGAAGATGACCCGAATATCCTCCACTTCCTTGCGTCATTTATCCTCTTTGATGGACGGCAAAATGAACACGTGCTTCAAATGCTGAATGAGGAGGGCGCATTTGCGCGTCTACTCGAGCTCATACAGGCTATTCGGAGGGCGGATATGGATGCTGACGCCGGTCTCCATCGTTTGTTGATGGACCTCATCTATGAGATGTCGAGGATACAAAGGATCAAGATTGAAGATCTGGGTGCGTTTTTGTTATGCCGCGGGCTTTTGGAAATTGCTTCATTGATAGCTGATTGTTGGGCTTGTGCAGTTCTTGTGGATGATGACTTCATTCGCTGTCTCTTTGATATCATCGAAGATCTTTCGTACGACGTCACTGATCCGTATCATTATCCTGTCATCCGGGTGCTAGTGAGTGATTCCTTGAGGTTTATTGATATGTAAAAATTGTACTGACAGGCAGCGCAGCTGGTATTGAACGAACAGTTCATGATATCTGCCCACAACCCAGTAGATGATGCACCCTCAGGGCATTTGACAAACAAGGTTATCAAAGTCCTATCTGTTTATGGAGGGTTGTATAAAACATTCGGAGAGAATATTATCCTCCTCATCAACCGAGAAGGTAAATTATGACACGCTTTTAACCATTCCAACCGACAACTGACCAAACGCAGCCGAGACATCTCTGCAGTTGCTGACACTGAAGCTTCTTTATCTCATATTTACCACCCCTAGCACATACGAGTATTTCTTCACCAACGATCTGCATGTTCTGGTTGATATATTGATTCGAAATTTACTCGATCTACCAGAAGAGGCAACTGCGTTACGACATACATACTTGCGTGTTCTTTACCCGCTTCTAGCTCACACACAGTTGCAGAATCCACCACATTACAAGCGTGATCAACTTCGAAGGCTACTCAATGATCTTGTTCCAGGGCAAGTATTAGATGGCAATGACTCGGAAGATGAGAAAATCCTCCACTTCGAAGATGTGGATGAGACAACGCGCCGACTTGTCGCCCGGTGTGCGACGGTGGATTGGCTACGAAGTACCGATCAGATCAACACAGCAGAAAAACAGGACACCCCAACCCAGGTGACTGGAATTACGATTGAAAGCGTCCTTGATCAAGCTGAACAGCGTGCATCGCAAGTAGACATTGACGAACCACTCGATGTCACTCGCACGCTCTCGAGAACAAGTGATGTCAGCTCACCAGATACGGCATCACCAACAAGAATGGACTCCCGGGGTTCGTCCAATGCACCGGGCAGCCGGAAACACAGCGTAGTGCAACGGCTAGGCATGTTAGAGCCCGCATCTGCATCTTCCTTGAGCGTACAAGCAGTTGCAGCACAACACGAAAAGCCAGGTATCATCACCCCGAGCCGGAAAGATGCAAACCTTGCTGCCGCTCTCAGCGACGAGACGCCCATCATTCGACCACCGAAGGTGAAACCGGAGCCACCAAAATCTCGTCGCTGGCGCGGGCGGCGTCTAGCTGTGGATAACGAGGAGCACCACTCTGCCGGCACGAGCAGTGACGGCAACACTATACCCGAGGGCGTGGAATTCAGCCCTACCACGGTTTTCACCCCAACCACACCGTCGCAGGCTATTCCTACCGAACGCCGTGAATCTGCGTCGAGCTCCAATCTTGCTCCCCCAGGTTCACAGCCACGACGGTCCGCATCAAATCCACCGCCAGCTCTCCCACCACCACGCCGTTCCAGCCACACCACTCCTTCCTCAAGTCACCACCGCCCCATAACTCCGGTCCCCGTAACAGGCCGACATGGGCAAGCTCCACTTCCCCCCAAAACGCGGCGCTGGGGTCGCGGCAAGGCACATGGACAGAGCGACTCAGTTGAAAGCGGATCTAGCAGTGTCAGTCCATCTAAGGATCTCGAGGTCTCTGAGAACAGTACTGCACCTGCTGCGCAAGAGCATTCTCCAGAGAGCACTCCTTCAGACCCATTCTCGCCGAAGTCTCCAACATTGTTGATCTCCCCAGCCGCAGATGGCTCAACTGATGGTGCTGGTGGCAGTGCACCTCTTAGTGTAGAGGAAGCAGTGCAAAATGTCTCTCTGCATTGAGGAACAGCCTTATTTGTTCGTTCACCTTCCTTTCACTATTATGATTAGATATACCATTGGTTTGTGATTCCATTTCGGGTTATTTATGGCATGAAGCGCGATGGTTCGGTTGGACAAAAGTCTCTAGTTTGCATCAGCGTTGCGAGGGCCAATGCGAGAACAGGATTTTAAAATAACCAAATAAAGACTTTTCGCTGAGAAGAATGGAGTAGAATACAGAATTGGCAAAAAAAATCAACCGAATATAACAGTCAGAATAAAAGTACAATGCATCGCTCACAAACCAAAGAAACCTGCTTCATGTCCCTCTGATGTCCTTCTTATCAAGAGTATGAGAAATTATAAAGGAGTGAAGATATCATTCAAACCTTCCTTCAAATCTTCAATCCCCAGCTCCGGCCAAGGCCAACAGCAGTATTCCATCCAAACCCAGCATATTGTCCAATTCCAGTGAATTTATCAGCAATCACCTTCCGGTCCTCAAACCGACGATCCACGAACGCCTCGGTCTCCACAAGATCCGGCGTCGGGTCGCGAGTCATCACAACCTCGGCGCTGGCGTAGATCGCAGAAACCGCCAGGCGGCGGGTATACCAAGTAGCATCGACAGCGTCGTCACCGGACAGAGTGAGAATATCTGAGGCAAGAGCATGCAATTCCGTCAACGACAGCGGGATATTAGACAGAAGGGACATTTGCGCAAGAGCCTGGAACCTATTAGTATAAAGCCTCCTGCATGAAAGATATGAAACAAAAACTCACATCTTGCCACACGTCCTTGACGTCCCCGTTCATCCGCAGCCTCTCCAGCAGCAGTCCGCGAACCCGCTCCTCAACGCTGAGCTCGTGCACATCCTTCCCTTTCTCCGCTGCAATGCGTCGGAATAAGCCGCCTTCCTCGACTTTGCCGCGCAGGAGGCCGCGGCGGCTCGCGAGCCAAAAGAGGATGAGGTCGAATTCGCCGCGCGGGAGAAGTTGCACGGAGACGTCGAGGAAGCCTGCGTCACGGGCGCCTAGGGTTAGGGCTTTGGCGGTGAAGCCGTGGGCTTGGACATGGGAGAGGGCTGCCGTCAGAATTGCTGTTTGGGAGTTTGTGTATTCGTGGTCTGGAAGGCGGGGGTGCAGGGCTGAATGGTAGCTTCGGCGGAGAGTGAGGGGGATTTGTTGAGTTTGGGGTGTTCGGGGTGCGCGGGTGACTGGTTGAAGAATGGCGCTTAATGCTGGTGTTTGACGGATGTGTGTCGCTAATGATGAGGGAAACACCCTCTTTGGGAGGTTGCGGGCGAGGTGGGCCATGATAGCGTGTGGTCGGTCTGGTAGACTATGGGAGTGCATGGGATTGAATGGTTGGAGATTGATATTGAAGTTGGTCCGTGCACCGGAAGTATAAACCAACCCTTCGATGCCGATGCCCGTATTTGATAAGAGCAGTAGATACGGAATTCTGCCAGTTTTGCACTTGCTCTGACTGGACAGCCAAAAGCTTTGAATGGTATATAGCTGGGTAGTAAAAAGCGATGGGGGTATTATGACCTCAAATGCATATTAACATCCTAGGATGAAATAGCAGCTGGACTACTAGGTATGTCTGATGGGTTGTTCCTAGAGTAGAAGAAAGAACTTTGGGAACTGATTTCAGGGACAAACTCAATGTTGAGGAGTCAATCTATGAGGCATGGTGCACTTGGGAATTCAAGTGAGTAGTTACTCAGGCATCTAAATAGAGTGATGGTCGGGAGCAGATATCAATCTGCCTCTGTACTGTTCTATGAAGGTATATTCTCAAGAAAGCACCATAAGGGCTACTACATAATGGAAGTATTGGAGGGTTCCTTGGGTGCCAGGCACTCGGGGTCACTCATGCTCTTTCGTTCTTCTCCCATCTCTATTTGGGATCTCTCCTCTCTCCATGCAACCGGAGCTTTGTTCTCTCGCTCGGCCTAGTTCTCCAGCATAGCTCTCTAACGGAAAGGAAGAGAACCTCTCCAAAAGCATTGTAGATTCTCAGGATCTTGGGTATAAACAAGGGTTACAGGGCAGTGGGCGGTCAAGGGGAGGCTGGACGTCCAAAGTTACGGGTGGAAAGGCAGCTGTTTCTGGCCTCGAAAGCGGTCAATTTCGGCGTCAATCCCACAGGTCCTGATATTCTATGTGTAAACTAGAATTCCAAAGTGCTGAAGTAAACCTGGCAGAATTAATTGATGCCTGACAAACAATGCAAAGGCAGGCATCAATATTGCCTAATCAGGTAGGGATGTAGTGTGGTCGTGCAGGAGAGTTTCAAGATTAATCTAATTGCCACGTGCGCAGAACGAACCGGGAACCTCAAGGTCCTCCGGGAACGTTACCGCTTGGCCAACGCAAGTAAAGGGCTACGAAGATTCCTGCATGAAAAGAATAGGAGAAAGATTACTTGAAAGGAAATGAAAGCTTTTTTTCCGAAGAAGTAATTTCATTCTTGAAAAAAAGCAGTGACCATCACCCAAGCGGGGCGTCAAATCCCAGTCTGCCAGCTCAAGCAAGAGCCAGACAACCGGATCGAAATAAGGGAATCATAACGGAACGAAAAGCAGCCAGACGCCCCTTGGAAAGAGACCAAAGACCGGACGAAAAACGAACGAAACGAGATTACATGATCTGGTCCTGAGTCAGACCGGTGGGCTCCTGGCCTTCCATCATGTCGTCGTGGCTAGGGACGCCGGCGTTCATGTACTTGACGAAAGTGATGCCAAGTGGACGGCCGCCGTACTGGTAGCCGGAGAACTTGGCTAGAAGGGGGTTAGCGTGCGGTTCGGCGGGAGGCTTTTTTTGTGGGGGCTATGTCATCTTACCAATGGAGGTCTCAGCAGTGTCGGGGGTGTCGAACTGGACGACACCGGTGCCGCGGGAACGGCCGTTAGGCTCATACTGGATCTCAGCACGCTCAACCTTGCCAATAGTAGAGAACAGGTCGATCAGGTCCTCGTTACAAGTAGACCAGGGCAGCTATCACGTAATTAGCATCTCATCTTGTCATGGTCTTCGGAAAAGGGCACTTACGTTGCGAACGTAGATCACAGCACTCTTGTCGCCATTTGAAGTAGCGTAGTCAGTGAAAGGGTTGGGGGGACCAGCGGGAACAGGGGGAACCTGGTCAAATCCGCCAGGGTAGCCGCCGTGAGGGGGACCACCTTGAGGAGGGCCACCGAACCCACCGCGGCCGCCGAAACCACCACCGAACCCACCACGTCCTGCAAATCCGCCACGACCTCCCATAGGTCCACCAAAGCCACCACGGCCTCCCATGGGTCCACCGAAGCCTCCACGGCCACCGCCGAAGCCGGGACCACCGCCAGCAAATCGGTCCTCACGGACTTCAAGAGCACGGCCCTGCCAGTCATAGCCGTTGAACTGCGCAATGGCGTTACGAGCATCATCGGGAGACTCGAAAGCAACAATGCCAGAGCCCTTGGGGCGTCCAGTTGGGTCGGTGTGCACGTCGGCACGAATGACGGCACCCTGTTGGGCTATGATACAGAATTTGGGTCAATTCACCATGCCCTCACACTAGACAAAAGGTCAAATTTCAAGGGTTTGTTAATTTGCACTTACCAGCTTGGCGGAACAAATCCTTCAGGTCTTGCCAGCCAACGTTGAAGGGGAGCTACATCAGGGTCAACATAACCTGCCAGAACTTAGCATAGCGGGGCTGGAACAGGGGACAAACGTTTGAGACATAAATTTGACGGCCAGCGGCGCTGGGGTGGCCGCCGAAGTTACCACCGAAACCGCCTCGGGCACCGGGACCGAAGTCTCCACGGGGAGGTCCACCGACGAAACGGGGCTCAGCTTCACGGTCCTTTAAATGGTCAGCGCGATCCAATCAAGCTAGCACCTTGTCAACTCATACCTCGCGAACATAAACAAGACGACCCATCAGATTCTGATTGCTAAGCGTGTTGACGGCGTTTTGCGCTTGGTCTCTGGTTGCGTATTCCACAATCCTGTCACATGTTAGCTACGTTCAAATTGCGATCAAATATCAAGAGTACTCACCCGCATCCCTACAAATAGCCGGACAGCCATGTCCATCCCGTCAACCCAACGTCCCAAACAAACCATAAAAAAAGATCGGGGAGTAGAAAGGAAGCCATTCTACATATTGACGCCCACCTTCGACATTCCGTTAGGAAGAAGCAAAACATCGGCAAAGAGAACTTCTCCAGCTGTAATAGGAAAAGCGCACCCCCAGTTAGCAACAATTCTCATTCACGCCGGTCAAATCACCCCTAATGCGCCCTGCTCACCCTGTCTCATAAAATCTTTAAGGTGGTGCCACTTGACATCGTAGGAAAGGTTGCCCACATAGACCCGGCGGTCTTGCTGGGATGAGTCGCGAACAGTCTGCATCATGTTTTCTTTGGCAACACCACGTTCTTCGAATCGAGCGGGGGGTATCCACTGCGTCCACCGTAGGGAGAAGCGGAGGGTCCGGCAGCGCCTTCAGCACTCAAGGGAGATCGCGAGCGACGTTCGGGGCGACGGTATTCGTCACGCTCACGGGGTTCCACGCGGTCGCGGTCGCGGTCACGGGTATCAGTGCGATCAACACGGTCACGGCTGCGGGAGCGGCTGCGTGGGGAGTACGAACGACGGGCGCGACGGGGAGGACTGCGGGAAGAGCGACGACGGGGTGAGCGAGATCTCTCACGCTGGAAATGGTCAGCCATGAGAATGAAATAAATGCGTTGCTACGGATGCAGCACAGCGATAAACGAATTGATGTGAAAAGAAGATGAGAGATGGGAAGAGAAAAGAAGAGGGCGCTTCGGGATAGGCGCTATGGTGCAACCAACTCCGCAAAGCCCGGGTCCTCGGGTCAGATCACCTGACCACCTCTTGTCTCAGATGAGGACCTTCCGGGGTTGGAGCTTGGTGCCACTGGCGCAAACCGTTGCGCGCACAGCGCAAATCTTTCTGGATCAAGCGATGCGATGCGGAATGGTCAGGGCCGTGGATATCGTATATCCGGAGGATATATCTGATGGAACAGCTATAGCGGTTTCCGCCCCCGCACTGACCACAACACTCTTGATGATCGCAAATAGAATCACAGTGCGCAAATTACAGTGCGCAATGTATATTGTTCCATTGTAGAGCCGGTGGGAAGAAGGAGAGAATATAACAAAGTGATCAACTTACTTGGTATGGGCGATAAACGTCGGCTGAGCGGGATGAGGCTGTCAGCGGGAATCTTAAGAAACCAAAAGATAAGGGGAAGGAAGAGAGAAAAGGGAGGAAGCGGGGGAAGAAGGAAGAATCAGGCGTCAAGGTTCAACAATTGGGGGGGAAAGACACGGTGATTGGGTGATGGTATGGAATGACCGGGGACCTGAGAATGTACCAGGGCATATGAGAGTAACAAACAAGTAATACAAAGATACGAAAAAGAAAGGTGTAATAAACAAGAACACAAAAACCTACCCATGATTGAAGGCCGCGCGTGGCTGTAAGAGGCTGAAATGTGGTACAAAGGAGAAAGACGAGGAGGAGAGAGAAGATGAGATGGGGGGAGACCAATGTTATCTCCTTGGAGTTCGTTGGAGAGAAAGAACAGAAATGTCTGTTTGATACTTGACCATCGTCGGGAATCTCTCACCGCGGTCTCACCGCCCGTATGCTTTATAGGCAGATAATTATACTGTTGGTGTATGATCTATAATTTTTTTTTTATATTTAGTAAGAAATTACATAGACTACTTTTAGTTCAAAAACATTAGAAAAATACTAACTGCGATGCAACACATATAGCTTATTTGTCTAACTATACCTAGGTATAAAGCTCATACTAAACGCATACTCTAGATACGGGGCCTATCTGCTTATCGCACATCTCAACCTGCACAACTGTGTCCGATATCTGCACTCATGACTGGCTGCATAAGCAGCTGCATTGTATTTCAGTTACTCAATTTCAAATAAAACGGCCTGTAACCCGGCAACCTACATTGTATTCAGACGGGTCACAATTGTTCATTTGCAACTACAGTAATCCACAAAGAACGACCACAAAAAACGAAAGAAATGGGTGCTATATTCAGCACTGGGAATCAATTCAACACAAATCCAGATGGGCCATACCCTGCCAGAAAACGAACGCCTATGCAGCATGTGCTGTAGAAAAGAACCGGATGACAGTTCCAACGAGAGGACCAAAACGCCTTGAAGGGACGAGGACGAGTTGTGGAGGCAAGGAGGGGTACATATACAGACGGAACAAGAAAGAGAAAAGAAAATGGTCAACAGATGGAATAGGACAAGAGAAAAAAAAATGTAGAGATATAGGGAGAGAGATGTGGGATACAAGCGAGGGTGGTGAGGTTTATGCCGCCACATTGGTAGGGGGATAACGGCCAGGGATCTTCATGGCCAAGCCAGCGATGCTGTCATTTTTGGGCCGCAGGTCCGATGAGATTGTCCCTGATCCAGCTTGTGGGATATTACCATTTTCGAGGCCAGGAGTCAAGATCTTGGGGAGCTCGTTGGTATCATCGAGCGAGGTAGCATTGGTGTTATTTGTATATTCCGTCGCATTGGTATTAGTAGGGGCGGTGGACACGCTTTCTCGACGAGCCACCTGAGGAGGGGCCGAGTGATCGCGGCGATCGACGAAACCAACGCCAGAGATAGCGGCAAGTGATGCCTGATCGCCATCGGATCGGACCTCGCGGTCATCTGGCGTGTCTTCTAGCTGCTGGGCCTGCTTTTGCCTGGCGACGATGGCAGCTGGACCGATCCAATCCCCATAGTAGCTATCGTGCTGCATTACCTTGGGACGAGAAGATTTTCTCACCGTCCCAGAATCGTAAGCTTGGTGAGAATCGGGGTCTTCCTCATTGGCTGCGTGGTGCGAGTTGTCGTAGGGGCTGGAGCCATCGGGGAAAGATCCGGCAGCGGCTAGCATGTCTCCTCTACCGGCGGAGCTGTCCTCGCTAGATGGGGAGAGGGGTGCTTGGAGGTGGCGGTCGATTTGGACATCGCTGGGAAAAGCACCCCCGGCCTGGCGAGAAGATGTGGGTCGATCTTGTGATATGACCACTGAGCCCGCGGAGTAAGGGGTGCGATCGGCTTCATCGTCTTCCATCACTTCATTGCTTATCGACCTGCCACTCACGCTTCGGACGTGTTTGCGGACGAAGGCGTTTCGCGCTTCGCCGGTCTTGCTAATCAAACCTTCGATATCCTCGTACCATGACATCATGGTCTCGTGGGATTCAGCACGGAAGACCCACGAGTGGCCTCGGTGCATTGCGCCGGTCTGTCGTCCCTTCAGCAGGAATTTGTGTGAGCTAGAGTCTTCCTGTGAGTGAGAGCCGAGCTTCTGCTCTGGCAGGTAAAGGGACATGACTGGCGTCTGCCATGCGACACGATCGGCCGACTTGAATTCGTGGAGATGTGTCGGCGACAAGACATACCTAGGGTTGTTTAGATGGTGGTTCTTATATAAGAGGGAAAGTACTCACCAGCCAGGAGTATAACTCTTGAGATACTTGCTCTTGCGCTCCAGCATGCCAGCCCTGACTTCGGCAGCAGCCGGATGATCCTTACCAGGGTAAGTGATGTTCTCCACATTCCGAAGAGGAATCCGGGGATCAACGAGCTCTTCGGTATCGGCGACGAACGCATTCCACTCATGATCCTGGGGCATGGAGATGGGTCCTGCCTGGAGTTTCTCTACTGTGTCAAGGGCCTCGTTGGCCTCGCGCCGGAGGATGCTAGCATAAGCATTGTACGCTTTTTGGATCTCGCTCACGACGATCCCCTCGAGTTCTCGACCAGAGTTCTCTAGGTTCAAGAATGCCTATGGAAGCGATATTAGTCGTAACAACTAATTTATAATAGAAAGGTAGAACAAACCCGATGCAAGTAGTTTTCTTCTTCGATTTGCTTCTCGACCTGCTTCTCGACATTCAGGCGCATGATGAATGGATCTCCCTTGCCCGATGTCGCGGAGGGGTCGGTATCAACAAGCCCAAGAGCCTCTTGTAAGTTGCGCACAGACTTGCGCGTGCCGTCGATTTCCTTCTCGACGGTGTTCTTGAAATCACCCGAAAGACTCTTGATCTCCTTGGTTTTCTTCTGAAGATCGCTCCGGAGACCAGTCAATTGACTAATCACCTCCACCTCCACCTCGATGGCCTTGTTGGCCTCTGTATAACCCTGTCGGTGGAAGTCTCGGAGTATCTCCGTCGCATCGCCCAAACCGCCAGACTCGAGGAACCCCGGCGGAAGCACCTGGTTGTTGACGACATTGGAAGCCGACAGGAATAGTTTCGCTCTGGTTTCGTAGGATTTCTGTACTTCCTTGAAGAAAAGAATTAGATCCTTGAGGACCTTGCGCCAGGCTAGATATATCAATGCTAGTTAGCAAAAGTCCCATATCTTGCACACGGATATATAAGAGAAAAAGAAAAAACCTACCTCCGAACCGGTTTGCCAACATCTCGGTCGGGTTCCCGGTGGTAGGGATGGGAATGGAGAAAGCACTGTTGACATCGTCGGAGCCCTCCATGTGGTATTTTTCGCGGTCACCCAAGCTGAGACTCCTCACACTGCCCGCACGCAGACTCCTGCGACTTCCATTTCGGCGCAAGCTCCCCTTTTTGCTCAAGGAGGCCTTCTTCCGCAAGGTGCCCGAACGAGTGGGGGTCTGGGAGCGCACATGGGACATGGTAGAGGCCGAGCGCTGCACTCCAACAGGGCCGTCGTATAGGACGGAGCTGCGGCGACTGGCAGTGTCGAAGTCCTCTTTGAATCGGGGGTTGTGGATCTGCGGGTCCAGAGCGCCTGAGCCGTAGTGGTATGAAGTGCTACCGGCGAAAGAGCTCGGTCGGGAAAGAGTAGAGCGCGGACCATATCCGCGACTCAAAGCGCCCGGGTCGTTGGGGTGCGGGATCATGTATGCATCCTGTGAGGGCGTCTGTGGCCGCGCGGCCATGGCCATGACTGCGGGAACGTGGTTTTACGGTTTAATGCAGGCTTCGAAGGTTTAAGGCGAAATCGCACAGTGATCAAATCAAAGTGTCGGGGAAAAAAAGAAGAAAGGGTTGAGATAGGTGAGAAGACGAGATCGAAGAAGTGCTAAGAAAAATCAAGGATAGCTCCAAGTGAAGTCCGGTTACCTGGCGAACGGGGGGAATTGCGGGGAGTAGAGAAGAACGATCAGCTCATTTGGCCCCACAAGTCAAACTATCAAGTGAGAGAGAAGAAGAAAAAAAAGGAGTTGACTATGATCCTCAAGAGAGAACTTGGGGCCTCGATATATGGAATTAAAGGAACAACTTAAACGATGACGTCTACGAGGGGTCGCGTCGAGTTCCAAGAAGAGTAAGAAACTGGTTGGTAACTGGCACCGGGACACTCGGGGGAAAATTCATGGAAACTTAATCGATCTGGATTTTATATACACGTTGTATTGTAGTATTTTCTTTGAAGAATCATCTATTTCTCTCATTTCTCTCATTTCTCTCATAATTGACGTATTGCATCGGAATATCCCTCCGTGAGGTTTTTTTTTTTTTAAGTTGGTGTACAATTGGTAGTTACTTCGTACTCCGTACGTTGTACGTTGTAACGCCAATCTGGCTGCCTGTTAAGAGAGTGGCTTAGTTCCCCTGAACAGACCATTAGGAGCTCATCAGAGTCCGGACTATTGAGTTGAGTAATATTGCAATGGATTCATGTGTCAATTGAATCCACTCTCTGTGGCTTGTGGAAAGGGGACATCATATAATAATTTATTGGTATTATTTCATACCTAGGTAAAAAAATCCCCCCTGATCTAAAGTGATGAACAGTGCATGACGTCGGGATCTGGGGGAGAATAGATCGAACACACTTGGAAACTTTCGCCCCTTACGCCTTATAGGTTCCGGCTCATTCGGAATACCTTCATTTCTGGTACATACATATGTACGTTGTATGCAGTTTTTTCGTACCTTGGTAGTTTATATACATATGTACATCTGTTGGAGTTTATACTTTCCCCCTCTTTTCTACTCATGATCTGGTTATCGCGAGTATTGACCGGACCAATAGTGGAAGAAGTATGCACTGGATTGGACTCAATCTGACGAACGTAGTACATTTGAACCTGCATACCATGGTTGTCCATTCTAATCTCGGTAAAATCGAACTCACAAATGCCTTCAAATGTTGGCACATGCGTAACTTGACGTATACAACACGTAGGGCCCAAAACACCTCATTTCATGACTCAAATATAGCGGGATCTTATACCGGAAGGGTTAATTGCTTATTCAAGCATCTAAAGTGCCTACCTACATAACTACCTACATACGTACATATGTAGGTCATATCTCGACTCCCTCTCGTTTGATATACACGCTTTGTTATTGGCTCACTGGGCTCGGGGGATGTCCCTCATTTTGGAATACTGATATCACCATTCAACTGTATACATCAAATTCGACGGTCGCTGAGGTCCCTGACGAACAACAACTCCTACTTCCTGGATCTTCACTTCTAGCTATCTGTAAATACTACATACAAATACATATGCACACAACCCTGGACATGAACTCATTGAAACCTATAATGTGCCCAGACTGAATGTGTATTGTTTTAATTTCCTGAAGACTAAAGAAAACCTAATCGAATTGAACGTGTCCGGCATACGATAGGTAGCGTGATATGGGGGATAATTTACACAAAGCAACGGGAAAGATAACGGGAAAAGAACGCAGGCTTATGATGCAGGAACTGGGGATGTGGGAACCTCAATGCCGTAAGCGTCCTTGATACGCTCCCGGCGTCGCTCCTCGTAGCCAGGGCCGTAAATACCTAGTGAGATTAGTATTGGTAAGAACGCGAGCTACACAAAACACATACCACGTCCTTCGCCCAATTCGGCAACCGTCTGCTCTCCAGGGGTTTGGAATGCCTTGCGCAAGGCTGTGCGGCGGTCGAACTCATCGACAGATGTGTCCTTCTGGTAACCGAAGAGAGAACCACCGGTGTACTCGAAGGCGGTCATGGCGGTGGACAGCGCAATGCCGTATCCGAGCAGAGCGGGGAATGTGCGGACTGTGGGAACGACGATTGTTAGCTTCACAACACACGGCTAAAAGATTCAATTGAACTTGAAACTTACCACGCAGTCCAAGAATAGCGCCGGAGAAGAAGCCACCAAGGGCGACGTTGTAGTGGTCCTCCTTCTCGCGCAAGTTGGCTGAAGCGGTCTTGACGAACTCATAAGTACCACCCATGGCCGCTATACGATGTCAAATCAGCAATTGGGGGGAAGAACTAATTCTTATGCATGGAAATTCATACCGAAGATACCAATGGTACCTCCGCCACGTCGGAAGATTCCCAGAGGTCCGACATTCTGTCTGGTGAGGGTGTTTTGCACAGCCGATGCGAAGAGACCGACTCCACCAGTGAGCATAGTCGCCTTCATGGCTGCCGAGATGGCATCCTTAGGGTGGTAGCTGTGATCTTCCTCGTGGTGCGCCATGATGTGTGATAGCAGGGATGGATCTGCTTGCGGGTCAATAGGATGTGGTTGGCGATAGGATTTTGGGGTTAGGTTTTGCCGAATCCGACCGCCAATCTATACCGCCCACCATTGTCCGGAGCTCTAGACGATTGTGTTTAGGCTTCTGACGCTCAAAGCTTTGCTTAATTTAATGCTTCCATCGATTAATATCCAACATATCATTTGCTGTTTGCTTGTGTATAAGACTTTGATCCTAATATCAATCATACCCAGCAAGAGAGCGTTCCAACCTTACCACTGCTAGTGCAGTAGGCTCCCCGCTGTCTCTCCGCATAAAACTACGCGCTTCCATCACTCGACTACACTGTCATCTCCTGCAGTGGATGCATTTCATGCGTTTGTCAAATTATTGGAAGTAAAAGGCCATCGAGCCAATCGAAAACTATCCAGAGCAACAAGACGAAATATCAAAATCGTGTGAGGCCTTCAGGCCCGATCAACAACATCATGGCGCCTGTACAGTTGGCTGGTTAGTCCCACCATAGCCCGATTCAATCAACATTGTATGTTGTTGAAGCAGATACTTACAATATCATGATCTAGGCAAGACTGCGCCTCGCCTCGTCGAAGATATCCAGCTGTACGACCCAGCACATGATCCAAACACAGGTCGTAATCTGCTGTCAGAGACACCTCCAGTGTATCCACCAGGCTACGATGGCCCGCTTGAATTCATCTCACCAAAGGCATGCAAACATCAATATGTTTTGAAACAAGACCAAACCTTCCTTGCACAGACAGAGCATCGCAGAAGAACGTCATCAAAGGTGTCAGCAATGTGCTCCGTCTGCCGCTGCCATCTTCAAGTGGTGGTTAACTACACCCGAAACATGCATATGTTCAATCAAACCCTTAAAGGGGACCATACCCATCACCTGGTCTACAAATCAGGGCGGCAAAAGAACGGCCTTTCATTGCCTGAAGAAACCAACCGGGGGCAGATTGCAGAGACATTTCACTACCAATGTTCCTATTCTTCGTGCGGAGCCATGGTTTCCTTGCGAATCCTTTCACCGGTGTTGAGCCGTGACTTTATTAATTTGATGACGGACAGGGAATTGTTGCGGGTACGAGCTGATCAGGCCATTGCAGCTTACCCGGATACTATGGAAGGTATGGGAGCCCCAGAGCCGATAAATGTGCTGGATATCCTGCGTCTTTATATCACAAATGCTCTTCGAAATCACCAGCGTAGTAAGCCAATTTCTCCTGGGAACAAGAGATTCATGCATTCTTTTGGCGCAGAGGGTGCTGCCTGCAAGGACTTGCTAGAATTTTTGGAATTCGTTTACGATGAGGTCCGTGTTCATTTATGAGAGATATCACTAGGTAGTTTGGCTCGCTGACGAATTTAGGATACTGGTGTGTGGCACCCGCCTAAGACGAAACCTCACGCCGAGAAGCCCTACCAGGACCTGCTCTGTGGTTTCCTCGACGATGTTATTCTGGAACTGCTTGCTTTGATACAACAACGCCCGAAATCAGAGAAGATAGGCTCGAGTTTTCCCAACCTTCCCCCCTCCGCCGTCCCCGACATTCTTTATGCTCTAGAAGCCAACGACTGTTCGTACATGATACTTCTTGACCTTCCGGGCTTTTATTGACTTAATCTCCAGACCCTAAATCCATCCGCGCCAGCGAATTCAAAATGGCTGACTCTCCGTATGTGTGAACCATCTTGGTTCTAGCTGATCTCATTCTAACTGATACCCTCTTTAGGTATTACGAAGACCTGGGAGTAGTGGAGGATATGTCTACAGCGGCAATCATTGAAGCATACAAACAGCAAATCTCGGAGGACGCCAGCTGGATGGCTCCTCGCTACTTGACTTGTCTCAAGCAAATCGCCATTCTGCGCGGTGGGACCGACCGTGATACCATTGAAAAGGTTGTTCAAGCTGCTTATGCAGAGGGAAAGTACGCAGATGAGGATGTGGCCTATGCGTACTCATTCTTCGGCTTCAATAATGCCTTCGATTCGAGTATCACAGATGAAGAGGTCCTCGAACGATTCTACAACTCCCTCAACTCTTCCAAGGACGAGACCCAGGCGCGTCAAGAATTGTGGCGTATTGGCGACTCGAGAGACAGCATGCGCCTCAAAGCTGCTGCTGATGATTGTATGTTGTTCCAATCTGCGTCTTCTTGCTATTTCCACAAAACTCATTTTGATCATAGATGTTTCAAACGTTGAACAGGCGTACATCTATCTGGGTATCAAACCTGACACACCGGATGATTTCGTTCTGTCCATGTACACCCTCAAGGTATGTTCCTCCGACCATGGAATTCAACACGAGCTTACACTCTATAGACCTCTGAGAATCCAGCGGCCAAAGAATCCGCGTATCGCGCCGTGCGATTCATTGCCGAGTTCCGCAACTCTGTTCCACTAAACCACTTCCTGCACACTGGCGAGACACCGGCCAGTGAAATGGACATTGGTGATGCCTATCGCCTGCTCCAAATCCCCGATCGAACTGCTGATGAGGGTGCAATCATGGCTGCATACACCATTTGTGTCGATGAAAACCCGACTGATATCGACAAGTACAATCAAGCATTGGTAATCATTGCCAACAACACCGAGAGCGCCCAGTTGAAGATCATGGCGGGGATCAACACCGAGCCCGAGCGCAACATGCAAGATTGGCCGGTTGGACTGCAGAACATTGGCAACACCTGTTACCTCAACAGCCTGCTGCAATTCTATTTTTCAGTTCGCCCCTTCCGCGAAATGGTGTTGGACTTTGAAAGATTCCAGATGGATCTTGATGATGAGCGGAGTCTAAACAAGAAGCAAGTTGGTTCGCGCAAAGTGACGAAGAAGGAGGTTGAACGGTCCATTCGATGTAAGTTTTGTTCCCCGAGATCATTGTGGCCGCGCATACTGAGTTTCATTACAGTCTTAAAAGAGCTTCGAACCCTGTATCGCAGTATGATCACCTCGTCCCAGATCTCGGTAACTCCTGGACAGGAACTTGCTCGGTTGACTTTGATCAGCCCAAGCAACGAGGCCGCGATTCGCCGTCGGTCTACAATCACTGGTACAAGATCGCAGATACTTGGTGAAATCCACGGCGCTCCCGTTCTGGGACCTCTTGGACCCCCACCGCCGCTTCTAGGAGGCCGTATGGACCAGTCTTCTGCCTCTAGCCCCGCTGATCCCGCGCCTACCGCCCCGGCTTCCAGTGTTGCTGACAGCGAGGCTACTTTGGTCTCGGATAACTCCATGAATGACGCACCAGGACTTTTTGTCGAAGACAAAGAGAATAACCCCCCGTTGTCAGATGATCTGGCGTCGGACCAAGCAGAGATAGGCTCAGATCGAGCAGAGATCGGATCCGATGTCGATATGGCCCTCGACACAGATGACATTGCTTCCGAACTACCCGAGTTATCTAATCTACCACCGCCTGTCCCTCCTCGCCCTGCCCAAGAAGTCGATCATGAGAAGCAGCTCAGAGAGGAAGTAGAGTACGGCGCTCAACAGGACGTCACCGAGGTCATTAACAATGTGCTATTCCAGAGTCAATGCGCCATCAAGGGTCGCGAAATTGGTGAGGATGGCGAACAAATCGACCAGATCAAAGAGTGAGTTGAGATTTCCTCGTTATTATCCCTGTGTTGACCCTTCATTAGCTTGTTCTATGGACAAACTCGGTCTTATATCTCTACCGAGAAGGGCACCCGGTCAAAGGATGAACGTTGGTGTGATATCAAGGTCGATGTTGCGCATGGTTCTCGTGACATTTACGACGCAATTGATGGAGCCTTCGACGTTCAAAAGATCAGCGTTGAAAACTCAGTGGCCGAGCAATTCGGCTCGATCCGCCGGCTCCCCCCTGTTCTTCAGATTCAGGTGCAGCGTGTGCAGTTTGACCCCGTGAAGAAAACTTCTTTCAAGTCGACCAATCATCTCGAATTGCTCGAAACCATCTACATGGATCGCTACATGGATACCACCAATCCAGAAGTGGTAAACCGGCGTAACCAGTCTTGGGGATGGAAGGCATCTCTGAAGGCGCTCGAGGCCCGACGAGAAGAGCTTCTCAGGACAAAGGTATGCGACGAACTAATCTGTTCCAGATTATATAACTGATCTCGACTGTAGAAGGATGATGGGCTTAACAAGCCAACCCTGCTGCGTGAAGCCAAACGCGTGCTTATGAGTCTCGAAGCCCTCGAAAAGGAGACTGAACTCGATGACGTTTACAAGGGCCTTGAATTTGACCCGAAACTATCGGAAGATCTGGAACGTTATGCCCAAAAGGCAGAGTCCGATCTGCAGGGTATGAGCCTGGACAAGCAAATTGGTTTGAATAAGCGTGCTGACCCTCTTATAGCCATTGATCAACAAATCAAGGACACTCAGACCATGATCGCTAGCCAATTCGCTGAATTCCACAATCTTCCATACCGACTGTACGCTGTCTTCGTGCACCACGGATCTGTCTCGTTTGGACATTATTACATTTACATTTTCGACTTCGACAAGAACATTTGGCGCAAATACAATGATGAATATGTCACTGAAGTCCAAAACGTGGACGAAATTTTCCAAAACAACTCTACGAATAACCCCCCGACCCCCTATTTCCTCGTTTATGTCAACAGCGACATGAAGGAGCGCCTGGTGAATCCTGTTTGCCGCGAATTGAACCAAGTGATGACCGACGTCCCCACTCAGGCATCCCCCACGGGGGATGTGAGCATGGACCCTCCCTCTTACGAAGCGTCCACTTCCAATGGCACCTCAGGTACGGGCTCAGCTCTCGAAACAGCCATAGATGGCCCCGTTCTTTAGTTGCTAACGAAGAACAACTCTAATAGATCATAATATGTCCATCGACCCGGTCAACCCTCTGAAGCGCAAGAGCGTTGACGCCGAAGGCAATCCGACTAGCTCGGACTAAGTTATGCGCATGATTGCATGAATCTCCATCTTTTCCATCCTTTTGATTTGCGTGGATTTTATTGCATTGCAAGCGATGAGAAACGTTCCGGTACATACTTTTGAAGATACCAGGAGTACTTGTAGATTTATGAAGATAGCAATTGAACTCCATTGAATTGAAACAGTACACAGAAGCTAACAATTTAATTTACGTGCCTTTAAAATCAACTCCAGACTGTTTATAGAACCAACAAACCCTAGAACTCCTCGGATAATTGATTCTGATCATGCCGAGTTATACGTCGTCAGATACACTCCGAGTGTATTGCGAACATCAGCATGTATTTAGTCTTTTTAACCACTAATCTACTACAGCTATTGCTTTCTAAGGTGGTCTATCATTTCTGTGAAGGATATATATCCTTTGTCAGCAATTTTTTGTGCGTTTTATTTTGTGTATATCGTTTGCCATTTTTTAGGCCCGTATATATAGACATGCCAGACTATATGTAGATCAGCATCTTATTTCATTTCTCCATATCTGACTACGATTGCAAGGTCTATTACGCTGAGACTAAGCAATTGAAAGATGATGCTAAATGATCAAAAGGAGCAGGCTAAGAACTGCATTTTTTGAGGCTATTTTTTCTATGCAAAGCAGAATGAGGGAGGATCCCATTTTTCGAAAGAGCTTGATGTTCGATTTTGTAAGGTACCTTATTTCGAAGAACGTTGTTCTGATTTTTGTGATTCGATGCCTAGATCAGAGACAAAGGGTGCATATCCATCATGTTGTCTTGAAAAGTTAAACCAGTGGGGAACTAAGGTCCAGTGGAGGTAGCAGCGGAGCCTCTAGCTCTGTAAGTTGGAGATAGGGGTTCTCTTTCAGCTCTAGGTTCTTTTCGCGATGCTTCTGCTTCTGCTTTGGTTTTGGTTTTGGACGGCCTTTCAGCATTTGATTAGTAGTATTATTTGCGCTCCACCCAGCGGTGCTTTTCGCATGTATTCGTGTGGTTTCTAACTGTCCTGGATTGTGAATGTGTCCTTGTAGTAGGGGCACTGAAAAGTGGGCTCAGGCCTGGCATTCCCGTAGCACATTGGTCATGTTAAGATGGCTAAGAGATAAGCGAGAGAAGTTGTAGGCATTTATAGATAATCAGCAGAGTAAATAAGTCTTATTTAACTATATAGCTTCAGAGCTGAATCGCGGTGCGGGAGGGGCCCTAGAAGAATAGAACTTAGACCGATACTACTTTGATACCGATTGATTAACACTGAGCGAACTTTCGGAAGAACAAAAGAAGATCTTTTAGCCTCCTATGAACCAAGGTACGTGCGCAGAAACAAGAATGAATGCAGAAATGATAGGCCACCCTCCCTATTGAGGACATCACGATCTCGAGTTGATATTTGGAAAACGTCTGGGCGCCCACGTGACCGTTATGTAAGATCGTCGGCTGCGGATGCGGCAATTTGGAAGTACATCCGTCGGATATCGGATAAGATTTGTACATATAAGTTCATACTTATATGTAGGGTTTTAGAGGTAATGAGTAGGGGAAAAAAAGGAGAAAAAAGACGTAGATGATGATGAATGTGTAGGAATATTTTATAGTCAATTGTCCAGTTAACGAGCTAACAAAATTTGAGATAGGAGCACCTGGGCAAATATGCCGGGGAAACACTCAACCGTCTGGGGTTGACGGTTAATCTCGGGACTGTTTCCGCATTCATTGCCGTTCGGGTGTACTGATTGCCGTCACGACCCCAGGGTTCGGATCTTTATATAGCAGATCTGCTGTGCACTTTTTTGGTTGGATTCCTTCTGGATTGTTTCAACTTGTATCCAATTCTCTCAATTGGACATCATGCCTTCCCAAGTAGCAACATGTTTGCGCTTCGCGCGCCAGTACTCGGCCAATCCCGTCCAGGTAAATGCTCTGCCGGTATATTATTTACGAGCCTGCGGAGACTGACTATACTCGCCTTCTAGCACCAGCGCTTCATGGCCCGCGCATTCTCCAGCAGTGTCCGCCGCAGTGAGATCAACAAGGTGTACCCCTCCGCCGAGGTCGCGGTCAAGGACATGAAGTCCAACTCCACCCTCTTGGCCGGTGGATTCGGTCTGTCTGGTGTGCCTGACACTCTGATCAACGCCGTTCTGGCAAACCCCTCTATCACCGGCCTCACCGTGGCCAGCAACAACGCCGGTGTGGACGGAGCCGGTCTTGGTTTGCTCCTCAAGTCCAAGCAGATCAAGAAGATGATCGCTTCCTACGTCGGCGAGAACAAGACTTTCGAGCGCATGTACCTGACTGGTGAGATCGAGCTCGAGCTCACTCCCCAGGGTACTCTCGCTGAGCGCTGCCGCTCCGGCGGTGCCGGTATCCCTGCCTTCTACACACCCGCTGCCTTTGGTACTGTGGTGCAGACTGGTGCTGTCCCCTTGCGCCACAACGCCGACGGCACCGTCGCCAAGTTTAGCGAGGCTCGCGATGTTAAGGTCTTTGACGGCAAGAGCTATGTCATGGAGGAGTCCATCAAGGGTGACTACGCCTTCGTCAAGGCCTGGAAGGCCGACAAGCTCGGTAACTGCCAGTTCCGCTACGCCGCCGCCAACTTTAACGGCGCCATGGGCCGCAACGCCAAGATGACCATTGTCGAGGCCGAGCACATCGTCGAGCCTGGCGAGATTGAACCCGCTGCCATCCACCTGCCCGGTATCTACGTCAAGCGCGTCATCCAGAGCACCACCCCCAAGGGCATTGAGAAGTTCACCTTTGCCAAGGAGGAGGGTGCCGACACCTCTGCCCTCGGCAAGGGTGACACTGCCAACAAGCGCGAGCGCATCGTTCGCCGTGCCGCCAAGGAGTTCAAGAACGGCATGTACGCCAATCTCGGCATTGGTATGCCCATGCTTGCTCCCAACTTCGTCGACCCCTCCGTCGAGGTGACTCTGCAGTCCGAGAACGGCATTCTCGGCCTCGGTCCTTACCCCAAGCAGGGTGAGGAAGATGCCGACCTCATCAATGCCGGAAAGGAGACCGTCACTCTCAAGCCCGGTGCCAGCTGCTTCGGCAGCGACGAGTCCTTCGGCATGATCCGCTCTGGCCGTATTGACCTCACCATTCTTGGTGCCATGCAGGTTAGCGCCAAGGGTGACTTGGCCAACTGTACGTTCCCTTAACCTCAATCTTGAATATCTCACTACTAACATACCTTAGGGATGCTCCCTGGTAAGATAAAGGGCTTCGGTGGTGCCATGGATCTGGTCTCCAACCCTGCCGCCACCAAGGTCGTCGTGACCATGGAACACACCGACAAGAAGGGCAACCCCAAGATCGTCAAGAACTGCGAGTTCCCCCTGACCGGCCCTGCCTGCGTCAGCCGCATCATCACTGACCTCTGCGTCTTCGACGTTGACTTCTCCCACGGTCTGACCCTCATTGAGATCGCCGACGGTGTTACTGTCGAGGAGGTCAAGGCTAAGACCGAGGCTCCCTTCAAGGTCGCCGATGACCTGAAGCCTATGCTGTAAATGATGTAATTTTGCACGCATCCTGTACGTTTCTGTTAAAGCGTTTTGTATATAGCAATTGGTCGTTTTGCAGGAGTTAGATTGTTTAAAATTCATTCCCATGAACATATCAAGGATATGTATGAATAACATTGCTTTCTGGATATATTTCGAGTAGGAATACAAAAAAAAAGAAACGAAAAGGTATTGGTACATATGCAAAATCAAACCCCATAATGCTCACTCAACCCAATGAGAACAATTACTATCCAAGTCAAAATATACAGCGAGAAAAGAGAATCAAGTCAACCGGATGATACCAGCCATCCTCTTCTTTAACCGCCCAAACCAATCGCGGTTCGGCGCCTCTGCAAACTCGCGTACGACATTGTCGTAGTGGTCTGGGCTACTCGCTGGCCGGCGCAGCTTCTCCGGCATTGGGTATTTGGATGAGAAACGATTGTTCAGCAGCGACTCGAGGGCCTTGGTGGAGGACTCGGAGATCGCCGGGCTTGATTTATCGGTGGGTTGGAGACGGGATTGGATGTAGGTTTGAACGGAGACTGAAGCTGGGCGGACGGCATCGGAGGGCCAGTTGTTTAGAAGGTGGGTGAGGCGACTCTGAAGGGATCGCGGATTGATGGTCTGAATGGCTTGTTAGGAAATTGTTTGAATTGACGATGTTGCGATGGACATGGAGGTAAATTTCAAGATTTCGAGTATAGGGAGGGAATTACTCACAGGTTTAGACATGGTGGTGAAGTATCAAGTAATTGCGAATTGAAAAAGATCTAGGAAATACTCAAGAGGCAAAAACGGACCGGGAACAGTCTATTTCGGCCTGGCGCATCAGGCATCATAAGCCACATCCATTCCTGTTGCCTTCTAAACCCCGACATCTTCCACATCCCCCTTTGCTCTCGTTATCTTTTCTGCATTCCAACCTAAGTTGTGTCTTGTCTTTTTCCCTTCCTGTGTCTCTTCACGGTCGCTTCCCGCTCAGCTCGCCATGAGCTCGCAGCGCTATTCACGGGTACGTATCCCCTCCGCTGATCTCATCTATCGAACATACCCGGATGTGACTCCTCGACAATATACTGACCTTTGTCCACTCAGGTGAACGCCCATGATCAAGAAGAAGGACCGCATTCCTATCCGCTGAACCCGCGATCCGATCTCAACTCCTCTCCGCCACTCTCTTTCCGCTCTAGATCCCGTTCATCATCGCCGTCTTCGAGACGGTTATTACAGAACGACCCGCTACATAACAATGAAGATCAAACACTGGCCGATGCCTTCGGCGATGAGGACGAGTCCGACGATGATAACGAGCCAGATGACAGGCAACGTTTGATGCGAGCCGATCCCGACTTCCGGGCTCCTGCGGATAACGCCCAGAGTGCGAGTTCATCCTCGTCGGTATTGAGAGACTCCCAGGACCAGACCAGATCGGGAATTCCAAGGCGGCCGACGATGCTGCCCACTTTCACGGCGCCAACTTCCGGGGGCAGTCGGCAGATTGCGCCATCTAATGATGGAGTATTTGCCAATCTTAATGCCAAGCCTGAACGGAATGAGAAGAACGAAGATCTTCCTCCTGTAAGTTGGTATATTCGATCTGCATGGCTAAATTGCTAATTTATGTAGTCATACGAAGAGGCCGCAGCCGATGCCACACCCCCGTATTGGGAGACCACCATTGTGGCACCCGGTATCTCATCCGATGAAGTCTATGTCGACGGATTACCAGTCGGATCTGTATTCTCATTTGTTTGGAACGCTATGATCTCCATGTCATTCCAGCTGGTCGGCTTCTTGCTGACCTATCTCCTTCACACAACGCACGCCGCAAAGAACGGCAGCCGAGCGGGTCTCGGCCTTACTCTTGTTCAATATGGTTTCTACATGAAAGGCGGCGGTGATTCAGGCTCGGATGGAGGATCAGATCAATATGTTCCCCCGCCAGACCCCAACAGTCACAGCTTTGATCCGAACTCTGTTGGCGAGGGCGGCGGCGATGGTGGAAACGGTGCTATCTCCGGCATTACCACGAGCGAATGGATCTCATATATCCTCATGATTGTCGGATGGTTCATTTTGATTCGCGCGGTCAGCGATTTTCTACGAGCACGACGCCATGAACAGCTTGTGCTGCAGAGTCCGGATCGCGGTCTCGGTGTGCCAATCATTGCGGAAGGCGAACGGTCCGAGACTGTTGTTTAATATTGCTATACACGGGGCATTCACTTGGTTTTCTTTTTCTCTCTCGGAATATGGACATGGATAGGAACTGTCCGGCGTTGCAGCATGGAGCTCTTTTGTATTGACACCCCCATTGGAGTATTGACTCCAGTTTGCATTCCTTGAACCTTTTCTTTTCTCTTCTTTTGTTCTACAGACTCTACTTTTTACTTTTTTTGGTCGTGTAGCTATTTTGAAGATACCAACATTTTTCATACCCAACATTGGCAGTAGTAGATCCCAACTATAATCGAGGGCAAGTATATGCCCACGCAAGCGGGTCACGTACTGCGCCACGATCGGTAGGCAGCATTGTCTTAGTCCTACCATTGCCCTTGCGTCCCTTTGTCTCTTCTGCAACTCAACTCGAGTTTATGCTAATAAAAAAAGGGTTACAAAGGAAAGACAACCCCAGGTGCGGCGGAAGGACCAGCTCCGCCCACTACCGAGAGACCCATTGTTTATTTGCCTGCGCGAAGTCCACCTCTTCAACATAACGACATTTGTATTATATTTGCGTTTCTTGCCGGGCCGGTGGATCGCGGCCTTGTCCGCCATGTCTACTGTCCTTCAGGGTCCCGTCGAGGCGCGGTCACTGTCATCCGTGACCGCTATCGCATCGAATCCCCCCGCCTACCCGCGCAATCCCACCCACGGGAAACACGAACCGTTGTCCCTATACATTGTGCGCGTACCAGGAAGCAAAGGTATGTGTCTCAAATCAGTCAATGCTGCAACTTTTGGGCTTTGAGATCCACAGTCCCGCCTTATCAAATAAAGACAAGCCACTAACTGCTGCCTATACAGACATTTTCCTTTCGCCTCTGAAACCACCAACCAAGTCCAGTGTTTCCGCGGAGGCTATCAATGCTTCTCTTTATTATCTCCATGTCTCGACTCCCGAAGATGACACCCTGCTCCAAGAAGCGCAAGAACAGCGCGAGGAGGAGGCCCAGTTGCGTAAGGAACGGCTCGAGAAAGCAGGCGCCGACGACCCAGCGCAGCGCGAGTTTGCACGGCTGAACAATGTGCGTCGCAAACCTGTGAGAGGGGAAACAAACCCCGAGGCTGCACCAGTACTACCCCAACACAATGTTGCTGCTCCCCCGGCCTTGCCGCCGAAACAACCCATGGCGCAGGTGACTGCGGAAAATGTTTCTTTTTCTGGGACCCCAGTGGCCAATACAAGGCTTAATTCGGGATATCCCGTATCCGAAGGTGCAGTAGGTGAGACTGGTGTTCAGAGTGCCGTACCGCGACGGCCACTCCCTCCCCTGCCACCTGGTGAAGAATCATGGGCCGATACTCCAACCCAGGACCCCAATAAGAGAACTACCCGGTGGAGTGCATTCGCCGGACATATTCAAAGTAAGGGAGAGAATTGGAAGGAAAGATACGAGGCACTGTCGGCTGGCCGCCATAGCCTCGACTCTCCCAGGCCACAATTGCGACCTCGCTCGTCGCATGACCGCCCCGGGTCACCACTAAGAAGCCCTGGACAATCGCCTTCTCGGCAGAGAAATGCACATAGTAATCCTTCTAGCAATGCTGGTTTTCACATCACCCTTATCAGACGTGATCCAGCATCTGGCACACAATGGAATGTGGCGACCATCTCAACTCCGCGCATGGACTGCAATGCTGTCGATATCGAGATCTCCACGCCCGGGTATAATAAATTCGCAGGCTCCAATGAACTACCTTCATTATCCAGCCTGGCAGGCAACATCCCAACAGGGATTGGCCGCCTGTCTGGCGCTGCACTCCAGCGATCCTTGGCCGCTGAGCTACCAAAAGAAGCAAAAGAACAACCATCAGGGCCGCGCAAATTCCACCGCCAGCTCTGCGTGTCAAAACCTTTCGACGACTCCGCCAACTGCAGCAACGGCCATGTCCCAGATAGCTCAAAGTTGAAAAGCGGCTACTACGTCTTCACCTCACCCTGGAACGGCACCTGCACCTTCTCCAGCAGCGTCAACGGTCGAAGCCTCAAATGCAAACACATGATCCCAACCCCAGGTGGTCCAGTCCCACCATCGGGCGAGACCGAAGCTCCCTCTGCTGTGACCGTGGCCGAGCTCCGCTTCAACACTCCTTTCCAAGCAGCCAACCTGCACACACATGCCCAACACGCAGTCCACAAGCCACAACCCAATCATGTATCTCCCTTCACCCAAAGCCAACTCCAAATTCAATCTCTCCCCCGTCCCATCCTTGACACCGAAAACCGACCCCCGGACACCCCCTCATCCAACTACGCAGCCGCCAAACGCGGCTCGTTCTCCCAACTTCTAAACCCAAACACTTACTCCCGTCCGCGCGCCCATTCAGGCCCAGGCTCAACCCCCTCCATCCCCGCCACGCCGACCGACCAACGGCCCTCCTTCAACCCCTCCAATCTCCTCCGCAGAACCTCCTTGCATGCGCAGCGCTTTGCGCGCCAGAACCAGTTCCACCCTCCGCAATCCCGACACCGCAGCATGAGCAATAGCAGCAATGGCGTGGATTGCGATGCAGAATCTGATGAGGACAGGCTGGATTTATCGCTTGCGAGGGAGCCTGCTGGTGGTGGGTTTAGGGGGAAGAGTGCCAAGCTGGGAAAATTGGTTATTGAGGATGAGGGCATTAAGATGCTCGATCTTGTTGTTGCGGCTTGTATGGCTGTTTGGTGGAGGGGCTACTATTACTAGCTTATAAACCATTTGCTTGATATTGGTGATGCATTGGACGTCTGGTATCTTGAGCGATTTCGGTGGAATATAGCGTTGGAATGAATTATGATTTGCTTTCTCATACCACGGAGTAGGTGGCTCTAAAACAAGGTCCTAATAGGTAAGCTTTATAGATATCTTCGAGGAGACGATGTACATAATCAAATTTTTGTTAAATACCTAAGGATAACCTGACCCTTCCCGGGTGCGAATACGATGAATATATAGGTAAATGTTTCAAGCGCAAAAACATTATACAGTTCTGCACATGCTCACTAGATTTTTCATATGTAGAACTATCTATCTATCGATAAAACTGAATGGAATACACAAGACTAGCCAGGACGCAAGACCCAAATAGCACAACGCAGGAAAATTCCAAGCCATGGAGCCAGACAAAGCAAAGCGCAGAAGCATTGAGATTGGAGAAAAGAGAAAAATTCATGTAAATCGTCCCAGTCTTTTTTTGTTTCTCTGGTATCACTTGGCTAAATTAGATCAACATGCAGGGCGTGAAGCTTGTTTTGAACACGCCGGGAAAACCAATGAGACGAAAAATAAATAAATGAAGCAAAATCAACGGTGCACGTCCATGCCGCGCTGCAACGATGATTCCAAGTCATTGGCATAGCTACCGCCAGCGGTAGCCTCCTGAGGTCTGGGATCTTCAGTCTTCCAAGGGCCCTGCTGGTTATCCGGGATGGGAACTTGCGGCTGCTGGGTAGCATGGGCTTGGGATTGCTGGCGGACGGTGGCACGGAAGTTCTTGACCTCCTCGAGGATCATGGCACGCATGGTGGGGACATCGTCGACAACCTCAAAGTGGAAATCGAAGGTGGTGGGGCAGTTCGGCTCGTCTGAGGCGTCGTGCCAGATGTGCAGGTAGGGGTGCTCGAGGGCCTCCTCGACGGAGATACGTGACGACGGGTCAAACGCCAGCATACGGTCCATCAGGTCTAGCGCGTCGGGGTTGGCCTGCGGGAACAGCTGCTTGAAGGGCACCTTGGGCATGAAAGGCAGGTTGCGCACATATTCCTGTGCGCGGGGGGAACCAATACGCGCCAGGGTTTCTTCGTTCGGTGTGCCCAGATAGTGCAGGATTTGGTTCAGCTGGTCGACATAATCGCGACCCTTGAAGAAGGGTCTGCCGCCAAGGAGTTCGGCGAGGATACAACCGACGGACCAGACGTCAACTACAGATGTGGGGTTAGCGGCGATCATCCGGTGGCAAATGATGTGGCGTTACATACTTGCTTTGGTGTAGCTTTGGAAGCTCAACATGATCTCAGGCGCACGGTACCATCTTGTTGCAACGTACTCTGTCATGTATCCTGCGTTCTCCTCTGGATCGATAGAGAAACCACGGGCCAAACCAAAGTCACAGATCTTAAGCTCGCAGTCGGCGTTGACCAGCAGGTTGCCGGGTTTCAAATCGCGGTGCAGCACGTTCGCCGAGTGGATGTACTTGAGACCACAAAGGATCTGGTAGATGAAAGACTGGAAGTGGGCATCGGTCAACGGTTGACCGGAGCGGACGATGGCAGCCAAGTCACATTCCATCAACTCTGCAGTGTGTTAGTTTTCAATCAATTTGAGAGAAAGTCGTGCAGAGCTCATACCCTCATAGAGATAAGTCTCATTGAAGTTGTCCGGTCGGGGAATATCCATATCGTAAAGGCATGTGATCTAGAAAGCTAGGTTAGCGGCCTTGGGGGTAAACACATTGATAAGGATGAGTTGCAGCCTACATTGCGATGACCGCGGAAATGCTGAAGCAGCTTGATCTCTCGGAGGGCACGCTTGGCCAAAATCTTCTTGCTGAAGACATTGGTCACCTTCTTGATGGCAACGCCCTCGCCGTTCTGGTTGTTGGTAGCCGCGCTTCATCGTACAATCAGCACGTGTTCTCTGAGTATCGTCCAGCTCACAGCTCTGAAACTCCCTGATATAGTGCACCTACCACACGACACCGTAAGCACCCTGACCAAGCTCCTTCGTCACAGTGTATTGTTCGTTCACGATAAAGTCCTGGTTGAAAACCTTGAAGACCTTGCGACCTTGTAAATCAGCCATGACGAGATGTGGTCGACCGAGGATAGAGAGAGAAGGAGAAGGAGGTGTGAGAAAGAAGAGAAGAGAAAAAGAAGACAACAGATGAGAAAAATACAAGGTTAATAGAGTGGTTTAACGCAGAGGCAAAGGGAAGAAAAAGGGGAGTCAATGAGTCGAGAAGTGTGATGGGATCCTAAAGCCCCGCAGTCCCCGCGGGTGATCCGCCCAAGATTTGGTTTGCAATGTTTACCGCTTTTCTGTGCTTTCTTTGCTTTCTTTGCTTTCTTTTTTGATACTGTTAACAAGTCTGTATCGATTGAGCTTGATGCCCTTTATCGAGTTTCTTGCTCAAAAAGAAGACCAATGAATTTTGAAATCAGTACACGTTGAATCCGTGGAATACTGGAAAACTTTTGACCCAATCATGAAACCCCCCCAAAAGTGTATTGAGTCTAATAGAGAGCATAGTTACAATATTGTCACTAGTTCGAGTTTTCTTTGTATTCGTCTCTACACGTTTATATATGAGATATATAAATTATTTGTACATGACCTCGAACAACAAAGAACTCGAAATAAAAAGCCACAGTGACTGAAACTTGTCTTACCTTTTGGAATGTTTCAGCCCTCAAATGAAGTGGGTCGATGTCCATCCTTATTGGGGTACATGTGTATATTGCAGCTGTCATATCACCAACTAAATATGTACATACGTTCAATGTAGATCTGACCACGATCCAGCCCCACACGCCTTGTTATAGGATATAAAATATGGGCTCAATCTATGCCACTTTCGTAAATCTAATTTTAAAACGTCAAATTGTCCAACCGTAGCTCGGCCCCGGGCAAAGAAAGAGACAGTCTCATCGGAAACCGTCTTAAGATAGCCTTGTTCTCTGGCTTGGAAAAACTTGAGCGATCGCTGCCTCTTTCCCGAGCCCATCGTCACTCCTGATCCTGGCCAGATAGCCCGCTGGTGAGGGGGCTTACATAGATCAAGGAATAGATTGGCCATCAGGACTGATTGCTGAGCGTCCAGTAGTGCAGGGTTCTCCCCGAAGAGCGCCGGAAATACTACAGGCAGGGATAGGGGAAATCTCCCGCCTCGGAAGCAGAGGCTCCAATTACCCTCCTGATATTGACCTAAACTCCTTGAGGAGCATTTCCCGTTCACGGCTCTGAGAGGAAAAGAAGTCCCCGACCACGCCGCAATGAACATTGGAACTGGTTTGTCTGGCTCGAATTGCTGTGTGCCTTCATGGCATGTGATTTTGCACAGCCTGTGTCAGAGAACATTTTCGAGCAATTCTCATCTAGTGCTCGCGGGCAAGGAGCGTCTGCCTTATCTTTCTTCCTCTCATCACTACGAAAGCCCGTGACATGACGTTTGGCGTTGCTTTCGTCTATAAACGTCTGATCACATCCCTCCTCTTTTGAAAAGGGACAAGGAAGTATGATTCTATCGTGATCCGACATAGCATAGCGAATTGCACCTTGTTTAGTGGCAAGCTTCGTGTGACAATTGGAGTCCTCTGCGTATAGGCAAGGGAATCCTCCCAAATCAGACAGAGGACTTTTTTTTATGCTTTTTCGATACATGATCTTCGGCGGCGGCTTTGGTGGTAAATGTTGCACTAAATCCCTCCTCTTTGCCAAGTGGCAGAAAAAGATTATGCCCTCTTGCTTCAGCTTGATATGATAAAATCTACTCCCCCGGCTGCTAAACGACTTGAGACATCCAAGCGTCTCTGCGTACGGGCATTTGTATTTCATGTTGCTTACGTGGAACGATGTCGATGATGATTGAAGGGCATAGGAACGAAGACGAAGAGTCTGGAATTGCCGAATTCACACAGTCACTGCTGTTTTACATGGCAGCTGAGGTAAACAGGAATCTAGAATGGAATGCACGGAAATATCCAGCAATCTAGGAACACGCATCAAAGGAGGAGGTGTAATAGCCTAGGTGATACTAGATTATCTGAGCTAAATGAAGCCAGAACGCGCAAAGTGAATTATTGCAGGCTACAGTTCATGGAGTCCGTTGTCTTCATCCTGTCATAGTGGACTGAAGATACAAGATGAGCTCTAGGATGCAATAAACAATAGCCTCCTCGCTTTCAACCCCTGATAGACATCATGTGGGTCTGCTCATGGCTTATCTTCTGTCTGTGTCAACTGCTATACCCTTGACAATACTGCTGTAAGTAGCGGAGATGAGTTCTTCTGACATCCTTGAAAAGACTTATTCGGGCGATGGAACGAAGAATGCCGTGTCTTGAAAAGCGGTAGAATGATAAAAGAATCAAAAAAATTACACCTGCCCTTAGCTGCATATAGACATAGTGTTGAGAGAGGTCATATGACCGCCTCACCTTTCGAGTATATAGCCTAGCTTGCTTCTTAAATCTCTCCTTACTCATAGCATACACACCAGTTTTTCCATTGTTCACTTCCCGATAGCTCACCTCTTATAATAATGTCGTTATTGTTTTCGTTCTTTCTATAAGCTCAAATTTAGAAGGGCCTCGCTATATGAACTCACTGGACTGTGACTTAGACTTCTTGAGCTATATGATTAGGGTATGTAGATGGGGAAAAAAGTAGGGTTTATAGCAATTCTGCTGATCATAGAGACCAGAATGGCAGAAATATGGAAATGATTGGAGAACCACGGGCTATGTTCGCTTTAAGGGTACCACGTTCCGTGACTCACCTAGACCCTGATTACTTACTACATTAGGTATTTATATGTAGGTTAGAAACGGGATAATATCTGCATTAACTTCATTTCACTTTTCGTATTGCGGTGACGAACATATCGCTTACAGCTTGTTCTCCAACCGACGCTCCTTCCGCAGAGACTTGAGCTTGGCTCGCGCCTCCTCGAGAGGCACCATGACGCCCTGCTTCTGGGTGGCGGGATCGTCACGGTTACGGATATTGACAGTGCGAGCCTCCTTTTCAGAGGCACCGACGACAAAGATGAAGTTATACTGAGCCAGCTGGCCAGTGCGGATCTTCTTCTGCATGGTGTTGCCACTAATGTCAATGTCGACGTTGAGCTTGTCGCCACGCAGGAGCTCCTGCAACTCCACGACATAATCGTTCACCGTCGGCATGACGGGAACAATGAGGATCTGGCGGGGGCTGAGCCAAAAGGGCCACTTGCCGCCGAAGTGCTCAATCAATATACCCAGGAATCGCTCAAAACTGCCAATAATGGCACGGTGAATGACAACGGGACGGGCGCGGCCGGGACCAAGCTCGGCGCTCTTAGCCTCACCCTCCTTGGGCTGCTCCAGGACTGCCTGGCCCACCTCATTTGTCATGTACTCCAGCTTGAAGTTGATAGGAGCCTGGTAATCAAGCTGAATAGTGGCACACTGGAACTCGCGCTGGAGCGCATCGGCAATTGTAATGTCGATCTTGGGTCCGTAGAACGCACCGTCACCCTCGTCAATGGTCCAATTATCGCCCATAAATTGAGTCAGGGCTGCCTTGAGCTGATCCTCAGCATAGTCCCAGGTCGACAACTCTCCGAGGTACTTCTCAGGACGAGTAGAGAGTTTAAGCTTGAAGGTGAAACCAAAGAGACCGTAGATGGACTTCAAGAAGTCAAACAGACCGGCAATCTCGGAAATGATCTGATCTTGGGTGCCTATTTTATATTGATTAGCATGCGCTTCTGTAAAAAAGGAACAATCGACTCGATTTTTGGGCAGTTACAGAAAATATGAGTGTCATCTTGTTGGAATTTTCGCACTCGTGTAAGACCACTCAGAGCACCAGAAGCCTCGTTTCGGTGCAGGACGCCAAAGTCGGCAAGGCGCATGGGAAGTTCACGGTAACTACGCTCGCGGTGTCCAAAGAGAACAAAGTGGCCAGGGCAGTTCATGGGCTTAAGGGCCCAATCCCGCTTCTCGACATCAAGCTTGAACATATCATCCTTGTAGTGAGCCCAGTGACCGGAAGTCTTCCAGATGCCAACGTCGTACATGTTGGGAGTCTGGACCTCCTGGTAGCCACGCTTGCGGTACTCGGTGCGCAGGAGAGACTGGAGCTGGTTGAAGATCTTGACTCCGTTAGGGAGGAGGAAGGGACAACCGGGGGACACTTCATCAAAAAAGAAAAGCTCCTGCTCTTGACCTATTTTAACGTGATTACGCTTATTGGCTTCCTCCAAGAAATGCAGGTGCTCAGCCATTAGCTTCTTGTCGGGGAAGGCAACGCCACGGATACGCTGCAGGGAGTCGTTGCTTTGATCACCAAGGAAGTAGGCTGATGAGTTCTATAGAAGTCAGTAGTACATTCGAAACCTTATAGAGTTACTCACCTGCATGATCTTGAACGTCTTTATCTTTCCGGTGTTTTGAATGTGAGGGCCACGGCAGAGATCGACGAGGGTACCGCAACGGTAGACGGTGCTGCTCTCGCCAGTCACGAGCTTGTCAATGTAGTGCAGCTTGTATTTGCTGTAGGCAAACATCTTCTTGAGGTTCTCTTTGGAGACCTCCAATCGATCGAAGCTTTGCTTCTCCTTGAAGATGCGCGACGCCCTGGTGTCAAGCGCTTTCCAGTCTGTCTCTCGAACAACGCGTCTATGTGCATTAGTATCGGAAAGTCATCAACGTTGGCGCAAGACATACCCATCAGGCATGGCCATGTCGTAGAAGAAACCCTGAGGAGTAGGGGGACCATGGGAAAGAAGACATCCATATTCACATTCACATGCCTCTCCCAGAGTGTGAGCACTAGAGTGCCAGAAGACCTCGCGGGCCTCGGGGTTGCTGAAGGGCACAAGAAGAACCTGGCAGTCCTTCTCAAGAGGGCGATTCAGATCCCACAACTCTCCATCAACCTTAGCAATAACAATATTGGCGCTCAGGTCCTTGGGCACGTCTCGCAGGAAGGATCCTGGGGTGGTCTCGTAGGCTTTGCCGGTGATCGAGGAGGGGGATTTCCATCGCCAATATCCAGTGTAACAGTGATCTCGGGGTGAGGACGGGTCTTGGTCTCTTCGAGGTATTGTTGCCAGAGCTCTTCGAATAGCTTGTTGCGTTCGATCATGACCTCAGGGAGAACATCAGGGCTCGGTGCCTGCTTAGACTTCGCTTTCGCATCCTTCGGCGGGGCAGCAGCGGCTTCGGAGGCGTTGTCAGCCTGCGCTTCGGCGGCAGGCCGCACGGGAAGATCCTTGGGGGCTTCAGATGACATTTTGAAAGCCCTTGGATCAAAATCACAAGGGAATTGAACCGTGAAAAAGAAATATCACTGTGGTATGTTCGGGCGTGGAGGGGAAATGACTGTTTGTGAGGGCGGTGAGTCACGAGTCACGTGCTCGTACTGCCCTTAGCGACACTTTACCGCTTCAAGTTTCCACCGAGCGAAAACTTCTCCAGCTTTGTACAAGCCGACAATCACCAATAACACCACAAAATGTCTTTCCGTGGTCGTGGTAATGCTTCCGGTGCCAACCGGGGAGGTTTCGGTGGTGGCCGCGGTGGTGAGAATTTTCCCAGTTTGAATGCGATGAAAGATCAAAAGGAGCTAACGAAATTTTTTTGTTGCAGGCCGCGGAGGTTTCCAGCAGTCATTCGGCCCCCCAGCCCAAGTTTTGGGTAATTATATTTCGAAATCCACCATAATCAGATCATGTCGCTGATATTTCTATAGAATTGGGATCCGTGATGCACTCTTGTGAGGGTGAGATGGTCTGCGAGTCGGTCAACCCCAAGATTCCTTACTTCAATGCTCCAATCTACTTGGAGAACAAGGTACGCCACTACTCCACCAATGCAACACATTCAATGATTGATATCTAACCGGTCCTGATAGACTCAAATTGGAAAGGTCGATGAGATCCTCGGTCCTATCAACCAGGTCTACTTCACCGTTAAGCCCCAGGATGGTATTGTCGCTACTTCCTTCAAGGCTGGTGACAAGGTCTACATTGGCGGAGATAAGCTGCTCCCTCTGGAGAAGTATGTTCCTCCTCTCCCGTTATATTCCCTCGCTGACCCTCTCCAGGTTCCTCCCCAAGCCTAAGGCCCCCCCCCGGTGCCCCCAAGCCCAAGCGTGCTGGTGGTGCTCGCGGTGGTGCTGCCCGTGGCCGCGGTGGCTTCGGCGGTCGTGGTGGTGCCCCACGTGGCCGTGGTGGATTTGGTGCTCCCCGTGGTGGTGGTGGCTTCGGCGGTCGTGGTGGCAGTGGCTTCGGCGGCCGTGGAGGTGCTCCCCGTGGCCGCGGTGGCTTCGGCGGTGGCCGTGGTGCTCCCCGTGGTGGTGGTGGCTTCCGTGGTCGCGGATATTAAGTCCGTTGATCATATGTACTGTCTTCTTACGGCGTTTGGGGGATATGGGAGCTTTTTTCAGGAATATCTTTTCCGTCTTCTTGTGCATCCTGCGCAATTGCAACTTAACTGGCTGCAGGCTGTAGAATATCACCAGTCAAAAAAATCTTTCTGTTCAATTATCTTATCCATCAGAGTGACACCTTCATTAAAATACAACAATGAAAATAAGTCCAGTGGTTGTACCTCAAATATCCGCCGGTGAAGGTGGCGCAGCAGACCTGGCGCAGCAGAGCGCCTCACCGCCTATGACCTGCCGCAGTTTGGAAAATGACGTTGACCGCTCAAAAGGGTCCGTCAACACTCGAAGCAGGATTGTCAGCCATCTTTACTTTCTCTTACCCCTCAATATTCTTGTCTAGACATATTATTGTAGCTGCTTGTCTTTCTGCCATAAATTACTACCATTTCTATACGTTTGAGCATGTCTCGTCGGACATCGACTATGGCATCGAGCGATTCCAGCGTCCCACCTTCAGGTGATGGAGGTGCGTTGATACTTCTGATCTGTGGACAATTGAGCTTACATTTTTCCAGGACAGGAAAAGCAAAAAATGCTTCTTTCCTCGGACCATGGGCATTTCAGCATGGTGAAGTCGGTTTGCGCTATTTCTCCTTTCCTCGGCTCAACTGACACTCAACAGGGCCATGCATCTTGCCGACCTGATCACTGAAATGAACGGTAAGAAATGAATAGGAGAACTTGAGTGAATAAAGGCTAATCCACTCCTCTAGGCTTCTGCGGAGGCAAGTTGGCTCGTATTCCCAACCGTTAAGATCCACGACTAATATGTTGAGCAGTCATGTCGGTCTTCTCATCTATGCGCTACTGTCTCGGTGAGCCGACTGAATACGGTGCCATCTGGGCCGCCCTTGCGTTCATGCCTTTCGGTCTTTTTTTCGACTTTATGGATGGCAAGGTCGCTAGGTGGCGCAAGAAGTCCTCCCTCATGGGACAGGAACTTGACTCGTTAGCGGATTTGGTAAATACTTCCGGAAAGACAATGGCTCAAGCTTTTGCTGACTTCCGGCTCTTAGATTTCCTTCGGCCTCGCCCCTGCTGCCGCCGCATTTGCACTTGGAATCCGCACCTCGCTTGATCATGTTTTCCTCACATTCTTTGTTCTCTGCGGTCTCACTCGTCTGGCCCGGTTCAACGTGACTGTAGCCGTTCTGCCGAAGGATAAGACCGGTAAATCAAAGTACTTCGAAGGCACCCCCATCCCGACCACACTGTCAATCGCCGGCCTCATGGCTTACTGGGTCTCCCAGAGCTGGACACATGAAAACATTCCCCTCGGTCTTTTCGCAGAAGGTACTATCTTCGAGTTTCACCCCGTGGTTCTGATGTTTGTTCTGCATGGATGCTTCATGGTCAGCAAGACGATACATATTCCTAAGCCATGAGCTTAAAATATATTTTGGCGGGCATCTCTGTTGGGAAGAAAAGCCCCATTTGTTGTCTCTTTCAACTTGGACAACCGAAAATAAATATCGAGAGGGCCATTGCTTCTGGGCAAGGCATAGTATGATCTCGATATACTTAAATGAGGATGATTAATTGATTTCAATTGCATAATTGACTACGTTCAATATGACCCGCGTAGGATGTGAATAGTGTATGGCTATCGGTGTTAATATGTCACTTTAGGCAAATTTCCCTTTCGGGTGGTTTGTATGTATCAACCCATGGATTGATCAGGGTTGACTTGAACACCATGTGAGCCACGGATCTCCTCGAGTCTTGGTTTCCTGCTACGTATGTTCAACTGCGGAGTGTAAATCCACGGGCTTTATCAGCATGACCAGTACCCGTGGACATGCAGAACCATATAATCCTCGTGGCCTACTTAGAACAATTGGTCCTACTGAAGACCGTCATTCGTTGGATGCAGTCAAGCTATACTGAAGGCAAGCGAGTATATCTCGAAGGTCATATGACGAGCTGGCAGAGCTGCGTCCTCCAGCGTAGCACTAAGGAGATAATGACACTGACAATATCTCCACTTCGACGATGCCGCACTTGAGGCGAAAGCGGCCAACGTCGGTTGACGGGACGGCGGTTGTATCACGTTTGCGTCCGGTGTCAGTAGTTTAATTGCTTTGAAGATCTTCGTGGCGTTCGTCCTGGGCACCCTCACTGCGACTGCGGTGAGTACTCTCGTTTTCAAAGAACTGGAGTTTATAATCGAAAACCGGGTGTTTCTCACTTTGTTTGCACTGATAGGTGATGTGACTTCTACGGGATCTTGGTGGACCATCATGGTAACCAGTTGCAGACTTGGCCCCAATTCTAGGTTGAGGCACTGTATTAGAAAGTGGAGGAGTTGTCTTGAATGCGGGTGCCCTTGTTTCTTTATATGCCTAACTTTCAAGCTTTGATTTGCTTCGTGTACAAGCTCGAGATAATGTTTCTTGTTACTCTGTCAGCTATGCTTATAGGTGTACGTTGTGCCCTGCAGACAAGGCTGGGGCAACCCGGAAACCTGGGGATTTCGGGGTCTGGATCTGGGGTTGAGTCATTACTCACTGAGTAGCAAAGCGTGTGGTACTCCGTAAAGAGTTCAGTAATCATAAGCTAGCACTATAGTCTCTTCCGAGGTCACCGAAGTCGATCCGAATTCCGGTCATGATAAATCAATTTGAGTCTAGAATACACTAGAAGACAGACAATCAACATAGTCACACGCTCAAAGATCAGAATTTTCAATACAAGATCCGTATGATAAAATTAGAAAATTTTGGCCAGACCGAATTCCCAAAAATCGTGCATGCACTTGCATCGTGGGTCAGGTACCAAAGTCTAGACCCTGATGCAAGTTTCACTTTGATATTCGAATCCAAAGGTCTCCTTACCCATACATGTGTAACTTAAACATGCTGAACTGTTGTTCCTTATCAATATTTTTGAAGGCAGGAAATTTGAACAAAGAACATAGACCCAAACCACAGTTGTCGCAGAGCAAGGGGGCTTTGCTACTTGGATCTTCTGGCAGGTGGGGAATTCAGCTGGCCTAGTGAACGCCACTGTTCCGGGAATATCTGTTTGGTCCAGCCGGTTTCTCCGGGTCGATGCTGTTTCTCGCACTGTACGGAGTACTTCGTACTCAGTATGCACATTGAGCTTGTTGTCCATCTCTCAGGTTACTTGTATCTCGGCGGCCCGGGTCTATCAACCTTCGGATATCAGGCCAAGCAAATGGTAGCCAATATTTCTTACTTAATGGAGGATCGCTCTAAGTTGGGGTTTTGTTGTTTGCTGTGGGTGTATACTCTTGAATGAAAAACTGTTCCGTAGCAGGGAGACAGTGGTGAATTTGATAGATTTTGGAGTCGTTGTACGGAGCAGTGGTCGTAAATATGTTGCTAGAAAAGGATAGCTAAAATTTGATGGATATATCTGATTGGATTGAGATATATCATATTGTACTCCGCACAGCGAACTCTGTGGCTCAAGTCATTGCAAGGGACTAGATCTGCAAGGTACACCCGACATTATAAACATCGTTATTCAACCCGGAGAGCATTGGACCCATAAGTCCTCCGTAGTGTAGGTTCATGTATATTCAGTAACTACAGGGTCTACACATGTTTCAAAATCAACAATTCTTCGCAGAAGGGTAACGCGGTTTTATGGAATAACTTCCGACTAGTATACAATGTTGTACCGACATTACCTACATGTACCTAAACGCCGTATTCCACAACAGGTTGGTCTCAAACAAAACATTTGCAGGGCATACCAACTTACAATTGTGCCAGTTATAGTCTTTTTGTATGATGTACAGAGTAGGTACGGAGTAGATCATGAGAAACACTGAAATTTCAGTTTTGTCAATTGCGTAAATTAATATCATGCGCTCTAAGTGGCTGAATAGTTTTATGCAGGGCCTTTTGTTACAGGAACAATACGGAACTGACACGGTCCACACGGGAACGGCCGCTTAATACCCATGGGAACGGTATAGGTGGTACAGATAAATGTGCATAGCTCTCAATTTGGGTAGGTTGAAATTTATCGAACTGGAGGAAAATTTCAGCGTATATAATATTGTAGAAGCTGTTGAAGTATTGTAGATGTAGCGCTGGGGCTAAAGATTAAACCAGGGTTCAATGTCCTCAGGTCATTCGCACTGTATTGAAATTAAGCTCCGCTCCCACGGGAAATGAGACCACTCCATGATTAAATTGTGACCCTTTCAACAGTAAATCTCGGTTGCAAGCTGTCAAATGGGAAATGTTGTCGATCTGAAATTTTCGTTTCAGACTTCCCTCAACACCCGAGGTCGTTACAGCCAAGGTTTGCACTTGATCAGCCACAAAGAACGGTGGCGTGTATTTACGGGCCATTAATAATAATAGACAGGTCAACAAAATGACCCTGAGAACAAAGCGATACGGTGATCTTCAAGTACAGCGCATAAATGGAAAAATTTGAGGGGTTCGAAGGCCAATAGTCGTCATCAAGGGTCTCTGTGGTAATGATCTTCATACATTCATATATTATTGTATTCATGCTATAGGGCAACAAAGTTGTTTCGCACAATAGAAGTCTCAGAAAAGGACCTCTTCTAGCGGAGACCCCATGCCGTGTCTGACCAAATTTGGAAGATCATCCACTCGTCCCTTAGTTTGCTCGCGCGGGTGCCTGATTACCTAATAAATTACTGTGATATCATTGGATGGTATTATGATGGTTCCATGGTACAGTACCATACAGTCAAGGAGACACAAACAAACGTGAAAGAAGGTGAAGGTACCCAGTACTCGACAGAGCCAGGGCCCTCCCCCCGTAATTAAAGTACCTCATACCTTCTCTGGGGAACACAGACCCCTTGACAGTCCCTTTCCCAAGGGATCCATCATCAGTCATTTCTCTCCCTGATCTCCTCTCTCCCTTTTCACACATTCGTTACTGTCGACAAATCCCGATTTCTTTCTCTCGTTTATTCCCTGTGTTGGGGTCATCAACTGAACTCATACTTCATAGTTCGGTCGCACTTTCGACTTGAGGGTCTCTCGACTCTTTCCATCGCGCCATCACCTTCTTTTTATCCGGTCCCTCCAAACACAGGACAAGACGTTTGGAATCAACGTCTACCGATATACTACATTCAGAAGTTAAAGGGTTGCGCAGGCCGTTCCCATTTCTTCACACTGTGACTGTGTCCAGTACTTATTATTATCTCTTATTTCCAACTCGACCCCCCCCTCCCACCATGATTTTCAATACCAAAAACGCCCTCGCGGTGACTAGCGTGCTACTTGCAGCCACATCTGCCGCTGCAGATGGCTTCAAGGTGCGCCCTCGAGCCGCCTTGGGCACCCTCGTCGGTTGCTACTCTGCGATTCCCGGGTATGGCGACGCAAAGGCCTGGACATACCAGAGTTCTGGATGGTGTTTAGATCGCTGCTATGGCCAGGGAACAGGGGCCTTTGCATTGAGTGGAGGCTCTGATTGTACCTGCGGTGACACGCTACCGCCATCCAGCGACAAGGTTTCAAGCGACAAATGCAACAAGCCCTGCAGTGGCTGGCCTCAAGACATGTGTATGTTCGTATCGCTACTGGAAGTGAATGATTTGCTAACATGATCAAATAGGCGGTGGGGTTAGTTATTACTCTATTTACACCACAAATTACGATGACGACGTCCCAACATACTCGGAATCCTCGCAATTCAGCTCGACTACAACCACTGGCTCGTCGACCACCACGCAGACTGGTGCCGCTACTGCCGTTTCTACCGCAGCCAGCGGACAAACCGTCATTGTGACATCCGAGAGCTCGGCTACCCCGACTACCGAATCAAACGAGAACGAAAAGGCCTCAAGCAGCAAGAACACTGCGGCTATCGCGGCTGGAGTTGTGGTTGGAGTGGTCGGATTTGCTGCTCTCTGCGGTGCTGTCTTCTTCTGGTGGCGGTCCAAGAACAACAAGGCCAATGCTGCCACAAGAGGTCCAGCTGGCTATGGCCATGACTCGAGCCCGCCATCAATGTCCGATTCTCGATTCGATGGCGACTATATGGCCCAGCGCCGCCAAAGTAATGGCAGCATCGATGATGATCACGACTTCTCTCGTCGGATCTTGCAGGTGAATGATTAGAAAACAGGATGATCTTTGTTCTCATGCTGACGATTTGACCCAGGTCACGAACCCCGATCGCTAAATCAACACTCTAAGACTCATGCACCCCTTTTCCTTCTCATCACTCCATATTAGCGAACCCATGTCCTTTCCTGCCTCGACCTGCTTATGAGAGCTTTTCATCCCGTCATTGTTTTTATTATTTGATTAGCGGAGTTATGATATCCGAAAGACATCTGGCTCAAGAGCCAGCGTCCACAGTTGGTGTATATCTCGGTCTATCGCGAGCATGCCCGACGTTCTCCACCAAGGTCTTGATTCGCAAAGAACCACCGGGAGCCCATACCATCGGCATCTCCACCAATCATTGTATCTTGTTTGATTATTCTGAAGTCTCAGTGGATATGGAGACTTCGTATCGAAAAGGAGTTTTTATCTCGGCTCTATCAATCCTCATTATTTGCCTTTCATGAGCAAATCATTCCTTTTATGTGATTCTCTTCGTTTGTTTATCCTTCTTTTGATATCTTCTCTTGTTTCCAGTCGGATCTTTGTTCTTCGGTCCAACTTTGATGAGCTTCGCATTCTTCATCTTGCTCTGATACGATCTGGTTTAGGATAGGTGACTGTAAATAGGAGAGACCAATCAGCTGTACTTAATGTGAGAATGGATATGCACATCAGTCTGCGTTGACTTGCTTGTCAAGTTGCAACATAATCAGAAACGTTACGAATAATGGACTGAAAGATGTGATTGTTGCGGCTCTCGCATCCACTTCGTTTACCATTACTAGGACTATTCTTATAGCCCGCCTAAGGTGGCCTTTATGAAAATAACGTTTGACTTGAGCAGGCTACAGACAGAGATGGATAATAATGATTGGATAATTGAAGAAATGTAGCTGATAAACGCCTGCGAGATGAAAGGGCCTAACGACTATGGTACACGTAACATCTCACTTGTTCGTATAGATTATTTAGATGTAAGCTAAGACATATTTACTATTGAAAGCACATGTTGTTAGTCCTTCTATGTAAAAGCTCGAACTATAAAGATGAAACCTTGGAACTGAAATGTCCTAGACACTCATGAGAACCAAATATTCAACTATATATCTCTCCCTATAGTTAGTTGTTTTACTGCCTCTCCAGTTCCTCTACTCTCCAAAACGTTCCTAAGGTTGCTCTCGTCCGCTTTGAAAAATCCTTTTTCAGCTGTAAGATAATAAAGCTCCTTTCTGATCGGTTCAAGTTGTTTTCAATCGGCGTGATAGATGATCCTCAACTTCGTCCGTATTTTCATGTCCCGAGGTCTGCCCTAATTTGATTTCGATATATAGTCACAACCTCGCTAGCAGCGAGATGTTTGCCTCGGAATAGGGCATACCTAGGTATCTCTAGACCCACTCGGAAAAATATTTCAAGCATTGCTCGATTTCTATTGTGTGAGGATTGCAGGGTCGATAAAACGCGATATTCAGAAATAGTCCGACGGCGCGGTGAAAAGTCGCAATTGCCACGCCCATTATTTCATCATCGCAACCGGCTGTGCAAATTTCTAGCAAGAAGCTGGCCAGTAAACATACCGCACCCAAATACCGAGTATCTCCATCTGCTCCTCCAGCCCAGCTTACACCGAGGCGTAGTCATTAGATAATTGGTTTAGTTATGCTAAACAAGTGTTGAGCTGTCCGCATAGCTCGGTATAGTTGTTCTCATGATTGGTGTGCAAACAAAGAGATCACTATGCAGGACATGTAGTATCACAGCCACCATCTATCATGCACTATAAGCGTTGTTAGCTTTTTAGAACTCAATGAACGCAGATAGTCTTCCCATGATGAGCGGCAGAGCATACATACCTTGTCACTTTTGCACTCACTTTACATTAGTTAATACGTAGATCTCCACAGGTATTTCTTAACGTGAGGGAACAAGAACTTGCTAGTTGACTGAGCCGGCAATCTGGCAGGAAGTACCCTTACATTCCTTCATATTTCCAGAACGTGAACATATATCTATTGTTCAGCGGGTTGATGTACACCGCAGATTTGCCAACCATTGGGGCAGGCTAGAGCGGCTGCGCTGCTGTCTTTGGCAGGTCCAGCCCTACTCAGGGGCACCGAGGGTAACCAGAGCAAACACAAAGCTTGAAAACTGCATGATGAGCTCGAGTGTCGTTGATTAAAGTTGAAAGTTGAGTACCCGATCAATAGAGATCTTGGATTGATTGGAATGATGAAGTGAATTTGCTGGAGCGAGATCACCTCTTTTATAGTAGAAATCTAGAAGATTACATCAATAAAGCCTCGAACTTTTCCTAGACAAAAGAACTCCCTGCCCGATCATCAACGCAGTTTGACCGACAATCTTTCATGTTAGAGAGGTCATATTTACCAATACAGAGAAGCAAGTCACAGAAAATAAGTACGACGTTCTCGAGTTCCCGCATAAACACCTTGATAGTACGACTGTCTCTTTCTGGTAGGGAGCTACTTTCCCCGAGACACAGTACAGGCAATCAGCCGGCACCAGAGAGAGAGCCTGCTCGCTGCCAGAAAGTGGGTAGATCAACTTGCTGCATATACGTGCCAGGATATGCCTGCAACGTTCATCGTCTTAGGATAATCCATGCTCCTGCTCCTGCTCCTGCTCTCTAAATTGACCACGGCGCCTCATTCCTCTGATACTTCAAGACATGTGGGCGGGTATCATTACAAGTACACGCAAAGCATGCAAGGGCAGGGCATTGTTGTTGTCAGAATTGATATTTCTAGGGATCCTTCAATTCTAAGGCTGATATGCAATAAAGGATTTATCTTATTCACAACATACATATGTCTCTATCATCTATTACAATAATTCGCATAGCAAGCAACTGCCATACAGGTAGCTCCGTGGCAGCCGAGTCGCTTTTTCGGCTTTCTGATTGCGCAGGGCTGGATTATGTTAGTGAATTTCCAGCATCCCTTAATAAGTGATCTCGTTAGCCTGGTTCATGTGAAAGGCAGTTGGACAAGGTGCGATATGGCATTACCCTGGCTTTTTTTGTTGAATGTTTGTCTTGACTATAGCCAGGACTTTGAATGCAGTGGATTAGGGCTATTCATTTTTGGTTTGTTACTTACTATACCTGGCCCACTCCAAGGACATATACTCTGCTAGTCTTCTCTCTTGTGGCCTTATTGCGTATTGTGGCAGTTCCATACGATATTCCTCTATGCCTTTGGTGAGATCTGTATTTGGTTTGTATATTATATTGAGTCATACACCAAGGTCATTCCTGTCGGCTTCTTAGTCAAGTCTAATAATGAGTAGCTCCGCTACTCGAGCGACCACAGAGTACCACAGTCTGCGTATTCCTTCCTCGTCCATTTGCGGCAGCGGGCATTACTCATAAATGACCCACGGCCCTCCTTCCTTCTTACTTTATTTTTCACTTCTTCGCCTCTCCCTTCATTCCTTGCCCCTCCCTTCCCTTCATTTCCCTCCTTCCGTATTCCACCCAGGATGGTACAATGGCAGCACAGTGCCCTGATGGGTAGGCTTGTGTGTAGGCGCACATATCTTAGGCTTTTTGGTGCTCACGGATCCTGGTTCGATTCCGGGTCCTGGAATAATGTTCTCTTGTGATCTCGAAACACCACACCAACTGAACAGAACATCACTTAGTAATATCAAATCCTCTACAATGTCTCTTGCTAAGTCGCTTCCTAGGTTCATCGTGTAGCTTAGTGTAGTATAAACATGGTAGTCTTCACGTGAAATCTACTTATATGGACCACTACGATACTCTCCATGTGGCCCACGTGTTCAGATTTAAGCCTGCGCCTTTGAACCAGGTATTCTAGATTCTGCACGATGAAGTTGACAACTACAAGGAGTGTAAGAGAACTCGCACTGAGCGTCCAAGGGCCCAATTCATTGGACTTTCCACGTATTTGTTAACAGCATTTACCGCTATGAGGGGATGATTCAGACCATAGAGCAACACACCCACAATCTACACGAGCCCATAGAGCAATCCCCCCTCGTCCTCCCTTTCACGCCAACTGTTTAGCTAACCAAGGCATCTAACAACTAATATGTCATGATTACAATGGAATGACATGGCGAGGTAACATAAAGTGAGATAACACAAGATACGGAGGATTCTGGTCAGTCAAGATATCATTTTCTTCAGTGTCCAACTGGTTTCCTAAGTAAATATCGCTACCAGCACTGCAACGACTTGATACAATCAAACCTGGCGTTGAGAAATACATCAATGCTCTACGCAACGAGCCTGTGACATGAGCTATGCTGCGAGAAATACTCGATGCAATTCGCCCGCCTCACTCACCTCGCGCCAACAAAACCGATTGAGGCGAAAATCGGGCACCATGAAGACAGCGTGATAGCAGAAATGATCAAGACAAAGGTTGAAAAGTCATGATGGCCATCAAGTCATTCCAAAAAGGACAAGAACACTACAAAGACTACAACGGACAGTTTGATATTGACCACGGGAGGTTGATGATCACTGAGCATGGTCCTTCGGAAAGATGGAGTCTAGTAAGTGGTCCAAATGTCATCATTTGGCCGTCCAGCTGCTTTCGTGCTAAACGCACTACACATTATCATAGCTAGAATACAGTTGATATAGCTGGAGAAATGGGAGTCATTCGGTGTTCCTAACATCGCACCCATTTCATCCGAATCCGCGCCCTCAACTACACAATCCCACTCTTTGCCAAAGCCTTCATCGGTGTCTTTGCCGCCTCATTCCAGAAATGAAGACCTTCCTCCATCCGCTTTCCCATCGATGCTCAAAATACAAACTAACCACAACTATCAACCTACCTCTTCTCCATACACTTCTTTTTGCTTTTTTGGTATTCACATAATCCTCTTATCATCTCTTCTTTCACTTAACCGGTCCTCCAGCTACACATTTGATCGTAGTATTTTGCTTGACTCTGATCGCAGCATCACAGTTTCTCCCGCTACAATCTCGCTTCGGCTGCTCTCCTTCACCGTTTGATCAATCTTACTCACTGTTCCTTCCGTATTCATGGTCAAGATACCCACCCGACAACGTGC